TATTTTACTATTATAATTAGCCAAATATTAGTTAACTAGCCTATTAAAGCTAATTTAAATTTATAAACTTTATTATTATAAATTTTAATATACTTTAATATTTATAAATATTCTTTATTAATTATATTAATAGATATTATTTAAAATATAAAAGGTATAAATTTATTATAATTATATAATTGCCAAATAATTTTAATATTTATTTTAGCCTTATATTTAATAGCCTTTTAGTTTTATTAAATTTTATTTTATATATTTTTATTATATTTTATAAGTATTTTATTAGCTATAACTATTTTTTAAAAATGCTTTACTTTAATATTATAGTTTAAAGCTAATTGTTTTATAATATAAAAAGGAAGCTTTTTTTAAAAGTTTTTAGTTAGCTCCCTATTTATTTAGTTGAGTTTATAAAGTAATTAATTATAGTTATAAATTATATATTATAAGAAATTAATATTAATAATAAAGTAATTTAATATAAATTATTTAAATTGTTAATTAAAAGTATATTATTAGCTAATATTTTTATTTTAAAATGTATTTTTTAATTAAGTTTTTTAATTTATCTAGCCGCTTATACTAGCTATATAAAGGTTAATTTTAGTAGCTATTTTTAAAAAGGCTATTAAACCTTTTAATATATTTAAAGCTAGTTTAAATAATATATTTAAAAGAAGGTAAGTATTATTAAAGCATTTTAGGTAGTTTATAATATTTTTATTTATAAAGGATTTAAGTTTAAAATTATAAAAGTTTATTTAAATAGGTAAAAACTATTATGCCCTTATAATAGGTACTTGCTTAAATAGTTATAATATAGGCTATAACAAATTATTATTATTAAAGTTATTTTATTAATAGCTATTTTTTAATATTAATAATATTAAAGATATTAAAATTAAAGGTATTAACTATTTAGGTGGCCCTAATAAGCTTTAATTTAAATTTGCTATTATTATAGGTAAAAAATTACTAATAATATTTTAAAAGAAGAAGTTAAATTGCCTATATTAATTTTAACCTTTTTAAATATTAAATTATATATATATATATAAATATTTATATAATAGCTTATTTATTAATAAAATAAAAGTAAATAAGTTTATTTAAAGTAAATTTTATATTAATTAACCTACCTAATAGTTTTATATAAATAAAATAAGGTTGGCATTTTAATTAAATTTATAATTTTAGTATTTTATATTTATAAAATATATTATAAGCCCCTTATTACTTAAATATTATTACCTTTAAATTTTTTAATAAAAGGTTTTACCCCTTAATTATTTTATATTAAAATGGGTAAAGAATTATTTTTTTTTTTTAAGGTTTACTAAATTTTTATTTAAAAGCGCCTTAAAGTTTTTTAATATTTTAAGTATTTTTTTATATTAATAAACTATTCTTTTTTATATTAAAATAGCAATTACTATTTTTAGTTAGCAATTATTTTTGGGTTTTTAAAAAGCTTATTTTAATTTTCTTAACATATATAGGCAAAGCTATATATATAATTAAATTATAAAAGCAGGCTTTTTATTAATAGCTATTAAAAAACCTATAATTAAAAACCTATTTTTAATAATTAAAATATTTGGTAAATATAGTTATTAAGTATAAATATATATATAAACTAAATTTCCTTTTTATATAAAAGGTTTTTTTATGGTTATTTACTAATAAATTAAAGTGCAAATAGGCTAGTTAAATGCCCAACTATAGGCCCAAAGAAGCGCTTATATAAAATAAAAGGAGATAGTAAAAATTTTTTAATTTAAATATATTTAAAAGAGAAATAAAAAAGGATTGAATTTTTTTAACTATTTAAAAAAGGGGTAGGTAAATATTTTTTATATAGGGTATTTATAGGTGTAAAGGCCCTTACTAACTTAATATATATATATATAAAAAGTAGTTTAATTAATTAAATTAAATTATATAAAAAGGAGGAAGCTAGGCTTAAAAGGTTAATAATAAGTTCCTTACTATAATTTATTAACTAAGGTTATATAATTTAAACTATCTACTAGTTATAATTACTTTTATTTTTATACTAATAGTCTTTTATTAAGTAGTTAATAAAGTTTAGTGAATAAATAAAGAAGGGGAAAGATTAAATAAGGTTAAGTCTAATATTTAGTATTAATTTATTTATTAAAGTTAACTATTTAATAAGAGTAACTTATAGATTATATAAACTATACTTTTATTTAAGTTATTATTTTAAATATTAATAAAGTTACTTAATAAAAGAAGATTATAAATTTAAAATCTTTAAAGATTATTATACTTTTTAAAATATTTATTAAAAGTATAAGTAAAAGTTATTAATAAAAGTTAAAAATAGATTTTAAGTTTTTAAAGATTATTAAAGTCTTTTAAAAGTATAATAAATATATATAACTTATTATATACTTTTAATTAATAAATTAATATTAATATTAATTATTCTTATAATATTAATATAATTATTTTATTTATTATAGTAATTAATTATTTTTATACCTTATTATTTATAGTTATTTAAGGTAATTATTAATTAGTATTAGTATAGATTATTATATATATATATATAAAGAGTAGTTTAATTAGTTAAGTTAGATTATATAAAAGGAGAAAGTTAAGTTTAAAGGGTTAATAATAAGTCCCTTACTATAGTTTACTAACTAGAGTTATATAATTTAAATTATCTACTAATTATAATTACTTTTATTTTATAAAAATAATAATTATTTAATAAATATAATTAAATTTTAATTTAATTAATAAAATATAATTATAATTATTATATTATAAATAAAAATTATAAATAAATAAATAAATAAATAAATAAATAAATAAATAAATAAATAAATAAATAAATAAATAAATAAATAAATAAATAAATAAATAAATAAATAAATAAATAAATAAATAAATAAATAAATAAATAAATAAATAAATAAATAAATAAATAAATAAATAAATAAATAAATAAATAAATAAATAAATAAATAAATAAATAAATAAATAAATAAATAAATAAATAAATAAATAAATAAATAAATAAATAAATAATATTAATATTAATAATTAAAAAAGTTAAGTTAAAAAGAGAGTATAAAAAGAAGTTAAGTTAAAGAGGGGGTGTAAAAAGAAGTTAAGTTGAAGGGGGGGTGTAAAAAGTACCCTATAGGGGTAAGTGTAGGTATTGAAAAGTGTGCACGAAATGTGGATTTGGGGTTTTGTCGCAAAATAGCGTTTGGTCCAGCGTATGTGCTGCCGCCTCGCTGCCTGAGAGCTCACTGCCTCAGTGGGAGGATGACCGATCGAGGGGCTAGAACCACTACTGGATTCAGCCTGAAGTATTTATCCGTAGTCTAGCTGATTACGGCAAGCGTTCACAGAACTAGTCGTCCTGGGTCACACGTTTTGAGGCAAGAAACGACTGACACTCGCGTCGACTGTGCGTCGAATGTAGCGATTTTCAGCAGTAGGTGAGACGCTCTCGATGGGTGGATGGCATCTAAGAATATTCCCACAGGAGCGGATTCCCGAGGTCAGTGAATCTATGAGTTGAAACGATGACCAGGGTTCGTTGCGCACAATGAAATTCGCTATTGTTCTGCAAAGGAACACCATGAAGTTCGGGAAACGGCAATATCTTCAATGTCAGAAACCCTAATAATTACCAATGTGTGTAACCCAAGAGCTTCCCAGGGTCGCCTCGAGCTGTCAAATGCAGTCAAGATCTGTCAAGCACTTCCCCGGATGGGCGACTCCACTTTCAATGCTCGGCAAGATCATCGACGGGCACTTCACGCTTGGCGTAGAAAGCTTGACCCGACGCGCTGGTAGTGCCTAGTCCTACCAGGTTTATATGCAAAAGTTGGGTTTCCAGGAACTGCTGTGCTTCTACCTTTTATCCGGCTCCTTTCTCTTCGCTAGCGACGGTTAAACTGCTATGGCTGCCATGAGCGAGCGCTTAGATCAAGCGCCACCTCGGATAACAGGAACGTTCGTCTTGAAAATATCCCAGGTCATGCTGTAGGAAGCATTTGGTCCAGTCGGGTGGCTCCCGCCTCAGCTCTTGGCCATGGGACCATGTCACCTGTTGGCCGTCTGTGAGTGAATCCTTTCAACGGCTACATTTCCTCATTGGACACTGCAGGTGTTGCACGGCTGGACATTGGCGGATCGAAACTCGGGCAACTGGGCTTGCACCTCACCACAGGCGACTGATGGTATTTAGTACGCGCCCGGAGAGCAGGAATTATTCTATAGGTGACCATTCGAAATGTGATAGTCAACTCGATGACGGTACGTCCATGTGCCGGGACCAGAGGTGGGTGATGGCTCAGTGAAGGGTGTACCTAGGTGCAGGCCCCAGGTGCCAACAATGTGATGGGTCTACAGGTATTTCAAATTAGCCTCACAAATACGGACAGTGCTTGCTGTTAGAAAAAGCTTGAACCGTTGAGAATTTCAAATTCTGGCTCGTTGTCCCAGCAGGTGGACAAAGTTTGCTGCAGGCTCCTGCGCCCATGCGACAACGCAGCCAGTAGTTTTCGCAAGTGGGGTCGTACAATCTAGATGCGGGCCAGACATTTAAATCCTCCTCGTATGCATTCCTCCTTCCTTCCGCATGTCACACAGTCCCCTTGAATCTTGGCTGAGCGATTTGTGCAAACTTGAAATATCGTTGACAAGCAGCCTGATAAAGGGATGAAGATGCGGTCCACTGATGATATTGGCCATGATATACCATAATGGAATGTATCAAAGACTGTTTATTTGCTGGATCCCGAGTAATTCGTTGTCTGTGCAAATAATCGAGATGTTTGAATCGGATAACACGTTGCATAAGGCTTTCGGTGGGGGGTCCTGAGCCAGGAGCGGCCGAGTAAAATGGACCATATCGGGAGATTTGACAAGTCTATCTTTCTCGAAATGAGAAGCTAATGTTAGAATTGAACTTGATTCGGTACATTAAGCTGTACCTATACATACGTATATATCTAAGACCATGCCACAGGAGACATAGATCTAGGCGTCCCGTAGCTCGAAGGTTCATTGTCACCATACCCACCGCGATCAGATTGCAAAGCTGTCGTCGATGCACTGCAATAATCCTGATCCTTGCTCGAAATCTCCTTCAATGATGGTCGCGGTGTGCTTTGATAGACTATGGCCTGGGCCATGTTCCACGCCGTATTGAGAATCAGGTCCTCTTCCTCCGTCAGTCGACCAAACTCGACGAGAGAATTCCGTTTCGCCAGCAGACTGTCTAAAAATTCTTCAAGGTTTCCCACCATGTCACCATCTTCCCGTCTTGTCTGGAGCAGAGTTTCTGAGGTCTCCGATGAGGTCTCGTCCGATGAGGAGCTTTCTGATGTGTAATCGGCCTGAGAGCGTGTGCCACTCCTTCTTTCTGCAGTTTCCTCAAGTTGAGTAGAGCCTTCGCGTGTTTCGGTGTCTCGGAACCATTCCTGGGCAACACTATCCTCGGACCCCTCGTGATCAAAGCTTTTTGATTCCAAAAAGTCCATGACATCTGGTCCAACATCCATTGCTTCCTCGTATTTGTCCGCCAGAAAGTGTAAGAACTTGGCTGTGAGCTTCCCAGATGAGTCGAGCGCGGCGTCCCCGTCAAGCCGCCGGGGCCGCTTCGCCAGATACATTTGGTATGGATGGTCGCAGAAGTCTCCAATATCTTCTGCCAGCCCGTCCGAGTCGCGTTCGAAAATATCAAGCCACTCCTCTGTAAGTTGATGCCATTCCGTCATTAGCCGTTTACTCTGTGCATCTTCTGTATCTTCTGTGTCGCTTGTTACATCGGCCGGGCCAGCTGATTGAGATAGGATGGATTTCATGGTGTCAACAATTCTCCACCCGGTGATATTGGCTGGTTGAAAGTGTCTGTAGGCTTCCCGACTGCCTCTCCACTTCTGATAGTCCTCAGCCTTTTGGAAAATCCAATCTTTTAACCACGGCCCATGGGAAATAATTCTCTTCATCGCACCAGGGCCCTGGTAGCGGATCGGTCTCAAGGCTCGTCGCACAGCGAAGACTTCATCTCTCAATCTCCCCAAAAGCCCGAAATCCTTGGACCGCTCCTCAAGTGACAGAACGGTAATAGCGCGCTGACAAGGAGGACATGCAAAATTATCCGGGCAGATACAGCAGACATAATAATAGTCCAGGCGCAGCTCAGCAAAACAGAAGTCGCATGTGGCGCTTCCATCAGAGTCCGATAAAAGCACCCTGTACTCTCTGTATATCCCATTCTTTTTGGTTGGCACCGATCTGAAATTGTCCCCAAATAGAACTTGAACGCAGGAGCCCATCGGGCCCCTCGTGATCCGAAGGAATTCGGGTTTCGGAACACGACCGGCTTGTTGAAAGCGAATGAGTAATAAAAGCGCATCTGTAAGGGCAAAGAAGTAATCCGAGGATATTTCCAGCAACCAAAAGCTATTTCTGACTCTAGCCGGGGCTCCTTGTTCGATGTTACGAGCAATGGCCCTTGCAGTCCGGCTAATGAATTGCAGGAGAGCGTGGATCTGGTAGCCATCTTGGGGTAAGTTGTCTCCCAAAAAGCCCCCAATACGCTTACTCCAAGGGTCAAGTATAGCTCTCATAGCTGGTCGTCCAGCGGCCAGATCAAATGCTGAAAGTCCCTGTTGATGAATTAGTGTGCTTTCTTTTATCTGGAGGAGGCAATGCGGTTTGCTAGGAGACACATGCCCCCGAGGAAATGATTTCCAGCACGCCATTTCGGCCAGAAGTACCCTAGGTACTCGGGCATATCAAAGTTTCATCAAACTCACCAACTCATCCTGCAGGAATGGATTAGCTCCAGCCTGGAGCAGGCGATATGCCACCCGAGCATGTCCGTGCCATACAGCCAGCATTAACGGCGTTCGCAACAGTGGCCCCATCTTGTCGACCCTCGCACCAGCCGTTAGCAAACTCTCGACAATTTTGAGAGCTCCTCGGGTCGCAGCCAGGCCTAGAGGGGTCCTTTGCGTGTAGTAGGGCCCATCTGGCCTTACACCAGAAGCAAGCAGAAGCTCAACAGTCTCAGGCTCCTGACCAGATGCCGCGAGACAAAGAGGGTCAAGCCCGTTCCAGGTTGTTTGGGATACCAATTTGGTGCTCATCTTGACAAGTCTTTCGAGGACGCTGTGGAGTCCTCTATAGGCAGCGACATGGGCGTAGGTTAGACCGCCAGAGCACTGAATGGTTATGTCTTTGATCCCTCGGTCAAAGAAGAGTTCAATGATCTCTGGATAGACATTGAAGCAAGCGACAAATAAAGGTGTGTCTCCTTCGTCGTTCTGAGGCTCTAGTTCGCATCCTGCGTCCATGAGCCGGCGTGTGAGCTGTTGGTGGCCTGCAGACGTGGCAAAGTGGAGCGGTCGCCAATTTTCCTCGTCTTTAGCATCAGCATTTGCTTTCCAGTCAAGTAAGATATTGGCTATCTCATATTGTTCCTCTTTCAGTGCCTTGATCAATGGACTGGGCACAGTTGACTTGAGACCGTCTGCGTCGGCTCCATATTCCAGCAGGCACCGCACCATCTTCGAGTCCTTGCGTTCGACCGCATAGTGAAGTGGTGTATACCCGTCTGCGCCTGGTTCGTTAATAACATCTGGGGGACAAAGGAACTCGACGAGCTCGAGCCTTCCAAGTGTCACTGCTTGATGTATGGCGAGGTCTCCATTCTGAAACCTCCAAAGACATAGTTCTGGTTTCCATGTTGCCAGATCATGGATGATTACCGTGCTAGTGTTGGGCAATATCTGTAGCTTTACGAGAATTAATTGTATGGTTGTCAGCCTCCGAAATACGCCAATGTTATATAATCCGCTCCTAATGCGACTGCATAGCTTTGAGTTAAACGTACTGTATCCCGAGTTAGTCGCGCACCCCTCTTCATCGAGAATGGGATCGTTTGATCCCGCTCGCCACTCAAGCTGAGCAAATTTCAGGGACTGTCTGGGGAGTTGGTCAGGAACATACCCAGAGGTTCGGAATCCTTCTGCCTCATCAGAACGTTCTCCGGAGAAAAGCTTCTGATATAGTACTTCACGAATTGAGTATTGTTCGAGGCGACCGCATGGTGAAGTGGAGTCCGCCGATTCTTATTTTGAGTGAATGCCTCAACACCCCATGACAGCAAGATCCGTGCGTCTTCTGTACCCCCTGACAGGGCTGAGTGGTGCATGGCATTCCATCCCCGATGATCAATATGATGAGGATTGGCCTTGTACACGTCGACAAGGATTTGAGCTAGGGATGTGTGTCCATTGTTCAAAGCAATCAGTAATGGTGTCATCCCAAGGTTGTTGGCTGACTCAACGTCTGCGCCTTCGTCCAGTAATCTCTTTGCTGAATCAATGGCGCCCTTGGATGCCGCCGCAGAGAGCGCGGTAAACCCTACATCATCTCTCCAATCCAACACCGTCTTACCAGCATCAATGCTCAATAACTGGGATATGGTTTCTAGACTGTCGAGTGCAGCTGCATCGTGAAGTGCTGTGCTACCAAAATGGTTGAGGGTCTGGACGGGGATACTTGCTCCTCTACTGAGTAGGAGGCGCACGGCGTCCCTTCTCTCACGCTTGACCGCGACAAGTAAAGGAGTCCCTTTAAGCTCGCGCGTGGCTGCATATTGGTTCGCTCCACGGTCGAGAAGAAACGAGATCATGCTTTCTGACCCGAATGCCGCAGCGCGATGAAGCGGTGTCGCCCCTTCCTGTGTTTTCGCTTCAATGCGGGCGCCTCTGTCCAATAGGACTGCAGCCAATTCTTTTTTGCCGTTGAGAACACCTGCTACCAAGTGTAACGGGGTGAAGCCCTCGTAGTCGCAGTAGCGGACATCTGCGCCATGATCAAGTAACATTTGCGTCGCCCCGAGATGGTTTGCCCGGGCCGCTATCATCAGAGGCGTCTTTCCATTGTGATCCCTCGCGTCGGAGTCTGCCCCACTAAGAAGGAGTCTTTCCATCATATCTGTGTATCCATAATTCGAAGCCAAGTGAAGAGCAGTTGGTGCGTGACTGGCGCCGTGCTGACTGGTGGAGTGACCCAGTTCCAGCAATATTATCATGAGGTCTGTCCAGTGGTGGCGGATAATTGTGCCCACCAGCCACGATTTGCTCTTGCATTGTCGATCGATTACTTGGCTGGCATCATGAATTCGCCTCACATGCTCTTCCACGATCCTGCTAGACATGGCTTGATGCCCATTCTGTGATGCGTAGTCAAGAAGGCAGTTGCCGAATCCATCAGCTTTATTGATGTCGAGTTCCGTGATGGGGTACCGCCACAGCAATTGATGTAGCCCGAAGATGGATAAAATATGTAACGGTGAGGTTCCAGAGGGAAAAGGAAAGATTGAGACGATCTCATCTCTTCGACTAGAGAAACGCATATAAACTTGATGGATGAGATCCCGCCGGGCTGGTGGCTCCAAGAGTTCGCAAATCCTGTCTTCGAGACTCGAATTGCGTTGTTCTAGTGCTTCTCTAATGTGATCTCCCCAGAAAACCGCAGCGTACTCGAGAAAAGGATGTCGCTGAAGGGTTTCCTTCAAAGCGTCTTCCGTCGACATGGGCCCTTCTGCGAAAATGCGAAAATTGAGGTACGTGAGGCAATCGACTCCAAGGATGTGGGCTGCATTGGTTTGGAGATCTCGAAAACCTGCGAGCTCTTCAACGCTGTCGTTACAGAGGCCCCTCAAGAAGTCTCCCAGTGAAGGATGGACAAGAGTGTAATTTCCATCTTTGAGGACGAGTAAGTCGGCACAGTCCTTTGTCAAGGGGACATTGTGATCTAACTTCTCATCTTCTCCGATTGAAGTCATACCCTCTTCAATTGCCAACGCTTCTAGCAGCTGAGCTTTAGAAAGAGGTCTTTTTGAGTTAGTAGCCCATAAGAGCGCCTTCAAGGCCAAATCCTTGATGGATGGCTCCGCGCTCATAATACGCCTCATGGCATCGGTATACGCCCCGTGTAGACCCCTTGGCATATTTCTCGCAGCAGCTTTCATTTTCTTGGCCGTTCTTTCTTGCTTGATAGAGTCGATGACGAGTGAAACCCAGAGGAACATGCCGTCCGCTGAATACAAGAGACTACCTTGTATCTCTTTCAGAGACGCAGAGTCACTGGTCAGATTTACACTTCTGTCGTCGATGAACCGACTGATATCCTTTGTATTTGCACCCTTGTCGACTTCGATGCTTGGACAGTCGTTGATGGCGTTGGTAATTGCTGGGTATCCAGGACGACTAAACATCAGAACGTTTGCTGAAGTGCCTGACAGGTTGAGACTGGTAAGGCTGACCAGAAAGGTGCAAAATGTTTCGAACTCTAGACCTGACATCCCACTGCACTCATCCAAGCCGTCAACGACTATGAAAGACTGACTGAACATTGGAATGATGTCTCTGATTCCGTTTGTGATTGCCTCTCTGCTTGGAAGGTCCTCTCCCGTTCCAAAGCAAGCATGTTCAAGCTCTGAAACATCCATGGCCTTGGGAAGAAACTGGTATAATTGCTTGAGGATGCAGCTGAGAAGACCTGTGGAGTCATAAAGGTCTGCTGGCTCTGTACTCCGACCAGTCTTCCATCTCTCGGAACTCTGTACCTGCTGATAGCTGCAGTAGATGTACGCAAGAGCTGTCCTCTCCGAAGCCGACTGGACTTTTGATGTTGCGTATTTATGGCTAGCAGCTTCGTCCAAGGAATTCCAAGCGCTATTGTCGGGAGAGTTCGTTGGACCGGCACCTTCTTGCCATGCAACCTGCGCCGATTCGTCTTCGGTCGACCAGGTTGTGATATTTTCTTCAATTTCGCGAATACTGGGAATCATGCTTCTTTCGGCAAAGTATTTCTCATCACTATTGCCTGATGCAGCGTTCTTCTCATGGCAGACGGCTCTCAGTTCCTCGATAACCCTCGCGGCCAAATGCGATTTGCCGCTGCCGTGCTTTCCGTAAATCCAAAGAAGTGCGTCACGGGATTTCTTTTTCCATGAAACGTAATTTTCATGCTGCAGAACCCATAGTCCAGTCTCATCAAGCGTCGTGGCCAGAATGCTGTTATGAGTTGTTTGAAATGAGAGTGGTGACAACCATGCTAAAAGCTTGATTCGTTTCTCATCTTGAACCTACGTCAGTCCGTGCTGCAAATCACCACCTCGGAAGTCACATACCTTGTTTTTGTTGTAGCAGTCGCGCTTGACGGTTTGTTTCCTCCTGCAGCCGCTCAGTCTCGCTCCTCCGAACTGCCCTGTAGGTCTCTAGTTGCACACGCAGTGCCATCATTTGGCCTCCGTGCAGGTCCCCAAGCCTCTGTCCAGAGACCAGTTGGACTGTTCTGTCGAATGTTTCAAGGCTAGTGTCCAGGGACTGTTGCCAAGCCCCGAAGTCCTTGTCGAATGACTTCCAGAACAGTCGACTGGTGGACGTGTCTTTACCTTTCTCGTCAAAAAATAATGTTGACGCTTGAACACACGTTTGCAGGATTATGTCAAAGATGTCGACGAGTCCTGTCTGGATCTCTGTCGAATCCGGGAAGGCAGTTCTGAACTTGCTAAGCTGGCCCAGGGTGCTCGTGGCCTTCATGAGAAACTGCAAAAGAGCTTCTTGGTACTTGACCACACGCTTGGTTACGGACAAGGCCATGAATACGCCTCCGAGGATGAGTCCAGCTGGTGGATATAATCCACTTAGAGCATCCGCCATGGGTCTGCACAGATCCAGAAAGCTCACCAACGGTTCGATCCATTTTGGTGCCGCGGACCACCTTGCTGGTCTTCAGCTTTTCGTCGATGATACCCTCAACAGCCTTGGTGTAGGTGACCACGTCGTCTCTGGGATCCCTTCTCAGGAACATCCTTCTTTGCTCTTCACTGAGCGTCATGACATGATCCGTCCAACGGGAAACCACATGTGGCGATCTGTACGTTGAAGAGCAGCACGGTCAGCTAGATGGTCCGATTTTCCCAGAGGTCACGCCCATACTTACATTCGAACAGAATTACTGGGCACTGAGCTCATAACTCCGGTTTCTTCGGGCGACGTAGAGTTCCATGTGCCATTTCGAGATGGACGTACCAAGGCCAGATCGTCTGGGATGTCTGCGTCTGGGAAGACGTCTGACCTGGCCGTCTCCTTTTGACGGGATGATGACGCAAACATGATAGTTTAAAGTGCCCAGATGAGCTTCTGATCACAAACTTTGTGGTCCCCCGAGAGCCTTGTGAGCTGTGCTTAGGAGGAATGCGACAACCCCGCTCTATGAGGCTATGCTGACAGGTTCCAAGGTTGACAGAACCCTTGTCAGCGCGTACTATGAATATGTGCATCTGGATTATGTAACCCATTTCAGCCTAGAAGATGATTGGTAATAGTTGCACAAGTCTAATATGCTAGAATAGTCTCTAAACGGAACCTTGGCTGTGGTGGCTGCTGAACCTCTGATTGGTTCAAGAGGGGCCCGGTGTGTTCTTGTTGCGAGAATTATTCGAGAACAAGTAGGAGCTGTAATCAGCGTTCTCTTCCCCCGACATACCCAGGTACGCAATCTTGCCAAACGCTTTGAGTTCTTCCCCACTATCCAGACAACTCGTGACGGATCGGAGGACCTGAGTCGGGCATCTCGTATTTTTGGACCCAATCCTCGTGCAATTCTCGCCTGTGATGTCCGCCAGAGTGAGAGTCTTGCAGCTCGAACGGATCATCTGTGGTGGATCTGTGGCGATCGTTTCCAGTCGCCAACTCTTTCTTCGATGTGTCTGCCATTTCCGCTGCCACATAAGCAGCCGTCCTCTTTCTTCGCCTCATCCAATACGACACAAAACCTCCAACTACTGCGATTGATATGACAATAACACCAACTGAAATCCCCGCTACTGCTCCAGTACTCAATTTGTTTTGCTCCTCATCTGGTGCTGTAGTGCCTGAAGTAATGCTGGATGTTGGTGCTGATCCCGAGGAGTTGCTTTGGACGTCTGTTTCTCCCGCCTGACATAAAGTGGTAGACTCGTCGTTTTTAGTATCCAGAGCGCGAAGGTCCTGCCTAAGGTTTGTAGTTGTTGAGTTTGCCGCCCATAATGTAAACTTTCCAGCATCGAGATTGACTGCGAGATAGGCTGCAGAGAAGAACATTGACCCAAATGCTGCCATATGAGTCTCTCTCACACCTTGTAGGGAGTCGATCAGTAGGTCAGGCTCATTTGTATCTTCTGCGACCGTATCGCCTGTCTCTTGGTCGATATAGGTATGTGGTACAACGAGAAGATCATTTGATAGAGTAATAGTCAGGCCCGTATCCAGCGTGATAAGAAGGTCGCCATCATAGCTGGAGATACTGGGATTAGAAATCAAGTGAAAGGGGGAGATATCGGGGCTTCGTTTATACTCACGGAGATGAGTCTGCTGGGTATCTCAGATTCCAGTAATATAGGCCCAGACTGTGATCCATAGAGTAGATGGAGCTACCCGTTGCTCTCAGAAAGTTGTTGAAATATGGTGTCAGGGGCATTCTCATAGCGGTCTTTATGTTTGGGATTAGGCACACCGCCAGCGCACTTGATTGAGACTCCCCAAAGATGTTAGTTTCTGTACCATTCGCAAACCTGAGAGCCATGCCTTGGACAGTAACAACGAGTTTGGTTGGGCAAGGCGAGCTGGGTGGGCTAATAGTATGCTCTGAACCATCACCAGAGATCTTCGATGCATCATAGCCACCAAGCACTAGTTGACCATTCACTTGGTTTGATCCGGTCATAATACCATAGAAAAAGGACCAGGAACGTGAGATGATCTTTCCCGAATTCTTTAGAACATTTAGCATCGTTGAGTTTGCGCCAAGTCCGATAGCCATAAGAGGATAATATGCCTCCTCTCCCCAGTCGCTCTTAGGCCTAGTGGTGACGTTAGTCCTGCTGCGAATCCTAAAGTGTTGCATTATCGAGAATTTTAAAACATGAAAGACGTGGATCCATAATAGGTGAGAAATGTAACTTACATAGCTAGTGGGAAATCAAGTAAAGTGGTATTCTCGTTAAGAGTCAACCTGTCAGCAAAAAAGTCCATTTCTGGGTACGCCGGCTCAGTGATGTTCCGCGAGTCGACTGGATGTGACTCTGCAGAGACATTTGTCTGAGTTGTCGAAGAATCAAAGTCGTAGGCACCCCCGCGGAAGGTTATGCAGGCAGCATTGCTCCATGCATCTTCACCTCGGAGCACACAATGCCCATCAGTTCCATAGAGCATTGTGTTGTTCAAAGGCCTGTAACTGTATCGTCAGATCGCAATCATGGGTCGCATTCCAAGCTTGTGACCTATACTGTCTTGGCAGCTAAATGGGGGCTCACCAGTCCGGCAGAAAAGCAAAGTTCTGCTTTGGAGATCCCACTGAGAGTGCGACGCCCCATGCTGTTTTGCCATTGGATAATGTGACGTTGCCGATCTCGGCCGCAACGGGAGATGGAGCACAAGCAGAATCGGCGAGAACCAAGGCAATTTGAGGTATAAGAAGAGACAGGGTTTGGACCATTTTGGTGCAGAAGCCCTTCATAAGGAGTACCGAGGTAGGGAGCAGTTCGAGACAATCAGGTATTAAGTTGGAAGAAAGTAGGGAACAGTTTCCATGAGTGTGTCTCAGAAAAGAGGCGCGAAGAACATTTTCTAACTGTTTAGGCCGCAGAGTCACCAACGTCCATCGTATTGCATTGACGGGCAGGACTACGGGGGAACTTATTTCTTGGATGCAGGCGGGCTGTTAAACGCCCACGGGCTGCTGCATTGTCGGGTGGATGGCAACGGGGCCATGCAGGGCTCCACTGCGCCATGATTACCTGGGTACCAACAACCAACAATCATTTCCTACTTCAGCTCATCACTCCTTGGCATTACCCCCGGGACGGCGCTTAACTTCAGGATTGGACCTCTTTCGTAGACCCTCACAGACTGAAATATGGACCCTGTGAACACCAGTGGACGAGCCTCAGCCCTTGCTCCGCGCGTTGAAAAGGCTTTGAATAACAACAAGAAACAACGATAATAACATACATTTTATCCACAATCAGTGATATTCCTAAAAAAAGAAAAGAGAAAAACAAATAGAAGGCAAGATCGGGTCTAAAGCTCTGTCGGTTGTACATGTACCATTACGTCTCACCCAGGCAAGTAACCCCAATAACGGCAGTTTTCGATTTTGGTGCCTGAATTGAGATTCAAGATTGACAAGACAATAAAGATATATTTGACCAGAATGTCTGCTTCTCGCCCATCAGGTTCACAAATTTACTCAAGCGCTGGACGGGGAACGGGGATACTTCCAGGACTTTGCTCCTGATTTAGCATGGTAGAACCAACATGCATGACAGCCGTGGGTCATGCCAAGGTCAATTCCAGATATGGATTTGCGACGTGCCCAGTTCCACCCACCCAGAGGAGAGCGGATACCTTGCCAACGCTACCGAGATTTGATTTTTCTCCCCAACAACTCCATCTGTTCCGCCGACCCGCGCGACGACCAGGGTGCCACTGAGGTTTGTTAGCCAATTCCCAGCTTGGACAGTCAGTCGCCCTATAATGTTGATAGTGATTAGTATGATCTGAGACGGTCCTCGCGACCTATGGCAAAAGAAGGCTCAAATTGTCTGCGAAGAATTGTTGATTCAAAACTAGAGTTGCCTAAGGAATAGTATGGGGGAGGCAGCGAAGCTGCAATCCCGCGTCGCGAGAGGTATGGAGGCCACTTGGGCTGATAAGATAAGCAGAGTGCACGGACCCACTGGTTGGTCCTGCGGGCGTTCAGCCCATGGCCCTGACATGATCCTTGTGTTGTAGATATCTTTAGAATAGTTGTGTGGTTTCACTTCTATTCTATATATATCTAAGGATATATATAGTACCTTTATATAGTAATAAGTATTTAAAACTTAATATTTAAAAAGAATATAATATTAATAATAATAGTTATAATATAATAAATATTTATAATCTTAACTTTATAATATATAAATAAAATTAAAAGGTATTATTTTAATAATAATATTAATTAAAATATTATTAAAAAGTTATATAATAAGATTAAAAATAGTTATTATATAAATAAATTATATTAAAAAGTTTAATTAAAAATTATCCTTTAAATATATATATATACTTTATAATAAAACCTTTATTAAATAAATATTATAACTTTTATACTATTCTTTTAAGAATAGTTTTTAGTTTTATAATATCTTAAAAATTAAAAAGTAATAAAAACTTAGAAATTTATATTAAAATATATTAAATATTTAGTTTATTAAGAAAATAATATTAAAATATAGCTTAAATTTTTATAGATTTAATAATTATAGTTTTACATTCCTTAAACTCTTATTAATTAAGGAATTAAAAATATAAGTTAAGATTTTTAATAACTTTACCCCTTTAATAGGTATATAAAAGGAATACTTTTAATTTAAGTTAAAACTTTCTTTTTTAAAGCTTTTAATTAATTAAAATAGCTTTTTTAATTTTTTATATACTTAATTAAGCCTCTCCTAATTAATACCGACCCTAACCCTAATTTTTAGCTTTTAATTAGCTAGTTTAAGTGGAGGGTAATAATATACTACTAGAGTAAGTGAGTAGAGTAAGTAAGTAAAGGTAAAATATTATTACTCTTTTAATTAATTATAGCCTAATATTTATTAAGTAAAGGTTATTAAGGGGTTTATAGCTAGCTACTAGTTATATACTAACTATTATTATAAAGGGGTGGTAGTAGTTCTATATAGGGGTAGTGGTAGTTTTATATAGGGGTGGTAGTAGTTCTATATAGGGGTAGTAGTAGTTTTATATAGGGGTGGTAGTAGTTTTATATTTTAGTTAATTATAGCTAGGTATTTACTAATTAATTACTTAAAAGAATAGCCTTTATAAGCTTTAAAGAAGCTATTTATATAATATTTAAATATATAATTAATTTTAAAAGAATTTAAAATAAAGAAATAATTTATAATATACTACCTTTAAAACTTTTATAATAAAGTATTAAAACTCTTAAAAAGAGTCTTAAAAGTAATTTATAAGAAGATAAAAAGAGAATATAATAAGCTTATCTTTCTTTAAATTTATACTTTTATTATTAATAACTATTAATTTCTTAATAATATAGAAAAGTATAATAAAAATAAAGGAAAGAGTAGATTTAAAGTTCCTTTATAAGAGAATTATAAAGATATATATAAAGTTATTAAAAACTTTATATATAAGCTTTAGATTGGGAAAGAAATGAGTGGTTATATAGTATAAAGAAAAAATATAGTGTGGCTGAAGCCTCGGAATAGTTGTGTCTTGGTGTTGGTGTGATCATATCACCAATACAAGCCTTCATGCACGCCGGTAGCGCCTAATCAGTATCAACAGCAACTTCGTTGCCGCGGGGGCCTATAGTCGCCTTGCAAGACCCCAGATGGCGACTCCAAGAGCCTTTAACTCTCAGAGGACTCCGTCCGTGTACCATCACAATCTTCGAGTATCCCATTGGAGCATTGAAAGACGGCCTGAACTTCACGACCTCTGCCTTCCCGACAGGCATGGTGATCATCAAGATAGCCATTGCAAGACGTGGTACCTGATCCACGCAGCCACTGAAGATGGGACACTGACCACGAGGCCAGGAAGCGCGATCGAGGGTCAGCCACCTGCCTTTCTCCATCCTATTGAGGGGTTTGGGCGGCAACCAAGTACAGGTATCCGCAAGCATCATTTGATGAGCTGAGTCGGAGAATACGCATGCTGGTAGTTGGGCGGTGGCAACTTGAGGGAAGCCTCTGCTCGGGCCCATCATGATGAATCAGAACATTTCAAATAGTGTGTACCTCGTAGAACTGAAGCGCTCGCCTGTTCGAACGGGGCATAGATTTCAACCTAACCCGCCCGAGGGATGGCGGATCCAAGTCCCGGTTTCCTACAGTCTATCCCACTGTGCCAGTGAGTGCCACTGACGCTGGCTTGGTTTCTATCATATGCACTGTTGCCGGATGGGGAACATGCCGTCTTCTAGTATATCCAGTCTCCAGCCGCCCCAACGCAGAAACCACACTTTCTTCGCAATGTCGACAGGAGAAATCAAATACATCCTCCTGGCAACTAGGCACGGATCATATTCGCCATACACAATGTAGCGTGATATATGCAAGGCGCAGGAGCAGGGCATAGAACTCCGAGTCAGTCGCCGCGCCCAACTACACAGATCAGCTGTCTACAATAATGCAACTGAGGAACCCGATACAGCGCTCCAGACCGGCATATTGCACGTTTGTTCACCCCCAAATGCCCTGCAGCTGAACTTCAACTTCGCCAGATTTCACAATTTGTCCCTTCCAAGGTTGTGCTTATTTTGTTTGGAAATGCCTGGTCGCGTTGTGTGGGGGATGATAATGGAATTGGAGAAGAGCCCCATACACGGTTTGCATACCGGGGTGCTATGGATCATCACGACATTACGTTTTCGGATTGGTACACTACTAACGTCTTTACGGTGGATAATTTTGAGTCTCGAACTAGATCGCAAACTCCTTCCATTCTAACACTAAATCTGGGGAAAGGATCATTCTAATTTTAAATCTCGGACAGTCTCGGGTTCCCCCGCAGCTAGTAAGGTAGGAAGCCGGGCGGGCGCATCCTGAGTCAAATGGTGCAATGCGCCCGGACTCCTTAAAAGTGAGTCATTGGCGAGAGCCTTTGGTAGTAGGAAGACTATGTATAAGTTTGTGTAATAGCCTCAGACTTCGAGCATCTGCAGGCGAGTCTGATTAGGCACATGCTACTCTCATTGGCACTTTATCCACGCCATCTCCATTCTCAAGAACATCATGGGCTCCGTGGTGGATACCACAACGTTCAGCAAAGACCAGCTGTTAAAATATTTCGATCACATCAAGCTGCCTCAAAAATACCGACAGGACGATGTGCCTCGCGACCTTTCGCTATTGACCGCCTTGCATATCCACCAGATCGCTGCCATCCCCTACGAGAACTTGCTCTTGCATTATTCACAACACAAGACCGTCGATCTGAACCCTCAAACACTCTTCACAAAGTTCATTGAAAATGGGCGCAACCGTGGCGGGTATTGCATGGAGGGATCGCTCTTCTTCATGCACATCCTGCGCAGCCTGGGCTTCGAGGTATACCCTACTGGGGTAAGGATCCGGCTCCGGGAGGACGGGATACCGAAAGGCGACTTTGTGGGCATGACGCATATGGTCCTTGTCATCGAGTTTCCGGGCGGTGAGGAGTGCGAAAAGTATATCTGTGACGTCGCATTCGGCGGTGATGGCCCGACTGCGCCGATGCCGTTGAAGGCCGGGCCAATTACCAAGAACCTCGGGTCACAAGAGGTCCGCTTCGTGCGCGAGCGCGTCCAGGGATCAGTCAGGCACGAGTTCTGGGTTTATCAGTACCGGAACTCAGCCACCAAGCCGTGGAACTCGTTCTATGCGTTCAACGACACGGAGTTCCTTGAGGTTGATTTCAACGTGATCAACTTTTTTACTAGCAAGTCAGGGAGCTTCCAAAACTTCACCATCATGCTCGTAAAGTTCTTACTAGGCCAAGACGAGCAGACGGGAGAGGGCAAGATCGCTGGCAAGGTAATGCTGGTCAACGGGACTGTCAAGCGGAACATGGGCGGGAAGACGGAGATCGTTCAGGCATGCACTACTGAGGCTGAGCGGGTGAGAGCACTCAAAACCTGGTTTGGGATCACCTTGACGGATGAAGAAGTTGCCGGAATTCAGGGATCTGCGACTGAGCTGAAAGAGGTTGAAGTCATAGCTGCATGAAGTCAACCCTAATGCAAGGGGACGAACGCCGGCATTTACTACTAGTAGTAGAAGACAGATGCTCGACCACATTGTATACATAGACTTTATTGTTATACTATGGTGCGATATATTGAGTCTGACCACCCAAAAAGCCTTGCAGTGTGCCTGATGTACCCCGTAGTACACGTGGACAGGCACCGCCCAGGTGCCGCGCCACACATGCACACGACCCGGGCGTGGTGAAACACCAAGAGCAAACGCATGCAGGACCAAGATGTAGCTCCACCAATCCGAGCTCATCAGACAGCAAACTACCGAAACCCTCGAAAGGGACCCCCGACTGCTTTCCCGCTGCCGTCAAACATGATGCCTTCTTCTTTCAGTAACCTCCGCTTCGCGGAAGCGTGCTGTCCACCCTCACCCCACTGGCCGCCAAACCCCCCTATCGTCCCGTCGCTCGCCAGGACTCGGTGGCATGGCACCACGGGCGCGAACGTGTTGTTTCGCATGGCGTTTCCCACTGCCCTGGCGGACGACTTGTGCGATGTCCTGCAGATGTGATCTGCCAGTGCCTGGTAGGTTGTGTAGCGACCGCGGGGGACCTGAGTGAGAAGTGCCAGAATGCCTTTCCGGAAGGGAGTGAGTTCGGACGACGTGTTGATCTTGTTTATGATCTCGGATGATGTGCGACTTTTCTCTTTGCTGTCACTGATACTGTCTTCCAATTTGTTTGGCTTCACTCCAGTACTTGGCTGGAAATAAGATGAGACTTTGCCGGTAGTTGCCTGTTTCTTGCGCCCCTGCGGATTCTCGTCGTCCAAGTCAGTCTTTTCCCTTTTCGGAGCAGCTGCAGGCTCCGTCTTGGTTTTACTCTTCTTGCACCTCAGTGCGAGGCTCCTCTCATCTAGCGCCACAAGGTCTGCTTCACCAGTTGACAGCTTGTGCCCGAGAGCGATGGCAGATTCCAACTGCTCCCTGCTCATGTGCTTATATGCTGGGCTCTTCAAAACCTGATTCCATGGTCGATCCTTACCGACGGCGTTGTCAAGGATGATGCGCGCGAAACAGTGGTCGAGCTGGACAGGCCATTTCGGCTGTGCGGTATCTCTGGCCTTGGCCAGGCCCGGCAGCCGGGTGCGGTAGAGATGAAGCCATTGCTCACGCAGATCTTCGAGTGATGGCATTGCTCGCCCGCTGAGCCTGAGTCGACTAGAACATGAGGGCATTGATCGTGAGATTTTACCCGCGGCGCAGAGAAGGTTTCCAAATTAAAGGGCGATATTGAAGGTGCATGTAGTGATTGGCGAGCCGAAAATCCAGCCAAGGTTTGTGAGATCGAGGTGAACCAAGATTACGGTTTCAGTGCTGCGTGCTGGTGCCTCGAAATGGAGTGATGCTGTCATCAGGTCTTAGCGGTGGCTTTGACAACCCGGGTTGCCCCTTGCAGAACCTTCGGAGAATTTTGAAGCACAACTACCGTTGCGAACTTGTCCACAATATGGGATGGCCATCTTCGCCATTGTATGCCGAGGTTGGTATTACTTGGTGAGCCATGTCTTTTAGTTGCATCCATTAATCCAATGTGCATTGGACGAGAGGCCCAGGGTCGCTTTGCACGCTTACGAATAGCAGCGCCCTTGCCCAGGAGTTCACAACATTCCCAAGGGTTATTTTGGAGGAAAGCCCCCTCCATAATTCTTTGTAGGTGCTAGCATTCTGGATATCATTTACCTAGGCGCAAATCACCGGAAACTAGATCTGTGATACATGGGTATTGAAGCGGTTGCTTGTGGAGGAACACGGCCAATACAGAAGTACTGGTGGTTCTGGATGTATCAATTCGAGCATCAAATCATGTGACTCACAGTACCCGGCATCCAGGTTGCCGGGAGTTGAGGCCGGGAGTTGAGGCCGGGAGCCGAAGTGTCTCAAAGGGGAGAAATAAATCGCAAAGTGGCGGGCTCTCATGCTTCACTTAGCTGCCACTGGTACTTTGTGCGACGACAAAGACCAGCCGGTTGACCGCGTTGCCATTAACTAGTTCTAAGGCTATCACGTTTCCTACTAAACACAAAAGCCCAAGTAAGGTACCTGGGGATGCAAAAACCACGGACCAAATGCTCCTATCTTTCTCTCAAGTAGACTCGTTAATTATAAGCCAAGGCTTCGAGCTATAACTATGGCACATAACGACAATGACATACAATTGGCTCCACGGCTCCGAGCACGATATAGCCACGCATACCATAGGACAATGGCAAACAGGTCAACATCTTCTTGCCTATCAAGACCGATTGCAGGCAGCACGATGCACAATCAGATCTGTGTCTCTGTATCCATTGGAATCCAAGATGGTCAGCCCATTTGGATGCACGAATTCCGAGCCGACGAACTTTACAATCTGCTTACCAATACCCGTGATACTGGATGAAAAGCCTACCCTGGGGTACCAGCAAGTAACCTTTGAAGGTGACGATCCCCGGCGAGTGCCGTGTAGATCAGGCTTCGGGCCAAGTAAAATGTGGCTACGAGTTCGGTGCGACTCAACCGTAGTATGGCGCCGTTTGTTAGGCATGTGATGGATGCAACATAGGTGCAGCTCCTTCACGCTACCCAAGGGGCCGTTGAAGGGCGTTTCCAACAACTCGGGTTACAGAGGCTGCAGACTGCGGTGCTAGTCATCCCCGCTGCCGGCAGTAGAGGGCACCGGGAGGAGTCTCAGGGCGCAGTCTCTTCTTTTGGACGATATTGAAGCTGTTCTAGGCAACATAGTATGCCCTCAAGTACTGCTAGGCGTACCAGGCGAGATCAATAGGAAGCATGACAAGCAGGTTGTGAGCTAGGCTGATATGCACGAGTCGCAGATGATGGTTATAGGTCACCTTACGACCATATTGCCCAAACCAGCAATTCCGCTAACATGGCCGGCGTCTTGGGCATTCATTGTTATTGACATCTAGCTAGGATCGAGATCTCTAGCAGCTGACCGGTGGCGCGGATGTCAGGCAAAGCCTGGATCGTCGGACTCTCCCGTTGCGTTTATAAAGCGGTTTGCGCACTGGCAGGTGTCGTCTGATCTCCGCGCCGTCCCCAAACCGTCCCGATAGCGACGCCGAACCATACTTGAGGACACAGCCGAGTGCGCGCGCTTTGACAGGCCACCATCCGCTTATTATTAGTGCTGCACGAACTGGGTGTGGCAGCAAGCGATGGCGTCGCCACCTGGTGCAGACGGGAGGAGGAGTTCCCTCGACTGAGTGAACCATGACGACTAGTCGTCGTGTTGTCTGTGGCATCAATCCTGCCGTGTGCCTGGGCCCCCCGCTCTATCGCTGAGCTTGAACTGCGTTAGTGTCCTCGCTTGGGTAGGACTGGGGATGGAAACGAGACCCCAGGAATCACCTGGCCCGCCATCAGGACGCGGGAATGGCTCTAGAAGAGTCGGGCGATGCAACGTTGGCACAGTTACAACTGCATAGGGCCCCCCTAGTCCTGGAGCTTCGCGAACCCGGGTAAAAAGGAAGAACCCCAAGGAAGATTCGATATCAGAAGCACATATGCTTCCGCTGTCAGAGGGGCCTGTAACGTCCAGACGTGCAGAGTCGCAGCTGGAGTATAAGGCAGACTGCCAGAGGAGGGGTGCAGGCCGGGCCGGACGTCGTCGCCTTTAGGTTTGTTCAGTGTTAAAGCCCAGGCTCAAGTGCTCCGGGTCTCCGACGATCCTTCTGCTGGGGCGACCCACGCCCCCCGCGCTACTCCGTGCTGACAAAAGCCCAGACTGCTGGTCCGCCGCCCCAACAAAGTGCCTGTCCTGTTTCAGTCCGGGCCCCACTGCTACCCTGCTGCCGCTTGTCAACTGGGGGTGGTGATTGACATGCACAAGCGAAACGGCTAAGGCAGAGGAGGGTGTAGGGAGAGGGCGAAAGGAACCCTTGCCCCGAGCGGCAGCTGAGCGAGCACTCTCACTGCTGGCTGGCACTTGCTGGGCCCTCACGAGCGGGCGAGGGATGTGCTGGGTTGGCTGGCTGGTTTGAGGAACGGCTGCTTAGTATCCCATCCCAGACCGGGAGTTTCGTTGCGCGAGTGCCGGCTAAACCGTTTCCCTTGTTTAGGCCGGTCTGTAGTTGAGTGGTATGTGCTCCTGATGGCGTCCGGCCCTGCGAAACTATTAGTACCAGCGAGATGTGACCGGCACACGGTTGGACAGTGCATGAGGAGCAGTGTGGCTTTCCGGTTCTGACGGAGGCTCGCAGTGGCAGCTCTTAAAACCTGCAGATCTCTCCTCTCCAACCACTCCTCATGCACGTCCTCCTTGCTTTTAAATCTCCGGCTCTCGACGTCCTTTCCTATTCCCGTCCCCCGGTCCCAAGGATTGATTGTTAAATTAATCTCCCCCCAGTCGCCCAGGCCGTCTTGCAGGGGCACCAATCCTCCTGCCACATTTGGCCCGTCCTTGGTTTTTCTGCGGAGAATTTCCTCTCATAATTACCAGAGACCTCCTCGGCTACACCCGACGAGCAGGCCCAGTCTCTGATATTCCCGTCTCCATGGTGTGTCCACACCACCACAGTGATGTCGTCCTCGTCGTCGGTATTCGATCTTCTCGGCGAGGCCGATAACCTGAACGACCCGGAGCCGATCCTGAATCGCCAGCCCGCCGTCTATGGCGTGATCTTTTCGTTTTTGATCCTCTCGACGCTCTGTGCCATCTGGCGGCTGTGGATCCGGTTGTTCGTCACCCGCATACCTGGTTGGGACGATGTCTTCGTTGTGCTCGCCGTGTTGAGCAATATTGGCCAGGCCGTGGGTCTATATCTAGCTTGCGAGCGTGGCCTGGGCCAGCATTTTCTCTTGCTCGGACTCGACGGCATGCGGGAGTTTATCCACACCTTCTACATTGCAAATGGCACATATCCCATGTGCAGCACATTCATCAAGCTCGCCCTTTTGTTTCAGTACCTTCGGCTCTTTGACAAGGGGACAAGATTGCAAATCCTCACGGTCATTACCATCATCGTGGTTTGTGCGTGGGGCTTCGCCTTTTCATTCCTGTCCTGGATTCCATGTATACCCATCAAGGCATATTGGGACTGGACTATTCCCGACTCCCAGGTCACACGATACGGGTTTGGTTCACATGACGCCGACACGTTTGTGGCGACATACCTCACCCACGCCGCAACCAACGTCGCCCTCGATCTGATTATATTTGCCATTCCTATCCCGTTGTACTTGGAGAAGGGGATCCAAACACGAACACGATGGGCGCTGTGCGGCCTGTTCATCCTCGGCGCGGTGTGAGTAATGCGCTGACGTGGCAGATGTGCCTCACCCTGACCAAGCACTTCTAACATCAAAGGCAGTGTCAACGTGTGCTCCATCTGCAGGCTGGTGGCCATGGTAAATAACCGTGCAGCGACGTATCCCACCTTGGACCCGAGCTGGTATGGGTGCGTACCAGCCGTCTTGTCAGCACTCGAGGTGAATCTGGCGACGATCTGTGCATCAACGCCGGTATTCTGGCCCGTCATACAGCAGAACCTAGGCAGGATCCTAGTCACCCGAGAGGTCGACATCACGCGTGAGACGCGCGATTTCAGCACCATCAACAACCACTGGGACGACAGCGACATGTACGCGCTGGAGGCTGTTCCCTCGGCCCAGAAGTTCCAATATGACCAGAGGTATATGTTGTCCCATATCGACCCGCTCCAGGAGGAGAAACCGACAACTACAACTGTCAAAGCCACAAGCCCGCAAACCAACGGGACTACTGGGATGAAAAGATCACTTGACCTGGGCATGAATTTTACCTCGAGTCTGTCAGGAATCGGGTTGCACCGGCCGGTTTTGGAAAAGAGGGAAAGCAAAGAAATTCTGCTAGATTCATAAATCTCGACGGGGGAAAAAAACCGAAACATACGAGTCATTCAGTAAACAAATATATAACATTTAATGCATATCAAAACATAGTCCGTCACGCTGGGCGAGTGGTACATATATACGTGTATGGTGGTGATACTTGCTAAGATGCAGTTTTAGATGAATTTCGGTCAAGCGCCGCAAAAGGTACCGACATAGTCATCCCGGCTTACCATAAGACCGGCTCAGCTTTAGCGAGTGAGCTAAAGGAACCCGCGCCGGTCAGAGATGCACAAACCGTATGCCTAGATATTTATGAATTGCCTAGCTTTGTCAGACGTGAGATCGGAGATTGACACCTGTCCAGACCTGTCGGCTTGCGGCGCAACTGTTTCCTGAGGATTTCTAGGGTCATGGGGTCCCGAAATTGCACCCCATGGGGCCAGAGACCCAATCAATACCCCTGTACAAGGTTTTGTTCCCGCAGATAAGACATTTGTGTGCCACTGAAGGAACAGGATCAGCATCATTGAGCGGGAGCAGGCTGCAATTTTTTGCATTTCTTACTCCGTGGGATCGCTCAGTGATTATCAACTGTACTCGGCTTGACCCGGTCGTTGTGAAGTATTTAACGTCACAGCTAATTGCCTTCACTTTTGATTCATGGCGCTGGCAGGTACGAGTCTGAGAAACATTTCAAGACCGTAATGAAACCCGACAGTTACAGCTTCCACTCTATTGCACTTTGAGCTGTTCTGGAATCTCTGTCGCAGAATCTCCCTCTGCAACGTCACCATGCCCGACTACGTCATCCAAGGCTGCACGATCCAAGACAGCGCAGATGTAGCCCGCAACAACATGTCGTCGTTCTGGCAAGACCCTAACTGGCGCATCGTCTGGAAGCATTCGACCCTACCACGAGTCATTGAGGCGTGCACCGCCCGCTCCCCACGGTAAGCAATTTCTGTACGAAGAGGTCATGAGCACCACAAGAATCAAAGAAGTTGTCATGTCTCAGGCTTGTACAGGTGACGAGGGGCCCTGGCTGGCTGCAGGGCCGTCTCCAACCCGCACGCAACCCCCCACATCTGCATGGATGGCACGGAACTATTCGTTCGTTTGTTCTTTTCTTAGCTAACCTCAAATACCACAGCAACCTCCTCAAGGACCGGGCGCTCCTCCGCCATTTCAAGGCCGTTGATCCGGAAACTGGAGAGTTTCTGGGGTACGCCCGCTGGAAGCTCCCTCCTGGGTATCACAGCAAAGAGGATGGCAGCCCCGTGTGGCCCGAGGGCAAGGTCCCGGACGTCACCACGGAGGAGAGGGCAAAGATCGAGGAGGTGGCAGATGCCGCGGACTGGAACCCGGATGACGAGTCGGATGAGCTGGATGCGCCTATCACGAGGAGGAAGATTGAGTACTTGGCGAGGAAGGAGTATCTTCGTAAGTATATCGAGCTCCACTCTGCTATTGATGTCTGTCGTCCAAGCTTGAATAACTGGGATGACTGCTAATCCAAGTGTGCTCTACAGTGCTGGACTTTTTTGCAGTGCACCCGGAGAACCAGGGAAAGGGCGTGGGGACGGCCCTTCTCAGGCATGGTATTGAGAAGGCACGAGAGATGAACATGGACATCTTTGTCCTCGGGATGGCAGGGGGTTTCCGAATCTACAAGCGCATGGGATTCAAGTTGATGGAGGCTGTGGTCCAGGATGCCACGCGTTACGGGGGGAACGATAACTATGCTTTTCAGTTCTTGGAGTATGATATCAAGAAGGCGGATTAGAGTTGCATCTTCATGGCCTTCGAGTTTTCTCACTTTACTTTTGCAGAGCCCTTCATTATGGCTTCTGACAACTTAATGGCAGGGGGGCTAGACGGTAGGGCACAAAAGCCTGGCCGTGTGGGTCAACGGGTAGAGACGCACATCATAATAAATACTCGCATTGAATAATCGAAATATTTATGAGAGCTGAGGTATTATTGTACCAGTCAACGTGCTCATTGTCTGTCCTCTTCGTCCTCTTCCCCCTCCAGGGCTCGTCTCTATCCGAGAATATCTCTCCGCAGGCTCAAATGCTTCTTCAACGCAGTCTACGACATCCGGTTTCTGCTGAATTGGGGAAACTCTGTTACTGATGATGGGATCTCGCTGATCTCTTCTCGTCTTTCTCTCAAAAAGCGTGGTATCGTTTCTTACCCAGCCACCACCATGTCAATGTCCATGCTGATCGGTTCAGCCCTAAAACTGCCTACTTCTTTCTGAATCTGAGCTAAGTGGCTACCAATGACCTCACACGGCTACTTTCTCCCGCCATCGTTCCCTTCAAGCTGACTGGCCGACTTGGGAAAGACGCCCGTGGCTGACGAGGGCGCTTCTCGGCCTCGCGGTTTTCTGTGGCTCAAGTGAGCCACAAAAAACAACCAGTCAGCTCTCACACATAATATATTGGACAAGTTTCACCACTTACGTGCCGGACACCTGTCTCCAGTTGAACGGCCTTGATTGCTCAAGTGTGGCAATGGCAGAGCCTCAAGATCGACCACCGCTTAAGATCAACATTGACTGCTCTACTATAGGTGGGAACAAATACAACAAGAGCACCGGCAAAGGATCACCCGCTGGAATTTTTGGGAGCATTGGTGAGCTTCTGCCTAGGAGCCCTTTTCAAAAACTGCTTTCATTCCTTCCCTCACTAATTACATGCCTGTAGACCGACGCTGCAGCTTTGACGCTGGTGCAAACCAACCAGACGAGAATATGGGTACGGCAGAACAGGAACGAGATCAAATACTGGCAGAGTTTCCTATCAACGAACCCTATCGAGATGCGGGAACGAAGAGGAGTTCGGCAACCCATCTGACGCCGGAACATGCCAACAGCACCTCAATGAACCGCCGAAATTCCTCTAGCCCATCCTTCACGTCATCAGGATTCTCCCAAAAGTGTGTGGGCTGGGAAGACAGTCCTCTGGATGAGGATTTCATCCGTAGAAATACGGCCTCGTGGTTCGAGCGTGGCAAAACGTTCCAGATATCGAGGACCCACGAGAACAAGACCATCGCAGGAACCTTGATGATTGTTATCGGCAAGAAAAGCTCCTCAATTGTCTGCTTGCCGTTGGTCAGACACCCGGGTATCTCAGGTCGGGAGAAGAGCTTCTTCAAAAGACGGGTCTCGGTTTACGCCGAGGGTAGTCAGGCACCGGCACCGTCACGTCCTACTTCCCGTGTGAGTCCCTGCGAGCCCCTACCGGTTGCGGTAGAGAACGGGCGTGAACTCGATGACGACACGTGGATCAACGTCGGAGAGCCACACACGATACGATTCCAGGATGTGGAGGTCGCCCTGCATGGCAACATGGGCGAGGATGACTTCAAGAAACTGAGGGAGGCATATCTGATTGCTCAGAACAGCATCACAGATAGCGACGAGAAGAAACGGCCGAATGCATTGGTGTTACATGTAGAGCTGCTATGGGGGCTTATTAACCGAGGTGGCCTATGGATGGGAAGAAAGATTGGCTTGCGAACCGGATGATGATCTATTTCTGCGGTGGTGTACTTCCTTTTGTACGGCGCATGACGTGGGTCATGAGCTTGTGGGTCTTGCACATTTGTGGCTTGTGTACTAACTTTTAGACTCCTTGATCTTATTTGTGCAGTAAAAGCCATCGTGTAGTCTCCTCTCACAGTACTTGCCTTTAGATCGAATTCATTCTAATCGCAATTTAATCATTATGGAACCTAGGTCAGAAATAAAATTCTTTTGCGTTGTACTCATTGTACGGGGACCAACGTGATGTCGCCGTCGAGCGAAATTTCATGGGCAGCGGAGGCCAGACTCATTTCAGGTCAAGTCCATTCATGGGAATTCTGAGATTCAATTCTCGTCATCCAAGGCAATTATGGCCCCATGAACTGAAACGACTCGCCTGCTTGCCATGTTGGAGTGTTCTTACTTTCCGTGTGCCGAAATGGTACATCACATCTCACAATGTCATTGCAAGGAGGCTAATTTCAATATGCATTATGCAAGGGTGACGGGCCAAAGGTTATTTTACCCACCTGGGCAAGAACGACGGACGAAGCCAAAGTTACGAACCATGGGCATTCACACGAAGACACAAAGGCACAAAGCATAGGAGTAACCTTGGAAGGAGAACTTGGCTTTTGTTGACTGGTGCCCCAGCAGTGAAAGATGGGACAAGAACTGCCGATGTCGAAGCATCAGGCCAAGTGTCGCTTTACCTTGGCGACCAACCCCCCATTCAGAGTGGTTTCGTTATAGATGAGAACCAGGAACCCAACCAGGGTCTTCACCCACCAAGCCATCAGGGCTTATTACTCTCCCCGTTGGAAGACAACCAGATATCCTCCAATCTGCCCTGGAATGTTCTTCCCCCAGCATGACCACCAGATCAGAGACATGTAAAAGCGCCCGACGCTCCGCCGGGATGGACTCAACGACTCAAGTGCTCCATCCAGGGATAATGGGTCCGCAACCATTGCAATACGACTGGCCATGGCAGCCGGCAGCGCAGCTGCGAACAGATAAAACAGTTAGCCAGTTAAAAGACATACAAAACCATGGGATGAGTCAAGGTGTGCAATCCGCAAAGGCGGCCGAGGGACCAAAGAGTGGAGGGGTTGGGATGGCGGGGCAGCGACAAACGGGACGGGGAACTTACAACGGCCACAGCAGAAGCATGGGGATGCACGCCTTCATGCAAAGCGAGCAGTGGGAGCAGTCGGCCCTGGCCGAGACGGCGCGGGTGTCGGGCTGGGACTCGTGAGAGCTGGCGACGGCGGCCGTGTCGATGGTGTAGTAGACGAGGTCCTTGATCTCGATGCCAGACTGGGCGAGGCGCTCGCTCTGGACGGCAAAGTCGACGCCGGCGGTGTTGGGAGTGCCACGAGCGAAGGCAGCGGGGTCGGGAGCCCAGATGCCGTGAGACTTCAGGACGTCGGTTGCGTTGGGGCTCATTGTGAGGGTGAGGCCAGGGGCGTTTGGCGGCGGCATCGCGACGGCGAGGATTGCTGCCATGACGGCAGAGATGGTGAGCATGAACTGCATGGTTGGTTTGGGTGGGTTGATGGCGAGAAGGGTGTTGTGATGGATTGCAAGTCTTCTCTCTAATGTCCACGGGTGGTGTGTGGGAAGGGTTGCTGTGTTTTGTGGATGGGAGGTTGGTGTGTTCTGGAGATGGTTGTTGATCTTTTCAAGTTTTGAGAGCAGCAGTCTTTGGATTAAATTTTGGAAAGCGCGACCGAAGGAATATTCACTTTTGGAGTGCCCACTCACGCTGCCGGGGTACCTCTAGTTGAGGTGATTCATCCGGCTGCGATCGTTCATTACAACGCTTCAACACAACACAAACGCTCGCGGAGCTTTTGTATTCCATGCCTGTACTGTGGGCAAAACACTACACATCAACAAGCACCTTTTCATTCTTTTTATTCTGCATGACGTCCATACGAGTAGCTGACGCTATACCACTTCGTTTAAGCTCCAGCTGCTCCAGAGAATTCACAACATTTCCCTACCCACACTGATCACCACTCGCAGAATCTCATGTACATCGCCATTGCTCTCATTTGGAACGGCAGCCAAACACCAAACATATAATCCAATCGAGTACGGTGGTCTGTAGATCGTCCCGCAGATCCAAGGAGCCTCACACCACCTCACTCAGCCGCCGAACCAGCACTGGCAGGGCCTGCTCGAAGATCATCGGGGATCAACAGGTGGTTGGATGATGCCGTCTACGAGGTCGGTGATCTCGACAGACGGCTCATCCGAAACATTGCTGTATGTACTCTCGGCATTTTCGGACCTCGAAGTGGCGCCAGGTCACGGCAAGGTCATCACTTGGCGATCCTGAAGCACACATTCTCCTTCGAGAGGGCCAATGACCGACAACAAGACGATTGCATAAGAGTCAGAACGAATTTGTCGTCCACTTCGGGGCCTCATGTCGGGTGCTGCAGTGGGCGGCCTATCAGAAAGAGTCCAGGTGTCATCTATTTCCTATGCTCACTTCTATTGCAAACGACACCAAGTCCCCTGCAAACACTTCCACATGCGGCGTGAGCTTACGTGCGCGACCCACAGTTCTGGAGACTTCGGCGTGAGATGCCAAGCACGTACAGCAGTAAGATGGCCGGCCGACAAATGAGCTTCCCAGATTTACCGGGTCGGTACGCCGTGGATGATCACTCTATGCGGCTCCGATGTGGGCCAGACTTCGAGGCCCGGTGAATCAGGCCGTCGGCCAGCTGTAACAGGAAAGACTGTAAGCCCCATTGCTGTCTACAGATCCGCTCTTTCACCAAAGGGACCTCGGGACCCTCATTTCAAGCCATACTCCAGGTTGCAATCGCCGAACATGCGCAAAGTACCTAGGCAACCTTGCTCAGCCTGCAGAAGCACATTCAGCTTGTGTACCACTCGTCACCTGCGTAGGCGGTTGCCTGTTGGAGCTGGCCGACCCCTCGGATGGCGCCCGAAACCTCGCGTGGCGGACGTGATCAGGTGAGCCTGTCGTTCAAGCTGTCTACATAAGTTGAGGGCAACTCGACATGTTTGAGGAGGCCGCAACAGCAAACCATTCTCATCAAGCCCTCCTTTGGACCTTCTTTGACACTCGATAGAACACACCGGGCTCTCGCAAGATGACAGCCACTGGAGCTTCCAACGACAAAATGCCCGCAGCAGCGGCCAGGGACGCCACGATTAGGGACGTGAAAGACGGCATGGACCAGCTCAACGCAGCTGTACAGGGCTTTTGCAGCAGCGACGTGGATGATGCGGCAGACAAGGCACAACGCCAGAAGATCATCGAAGCCGCGCAGAACGTCCTGAACTCGGTCAAGAGGCCTGATGATATCTGGGTGGACAGTAAGCAAGATCGAAACCATACCGAGTCTCACCAAAGACTGTTGCGGACATGCAAAAGCTAACTATCCCGCAGTGAACATGGACATCGCCCGCATGGCTGCTTGCCAACTCCTCTACAAGTGGGGAGCCTTCGAGGCCATCCCGGTCGACGGCAGCATTTCGTATCAGGACTTGGCCGTAGCCACCGATGCAGAGGAGGCCCTTCTGAGTTAGTTCAATCCACAATGCAATCGCTCGCACTATGGGGTACAGTTGACTGAATGCCTGCTGCAGGACGCGTCGGCGGAGTGCTCGTGTCCCAGGGCTACCTAAAGCAGACTGGGGCCGACCACATCCATCATACCCCCAAGTCAGTCGGGTACAGGAGCGAAAACGCAAGCAGCCACGTCCTCAACATGAGGTGAGACCATTCAAATGTTTCCCGCCGCGACAAGGGGCCCGTATGCCGTACCACCACCAAGGCCATCAGCTAACCAGGGTGTCGGTGGTGTCACAGCTGGACCAACGCCTTCGTCCCCTACGCCAAGCTGCCCGAGTACTTTGAGCAGTACGGGCGCAAGGAGCCCCAGGAGACCAGCCACGTGCCGATGAGCTTCGCGTACGGGAGGCCAGAGCTGCCCTTCTACGGGCTGCTGGGGACGGACGAGGCGTGGGTGGGCAGCTTCCTCAAGGGGATGGCGCACGTCGAGTCGCGGATGCCCGTGACTGCGGGAATTTACGACTTCTCGTGGCTGGTGTCGGCAGTGAGGGCTGAGGATGAGGAGCCCGCACGCGCCACGCCCGACTCAGAGCACGAGGCCAGGGCTGTGCTGGTCGACGTCGGCGGGGGCAAGGGCGGGGCCGTCAGGGCTATCCACAGGGAATTTCCGGGCCTGCCCATCCGCCGGTTCGTCCTCGAGGACACGCCCGAGATGCTCGAGGCTGGCAGGCTGCTGGACGAGCCCGAGCTGGCTGGTGTGCGGCGGGTGGCGCTTGACTTCCACAGGGATCAGCCCGTCAAAGGTGCGTTGTTTTTCCTTGGTGGGGAACCACCTACTATGTGGTACCTGGCTTACGCACGCCGCCCTTTGTCTTGTGAGATTCGACTAATTTGGTTTTTTTGGTGAATCTGGCGTATAGGGGCTTACACGTACTGGATGCGCCGGTGCTTCCACAACTACTCGGACGACGTGTCCCGGAATATGCTGCGGATCATTGTGGATGCCATGGCTGAGGATAGCAGGCTGCTTATCCAGGAGGATGTCCTGGACAACCCGCCCAACCAGTGGGCAGCCTACCTTGACTTCATGATGCTGGGCCTTGGCGGGAAGCAGCGTACCCTGCAGAACTGGGAGCAGCTTCTCGGGTCTGTCGGGCTGCGGATCGCAAGTGTGACGAGGGGTGAAGGGCCGTGGAAGTCGTTGTCGGTCATTGAAGCTGTCAAGCAGTAAGAACTAGTGTACTACCCGGGCTGCCAGGGGTGTCGAACCACTCCTTTTTCCTATCTCGGGATAGCTCGTGTTGCCCTGGCTGTCCTGGCTGTTCTTCTTGTGAGGTCATGGCATCGAATAGCCGGTTTCAACAACATGCAGAGTCGCCTAGTTGCAGGCTGCCACCGCATTTCAAGGCATCAAAGTTTCACAAATCATTCTTGAGAGTGCCGTGCCCAATCTCGACCCAGAAAATCCTCACACTCACTCAGTCACTTCTGAGCTGTTGGTCCAGACTGCCAGGTGATCGCAGCTGGGTTGGCTTTCCTTGGGGGCGGCCGGTGCGTTTGAGAGTTCGTGCGGCCAATTTCCTGGGCCAGCAAATGTCCGCCCCTGGGCGAATCAAGCTGCCAAGCAGGGCCCCTGACTCGGCGGCTTGATGTTCGCCAAGACCCGCGGGAGGCACCCATGCAGTCAGGGGTGGGCCTCTGCCGGTGCTACCGTGATGGCTTCTGATCTGCTTGCCTGCAGCTCACTGACAGATCTTTTACTCCACCTAGATTAGGCTGTGCCTTGGGAGGATCCGCGCGGCGTGGAAAAGGATGCAGCGAGCCTAAAAACATCCCCTGCCGGTGCTACCCCCTGAACATCAAAACAAGAATATGCCCGAGCTTGGTCCCTTCTAAATCCCAAATGTACGTTCTAAAGTACGTATCTTCTTGGCGTCCTCCTAGCCAAGGTCCGCCTAATTAAATTAAGGTAAACAACCTTAGCTTAACGAATAGAGATAGTTCCTTATCTCCTTTCTATCTAATAAAAGGATTTTACTTAATTAGAGGTTTTATATAAGTATAATTTACACTATAATAAAGTAATTATATAATAGTTATATATTTATATATTTATTTACCTATTAAGTATACTAAATATTAGATTATATATAGTTCTAATAGTCTAAAATATTACCTTAGCTTAAAAATTAATTTTAATCTCTTTAACTTTTTTCTCTTATTAGTTATACCTACTTACTTAATATTTACTCTTATTAGAATATTATTCCTATTAAAGAATATATATATTATATATATTACTTTATTAAAATAAGCCCTTAAAGCTATTTAATATCCTTATAATTTTAAATATTAGCTTCCCTTATATAAATTAGTACCTATAAAAGAGCTTATAAAAGAATTTATAGTTAATTATATTATTACCTTAACTAATAAAGAATAGAAGCTTTTTAAGCTCTTTATATTAAATATCTAAATATATAATTTAATATAAATATAACTAATAGTAAAGAGTTTTTTATAATTAATTAATTTAAATATAAGTATACCTACTAATAGGTCCTTTTAAAGGGGTATAATAAATATATTAAACTAGCCTATTTAATAGGTAAATATTTAGTTTAAAGGAAAGTTAAATAGAGGTTTTATATAATTAATAATATTATTTCTAATAAATTAAATAAAATTAATCTTTATAATAATAAACTTTTAAATTAAATATTTATTATAATAGTCTTATAGGTTATACTTTTTTAAAGTAGTAAATATATTTATACTATTTAGAAATATAATATTATTAAATACTCTTTTAACCTTAAGTTTATAATAAAAAGTATCTTAATAAAGACTAAAATCTAAATAAAAGGGTTATTAGAAGTATTAATAAGGTAATTATTAATCTTTAAAGCTTATAATTACTTATAAAATATATAAAAATAAAGAAATTAATATATAAATATAGGTAAATTAAATAAAGGAGATTACTAAGTTTTATACTAATATAATTATTATAAAGTAATAAATAGTTAAGAGGATTACTATATAAAGTATTAAATAAAAGATTAGATTATTAATATAAAGGTGTTTTTATAAAATAAAGAGATTAACTTATATATTATATACTTATAGAAAGGAAAGAGGTACTTTCTTATATATTAATCTTTCTTTTAAAAAATAAAGGGTTATAAATAAAGCTATATATTAATAAGCTATAAAATAATATTCCTTTTAATACTATATATTATATTAACTAAAAGGATAGCTTCTCTTTATATTACTTTATTATAATAGCTATAAGTAATAATATTTTAATATATACTTTCTTTTAAATAATTAAAAGGTATATATTATTATAGTTTATTTAAAGTAGTTAAGTAAATATATATTATTATAAGTACTAAAATATATTATTATAAATAATTTAATAGCTAAATAAAAGCTTTTAAACTTTAAATAAAGTTTTAATATAAAAGTAAAGCTATAGTTTTACTAAAAGTATTAAAAGTTATTAATTTATTATATTTTTAAAGAGAAAGAGTATAGGAAGGTATAAAGTTTAATTAATTTTATTTTATTCTTTATAAAGTTAAAAATAAAATTATTAAGTTATATTATAAAGCTATAATAATAATCCTTTAAGACCTTTAATTCTATTATATTTAAAAGTAAATTAAAAAAGCTACTTAATAATAATAATATCTATTAAATAAAATAAATATAACTAAATATTCTAATATTTATTTAAATAATAATAATTTCTTTTTTAAAAACTTTTATAATAATCTTAAAGTTAATAAAGTTAAAAATAATATATAATTATTTTTATTTTATAAGACTTATAAGTATATATTAATTATAAACTCTTTATAATATAAAAATATTAATAGATTTATAATAAAGTTAAATATTTTACTTTATTTATAATAGTAAAACTTTAACTTTTAACTACTCTTAAAGTTCTATAATTATTAACTATAGGGTAATTATATTAAGTATATAAAAATAAGAATTTTATTATAAAATAAAGTTTTTTATATTTAAAGTTATTAAGGGATTATATATTTATCTATTCTTTTATAAGTATTAACTTTTTATATATACTTATAAAAGTATATCTTTTAATAATAAAAGTTTTTTTAAAAATAATTAAATAGTTAGTTAGAAAATTATTAGTTATAAAGAATAGTTTAAATATATAAATAAATAGTTAAACTTATTAAAAGTATATTATAAAAGAAAAATAATATATAAAATTTATATTAATAAGTTTATTTTATTACCTTTTACTCTATAAAATAATTTATTAATTACTTATTTTATTAAAGTATATAATATTAACTTATATATTTTTATAAAGTTTATTATAGTATAAAAGACTTTTTAAGTTTATTAAGTAGTTATAAAAGTATTTTATTATATTATTAATTATTTTAATTAACTCTTTAATAAATAAAAATAAATCCTTATATTAATAAATATATTAAGTAATATAATAGTTTATAAAATAAATATATTTAGCTTAATATAATTATTATTTTAAAATTATATATATAATTTTTAAGGGTAGAAATATTAGGTATAATATTAATAACCTTATTTAATAGGTTAGAAGAATTACTTAATATATTAATCCTTTTATTATTAATAGAATTTATAGGTTAATAAGTTTTTTATAAAAATAGTTATTTAGTAAGTTATTTATAGCTAATAAAGTTAGTAATAAAGTTAATAATAAATACTCTTTTATATATCTTACTTATTTAATACTTAATAATTTAATAAAATTTTATAGCTTATCTTTTTTATTAGGCTATAATAATTCTATAAAAAGACTTTTAATAACCTTTATAAGGACTTCTATTAGAATAATTAACTAATTATATTAAAGGATTATTTATACTTAGTGGGATTTTATTAGGGATAAGGAATTTAAGCCTAATAAAACTATATTAGAAGTATTAGTTAGTTTAATATAAATTATTATATTATAAATAGTAAAAATCCTTATAGGAAGTAATAGGTAGGTATATTAGGGACCCTTAATTTAAGTATATTATTTATAAATTCTTTATATAGGTAGTTTATAGGGGTTGCCTTATATCTAGATATAACTAATCTGTTTAAGGAGTAGGCTGACGAAAAGGGGCAGAAGGGGGGACCTATTGGGGATATAGAAGGGACCCCCGAGCTTACTCTATATGTTGTGTAACGGGGGCGCTGAAAAAGCACAAGGGGGGCAAGATCCGCGGTAAACGAAACATTGCTTGGCTTTGCGAGACCCCGCCGGGATGCAGGAGCACGCGAGGGCGTCAACAAGGGCGCCAGCCAGGGCACAGCGACTGAGTGATCGCAGCAGGGTGGGCGGCACTTCAGCTGGTGTTTTTTAAGGTTGCAATCAAGCTTGCCACCACTAATCTCCTTTCTCGGGCCCATGTCGTGGCCCTTGTGGGCCCCGGATGGGGTCAGAATCGTCCAACGCTACGTAAACAAGGGCGGCAAACGCCTGGACTGTCAGACTGTGGGACCTCCCGAGGTCTCGACGGCTTGTTCCATCCGTGGACACGGTCTGGCGGTACCTGCATGCCTAGTCTGCCGTATAAAAGAAATCCTCCGCCCGCGCCTCAGCCCGCCAGGGTGGGAGAGAAAGGTCACGGCAAAGTCCTCATTCATTCCTTTTACCTTCTTTTGAAAGAAACGCTTGCGTTCGGCCTGTGGCCTGGTTCTTCACGCGGTACATACAGTCAGTCAGTCACTCACTCATTCATTCAGCAGAAGACAGAACAAGACAAGACAACACAAGAAACAAAAATCATACCACCAATTTCACACCACCAGATCACTCAAGCAAAGATGGTCTCACGTTCACTCATCACGGCGCTTGCCCTCCTGGGCGGTGTCGAGGCACACACTCGCATGGTCGAGATTTTCCGCAACGGAGTGGGACAGGGCGAGGCAGCTGGCATCCGCATGGACCTGAACGGCGACACCACGACCGGCCCCGTCACAGACCTCTCTTCCATCGACATGGCCTGCGGCAGGAACGGAGAGACACCCGTTGGCCGGACAGTCAAGCTCAACGCCGGCGACGGCATCGTCATGAACCACCGCTCGTGGGCCGACGGCGCCCAGCCCGGCGTCATCGACAGCAACCACAAGGGCTCCACCGCCGTCTACCTCAAGAAGATCGCCCCCGCCGGTGCCACGGACCCCTGGGCCCAGACCTCTGCCTCTGGCGAGGGCTGGTTCAAGATCTCGTGGAACGGCCTCAACACCGCCACCCGCCAGTGGGGCGTCGACGTGATGATCAACAACGGCGGCTACACCGGCGCCATGCTGCCCAAGGACCTGGACGAGGGCTACTACCTGGTCCGCGACGAGGTCCTCGGCCTGCAGAACCGCGACGGCGGCCACATCGTGCCCCAGTTCTTTGTCGGCTGCGCCCAGGTCTACATCGCCGGCGGCACCGGCGGCCAGAAGCCCCAGACCGTGTCCATCCCGGGCCACGTCTCGGCGTCGAGCCCCTCGCTCACCTACGACATCTACAAGGAGCCCTGGGGCGAGTTCCCCGAGTTCGGCCCGGCCGTCTACGCGCCCATCGTCCCGCTCTCGGCCCTCAAGCTGAACCAGCTGGCCACCGCCAAGGTCGCCGGCACCTGCCCCGCCGGCACCGTCCTCACCGTCGGCAACAAGTGCTTCACCGAGCTGGCCACGTGGTCCGACGACACCCCCGGCGCCCTGCCCAAGTGCTGGGCCGCCAGCGCCGCCTGCTGGGACAAGAACACCGACTGCTGGGACAACGTCGAGCCCGTCATCAACGGCAACGACAAGGCCAAGGGCTGCAGCCTGTGGGAGGCCAAGTGCAACAACCTCGACGCCTGGTGCGAGGCTGGCAACACCCACGGCCCCCCTGATGCCGGCAAGATCATCACCGAGCCTGTGGACCTCAGCGGTCTGTAAGCCTGCATGTGGGCGGACTCTTCTTCTTCCTCGCTGGTCTCACACGCCAAAAAAAGCATTTACACTTCTTTACTCCTCTTGACAGAGGAGGACCTCTTCATAACGCCGTATGACTTAGCCTTGACAGCTTAGCTGGAAATCATGCTTCTATTGGACATCATTAACACTCGGGTCCTCGGTTGATGACCCTTTCATTTCGTACCGCACCTCGTGATGCGGCATCTGTAACACCATGGCTTTTTGATTTGCACATAGGCGCTAGGACTGTAGATCTTTCATGTCATTGGGAATAGCCATAGCGTTGGGGGATGACCCACAAGGGGATATAGATGAAATGAAATTCGTGCACGTTCAGTGCTTCATCCAACAGCATCGCCGCATGCGTTCTTTAAGCGTAAATTACGGAGCCTCCCGGTGCAGACACTCACCCGCACAGTCCTTGATATCATGATTCACTCTTCAACACGAAATCGACCACGGCACGATTGGGTCCATCCCACCCCCGCTGGGCCCTGACGAACCAAAGCGTGACGGCCGCAACGAGAACCACCCCAAACACAGGCCCACAATAATTCATGTTGGACGCCGTCGCAGGAAGATCAGTAGGGAAAGGCAGCCAGATCATCGCATACAGGGTATAGACGAGCCCAAAGACGTTTACCGGCGTGCCGGCCCTGCCCAGATTCCACTGCCCCAGCTCAAGCCCATTCGTGAGGCGCGCGTAGAGAACGCAGGCCAGCACGATGGCGTAGCTCATGTAGATCGCCAGCGAGGAGAGCGACACGATGGCGTTGAGCGCGATGTACGAGCTGCTGCCGATGTTGAGCAGCGCCAGCAGGAGCACGATGATCGAGGTCATGATGATGGCCCGGGCTGGGACCCGGCTCTTGCTGTCGACGATGCCGAAGTACTGCGGTAGCCCTAGGGATCATGTGAGTCAGGGGCAGCAGGGTTCTGTGATGGGTGACCGGCTTACCGCCGTCTCGGGCCCAAGCCCACGTGAGTCTCGAAACGGACGAGACCACGCCCATGTTGCCCGATATTCCCAGCACGACAAGACCTGATACCATGGCGGTCGTCGCCTTGGCGGACCCTGTGGTGTTGAGGATGATGGTGACCAGGGGGCTGGATGAGTTGATGAGGATGTCGACAGAGGGCATGCAAATCTGTTGTTCTACTTGTCAGCGCATATCCTCGAGCAGATAAGTCAGCGCAATAGGAAAGGGTATGAGCCGTACCGCAAATGTGATGATCATGATCAGGCCCAAAAGACCATTTGTGAAGATAGCCCAGAACATAGCGGTCGGCACCGCACGTTTGGCATTCCGCGTCTCTTCACCCATATGGATGACACTCTCAAAGGCTAGAAACGTCAAGACTATCAGCTTCTACCACCCATTCCGGTGAGCAAGGGGGGCTAACTTACAGCAGAAGAGGAAGATGTTGGAAAGCGCGCCAAGGTTCGCAGCCACGAAATAATTATCCCAGCCAGACGAGACGTTGGTCTCAAAGAAGATGTCCGTGCTGTTGCGGGGCGACAACAACCAGACGACAACGAGGAATATCAACAGCATGCAGACATTTAGGATCCCGGATAGCAGCTCGAACCACGGCACGAGCCGAAAGGCGAAGAGGTTGATCCCGGAGCAGAATGCCATGGTGGCGAAGATGATGAGTGTCGTGTGCCACCCTCCCGGCTCGTAGTCGGGGTGTGTAAGCTGGATCATGCCCTCCAGGACGAGCGTGTTGCCGTTGAGGCAGCTCGCAAGCAGCGCGACATAGCCTGAGGCGAGTATAAATCAGCGTGTTCGAGATGGAGTGCAGAGACAACCTTGGAATGGGAGTGTGACCGACCTGTCCAAGTCATCCACCCTTGCATCCAAGTAAGGAACCGCCTGCAGCTGGGCGGGGAAAAGTTCCACGTCCAGTAGTACTGCGCGCCCGCGATGGGCTGGATGGACGCCATCTCGCCGAAAGTCGCGGCTTGGCAGAGCACGCCGGCCAGGACGATGATGTAGCTCCAGAACCATGCGGCCGGCCCGCCGTTGTTCAGGGCAAAGTACATGTTCCTGGCGGAGCACGTCAGGTGAAGTCCTCTGCACACAAGAGAATGTGGGACCCAAATTCACTTACGTAGCGATGGAATACCATGTCCCTAGATATACCAGAGAGAACGCGAAGAGTTGTGGTGTGCTGAACAGCCTCCTTGTCCGGGTCTGCTTCTCCAGCATGCCTGATCCCCCCTCCGCACTATCCCGAGCACCGCCATCGTTCTTCTCCGACACGTTGATTGATGCAGCGTCTCGCTTGCCTTTCTCTTCCATACTGACCATTGTTCCAAAGATTGTAATCGAAGTTATGGACGCTGCGAGGAGAAAGGCACGTGGCTTGAGGGGGCTGCCAACTTCAGAGCGAGATTTAAGAGGAAGCCAGAGAGAGATTTTTTTTGGCCCGCTTCTAGTACAAGACGTATCACATCTATGCAGCGATTTCCGAATTCTTGCATGACCGGCGATACAGGCTGATAGGCCCGCCCCAATGGCGAATGCCCCGGCGGGTTTGGGTGGCATGTCTCGGGTGTGGCTCCCGAGTTCGCCTGATCTGCAGTGCCATCGAAGGATTGATTGGTCTCCGCATTGGAAGCTCCATCTTGTCTGCGGGCAGGTCCATGAGGTGGCATCCAAAGTGGTAACTCATGTGCTATCGAACCTGACTATCTCTACTGACACCTTACGGCCTTCCTCTTGCCCGCTGCCACTGACATAAGTCCTAAGCCATGCACGCTGTGAGAGTTGAGAAGATTGTCCAAATGGTATAAGATAGGCTATATAAACATGGTCTGCTACCGTTGTTGACCGGTCTCTCAACGTAAGGGTAGTATTCCAAAAAGTGGATCCTGACCTTGACACCCATCCGCATTGGATCGTGATCGTCTCCTCATGCACCGTCAAACCAACAGGTTGCTTGACAGCCCTATCAGGACACAAGCCCTGACCTCGGAGACTGCAACCGATTAGGGACGTGACATCATTTATGGGCCTTAACTCGACCCCTTTACTTTCGTATTACGTTTATGATTTGTTGAGCTTCGTGTTCCTAGATCGCAACTATATTACCTGCACCGTACTTCCGGGCCAACAGAGTGAGGCTCGCCACTGGGCTCAAGTCTGGAGTGGGTTGCCAGCAATATTACAATGACGCCGTGGGATTTCAGAACTCTCGAGAGCTGTGATATTCGACCTGTCAGGTGGAGCGGCGCCTTGCTCGGTCAATTGAGCTTGAGAGATCCCTCTCTCTGCGTGTCCCCACTCCTGGGCAACTCAACTCCGTGTATCAGTCACCGCAGGGGCTCTTCGAGTCGCGATCTCGGTCAATGCTCTTATTGGTGAAGCGAAATAAAACATTGACATGGATTCGCCAACACTCGAGAGTCTGTTGGCTTGTTACCTAGGTGTGTAGTTGCTAGTCTGTCCGGGCTATAGCGACGTCAGTGCCCAGGTGGCCCGAGAAAAAAACCCGGAAAAGAACTTGAAGACAAGCGGGGCGACACGGAAAGTAATGCATCATATTGTCGAATTTTGCACCGAGAGGGCCTATTCAGAGGCTAATTTGGCCTGGAAGATATACGGGCGAGCTGGAATCCAACATTTAATGGCTGACTGGTTGACCTGGCTGTAGCATAAGACCAGCAACATCTTCACATGTGCAGTGTCATGTGCCATGAAGAGTTACGTGGAAGTGCCAATGTATTTCGTAGAAGAGTCGGGGGTCAATGATGTTGTCAACGTTACCTAGGTACACATGTACACCTGGGCATGCAAATCAATGCCGAGATGTAACAAGTCGCCCGCGATCCTTGCATCCAGGCATCCTGCTCGAGTTGAGCACATCCATCCAACTGCTCGACCAACAACACACGCTTTTTAAAGACCCATGATGTACTTACATCTCATCTCTCGTGGTGCTCCACCCTAAATTCTGGCATATTTGAATAAGACACACATACCAGAGCTCTGCAACACATGATTCAATGTTTGGCATCTTGTGCCGTTGGACTATCAGCATGCGCCGTCCACACTGTCTCTATTCCCACCTCAATGATCAACCGGCCGAAAGTCACCTACGCAATGCTCTCTTTTCTGGAAGCCAGCCCAACCTTTGAACTTCTTGGACGGGTTTTAGATATGACTACTCTATGATAAAATCTCTCCCCTTCCACGGCTCCATTGATCTCGACATCGGCTAAGCAGCCCGACGTGGCCATGGATATGATGCCATCAGCACCGCTGCTTCCACCTAGTGAAAACGACCGCAGACCACTGGTAATGGTGACCACAGTGGTGCTCTGTCTGCTGATGCTCTTAGCTGTGTTCACAAAACACATCGTCCGCCTAAGAAAAGGGAGCGCGCTTCATCATTTCGACTACATTTTATTATGTGGCGCTCTGTTAATGGTCCTCCAGACAGCCTGCATCATCCTCGCTGTAGCTCGAGGGCTCGGCAAGCACGTCGCTCAGGTTGAAGACAGAGATGCCATCGTAAAGGTACGTGGTAGCGGCCCGAGACCTGCAGGTGCTCAGATCATTGACTCCAATCTCGCAGCTCCTATACACTGCATCGCTTCTTGCAGTGGCATCCTTAGCATGTACTAAAGCATCAACATGCCTGCTCATCAGGCAGATCAACGATTACGGAAGAATCCACACGGCTTCGCGGCTCGTTCTTGCCATCATCCTGGGCTCATTGTTCTCCAGTGCCTTGGCCACTGCGTTTCGATGTAGCCTCCCCGCGCCATGGAAAGCTGCGAGCCCTTCAGCATGTCCGTGGGCGACGCCTGTCTACTTGTACAACGGCATAGTCAGCATCATCACTGATGCACAGTTGTGCGGTCTGGCGGTTGCGATGGTCTGGCACATCAAGTCGCATGTAAAAAAGAAAGCAACTGTCATGTGCTTGTTCAATTCTCGGATTCTGTAAGCAATCTAGTGTACCCGCGATTGGCGCATTCACCATGAGCTGATACAAACCGTGCCTCGCTTCTCAGGTGTCCTGTCACCATCATCCCAAGCCTCATGCACACCGGCTTTCTTTACGAAAGCAGCGACTTCACTTGGCTGGCTGTTCACCCGACCGTGTGGCTACAGATATCATACAACCTAGCCGTCATCACAGCTTGTATTCCGTCCATGAAGAACGTGTTCGACAGCATGTCCGGCAACTTCTCGGCGGAGATCAACGCGCCGTACATGTTAACTTTAGTCGAGGGGGCCAGAAGCATGAGGCTTGAGCCATCGGTTCGGGATCAAGAGCCAAGCCAGACACACTTTGGCAGCGGCTCGGCGTGCTGTCCGGGTGCCAGAATCCGTCGATGTTGAACCGGTCTTCAGGCACCTTGTTGTCAACATTACGATTTTCTACAAGCATTTCCCAGAATTCTTCGCTCGTCTCTGCGCCCCCAGGGAACTTGAAAGACATCCCGATTATGGCAATAGGCTCGATTTTAGCCATGTTGAATTGTGTTCTGAAGGAGGCAGTAAATGGGGGGAATATATCACAGACAGAGCAGTCTGTTGGTTATGATAAGCCCGTTGCGGGTCCTCAAACAAGTCTTGAAAGCCCGATGGTTGACGATGGAGAACACAAGAGGCGAATTCGAGCACTCAAACTATCCATCAGACTTCAGGATGTCTGGTAGAGCTACTCGACGCGCCGACTCCTAAATAGGTATTTCGTATCTCTTCAGCCGCATTCTATCCACAGGGTGAATCAGTCAGGCCCGAGCCCGGTAGCCGATGGACAGATTGCTGGTGCTACAGTGCCCAATCAACTCGGGCGATTCCTTGGACTGCGTTTTCTCCCTATCGAGCCGGCCTTCGCGTAGCACGCTTGCCACTCCCCGAGGTCAGGAGAGCTCGAGCCAACCGACCCACCGGTACTAAGGAGTACCTCCTTCCATGTCAATTCATCAAAATGTGACGACATCAAATCCAAGTATTGACATTGTGGAGCCTGCAAGACGAGACTGCTTGCATGCGACTGTAGCACTCATGCATGCAACCTAAGGTGGTTGGTTATGAGTGCCCAGCCTCGCAAATAGACACACGCCCAGCGTGCGACTAGTTGCATCTATCCACTTGACAATCGCAGGGTGGGGGCTAAATTGCTCAGGGTCAACAACCGTCCCACGAGAAGATGGGAATGCATGACCCGTACCGTATCAAATGACCTCTATGAATGTACAGAGCGAAAGCCCCCCTTCAGGTTGCGTGAGTGTTAGTGCGTGTTGGCTGACATTCACATGTGTTCCATGCATCCGGACCCTGTTGAACCATCCAACTCCAACCGCTATTCATCCTGCCGAGGGACTTTTGTCGCTCATCTCTGGCCCAAGTGGTGGGATTTAAACGACGTTGCCTCACCTCAACAAAGAGCTGCGGTTTCCCACGTTCCTGTATGGTTTGGCCACCTTACATTTAATTTAACTTATCCGAGTTTCTATTATCCCACAATCCTCCACTGTCTGGTCTCTTGAGTAGTCTTTATACTGCCTTCTATCATGCTTAGCCTATCCTTCCAAGTTGGTCAGTTCGGGAAGCTTCTATTCTGGCTCCCTATTCTCGCCATTTTGCTGGTTCGTAATACCGCCCAACCCTAATACCTGCAGCGATCAGATCAGCCCTGAATCCTGGCTAATCGCAAAACATGGACTAGTTCTTTGCGAAGGCTGTCTACAATGTGCTTTTCCATCCGCTAAGGGATATCCCGGGGCCATTTTGGGCACGAGCCAGTGGAGTCCCGTCATGGTATCATGCAACTACAGGCAAAAGGCACATCTGGCTTTCGAAGCAGTTCGAGATTTATGGTGACAGAATCCGTCCAGAGCCAAACACGGTATTGTTCCGAAACCCGGAAGCCTACGGCGATATTTACAGTCTGAAAGCCAATGTGAGGCGGAGTTCGTTTTACACGGCCCTGCGACGAAAATTTCATGAGGGCAACACGCTCACCACCATTGATGTGGCGGAACATGCTGCAAAGCGCAAGCTTCTCAGCTCTGCATTTACGGAAAAGTCTCTGCGCTCAGCCACAAGTTTCATTATTGAGCATGTTGACCGTTGGAATCAAGTCATGCTGGATGAGAATGACAATGCAACGGAGTGGTCAGCTGCTACGGACTTCAGTAGACGACTTGATGCATTGACTTTCGATATTATGGGTGACCTCGCATTCGGCCGGTCTTTTGGCATCAAAGAGCCCGGAAACAACCCCTTGAAAGCTGTCCCGGAAAACATTGCGGGGTATATGAAGTTCTACTATCCAGTAAGTTGTAACAAAAACTGCGCAAGTAGTGAGACATACTGCTAAGTCCCATCAAAGTTTTGCAGGTCTCCTTTCCTGGATTTCCTGATTTGGATCAAACCGCGTGGACTTGACAGGCTCTTCGGAATCATCGCCCCGCAAGCAGTGCGTGACATGAACAGGTTTACCGAAGAGACTCTCGCTGAACGCAAAGCCCTGCATGCGGAACAAGCGGGAAAGCCCGAAGGTGAGCGACGCCAGGATATTTTTTATTTCATTCGCGAGGCGCGAGACCCGAATACCGGCCTCCCTGCGTACAACGACATGGACTTGAAGTCCGAATCTGGCCTCATGATTGTTGCGGGATCGGATACCACATCTATCAGCTTGTCAGGGGTGTTCTTCTGCCTGACCGGGGATCCTTCTCGTTACCAAAAGCTGGTGGACGAGATTCGTACCACCTTCGACACACCTGAGGACATCGTATACGGGCCGAAGCTTCTGGGTTGTAAATACCTTAGGGCTTGTATTGATGAGGGCATGCGGTTTGCTCCGTCTGGACCCTGCGACCTCCCGCGCGAAGTGCTCAAAGGTGGCATCCGAATTGACGGGAACTACTATCCAGAGGGAACAATCGTCGCTACAGTGCCTTGGGTAATGACTCGCAGCGAGTCGATCTACGAAGATCCCGAGATCTTCCGGCCTGAGCGATGGATTGAGGATCCATCCACTGGTGTCAGCAAAGAATCCGTTGCACGCCTGAAGCAGAACTTCCACCCATTTTCAGCCGGGCCGGGCAGCTGCCTGGGGCGACATGTGGCCATGGCGGAGATGTTGCTCACGGTAGCTCGTACGCTCCATCGCTTGGGTATTCGAAGGGTTCCAGGATCTACCTTCGGTGGTGGCCAGCCGAGCCTTGGTTGGGGGGAAAGTGACCCTCGCCACATCAGGCTTTATGATGCTTTTATTTCGCTTCGGGAAGGTCCGCAAGTACAATTCAGAAAGAGAACTTAGATGCTACATGAAACCAATCCTTCATTATGTTGCAGCACTTTCTTGGTATTTGTTGTGCAAGGGGCGGGGGATTGCTACGGAATGAGGCCGTCGTCCACTAAATAACATTGAATGGTCGCTTCTAGCGTTGGAGGAGATTCAAAGGAGCTTTGGAGCTTCGGAGACGCTAAAATATTCCAACGCTCAATTTTAACATGTCTTATAAATATACTGCTCTCACTCAGTTTCTACGCTGGTCAGCCTGTGCGCATACACATGCACTCACTGATTTTGTTCTGATTCCGTTTACGCCCGAAGCCATATACGGCGCCTTCATACGGCGGCACTATCAATCCACCCTGCTTGTATCTACACCATTGCTCGGCTATAAAGCTGATAAACGCTCCGGAACATCTAGGAAAGAACAGATGCATTGCTTCTAAGCAAAGGTCTCAAGGTCAGCTCTAATGACCGCCCTACGAGCCATCTTGACTGCTTCATGAAGACCATTCTTAGCCCCAAAGCCGGGAACTTCATGGCCCCCTTCATGTATATGGACTGACAGAAGATCTGGGTTGCAAAGAGCCGCAAAGTTTGAGCTTCCATCCCCCATCTTGTCTTCCTTGCCGTAGATAATCACAATAGGAATTCATAGAGTCGACCTGCCTGCCGGAACGCGGTCCAACACCTTTACCTCTCTGGTTTCCAGATACGTGAATGGGTCGTAGACGTTGCCGGGCGAGAACAATATTGCACACCGGAAGAGGGATGGTCTATCTGGAAAGACATTGTCGTCTCACAAACAGCATGGCAACGAGACCTGCACCTTGCGAGTAGGCCAAAGCACCGTCAAAGGGGCCTTCAGCTTCGATATAGGCCTCGAGACTGTCCAGAGCGGCAATGAAGCTTTCAGTGTATTTATACTAATAAATATTATTTTATTAAATTAAAATAAAGAAATATAACAATAATTTCTAATGACTTTATTCTTAATATAGAATATTTATTAAATAGTAATAAATAGTAAAAGAGTTTTTAAAAACGATATTTGTAACTATTATTTATAAAAATTAAAGAAAATTAAAAAGTTGCCCTATACCACCCGTTTTTTACCCTACAAATATCCGTTCTCATAAATATTTGTTCTCTTTTAAATATAGGATCTTGCAACTCTTGGGGTTCTTCCAACCGATGCATCATGGGGACTCAATGAAAGCAATTTTATGTCGGACAGAATGTAGTTAATGCACCTGGGCATACCGGTGACATTATATCCTGGGCATGTGCGCACCAAGGTTCGTGCTCATCCCTCTGGCAGGACAACCTTGGAAGCTTCTCTAAGTAGCCCCCTTATATGAAGAGATTGGATATTCGCACCCGCAAAAACGGAGGGTACACCCAAGGACAACCTCTAGGAGAACCTCCTATAGGACAACCTCTTACAGGATAACCTACTAGGATAACCTCCTATAGAATAACCTCCTATAGAATAACCTCCTCTAGGATAACCTTATTTAGGATAATATACTATAGGATAAGACTATAAGATAACTGGTTTAGAACTAACCTGAGTACTTTAATCTCTAAGTTGCCTGGTGTGGGTGTACCCTCCGTTTTTGCGGGTGCGAATATCTGGTCTCTATATGAAAGCCTCCCGTATCATCGCTCCCGGTTTCATGGACTCTGATAGGGCAGGTCAGTAGGAGAGCCCCATGCAAATTGACCGCCTACAAGCTCGTATCTGACAGGATCATCTCCTTCCTCTCATATGGCAGTCTCACAATGGTGTCAGGACAGTAGGTGACCCACGCCAGTGATGGGATCAGTGTCTGGCTGATCTGTTTGAAGTTCCATTTTCAGTTCGCCTTCAGCCTAACTACCACATGGACCGCTTCAAGAACTTCTTTCCCATCATGCTCATTCTCAAAGGCCATTTTGGCCCCTCAGTCGCCCAGTCCATCGCATGGTCCGTTCAGACATAGGTGGCCTCAACACTGCCCATCTCCCTGCCCTGGAACTCGAGAGAGAACTTGAGATTAGCATCAGCAGTGCACAACACGAGTTTGTAGTTGACATCAAAGTAGATCTTGCCATCAGCACCGTGGCGCCTGACCAAATCCTTCCTCCTCAGGCCCCTGAGATCGGCTAGCAAGGTGCAGCAAGTCTTCACATCCAGGCCCGGGTACACGGGAGCCGCAGTCTCTTCGGAGAAGAACAGAGTTTCGACGAAGATGAGATCACTCGAGTTGAAGTTCTTGGGAAGGCTCCGCAGGAATTGGAGCTTTATGGGCTCCTCACGGCTCAGATCTTTGCCAATGTTGATGAACCAAGAGAGCTAGAGTTGGTAGCTCGGTTAGCGATTGTTACGGCCATGCGTCAATTGTGACCCAGGATAGACTCTTTACCTTCTCAATTTTGTGATGTCCGTCGGCAGGGAAGAACTTAGTCACTCTGTCCTCATCTACCCCGTGGTAGTAACGCTCCCACGCAGTCACTCCATAGTGACGCACCGCCTGAGTAGAAACGACAGTGGCCTGATGTGACAGGCGACTGAGCACGGCGCCACTATGAAAGAGTAAGCCATGGGCGGGAGACACTTTGAGTCGTTACGTATCAGCAGATGGTACTTACTTGACAATGGCTCCCCAAGCGTCATGAGGCTGAACGATTTGAACTGCCTGGGCCCGGTAGACTCGCTCCAGCCGCTGTTTGAGGTAGCGACTTGAACCAAAACCGCCCACCAAAAAGATCGCCTATACCTGAGGTGTCAGCTGGCTGTCAGTGAAGGGCAATGGGGTGGGGCAAATACCTTGACACCCCGACCTCTCTTGACAAAGGCTCCCTGTACCTGCTCTTCCACTAGGCGCAAAACGTCCTTGACGATGGGCTCAAAGATACGCTGAAGAATCTCACTGGTTGTGGGTCAGTCAATGTAGCGCCAAATCGGACGGAGCTGGATCAGCACGTACCCAGTCATCTCCCAACAGTTGCCAGTCAGGCCCTCCGTGAAGTTGTCCTGAAGTTCAGCTTTGGGGAAGGTGACGTATTGAATGTCGCGGGCGTTGCCATTGAAAGCCGTCTTGATGTTCTTGTCGAAGTCATTGAGAGCCTTGGACCAGCCGACAGTCTTCTTGAGGTAGAAGAACTGGTCCTCACCGACGACCTCTCGCACGGCCTCCTCGAACCGCTTGTTCAATCCAAGAGAGCCTGCCATTCCACCCTTTCCAGGAACTAGCTCCGACAGTTGAAGGCAAGGCTCGGTCTTCTTGACCTCGTAAGTGATGAGATCAACGGTGCCGCCACCAGCGTCACAGACCACAAAAGCGTCACCCGCCTAGCCAGAATTGTTAGCACATGTTATGCTGTCCTGGGCGCACTTCAGATCGCTCTGGGCCTCACCTTGATGGCATGGTCGTGAGTGGTCAGCGTGTACAACGCAGCTGCCTCTGGCTCCTTGATCAACGTGACAGGATGAATTCCGGCCGTCTTGGCAGCCTTTACCTCCAAAAAATGGTCAGCCTCCTGGTAGAATATGACTCCTCTAAGGAAAATTGCACTTGCCTTCAAAGTCAGATCTTTGGCCTTGTCAGACCAAACAGCAGGCACGCTCAGGACGAAGTCTTTCTCGCAGAAGTCGAAGTAGTCCTGCAGAACCGCAGATTGGATGACAGTGAGTGCGTGTTTGTAGATGGCGCCAATGAAGTCGGCGGCAACATCAACGGGGGTCTTCGAAATAGCTTGGAGGTCGTTCCTGAAACTGGACATGGGGAGATAAACAGGCCTGTCTTGGTCGGGGTCAAGTAGCAACTTGACACCACGAACGGCAGGGTCGCGCCAGTCGACCTCGCCACCCCACTTGAACTTGGAGGGATCCTGCTGGTCGTACATAATCAAGGTCGGCACCTTGGGCTGGCGATAGCCCTCAAGGCCTGTCGGGTAAGTGTGAGTAGACATTCTCAAACGGCCTCGCAAAAGGCTGCTCTCCACGAGGATATCCTCAAAGGCGAACAAATCCCGCGAGAGAAATGCACATAGAACAAGTGAGTGGGGGCTTCAAGTGCCATAGAGACTTTGGGGAAGCATCTTGCAGAAAACGACGTCTCACAGACAACGCAATTGCGAGAAGGATGGCTGGGGCAATGGTGAACAGAGGCATGGGTAGAGAGGAGCAGCCCAACTTACCAGGCCAGTCTTGGATGGACTTGACATCTGCCTTCTTGCCAGGCACATTGAAGGAGTACGCCACTCCAGAAAAGGTGGTACCAAAGTCGAGAGCGATGACCAGGCGGTCATCAGGCAACTTGATCGCGGGGTCCGACATGGTGGGCGCGATCGGTCTTCGCAGGCGGAGACTCCTTGCTCGTGATGCAATACTGGGTAAATTTTGAAGGAATCTGTGTGCAAGGTGTGTAGTGGTTGCGGTTGAAAATGGGAGTTGGGCGGAAAAACAATCAAAGCACCTGTGGGGAACAACACACTGAAGGTGGGAGCTTTGAAGTATCGCGTTGAGCTGTCTTGGAATCAGACTTAAAAGTGGGGTCCAGGGACCGTTTGCTGTGGAAAAAGCCAAAGTGATGCCTGAAGCTTATGTTTCTTAATCGGAGCTTTGGTTTATCTCTCTTCTATCTCTGCAGACAGCGGCTCTGAGGCCTAACCTTCCAGAGCAAGCTGCTTTGACCGTTCCTGCACTTGACCTTGCCTACTTGACACAACACCCTGACAGTAAGTAATTTTCAGGAGAAAGTTCGGACTCCTGACGCACATTTTCCCTCCACATGACCAGATACCAGACTAACCTTGGAGTTTAAGCAGTCTTGATCTTCCCCTCGACGCCACCATGGCAGATCGAATGGACGTCAATCGCCGCGTCGCCGCGGACGACGCCCTCCTGAAGCACAGTGGCCATCGCATGAAGCGAGCCGTCAGCGCTGATGCAATCATCCCAGAGGACGATCTGGTCGACTTTCGGGATCGCAGGGAAGAAGGTTCCCTACCCGTCACGCCCGAGGGGCAGAGTGGCTGGTCTAACAAAGAGCCTACAGTGAGCAAGCACAAGAAATTCCTTGTGAGTACATTGTTTCAATTCCACAGCGTCTGCGTTTTCAAGCTCATGCTGGAGAAGCCGCGTGTCATGGAAATCTTCACTGGCCCATCCAGCCCAGCAGGAAGCCAGCAGCAACCTCACGACACGAACATTGAAGACCTCCGATCTTGTCTCGACGCAGAGCAAAAGATTAATTCAGACCTCAACACGCAGGTGAAAAAGGCTCAAAGCAGGATTCATCGACTGGAGAAAAAGTACAATCGGCTTGTTGAGGAAAGGAATGATGCCCAGGAGGAATATCAGGCCCTGTCAGCGCACGCAGCGGCCTTGCACAAAGACCTGGAATCCGAGAAGCAGGATCATCGCAAGGACGTATCGCGACTCGAGGACCAGATCAGGACTCTTACTCGCACCAGCGACCAACTCCGTCAGATGCTCGTTCCGGTCTCCGAGAAGCAGACTCACGACATGGATGTGATTGCCAAGTTCAACACCCTGAACAAGAGCATCATAGGCCTTACCAGGCAGACATGGAAGACGGCATTCAAGCCAGGTGTTGACTTCAGACGGATGTCGGGTCCACAGCAACACCTCTTGGGGCCAAGCATTCCCATATCATACGATCGACTTCAGTCTTTGGTTTTCATGGGCATTGACGAATGCATCTTCGGCCCGCAGCAATATTTTCTTGGACGACGTTTCAGGGAGATGGAGGAGCATATCCAAGAGGTGGAGAAAGATTTGAACAGAAACATGACAGGTGGTAAGACCAGAACCCGTCAATGTTTGAATTCCTGCCACGCATCTGCTGAAAAATCGACAGACGATCGTCAACGGATCCTGGAGTGGCGCGATGCTACCTTCAAGGTGACAGAGAGCTTCAGAGACAACGGCTCCCAGCTGGCTTTGGATGCTCAACACGACATCTGGGACTTTTTCAGTGTTATTGATGTGAGGGATGCAGCGGCAGAGAGAGCCGGGCAAAAGAAGCTCAAAGAAATCTGTGAAAATGCTGCTGAGCTCAGCGTCATGATTCGCCAGCTGAAAGACTACTTCAATATCGACAATCTGGCCAGCACTTTGGGCAAGCCTGTCTCCGAGTTTGAAGAGTGGGCTGAGGAGTTCGCCTGCGTCCCAGCTCCTGCGGGCTGTCAGCCCGGCACGATCGCGTATGTGATTCACGGGGCATTGATGAAGAGCCCGAAGGAGAACCTAGAACGAGTCTTGGTGCTCCAGAAAGCGCTGGTTGCCGTCTTCGAGTAAGTGGCAGCTTGTGATGCCTCGAGACAGAATATGTCATGGATGCGCGACCCAAAAAAGATGGAGGACGATGAGAGTGGGCCAACACATTGCACTGGATGTTGGCGAGTATAAGAGTTGCTGGTGCAGATGGGGAAAAAATTAGAGCCGGATGACCGGTCTTGAAAGTTCGGTTGCCAAGTGAGGAGCAGGGATCTCGTCTCAGTCAGTGGAGTGGCACTGATGTCGCCTGCAGAACATTTTGAGAAGACACGATTCCGTTAATTAGGAGAGGAGTTGCCTGTTGGCCAGACTCTCCAGAACTAGTTTCATAGGAATCGATCACATCATGCGCATACATTCAAGGACTGATTTACACACGGGCTGTACAATGACACCGACTGAGAGAGACCTTTCATTGTTGGGCCAGCTTGTGGCTGACCTCCCTATGACCTGCTCAGTCGGATCATACCATGCACCGAAGGCAATCACGTGCATAAGGCCGTTTATGACCGGCGAAGACATGGCCCTTGATGCTGGTCAGAGGTTGTAGCAGAGATGCGTGGTGGACGGATGCCATCACCTGTGGGCAAACTACCTTGTGGGAGCACTGGTAGAGAAGGCATCCATTGATATTACAGAGCACCAAGAAGGGACATGATTGAGCAAAGAGGGCAGTGGAGAGTCTTGGAGTCTGAGGGTGGCCCTGAGGCGTTTGGGTGCAGCCCGCTTGAGCAACAGCAGGGAGTCCAGCCGCGCCCAAGAGACTGGACGTTGACTGATTACATAATCACCGACATCATCACCAAACTCGCCGCCACCGACCCAAACCAACCCTTGATCAGCAACACGAGCATCCAAGCCGTCCCCCCCCCCGCAAAGCATGTTGCCATGACCTAAAGCTACGCAGCTGGATATGACCACCCCCTTCTGCCCACCATGGCATTCTGGTTGAACTATATCATCAGAACAGCCCTCATTCTCGAGGTCAGCAGCGTCCTTGCCACCCCCGCCCAAACCCATTCGTCCACGCCTTGACCTGCCCATGAGGCCTCAGCTAACTTTGCCCATCTGCAGGACTACATCGTCGCGCGGGTACGTGTACTAACACCGAGAACCCCAGACCTCCCGCCCACGGGCTGACTGACCCGCCCACCACAGATCCTCCGAAGCCCGGGCTTCCACAACACCGTCCGCCGCATCCATCGCAGAGTGCAAGATCAGAGGCATGGCCGCGACCCGAACGAGCCCCTTCGCCCGGGCGAGGCCACAGAGCTGCCCGGGCCCAATGACAACAAGTCCTTCCCCAAGTACTTCGTCGAGGAGCTGATGAACCAGTTCCGAGGCTCGCCCACGAACCCGCCGCCCCCGCCTGGCCCTCCGCGAAAACCTAGATGAACACCCGCGGGTATTGGTAGTTTGGCGATGGTGGATAGCACATGGCTAGGCAGCCAAAAGAGTAGGCCTTGTTAATTGGAACGCGTGGGTACAGCATGATGCAAGTCCCTCGACCGATCAGAGCCGCAGGGCTGAGGCCTGGTGGCATGTGGACGCCCCTCCAGCATCTGGGCCATAGTCACGCCTTGGCCCCTCCATGCATGACTGTCACAGGATTCATATGGATAATTGAAACAGACAGGGTGACGCGGCACGCCATCGGCAGTGCTTCACAACTTCGTGGCAAAAGCACAAGTCCGACATCAGGGACACACAGAAGGCCGCGCGACGAGACTATGGCAACCGTCGAAACGGTCAGAGACGACCGATTAGTGATTAGGGCGCTGTGGAAAGCCCAAACAAGAACAGGGCTCGAGCCAGCATGCGTCGCGAGTTTGGTGTCACTCCGACAGCTTCTGTAAACGGCCAGGTTGGACGGCGCAGCAATTGTATAAAGCAACAGATCAATACGAATATCCCCATTCAACATGTATCAGAGTCCTCACGCGGGACCCTCCTCCAGATCTCCCCGACCGGGCAGCCTGGATTGGCAATACACTCCCACTGACCAATTCCGTATTCATCCGGTGCGATCCTGCACCCTCTCCCACCGCCCCCGACGATGAGATTCCCTGGGCGGTAATTCTTGTCTGCCCTCATCCTCCGAATGACGCTCCCATGCACCTTGACATCGTCGGGGATGTCGCGAACCTCTCCCCCGGGCAGGGGCCAGCGAATTGGCTTCCAAGTGCCATCTGGCTGGAGATCCATCCGGCGGAAGGGTACGTACTCCATCATTTTCCAGGCCAACACTGATACGTAGCTCATGCCGCAGTCATGGCTGAGCGAATCGTGGGTACGAGCCACATGGGCCCTCTGCATCAACTCATGGAATGGGTTCTTCCGGGGCTCATGGTCGATAGCGGTGTGGCTGGAGCCGTTGCTCGAAGGTATCTTTGTGGCTTCGACATCTAGAACTGGCGAGGTTGGGGGGCTGGAGGGGTCGACGCGGATATCTGGCACCACGGTGTGCTGGTCGTGAGGCGCAGGCTCGCAGTCCAGGACGTCAGCACACCCCAGAGCAGCAACCTTCTCGGGGTCAAACCGCAGCCCGGCCTTCATGGCTTCACGAACCACCCACACAAGGGGAACATGGCTGGTGCTCTTGGTGCCCGGCTCGACCTGCCAACCCCCGCCGACATCGCCGTGGCCACCAGCAAACCATACCTCGTCAACATCCTGCTCCGTCTCGTCTTCCGATTCCAGATCCTCCCAGTCAGCGCCGGGGCTAATCTGCGACAGCATGGATGCACCGTCACCGACCGCGCTGTGCTTCGATCGAGACTTTGAGCGAGAATGCCCTCGGTACGGCGTCGGCTGTCCCAACTCACCCTGCCCTGGCACTTCGAGCTGGTCAAAGTACGATGGCCGGCGCCCGCGATCTTCTCTTTCGACTGCAATGCCCTCCTTCTCATCCAGGGTCGGCTTGGATCGACGGCGATACTTCTCGATTGTGGTGTGCGCCACCTTGTTCTTCATACTGTGGTGCTTCTTGGTCGTTTGCGTCTGGTACATCAGGTCCTGGCGGAACTTTGCTCTTCGCTCGTCGATACTGACGGCATGGCGGATCACCTTGGCTGAGCTACGCGCCGTGTAGGGGAATTTGCTCCTCTCCATCCACGCCGCCTCGAACCTCGGCACAGAGTTGACCGTGTCAAACAGCCCCAGGAACCGGATCCTCCGCACTGGGCGGCTGAAGGTTTCGCGGAAGCCCTTCATGAACTCGTACATCTCCGCCTTCTTCTTCATACCCTCGGCGTCGCCCTCGCTGGTCGTGCGGCGGCACTGCCACTGCGAGAATGCCTTCCACGCGAACGCCACCATCTCCTCGTTGCCGTGCGACAGCAGGCCGACGTAGTCCAGCATCTCGGCCAGGAACCGCGCGATGTACGCACCGCGGCTGAAGCCGAAGATGTAGATCTCATCTCCCGGCGAGTAGAAGCGCATCAGGAACCGGTACCCGCCGACGACGTGCTGGTCGAACGAGGAACCCACTGCGCTGTCCTTGGCCTTTTTGAACCACGACCCGAGGCGTGACCGTCGTGAGGTGTGCGAAAGGGACTTGGAGACGACATAGGTGCCAATCCCGGCTGGATGAGACACAACAGCTTCAAGTCAGCCTCCATGTTGTTCCGAGTCACATTGGGTCAACCTACGCTGGTAGTAATGATATTGATCATCGGCCTCCCTGTCCAGCATTCTGAATATCTTCAGAATGTTGGAGTCACTGTCGTTCCCATGGAACTTGTTTCCCGTGCCATCAAAACAGAGAACCAGCTTCCTGTGGTTGGGCCGTCGCCCCGGTGCTGCGCTTGCGTTTCTCTGCATCGTTTGTCTTGGGGCGATACTGGTTGCCCTGTTTGGCCCAGGAGTGGAGAGCAGGCGGGCCATGGGGGCTTCATTTGTGCCATGTTTAAGAAACTGGCTGGCGGCCTGACCGCCACGCCCGGCGTGGGCGATATCCGCAACGTGGGTGGTGTCCGATCCGCGACTCAAAGCCTCTTTTGCTGCAGCCATGTTCGGTGCATGCGGTGGGGCTACCTTTTGCCCGACCATACAGGCGGCTTTACTCGATTCTGCCTCGTGCATATATGGCCTGCTCAGCTCAGCCCACACACAAGCCAAGATCAGGAAGGGGAACACTGCATACCAACGAGGCGCACATCGATTTTCAAATACCAACATGTCCTGAGCCAACAGATCACTGCCCCCTCCAGTCTGACCGGCGAGCGCGTAGTCAGACGCCCATCGACTTTGACTGCCACATGTGCAGATCATTGGTCCGCGAACCTCTTTTTGTCGATCCAACAGCAATCGGCGGCGCCTCGAAGCCAACCACTTTGAAGCCAACCACTCTGGAGTTCGCGGCTGAACACCCAACATGGATGTAGTCACATCCTGAACGGGCTCTGCGCAACCGCAATGGACCATCTGCATGTCTCGGCTCAATCTCCAACGTGTGTTACCTGTCTCATCAGCCGGTGCAGGACCCATCCATGCAGCCCATGACCTGCAATGATGACATGATGTACAGGGATGCGGTCATGAAATTTACCTATTGGCTCTTGGTACCGTGTGTTTGCCATCAAGGGCCATTGGCAAATCATCTTATGGCGACTTTGTCGTCGATTGCACGGCTCCTTGCCGAACTAGGGAGTCGGGACGGCCCCGAGGTATTAGTGAAGCTTTCCGTCTCCCAGACAAAGACCCATCCCCCCGCTTTGGACCGACGCCGTCCTACGTTGTACACGCCAGTTCGGTGGGGCATATGCTTCTTTGCTTGTGTGCAGTGCGTACGCTCGAAGCTCATTCCTCGGACGGCTGCAGCCGAGAGATAGCCTCGCGTCGGCAATGCCATTAGCATCGACAATCAATGCTTGGCACACATTCAGCCTTTTATTCTCTCGATCTTGCGAACCCATTCGGTACATCCTGACCGCACATCCCACGCAGGGCCTCCCACACACGTCGAGTGTGGCTGGCTCAATCCCACCTGAGGATGACGATCATGGCTGAGATCATCACGGGGGGCCAGTTGGCTCTTATTAATCCACGTCTGACCTGAGCGCCCAGCGCCACGCCCTTAGGCAGGAAAGTGCACGGCATGTCCGTGTACACCGCCCAAGAGAGCACGAGATAAGACACATAGAAAGGATATCATTAGCTGGGCGTGATTGAGTCACAGATCGGCATGCACAACATTGTGCCTCGCCCACTCAGCTCATGCCAACAACATCTCGACAGGGGGACAAGGGCTTTCCGCAGCCGGTAGATACTTCATATCGTGGCGGACGCGCATTTAAGGTCGCCCTTGCGGCGGAAACTGGCGTTCGTGATTACCGTGCAGCATCCCACGAGCACGCTTCTATCAGGACCAGTGGTGCCAAGCAAAGCCTCTCTCTCAGAGTGACGGGTTGTGTTGCCAAAGAAGCAATTCAAACCAGCTCACTCCACCCTCACGCCTTTTGGGCCGTGCCAGGCTCAGTCATTTGTTTGATATTTTGAGTTTTCTGCATCCTGAGCTCATACTTCACTTCCTCGGCTGACCAAGACTCTTGGGGTGCATGCTATTTCGAGATATCTTACTCTCAAGATGCCATCCAACTCCGAAGCGACAAACGGCTTCAACGGCGTGAACGGCAACCACGCTGGGCCGCACTCAAGTAACAACACAGATGCCGCAAAAGGACTCCAGGCTCCGCCTGGACCCCCAGCGCCGCTGGCCACGGCGGATCATCATGAACCGCTTGGAGCTGACCGCGACGGCATCACAGCCGCCTTCAAGCAGTTTGCTTCATCAATCCATGCGTCTCGACACCCCCTGCCTACTCAGCTCGGGGACGGAACGGTCAGTATCAAGAAGAGGCAGACCGGCCTGACGGTGGATCTGAAGCATCTCGGCAAGAAAGGTATGCGCATCACATGATAGTAACAAGGCTGCGTTGTACGCTTCAACTAACACCAGCAATAGATTTCAAAACATTGCTGGATCTGGTCAAGAGCAAGCTCCACGGGACCGAGCCGCTGGATGACAAGACCATGCTCATGGAACGGATCATCCAGATCGTTGCCGGGCTTCCTACCAGGTCGAGGACCAGAGTGTTGTTGACGAACCAGTTCATCGGCGAGCTATGGGACAGCTTGGAGCACCCCGTGCTGAATTACGTCGGCGAAAAGTCGATGTACCGTTCCGCGGATGGCTCCAACAACAACCCCCTGTGGCCATCAATGGGCGCAGCCGGTACGACATATGCTCGTTCAGTTCGCCCCACAATCATGCCTCCTGGCGCCCTGCCTGACCCGGGGCTCATTTACGACTCTGTGATGAGACGTTCGAGCAAGGGGTATAGGAAGCACCCCAACAACGTGTCGAGCATCCTGTGGTACTGGGCCACCATCATCATCCATGACCTCTTCTGGACCGACCCCCGTGACCCGACCAAGTCCAAGACATCGTCCTACTTGGACTTGTCGCCACTTTATGGAAGCAACCAGGACATGCAGAACACCATTCGCACGTTCCGCGACGGGATGCTCAAGCCCGACGCGTACGCTGATAAGCGGCTCCACGGGATGCCAGCTGGTGTCTCCGTCCTGCTTGTCATGTTCAACCGGTTCCATAACCACGTCGCAAAGCACCTTGCAATTATCAATGAGGGTGGGCGTTTTGCGAAGCCCGAAGGTCCGCGACCTGGTATGTCTGGTCCCGGGCCAGTCAACAGTGACAAAGAGGCAGATGAGGCTGAAAAGAAGAGGGAGGCGGCGTGGAAGAAGTACGACGAAGATCTCTTCCAGACCGCTCGGCTCGTCACCTCGGGTCTGTACATCAACATCATGCTGGTGGATTACGTCAGGAATATCGTCAACCTCAACCGCTGCGACACCACGTGGACGCTGGACCCGCGACAGGAGATGGGCCGTGATGCCGGCACCGCCAAGATCGCCGCGGCCGGCACGGGCAACGTCGTCTCGGCTGAGTTCAACCTGGGCTACAGGTGGCACAGCTGTATCTCAGAGAAGGACGACCGCTGGATCCAGGATTTCTACCAGGAGTTGTTCGGCAAGCCCGCCCACCAGGTTGACATGCGGGACATGGCCACTGGCTTCAGGAAGTTCGATGAGGGCATCCCCAATGACCCTGCAGAGAGGACCTTCGGGCACTTCAAGCGCGACCCCGCAACCGGGAAGTTCAAGGACGACGATCTCGTGGAATGTATCACGTCGGCCATCGAGGATTGTGCGGGGGCGTTTGGGGCGCGCAACGTGCCCATCTCGATGCGGCCGGTGGAGATCCTTGGTATCATGCAGGCGCGGAAGTGGCACGTATCCGGGCTCAACGAGTTCCGGCGCCACTTTGGCCTGAAGCCCTATGAGACCTTTGAGGAGCTCAACTCGGACCCCGAGGTGGCGAGCTGTCTCAGCCACCTGTACGAGCACCCGGACTTTGTGGAGCTGTACCCGGGCCTGGTGGCCGAGGAGGCCAAGGAGCCCATGGTGCCGGGCGTGGGCATCGCCCCGACGTACACCATCTCGCGTGTGATACTGAGCGACGCCGTCTGTCTCGTCCGGGGCGACAGGCACTACACGACCGACTACAGCCCCCGCTCGCTCACGAGCTGGGGCTTCAACGAGGTGCAGTACGACCTCAACCTCAACCACGGCTGTGTCTTCTACAAGCTCTTCCTCCGTGCCTTCCCCGACCACTTCAAGCAGAACTCTGTCTATGCGCATTACCCCATGGTCATCCCGTCTGAGAACCGCCGCATCCTGAAGTCTCTGAAGCGCGATCACCTCTTCACCTGGGACAGGCCGGCGCACGCACCTGCTGACAGCGTCGAGGTTGACTCATCTGATGGTTGCGACGACACAGCCGGGGTCTGGTCCAAGAAGTTGAGTTCGCTCCTGGACAGAGACAGCATCCGTGTCACCACCGAGGAGCAACCATCCGGCGACAAATTGACAGCGGCCGTCAAGGTGTTCTACCAGCAGACGCTGGAGCGACTCTTCAAGGACAAGAGCTACGTGCTGGGCGGGAGCCACATGGTTGATATCGTGCGGGACATAGGCAATGTTGCAAATGTGAGTAGCTCCCACCGACTGACGTTACGGCCAATCCTCCTGCTGACCTTCTCGCCCAGGTGACCTTTGCCTCGTCGCTTCTCAACCTGCCCCTCAAGACGGCCTCGAGCCCAAAGGGCGTCTACACCGAGGAGGAGCTGCACTCGGTCCTGGCACTGATCTACATCACCCTCTTCCTGAACGAAGACCCCGTCAAGGTCTTCCCGCTCAGGCAGGCGGCAAGTGCTATCACTGAGCAGTTCTGCAAGGTCATCGAGAACAGCACCAGCACCGGAGGCCGCGGGTTCAGCTTCTTCGGCTCCACGGCCCGGGCAGACTCGGTGCACGCGCACGGGGCTGAGATGATCAAAGGCTGGGGAAAGGGCGGCATGGGCGCGTCCGACGTTGCCTTGGGTCACATCATCCCCACGGCCTCCCACATCGTAGCCGTCCAGGGCGCGCTGGTAAGTGACTACGAACCCAACCAAGTGCTGTGCCGGTGGTGATGATGATGATGATGATGATGATGAGAGAGCTAACGGCAGCCCGCCAGTTTGCCCAAGCCGTCGACTTCTACCTCTCCCCAGAGGGCAGGGGCAAGGAGCACCTGCCCAAGATCCAGGCCCTCGCCAGGGAGCCGCCCTCGGGCGAGAACGACAGGCTGCTCCTGGGCTACGTCATGGAGGGCGTCCGCCTGTCGCGGCGCCCCCCCTCCTCCTCCTCCTCCTCCTCCTCGTCCACCACCTCATCACCAGGAGGAGAGGACAGCCTCGGGTCGCCGGACGTGACCCCGACCAGGGCCCCAGGGGAGCACGGCGACTACGGGCTGGGCTCGAACCCCCACCTGCCGCGCGGCGTGCACACCGCGGCGCTGACGGAGCTGTTCCGCGCGTTGTTCAGCAGGCGCAACGTCCGGCGCGCGCCGGGCCCGCAGGGCGAGCTGAAAAGGGTCGCGATGGCGGACGGCTCGTGGGCCTACATGACCGAGGACTGGAGCGGCATCACGCCCCTGCCGACGTCGATGCGGGTGTGCTGGGATGAGTAGGCCTCATACCAGTCAGTAATGAGATGGGCAAAGGCCCTTGTTCGTTGCTGTTTGTTTGGTGGCCTGCGCGAATCGAATCCGGGTGCGAGGCGAGGTGGTAACGCAACGGCAGATCCCTCCGGCTTCGGGTAGTTCACGAGGTTGCACTCAATTTCCGGTGGGGGGATGGGAACTATAGCAGCACCGGGGTATTATTACTATAGTTTTATCATACGGAGTATATCCTCTCTTTATTATATAACTCTTATTAGCACCCACGACCGCGCTATACCCGCAGCTGCCGCCCTTGCAGATGAGAGCACGCGGCGGGACTCGCGCACGCTCTCTCTGTCTGCCTCTGCCTTGCTTTTTTGAGTTCCAAGGTTGCTATCGCATCCATGACAAATTCCCCGAGGCGCAAAGCATGCATCCCACCCAAGGTGCATACCGCGCACGCAGGCAAGCAAGTCCTGCTACCGTAGCACCCGCTGGAGCTTCCCTCCCTCCCCCCCAAGCTCTACCGCTACGTTTCCGATTCATGTTTCAGCTTTCAATGTCCCTCGCAGCCTTATAGTGCACATATGTGATCATACTGTTTGTACACGTTGGGTGGGTGGGTGATGCCGCATGCGCCGTCGATCACATTGCATTTTTGACAATGGCATGATGACTCCAAAGTCTCCCCCCTCGAGCCTCGCCGGATCCCGCGTCGCACCCGGTCGGTAGCTGACGGAGTCCTCTCGCTGAGTCCACGGCACGAAGGTTCGGTGCCTTACACGGCACACGGGCGCGTGCGTCCTACGACACGGCGCCCTGTGTTCTCTTGGGCGGCTTCTTCTTTTTTTTTTTGGCCAGATGTCGCCTTCCGTCGGTCGCGTACATGGGAAAGCCTAATAGATGAAATGGATTGGGGGCACACAGAGGAAGAAGCCCGCTGGGACCCGGGCGCGGGTATTAACTCGCAGGCCTTATCACCATTAGGCTATCTGCCTCGACGTGCCGAGCGTTATTGACAAGGATCCGGGTGTGACCCATTCCGGATCTTCACGTGCAGGTTGCTGCTGCTGGGCAAGGGAAACGAATGAATGGGTGCAACCATGCTGTGAACATTCCCTACCCCTGGCCCTGCTCGGTCACCTTGACGAGCACGAGAAAGAGAACCGTGTCCCGGGTTACCCAGCGCCTCCCCCCCCCACTAACCCCCCTCCCTCCCCGGTAGTGTAGGTTTTTAACCATGAGTTATAATGACCATATTCACATCTCGGCCGAGAGCTTGTTTATTATATGGTTGGGCCTGGGCGCTTAGCCCTCCTGCTGCTACGACAACACGAGATGAAGGGACACCACCACCGTCCGCGTTGCAGCCCGCCAAGCGCCTGTGGTCCGCGTCGGTTGTTCCCGCGGTCTTCTGCTGCTGAGAGAGAGAGCACCCTTGAGAGGTGAAAGCGTGAGGACAGCCATGGGCAAGAGCCATGTTTCCTGTTGTTGTTCCATCACCTCCTTTTAATCAACGATCAACCCTGGATTGAGTCGCACACACGTCTCAACTGGCTCCCGTGCCGCGGCTCCTGAAGTCTCGCCACCCCGCCCCGCGCGATGAAGGTCCCGAGGGAGAACATCAAGCCCACCGGGCTCAGCGTGGTCTATGATCCGGAGGGCCGCACCGACGTCAGCCTCGAGTAAGGACATTTCCCCCCCTCGTTCCGTCAGTCTTGTCTTGGTGACTTGAAATGTTATCTGACCACGATCAATCAGCATCATCCTAGTCCACGGCCTGGGAGGCCACCCGGTCAGGACATGGCTCCACACACCAGCCAGCGAGGCCCCGGCCAACAAGGAGGTCGCAGCATCAAACATCACGTCGTCGGCGGGAAACCAAAGCTCGTGGGACAACGAGCCCGTGCGCGCCCTCTCGCTGAAGCACCTGGCCTCCCCGAACCAGAAGAAGGGCAACACGCTCAAGAAACCACCACGAGGCGGGGACGCGGCGTCGCCGCGGTTGCGCGTGTTTGGGTCGCCGCTCCGGCCCCGCTCCGAGGACCTCTCGGATGGCTCGGGAGGGGGCGGCGTGCTGTCGCCCGACAACGTCACGGTCACGACGAGGTCGGGCCGGGCCCCGCGGCGGGGGTCACACCGCCGGCCCCGCGCGCAGGCTCTCAGGCAGCAGAGCCCCTTGAAGCAGTCGGAGCCTGCGCTTGACCGGTGGGGGACGGCGGCGGCGGCGGCGGCGGTGGGTGATGAGAGGGACGCCGATGAGGCCTGTGACCTGGGGACGTTTTGGCCCACTGACCTGCTGCCAGACCTGTGCTGCGACGCCAGGATACTCACCTGGGGGTTCCGGACGCGCATATCCGACGGGCACCTCGTCCCCGGACAGCTCGACGTCTTCAGCCGGGGCCGAGAGCTCCACGACGCCGTGAATGACCTGCTCGCCTCGTGCAGGGAGCACGGCCAGAGCCGGGAGCTGGTGTTTGTGGCCCACAGCACGGGTGGGATCATCATCAAAGAGGTGGGTTGGGGACCCTGGGACCAAAGAGAGGCGGCGAGCTCTGGTCTCGTCACCTTGGCTAACATCAGCTGCGCCAGATGCTCCGTCTTGCCTCCTCGTACGAGGACACCCGCGACAGGCCCCTGCTCGCGTCCATAGCAGGCATCGTGTTCCTGGGGTGTCCGATGAGGGACTCCCCCAGCGGGAGCATGATAGACGCCATGACCAGCATGGCGGCCGCGACAATAGGGGTCGAGATGCACGACCGCGTGCTCCAGGAGCTCCTCGGGTGGGATGCGTCCCTGGCGTATGAGGGCCGCGACGCCCTCGAGCAGGCGCGGCGCGAGTATGGCTTCCAGGTCAAGACATACCGAGAAACGATCATCATCCCGCCGGCAGACAACAGCTATGTCCCCTGGGTGGCCCTTGCCGTCCGCCGAGACTCGCAGTCGCTGGAGGGAGCGAGGGAGGAAGCCGAATATATCGAGTCGGACCACCTCAACATGTGCAGGTTCGCCTCGGCTGGCAACGATGGATATCGATCTCTCGCGTCGTTCATCCTCAGGCTGGCGCAGCACCAGTCGCTCAGGGTAAGATGCCTCCGTCTTTTCTTTTCTTTTTTCTGTTTTCTTTTTTTCCTCTTCTTTTTCTTCTCTTTTTTTTTCTCCCCCCCCCCCGGACAATTCTGCCGAGGAGGCTGACCACGACCCCCACCTCTCGCAGAAGCACCGCCTGACGCCCGAAGAGGAGGCCAATCTGCAACTGCTGGCAGCCGCAGGCGCAGGAAGCACAAGCCAACCCGGAGCCCCGTTTCCCACGCAGACCATGGTGCTCCCAGAGATGCCAACCCGCAAGGCACCTCCCTGGCTGCTCAAGCACCCAGCCTTCGGGTCGTGGTACCACCGCAGGCACCCTCAAGACTGCCACAGGCTCCTCTGGCTGCGCGGCCCGGCGGCGTGCGGCAAGACGGAGCTCCTGTCGTCGCTGGCCTCGCACGTCGCGGCCGAGTGGTCGCCCACAGCCCACAGCAGCGCCCTCATCACCGCCGTCGCGGAGGGCGAACCGCTGCTGCAGGGCATAATCCCAGGGTCAGAGAGGTCGGCAAACCATAATAGACACAGCCACCACAAGACATGCGACAAGAAGGGACAGCAGCAAACCATAATAGCCAGCACCGACAAACCGGGCCACATCATAATAAGCAACAGCACCACCACCACCACCAGCACGACAGGTGGGCCGACACATGAAACAGCCTCCCCCCTGCGGGCCATCCTGCAGCAGCTGTGGGCGCACGACCCGCGGCTGCGGAACCTTGTGGGCGGGCTGGCCAAGGCATCATCCCTGCGTGCCAGGGCCGCAGATTCATGCGACGACCACCACGCCCGGCCCAGTCAGCCCACCACCAGCAGCAACCAGCAGCCCAGGACGCAAGGCGACGCCGGCGGGGCCCACGCGGCACCCCAGCCGCAGACGCCAAAAGTCTATTCGCGGCGGCGCCCGAAGAGCAGCCGCGGCGACGGGACAATTAATAATGACGACGCTCAGGGGCCGCCGACGCCGCGGCGGGTGATGCATGAAGCGGGAGGGAACCAGCAGCTGGCAGGAAAAGGCCGACTCGTCCGCGGTGGTACAAACGATAGTTCTGCTGTTGCTGACCAAGACCAGCCCCCAGGCGGACTTGTGAGAAGAAGAGACGAACCAAGGGACGAAGAAAAAGAAGGACAGGGCGTCCCACAACCACTGGACGATGCGCGCATCGTCTCGTTCTTCCTGCAGGACTACCTGCGACTCAGACTGCCCCAGAACAGCGGAGCACAGGCCAGCACCAGCAGCCTGAGCACCAACAAGCACAGCCGTGCGGCGCCGGGGGCCAAACCCAAAGCCGAGAAGGAGGGTGGCCGTGGTGGTGGTGGTGGTGGTGACAAGGGCGGAAGCAGCGGCAGCAAGAAACAAAACGGGAATAATACTACTGATAACTCAGCAGTCGTCGTCGAGACCCCCGGCACGCGGCGCATCTTCGTCTTTGTCGACATCGCGCCCACCACCGCACCGTCCACCGCGCGCGACCTGATCTGGTGCCTGGCCCAGCTCGCGCGCCGGAGCACAACGCTGAGCATCTGCGTCGCATCGCAGGCGCTGGGTCCTGAAGACGACGGGGGAGGCGACGACAACACCACCATCATGGCGATCCAGCATTTGGACGGGTATGGGGGAAATGAGACACGCGGCGGCCCACGACTAGCTGCGGCCGCCTCCTCTGTTGCATCGACGGCTCATGATGGTTTCAACCAGGGCCGCAGGGATGACGACGTCGAGGACGGGACACTCCCACCGCTGACGGTGGACGTGCCCACCTCCAACGCCGAGGACGTCGCCAGCTACATCGAGGCGACGCTCCTCCCGGACATCGAGGACCGCGAGGCGCTGGCGGCCAAGCTGGCGCGGCGGTCGCGCGGGGTCATGTTCTGGGTGGAGCACGCGGTGGCCATCGTCAACGACGCCAGCGAGGACGGCGTGTCGGGGGAGGTCGTGTGCAGCATGCTGGACGACATCGCGCCCGAGGTTGGCGGTGGCGGTGGCGGTGGCGGCGGCGTCGTCGTTGGAAGCGGCCAGACCCCAGCCTCGGGGAGAGGCCGCAGCGGCTCGTCGTCGGCCATGCTGGCGCAGGACCACCACCACCACCACCACCCGGGCCAGGCGCGGCTCGACGACCTGTACGCGTGGAAGCTGCGGCGGCTGGGCGCGGGCGAGGCCAGGGCGGCGCTGGTGCTCATGCAGTGGGTCATGCTGGCCCCCGAGGCGCTGCGGCTCAACGAGCTGCTCGTCGCCATCCGCCTGACCATGCTCGTCTGGCCGCAGGACGGCGGCGACGCCTTCCTGACCGGGGCCGAGCTGACCGCGAGGGCCCTCGACGTCGAGCCGCCCATGAGCCTGAGGGACCTGCGGCGGAGGCCATCGGGAGACTACGTCCCTGCCGACAACCCGTCGCAGTTCTGGCGCTGGGCCCGGCGCATATCGCAGGGCCTGGTGAGGCTCGACGGCGGCGGGTCGAGGAGCAAGGTGTCGTCCGAGCCCCTGGGTCTCCAGCGTGTCGTCCCCGCCCACGAGTCGGTGCGGCGCTTCTTCCTCGAGGGGAGGGGCTTCCAGATCCTCACTCCAGCACCACCGTCATCGTCGCCTTCTCCTCCTCCTCGCCAGCCCGGCAAGACGACAAAACAACAACATCATCAACAACCACAGCAGCAACAACAGCCACCCCCACCCCCAACAACAGAGCAGCTCATAGACACGAGCTACTACGCCCTCCTGCACACCTGCCTGGCCTACCTGAACATGACCGACTTCGACTCGCTCAGCCGGACCAGCACTGCCTCCCAGTCCCACCACAACAACCCGCGCGGCCTGTCCACCCCAGACGGCCCCCTCTCAGAGGCAGAGGAGGAGTCAACCCGCCTCCACCGCTCAAACGCAGAGGCCCAGCGCGCCCTCGTCACCTCCTCGTACCCCTTGCTCCGCTACACGGTCGACAACCTCATCTTCCACCTCCTGCGGCCCAGGGCGCTGCGCTACTTCCCGCCCCAGGCCGCCCTGCTGCGCCTGCTCACCGCCGACGGGTGCCGCATCTGGCGCCGGTGGACCCGGCTGCTGGGGATCCCCGACGCCAGCGGCAGCAGCGGTGGTGCGGGGATAATAACAACAGGGACAGGCGCAGGGGCGGCCCTCGTCGACGTCCCCACCGCGGTCCTCTCCAAGGCCCGCGCCCGCCCCGCCACGGCCGTCCTCCTCCGGCCCGTCTACGGTGCCTCCTTCAGGCTGGACCGCGTCTTCCGGCGCGCGCACAAGACGTCCCGCGAGCAGGCCGCGCTGGCTGCCCAGGCTCGGGCCCGGCGGCCATCGAGGCTGAGGACGCAGCGGAGCGGGAGGAGCTTCAGGAGTGCTGCTGGTGGTGGTGCTGGTGGTGGGGACGCCAGCGTCAGGGCCGGGGCCGGGGCAGGGGCAGGGGAGATGCCGCCTACGCCTCGGACGCCCACGCGCCCTGCGATGGTGAGGTCTGCGAGCGAGTCGAGCGTCGTGTTTGCGCTGGTGGGAGGGGGCGATGGCGATGATCCCAAGGCGCACTGGCTGGTCCCCAAGAGCCCGCGGTCGCCGAGGCTGAGGTCGGATTCGCTTGGGTCCATCATGTCGAACCCGGCATCACCTGGGATGCTTTTTGGGATTCAGGAGGTCTGAGGGTTGGGATAGTCGGTATGGTGTCGATCGGGGTGGTGTTGGTGCGACAGATATCTGGTATGAGGTGGACTGCTTCCTTTGCGATCATAGAGATTGTCCAAACTGCATCAGAGTGTCAATATTCGTTGGACCTTCACACGTTGGAATACTCCCCCTCCACCCGACCCACTGCCTGTCTCCCATGCTGGTTATCATGTGTATATATCTACACTGTTCAAGTCTATTTTGGTTGTCCTGTCATGGTGTGGATCAACACCTTGAGGCTAACACAATTCGCATTGCGTTGGGCAAAGAGATCTAGAGACCATTCTTGACGTCGGTCCCGCGGCTAGAAATACACCCGCTCTTCCTTCTTCCTTCATTTTGTCATACAGTACATGTAAAAAGAAAGAGAGAAAAAAAATCCAACACTCCCACCTGCACCTACAGCAGGCTCTCGCCCAGCGCGCACCTGACCAGGCTGCATCCCGCACGCACGGTCTCGCTGGCGCCGGGGTCGTTCTCGCTGGCCACCAGGCTGGGGTTGACCTCGACCAGATCCATGGCGATCAGGTTGCCCGTCTCGTGTACGCACTCGGCGATGTAGTCACCCTCGCGCAGGGTCAGCCCGCCACGAACAGGCGTGCCTGTGCTCGGGGCCCACTGGGGGTCGAGAGCGTCGACGTCGAAGCTGAGGTGGATGGGGGTGTCGTTACCGATGTGGGCGAGGGCCATCTCCATGACGCGGCCGATGCCATGTCTGTTTGACAGGGTGTCAGCGGATGTTCATTGGGGGAGGTGAGTGGGGGTGTAAAAGTAGATAGAGATAGATAGCACCAACCTGTCGATGTCGTGCATGCTAAAGGCCTTGATGCCGTTCTCCCTCAGGATCCTCTTCTCGCCCGCATCCACGTCCCGCAGGCCGATGTAGACCAGCTTCCGCAGCGACAGGCGGTTCGACTCTTCCAGCCAGCCAAAGTACTCCTCCTTGTCCTCGTTTGCCAGCCCGGTCAGGAAGGCGACGGGCATGCCGTGGATGTTGCCCGAGCCAGACGTCTCCGGGGTGTTGATGTCAGCGTGGGCATCGACCCAGATGACGGCGACCTCGCGGCTGAGCCTCTCACGGATGGCCTTGGCGGTGCCGCCGATGGTGCCGACGGCGATGGAATGGTCTCCGCCCAGGGTCAGGACGAGGCGGCCCTGGCTGGCGTGGCTGTAGACCTGGTCGGCGATGCGGCGGGTGACGGCGGAGACGGCCTTGGGGTTCTTCATGCCGCGGTAGGGAGGGTCCTGGCCGGGCTTGGGGACCAGGTCGGTGTAGAGGTGGACGGTGTCGTCGCCGTGCAGCTTGTAGCCCAGCTCGTCGCGCAGCTGGGTCAGCAGGCCGGCCTCGATCAGGGCGGAGGGGGCAGCGTCGACGCCTGGCTTGCACTGGGTGGGAGATGGTGTTAGTGGTCAGGGCAGGATTACTGATTCCTGCCAGACAAGTGCTCTTACCTGCCCACCAGAGAAGCCCACAGCAACCACGCCCAAGTCCTCGGGGTTGGAGAGGAACTTTGACTGGACCATGCTGGTGTTGAGGCCCTTGTAGTGGTTGTAGTGGCCGTACGAGACGCTGGCCTTGCGCTTCTTGTTTGCGCTGCCGTTGCTGTCGTCGTGAGCCGCAGTGCGGTCTTCGAGAGTCGGGGGGACCATAATGAATGTGGATTGGGTGGTGGGGCCAAGAGTGGTGATGAGTGATGTTGTGGTGGTCTGCTTTGAGGAGGGCGGCTTTGTTCCTCAGAAGTGGTGGTGGCGACGGTGGCGGTGGTGGTGCCAACACAACACGAAGGAAGGAGGGATTGCTGTCTGGCTGACTTGTGACTGACTTCTGACTTCTGACTGACTTGACTACCTTCCTTTCGGCGTGGTTCGGCTCTGCGGGCCAAAGAAGGGAGAGGCTGCAGCAGTAGCTCGAGAAAAAGAGCAAGAGAGTGACGTTAGAACGCTGCTAGGCGCAACCTTGGAGGGGCTCGGGTGAGTGAGCACGATTGCTTGGCAGAAGGCACGAGCTGGAGGGGGGGCAGGAGCTGGGGCTGTGATGGAATTGAAGCTTGGACGCTCTTGCTTGTGAAGATCAGATGCTGTGTGACGACGGGCCAGCTCTGCCGGTGAGGAGGCAGGAGGGTGTTGTGATATCGATGTTTATCAGATCTCACTCAATTGGCGTTGACTGACTGACTGTCTGCTGTCTGCCTGTCTGCCTGTCTGTCTGTCTATCAATCAATCGATCGATGTCGTGTACGGTCCAGTCTCGAAATGCCTCAAGCCTCGAGGAAAAGAGGAGGGTGGGTGGCGGGTGGCAGCCATCCTTTAAATAGACCAGACCAGACCAGCCAGACCAGAAGCTCAACATTATTATTAACAACAGCAACAACACATCAACACAACGGCAGGAATGAGCACGCACACCGGCAGACGGGATCAAACGGGATGGAACGGGCGGCGCCAGCGGAAAGGAAAGGGGCGCAGGACCACGACTCGACAGGTGACCGCCTATCTGTCCCCTCTGCGGCGCGCCATTTCGTAACAAATTGAGTAAGATCAAAGTCAGACCAAGAAGGGGGCCGTGATGATTTTTCTGGTGTTGTCCCCTAAGTGCAGGAGATGGCTATACCTGCACTTAGGGGAAGGGCAATCCTGGGGCTGCCCTTGTCTGGCTCCGTCATCGGGTCCCACCTGCTGCTCTCGGCTGCAGGGCCCACTCTGGTGTTACTGTTCGATGTTGTTATCTCCAGCCTGCCCCTCCACGCGCCATCCTCATTTGGCCAAGCGCCTCCCTGCTTCCTTCCTGCCTCTTCCCCGTGCGAGCCGTGTCCAGCCGGCTTTATGCTGCCTGCAACCTTCCAACTCATACACCACATCGTCACATGCCTGCAGACGGCTGACTACTACACCCTCACCTCCCAACATGCCCCCAATAGTCACACCAACTCGGCGAGTCGAACGCTGAGGCTGGCATCTTTCGAAATGCAGCAAATGCCACCGCCCACAAGGCAACCCGGGCGACAACAAAGACCGAGATGGACACCAGCCAGACAATCCTGCTATGATGTCTAAAGCACAACAGCACAAGGCCAACGGGCAGCTTCACCAGCGCGCAGGTCCTCCACACCCATGCCTCCGCCGCAGTGGGGAACGGGTACTGCCACGCCCCAAGATGCACCGCCGTCACCATCGACAGGCTCACCATCACCAGCCACGACAAGCACCTGTTGCCCACGACCCGCAGCCCAGGGGGACTCCTCGTGCCGCCTTCCTCTTCTTCAACCAGTGCCCTCAGCCCCGCCACGTCCACCTCGAAGGGATCCTGGATGTCCTGCGGGCAGCGGAACCAGGCCACCATGGCCATGAGCCCGCAGCACGCGTACGCCAGTGTCAGGTCCTCCAGCAGCGTCACTTGGTACCCGCCTGCCAGCCGCGATACCACGTTTGCGCTGAACCAGAGCGCCTGCCCGCCCGCGATCGTCTTCTCGAACCAGCCCTTCTTGCTCCTCTTGTCCATGTCGTCTTTCTGCGGCAACATGCCCATGTGGATGCCCACCCCGTCGCCTTCGCCGTCGCCGTGCTTGGACTTGTGCTGCTCACGCGCGGCAAGCTGGATCAACCTGTCCGCCGTCACGATCTCCCCGCTGCTCCTGTCTTTGACGCCGTTCTTGATCACTAGGAACGATTGCTCCAGTGCCCACGAGTCCCAGCCACCCATCTTGTGGAGCTGCCGTTGCAGCCGCCGCGAGAGGATCAGTTGTTGTATTGCCGCGGCTGGCATGGCCTCTGGCATGAAGAACGTGGAGGCGCCCCAGATCAACTTCGACGGGCTTTCACGATAGTCCATGTGCAGCACTGTCCACACCACGAAGAACATCGTTGCTAAGCAGCTCCAGATGATGCTGACCGTGCCCCGGCCGCAGCTGGGCTCTGGCACGAACCCAACGCTTTCCATTGGTGAGATGATGTAGATGGCCGTCTAGTTGACAAGAGACGAGTCGAATTCCTGTAGTCACCTGTAGACTTCCAAGAAGTGGGCTGTACCTCCTGCTTCCTGAAAGGTGGCAAGAGCCCAATGTGGGATTCTTATGCTACTCAATGTTCGAATCGAAGAGCGCAGGCAAGAGTTACTTGATCTTTACTTGTCGTTACACTGCAGCAACAACGTCTCATTTGCTCGCCCATGGCTCAGTTGTGAGCCTGCGTGAAAGAAAGGGACGATTGGGGGCCGCATGTGCAACAGCGGCACTATTCCCGGAGGCTGATCTTCACTCGGGTATGGCTCGTTGCAGAGCGCCCCAGAATGATTGCGGTGGTTCTGATGGCTCATAGGCTGAGAGCCACCCATCCACGAGGGAACGTCCGCTGAGCCCCGTGCTGCGAGACCGCTGCGCAAGGGGTTCCCCGGTCACTTATCATGTTACGACCACGAGAAACTATGAAAAGAACCTGGTAAGCCATCTGCATTGCAAAGCTTGATTGAACAACACGTATGTCTTGATGACCAACACTACCCCAACATCGTTGGAAGCGAGTCCAGGATTCAATTCTTCTGATACGAGACCGGCCCCCCTGGAGCCGCATTGCAGTTTGACGTCCTGGGTGTTGTTCAAGATTCAGTTGCCTTCCACGATATCCACATGAAGTTTACACCTTTGTTGCCTACTATTCCATCACCATCATCATTAGATGCCCTCAATATCTGCCATCTCCAGCCTGAATTCTTTGCCTCCGGCTGTACAATATCTTGTTGTTTTACACCTCATTTGCCATCTTTAGCCTCTGGCTTCTGCGCCGCCCATCTTTCTCCTGCTGTCCGTCGGCCGCTTCTGACTGGCCATTGGCGACTCGGCAGGACGAGTTGATGTGGCCCTGCTCAATAGCATGTGTCCAGAACTGGTCCCAGGGGCTGACAGGAACACCACACCCCGAGAAAGAACACTCTGAAGGCCCGCCATCCGCCAGTCTTGTCTTCTGACCACTGCGTGCCTTGCAGACACCACAACGGCCACCTTTAGGACCAGAGACCCACCAGTCTCCTTTGGCACCGTCCTGTGAGAGACTACCGTAATGCGCATGCGCAAGGGCCGAGTCCGCCAGTGCCGATAGCCCATCCGACCGGTCCCATTGTCCAGGCGCCAACCGCGAGGCAATGCTCCCTTCTGCCTTCTGCACCAGGAGCTCCCACAGCGCTCGATCGGGGTAGAAATGGGAACGGAGATAGGCCAGCGCCATCACCGTGCTGGCCAGGAGCCCCACGGCATCGCCGCCTTTGGTGTCGTCCGCAGCATGCTTTTTAGCCCAGAGTGTGAGTGCTTGCTGCGTCCCGGGGCAGAAGTGCGTGCCCAGGCGGTTCGCAACGCTCTTATCAAGGTCGAATAGGCCGTCTATACGCTGGTGGCGGACGACATCCTGCCAAGGGATGGAGGATGGGTTGTCGGCGGGCGCGTCCGGCTCCGTGGGCTCCTCATAATCTAGGTCGCACACACCGCCAGGAGAGACCATCCTTGCTTTCTTCACGGGCATCAGGCTGGTACTGGATGAAGGCGCGGATTTCCTCGCTGCCTTGGACGCCAGTTGCTTCCGTGGCGCCATGCCTTGCATGTATTGCATGTATTGCATGCCTTGCGTCTTCCGTCGTGCGACCCTTTCGAATGTGCTTGTTGGCAGGAGCGCCGGGTCAGCCATGGGCGCCTTGTACACACTGACCTCGACGTATTCGTCATCCACAGACTCCTCCTCCTCCTGTAGATGGCTGACGGCGACGAAGGACGCCCACTTGCTGGTGATGGAGTACGCTTGGCACAGATGCTCGGCGTTGCTGCGGATGATGTCTGACGAGATTGCGTCGGGCACGTCTTGGCTTTCGAGGTCTCGCACGGCGGTCCTGGCGGCGAGATGATGGATGGTGGTGTTGTTGGGCGTCGCTCGAGTCACTTTCAGAGTGGCCGTTTTGGTCCCGCCGTACTGCGAGGACGCGGTGATGGTCACCTGTTCCGGGAATTTATCGCTGCTCGCGTCCAGCAGGAAGTAGACTGACTGTTGCCCATAGTGGTGGAGCAAGGGGATATTCCTTGGAGCTTGGACGAATGAAGGACCAGATGGCTTTTTGGCAACCTTGCCCGGGAAAACATCATCCACGTCCAGACGTTTCTCATCCCACCCGTCGCCAATGCTGATCGAATAGGACCAGCTGTTGGGCATGATGGCGCCCTTGAGGATCCGGATCACGGCTTCCTTCCACCTGCCCGCGGCATCCACGGAAGCAACCTCCCCAAAGCCACCACCGAACATGCCTATGCCTTGGATCAGCTGGTGGCTGACGTGGGTCCCAAGACCCATGCTGAAGAACCGCAGCTGTCCGTCTGCCTTGGCCGTGTTCATGCGCACAAACTCGATGGTCTCCTCCGCCTGCCAGATCTCGCCGTCGGTCAGGAGTATGACCTGCGTGGAAGAAGACGCCTGCCCTGCCGACCGGCGGTCCCCGACGGCCTTCTTCAGTGCCCTCAGCACCTCGGTGCCACCAAAGTCCGCCTGGAACGTCGAGATATGGTCCAGGGCGTCCTGCACGGCGGCCTCGCCGTACGGCACGGAGCGGCCCCACAGGCCTGACACGTCGCTGCCGAAGGAGTAGAGGTTGAACCTGCACCCGGGCGGGAGGCTCTTGACGAAGACGAAGAGCGCGTTCCTGAGCTCCTCGATCTTGGGGCCGGCCATCGAGCCCGAGCGGTCGGCGAGGAACAGGACCTCGCCGTCGAACCCGGCCATGGACTCCCGCAGGTCGGAGAAGAGCTCGCTGGGGCGTACCGTCACCCTCAGGGCGGAATGCTGCCCACCCGGGGCGCCTGCCGCCGAAGGGGCCAGCACGGCCAGGGACCTCTGCGGGTTCTCGTCGGGCGAGGGGACAAAGAGGATCAGGTCTTTGTCCATGGCTGTCTTGTCTGACATCCGGACTGTGGCGCGCTTGGGAGTGGTGCCCATGCCCGGCTGGCCCTCGAGCGCCGTGGAGGCAAGGTCTTCAAACTCCTCCCCCTCCTGCGATCCCGGGTTGGTCTCCTCGTACTCGGCTTTGATGTCATGGCCACTCCGGCAGACGATGGGTTTCTCAGCGCTAGAAGAGGCGACACTGACGACAACATCAAGGCGGGGCTCCGTGGGGGTCGATTTCCCTTTGTACCCCTGCGGGGGCGTCCCGTACCGCGGCGCAACGGACGTCGGGATGGTCACGAGGACACCGCCACCCCCAAGGTCCACACGGAGCTCCTCGACATACGTGATCTCCACCCTGACGGCCGCCCCGGGCGCGATGTTCCCCACGGTCGTCTGGAAGACCTCGGGCGTCAGCTCCTCGACGAGGGCGGCGGCCTCCTGCCTCTCCAACGCGGCCCTCGCGAACTCCCGCCTCGCCTCCCCCGCCGGCAGGACCCTGCCCTCGAGGACCCTGCCGCCGCCGACCGAGCACCGGAAGGCGGTGACGGTGGCGCCGTCGTACAGCGGGAAGGAGTACCGGGCCTCGGGGATGGGGCTGCCGCCGGCGGGGTTCTGGAAGGTCTGTACTAGGCTCGTCCTGGCGGTGCTGTGGTCTACCTGCATGCTGATGGATACGTCGGCGAGGGGGAGGCATAGCTGGGGCTGCGGCTGTGGGGTGCCGGGGGCTGGTGCTGGGCGGTATGGGAGGTCCACGGTCTCACCCGGTGCAGCAGGCCCGGCAGAGGCAGATGCCGACGCGGCTCCTCCTTGGGCCCCGCGGAGGGAGGGAAATGTTGGGTACTCCGGGACATGGCTTGCCTCGTTGGCGGCAGCGTCGGGCAGCACTGGAAGGGAGAAGTAGACGCCTGATGGCAGGCGGGGCAGTGACCTCGTCGTGTTGTTGTTGTTGAGGCCGCGTGCTGTGGCCTTTGTTCGAGCCATGGCGGGATGATTTTAGTGCTGCCTGTGGTGTGGGATATAAGTCGGGAGGAAAAGAAAGAAAGAACAAGACGAGGCTAGGTACTGTACAAAAAACTTTGGGGTCGTGGTCCGGTTTATATATGAGGGTGCAGGAGAGCTGCGCCACACCTCCTCAGTGCATATCATGATATGCTGGTAGCCCACGTAGTCCACGGGTCCGAGTGCTTCCCTGCCCACCTGCGGTCAGTCAGTGGCTGGTGCGTGTATGTGTCTGCCAGCGAGCGTGTGGTTGCCTAATTCACAGACCTGGATATGGATAGCCCGTAGCTAGGTACTTATGCATTCACTGCAACAAGTGAGGTGATCGATCCACCAATGGCGTGTTGTTCCTGTCGCGGCTTTGCCGGTTTGGGTGTGGGCTGCTAGTGGAGGCTCGCGAGGCTGCTGGTCATTGGTCGAGGGCGACGTCAACCGCCCACATCCCCTCCCCCTCCCCCCTTTCTTGCATAGATGTGTTGTTGGGTTGACTCCGCATGTGCAACCCTGTCTTATTGTCTTTCTTGCTCGGGTTTTGGTTCAACGTTGCTTCCTTGCTCCAGTTGTGGTGTCTGGGAACTTCCAATTGAAGAGAAACGCATTACTGTTTTTACTGAGGCAGTTGCTGGGTCTGGTAGGGTAACGTTGGGCTTGGAAGGCAGGCCGTTTTGTTGGGCCTATCTCTTGCAAGCTGGAACGGACCGGGCAATTCCGTCCAGATGTCGTCTGCCGGTGGGTCTGCAAGCTGCTTTATTCGTATGGACTTATTGTGGCCGGCTTGATTAATTGCGGGACGACTTTGCAGTGGGAGCTGAAATCTTTGCTCCCTAGGTGCCCAGGTGCGCACGCTGGGCGCGCACAATATGTGAAGTGCATCGATCACATGGGCAATGCCCCTGCTCAATATTGTATGGGGTGAAACTTGAACGATTCAAGGAGTCTGCTTGTATAGAGTCTTTCCTATTGCTGTTGTGATCTCTCTTTCATTTCAATTCATTTGCTTATATGATGACATGCTAGAATTTGCTTCTTATCGATGACTATAAACGGCTGAGAGCTCTCTGGCTGTGCTTCATTTCTTGATCCCTCTTCGGTGGAGGGGTGTTCCCGACATAGATCTGAAGGGGCCGCCACATCCGAGGCTTAGGATCGGCTTTTTCGATGAATGTCTCGTCAGCTTGTGTCTTGCTTCAAGTGTAACAGGACGAAAGCTCACCCATGGCCTCCCGCCAATGTGCTATATATCCAGGATTTCTGTTCAAGAGCGTCATGGAGAGGATGAAGTCCGGTGGGATGCCCCTGGGCCATTACATCAGCCACTTTGTCCAGGGGTTCGACCAAGGTTTGAACTCACATGGCTTTGTATGCGAAGCTGAGAAAGAGATCCGCGTTCGCACAGAGTTTCCGTGACCGGAAGTATTCGTCCTGTGCGGCAACGCGGTCGATCTCAAGCGCGACGTTGAGGTGGTGATCTGTCCTTAGGGATTCCATGTTTTCCATGGCGCCGGCTATCAGCTCACGAAACAGCACTGAGCGGGGATCCGGGAGCTGGAGGATTGTCAGTCAATCAGCTTTCCATTTCGTCGATGACTGGCTCCAAGTATGTTCAAAACCTCCCCGCACTCCACTCCAGCCCCATGTGCCTTCATCTGATGGAATGCGTTTTCCGAGTGCATGTATGGACAGAGGAGAACTGAGCCAACTTGAACGGGGTCTGATAATTAGAATAGCTCACCTTCCACTTCCTGTGACCATAACCATACAGCCGCCTCTTGCCCGACTTAACATCCTCCAGTAAAGCTGGCACCTCACTCAGATCATGTACCGCTTCGAGTTGCTTGTAAGCAACCTCTATCGCGCCACCATGTAGGATACCGATACCCGAGAGTGCTGCTGCGGCACCGCAGGAGTACGGGTCGGCAAGGGCAGATGCTGTATTGAGTAGTACCGATGCGGAATTGGTAATCTCATGGTCCGCCATCAGTATCATTGTTCGGTTGAGTAAGCTGACAACCTGAGGTCGAAAAACAAATTGATTGTCAACCACATGTAAAGCTTTTTGAGGGGAAAAGTTGGGCCAACATACTTGAGGGTCTGGCTGTCCAGTGCTGCTTTCCACAAACCCCATCATGTGCAGTATATTTTCTATATAGGAGTAGGACGCGACAGGCGGCTTGAATTCTCGCCCATGCAGACGACAAAACACGGCCGCGGCAATGACCGAGTTAACGAAGAGGAACTGTGGAATCTCCTTGTCTATAGCCGCGAGATTCCCCTTGTATAAGTTTGCACCTCGGGACGCTGGGATCCTGTCAGGGCACAGAGCCGCATAGAGGGTCAAAGCGGAAGCAATAGCAGTCGTAGAGTGCGTGTTCATTCTGAGAGCTCATGAGCTTGTTAACCAACGCCTGACAGCAAGCCAGAACACCAGCCTCGTTTCATTTCAGAATACTCACGGCAGGTTGTTGATCATGTCGAAGATATTTTGAGGTGGCAAATCCGAAGTAGCAATAGACCTGTTGAAAGCCGCTGCTTCTGACGTGCCAGGTAGGTACCCAAAGATTAAGAGAAAAGCAACATGTTCAAACGGTCTTTTTGAGTAGAACAAGTCGGCCAGGTGTATTCCCCGGTAAGCGATTTCGCCAGTGTTACCATTGACGTATGTGATTTGAGACTGCATGCACGCGGTGTTCTGGAAACCAGGGTCGAAGATACGGATGCCAGCGTCATTCTGATCAACCGGACCTTCCGCCGTTTGTGGCGACTTGATACGATGGAAGTCAGTAGCTCGGATAGAGTTGCGCGCAATTGGGAGAGTATATGACAGTCCAGTTCGATTGTCAGTGATAGACAGTGAATTATGCACGTGTTGGATTTGTTCTTGCAGCGGCGCAAGTGGCTCCATGTCGGCTCTTTCTGGTGGGCAATGTTGTCAAGGGTGACTTCAGTGTTGGCTGTATATGTGAGGAGAAGATGAAATATGGCAATAGAAAGTGTTCAGGACAGATACCGACTGGGGGAACAGTACTATAAGGGTCCAAATATGTGCTCGGTACACAGCGCGACTATTGCGAAATATGATCGGCCCCCTCCCAACACCCCAGGCACTTACACCATCCACCAAGAGCTCCAAGGCTTGGTTCTCTTCCAAGGTTGGGTTGTGCCAAGCTACGACACCACCCCGACACACCCGACTTGTGACAAGGGCGCACCCATAAGGCCCATATCCTAGGGTAAGGAGGATCCAATTGGCCCGCTACGACTTCGTGCGGATATACGCTCGTCGGCGCTGCTGTTGTTGTCATACGATCCTGAGGCTCCAGATGTCCCGCAAGGTCTGGCGGTGAGGCGCGCGCTACTCGAGCAACAGTTTTTATCACCAAGTACTTGAATGTATTCACCTACTAAACTCTATTTTGTTTCAAACTAGGCCCTGAACAGAATAAAACGAGGACATCTAGGAGCATCTCCTCCACATTCAGCCCGATTTCTGACACGGGAACGAGTCCTGCAAGATTACGTTCGTATGGGTCTTCGATATGCCCCATGCATTTGACTCGAGGCTGCCAAGTCTAGACCTCTCTACTTTTATAGGCCCCGTAATCATATAGGTGGAATATGGTTCCCGTAGGAAATAAGGTTCAGCTGGTGCGACTACTTTGCTCAATGAGGCGAGCGTTTTCTAGTTCCGAGGTGGAGCCGGGGTGCGGATGACAGCCATCAATTGAGTATGGTTCCGAAATTGCTAAATTGGATGATGGGAGCACTTGAGCGCATAGGGCAACTCTCCGAGCTGACGCTGTCCAACTCCGAAGTCAAGCCTCAGGGTGGTCATGCCATGCAATGCGCGCCGAGCCGTGGCAGCAGCCCGGATTGATGGTTCAACCTTAAGTCAGTAGTGCATGGGTAGACCTCGTAAAAATGGGCCCTTCTAAAGTTCAAGCTGTGAGGCGGCTGAGGCGGCTACGCCCTCTGTTCACTTATGCGAAGCTGCCTACATTTAGCCACCGTACTCCGAGCCAGATGTGTATCCCGTCTCGCCAACCTTTGAACCTTTGAACCTTCAATGTTGGAAAGTGACCGTAAAATCGAGCCCTACGAGTACGAATTTCCTGCTGCTTGATATCAACCGCACTACATTCAAGTTGCTTTACCGAGTCAAATCCACACCATGTCCTCACGGGAACTGCCGATTGTAGCAGAGACAAGTAGCAGCCTTGAGACCAACATTGACGGTGCTGGTGTTGTCAAGATGTCCACAAACGGCCATGCACCTCAATCATCAATGCAGGCACCTGGTACCTGTGGTGTCTTTATTACACACAGAGAAACTCCAGTTTACCGTGGAACCCTTGACAAATTTAGGAGGTTTGATACGACGCCCAACACGGGCACGGAGTTTCCGGATGCGAACCTGGCTGAATGGCTTCGGGCACCAAACTCAGACGACTTGATTCGAGACCTCGCCATAACAGGTGAGTCGATCACAGAAGATGTGGAATCCCCAAAGAGCAGTGCATGATAGAAAGGAGCCACTGACTTTGCGCTCAAAGTATCGCGCCGCGGTGTTGTGTTCTTCCGTGCCCAAAATGAGATGACCGTCGAGCTACAGAAGGAACTCGCCCAGCGTATGGGCCTTCTCACGGGCAAACCACCCACATCCGGCCTGCACATATTTCCCCTGATGCACACAACGAAGCAGATCGATGACAAGGAAGTGACAGTCATCAGTGACCAAGGTGGGAAAGCAAAAGATGCAAAGGACGCCGCTACTAAGCCCCGCCTCAGATTGCAGGACCCCAGTGTAAGTGGCATTGAATTGTTCCTAGGTAGAGACCAGGGGTCATATTCCAAAATTCACAACATCCGAAATTCTCGTTCTGTGCTACTCATTTGAAAATATCACACAAGCAGGCTCGATCACTAACTTGATCCACTGGCAGGTCACGCCTATTCACAAGATGTGGCACACTGACAGCCAGTTTGAAAACATACCCGGCGACTACGCCGTACTGCGCATGGTCGAGCTCCCTCGCACAGGTGGCGACACAGTCTGGGCGTCCGGATACGACGTCTACGACCGGCTCTCGCCCCCCATGCGGGCGTTCCTTTCCACACTGACCTTCACGGCTGGCCAGAAGGACAAGTACGACGCAATCGCCGCGGCGCACGGGCTGGCCTGGTATACGGATCCCCGAGGGGCCCCTGAAAACGTGGGCAGGGAGGTCACGGCGACGCACCCGGTGATTCGCACAAATCCTGTTTCGGGGGTAAGTGTGGTCCACTTGCGCGTGGTGAAAACTACACACGCTTTGTTTGCTTTTGTCAATTTTCTTTCCCGGGACTGACAGATGATAACAGTGGAATACCGTCTACTGTCTCGGCCACCACGTCCAGCGCATCAACGGCCTGTCGCAGGTAGAGTCGCGCAAGATCGTCGACTGGCTGCAGGAGACGGTCGTGCTGAACCACGACATGCACGTTCGGCACCGGTGGGTCAACGAGAACGATATTGCGATCTGGGACAACCAGTGCGTGGTGCACACGGCCACCCCCGATTACTTGGGCAAGGGGCTTGGCGACAGGAGGGGTTTCAGGGCTCTGGGGATTCGGGACCGTCCGTACTTCGACCCGGAGGCCGTGGGCCGCGAAGAAGGCCTTGCGAGGGAGGCTGCTGAGTAGTCTGTAGAGGCTTGTGCAAAAATACAAACCCGTGGACGTCGAAGCTCACAGAAACGACGCTTCTTACCGGGCGTAGCCGTTGTACTAGTAGTTAAAGATGAATCGGATTGAAATCCCATTCTTGGTCGTTTCAAGAGTCGCATGAGCATTCCATCTCGGCATATTCTTATTACTGAAATCCTCTTATTTATCTATTAATATATCTTTAGTAAGGGTATTCCAATCCTCCATTTTTTATCTTACTGCCTAGAGCACATTGTGTAAGTCAATAGGATCTTTCGTAACCACGGAAAATTGGTGAAAGGAGACTTTCGATTCAAAGGTTTAGAATTTTGCGCATATCAAGTTGTTCTGGTGGTCCTCTGTCTAACCCTTAACCTTGGAAAACTTGATTAGTTTAGCTCCCCCGTCCTCTATCGGCCGTCCTCTCTTCTTCCCTGCCGTCTTAAATGGGTTTGGAGGCTTCTCTGGCTGGTAGCAACTTTGCGACTGATTTGAAAGTTGATATTGGCGTGTTCGTTGGGTAATTGGGAAGGCGATGCAGAGTCTGCGAGTAGTGGATCGGTCGAATAATATCTCGTGTATGTCCTTTTAACCTGTTTCTGGAGCTGCTTGTCTTCCTGACGCTGACGGGCTTTATCCTCTCGAGCCTTCTTTTCGAGTAAGGAATTTGGCTGCAGTGCGTCATGAGAAGTATTAATCCAGGCTATATGGATGCCGTCGTCCTTTTCCGGAATGTGGCAGAGACCTTCCCCGCCAAGATATCTTATGAAATCAGTCAGTCTAGGCCAGCGCGTGGCATTGAGATGTGTATGGTCGGGGTCGGAGATATATGTTTGATAAAACCTGTTGGCTTGTATACCCGTGGACTCCTTTCCTGATGGTTGAGACGGAGTAAATGCAAAAAGTCCAACTTGAACTTTTCTCAGTAATTTTGGATGACTTGGCCGACATTTGGGCGGATTTCGTCCATTTCGTACACATGATCCTTCGACAGGGTGTGCTGTTGGAATGCGTTCTCGTCGTAGAACTGTCTGTCGCATGGTGTACAGCGCAAATTTGAGGACCGGGTCTCTGTCGCTTCGTAGAGATACAAAGATGAAGGACGATTCTGTCTCATAACGCTAAGCTCCGGTCTCAGCAACAAAGTCTTCAATTTCCAGCTCGACACCCTTGACAAGCTCGAGGTCGGCGCCCACGGCACGGGCGGCGAGATGGGCCACGTCCTTGTCGACCCTCGGGCCGTCGACAACATGGTACGCATGGCTATATCTCAAGCATTCGTACACCCAGAAGACTTTTCGCAATCCGAGCTTGCTAATTTGACGGGCGGCGACGAGCAAAAGATCGACGCGCAACATCTCTTAACCGCGGCGAAACGAGGCGATAGATTTTCCCTCAGGATCGCCGATGAAGCGGATGTCCCGGTGTGCACTTGCGGCAACCTCGCCGATCTGTGTTCTTACAGCTCGGGCCGCGGCGCGCTGCGCCAGGCACGGAGACTGGCGAGTAGCTTTGGCGTTGACGCGGCAGATGTCACGGACGAGTGGCTGCATCGGTGCATCGCCATGCGGCACCCACTCGCCGTTTGTGTCCTCGGCCAGGTCGTGCAGCCTCTGGCGCTGCGTATACTGCAGCTTGCGGCGGACCTCGGCCTGGACAAGTTCATCATCACGGGCGGGTTCGTGACGAAGACGGCCAAAGGTGCGTTCCTGCCAGCGCTTCAGCAGCAGCTACGCCGCTTTGTGCGGACCACGGGGTTCTTCAGCGGCTGGACAGACGCAGACCTGACCAGCTTTGTGCGCATTGGCTATTCAGATGACAACGACGGGCTGATCGGCATGAGCAACCTCATTCGGCACCTGCAAGCTCAGCATCTTGCCATCGAGAAGCCCATCGGCGCGGCGTCACTGGCCGTCGTATCTCGCCCACGGCCTCGATGTGGCGCTCTTGAGGTCCTCGCCAAGGTCCTCTATGCTGGCATCTGTTCAACTGATCTCCAGATCCTGAGTGGCGAAAGGGGTTTGGAACCTGTAATTCTTGGTCATGAAGGAGTCTGCCAGGTCGTCCACATTGGTAGCCATGTTCGGGGCTTGCAACCAGGGGACACCTTTGTTCTGTTGCCAAACAATCCGCTTGATGATCATGACAAGATTGGCCACAATCGCGAAGGCCTGTTTCAGGAGTACATCAAGTTTGGCCAGGAGTTTATCGATCGTCGTCAGGTGCTCCCTCTCAGCACCTCGGCACCCACGGCAACCCATACACTCATCGAGCCTTTATCGTGCGTCTTGGCCGCCCAAGAACTCATCAAGAATCGCATAGCAGGCAAGAACATACTCGTCGTCGGTGCAGGAGCACTAGGCCAGCTCTTCGCCATTGTCAACTCCGGCATCGCTGCCAACGTCTTTCTCGCCAACGGGTCCAGAGGACGACTCGACTCCGCCATATCACATGGCATCGTGAAGCCAGAGAACGCTTTTGTAGCGGACGATATTGCCACAAAGATCCACCACGTTTCCCAGGGTGTTGGCGTTGACGTCGTCGTGGTCTGCGTCTCCTTGTGCGAGGGGAAGGCAGTAGCTCAAGAGGCGCTCAACTAGTCAACTCTGGCGGCTGTATCTATCTGTTTGGAGGTTTCCATTCCAGCGATGTTCTCGACACTGACGACAGCAAACTGTTTGTCTGGCCGATTCGCACATGCTGGAAAACGGAACGAGTCTCTGTCAATGGCAAGTCCGTGGAACTAGTAGGGCATCGAGGAAGCCGAGAAACTCATGTTATAGAAGCGGCCAAGATGATTGAGGAACGGCACCTATCATTCGGACGTGTTGTGTCTTATATCGTTTGTCTCAGCCAGGTGCCCCAGGTAATGGAACTCATGGGGTCAAACGTCAGCCGGGTAAGCCCTGAATACTACAAATCGCCTCAACGTCGAAGTCGACCCTGCCATACTGACGCCTGCAATGGAGAACTTGGTTATACAACTGATCGAACAAGCCCTGGGTGCCAAGAGCGACGGCTTCAAGCCAAGAGTTGATGTCAAAAGTACCTTTGCAAGTAATAGGGCCATTATCGCCGTCAATTCCCGAGAGACCGCCGAGTCCGAGGGTAAGCCGGCCGACGGCTGCGTGGCCGAACCCTTCCTCCAACCCACACCTTCTGTGCAGCATGCAACACCTCATCCACCGATCACAAAGGCGATGCTCGCGATGAACGCGCTCTCAGTGTTTGTTGCCGCCATCGCGTATCACAGGAGGATCAACTTCGTCTCGCATCCGCGCGTCGCCTTGTATAAGCAGACGGCGCTATCGCTGTTCAACCTGCCCAGCTTCGGCTCGTCCGGTATGCGTGCGGTTACTACGAGTGAAATAGGTAAAATTGTTCGCGCCAACTTACAGCCCGATGAGCAAGTCCAACTTCTGCGTTACGGGGGTCTCAATCAGGATCCACGAGATGACTTGCTTGGTCTCTGCGCCGACGGTGAAACATGGAACCACTCACGCTATCAGGCAGCCCAGGCCGGCTATCTCCATGTCATCTTAGTTCCGGAGAGACGAGATGTTACTATCCGCGGCATAACAAATACAACCCTGCAGGCAAACATGCGCATGCTTCGCGCTATTACCCAGGCGACAGAAGAGACGCTCCCAAGGTCTTTGATTTTTCATGTATTAGAGACCTAGTTACTGCCTACGTACTTCATAATATAATAGGGTCTGATAGGATAACTACCCGAGCATTGGTAGCGTTGCTACTCAAATACAGACGACAAGCCTCCAAGCAGTGAGTACTTGCTTCTGTTGATTAGAGGCTCGTGGATTGTGACTGGTGACCCTCACTTGTACCGGGATGGTACGCCCAGGCATACTTCCATGTTGGTTATGTGGTAGGTCTGCGGCCCAATGATGTGCCAAGTTGATCCTGGTGTTGGTTGCATGCCCAGGGTGTTGGTCATCCGAGCCAACAACCACATCGAGCATGCTCCTGGGACTCGACGTTTCGTCCCCGCGGTTGAAGTACAAAATCAGGGCGCTCACCGCTCTACCTCTCTCGACGATTCACCCAAACACAAGTCAAGTCCTACTTTCGAGTGGTTGCCAGCTTGCGCCCGGAGGTCGACTACCCCTCGAGCTTCTGAACACTTGGTTGATCCCTTCTCAATCTACATATATACGAAGTGTGTGCTGTCTGTCTGTCTACCCGTAGTCAATTTCGCCAAGCTTGTCCTGATTGAGCCTATGTGCCCCTCTCTTACTCACCAGCAACAGGTTTTGGACACTCGACTCAATGGCATCTGTCCCAGCTGAGAAGGCCCCAAAGCCAGGCCTGAATATTTATGGCTGCGCCGCTGTGAATCCATATAAATTGACCATCGCGGCAGAAGAGCTAGGGTATGTATACTGCCATCTCAGCCACTCTGTCTGGGGCCCAGAGGTGAACAGAAACAAGCTGAATTTCACCCAGGGTCCCCTATAACTATATCAACATGGAACTCGTCACGGGAGACCTTAGCTCCGAGTGGTTCAAGCCCATCAACCCGAACGGGCGCGCCCCGGCCATCGTGCACGTCAAGGAGGATGGCACGTCCGTGACCGTCTTTGAAAGCGCAGCATGCCTTTTATACATGGCAAGCGAGTTCGACAAGGAACACAAGCTGTCTCTCCCGCCGGGAACGCAAGAGTACTGGGACCAGCTATCATGGGTGGGTTGTGGCGACGTCACGTGTTCGAATCCTTGACCGAACGCTGTCTAATATTTGTTCGATCGTCTAGCTATCATGGCAGGTCGCTGGATATGGGCCCATGATGGGGCAGTCATGCCACTTCAGTCGCTATGCGGCAGAGGACGTTCCATACGGTATTTGGCGTTACACGGCTGAGGCGAGACGGCTGAACCACGTGTTGGATCAGCGGCTTGTAGGTTCAATTTCAATTTGCAAACCTCTATCTTGGGAGTTGCTGACGGTTGAAAGGCAACATCCCCCTTCCTCGCCGGGGACCGCCTCACCATCGCGGATGTGGCAGTGTTCATCTATGCGCACTCTGCCAAGTGGTGCAACGTCGACATCGACGAGTTCCCTAACGTGAAGCGGTGGGTTGACAAGCTGCTGGAGCGGCCGGCCTTCCAGAGGGGACTGCAGGTGCCCGTGCCTTATCAGTTCTGCGATGCGGTGGTGTCGGATCCCGAGTCTCAGTTCCACTCGATGATGCGCAAGTTCGGTAGCCAGTCGATCAAGGCCGCAAGTGAGCGGTGGAAGGGCAAGTCGGTGCCAGTGCCTTCAGACCATGCCAACTACCAGTGATTCAAATGCTGGCTCGCTGTAGCTGCTCTTGAACTTCAAATTAGACAGCTTCGTGTTTTGTATTCCCAAGGCTTGGTACTAGGAGGACAATGTGAAGCTTTGGGAAACGGAAATCATCGATGGCAGTGGTCTCGATCCTCCCATGGGCCATTTGGTAAAGTTCAGCGCATCGGTACTTAGGTACATTGATGTGGGCAGTGCTATACATACGTATCTTGCCCCTTCCTTTCAATCCACACACATCAGGTACAGCTGCAAAAGGCACAAATAAGACTGGCAAGTGCACCAGAAGTAGCCAAGTAACTACCGTAGCGCGCAACTAGGGTTTTTTAAAAACAATATTTTTATTAATACTCTTTGGTAATAGCTATAACTACTAATAGTTCTTTCTTTCTTAACTAGCCTTTAAGTAATAAAAAGGTCTTTAAGAAAGAAATTAGATTTTAAAAAGTTAATCTTTAGAATTCCTTAATATTACCCTTTTAATTTAATATAAAGATTAATTAAGAAAGAATTCCTCTCTTATTCCTTTAATAGTCTTCCTTTTAAAATAAACCTTTAGCTAGCCTTCTATTTATTTATTTATCTATCTAGCCTTTTAATTAGGTTCCTTCCCCCCTTATTCTAGAGCTTTAAGAGGAGGTTTTAAGAGGAAAGGAAAGGTTTCAAGTAGAAAGGGAAGGTTTTAAAGAATTCTTTAATTTTAAAAATTTTTATTCTTAAAGAAAGATATTAATATACTTTATTTAATATAACTATAATTAAAAAGTATTAATAAAGAAGTAATTCTAAAGTATTAAGGATTATTTAAGGTATTATTTAAAAGTGGAAGGGATAGTCTAGAGATTATATTTAAAAACCCCTTAGGGAGCGCTATGGTAGGTATCTAGTATCGTCCCCGCTTGTATGTTTCCTAAAAATAACTTCCCAAGCAACAGAAGGATTTGGATCTTTGAACCACCAAGAAAGTGATTCTAGACTAGTCTCTAGTCTGGCTGTACTGACCATCCTGGTCGGTGTAGATGCAAGCCCGCCGCTTGTGCCTGGGGCACATGGCGACAGTCTTGTTATCTCCAGCGCACGGCTTCATGCTGTTGTTCTCCGCAACAGTCCCAAAAGCGCCATGAAAGACGCCATTAATGCACCCTGACCTCAATTCTTCCCATTGTGTCCACGGTGGCAAAAGTGCAAAAAGGGCGCCGAGGTAGACGTGACATGGCTACCGTCTAAATCGCGAAAGCCCTGAAGGGCGGGCCAATTCTCATCCTAGGAGGTTGTCCTCTAGGAGGTTATCCTGTAGGAGGTTCTCCTAGAGGTTGTCCTTAGGTGTACCCTCCGTTTTTGCGGGTGGGAATATCCGATCTCATGAATAAAAGCTGAAGCCTTAGACGCAGGCGCGGGCTTTGGCTGCGTCGGTTGCGAGGAAGATGTGCTCAAGGATTACACGTAGGGCGTGTTAGCTACGGCCAAACGACATGAGCCAGGTGGTTCGGGGTGCTGGGCGGGACGGGAAACAGAAAAAAGTCTTTTGCTACCCGACTGTTCGCTTCTTAACCTTTCTGGCTCGTCCTACGAACAACCTCCTATAGGACAACCTCCTAGAATAACCTCCTATAGAATAACCTCTTAGGATAACCTTTTATAAAATAACCTTTTATAGAATAACCTCCTCTACAATAACCTTATTTAGGAAATTATCCTATAGGATAAGACTATAAGATAACTGGTTTAGTACTAACCTGAATACTTTGATCTCTAAGTTGCCTGGTATGGGTGTACCCTCTGTTTTTGCGGGTGCGAATATCTGGTCTCTTATTCATTGATTCGGGCCTACGCCTGGACGGTGGACGGGGGGGTTGGCAGTGGAAAACAAAAGGTGGAGAAAGAAAGAAACTTTGAAGAAAGGAAAAAGAAAGCCTAGGTGGCTCGCAGCACTCTTGGTTTCTTTCCTTAAGCTCTTGCACATTTCGCAAACATGCGTTCCACCAAAAGGTGTACTTTTATCTTCCATAGAACTTTTCAAATCAACTCACACCGACTTTTGGCACTCAGCCCGCCCCATTGATCGCTCATTCCAAGCCCAACTCCCCTGGAATTAGCTACTCGCCTCGCATCGCCTGACATCGCCTCGTATCAGCGAGCGCTTCCCGAACTCGCAGGCAGGCCTTTGGCCTCAGCGGAGCACTCGACACCCGCAAGTACTGAAGGAACTTGGAAGAGTGTTGACCCATGGGGATGCAGGCGCTGCATGTATGCTAGGTACTTTGATCAGAAACAGAATTCGGAACAGCCGTGATTGCTTAGGACGAGAGGTCCTTGCATGGCCTGTATGTCTGCCTGAAGACAATGGCCGTTATTCAGGCTGGCTGGCTGGGTCGGATTGATTGTGGCCGGCTAGGGCCCGCTCTGCTGGTCCCACCGTGGTGATGACATGAGGACTTCCCGCAGGGGTAGAGGAGGAAGGGCAGGCTGGTAGGAATCAACTTGAGCAGAAATTAATCCATCTTTGTGCTATTCTCTGAGATGGTAGGCTTTCGCTGTCTTGTGTGCAAATCCGGTCATCGAGTCTTCTCCATCAGGGAAGCCGGCTCCAGGAACTCGCCACCGCCCAGTCGAAATCCACGACGACTTCACCAAGCATTGATGGCCATCTTAAATACTTTCATGTAGCAGCTGACATGTATATGCGTCAGTGCTTAGAAATCACGATTTGTATTGAAGCATCGAAACTGCCGCGAGACATCACAGCACACTTTGAAGCACAAGCAAGGTTCTTAAAGCTTAAGGCTGCAGTAGTTCCGAGCATGTATGTGCTCAAGCTTCCTTTATACAAATCGTGTCTATATACCTAGGTATCTAGTTACATAACCTCTATCGATTATTTACTCAAAAAACTTGAAGCTATAACCCTTGTTGGTTCTGTCCCCGGGGACGTTCCCACGGCTGTAGGTGGTCTCGCTCCACCAGACAAAAGAGCCAGTGAACCAGCTGCGAGCACCCCAGCTGTAAGGGGTGCCCTTCTCAACACCATGGAACACGAAAGGGATACGGTTGGTACCACCAGGGCTCTTGTTGATATCTCCATCCTGGAGCGCAAAGGTGTGATGCCCGGGCCCGTCGATAAACAGAGTCGCATCCCAGCCTTGCATCATCCTGTCCTGGTGCGAGCCAAAGAGGCAGCCGTTCGACTTGTACCAGTCCCATACATAGGTCGGGTCGCCGCCCTTGCGGAGGCGCAGGTCAGCCAGGCAGTACTTGCTGGCCCAGCTGCCGTTGGCCGAGTACACGATGTGCAGCTGGCCGTTCGGGTCGATGATGATCTCCGGCCCCTCGTTAATGCGCGGGTTGTCGCCTTGCTCCCATGATTCGCGTGGCTGGGAGACGATGTAGCGCCCGCCGGTCGGCTGGGTGGGGCTGTTCATGCGGCAGATATAGAGGTTTTGCTCGGCGTTGTTGGTCTCGCTGGCCCAGCCGGACCAGACGAACCAGCCCTGCCCTTCGAACACGAAGAAGGCTCCGTCGATGGCCCACTGGTCGTCCGGCAGGTTGAGCTTCGACTCGGTCGAGTACGTCCCCAGCGGCGAGTCGGCGCTGATGACATACATGCGGTGCGCAGCACTCACTCCGGCTGAGAAATAGATGTAGGTACGGCCGGAGTCGGTGGTGATCTCCGGGGCCCAGACATCGCCTCTGCCGGCAGTGTCGGACCATACATTCACCCTTCGGACATCTGAAGCGCCGAGCCCTTCGATTGTTGCTGCTTCGCGGACCCAGATGCCACCACCGGCCGACTCGGCTGAGTAGTAATTGTTTCCAACTTTCATAATCGTGGGGTCGGCACCGCCCCTGATCTTGACAGCGGACGTGACATCGGCAAGGCAGAGTATAAAGGTTATAGCTGTGAGCAATAGAGTGGCTGGCGAGCGCCGCAATAGCATCATGATAGAGTTAAACATCTTGAAAGCTGCTGTCCCAAGAACAGTACTCAAGCACTGATGCTGTTCTTCCTGTGGCTACATCGCGGTATAATATACACATTTATAAGGTGACCCGCCTACATCTGGGCATTCGGACCACCCCCTGATTCGGACCACCCGAATTAGCCCTTCGTCTTCGTCTGATTATTCAATTCTCATCAACTACATACCGCTGCTAAAGTCGATCTAGGGACTTCTCAGGCCTCCGAGATTTGCCCTCTTGCTTAAGAACTTCATCTTGTTGCCTGTTGAGATCCTCTCAAAAGCAGAATTGATGACTGTGCTGAGATCTTGGCATTACAACTTTCCACTCAACAATTGGCTGTTCACACAGATAATCTGCAGACAAATGACTTCATTGTGGCTTTTTAACCCACCAAAGAGGGTCGCAGGATCAGTTGCTAGCAGCAGGCTGAGCGAAGCGCTCCTGATTGGCTATATGATACCGTTCCTGCAGGCAGAATGGTCGGCGGGTCTGGCTAGTTCCTGGGTGAAGGAGTATACGGCGCTGATCCTCATCCGAACGCCGAGATGGCGGTGACATCGGCAATCGGACGTCTGCACGGACACGGTTCCTGGTAAGTAGTAAGCTTATGGCGGCGGGAGGAATAGGCCGCGAGACAGAGCCACTTCAATACCGGCTGCCTAATGATCCCTTGCGTAATTATGCCACATGATTTGAAAATGCATGGGTCCTCGGAGACTTCCACAGTAGCATGAACACCGCTCAATTTTCCCCTCGTGATATTACAAAGACTCGGATGCTTGGGGAGTATGCTTCGCAACTAGGAAAAGATCATGGATACAAAGTGGTGGGAACCAGAGAACCGCCGGGCCATTATATTGATGAACTCGCCAAAGAGAGGGTCCTCGCTTTCGTTCGTCGCGCTTTTGGGTCCTAAGGTTACCATGACCACCACATGCAGAATTCCCATGTGCCCTTTATCGAGCAGCTTCAGACTTGATCCAGATGGATCCACCACCGTACCTAGGTAGCCAAGTACGTCAGTTGTGAATGGTCCCGGCAGTTGAAAGCTCCGGCGTGATGACTGCAAAAGATCCTTTTCTTCACCCGCGGGTTCTGAGACAGATGAAAACTGGCAGTCTGTGGTGGCTTTGGGCCATCAATCGGAAGAGGTTCGCGAGTGACGATCGTTGAGCCTGGCATGTCTCAAGGATTCAGTGGAGCTTGAGTGCGAGGCTCGCACCCAAAAGGACGCCCCTCTGATCGGCAGTCCTGGAACCTCAACGGCTTTCCGATTGGAGAGCGTTAAGTCTCCGTGAATCTAGGGAAATATCATAACTGCCGATCGTAAGCGGAAAAGAAACCCAACAAAGGATGTGTTCTCTTTCTGTTGTAGATCTCCACTACGGATCCTTCCCCGTTTCTCAAATTGGCAGCACGACTGGCAGTCGAATCTTGGTACAGCCTCACGTCGTTCATCGCGCACATCGGCGTTCAGCTTCGAGTTGGGAGCGGATCATCGATGTTCAAGCACATGCTAGGGCCTTCCTGTGAGATCATCAGTCTATGAAGAGCTTCATGAAAGAAGGTACCACAAAAGAAGGCAAATTGTAGCGTAGTGGTGCCAGAGAGAAAAAAGTATATAAAGGCTTGGGACGATGCCCTAATAACATTTGCACTCCAGAGCATCCACACATCTATAGCAAACAGACAGATCAATCCTATCTACTCTCCACACTTCACACGCCCTTCAAACAAAACTCCATCAAAATGCAGTTCTCCATCATCTCTTTCCTCACAGTCGCCGCCACTGGCGCTCTCGCCATGCCCGCTGAGCCCAAGACCAACCCCCTCGAGGCTCGTGTGGACTGCGGACGGATCCTACCCGCTTGCAACGGCGGAAGCATCTCTGGTCAGACCGACTGCCGCTGCCCCGGCCAGGTCTCCAAGTGTGATGTCTGGAACTGCCCTGGCGACGATGTCGTAAGTTACTCCTGAAGTTCCAAATAATACGACTGTGCAACGGAACCAGGCCTTTGTTCTATCGTGCGCCAATCTGGAGTCTTGCAGATACATCTTCACTAACCATTTCTCCCTCTACAGATGGTCTGTGGCCAGGAGGGCAGCGGTTGCGTTTGGATTTAAGGAGTGATGAGTACTACTCTGAACACATCTCTGAGGTCCGCTGTCATGGTGGAAGGGATGAGAGTGGCATGTGGAGTTATATCAGGCGAGCAGTGTGTAGCAAGACTGATGCGACGATGGCTACATCGAGGAAATTGGTCGTGATGCTGTTTTTGTTTAATTTCTTCTTGACTTTTCGAGTCTTACATGAGTGGCAGTTAAGGCAGAGTCTGGGCCAGCCCGCATATCTCGCGGGTAGACTCGGCCAAGGTGCTTGCTTATGTTTTGCGTTTAGATATTCTTGACACCAAATATACCGCACGTGGCCGCGCAGAGATGAGATACCATCGTGAAAAGAGATGTGGACTTTGCCATATAAACATCACAAAAGCCATTACGGACGAGATTGTAAGAGATACAGTGGCTGTACACGTCAACTGCAACATTCTTGCATCCGGAAAAGCGCACCCAAGGCATTTTCAGACATGGCGCGGAACAGAGAGATCACAGTTCACTTGGGCGATCAGCTGAAATGACTGCAAGCAGACTGCCCATATGCCTAAATATTTGAAGTTTGGCGAAGCCCATCTGGGCACTCAGAGTAGCATCCCATAGACATCTCATTGGTACTTTAAGGCCCTGATGACACCCGAGAAAACTCATGCAGCTCCCCGGATGCTACAACAGAGAGGGCTCCACATGGTTTCGCCACAATTTCATGTGTCTCTACAACGTGGGGGAACATAATCCTGGGAAATATTGACCGTCGCTCTCGGAGAGCAACTCGGCTCTTTCATCACTGTCGAATACTCCTTCCTGGTGGTTGGTAAGCTTCCTCGCCGTCTATGACCACCAGGTGGCGATCCCCCAGGGCCTTGTACCTTTAGTTAACCCCATTAACTCAAAAAGCTCGCTCTTCATCCCGACCACAGCGCAGTCACCCGCCGCAAATTCGGCTTTCAGCCATTCCCTCGTTCAGGTAAGCAGGCACCTCATAGTCGACTGGATCTCCACGGCATAAAGACCCATCTCCTCATTGGATACCTCGTAGCTCATCCAATCTTCACTACACTCCATCTTAATCAACCTGCTGAGGTCGCAGTGCATCTGACTGTCCTAGATGGGCCAAGTGGAAACTCCCCATCAGGCCAAATAGCATCTTCCCAACACAATCGCATCCCGTACCCATGAGCACGTCAACACCACCCCAGCAGGACAAATCAGATTTCAAGGTTAGTAAAAACGTTTGCTTTTTTAATCTTTCACATTGGTGTTAACCTGTCTTCAAAATTATTGGTTTCTAAGCTACCCTAGGGTAACACTTCGCAGAAACAAAATCTTTTCCAGTTGAACGTTTTGAATCCCCATACAACATACCAACTTTTTGATCAGCACAAACATTGGATCTTTGGTTTGCGCTTTTCAAAACTCTCCTCACTGACAGCCTCAAACGGACGGAACTGGTCCAAAGGTTCCCACGCCGTATCCTTTGAACCTGCCCTCTCTCTTACTGAATTTGATCATCTCATTCGCTGGCCTGTTCTAACTCACAAGCAAATACTTCTAGCACATCTAATTTTCTTCCAGTCTTCTGAACCAACCCTCTTGCAGCTTAAGTACGGTCTTCCCTGAGCATTAACCTCCGCCAGCAGCTTTCCCTTTGCGAATCCGCCACCTTACCTCATACCCCCCCTCTCTCTAGCTGGGCATCTTTCCTCTGTCGCGGGGTCCTTCAACCTGGAGCCTTACAGTCCCAACTCAACCCACTCAGAAAGTCCAACGTCCCATCATCTCAATCGTCTGAGGGCGGTTTTCCCAGTGAAAACACGGGTTTTCAAAACACGACCAGTCAGTGTTGGCTCTCACGGTCTTACATCGCCATTGCTTGCCGTCTATGTGTGGTACGCCCCCCGTCAACACACTCACCGTTCGACCTCATTCTGCCGCGAAAGGGGTCGACCATCGACGCAACGTACCATTCTCGGCGGCGCTTTCAGGGTGGACTTGCAACCTGACCACTTCCATCTTCCTCTGATGTTCACAAACACTTTGTGGTAAGCACTGAACCGTTGCCTTGACTTTTCCAACATCAGCAAGTAGAGACTGAGAGGGTCTTTGCGAGATACCAGCTTTTCGTCTCTGTCACCCCCCAAATCTCATCCCTTCGCCTCTTCGTTTGCTTTGCGCTCTTGCCAACCTTGCCAACGCCTTCTAAGCACAGCTCCTCCCTCTTTCCTCTCTTCGCTTGCCTTTGCGCTCTTGCCAACACAGTTTTCAGTACATCACGGCGCTCCGTCACCGACGACACCCTGGGAGCCTGACGAGGACTGTGCCAAAACACCTCGACTTCTTCTCACATCTGGGTCTCCACGGTGTCTTCGCCAACACAGCCCCCATACAACCAATTCGAGGTCTAACTCGTGTCGCAACTTTCCGCGCTAGCTAAATTTAGCTGCGAAGACCGGAGCTCCTCGGGACATGTCGTCGCGCAGCCTGGTCTAGCTTGAGTCCGTTCATAATACCAGTCGGCGCATCATCTTCCAAAGACTCACCGTGGCTGAATGCCATTCCTGGCGTAACTTGACCTTCAGTCTGGGTCTGATACATGCCGCGTGTTGAGTCCACCAACATGGGACCGAAGCGACTGATGGTGACGCTCACCATTCCCCGACGCAAAGACGGTCCAGCATCATCTCGAACAGAAGAACCAATTGCTTCCAACAGTGGGGATGGTGACAACATGGCCCTTGCTAGAACGGCTGACGAAACCAGCGATCAGTCTCGTGGCTTGGGGGTGAGCGAGTCTTCATGCCCAGCCATCAAGCAAGAGGGGGGGACCGAAACAGCAGAAACTCCCTCTGCCTCTGCATCAAACATGAAAGAAACATGCGACAAAAAGTCAACCACTTCAGGAGCTGCCGAAGGAAAGCATTCTGTGTCATCTCCCGAAGTAAAGCCCAACAGTCCAGATTCAATGGATATCGACAACGGCCCTGGCACCAAAACAACGATGGGAGAGCCGCTGCCTTTCGTGAGCGATAACGACAACAACATCAATGTCAACGCCCTCGGCAAAGCCGTCGGACCAACCAACGAAGCAGAACAACCGACCCCGAACATCTTGGCAAGTATCGAGACAGCAAACAAAGCGCCGAATAGACGGAAGCGAAAGGCTGAGTCGAGCAGCGATCAAGGTCCACCCACCAAGAAGAAACCCGGAGCATACCGGAAGCCACGCAAACCGGCACTTGAGGCAGCAAAATATGTATCGCATGCCAATTCTCTCGTGCTGAGTGGGAAAACAGCAGAAATGCCTGAGGACATTGACTTGAATCTGCCAACAATATCCCAAGCACCTGCCAATGTGCGTGATCATCTTAGAGCCTTGGAGAAGGCTGGGCTCAAGTTAGCTCGCGCTGACCCAGAAACCATCAAAACTCACGTCAAGGTTCTAGGCGGCTTGTGCCATGTTTTCAAAAACATCGAGCCATGGCTGTTTGAGCGAGATGGCGAACCGAGAGTGGATGACTTCAAATGGAAGGTCCAGGGTTTGAAACATCCGCTACATTCTCACCAGATGCTTGGAAGTGCAATCATGATCGTGATTGAGAGGGACGAGAACCAAGGATCTGGTCTCCTTTTGGACTTCATGGGTTTCGGGAAGACTGTGCAGACTCTGACATGTGTTGTCTCAAACCTTGTGAGTTCAAACAAGGGCCAAGGCAAGGGCAAAGAGAAGGGCCAACGGAAAGGTCAACGGAAGGGCCAAAACCTGAAGGACGGTTCGGCCACAACTCTTGTCGTTGTCCGCAAGTCTGCTGCCCCACAGTGGGTGGATGAGGTGAAGGAGCATACCAATTCTCAACTGTCTGTTATCCTCTGGACGAGACAGACTGAGATAACGAGGGATGCAACGCTGGCTGCTGATATTCTCGTCGTCACATACGACCAAGTCCGGGCTATGCTGAAAGCCTGCAAGAGCGGCAAGATCACCTCCTTGTTGTTTGAGGCATGCTTCCAGCGCATTGTCCTGGATGAGGCACATAGGATGAAAAATCGGAACTCGGAGACCTTTAAGGCTTGCATGTGTCTGAAAGGCAAGCACAGATGGGCGTTGACAGGCACTCCTATACCAAATGGCGCGCATGAGCTCTGGCCGCTCCTCAGATTCATTCAGCACCCCAGTGTGAAGGACTTTCCTCATTTCAAGAAGGATTTCCTGGCCAAACTGAAGTCCGAAGGGGGCGTGGAGTACGAGGATTTGCGCAACCTCCTGATGCCAATTACGATCATGAGGACTCCACGACACCAGTTTTGTGGTATACCTCTGGTAAATTTACCACAAGACCACGCTGTGACAGAAGTAGTTCCACTCAGTGCTGAGGAAAAGGTCATATTGGCATATCTCGAGGGCAACATCTTGAGCTACCTCAAGATGAAGCATGGTGGAAGGTGCAACTACCTGTGCCTCAGAGAGAGGTTCACGAGATACAGGCAATTCAGTGCGAGTCCTCTATTGCTCGAGGCCCCGGTCAAAGATGGCCTGTGGACCATCGAACAGGTGGGACTCATGAAGGGGGAGGCCCACAACACTGGAGCAACACAGACGCCGATTATGGATTTGTTCGAGCAGTGGATTTTGGAGCCGAAGCAAGACCATCTGGCGCCGACTGGACACCGGCGAATTGACAGCACATTTGCTGAAGCAGACCTCATGGTGTGCCCTCTTTGCTGGAATGCGCAGACCACGCCAATGCTGGCAGAATGTGGTCACATATGGTGTAAAGAATGCGTCGAAGAGAGGCAGAAATCATGCCGGCTGATGGAGATAGAGATCTCATGCCGCAAGTGCAAGCGCCTCATCGGAGAAGTACGCCCTTACAACCCAGAGGCGGCACGCGATCCTGAACAGGATGCAGCGAGAAGCCAGAAGGGTGTTGACCATAATGGCTTCCAGCCTGCTGGTGATGAGGGATCTACTTTGTTCCAATACTTGGATCAAAATCCCGAGGCTTCAATTCCGTTGAACACAAAAATGAAGCGTATGCTTGACTTGATTCTCAAGTGGAAGGCTGAGGCTCCAAAGGACAAGATCATCGGTCAGTCTTGTCTTACAACATGATTCGATTTCATCTGCTAACGAGTGCCTCCAGTCTTTTTCCACTTCATTGGCGTTGGCCGACTTCTCGGACGGTTGCTTCAGGGTCATGGCATCGGCTACCTTTATTTCGTCGGGAAAATGAATAGCGATCAACGTCAAGATGCCAGGGTAGCTTTTGAAGAAGACGAAGCAGTCAAGGTTCTCGTAAGTCAAGTCTCGCCGGATTCCTCATTGTCTACCCTTTCTGACCTGGCTCTTAGATGGTCTCCATCACCACTGGAGGTGAGGCTCTCAACTTGACAATGGCGAATCGATGCATTATTTACGACCCGTGGTGGCACCGTGCAGTGGAGGAACAAGCATTTGGCCGCGTGAATCGCATAGGGCAACAGAAGGAGACTCACTGTGTGCGTCTGTTTGCCGAGGGCACCATTGATGACCGCATGAATGACCTTCAGAAAAAGAAGAAGAAACAACAGAGCGCAATAGCCGAACTTGAAGCCAGCAAAGGACTTACAGCCAAGACACTTCGACAGATCCTGGATGGCCGGAGCAAAGAAGGAGGCAGCGACGGTAGTGATGCCGACACCGACAGTGAAGACAGCGGGGACGACGACGAGGACGATGGCTCTGAGTCTGAGCCGGAGGATCCGAATGATGGGGATTGGGTGGCCTAGATCGCATGTGCAGCGGTCCGGTGTGGTCATTGAGGTTGCTTGAGAAGGAGAAAATGCGATGGCTTTTGCAGATTACCAAAGGAGAAATCAGAGTCTTCGTGCTGAGAGATGCTCCTGAGCACTCGGGTATTTAGAAGGGATATCATTCACTTCTTCCAGTCAATAGAGGATAATTTGCTTTGCATTCAAGCGCTGGACCTCCGTGGCCCCTTGCACTAAGCTAGGCGGGCGTGTGTGCAGTTCCTCGCCCGAGCGGAACGCCCCAGAGACATGGCCATGTATGGCGCTTGACGGGGCATTCTGGCCAGTTATTTCCAAAAAGAGTTTCCTGGCATCATGGGGACTTAAGTACTTTTATAGTAAGTTGGATACGCCTTGAAACCGGTTCCATTAGGGGCGTGTCCCCCAACGATGTCGACTTTTTCAACAAGGACGGGACCGCCAGGTTTAAGTAAGTACCTAGGTAGCTTGCTGATCCACGAGGCCGCAAAGGACGCCAACCGGGAGAGGCGCGGAGTCCTTGGTGCCACGTGGTTCAACAACTCGATACAGCTCTATATTGGCCGGGAGATTATGCTCTCTATGGGAAGAGGAACCAGCTCACTGAAGGCCGGGGGGGGGGGGTCATTTTGATTTGAACGATGCTGTTGAATACCTAGTCCAACACTTTGAGAAGAGTGGCATCATAGGTACGCAGGGGGCCGAACAGCACAACTCCAGGGTTGCGTCGGCAGTGGAGTTTCGCCGGCCGTGGAAGGTGACATGAGTACCGGTAGTAGTGGTGTGAGCGAAAAAGAGCGGCTGCATATAGCACTAAAATCAATCCGGATGACGTGTGATGCATGAAGGGTCTGATGGTCTAAACAGGAGGGGAGATGAGACTGGAGGACGATACATCGAAAAGTATTCATCAATGTAAGCATGCCTGTTTGGTGCCTGGGACCATCACAACGTACCGTAATGTCACTCAATGACATTATTCTCATCCCGCTATCAGAAATGAAGCAGGCAGTCCCGTGTTGAAGCAGTCGGTTCTGCCCTTTTCCAAGGTGTTTGTCCGATCTGCAGTATGGATTCACATCACGGGTAGGCTTGTGCACCGCGACGTCATGTTCTCCACGGTTTATCTGGACGGCAGAGGACCAGCATGCGAAATGGAGCCCACATGTCTGCACAGTCTGATGGTCAAGAGCTCTCGTCTCAGGGTCCTCGCATTCCACTGGCATGTCGCTTTCTCTAGTCTCGGCTGTAATCTTCCGAGTGGCGCCGGGCCAGGGAATAATGGCACAACCCTGCGGCAGTTGACTGCGTGAGCAGAACAGTGGACTTTGTGATACGGCGCCGTCTCCCCGTTTTGATCTTCCTGATCTAATCAGATCATCAGATTGCCTTTGGCCCAGGTGGGATCTGAGCCAGGGGGGCTTTGGTCCCCGTACAGGGAGGGGGCACTGCCCGCTTGGAGTTATCTGATCCGGCCCGTTGCAACGCAGGCTCGTCTGAGCCAGTAAGAAGCCCTATAATGTCGTTCCTAATCCAGACTAACAGTGTAGGTCTCCGTGCCCCTGCCCACTCGCAGGTGCCGGTGCATTCCCGTAAACGTCATCCCCCGAGCAGAATCTTCTTCGACCAAGTTCCCCGGGCCCAGGGCGAAAGAAGATCGCCGACAAGGGCAGGACAACCAAGCCTCGGGGCAGCACAACCAAGCCTTGGGGCAGGCAGGCAAGACTTCCAAGGTCTATATGTAAGGGTCTGTGTGGTAGAGTGCGATCCAATCATACTGCAACACACCATGAGTGGACAAGTCTATCTACTGCAAGAACAAGTGAGGCAACAGACAGCCGGGTCCCTCTCGAGCTCCTCAACAATACCCGCAGATCTGCAACAATAATATCCACAACGGTATAGCACACATGATTTATGGTGCATCGCCGGCGTGCTAGGATGCCTTGCCCTGTTGGTCTTTGTCACATCCCCACCCGGCGCTGATGCCCACAACCATCGCAGTTACTCCATCTCACCTGCACATTTTCACAGACGCTACCTAGCCTACAGCCGTGGGCCAGACGAGTACCATCATCCTCCCACGTAATCGTACATGGCCCAAGGCGGATGTCCTCACTACTATGCATGCAGCAAATGCCTTGTAAGGGTGGCCCAATGGCACGGAGAGAGGTCTCCCAATTTCTGCCGTCTCCGATTAGTTGTAACATTCCAAGGTTGCCACTCCAGTGATCACTCACCATGAGTATCTGCCCCCATGTTGCAGTCTGAACAGCCGTCTCTTCAGTGTTGCCTCCTAGGTGCCCCTGGTTTCTGCACGATGTTGCAATTATGCCGCGTTGTCCAATATACTGTCACCGTCTCCACCCACACTCCCAGGCTCTATCCTTCTTGATGCCATCCACTGCCTGCCCAGGTCCTGAGGTCCCTGGCCATCCCACCATGCAAGTAGGGGCTTGTGTCTCTGGTTGTTGGAGGCCTATAACATCCATTATGTCCCCATTCACGCACGATCCCCCTGTTTTTGATGGGACGATCTCTTTAGACCACGCGTTCCGCATCTGTCCAATGCGCTGCTCGGTGTTTAGCACATAAGAAGCAGAGACGTTTTTTATTTCATTCGTAATGGCGGATGAGGGACCTGCTACAGCAGGTCCTCAAAGGGACCCGACCAAGCCCAAATGTACCGCGGGTGAACAAAAGATCAAGGTGAGAATCATCTGAATCCCATCATTGCTGGCGTTGACGCCCTGTATCATATGAGCATCTCGCCGTATCCTCTTTCTGACGATGTCACTTGCTCGTAAAGAAGGTTTTCACCTTATCAAGCTTTGATCTTTCACCAACCCGAGGCTATTTCAGGCTGCTCTTCCTGACACCCAAGGACTCCGCCCTCGATTTTGCTCTGATTTTCATCGGCTTCTTCGCCGCCATCGGAGCTGGTATCCCCTTCCCACTGCTCGGCATCCTCTTCGGCCAGCTCGTTGACGACCTAAACTCGACATCATGCGGCGCCGACAGCGTTGATGACGGGTCCGTCCGGGCCGCCGTCAACCGCAAGCTGCTGCTCGTCATCTACGTCACCGTGGCCAACTTCTGCCTCATCTGGGTGCACTGCGGCTGCTGGTCCCTCTTCGGCGAGCGCGTCGTCCGCAAGCTGCGCTACCGCTACCTCTGCGCCCTGCTGCGCCAGGACCTGGCCTACTTTGAGACCCTGCCGGCGGGGGACGTCGCGACGCGCCTGGACGCCGACCTGACCACCGTGCAGGCCGGCACGTCCGAGAAGGTCGGCGTGGTCATCCAGAGCGTGTCGTACTTTGTCGCCGCCTACGTCGTCGCCTTCCTCAAGGACGCCAAGCTGGCCGGCATCCTGGTCAGCCTGGTGCCGTGCTTCTTGCTCATGGCCCTTGGGGGCAATTACTTCACCAAGAAGTACGCCGGGCGCGTCAGCGACGGTATCACCAAGGCCACGGCCATCGCCTCCGAGTCGCTTGCGCATATGCGCCTCATCAAGGTGTTTGGCGCTGCAGGCAGGATCGAGAGCATTTATGTCGGGCACCTTAGGAGCGTCCAGGGCGCCGCCGTCCGCAAGTTCCTCGCCGCCTCGGTACAGATGGGACTGCTGTACTTGATCGCGTACTGTGCGAGCGCTGTCGCTATGTGGCAGGGGGGCCGGCAGGTTGCTGAATCTGTGGCGACTGGTGGTGGCGACGGCATCACGGTTGGAGATATCTATACCGTGATTTTCGTCCTGGTTGATGGTGAGTGAAACTAAAGAATCTTGGTAAATATGAATTTTCAATGTTATCACGTTACTGACATCCTGATAGCCTCTTTCATCATTAGTCTCGTGGCTCCTTTCTTGACCATCTTTGCCAATGCATCAAAGGCATCTGAGAAGCTCTTCGAGACTATTGAGCGACAGGCACCTATCGACGCGATGAGCCAGGAGCAAGGCATCAAGTCCCCCAGCATAGTGGGCGATATCACCCTTGAGAGCGTGTCCTTCAGCTACCCATCCCGCGCCGAAGTCCCTGTGCTCGACAATGTCAGCCTATCGATACCAAGCAACAGAATGACTGGCATCGTAGGCGTGTCCGGTAGCGGCAAGTCCACCATCGCTGCCCTGGTCGAGCGTTTATATGACCCCAATTCAGGTAGAGTAACCGTCGACGGCATCGACCTGCGGGATTTCAACGTCAGCAACTACCATGGACACGTCTCTATCGTTGAGCAGAACCCCACCCTCTTCAACCGCTCCGTGCTGGAGAACATTGCCCATGGTCTCGTCGGCTCGGGGAGACCCGAACATCAACATTTGCAAGAAGCCCTGCTCGGCGGCGAACTGGCCCGCCTTGTGGGTGCCGTCCGCAAAGGTGGTCACTTGGACACACTGGCTGAGAAGAATCCGGCCTTGGAGACTATTGTCAGGCTGACCCGGGAGGCGGCCGAGCTAGTCGGCGCGATGGAATACATCGTCAACCTGCAACACGGCCTTGCGACGACTGTTGGGCCAGGCGGTGGTATGCTCAGTGGAGGTCAGAAACAGAGGGTTGCGTTTGCCCGAGCTGTGATCCGTGATCCCTCAATTTTGATTCTCGACGAAGCAACAGCCGCTCTTGATTCGGCCAGCGAAGCCAGGATCCAGGATGCTATGGACAAATTCTCGGCCAACAGAACCACCATCGTCATAGCCCATCGCCTGTCTACCATTAGGAATGCAGACAACATCCTTGTCTTGGAACGCGGTGGCAAGGTCGTTGAGCAAGGAACATACACTTCCCTGATGGAGAAGGATTGCGTCTTTGCCTCGCTTGTGAGACTGCAGAGCCTGAAGTTTGACGAGGACGACATGGAGCCCCGCGAGTCTGGTGAAACGACCTTCTACAATATGGAGACCGACCAGAAGCGCACAATGGAAGTGATGGAGAGTCTGAAGGACGCCCAGAAATCATCTGATGGCGAAGACGGGGTTGGTGGAAATGACACCAGCGCTCTCGAAAACATTAATACGAGCACACGCGGATTTCTTTCCACTTTCGGTGCCATCCTGAGGCTGGCCCGTCCTCAGCTACTTTTCATCATCTTTGGTGTCATCGCCGCCACCATCGTAGGCGGCTCTCACTCGGGGGAGGCGGTCATCTTTGGCAACGTCGTCGGGCGTCTCAACAGCTGTCGGCTTCCCTGGGAGATCCGCGAGAGCGCATCGCTCTTTGGAGGTCTCTACTTCGGGCTGGCGCTGATCGAGTTCTTCGCCAACATGGCCAGCACGGCGTCGTTCGGTTGGGTGTCCGAGAAGTTACTCTTCAAGACACGCGTGCTCAGCCTGCGGGCGCTGCTCAGCAGGCCACTGCACTGGCACGACTCGGAGGGACGCACGCCCGGCACACTGGTGGCATACATGAGTGCCGACGCCATCGCCATGTCTGGCATGACCGGGGCCATCCTCGGGGTCACCTTCTCCGTCCTCATAAGCCTCATCGCCGGCATCATCCTGGCCCACGCCATCGCGTGGAAGATCGCCGTCGTGCTGCTGGCCTGCGTGCCTGTCATCTTCATGTCCGGCTTCCTGCGCATCCACGTCCAGGCCAAGTTCGCCGCCCGCCACGCCAAGGCATTTGCCGACAGTGTGGCCATCGCCATTGAGGCCATTGACTCCATACGCATCATCAGCGCATTCTCGCTGCAGAAAGACGTGACAAATACCTTCCTGCGCAGTCTTCGGGGGCCTTACAACTCGACGTTGAAGAATATACTACACGGGAACTGTTGGCTGGCCTTGAGTTTCAGCATTGGGAACTGTGTATACGCCCTTGCATACTGGTGGGGGGCCAAGCAGACCGCCGACGGCACATATACCCAGACGCAGTTCTTCATCGTCCTGACTGCGCTCCTCGTTGCTGCGCAGTCTAGTGGACAGATCGTTTCCCTCGCGCCGGACATCTCAAAGGCGGCCGTCGCGAGCCGGAGGGTGCTCAGCCTGATCCTGCCCAAGGGAGAGGAGGCGTCACATTTAGAGAAAGAAGCCCAGTGGATCGGAGGAGATCCCGAACAGGGTATAAACGCACTCGCCGAGTCCAAAGGACCCAGTGTGGACGAAAAGGCCAGAAACGGAGCCCACGTCGCTCTGAGGAACATCAGCTTTTCCTATCCATCCCGGCCAGATGCCCCCATCCTGACCGACCTCTCCATGGAGATCCCGGCCGGGTCTTTCGCCGCCCTCGTCGGCCCCTCTGGCGCAGGCAAGTCGACCGTCTTCTCGCTTCTCGAGCGCCTGTATGTCCCAGCCTCTGGCACCATCTCACTAGACGGGCTGGACATAACACAGGTACCCGAGGCGGCATCTCTCGGCACGACAACGCAGGCCCGGGCGTCTTCGTTCCGCGACGACATGGCGCTGGTCCCGCAGGACACGGTGCTGTTCTCGGGGACGGTGGCGTTCAACATCGGGCTCGGGGCACGGCCGGGCTCGATCGCGAGTCAGGCCGAGATCGAGCACGCGGCGCGGCTCGCGTGCATCCACGACACGATCGCGGCGCTGCCGCAGGGCTACGAGACCCCCTGCGGGCCGTCGGCCGGTCTTCAGTTCTTCAGCGGGGGCCAGAAGCAGCGGTTGTGCGTCGCGCGCGCCCTCGTGCGCCGCCCGCGCCTGCTGCTGCTCGACGAGAGCTCCAGCGCGCTCGACGCCGAGAGCGAGGCGCGGTGGGAGGCGGCGCTCGAGGCGCTGCGGGCTGGGGGCGGGGTCACCATCGTTGCTATTGCGCACCGCCTGAGGACTATCAAGAAGGCCGGTGTTATTTTCGTCGTGGAGAATGGGCGGGTGTTGGACCGTGGGACGCATGAGGAGCTTGTTGTTCGGTGTGAGAGATACAGGAATGATGTACTGCATCAGACTCTAGAATAATTCTGCTCTTCTTGGTCGAATATTATATTGAAAGGCAGAGCGCCTGTTTCCATTCTATGAGGTCTCTAGTTCTATGTTCTATTGACTTTATGAATCATACATTATTTATACAAAGCTGCCCAGGTGTCTCCTTTGTGAGACACAGGCAATTCTCCGTCCCACTCCAGGTTAGACATCAACCGGGGTCCTGTGGTCTCGAATGGCACCCGTCAAGAGGACTATGAAGTCACCCATGATCTGTGCTGCCCGTTGCTCCGGAAGTAAATCGGACGAGAAAGTCATGGATAGCTCCATCCCTCCATCTCCGTTACTCCTGACTTCAAGCATAGTTGCTCCCGTGAATTCGACATAGCTACTACCGCCGTCCTCAATGGATCTCACAACAAGCGTACTGCTTGCAGGTGCGCCGGAGTTCTCGCTGATGACTTTCCGTGACAAACCATTCGAGTGCCGGAACGCTTCCTGTGATTCTACAGCCGCCATTCTCGCCAGTGCGCCAATAGTCAATGTGCCCTTGCACTTCTGGGGCATCAATCGAAGACGCACAGGCACCGGCTCAGCATCGTCGCCAGAAGCAATTATATCGAGCAGTGTATCACTAGCTAGCCCGCCGTCACACCGGAATAAGTATGCCCAGAGAGCGCCCAGGATGAAGTTGAAGTGTGCCAAGCCAGTCGTACTGCCGGAAGACGTCATGGCGAGATCCTGCTTGCATATACGCTTCATGCGCTTGACATGATTTGCAGGGATCGTGTAGTAGGGCGTGCTGCATGTCCTGCCGGGAGTGACCCCGTTCGCATTGGCTTTTGCGAGGCCGAATGGATCCGACATCGGTACGTCAGCAAGATATTGCCGCCACCAAGTAAGAAGGGTCTCGGTGTCAACCGAGCCGTTGACATGGTGGTCGGCCTTGCCGTTGACACCGTTCGTGACCCCATTTGGTCCAGACTTATTCCCATTGACTGTCTTCTCTGACACCCCATTCGCCGTCTTGGAGTGCGACTCAACACCATTTGGCGAAGACTTAGACTCGGTCGTAACGACGACTTGTGCCGCGATATATGCCGCTAGAGCCTTGATCGCCTTCCCTCCCAGAAGCTCAAAGAGTGGGAGGTCGACCTTGGTCTCGGTCTTGACCCACTTGCGGAGCTCGATCGCCACGATAGAGTCAAGGCCGTATATTGTCGGTGGGTTAGCTGGGTCGATCAGCAACATCTCAACACCCATCACCGACGATATCTTGTCCATAAACCGCTCGGTGATGAGTGAACACCTCTCTTCGAGGTCCGGGGTTCCCGCAAGAATCTTGGCCAGGCTCTGAGAGGCCGCAGCCCCAGCCGAAGACGACTGTCCAACGTCTATGTTGGCACAGAGCTTCCGGTAAAGCGGTCTCTTCCTGGTCTCGGGATTTGAAGCCAACCCATCGACACTGACTCCGGTTATGAGTTTCTTCCGCTCGAAACCATGAGTGCTGCCACCAACTGATGCAGCTGCCGTGAAACGGCGGTCACTCAAAATAGCCTCTTCCACCAGCAGCATCAGCTCCTGCGTGTTGATGGTCTCATCGAATTTGAGGCCAAGGTCAGCTGCCACGCCAACACTAGATACGGCCGCGACGTTCACACTGGCGCCAACGCACCCTTGACTGCGGCGCCAATCCATGAGGCTGTCCAGGTACGCATTGGCAGCGCTGTAGTTTGCCTGGCCTGGGTTGCCCACGATTGTGGATATTGATGAGAAGCACGTGAAGAAATCAACTGGCTGTTGCTGCGTCACCTGGTGCAAGTTCCATGCGCCGTCGCACTTGACGCGGATGACCTTTTCCCATTGGTTATAGCTCATTCCCTGGAGAGAGACATCTGCGAGCACCATTGCCAGGTGGAACACGCCAGCTACAGGTCCCATCTTGGCAAAGGCTTGTTGGACTTGTTCCAAGTTGGCCACGTCTGTTCGGTATATCTCAATCTCGCAACCACGCGCTTTCAACCAGTCAACAGTGCGTCGCGCACTCTTTCTCAGCTCACCTGTTGGGCTGAGAGCCGACACGGTGAAGAAGGCTAGCTTCCTGGCACCCTTGAAGTACATCCACTCTGCCAGCTTCAGTCCGAGACCACCTAGACCACCGGCGATGAGGTACTTCTTTTCAGGGTCGAATAACTTGGTCAGGAGATGGTATCCTCTGGGTTTGAGCATCACATCGCCCGCTCCAGGTACCAAAATAACCTTGCCAATATGCTTCCCTTGCTGAATCAGCCGGAAGGCCCTCTCCACGTCTGAGAAAGGCACCTCGAGCAGACTATCTGGCACTCGGATATTGCCCCCAAAGACGAGCTCACAAGCCTCGTCGATCAGCCGGTTCGTAAGCGCCTTGTCCTCCTGTACGACGAGCACCATATCAATAGACGAGAAGCTGACGTTTCGCCGGAACACATCCATGGGCAGGCCCGCGTTCTCGTGGACGTCCCGCTTGCCAATCTCCACGAAGCGGCCGAACGGCGCGAGCGACCGCCACGTCGCCTCCAGAAGCTTGCCAGAAAGGGAGTTGAGCACGACGTCGACGCCCCGGCCGCCCGTCGCCGCCAGGACGTCCCTCCTGAACGAGTCGTCCCGCGACGAGAATACCTGCCCGTCCGAGAAGCCGAACCGCTCCTTCAGGAACGCCCGCTTGCCCTGCGAGCAGGTCGCGAGGATGCGTGCGCCGCGGGCCTGCGCCAGCTGGACGGCCATCTGCCCCACGCCGCCGGCGGCCGAGTGGATCAGGATGGTGTCCCCGGCCTGCAGGCGGGCGACGTGGTGCAGCGCGTACAGGGCCGTCATCGTCACGGTCAGGAAGCTCGCCGCGGCGACGTCGCTCACGCCGGGGGGGATCTTGCGCGCGAGCCAGGCGTCGGCGCGGGCTCGGTTGCCGATGCACTCGCCCGCTGCCACGACGATCCTGTCGCCGGGCTGGAAGTCCTTGGTGGCGTTTGCCCCGGCCGCAGTGACTATGCCCGCACATTCCTCGCCGAAGTGGTAGTCCTGGATCAGGCCGACTGCGATGGCGATGTCGCGGAAGTTCAGCGCTGATGCTAGGACTTTGAATTCGATCTGGTCGTCTCCGAGGGCCTTGTTGAGGATGTCTTCGTTGGGGGCAAAATACAGCGTGTCGAGACGGCCTATGTGCCCGATCTCGAGATTCACTGGTGTGTCGTCTGGGAGCGGCCGTCGCGTTGGTTTGCTGTCATTGAGCTTGGAGTTCAGTTCCTCGTCCACCGCAAGACGCGGGGAAAAGGCCTCGCTGCCTCTCACTGCGACCTCTTCTTCGTCCAAGGTTTTATCCAGGGCCCGTATGATCGTTGTGCCCGCTTCTGGCCCCGTCGCGCTGGGGTCCAAGTCAAGGGTGATAAGCCTGGAGAGACGATTCTCGTTCCGGGCTGTTCTCAGGAATCCTGCGATTTTGGACATCTCAGGATTTGCTGCGCCCATATATGTACCCTGAAGCACCCATACCATGTTCTTCTCTTCTTGCAATGCGAGGTTCTGAAACTGTGTGAATGAGTCTGCCGAGGCCATGGTGGTCGACAACGAGGCCAAGATAATGATGTTACGATAATTGTCATCGCCCAACGGGAGCTGGCTCAGTTCTACACAAGTTAGATGACCTGCAAGGCTCTGGACCTGTCTCAGAACGTGGATCTCCGTCTCCGAGGGAGTTGCAGAAACAACCGCAGTGAGCTGCTCTGGAACGGTCGGTTCGAAATTGCGAAACTCGATGAGGTTCTCCCACTCCTGTTCGAAGTACAGCCTCCGACCGAGCGAGCCCTGTTCTTCCTTCAAGAAGGTACTCTCCTGATCCTGCATGTGGATGCAAAGCCGGCCCTGCTCATCCGAGACCAGAAGCTGGGAGATGACGGTACGCAGTCCAACACGGTCACCAAAGGTCCGAATGGTGTACTTCTGGAGATCATTGGATCCCGAATATGAACGCGCGAGGAGGTGGCCGGCCAGCTCAACGGACTTGTATGAACGTGGCACACCGACGCCATCCTCGTCGGGCCACCATTCCCACCCGTCCGATGATCCAGACCACGTTGAATGCATAACCGCATCGAGCAGCGCCAGTGGAACCAGCGTCGCCTCCAGCAAACCATCGATCCTGTAGAGGCTAGGATCAAACTCGAGATTTGCCACTGTGAAGCCCTCGCCGTCATCCATGTCACCCTTCAGGAGCCTGAACTCATCGCGGTACTGCACCCCCCGCTTCTCGAGCCGGCGGTACAGATCAGCGCAGCTGGGCCGGTTCGTAGATCTGTGCCTCAGCTCCTCAATAGAAGGGAACCGCTGCAGCGAGCCGTCAAGCTCTACCTCTTCAGGCTCGCCCGCGACGATGCAGATCCACCCGTGGCAGTGCTCCGAATAACGGCCGTCCACGTCGAAGCTGCTGATATGGAACTCGAGCCACTCGTCGCTGAAACCCTTGGCGGACGTGGTCTCTGGCTGAATGCTCAAGATCATCTCCGTGCCGACCTCGTTGTCGCGCAGCGTCATGGCACCCTTGATGTCGATGTCCTTAAAACGGACTTTGGCCACGGTCTTGTCTTCATTTGTTGGGTACCGCACGGCAGCCTCGACGGCAAGCGAGAGGTATCCGGACCCAGGGAAGACGACCTCGCCCTCGATGGCGTGCCCGGCGAGCCACGGTATCTCGGAGACTCGTATGTAGTTACGCCATTGCATGAGGTGGGGCGTAGAGTGCGGCACAGGGGTCCCGAGGAGGGTGTGGTTGTACTTTCGGTGCTGCGTGTTGCGCATCACACGGGTGGTGGGCGTCCAGTAATGGCGATGGTTCCAAGGGTATGTCGGGAGGTCTGTGAGCAAGTGACCCGGGTGTTGCTGGTCTGCATTCACGGCTGCGAGGTCGACTGGGTGGTTGGACGTGAACAGTTGACCCGCCGCCTCGAGGAGGCACTCGAATGCGGGCTGGTTGCGGTTGAGAGTGCCAAAGTAAGATATATCGACCTTGAGCTCGGACGCTACCTGTGAAGAAGGTCCCTTCAGCGCAGGATGAGGACCGATCTCTAACAGGATGTCGACGGCCTGTTCCTCATCATCATCCAGCAAGATGCCTGTGAGGGCGTCTGCAAATCGCACAGCGCCAACCATGTTTCGAACCCAGTAGGCAGCGTCCACATCCCCATCGCGGAGAATCCTGGCCGTGACGCTAGATACCATTCTCACATCTTCGTCCCGGGCTTCAGTCTTGTACGACGCGCACTCGCGTAATGCCGTCTCGTATGCCGGGGCAAGGGGCTCCATATGATGCGAGTGGAACGCCTGCTGGACAATCAGTTTCCGCGCAAAGACTCCTCGCTTCGAAAGATCTTCGTGGAATTCTTCGATCGCGTCCAGGTCGCCCGAAACGGTCACGCTGGAGGAGGAGTTGACAGCTGCCAGGCATAGCCGGCCTTCAAACTTGGACAGTTCCGAGATGCTGTCTGCTTCGCTCATGCCGACTGCAATCATGCCTCCAGTAATCTGGGGCTTGCCGGCCTGGCCATGGGTCTGCTTTTGGCTCATGTGGAAGCCACGGTAGTAGGCTACAACCATAGCTGCCTCAAGTGACAGAATACCGGCTGAATATGCCGCTGCAACCTCTCCCGACGAGTGTCCACAGACCGCCTTTGGCTTGATACCCCATGTCCGCAACAAATCTACAAGGGCAATCTGCAGGGCTGTGCAGATTGGTTGCGAGAGCCGCGTTTCGCTGAGACGTGACTCGGCGGGATCTCGTGGGCTTAAGAGCTCCTGCACGATAGACCACCCGGGCCTGTCAGCTCCGGGCAGGCTTTGTAGAACAGCATCACACTTCTCGAGGGTCTGTCGGAATGACGCGTGGCACTCGATGAGCTGACGACCCATGTCCCAGCTTTGCGCACCCTGGCCGGTGAAGACGAAGCCGATTCGAGGTGTTGTGCTTGATGAGCGGCTTGCAGCCGTCTTCCACTCGGCAGACTCACGAGGCTCCTCCAGCTCGGCAATGAGGGCCCCTGCGGAGGAGGCAATGGCGAAGGATCGCACTTTGTGGGTTGTGCGGTGGGCTGAGAGGGTATGTGCAAGGTCGCGGAGGTGCTGAGCGGCTGGCCTGTCGCCTTTTTGCGCCGTCACATATTCCCCGAGAACAACTCTTAGACGCTGGCCCGTTTCAGTGGCATGGGACGTGACAGGGAACAAAAAAGGACGGTCTGAAGTCTTGGCCGTGCCATTTGCCGTCAGAGTACCATTTGTCCCACTGTCAAAACTCTCCAAAACTGCATGAGCATTGGCACCACCGTATCCAAAGGAGTTCAGACTCGCCCGTCTGGGCTTGCCATACGTCTCCGGCCAGCTCAGCACTTCGGTGGGGACCTTCAGTCTCCAATCTTCAAATTTGATATCGGGATTCGGCCGGTCAAAGTGCATCTGAGGAGGGATGCACTTGTTCTCAATGGCCAGGACCGCCTTGATCATGCCTGCCAGCCCCGCAGCACCCTCGAGATGGCCAACGTTACTCTTGATGCTGCCAATGATCAGGTTCTGGCTTCTGGTCGGGGTAGCAAAGACGTTGCCCACGGCGCGCGTCTCATTTGGATCGCCGACTTTGGTCCCTGTGCCGTGGCACTCGAAAAAGTGGGTATCGTCTGGCTTGAGGTTGGCAAGTTGGTAGGTCCGACGGATCATCTCCTCTTGGGCCTCTGACGAGGGAACCGTGATCCCCTTCTTCGTGCCGTCGTGGTTGGATCCCGTTGCGCGGACGACACTTCTTATGCGGTTGCCGTCGCGGATTGCATCTGATTGCCGCTTGATGACAACAGCGCAGACGCCCTCCCCTCGGACATATCCACTGCCGTCGGCATCGAATGACCTGCACCGTCCGTCTGCTGAGAGGAATCCCATATCTGACAGAACGATGGCGGTAGTTGGGTCGAAGTACAGCGCGGAGCCGAGCACGATGGCATAGTCTGACTCTCCCGTGATGATACTCTGGTGTGCCAGGTGGAAGGCCACCAGACTGCTTGAACAAGCTGTATCAACCACGATACTTGGCCCCTTGAGGTTGAAGAAGTAAGACACGCGGTTGGCTTGCATGGCATCGCCTATACCTGTGATGCTGTGCAGTGGGTAATACGCCTGGTCGCATAGCAGGGTGCCGTAGTCGTTGCTGAGACTGCCCTGAAATACGGCGGTTTGCGTGCCGGCTATCTGATCAAGAGTAATGCCTGCATCTTCCAGAGCCTCGTAGGCTACTTCGAGGAGCAGCCGCTGCTGCGGGTCGATGGACTCTGCTTCTTTGCCGGAAATGCCAAAGAACCCTGCATCGAATGCTGTGACGGGGTGGTCGAGGAAGTAGGCTCGCTTTTGATTTATCTGTTGTCCTCGACATTAGCCTGGTCACATGGCTCCCGAGTTGGCAGGGAAAAGGTTCAAATGTCTTGCAGATGTCACGGACCGTGCCTTTGTTTGCGTGGTTGGGGTGATACCACGTGTCGACGTTGAATCTGTGTCGTTCATCTGGGACCTGCCGCTGGACGTCTCTCTTGCTCATGAGATTGTCCCACAACTGGCTCGGACTGGTGCGACAAATGTCAGCAAATTGCTTCCTCTCATTTGAAAGTCCCAGGATCTGGTAGGTCATGTTCCCATGGCTCATCTGTAATAGGGTCGGCTCACTTGTTGGCTCCAGGCACGCGACAGGCCATGCCGCATATCACCGTTTGTCGGTCCATATTTGCTGTGTGGGCCTCTCCGAACTGAGCAGAAAGCTGTTGAACCCTGAAGTGGCGTGGAACGAGCAAAGATCTCCCGGGGCCCTGAAGCAGATGTAGTTGTCCATTTTTAAAAGGGGCATTTCGATACCGATTGACAAGTAGCACCACGCATGGACGTAGTAGTGAATGTTAGTAGTGAATATTCAAGTGTTTGTTGCCGGAACTGTTTGCTGAGATCCACTGATCGTCATAGGAACCTGATTGTTTTCCTGGTATGTCTCACCAGCGGCCCGGGTGGAGCCCGTATCTGACTCGCAATTGCTATCTCATCATTGATCGGACTGCCACATGTGCTTTCAAAAAGGCGCTGCTGGACAAAGATAAACGATCGGCACAGCGTGGGCCTTCATGACTTATACAAGCCTGGAGACGCGGGGGGATTCACTGGAGCAAACGCGGGCGTTTTCTCCACCCCCATCTGATACCCCGACTCAGAGGATGGCCACTTGAGTCAATAACCCAACAGCTGAGCCCTGTGAGGCGGGAAACAAGCAATGGCTTTCAAGACTTCTTAAAGTCCCGTGTGCACAAGTCGCTTAGGCGGCATCGCCCACGCCGCCAAGCTCGATTCGAACCAACCCTCACAAACATGGCCTCGGCAAAACCTGCTGCAGGCTGCGACAAGCGCGAGCATCACCATAACGTCAGGGTCCTTTCTGTGGGCCTCCCCCGAACCGGTTCCAAGTCGATGCTATGTGCCCTGGAGATCCTCGGCTACCGGGACGTCCACCACCTGGGCCAGATTTGGTGGAAGCCGAGGGAGTGGGCGTTCCTCGACCGCGCTGCGGACGCCAGCTTTCCTAGCTTATCTACGTACAGAACCGGGTTGGGTCCAGTGAACTGGGATGATATGTTTGGCAATAATGAGGCGATTACGGACGCTGCTGGTCTGTTTGCGTCTCAGCTCATTGAGGCGTACCCTGATGCGAGATGTGTCATGGTCGTGCGTGACTTTGATGCGTGGGCTCGGAGTGTTGATGAGACACTGTTGTCGTATCTTTTCAGCTGGTTTAAGTGCCCTATTTCTTCCATTAAGACCATGACTTCTGTGTTAATGTGTTCTTTGTGCCAGTCTCGTTACGTATCTGGAAACATTAACTAACTCATACCAGACGGCTGGCTAAGCGCATACCTGATCGACCCGTCTGTCGGGGCGTACTCGACGCGGGCTATGAGAAAAATGTTCATGGGCGCTATGAATTGCTCAGCTAGTGATGCGAGAAAGAGAGAAGTGTTGCGAAAGTTCTACGATCAGCACTATGTCAAGATTCAATCAACGGTTCCGCCAGAGAGGCTCTGCGTGATGAGACTTGGCGATGGCTGGGAGCCGCTGGTGAGTGGCCCATGACATTTCGTGGATATCTCAATGGCACTTCTTGCTGATTGATTGATCCAGTGCCGTTTCTTAGGCCATGAGGTGCCAGATACTGCCTTTCCACACGAGAACGACACCAAAGAAATGCATCTCGGGTGGCAACATCTCAGGCACGGCATTTTGAAAGCGGCCGCCAAGAGATATATTCCTTGGCTGGTCGCGTTGACCGTGGTTGTAGTTGGCATTAAAAGATTGGTATGAGGTAAGGAAGACCAATATCTGGTCTATATAATGGACTATATGTACGATATACACATGCTCTCGTGCCTCCATCACTCAAAGGTCCGAATGTAGGCGATTATCATTCTTTGCAACTATGACACTATCTAGCCCATGAAGATCTCACACCCAGTCGATGCGTTCACGTTCAACGGCCGAGCCGGCCATCCTCTGGGCTTTTCGCACATCTGCGGCATGCATACTGGCCGCCCCCTCTGGTCCTTCATCCTTATCTATTTGAGTAATACTATACGGATCCCTCACTTTTGCTGGGTTGTAAGAGCTACCTCCTATTGTGACCACTGCTCTAGGTCCGCCATTCAGCTCGTACCCATTGTTGCGACCGAAGAGCCTCTGCCCCTCCGATCGAGAGCTCGAGTTGTTGGTGGCGTATCCAGCTTCAACCCAGAAACTGCGGCGAAACAATGGCGTGAGCATCGGTGCTTGGCCAACGACTACTGCCACGAAGTCCTCCCGAGTCGACCACATCCCTGCGCTGCCGCTTTCGTTCAACTGTAATGTGTCAGAACTCAGCACCGTCTAGACATCTCCCGTACAAGCCTGGGTATACGGGCTTACTTGAAATATAAGAACGTATCGCACAATTGCCGCAGCCATACAAAATGTGCCCAACGTAAAGCAAAACAAAAGGCCAATCCGCTTCCATACGGTCGCACGAAGTCTAATGACAACCTGTATCACGTGAGTTATTCATGCAACACACTTCAATGTAATGGTAAAAGCTCACCGGAAGAGGGACAAGCATGATACACAAGTCTGTTTCCAGGTTGAAGGACAACATCGTAGCCATCAAGACGACGCTCTGTGGCACACATTGCGGACCCGGATCTGGCCACACTTTCCAGAGGTTGCGAAAGGGTCGGCATGTTAATGTAAGAGTGAAGACAATCGCTATGAATGTGACCCCGATGAGACCCATGAGTGGCTTGACGAACTTTTCGCTCTGTGTGTTTCGCACCACACGACGATAAAAGCAGAGCATGTTGAACTTGAGCATCCATATAATGACGAAATATTGTGTAAGCCCCAAGAGATACAGTTGCGAGCCGTACTCCCACTTGTTGTATTCCGACTCGGGCATCATCTCCCGCTGTTCGTGGGTAAGTAGCGATGTATGCCGCCCTTGACACCTGATTGCGTAGATGTGGCCGACGACAGGCCCAGAACACCATACCAACTGGTTGGCAGTCAAAGTATTAGTGTCTTGATCCGACTGTCACGCTGCAGCCAAGTGAAAAAGCAGATCACTGAGAGAACTCACAATCACCCCGAGGACCAACCAGTCATCCAGGTCATACCCATTGATACCAACCATTTTGGTCCGCACCCATACTCGCAAAGCAAGAAAGCACAGACCAAAGAAGGACAGTAGCCATATTTCGATCAGAAACCGGACAATAAGCTCCTGCATCACGTGCGATTATTATGTCCTTGATGATTGAAATCAAATACTCGTATCGATTTGACGTGGATTTACATGTATGCTTTGCTCGGTAAATCAGGGCTTGTGGGTGGTGAAAGTCCAGATGATGATGTGCCTGGATTGCGCTTCAAGAACGTCTGGGAATCCACACCATAAGTCCTTGTCCATCGCCCCCATACTCTTAGGTATAAACCGATCCCACCAATGATTGGACATGGGGGTCGAGGGAATCCTTTAACAGTTGCCAGACACACCCAACTACCCTGGAAATTGGAACAAGGCTCCGCTGACCACCCTTCTCGGTATTAATATGTCGCTACCAAAAGAAATTCAGATTTGTGTAGTATCGAAAAGAGGTTTTACAGTGGGCTTACAGGACACCGCCTGTTAGGCCCTGGGCGAAAAACGGTTTCTGAAGTGAAGATCATGCCGGGGCGGCCGTCTTGTGTGCCCAAAGAGTTTGCCACGAATGAGCCGCACGCGAATTTTCCAGATTGGTCGCACGATTATATATCAACTATTGGTCAAAGATTGCGGCCATATGCCTCGCTCAGGTGGCTGTTCCACTCAGCACGTTCCACGTCAGCAGCCCTAGAGAGCAAAAGCCGAGGTAGTTGGCGGAAACAAAGGTGAACGGCGGACCGATCTGTATGACGGCGGACCAGACGGTTATCTAGACGGATAAAGACGGGTCATAATGCCCTCTGTGTAACCTTTCGAGCTACGATACCGTTCCACCATTGATACCTCGGTGGGCATATCAGGAAAGCAACCCCACCTGATTGATTCGCTACTCCAGATCCCTCCATTCCCACTCCGCGCCAGGAAAGCCAAGGACCTGCTAAATAAAGCAGGAAGCGGCCGGAAGCATCTCCAGCAGGTCCGCCTCCTGCGCCTTTTTTCAGCATGCAGGTAGATCTATGACATGTCATCAAGCAACAGCCCGGGTGATGCCGCAGGATGGCGCTGGTTGGTGCTCGGCGTTCAACCCTCTTCCAATCCAGTCTCCTTGCAGGTCCATTCCCGCGCACTGAGAAATGACTGCAGCTGCAATGTAACACACCCGTAGCCATCCTTTGGGGGCCATATTGACGGCTTCGGCCGAACAGATATCGAGTTTTGTGTGGGAGAATCTCACCACCAAAGACCCGCCTTTTATTTTACGTCTGCCTGGGCTACAATACCAACTGAACAGACAGAGCCTCGTTCTGTGTTTCGGACCAAAGTACTTACTCAACATCTGTAACAAATCCTACGTTCTCGGAGAAAGCTGTCAGACTGTTCATTTGGCGTGCTTTGTGCCGTGGTTTGTGATGTTCTTTCTCGGCATCTCAAGCCTCGGGAAACTGCGAACACGCAGTTTAAATAACTAGGGTAATAAAGTCAACACTTACCTCCCGCCGTGTCTTCGAAAAAAGTGGCCTGGTGGAGGATTCACCATCATTGGGGCCTGAGAAATATGTAAGTTCTCAAACATGAATTGATTAGTAACAACGCAGTGTATCCCGGACCACTTTGTATAATACACGCCACAAACGAATAATCAACGTGCTCGGTTCAAAGCGAACCGGGGACCCGTTGGATCGGAACTTGCGGGTATTGACGCCTGCAACCACATGCTGCGTTTTCTGATTGCCCCCAATATTTTGTTCGTCACGAGTCACAATCTTTCCGCAGTGTGAACTCTATCAACGTTGCCCTTACACAAGCTGAGCCGGTTGACTTGAGCTTGCTGGATTTGTAACAAATGCCGTGGACCTCAACTCGGAAGCGGCAGCAAAGGATTACAGAATCATCTTGTTACGTACGGTAGGGTTCCAGGATGCCCTGCGAGGTTATGGTAAGTACCCTAGCTGGCATGAATATAGACGCATGACACACACTCAGGCAGCTGATATCTTTTCTGGCGTCTGACAGATCAAAGTAGGGCTGCAGACGCGGCATACATATCACGGCCTCTCCCCATCATCCCCTGACATGGACTCAATTCTCGCTGTCGCCAAGGAGCACCAAACCGCCATGTTGCTGGGCCTCGCGGGTCGTACGCCAATAAAAACAGCTCCTAGATCACCCAAGCTACTATCTCACTGCAGGGTTACATTGTTGTCAAGCGTCTCAATATCTCGCCGACGCATTTGGATCGCACATTCTTTGGCGACGGATCCGCCCAGTCGGTGATGACCTGACCATGGCAGCCGACCTCGACTTCGGGTTACTACTGGGAAAGTTCAAGGTTAGCAGCATATCCTGTTGGGAGCACACTCATCCGCTGCCCAAGTATCACACAATATCTCACGGGTCATCCACATCTCCATGTAACCGCCAGTTGATCCTACCACCGGCCCCCCAACACCCTGAACTTTGGGTAACAACCAAGGGGCGCTGGTGGCGTCTTCCGCAGACTTTTTCGATTGATTTCTGTGGATTACGTCCTATAAACTACTCCTGTGCGCTCTGCCACGGGAATTGAAACAACGAAGACTCAAGCGGGAGTTGCTTCAATGTTGCCGCGACATCGGTGGTGGGCACATCCTCATGGCTGAGGTAGACGGCAAAGTCATCACAGAGCCACTTGGAGACGGGAAGGCCGATGCACAGGGCATTATTTATTTCGATCTGGATATCCTCTCCGCTGTGGCAGTATGAGGTGGCTTGATGATGTTGGCCACTACAGCAGGCCTGACGTTTTGTGGTCAAGCTCGAGTGTAGATAAAGATTAGAAGCAGCATGTTGTTAAGAAGGACTTTGATTGAATATATATAGACTTTAGCTATATTATATTTTTTATTCAACTATATATTTATCTATTTATTATCTTCTAAACTTTTAGACTAGCTATTAGCTTATATTTTAAATATAAAGTTAATAATTATTTAATATATACCTTTAAATTTATCTATATATAAAGTTATTAACTTTCTTTATAGAGCTCCCTCTTTTACTATATTCCTTATATATTATATAAAAGTAAATAAATCCTTAATAATAAAGTAGTATACTTAAAGGAGAAAGATTTAGTTTTTAGATACCTAAACTTTTACTTTTTTTATATAGTATTTATCTAATATATAATAAATAAACTTTATTTAACTTTTTAAAGAGTTTTAATTTTTTATAAAATTTATATAGAAAGGCTTTTAAATAGGTTTATTATTATAGTATTATTATTTTATTAATAACTATATATTTAAAATAAAGATTATAGTATATTTAACTTACCTAATAAAGGTAGATTTAAGTAGTTATATAATAAGTATATTAATAGAGAAGAGTTAACTTATTAAGTCTTATATTATAGAATTCTTCTTTTTATAAAGGCTATTTTAAAACTATTTTAATTTTATTATATAACTACTTTACTAACTTATTATAGTAAATTAGCCTTTAGGCTATTTATATTAATAATTCTAGTATAGCGTTATTAGGAGTAATACCTTCTAACCTTATTTATATAGTATAAGGCTTAGCTATATACCTATATACTATATTTTTTTTCTACTATTATTAGTATTATATTTCTTTAGACGTTAAATCTTCAGTGTTTACTATTATATAAAGGCGCTATATATATTTTATATATATAGGGATTAAAAACGAAACCACCTAAATATACATACTAGCCAGTATAAGAGTTGTAGGTAGATATAACTATGCCAGTCACTTGTACATTATGATATTTATAACAATGTGGTGTAACGTTAAGTTATTTGGTCCCCCAGGAGTTTCAGATCGCTATGTGTACATATGATGGTCCTGGTACTACTAGGCTCATAATTGCTGGTGGCAAATATTCCGGTGCCGAGGCGTATCTGAGTGAGACAATGAAAGACTTCGAAGCTGAATATTCAGCTCAAGGAGCATGTTTCATGCATGCCTGCTTACTGTCCGGGTCAGCACTAGGCGAGGCGGTGCTTCCCCCGATTATACTTAATGCCGCGACCGCGTTGTCATCAGTCGTAGATGCCATAATAACCAGCGGGTATCCGAAAAGATGAACAGCAGTGCGTTGACAGCGAGAAGGACGAGGACCAGCACGCCGAGGACGCGAAGTGGATGTGGGATTTGTCGGTAAGCCTGATATAGCAATCGTTCAAGTCTTCCTGTTCGATGCCGCTGACAGGACCAAAGCAAGCGGCATATCAAGTGCGACGAAGCCCGTCCATCATGTTTGAGATGCAGTCGGGCGGGATGGACATGCGATGGATATGCGGCAGACAAAGCGATCGCCATTGCCTCTCCGAGTCAAAGAGATGCAGGTACCCTCGCAGCCAGACCAGCAATTCCCATTACCAGCTACGCTATCCCCTTCAAGGTTCCAGGCTCGCAGAGAGACCGCCAAATCCTGCACTACTTCTGTGTGCAAGGTGCCCATGAGATCGCAAGCCACTTCAACGTCGACTTCTGGACAAATGTCGTCCTACAGCAGAGCCATCAGCATTATGTGGTGCGGCAGGCGCTTGTGTCACTGAGTTCACTACACCTCGAGTGTGCGACTAGAACTAGCAATAAGCCCTGCCGAAATAAACCTGAGGTACTGATTCGATACGGAAAAGCTGTCCACGCTCTAAGAAAGCGGATCCAGAAGCCCGACCCCGATACTATAAAGGCTGCGCTCACATGTTGCGTCTTGTTCTACTGCTTTGAAGCAGCTCTCGGTGATAGTTGGTCCGCCATGCGCCACTTGGACGCTGGTTTGGACCTGTTGTTGAACCATTGTCGAGGACAAAAACTCGAGAACGACGAGCACATGGGCGCCTTGTCTCGTGTGTTCGAAAGCCTAGATCTACAGGCTACAATATTCCACGATGCACGTGTTCCACGTATGCGCCTATCAATTGAAGACGGCGGAGACCACAAGGCGTTTCGCGACCTAAATGAAGGCTACGGGACCTTCAAACGACTCCAGAATTCTCTCTTCCATTTTCTCACAACGTATCTGCCATTCAAATTCTGTGACAAAGACTCGCTACCTGATCATGTAGCGCAACAGAAAGGCGATCTTGAGGACCAGCTTTGTCTCTGGCTGGCTCGATTCGAGGAGACAAACTTTACGAGGAGTGCCGACAAGAGCGAATACCCCGGCGCACGCCTCTTACTCATACAATGGCATGTTTCAAAGATGCTCATTGAATCGAATTATCCAGTCAATGATGGAGTGTTCGGATCGTCACCAAACCCACGAGCTGAAAAGGTCCTGAGTATGATCGACGAGTTACGCCATTACTCTCAAGGAAGGGCGACAAGTCTCAGTCGGTCCGATGTTGGAGAACGACGGACCTTCTCTTCCGAGAGTGGAGTTGTGGGTCCGCTGTTTGCACTTGCTGCCAAGTGCACCGACGAGAACGTGTGCAATCGCGCTTTCGAACTCCTGACTACATCACGAAGACGCGAAGGGCTGTATGACTCGGGAAATATGGCAGAGATCATCCGCCAATTCCGTGCGGCAAAAGACCAGAAGAAGGTCAATGACCTTAAACAAATACCTATGATGATCCACTCAGCATTATCTCTCGAGACGCTGTTCGAACAGAAGATGCGTGGTATAGTCGGCGGTATGGACGAGCTAGTTGACAGCCTCCAGTCAGGGCCTAGTTGCTACAAGAGCGCAGTAACGCAGGCTCGGCGTTTGGGTGAGGAGCAGGAACACAAGCCACAGGACAGTTTTTCTGAAGCTGCCGCCGAGGGAGTTGATGCGGTGGACGCGACTCATCTTCCGGCAATTGTTCGTTATTTTGCTCAGCGTGATGTTGGCGTACCCGACTTTGCTCAGCGCTATACTGCCGATGCTATATAGACTGTTTGGATTGTTCCAGTCTCAAAATGTTTTTGACTCGGTTGAACAGTAGTAAATGTACTTTTAAGACAGAAATGGGGTTATTTAGCTCGCGTACAATGAGTGCCGTCTTCAAGTTGTGCTCCGTATGCTCCACCGACACGTACCTAGTTGAAATTTTTGCTTGTTGTATTGTAAGTCCGAATTGTCATTGTCCATGCGATCTTTCAATTTTCTGGTCTTTTTTCTTGCTACATGCATGGTGAACTGGACACCGGGCCCAAATATCGCTATTGCAAAGTGAGGACCTTCAGTAATAGCCCTTTGGAAGCTTCTGTACGGATTGGAAACAAAGCTTCTTTGCACAATTTGAGAAATAATGGGAATTAGGGTGTCAAATCAACTTTAATCGAGGAAAGGTTTCATTGTTGTATTCTGGACTATGTCAGTTGTAGTGAGGCCTTGGCACATTGTCGTAGTATGGTACCACTATGACATTCTTGTCATCTGTATTGCCAACCATAGCAATCGTACCAGGGTGGATAGGATGCGAGCTCGTGATGATCTCCAAGAGGGCTGGTTTTCCCGATAACGCACTCTCAGCCAGCCTCTTGACCGCGGCATCAATATCAGCTGGCTTGCTGACGCGCTCAGAGGCAGACCCCAGCCCTTCGGCCACCGTGCTGAACTTCATCTCCTGGGACAGTATGGCAGCCGGGCGGGACTTCGTGATGGCGCCGTATATGATTTCTTGGCCGCCTACGCTCATACCCCAACAATGGTTGTTGCAGACGATGGTCAGGACCTTGGCGCCGAAGCGAGCGTAGGTGTCGAGCTCCGCGAGGTGCATACCGCCGGAGCCATCGCCTTGGATGTTGACCACGAGGCGGTCCGGCTCAGCAATGCTGGCGCCTAAGCTATAGCCCCAGCCATTTCCAAGGAAGCCTAGGTAACCACAGCTAAAAATCATTCGCTTCGGGCGTAGGAACTCGCTGGTCATAAGAGACCAGCTTGCAACCTCACCACCATCTGTTCAAGGAGAGACTAGGTCAGTAACAGAAAATTTAACCAACACGAGACGGGGGGGGGGGGGGCAAATGTGTGCTGTTCATGAAACGAGGCAACACGACTCCCGAAGAGAACAAAAGAACGAGTGACTGAAGTGGGAAAAGTCTTACCTATGGAAAGCGTTGCATCCCCGGGCAAGGATGAGAAGGCCCGCTTCAATGCATGGTAGGGGTGCACTCTCCCAGGCTCATATTCCTCAGCATCCTGTTCCTGGGGCATTGGCCCAGCTTTCAGACTCATCGTTGTCTTAACCCAGTCCGCTGGTGCGGTGTAGTTCACGCTGTTCAGGCCTTTAGACAGAGCATCCATGGCCGCCTTGGGATCAGACGTGATGCCGAGGTGAATATCATGGGCCCTGCCAATTTCTCCAGAGTCTGTATCCACCTGGATATATTGACATTCGTCCGGGTGGGGAATGCAGGGCGAGCCCCGACTCCCCAAGAAAAATCCTGTACGCGCCCCGAGCAATAGAACAAGATCCGGAGCAGGATGATTGATCATCTGAAGAACATTGAGCAGGTTCGCAAGGCCGCCGCGGAGCGGGTGCTTGTTGGGCAGAGCACCAGAATACTCGGTGCTGTTGAACGTGGGGATTTGTGCCTTTGCCACAAAATCGTGAAAAGCAGTATCTTCTTCGAGGCCCCTTGCTCCTGCGCCAGTGATAATGACTGGGCGCTTCGCCGCGGAGATCATTTCCACAGCCTTCTGGGTAGCCTCGGGATGTGGAGCGGCCGGATACGAGGGCTTCATCCGGACGGAACCCCACGCAATGCGCTTGGGGTCTACTGGGGAGAAGAGGACGTCGATGGGGAAGTCGATGAGTACCGGCCCCGTCGGGCCCGCAGTGGCCATGTGGAAGGCATGCGACACGAGCCTTGGGATCTCTTCGGCGTGCACACAGCGGTGGCAGAAGCGCGTGACGGGCTTGCTCACGACGACCTGGTCGTGGAACCCCTGCAGGACGTTCAACTCGGCGTCGCGCTGCGGTGCCGAGCTTGTGATGCAGAAAATTGGACTCCTGTCGGCCATGGCGGTCGAGAGCCCAGCCAATGCGTTGCCGAATCCGCTGTTCGCGGTGAAGAAGCACACGCCGACCTGGTTTTTGACCTTGGCATAGCCCTCCGCAGCCTGCACGGCGACCGTCTCGTGCCTGGTGTCGATGAGGCGGATCCCGGCATCGTGGGCGCCCATGAGAAAAGCATCGAGGTGGCCGCCGTGTAGGCCAAAGGCGACGTTCACGCCCAGATGGACTAGAGTCTGGGCCAGGAGGTCACCACCTGTGAAGTCTCTGCCCTGTGGAAAAGATAGCTGCGGATAGCCTGCATTTCCCTCTTTTCCTGCTGTGGAAGTCATCGTGAGACTCGGTGAGATTCAGGCAATGTAGGCAAAGGGGAAAAAACAGAAGTCTTTGTGATATGCACTATAGTATTGTATGGCAGGGGAAGTCATTTGAGTGAAGCAATACCAGAGTTGTGCCCTTCGGATCGTCCTATGCATCACTTGTATTTAACTACTAGCAGCGAGTATTCAGAACTGGCTTCAAATGTTATGCATGTTACCGAGGTAACTTAGTAGCTGCTCCATCTTGTATCATGGCTTGGCTTCCAGGTCCAAGTGTCGAGAGGGGTTCCAAGGTTTCCCCTCATTTGACAAGCAAGCGGGCGGGTTGATCGGACTTGGGAGACGTCGGAAGACGCACTCAACGACACCGTTCTCCCGCGCGCCCTATGACAGCCGCACATCTCGGAAAGGCTCCTCGCAACCCGATAGGAGAGGGGTTCAGTTGCCTAGGTACGTAGCTGTGGATCCATCCTCGGCACCTGGGCACTCGTGACTTGGGATGAGACATCATAAGCTGGGGTGAGCTAACTTTAATTGCCTACTAGTCCTAAATCCTCGGGGCCGGGATTGTGGGGTGCATGAATATATCAAGTCCGCGTCCGGGGGTTGCTGAGACTTCATTCCCGCATACTGGACACTTGCAAGTTCCGACAATACTCACACAGACTGCAAGTTTTCACGCAATGCCTGAATTCACGGTAACCGACAATGATCTATCTCCCTTGAAAGCCAAGGTGGTGCTCGTAACAGGGTGCTCCAGCGGTATTGGGCTAGCGACAGTCAAAGAGTTGCTCAACATTGGGGCAAAGGTCGTTGGAGGAGATTTGTCTGCTCCGGAGCCTGGAGTTGACAATGAAAACTTTGAATTTTTCCAAGTCAACGTCACTGACTGGAAGGCACTACGAAACTTTTTCAAACACGCTGCAAACAAGTTCGGGCATATCGACCATGTGTTTGCCAACGCTGGTGCGTAGTCTGGTAAACCCAGGCGGCGGCTGCGAAACACTGAAGTAGGATCACTCGACTGACCCGTGCGAACAGGTATCGGCCCTAAGATGGACTTGCTCACAGACCAGTTCGATGAGGACGGAGAGCTCTCTCGGCCGAATCACATCGTTTTCGACATCAACCTCACTGCCGTCGTTGACACCGTCAGGCTAGGAATCCACTACATCCGAAAGAATCCTAGCGGTGGCAGCATCGTGGTGTCAGCGTCGTCCTCTTCATACCAGAGGTATCCCTGCTACGACTATACCTCTGCGAAGCATGGTGTCCATGGTCTGGTTAGGGGCCTGGTTTCCGAGATTGGGCCCGCGACAGACATTCCTGTCCGCATCAATGGTGTTGCACCGGGCTGGACCAACACCGGGATCGTGAATGAAGCTCTTTGTGCCAGTGCAGGGGTTCCGTCACAGGGACCAGAAATTGCAGCGCGATCAGCACTTATCGTCATGGCCGACACCTCCCGTCACGGAGAAATCATTCACTCGTCCCAGGGGAAATATTTCGAACTCGAGTCACACCTTCTCAAGGCTACTCATGATATTCTGCAACAAGCACCAACTGTTGAGCCGGTGACACGGTCACTTGCAGATGAATATCTCGCAATAGTAGCGGCGTATAAAAAGGGCCATGGCATAAAATGACACTGAGTTCGTGGGTTGGACCAACCTTAGAATCTGATAGCTCTAATATGTTTGAGGTCTTGTATGAAGGATTGGCGCAGTCGGCCTCAACAACATCTCTTCATGACGCAAATTGCCCCAAGTGGCATGCAGTCGCAGAGGCGCTATCGTTTGCTGCGGAAACAGATCGGACAGTTTTGAAGTGTGCACAAATCACGGTACCCTGTGAAGTCAAATGGATATCCAAGCCGAAGTAAACCTTCTTGGGTGTGATTTATTATGCAATTAGCCTCGTCTGTGCGGCATGAGGCTGAGACCACGTGCCCAGTCTTCTACACCGTTGCGCAGTTGTTGGTATTGCATCTTTTCTTAAAGGCTGGGTCTTTGAGCGTTTAGCATTCTGCGAGGGGACTGTACGCCTTCGGGATGTATGCGGATTAAGAATGAAACCACTCAACACACTAAGCATCAAATATACTCTCCAGACGGATTCCTCTTCACCGAGTCCCAGCCCCCTCCCCACGGGATCAAGCCAAGTATGCTTCTGTTCATGGGCGTTGCTATTTCCGAGCCTTGAGCAGCACTTTCAGACCGGGCTTGTGTGATGCAATCCCTCCAGTCACCACCCACTTTCCCGCATCTAGCATCTCTATCTCGAAGCGACGTATGATCTCAGGTACAAGCTTGTGTATCTCCATCAGAGCGATCTCCTTGCCCATGCAGACCCTCGCCCCCATGCCGAAAACATACATGGCGGCGTCCATTCTAGCGACCTGCTCCTCGGAACCCAGCCAACGCTCGGGGCGGAACTCGTCTTCGTTCGCACCGAACACGTCGGCGTCCCTCTGCACGACATATGCTTGGCTCGTCATCTCGGTGCCCTCCGGGACGAAGGTGCCGTCGATGACGATCCCTCCCTGAGGCGAAAGGCGCGGGAAAATGTTGGGGATCGGAGGGTTCACGCGCAAAGACTCCCGGATGCACGCACTCATGTACGGCAGATGCGTCCGTGTCTCATCGTACTGCACGACCGGGCTCAATAAACCCTCCGCATCCGCCGCGGCAATCTCCGCCTCCACCTTCGCCATGACATCAGGGTGCATGAGGAGCAGCCGGAGAGTCGCGCCCAGCCCGCTGCCTGTGGTGTCGACGCCCGCCTGGATCAGGAGCGTCATGTGCGCCGTCTTTTGTATGGCCGTCAGAGGCTGCGCCGAGCCATAGTCCTCACCGCTGCCGCCGACCGTGGCCTCGAGCGTCAGCTGCAGCATATCCGGCGGATCAGGCCTGGACTGCCCCATCTCCATCCGGCGCTCCCGCTCGGCGATCTCGCGGTTGGCCTGCGAGACGAGCCAGCCGTTGCCTGTCTCGTCCGACTCGCGGGGGAGCACGTGGGGCCCCAGGGGCGAGGGGAATATCACCTCCCGGAGGAAGCGCCAGCGCTGCGAGAGGCCGAAGAGCGCGAGCCCGTCCCTCCAGGCGCGGATGAGGCCGCGCTCGTCCCGGTCGTTGGCGAGGAAGCCCCAGGGCTCAGTGAACACGATGGTGGTGAGCACGTCGGCGGCGAACTCGGCGACCTTGTCGCTCAGGATGATTGGCTCGCCAGTGTCGATGCGCTGTTTCTGGTTGGCGAGGAACATCCGGATGAGATTATCTACTCGCGCCTCCCAGTTTTTCTTGATCAGGCCGACGCCCCAGGGCGCGCCGCCTAGTGCCTTGCGCAACTCCTTGTGCTCCTGGCTGTCGATGACTTGGAAGATCGACTTGGGGCCGAGAGCCTCGTGGCCGTACGTTGACGATTTGGTGTTACACTTGGCGTTCCAGTAGATCTCAGGAAGCGCCGAGGCCTTGTGAAAGAAGAGGAGGCTGGGTGTGATGCGAATTGGCCTGCCGTCCTCTGGTTTGACACAGTTTAAGTCAGCAGCAATACGTCTGATTGAAGTGACCTTATTCCAACTTGTTCTCGTAATTTATGTTAGGAATATCAGAGGAGATTTCGACGTACTGCCGTATTTACGCACAAGTGACATGAGCCAGTCGGGCTCCACCGACGCAATCGAGGCCAGACCCAACGGCAGAGACGAGCATGCCGCATACCACGGGCCTGGGAAATGACGCAGTGGATGCCAGAAAAGACAGTAAATTATACGGTGGCTAACAACCAATAAAGCAACAACTCCAAATGCCAGAGCGGCCTTGAAGAGTGCTGGCTGAACAGCAGAAGGGTTCAAAAATTCGATCGCCATTCTGGTAGTGTCTTGACTTCAGTTTCTTCGTGAAGATAGCCTAAACAATGACACCAAGCCATTTGAACCGATCTCCTTTTCAGTTGAATGATATTCCAATTATTTATGGTCACCTTCATTGCCACGGCTTTAGTCACGGGAATACTCGATCCGGAACCGGACATCTGCAGTCAGCGTCACTGCCAGTGTGGCCATGTCAGACACGGCACCTGGTCTGCCGAATGAGGTAGCACAGGCCTGGTGACACACATGCGGGGTTGACAACTAGTATTGAAGTCAAATGCTACCTGAGTCCTGTAATTATCGTGGCCTGACTTGGCGATGATGTTGATCATGAGGAGATTTGTCACTCTTGAATCCGAGGGCAGTTCGGTGCGAGTCTCTGGTAGTAGATAAGATCGCCGTGAGCGATATGCGTGGGGCTTGCTTTTTTTTTATTCTTTTCTTTTTGGTCCGTCTCAAACACAATTCCACACTCCTACATATTATTACAAGTAACGTTGAACGAATTGGAACTTTTCTGCTTTGTGGCTGGTAACCATGCCTAATGAGTGTGCTAACTGCTGGTTTGACTAGAGCCTTTTATGCAATTCTAACACTAATTAGAGTAAACGCAGTCTGTTCTGTGGTCGTGGCAGTAAACCCAACACCTGGGCATGGATTGATTCTGTTGCGACTGACTGCACCACATGCTTATTTGTTCTTGTACTAGTAGTTCGACATTAAGACCGTCTGTCAGAATCCTAGACTTTGCTGGTAGTATCCCATTAGTGACCAAAATCAACTTGACTGTGAAATCAAAGATCAACGTGTACTATAAAAGATTGTTGATGGCAGTGACCGGAGTCATCCCACGTCTTCAGAAAGAGTGATTTAGCTGAGTGACACCAGGACTAACCGTGCAACTTTGTCCACCAATCCGATAAGTTTCAGCACTTTGAGGGATATCCAGCTTCTCTCGAGGCCCATATTTTACCTCCCAGTGTGCCATCTAGTCCTGAGGCTGAGAGGGAGAGGGGCTAGCTGCATCTTTAAAGGTGGTTTCATTTTTGGTCCGTATACCAACTGATATGGGAAATTTTCAACAAGACGCACTCATTGTTTTCATACGGTATGACCATCGTATATGAAAATTGCAGCCAAAGCTAACGGACTACAGAAACGATTCCTCTAAGCCCACACCTCAACTGCTGGGACTTCGGATGCCATTACCAAGAAGACGCCGACTACTATGGAAGATGACGCCCGCATCTTGCATGTGTAAAAGTATATTCCACATTGCGCAGTCACATGCTGGGTCTTGCATAGCCCCCCCCCCCAGAGGCTATGTCAGTTGGCTCTGATACACCTGGGCGTCCACGAGCTACACCTTTCATGGGACTTAGTAGTAGTGATCCCTGGGTTCTGTCTCTCCCGTAACATAGATCTAGGACGTATTAGATTCAGTTCTTGCCTTAGCACATCTAGTATAGCCGGTCGATGTGCGTGTATTGCGACCGCCTCTGTGGCAAGTGAGGGTACGTTTGCAGCATTTATGACCTTTTCAAGCTAGATCCAGTGGAACCGGTGACCTGCCGTTGGCGTGGTCATAGTCATTCTTCTCTTTTGCATGAGTCTACTTTGGGTCTGAGTCTTCACGGACCTCTTATTAAGGTTTTGGGAGGCACGGTGGGCTGAAGGAGGCGTGAAACTGGGGGGACGTAAGATGGGCAACGAGTTCTGTAAGCGAGAGAAACTAAGACAACTTGCCCGATCTGAGCTATGAAGAGGTATTGTTCATGCTTCTGATGAGTGAATTGCCGAAGGCTGGTATTGATTATAATTAGACCCGAGGCTGGCTTTAGCTTTTAGATTAGTTATTAGTTTATACTATTAATATAAAGCTAATAATTATTTAATATATACTTTTAAATTTATTTATATATAAAGTTATTAGTTTTCTTTATAAGGCTCTTTTTTTTATTATATTTCTTATATATTATATAAAAGTAAATAAATTTTTAATAATAAAGTTATATATTTAAAGAAAGGAAATTTAATTTTTAAATATTTAGATTTTTATTTTTCTTATATAGTATTTATTTAATATATAGTAAATAAACTTTATTTAACTTTTAAAAGTTTTAATCTTTTATAAAATTTATATAAAAGGTTTTTTAAATAGGTTTATTATTATAATATTATTATTCTATTAATAATTATATATTTAAGATAAAGATTATAATATATTTAGTTTATTAATAAGGGTAGATTTAAATAGTTATTTAGTTTATTAATAAGAAAAACTAGTTTATTAAGTTTTATATTATAGAATTCTTCTTCTTTTAAGGGTTATTTTAAAATTATTTTAATTTTATTATATAACTATTTTATTAACTTTAACTTTAATATTATAGTAGATTAACTTTTAAGCTATTTATATTAATAATATAGTATTATTAAAAGTAATACCTTTTAACTTTATTTATATAATATAAGGTTTAACTATATATCTATATACTATATTTTTTTTTACTATTATTAATATTATATTTCTTTAGATGTTAAGTTTTAAGTGTTTATTACTATATAAAGGCGCTATATATAATTTATATATATAGGGATTAAAAACGAAACTACTAGACCCGAGGCTGTCTCCCGTGACCCAATCGGCTCCTTGGTTGAAATGAGTGGGATTGCCTCGGGTGTCTTGGGTGCTAGGGAACTTAATGGGGGCGTCACAATTTACATAAGTAGTAGCATTTTCTTCACAATCTGCATAGCTCCCACTGAAGTGACGATTCTCCACTGTGGCTGTCACTCGCTATGCACACAGTGATTCGACTTCCAACCGCATCAATGCGGACTGCAACAGGGATTGACAGCTCACTCTGCTATGCGATATTACGGTCACTGAGCAGGAGAAGTGCAGCTAAATTTTGTAGCTATCTAGGAAGGGCGGTCAGCAAGCAGGAGGCCTCAAGCGCTGCCAGTGGTCTGCGTTGGGGCTTCCGACTGGATGATGTCTGCAACCGCTGCTAGGTGCGGCGCAGCATGCCCAGCTGCATACCTACTTAGGTACTCAAGTACATGGCATTTCAACCCACGGGGATTAGCTTTCTCCAACCCTCAGCATCATGCTCATAGCCAATTAGCAACTTAAGATCTCATTCCTGCCTAACTAAATTTAATTGAATCTTGTCTAGTTCTCTCGCCATTAGCATTCCGGGAGCTTTGATCATCACAGATCAACCCTGATTCCTTGGCTTTGACAATCCTACAGATCGGCACGCCATGTCAGCTTCAGAGTCAGTCATCAGGGAGCATGTCGCTCACCTAGAGGGCTGGATCCAAATTTGCAACAAAAATCACGGTGCTAATTGTCATGTGGATCCTATTGAGGGGAGACCGCCGCATCATATCCCAGACTGGGTCATAGACACCGAGGACTGCTGCATCGTCCGCGGTTGTAGCGTCCAGAGATACGCAGCGCTCAGCTATGTTTGGAGCCCCAAGGACCGCCTCCAAGGGACGTCGGCAACATGTGACAGGCTCATGCTGAAGAAGGATAATCTCGCCGATTTCTGTCGAAAGGGCTTCCTCCGCAACAACATCTTGGAACGAGTACCAGCAGTTATCAGGGATGCTATTGGTTTCGTACAACATTCCGGGTTTAGGTATCTTTGGATTGACAGCCTTTGCATCGTCCAGCACGAAGACACAACTAGAGACCGCGTTGGTCTTATGAACGAGATCTATTCCGGCGCCTACTTCACAATAATAGCGGCTTCATCCATCGAGGGACGGGGACTCTACGGCGAGCATTATGACTACGACCGCTTACCTGACGGCCCTTCAGCGCACTACTTACACAGCGGGCTTCTATGTTCGCACTGGGCCTCGCGAGGTTGGACCTTTCAGGAGCACCTCCTGTCAAAACGTTCTATCGTTTTTATAGATCATAACTGCTTTTGGGAGTGTGAGAGTGAAGTTCAGTGGTCCCCAACTCCCTCCATGAACATAGAATCCTCGGAACATTCGGTATGTCTTGTTCGACTTTCTTAAATACAGTAACAGCCAGTCATCAGCCAAATACTCTGGGCACCTTGAGAATTACAGCCCTTGGAATCATCTAGACCAAACTTTTGACCAAGAAAGGTTGCTAGGTTCGAAATCATAACATGAGGGAATGCCGAGAATGGCGACAGGGACATCACAATCGCGACATGCTGGAGGAAAAAGCCCTCCGAGGCTTCCTTGGCCAAGAATTGAGTAGAGCGAAATCTCAGGACCGGTCATCGCTCTCTGCTATTCCGGACTTCAAATTATACATCGAGCTGGCATGTCGATACAACAATCGTAACTTTACATACGACCAAGATGCGCTTCCGGCCTTTTCAAGCATTCTCGAAGTCTTGTCGCGGCGGAGATTCCATGGCGGATTCATCTCCGGACTGCCAGCCCTTTTCCTAGACTCGACCCTTCTCTGGCAACCGCTTCTTACCGCACGGCGACGTTCCCCGTCCGGGACAGCAACCAGGATTGCTCCCATGGCTCCGCTGCCATCATGGTCATGGGTAGGGTGGCAATGCTTGATAGACCCAGACAGTCTGATAGGTGGCTTAGATTACATGGAACATCACGTTTCATTTTACGTTTCATTTTACGTACGGGACCCTTTCAGAAATAGGAAGAATTCCTGGAGAATTCGGAAGCTGGTGGATTGGTCTGTCCTTTACAAAGATGGTTCTGTCAATCCAGTCGACGAACCTGCTCTACTGCAGAGCTTCAAGGATGACTCGGAGGAGAACCATGATCCTCTACCGACAGGGTGGTCTCGAGATGTCACCGGTGCTTTCATCCACGCAAATGATCCCGCAAACACTTTCCGATACCCCCTGCCGATACAGAGTAATCGTCTTCCCGCGGTAGCCGATAGGAATGCTTCTTTGCTATCCTGTGCGACAACAATCGCCACGTTGCGCGTTCGACGGGTTCTTGCCCCGTACCGCGAGGTTAGACCGGCGGACCACTCGAGATGTTCTTTTCCCAGAGTCTCAGTTTTTAAGACAGACTTGTACAACCACGAACCGAAACTTCATACCTTATGCCCAGTCATAACTCTCGAAGATGAAGATGGGAGATGGGCGGGTGCAATGGCCGTCATGGAAAACTCGGAAGGGCGTGCCTCTGTCCAAGCTGGGTCGGAGGTCAAGATCATAGCCATCTCGACTGGGAGCGCATTGCAGCAGGATGTGGCCGAATCATATCCAGAAATGGTAGACAGCCAAGGATTCTGTCGTTATGGGCCTTCGTGGAAACCCTATTACTTTGAACCGCGGTATTGTCGTGATGACCTTGACAACTTGGGCCGGGACTGGAACGGGGAATACTCAGTTACAGCCCACACGCGACAAAGTATAGAAGCCGGCGTAGACGTTGGGCCTTTTGCCCACCGCCTTTACTCAGATGGAAACATGGGAAGCCGTGCTACTGTCCAAACTACACCAAGAAAGCCCAATCACTGGTATCGCTGGCTTCGCTTCCATTCCCGACTCGTCCGAGAACATACAGAGCCCCTTCATACGGTGGTAAACACTCAAGACCCAGAGCCCAATCAGTTCGAGCGATATAACTTTTACAACGTGCTCTGGGTTGAAACCATTGACGGCATTATGTACAGGAAAGCCGCTGGACGGGTACCGAAGGAGATATGGGAGCAGAGTTGCGGGGAACCGACAAAGATTGTACTGGGGTGAATGAACGAGGCATTGGGGCATCCCTCATATTTCTAACTGATTTCGCTCCTATTCCGTATACGTCCGAGGACATACATGACGCCTTTATATAGTGGTAAACGCTCGAGACCCAACGGTCAAAAAAGTACAGTGCCAATGACAGTATAGAGACAATATAGTACCTGTGGGCACGTGGCCTCGAGAGAGCCCAAAACCATATAGAACTCAAACACACCAAAGCAGATACAAGAGACTGCAAACCAACGCGTGTCTCACCGTCTCACTTCACCCAAAACGCAGAGGTGACTAATGAGATAACACATTCTTAGGCACTAAAAGTCTGTATCACCAAAAAAGGCCATGTGCCCATTGACATCAATTTAAGCGCCACAAACTCCACACTGCAATGGATTGTTCTTGTTTATGCAGTCCAGCTGTTTGCTGCATGATCCAAAGGGGGCCAACTAATAAACTAGAGAGGTATCCCAATCCCTGATGCAAATGCCCGCCTGCCTCATAAGTCACGTCGCATCGCGAGCATCGCGAGTGCCACACAAAAAGGCTATACCGTACGTGATCTGTCTTGTTCTCCAAATAAACAACAAGGGACTTTTGTGCCTCGTTCCCGCCGGCCAGGCTCACCGGTGGGCTGCGGCACAATGTTTCGCGGACTAACGCCCCATCGCCCAACTAATAAGCTCTTGATACTTTATACAATAGTTGTTGTGCTTTTTAAGGAAACCCCCTCAGCTGTCCGCCCTGGAGGTGTCGACCAGGTCCCCGACCCAGCCCATCTTCTCGCGTCTCTCATCGCTGATTCGGGCGTATTCCAGTAGCAGCCGCAGCACGTAGATCTGCATGTCCTCTTTGCGCAGCACGCGTTCGGCCCACTCCTTGCCCGCGGCGGCAATCTTGGCGGCCTGCTCGTCGTGTCCCTTGACCGTCTTTTCGCCGTCGTTGTACCCGAGGAAGTACTCCATGATACCAAACCAGTCCTGGAAGCGGTTGTCCATGGGCACAAAGTGCTTCCATGCTATCAGGCGGCTGTCGTGCCACTCCCGCCACACGGTTGCCTTGATCGGGAGACTAGTCGATCGGAGGAAGCCCAGGTAGCGGCCACTGAACGAGTTGCCGTCGATGTCGGGGAGATACTTCCAGTTGAACTGCTCTGCGAGGGTGACACCCAGTTGCACCTCGAAATACGGCGAGGTGTAGTAGCACTGGCCACCCTCTTCCTCCTCGACGCACATGAGGTCCACGAATGCCACATCGGCCCAGCTGTCAACCCACGGACCAAGCTTCGTCCGCGCGGAGTCGGGCTTGGTTGTCTTCTGGGCAGCCAGGCCATATGTCGCCGAGGGGAGCTCGAAGTTGAGCGGCAGCTCGGTCCAGTCCTCGGCCCTGCTTATCTTTGTGCCGTTATTCATGGCCACGAAACGGTGTCGCTGAAAGGCGCGCCAGTTGTTTTCTCTGTTCCGGCCACCTGTGGCAACGCCCCTCCAGATGACCCCGTCTTTCTTTTGCGGCCAGTCCACGCCGTGCTGGTCACCGCCGGTGAACCTCTCTTCCTCGTTCCAGTACATGGGCGCGGGCAGGAGGATCTCGTTGTTCACGGCCAGCTTGGACCCTCCAAACATGGGGAACAGAGTCTTGGTGGCGGACACGGTCAGAGGTTCAATAAAAATGCCGTTGAGGCCTTGGAGGTCGGGCTGGTGGCAAACTTGAGTGGACATGGTGTAGTTCGAGACGTAGCCCTTGTACGTATGGGGTTCGGAGAAGGCAGGGTTGAAGCTCGGGGCGTGGTCAAAGTCAGTCATGACCTCTGCCTTGCGAGCAGCGCTGTCGGGTGCGCAGCCACGCTGGACCACGTTCCAGTAGGGCTCTAGAGGAAGAAGAAGGCATTTTAGCAAACAGTTTCACGGAGTCTCGCTCTGCTCTGACAGAGACATGACTTACTCGTCCCCTCCCAGTTTTTCTCAGGGAGCTCGATGTCGCGATCAGGGCCTTCGCCGGGGGCTTTGAGGTGCTCGAATTCGTTGATGACATCCTTGGCCGGGATCATGGTCCTGGAGGCGCTTGCCTTGTTCATGTACGCGTTCATGTCCTCCCAGGGCACCACCATGCGAGGCTCGTCCATGGCGTTGAGGGCAATGTCCATGTCCGGCAGCAGGTGCTCGATTGTCTTGACGAGGTTCAGCCAGATCTGGGTCCAGAACCAGTCACTCTTGGCTGATGCGGTGCCGTCCCTGACATTGATGGTCATCTCGTAATCCCACGCGGCCTTGCGGATCTCGAGGGCGGGGAGGGCCCAGAAGGGCTCGAGGTCGTGGTAGATTTGATCCCAGAAGGACTCGACCATGACGGCATTCTTCTCTTTTGCGAAGGCGTACCATTGATCAAAGCCGGGTGGGGGGTGTCGGCCGCGGCGCTTGCGGTAGGCGGCCGCGGCTTCCGAGAGGGTACGCGACTCATCAGTCAGCTGGTCGTCGAACTGCTTATTAGCGAGGTCGATGAGGCGATCGATGGGATGTGCGCCGGCGCCTGAGGATTGTGACCCGGAGTTGCTGCCGCTGTCGCCTCCCGCAGCCGGCGGCTTGCTGTGATCCAACTGTAGCGTCTCCTCCTCTTTTGGTTTTGTGTCCACTATGGGCTCCTGGGCAGCCTCGGGTCTGTGCTTGTTGGCGTCATGTTGAAGGTTCGCGCCCGGGTCAGAAGACTGCCCGGGTGTTTTCCCAGCTGGGCTCTCGCGCCCAGGCTGGCTCGGGGCATTTTGTGGGAGGGAGTCGGGCGGCGACACGAATGAAGTGGGTGGTATGGAGGGCGAATTTTGTTGCTGTGGGCCGCTGAAGTGGTAGAAGAGTGTTATGATTATTATGGCGGGGACGAGGTACCGCACGATGGCGGAGGGCCTGCGTGGAGGGAATGCGGGAGAGCGCATTCTGGATGATATCATGGCCCTCCAACGCATGGGCGCATTCTTGTGGACGAGCGACCGCTTGCGTCGAGAGCGAGGGCAGGCAGCGAGGTTGTTGTTTGGTCAGGGCAAGGCGGCGAGACGGCAAGTCTGAGTAGCAAGTCTGTCTGGTACGTGGTCGCAAGTTGGGTGGGTGTGGGTCCTCTTCGATTTGGTTTCGACGGATTATCGCGAGAAAACGACAGGGTGTGGATGGGCTTTGGGTGGGGATGATGGCAGGGCAATGATCGACAGAAGGTCAAGGAGAGGAATGCCGGGCCTGTGCAGGCTGTGTCAGAGCAGGGCAGCACTTGGAGGCCAATTCGGGGCCGTGGTCGAGAGACTACCACAGTAATAATCCAAGACGAGGACGACGACAAAGGTGAGACGGTGAAGCGTAAAGCAGACACGGTCAAAGAATGGGGGGCACTTTCCCAAGACTTGCGACCCCAGACACTCAGACCCAGGCTAAGATAACAGCAGAGAGGGTCCTTGGGGGAGAGCAGGTGCAGTCTGCATGGCAGGGGCAGGGGCAGCTACGGGCATGGGCCTGGGCCTGGGCCAGTCAGTCACTCCTGCCAACCTCTTCCAGCCTGCCGAGCGGAGCGATTGGCGATCAAGCAGGCACAGCCCGCTCCCTCTTGCAGGGACCCACCGTTCCGTTGGTGCTGGCGTCTCCGCCCCGTTTCTTCCGTCGAGCTTATTCCTGTCTGTGAGTAATAACGCTGTTGAGAATAACTATCATATCAAGCTGTGTGTTTCTATTTGGCGACCAGTTCGACTCCCAGGCACCTCCCAGCTCAATCAAAATCAAAATGACCTCTCTCTGCAGACTCAGATCTCCTGCAGGGCTGTCTGAGACCACTACGTAAACCCAACCTCCCGGGCTGCCGGGCTGCCGGGCTGCGTGCTGACAGCGTGGTCACTCAGTCACTCTCTTGTCTTGTTAGACGGCAGAGAACGGCACAGAGCGGCAGGCATGAGTACCTAGCCTGCTAGCCAACCCAGTCCAGCTGGAATGGCGGGGCAGTCCACGTTTCACAGGCCAACCTCACCTCACGATGGACGGCACTACCAGGCCTGCTTTTGCATTGGAAGGGGGAGCTGAGACATTCCAATCACGCCCAGGGCGGAACAGTTCCTCTTTTCTGCCCTCTTTTCTGCCCTGCCAGCCCGCCAGCCCGCCAGCCCGTCTCGTCCTGACGGAGACGGATCGGTCAATACAAAACGGTGACGCCTAAAAAAAAATGGCCATTCAAAACGGTCATTCAAAAGACTAGCGACCCAAGCATCCTTTCATAACGGCCGCCCATGCAAGCCCCTGAAGAAGATCATCATCACCATCAGCCAGTCGCAGCCACAGCAGGCGACTGGCCGAGTCAATCGCTACAGTCAGCAAGACCTCGTGTCGTGTCCTCTACCAAGGTCATTTCTCGTGATGTCCATTCACCTCATGAAATCACCAAATGCATGCATGCCATCCATCCCACATCAGCCATCACCACCCATTCATTGCTCGTATTGCGTGCTGCTCTCTCAATTGCTCGGCATGGTGCTGACTATCGGACCCAAGGTGGCCGATCCCAGGGGCAGCCCCCCGACCAAAAGTCCCCCACAAGCTAAACCCATGGAGCGTGGACGGGCAAGACGGGCTAGACGGCATGATGGAAGATCGGTCCAGCCCACTGGGGGGAGCGGAGCAGTCCATGGACCTTAATTTAGATCCCTGGGTCCTTGCCCAGGTGGCACCCTGGACGCACCCAGGACTCTGTCAGGCTAGCAAGCCCCGTTGACTCTTGAGAGCCGCCTTGCCCCATCCAGACGACAGATGCGACTCCTGAGGCTTGCAGCACAACAGCCCGACACACATCCAAGAAGAACTTGCCCAGGTGTTACTATCAAAACAACCGCAAGGGTTCACGCCCAGATGGCCGAGATCTCATCCATACCGAAGTCCACACAACCAACCACGTAGGCCAATAGCCGGCCAAGACATTGGCATCGGTTAAGTAACGAACTACATTGAGACAGCGACGGTGCAGTCAGCGGCCCATGTCTTGGGAGGGACCGACTGGTCGCCCCCAGACACGACAAACCGGAGCACAACCCGGAGCAACGTGGGAAATGGGCCTCGGAGGAACCCAGAGAGCACTTGACCGTGGAAACCAGGCCGAACACGGTTAATCCTCCTCGTCCCGCCCGCCAACTAATCATCACTAGTACTCCCAGAGGTCAAAGTGTGACGGCGCCGCCACGGCATCCCAAACATGAGACGGTCGACTGCGTCAAGTCGCGGCTGCGACGTCAAACACCCGCCCTCCCGGTGGCCGGGAAAGAGGAGGAAGAGGCCGCCACGCTACTATTACTATGTACGGTGTACACGCAGAGCCTCGCCGGTTGTGCCACGGGTGTGGACCAACTTCCTTGCCCGACCGTACCTCCATGACAAGTGGGTGTCTATCCTTTGACGATGCTGCGCTGATCACAAGGCCCCCTGGGCTCTCGGCGATTTATTACTCAGGACAATTCCGAGACTGGACACGATCTTGACCACAGAAACCAAAGATGAGGATGAATATCACGCCACAGAGTGTGACCTCTCTACCTGCCACCGTCGAAGACAACAGTTTGCAGGGTCTACCTGGGTAGCATCCCGGGCCTAGCCCCGGGCCCATCTCCCTCGACGCCGAGGATTCTAGACGTTGCAAATCACAGCACATGCAGAGCGCACAGCCGTGCGGGCCGTTCCTTGGTCCCCCCCGAGGTTATGTGAGAGAAGGTTGCATATGTAGTGAAAATCCGAGATTAATACGTAGCGCCTGTCCTGTGGCGCGCAGCAAAGGCCAGCAGACAGGCATGCCGCGGCGCGCACCGGCTCTCGTCTCGTCGGTAAGACGGGGCTCGTTGGGAGCATGGTTTTCCTCGACGGCCCGGACAGCCAAGTAATATGCAATATGTAGATTGATATTTTGTGCTTACTATATCCAAGCAGCAACACTAACACGCAGGTAACTCCAATATATATGCAAACCAGCCACCAACCGACCTCTGACCTACATGCTCCTCTCTCCCCAGAGCCCCGAGGTTCACTGCTTAATAGAAGGCATCCCCCGTGGTATTCCCCAGGTTCATGCCCGCGGGCCCCTCCTCGTCAAACCCAAACGAGGCGTCGTCGACGAGGCCGTCGTCCTCGAGGCGGCCCACGAGCTCGTGGTAGGTGGGCATGAAGGGCCAGCGGAGGAACTCGCGGAGCAGGTCGAGCAGCTGCGCCTGGTTGGCGGCGCGGGCGCTGGGGGCGGCCTCGCCCGTGAGCGGGGACCCGCCCATGGCCGGGTCGTGCACCGTCCTGCACTGGCCCCGGAGGCCCTCGGAGGCGCCCGGCCAGACGTGGTCCATGTTGTCGGCGAGGGTGACGAGGGTGTTGCGCATGATGCTGCTGAGCATCAGGTCGAAGATGTCGCCCGCGTTGCTGGTGCCGGGCCCGATGTGCCGCAGCAGCCTGTCGGGCGCCTTGGGCTGGATGTCGATCAGCGCGCAGGGCTGGTTGGGGAAGAACTCGGCGGCCTGCACCTTGAGCGGCTCCCAGGGCCGCCGGTCCCACGACAGCACGGGGCCCATGCCGGCCGGCTGCCGCAGCACCTGCAGCTGGTCGCGCATCAGGTTCAGCGATTGCCGCACGTACTCGGGCAGCTTGCGCACCTCGGCGTTGTACTTGTCGTTGGCCTTCACGGCCTTGTCCAGCAGCTCCTGCGCGCGCTCCCGCTCGCCGTCGGCCCTGGCCTGCTCCGCCTTGCTGTACTGCTCGGCGACGGCGTCGCTCCGCTGGATGAAGTCCAGGAGGCGGACCGCCAGCTTGTCGAGCCAGGTGTTGTAGTGGGAGAGCATCTTGAGCCGGGCTGCCTCCTTGGTCCCGGGGGCTATCAGGCCCTGCTCCTTCTGGGCCCTCATGTCTGCGAGCTCGACGTAGAAGCCCTTGTCGGCCGTGAAGGCCTCGCGGGTGAGGGGGATGGGCCTGCTGAGGGACTTCTTCTCCTCCCCGAACTGCCGCAGGAGCCTCGTCTGCCTGCCCGGCGGGGTGACGTGGCCGGCCTCCTTCATGCGGACCAGCGTCTGCCGCAGGCTTTCCAGGTTGAACTGGTGCGGGCGGGCGATGGTGCTCCTGGAGTTTAACACCACGGTCTCGTCGTCGAGGGTGCCGTCCTTGCCGCAGACCTCGGCGATGTACTCGGTGACCATCTCGGCCTCGATGGCCCCTTTCTTCCTGGCCTGCAGCACGCGTGGTATGACCGAGTCCTTCTCCTCGTCGGGGACCCAGACCAGCATGCGCACCAGGCCGTACTTCTGGAACAGTGTGGAGGTGCGGACGGAGCTGATGAGCTGGTACAGGACCATGCGCGACAGGGAGTCGAACAGGCCGTACTTGCGCTTGGGGTACATGGCGAGGTTCATGTGGACCAGGAGGGTGTCGTTGCGCGGGGGGTCGGTGTCGAAGTCACGGCGGTCGATCTCGACCTGGTGGGGCAGGTACTTCGGGGTGAGGATCTCCTGCAGCTCCTGCCACACGATGCCGGACTTTGGGAGCAGCGTCACGGCCGGGTCGCTGAGGAGGGGCTCGAGGTAGGGCGCGTAGAGCTGCTCGTCGGGCTCGAGGAGGATGTGTGAGCGGGGCTGGACCGCGTCGTGCAGGGCCTTGGTGAAGAGGCCGGCGCCGGGGTACATGGTGATCAGGTCGCAGCCCTTGTGGCGCTCGAGGGACGGTCTGATGTACTCTATAACGTCATCTGCAAACATTCAGCTGTTGGACCTGTTGCGACCTGTTGCGCCCCGTGGCTGGTGGCTCGGGCGGCGGAGGCACAGGCAGAGGCAGAGGCAGAGGCATACCGGCAAGTTTCGGGTTGACGAGGTTGACTCTGTTGCCATCAGCACCGGGCCGAGTCCTAGCACTCTTGGTGCGGGGAGTGAAGATGCCGGTCTCGAGGAGCTTCTCGGCCGTGGGATACTCGGCCTCGTAAAAGGAGTGGTGGGCCTTGTTCCTGGACGGCCTGGTCCAGTTCCAGCGCCGCTGGAGCGGCGTGTTCCATGATGCCCTGCCGACGTCACCGGCCACGGCCACGTTCAGGCTCAGGCGGGCACTGGGCCGGAGGACTGCATGGAGAGCTCTGCCATGGCTGCGTGCTGGTCGGAACATGAATGAGGGGGGAGCAGGAGAACAAAGGTCGTGCACGGGGGGTGAGGCATGAGGGATGCACGTGGGCGTGTGGCGCCTGTCGCAAAGCAGAAAAGAGGACGGAACAAGGGCAGGTTTTGGCCGGCAGAACTCCAGACTTTTTCGGGTTGAAACCTCGGCCCACTTGACCGCCTCGGCACACCGCCTTCCTGGATTAGTGCACCATGCACACCGGTCTGTGACAGCCCCCCAGGGGCTCCAGGGTTAGGTCTGATGCATAAGATAGACAGTGCCTCTATATTATCTCTAATATATAAACCTTTGTGTTAGGAAAGCTATACTTAACTTATAGCTATTACTTACTTAAAGTATATTTCAAGAGAAGAGATTAACTTTTAATATATAGAGATTTATAACTAAAATATAATCTTTATAAGGATTAAATAAGGTTTTAAAAAGCTTTTAACTTTAAATTTAAATTTCTTTTTTAATAACTTTTTTTTCTTTAAATAAATACTTTTTTTAATTTTAAATATTAATTCTTATTAATTTTTATTAAGTTATACTTTATTTTTAAAGGAATTTAAAAAATAATATAAATAATTAAAGAAATAATATTCTTATTTCCTTTAGTTTATTAATTAAATATATTATATTTTATTAAATAAAAGTTAAAAATAAAAAACTTTAAAAGAAGCTTTTATTATTTTTTTCTTTAATATATTATTTTTATATAAATTATTAATTAAAAAGATATTAAAATTAAAAAATATTTTAAAAAGGTACCTTTAATTATTATATAAAGTTTATACTTTTTTTAATTTTTTTATATTTTAATTTTAAATATCCTTTTAAGAGTTTAATATAGGTTTTTAATAAATAAATTCTTTAATTAATATATTTTTTTAAAAAGTTTCTTTAATATTTATTAGTATTTTAACTGTACTAACTTATACTATATTAAATAGGTAGGGAAAGCTATACTAAAAAAACTCTTAAAAAGGGGTATCTGAATATTTGAGATAACCTTTGTAGCCTATCGCTTACTTATAGATAGGTCATCTTTAATGCTACAACTCGTCGACCCCCCAACTTCAAATTACTATTGCATTGTTCAACAATTATTTATCAGATAGTCACAGGTATTTAATCGAATATTTTGAAAATCATTTTGTTGTTAGCAGTCTAAATTCAATGCTGTCTACTGCATGCTATCCGATCCTCTCCGTTTACTCACAGCAACCCTGCGCATCCAAGGTTCTCTCAGTCTGCTCTGGCAGCGCTTGAATGCAATTCCACCCACTTACCAAAAGATGTCCAATTCTAGCCACACATCCACCAAACCTCCCGCCTCGACTTTTCACTCCCCACGCCCAATAGTCAAAGCCTCGCACTTCTTTGACCTCAACCGCCTTTGAGCGCTCACTACTGTGAGGGCTAGGAGGGAGGAGGAGTTGGGGGCGGGGTGGGAGGAGGATTCGGACTTGGGGGCGGGGTGGGATATGGGTGCAACATCATCTTGAATGTCTTGATATTGACACAGTTGAGAGTCTTTGGTGTTGGTATCAACCTGAAGTTGCTTTTGCTTTCGTCTTTGGGTGGTATGGTGGTCTGGTGAGATTGGAATCGAAAAGAGATGCAAACCCAAAGCCATGTTGCCTTTTATATTCCAGCTTGTTGGTGACAGTCGAGACATAAAACCTATCTACTGCCTTGCCTATGGATAAGAATTGTATTGTGTATTACAAAGGCATACATAAAGAACACTGGCTAGGACCACGATCCGTTGTACAAAAGGACAATGTGCATGATCTCGGAGCCTCCGTCTGTTCCCGAGCATGGCACTACTCTGCTCTGTGTTCGTTCGGGGTGCCCTGCATAGTCTTAGTTTGTGCTTTGTCACATTGTAAAGCAGACAAGAGCTTGTCTATTTTAAGAACCCTCAAAGCACAGAAGCCCAAAATGGCAACAGCCAAATGTGCTCAGTACCTATTACCTGGTCTGCTCAAAGAGGTCACGCCTTGTTTTTGACCCATTTCGTACACAATGGGAAGTCTAAGGGCATTGTGACTTCCAGGCTGAGCCAAGACCTTAGATGCTCTGGGGAAGAGGTGGTTCCTCTTCACGTCTTGGCTAAATTTTGCAGGTTCGGATTTACGGTATCCGTCACGCGGATCGCTCAGTCCAGGGCACAGCCTTTTCCTTGGAAAGCTCTGAGGCTGAAAGCAATACAAAAGAGTCTTTTTCTGCCACAGTGACTAGCATTTGCTCAAAGAGCCTCAGACAAAACATATTGACATAGATACATATGTAATCATCGTAAATGCACGAATTTCATGTACTGGATCATTGAAGCAGTGCCAGGGGCAGGTACGTCAACCCTCCGTTCTTGCTGGATCCAATGCTTGAGCAACATTCTCGCACGAATTTTAGACACTACCCAAATCAAGCGCATCTTCGGTCTGGCCTAACTAGATACTGCTTCTTATCATCATATGACATTCGAATATGTTTTCCGCCCTCTTATGTGCAGCCTAGATAGGTCCTTGAAGAATATCCATGTTATGTATTTCCCCCGGGAACGCTGTCTCTAAGATGTATAGAAAATGACAATACTTCAGAGCGTGTGTCAAAGGAACCAAAGCTTCCAAAGTTGGCTGTAAGTTGGTGCGCACACGTTGTAGACCAACAGTCAGTTCAGGGGGGGGGGGCAGCCAATAAAGATGGCGGCTGCCTGGCAAGTGCAGTGGAGATCGACCAAGCGTGCGTTGCCGCGCCGCATCTGCATCTTTCAGATAAGCACAAGATCAGGAACGAGAGATCTACTTCAAAAACATCCTTTGTGTAAGTCTATTGACCGGTATGGAACACGACGAGAATGCAGTGACACCCAACCCTGAGTTGTGCCGGTCTGCTTTCAAGCTCGGCTTCGGCAACTGGGCGAATTTTGCACAACGCGAATCATCTGGGGAGGCCAGACAAGAAGCCCTGGACGTCTTGAGGGCCATTGAGCATGCATTTCCCGGCCACCCTGCCTTACGCAGCGGCTTGAAACTCACAAAGTCTTCTGGATGCTGGGAAGCCACCGGTATGTCCTTCTGGGATGCGGGAGGGGGTACGACATTGTCAAACTCATCAACCTCGAGCTGTGGCCCGGGTCAGCCAGAGGTTGCGCCTCAGAAGCATAGCTTTCCTGTCACCAAAATCAGACCGACAAGGCTGACAGTGGACAAATCCATCGAGAGCGGCTTCGGCTCCTTATTTGGGGACGGCGATGATCACGTCCCCATTCTCGTCCTGGCTTGGGCTTATGTTCTTTCCGCGAGATGGACCGAACGCATCCCAGGTGCCAACGACGTACACTATACTGAAGCCGGCGCGTACTCTTACAGAAGTGATTCTTCCACCATCAATGTCCCAATAATGGCCACGAGCAGACAAGCTGCTCGCTGGTGGCAGGCGATCTTAGCTCCTGGCCACGGCTGGCTGGCTACTTCGCCCACTGATGGGAGGATATTGTACTCTCCGTGGTCTATCAGACTGTCCTCCAGCACTAAACTGATGCCTCTCTATTTGGGAGAGACTCCTGTGTCGTCTATTGCAGCTGATTCCGCCACCTCTCTACGTTTCCTCTCCGAATACGTCACCACGTATAATGTCGCCGACCAGAGCCGAGCCGCACTCTCCGCTGTCTTGTGTCTTCCATTTGCCACCAGCTCCAGCAGCAAGATTGCTCTACCTGCTCCGCATATATCGACGGTTTCACTAGGACCTCAACAAGGCGGAGTCTTACCATCTTTGTCTTTGGCACAGGTGGATAAGCTAATGACACTAAGCTGCAATATCCGAGGCGTTAAGGCACTGCTGCTCAGCACCTTCTTCAATCCCGCTGTACCCTGCAATCTCGTGAGCCCCTTCTTGCAGGGGACATTTGCAGCCCTTGACACTTTCTCCCACGAACCACTGCGCGTGATTCATGCGCTGTTACGACACTCACCCAAGGTCGGGTTTCTCTGGGTCGGCGTTTTGATCCTCGGGAAACACACCTCTCTGCTAGATCATGCGCGCCATGGCTTTTCTGAGATCGACTTGCTCTCGGCCGCGTGGACGGGCACCATACAGACATTCATGCAACTGCCTGCATCCGCTGCCAGCTGCGGTCGCATCCGGCGCGAGGATGAGTGCCGACTTGCCTATCTTGTCTCAAAGGACTACCAGCGCAACATTCCGTTCTGCCCCTGGAAGCCCTTTGGGTCTGTTCAAGTCAAAGATGCTGAGCTGGGAGTACAGATTCATGCAGGCTGTCAGGGCCACGGGCTCAGGTACAAGGGGTGGACGTGGGACTGTTTGGAAGAAGAGCGTCTCATCAGCGCTATTCACCATCCTCCGGCATCAAACGGCCCTTATGAGGAGCCAAACTCAGTGCCAAATACAGGCATAGAGGTCCCGTTTGATAAGCTGAATTTGGAAAATGATTCTGCTTCCTGCACGGCTACGCTAAACCTATTTACGTGGCTACGCAGGGGAGGGTTTGCAGCGTCTGAGCAACATATACGGCGGCATGAGTGGCTTTGCGAGACTTTGGATGATGAGGAAGAGGACGCCTATGCATCCTGGCCTGAAGGCGACGATAATAGTGTCTCTGGTGTAAATAATCGGCCCAGGTCCGCCATCGCGAGACTAAATCTCGGGGGGTGGCTTGCGTCCACCCAGGCCAGGAGGGAAGACTCGGCCTGAATCAGCGAGATGTCGAGCGAAGGCAGCAGTGAGTCAATACTGAACCCTTGTCTGTCTCGCCTGCAGACTGCGTCAAGTGGCACGTTGTTTCATCAGGCGGATCGCTCCTTTACGGAACTACAGTTGGAAATCTGGACCTAGATGCCGGGTCCTGCATGCTGCCTGGGTTCTTGGACTATCTAGGTACGTCTGTTTGATCTGAATGCCTCCGAGGCCCGTGATAATTCAAAACTTAAAGACTGAGGCGCCACTCACTAGCACTTTTGAAGCGTCATTAGCGTGATAGGGCCGCATGATAGCTTTGGCGGAAGGATTGTCAGCCTGTCTTCCGCAATGTTAATCTCGTATTTCCCGTTCCACATAACGGATAGTTGACCTGTCTTGGGATTTGAGGCTTAGACTCGCGAGGATTGATTCCCCTGCCGCCTTCGTGTTCCTACCTAGGCGCATCATAGCACAATGGATGTTCTGCATACTTGAGTATTTAGATGACTTACACTTACCCGCTGCCTCAACTTCATTTTCCCTAGCCCGTTATCCGAGCTCTCATTTGTATTATTGTCACTCGTTAAATTTCTTTCAACGGCTACGCCAAACATGACGCTCATTCGATGCACCGTTCAGGCACTGGGAATCGTGTTGACGATTTCCGGTGCACACTGCTCCGTCCTGCCCCGTACATTTGATGTCGGACAACGAGTCAACACGACGAGTGGAATCATCCAGGGCCACGCAGCGGCCAACCGCTCAGATGTATCTGAATATCTCGGAATCCCATTTGCACAACCACCAATTGGAGACCTGCGGTTCGCCGCCCCAGAGCCATACCGGTCCAGCCTCCCAATCGATGCCAGTTCGTACGGACTGATGTGCGTGACAAATACTGGGAATCCAGACTACAGCGTGCTCACGGCCGCCGGGTACAATCTTACCCCTACAGCGGAAGACTACCTGAGGACAATCACAGGCCAGGGTAATGCTATGGGGGAAGATTGTCTCACCCTGAATGTGTGGACGAAACCCCAAGTCGGAGAGAGGGCAAAGGCGGTCTTGTTCTTCATCCACGGCGGCGGTACGTGCATCCAGACCTCATCCTATTCCTTAGAAGACACGAGTGCTCCCTCGCTGACCCGCCATAGGCTTCCAGGGCGGTTCCTCCCACAATCCATTCTTGACGGGCCAGTACTTCGCAGATGATGAGGACGTCGTGGTCATCTCGACCAAGTAAGCATGCCCGTTCCCGAGACATGTCTATCTCTGATCGTCACTAACACACGTTGCACTTGTTCCAGTTACCGGACCAATGTCTTTGGCTTCCCCGGCCTACAACCCTCGGTAGCCAATGTCGAGCCCAACGCCGGTCTTCTGGACCAGCGTCTCGCGATCGAATGGGCGAGAGAGAACGTAGCAGCGTTCGGTGGAGATGTAATTTTGCCACCACACCTACCTCTCACCATTATGCTGAGCCCATGCTAACCAAAGCCTCTTAGCCTGAGCGTATCACACTCTTTGGCCAGTCCGCCGGCTCGACCTCCATCTCGACATATGGTTACGTCTACGCCGAGGACCCCATCGCCCACGGCCTGATCACCCAGTCCGGAACAGCCGACAGCTTCGGCGCCCCGGCCCCAGACTCGACGGCGTCGTTCGCGGCCGTCGCGACCCTCCTGGGCTGCAACACCACCTCGGCCACCGCAGAAGGCCTCGCCGCGGCAGTCTCGTGCCTCCGCGCCCAGCCCGCGGAAGCGGTCTCCGCCGCCGCCGCAAAGGTGCCCTCGACGACCTCGGTCCTGGGCACCTTCGCCCCGACCGCAGACAACAAGACCGCCTTCGCCGCGTACGACTCACTCACCGAGTCGGGCGCCTTCGCGCAGGTCCCCCGCCTGCACGGCAGCAACGCCCAGGACGGCAACTCGTTCGCGATCGACTTTGCGCTGCTGGGGCTCGTGCTGCCCCCGGCGTACTGGGCCTGGCACACCCTCGCCTTCTTCGGGTGCCCCACGGCCGAGAGCGCCGAGTCCCTCGCGGCGGCGGCGCCCGACGTCCCGGCGTGGCGGTACGTGTATGCCGCCGACTACCCCAACATGCGGCTCACCGTGGACCCCTCCCTGGGCGCGTACCACGGCGCGGAGCTGAACCCGCTCTTTGGGACCTCCGAGGCGCTCGGCGGGCGGGACACCCCCGCCGAGGCCGCCATGGGGCGGTACATGCGGGCGGCGTGGGCTGCCTTTGCAAAGGATCCCGTGGACGGGCTGGCCGGGGACGGGTTTGGGTGGCCGGCGCTGCCGGTCGGGGAGGAGGACGGGTCGTGCGAGGAGGAGGCCCAGCTTGTCGTGCTGGGGCTCGGGAACGCCACCGAGGCCGTGTTCCAGCCGAGCTCTGCGTGGGACTCGAACTGCACTGCGGTCATGGGCGTGCTGGAGGCGCTTGGTGGTGTTGGGGGCCTGCTCATTCTTGCGCCGTTTGTGGGCCCGGTCCTTGAGGGCATTGACGATGGTGATGTTATTGCTGTCGGGGAGGCGCTGCTGGCTGCTGCTCAAGCGGCTGCTGGGGCCTGATCGAGTTGAGAGGGGGTCGCGCAGAGACTTCAGCAGGTTCACCTTCATGCTCATGTTGCCCTGTTCATTAATCTGAGCAAGGTCATCTGCATATAAATACCATGCTTAACCCGTTTGGACTCCTTAATGAGGCACCGAACGATGCGACCTCGGGAAGATGCCAATTCTGATCATCTTGCTAAGGGATACGATTCATATTTGAATTCATTTTGCTCTTTTTTTTTTCTTTTTCATTAAGTTGAGCCATTACTATACCAACCCCGTGCTCCTTCTCCGCCCCTTCTCGCCCTCGTCGAACACTATCTGCCTCAGCCGAAAAACAGGCGGCGGGCTGGTGAGCCCAGTGCTCGAAAGCGTCTTGCTCCTCGAGCCTTTGCTGAACCACTTGATGCCGTCCTCGTCGCTCGAGCTCGAGCCTTTCCTCGAGCTCGGGAACATGGCAGTGCCGCCCCTGGCCTCGGCCACCGTCTCTCCCCGCCGCACCGACATGTATATAAAATCGTGAAGAAAGCTAGTCTCCAGCTCTCGCGGCTTCCTATCATCGGTCCAGTACCTCTCCTCACTGAGGTCCTTGGACAGATGCTTCCTGAAGTACCGATCCTGGCCCACCCACCACGCACGCCAGCACACCAGGATGCCGATGGTCAGGGGCACGGTGATGGACCAATATATCCAGAAGCGCCAGCTTACTACCGAGTCGCCGCCGTCTCCCCCGTCCTGGTCGCCCCCGGGCTGCCAGTCGAATATCGACATGCCGAAGAGGGACGACATGAACTCGCCTGGCAGGAATATTGCAGTGATGACCGCCAGTGCCTTCATTGAGGATGAGTCCCGCGAGGAGGACACGGCCATCCGTGCGTTGAGATTATTATCTTCTTGGGCCATTTTACTGTAAATCTGAGAGCAAGTTAGCATGAAGCCGCAAACTGCACATGTAACTACCCTCATGTAGCATCATGGACTCACTATATCCACCAACGCCTTGCATCTCATTTCCAAAATCGTCCGGTCCGTCTTGAGCGACAGGCAAAGCTGCAGCAGACCATCCAGGTACTGCTTGATCTCGTGCCAGTGGCCGGTAAGCGGGTCCTCCTGGATCCTCGCCTTGAGCAGCCCAGTGCCGACCCTTCCGCGCGCAGACAGCGGCATGGGGAACGACGACGCGGTGCTGGAAGCCGGGGGCCCATCCGAGTCCTGCCGGACGTCGTCGAGGGCATCCCCGGCCTCGATGAGGATCTTGATGGCGCGGTCCATCCATTGCAGCGTGTCGAGCAGCCGGATGCTGCGCTTGAGGACGTCGTGCGCGTTCTTCATCAGCTCGGTCGACTTCTTGTACACCTGCTGCTGCTGGCCCGACCCCGTCTGGCTCCCTGTGCCGCCGCCGCCGCCGCCGCCTTTGTGGCTGTGGCCCGGGGCCATGCCCTGCCGGTTTGGTGGCCCGCCTGCAGAGGAGCTCGTCCGCCGCCGCCGCGCCGTCTCGTCGAAGGCGTCGAAGCCCGCCATGTTGCTCACGTCCCTCTCCACGGCGACGACCTCGCTGTGGTTGTCTGCCACGGCCTGCTCGGTCCACGCGAACTGCACCTGCAGGAGCATCACCGGGATCACGAGGGGGTGGGCCCAGTGTGACTTGCAGCTCTGCATCCGCTGGTCGTACTGGTCCAGGTCCTCGACGGTGTGCTGGTTCGGGTCGAAGGACTGCCGCACCAGGACGGTCGTCGTCCGGTCGGGGATGCTGTGCGTCATGGACAGGAAGTCGTACGGCGCCGTTGGGTCCGACGGGAAGGACATGATGATGCTCAGCTTCTCGTGGTGGCGGTCCCAGAACATGGACTCGACGGTCGTGCGCCTCACGTACTGCAGCGTGGCCGGGTGCAGGTCCATGAGGCTGAAGTCTGCCCTGGTGAGGTGCAGCCCGTCCAGGTTCATGTCCTCGCTGGACCTGTGGTTCTTGCGGCGGTGGCAGATGACCTGCCTCACTCTCCCCTGCAGCAGATGTGGCGAGCCTTTCCACCTGGGCCCCCAGTTCCCCTGCATGTCAACCGACTGGTCCTCCCTCATGGCCTGGTGGAATAGATCGTCGCCCTTGCCATCCTCGCCGATGATGCACTGGCCGACATGCTTGAGGAAAGGCCGGTCATTGTCCGTCTCGGACGACTGGACCGTGCTGGCGTAGTCGCTGTCCTTTGCGAAAACCGCATACTCCTGATATCTCAGGTGGGAGGTGCCATCGTGCAGCAGGATGTCGCTCTGCAGCCTGTCTGTGTCGTAGATGAAGAGGTCAGAGCGGTGAGGATCCTTCTCCCCAAACATCATTCTGCCCTCGTTGGCCGCCACGAACGCACGGCAATTCGGCAACGCCAGGCACACGGCTCGACCCTCTTCCCAGCACTGCCACCTCCGCAAAATTAGAGACAAGAGCCTGGCCCCGGGGTGTCGGTGAGATTGTGACGTCGATCACCCCATATATGGGTCTGCCGAGTCTTTTTCCGCCTCTTGGGTCTAATTAAAATCTAAACCAACGAGTGGCAAGGAATCTATTGGGGGAGAGGAAAAGCGTGACAGGACTGCCGAGATCTATGGTGTTCCAAGGTTGGCCCGCCGGCGTCGTGAGCAGGAGAAGGCCAGGTAACCGCAGGCAGTATCGAGGTGCCGGCAACGCTGAGAAAACTTTCTTTGGCGGTCGATCGCCTACCACAGGATGTGTCTAAGACCCCTGACTCGCCTCTCCCTTGGCGCAAGGTGTCCTGCAGTGTCCTGCAGGACGACAGTGAGCTTGTTCAGCTTGTCCAACGGTCACCGCCTGTCAGCTCCACCGGGCACGATGAGGTGCGCCCTGTGGGCAAGGTGGGCAAGGTGGCCCTCCTCTGCTGCGGCGTTGATTGGCGACTGGCGTGCCAGCACCGAGGCCTCGGCCCTGGGACCCATGGGGCTCCTGTGGTGATAAACCGGCGATAAGTGGTGGTACTAGTGTACTATCCGATGTCGACATGGGCGGGGCTGTCTCCCACGGGGAACAGCATCAGGCCGATCCGCCGGGCACGAGAGAAGATGCACCAACGGGAGGGCAAGCTCGTGCCCTTGCGGCTTGTTTGGGCACAATGCCGGGCCAGGTTGGACTTCAGGAGGGGTTTTTCGGTGAGGAGAAAGGACCGAGGTGTCATTTTTGCGCCGCATGACTGCAGGCTAACTTGCCTAACTTGCCCCGAGAGGATGGTCTACCGCCTGCTAGCGCTCGCGTGATACGGCTTTGGGAATATTCGGGCGGCTGGTCTGGCAGTCTGGCTGATCCTCGGCGTAGCTCTGAGGCTCTGCAGCCGCGAGATTGCTTTTGCAAAACGGCGGAATCCCAAGCGACTGGTCTCTGAGTGCCGGGCATGCATACTAAATGAGACAGACAGATTCGTGAGCCGCAGTAGTCGAGATACCACCTCATGGATCGACACGTTGCTCACCCTATAGGGTTGCCGAGATGCAGGACCGAAGCTTATTATCAGGTGCTTGAATCGGGTGTCCTTTAGCTGGCAGCTTGGTCATACATAGTCCTGCATAAGGTCATGATGCGGTCAACTCACGAGAACAAACAGCTGATGGGTACAGATGATTTTTGTTTGATAATACAGTGGTACATATGTATTAAACGAATCTCGCTATGCTATATCTACACCGTCCAGGGCAAAAGTATATGGCAATATATACACCGAAGTCATGACATCAATAAAACCCATCCCTATTCCCGATGCATCCACAAAAAGAAAGGACCCGCCTGAGCCGCCCGCCAATGAAACGGGGCGTGCAGCTTACTCGTCGTCGTCGTCGTCCAGCTCGATCTCCTTGCCGCTGCCCTCATACAGTATGAGACTCGAGATCCAGCCGCCAATGGCGACGGCGCCGACGGCCCACCAGCTGAAGGCGACCATGCCCCAGTCAAGCCCGACGCCGTACCAGTAGCCGCCAACGATGGGCCCAACAGTGCGGAACCCAGCCGAGACGGACTGGCCGATGCCGTGGATGGTGCCGAGCACGGAGGGGTGCGGGCTGCAGTTGTTGAGCAGGATGATGCTGGCGGGCAGGGTCATGGTGCGGGCCGACGTGTGCAGGAACAGGATGAGCACGATGCCGAACCACAGGACCGTCGACGTGCTGGTGGTGCCGTCGTCGTTGGCCGACTGGGGCATCACGGCCAGGAACGGCGCCAGCAGGTACGCCACGGGGAAGATGATGAGGAAGTAGCGGAACGACCGCAGGGTGCCCAGCCGCGCGTGCACGGGCGGGTACATGACCACCTGCAGCAGCATGCCCAGGACGCCGAGGATCGAGGTCGCGTTGCCGACGGTCGACGCCGGCATGCCCAGCCCGCCCGCGAACCAGAGCAGGTTGCGCCTGCCGACGGCGCCGCGGGACTCGATCTCGGCCGCGGTGGGGATGCCGGCGTCGACGTGGGCGGGGGCAAAACCCGGGCGGGGCGAGGACAGGAACAGCGACCACAGGTTAGTGAAGGCGCCCAGGTGGAAGTCGTAGAAGGCCTGCGAGAGGAGCGTGCAGACGACGTTCTTGGTCCACAGGCGGCCGAAGGGGAGCACCCTGCGCTTCTTGGGCTCCGTCATGGTCGGCTGCGGGCTCTCGGACTTCTCCTCAAAGTGCAGCTCCGAGTAGCCGGCGCGGGAGTGGTAGACGTAGTCGAGGGGCCGGCGCAGGACAAAGGCCTTTGCGCGCGCGGCGGCGTACAGGCCAGCGTCGTACGAGCCCTTCTTGCCCTTGGACGTCTCCTCGAGGCCGAACAAGACGAACAGGAAGGTGACGAACAGGAAGACGGCGTTCATGATCGACGGCAGGGCGAAGGGGTACTTCTCGACCATGGGCGAGTACAGAGGACCCTCGGGGCCGAACCAGCCCGGGAGGGTCATGGCCGGGTCGGCCAGCCAGCCGCCGATGATGGGGCCGAGGATCCCGGCGACGTTGAAGCTCATGGGCAGGATGAGGAACGCACGGGACTGGTACTTCCTCTCGACGGTGATCTCGGAGATCATGGTGCGGATGATGCCAACCAGGCCGTTGATCGAGCCCGAGAAGATGCGCCATGCCATGGCGGCGGCGAAGCTCTGCGAGAACCCATATCCGAAGCACCCGACGGCGGTCCCCAGGGTTCCGATCAGGAGCACCATCTTGCGGCCTCCCCACCACCTGGTCGAGTCAGCTGCCTTGCCCCAGGCGATGGCTGTCAGGACCTGCGCGCCGGTGAAGCAGCCCGTGAGGAGACCGGCTTGTGCTGATATCTGGGCGTCGGAGAGGATCGCTTCTACAAGATGGGTCAGCACCAAACACCACTTGGGGGAGGTTCCGGGTGTTGACATACCTGCGCCGCCCGTCTCCTTCGTCCGCTGCTCGGCCATGTGCTTCAGCTGGTAGAAGACGTACGCCTGCAGGCTGGCCACCTGCAGGAAGTCGACGAACCGGCACATGAACAGGATGGCCAGCTGGCCCTTGCGTGGCAGAGACATCCATGTGACGTGCTCCGGCGCAGGCTTCCTGTGCTCCTCCTTCTCGACGTCTCGCGACAGGAACGGGGCGTTCTCCTTGCCCATGTCGTCCTCCGAGTCAAAGTATCTCTCACGCGGGCTACTTGTGGGGTCGAACACCGTGACGGACGAGGACGATGATGCCACACCGGGCGAGACAGCTCCTCTCCGTTCAAGTTGTTCCTGGTTCACAAATGTGTCGAAGTCCGCCCCGCTCCCAAAGTCGCCCTTCTCGTTCACAGAAGACTCGTGCATGATATCAAACTGGCCCGGTGGCGCCAGCTCGCTCTGTTGTGAGTGAGCTGGGGTTGTTTGTTGTGCCATGTTGGTCAGTGTGGGAGCCTGCCCCTCCTGCTCTGCCTTATTATGGTGTTGATCGATATAGTGCGAGGGGGTGTTCTTCACAATTCTAAAAGTCCCCTCTTATTTCTCGAATTGGATCAGACGTCGTGCACTGGTAGTACGAGTCTTTACAAGGGTGCTAGTAATATGAGCATCAAACCCTGCTAAGTAGCAAAGGGGAAACAAAGAAAACTGATTTTGAAAATAGAGAACAGAAAGTGAGTGAGTGTCGTAGAATGAATGGTACGGAGTTGGGAAAGGAATGACAGGCCGGGAATATCGGCAGCAGATGATGAGATGGAGAGGCAACTCAGAAAAGTCACCAAAGCAGGATGGCTCGAAATAGAAATGGAAGGTTGGAAGGTTGGAAGGCAAACCTTGCAACTTGCAGGCAGAGCAACAAGTCAATATCGGCAGCGGCAAAGGTTTGCGTGTACTTACTCAACAAGCCACAGTCTGCGTGGAATAAAATGGGCCACCGGGATGCTGGCTGCGACAGGCAATCAATCTCAGTCCATCCCTGGCGAGACAGGCGGGTGATAACCAGGGTCGCCAGATGAGAACGATCAGAATTCAATGGGAGTCGGTACAGTGAAAGTCAACCCAGGACCTGGAGGGGGGGAGACTGGGAGGGAGGGCACTGTATCTGAGCGTTCTGACCCCCTGACCCGGGTTGTCACCCTGGATCACCGATGATCGACAACCGGGCCTTCCAAGCGTGGGCGGCAGCCCTTCTTCTTAGTCGCCGGGCCCACTGCCTCAAACTCTGGCTCCACCGGAGAAAATTGACTGCAATTCCCCACGAGACCCAGCAGCTGTCACCCACTCGCATGGCCGAGAATGGCAGTGGGGGAAATAGGATCGCGTACTCCAGATTCTGAGTGGGCAGCCCAAGAGGACGATGATATCAGCCTACCCGGCCCTGGCCTGCTGCAGAACAGCAGGAAGCCTGTCAAGCACAACTCCGCCTCGCCATCCATCGCCCCCTCCCCTTTTCCGTCATTGCTGTGTCCCCAGGAGGCCGTCGCATCAGACGATGACTGGATGGGAGTTGACTGTTCGGCAGTGAACTTGTCATCAGCCGCGCACTCATCTGACGACAAGACCTATTCGCTCGTCCTGTTCAAAGTGTGGCCTCGGGCGGTGCTACTCACGGGCCAGATCAACCAAGATCCGGCCCAGAGGTGAAGGGGCATTACGCGTGGTGCGGGTCGTACTCAGGACCCTCTTTTCCCGCCCCATTCCCTCTTGAATGCTCCATGCGCCAGGGAAAAGGGAGCAAGCAGGGGAAAAGAAAACACTCGAGCCAGCGCACAATGACGAAGCCTAGCCTCGGTACCAGCCATCGTGTACATGCCACACCGCGAATCGAACTTCTATGTAACTTGAGGTTGATATCGGGGCAGCCCATCAACGCGGAGCGCCACATCCCGCTGAGCTGGCGAAGCCAACCACTCTGTATTCCCGTATCTCATCCGGTCTTGTACGGGCCCCCGACTCCCGAGGCCGTGATTCCTTGCGACCCCCACCTCACGTACAGTGAAATTACCATGGTAGAAACAGGAAACACTGCTGACCCAAGCCCTTGGTATTGGATGTCAGGCCAGGGACTCTGCTGTATCACGCAGAACCGTTCCGACCTGTCCGGTGCCAAGGCGGCAGCCAAGGCGGCACGATAGCTGTAGGGTTTCTGGTATAGAGGCGTGCAATTCAGGCAGTCCTGCAACGGTAAAGAACTGCACGACGACTTATTCATGTCCACGACAGGCCCGAAATGTGCAGGACCGCATCTCTGGACTGAGCAGCATGAAGCCCGTGCGGCAAGCTGGATGCTCCCCTTTTGTTCCCACAGATGGGTGCCCCTGATTCGCGCTTACCGACCTTGCGATCCAGTACTGGAGCCATGATCTGCCCAGTCCTGCCAGTTCGGCCACTTCTGTGCCCATCAGTGTCATCGATGGGGGCAGAGGGGCCGGCAGCCCGGAAGTCGGTCATGACCCACTGGACCGGTATCGTGGCTGTCGGGTCGGCTGCGGCTACACACATGTTGTGTATTTCCGTCTCGACCTGTGGCGTTCAACGTGCATGCTGGCGCGCTGGGCAGCTGGGCTCCTGCAGGTGACAGGCGGGCCGGCGCCTACGGCCCCTGGGCCATGGCACCGTGGCGGCGTGGGACGCGAACGATCAGCAGTCATCAGGAGGTCGACGATCTGTACATCTGTTGATGGGGGCTGTCCATTTGGGGGCGATACCGGAAGGCGTCTCCCTCTTCCAAGTTCGAAACATAGTCTCCAGCCAATCCACCTGCTCATGTCACACTCTGGCACAGTCTGGCCCGTTCTTGATGGTGGGATTTGAGGTCCCGCAATGTACTCGAGGTCAAGCTTTCCATCATGTTTATAGTAAAAGTCAATGCAGGCTCCGTCATCTGTTGCCGTTGGCTGCCCGTGGGATGAACGGGGTGCCTGCGCCTTGGCGATGTCTGGTCTTTGCGCTGCCATTGGGAAGCGATGAAACCTAGCAGCCCTATAGTGGCAAGGTACTCCCCCCAGTCAGATGGTGGTGTGCATGCACCTGTGCAGACAGACCACTGGCCAGTGGCCACCACCCGCGGACAGCATCACCTGCCCACGCCTGTTATTAACTGCAGTGTAGAGCACCAGTCTACCTGCGAACTGGTACCTTGCACGTGTGACCCCCCCCCTCCCCCTGATAACAACCGTTGCACCAATCCTCCTCCTCCTCCTCCTCCTCCAGCAGCTTCTGATCGACCGCCAAGAAATAAGGTAGTCAAGCGAAATGACAGGCTAAATATCCGCCCTGTAGCAGTAAGCTTCCGCAGCTTCCTCCTTGAGTCTTGCATAGCGAGCCGGGTCCCGGAAATGCTCGACCGCCGGGGACGCTTCCTTGAAGAGCATAAACTTTGGAACATTTGGAGTGATTGACCGCCATCGTATTTACGAGTAAGGGTCGCTGAGGGTGGCTCTCTTGCGTCTGATGCCTGTGACGACTCGTGGGCCACAATTTCTTTCTTTTTATGGCATTTGTGTCGGGGGCTAGAATTGCCACCTGGGCATGTTCATGTACACTGGCATAGATGTGGTAGGCCTCCAGCGGGTCTTGGCTGTGTCCCGAGGGGGCGGGATTGGCCTGTCATGACCGGGCTTTAGGGACGAGACGGGCTTGGACGCGACACCCGAAGGTGGCCCTGGGACGGATTCGGCTCAACGACAGGAGGTGCATCATCAGCCTCAATCCCTCTTCCAGCAGCAAGCAGCACTCACGCAGGGGCTTACGTAGGCCCCTGGCCCTGATGTGGACCGGGCACCTGCTTCCAAGGTCTGGGGTGCCAGATTTCTGCCGATCAAAGTCGTCCATTCCGGGTGGGTTTCTCCAATGACCGGATGACGTTGAGGATGCCATTTTCGATCTGACTTCAGGACCCAACCGATGGGGTCTCTGGAAAAATGCCCAAGTTTCAACTATTGGCCGGAAGTGGGAATTTGTTTGTTTCAACCTCCAGCTCACTTCTCCCGGAACATGAGATATGCCGGCCCAATTTCGAGGTCAATGGCAGGTCGGTGGGCTACCTTCTTATTCGAGGGCGGCTGATGGTCGTGATCGTCCTTATCACACATCGGGGGATTCTTTTCACTCAATCACATACGGTGGACGACGAGCCGTCTCATATATCAAAAGTCTTGGCAGCCCGGAAGCCGGTTTATGGACAAATTCGATTTCCACCACCGGCCACTCTCATCAGCCCACCCCCCCCGACTTCCGAGATTCCAGACTGGGGAGTGTTCCCCCCACAGCGCTGGGGCCCACTTTCAAGCGACACTGGCAATTCTGCATCTGTGTGGCTTCTGGAACCCTTCTGCAATCAATGTGAGAGAGAACAGATGCGAGCTAATCAGGCTAGTCTGGTCGTCAGCCTTCCCCATTCGATACGTGGTCCTCGAACATTATTGCGAGGCAACATGCACACACACGCACACACACAGACAAGATTGTTGTTTGCTGAATTTGGACGAATCGATGACCGGATCATCGAGTTCAGACAGTTCCACCAAGAGTAAGGCCGGTTTGGGTCATATTGATCAACCATCCTCGACGTATCAGACGATGACGCTATTGGTCTACGGAGTAAATTCACACCCGTGGAATAACGTCTCCTGTGATGACTTCTTGGAAACCGTCGTGCTGACGTAATGTACAACGTTATGCTGCACCAACGAAGCACCAACGAAGCGATCAAAGGCCTGCATGGTCTGCACAAAGTATTTGCCTAGGAACGAAGGATGCAATCGGCATGCATACAGGAGGGAAAAACACCAGGGTGGAGGAAATTGATGGCGTACTTGTCGTCGTCCTCGTCCGGGATAATCAGCCTACTCATTACACAGCCCTGTGGCGGCCCGTGGAAGCTGGAACCTTGGCATGAGGGATCGAGGGAGCACAATGTGTTCCCATTCGGGCATGCAGCCACCGCCTCAGAGCCCACACCCTTCCAAGCTGCCAGGACGAGGCCAGCCTTTGATATTCAGGGATGGACCGGGATTGCAGAGGGTACATGCTGCCCGGCCTGTTGACTCTGAGAGCCCCAAGGAAACAAAATGGATATGGGACCCACTTATAAGATCTCCATTATCTCCTGACCCCCTTGTTCATGTCCGCCGGGTGGGCAGGTGGGTCTCTCTACTTTTTGACTTTCCTGCTCCTTGTCCATGTCCCGTCGAGGAGGTGGTTTATTACCAGCTTATACCCCCTCGGAGGTATACCGCATACGGAAAAGAAGCGAAACCACTTATATCTTCTCGCCGTCTCTCGGTCCTCGATCATTGAGAGCGGCCTCACATTTCCAGGCGCCTTCCATCAAACCACACTCTGGTCTGAACTCTTCAACCAGATACACATTCGTTATTCATATTGTTCAATTCATCATCCCTCATTCTCCACGGTTGAACTTGTTGTTATCACATCGAACCCAATCGATATAGCCATACTATCACACCATAACCACAATGTATTCCAAAGTCCCACAGCAAGAGAAGACAGGGCAGCAAGTGTCCAAGCTGCCCTGCTATGCCGACACATACTCCCGCAAGCCCATCACGGATATCTTCACAAAGGATACAGACATGGACAAGCGGGGACGCAAGAGGACAGTGCCAATGAAGGTTCTTCTACTGGCAGTCGGACGGACAGGCACAGCTTGTAAGTCAACCCTCGCTCCATCGCCAAGTAAACAACTGTGGATACTAACCCAGCTCCCACAGCCATGCGCGCGGCAATGCAGCACCTCGGCTACGTCGAGACCTACCACATGATGTGCGCCTCGATCGAGAACCCACCAGACGCCCTTCTGTGGCACGACGCCCTCGTGGCCAAGTACTTCCCCGAGCGGTCGCCCCTTCCCGAGGGCGCCATCCGCACGCGCGAGTTCTGGGACCAGCTGCTGGGCAACTGCCAGGCCGTCTGCGACTGGCCCGCGTGCGCCTTCGCCGAGGAGCTGATGGAGGTGTACCCCGAGGCCAAGGTGGTACTGACGGGCCGTGACGTGGACTCGTGGCACAAGTCGACGCTGCCCACCGTCTACTGGCGGGCGACGGACCCGGAGCTGCGCATGCTGTCCAACACCTACCTGCCCTTTGGCCTGTCCGGCTCCTGGGCCGCCCAGATGTACTACCCGATGCTCAAGATGTTCTTCGACACCTTCTTCGAGGGCGACTTTGTGCACAAGGGCAAGGACATCTACCGCCGCCACTACGAGAAGTGCGTGCGCCTCGCCACCGACGAGGGCCGCAACCCGGGCCGCCTGCTCGAGTTCCGCGTCCAGGAGGGCTGGGAGCCGCTGTGCAACTTCCTCGGCGAGCGCGTCCCCAAGGCCCAGAAGTTCCCCAACGTCAACGACAGCTCCGACTTTGTCAACCGCTCCCGCAGGAGGAACCGCAACCAGATGATGAACGTCGCCGTCCGCCTGCTCATGTGGTGGGTCATCATCGGCTTCGTGTGCTACGTCCTCATGGGCATGTTGACTGCTTAGAGGCATCCTGTACATCCCCTCTGTGCGTTGTTTTATGGGCTTTTGATTTGATGATATCACTGGGTAAACTTGACTTATTTGACGGCGTTTCGGGACTCCTGGTGCATTGGTCAGCTGGTGGGCACCTGGGCCGACCAGCAAATACAAATATAGGGATTTGATGGGAAACATTTTCTCGGTTGGATTCGGGTTCATTTAGGCTCCCTCTTATTCACTACATATGTAGGGCAGCATTATCTGTACATAGATTATTGAAACACATTCGATTTACACAAGCACTTTTGTTCAAGCATTGGCCTTAAAATTGTGTATGATAGCTGGCCGACGACTCTTGTAAGTCCCCGACATTGAACAATTTGGGCCCCATTTTAAAGCGCCGGCTCCTGGTCTCGCGTACCGAAACATCCTCGGAGTGGCGGTTCCACCCAACTGTGGACCCTTCTGAGGGTGAGCTCATTCCAGACTGCTCTAGGCCGGCGGGTCGTCCGGACCTCATCTCATGACAGATCGCGAACACCGCAGCAATTACTGGTCAAGATTAGTTCAAGAAAGTTTCTATGTGCTTGCCGCGTCATGGTGGTTAACTGTCCACGTCTCTCGAGTGATGCTTGCGCAATCATGTGGGTCTCATGCTGAACCTTCTCAGGTGCCCCAGGGTGGGTTCATCCCATCTTCCGGTTTGTGCGATCATCATGGAGTTGACTATTATACAACAAGCATCGACGCCGTGCGCATGCATTCACAACGACCATCTATGACCGCAACATGTTATATGTGGTTTCGCTTCTATTCCGCATACGTCCGAGGACATACATGGCGCCTTCATACCTAGGTACGGTGATAGGGTTTGAACATCTGTCTTTTAACAAATCTTACCTTCCTCCGAACTGCTCACATGCACATTCGGCCACGCATCTGTCAATCAATGCAGAGTACCTAGGTATCAGTAGGAATCATGTAGAGTTTCGAACACGAATTAATGGAGGTTAAGACGCCCCTGGGAATTACACAATACTAGCTGAGTCCAGTGTGGCCTGTCTCGTGATCTCGACCTTTCTGGATGACATTGCAAGGTCATGTCGAACCGGCTTCCTACCCTCAACTATGACTGCATTCACAGGGGGGTTAACAAGCCTGACCTCGTCCAGCTCGACATGCTCACATTTCCCACCGCCGCGGCTGGCCCACTTGTCCACCGTCCGCAGACTGCGACGCATGCCGTTGAACGCGGCATTCTGTTCGCGGTAACGACCCTCCCTAATGCCAGTGCTCGCTTGCATACTTGGCCTGCGCCTGCCGCGCCTAAGGAGCAGCCCAAGCTCGGGGAAGCTCACGCAGAGAATCCCTGTTGCCACCTCGGCCAGACTGGCGAGATGAGCCTCGTGTGTCAGTGTAATGAGCCACCATCTCATACTACAGAAATGTCTTCACTCCATTTTCGCACACATCCGAAGTTGGCAGCATGTTGCCGTGAGACCAGGAGATGGGGCAATGATGGAGGAAAATCGACTTACGCCCACATGATAACCTTGGGCTGGACCCAGGTCTTGTCTGGGTTCTTGTGGCCTTGTATTCTGACAACGGTCCCAACCAGGCTGAATGCAGGGGCGCTTATGGATAGTTAATAATTGGAAATCCTGTATTCATGTAGGAAGTCGAACAGGCTGACAGAAAAAGAAAATAGACGAAAAAAAAGGGCAAACCATGTTCTAAACAAAGAAAGGTTCTCACCACATGCCAAAAGTGAAAGCCAACACGACGTGGACCTTTTTTAAGAATTTCATATTCATATTCCAGACCACTCGGAGCGGCATTATGACCATGATGAAATCAGTCACTACGTTGAATACACCGTCGACGTTGACCAGCATGAGTATGTCGATGCAGTGGCCGGGAATGGACTGGTCCCAGGCCCGGGACCGTGGGACGCATTCCCATATTTTGGCAATGACAGTGGCGACGTAGTATAGCACGAGCAGGATGGCCATCATGATGACGGTGGCGTCGAAGGTGCTCCTCGGGTACATCGAGAACACACGTCGGTACAGGCAGAGGATGGCGAGCTTGGTCACACAGATGGCAACGGCGTAGTGGATCCGGGCTACGTGTAACCACTTCCCGTCGTCCAAGTCTTGTGTCAGCATGTGTCTTTTCTCAAAGGATTTGTCCTCCTATCTCTCTTCGGGATGTGTAGGAGGGTTCATGTGAGGGAGGGAGGAAGTGGCGTGAGTGCTTTGTACGTACGTAATATGCCTCTTTGAGCTGGGCTTGTGTCAAGTCCCTCTCGTGTTCTCCGCCGTGGTGTGCCATTGTGGCTGCTCCAGTGCCGCAGTAAGTGATTGTCCCAATCTGCGCCATTAGTCCTGCCCAGTGCTAGGCAATTACAAAGCCTCGGTCGTAACTTACCCAAGCGAATAGAGCAAGCCCTATTCTGATTGTTAGCCGGGACGGTTGTTTATTTCTTGGGTTATTGTTCACTCCGGGGTAAGACACGCTTACAGTCTTCGCAGGTCCATGTTCGTTTGATCCAAATCCTGACATAAGTGCGCAGAAGGAAGCACAAACTGGTCAGAGATATTACAACTCCAATGGCGATAGTCATTGGTCCTTTCGATGTTTCTGGGTGGCCGAGGTTGGGCGTCGTGCCTGGAGGGGGAGTCGGTGTAGGCGAGGGCGTGGCGCCGCTAGTTTTTGTCGCCATCTTTGAAGCTGCTGTTGAGCTTGGTTACATTGTCTCTGTTAAGAGATCATCGGAAGGCGGGAGCAGAAGCCTTTGCGGCGCTAAACCGATGGTTCCGTACAGGTTTTGACTTCAAATGTTATCATGAGGACATACGCCAGGAGTCAGCGGGAAGGGGAGGCTGATTTCTCGCACTGGCAGAGTCAGACTGTCTGATTTTGTTCAAGCAGTAACTAGAGTTGCGGCGGTGTTCGCTGCCTGAGAAGGGAGTATACAGTGGTTGGAGGGTTGCATTTCGTGAGCAAGGTACCTGAGTGGCGGATTAGTTCGCCGTTGTCAAACGTTCAAACGTTACCGCATATGTGCTTTGGTATGGCATACAGAAGTCCTGTCGTACAGACGTTGGATTGTCCCAACCTAGGTCGGTGTTGTAGCACAGGCAGGCTATAATTGACTCCAGGGCTGTAATGAATAAGCACAGTCAGATGCCAGAAGTGCGCCAAGCCAGCCTCCAGGGCTACCGAGTACTTCTGTTGCTTGGCCATCATCGATTCCGGGGAAGCACTGATGCTGAGACAGAATCCAACACGGCCCATCAAAAAACTAAAGTACACGCCAAGAACAACTACAAAGAAATTGGGGGCGCACCAGCCACCTGGGCATTCAATCCGATGCAACGCTCGTAGAAGGCTGTTCACAGCCTGCATAGCACCAGACACGGGATAGAGCACCCTGGTGGGCAGACTCGGGGACGAGGGGGGTCGTCAGCGCCCGAGTCCCTAGGTATTATATGGCTCCATGCAATCATAGGCTGGGTGAATGCGTCTCCAAAGCCTTCACCGATCGACTGCATGGGCAGCTTAGATGTTTCGAGAATATGCAAGTCAGCAATGTCAGATTGGCGTACCAAAATCACCTGTCAAGGAGGCCCAATTGTAGACGCGACCAGCATTGCACAAGATAAGATGTCTTGTTGCTGATCCAAATCCTACAGCTGGGGCTCAAGAGGCGGTCAATCTTGTCGGGGGACTTGCAAGCATAACTTGAAGTGATCGGCGCATTCTTGTACCTAGCTACCGGTCAGGCTGTCAGGGCGCGCACGGGGGGGGGGGGGATCGACGTGATGTGTGTCTAATCGGGTCAAGATCAGTCTACCCTGAAGCCTCCCAAGTCCCAAGTGAGCCACAAAGGGACGGCGCCATAGCCGCTCATCAACACGGCAGAAGACCTGTGTGATCCGCTGTTGGCTCGGCCCTGCACTCGTGTCCGCAATGTCCATTGCGGCTCAGACGATGCTTGCTGGGCTGTAGTTGGTGAACAAGCTACCTATCTACCCAGGTAGGTACTATTTTGACAGCGTGCGAGCTATATCTATGTACGTGGCTTGTACCGGGGAGCCATTTTCATCTGTTGATGTGGCTCAAATCCAATGAGAGTAATTTGCCATCCTTTGTTCCTGGCTAATTCCTTTAGGACAGCAGCTCTAGGTTCTCTCTACCATTTCTTGCAAGTCGAAATTCTTTTAATCTCTTCACATGGCTCTCAGAATTAGTTGTTGGATGACAAGGGAACTTATATGGGCTGCTGTGTCTACGTTTGCCAATCATCCAACCACCCTTGACGCTCGCTACCCTTCCAGATGGCCCAGTGGTATCTCAAGGCATGGACTGTTACTGCAACTCATTCAAACGTCAGTATCACCTACATGATTACCTTCGTTGTATCCCAACTCTAAGACTTCAGTGCGAACTTCACAACCAGTGTTTCCGGGTACCTAGGTTCAAATGTTAACCTGGCTTACCGGAACTAGATCTCAGCGGTCGCTGCACATTTTATGAAGCTGTGATACCTGCTTACATATGTAGGTATCCGGATCATACCAGTTGGCTCTATTCGGCGATCTGACATCGGGAATTCTGTAGTTAATCCTGCAAGCCGAGTCTTCTTCAGGGCTCCCGTGCCCATACTTAGGTAGGCTAATAGGGATCCTGCTGACTGTTCTTTGCCCTTCCTTCTAAGGGTTAGCTTATCTTGTGATGGCCTGTGGTGGATTTTCAAGGCCGCTGATGACTTCCTAGTGTCTCACCTACCTAGGTATCGGTCTATCTACGCGTTTACCAGTTCGAGCGGACTTTCCCGGGTTTTAATCACTTCCCGGCTTAGCAATATCGTTAATACCACTGTTTAGGAAAAATAAAGTTACGCCCCCCCCTGGTTAAATACCCCCTATTCCTTAGTTAAACTAAAACTTTATTAGTAAGGTGGAAAATCTAATATTTCTTAATAGGATACCCTTATTAGTTTATTAATATTTCTTAATTAGTAAAAAAGAGGTTTTAATAATAGCTAGTTATTATTTATTATTATTTAAACTTTAATAGTTAGAATTTTATTTATACTTTAATTTATTACTATTTAATAAATAGTTATAAATTAAGTTTTAATATTATTATAAGATAATTTAGGTTATTATTAAAAGGTTATTATTATTTATATAGTTACTTTAAGTATATTATTATTATTATTATTAAATATAGTTAAATTAAAGTAATAAATTTTAAAAGTTTATTAACCTACTTTTTATAATAAGTTTATAAAGTTTAACTAATATATAAATTATATAGATTAAAAGTTAAAGATTTTCTATTTAATAAATTAAATTTATATTTTAATAAAATATAATATTTCTTTATTAAATAGTTTTAAATTAATATTATTATAAAATAATAAATAATATTCTTAAAGTTTATAAATAAAGTAATAAATAAATATATATACTAATTTATTAATATAATAAAAGCTTTATAACTATTACCTCTAATAGATATATTAATTAAATTATATAATAAAGATATTTATTTTTATTAATAAATTTAATTTTAATAAATAAAATAATATAAAGAGAATTAGTTAAATATTTATTAGATATACTTTATAAATTAAAAGTTTTTAAATAAAGAGTTTATCTTTATATTCTCTTTATAATTATATCTAATAGCTTATTTATTATTATAGTATATAAAGATTATATAATAAAAAGTATTTCTTATAGTAATTAATAAAAGTATTTTATTAAAAATAAATCTATATTTAAGCTTAAAGTTAATCTTTATAATAAATAATACTTTATAATATTATAATATAGAGATAATTAAAGTAATAAATATAAAAGATATAAAGTATAAATATCTATCTTTATATTTCCTTAATTTTAATTTTATTAAGGTATATTTTAATAACTTAAAGTATTATTTATATTATTAATATTAATATAAATTATTAGATTATAATTTAAATAGAGATTTTACTTAATTTTTATTTTTATATTTAAAAGGTTAAATTTAAAGTTAAAGTTATTTAGGGATATTTCTATTATATATAAATATTAAAAGAAAATATAAAATAAAGTAAATATAATAATATTAATTAAAAATTATAAAATTAAAATTAATAAAGTTCTAATTAAGTATAATTATATAAATAGAAAAGTATTATTTATAAATTAAATAGTTAAGTTAATAATTAAATTTAAATTAATAAATTAATTATAGGTAAATTTATTTAATTAATTAATTACTTAATATTAGGTATTTAATCTACTTTATTTACTTAAAATAACTAACTTTTCTTTCTTTAACTACTTCCTATTATTAACTATATTTTTCTATATACTTAATTACTACTTTTTTATTTAAAAGTCCTTTAAAACTTATTATATAATCTTTTATTTTATTAAATAAAAGAATTATTTTAATAGGCTTTTAATTTTTTATTAAGTAATTAATTTAATTATAAAATTTAATATTAAATAAAGTTAATTAATTAATTAAATAACCTTTATAGATTTTATAAAGTATATACTTTTAATATCTATTTAATAATTTATTAAATAATTATTTAATAGCCCTTATTATAATAATAAGTTTTTTTATTATTATTATTATTAAAAAATTAATAAAGTTTTTCTTTCCTTTAAGTATAGCTTAACTAATATTTTAATTAGTAAAATAACTTTTAAATTATATTTATTAAATTAAATATTCTTTTTTATAAAATCTATAAAGATTAAGCTTTTATATTTTATAACTTTTATAAGTTATTTAAGTTAAACTTTTTTAATAGATTTTTAAAGTATTTTTAAAGTACTTTTATAATAAACTTTTAATATAAAATTATTTTATTTCTTTCTATTTATAATAATAATAATAAAAGGATAACTAATAGCTTTTATTTTTATAATAAGTTTATAGATACTATTATTATTATTATTATTAATAGTAATAAGGTTAAAAGCTTATTAAACCTATAAGAGAAAGCTAATAGTAATAATAGTAATAATAACCTTATTAAGGCTATTTAATTATATTTAACTTTAAATAAATTAATATTAAATAATAAATTAATAACTATATTAATATTATTTTTTTTTACTTTTATTTTTATTATTTTTTTAAAAGAATAAAGTTAATCTTATTATTATTAAACTTTTTTATTAAGTTCTATTTAAGCTATTTAATAATTAAAAGGACTTTTAATAGATATTTAACTATAATATTATTTATTATAATTATATTAAACTAATCCCTTAAGTTCCTATTAAATAAATTAATATATATATTATTTTATTTAATAAAATATTATTATTATAAGGAATTCTCTTTATTTTAATAATAATAATTAACTTTATAATACTTACTTAAAGGATATAATTATATCTTTATTAATTATTTATACTTTTTTATATAGAGTTTATTTTTACTTTTATTTTAACTTTCTACTTAATAGTTATTAATATAGATTAAGGAGTTTTAAAGTCTAAATTTCTATTAAATATATTTAAATTTACTACCTATTTAATTATTAATAAACTATTTTTAGAGTAACTACTTATTAAATAGCTAATAATAATTAAAAGACCTTAATTAATAAATACTTAATTAAGTAATTACTTTATAATATAAATATTTATAACTCTTATACTAATAATATAACCTTATAATTATATAAAACTAAAAAAAGGGTTTTAAAACCTAAAGAGTATATTTATAATATTATTATAATTAAATACTTTAATCCTTTTATTAATATTTTTTTATAATTTTTAACTATAAAATTAAAGACTTTTAATTTATAAGTTAATTAATTTTAATAAAGATATTCCTTAACTTAATAATTATATTTAAATAATTCTTATACTTTTTTAATTAAATCCTTAAATAAGTTAATATAATTTAATAGAAGGCCTTAAATCCCTTAATCTTTATCTTTCTTTTTTAATATAATAATTTATTTTTTAAGTTATATAATAAAAGTAGTATTAGCTTTTAGGCTATAAATTTTAATAAATAAAGTTAGGGTTAATTTACCTAAATATATTTATACTAAAGGGTTAATTAAATAACTTTTAAAGTATTTAATATTATTACTATTATTATTTATTAAGAATTTTACCTTATTAATAAAGGGGTCCTTATTATTAGTACCTTTTAGAACCTTTTTTTCCTTATTACTAAGTATATTTTCTTTATTATTAACTTTAATAGTATTCTTTTATACCTTTTAAACCATTTAATCTACTATAATAGCCTTATTTTAAGTAGTTTTTAAGGGTATTTATAAATACTTTTAAATAGTTTATTAAACCTTAATTACCTTAGTAGTTAACTTTTAAATATATAATTATTTAAATAATATAATATTCTTATTAATAAATTATATAATTTAACTTTTAAATAGATTTTATATAATAAATATTAAATAATTTAAATTTAATAGGTTAATTAAAATATATTATTTATAATATTAGTTAAACTAATATTACCTTATATTAAAATAAATAGGTTATATATACCTTTATAGACTAGGTTTAAATTAACTATATAAGATTAATATAATATTACTTTTACTTAATTAGGTAATAAAAACAACTTATTACTAGTATTAATGAGGTTAATAGGGGTGTCTTGGTGAGAATATTGGATTTTCCGCCCTGTTAGTGAAGTTTTGGTTTAACTGAGGAATAGGGGGTATTTAACTGGGGGGGGGCGCAACTTCGTTTTTCCTAGATAGTAGTAGGCCACCAATCCCTAGTTCCACGCCCGCTATGTCGGATATTAGCAGCTGCCTACCGACGTACCTGGTACGATTTAGCTCCGACGGACTTTCAAAGTCCAATACATTTAAAAGCTGTATTGCGCTCAGGTGTTGATATCCTTGGTGTATATGGCGGGAAATATCATACCACCTTTACAAAGTCTACCAGTTTCTCATTCAAAGTTTATCTACTATCCATGTCATAATATCATTACCCTGGTGAATAATATCGTAACACGCTCTAAATCAACTATCATCGATTATCCCACACCTCTACGCCGCTATGCCAGCCGACCCCAAAGCTCAGGCTTCATTCGAGGCAACCTTGCGAGGTTTGATCCAGCGACAGCGCACGAAGCCTACGCCTTTACCGTCAGGACTTAGCATCACAGGCCAGACCGCCATCGTGACAGGCAGCAACGTGGGGCTGGGCCTGGAAGCGTCCCGGCAGCTGTTGACGAAGGGGCTCTCGCGCCTGGTGATGGGCGTGCGGTCGCAGGCCAGGGGCGACACCGCGGCGGCAAAGCTCCGCGAGGAGTTCCCCGACTCGGAGGTTTCTGTTTGGATCCTCGACATGGAGTCGTACGACTCGGTGCGCGACTTCGCGGGCCGGTGTGGCTCGCTGCCGCGCATCGATGTGGTGATACTGAACGCGGGGCTGATCACGCCGACGTACCAGGCCGCCGCGGCCACCGGCCACGAGACCACACTGCAGGTCAACTACCTGTCCACGGTGCTTCTGGCGCTGCTGCTCGTCCCGGTCCTCAAGGCAAAGAGGGCCGCCGGGGCCCCCAGGCCGCCGGTGCTCACCGTCGTGGGCTCCGGCGGGGCTTACAACGCGACGATGGAGATGGATGGCGGTATCCTCGAGCAGATGGACAATGCGAAAGGCTACGGCCCGTTCCCTGCGTACGCGAGGTCGAAGATGCTGCTCACGGTCTTCGTTGGGAAGCTGGCCGAGCTTGTGGACCCGTCGGATGTGTTGATCAACACAAGCAACCCCGGGATGACCGACGGGACGTCCTTTGCCAGTGACGGCGACGTGATTCTGAGATGGATATTCCGAGTTATCCACTTCTTCCTGGCACGGTCGCCGGAGGTCGGGGCTTCGTTATACCTCGACGCGACTCTGGTGCGAGGGCCCGAGAGCCATGGGAAGCTCCTCAGCGACTGGACCATCAAGCCGTAAGTTGCTCCCTGCCCAGCGTTCTCACATGTGTGTTCTGACGAGGCTCGGGTCAGATTCCCAGAGTTATGGTATACCGAGGAGGGTCAAAGGTTCGCGGACAGGCTCGTCAAGGAGACAATGGAGGAGCTGGAGCCGGTGGGAGCGTCGCTGCCTCAAGGGGCGTAGCCATTGGCAAGTCACCAGTCGATCAGGTTAGGCTGTGATGCAGGGGGTGTACCTAGGTGAATACCGTCCAGGTAGAACCGGATAGATATCCGGATATCCCGATGGCTGGGATATGTGAGAAGTGTGGATGGCCTCACGGGCACGGTGCCAGCACGTGAACGGAGTTTTTCATACATCATTGATGGCCTTGCCCTTCTTGAATAATAACGAACGCCAGCACTGGGTTATAACTCAACCCCTTAATCTGATTGTTTCCCATAGATCGGCCTGTAGAAAAAACATGCAAATAACTTGAACACGTGATCTAATTTTTTTTTTTTTGCCCACTTTCCAATTTTCCTACTTTCAAGCCTATTGAACGTGTGGAGATATTGGATGGCCCTACTCCTCGGGGAGGTAGCAATGCCAGTGTAGTACTAGTCTAGTAAGAGATGATGGTTCTCGCTGGCCCGCTGCGTGCAGCCCATGGGAGGTGGGCACCTGGGAGAGGGCCGCAAGATGCCCGTCCTGGGTCCCGAGGTCCGGTGCGACAACAAGAAAGATCAGTACGACATACTAGGGAAGCATGGAATCCCCGGCACCGGCCCCAGAGACTCGGAGAGAACCTTGGAACAGCTGCCCGCTTGATGCCTTCAGGAGCACACATGCAGTCTGGTTGAAGTACACAATCACAATGTCCAAAGCATGACTTAGGTAGTGTATGCTGTATACTAGATATGGTTCTGCGTACCTATGTACGGGGAAATCCAGAGGGAATGATATTCCACTGAGATGGTGCAGTGATAATTATCCCAGGAGGAGGCCAGGTGAAGGAGATCTGGGCAAATGAGATAAGCTGGACCCCCCTGTCGCATGGCAGGGTGGTTGGTGGCTGGTGCAGAGGTGGCTGGTCGGGTCGGGAGGGCCCGCGGGTATCCCTGTCAGGCCAGGTACATTGACCAGGTACCTACCTAGGTACTCGTTGCCCGGCAGGTCTACTCTAGACTTGGGTTGGGCATGAGCAAAAACACAAGTGGAAGGTTGGAACTTGGCAGGCTTCTGACAGTGCAGCGATGCAAGCGCAACTGCAGGGTTGAACTTTGAGGTCGGGGTTGATGGAGTGCAGTGCACATTAGAGTACTTGGTAGAAAGAAGTACATACCGAGGGGATGAAGGCAGGATGACGTGCTGTATCGGGATGCTACACCACTCTTGTCTGTGGTACGACGCCGGGCTCGTATTCTACTGTGTAGCGAGAGCTACCGGCATGTAGTATTGTAGAGGGGCGGTCAGTGAGCGGCTGGTCGAATTGGGTTTTCCTTTGGTGGTGTTTTTGTTGATATTGTTGTTTCTTTTGGGCCTGGGCGAACAGACTAAAGAGAGAGGAAGAGACTTGTACCAAGGTACCAAGGGTCGACGGACGACAATTGGACGGACAGCTGGACGGACAGACGGACAGACTTGGAAGTCGCGACTCTCTGCTGCCCAGCCGGCACAGAGCTCCCGCAGCTTGCCTGATGACCTTCCCGAGCTGCCCTGGAGCTACCTGGGTACTGTGTAGAGCTGGTGTCGTCCTTCCTTCCCAGCCACCCGAGCCAGCAACTCTTGACCTCACCTCGCAACCTTTTTTCTCCCTCCCCCACCACCCTGTTTTCTGCCCGAGGTTTTATCCGTCGACCCGACACGACTCGATACGACTCAACTCGGCTCGACTTGGGTTTATTCTGCCCGTTAGACGACTCGACCTCAATGTGCTGCTGCTGCTGCTGCCCGTAGCTCGTTGCACCTCCACCTTCGCTCGCTTGTCGCCTGCCTGGCTGTCTTGACTCGTCTTTTGCCTCGTCTCGTCTTGTCTAGACTGTCTATTACATACATACACTCATACATACAACACACGACACATACTCGACACACACATGAGGTGAGATGAGCTCCCCACCCAAGCCACGGGTCCAGCGTGACCGCCAGAGGGACCAGTTCGAGCGCTCATCCCCTCCCAAGATCGACTTTGGCATCGACGGCACCGCCAGCGACCTGATGCCCCCCGTCCGCGCCCCGTACGTCCTGCACAAGTCCTCCTCCGTCTCCTCCGGCAGCAGCACCGCCAGCTCCCCCGCCCGCGACCGCGACAACGGCCCCGTCGCCTACCCAAACTACTACGACTACACCGACCCCGAGCCCCACCTCCTCCTCGACCACTCCTCCACCTCTCCCAAGCGCGACCGCGACCGCGACCGCGACATGGCCAACATGGCCATGCAGGTGCCCATCCAGCAGCAGCAGGGCCAGGGCAGGCTGGTCGACAACCAACGCAACAGCAGCGCCAACAACGGCCCCGTCACCACCCAGCAGATGGCCCACGCCGCCCGCAACAACCCCGCCGCCCCCCGCGGCTCCAGGCCCCCCAGCTACAGCGGCGACGCCAACCCCCCGCTGAACAAGGTCGACATCGACGCTGCGCGCTACAGGCAGACCCAGCAGCGCCGCTCACAACAGCAGCAGCAGCAGCAGGTGACCAAGGACGGGCGGCCGCCCACCAACGGCAGCAACAGGGCGCCCTCTTCTGGCGGCGGCGGTGGCATGATGGGCGGGCGACCCATCAGCCCCGAATCCCCACTGCTCTCCCCGGCCGCACACATCCAGCGCCTCCCCACCCCGAGCATCACTTCCAGCGTCCTGCAGCCCCTCGACGCAAAGGTCACCGAGTACGGCGCCCTCATGGCCGAGGCCCAGGCCGACATGGCCGCCCTGGACGAGGAGATGCGACAGCTGCAGGACAGGCAGCGCGAGGCAGAGGCCCGCTTCCTCGACGCAAAGTCAAAGCACGACGACTACCGCCGCCAGTACCACGACGTCGAGAGGGCACTCCGCGGCGACTTCTCCACCAACGGCAACGGCGTGCCGCCCATGCCGAGCCTGAGCCGCCACGACATGATGGACGGTGGGCCGCGGGGGGGCATGCACCAGGGCGGAGGACCAGGGGGCCCCATGGGGGGCCAGCCGCCGGCCATGAGGAGCCAGCGCACCGTGAGTGCCCATAGCGAACAGCCCAGCATGATGAGCCAGGAATCGGTGCGCACCCAGAAGAGGGGGCGCTTCAGTCGCATATTCGGGGTGTAGGACCACCACCATCATGCAGACTGGGGCCCGTGGGGGTGGGGGTGGTGGTGGTGGTGCTACTACTACTGCTGCTGCTGCTGCCCTTGTGCGTCGTGGGTGCCAGATGATGACCGTGTCGACGACGACGAACCCTTACGACGGTGGGGAGGATGACCGGCCTGTGGTGGTGTGGTCCTTTTGATGATTTGATTGATTGACTGATTGATGCCTGCATTGGTGCTTTTGAATTCTTGATGACGAAACGCATAAAACGAAACCACTCAGATCTTGTCGGGGCGCTGGGGCTAATGATGATGACTGTCGAACAGGTCTCCTGGGCATAATGGAATCTCCGGGGGGGCCTCGTGTATGGTGGTGGCTAGTCCATGGGTAATGAGATGAACAGATGAAGCTGGACGGACATGTGAGGGAAGGGACACCCGCCACCAACACCCACACACGATCATGCGATTTCATCCACAGAGGCGGCGTTTTCATGGTTCGGCTGAAGATATAAGGATGGGACCCTTCTTTGTCTATTTCTCTCTGGACATAACACATCATCATTCATCACACGGTCACCAAACAGACACTCTTCTACGAATTGTCAATAATACGCCGGTTCCATTCCTCATCTTTGGTCCGAATAAAGCTGAAGAGCAGGGAGGCCCCGAGCTGGGGGAGGCAGGAGGCAACAGGTATCAACCTTCGACCTGCTTTTCGCCTCGAGGTAATTACATGGATATATGACAATTAAGGCGTCGCCAGGAAAAAGAAAAAAGGAAAAGAGATCTAGTGTGACTGACTTGGCTGGCCCTCTTTCTGGATGGGATGTTTTCTGTTCAGAAGGCACCGAATTTCGACTCTTAACGCCTCGCTCCCTTGATATCTGCTGACCGAGTAAAAGGAAATGCAGGACACGATGACCATCAACGGCCTTTCTTCTGCCTGTCCGCCCGGCATGCCCTATCCGACCGGGACAGCTCTCCTTCTTCAACCCCGTTGACCCACCCACGGGCTGCGTGCATGCGCAGGTGTGCTCACAGCATGCCCCCGTATCCGCCCGTCGCCGTTACGGGATGCATGTACCTTGGCGCCTCGGCCACAGAGGGCTTCCGCCTGTGCTGTGGTGACTGCTGGCGCGCGTGGTTCTGCGGATATCCGTACTGCTGCTGTTGGTACTGCTGTTGGTACTGCTGGGGGTACTGCTGTGAGTACTGCTGCGGTGCATATGGCCGCTGGTTCTGCTGCTGCTGCTGGTAGTGCTGCTGCTTCTGCTGCCTCTGCTGCTGCTGTTGGTTCAGCGGCACGATCAGCTCCATGCCCTCGACGACGTTGCGGGCCTGCGCCCCGTACGTGTCGATGAAGGCGCCCGTGCTGTACTTTGAGCTCGACCGGTGGTGGTTGTTGTTATTGTTGTTGTTGGTGTAGTAGCTGTCAAAGTTGCTGTTGTATGTGTTGATGTTGTTGGACATGTTGGACCCCCTCTGGCTGGACTCCTCCTCCAGCGGGGTGAGCCTCTTGCCGTTGGTGCTGGGCTTGAGCGTGTCACCAAGCCCGCCGTTGGTGGTGTTATTGTTGATACTGTTGTTGCTGTTGTTGTCCCCAGGCGAATACGGCCCGTGGCTGTTGGGGCTGTACACGGGCGACTGCTGTATCAGGTTGTCGGTGGACGCCTCGTGCGCCAGGCCCCTGCTGCTGCCGCCCGGGTTCGTGGCGTTGTCCCCGCCGCCCTTGAGGATGGACGAGCTGTCGGTCCAGAAGGACTGGTTGGACGTCGGGCGGGGCGGCCTCGGGGGAGCCGTCGTGGCCACGGTGGCGATGCTGCCGGCGCCGGCCGTCTGCTGCCTGAAGATGGGCGGCGGCGCCCCGACGGTCATGGGGCTCGCCCTGCTGTCGTCGGTGCGCACGATGCGGATCCTGTCGCGGCCGTCGCGCGAGAAGAGCTTCTGGTGGCCCCTGCTGCTGCCGGACCGCGACGGCCGCAGCAGCCGCAGCGTCGGGATCGAGGCTATCATGATGGTGATGTTGGGCTCCATCGAGGACCAGAGGAGCACGTCGAGGTTGGCCTGCTGGAAGTTGGCGTCGGTGAGCTGGAAGATCTGGGCTGCTGCCACGGAGGATGTTGCGCTTGCCCTGTGAGTGTATGGTTCTGCTGTCAGTCGTCTGCTATGATCTTTTTATATCATGTATATATGCATGCCCTTCCATGGCCCCCGGGGCCCTTTCTTTGTCTTCAATCCGATCCGCTCCATGGGCAGCAAACTAAACCTCCTTCTTTTCTGTGAAAAGGTAAAAAGAGAAAAATAATACTCACAGCACGCCCATAGCTATCAGGGCCCCAACACCAGCCTTCTCGGCAACGCTGAGCCCCTTGGTCCAGAGAACCTGCCACACGACCACCACCAGCCCGAGGTCCATGGCCGCCGAGAACGCCTGCGCGCTCAGGCCCACAATGTTCTGCACGTCGATGCCCCAGCACGAGCCCTCGCCGCTGCCCCAGCCGGCGGCGATCGGCCGGCACCGCAGCCAGTGCGTGATGGCGGCGCCCGCGACGACGACGTTCACGAGGCCCACCAACGAGTACAGCGCCGCGCGGACCAGGCGTGGCGACTGCAGCCGGAGCAGCGTGCAGGCCAGCGACGTCTTGCTCCACGCCGCCGCCGTCAGGACCAGGCTGCGCGCCACGTTGTCCAGGAGGAGGAGGGCTGACGGGCCTGGCGGCGGGGGCGTGGTCTGCCGGCGGCCTGCCCCCAGGGCGAGCTCGAGGGATGCTATTGCTGAGTAGAAGATGATGACGACCTTTGGGGTTTGGAGGTTTGCTGTTAGCTTTCTTGGTCTTGTCTGGTTTTGTCTCGCTTCCGCCGCGAGACGGGCAATGACAACTGGAAGGCAAAATTATATGTGTATCAATGTCTCGGTGTGACTTACCCATGATGCTATCAGGAACCCGTCGTCTGACCACAGCTGCTGTGCCCTCAGCCACTTTGTGAATAACCGCAGGCCCAGGAGGATCCCCGACACCAGCGAGAGGAGCCACACGACCAGGTGCGTCATCAAGACGTTCTGGTCCGCCGAGAGGGCTCGCCCCTCCAAGGAGGAGAGGTGAGTGGTGGCGGACGGAGCCATTGGTCTTTCCAAGAGAGAAAGGGAGAGAAAGGAGTCAAGTCTGCGATATCTGCCAGCCAGCCAGCCCTGCGTGCTTGGTGAAAATCTCCGAGTGACGGGGAGGGTGGGTGGTATGCTATACCACCCCTCGCCGACGAGTTAACGAGCGTGATCAACCTCCGCTGCTTCCAGAAAGAGACGAAATGCTGTCGAGTGTTGTATGATTGCGTATGTGTAGTAGTAGTGAAAAGAAAGTCGGGTGGCGTATGTACGGTAGTAGTCTTTCCCAGAAGAGAAATGAACGTTCTGCGCTTTCCCTCCTTCTTCTGCTATCCCATGTACGCGCTAGTAGGAGAAGGGCGGAAGGCATATATCAACCATCACGTTCTCGGGACAGGATGAGCGAGCACGGTGATCGGCCGACGAGAATACCAGAAGTGGACTGTGAGGACGTGATCAGATGGTGGAGAAAAAAAAGCCAGTCTGATCCGCATGCGAAGTCCCGGACGGCACGGAAGGCGGGTGGGCAGGCAGGCAAAGAGGTAGGTAGTCAAGTTGTCAGTCCAAGCCAGCCAGGGAAATGCCAAAGGCAGAGGCAGGTCACAGCTAGAAAAGACTGGACGAACTAAGTTTTGTGGAACCCAAGTAGACGGAGGTGAATGCCTAGCGGGGCCCAGGACGCTACCCTGACTATGCGAACCAGGTTCCAAGGCTGCCAGTCACCAAAAGCTTCGGGAAGGGGTCAAGGAAGGAAGGGTGGGAGTGAGTGTGTGGGATGCTGGTGGGGATATTATCGGCTAGATCTTATTGCCATGCCGCCCGCCCGTGGAGCCAGTCGCGAATAGGCCAGGTGGGTACGTGATGCTAGGCGGCGTGTAAATTAAGTGGGAACGGCCGTTGGTCGCGTTGGGTTGGGTTGGGTTGGGCTGGGGGTGTAAGTGAAGTGTGTAAGTGAATGAGTGAGTGAGTAAGTAAGCGTGTGTGTGGACACACAGACACAGACGCCCGACCAAAACTAGCAAGGAGGCAGGAGGCAGGATGACGGACAGGGGTGGGCAGATCTAGATCTGTGGTGTGATGGGGCGCTTCATGGGGGAGGGGAGGATGCGATGCGATGCCGATGCAATGTCAAGCACGAGGGCGATCACAAAGGGAGGTCCCGGATGCCGGGAGGTGGAAGAAAAGGAACAAGGCCAAGCCAAGGGGACTTTTCTCTTACACGCAACGACGAGTTGCATCACACACAGACACGCAGGCAGGGCTCGACGTGGGCCAGGCCACGGTGGGGAACGTACGTTGATGTTATGTTATGTTATGTCATGCCATGTTGTGTATGGATATATGCCAGGACCTGTCCTGTCCGAAGTCTGAAGGATGGACAAAACATGAACATGTTCGAGCATCAGTGCATCAACTCGCGACAGGGCGAAATTGCACGAATGGAAAGTAGTGTTGGCAGCGTACCAAGAGCCGGTTGGCCACATACCCGCAACTCTAAACCAGGTGCCTCCAGGTGCCTGCGCATGAAGTACACCACTTGCTTACTTCAAGTTGCTTGCTTTGTCTCCCTGGCAGGCCTGGCCGGGGACGGGGACGGGGACGGCCCCACCAGAATCATCACATCCTGACGACCCGGGAAAGGGATCAGACAGTCAGGGATAATAATGCGGTAATACTGTGTACTGTGTAGGGCAAGGCTGAATTGGCCGCCGCCGCGGAACACTTCAAGTTCTGGTGTACCATGTAAGGTTGTCAACCAACATCTGAGAGCAGGCGGTGCATGCATGCTGCGTGTCAATAATCGTGCCGAGGCAGGCAGTTAGTCAGTCAGTCCGTCAGTTCACTTCAAGTTCACTTACAGTACACTGCCGGACCTCCGTCCTGGGCGCCGCGGAAGACTTCATCAATTAAACCGCATCCATTCCCACATTTTCCACAGCTGGAGGCCGGGGTAAGCCCTTCCCCGACATGAACCGGTTGGGCCATAAGTTGGTGTCGCCGAGCTAAGGTCTGAGATTGATAGAGCATGGTTCGTTGGCGCAGGGGTCTGCTTGGTCTGCCGTGGTGGCGGGCCCCTGGTCGGGTCAATATAAGTGAGACGATATGGTATCATCCAATAACCAAGTACTCACCCTACTACATAGTACAGCCTCTGCAATCCTCAGCCGCTGACCACCACCACTGCAGGCACCATCCCTCCACTCGACTCGGGAAGCCCACCTCCCTCCGCTTCGTCCCATCTCGACCGCGGCAGCTCAGCATTCCCAAATCGGACGAGGCCCTACCGCGGGCACTACTCTAGCTCACCCTCCACCACCACCACTACCACCAAGCAGCCTGGCAGCCATACAACCATGGCGCACAGCCGGAAGATCTCCATAGGGTCCACACCTAGGTAGGTAGGTACCTGGGTAGGTAGGCTTTGGGAGGGGACAGACCACGCAAACGATTGCCTAGTTGGGGGCTCTGGGGCGTCCACAACATCAGACGACAGCCAATATGATCCGGCTTAATTCTTCCTCGTCCTGTGTTTATGTTCTTCTCCTCGAACCTGCGCCTCCTGACGGCCGGCAATAGGAGCAGCTGCAATGCGTGCCGCGGCTCGTGGCCTGCAAAACAATTGTGGAAATGAGGGCACGAGGGCGGAGTGGTATCGTAAGCCATCAATGACGCCGATTGCCCTCTTATTAGATCCATCTGACAAAGGCACTACCCAGGTCCGGGTGACATACAGAGAGAAGGAATGTGACAGCGAGCATTTCATCTGCATCGGGGATTTTTCTACTCGGCTCTGGCACTGATGGCCCACAAACCTGGCTGCCAACCCGGCTGCTCATCTCCCAACTCCCCGAGGCCCCCCGGGTACCCGCCCGTCGTCTCTCTCCGCCGCCGCGTGCGTGGGAGTGTTGTACTCGGTGCAGGGTAGCTTCACGTCAGGCTTGTGTCGAAAGCTTCGTCGAACTCTTGGGGTGTCATCGTCCTGAAAATCCCCCGTACCTGTCATTTCATGTGCGCATTATCCTGACTTGCACAATGTCTGCAGCCGCTGGGGGGGTTGGGACTTGGTCATGGGATGCTGCCTCAAATCCCTACCTCGACCGGGTTCATGTCGAAGTGTTATTTTACTTTGTCTCCTGTATGTGACATGCCCCAAGGTTCGGGACTCATCCCGTCTTTGTTGTCTTGCAGGACCATTGCATCTGCATCCTCCATCCCAGCCGAGGATACCCTTTTTTTTTCTCTCCCCCCCTCCAGTACTACTTACTGTTCTGTGGTATTCCAATGATCCACGCTGACACATATCGCGGGGCAGACGAATCCCAGAGGCTTTTCTTATTCGCCTCTTCTCCTGGTCACGTCAGGCTTCCTGACGACTCCCGGCCACATCCCTGGAGCCTTGCTTCCCCGAGGTGCACACCTCGAAATGTTTCAGCCGCACTGCCGTCCCGAACTAGAAGTCTCTGCACTCGATGCACAGCCCACTCGTTCGACCCGGGGAAAGCTGAGATAGCACACAGCCAGGACAGCAGAGACAGTGCCGCCGGCGCGCTGAGTCGGGCCCGTCAGGGCGGTGCGACACCCAAGACCGGGATCGCAGGCTCCGTGCTGTGTACTAGATAGAGAGAGGTGCGCAAATGCTCATCTAACAATGTGTATGTGCGGGCCCGAGTCAGATACTACAGGAATGGTGAATGTGATGGGTGTTTTGAAGACGTTTGGAGGCTGGTAACACGAGCATCAGGTACCCAGCACCGAGCACCGCACTGGTCGGCATGGCAGGCAGATCTATCATTGAGTCAGTCGGGTGGCTCGTAGATCGTCCTTGTCAGTGTGGTGGTGTTTTTTCCCCGATTAGGCCAAGTCCCAAGTTTCATTCCGGTAGGGCTCATTGACATCCGAGTAAACGATCGCGTGTTCAAATGTCAATGAGCAGGATATTGACAGGAAACGTGTGGCAGATGCTTAGCACCCAGTTCACCAACCAGGTGCGACAAGGTGAAACGATCGGGGATGTCAGAGAGGCCAATTACGATCTATCAGATTGCAGGGCCAATTTCAGAAAAGATACATGGGAAGTAGGCACCCGGAGATCAACATTTCGATCACGTGAGCCGGCTGTGGCTGGCTGGACGGTCGGATGGTTGGTTATGCAGCTGGAGTGTCAGTTCACCGGCCTTGCGTCTAGAGTTCGAGCTATCATAGCCTCTGACAAACCAGCACCTCACTTGCCAACTCAAACGGTGGGTGCTCCAAAGTAGTCGGCGATCACTCCAGCCAAGCCGATTCGGAACGTCGACACATCACATGTCGGGAACAGTCACAATCCTAGCGAGATGAGATCCCATGGCGAGAAAATGCACCTCGGTTTCAGCCTTGGAAACACGGTCACACGTGCCTGTCTACCCGCCCAGGTATATGCACGTTATAGCCTAAAGGATCAATTGATGCACAGCGCGGCAGATCAATGTGCGCGATAAAAGGACCACTTAAATGTCGACATAACGAAACGCGACCAGTTTGACTGCACATACTGACCAGTGGTGAGCTCGTTGATCTTCCGTCGGCTATAATGGGGCAATCACAACTTAGAAAACATCGCAGATGCTAGAAATATGCACCGGTGCACTCAACGTTACAAACGATGATCCCAACATCACCATATATCCTCGCGGTCCAGCCTGCATTCTGTAAAAAAATAAACCCCAAGTCTTGATATTGAAATAGCTTGTTGAACAGGGCCAGACTCATAGAGAGGCTGGAGCCATCGCAGAACCAAACCGGACGCAGACTATCCGATGTCGCAACCTTGGAACCATGCCATTCCCCTGACAGAATATCTGCTGCAGGTCTCAGTTCGTGAGTCCCGTTAAAAGGCAGCAAGGGCTATTTTTAGAGCAAGATCGACGAACTTGTGATGCAGGAACTGGCCTGCGAGATGTGAACAGCAAAGAAGTTGGTGTGTGAATATCACGCTCTGCTATAGCACTGCAACCACATAGAGACCTTTGTCATGTACTTCTTTACCCGGGTCGGCCCTTCCCTAGCACCCCGCGACCAAGTGGTCGTGGTCATTAAAGGCATTGGTACTTTTATCCAGATTGTCGAGCCTTTTGGCGCCTAATAATCGTGGAGCATCATCCAGGGGCGACTGTTATCGTCGCCGGTCCTGAAATCTTGTTGAAGCTGCGTTGTTGTCAATTCTGGTTTCGTAAGCCTTCGGCTGATAATGGCGAAGCTGGACCAGTTCAACCAGCCCTCTGCATTTAGTCCAAGTGGACGTGGCGGCATCGCTTGCCGACATATCTCTCGGAGCTTGTAAACGCCGTTTGCACAGTGCAATGGCCGAGATTAGAAGAGTTAGGGTAGGTGTCGCTTGGACATTGATCAATCAGCTCCACCAGCAAACCTGTCAGTACACAGTACTATTAGCAGACGCCTGAGCGGAAAATAATCATTGCCGTCGGAGACATACTGTAGGATGGACTGCAGCTCAATTAATCGATGCCAAGAAAGCGGCGCAGTCCGCTCCAGGCCGAGCTCCTCTATTCTTACAAAAGGTCGCTTGGTGCTGAGAACATTGGAGTGTTCGAATAGTCACAGCTGGGCAGGCTGATGAGTGGGGAGTCGTGAAAGCAGGTTAGTAAAGCGAGAGCGAATACCAAGCTGTGCGTAGCAAAGCCTATATAGAGTTTGTCTCGTATTGTAAGGCTGCTCGCAGTGGGACACCGCCCACTACGGAACGAATTGTCCAAGCAGGTGGCTGGGCTCAGATGACTGCGACCATCTCCGACTCAGTGCTAGTCGTGGGATAAGAGTTATCTTGGCCTCGGGATGTTCCGATCCTCATTTTTGTATCCCCTCATCACTATCTAGATTGATTTCCTGCAAAGGATTTGGCTGGATTAAGAATGAGTCAATCTATGCCCCAGTTTGCGGGCGTGAAGGACTTCAGGATATAGAGGTAAAACTCTACAGTTGTGGCACCACAATTCTACAACAGAACAAAAGTCAACTAGTAGTGCACTTGGTAATCCGCCCACCCATTGTGTCAGAAATCAAAACCGTCGTGTTCAAATGTTGATAGGCTTTCTCCTAGCGTACTTACATGATATACGCCACACGTGGTTCCTGCCAAGACATCCACTGCCACCCTGCGAGAAGAGACAAGCACAAGACGCGCACGCACCGACTGAATTGCGGCCACATAGTTATCGCCGACTTGTTGTAAACGCCCGCTGCGTTGGCAGGCCACGAGCAGTGGCCGGGGCCCCGCATCATGGCGGCCGGCCGGTGATCGAGATGGGATCCTGCCAGGGCGCGCAATCGGCCAGTGCTGGGCGGCATCATGCAACCGCAGGCTGGATGACGCGGACGCCGGGATGTGCCCTTGGCGCCAGCCTTGGTCCGCGCCCTCCGCGCCCCGGCCAAGCGGGCCCAAGGAGGGCGAAGCTGGCTTCGTAGAAACCTAGAGACCCTGAGTGTGTGCTCTCTGGCGCACACTCTCGATTACTGCTGGCGGGCAATCTGCTGGAAAAGCATGTCTGCTAGTTAAGAAATGCCAATGCAGCCCATTCGGTGGCGTGGTATTCTTGGCTGTTGGATGACAGCGTGAAGGGCCAATAGAATTTGGATGAATGGCAGCTTCGCCTGAGCCACGGAGTGGGAAACGAGACACTTGGCGATCACAAAATAAACACAATTTCGACGTCCTGCCGGTGTAGGATGAGCTATAGATAAATTCAAATACCCTCCCCTCGTTCTTCTTGCCGTGACAATCCGTACAAGCGACTCCTTTGAACCTATTCCTACACAGGACCTAGGTAATAACCTCTATCCGGCGGCGGTGACAACAATCATGAGCTTTCAACGACAGCTTACAATTCTGGGCCTCGGTAAGCTGACCTAATTTCTACCCAAGCTCTTGCAACTCCAGTCTAACATAGCCTTCCCAGCGTCCATGGCAACCGTGACCCTTGCCAACCCCAGCAGCGACGACGCCGAGGAGGCACTGGAAGACTACTGGGATGCGCGCGAGGACTTCCTCGAGGCCGAGCGGCTCGAGTCCCGGATCCAGCTGGCCCACGGAATCCTGGGCTGCCTCGCCTTCGCCCTCTTCTTCCCCATGGGCGCGGTCCTGATCCGCGTCTTCCCGCGACGCATCACCGTCTGGCTGCACGCCGCCTGGCAGATCTTCACCTGGTGCATCGCGCTCGCCGTCATGGCCATGGGCATCTGGATGGCCAACGGCAACGAGTACATGGAGAGCTACCACGCCCGCATCGGGCTCGTCGTGTGCTGCGGCCTCGCCCTGCAGCCGCTCACGGGGCTGCTGCACCACCTGCGCTTCAAGAGGACCGGCGGCCGCACGCTGGTCTCGTACGTCCACATCTGGTGGGGGATCCCGCTCATCACGCTGGGTACCATCAACGGCGGGTTCGGACTGCAGCTTGCCGGGTCGAGCCGCACGTATGTAATCGTGTACGGCGTCTTCGCGGCCATCATTTGGCTCGGGTGGATGGGCCTCTCGTTCCTGTCGCAGTGCCTCAAGAAGTCGAAGAAATCCCCGACGCAGAGTGCGAGGAAGATCTCGAACGACGAGGTCCCGGTCATGCGGGATGTCACATCTCAGGAGCCACACGCCGGGCACAAGCAATATGTATAGACCACAAGGGCTCGTGGCGGTGGGCGACAATGGGCACATGTAAGATCAGCAGGGTTCGGAGCTTCGAGCGGTATGGCGTAAAGGAGTCTTGCCACGGAGATGGGGCAGGGAATGGCGACTGGAACTCTTTGTTTCTCGAAATCTGAGATGGTAATGCTAATTGGCCATGAGGTTATTCAAATCAAAATCCGTCCGGAATGCTATTCAAGCCGCATGTGTGCGGCTGGTTGCTTCATGCCTAGGAAAGGAGCAGGACGACTTGCAAATGGTCTCCTGTGAATCTTCTATAGGTTCCCAGGCCACCCAGAGTGGTGTAGTGTAAACTCGCTTGGTCACGAGTAGTCTCATAAATACCCTGACGGGTAGGTTATCCACCACGTTCTACACAACGCTATAATATGGAGTGACTTTGCAACCCCCTTCGTTGCCACGGATTACATACAGTGTATTTAAACCCATTTAAATCTGTGCTCTTTCTAACTGTTTTCCTCCTTTCTTCTATGGGGGGGGGTCAATAAATTGTTCAAAATTCTTGATGCGTAGTCTCTAACCTTTCTAAACAATGTCATCTGTTCTGTGGGGATTACGACGCCGTTTCGCGGTCTTTCCAGCATGGACACGGGGGTACTTGAAACCTGGGAAAGCTTGGTGGTGGAGTGATTTGTCGATTTCGGCCATGTGTCTGAAAAACTGCTTCACGCTCTCGCTCTCCATAGCCCAACTTCTTCCGAAAATCGCTGCAGTATTCGCCCAACCATAACCCTGCAGAGCGCCCCGATAGGCCCGGCGGTAGAATATATAGCAGTTGGATGGCTGGTTCACCTTGCCGACGACCCGGGCTTGCCGCCGACGCTGCTCCACGGACATGTTGGCAGTCTTGAAGGCTTCTGCGATACCATCGAAGCCTTCTAGTAGCTCGCTAAAAGGCTCGGTGAAAATCGGAATGTCGTTACTGGGGTCAGCTCCCTCAAGCCAAGAGGAATTGGGCCATGGTGCATGGCCCATCGCTTCAAGAGAAGCAGGACTGGCGATGAGATTATACTGCGTGGACTGCTCAGGGCATGTGCTAGTTACCAGAGTCTGGTCGGGAGTAGAAAAGACGATAGGCGGTTCCTGGTGAAGCAACGTATCTTGGGTTGTGCTAGTGGCAAAAAAGGATTGTCCCGCATGGAACAGGTCAGAAATGGACTCACTTTGAGGCTCAGGCTGAGTTACCCAACCCGCCAGGAGCGGCACTAGCGGGTATGTTGTTTCGAGGGGCGGATAGGGCAGGTTCTCGGTTCCATCCTTGGGCGGCGTAGCGGAGTAAGGTGAGTCAGGAACTAAATTCAAAGAAGGATTTGCCTCTAGTTCAGCACTCACTTGAGGAGATGGAATTACCAGCGCCCCGGCCTCTGGTATGAAGGCCCCAAAGTTTCCGCAATGGTAACAGTAGTAGTGAGAAGACATGGTCATGATTTCAGACCAGATCTTCCACAGTTTCCAAAGTGTGTTTTTTGAGTGTTAGTTAGCCACTGCCCAAGGGTCAATGCTTAATTATGTACTCAGTCTGCTCCGAGCCAGTTCGATGATGTACCTAGCTTCAGTCAATCCTGCCAAGCAGACGAGCTCTGGGATAAAATAGACTTTCGATGAGCTCACTGTAACACAATACCTAGGTGGGCATTGAACTTAAAATGTCTCTATGAATGCTCGAGAATTATTCCCATCCCCGCCGTCAGAACAATGGTCATTGTTTTTTTCCCCCACACAATAAGCCTCTTTGTTGGGTCGTAGGGGGAAGTAAATTCTAGGGAATCTCTTCAATCCCTACATGGGTCTTTCTACATGGGTCTTTATCAGCAATTAACTACAATGCGCACGCATGACCAAGTCGAAATACACCAAGAAACGAAAGTCGAACCTAGAATCAACACTACAAAAACTTGTCACTGTCCTATACTGGTCAAAGGTCTGTAACTCACAACCGGAGTGTGGATCCCAGGACAGCATCAAGGGGGGCCGAAACACCCGAGTTGGCATTGCAGACAAATGTTAAGTAGATCTTGGTTATCGCCATCTAGACATCACATCAGGTATTGGCTACTTGAATTACGTCCTGTACCCAGGTATCTTAAGACCCAGGAATCAAGCAGCGCGGTGGAGCCCCGCTAGCTACCGTGCATACAAGAGATAGATCATCCTCCTTAGGTGTGGAGGTTGAACATGAATAAAGAGGCAACTTGGCGCTGTGTCCTAGGTTGTTAAATATTCCCCCTGGTGATAGAAAAGGAAGTTTTCACGCGCGTGAGAGCAAGTCCGCCTCGCCCAAGTTTGTCGACTCAAGACATCATCCCACAGTCCCACTCTGTGTCAGACCCACCCCCATCCTGATGCAATATCGAAACCCGGGGGTAAAAACTGGGCCTCGGAGCCACGCTACTTTGCCGACGGGTGGCTCTTTCAGCTGCATCCCCGCGTTCAGCACCGGCTCCTGTTCGTCATACAATCCGCCGGGCACTTCCTCGACGTCGGTCTCGCATGCGGGGAGGGACCACTTCCGGCATGAACGCGCTGAGCTACGACGTCCCTTCGCTCGACGCTGCCCTAGGCGAGCCTCGTACGAGGGGCAGCTCGTCCAGTGCGGCATCATCAACGTCGCCCAGCTGGCCGGTACTGTCATCGGCTTCTTGCCGATCGACCGGCTTGGCAGAAACCTTGGAAGGCCTTACTCGGTCTCGGCTACATCGGGACTGCCATCTGCATGGTTATTGTCGGCGTTCTGGTTAAGCTTTTTTTGGCGACTGTCGGGCCGCGCACGGCTCCGAGGCCAAGTCTGCCCTTGTTTCCTCAGCATGTGCATGGTTATTGTTGGGTCATTATTGTGGGGTCGTGGGCCTTCTTCTTCGTCCCGGAGACAAAATACAATTCTCTCGAGCAGCTGGGAACCTAAGTAGGCTCTTCAACGACGCGACTGGCAATCATGACGAGATATAGGAGCCCAGGGGGATAGGAGCTGACGGAAGAGTCCAGGTCGGACAGGAGTTCGGGCACGATCCGCCATGCAAGGCACGAGGAGGTATAGCTGCCCAGGTGTGTGGAGCGCAGCATTCTTTCTTCCTTTCTATGGATTTTTCCATCGGCGTCCAGCGCAGGAGTTCGGCGATAAGTGTTGTTGATTACAATATCGGATACTAATTTCTGTTTTATGTTTTCAGGACAACCAGGCTTCGTTCCTGACATGCCACTGTTGAACGATGAACACACGTAGCAGCTCAATCCGGCCTTGTGCCCGACGCAACTCGCAATCTTCATCGTTCCTGGTCCCTAAAGAGGTGATCCGGTTGTCCACAAGGAGGCTGTTGGATAGGAATTCCTGGCAGGAAATCATTCAGTTGAAGGGTATCAGAGCTTGAGCAGCGAGGATGCCCCCGTGGTGGACTCATCCTGCAACCACTTAGCGAGCACTTTGGAAGAGCTTGTTTTGGTCATTAATGCATATATAGGTATTAGGTATTCATCCCTCAACCCCGGCCTTCAATGTCCCCGAGAGAAGAAGAGCTAGACGTAGCTTCACCTATGGGAAACATGGTTTGTGTCTGCCTCTGCTCCGTCGGCCAACCACGCGGCAGTGGGACATTATCTGGCTCGTTCAGCGGCCAGTCTGGATAGGTCACGGGCGCACTGTACTCCATAGGGCTCGACATGGTGGCATATGTCTCCACAATCCTGCCTATCGTGCTGTTCCCGGTCCTCCCAGATTTGACGGTGACGTTGTCTTCCACCATTAACGTGTCGTTGTGCCTGTGACTCATCCCATGGCTTGCTTGTGTTGCCTCCGAAATCTCGTCAAGGAAGTCTCGCCTCGCCAAGCTTGCACTGCGGATCGGTACGCTCGTGGAATATTTGTGCATTTTGTGTCTGCTCGTCAAAGTGTGCACCGAGTGCACCTCCGAGTTGCTCCTCGAGAGACCGTAATGGGCGGGTTTTGGAGCGGAAGGCCGCGGCCCGATATCCGATACCCTGCCCGGCGGTATTTGGAAGGTGTCGATTTTCACGTCTGGGATCTTCAGGCTGTTCATCCTCATGGGACCTTCCCGGCTGCTGCTGATGTCGGTGGATCGCTTCGGGTATCGGCTTCGCCCGTATCGACTCCCGCTGTAGCCGAATCTGCTGCGAATCGTTGATCCATTTAGGACAGGCCAGACCTTGACCGCAAGGAGTCGAAGAGTTGGGAGACTGGTACATATCATCCCCACGTTCAGCTCAATGGTCGACCAAATCGCAACTGACGTGTTATCCCACGTCACGTTGGTGGAATTGGCGTATTTCATGAGTGACTGAAGACGCAGTATGCTGACCACAGTCACAAATGTGCCCACGAAGAACATCAACCCCACGCTGACCTTCTTTTTCCAATGTAGCTTCAGGCCGGGGAGTTGGGAAAGGGGAATCGCCAACATCCACAGATCGAGGCCGATGCTGACTGCGGCCCTGGTTATCGCTCAGTCAGCAAGCTTGACGGAAAGCAAATGAGCGAGCGGGGATACTTCAGCATCCCACTGGTGGCTCAGATCAACTAGTAGCGGAAAGGTATCAAAAGCACATACTGTGTCCATGAAATGCCGTGCAGGTCGAGACACTTGCCCTCGTGCTCACCGTCCCATGACTCCCAGAAAAATGATATGGGGGTGCATTCGAATATCGAGATGAACAGGAAGGTGACAGAGTACAACAGGATCAGGACGATCGTTCCCCACAATACTCTGCGGATAGGACGCGCTGGAAATACTCGGAGGTAGAAGAACAGCAGTGATAGCTTGACCATCGGCAGGCCAATGACATATAGAACCTGCAGCACGTAAAAGCACCTGGCGAACGACGTGATGTCGTCGAATGACAGAGTCCATATGTCCCGGCCGAGCCCATACCCGCCTGCTCCCAGGGTGGCAAGCAGCGTGGAAGGGATCCCGAGAATAAGCGTCGCTAGGATTATCCAGTCATCGGTGCCAATGCTGCCAGTTTCGCCCATGAAAGTCCTGACATAGAAGCGTATGCCGACGACCACACATGATAACGCAAGCAGCGCATATGAGATGCCATCGAGCATGAGGCGGTCATCATGGACGGGAGCATTGCACATCGTCGAGCTGATGTTGAGCGTCGTCAGTGCCTCTTTCACGGTGCAACTTCCCAGCACACATGAGGAGACATTCGCCTGGAGGGTGGCGCTCTGGCATATGCAAGTCTGATTTGTGATGGGACATGGCGACGCCGGGCTGGTGAGTGTTTCCAAGAGGCAGGACAGCTACCAGATGTCAGAGGAGGTAGGTCTCTCAGGGCTCATGGACAAGCTTGAAGGAGAGTATACGCACCGCACAGCTCGGTATACCAGCGAGGACCGACGCCTGGCCGAAAGCTGATTGTACCAGGGTGAGGAGGACCAGCAACTTCGCCCATGGCGCCACCATCATTGCGAAGATGTTGCGTCTTGATCTCGGCAGTCGTTCCTGTCAGAGAACAACATGCAGCACATGTGGGCAGAGAAATAAAACAAGGGGAACCAGGCTGTTAAGGCTGTCCGGACCCGTCGGTAAACGTCCCCAAGCGGCTGCTCCAGCCCGCCGGGGCAACGAAGAGGCCCCCCCAAAGACAGACATGGGCGACATAAGGTTGCAGATAAGAAGCAGAGGCACGTGGAGCACGACATGCACTACATAATATCGGTACCCTGTTTCAACAACCCGCTCTGAGGTTCAACGCCCGCCATGTTCCGCAGGCAGACCGGGGGCCAGCGGGGCCAGCCTTCCACCCTCGTCGCCCTCGTGCCGGGCGCCAAACATCCCGATTGGTGAAGACCCGCGCGTTCGCGAATCGTGAGTGCGAACCTTTTGGTCCGGGCCTCATCTCGCTAGGAAGATGATTAGCCGGGTGGAGTTGAGAACACAGGAGTTCCTCTGGCGGGCGGACCGAGCACCATACGCAGGGGACTTCCCTCTCACGTCATGGGAGGGCCGATGCAACCTTCTGAGGAGCCAGGCGCCCGGAGCGCAGGAACATGTTCGCGTGGGGGGGGGGGGGGGGTGGGAATCCAGAATCTTGGGAGGGCCATTTTAGCCATGACTCGCCCTTTGCTTTTCGGTCCATAAGGCCCCGGGACCTGCAGCACTATCTTGATGGATTGGCATGAGCTGAATGAGCTCGCTTGAGGCTTGCTAGCCTTGAGCTGGGCAATGTGCAGTCATGCGGCTGCTCTCTGATTCAAGCGTTGGTTTATCGGTGGATACGCGTACCTGAACGGGCGGGAGACGTTACTAGATTCAAGTTCTCCCGCCGCAGATCCGGGACCGTGGCTCGCGAGGTCCTCTTTTGGGTCCACCCGTGCGGTAAATGAGCAAACCTTATTTGTCTGATGTGTCGTATCCCTTCTCTGCGTATGGATCTCGCTCGTCAAGACTGTGGGTTCTTGCGAACAGACACCGCAGGCACGCAACCTCCCGAGACAAAACCATTACAGAACCTTGGATGATCCTAATTCACCTGGTCAGCTGATGCAGTCTGGATGGAATTAGTCGTATGACAGCTGAATAGTCTTGCATGTCATGCCAAGCTGTTCTCAACCCGTCGGTGCTTTCCTATGACAGGTCGTGAGCAATGAACCGCGAGGTCCCTTGGTAGCCCTACGAGAGATATAAATAGAAGGTATCATCAGGCGATGGTGTAGAACGAGGATTATGCCTCCCGATGTATCCCGCCCAACTAGGAGTCCCGCCATTCCATGCAACTGGCGCAGCAGTTCTCTTCGAGACTCCGGGGCAAGGAACAGTCTGACCAATCATCGTAGGAGCATATCGTCGATGTCACTTCAACTCAAAGCCTTGCAGTGTTTATCCATACTGAAGCATATTCACACTTCAAAATTGCGTGTGCGTCCGCCGTTGTTCAAGCATCTCTCTACTAGGCTAGAATTACTAGGTCGCAGTCTATGGGCGAGTCGGGAGGCTAAACAAGCTCAAGCTCAGGGCTTTGACGGCTTGAGTCCCAGCAGTTGCGCTTCCACATCAACAATGTTTGGAACCTCTTCCTTCAGGCTCGGTGCACTCGGGTTCCAGCCTAGATACTTGCGGGCCCTCTTCGCATACCCACGTGAGTTCAAACCATAGGATGCCGCTTCAAACCCCGCGATCTCCTTGGCCTCGTTCACGTCCAACGGCTTTCCGGTGGTCAGTAAAGTTTCTGCGAAGAGCGGACAGGAAGCGATGATGGAAAAAGCTTACCTCGAGTGTGGTGTCCTTGATGTAACCCTTTGCGTGCGCAGCCTCAGCAACCCATTGGGCGAGCTCTCCCCACACGTGGTACCCTCCCTCAGCGAGCAGGTAACCTTCCTTGGGGCCCCAAATGTGCTGGTCGAGTTCTGGGTTGGGATTAAGCGCGGCGTCCACCATCTTGATGTACAGGTCCGTCAGGTCGTGCACGTGGACGTTGTCCATGGCTGCCTTCCCCGTCCCGATGATCGGTGCCTTGCCACGCTTCAGCGTCATGTTGGCCATCACATACACCTGTCGGCTCTTGGTATTATCCACACCCCTGCCCTTTCCATAGATGGTGGGCGGGCAGATGATCGCAGCCTTGATGGCCGGGTTGCCAGCAGCCTCAAGTACGAGCTTGTCCACGTTGCGATGGAACGCGTGGTCCGGCAGCCCGGTCAGCGCATCGATGCCCTCGAGGTCGTCGTACGGCTCGTACGCCAGGGGCTGACCCCACCGGTCAGCGTCAGTGTCCTGATAGGTCAAGATGCCCGTGCCGCCGGTGTGAATCCAATAGCCGGGCTTCTCCTTGCTGTGACCAGCCGCGAGGCCGGCAGCGAATGCTCTGGCTGCCCCTTCATGGTCTGACGCGTCGGCAGTATCTGCTCGATCATCAGTATTCGCTCAAATCGGCCAGCTGTGCCTAGGTACGAAAGAGAGGCTCTCGCCGCATACGAATGAGGATGTCTGTCTTTGACGCCTCTTCCTCCAACAACTTGGAATCGTCGAGTGTGCCGTACACGATCCGGACATTGGGGTACTTCTCCTTGACGGGTGCAGCCTTGGACTCGTTGCGGACCAAGAGAGAGTACTCGAAATCTGGATGGGTCTTCTCGAGGACGTGGAAGATGTCCCCACCGGTGTAGCCCGTTATCCCTGTTCTGCGAGATTGGGCGCGGTCAGCTTATCTCGTTATCACTCATGACCGGGAGGAGATATAGCCGGACCCAAACTCACAGAAAGACTTTGACCATGCTGGGCTATTCTGTTGAACCCGGGGCCACGAGATTCGCGTTTAGACTTGAGGCTTCGTCAGAGGATCAAGTTCAGAGAGGGGATATTGGGCGGATTATGAACGTCAATGAACAGCAATAAACGTCACATGCTTACGAACCGTTCGTGCCACGACTCCTTTTCATATGACGCCCTAGAGGCAACTCCACACGGGTCTTCACTCGCGTTATTAATGGGCGGAATTCGAATCCCGCCTGCCCCTAACCCCCGCCTAAACATTCATCCACGGCCATGATGATGTCATCACGACATCGAAGAAGCCACTCGAAGTCGATGATGCTTGAAAATATGGGAGTCCAGTGAACATGGCCCCGATAAAACCGGGAAACTAGGCATGTTTTAGTGAGCCGCCGGAAGAGTGATGATTACGCCAAGTAGAGAGCAGCTACATGTGCCTAGGTAATTCAGGTTTGATGCACTGCACAACGGACTTCAGGACCGACAATCTTCTTATTGAGAAGTCACTCTGTGAAAATATGCTCTGAGAATTGCTCCGAGAAAGGCTTCTTGACGACTAAGGACTGACTGTTTGTCCAATTATCTTATATATACGCATTATAGTATAAGTGGACAGAAGATAAATGTCTCTTCTTCTCACCCAAAACTGGCGCAAGGATGAGATATGACTGAATAGACAATCATTCGTCTTCACTTTCTCCCACACCCTAATTGCAACACGACGAGCTGGCTCGGTTGGCGGAGTCGTACTTCCAACATGACCTGACCGCCGACGGCCGCAAGGTCCTCAAAGGCGCAGCTAAAGCAATGACAACCAGCTGCTCAGTGGCATGCATCTTCCAGGCTCGGCCATGGCTACTTCCTGGCTTGACTGTCGAGCCCGCGGTGTCCGGAGGAATTGGTTCAATCTGTTCAGCTGAGAGCCAAGGCCATCAAAATGAGAAGTTACGCACAGTGCATGTACCAGACGTAAGTTCAAGGCTAGCCCTATCATATTTGGGGGACTTTGCGGCCTATTTCTTCGTCCTGGGCAAGGGGGAAACTATTCCTAGAGGCCTTCTGACGCATGGCGGATAGAACTCAAAGGATGAGAGCAGATGCTGAAAGGAGCAAGCCAATGGCAATGCTCATCGACCATTGAAGATTTGATCTAACCCGACAGGAAGCGAAAGCTCTACAGCATGCTGATGCTGTTTGGCAGCCTTTTAATAGGGAAATAACATGACAAGGACCGTGGTCCCTCGTGCGGACGATGGGGTAGCTACAAAAGCGAGTATGTGGTTTCGCTTCTATTCCGTATACGTCCGAGGACATACATGGCGCCTTCATACGGTGGTAAGCAAAAGCGAGTATACCTAGATATGCACCCCGAGTTAGGCCAGCTTAGACCCAACCTTTACATCTGCCATCCCGATGTCGTCTCGAGAGCTTCGGGTCCATGAAAATACGCACCTGGCAGTCGTAGCCGCTTCAACAAAAGCAGGTCTTCGACCAATTGTATTCCTGATCCCTCGTTTCGAATTTTTTGTATTGTTAAGTGCGTGGGCCGCATGTCGCTTGAGACTAAGTGTTATAGAAATGGGCATACCAATGAAATCAACGACAACTGCTGGGCAAATCATTACAGTAGGGTGCCGGTTCGACAAATTTTCCATTATGAATGTAGGACTTTAGACGGACTGGACAATGGTTAAAATCACGAATTATTGATGTCTAGTATAGGGGTGATTAACCTAATGTTGGAGAAATAACTCTTGCTGAACAAACTTGGTCTGCTAAGAAGTAGTAGTGTTATTGATTTTGTTATAAGTCCTGATCGTGGAGGCTTCCTTTATCTGTGTTACGTGCATGTACCGGCCCTTGCTTGAGCGACGGGCAACCGACAGCTTAGGTTGAATCTCGACTGTAAAAACGATGCTCTCGCCATAATCATTTCTTAGTTTCGGCAGACCTGCAGGCTCAGTAGTTGCGGCTATCCGGGGGCCAGACCTTCGGTTGCCGCCTAGGCCTCTGTGTGAAAGTAGGTAAGCAGAACCGAACCGAGGGCCCACGGGCAGTTGATATTAATGTGCATGAAGTCCACTAGCAGATGTCGAGTCTTATTAGCAATCATCATAGGGAGCGAAACAACTAAGAGGTAGCTCACAAACCCGATCCCTATCCTGGTCTTTTACTGAACCCTAAAGGTAAATAGTGAAGTGCAGAGACACTTTTCTCGGATTCACACATGCCAGTCAATGTATGGAACAGACGCCTCGGCCAAAAGACCATAATACAAAGTTGCCGAAACTTAGAATTCAGCAGTTGTAAATCCGTGCCGTCACGTTTACGAGACAGCTACGGTTCTACTTTCGTGTTAGCGTGTGTGGGAATATAATGCCCAAGCCTGCTAATCCGCTTTACCACAGCTCGTAACGCCCTTACTAATATCATGGCTTTTTTATCTTCCCATTCACTATTTTATCACACTTTCAGTGTTGTAAAACAGCTCCTAGCACCTGTTTATATAACATGTATTTACAAGACAATCGCATCTAAAGCGTACACTAAAATGATGCACGAGTCTTTTACGGTCCTTATTAGTTAATCAGGTGACTCCCCAAAACTGCTCTATCATCTTCACCAAGCTGTTAGGATGAGGCCGATCCCACACCCTTGCTTCTCACCTAGTTATTTAGGTGTAGTGCCTTGGGTTGCAACTAAGACCCCCAAAGCGAAGTCCAATGCTATCAGGCTGTTTCAGTGTATTTTTAGGACATATAGAAAGCACATTTGGTTTCTAACGTGGATAAAGTCCAACCACTAACCGAAATCTTCCAATATGTAGCTGTTAGGCTTTGAAAACCCGCTTAGTCGAAATAGCTCCAAGCTGTCCGGTCTTAAATGCCTTTCTTAGTAAGATCATCAGGTCACCAATGCAAAACAGGAGCATGCAGTGAATATTTTTGGCGTGCTGGTTGTCATTATGAGTGACGTGAACATGAGACAGCCTGGGGGATTCATTATGGATAAGCTGGGACGCGTTAAAGCTGCGGTAGACACGATATACTAGTCAGTACCGGGTATTACATAGTACTCTTACTGCGAGTGTCTTTAAGCTGCCGCAACCGTGCAAATTATTCGGAAAAGACCTGCTGCATAATTCTACAGCGACAGATAGTTTAGAACCTATCCCTATCTGAAGGCATCCAAGGGCAGGCTTGTAGCAGAGAGCCTGTCAGGATACGTCTCCTATTCCGAGTGGGGAATGAAGCAAATCATCGAATTAGTGGACGACAGAGACAGGGGCCGAGCATTTTGAATTTCCACATATAATTTTACTTGCTAAGTTGACGGGATCCGCTACATTCTCGCATAGTAATTATAGGCTATGACATCGATACTGGCTGGTAGTGTACAGGATACTTAGAAACACTCGAAAAGCCGAAGGTGGTCTCACAGCCCACAACCTGCCCAATGGCGGCCCGATCTTCGATGTGGGTGGTCCATGAGCGTCTGTGGTAACCAGCCCATTCGAGGATATGAGCGCCCAGATGGCTCTCAAAGCAATTGCCTCAACAGGCGCCGGTCATGTTACAGTCAATGTCTGATATCCCTGGCATTCGGCCACGGTCGGAAGGTATCGTATGAGTGGCAACATCGGGTCTGGGTCCCGGGGTCTCGAGGTCTCTTTGTGTGACTTGAATTGATACCACAAGACGACGGAATGGTACCTAAGTAGCGGTGGATGACGGAGTTTAGACGAGTCGGTGTTTCCGCATGAGCAGGCACAAATGGTTGTACTCTGGTCAAGTATACCATGCTATGCCGCATGAGTGAGGATCGGGTAGCACCCAGGTGCCTTGGAACTGTGAATGACAAAGATGGAAACTCGGCCAAGAGGCGATATCATACTGTTGCGACGTGGGCTCAATATAACGCGGCCGGCCGAGACTACGAGAGTAGAGTCAAATCGGTCAAGACGGGGGGTATATAATTCGCCGAGTCAACGTCAGCTGCTAACAGAGACGGGCCGCTGAGTACTCTCCAGGTCCGTCTCAACTCTTTCTTCTCATCCCAGCGGAACGACACCGATTGATGCGACAACAACCCGGCCTCCCGCCTGTCTCCCCCGTCGTCCCGGGACCTCATCATCCCATCATCACCGCGCCACCTCCACGACCTTCAAAGCTTAGACAAGGTGCAGCCCTTGGGCTTAAGCGTGCCTCCTGGCCCTCCTCTTCTTGGAGGAACACTTGCTCTTGACCTTGCCGTTGGTGGCGGCGGCGAGTTCGAGGCCGAGGCCGCCCTCGACGCCGCCTACCTGTGCCTCAGCGGAGATCCCGACGGACGATCCTGAACGAGGCACCTCTGTCAGCTTCACGGGGCTGTCATAGCCGCCGACCCAGCCGATGACCTCGGGGCACTCCCCCTCGTACTTGGACTTGGCGACGAGCTCATTTCCAAGAGGTGGGGTGGTGCTGCCGGTGGGCGTGGGCGTGGGCGACACGAGGAGAGTAGAGTTGCCACGCACCGTAACGGTCGCCGTGACGGTCGCCGTTGCGGCGGCGCAGGTCGGCCCCGCGGTCACCGCCGGCTCGTCGGTGCAGGCGGCCCCGGCGATGCTGAACTTGGGCGTCTGGGCGTAGATGACGTAGACGTTGGTGCCGTTGATGGCGTTGCTGATGGAAGGGTTAGCAAAAAAAAAAAATGTCATCCGAAAGTCTCCGCGCGTGCCCAGGTGACATATCAACTTACAACTGGTAGCCGTATGAGGGGTTCACGTCGCAGGGGACCTTGACCGAGGTCTCGCCGGTGGTCGAGTCGACGCCGAAGGAGACGGGGGCGTAGTACGGGGGCCAGTTGACAAAGTTGACCAGGTAGACGCTGAAGGCCTCGGGGTCGGTGTCGACGGTGGACCACTGCAGGTCAAAGGTGGAACCGCGAGTCAAGGTCGAGTTGACGGTCGGGTTGGTGAACTGAATAGCCGACGCCAGAGGCGCGGCGAGGGCAAGCAGCGACAGGAAATGCATCACGACGACAAACGAATTATCGAATTATTATTTGTTTTTGAATTAAAAGAGTGTGTCTGGGCCTCGATATATCAGGCCGGGTCGGGTTGTTTCTTTGGAAAGAATGACTTTGGTGAGTGAGCCCTGGGGTTGAGTCAAAAAAGAGGAGAGGGAGCAAGCTCTTTTGAGATGCCAATCCAGGGGACCTGTGCTGTTTTAATCCCCGAGGGCAGGGAAATTGCTTGTTGCTCTCATCTCGCTGCCTTGACACCTGCCATCTCGTTTGGGAATCGCCAAGGGGACCTGCATGCAACGCTGCCATGCACTGGCAGCTCGATAAGGGGTAATCTCCAGGGGTCCACTCAGCTTTAGATTTAGGCTCGGTCTTGTTCCTGACAACGGCGGTTGTTTCCCCAGATCAGCTTCAGCCCTACACCTGATTGCACGGACGATGGGGCTGGTCCTGTGGTACGTGCTCACGCATCGTGAGCAAAGCTGAGGCAGTTTGTACGACGCCTGGCGACGCCTGGCGACGACAACCTCGAGACCTGGGACAAGAACCCGTCAGGACAGACATCTGGACGATGGCCTCCGCTGCGCAAAGCAATTTCGCACCAGACCCACTGCAGCGGCTTACGCTCTATACGAGCTGACAGCTTGCGGCTCCTTCTTTCGAGGCTTGACCGTCTGGCTCACAAATCCTGCTGGGCACTTGACCCGATCAAGTCTGGGCTGGTTCCTGGCGGCTCTTGACAACCACGGGCAAGGGCACGCCAGTCCATGCAATTTGGGCCTGGTGCCTGCCAAGCCTGCAGGCCATCACACGGTGCAATTTAACCGTAATATGACCAAAGCGCTTGCGGCCAACAGTCCCGGAAAACGGGGGGCCTGCTAAGCTGCAGGTCTCGGTCGACCGTGCAAGTCTTACGCTCAAACTGGTGTCATTTCTGGCCAATCAATAGCCATGTGCACGGATCTTGCGCTCCTTTTCATGGTCTGAGGACGTGGCTGAAATGGCCAATAATACGATGACAATAGTCGAGATGACGAGCGGCTGACCTACTCATGAACTTATCTAGGCTCCGTCAGTAGCTTAAATTCCCGACTACTTCGCAGACAGTCATCATGTTCTCGCGTGTTTGCTGATACGTGGTTGACTGCGGTCCTCCCATTTGGCCAAGAGTGGATAGATGAGGCATGACTGGGCAGGTTTCTTGCATAATTGTTCGGTGGAGGCCGTACCAGAGATCACCACAGGGATCAATGCGACGTGGAAATCCACTGATTACGGAGTATACTGTGCAGGTTTGCGTCTCTCCCGCGATGTCTCAGACTCCCCGCAGTATTTCTTATTATTAGCGTGCCGCGGTTCCGGATCCATCGCCACGATATGGTTATCTAAGCCTCGGTTGGGCAACGGGCCTTCCACTAGCCCAACCCGGGCCATGAAATCGCAGCGGGGCTTTGATGCTTCGCCTGTTCCCATGCACTGTCACAGGCAAAGAGCGTTCGGGTCAAGGCCAGCAACCTCCTGCAGGTCAAAAAAGTCAATCCCATCCAGCCAGATGCTCGCAGCCGCCGCCAGAGCATGAGCCTCGTTCTCCTCGCTGTTTGCAGGTGCGCTCCCCATACGACGATCATCCTCGCCGGAAGGGTTCAATACCGCAGCAGCCGTTCGCCTGAGCGCGCGGTGTACGGTATCGGCCGTCGGCCAGTGCAGGCTCAACGACCTGAGCAGCCCAAGAATCAGTATTACGCGGGCGCGGTGCTGTTCCAAACAGGTATCGGAGCCGCGCAGGTGTGTCGTGCAGACAGCGAGCTGGACCAGGGCTCCCAGGGCCAGCGGGTAGATGTAGAAGGGGCTGTGTATGGATGACGGTGATCTTAGAGCGGCAAGCATCGTTAGGTGCCTCGAGGCCTCCACGGCCTTGACCGAATGGACGTTTTCGCGGTTACATGGGCAGAAGGACTTCATGCCCTGGCCGTCGGGGATGTTGGGGGCCGTGAACTTTGGCGAGCGGAGGCTTCCTCTGGGGAAATGCAGCAGCATCGTTGCGTAGCTGATCATGACGTGGGCCTGGAACATGACGACGTCGAATCCGCCGTACGTGTTGATCGTCTCTGTCTCGGCTTTTGACGGGGGAAGATGTAGCGACCACGAGGCCAGGGCGTTGTCCACCATTTGCACCTCGTCGCGGTGGACACCTTGAGGCCCTGTTATGGACATGACTTGGCCGAGGATCTGGGCAGCCTTGATTCTATAAGAGAAAGAGGAGAAGAGGGTGTCTGTGTCGGCGAAAATTCGGTTGTCGAAGTCGGCCCACGATGGTGGGGAGACCGGGATGATTGCCTGCTCGTAGGCCTCCTCCTCACTGGGGAGAAGAACGTCTGCCTGTAGGGACGTTGTCTCGAGTGTCATCTTCCTCTGAAGCGCAGCCGCGTAGCTTTCAGTGACGAACAGCTCGTGCCAAGTCCTGCGTAGACTTTCCTGCAGAATGGGACTACCTCTGCCATGTGCGACGGCGAATTCTCGCTCGTGCATGCCCAGTCGGACCGCAGTCGCGATTGCTTGACTTAAGGTTCTGGCTCCCGTCTGGACATCTTCTTGTGCGAACTGGGCAATTGCCGTGAGAAGGCATGCTTGAACCAGGTCTGCTGAGTCTGGGCCCGCCGTTGCGATATGGTCTGCAGCTCTAGACCACAATGTGATGCGGTATTCCTTTGGCACAGCCGACGAAAAATGGCTCCCGATTGCTTCCACTACCGCTCTTAGACAAGGGGCGTATTTTTGATCCCCAAACATCCTGCGGGGCAGGAGGATAGGATGCGCGATGTGGAAATTCACATAGTACAGATTGACTAATCGGTCATCATCTGTCAAGGTTTGCAAAGATTCTGGTGAGGCTGGGACTGCAGCAGCGATAGACCCATCCGGGAGGACTCGGCGATGTGTGTCAACGTACGCCGAGTCATTGTCGACAGGTTTTGCCGCGTGGGATGTCAAAGATTGGGCTTGGTAGGGCACAGAGCCGACGTCTGACACCGTTATGCTGACAGGATCCAAGAGTCCGTCATTGAGCAAGCTCGCTACACCCGCTCTCGATTGCCTGGCAACACGCTTCCGCCCTCTCCGGGAAGGGGTGAAGTGGCAGATGACATTGCTCGCAGTGCATCGGCCGCAGACAGGTTTGGCACCGTCGCACTTGAGATGTCTGTCGCGGCACTCCAAGCATGCCACGGGAGCAGCGCGCCTGCCCGGATGGGGATTCGACTCAGCGACGTTGTCTTGCTTATCGTGGTCGCGGAGGTCGCCGATGCTGCCAGAATCCCGAGAGTCGGTTTGTCGGCGAGGCAGTGAGGTGTCGTCCGACGACGACATGTCACATGTGGTATTTCCGAACAACGAGAAGTAATGGACCGGAGACAGTGTGGATTTCCTGCGTCAAGGCACGTCAAGACCGACGTGGACGGTGTGGCTGAATGACGAGTTGTTGATCTTGAGGATGCTCCGCCCGGTTCGGCGAGGTCGGGAGGCTACTCGGTGTTAGTCATGAGACACTCCCGAGGTCAAAGCTTGCCGGCCAAGGCTGCATCATGGCACGTGACCGCAAACCGTAGGACCCGATATAAGGAGAGTTACCCTATCTTTTCTTTTTTTTGAAAACAAAAGGGTAACTCTGCTCGTGGTTTTGTGTTATGGCGGTGCTGGGGCTCCCGGCCTAGGGGGACGGCTGGCGGGCGAGACGGGAGATAAACTTACAGTGAACTTTTTGAATGAAAAAAAAAAAAACTTTTAACCACCCCCCCCCCTAAAACAAACAAAAAACAACAAAAACTTTTGCGGCCTCGCGGCCCAGCCCCCCTTCACCCCCCTCCCCTACGGCTCACCAGCGTGGGCCTTGCGGCGGATCAGACCCCCGCGCCACATGGGCCTAGGCACCCGGCTGGGACTCCTGGGAGGCGGAGGCACCCGAGCAGGAGGCGGCGCAGGCGAGGCAGGCGCAGGCGGCGACCGGACAGCAGGCGCAAGCGGGCGACCTCCTCCCTCCTCCTCGTCGCGCTCCTTCCTCGTCTTCTGGGTGTGCCGCTTCAGAAGAAGGTGCCCCACCCACACGCACAGCAGGAAGAACACTCCCGTGATGACGGCCGGCACCACGGCGCGCCACCACGCGGTGCTGGAAGGCACGAACAGTGCCTTGAGGGCAGGCACAATGGCCTCGACCACCTCGGCGAGCTTGGCAACCCCGGCGGCGGCAGCGACGACGGTGGGGTGGGCCGGGGGGCAGGCCGGGCAGGAGCAGGAGCAGGCCGGGCAGTGGCAGGAGCAGGCGCAGGCGGGGCAGGCGCAGGCGGGACAGGCCGGGCAGGCGGGCAGGAGCGTGGTGGCGGCGGCGATGGTGGTGACGGTGGTAGTCACCACCGAGGTGACTGCCTCGGGCCAGGTTTCCATGTCTACGAGAGAGGTTAGCCCATTGATCGTGGTTGTAGTATCCCATATCCTACAGGAGGGTAGGATATAGGAGGACAGGATTCAGGAGGGTAGGTAGTAGGAGGTAGGAGGATATGAAGCAGGAGGTCAGGAAGTAAGAGGTCACGAGTTAGGAGGGTAGGAGGTTGGGAGGTTAGGAAGTAGGAGATAAGGCGGACAGGAGGTGGGAGGTAGGTTAGAGGTTAGAGGTTAGAGGTAGGAGGATAGGAGGGTAGGCTGCAGGAGGCTATGGCACAGGAGGATGGGATACAGGCGAGTGGTATGTAGAGGCAGGAGGTTGTGATAGAGGAGAGTGTGAAGGGTGAGGTCGTCGCGAGGTATGGTCCTGCCTTCAGCAACCTCTTCATCCCCCATCCTCCATCCCTCTTCAGCAAGTCCTCCCAAGGACGGCATTCAATCAAGCTTCTCCAGCAGACGTCCATCAACAGAAGTGTCTCCTCCTCCTCTCCTCCTCCTCCTTCACGACACCATTTCTGTATTTTCATCCCTCTGCCAACCTTACCACCAGACTCAACAGTCCAAATACTCTCCAGTCGTGTGCCTTTGTCCTTGAACAGCTTCCTCCATCTCCACACCACACCAGCTTGCCTTCAACCATCAAGACGGGGAGGTCCTCGTTGCGTCTGTCCATCCACTCGCACCCTGCGACTTCCCCCAGCTTCGACAGGCACTCCAAAAGACACACATACAACGGTCGACCATGTCCTTGAGCGATGGTCATCTCTCCAACAGGATCTTCAACGCATCAGACTTTTGTTGATGACCCTCTCCAAGCATCACTAGTCTGGCCAGGCATCATCAGCCACACTCAGGCAGGCTCTACTAATACGTTCTTCCCATCTCCGCAGTCGGTACTTCGCGAACCACCTTGTAGTCCAATCTTTAATCACGTTCTACCATCCATTAGAACCATTCTCTTCTATCTTGAATTCTCTTTACCCGACCGCGGGTCTCTTTCATCTTCCCTCCCACATACGACTATAAGCCTCTACTCTTTCCTGAGCCTCCTATCGATGCCCTTGCCAACTTGAATCATGGGAACATCAACATAATTCCGACACTCGACATACGGGGCCACGGTTTCCAACAGGTTAGTCCCACCACACTCCATTAACTTGCTGCCTGCCCGTCTGACCGCGGTCTCGGAGTCTACGCTCGCGCGATGCAATTGTGGTGCCAGCGTTGAACAGCTTCTGAAGATTGCCCTGTGGTCGCCCTCGGTTAGCAAATAACACTGTCCCATAAAGGCTATCGGGTTCTAACACCAAAGTGCTCCCAGCTGCCAAATCACTGGAGGCCTGAGTGCCCTTCCGCTCTCCGTTTCCCAACGACCCATTCCAATCCAAAATCGCGAGTTCGGACAGAGCTGCGAGACCATTCCAAGGCACCTCGTGTCTAGCCAAAGCGACAGCGAAGATTCGGCTGGCGACCGATTGGCCTGCATCTATCCACGGAAAACAGTTTAGACGGATTGCTTGGGTCGAGGCATTGGGGCGAATTCGAGTCTTAAGCTAGATTGGTTAGCAGAGGTCGCGGAACTTTGGTGGATGCTAGTCCGCGTGCGACGCGCTCTTATTAGTGTTCAAACTTGCGATTTCACTACGTGGCAACTGTACAATGCCTGGGAGCCTTAAACTCGACGGACCGAATTCCTGACCCTGTAGCTTCACAAGGGCAGTAGTCTTGATACAAAACCCATCCTCGCTTGGGATTTCTTCTCTCCTTGTATTCTTCTCAATTCAACATCCGAAAGCCACGACCACCTTTAGAACTCTGGGAACCTTCAACTCTCACAGCATTAAAAGACAAGAAATTCTCGATCTTAGCTTGCACAGGGCTTCAGCTATATTATATTTTTTATTCAACTATTTATCTATTTATCATCTTCTTAGCTTTTAAACTAACTATTAGCTTATACCTTAAGTATAAAGTTAATAATTACTTAATATATACCTTTAAACTTATTTATATATAGAGTTATTAACTTCTCTTATAAAGCTCCCTCTTCTACTATATTCCTTATATATTATATAGAAATAGATAAATCCTTAATAATAAAATAATATACTTAAAAGAAAAAGATTTAATTTTTAAATACTTAAATTTTTACTTTCTATATATAATATTTATTTAATATATAGTAAATAAACTTTATTTAATTTTTAAAAGAGTTTTAATTTTTTATATAATTTATATAAAAGGCTTTCTTAAATAAGTTTATTATTATAATATTATTATTTTATTAATAGCTATATATTTAGAATAGGAACTATAATATATTTAATTTATTTAATAAGGGTAGATTTAAGTAGCTATTAAGTATATTAATAAAGAAAAGTTAGTTTATTAAGTCTTATATTATAGGATTCTTCTTCTTATAGAGGTTATTTTAAGAGACTATTTTAATCTCACTATATAACTACTTTACTAACTTATTATAATAAATTAACCCTTAAACTACTTATATTAATAATTTTAATATAATATTATTAAAAGTAATACCTTCTAACTTTATCTATATAATATAAAGTTTAATTATATACCTATATATTATATTCTTTTTCTATTATTATTAATATTATATTTCTTTAAATACTAAGTTTTAAGTGTTTATTACTATATGAAGGCACTATATATATTTTATATGTATGGGGATTAAAAACGAAACCACTTGGCTTGCATAGGCTATCAGCCATGGCCGACATCCCTCTCATAACACCGAATTCGACTCGGAAGCACCATGCAGCCCGCCGAGTTCGGTTTACCAGCGATTCAGTTGAAGATGCCGACGGTGCATGCACGTCTCTGCCTCTTGAAGCGCAGGTTAATGCCATTGCGACAATCAGGACATCCACCTCTACTTTACGGAGACAACCTGGAGTTTCGGTACAACTGCCCTCTGGACGATCACCGCCCAAATATGACGAACTGTATCCTCCATCGCCAGCTTCCGCTTCTCGAAGTCTGGTGAAGGCGCGTCCGTCACCGCCACCAGGGATGGACCCGCTTGTGGCGGCCATGTGGCACAACGAGAACCTGAGCCTACTACACTCCTTACCGAAACCCTTGCTCATCAAAATCATCAGCAGCCTGAGCAACAGCGGTGTTGATTGCCTCAGGCGAGTTGCACGTCGCTTTCCTCCGCTGTGTGTACGGGAGGTCCTGAGTCCCCTGCGAGGGAATAACCCAGAGCTGTCTAAGACGGGACCTTTGAACTGGCCAACATTCGGAGTCAGCTCGTCCCTCCGGCCAGACTTCCTATATCTCATCGACCGAGACGAATACTGCAGTGGCTGTCAAGCGGCCCGAAGATCGCCCCGGTGGGAGCAGACAATCAGTAAGCTGACCGAGTACATCCACTGCTCTGCATGTGGTGCGGACCACCCGGCATGCCTCTTCTCGGCCACACAACGCCTCAAACCGGCCCGGATTCGGTACTGCATTGGCCATGAAGGCTTCATGCGAGTCTGTGAGCACGACGAGGGCACCGTCAGCCTGTCTCGCCTGTCTGGCCTGGAATCAGAGGACATAAAGTACCGCAGGTACCCATGGCAGCGAAAAGATCCGTTCTGGGAAACTGTCATTTGCAGGGACAGGAGCCACTATATGCGGTGTGAAATGAAAGAAGGAGGATCTTTTCCGGAGTCGGGATACACCTGCGGGTCTCGCCAGCACCTCTGCTGTGGGTACCGCTGGCCCACGATCTGTGGGCTTGGAAAGAACCCCCGCCTATACGACCTAAGCTGGAAAGCTCATATATCATTCGATGGTCAGATGAGTACATTGCGCCCAAAGTTGGCAGAATTACACGACATTACTGGAAAATACATCATTCCGTGCTTGTATCCGACCACCCAACCACCGACGCTGCGTTGTTTTGACCCTAATGACTGCCACTGCACCCCATATGCGGGCAGCGAGAACGTGCGCTGGGAATGGGAATGTGGCCCTTGGCTGCCAGGAATAACAGAATGCATGGAAGGTCCATACAAAGGGCTGGATACGTTGCGGCCGCCAAAAGCATCCGGCTCGATCGTATCCAACATCATCAGCCGGCTGAAGAAGCAGCCGCCGAGAGAATGTGCAGCCGACCAGAAACGTCACATGTCCCGCCAGGAGGTGGTACCATTCAAATGGGGCGTGGCGATGAGTTGTGCGGATGTAAGGCCCTGTCACACTGGCAAGGATTGCCTCAAGATTGATTATATAAGGGTACTCCATCCTCTCGAGAATGGTAATATTACCCCAGAGTGGTATAATACACTCGACCCGGAATCATACAACATCACGGAAGACGAAGATGGGCTGGGGGTGTTCTGGTGCCCGACGGACGGCTGTCGTAATTTCTATAAGGAGGTTCTGAGTTATTCGAGGATACTTCGCCACCGGGATTTCCGTAAAGAGTGCCGGCATCGCAGGTGTGAGTAGCTGTCTTGTCATGAGATCGGGACAGCGTGGATGGAGGTGACGAGGACAGGCACGAGGGGGATGGTAATATGGGTATTACCCTCATGGAGTTGTGAGCGGGCATCAATGTCGAAATGGGGCCAGTCCTCTCGAGTATTCACACGCTTCGATGGGAGGAGTGACCGAGGGCGATCTTGCCCTCCGGGCTCGACGTTCTGGGGGCCCCGGTCTGGGCGGTTGCACGAGGCCGGTGAGAAAAACAAGGAGGAAAGCCCCGCCTGTCCGGCCTGTTCCTACCAGCGCCTACCCGGCCAGCCCTCCGACCAACCCTGCCATCGTCGTCTCCACCACCGCCGCCGCCGCCGCCGCGGCGCTCGCCAACTTCATCCCAGACCTCGCCTAGGGGGTCAACGTCATCACACCTACCCTTAAGGCACTATTCACACCTTCTAATACAAAGTGGTAGTACGTCGTAACACTAGCTGTCGTCACCACGGTGTGCTCTCTGCTGTGCGTGTGGGTGGCCTAACTTCTTCTAGAGCGGCGTGCCCATAAGAAGAAGACATCTGGAAGGAGTGCGATAAGGAGGAGCGAGGAATGGCTCGCCTAGTTATGCCTACTGTCCAAGTAGCGTGTGTGACGCCTGTTACGGCTGCCACGTCGGCGCCGTCATCTGTTGGGCGATACACCGAGCTGGGTGCCTGTGTTGACCTCCCGCACGGGCTACACCAGTGAGAAGATGAGGAAATGTATAGTTAATGACCGTGTTTTTCTTTTATGTGTGGTGCGGCTATAGTGTAACTTAAGGTTAGGGCACTAGGGGTACATGTTGCCCTGGGAATATCCTTTCTCTCAACAATACTAGCAAAGTGTCGTGAGGGCTATACTTAGGTAGGCTGGTGACTTTGTTTCTTGATAGCGGTAAGACTTAGCTAGGGCTCCCTTGCCCGCAAAGACGGGCAAAACATTTGAACCCATCGGGCTTTATGGTCCTCCGTTATGTCGTGTTATCCCGGACCTTCGGTCGGCAGCGCCGGCCGGTCTGCTCGGGGGCTAGATCGCACTACTCGTGTCATTAACATGCGTGTAGTGCCTAGGTATTAGCATTGATGAGTCATGGTTGTGGTACGGAAGACTATAACAATCCGCCATGGAGAGTAAACAACGTGGTTTGCACGCGGACACAGAGTCAGGGGTGGAGCTAGAGGTGGAGCTCCCGAAGCCCGAGATCTCGTGCCGAAGTGTTTCTTGGCCTCAGACCCGAAGCCCGAAGCCCCGTGGACCGTGCAGCCGGGAATTCATAGTGCCCAAGTAAATGAGTAAATGCAAAGCGCAGTTGAACTAGTCGTAGAAACAAAGCATGCGATGAAAAGAAAGTAGTATATATATGAAGCACCTGGAAGGCCGTTATGGTGTTTTTGAATCATCATCAGCATCATCATCACCTTTATTGCACTAAGAACACCTTGAACACTCTTAGCCTCCTTTGCAAGGTGAATTCACTTACTTAAAATGGTTCACTCGATCTCTTTGCTTGGCTCTGCCTTGCTCACGGCGAGCCTGGCACAAGCAAAGCCGTATGGGGGTGGTGTCACAAAATCCACGCTACCTTTTTCGCTGTTTGAAGGCGATGTTACTCCTGAGGATATATCTGTTGAAGGCGGGCTCGATTGGCCGAAGCTGGCACCTGGCGTCAACGGGACCACATACGACTGGTAAACCATGTGATGCTTTCCACTATATCTGAGTCTTGAAGCTTACTTATCATGCTTATTAGGTGGTACTTTGACGTTGTTTCGGCTACAGATAACACAGCAGTCACGGTTGTCCTTTACAACTTTGCGAACGGCACTCTAGCTGTTCCTTACCTTGGAGGACCACTCCTTGCTGATCTTATCGTCACTTTTGAGAACGGCACGAGCGTTAGAAAGTTCACTGCCGCAAACAAGGGCGCTGATTTCCAGATCAGTGATAAGGGCATCGCATCTCAGTGGAACAGCGACGAAAGCCAGTACAGCTTCACGGGTACCAGTCTGGACGAACCTAATCCAGTCTACACCATTTCGATCGATGACCCAGTCAACAGTGTGTCTGGCTCAATCAAGTTCAACTCGGTACGTTTCTAAGCTCGAAAATAATTTCCACTGCCCGCAAACTGACATCCCACAGGTTTCTCCTCCTCATTATCCTTGCGACGTGAACAAGGCCGGTGTCTCAGAGGACCTCTTCCCCAACGTGTGGTGGGCCAACGCCGTGCCAGACTCTGACGCATCTGTGGACCTCGTTATCGACGGGGAGGAATACCACCTGCAGGGTTACGGCTACCACGACAAGAACTGGGGCGTTGACTCCCTGGACAAGACCACCAAGACCTGGTACTGGGGCCACGGACGTGTCGGCCCGTACTCAATGGTTTGGTTTGACGCTGTTGAGAAGGCCGGCAAGGAGCACTTCTCGTCTTGGCTCGTCAAGGACGGCGAGGTGCTCGCCATGAGCTGCGCAGACCAGGCCTCCGTCGTTAGGCCTTGGGGAAACAACAGCCTGTACCCCCCAACGACCGGCCTGACGCAGCCATCTGGGTACACTATCCGCTTTGATCTGGGCGACGACAAGGCATTCGTGGCCAACTTTACCAGCAAGGTGGTTTCGCTGGACATGGATATTTATAAGAGGCAAATCGGGCCCCTCGTTGGTGGCATCGAGGGCGAGGAGCAGTTTGAGGGGATGTCTCAGTGCGAGCAGTTTGCCTTCTAGGAAGGATATTAATTATCATCGAGGAAATGATTATTATCGAAAGTGGATGGATAAGGTTAATGGTGGGATAGGGGTAGGAGACGGGAAGTAAGTAATATAATAATGAATTTTAAGAGCTTATTAGAGTAAAGATTTGGTTAATGTAAAAGAAATATGTACCTATAGACTCTGTGTTTTGAAATATTATAGCTATATCTTAAGTTTGTTGTGATGATAGCTGTGTCGGTCCGGAGTACTATAGAATACCTAGGTACCTAGGTATGTTATTAGGTTCCCGGGCACCCCCTGTAAAATAGATCTATAGAAATTCTATTAACTATTGGCGTAATAGACCGCTCGGCTTAAAGACTATAATAATTAATTTAATAATTAGCTATTCTAGTAGTTTATAGGCTTTATCTTTTAAAATTATTTAAATTATCTTTAAAGTTTTATAGAGTATTTAAATAGTTTAAAAATATATTATATATTTATAATAAGTTTAAAATTCTTTTAAATAAAATAAATATCTATAATATATTTAAATTACTTTATAAAAGTAAATAATCTATTTTAATATTATAATTATAAATTATAAATATTATATTTATTAGTTTATTAATAATTTAAATAAAATATTTTAAATATAAAACTTTAAATATAAAAGTTTAAATTTATAAGAGTTCTTTTAACTATTAATATAATAAATTATTTAATTAAAAGATTATAATAATTAATTTAATAATTAATTAATTTAATAGTTTATAAGTTTAACCTTTTAAATTATTATACTTTACTTTTTAAATATATTATTACCCTTTTCTTTCCTTTCTTTTAACCTTTAATTATTATACCTTAATATAAATATTTTTATATTATTAAATTAATATTAATTATATTATAAGAAATAAAAGAATTATATAAACTTTATATTTAATAATATTTAAATTAAAAGATTATAAATATATATAATAAAAGTTTTATAAAAACTTTTAATTATTTATTATTAAAATTATAAATTAAAGTTTTATTTTTAATATTTATAAACTTTTAATAATAATAGAAAAATAAAAACGCTTTTAATTTTTAAATTATATTAAATTAATTAAAAATTAAGATTATTAAAATTATTAATATTAATAAAACTAATATTTTTAAATAAAAACTTTAATATCTTTTATAAATATTATTTTTATTAATAATTTATATATATTAAAGTTATTTCTATTTAATATAAAGTTAAAAATTTATAATTATAATTTTCAATTAATCTTTATTTAATTATTTTATTATATTATATCTTAATTTAATTTTAACTTTTTAAAACCTTTTAAACTTTATAAAAGCTTTTATCTTTATAAATATAAATTTAAATAAAAACTATTAAATTTAAATTTAAAATTCTTATATATTTTACTATATTTTAAATATAATTTACAACTCTTTAACTTTCTTTAATAATATATTAATTACTTTAAATATTAATACCTTTTATAAAATAATTTTTTATATAATTATAAATTTAATTCTAAATGATTTTATTTTATAAAGTTATTAAATTATAAATTTAAATAATAAAGTATAATTACTTTATTTAAAGATTATATTTTAATTTAAAGTATAATAAGTTAATTAACTACTTTTAAGTAGTTTTATTCATAGAGCTAATAGTCTCTTAATGTGGTAGAAAAGTAAGAGGGTGAGTAATTAAGTTTAATAAAAGTGTATTAAGTTAGTTAAGTTAGTGTACTATATCACGCATAGCCCCCCTCATAGATACACATTCTTTACTAAAAAGACTAATTTTAAACCCTTTTTAATTAATTATGTAAAAATACTTGTAATTTAAAAAAATATATATTAAATTTCTATTAATTTATTTATATATAATAAAAGTTTTAAAAAAGTCTAACCTATTTCTAATAAAGTTAAATAAAAGTAAATAAGTATTTTTAACTTTTATATATTAAACTATTATTATAGTTTCTTAATTAAATAAGAATATATATATTAATATTTTTATTAATTAATTATCTTAAATATAAGGAATATATATAAAATGAAATTCTATTTTTAGAATTTATTTAAAATTACTTATTAAACCTTTAATAATAAGTAAGCCTTTTATCTTTATTATATTTACTTCACTTATTTTAAATCTTTAATAATTAATTAAAAGAATCCTAATATTAAAAACTCTTTTAATTTAAAAGATATATTATTAAAGATTTTATATTATTTAAAATAATTATTATATATAACTTTATTTAACTTAAAAGTTTAAAAATAGTTTAATATATAAAAAATTAAAAATACTTATTTACTTTTATTTAACTTTATTAAGAATAATTTAAACTTTTTTAAAATTTTTATTATATATAAATAAAATTTAACAAATTTAATATATTTTTTAAATTATTAATATTTATATATAATTAATTAAAAAGGGTTTAAAATTAGTCTTTTTAATAAGAAATATATATACGCGAGAGAGGCTGTGCGTGACGTGGTACACTAACTTAGTTTCTAAGTTAAGTTATAGGTAGTTAAACTAAAGGCTCTAGCCTTAGTTTAGAGAACCTACTAACTAAGCTAATAACTAAGCTAAAAATCTAGTTGCACCCCTTTATACTTACTATATTTAGGTTTATTAAATAGGTGTTTAGTTATAAAGTAAAGCTAGAACCTATATATATTCTTTAAGGGAATAATAGCTTTATCTTTACCTATTTTCATTAATTTATATTTAAAGAGCTTAAATTATATAACAATCTTATATATAATACTTAATAGTATTAAAATTAAGTAACTTATAATTTATAATAATTTTAACTTTTAATAATTTAATTTATATTAAAGTTAATAATAATAATTTAAATTAATTAAGTATAATTTAATATATTAATATAAAAGATATTTTTAATAATAAATAGTATTATAAATATAGTAAATTATAAAGTTATTATAAAAGATTTTATATAATAAATTTAATTAAGTTAATTATTAAAAAATATATTATATTTTATTCTTTTAAAACTTTTATTATTTATTTTAATTTAATAATAAAATTAAAAATATAAATAATTTATATATTAAAGTTATTATTATTAATTAATAATATTAATTTTAATAATAATATTTAAAAATACTTTAAAAATTAATATTTTTAATATAATATTTATTTAAAAGTTTATTAAAAATAAAAAAGTTTATTATTTTATTTTTTATAAATTATTTATAAAGATTTATTTATTTAAATTATATTTATAAATAAACTTTTAATATATATAATTTATTTAATAAAATTAAATTTAATATTATAATATATTCTTTTTTATTTATTTTATATATTTTATACTTTTATAATTATATAATAAGAAATTATTATTAAAAACTTTATAATAAAATAATATAATATTTATTCATAAATACTTAATAATTAATTATTATAAAAGCTTTTAATAAAGTTTTATATAAAAATATATTAAATAACTTATTTAAATTAATATAAATTTAAATAATTTAAATAGAATTTTAATACTTTTAAATATTTAATATTATAAAGAATAACTTTATAATTAAAAATATTTATGATATTATTAATTAAAATAAAAGTTAAATAAGTTTTTAAAAAGTTAATATTTTTAAAAGTAAAACTATTTATTTAAATAATTTTATAAAAAATTAAAGTTTTATAAATAATAATATTTTATAAAACTTTATATAAAACTTTTATAAAATAAATAAAGTTATAAATAAAATTATATTACTATTTTTTTATTAATAATTACTTTAAATATAAAAACTATTTATATTAAAAAATATTAATTTAATTATATTAAGTTAGTAAAGGCTTTTATATCTATAGGCACCTTATATAAAAACACCTACCTACCTTTTATTTAAATAATTAAAGGAATTAATCCTTCTTTATTTCTCTTTTAAACACGTTTAAATTAAGAGATTTTTACTATCTCCCTTCACCCCACATAAGCGCTTCCTTAGGCCTGCAGTCGGGCGCTTAACTAGCTTATTTACGCTCTAATTTAATATTAAAATTATATTAAAATAATATTAAAATAAATTAAAAAAAGAATTTAATATTTAAATAAATTCTTAATATAAAAATAAAATATACTATAATTATTTAAAGTTTTATAATTATAAATATAAGTATATTTAAAAGGGGGGGGGGGACTTAGAAACCTTATAATATACTCTAAGTGTAGTAATTTACTGAAATTTAGTACATGTCACTAGCATTCTCATGAGTTTGCTAGTAAGGTTACCTACCCACATCCAGACTAACCCTCGATTCAAACCACCTAGTCACACTATAATATACCCATTCTTCTCTACTAACATACACTTTATAATTCTAAAACTTATAGTTTTTTTTAACTAGAGCATCTATTGCATAATACCTAACAGGTCTATCTTATCTCTTACTCATCCCTCCCGTGATAGCTATACTTATTATCTATATAGTTGCTAACTTAGCCACCTGGTCACCAAGATTTCCTATAGTAGCTCCGTCCATAATGTTGAAAACAGGGACAGAGACGCCGAAACTCCTGCGAATCCAATTCCGCAATTCTACAGCCATGAGGGAGTCAGTGCCGTAATCGAAAAGGCTGCGGCGGGGATCGACGTCTTCGACGGAGATTCCTAGCGCACCGGCCAACTTTGCCCTGAGACCCTGAACCACTACACCACTGCGTTCACTTGCGGACTCCGCGTTCCTAAACAGTGTAGCTACATCTTGGTTTGTCGTGACGGCAGCTGCGTCCGGTCCAGAGCACTGCGAGCGCAAGATTGTGCTGAAACCTGCAAACAGTGGACGGCCCAGAATTTCAATTGGAGTCTCTCCTCTGGCATAATAGTCAGCCTGAGTGAATACACCGATGAGCATCTGACTTTGATCGACGGTGAGGACAGGGAGGGATGGGTCGCAGTAGTGGTCCAGTACGGCGAAGAAATCCGCTTCCTCGACCTCGGACATATCACCAGCATTCTTGCGAGTGCGCTGGTACCGCTCGGTCTCCGCTATCACGCCGATCGTACGCATCCACCCAATGTCGATAGAGACAGAGCCTCGGCACCCAATTGCACTTCGAGAGCGTGCGAGCGCATCCTGAAAGGCACAGCCGGCAGCATAATTGCTCTGTCCGGGAGATCCATAAATCCCCCCTAGCGACGAGAGGAGAACAAAAAAGTCCATGTTCTGAGGTAGAAGTTGATGAAGATTCCAACTCGCTTTGACTTTGGCCTGGACTGCTGTTGACCATTGCGTATGTGTCATGTTTCTGAACATCGTGTCCTTGCTCAATGTCAGCACTTTGTATGCACTTGCTGGATGGTTGTACACCGGGATACATTAAAACAGGTCTAGGCATGAGTTTTACAATGCCATGGTGAGCAGAAATGCCGGAAGATAAGGACGGTGAATAAGTGTGTAGGAATGGACGAACCTGGAGCACCATGACGGCATTGATACATCCCTTGATAGGAGGCATATTCGCAGTGCAGTTTTGCACTAGGGCTGAAAGCTCGGCAACCGAAGTCACATCGCAAGGTGAATTCACCATACAGACTCCCTTGCTCTTAAGGTCCGAAACTACGTCCAGTGCATCCTGTGATGATGGACCCGAACGCGAGGGAACAATGAGATACCTGGCCCCTCGATCCACCATCCATCGCAAGATGGCCCGACCGATACCACCGAATCCACCTGGCACAACATAAGAGGAGTTGGCATCGAATGTCCACTGACTTCTGTCAACCACATATTTCTACTCAAGTGTTAGTGTCCATCAGTGTAATCATTCCCACCAATACTCACCGAAACTATGTCTACCGGATCTCCTGTCACAATAATACGTCCCGTATTCTTGCCGCTTTGCATGCATCGGAAAGCCCTCTCGACATCAGACACAGGGTATATGTCCAAGGGTGACGGCCCATGGATATCACCGTGGGCAACCATGTCGAGGATTTTCTCAATCAGCTGACGCAACAACTTCCTGTTGGTCTGAGAGATATGGACCAAGTCGACGGCCGCGAACATAACATTTCGGGAAAACTGTCCCATCGGCAACGTCGAGTTCGTCTCAATATCAGCTTTTCCAATCTCGATAAACCGTCCGTAGGCTGCAATGCATTCCCAACTTGCCCGTAGTCCTTCGCCAGAGAGTGAGTTCAGAACAACATCCACTCCATAGCCATCTGTAACACGCATGATACCCTTGGCAAAGGATGTGTCGCGGCTATAGAATATGTGGTCCTCTCGTATGTTGAAAAGATCAATGAGCAACGTCTTCTTGCTTTTAGAGCTGACGGTGGTAAAGACCTCGGCACCAAGCCATGTGGCGATTGCAATAGCCATCTGACCAGTGCTGCCGGCACCAGAGTGGATCAGGACTTTCTCACCAGCTTGCAGACGAGCTATGTTGACCAAAGAGTGGTATGCTGTCATGCCAGGATTGATGGCAGAGACAGCCGCGTGATACGATAAGCTTTCGGGGATCCGTACGACCACATCGGATGCGGCTCTGGGGTGGCTTCTCATACACCCTAAAGCTACCATGACGACGCGGTCCCCAGGCCGAAAGTGATACGAACAGCTCTGGCCAACGCGCGTCACAGCACCCGCGCATTCAACACCCAGACCCTGCATGCCCAGCCGTCCGAGGGCGACGAAGATGTCACGGAAGCTGACGGGCCATGCAACTGCCTCAATTTCGACCTCATTGGAGTCGAGCCCGTCCTTCAACACAGGATCCTCGACGAAGCGGAGCGAGTCCATCATTCCTGGTGTGCCGACTTCGAGGTATACGGATGGCCCGGAACCTCTCCATGCCTCTTTCCTCTCTCGTCGCTCCACGCGAGAAAGTCGTTCAGAGTCCAGGACAATTTGCTTGGCCAAACGCCCAACATTCAGACACCCATTGCGCACCACGAACTCGTTCTCTATAGAGGCTGGCGACTGCCAGAAGCACGCACTCAATACATCGAATATAAATTTACTCGATGTGCTCGGTGCCTCTGACTCGATCACAAGGGTCACAATGTGCTTTGAAGGCTCCTCAGACTGTATGCCACGGAAGAGGCCTGTCGCCAAAGCCGTGTGTGGATCGAACATGCCGTCCACGCTTTTTGGGAGACAGCCAACCCATAACATGTTTTGCGTATTCTGAACCAGTTGTTCTAGTGCTTGAAAATCTGGCTCTGACAGGGAAGCTAAACGTGGTGTTCCAACTTCCAGTAGTGAGACGATTACCACGTCTTTGGGCAAGCTGTTCAATTCTTCTCCTAGGTTTACATCCATCTCCAACGTCTGTATGGTAGAGCACCGCTCAGTTATCTCTTCCGCCAAGCTGCGTTGTGTGTCCGAGTTGGAATCGATGAGGAGCCGAAGCGTCGTCTCCTTAGAGTCTAGAAGCTTTTCAGGTTGGTCTTGCGCGACGGTAACTGCTTTCGAAATAAGCATGCTACAGAGATGACAGAGAGGGCTTTGATGGTCTCTTAAGACCAAGTCGGCTCCAGAGAAACCGGAATCGAGTAGGATATTGTCCCAGCGTTCTTCTGTCAGGAGGGGTGTGTGCTGCTCGTGACGCCAGTCTTCGCTGCTCAGCCACCAACCTTCAAGCGAGCCGAAGGTTACGTTGGCACATGCGCTCTCTGGAAAAACAACCTCCTGAAACGCGAGATAGCCCCCGGGCTTGACAAGTTGACGTATCCTGGCTAAGGTTTTCTGTACATCCGCCACGGCATGCAGCACAAGGCCCGCCACCACTAGATCGTAGCTTTCAGGTTCAAAGAGCTGGCTGTCGGGATCATTTTCTAGGTCCAGGACCTTGAATACGAGCCGTCCTTGAAAGTCACCCAGATCGTCCCGTGCAGTCCCAAAAAAGCTTGGAGAGACGTCTGTGTATGTGTAGCTGCTGAAGCGTACCTGGCCCGTTTCGCTCTCAAAACGCTCGAGAGCACCCAGTATGTGCTTGGTAAGGCTGCCGGTACCAGCGCCGACCTCAAGAATGCTGAGGCCGGGTTTCTCATACGTTGCTAAGTCAAGAAACGCCTCGAATCGACCATCGCGCAGTTGGTGCATAGCAAGGTAGCGGTAAAGCTCTTCAGCACTCTTCGTTGTAAACATGACCTCCAAAGGGTTGGTCTGCCCACGAATGATTGAGGGTAGCGCACGCCCCACTTGCATGAACACCCGGCATTCCGGGTTTTCTTCCTCGCATTCATCCAAGAGTGACGCGAGGGCAGAGTCACTCAGGAACTCGACCTCGCCATATCGTGGCGTGGCATAGTGATGCCTCAAGGCTGCTGTGTAGCGGCGCATGTAGACCGGAGCATTTGCTAATTGCTCCTCATTCATATCTCGCAAGGCGTGTCGCGCCACCAGTCGCATCGCCAATTCCGACTTCGATGCCCAGCTCTCCTCGAAGCTCTCGTCGAATACCTTTCGAGCTTCATTTATGACAAGACTCTGGTCGTCAATGCTGAGAGAGCTTAGCTGCGGCCTCCAAGTAATGTTGTAGAGTAACGTCCGACCAGCAGCTTTGTTTTCGTCCTGTGGTCGCGAGACCTCGGCGAAAACAACATCCTCAACTGTGAACACGGTAGATCCACCCTCATTCAGCGCCCACAGCGAGCCCCTGTGAGCATTGGAGGTGTCATCTGCCATGGCTGAGTGAAGATAGGACGTAACACGTAACGATAATGGAGTAGAATCCCATGCCTCTGTTGAAATCCACGCCTTCCCAACGCGGTGAGGAACAAGTGTAGGGGTCCTTCCCGAAAGACCTTTGGATATTTGTACCAGGAGAAGATGCATACCGGCGTCCAAAACAGTTGGGTGCGTGGGATCCGGGCTCGACGCTGGATCTCCTTGAACATTTGGCATGTCAACTCGAGCCGTGGACATCGTGCGGCCGTCCCAGCAGATATCTTGCAATAGCTGGAATGAGCTACCGTATTCTATGCCATACTCCTTACAAGAGGCATAGAATTGTTGTCGGGCCACAGGCTCTGTACAAGATGCAGTGGCCTGCGAACATCTTTGGCGAATCTGGTCGTGCTCGAGGCGATCCTCCCGGCCACCGTCGAGTTCAGCCCAAGAGTGAGCGTCGGTCTGGGCCTGGCATGTAGCTCGAAAGCACTCCGTCCACCGGTCGTCGCGGTAGCTGAAGATTTCTATTTCGTACCATCTTGATCGTTTCTCATTCGCATTCTGCATGTGGCGTAAATGGAGAACAGTCTCGCTCGTCGTCTGCATTGTCTTCCCAACAATTACTGGTGCCATGAATTTGGCATCCTTGAGGAGTACACCGCAAATTCTTTGATTGCTGGCTGCTGCGGTTTCTTTGACGGCCTCGATAGCCATGACTACTAACCCTGCACCAGGGCATAATGTAGTACCAGACACCTGCAGGGAATGGAATAATTAGCACACATGTCTTCGTTGAAAAAGCCGCATGCCAAGTAGCTAAAAGCATTTGACTACTTTGTATATCTTCGACAAAAAAAGCCAACGCGGAGAGTACTAGCTCCTTGCACGGTCGTCCATCTAATGCAGGACCCTAAACACCGCGCAGTAAAGTAACGGAGATTATGGGTGGTGTGAATACAGGACGGGGAACAATGATGGCTATCCGAGTAGAGATGCTCAGGGGGAGGGGTGAAAGCCGATCGAGAGAAGGGTGGGGCGAAACATGAAGATGTGTTCAAATGTTAAAGAGCAGGGTCCATGTATGCGAAAATTCAGACTCACCACGTGATCCTCAAGCCAAGGCATTGTTTCGATGGACAACCAATTCCTCCATCTCGGCCTCAACGTGTTCAGGTCGTGAGCGCGCCGTCCAAGCATGTACCCGAGCTCTCTGGGCCTCAGTCTCATTTCCTTGCTTAACCGTGATTCACTCCAGTATCGACGGCTGTGATCGAAAGGATACGAGGGACAGTCCACCAAGAAAGGCATAGAACCTGCAGATTGGAGGTTCGCGGCCGTGATGGACACACCGTATCCGTGGCAGAATAGTGTCCCCACGAGTTTCAGTGTGGTCTGAAGAGACGATCTCGTACGGTCTAAAACCGAGTGGTAACGTAAAGACAAAGGAACTGAATCTCTGACCGGCCTGCGCAAAGCAGCAGTTGGGCCAACCTCGATTATGTCCGTTATGGCGAGTTGTCCGGGATGGGCTACATGCTCCGAGGGAGGTATGTTGCATGTGAGAGTCCGCATAGCCTCGTAAAACCGTACCGGTGACACCAAATTGTCGATCCAGTATTGTGCCGTCGAAAGAACCTCAGATCCCACAGTATGGTTTGTAACGGAGCTAATCATAGGAATACGATGTCTGCGCCCGTTCATCGAACCCGACACGAGTGAGCCCATCAGAGACCGATACTCATTAGCCATCGCATGTAGGTCTGGAGAGTGGTACGCAATTCCCGTGTTGATCTTCTTGGAGAACACGTCTTGCTGTTGCAGATGATCTTTGATAAAATCAATAGAGGCCTCAGGGCCAGAGAGTGTGATATTCGAGGGGCTGTTGACGCAGGCAATGTGAACCTTGTGTTTCCCGCCTTGTAGGTGTAGGCTTTGAAGAAACGCCTCACAATCAGTCTCCGATATATTAACAGAGATCATTGCCTCAGGAACGATGCTTGTAGTAAGCCTCATTTCGGCGACTTGTCCGCGGAAGTAAGCTACTTTGCAAGCGGATTCCTGGGACAGACCACCGGCAGCGTACGCAGCAGCGATTTCTCCACTTGAATGTCCAACGACAGCGGCCGGAGCTATGCCGAAGGCTTCAAGCAGCGCAACTAGGGCAATCTGAAGTGCGGTACACAGAGGCTGACTGAACTTTGGGCGCGTCACACTATGGTCTCGCTGAAGTTCGCCTAGGGGCACGTAGAATTTAGTATCGATCAACAAGTGGCTCTCTGATCTCATATATTGTGACCTGGGATAGGCGACTTCATGCCACTCACTTAATATAGACCAGTCGCAACCCAGTGTGGCTAAGATCTCGTCTGACCTCTGGAGACTCTCCCTAAAAGCAGGGTACCGTAGTAGCTCAAGTCCCATACCGACATATTGTGCGCCTTGGCCTGTGAAGACATAGGCGACGGTCGTATCCTCCATCGGGATTCTGATTGGATCCGCGGGAATGAATTGAGACCGAGCAGGATCGCTGCAAGTATCACCGATAACCGCATAAGTCCTCCAAGGCATCAGAGACCGCCGTGCTGCCAGTGTATAAGCCAGCTGGTCAACTTTACCACTATGACCGGCGATGCTGTTGTGATAGTATTTGTTGTAAGCATCTGTCATTCGCTTCAAGGCGCCCGCATCTGCAGCGCTCCAGACTAGCAAATGTGAGCCTGGTACGTCCTGGCGCTCTGCTTGTGCAACGTCGATATCGCTGCTACTGGTAATGCCAACTGTTCGAAGCGAGGCGGTATTATTGGCTGTGTAGCTGCTATTAGGAGGGGTTTCAACGCAGCGATGATAGCCCAGCAATCCGTGGCTCTCAAAGTAATGCTTGGAATCGTCGAGGATGACATGCTAGTTAGTGCCTCCGTAGCCGAAGGAATTGACCGAGATGCGCCGCAGGCCCCGGGTCGGCCAAGGTTTGCTCTGGATTGGGACCTATGTGTTTGTCGTCACCGGTCAATCAAGACTATTCACTTCAAGTTGCACGTTCACAGCGAAGACGCCGCCCCTGTACATACCTCAACGCCACAAAGTGCTGCGTCAATATCTGGATTCATTGTTTTGAAGAGAGCGGTTGGTGGAATAATACCCCTTTCGAGCGCCATAACGGATTTGACAATGCCAGCAGCTCCACTAGCGCCTTCGAGATGACCGATGTTTGATTTCACAGATCCCCTAGTAACACGTTGTCAACTCGTGTTCCAAGAAAAGATTCATAGCAACATTTGCATTTTCCAATACACATACACATAGAGAGGAACAGAATCTGGCCTATGTCCTTTGAACGTTCTCCCAATAGCGCTCATCTCAATTGGATCGCCAACTGGAGTCCCGGTCCCTAATGACGATAAGTATCCTAGTTAGCGTCACATTCAACTCTATCAGAACACTAAGAGGGCCACGAAGAGATTAAATCGGGAAACCTGCCGTGTGCTTCGACGTAAGCCGTAGACTCAAATCCAATGCCAGCTTGGGCGTATACCTGCCGAATCAGGGCAACCTGAGCATCGATACTTGGTTGCGTTAAGGTGGGAGTCCTCCCATCCTGATTCGCGCCAGTGGCTCGTATTACGGCCCTGACAACATCTCCGTCCCGAATAGCATCGCCGATTGGCTTGATAACTAGTGCGACTAGACCCTCGCCACGTGCATAGCCATTGGCTCTAGCGTCGAAGCTGAAGCACTTTCCATCGGGAGAGAGAAAATTGCCTTGGTCGAGCATCATTGACGGCTCCGGGCTCATCAACAAGTTGGAGGCAACGAGCAAGGACTAGGACGCGTATTAGCGAATTCGGGCTCTTGACCAGTTCTTTGTAGTACCTGGAACGGTGAAAGCTCGGGTAAAAAAAAAAGGAATGATAAAAGATGAAGAAATAAACAGACCATCGTCGCATTGCCACTTCGCATAGCCTGGCATGCCATATCAAGCGCGACTATGCTGCTCGAGCAAGCCGTGTCGAGATGCACACTGCTACCTCGGAGGTCAAAGTGCCAGCTAATCCGATTGGGCAGAATTGCAGGCTGGACACCCGTTAGGCTTTGCGGCGGCGCCATATCAAAGTCCTTGGACCCCATCCGCGCATAATCATCCGACATGGTCGCGCCGAACACAGCGGTACTGGTGCCTCGAAGACTCTGGATTGGTATGCCGGCTGAGTCGGGCCGCCAATGAGTAGTCAGCAGACGCATCTTCAATAGCACTCACTGCATGTAATTTTTTCCACTTGAAAACTCTTCTTACCATTTTCAAATGCATGATACGCAACCTCAAGGGCCAGTCGTTGCTGTGGATCCATCGCAGCGGCCTCCCTGGCCGTGATTGAGAAGAAAGGAGCATCGAATAAGGCCGGGTCCTCCTCAAGAAAGTGGGCACGAGAGGCCCGACACTAAGGGTTATATATATCATGTAAGCGGAGAGGACGTGTACGAACAACAAGTTGAACGAACACATGTAGACGGACCTTTTGATCGAAGAATGATTCAGGGCCGGTACGGCTATCTGGCCACTTTGAGGAGAGACTTTTGCGTTTGTCAAGGACATCCCAGAAACTCTCCTCGTCCACGGCTCCTTGAGGCAGCCTGAAGGACATGCCGATGATGGCGAAGGACTCCATAATGTCAGTACATGACTTGGCATCACCCATTGCTGCGTCTTCGTGGCAAACTACCTAAAATGACTTCCGCTGTTTGAAAGATAAGGGGTAACGATTTGGAAAATGAAGCCTACGAAGCCGATCAGGACAATAGCCATTGAGAATTTCTACTATGCTGAAATTTCAAAGAAGCCGTTGTGTTCTATTCGATAATTTTATATCTAGAACCGAATGTTTCCAGGTAAATGCATTTTGCTGGCTAGTTGACGACCCCACACACCTGGGTGTGAAGGTAGTCTGATGCAACGCACGACGCGCGTGCATGCTTGGTATGTAGTGCTGGGAGCTACAAAAATGTTGGCGAGGTGCTGTTACTCGTGCTTGTTCTTGCTTCGCATCGCGCTATTTCCGCTTAATGCAGCTAGTTAGACAAATGCCCTCGGTACAAAATACCTCATGTTCCCTACAAAAATAGTTGTACTAAATATTAGTCTATTTTAATTAATTAACTTCTTATTTAAATTAATATTTTTTAAGAATAAACTTTTATATATTTTAAGTAAATTATTAAAGTAGCTTTTTTATTATAAATAGTTATTAAATTATTAAAGTTTAAATTATTATAATAATAAAATAAAAGTTTTATTATATTATTAAAGATTTTTATATTTTATAATATAGTTTTTTTAAAATATATTTAAATTTATAGAATTTAATAATTAATTTATTTAATATAAAATTAAAAGATTTATAATTATAATTTTTATTAATATTTATTTAATTATTTTATTATATTATAATATAATTTAATTTTATTATTATTTAAACTTTTTTAACTTTTATAAAAGTTTTTATTTTTATAAATATAAATATTAAATTAAATTTATAAACTTAAATTTAAAGTTTTAATAAATTTTAATATATTTTATATTAAATATATAATTTATTAATTTTTTAAAATATATTAAATATTTTAAATATTAATAATCTTTTAAAATAAAATTTATTTTATATAATTATATATTTAATTATTAATAATTATTTTATTTTATTTATAATAAAATTATTAAAATTAAAAATTAAAAATTATATATAATAATTAAATATAATTTATTTATTTTAAAGTTATATTATAAATTAATAAATTAAAATATAATATTATTTTTAAATAATTTTATTTATAAAATAAATAAATAAATATTTATTTAAATAAATTTAAAACTTTAATTAAAAATAATAATTTTATTTTTATTTATTTTAAATAACTTATTCAAATTATATAATAATTTTATATATAATATTTAATAATATTAAAATTAAATAATTTATAATTTATTATAACTTTAAGTTTTAATAAATTAATTTATATTTAAATTAATTATATTAATTTAAATTCATATAATTTAATATATTAATATAAAAGATTATTTTTAATAATAAATAATATTATAAATATAAATTATTTTTTAAATATAAAGTTAAAAGATTTATAATTATAAAATTTTAATTAATTTTTATTTAATTATTTTATTATATTATAATTTAATTTAATTTAATTCAAACTTTTTTAAATTTATTTAATCTTTTATTTTTAAATAAATTAAAGTTTTATATTTTTAAATTTAAATTTAAAATTTTATAAATTTTAATATATTTAAATTAAATTTATAATCTTTTAACTTTTTTAAAAAAATTAACTATTTTAAATAATAATAATTTTTTAAAAATAAAATTTAATTTTATATAATTATAAATTTAATTATTAATAATTATTCTTTTATAATAAAGTTATTAAAACTATAAATTAAAAATAATAATAAAATATAATTATTTTATTTAATTATTTTTAATTTAATAAATTAAATAATTATTTTTAAATAATTTTATTTATAAAGGTAATAATCTTTTAATTTATTAAATAAATATTTACTTAAATAAAGTTAAAATTTTAATTAAAAATAATAATTTTATTTTTATTTATTTTAATTAATTTATTTAAATTATATAATAATTTTAATATTTATATATAATATTTATTAATATTAAATTAAATAATTTATAATTTATAATAATTTTAAATTTTAATAAATTAATTTATATTAAAATTAATAATATTAATTTAAATTAATATACTTTTATATATTAATATAAAAATATTTTTAATAATAAATAATATTATAAATATAAATTATAAAATTATTATAAAAAATTTTATATAATAAATTTAATTAAATTAAGTTTTAAAAATATATTATATAAATAATTTTTAAAATTTATAAAACTATCTTTTAAATAATTAATTAATAAACTTTTAATTATAATTAATTAAAATATAAAATTATTATTATTTTTATATAAAATTATTATTATTATTATATAAAAATTATTATTATTTTTTATAATTAATATATAATTAATAATTAATTATAAATTTTTAATAACTTTTTTAATAAATATTAAATAATAATTAATTAAAAATAATAATATTTTATTTTTATTTATTTATTTTATTTATTTATTTTAATAATATATTATTATTTTAAATTTAAATAAATTAATCAAAAATTAAAAATTAATTAAAACAAATTAATATTAATTAAAAATAATTTAAATTAATTATATTATAAAAATAGTAAGCTATAATAGATTAACTACTATAAAGCTAATAGACCTATATTTATATATAGACCACTCTTAATTAATAAATCTAGCTAACCCAACTAAACACTTCACCACCCAGTTAAGTAGACCTTCTAACCAACACTAATCTATACTACTTTAATTACTTTTTATATATAAGCTAAGTTAATTAATACTAATTAATTACCAACTAACTTTTAATAGTAAAATAAATCATTTAAGCTATTTAAATATTAAGTCTTTTTATAAAGGATAAATTAATAATACTACTATTATTATCACAACTTAAAGAAGGTAAGTTATTTAAACTATCTAAATATAATTAATTAAGTAGAACCCCTTTATTAAATAAATCTTATAATTAATATAATAACTTTATATACTTTACTTAAGTTAATATATAACCCTTTAAGTAATAATCTCTTTTATAATAATTTATAAAAAGCTTTAAATTATAAATAATTATAATAATCTTTTCTATTTATTAAGCAATCCTTTTTATAACTAATAATTTAAACTTACCTATTAAACCTTTAAACTAACTACCTACTAATTAACCTATTTAACTATCTATTAATTAACCTATTTACCTACCTACCTCCCCTTATATTACCTAAGTAATTAATTAAATACTCTTTTAACTTCTCTCTCTCTCTCTCTCTCTTTTATAATATCTAAATAAAAGATACTTTAACGATGTAGCTACTACAACCCTAAGTTTAAAAATAAAGTTATTTATAACTACTATAAGTATATATTAATAATATATCTACTTATATTATAAAAGGAAGTTTAAATTAAAGAATAAAATAAAAAAGTATATTAATAATATTTATAAAAAGAAATATATAGCTATTAAGTCTAACAACGATAAAGTCTACTAATTTACTAGTAACCTTAACTATAACTCTAATAAGAACTTCTAATACTTCTATAAAATCTTTAAAAACTAAACTAAGAAGTACCTTAAATAAATTAAACTAAAACTTTTTAAAGATCTTTATAACAACCTTTATTTTAATAACGTTTATATTAAAACTAAAACATTATTTAAAGCCCTCCTTACCTTTATTTAAATACCCTACCCTAATAAAAAGTTGATACTATAACTACTTATATAATTAACTAAAAAAAAAAAACTAATAAAATAAGTAATAATTATATTTACTATAAGAAGAAGATACTATTAAAAGGGCTAACTAAATAATTACTAACTAACTAACTAAATATTAATAATTAATAACCACTTAATAGATAACCTAATAAACGATTAATTTATTAATAATTTAAACTTAATTTTATACTTAATTTCACCTATTAAAGTAATTTAAATTTAAGTAATTTAATAATTTATAAAACGTTAATTTAAAGTATTTTATAGTGCTTAAATTAAATAAATTATAATTATACATTTAATAATAATTCAAAGTAATTTAATAATTTAATTAAAAACTATTTTATTAATAAATAAAACTTATTAATTAACTAAAAAGAAGGGATAAAGGATCTTAATTTTAAAAGACTAAAAAGTTACTAATATAGAAATAATAGACTATAATAGATTAATTACTATAAGGCTAATAGACCTATACTTATATATAAACTACTCTTAGTTAATAAATCTAGCTAACCTAACTAGACACTTTATTACCTAACTAAGTAAACCTTCTAATTAATACTAATTTATATTACTTTAACTACTTTTATATATAAACTAAACTAATTAATATATATAAAAATTTAAAATAAAAATTTTAATTAATTAAAAATTTTAAAAAGTTTTAATTTAAATTAAAAATAGTTTTATTAAATATTTATTATAAAAATAAAATTATTAGTAACTTTAATTTATATTTTTAATTTTTAATTAATAAAAATTTAAAAATAAAATTATAATTATTAAATTTATAAATATTTAAATTATATTTTAAAATTATTTTTAATAAATTAAATATTCTTTTAATATAAATATTTATATTTTTATTATTTTTAATTTTAAAAGTTATAAAATTTAAAATTATTTTAAAAAATAATATATTATATTTTATTATTTTAAAATTTTAATTATTTATTTATAATTTAAAAATAAAATTAAAAATATAAATAATTTATAAATTAATAATTAAAAATATAATAATTTTAAAATATATAAATTATTTTATAAATAAATTAATATTATTTTTAAATATAAAATTAAAATATTTATAATTATAATTTTTAATTATTTTTATTTAATTTTTATTATATTATAATTTAATTTAATTTTTAATTTTATTTAATTTTTAATTCTATTTAATTTTTAATTTTATTTAATTTTTAATTTTATTTAATTTTTTTAAGTTTTTAATACTTTTTAAAAAATTAAATTTAAAAAATTTTAAATTTAAATTTAAATTTTTATAAATTTTAATTTTCTTTAAATTAAATTTATAATTTTTAATCTTTTAAAAATATATTAATTATTTTAAATATTAATAATTTTTTAAAATAATAATTTATTTTATAAAATTATAAACTTAATTATTAATAATTATTCTTTTTATTTATAAAAAATTATTAAAATTATAAATTTAAATATTATATATAATAATAAAGTATAATTATTTTATTTTATTATTTTTAATTTAATAAATTAAATAATTATTTTTAAATAGTTTTATTTATAAAATTAATAATCTTTTAAATTTATTAAATAAATATTTATTTATAAAATAAAATTAAAATTTATATATATTTTTAATTAAAATAATAATTTTATTTTTATTTATCTTAATTAATTTATATTTAAATTATATAATAATTTTATATATAATATTTAATAATATTAAAATTAAATAATTTATAATTTATAATAATTTTAATTTTTAATAAATATAGTTTAATATATTAATATAAAAGTATTTTTAATAATAAATAATATTATAAATAATTATAAAATTATTATAAAAGTTATATATAATAAATTTAATTAAATTAATTTTAAAATATATTATATTTTATTTTTAAAAACTTTAATTATTTATATTTATTAAAAGTTTTTAATATAATATATTTTAAATAAAATATTTTTATTTTAATAAAATTATAATAATATTTAATAATAATAAATATATATTTTATATTAAATATTAAAATTAATAATAAATTTATTTTAAATTTAATTAAAATTATTTAATTAAAATTATTTAATTAAAATTATTTAATTAATATTTAAAAATATTTTATTATAAAATATTAAATTAAAATATTTTAATAAAAATAAAAAATTATATAAAAAACTTATATTAATAATAATTAAATATTTTAAAAAAATATTATAAAATTTAATTAAAATAATATATTATAAATTAATTATAATAATATTTATAAAAAATTAATATATTAAATTAATATAAATTATTAATTATTATAAAATTTTATAATTTATAAATATAAAGTAAAATTTATTATTAGGTAGAGGTAAATTACTAGTATGGAGTATAGTAGTGGAACTTTTGTCCCCTAACTGTATCTAGTTAGTGTAGTCTTAAACCTCACCCGGCCGGTTCCTGACATTTTAATTTGGAGGGATTGTAACACAATGATACCAACGTGAAGTGTAACGCAACGTCGCCCGGCATTAGGTGGGGTCCTATCAGCGGAGCATCGAATGTGACTTCGCCTGTCACCGGTCTTTGTATCTTGGAGGTGATTTGAGGAGCCTGGGGCACATTTACGCCATGGAAATGCAATACGACGTCGCTCTGGTTCGTCTTGGCCGCGAGACAAGCGAGACTCGATCGGGGATAGGCTGTCACCACAGCCTCGTTGATTAGGGCTGGCCCACTCAGATGCCTACCTAGATAGTGTAGGTACTCCGATAGAAACCCAAGGATCGACCTGAAAGTCAGGATTCCTACTGCAGGTGCCCAGCAATATGGGTCACACTGAAAAACGGTGGAAGGCAACAATCTCGTAGCGTCGCACAGCATGTTCAAATCTCGTGCCCCCACTTGCACACCGCGCTGGGTGGGGGCCGGTGCAACGATGTCTTCATGGCCCCCCTCGGCAATACTCCACGGAGCAATGTCAGCGCAACAAGGCTCGGTGTAATGTCATATCGCACCTTGATTGGAGCAGAAATCTGCGCCTCTAAGTGGGATATCAAGTCACTCAAATGATGCGAGCTCTCGGCACCCACCACAACGGCTAGTACACCACGGTGCAACTGGGAAGGGTTGACCACTACTGTATGAAGAGACCGCCTACGGCTTTAAAAGAGCATGTGTATAGATTAATAACGGAACCACCTACTAATAAGAATGAGAACGGAAATTCGCGCACCTAAAATTGGAAGGCGCGCACCTAGATATAACTAAGCGGTGCCTATATATGTGCACAAATTTATTTTAATTAGGGCCTATTATAGTAATTAGTAAGGTTGTTATATATAATTAGTACTTGGTACTATTTTTTTGCTAACTAATAAAAAAAAGGTTAAAAATTGTATAAATTATATATATTAGGGCCTAAATAGATGGTATTTTAAGTATAATTTATATTTAATTATATATATATTTAAATTTTGGGTTATATACCTTTATTGTTGCTAGCAAGGTTATTTATAGTTAGGTCTATTTATAGTAATTAGTTAATAATCCTTTATATTTTTATATATTACTTTTTAGCTATTAGTGGGGCGTTTAAGAATATATTTAAAAAAGTAAATTATTGCTTTAACTAGTAGTTTGCTTGCCTTATAAGCCTTGCTGTTAGTTGCTAGTTTTATTAAATAGTTTTTTATTAGGTATTATTATTATAGGTGTTTTTTTTATTTAAAAATTATAAAGTTAAGTAATTCTACTTTTAAGCTAAATTTATTTATTAAAAAAAGGCTATTATTGCCTTTATTTTATTTTTTATTTTGCTTTTTAAGTTAATAGTTATTAATTTAGTTTGTTTATTTATTATAGCTATTATTTAGCTTATATTTTACTTAAAGATATTTATTTTATTAGTTGCAAATATAGCTATTTTATAAAAGTATTTTTTAGTTAATTTAATCTACTTTAATAAATAGATTATAAGTAGAGGGTTGTTAATTAATAAGTTATAATTAAGCTAGAAGAATTTATATATATTAGCCTTTTTAAGGGGCTGTTTAGCTTTTTTTTTATTAGTAATTTAATTAGTATAAATTAAGCTATATTATATAAATATAAGGCAAGTATAGGTTAATTATAAGTAATTATTTTATATAATGTTGCCTTTAAATATTTATATAACTTTTTTTTTAATATTTAAAAAAAGATTTAAGGCTATTTATAAAACTTGTATTAAAAGGTTTTTTAGTTATTTTTATTTATTAAACTTTTAAAAAAAGAATGTTTTTTAATATACCTTTTTTAGTTTAAAGTTATAAATAATATTCTTTAAAGTTTTATAAATAGCTTTAATAAGGTAAAAGGTATTTTTTATTTTATAGCTTAAATAAACCTTAAACTTTTAGTATATATTTTTTATTAAAAATATTATATATAAGTTAAAGTTAAGAACTTTATAAGTTTTATGGGCTATTTATTTAGCTATAATTTTTTTTTTTTATTTATATAATAGGTTTTTAAATATTAAATTATTGCTTATTAATTTAAAAACTTTTTTTATAAATAATGTTAAGCTAAGTTAAAGATTTAGCAATTAGTTAAATATTTTATAAATTTAAATAAATTAAATAGGGCCTAGTAGGTATAGGGAACTTTATTTAGGACCTTTAATAGAATAATTGTTTTGCTTTTTATTAGGGCGTTAAATAAGGCTATATTTAAGTTTTTAATTTTTAAATCCTTTTTATTATTAGCTTTTTTTTTTTTTATATTTTATAAGCCTAGTATTTTTTATTATTTTTTTTTAATATTAAAAATAATATTTATATTAATATAAAAAATATAAAGTTGGTAGCAAATATAAGAAAATATATACTTAATAGTATTAATTAAAGTAGTATTATAGTTAGTAATAATAACTTTTAGATTTATAGTTTTATATTTTATTAGTAGTAATTTAATTTATTTTAAAAGCTATTAGAAGCTTAATTTCTTTTTATTATTAATAATGCTTTAAAATAGGGGTAAGTTTTTTTTTATATATATTATAGTTATGCCTTAAAAATATAGCATTTTTTTATTATTAGTTATATAAGTATAATTAAAAAAAAATATTAAGTAAAATATTACTTTTAGATTTATATAATTTATTACCTTTTATATTAAAAAATGCTAGTAATGTTTTTTTTTTTATTTTAAATATAATAATACTAGTAGTTTTGCTTTTTAAGTTAGTTTAATATTATTTATATTAGTATATAAATGCTCTACCTTTTTTTTTTTTTTTATTAGCTAGAACTTTATTATATTAGGTTTTAGTATAATTATAAAATATTTTTATTAAAGTATAAGTTTAAGTTTTTTTGGCTTTATTATAAAAAGGTTATAGGTAATTTAAGAAAGGAATTTGTATTAATTTGTATTTAATTTAACCTAGCTTTATTTTGCTTTAGTTATTATTTAGGGCTTATAGTGGGTATATTTTTTTTTTTAAATTATAAGCTTTTACTTGCCTATTATAATTTTGGTTATATAGGCAATTTTTTATTAAAGGTAGTTAGTTTTAATTATAGTAGTATTATAAATAGTTAAAATTAAGGGTTGCTATATGCTATAACTATAAGCTAAAAATTTTTAATTTGCCTTAAAATTATAAAAGATTATTAACTAGCTAGTTAATTTTATAGCTTTATTTAATTTAACTTTAAATTTTTTATAGATATTATATTTATTATTAAAAAGCTTTAAAAATATAAAGGGATTAGAAAGTATTAAAAGGTAGTAGTTAATAGTAGTAATATTATAATTTTAGTTATAATAATTAATTTGCTAATATGGCTTAAGCTTAAAATAATTTAGTATTTATATTATTAGCTATAATGCTTAAAAAATAATATTTAAGTAAATATAATAAAAATTTAGTTTTTAATTAATAATTCCTGCTATTTAAATAGTTAATTTAATTTATGGTTAGGTGGTGGTTGGTAAATATAATTAGGTGGGAAGAGAAGATTTTGCTAGGTATGTTGGGCAGGATATAAAAAGCATTGCTTGGGTGGTTTAACGGGTAAAATAAAGTTTTTTAATTAGTTGCAGCCCTGCTTAGTTATATTTGGGTGCGCGCCTTTTAATTTTGGGTGCGCGAATTTCCGTTCTTATAAGAATCTGCACGAGGCGGGAGTCGCTCCTTTATAGACATGTTTCGAAATATGAAAGTAACTCTCTTGACATTCATGTTTAATATATGCCTATGCTACAGTGACTATGTGCTTCCTTTTCCAAAGTAACAGCGCTGTTGGTATCTGTGCCGCAGAAAACGCGCACAGAACTAACATTTGGCGGTTATACCCTTCAGAAAGAATATGCCGAGCTTCGTTGCGAAGAGCGACGGGCAGTAATTCTTGCCCAGTGATGATATCTTCAAGAGAGCTGTTGATTCCAAGGCCCGCCAGGCGAGAAAATGTGTACCCATTGAACACAGACGTAGCGATTGCCAATCCCACGGCACTGCCCATCGTCCGAAATTGGTTGGCTGCAGCCATTCCCACAGCTTTATCGCATTCGGCAACGGTGAAAGGAACTGTGATGTAAGCCATGGTAAATGTGAGGCCGCAGCCGAAACCACACAGGGTCAAATATCCGTAGATCGACGCCTGAATATGCACTGACGAGTCCAACATGCTAAGCAACGTGTACCCGACCACCTGGAACATCGATCCTGCGACCAGCAGCGAGATCGCTGGTATTTTGAACTTGCTCGACACTGTGGCACCTGTCATGGAGCCGAGCGGGAACAAGGCCCCAAAAGGCAGAAGTCTAAGTCCAGAATCAAGATTTGAAAGCCCATTGACGAGCTGGAATCGCTGAGGTAGCTGGAATGTAGTGACGCTCATGGGCGCTCCCACCAGTATCATTTCGGCCATGATGCCGATGACAACGCGATTGGTGAAAAATCGCCATGGGAGTACCGGCTCGCATAGTTTGCCATTAAGCGTCACATGACGCTCCCAAAATAAAAGTAACAAGAATAGCGCTACGAACGTAATTAAGAGGGTTATGACGTAGGCAGATTGCCACTGAAAGCGTGAGCCAGCCTCCTGGAAGCATGCTGTGAAAGCCAGGACCGCCCCAAGAAGCAGCAAGGAGCCTATGATGTCAAGGCGGGTCCGTATCGTTTGGACAACGGCTGTCAGTGACCCATGTGTAGGGAGCCGCTCACGGTAAGGGAAGCCGTGCGGCATACCGACGATGGCGAGAAATAGAGCCAAGACTCCGACGGGCACACTATAAGAAGGACGAATCGTTAGTCAGACCGTATTTGCGAAGTGGTGTGATCGAGATTCAGAGTTCAAATGTTGCTTACTTGAGCAGGAAAATCCATCTCCAGGTCGAGTTCTGGCTGATGGCACCCCCAATCACCGGGCCTAAGACCGTACCCATCGCGATGGCTATTCCTGCATTCGCGACATATTTCCCGTACTTCTCCGGTGGCGCAGCATCGACAATGAGGACGGCACCGAGCGTGTAACAGCCACCACCACCCAAACCTTGAAAGGCACGGATTACAATGCTGTTAAAAGATATCATTGTCAACAATCAATCGCAATAAACTAGACATATAGTCCAGCTGGTAGGAAAGATATCGGATTGTGTGACTTACAGCTGTGTCATGGTCTGCGCGCCGGCGCAGCCGGCGGAGAAGACAGTGAATAGAATGAGTAGGCCCGCAGTGATCGTTTTCCGGCCGAAGATATCACTCAGTTTCGCCGAAATCACAATGAGAGCTGCCCAGCAAAGAAGTCAGTTTTCGTGACGACAGACTTAGAGGAACATGGAAATCTATGGTGTGGTGGAGACTGGCTGTGGACGGGGGGGGGGTGTTTTGACCTACCGACAAAGCCGAGCTGGTAGCTCGACAAAACCCAGCTGATCGTTTCGAAACCACCTAAGTCGCGCGCGATGGCCACGAATGCGGTGACTGCTATATTGGCCTCTATACTCACTATGAACACCATGATACCGATCCTGTGCATCCATGATACGACTTTGTCAGCACAAATAGCTGTCCGTGGAGACAAAACACAATTGAAAAAGCATTGGAGGAAACGGACAAGGTAGCAACCATGAAGAGACGCGTTCCACACAGGTAGAGAACCTCTTGAGCAGGCGTCCCGCTCTGGATCGCGGGGGTGGTATGGTGGGCTGGATTGTTATCACCAGTACTGGCATGGTTTGTAATGCCTGCCTTCTCAAGCGCAGGCGAAGGCCTCGCGTTCTCTGCGTCCATCTCTACGTCCAAGTCGGAAAAAGTAACGGGTCGAAAACGGAAGCCGAGCGAAAGAGTATCGAGAGTCAGTAACAACAGAAAATGGTTGAAAGATTATGTCTGCTAATGGTGTGTTCCTCGACACGTTAAGCGTTGTTTGAAAACGTAAGACTGGAAGCCGCAAGACCGGTTCTGAGGGTTCTAGTCCTGGGGACGGACCCCTTTGCGCCATGAACCTGGGGGGAGGGGCGGGCTTGTCATTTTCGGTTGACCCAACCGTGCATTCGGTGGAAATGCGTGCGTGCATCCGTTCATACTGGTCCCTGTACCTTGGGACTTTTCGCTGATGTAGTTCACGGCTTCCCGCCCCTGCAGCAGCGGCTCAGTGGACTATCTACGCCGCTGCCGCCGGGTGGTCACTGTCAGCACTAGGCCTAAGTCGGCTTCAACCGCCCTTGTCTCAGAAAATGAGTATTAACGAGATGCCTATCCCTCAGGCAGATAGATGTAACGTTTGGCAACGCCAACGGCCTCGTGCTTGTTCTAGCTGCAACCCTCTCGCCATGGCTAAATTTGGCACCCACACCGGCTATCCTCAGGTTTCGCAGCTGTGCCTTATCCATACATGCCCAGGTGCAAAACCCTTGACAGGAATGGGATCCTTCAGGCTTTACTGGGGTATATTACAGCAATGGATACCGACCGACCTTGGAGGTTTTGGACCACTCCTGTCACTCCTGATTCCTTTCCAGTTATTTTCCTCTGACAGTCATTCACTGGACTTGTGAGGTGTGTTACTGCATCGAGAAGGAACCGCTGAACCACATCATGGCTGGGACTATCAAGGATTTCCCCAACCTACCCCCTGCGGTGCAGGAGCTCATCTACAATGGACCAGCTTTGGCACCTCCGGCTGGTGTGACCCCAAATTTCAAGAATCCCCCCAATCGCAACGGCGAAGCGTTGGCCGTTATGACGTTGTGTCTCGTCTGCTCGACGGTTGTGGCCGTCGCCCGTGCTTATTCACGAATATTTATCTCCAAGAAGGTGGAGCTTCAGGATTGTATGTCGAAACGGAGTTGCATGCCCGGATTTTCACTTTGTTGATCCGGACCCTTGCTAATAAGTCCTCCACGAGATAGATCTTGGCCTAGCTGCATATGTAGGTCCTTTGCTGGCTACCTTCCTCTAGGCCTGTTTTCCCGCGTCTAATTATTCGGCACATAGGCATCTTACATAGTTCTTGTCTGGGTCTATCTCGATTTCTTGAATATTGCCGGATTCTCTGTGCATCAGTGGAACATAACCTTCAGAGACATCATTCCTATATCCCAGGTCAGGTCCACTTCAGCGCTTTGACGTATCACAGCACTGACTTCGGTGACGCAGATCCTCACCTTCGGGTTGACCATATCCTATTCCGCAACTCTGCTCTTTGCGAAGTCCGCGATCCTTCTGGAGTGGATACGCGTTTTTTCCCCCCACCGCATCTACACCTTTTTTTATCGTTCCTGTTATTTGATGATTGTGCTTAACATCTTGCTGTATGTATCAAGCATCATCAGCTCGGCTATCACGTGCCTCCCACATGAGAGCATCTGGCATCCATGGGTCGATGGAAAATGCATCGATCGGAAAGCGCTCGGGCTTTTTACAGCTTTTTTCAACGTCATCATGGACCTTCTCATCCTTCTCCTACCCCAGCGTATCATTTGGACTCTCCAAATGACGAAGGGACGAAGACTAGGCATCTCATTAGTTTTTTCGATGGGTGTTCTTGCTACCGTGTGTGCCGCCGGCCGCGTCGCCGCTACCTTTGCGATTGACTATGACGGAGACGCAACATATACGGCTTCCGATATCATGCTGTGGGCTGTCCCAGAGCTGACGTGCGTGCTGCTGGTCTTCTGCATGCCTTCAGTGCCAAAGGCGCTCGCCAAGGAAGGTCCTCTCTTCAAGATGGTCTCAGCGGTGAGGTCCTGGACGCTGCTACCAACAACAGGAAGCCGTGCGTCCGACGGTTCCATGTCAGCAAGGAACAAGTGGCCGACTATTGGGAAGCAGTCAAAGACTCGCGTATATCGCACGATGGATCACCCCGACAACCAGTCCATACGTATGGCGCAGCTAGGGTTGACACATACAGAGTCCCACAGGCTTGACGAGCTGCAGCTCCACGACCAACCACCACCCGTACCTCCTCTGGATCCCGCAATTATGCGGACCATGGAGGTCGAACAACATCGACATGAGACCAATGGATTTCAAATTTCACCTGCCAATTCCTACAATTGGGCTCCTGTATCTAATGATTCCACCAAACAGGCACACTATCACATTTCAGCTGAGAAACGCTAGAGTCTGTGTTTAGTTGCTGCCCTACAAAGTGGCGGGAAAGGGGCTTCACCGCCGCACAAGCAGCCTAGAGATCCACTAGGACTGGAAATTTCAACAAAGAAGAACTTTGTGCTTGGCTAGTATGGGAGGGGGCAACGCGAAGAAGGAGGTGACGAGTGCATGCGGTTTAGTGCCTACAACGGGCATGAGTCGAACCGTACATACTTACAAATCATTCATTTCACCTGCATTTACCTGTCACGCTTTCATTCACAAATCTTCGGATGATCGCACAGATGATCGCATGAAAGAATCTCATGGTCATGCCACCTGTGTGGGCTAACGCATTTTGAAGCGTGTTTAAATGCAACCTCGAAGCGCCGGAGGTTCTAACCGTGGTAGGAAGTTGACCATTCATTCCATCCCAAAGATACCTAGGTAACCTGGCACGGTGACTTGGCCGTACTCTGCCCGTTCAGCCTCAAGCAAGCCCTTGGCCATTATTACCAACCTTCGATAGTCTTGGTGACTTCCCAGCCGTTGGCCTCCAAATTTGGATACGAATTCACATTACCAAGCCGGGCTACTGCAGTCTGCAGGCGGAAAACAACGCGCGCGCCATGTCAGGTCACCGGCGTGTAGAAATCCATGGGACTTTGAGTTTGCGGCGCAGTCCAATCGTACTGTGTGTACCGGTTAGCCCCGCCACAGCCTGCAGCAGTTCTGAGCTAGGTTGAGGCGTAGACCAAGGAACGTACAAAAAATCAGTTCATTTCGGCCCGTCGCTTAGGTTCCAACCTACCACAGTATCTAGATATCAATATGCGGGCTGGCCAATATGCAGACCAGGGTTGTTTATCAGCATTGAGACAAGGCTGTGGGAAGGTGACATTGCATGGCATTACCCAACGGAGACCTCGGGATCGACAGTTGCAAACATGTTGGTAATTTTCTGCCCAATAGGAGTAAGCATGTGGTTTGTCTCACCGTCACGGGCTGGTTGGGGGCGGAAAACAGGACCGTGCCCCGCATGCTTATCCCAGTGTTTCTTGTCCTACCAGTCGGCTATGGGATACGAGTTACACCCCGTGCCGTGCCGATAGGAATCGGGCGCCACTCAGCAGCAGGCAGGCAGTACTGCCCGCCTCTCGCCTTGGATTCTACCCAGCTTCAAGTTCGGAACACATTCGAGCCAAATCATAGTGATCACTGTACATTCATTCAAAGTTCTGTGATACTTCGTCATTGCCATCGACACCTGTTGTTTACGCGACCGCGACATCTGGAGATCTCTACCATGGGCTTTGCCGAAATCTTGCCTGCAGACCTGCTGTCTGCTGTCGGAGCCTTGGTGTCGTTGGTAAGTCACGTCGAGCCGCTCCATCAGAATGAAATTCGACACTGACTCTCTTTATCAGGGTCTCATCGCTCTAGCTTACACGGCGCTCTTACATCCCTTGAGAGACTACCCAGGTCCGCTCTTAGCGAAGCTCACCGATGGGTACAGCGGATACTTTGCCGCCAAAAAATGTCTGCATCTTAGGACGTACAATAACCATCTGAAATACGGTTCGGCAGCCCCTCGAAACCTCACTGGGCCCAGATAAGCCTTTGTTCGTAGTATGAGCACTCATGATTTTCCGTTAGGTCCGGTGATTCGAATGGCCCCCAATCGCCTAGTGTTCAACACAGCGAGAGCACTGAAAGGCAAGTACACTAGTGCCTGTCCGACTACCAGCATCAGACGAAAAAATCGCTAATATCGTGCAGATATTTACCTGAATCCAGGAGTGAATAAAGCACATATTTACAAGCACACTCAGTTCAATCCCCAGGTAAACATCTTTGGAACATTGGATAGAGACCGACACCGACAGAAACGAAAGGTATACGGGCAAGTTCTTTCGGACCGCTCGCTCCGTGCCTTCGAGCCAACCATGAATAAAGAGATCGATGTCTTCCTGAAGCAGCTCTTGAATGCCCAAGGCAAGGCAGTAAACATGTCTCCAGCTTTCGAGCGCCTCGCCACCGATATCGCTGGCCAGCTGGCCTTCGGACAGCCCCTTCATACGCAAACACAGGCGAAGAACAGAATATTTCCCCGTGCTATGATCTCGATGAACGCAGTAGTCAATCTTTTCAGTAAGCTGTCTCCTGTCATTGCTGAAAACTGTGCGACTGACCGCCTCGCATTGGCCTGGCCAACTGTTTCAATGAGTTGGCCTGTTCTTGGCCGACTCAACCGGAAAAATGGCGCGATATTCGCCGAAGCAATACAAGGCATTATCCAGTCACGCATGGCTCTGGCCAAGGACGCAAAGCATGACTTCTACTCGATCGCGGCGGATGACGTGAGCACAGAGGAGGGCCTCAAGCGCAGTGAGCTGTGGGCTGAGGCTGTTTTCTTTCTCCCTGCCGGTAAGATTGTGCTTTGCATCTCTCTTACCCATCTGACCAGGTTTTATGCCAAATTCCCCATATGCTCTCCTTCAACATCCAAAACTCAACAAGTCTAGCCACGGTATTGTTAATTACGGCTCTTCCTTGACTAAGTATCGCACGCACAGGTGGAACCACTATCTCGGCAGCTCTAAGCGCCATATTCTTCTACCTCTCGCGATACCCTGCCGTCTACGCCCGCCTCGCCGCCGAAATCCGGACAAAGTTCGCCTTAGGTCGCGCTATTCAGAGCGGACCGCAGCTGAACGGATCCAAATACCTCCGTGCAGTGATTGACGAGAGCATGCGGATGTCACCCCCGTTTGTTGGCACGTTCTGGCGGGAACCCTATTCGCCTCATCACGAGCAGTTCGTGGTTGATGGGTACGTAATTCCGCCCGGGACTATTGTCGGGGTCAGTCCCTACTCTGTTATGCACAATGAGGAGTATTTTCCAGAGCCATTTGCGTTCCGCCCCGAGAGGTGGCTGGAATCCTACATGGAGGATGGCGGTACGGATGAACCCAGTCCACAAATAGAACATCACGTATCGATGATGCGTGCTGCTTTCGCCCCATTTGCATTAGGAGAGACAGGGTGCTTGGGGAAAGCGATGGCTTACCAGGAAATGAGTCTTGTCGTGGCGAGAACACTCTGGTACTTTGACTTTGAAAGGGCGCCTGGAGAGGCTGGCAAGCTTGGGGAGGGGGAGCCTGGCAGGACGGATGGGAGGGGGAGGAAAGAGGAGTATCAATTGTTTGATCTGGCTGTGTCAGATCACGTTGGCCCGAACTTGGTGTTTCGACCAAGGGAGGAATACTGGCAAGAGCTGGGTGTGGCTGGCACGGGATTGTAGCCTTGATCGCTCCGCTCAGAAATTGGTCGCGTCTTGCTGGTTTTGATTGCTTCGCTCAGAAATTGGTCGCATCCTGCTGGTGTTGATCGCTCCACTCAGAGATTAAGTGATCGCTTCGCTCAAGGATTGTGCGCAGACGGTCAGACATACGTTGTCCCTAAGTACCAATGATACAGAAATCTAGAGGTACCTGGGCGGGACATGATGACAACATTCATCATATAGCAAGGATTAATTGGCACTGTATTCCTTTTTGAAACCGCTGGGTCTTGAGTGTTTACCACTATATGAAGACGCCATGTATGTCTCCAGACATATGTAGAATAGAAGCGAAAACATTTATACTACCTGGTTGAGAGGCCCGTTGAAGGGCGACAAGGCCATGTTTGACAACTTCATCACAACCTTGCAATCCCTATAATTGACGGCGATGCTTCTTGGCCTTATCTATTTGTTTGAGAAGCGGAGCAAGTGCCTGATACTGTGTTCTCTCTGCACTATTCTCACAATGATGTTTTTTTATGGAAGAATTCATACGTCTTGGTGTTTAAGACTATGTGAAGGCGCTCGATATATTTCAACCGTAGGATATTAGAACCGAAACCGTCTTTAATGAGGTGGAATGGTTGGGGCCCAGTTCACATTCACATTTACATGGAGAAATGAGACCTATACATTTCGAAACTTTAGACTTTTCAGTTGGTTTGCTTCATTTCGCCTGCTCCGCATTTGCTTTCTTTTCTCTTGGGGAGGGGGGGGGGCATGATGAGGCATGCAAGAGTCGGTTGCAATGGAAGGGGCATGCCATTTCCAAGGTTGTGACCGCGAAATATTTCCAAGGGGAAACCATATAGGGGTGTTGGAACCCCACGGACATCCACGTACTAGACATGCAAGCTCATTTCAATGAGACGCCGAATCGCCTGCATCAAGGCGGAATTGACAAGAAACCATTTTCATCTACGAGTATAGGCAAGCAAGGTACCTATGGAAATCTGTAGCAAGCTACATGTAAATGATAGCATATCGAGGGCTTGAATTAGTTGTGCGTTGAAGCTGGATGTAGTACCTAGGTAGCATGGGTCTCACGATATCAGACACACTCGTCTTGACCTCGGGTCTACTAAGGTAAGTAGCAATCTTGAACCACGCCTCTAGTTGGACCACGATGAAAGTTGGGCTGAATGGTTCCAATTTCCGCCATCACTATACAGGAACGGGTATTCTGGCACAAAATTTTAACAGCCGCCCATAGGCAACACCTCAACAGAGACCGCATGAACCATGCGCCAGTAGAGTTCGATTGCGCTACTCAAACGGACGCTCCTCTTATCAGAGACGCCTAGGCCCCGCCCGCGGCGGAGTCGTTGTTGAACTCGTCAAAGCAGACACAGAGGGCGGCCATGAGGGCGAAGTCGACACCCGGCGCAACTGTGAGGCTGTACTCGTTCTGGCCCGTCATGAACGTGGTAAAGCTCTTGAACGCGGACTTGCGGGCGATGCGGGCCGCGACGGCGCCGCGGGTCTCGTCGATGATGTCAGCCGTCGCGTCGCGCCAGTTGCCCTTCATCACGAGCGTCTCCTCCTTGCCGCCAGCGGAGGTGAATGTGGCCGTTGCCTTGGAGCCGACGACTTTGGAAGGCTGTCAGTGCTTTTCTCACTCGGGTGGTATCAGGGGGGAGGCGTGATGAGTGATGAGTGATGAGTGATGGGTCGGTGGATGATAAAATCACTCATAGTTCGGGGCGGGGGGGTTACGCTCTCTGCAGCGCGGAAAACTAGACTCACACGTGAGCCCGCTCTTGACCTCGAAGAACTTGACGCCCTGGGGGTCGACGATCTTAAAGGTCCTGTGGACGAGATGCATCCACTCCTTCTTCATGTCGAACAGGTGGTTACCGGCCATGTCGTAGAAGGCCTTCTTGGTGGTGATCCAGCTGGGGTCGACCTTGAAGACGGGCTGTGGCGGCTGGCCGTTTTGCGGGTCGAGCTTGATGTCAAAGGCATCGCCGGTGATAGACATGACCTTCTCCTTGAGGATGAGCCTGGTCTCCTGGTTCGGGTTGACGTACTGGGTGCACCCGATGGGCGGGTTGAAGGGCTGTAGTTGGCTCATGCTGGCGACTCGGGGTCCTTGTTTTTCCTGAAGCCTGTCGAGTGTTGGCAATGAAGGCAACGGCTTGAGGGCTCTCAGCGAAGTGGAATTCGGACCGTTGAAAGGGGATGAAGCACAATGTATTATATTAGGATATTCTGGGTCGTAGCGCTCGAGGGTTGAGTGGGTAAGCTGACGCTCCCGAGGTCATTGCATGTTGGCAAGGTAAGGTGAGGTCAGCCGCAAGGGATCGAGCGGGCCAAGGGGGTGGATACCTAGGTAGCGGCCTAGTCACTGCACGTATTGGCCGTGTTGGGTCGGTTTGGGAGATAGATCCTCCATCCTGCTGGGGCTAAAATGAGCCTGAGTTCTACAGGTGGAAGCTGCGCCACAAACAACGACACTGCACTGGTGCAGCTGAGTTTGTCCTGCCCATAGCCCATTACCCAGACCCCTTAGCTGCGACGCTGACACCCCTAAAAAAAGATTTCCAAGTGGTGCAGAAGCAAGACACATGCAGCTGGGCGGCCTCAAGACCGTCCAGGTGTCTCGCATCACCCGGCTGTCAGTGTCGGCAACAAGACATGTTCAAAACAATACTTTTATTTAGGGAGCTCTAGGGTATTACTAGTTACTAGTACTTAAGTAGTCAATGGACACTGTAATCAATTGCGCGAGGCGAGCCTGCCGGGACCGGAACACCGAATGTATCCACGATCCTCGATACCGTTCCGCATCCCTCCCGTCAAGTCTCCCCGTTGAAAAGCCTGTCCCAGATTGTTGTATGGCGTCGAGGTGGATCTGATGCGAGCGTAGCACTGGAGTCGTGCGTTCCGTTGTAGAGGTTCAGGACCTCAGACCCGCCACATGTCTGTGTCGCGTCACCCACGCATCTCATGTTGCAAAGTGAAGCGTCCACTGCGGTTGCCTTCGACGACACCCGGTTGCCACACCAGCACTCGTCGCCGTACTCCAGCCCGGCATATAGGTAGCCGCTCAGGCCACAAATGTTGAAGCACGACTCGGCCCTCATGTCCGCCGTCGCTGTCCTGGACTTCTTGAGTGCGCGTGAGCCATCACTAGGCTCTGCATAACATCCGGCTGGTGTGTAGGTGATTTTGTTCTTCGGGGCCTTGGGGGGCGGCGGTGGAGGGAGGAAAAGCGAGAGCGTGCTGTCGCCGCCACAGATCTGCTGCGCATTGCCGGCACACACCATGTCGCACTGCGCATGATCGACGGGGAAAGCCCCATGATGTATCGAGTCACTGCACCAGCATTGCGAGCCATATTCCAGTCCGATGAACGTGTAGTTAGAGCATAGCCCTACGCATTTATCGATGGTCATCAGGAGGTCGTCTTCAAAGAAGAAATCTGGCAGGGCTCGACCTCTTGGCCCCTCGTTGTAGCATCCCACGGGAACGGCTGGAGGGAAGGCTGTAGGAGGCCCACAGTCCTCGGTGACTGTGGTATATTTAATCTTTGTGACAGTTGCCCATGCCGTTACCACGAGTACAGATGACGAGCTGAAGCTTGCTGTGGTCGTCAATGTTGCAGTGACTGTTGGAACAGGGATGGTTGGCAATGTCGGAATGGGTACAGAGGGCACCACCGTGGTTCCAGAAGGCACTGGTTGTGGCAATGTCGGAAGGGGTACAGATGGTATCACCGTGGTTCCAGAAGGCACTGGTTTTGGCAATGTCGGAAGGGGTATAGATGGTACCACCGTGGTTCCAGAGGGGACCGGTATTGGTAGTGTCGGATGGGGCACAGAGGGTACCACCGTTGTTCCAGAGGGGACCGGTATTGGTAGTGTCGGATGGGGCACAGTCGGCACTACTGTGGTTCCAGAAGGCACTGGTATTGGCAATGTCGGATGAGGTACCGTGGTTCCAGAGGGGACCGGTATTGTTATTGTTGGATGGGGCACCGTGGTTCCAGAAGGGACCGGTATTGGTAGTGTTGGATGGGGTATAGGGGGTACCACCGTGGTTCCAGAAGGCACCGGTTTTGGTAGTGTCGGATGGGGTATAGAGGGCACCGGGATGACAGTCGTGGAGATGCTTGTAGTCGGGATAGGCACAGGCAGCGGCAGCGGCAGCTTGTGGGTGCTTGTGCTTGTCGTCGTATCTGCAATAATTGGAATAAGAGCGTGGCTGAGGAGGATGAGCATGCCGCCCAGGCGAAAATTGCTGGGTGCCATGGTGGTACACGGAAAATTGCCGCGCAACAACGAAGAGTACAATGTGGTTCAAGTTGATTGATATTAGAGTCAATGGATGCTTCTATGCCGGTCTGGTTGCAGCTTCGGCGACGAGGAGGGCGGACAAGCAAAGACGAGGCTCGCAGGCGAAAAGGTGGGAAGAAGCATATGGTGATCTGAGTAATTTGTTTATGGCGAGAGCTTGGCCTGAGTCTACCGTTGTTGATTCCTGCTGGAGTTTGGGTCGCTCTTGCTGCCCTGTCGGACGGTTGGCCGCGCCGGAAAGTGCTGAGGACGATGCCAAACATCGTCCTCACCACTCGCGGGCAGAATGATTCCAACTTTCATGGAGCGCAGAATCGCGACATTCGGAACAGCAACAGTGACTTGTCGGTGGATGTCGAATAGACCGTGACAGTGCTTGTGTTGACGCCGCCCGGACAACAAGTCTGGCAGTCATCAACGCATGTCGGAGATATAATCATGTGAGGTCTGCGCCTCTCTGTCCGTCGAGTCCGAGGACTGCTGGTCCCACTCACTCCTCCCATGTTGAGGTGGTAAAGCAGGGCGCTCCAGCCGGCTCATCTCACTCATGAGACCTGGACGGACCGAATTCCCCGAGTGGTCGACCGGCGGGCCTGCCGTGTGACGCTCCCGCTTCGGTTGTCCGAACTTGGCTGGCCAGACGAGACCGAGGAAGCCACGCATCAGTGGAAGGCAGGCGCCCATGTAAACAACTACCAGCTCGATGCCCGACCATGCCCCCATACTTGCGTATTGCCATGTTGGGTCGATGATGTCACGGTTCTCGATGATGGAGATGAGGCGTGCTATGGCGGCAAAACAGCCACTTCCGAGAGCCTGTGTCAGTTTTGCGGCTTGCAGTGTGAAGCAGCAAAGGAGGAGTACTCACAGAGCCCCCAGACAAAACAAGGCCATGACAACAACTTTCTGTGTCTTCTTCATTTGTAGTCTTTGCACTTGGATTGCGGGGAGAACAACGACAGCGACGTCTTGTACAACGCTCACGATTGCACCCATTCCACTGGGGTACGTTTCCGGGATACAATACCCTGGCTTGGTGTCTTTATTCCAGGCGTACTGGACTGGACTGCAGGCAAAAATGGCGAACAGCTCCATAACAAGTCCAGAGGTGGCGATAAATCCCACCACCGTCCATGCTGCGATGTGAAAGCCCTCGGACGGGAAAATACCAAGGTATAGCAAAACAAGAGAGATCTTAATCAGAGCCATGAGGACAGGGTAAATCACCATCGTTATGAACATCGACTCTAGGACGTGAATTACTTGTCCATCCTGAAGATCCCACATGTGCTTACCCATGCCGCAATATGACGCTTCAACATGCATCTTGTGAGTGTGCGAACCTTAAATATGGGTTTTGGTGGATTATACTCACTATAAATCGAGATTCCAATTGTGATCAGGGCGAGGACGAAGCTAATGCCGACAGCCAAGTCGTCGAGTCCCCAAGCTCGGACAGCTCGTTTGCCAGTAAGTCGGATGACTGTCAGCATGGACACGAAAACAGCGCTGACAATGCCGGCTACAATCAACATCCTTGACGAGTCTTCGTGTGGTAGATCACATGCACTGGCTTGGGACTTGAAAAGACCTATAAGGTACCGTTGGTTCCAGTCCCAGATTCTCTCTCACGGGGCCACAACTGTAAATGACTTACGGAGCGTATCGCCCATGGTGCAATTAGAGTTCGAACAGCTGCTTGCTATGACCATGGTCTGGTGCTGACAACGGCAGGAGTCCGATGCGGACTCACAGCCGATCTGTGATGTAGCAACGTCAAGGCAATGTGCCTGACTGGAAGTTAGTATGCTGCACTATCGAATGTCTTCACTAATCTCCATGTTCTTGATCTTACTCCACATATGGTCAGTGTGTAGTTCGTAGCCTCTTGACCATGAACAGCAGCGTAAAAGCAAAACCAAAGGAGCCACAAACCCCACGTGACAACTGGAGTGGATGCTGCCATGTTGGTTGGAATTAGCGTTACAACTGTGATGATTTTGAACGTTGCAGAAAATACCGATTAAGCACCTGCTCGGTGGTATTTGCATACCTAAGTACGGTGGGCATTGACCACCAACTACGCGGATTTGCGAGGATGCTCCCCGTCGTAATCCGGTACCGAGAGATAATTTTTGTCGGTATATTGCGTATCCACAAGCGCCTGGGAAAACGCCTTATTCCCTCCGCGGTGCCCCCTTATTATCCTCTGAATCGAGTAGCTGACTCAATCAAGTCAGGCTCGGGACAAAACACTTTACGCTGGGCACTTTGACGGGAGATCTGCACACCAGACCCAGGATCTGGCCGTCGGGTGTTGGTGTGGCCCACTTCAACGTCCTTGTTGATTTCTGCGATCCCTTCCCCCGGAGATGACCTTTGTTTTGAGGTCCCCATCGATCGTGTCGTAGACTCTCGGCTGCGTGAGCCACGTCTCCACCACTCAGACAGGACTGTACAACAGCGCTTTGCAGCCTTGGTTGGGTCTTTGAGGGCTTGTGTGGATTACCTAGGCACCTAGTGTTGCACTCCACCGTCAGGGAAAAGCGAGAGTTGGCCCCCTAGATAAATTCACATGCTCACACATACCACCACAGATCACTGGTGAAAAACATTTCTAAATATATCCAAAAAAAAAAAATACTTTTAAAAATTAAGGTTCTAGAGGGCTTAGTTAAGGAACTAAGAACGAGGTGGGATGAGCTCTCAGTAACATGTATACCTTGAATAAAACTAGGGTGGTTTTGCTAATTGGGCTGACTCGGTTTTCTCTGACAGCGGAGCCTTCGGGCCCGAGCGGGAGCACCGGTGTCATAACCTTTGTTTTCCACTTGATGGGGCTATATTCTCCTTGACACCGGATAACAAACCCTGAGCGAATGGATAACCAATTGGTGGGCTACTACGGTAAAGAAGCTACCCGCTAGCGGGGGGAGTCGGAGCGCGGAATGTCGACACCTCGAACTTACTCGCCTACCCGCCTACCTACCCGCTTACTCAGCTACCAAATGCAACATTTGAATGATATCCAAACTCAATGGTAATACACCTCCACAGGGGTAATAAACGTTGTTTGAGCTTGTATCTTTTGCTATTGGTTGGCTGGACCCACCAGGTCACGCTTCGGCGAACTTTCTAGCAAAAGCGACTTTCGGTGGGGAGGTCACCAAACAACGTTTATTACCCCTGTGGAGGTGTAAAAGCTCCAAGCTTCCATCTCGAAATAATACTTTACTTGCGGGAGGGCTGATTGGTGGAATTGGGAAGAAGGTATTTAGAAATACTTACCTGTTTCAAAGATGGCTCTGACAACACTCGTCAGTTGGGTCTTTCTCCCCATGCACATACTCCGATTTGTATTGATCTGCAAACGAACTATGATGTCCGTTCAAGCTCGACGATCAGGTGATCATTGAACGGAGCACCATAAATATTTACCCAACGCAAGCACACTGGCAGTCTACCATAAGACCACCCATTCAGACCAGGCATAATTGACAAACTACCCAGCCGACATCATCGCTCATTCACATGGAACCTTACACTCTTTTCGTCTAGATGGGGAAAAGACATTTTCTGAGAAGTTTATTCCCTGATGTTACTTAAGGGAACGTGGGCATTCAAGCAATGCAAAGGCTGAGGGCAACGTGAAGCAGCCCGCTATTGATTTCAGAGATCGGCTCAATCCTGTCGGGCGTTTCATCCGAAGTTGTTGCAACTAGGGGCTAGAATTCAACGCTCGCGCACCTCACCTAAAAGATCCATTCACTACTGCATGGCTGCTTCATGTTCTGAGCGCCGATTGGCTTAGGACAGAGCGCGCAGGCTTTAACCTTTTCAGCTTGTATCAATCACGCGAAGCAACCCGAGGCAACCTTGGAAGGGCATACCCGCGAGCCCCCTTTTACGCCACATTCCTGGTCGTCGGAACATGGTGTTCACGCCTTATTATCTTGATCTCGCCCTCTCACGAAATTCCGTGCAGTGTGTTCGGGCAGCATCCATTAACGGCTCGGCAGCACACTGCGCTTTACCGCATTGGACAGCAACCACATTCATATCCTTCAAGATGCGTCCATCCATCAAAGGCGTTTTATTAGCAGTTACTGGCATAGCCTCGGGACAGTTTGTAGTTCCACCCACAGACCTCAAGACAGTAAACACGACGACTGGCATACAAGTCCGATTCAAGGAGGTCCCAAATGGGATCTGCGAAACCAATGCCAACGTCAAGAGCTTCGCCGGGTATGTGGATGTCAGTGAGACGCAGCACATGTACTTTTGGATGTTCGAGGCCAGAAATGGGAACCCAACTGCTGCACCGCTGACAGTCAGACTCGATGGGGGGCCGGGAGCGTCGTCGATGAACGGCCTGTTCAGTGAGATGGGCCCATGTTCTATCGATGCGGCGGGAAAGGTCATCAACAATCCACTGTCATTCACACAGAATAGTAATGTCGTCTTTATAGACCAGGTAATTTTTCATCCAAAGTTGAACCTTTTTCAATCTTGTTAAAATCTTGCGCAAAACCAGCTAATTCTTTTGTCAATTCAGCCGGCCACTGTGGGCTTCTCTTTCACCACCCTGACGAAGGCTTCTCAGAACCCCAACACCTTTGTCATCACACCCACGGACAGTTGCACCACCGCCGACCCAGGCTGTGGGACCTTCTCGTCTCCTGATCTCACATTGACATCAAACTCGACTGTGGATGCTGCAGCCGTATTCTACAAGACTATGCAGGGTTTCATGGGTGCGTTCCCTCAATACAGCGCCAACGGAGTCCACATAAATGGTCAGTCCTACGGCGGGCACTATGTCCCTGTCTTTGCAGATCATATCGTCCAACAGAACAAGCAGAACAACAAAGGCGCAATTCAGATCCCTCTTAAGTCCGTTACAGTAGAGGATGGCTTCTTCGATACACGCGTGCAGTTCGCAGCGTACTTCAACTACACCGTCACACCAGGCAATCCGTATGATCTGGCTCCATACAACGAAACAGCCCAGGCTCAACTATTCAACAATATCTGGGGCCCTAATGGATGCCAACAACAACAGGCAGCCTGCAACGCCGACCCACCACCGGCAAACATCAACGAGGTCTGCTCAGCAGCCGATGACTTTTGTGTGGCAAATGTTGAGCAGTTCTTCGACGTCAACGCACTGCGCTCAGAGGACGACATCCGCCAGCTGCTCCCAAGCCCCTTCCCACCCATGTTCTACGTCGCATACCTCAACCAGGCCTCAGTCCAAGCTGCCATCGGCGCGTCCACAAACTTTACTCCGGCCTCCGTCCAGGTCGGCACCGCCTTCGCCGGCACAGGCGACGACTCGCGGACGGGCAAGCTTGTCACGGACTCCACGTCGCGGCTCCTCAGCGAGGGTGTGACGGTGGCGTTTTTCACGGGCGATGCCGACTACGACAGCAACATGATTGGCGCTCAGATGGTGGCCAACAATGTTGCGGCGCAGACACCTGAGGTGGCGGCGGCGTGGGCGCAGGCCGGTTTTGTCAACATGTCCGCCTTGCTCGACGGGCAGATCCCCGGCCAGACGAGGCAGGCGGACCACTTCAGCTTCACGAGGGTGTTTTTCGCGGGACATTTCTCGGCGTTTAATGCGCCCGATGCGGCGTTGCTGATCCAGCAGCGTGCTACGGCCGGAACGGACATCGCGACGGGGATGACGCCTATGGTCAAAGGTGGGAACATGATCACGAAAGGTACGCCGACGAGTGAGTTCCGCGAGGGGCCCGGGACCATCCAAAATGTGGTCACGCCGCCGGGAGCTATTTACAACACACTGACGCACGTACCTGATTTACCTGTTGGGGCCCAGACTGCGGGCAAGGTTGTTGCTGGTGCGGGCGACGGTGGGTCTGTGGCCCTCCACCCGTTCGCAACTATGACGAGCAGGAAGATGAACAGGGTGCTGGCGGCGCAACGACAGCAGAAGAGGAGGAGAAGTTTGGAGGAAATTACCAGGCGAGCCCTTTAGAGTATCTAGTTGTCTTACATATCTCCGTAATATTCATTTCGCGATCTCATATATGTAAACCTAACAATGTAGATGTTGATCCTGCGACGACCCCGGAAGTCTCAGACTAAGGAAGTTAATGTGACAACCTTGGAAGACGCGTGCAGGGAGGACTGTGGTGTTTCGTCTCCATGAACGGCTCGCTTTAGCGTGCCTAAGTAGTTACCCAGGTAGTTAAGTAAAATTCGAGGCAGCTTTCCATACCGTCAACTTGAAAGACCAGTTAACGACGGGAACAGGGATTCTCTAACATGAGCCAAGTGACAGAATCCAAGATGCTAAGGAGTAGATGTATTCCAAGGTGAACATAAATCTAAGAATAAGAGGGGAAATTTGCTACCTAGGTAGGGACGTGAGGGCTACATTTACCACATTAATTGTATGTGTTCAGCCCATGTACGCCTCATCGCCTGATAAAACAACGTGAAGTGCCCTCATTTGGCTTTGGAATCAAAAGGATCATCGCCGCAGCTTCTTACACCAACGGGAGATGATTATACACCTTCCAATGAGGTGTCCAAGCGCTAACGGTAGCCCGTACCTGTACCACGTGAGAAGCTCCCTCAATCTGACCGCTGTTAAGACCTCGCCGTCACCACCTACGGTATCTTCCGGTGTTTTTGCTGTCGCCACAGGGTGGCCAGTGAACGCACCGACAGCTTCGAACACGATCCCGGCGGTCTGTTCGGGCCGGCTCAGAAACGGCGAGTGGCTCGACCGCAGCTCCCTATGTTGCACATGAGCGCCCATCTCCCTGGCCATGCCGACCTGCATACGCTGCGCCACCACGGGCTGGCCGCGATCCTCAATGGTACCTAGATACCACACGGGGACGTCCTGCCAGCCGGCGTATGCGAATTCGCCCCCCTCAAAGAGCGACTTGAGGCTCTGGTTGGTGAGCTGCGACACCCAATATTCTGCTTCGTCTGCGGGTACGTCGTGGTAGAAGAGCTCACGTGGAGGCGCAACGAGCTCGGCGTATCCGGTCGTGTTATTGATTCGCCAGAAAGGAGGCGGTTTTCCCATGAAAAGATCCATGAAGGCGAGTCCCGTGAAGGTAAAGCCGGAGGCGATAAGGACGAGGCCCACGACATGGCCTATCTGGTGGGACGAAGTCCCACTGCCCTCGGTGGCGTTGTCTACTGGCTTCATGAAACCTTTGATGGCGCTATTGCCCACCATGCCACCGTAAGAATGGGCGACGATGACGACATTGTGTCCTTGACTGGTTTCTTTGCATATAGCCTCGCGGACGACATCGATGTCATCTTTGAAAGTGGCGGCCGGATTGCCGGTGGTCGATGGTAACGTAACTGAGACGCATTCGAGTTTGTATCTGCCTTGCAGAATGTTGGTGACCTTGTCGAAACAGACGGGCTTATGCCACGCGCCTGGCACAAAGACTAGCGTCGGTGATGAGGTTGACATGGCCGACTGCTTGTACTAGTACTTCAAGTCTCCAGATGTCAGGGGCTCTTCTAAGGTTCAAGTATGTTTGACAGTACGGACACGGTATCACAGAAGCACCGGGAGCATGAAAATATTGAAGAAGGACAATTGTGTTCTAAAATAGCTTGAGAGTTACGCTGATGAGGAATCAATAGGGTCAGACAGGGCTGAGGTTGGTCCGAGAGGGAGAAGCTGAGAACGACCCGCGGCTTACATACCTAGGTATGTACCCACCTCATACTTCGTTACCCGTTCCGCTCCGCTCCGAGCATACCAGCCACACAGCGCCACTGTACATCAGATCCTGAAGTCCTGAATGGTCGGTGGTGCTGCGATAACAACACGGAACAAAGCTGACCCTGCTGTAACGTCAGATTTCTCCAGTCACGAGCAACACAAGCCTTCCGTCTCGCAATTGTTTTCTGCACGCTGTCTATGTCCCGTGCCAACACTCCGTTGGGCCCAGCAATAATGGCGATCCGGGAGTCAGATGCGGAGCATTTCGGACTGTCGAACCTGGTTTTGGTCGATCTACTGTTCACGCCTGTGGCGGCATCCATTTTTTTATGGTCAGATTGTCGATGGAATGCCAATCAATCCCGTTCACGCGGAAGGCCACTAGTTCGGGGGAAGACTTCTCAGTCGTGCAGCATGAGGAGCTCTGCGGCGGAGTCGTGGTGAGGACTCGTGCATTCTGCTCTGACCTCGACCCTTGTTCCTTGAGCCTTAATTCTCAAATTACCATATACGCCATATACGTTGTCAATTACTGAGAAACCTGTCATTTATGTGGCTGGCTGATAGAAAATATGGCAGGTAATACAAGCACATCAGAGCACCGAGCCTGGCACTACAATGCCGACCATCCTTCCATACTGCTACGGGTGCGCACGGAGACTGAGCCATATCACATTGCAATGGAATCTATTTACGTACCTCCAAGTGCGCTACTATCGCGCCGCCCATAGCACATTAGTTCACGAATCTGTTGAGCCTCCTTTTGTCTTTGGGGCCTAAATTGGATATATGTCATCCTCCTGCCAGCATCAGCATAGAAAACAAGTGGCGCTGGGATCCCTACGATGCAATGACGGAGCACCACATTTTCAAGTATGATTATGAGATTTCAAAAGAGGGCCTATTGAGTACTTTTGAATGCTCGTTTTGGTCTCCTTACTGAGCAGAAAATGACAACTATGATATTAGTTTCGTCGAACTGTGGAAGAAGGAAGCTGATGAGCCCTATGACGAAGACTTGCTGAACACTATGTGGGATCGGCTGGTATGCACACTGGCCATGATTCTTACATCTAGATGATGGGATTGAGTGGTCGCGGAAATCACCAGACGGGAACCTAATACGAACAGACAGGGGAGGCCGCCATCTTTCTTTGACTACTGATAAGTGTCGTTGAAGAATGATAGTGCAGCATCATATTAGTGTGGGTAATGCATGCTTGACTGTCTTCATACGGTGCGTGAAGCAGGGGTCACGTACCAAGAGAAATGAAGTAATAATTGCTTTGTCGTGGTGACTGAAGCCTTGAACACAACTTCCACCGCTTGCAATCAGGCACAATTGACACCGACCGAGAAACCATGCCCCGCGCCACCGGGCTATCCGGGACCGCAGAACGGCCGGCTGCCTTAAGGATTCATGTCCACGAGCTTGTTGGCCGGAAGTGACACCGCTAGGACCAACAGCTTCATTGTGTACTGGACAGGTCCCCGTCCCTTGGTCTACTTGTGTCGACGATTCTAGTGAGCGGCGCCGTCGGGAGCGATGCCTTCCAGCCTTGTCTGTGTGGCACGAGGCTGAGGCCACGTGCCCACGTACTGTATTCTCTTTGCACTGTTATTAGCAATTTACCTTTTTTTTTTAGGAAAAAAAGGCGCTCGGTCTTGAGAGCGTTTACTAATGTATGAAGGCGCCACATACATTTTCTATATATGGGGATTAAAAACGAAACCACCCACCTGTCCCCGTCTGCAGCGGACTCTGCGGAATAGCAGACGCTCTGACGCTACGAAGATATGCCCCATGAGTCTGGAGCGCCTGCGGACACTGGAAGCCTCGACACCGGAACTTGATATGCATGCCTGTTCGACGAATGGACCCCACCTAGGCGGTAATTGTCCTCAGTTGACGAGCTGTCTAGTTCAATGATCGGGGCTTGGAGGTATGCCACTGAAATGGGCCAAATTACGTTCAAACTATTCGCTAGCTACGGAGTACGCGACTCTGGGTTTTGATTTTGTTGTTATTTCTGTTGTAGTTCAACAGCCCGTCGATTCACCACTTCTTCTCCCGCGAACCTTCGGGTATTGACTTTGCTAAATACGGATCTTGTCTTTTTTCTTTTTTTTTTGTGTCGACCCGATCGGGACAACGAAGCACGCCATGATGGGCTAGTCGAAACAAGCTGCTACATGGCTCCCCTACAAGGCTTGACTCGTGAGCTAATAAAAGTGTAAACTGACTCGTGGCTTGAAAGCGCTAGCTTGAGGCAAGCCCTGCCACAGCAGCTTGAGTGCTCCGCCTCCCACATTTGCCCTCAGTGGCTTCAAACTAACGGGCGCCCTTAACGTCAGGTGTCCCTATGCAGCAACTCTGCCATTGCCTCCAAGGCCATTTACAGAAAGCCAGTGTATCCTCTACCAACCCCGGACTGTCAGATGAAGCTAGGCGAGATTCAAATGGGCTGCTAGCCTTGGCAACTGACATGCGAACCCCATCCTCGGGATAGTCACTTGTTCCGTATTTACACAATCGTGCATGGTCCACGCCTTGTCCCCATGTCGTTAGCTGTTTAATGTAGATGCGCGCGCGGTCCGCGGTTAGAAGTGTGGCATGCCCAGGCGCAAGCTCAGGGGCGCTGCAAGGCACCAGAGCCGCCAGAACTGCGAGGCCACCTACCTAGGTAGGTAATCAACTCTCGCCATTGAAGGCGTTAAAGATCTTACGGGAGATATAAAGTCAGCAAACATTGCCCTAGACCGGCAAACGATCTATTACCAACAGCATCACCACTCTTTTGAATATTGCAGCCAGACTCGTGCATCTCTTCACAATTTACAATCCAGCGTCCCTAAGAACAGCTTACGAAATGCTCGCCCAATCAACAACTCTTCTCCTGGCCCTTGGCGCCGTTGCCTCCGCACAGACGATGAAGGGCTTCCCGTCTAGCATCACTTGCTTGAAGGATGACGGCACCAATGGCACTGTCTCACAGGCCCAGATTGAGTCTGCCATCGTCGGCCCTCAGGGGGATCTCATAGAGCAGTCCGCTGCGAACGCCGCCTCGGGCCATTGTGTTACGCTTAGCATCCCTCTGTACAATGTGAGTTGCCACTTCAACGTGCCGCTTGTGTATGTGGTTACTAATCCATCACCCTCAAGATCGTTGCTGGAGACATTGCATCTGTCAGCTATGCTTACGATAATGCCACGGACACGTACAACTTCTGTCTCGCTCAGGGAGCTACCGACCCGAAACTCGGGTACCCGACCCGGTGCACTGAGAACTAGCCTGCTCAAGTGTGATCGCACACCTGGATAGTCAAGAGAGAACCTGCTTATACTATAGAGTCGCAACATTTGTACATATACCAAACATCATATAGACTGAGTACGAATTCAACATTTGCTCATTCACCTTGCTTCACGCAACCACATGTATGAGACCACTGTTTGCTACGGCCACCTTTGTCTGCTCACAGAATAGGAGCATCACACCACTAGAAAGACTAGCGAAACGTGCAAATGAACAAATAAATGAATACATACCATGATAGAGACCAAGGCGGAAGAGTCAAATAAGTTTTCTTCAAATGTTTCCTGCTTTTCCTGAAGACATGTGACCACTCTGTTAGGTGCCAACATTTGGACCCAACACCTACTCACATAGAGAACTTTGTGGTACCTAAGCTTTAAACAACGTACAAGTTACTTGTGGTAAACATTTATAGGAGAGATGATGTTGTAAAACGATGACGAACCAGCCAGTAATTTGAAAACGTTTTCCCAGACGATGCTGTCCTCATCTATCCCCAAGAGCGCCGGCGCTAATCTTCGGACGCGGTGGGCATGGGAATGAGCTTGCCGATGAGTCCACCGGAGTAGAAAGGCTGAAAGAAGCGAGCTTGGATCGCCTAATTCATGGCGGGCCCTGATGCCGATTTTGAAATCACCCCAGTAGCAGCAGTCTTCAAGACTTGGCTTTATTAATTACTTTCCAGCATGCAATCTCGCCAAGCACACTGATATTGTCAAACAGAATGGCGTAACCAAGCAGATAGGACGCCAAGGTGTGTCTTAAAGACCATAAACTGTCGGCACGGAAGTCCGGTACTCGACCTGGTAAGTCAACACATAATATGACTGTAGGAATTCTTTGAGCTCCTCTACAGAGCCGATACAATGTTAAAAGTCCTAGAATTACCAGGCACCACGTACATATCGAGGTAAATGCAGTGCATTTCCTAATACATGACTTCTCAGAAGGAATTTTGGGAAATCAGTGCATTCTACCGGTATCGTGGGGCCGTGCCTGTTCTCGCCGCTGTTATCGAGAAGTACCAAGGTAGGTAGTTGGAATGGCTATCAGCCCGTCGAGGTTGAAGCCATCGCGAGCCGCGAGCAACCTAGCCTAACGTCTTCAACCTAGATGCATTATTAGATTGCATATTCCAATGTTGTTAAATACGTGGTCTACATACAGAAGGCCAGTGATTTCATGTGTGGCTCCAAAGCAGGAGGCCAAGTCGAGGTGATCCGCTTTCCGGACCCTCATTCCATATCAATTGACGCGAGCAGATGCGGTTCGCTGAAGCACATGTTACTATCCATTCTTTGGACGGCACACTCGATCAGCGCGGCATCTTCGAGACTGAAGCGCCGCTCTGGTAAGTCGCTTTTCACGTAAAGCTGGGCTCCAGGGGTGCCACCACTTTCCAGATTTGGGCCGATAAAGATGCAATCATCCATTCCAGCATAATCCAGCCGAACTTGTGGAGGACCCGCGTTGTACCGAGGTTGGGATGGTAATTATGCGGGAGGTTCTGCACCCGCCTTTTAACCTATCGGATTCAAAGAAGATGGAGAGATATCAGCAATGCAGGGACCTGTTCAGCTCTTACAGCCACGTTTCGGGAATGACTTCCGAGGAAGGCCATAGTAAGCGTGGAGGCATTGTCCTGGTGCCAACCCCGCGGCAATCCGGCTGCTCCCGTCTAGCGAAGATCCGAAACATCTTGAATACAATGCCTGGTCTCCCGTGCCTAGCAGCAGTGAGACTTGTAGGCACTGATGGGGTTGCATGATTACATTCTAAAGGAGGATTCTCGGGCCCAGAGCGAGGCATTTGAGTCTTCAGGTGTGCCCTGACTGGGTCAGGTGCTGCCACATCTCACCCCCGAAGCCACCTGAGCATGCTTAAAGTCGAGGCTGAGCGCTAAATGTCCGACTCCGCATAGCCAATCAAGTAAAGGCCCATTAACCATTTGAATAATGTTGGGACGATCCGGGGCGATGCATCACGGGCCTTGGCGACCCGAGACCAGCATCGTTTCGTACTAATCGTATGGGGCCAAGAGATTCTCAAATCGCATTGCAGGATGAAGTCCAGACGAGATATCTGATGCCGGGACTTGTGTGAATGGATTATGGATTTTGGAGCACCTTCGTACACGCGTGTGGAATACAGTGAGTCGAGTTCTTTCAAAAACCCACGACGTGGCCCTCGAGATTGTCCATCCCACTTTCTCTCTGTGGTGTACCGGCCACTTCTCCTGTAAATATTTTTCAACTGCCTCTGTATATACTTGCATTCACATAGTTTCCAACATGCGCTCCTTTCTTATCATCTCGCTTGCCGCCCTGGCTGTTGCCAGCCCCTCCAACCCACAGGTAGAAGAGGGTAACAAGGCCCTCGCTGCCCTGAAGGAAAATAGCCCAGATGACGCCAACGCCATCCAGATGATCTCCGAAGACCAACGTCAGGACCAAGGCGTCGCACAGATTCTGTCCGAACTGGGACAAAACAGCCCAGATGTATGTATCACCAAGGCAGTGCACACGCAGGTCCCTTTCTATTCCGAACAGAGCGTGCTGACCTATGCCATTGCAGGACGCGGAAGCCGCGAAGGGTCTAGGGCGCCGTGACGATGATGTTGCTAGCATTCTTTCTGCGCTCCAATCAGAGAGCCCCGAGGTGAGTGTCGATGATTGTCGTGTTGATGACTGTCGTGTTGTTCCAGAATGGTTGACTGACTTTTGAACCTCAAAGGACGCCGCCGCGGCTCAGGACGTCGTCGAGCCGGACACGGAAAAGCGCGAGGAGGATGTTGCTTCAATCCTGGCAGCTCTCTCACAGGAGAGCCCGGATGATGCGGAGGCTGCCGCTGGTGCCATTTAGTTTGACGGATGGTGACAGAAAACGATATTCAGGTGTGTCGGGTCAAGCTGTGACCATTCAAATTGTCAATGATTTTTGATTGATCCTGGAGTCGACTTTGTAAGTCTCCATGAATTGTACAAAGCAGAGTCGGATAGATGTTTCCAAGGTTTCTCACTCGTATCTGGACCTCGACTACGAAGTAGCGCTGTGCATCATATAAAAGGGCGATCTTGTATGCAACACCAGAAACGTTTGAGCCGGAGTATTAATTACATTTCCAAGTTTCTACTCTGTCGGTCAACCACCCGCTGACAGACTCTAGTTTATCCTTTCTATATCGCATTCCCTCGGGATAGCCATGTCCTAGAAATACTCTGTCATCCATTCTGCAATCGTCTCCATAGTAGTACCATTGAACACAGTCGGACCATCCTTTGCAAGCAGCCTCACAACTATCGGCAGATTTCCACGCCTGCGCCCATAGTCCTATATCAAAGTGTCCCTTGGGCTGAGGGGCCGAGTCTGACGATATGGAATGCACTTGATATTGGCTGGAAAGATTTTCCCACCATCTCCTTCGCTTAGACAGGGATGGTGCAATCATTTGCGCGTAGAAGTCGCCATAATTGAGGGGGTTCTACTACATGTCAGCACACCTACGTGACCCGGAAGCGGAGATTCTTTCATAAACGTCACTTTAACTCACACTGAAGTCCCAGGATTGCTCTAGCTCATAATACCGAGCAATATCACGGCTGTGGGCGTGGTGCCATGTGAGAACCGGCTTACACCAATTCTCCCTGGAAAACTCGATCTTCCAATGAGGCAGTCCATTGAAGCCCCATGAGCCTCCATCAGTCCTGTCGTCCTTGTCGTCCCCAAACCAGACTCCATAGTCGTTGAGCACCTTGCCTAAAGCGTAGTCGCCGCAGCAAGCCTCTTCCACAAAGCCCTGGTACTTGGTGACTAGATCCCCGCCTCGACCGAAAGATTTCTCCCATGCACCACGGGAGAGCGCGAAACCAGAGCCACCGTGAGCGAAGGTTGTGCCCAGCTTCTCACCGAGCCCACCAATGTAGTGGCTCTGGCTGTGATCGAACTCGGATAGGTACAACAGGATGTTCGGCAGGAACAAGTAGGTGTCATCCTCTGTGTATATGTACCACTTTACATGCGGCCATTCCTTCCCGGCGTGCTGGATCATAGGGAGGAATTTGTACTTGTCCAGCCGCCAACCTCCTGGGGGACCTTCTTGGAAGTCGACGTCGCCGGGTAGGCCTGTCTGCTCAAGGTAGTAGTTGGTCTCATCCCAGTCTCGAATGGCGTGATACAGCTCGAAGGCTGGAGAGTCCTTCACGGATTTGGGCAACTGTGCCAGGATGTCGATGGCGTTGTGGGTGCCTATCTTAGCTGTTGCGTCTGAGTATATGACCGTACCATTAGGCTTGACACGGTTTGGTGCGAGAGTCGTAGAAAGATGGATGGGCAGTCTCCTCCAGAGCACTGTTGATCCCGTCTTTAGGATGAGCAGGACGTCGTCATCCGTCAAAGTTTTTGCGTCGTCACGGCCTGGACTCTGTGATTGTACAGCATCATCCAGGGTTGAGTGTGTAACGCCTTCATTGCTTCCGCCCTCAGCGGGCAGTGCTGCGCCATTCCACGATGGTACGTTAGATCTCGCGGAAGGGTCCATAAACCACCAGAGCAGACATATCGTAACAAGCGCAATAATAGGCGGCACCCTTCGATTATCTCTGTACACTTTGCTCATAGACATTGTAATCCTATTGTGATGAAGCAATGGCGGGAAAGGCGCTGGAGAAAGATGGGTGATGGTTTAGAGATCAGGAGGGTTCGCTTTGCCAACATCGACGTCGGCCCTGCGTTGCGCTTCGGTGCTGCCAATCTTGCCCTCCTACCTAGGCAGTTTTATATCGGGACATAGAGAGTAAAGCAACCCGGGAATAAGCAAAGCGACAAGGTTTCTTTGTACGAAGCACGAGAGGAGCTTTTCTACGAAGTAGCAGAAAAGTTGAGGCGTTGTTTTCCAGGGGGTCTCCCCCTGCAACCCCCCTTCCTCGCGTAGCTCACCCAACGCTACGTCCACTAGAGCCAGCGTCCACCTACCCAGCTTTGACCTCCACCTAGCATTTTCCGTTCACCCACCCAGTACCAACTTTTCTTAGCAAATCCCTTACATTTACAAGTACTTTCTGAGTCGGCACACGTAAAATCTTATACTGGGTGGGTGAATGGAAAATGCTAGGTAGGTGGAGGTCAAAGCTGGGTAGGTGGACGCTGGCTCCGTGTGACTTCTCTTTTTTTATTCGACTAACCCCTATACTACTTTTAGATCATGCCCAATCCATATACAAGAAAAATTTTGCCGATCGCTCTGTATAATGGAGAAAGATCCGCTCTTCGGTATTTTTAGGCTTCACATAAAGACTCTCATCGTTACGCTTACTACATAGTAAACAAAGGTGTGTTGACGGCCAAGTCTTGGGGGTGGTTTCCAAGTTGATCCAGGTGGGGCACCTGCGGGCAGCGGAGTCATCATAATGCCCGACGCACATGGCATGACTCAATCTTGGACTGACAAGTGGTTCGTAAAACAAGACACATACAGTTTTGGGCGGACAGATGACGACACGGGGCATAAGAGTCAGCGTTGAAGGGCCGATTTGTCTGTGCGACTGCGCGTGGGCGGTCAACTCAAAGTTGGGTCGAGGTCCGCCGTCGGGAACGATGCCTTCCAGCCTTGTCTGTGCGGTACGAGGCTCAGCCACGTGCCCACGTACTGTATTCTCTTTCCACTGTTATTGGCACTGTATTTCTTCAAACGCTGGGTCTTGAGCGTTTACCACTGCATGAAGGCGCCACGTACATTTTACATGTACGGGGATTAAAAAACGAAACCACTTGGGTCGAGGTCTTGCTATGTGGATCCCGTTCGAGTCACCGACCACCAGGAGATCGAGGATGAGGCAGGTTGCTGGCAAATTGGTTTGCACGCTTTGTGCACATCGCGTCCCAGCAGTGGAGAATCGGGGGTCATATGTAGTATTTACATAGTTGCGTGCGCGTCAGGAGTCGTCATCAGACAAACCCTTCTTCTGCCCAGGTGGTTTTGGTAAACGCAAGTGGGCAATCGATGGCATCGGGGTAGTCCATACTGAAGCTCAAGCCAAAGCTGACATTGAATGCAAGCTTCAGAGTCTCTGGATTGTTTCTTGTCATGGATACATACCAGCCTCACGTACATTGGGTTCGCCAGGTTCTCAACCTTGTCGGCTGCGTCGCTATTTTCCTCTTCTACCGCACCATGGCTCTCAACACCTACTACCCAGCAACAGTTGACCTTTTGATCAGTATTCTTCTCGCCGAATACTGCCGCTTCAACAATGAAGGACGACGGATAGCCTTTCGGCAAGCTGCCTGGCACCCGAAGGACAAGGAAGACGTCGAGAAGCATGCCCTCACTGCCTCGGCGCAGCGCGAGGCAGCAAGTAGTGAAGCTATTGCCGCCGTCGTCGGCTGGCGCGAGGACCCAGCGCTATGGACGCGCTGCCTTGAGAGCTACAAGAAGGCTGTCGGGTGCAAATTCCTACTCGCTGGAATCGACGGCCATGACCCGGACGATATGGAAATGGTCGATATTTTCAAGAAGGTGCGATAATCTCCCAAAACCGATAACCAGAGGCAACCAGGATGATCATCCATCAGAAGGTCTAAACAAAGCACACGGTGGTGGTGCTAAAATGTGGGCAACCAGGTCTATCCCACACAATCTTGCGTTGTCTATGTCGATGAGCCCCTTGGCGAGATCGCCAATGCCGTCCGGGCGTCGGAGAAGATGAGCAGGCGGAAGCTTGGCGACGCCATAGACGAAAATGGCATCAATGCTATTGCAATGGAGCAGTGTAAGCAGGTTGCGCGGCGTGTGCTGGAGCAACAGCTCGGTGGTCGATCGCTGAGCGGGCCGGAAGGCATGAAACAGCTGTTGGTATACCAGCGGCACATGCACAAGAAGGGCATTATGTTCACTGTGCTGGTGTTCTCCATCGTGCTGGCAGACATGCTGGGCGTTGAGTTCGTGTGGTCCTCTGATTCGGACACTATCGTGCTTCCAGAGTCGCTCGACGGAACCATTAGCACCGTTGCCGGCGATCATACGATTGGAGGCGCCAGCTCCGGGCTAGTCGTGCACAACGCTGCTGATACCGTAGTCACGAAGCTTGCTTCCACGATCTACTGGTGTGAGCTGTATCTCACACGGTCTATGCCCGGTTCAATGGCCGTTAGTGATTGCCAGAGCGGTCCCAGTGCAGTCTTCAGGTTGTCTGCGATCAGTCCGATCCTGATACGATGGTACAACCAGCGGGTATTTGGGAAGAAAATGGTGAGTTGGTCTCCCGGAGGACGGTCCGCGGATTCTAGTGTACCATGTCATTTAATGCACATGAACACCGAGGGACTGATTGATTCAAGATTGTCAACGAGGACCGTCATCTCACGACACTCTTACTCCTCAATGGCTGGCACGTCATATATGCTGGCGACATCATGACCGAGACAGAGAGCCCAGTGACGCTCGTGCGCTGGATACGCCAACAGGTACGTTGTCGTACAAGATCGAATACAAGATCGAGAACAGGCAGTGTCAAGACGCGTTGCACCCTCTAAAGTTCAAGTCTGCTTACTTCAGATTAAGGTCCGCTGGGCTCGAGCACAACATATCGAGTCGCTGCTTTTGCCGAGAGTCTACGCCAAGTCCCACCCGTTCCTCTTCATGTCCGCCCTCCGCCGCGAGCTGGCCCACCTCGTCGTCTTCGTCCAGTGCCTGCTGTACCTATTCACGGAGCACAACTTGCTGTACTTCAATATGCCAGACTTCGGCCTGCGCATCATCGGCATCGCTCTCTACAACTTCTTGCGCAACCCAGACCGCCAGTCCACTGCGGCCGTGGTGTGGATGATTCCGGGCCTGTTGTTTTACAATGTTCCCTTGCCCGCTGTGCAGGCATGGAGTTTGGTAACTCTCACAGCAGATACATGGGGAAACTGCATGCGGTCTAGCACCGAGCGTGCAAAGAAGGAGAGCACGAGGAAGAAGTGGTTCGAATCTGGATTCTTCGTGATCTGGATGGGGGTGGTCGGGGCCATGCTTGCGAAATGGGTGTCCACGCGAATGGCGTTGATGCCTGGGCAGATGCTTGTTGTCATGCTCTCAGCGGCTTCGCTTTCGACCTTCATTTTCTGGAGGATTACGATACAGTCCAATTAACCGATTTGTGAGGCTCTGGCAGCACAAATTGAGAGAGCTGTAATAGAACATAGACACTGGCAGGGGCCAGACCCACTGCCGCAGTCTTGACCCGGGGGCCCACGGCGACCATGAAGGTACGGGTTTACGTGAGTTTTGAATTGAGAAGGTATCTCACGATATTATGGAATGAGGGTACACTGCCATTGAGATTTAAGAAAACATAAACAGTATGCCATTGTACCCATTTGGTTTTCATCCATGTGACTAAGCATCATCGTCAACGACTGCGGTCTTGCGACATGTTCAGCTGCTCGGTTGCTATTGTTTATCAAGCTTGACCCGTTTCAAGGTTCCGTTGTACTTGGATTAAAATATTCCGCTTCTTATTTCACGGCAGACTCCCTTCATGGTTGTTGATAAGCACGCTAAGAAAACCACAAACGCGTGGGCCCCGGAACGTCCCTTCCACCCAGAGACTGAGCCCCCGAAGAAGAACGTGGTCGAGACAGCGCATAGCACACGTGCACGTGAGAACAAGGAGCTCCCAAGGGCCATCGCAGGCCGGAACGTGAGCACCGTAATGGTCATCTACCATTAACTTTCGCTGACATTAACTTATCACTGGCAGTGGGCGGCCTTGGTGTACCATTGATGCCAGTGCCTCTCTTATGTCCACCATCCTGCTCTTTGCTTTGGAGAACACCCTCGTGAGTCAGTCGGCTCCCATTCGGGACACCATGTACATTCTGACGAGATTTACAAGGTTGCAACTATCCAGCCGGTGCGTCCGTGCAGCTAGTCAGCCAGCCCAAGTAGCCTCCATGCCTTCAAATGTTTCGGATTGCAGCTCTGCTGCTTCCTCCCTACTATTCCTTAGGCTTCCATAGCTTCGAATCAACAACTTCTCGCGGGAATTTTGAGCCTCTTTTGCCGTACCGGCAATTCGTGAGCGCCGTCTCAAAGATTGAAGTCTGGAACGAACAAACTTGGACAGGTCACTGGGCGGAAAATTGCACATTTGAACATACTAGTTGTTGGCAGGACGGGTAGGCCAAGCCCATCACAGTGAAATAACAGCGCTTGAGAAACACGGTGCCTGATGCTCCTAGACCGAGGTGTCGTGCTCGTCGATGTATCCGTCCCTGATCCCCTGCGCGACAATCGGCCAAGCTGCAAGCGCATAATTGCTGTCTCGCGCCAGCACGTACGGCACACTAACGCCATTGTAACCCTTCGGACTCTCCACGTCGTTGAAGTAATTGTGCAAGAAGAAGGCATCGCTGAAATCATGAGCCCACCACTTCTTCTGGCTCACCTGGTGCCTCTCCCAGACCGCCATTGGATCCGCCTCGGTCAACGTTGCCCTGTCCGCCAAGGGGTCCAGCCCCCGGGGGGCAGCGGCGTCGCCCTCATGCCTTTCCAGCGCCATGTTGACGCTCTCCTGCGTCCAGGTAAACGGCGCAAACGCCCCGGGGTCCATGATGAGCACCTCCCGGGGCACCGCGGCCAGGGCCTGTGCGACCTCGGTGATGAGGTTGACGCTGTGCTCGACCCACTCCCCGGTGAACCTGCGCGGGGTCTCCCGCCTCATGACGCGCATGACGGCCGAGTCCTTGGCGGCGAGGAGAATGCCGTTCATGACGGTGGCGTCGGACTGGCGGCCCACGACGGCCTTGAAGCCGGACTCGAGGAGGGGGTCGGCGGACCTCAGCGTGAGGACATCCCAGTCCAGGTATATGCCGCCGTGGAGGGTGAGCTGGTCCAGGCGGACAAAGTCTGACTTGTGCTCGACCCGCTTGATTTCGAGGGCGTTTGCCTTGGTCCGGGCCGTGACTTTGTTCAGGCGGACGACGCGCGGGAAGGCTGTGAGGACTTTCCTGGTCCAGGATGAGCCATGTTGAGCTGCGTGGGTGATGTCGTCGGGGGTGTGGTCTGTATGGATGTATATCACGACCGGCCGGATGAAGACGTAGGCCGAGTACAGGGCGAGGAATGATTCGAACGAGAAGTGCAGGCCGCTGGACTCGTCCTTTTTGAGCTGGACGAAATGCACGATTGGCGGGATTGACGCTCCCTGGCCGGCATCTGGGCGACTGTGGGATCGAGACGGCGAGTTGGGCGACGTGGAATAGTGGTGGGTAAGGGTCATAAAACTGAGCAAGGAACCGAGTACGAAGCCGACGGCCACCGGGAGGACGAGATGGCCGGCGGGACGATGCCCGGGGAGAAGTCGGACCATGGCCCGGGAGGAGGACTACTAGTAACAGTGGCTTACCAGTCTGGGTGCCGGAAGTGGCTAGTCGAGGAAGCGAATAGGACGTGTGGGTGTGTGTGGTCTCATTTCGTGCAACTTGACGTGCATTGTTGTAGCATCGGTCTGGTCTGCGGTAATTAAAATCGACGCACAGATATCTACCCAGGCCTGTACTGTGGTATACAAGACGAGAACTCAATCTCTGTCAGGGCGTGGAATGATCGACGCCTGCAGGCGTGCCCGTTGGAGATGGGTCCTTGCGTACGATTCAGACACATGTGCACTCGGGTTTGAGGATTCGGGTCATTATTATAGTTTGACAGAAAACCAGGGCAGATTTTCCACTGGATGCAAGAAAAAAAAAAGGGTTGTTCGTCAAATTAGAAGTGCTTGCTGCCTTGCCCCCTGCTCTGCGAGGGTCATCGCGTACTACATAGTAGGACCTCGAAGAGAGGAGGCTATTTCATGGTTGGGTGGTGAATACTCCACTGCAGAGATACTCTGTGGGACGAGCAGAAGGTTCAATATTGGGCACCTTGGAATAGGGGTCTCCGGCAGGGGTGGGCCATCGGACGGACAGGCAGGGGTTTCCCTACCACCGAGGAGCTTTGGCCAATGAAAAGGTACGGGGTGACATGTAACCCTAACCCTGGTGTCCGCCGCGTCCCAGCACTCAGCCAGCAGCCCACGGTCGCAGCCGCAGCTCGGGCCTGCCGTTGACATTGGACTGGCCTCGCTTCGGTTGGATTGATTGTTTGGTACTCCGTACTCCGTACCAGCCCTGAGCATTGGGCGCATGCTTTGTCCAGTCTGCAGTGCAGTCGCCGGTTGTTTCTCTCCATGTCTCCATCTCGGACTGCAGATCCTTCTTCTCCCTCGTCTCCCCCTCCGCCTCGCTCTCAGCAGAGTCTGGAGACTGCGACAGTCACGAGCCGGCCGACCGGGCAACGACCACAATACACAAACAACAAGCTGCATGGGCATGCATGGTAGACCAACCCCGACCAAATACCCCAACACGCTTCCCGTCGAACCCGCCCCTGAATCGCGTCTCCCGAACCCGACCCAGCTCTCAGGGCCACCTCTCAGAGCCACTCAACACCAACAGTGCTGCCGTGAGCATCCTCGAGAGCATCCCAAGCACAACACAACATAACACAACAACACAACACAACCACACCACCTGCCGTGGCGCATGACCTGACCCCCTCCCCAGCCTGGTAGCCAAGGGAGGAGGCTGTCTCGGGCCCATGGACAAGACAGATACTGGCACTGGCACCGGCAAAATGGACTCTCCCGAGAGCACCATCGACCTTGCAGCTCGCAGGCCCCTGCCCGAATCGTCGTCCACCCCGACCCTCGACGTCGACAGCCTCGACCACCACCCTCGAGATATCTCGCGACCTTCGACCGCCTACCGAGTCCAAGACCAAGACCACGACCACGACCATGGAGGTGCCAACGACCAGCCCCGCGACAACGACAACAGCAACGAGCCCACGCCGGCGCCCCCAACGTCCTCCGCGCCACGCACCGTCCTGAGGGCCGATGATATCCCAAACCTCCGCCCTCCAAGCGGCTTGCGACACCAGGGCGACGCCCAGCATGCTGCCAGCGCGGGCGACTACAGCTTTGCCGAGGGCCACAGCGCCGTGCCCGAGTCCGAGCCCAACGATTCCTACATGGCCCATGTCAAGAGGCAGCTGCAGGACATCGAGTCCAGCTTCACCACCCCGATCTCTCCTCTTCCTACCCTCCACTCCCTCGGCCAGGACGACACCTTCGTATTCGACTCTCCCTCCAAACCTCCCAAGCCGCCCACCCCCGCCCCCGCCCACGCTCCTGCACCGACCCCCGCCTCCTCACAGCCGCCAGCTCCCGGGCACACGGCCGGAGACGACCCTTCCCTGCCCCACATTCCTCCGCCTGCCGGGTCCGACCACACAAGCCCCGAACCCAAGACAGGGCCAGCGGACCAGCTCCACGCCCCCGAGGGCACATCCGCCTTGGAAGCCTTCTCGTCCTCTCCCACTGGTGCCACCACCGCGCGGACAATCTCAAGAGCAATGTCAAGGATCAGCAATGCGCATACCAACAGCGGGACCGCCGATGATAACCAGCAACCCCACGAAGACGGCGACAGCATCGCGCACCATGACTCATTCGTGGACGATTCCTTCCTCCGACCAGCCAACACGTCAGGGACGTCGGGAGCTTCGGCGACCTCGGCGACTTCTTCGCAGCGGCACCCTGATGCCGACATACCAAAAATAAGCGTAGACGCGGGGAGCACACCCGGCCATGGACTCAAGAGCGGCAAGCGCCCAAAATACTTGCGGAGCCGCATGGCCAGTCATCATTCGTCCTCGTCCTCTTTCAACGACGACATCGAAAGCGACGTGACTGCCGGGACTGCGGGGGGTCTCGGTGCCGACTATGCTTTGCAGTCAGGCGGTGCGATACCGGCTTTGGGAACATCACGAAACAGCAGCATGAGCAACATTGTCACACGGCAGATAAGCATGGGAAGCATGGCCTCTGATTTCCGGGAGGACTCGACAGGGCGCATCGGTGTCGAGCCACTCGAGCCTCTGGATGAATACGAGGGCATGTCCTCCGATAACCCCAACGACGACAGGCTCAAGACACCCAAGGCCCCGAGGCAGCCCCTGACAGAGCCGACCGACACGGCTATCGCCCGGCACGTTCGAAACGTACAGGTTCCCGAATCCCTTGCGAGAGAATACCGGAGCAAGACCGGGTTTGTCACCCCCCGGAGGAAGCTGTCCGAGGTCAATCTCGGCGCGAGCGTGAGCACCACTCGCACCGCAAAGAACCTCACCCTGAAGGAACAGAGCAGCACCATAGAACGGCTGTCCAAGGAGAACTTTGACCTCAAGCTCAAGGTTATGTTCCTGAGCGACCGTCTCGACAAGCTCTCCGAAGAAGGTATTAAGGAGATGATCTCGGAGAACGTGGAGCTCAAGACCAGCGTGGCTGTCATGCAGCGCGACAACAAGGTCCTTCGCCGCCGTGTCAAGGAGCTCGAAAAGAAGCTCAAGGATGAGGATGAGCGACCCGACACCGCCAAGAGCGGTGGGTCCTCGGGCCCCGTGCCGGACGACTATGACGCCCACGCCAACGAAGAGGAGCTGATCTATCTCCGGGAGCGGGTTGACGAGTTCATCACTGAGATTGAGCGCCTCAAGCAGGAGAGCATGAACAAGGAGGCAGAGAAGAGGCGCATGGCCGAGGTGGTCAAGAACCTGCAGTCCGTTAATGAGAACCGCGTGGGCGAGTCCCTCGGCCAGCACGACGACGAGCTGGATGCGTGGAAGGAGTTGTACAACCAGGAAAGCGCGCGGCGAGAGCAGTCGGACGAGGAGAACAAGAGGATGGGCGAGGAGAACCGCACCCTGCGCGATGAGATCTTCCGGCTGAAGCAGGATTTGGCCAACAGCACCCACAACCTCGGGGGTCGGCCGTCGTCCCATGCCTCACAGCCGTCAGGAATGAGCCACACCACTAATATCTACAACATCACCAAGAAGAGCCGCCCCCAGTCACCTTCAAGGCCACAAACGCGCATGTCAGAGGCCGATACCATGAATGGGGCAATGAGCGTCAGCGTGTCCCTGGTGGAGGAACTCCGCCGAGAGAGCGAGCAGCTGCGGCATGAAAATACCGAGCTGAGGCGCGAGGTCGGCGCCCAGACGTCAATGCTGACATCAAGAAACCGCGAGAAGGAGAGGCTCTACCAGGAGATTGAGGATCTGAAGATGGCAGCTCGACGGGGCGGGCCCACGCCATCAACAATCGACAGTCTTCTCGACAGGTCGGCCTCCCGTGCCGGTGCCCACGACCGGCCGCAGTCCCGTGGGAGCGGCATGACTCGCACCGCAACGCTCGATGAAGACCCGGAGCGCGAGGAGCTTGAGAACAAGCTGGCCGAGTTCCGAGACAAGCTCAACGAGGCCAAGATGCAGAACCAGGATCTGCAACAGGAGCTTGGCAACTACATGCAGGAGTATGAGGCCGAACTGGAAGGCAGGAAGCAGGCCGAAACAGCAGCCCAGCAGCTGCAGGAAGAGCTCGAAGCCACCCAGAATGACCTGCTCACGTTGCAGCAGGAGCGTGACGATCTCCTGCAGGAGAACTCCGGGTTGGACCACGAGTTCAACGCGCTACGCGAGGAAGCACAGGACGAGATCGACCACCTCGAGAACGAGAACGAGCAGCGGGAGCAAGAGATCGCGCGACTCAGCCAAGAGCTTGCTGAGCGCAATGAGAATCAAGAGGCTCTGCAGGAAGAGATGCGCCGGCTGAGCGAGGACATGATACGCTTTGAGGACACCCAAGAAACGCAGCTCCAACGCATTCAGGAACTGGAGACAGAGCTGGCCGAGGCGAACAAGGAGCTCGAGGACCTCGAGGCCAAGCTTCTCGAAGCCAACGACAAGGCGCAGAGGCTGGGCATCCAGCTCGAGTCGACCCAGAGTGAGATCTCGTTCCTGCGAGAAGAGCAGGAGGGCGACAAGCTGCGCATCGGTGACTTGGTCGGCCAGTTGGCAAACACCGAGCTTGCGCTGCGCGAGGAGAAGGAACGGGTTAAGGAGCTCGAGAACCAACTCCAGTCGGAGCGACACCAGCGCGAGGTCGTGGCGAACCAGGAAAAGGCGGACGTGCAGCAGGTGGTCAACAATCTTAACAGGGAGTTGTCCACGTCCAAGGATGAAGCTAGGAAGCTGCGTAAGAGCCTTTCTAGGCAAGAGACCGAGACGACGGAGTGGAAGGCGAGGTTGGTGGAGCTCGAGAATAATCTGAGGGAGGCGCTCGGCGATCTCAATGGCACGAGATCCAGCTTCCTCCGGGTGAGTTTCTTTCGTCCTTGCTCATTTGTCAGACTCGTGCGTGGGGGTGTTGTTCTAACCGCGACCACAGGACATTACCAAGCTCCAAAATGACCTCGATACCACCTGCCGGGAGCTGGATGCCACCCGGGCCTCGCTCAACGAGAAGGATCATCTCATCAAGCAGCGTGACGAACTCCTCGAGAGCCACGCGCTCGAATCGCGTCGACTTGGCGACACCCTCGCCAAGGAACAGCAGGCGCACCGCAACACCAAGCACCAGTTCGAGACATACCAAAAAACACAGCAGCACGTCCACGGCACAATGTCCTCTGCCGAGCTCCGCATCAAGGAGCTGGAAGCCGCCAAGAGCCAAGACAAACAGCGGCTTACCAAGCTCGAGGCGTCGCTCAAGGAACAGCTCAACGAGCGGAACAGTCTTCTTCTGGTGCTGTGGACGCGCCTCTCAAGCCTCTGCGGGACTGACTGGGCGCACGACAACAGCCTCATCAGCGGCCGTGCCCTCCCATCTCTCGAATCGGTCGCGACCATGCTTCCCGGGTTCAGCAAGAACCTCCTGGCTGCTGTCAGGACCATCGAGTCGATCGTCAGCAAGTTCCAAGACCGGGTCAAGTCGGTTGAGCGGGAACTCTGGCGTGAGTACCAGCACCTCGAGGACAGCCTCGACAAGCGCATCAAGAAGCTCGATAAGATCGAGTCGATTGTCCGCAACGGAGTGGCCACGGGGTCTATCGGGATTGCGGGCCAGATGAGCCAGGCCCTCCTCGAGGAGCAGAAACAGCGCCTGGCGAAACTCGAGGATGCATATCGCCAGCTGAAGGTGGAGAACGCGACACTCCGCACGGCCAACGAGGTCCGCCACGCCATGCTCGACCCTCGGGCGGAGCGGGGCGACGATGACGATGGCAGCCCTAGCCCAAGCATCCCGACCGGGCCGACAGGACGGGCCAGATCGGGCGAGAGGGGCAGCGGGCGCAGCCGCCAGAGCTCGCGGCACGTCAGCGGTGGGGCGCCGACGACATCGAGCGGATCGTCAACGCACCGAGCAACGAGCCGAACCTCGACGATGACCCGGGAGACCATGACACGAGAGACCATGACGAGGGAAAAATCGAACGAGATCGCGGCCGCGCAGGACGTGATTAATGAGTACAGCCCACGCCACAGCAGCCTCAGCAACCACAGCAACCATAACAACAACAACAACAACAATAGTAATAACCACAACACGCGCGAGCTCGTATCAGCGGCGGGCTCCCGTGGGCCGCTGTCCCCAGGGGCGCCGTTCGACGTGGAGGTCAAGTGGATGCACCGCCTCAAGGACATGGAGAACAAGCTCAAGGCCGAGAGGGAGGGGCGGCGGCTCGACCGTAACGAGGCCAGCCGCAAGATCATCAGCCTCGAGGAGGTTGCCCTGCAGGCGCAGGCGCGGGAGGCCAAGATCGAGAGGAGGCGGCGGATGGAGGCCGCGCTGTCGCTGCAGGGCGGCGGTGACAAGAGCGGGAGGAGGAGCCCTAGCGCCGGCGGGCTTTAGGAGACGGGCCCCTGCGGGAGATGCCGACGTGCCTCGGGGGGCCCGGGTGGTGGAGGGGCCGATGCGGGCGGCGAGGGGGATTTCTCGCTTCTCCCTGAGCTGGACGGGGCTGTCTTTCTTTTGTGATCTCGGTCCTGTGGTGAAAAAGAAGGTGCCTTTTGTGAGGGCATATACAGCAGGGCAGAGCAGGGCAAGGCGTTGGGGTTGGAGGGTGCATTCAGGGTGCGACAGGACGGCAACGGGAAAGTTCAACAGGGGGGGGGGGGGTTGGTGTATGATACCTGAGACGAGGGCACCGAGAGGTCTCTTTTTTCTATTCCTTCTCGCTCGGTGCTATGGATACGCTTTTACATTACCTTGACATACTTTTCTTGGGGGGGGGGGGTTGGTTGCATGATACCGGTGCGCGCAGTTCATATACATGTATACCTACCTGGGTACGGAGCGTGCCTGTAAATAGCCTGACCTGAATTGTTGACGACGGACGATGTCCGACTTTGGTTTTCTGATAGCTTCGTTGGGTGGCTCGTTTCCTCAATGGATGTGATCTGAGCCTTTTGAGTTCCCTTTCCAGCGCCGTGAAATATACCGTACAAGACCTACAAATGTTGGACGGGCCAAACGATCGACATGTCATGCCTCTTGCATTGTTTGTCTCCACATCACATCACATCACATCGCATCTCAGTCAAGCAACACCCTGCCCGGCTCAACATCAACAGGCAGCTTCGACCACCTGCTCGCATACACCCTGCCCTCCTTGATCACCCCGAGCAGGTGCCTCTCGGGCCTCTCAAACACCGTGACGTCCTCGAGCGGGTTCGCGTTCAGCACCAGCAGGTCGGCAACAAACCCCTCGCGGACCTGGCCCAGCCTCGCCTCCTGGCCCAGGAGCCGCGCCGGGTTGACGGTCGCGTGCCTGAGCACCTCGGCGGCGGGCAGCACCCCCGCCCGCAGCCCAAACTCGCCCAGCTGCTCGGCGCCGAGGAACGAGAGCAGGTCGCTGCCGAGGCACATGCGGACGCCGGCCTCGTGCGCGAGCCCGACGGCCTCCAGCCCCCGCCCGAGCAGCCCGGCGTTCTTGGCCGCGCTGGCGCCCGGCAGGAAGCCGGCGTACCTGGGGTCGGCCATGGCGGCGTGCGCGACGAGCGTCGGGGTCAGGAAGACGCCGCCGTCGGCGAGCAGCCGCGCCGTCGCCGCGTCCAGCAGGTTGCCGTGCTCGATGCCCCTGGCGCCGGCCGCGACGGCCCGCCGGATCGCCGCCGGCGTGTAGGCGTGCGCCGTGGCGAAGGTCCCCGCGTCCGAGGCGGCTGCCGTTATCGCGCGCATCTCGTCGGCGGTGAACTGGATGCTCGAGAGGGGGTCCGTGGGCGAGGCCACGCCGCCGCCGGCCATGAACTTGAGGAAGTCTGCGCCGCCTTTGGGGGGGGGGTGGTGCGTGGTGTTAGCAAATGGTAGATGGGAGGAGGAGCAAGCAGCTGTGGGACTGGACTTTTGTGGAGGAAACGGGAATCACGTACGACGCAGCTGTGTCCTCGCCGCGGCCAGCACGCCCGGCACGCCGTCGACGACCATGCTCAGCCCGCCGTCCAGCTCGCCCCCTCCACCTCCGCCTCCACCGCAGCACCCCATGTCACCACCGCCGCTGCCGCCGCCCTCGTGTGCCCCACGCCGGTCCCCGTGCCCGCCGGTCTGGCTGATGGCGTGCCCCGAGATGAAGAGCCGCGGGCCGGGGAACACGCCCTCGCCGATGGCCTCCTTGAGCGCGAGGCCCGCGCCGCCGCAGTCCCGCGCCGACGTGAAGCCGCGCTCCAGCATGGCGCGGCACTGGTAGGGCTGCCGCAGGGCCGACACGGCGGCGGGCGTGGCCATGGCCGACTGCAGGTCGGGCGTCCCCGGCACCGAGGCGAGGTGCACGTGGGCGTCTATCAGGCCCGGCGTCAGGTACCTCCCTGCCGAGTTGATGTAGATTGCGTCGTCGCTGTTGGTGTTGGTGTTGGGCGATGACGACGATGGTGCCGGCGTGATGGACTTGATGAGGCCGTTTTCGATGCGCACTATCCGGCCCGGGCGGATCTCGCCGGCGTCGGTGTCGACCACGTCGATGTTCACGAAGACGTACGACTGCTGCCGCGGGAGCTTCCAGGGCTTGTAGACTTCTTCTGGGATGGGGGAGTCATGCCTTTGCCGTTGGGCATAAGTCTCCTGGCCGGTTCTTGTTCTCATGGCCGGGGATCTGACTGCGGTTGCTAAGGACGCGTATACAGACTCAACTATGCAATGTGGGTGACGCACAGCCTGAGATGATTTGAGGACAGAGGATGAAGCCAACAAACGACATGAGGTCTGTAAGGTCTGAAGTGTGAATCCCCCGCTCCGGCATGTATAAGTGCCGCCCCCGGCTCTCCACCCCGTTGATAAGCGGCCCGCTCCGTGCCGGGCCCATGTCTGCTCACGCTCCGGCCGGCCCCGCGACATTTGATATGCTCTGGTTGGCCTGCCAAGGCACGTATAATGACGGTATGTCTGAAGTGTTGAGAGGTTTCCTGGGTTCAGTTAGCCAGACCAACACTGGCATATGCAAGCCAGGATCCCGGTTCCGCGTCACATGATATCCCCTAGACAGCTTTGTATCGCAACTGTCTATGGAATTCCACTGCAGGCCTCCAAGCTCGACTGTCTGCTCCGCCATCAGCGGCGTGAGTGCTCTTTTTGGACGTGGTAATCCTACGAGCTGTTTCCAACCATGTGTTGGAGCTGTTAAGGTGTGTCTGCCAATGTCCATAGACTGTGTTTAGAGCGTTCTTCTTACATCTGCTGCTGTGTCTTGGGCGTGAATTGTACTTGACCAGAACTTACAATAGCCCAGAAGATGTTTGAGTATTAAATCTTGCATCCTGGAACGCAACGTTGGTGGCATCTGCCGCATACTTGCCGGCCACTGTGGCATGGTCACTATGATAAGGTGGGCTCACCTTTTAAATTCACCGCAATTCCCCGATGGTGAGCAAACTGTCCTTAGTCCGCTGCTTTCTGTCTAGCCAAAGCATGAATCTAGTTTGAGAGTGTTGATAGCGGATCATACAATGTATTTTGAACAGAAGCCACGCCTACACAGAGATGTTAATGTTGGACCATGCTTCGATCGTACTGAAGGGGAGCCTGTAGGTCGTATACTCTTTCTTAGCTATACCCGAGCCAGAGAGCGAGATGAAGGACTTCCGGCCAAGGCTCGGCAGGGCGATAGGCTTCAACCCAGCGGGGACTTGGTTCAACGCTTGTCTCAAGGTAAAGGACCATAGCTCAAGGGAACCTAACCCTGGCTGGTATGCAGTGGGTGCTGAACCGACTCGACGAAGCTGCCGTGTAGATGATCTCGCGTCACTAAGCATCCCCTTCGTGTTGTCACAAACACCCATACCTTTACTCAGCCCTAGATCGTGCCCTCGTTGGGTGAGACCAAATCAACAGTAGCTACACAAAAAGTATATGAGGTGAAAACCGTACAAAATTCGATGCTGCTGTGGAGCTCGGGCTTTCTTGCATCTTCCGGGCCATCAGCCCCCGACTGATGGTGAAGCCCTCCAGCCGTCGGGTAAAGGAACCCCTGGTGCTGCTGAGCTTGTCTCGCCTCTCTATGGCTGCTCAGGAGCTGTCTCGGTCGATCTAGTGTTGGCTGAAGTTCTCGTCGCGCCTCGACCTCCACGCCAACCTCGTGACCATGTTGCACTGTCGTGTCGGGTGAACAGGTCTATTCGGACCGGATTGAAAAGCACTGAGCCGGAGCCCCCTTCGCGTGTACGGTAAGTCCTCGAGTCGTGTAAAGCCCAGCCTCGAAGGCCGGCGTTTACCAAACACCGACTCGAACTGCCGCCAGCCAAGACCTCCGCTAAGAGAACAAGTGGCTCGGCCTCAGCGCAAAAATGACCTCCGCTGAGCAATGCCAATATCGGCGTGCGACCGTGTTCGGTCTCGCCGCCGATGCGTTGCAGACCGCATCCAGGCCACGCAACATGATTGGACTGTTGGTGTTATTCTCGACATCCCAGCGGTCCGGTAGCAGAATCCGGGGAAGCGTGATAGCCTTCTTGGTATGCGGGGGATACGCGGGGGTCACACGATCATCCTAATCACAACGACGCCTAGCTCTACCCTATCCAGCTCAACACCAAGACGCCAACCCGTTCGAGAACCTGAAGGTGGGTACTTGCGTCTCGGCCAGGCTTGGAAAGCTTCTCGAGGCTTGAGGACGCGCTCGTCCGAAACTCAAGACTCATTGGTAAGACGTCCCGACGACGAGGCACGTACTACAATGGTCTCTATCTAAGGTATTTCCTGTGAACGCTGCCATAGAGAAAAATGACGGCCGACGATCGTGCTCCAGCGTACGGCACAGCCCCTGACAGCGAGAAAGATGGAATCACAGGTGGTAACCATGTTGAACGTGTTGAGACGCTTGACCATGACATCTCCCTGGCCAAGGTGGAAGCGGACGCCAAGCTGGATGAGTTTGGCGCTCGCAGCAAGACGAACCCAGCAGAGATTGCCCTTGTGAAGAAGCTCGACCGCACCATCTTGGTAAGCCTCTAGAGGTTCGCACACGGGGCTGTGGTCGCTAACCTGCAAAACAAACAGCCTCAACTCTGGATCATGTACTTGTAAGCCGCCCGGAAACCATTCTTCGCAATCATGAGAAATTGACTGACCCGTTTCAGTTTCAACTTCCTCGATCGCAATGCCCTGGTCAATGCCAAACTCAATACTTTGGACGAGGACCTGGGTCTCAAAGGCACACAGTACAACACTTTGATCTCTATTCTGTTTGTGGGCTACATCGCAGGACAGATTCCATCGAACATGATTTTGAATCGAGTCAGGCCTTCGTGGTACATGGGCGGTGCGTCTGGCCGGCCCCCCTCACCGTCTACAAAAGCTAACTCGCAACAGGCTTCTGCATGGCCTGGTCAATAACGTGCCTCCTCACCTTCTTGGCGAAAGATTTTGGAAGCATGCTGGCGTGTCGCTTCATGCTCGGTGTGACTGAAGCTCCCGTGAGACATTCAACTACGAACGCGCAGGCAGGCAGAGACATCGTGACTAACAGGAAATCACAGTTCTACCCGGGCGCTCTCTTCCTCTTATCGCTTTTCTACACCAAGAAGGAAATTGCAACTAGAATGGCCATCTTCTACACTGGCAACATGATTGCCTCGAGCTTCGCCGGCCTTGTAGCTGCCGGTGTATTTGCTGGACTCGACGGTAAACATGGCCTTGCTGGGTGGCGATGGTGTGTTGATCTTTTCCCCCGATCTCATTTTCGTTCGTGACCACTGACACGTATGGTGCCCAGGCTCTTCATTATCCAGGGTGCCTTGTCGATCGGTGTCGCGGCTGCATCCTTCTTCCTGCTCCCGGACCATCCTCTGCAGACTCGCTGGCTCAGCGAGGCTGAAAGGCAGCTTGCCCACAGGCGCATCGCCGCGGACACCACGCAGCGCGAGGAAGCAACCAGTGTGTGGGTCGGTCTCCGTCAGGCCCTGGCTGACTGGCGCACCTGGGTATTCTGCCTGATGTACAACACGCACATCTCCTCTGTCAGCTTCCAGAGCTTCCTGCCGACCGTGGTCCGCACCCTCGGGTACAACACCACGACCACGCTCGCCCTTACCTGCCCACCATATCTCCTGGCTGCAGCCATGGCGGTCTTCATGTCTTACACGTCTGGGCGCTACAACGAGCGTACATGGCACATAACCATCTGTGCGTACTACCGTTCTCTATTCTAATCTCTTGGTGTTTTGGAATGTTTTGAGCCGCGTGATCTTGTGACCGTACCGGTTGACTGACACATACTGCTAGGCAAATGCATCATTATTGTGGGGTTCATCATCCCCGCCGTGACAACAAACACCGCCGCCCGCTTCGTCGCTATATTCATCTTCGTCACGTTCTCCTTCGGCATCAACAACATCATGCTCGGCTGGACCAGTGTGACCCTGGGCCAGACGCCCGAGAAGAAAGCAGTCGCGCTCGCCCTCTGTAACTCGCTCGGTAACATGTCGAGCATCTACACGCCGTACCTGTGGCCTAGCTCGGATAACCCGAGGTTCTTGAAGGCGTGGATGGCGAGCATCTCGTTCTCGGCGGTGGCGGTGATGGCGGTGTGGGTCATGAGACTCAGCCTGCAGCACAAGAACAGGAAGCTGAGGCAGACGGCCCCGGAGACCACAGTGTTCTATGTTTATTAGATGCTTGCATGTTATTCACTGCGGAAAGACAAGAACCCCAAAGTTCAGCGTAGATCTGGATATGTATGCGGAGTCGAATTAGACAGGCTTGGTATAATAGCTGCCATATATCATCATCGACTAACAGCTTCGTTTAGTTATCGTCGTAGTATTGATATCTTCTCCTTGACACTCTTCCGGGTCTGGTGTTTACTTGAACACGGCCCCCTTTCGCTCAAATCCCAACTCCGAGACACGTAGGAGATATCTTAGTTAAAGGCAAGCTCCTGGTGTGGCGCCGGTAATGCACTGTCCCTGGATCAGGCTCTCAGCACGTGAGGGGCCGGCTTTGTGACGCTTTTCTTGCGCCAACAGTTTCAAGAATCTGAACCTGAGCCACAGGACGACGAATGATGATGCTCATGGATCCTCGATATCATCTATACTTAAGAGCGGCTGGCAGGTCCGTGATGCAAAAGTTGAGCAACGCCCCCAAGACCATGACAATGAGCACACACGTCGTCCCCAAGATGCAAAACACAGTGAAGCCATATGAAGCATTTTGAAAGTGGGCGTCGTGCTGCAGTCGCTCCGTAGCTAGACCAACCTGCATCGCGGCCAACACCACCGCGACGAAGACGGTCGCAGCGGCCATCCACGCAAGGTTATCGCGATAAAAGCTGCTGTAGTTGTTCCAACCACGGTGGTATGACTGGAAAGGCGGGAGGCGAGTGAAGCGGCTGATGGTGTTGATCCGGGAGAGGCGCAGCTCGGCCCGTAGGAAGCGAGGGTGGACATCCTCCGGCTTGTGCCCATTGAGGATTGACCTAGCCTTGCTCTTCCATTCCGACCACTCGATGGGTGCACCATTGGCATTTCGCGGCAAGAGACGCTTCTCCTGTGCGAGGAAGAAGTCGGTTTCGGATGATATTATACAGGCATATGTATAGAGGAACCCTAGGGCGACCTTTCGAAGGCCGTCCCGGCATGATGGCGGCGGATGGCAAAGAGTGCCCCGACATGGCGCCGCGGGATGGTCTCGGCATGTACAACCATAAGCGCAGACTAAATTCTTTTGCCAAAACTCTGGGTCGAGTAAAAAGCTTGGTATGGGCTTGAGGAACAATTTCCCATCGTTTGCCCACATCAGGTGCAAGTCTATCCGGTCGACCAGGAGAATTTCCTGGCCGACAGCGACCTGGTAATGCAATTGCCTGGGGGCACGCTTTGCACCAGCGAACCACAGATGCTGCAGCATTGTGTTTAATCGTCCTAAAGACAGTTCATGGCAAAGAAATGTGGTTATGTCGTTACTTGGATCAGCGACACGGCGCTTTCCAGCTGCATCATAGTAATGGTACAATGCCGGTAAGAGATCTGTGGCATCATTGTCGGGTCCCAGCATCGCAGGCGTGAGCTATAAGGCGTTTACTAAGATATTCAACCTCATGACCGTACTGAACATGAATACTGACATGTATGGAATATCTCGATTGCTTAGCCATGCAAGCGGAAGTGTTTGGGGAAACGGCGCGTGTCAATCTAGCTGTTGTCGTTGATCAAGGCGAACAAGATGTGAGAATGTGTTCAGCTTTTTATGCAAGGTGACGCACGTGTCTGCATCTCTTTGGTTCGAAATAGCCGCCGGTCTGCCCCGGTTTGGTGCTGCCAGGCTCCCTTCCGGCCCCCACCTTGGGCGTGGAAAAACAAGATCACAGTGCCCAACTGTGAGGATGACCCCGCTTACTTCATAGCGCAGCTATGAAGTAGCTGAATGATCTTTTCCAACCCCTAGTGACTTTGCGACTGTTGTCCGCTAGTCCCGTGCAGATTAGGCCATAAGGGGTCTTCGTACAGTGCCTACGAAATACCTTCATGGGATGAATTCAGACATCTGTGTGTCCGTTCTGAACTAGAATCCCACTCTGGTGTTACAGTGGGACAAGCATACGTCTTGGGGGTATTCTTGTGTCAACATATTCCATCTTGAACCGCAATTCCGGGAAATCATGGTCTAATTAGTTTCAAAAGGTGTAGATCTTGAATAAATGTTGAGAAGCTTGGCTTCAGATAATTTATATCGTGACCCTAGTCCTGGTACACCTACAAGTATAGTTGTGACACCTCCACATGAGCAGGGCTTCTGTATTCTCGAAGTTGTGCGTCCCGGAGTGGCTGCGTGGCTAGCCTGTCCAGAAACTCTGCAGTTTCATTTCAATGGCCTGGAAACCTACGCAGGTAATGGTCCAATGTCGCTAAACGCAAAATTCTGCAATAAAACTACTGAGATTTCTCTGAATGGGCCAGTGTACCTAGCTAATGGTTGTGTAAATTTCATGGAGAATGAGACCTACCAATTTCTCGACTTCAAATAATACTGTGAAACGCAACAACATCCCTCCATCATACAGCCTGAATTCAACAAGCCACGTGTGTCTCGTCGAAAGCATGGTCGGCATCACTGGCAGTCCGCTAGCCCTTGTCGAATCTGCTTTCACGGTGCTCGACTTGCTCCACGTATTCATCACATTCCTTCTCGTCGAGGTCACCACGTGGCTCGTTCACCTGATCCTGAACACTATTACCAGTATCGTCCAAGCCGGTCTTTTCCCAGTAACGTTTCCTGTGTTTTCCGTAACAGTACCACGAACCCAGCGTTATGCATGTGAATATTGCGGTACCAACCGCGTATATCCATATGTACGGAGATAGAATACTCTCTCCTTCGCCTGGAGTCCAGTTGAAGAAAGTCATAGAAAATACAGTCTTGTATGCTTCGTCAGTAATCCGGGATCATCATGCTATAACTTCATCTGAATCATATCTGGAAATACTGACTGCAACAAATGTAGCTGGCAGGAATACCATTGTCAGAATGGCAATAGTCCTGACTCTCTCGCCATCCCGTCGGGTCGCTTCCGCTATATCTACGCTGGACTGAGATATCTTCCGATTGGTCAACGCGTCTTCCCGGCCGACCTTGTTCCAATCCTTTTGACAGACGGTGTCAGCTCGAAAGCACATTGTGAATTCTGTCATAGGTTTCTTACCAATTGAGCTGCAAGAGCCATACCCTCAATGATGGTTGCGCAGGCCCTGATGTGCTCGTCGTACTCGCCTCGCAATTCGAGCAGTCGATGATGGATGCGCCTGCCTGCATCTTCCAGCTTACGAGCTTCATCCAAGTTACGATAGGCTTGGGCCTCGACCTGGAATGCATCGTCTGCGAAGCTCGCATTGATGGGAGTTGTCTCGGTCGAATCGCCAGTTCCCTTCCCTGTATTGGGGCAGTAAAGCTTCATCTCTCGCAGGGAATCGGAGTGTGCGATCATCTTGTCAAGCTCCTGTCTCCAATTTTGCAGGCCGTTCCTCAGCCAGCTGATTTGAAGCCACTGTTGTACATACGCTTCTTGTTCACCCACCGCACCTGATATATCTTGGGGCCCAGCTGCTTGATTGTCTGCAACGTCGAGGGCTTCGACGCGGCACACCAATTTCTGTGTGAGTGGCCAAACTAAGTCAAAATGACGTTGGCGTTCGTACTCGGCAAAGATTGTCGGTAGGAGAAGTGGGTGATACACAGCGAAATGGCCATGTTCAAGCCGGTCAACAAATCTCTGCCGGGCTTTGTCACAGCATCCGTATAGAACAGCTCGAGTGGACATGGTGTCAAGGCAGTATGTGACAGAAAGCCCCAAGTCATTCGCCCACTCGGATGATGATCTACAATTGTAAACTATTCAATTTCTCGTCAGCAATATAAATCGGTTGTAGGTATTTGATAAGAGGAGTTGGGGTTTTATGTGAGAACGATGCGCCTGGAAACACTGACCGAGCTTCTGGCAGTCATATGAAGAGTCATTCACTCGAATAAACGTGAAGCTCGCAGTTGTGTTGCGGGTTATAGACCTGGCAATAGAACGATGAATTTTAAATGCTGGTATAATCCTGCGGAATATGTTGCTGGAGAAAGGCAGGCATTTCACTTCTGAGCCACGAATGCGCAAAGTTCGACGACCCCCAACTCTGTCGCATGGAACATTGAAGTCAATCATTGGGTTTTCAAGCCACAAGGACAACACTTTGGGTCATTAAACATACAGCAGCATAAGATCACACTGTCCGGGTTGATACGCGTTCGTATCCATCTGTTACATCTAGTCAATAATTCGTGAACGGTTACCTAGGGAGCTTTGAGATTGGAACAGCTTCGAACCTCATTAAGCCATTCCGTCCACTCGCCATCCGAAGTCAAGTTCTTGGATCTCCAGATAGCATGTCCCTTTACACAAAATGAGCCACGCGGTCAGTATCTCCGTGCTTTGCGAATGATTAAAGATCAAGGTTTTCTTTTAGCTTACATGCTCACTGATACGGCCGCTCAACACCTCACTCGGCAGTTGTCCAAAGTTGAAGAGTCTCAAATCTCGTTCTTCAAGGAGGGAGTCTTTTTCTGCCCAATCCATGATGGTTTTGGGTTTGTGTGTGTGTGTGTGTGTGTTTCGTGCACTTCAATCCAGGAGTTTTTGCCCGAGTGACAAAGTCTGCTGCAGAGATGGAGTCGATTGGATCCTGCTGGTATTATACCCCTCCAAAGCCTTCTCGATACGTTTTTAAAGTCCGATAGCCTCGGACCAACCGCCCCCTCTTGCACGAGGCACACTCGCTCTCAAAGGTGGAAGCACTGGGCATGTCGGCATGTCATACCCGTATTGCTTGCTACACGAACCCCTCCATTCTAGTAGTTCCGGGAGAAGGTCGACCAGTGTGACTTCGGGCGAGCACCCTAACTGCATAAGTGAGATAAGGCAGTCGAAGTGTAAGATGGCTAGCGTCGGAGGATCTGCACCACATGTAGATGCCTCACGCGCAGCCTGCTTCTCGGAAAAGTGCCCAGGTGTACCAGTGAGCCCGCCGAAACGCCCCATGCAATGTAACCCACGATTTCATTTATTACCCTGCTAGAAAAATCGGTGAGGGCAGCCAAGATCAATCAATCTGACACACCCTCAGAATCCCGCTAATCGCCCATCTCAAATGTGCCGCGCACCTCATGCGGCTCAACTGACGAAGACCGAAGGCATCAGGAGTTAAGTCTGCGCCGTTTCCTGACTAATAATAATATGTGTACGGATGCCTTTCCTCGCCGAGACACTTTCTGCGGCTGCGGTCTCATGCAGTCTTGGTGACGGCCAAATTCTGTGCCCCGAACTTATTCCACTTCATAAAATCGAGATCAAGCTTGTCCCTTCACAATGCCCAGGATCAGCCAGACTATCCCAATGCGTTACATTGAGTCCACTCTACTTGAGCAGGAGTTGAATCGGAGACTTGGCGCTGGCAATTGGGACTGCAGGGTGAGTTGATGAGTTTGTGCCTGACATCGTCATCGGACTAACAGTATTAGATATCAACTAATCAGATTGTTCTTTCCACCACAACTAGGAAGCTCCATAGTGTGAGTTATTCTTCAATCCTTAGGCTCTGTCTTTGTCAGATCCTACTGACCGAGCTGGTCCAGACGGAGATTGATCAGATCAGCAATGCTATGCAAATCCACTATGAGAGCAAAGAGGGCCGTTGATTGTATCATGGCTGATGCCTCGCTGTTGCAAAGACAATAGCTTTGCGGCTCTCCGCTTTGGTTTTGAGTCAAGGATGGACCAAGCGAGGGGACCTGTACACATACGGTCCCCCCGATACATCGGCCTGGACTGCAACTGCTCACATGTGCAAGTTACATTCGTATCACAGTACTGTGGATAGAGCAGTTTGTTTCACTCATTAAATTGACCTATACCACACTATTTGTGCAGCCTGTCATTTCTAATTCGTGGGAAGACTTCATCGTAGCCGACTCCTGGTGCGACTTGCTGGACCTTGGTGACTTTCAGAGTCATCCTCAATAGCCGAGTGCTTACGCTTCGCTTCCTTCAATCCAGCTTGAGGATCCTGAATCTCATGATCTTCAAAGGTCAGCTCAATGGCGGCTTCTCTATCTTGCAGCTCTGATGTGTCGCGCCGCAACGCATACCCTTTGTCCTTCTTGCATTTTAACATCATCGCCTTCAGTTGTTCGCTAACAGCCATGGCAGTGTCGCGACTATCTTTCTGCACCAGTAGCATATTGTTCTGAACGTAGTCAAGCACATCGGTCAAAAATTGACTGCACTGTGGTCGCTTCTTTAATCGTATGATCCACTAATATCCACGTTGTTAGGATTTGTTCCGTGGTATTTGAGGTATTGACTCACTGATTCTACCGATGGCTTTACTTTTGCTAGGGCTTTAGGTGCATGCTCCCTATGGAATACGGTAAAGAAATTGTCCAGGGAGAACTTTGGGCTACCAAGACCCCCATCTAGGTGTCTCTTGTCTTCGAATTTGGTAAGACCCTCGGAGCCAAGTAGAATCCATGTCACAAATTCCAACATGATGCAACCGAGGGACCACACGTCGAATGGGCGTGAAAGGGTCTCTTCAGTCTGTTGTTCCGGGGCTGAATATGTGTGAGTGACTCTGACCTCTTCCACATTAACCGCGGTTGTCCATGCCCGGTGAAAGGTAGTGAGTCCAAAGTCGGACAGCTTCAGTATTCCGAATCCTGGGTGGCTCTTGTCATCTTTAAACCACAGTATGTTTTCAGGTTTAATGTCGCCATGCCGTCCGTAATCTTTGCCTTCGTCGTCTTCAGGAACAAAATTGTATACCGTGGTGGATGGCTGTTGTGGAGTGTCTGGGGACAACGGAGAATTATGTACAGCCTCCACCTCTGATTGGGTTAGTTTCGTGTTATGGATTCCGTCCAAACCATGTGCGATCCCGCACAATTGCTCGGCAACCCAACAAATGTACGAGTGGCTCAGATCCGGTCGCGGGTGTTTCGTCCACAAATCGCGGAGGTTGCCACCATCTGCCCACCTAAAAAGCAAGTGAAACCGGTCTCGGCAATGGAAAGAGGTCAAGAGGCCAACTTCGAGATGAGGTCTGGCTTTCACCTTCAAAAGGGCCTTGACTTCAAGTCGAAAGTCTCGCTCCCTATGCTGAGGCAAGACAGTCTTGAGGGACTTCAAAGCAAATGATTGCTCAGCCTGTTGGGTTTCTCGTCAGAAACATGGCTCTCTCATGCAGCACTCCGCAGTGGAATACAACTTACACCGACATGCAATCGACTGTGAGCATTGTGAATCTTTACCCGGAATACATCCGAATGACCGCTGTAATGCTCTTCATATTCTGTCCACGGAAGGATGACGTCCTTTCCAAAGATATGGACAGGATGAGAATCTGCTGCTTGACGCCCTTTCCGAAATATTGGTGCTTGTACTTGCCACTGTGTGTGGTAAAATGTTTCTTTTTGGACATAAGTCCATTCAAAGAACCTCTCGATAATGATAGGTCCGTCATTTGTGCTTCTCGCGAGATAATCCCCTATATCCCCATCCGTGCTATTGTGAACGATACGGACTTTTGAAAGCGGGAGGTCGCCATCATCAATACCTTGCTCGACAAAATCCATAATTAGACGAGGCTCTTCCATGAGTAAAAGTATGGCGAATATTCTCCGAGTCGCACGGCGAGCATGTGATCGTTCCGTATGGCCGCATACGTGCTCCAGGATTTGGTCTTGATACTTGTCAAACGCACTTCCACTGTTTAAAAGGTAGTTTTGGACGTTCTCCGTAGTCATAATCTCAAACAGCTTATCATCCGGAAGGAAACTCTGGACGTCTCCATTACTTTTGCAAGCCTGCAACGCTCTTCGCAGAAGCTTGGGAAGGACTGCGCCCCGGGGAAATTGGTGATTGGGTGTGCTTAAGCCGCTGGTGTGTTCTCTTGTTGGCGTGGCAGATTGCATAGGCAGGTTATCCTGAGCCGTCTCCGATTGCGAATGGCCTGGGATGGACTATTACATCAGGAATTAGCTACCAATATCAGAATTAAATTGGGGCCCATGAGCCAGTGAGTGAGCTCCTAACCTGGCAAGAAAGTGGAGGCATCCTGAAGTCGGTCTCAGCAGTGGTTTAGAGATATTTGGTCAGAAGCACAAATACACTTTTGGGTAACAGGGAAGACGCTGGATGGAATTCGGAACATAACCTCAATGAACGTGAAAGCGAGTCGAGAAGCCATTGATTGACTGGCGATATACCTCAGCACCAATTTGAAGACCTTTAGTATTTTATCTATAGAGTAAGCAACAACCTCATGGCTGAATGCGGCCGTTCTAAAATATCTTGTCGGCGCAGCTTTCAGCGGCCAAAATTGGACACTCAGGGATTCAATGGAATGTGAGGAGTTGGACAGCCCCATGGCTCACCTTGCACAGAAGCCGAGAGGGGGGTCAGACGCAGGAACAACCAGAAGTCTTACAAAGCCTGCTGCGGTGTAGAAGATGCCGACCAAGAAGTCGCTGCTGCATTTCTGCCCAGGTGCTGGTGGAGACCTCCCTCTCAATGCGCTCCAGAGTGAACCAGGGCAAGGTGGATAACCAATGCTCAGGTGTTCTTCCAGGAGGGCTATCTCCCTTCAGTTCTGTCTACCCTCAGGATACATGAACACGAGGCAGAACGCACCATTTAATTGCGGAATCCATCGTCCTTGAAAGCACAATGGGTGCTACGCGGTATTACTCACACTCTGCAATCCTTTCTCTGCATGTACTGGCCCACACAACTGGTCTGGCATCCTCGGCGGCTCAAGGATCTCATTTGACTTCTGTCAGACCCCCCCCCTCTTGACCCTGCAGATCCGTCCCCGGCTGGTCGCGTAAGTCGCACCCGTCTCAGAAATGTACGGATCCCGGGGTCCGGCCCCATGAGGCAGCCATGTCCAGGCGCGCCGCAGAGCCTAAAGGCATGGAGGCCCCAGGGCTATCTGTTCCGGAGGTCTCAAGCGTTCTCTATTCTCGTACCCAATCTCCACTTCACTTTAGAAAGACAAAACAACAAGCCTCACCCAGGTTCTTGGAAGCCGTGAACCCGAAGAATGACCAGCAGGTGAGATCATGGTTTTCTCCACGGCGACGTAAATCGGTGCGTTTTCTGACTCGCAAATTTAGACGCAGCACTAGGAGTAAATGCCACCACACGAGCAGACGACAGTCGCCTCGGTGCGGTATCGGCATGAATGGAGAGGGACAAGTCATTCAACGACAATATATTAACCTGTCCAAACTCGAAAAACTGCTCAACACAAAATTCCAGGGAGAAGATTACAGAGTGTCGCTGCGGCAGGACAAATTCACTATATACGCCAGCAAACAGCTCACCACGAGGGATATCCTCAGCTGTGCATGATGTCAGCGAGATCGTGGGGATACTGGGGTGACGGGAAAGTCCGGCTGTGGTGTCCGCAGAATCGGTGGCGTTTATAAAGTATTGGCAGACCAACGGGTGTGCCACAGCAATGGGGTGTTGGCATAGGGGAAATACGGTTCTGGGTTTTTCTTGAATTCAATTATTCCCACTGTTCAAGCCCACCTGGGCATGCAAGCCCCCGCGTACGTCCCAGGCGTTGTTCTTCTACTCGGGCTTCCATGAAGCAAGCCGAAACCCGACCCAGTCGGTATAATTACCGCAACCCGAGGCAGCCCCGGTGTAGGATTCCTAATACAGACCCTCTAGAGAGTTACATGCAACGTCGATTGAACGCTGTGAACATGTGCAGGTGCGCCCGAGGCGCATGCATCGTTGGGGGCGGCTTGTTGCTTCTTGGCGAGTTTTGCCTGGCTCCTGAGGCCCCCATCTCGATCGCCCCAACTCCAGAACGTCAAGAAGAGGCACCGCCGAGGCCGAGTTCGAAGCTGTGCCCTCGGAGAAGTCCCGGCTGGCAAATTGTTACTGTGGCGGCTGACATGCAGCAATATGCAGAAACCGATTCGTAGCCCCCAATGATAGCCTACCTTCCCGAGGTCGCCTGGGCGGAAGAATCAATGTTGGACTCATGTGTAGTGGTTTCTGCTTGTGACATCTCGCATGCAGTCATCCGCCACGGCGGCCCGGTCTTTCAGCTTCTCTGTTTGGTCTCGTCCAGCCGACCAGGGAGGCACCCGCATCCAGCACCAGGGCTCTTTACGAATGCTCGTGGACATGCAGCATTTGTTCGAGCAAACCTGTCTGCTAAAAATGGGTTGGGAGACACTGACATTGGAAGTGCTGGAGCCTTCATCTGTAATCATTTATCGCTTCCAATGATGAAAGATGCAGCGGTCTGCTTGCCTCAATCGTGGCTCAACGCCCTGGTGTCATCTATCGCGTGTTATAAAGGGGGCAAAATTCATAAAGGAGGGCATGGTACCCTACACCTCATGAATGGGGCCAAGATATTAATGGGGGTCAGAGCCCAAAGGAGAAGGAGTCTCATGGGCGCAACCTCACCACACCATCAGAGAATTCCTGCTTACAGAGTTGCCAATGACCTTTGCAGCTACAGTCATCGTGTCAGTTGATCTGGACAGCGGTACATGCGCCTGATATCCACGGCGTGTCTAATAACGATAAATGGATGTATTCCAGCTAGAGGAGATTCAAATTCCTGGTTCCTTGGTAAGCACCAGGCTCTCGAGACTTGCAGAACGGTATCGCCGTATCGGGGTAATAAAAGGAAGCAGAAGGGAATGACTTCACAAAGAGGAAGCAAATGTCAGCTCAGAGATTGTAATCCGAGGGTTACACAGCTGCGCTATCTTCGAGAGTGCGCCGCCACCGGACAGGCCACATTTTCCACGGCAATCACCGGACCCTGGTCATCTTCAACTAGGCGCAGCGAGGCTGTGCCGCCCCTCACAATGCATCAATGTCACATTAATCATTTGATTAGGTATAGCTCCATGCTCTGCAGACGTGGTGTGCCCAACACCTTCCTCTGGTCACTGCTCTTGCCAGACCAAGGCCAATGAAGATAACAGTTCGCGGACAACTGTCTGCTTCAACCTGACAGGCGACCTCCACTACACGGGCCAACAGCTCTTCCAGAATTGACAGTCAAAGAGAGAGAAAAGGCGTCTATAAGCAAATAAGCAAGAGAGAGAGAGTAGGGTAGACTCAATACAGCAACTAGCTCGGCCCTGTCTTGACAAATGTTGGACTTGTGCTGAGGTTGTTGTGCGCCTCCTTAATGGAATCTGCAACCAAATCAAGCCTATGAGGTCTCCAAATGTTCAGACGGCACTATGAATGGCTCATCGCCCCTTTTATTCTAAAACCACCTCGTATTACCCGAGAATTGGCAGAAGCTCTGTTTGCCGACATCGTGTTTGCGCTAGCAGCAGGTAGAATGAGCAGACTGGATGTCATGTCAAAACAACGTCGTGAAATTTAAGTTTATAACTGTGAATATGTAGGGTAAATTTAAGATACACAACATTTTCCCAACGGCACACTGCATGCTGCATAGTAATTAAGTCCTCCATGGTCAAGTGGTTTCGTTTCTAATTCCCGTGCATATAAACGCATATGGCGCCCTCATACTTAGGTACATTGTCCATGAGTCAAACCCGTTGTCCACAATACGAAGTGTTCCGAGGTTTAGAAATATAACTCTGTAATGGCTCGCATAACAACGTATGCCCGCTGGGTTGTAAAACAGGAATTCTGGCAGTGAGCTGATGTTTTATCATATAGTGGCTCCGTGATGGACTCCAGCTCGGTAAGGCTTGACTGTCAAGAGTTGATATTATAAGTCGATGGGGCGCAAAGAAATTCGCCGTCTCGCGCTTAGACAGACGTCTTGAATGACAAATGAAGTCAGTGACACTGTAACTCACGTATAAGATTCAGGAATGGGTGGACTGCATCCCGCAAATGTTCTGCCAAATGAAAGCCCGTGCTCTCTTAGATCATGATAATCACGACAGGATGATTACTTTGAGTTCCCCACACTTGAGCTACTTTCAGCTGGTTGTCGGCAATCACTCGACGACGCTCAAGATGTCCTTCATCGGCTAAGAAATAATCGGTCCTAGTGTGGATTACATGTATTCTGTCATGAAGCAGCTCTGCGAAGTGACCTTCTTCGTCTCCTTCGAATGCTTTCAAGATCCACTTGGTGCGGCCCTCATCAGTCTTATCTCTAGCTGCTGGAAGGGTTGGTGATACCGAAAGTCTTGGACCTATGCTCCCAGCTTCCACTGGCAGGGAAGTGAAGGAATGGAAGGGCATTTCTCACGGCAGTCATAACTGGCTTTCGGCTGGTGTACTGCAGGTGGTCGATTGGAGTGTGCCGTCGAGCGACAGCCCAGGTGCCGATAAACAAATTTTAAAGTTTTTCTCGGCCGTGTATAGTCTTTTGTGGGACCCTGCACTACAATGGAACAGGACGTCAAACCTAATATTTAAGGAGAATATAGCCCGCAAGCAATTACCTTAATAGATAAGTGGATGGTACCTAGGTAGAACATGTTGAGAAAGTTCCGGCACGTAACACATTTGCTCCTGTTCACGACCGTTCACCCAGATGTTGTTATCACATTTTCCAAACTTTGACCAGTGAATCCAAAATTGATATATTGGGGCTCGGGCGTTGTTTTCAGCCGAAACGTCGGCAACACGCCCCGACATGGATCGCCCAAGATCCCAATAACTATGTTAGATGCGGTGACGTGCGGGGACCGGAAGGTTAATGATAACTCCACATTCTGGGCACCAGAAAGGTTTGCAAATAAATCATACACAGTAAGACAGTGATACAATCAATATTTAGTCAAGCCCCAGCCCGCACCAAGCCAATTCTGAATGCCGTTAAGAACCTGTCTTCAACCGCCCAGCACGAGCTCTTCCCGTTCATCTCCACACTGCATAATAGTCCCTTCAAAAGACGGTCACTCGATATTGAAACCATGGGACTGTTCAATAAAGCTGTCTGCCTTGCTGCAGGTTGCGTGTCATTTGAGCAGAACACGACTGACACGGGCCCAGGGCCAAAAATAACCTTTCCTACCGATGCCACCTGCGGCGAAGTCAACGTTTTCTACACGTGAGTCAATGCAAGATTCGGTCAACTATTCAATTGTCTAACGTAGAAAAAGAGGGCTCGCCGCATATCATCCACTTGTCATTTCTCGAGGATATGACCCAGTCCGACTTGACACTTCTCTGCGCAACGAAGCCGCAAATCTTGTCCAAGCCGGGTTCAATGTCTACAGTACGCCTTTCAAATTGAGGCTAGTGGATCCTTAACTAATAGTTGGAATGCAGTCTTGTTTCAGGGCCCAGAACAGCCAGCATCAGTCATCGCGGACCGGATGGAGGGCAGACACTGGGACGTGACAGGTGTTGGATGGGGCATTCGGGGCTCGACTGACATGGACCTCGTCAACCGATTTGAAGGTATTGTAATCAACATGAAACGGACAGTTTTAAAACCCCGGCTAATGCAAATTACCACCCAGAAAGCGTCAATCAGTATCGCGAAGCCGCGCCGCTAGCTCCCTTGGTGTTCAATTGGAGTCCCACGTCGCTGGCTGAATCAGTCATCAGGCATGTGCCTCTGCGTAAGGACTGTACTGGAAGGCCTGGAAAGTTACTGGTGCGTAACTATGGCGGTCTTTTGCGAGACCGCTTAGGTGATGTCCCAGGGCTGACCACTGAAACGGCAGGCTTACGAAGAAATATGCCCACCCCAGCTCTGCGAGAAGGTCACGGTGGTTAAGTCGGGAAACCTCAACGAGCTTCTTGAGGGGATCTCAGTACCAACAAAAGACGACCCAGCGTCCTCCCCAGACCAGATACGGATACTTGTGGAGTCGGAACTCTGAGCATGCGGACACTGGGCACCCGATCTCACAGGTTGCCGCCTAGATTTCGATGTACAGGTAATCGACCACATCATTGGCGCCACGTGGATGAAAATGTTTAAAAGCTTCCATGTAACAGCAAGTTATCCCAATACTACCTTAATAATACCGCATTAGAATAGGTCACATACTCATACTCAGTGTAAGGAACTAGTCTAAAGCACATAAAGACATACACGGCATCGATAGCGATAGAGAGCCAGGTTACATGATCTCTGACAATAATAAAAACCTCTGGCCGAAACTCGTCTCCGGAATCCGGGGACGTAATGAAATCCTGCAGGCAATGGCGGGTTTTGTCACATCCCCGATAGATTCTCTTCGTTCAGGTTCTGCCATTAGTATCTTCTGTAATTACAGTGTACTTTTGATGAGCCCTACGCGTGCGAACGCAGGTTGATTTAGGGCTCCAGCAGCGAGTACACATTAACGACTAGAGCGACTATCGACAGCAGCGACAGAACCACCGGCGTGGCCATAAAAAACATATTACTAATATTTGATAGCCTCTGCATCAGTCTGGCGACCCCCTTGATTTCCATTTACCATTGAGATAAGGTAGTTACTACACCGAGTTATCGTCACTAGCAAGTGGCTATATGTAGCTAGACTGTGTGGATGGGGACGAGCGGACCATTATATCTCTAAACAAAAAGAAAGACTTCCGGACCTCGGAGTACACCATTTCATGATACTCCTAGTACATCATTCAGTGGCCTTCCCACTTGGTGGCTGTCCGAAGGCGAAATCAAGAATTTTCGATGCTGCCTCAATGGGCTTCAAGTTGGTCGTGTCGATGGAGAAACCAAGGCAACATTCAAAGACAAAGAGCTCGCATCTCGATCGAAGGCCTTCCAGCACCAGAGGATCGGTGAGTTTCGTAGTGCCACTTCTAAGCCGTTCCTGTGTTGCTACTCTTCCAAGGTTCGAATCGACATCGCAAGTCAGGTAGATAGGAACGAACGGTCGTCCAGCCACCTCGGCTGCGGCCAGGTACTCCCCAGCCACTTTGCGACCCAGCTCGTCGCTCGATTGGAAGTCTGGACTCAGTTAGGTCTGTGTGCATGTCATCCACCTCCATGGAGCCCGAGACGGCATAGGATATCATCTCACCAGTGAAAATGAGGAGGTCAGTTAGTGTGCCCGGGTTGGAAGCGTATTTATCAAATGCCAATTGACGCTGTTTTTGACGCTCGCTGTTGTAATCTGGATGGCTTCGCGGCAGGCGGGCCTCGACCGGATCAATGAGCTTGTGATTGTCGATCAAGATTGAGTTTGCACGCAATGAGGCCATTGCTTTGGCGACTGTATATTTTCCAGTCCCCGGAAAGCCATTGATCCATATCAAGGGCGCAGCCTTTGCCGCTGCCATGACCTCCAAAGACCAGGTGCTCTCAAGATTACAAGTTGTAAGTGGTGGCGACAGTGGAATGCTTATCCAGATTGCGACTCGCAGATCATCTTTATGGAAAGTGTTGAAAAGGTCAAAATCGGAAAACCTATGTCGGCTGGGATGGTGGCCTTATGAGTAAAGTGCTGGGTGCTTGTTTGCTCATCTACGGGCCTTACCTAGGCACCAACAAAAGATGAGTCATCATCAAATGACGGAGACAGCAATTTGGCTCACATTGAACAAAACGAAAATCTTCCCTTGCATATGTACTATTCGACAATACTGTAAACACAAATATCTAGTTCAGGGTGCATAATGGTCAAGGAAAAATTGAAATAATCACAGTAGGCTTGGAAAAATTGCGATTCAAAAGTAGGAGATCTTATACAACAATGGTCAAAAAGACACAATGGAGATGCCCTCGTCTCGACTCATGGCTTACAGCGACCCCATGAAGCGGGGATACAAGCAGCAGGTCCGGACGGTATGCTGAAGACCTATCCACGCTAGGAATCTTTCCAATCCTAGTCCATATCCCCCATGTGGTGATGTGCCATATCTGATGTCAATTAGCATGCCATTCATTCAAGTCATCAGTCGAGATCTTGACTCACTTTCTCTGATAGATGTACCAGTAATACTTTTCAGGCGGTAAGCCATGCCTCTTGAATGCATCAAGAAGCTCATCGTGGTCCTCGATTCTCATCGACGCACCAGCAACCTCTCCAACACCGGGGAACAGCAGATCGACGCTCTCTGTCAATCTTGGATCTCCAGAGTCACGCTTCATGTAGAAGGCTTTGAGATCCGCAGGGAAGTGGGTCAGGAACATTGGCTGGCCGATCCTGTCAGTCATCCTGTGTTCTGCTGCTTCAGCGATGTCATCGCCGAAGGTATGCTGAGCATCATGTTCATTTAAGACAGGCGGGTCCTGTGAGATTAACCAGTCGATTGCCTCAGTGTACCCCATTCGCAGGAATGGCCGGGATAGCTTTCTGAACTCTGGATTCAAATCATGGATACGATTTGAGACGGTTGGACCTGAGGTCAAAATATCGACGACGCAACAGACGATTTCTTCGACATGGGTGAGAAGGTCTTCGAAGGTAATGAAGTCCATCTCCGCCTCAACGTGCGTGTACTCGGAGAGATGGCGGCGAGTCAAGCTCTTTTCTGCCCGAAATGATTTCTCGATGCAGTAGACGTTCCCAAGACTTGGGACGACAGTCTCAAGGTAAAGTTGAGAGGTTTGAGTAAGATACGCCTGCTCATCATAGTACGAAATGCTAAAGAGACTTGAACCGCCCTCCGTCTGGGACTGAACAAGTGCTGGCGGAGAGACCTTGGTGAAGTTCCTTGTTGGATAGGCCTGGATAAAAGCCAACTCCACCGCTGATCTGAGCGTAATGAGAGAGGATGCCTTTTCCCCTCGGAGTACCAAGTGCCTGTTGTCCAGCATAGCTTGGTCCCATTGGTTTTGGGATGAGGAGACTCGATTCAATATGGACTCGCGATCAGCCAGCGCATGACCAATTACTTCGTAGTAGTCGACGTGCAATTCTTGGTTAGTTATCCGGGGCGAACCTTCCATGCAGCACCTTTCTTAATTCTCCGAAAAGTGTCAAAGATGCTCCTCTCGCCATCAAGACAGCATCACGGGTTTGTGTCAGATTGCCTGAGATCAACATGCATTGGAGAAAACCGTAACCATCGGTCAAGGTGATGAACGTAGCATGCTTCTGGATGCTCAGGCGTTGTATGCGGCAAGATATTTTGATTCGAAGTCCTCTAGAATCATTCTCTCCAAGAGATAAATTCTTCTGTGCCGTTGTGATGTTGACCGCTGAAGGAAGGTTTGTGTTGTTGACGAGCAAAATATCCTTCGTCTGCTCAAGCCTTTGGAGTCGGCGTTCATGTTGCTCGTTATCCAAACCATTCTGGAAAGCCACTTTTTTTTTGTGCGCATTGAGTGCTGTCCTACAATGAGACGATGTGAAAGCAACATTTCCGTGTCACGACCATTTGAACTCTTCCAAAGGGTCTTTCATCTTCTCGGAATCAACACGGGCTGTCGGTCCACAAGGCCACTACATGCAAGATGTCGACCACCTAGTCCGCTTGGGAATAACATTGCTGATATCCACAAGCAACTGAGAGCAGCCCAGGAGACAACGCTACCGAACAACCCCTTTATATATTCCTTGATCTTGGCAATTCATGCAGCAGACAATTCGTCTACGAGAGCTTGTGCAAATGTCGTGATTCGGCCGGGTTGAGAATTGTCCGACCAGTTGACCTGACCTTCGAGGACGTCTGGAGCGTGAAGATGAGGAACGAGTTGAGAGCACAAATCCCAATCTACCCAAACAACACCAAACGCCAACGACCCGGTCCTCTGGCAAAGAACAAGCTCCTTTCGACAGAAGAGACCGGCATCGGGGGCGCCATCCTCGCCACCCTCTGTGTGACAGTATCATCGACGACTTCATGGTCTAGCTACTCTGCGACAACCCCGAGAACTGCCCGGCCTCGGCGGACCTGGAGAGGCTGGTGATGTGGCTTGTAGATTCCAACTTGGAAGAAAATGGGACAAGCCCGTGGGCGAGCCTGAGCACTTGAGGTTCTCAAGACACCTTAGACGCGCAGCATCTTGTGGTTTTGGGTTCTGTATCCATGACATTTTCTCACTTTGGTTTTAGTCTTCTCTCCATGGGTTCCATTTCGGCCATTTTTCAGTGTTCGTGCATCTCCGATCCTGACGCTCAACGTTTTGGTAGGTAGTAGTCTAACGGACAATAGAATCCTGATGTCTTCAGCTACTCTTGGCTCTCAAGTGCTCACGATCCCGCACATGAATTGACCTTGAGCCACTGTGAACTTCGGAGCTTTTGCTTGCTAGCCACCACATCATTGTGTTGTTACCACGCGTTCCCCGTTCCAATCAGAGGTGTCCCATGTCTATGCATGGTCTCACTGGGCCGAATCTCGAGCACCTGAAGTAACTGTACCATGGGAGAATCGCCTGAAAGAAAATGAACAGCAAAATATCCTCGAAGCCAGTTGAACGGACTGCTGACAATGGCATAGCAGCCCACATCAAAACCGGCGCCAAGCACACAATGTCCCCCTTAACCCCTTGTGTCGCCAAGCTCTTCAGGGGCGAGGAGGGACGAGGCTCCTTGCGATCAAGGAGATCTAGCGCGCGATGAGGCGAATCTTCTAGTCATCGACGCAGGCGCTGCGGCAGTATGCGTCTGAGCCGGTTGGGCTGGCGCGTGTTGCCCCGGCTGGTGGTGGCACGCCGCCTGGGTACGCGTCGCCTGGGGCCACGGTTGTGCCCACGCAGGCGTACGGCTGTCACGGGGGATCGAGCGCATCTTTTCTGGCCCACGGATGCCTGACCCGTCGCGGTGGACGGGGGGGCGAATGGGGAGGCGAGGCGAGGCAGGCTTCTATTCCCGCGGGGAGGCGGGGCACGGGGCGGCTCGCGCCGTAAGCTTGTTCTTCTGGGCAGGTAGGTGGTGATGCCGGCAGATTGTCCCAACCGTGCTCCCAGAGCCGGAGACATCCAGCCTCGAGGGTAAGTATGCGAGACGACGGCATGGAACCCACCCGGGACATGATTGATGGATTGATGCTGGCTGCCCAAGAACAAACGCTGTCTGATCGAGTGCCGCGCACAGAGCCCTCCCCCAGGCCTCGATCAACGAACGTTGAAGTCGACCGCCGGGTACGTGCAGCTGCCGACCGATGTCGATCACCAACGGCGGTGTAATACAACGGTTATAATGAGACAGCCCTATCTATAGTCCGCCGTCGTCGGCTCCACACATGGCCTCCCTTGCCTCCATATCAGGCATATGCGGATTGACAGGTTGTGGGCTCTAAACGTGGCTGTCTAGTTGACGCCCACGTGATGCGGAGAAACCTGCGGAGCGTTGCTGATCATGTACACTCGGCTCGAGTAGGATTTGTTGGCCTCGAGCTTATTCCTGGCCCCATGTGTTCAACAGTATGTGGAGGAGTTGTTCCAAACCGAATGTACGGTTCGGATTTACGGACATGTGGAGTGCGCAGCTGTGTGGGTTTCACATGCACAACTCCCTGGTAGTCTAGACCGTGAGGCCACCCACCCTGCCACCCTCGAGCTGTCTTCTACTGTGCTGGATTGGGTGGAATTCCATGTGAGGATCTTGTCTTTCCATTTGACTTTTCACTTGTAAATAGATTCTCACCCCTGTTAAATGTGTAAGTAAGGAAAGACACCGAGTGGTGCGAACGATAGGAGTCTACAGGTGGCAGTGGCAGCAATGCAGCTGTGAGGTGGGGTGATTGTGGGATGGATGGATGTCTGTAGGGCTGTGGCATCGATGTGCCAGTATGCATGCACGTTGTCTGTCTGCTGCTCTGCCAAGTTGTGTGGCCAAATGTCAACTTTGGCAGCCTACACTGTTTTATAGCCGGTCCATCCGGTATTGTTGCCCATGTATGTACAAACCAAGGTAGTGTCGAAGTTACACTGCAACAAGTGCCGGTGATCCTGCCTCGCATCATAACCCATGTCCAAGGGCGTACGGTAGCAGCCAGCTGGGAGCGCGCGCGGGACCCGGTGATATGGTTCTTGATTACCTAGGTACTTTAGGGTTAATGGTGGTGCCAGGTGTGAATCCTCGGTTCATAGCCAGGCGCAGTTATCGTCAATTTCCGGTCGAAGGGGTTCTCCAGCGTCCACATCTTTAGAACTCCAGACGATGCCCATCAGCTGAGACGCGATGATAACCGGACACCGCCAATCGCATCAGTAAGTACACCCGGCTGTCCTGGTCGCTGCGGGTAGCGAGCACAATCTCGCATGCAGCGGGTCAGAGAATAACCCGATGCCAGGTGCGTATGTATCACAAGAGAGAGAGGTGGCGTGCGCCCGGATATTCTTGATTGGGGGGGGGGGGCGAATAACCTCGGGGCCTGCTGCTGATGCGGGGGACGTCTGGGAATATGATGGGGGATGCAACACGACGACACTGGCAATCCCAGCAGGCAAGATCTGGGCCCGGTGGCGTGGGTTCGCGGTCCTGTTGGCCTGCTGGGGTTACAATCGGTGGGTGACCCTTGGAGGAGACGGCTCGGAGCTGCAGGCGATGCGATGGATATTCTTGCATCCACCACCGCGATGGCGAGCCTGGCAGCCTGGGTGTTCTTGTTTGAGAGATGAACCCCGAGGCAACCTTATACCCGACTCAATGCCGGCATATCAGCCCCAATCAGCCCCAACATCAGATGCTTCTTATCTCCTGTGTCGTCGGTTGTACTGGACGGGCCTGATGGGTAGGTAGACGGCGATGCTGACTGGCTGAACCCATGGTTATATGTATTGATGGGTGTGGATGTGGCAACTTTGGGAGTACTCGATATGGTCAGGCTGTCCTTGCTGTCCTCGCTGTCCTGGCGACAGTGTCCCATTGTGATGATTAAGCCTTATCAGTAAACAGGCTGGCAGGTGGCTGGCTGGCTGGACCCGGAAGGTAAAGGTTGGTTGGCTGGTTCGTTCATTTGGTTCACTTGTTGGATGACAGGTTGCGTGCAGGCGAACCCTTGAAGGCGATTGATTGATTGCTGCTCGCGTACCGAGAAATGGCCACTCTCTGCCTCTGCCACTCGACGGGCTGGGCTGCCAATGCAGGTAGGTGCTCGACATTGCAACTGGGGGACTGCAACTCGGCCCCAATGTTTCGGCAGCCAGCAGCATGAGACCATTCTGCCACTCTGCCACTCTGCCACTTTGCCACCCGGCCGCCCTGTGGTGAATATGTCAGTCGGTACTGTGGTGCTGACAGCTCGGGTGGGCTGTTTGGAGGTGCGATCGATTGTGGGGGTGGCGACTTGCAATTAATCCCACAGGGAGCTCAGTTCGGGCTGTTGCAAAAGGAAACGAAAGCTTGAGGGTGCCCTGTCCCTGATCAGCCCTATCACGTCTCAGGCTTTGGCCGGGGCCCCACCTTGCCATGGACGCTCTCGTGCAACGCCTTGGATTGGTCTCCGATTGGGTTCGCATGAGTCGAACAGCCAGTCAGTCGAACAGTCAATACAGAATTAAGTCAGTCAGTCAGTCAGTCAGTCAGGCCAGGTCAGTTCACGGGCAGGTGCGGCCTGTGTGTGTGTGCGGCCTGTGCCAGTGTGGCTTCCTGTTTCTGATGGGTGATGCGGATGGGGCCGACGACCCCGCCTCATGCCTTCCACCAAGCTGTCTGGTCTGGGTGTGTGGAGGAGGGGCAGGGGCAGAGCTGCTCTTTCCCAGCGTCCGGAGTACGGAGTAGTGCTTGCGAGTGGATGATTGTGGATCATGGACCTGGACCTGGACTTGGACATGGACTTGACTGGGACCAGGACCAGGACCAGGACAGTGGCCAGGTGCCAAGGACCACATGCCAGATCCCGACTGCCTTCTCAGCAGCCTGCGAGTCTGTCAATTCGCATACAACTCGTGTTTTGCGGTGCTGTGGCATGCAGCAAACTTGCTCAAGCAGACAGCCAGAGTCGATCTGATCTCTCTCACTACGGACCGTACAGTAGATATCATCTTGTCCAAGCTCTGTTCGTTCTCGTCTCTAATTACCACCCCCCCCCACCATCATCCTTTTTATCTATTTTTTTCCCGTCTTTTTTTTTTCTCAATCCCATTCATCTCCACTGCACAGTATCTATACACTTTTAGTTTTGGCCAATCCTTCATCACACACAGCAAACAGGCTTGTTGATGTGCCGTCGCGCCGATACTTTTCGCCGCTGTCCCTGCGTTCTGATTTCCGATCGGGCCTCGAAGCCAACCCCTGCGGGCACGGCCTGAGGCGTCGCCAGCCGCTGCGACGCAAGGTCGCAAGCTCATAAACCTGCGTCTTTGTGGCCAGGAGCAGAAGCCGACTGGAGAAGCGAGCTGCTGCACTTCTGCTGCACGCACTTCTGCAACCTGCAACCTGCAGTCTGCGGCCTGCAGTCTGCAGTCGGGGTTGGGTCTGTTTTGGAGCTGCTTTGCTGCTTTGCTGCGTGGCTGCCAGTGCCAACTCAGCTGAGCGAGAGTGACTGACTGACTGACTGACTGACTGACTGGGAGATTGAGACCTTATCGCCGCCCCTGGGAAGCCACGACCCAGGGTCCATCCTGTCCTCCCTCCTGTCTGTCCTGTCCTGTCCTGTGCTGTCCTAATCCCACCACATCCCATCGTACCTATGTATACCTAATCTCACACCATCCATACACATATACACACACATACCTGTGGTACCTTACCTAGGTACCTTATTACCTCGCCCAGAGACACCTTATTCCCTACCTTACCTTACCCTACCTCACCTCACCTTGCTACCCGCCCAGCCTGCCCAGCCTAGCCCACAGTCCCACACCAGCCCAGCCTCTGCCCGGCCGGCCAGCCGGCGTCTGCTTTCCTTTAACTCCACGACCATACGCCGAACGAATGATCTCGGTCCACCCAACAACTCCTGTCCCCGACAGCAACCGTCTTTTGCTGCACTCCAAGGACCCAGCAGACCCCGTCATGGCGGAGCATCCTGCACCTGTCGCCGCCCCATCTGCTGCCGTCGCCGCCGCCGCCGCTGCCGCGATCCCGCCGCCCGCCAGCGCAGCACCTGGTGGCGTGACCAAGAAGAAGTTCGCCGCGCCCCCGGTCAAATCGGCCTGTCTGGCTTGGTATGTCACTCAATCCTCCCCTTTTCTATTTTTATATTTTTATTTTTTATATGGTCGCCGTACTGCGCCGTGCCCCGGCCGCGAACCCACACACACACACAAGACGCACCCCCGCGTGCCCCGCGGAATGGCTTGCTTCATGCACCTCTTCCTGCCTTGAGCTGGGGCCGGCCCTCCCTCGTGGCCCGTTCCGGCGCTGTCCGGATTGGTCGGGTCGGACTTCACGCTTGCTTCCGTGCTTGCTTCCGTGCTTGCTGCTGGCTCCTTGCTGGGCAATCCTGCCCCGACCCCCGTGTTGACTTCTGGCTGACCATGACTGCAGCCGGGCTGCCCGCACTCGTTGTGACGGCGGTAGGCCGTGTGCAACTGTATGCGCCCTCCCTCCTTGAATCCCCAGGACAGAACTCATCTGAATACTTTCTCCTCCCAGTGCCAGAGCAGAAGTCGAGACTGTGTGTACACTCCCAGCCGGCGTGGCGGCCCTCGTTGCCGCAAGAAGCCCCGGCCCGGCCGCAGCGATGAGCCCAAGCAGCTCCCCGACGATGTCTTCGCCCTGCTCTCGCAGGAGCCTGCCGACATGCCCCGTGACCGTGAGTTTGGCCCAGCCACTACTACTTAGGTAGTCGTCCCAGGGAGATTGGGCTTGCACTGACCGTTGCATGCTCGTTGGATGCACAGCCATATCCATACAAAATTACATCGACCCCGGCGCAGGCCTCAAGCACCTCGAGGACTGGGTCCAGGACAGCGACCTCATCTTCGACAGCCTGTTCATGAACAGCACCGGTCCCGTGTTAGGGAACGGCTTCAGCTCGGATGTCTCGGGCACAGGCACGCCGTCGCACGCCGTGCCCATGGTCAGATCGTACCAGAGCGATGCTGCCATGTGAGGCTGACTCCTACGGCCTTCCGGCCACAAGCCCCCTCCCCCCCGGGGGGGGGGGAATTCACGCACATCTTACTGACACCCTGTTGCAGACTTGATGCGTATTATGTCTTCATACACCCTTTTCTCCCTATTCTCCCCCCGCCGGATCATATCCCCGTGGATCGGCCCATCCCACGCCTGCAGAACCAGATCGACGTCTTCGAGGAGGGCTTCGAGCCCACCTCTCCCATCAGCCTCGCCATCTCGGCCATTCTGGCCCTGATACCCTGCCCCGAGGACGTCAACCACGCCTCGCGCGACTCTCAGCTCTTCCGCCGCAAGTATGCGCAGTACTTCGCTCAGACTGCCTTCGAGACCATGGAGAACGACGAGGAGATCCCCGACAGCGCAATCGACCCATCCCGCCCGCTAAGCGAGGAGCACAACCACAACTTCCGCCAGCCCTTCCACCCGCGCGTTCCCGTCGAGCTCGAGGGAATCGTCGCCCTGGACATTCTGAGCGTGTATGAATATGCGCAGCGGGGCAACATCAAGAAGATGCAGAACCGGGCCGGGCAGGCGCTCATGGCCGCTATGGATATCTCGCTTCACTCGTGCACCACCGAGGATGAGTTTTCGGAGGCGAGGAGGAGGATCTGGTGGATGACAGTACGGGCTCTACACTCGCACGCACGCTTGACAAGCACTTAGAATTGGTTTCGCTGACCTTGTTTCGCCTGCAGTACGTGTGTGTTGCGCAAGGCGCCATTGTAAGCAATGCGGTAAGGATACCTTGGACCGGAACATGCCACTAAGATGCCCTTCAAGACTTCTAACGTCGTCCAGAAGCCGAGTTTCGCGTCCTTCTCGCCGAGCTACACGGCCAAGTTCCCAACCTTTGCCGCGGACCCAGAGGTATGTATGGATCGCAAAATCCACGTGGCCTCCTTCGAGGTTGATCCGCCCTTGAGCGGGCACATCTGACCTGTCTCAGGCATTCGCCGCCTATATCCAGGCACAACGGGCCATTCTGGCAGCGACGCAGTTTGTCATTGAGCTTAACAAGGCGGTGCGTGACAAGGCCGACATGAACCCGATCTACGAGCGGATGAAGGAGCTCGAGGCCCTGATAGAGCCATTGCTGTCACACAGCGAGACGTGGCTGTTGACCTCGACGACAACGTCACCCGTGGACCCAGGAGAGGCGGTGGTGGCGCGGTCGTTGCGATGCATGGCCAGCATCAAGCTCAATAGTGCGCGCATCAAGCTGCACCGCTACTGCGCATTCTTCGACATCCCCGTCTTCTCGCGGAAGCATTGCGATCTCAAGTCGCTGGGTGACGCCGAAACCCCGGGCGACGAGCCGCGACGGTGGCCCACCTGCAGCTGCAACTCATTTGCGAACCCATTCAGCATCTCGGCGACGCCAACAAGCAGCACGGGGGCCAACGGCGGGGGGTCCTCGATCAGGTCGCCATCCTCGGACGGCGCGGGGCCCATGCCGACGAGCTTCCCAGTGGCGACAGCGCCGTTTGGCCAGGCCCAAGCGGGAATGATGGCGGCCCCGCAGCAGCAGCAGCCGATCACCAACTTCCCGTTCAGCAGCCACCAGAGCGCCAAGATCTGCCTCAAGTCGGCGCTGAACATCGCACACAGCTTCGACGAGCTGCCGTTCCCGAACCCGGCCGGTGTGGCGCCCCAGTCACAACATTCGCTCACACAGCAGGCCCACGCGGGCGTGGGCGCCGTCGGAGGGCTAGGGGCGGGAGGGGGAGGGCCACCGGCGCCGTGCTTCCTGTCGCCCACGAGCGCGACCGTCTGCCCGCGGACAATGCCGTCGTTTGCGTGCTGTGCGATGCAGTGCGCGTACGCGCTGCTCATGGTACACCAAAAGACCAAGAGCATGTACCCGTACAGTGCCGAGGTGGCGAGTATCGCGGGCGGGGCCGGCAACGGTGCCGTGCCCAACAGCAACAACGGGCACAGCGGCGGCATGCTCGACAGCAATGGCAATGGCAATGGCGCGGGGGCGCCCCGGCCGGTTGTGGTGAACAGCCTGTTGGTCAGGCTCCAGCAGGGCCTGACCAGCATCTATGCCACTCTGTCTAATTACTCTACTGCCTTTGAGGCTCTGGGCGGGATGAGAGGTGAGCATGCTTTGGTCCTGAACTTTTCACCCGCGAGATCTACGTTGCTAACGGTCATCGTTGCCAGACCAAATCCGAAGTGCAATCGAGGACTCGCAAGCTTTTACGGTTGGCCTGTAAGATAGCAGAATACAAAAAGCAAAAAAGAGATACCCTCGGCATGGGTGCTGGCGTGGGCTGGATGGTGCTGGGCTTTTTCAAATTGTTATTTTGGTTGGATATGGACCGGGAACGGTCTTGGCAGCGGACTGGGCGATCGATGGCGTCTGGCACACAGCAAGACTCAGCGCACGGTATCGACCGGACCGGCGGAGTCGTGTCTTTGGGGCCAAGACGAGGTGTTGGAGCTTCCCCTGACGGCTTGTCCGTACTGGGTGGTCTGCCGATGGCCGTGGTTCTAGGTTGACGGCGCATATATGGATTCTCTTCTCCCCACATGGAATGGCATATGTTGGCTCACAGAATATACCCATAGCAAACTAAGTTGTTGGACTGGTGCTGTTCATGAAGCGACAGACACTGGTCGTGAATGCACATGCATCCAATCAAGTCTTGTCTCGTCTCTATTTTGTAGGCCTGGCCTGACTGGTTACGCTCGCACTTGGCTCCCATCCAAGACAGTTAGCCTTGGTGTCCCAAAGCTACAGACAGCATCTCGTCCTGGAGATGGGACCCGGAGCCGTTGTCGGTTGTCGCGCCTGGGGATTGGGGTGGGGGTGGGGGAGATGGTTGTCGCAACCGGCCATGACGTCACACCTGAGGATTAAGGTTCACAGGTCCAGGAACCTTGGACCGAGCGGCCGTCGCTCAACGGGGAAGGGAAGAACCTGCCTCGCTGCTCGTCCGACCTTTGGGCTTTCGCTGTGTCTCTGTCTGCCTTGAACTTTGTCGAACCGGGACAAAACATGGGACGCATCACATCATCAGCAGCAATGCAGTCGTGTCGAGCGAGCCCTGGTCTGATGGAACTGATCTGCCCCTCGACGGCCCCGCTCCTGATGGGGAAGCTGCGTGCGTAGATCTCTCTCCGTTGCGCCGCGGCCAAGTTTAGAAACAGACAAGGGTGTCTTGTCTGTCTGTCTCTTGTTCCAGGCACGGCCTGGCCTGTGATATGATCGATACAACAGGGAGGCAGGTCCTTTCTTGTTAGTTCTGGTAAGAGCTCTCGACCTAGCTGCCCTAGCTAGGACTTCAGCACGTCTCAAGCCTGTGACACCTGCCCCCGAGCGGTGATGTAATGGCCCCCCCGACCAGACCCTGCTTCCTCTGCCAGTGCTTCCCCCCCCCCCCCCCCCGCCGCCAACCTATCTACCATGATCCAGGAACGTGGTACCGGTATTCAGGTTATGTTAGGGGAGGTAACCAAGTCCAGGTTGAAGGTTGACCTCATCTCACCTCACATGCCTGCCCGCTCGCTTGCCCTGCTTGATGATAGCTTGATTTCCACGCACACCAACGCCTCCACGCTACGCCCCCTTTGTGCTCAAGCTCCGGCTAGCAGCTTGAGTAACTCGGTCTCGAAGGGCTAATATAAAAGGATCCCCTTTCTTGGCTGTCCCTGGATCGAAAGGGCTGGTCCCCTTCTGTCCTTCCCCTCATCATCCCAAGCCTCTTCCTCCTCAGCAGCCGCAGAATATCTTCCTCCTACATACATACAGCAACAGCCCATTGAACAGCCACCTTTTCACCCACACCAAAACAAACACCAAAATGGACGCCCTCAACAAGCTCACCGGCAAGACCTCCGGCCAGCCCGCTGCTGGTGCCCCCGCCCCCGGTGGTGCGCCCGCCGGCCAGAAGGACGACTACGTTGACAAGGGTGAGTTCGCCGCAGTGCTATTCTGCTCTTTTCTATTCTTGTTTTATTTATCAAAGGAAACAAGTCTTTCCCCGTCTCCTTCCCCCACCCACCGTGCCCATTACAAGAGAGACCACCAACTAACATGTTGCCCTTTTCCCCAGCCTTTGCCTTCGGCGCCAAGAAGTCGGGCCACAACGTCGACCATAACACGGCCGAGAAGATCACCGACGGCGCCCGCGGCCTGTACGAGAAGGCCACCGGCAAGAAGGTCGACCCCAAGATCTCCAACTAAAGACGTCTCTCTTTTGTCTCTATATCTGCGTCACCCTCGTGGGAGCAAGCGATCGGGCCATTATGTGAAGGTGGTGTCTCGGGCACCTGGCGTTCTGATGGATGGAATGGATACCTAGGCACAGGAGGGCACTCTCTTCCTGCGACAGACACTGCTACAGACTTTTGACGATACCACGTGTTTTAATTGCCATGATAGATGGCCTCCAATGGAAGTTTGTGTATGAGAAATGCTCACAAGTGCAAATGTTGACTGTAAAGTGTGATGTGGCCCCCGAGCGCTGGAGTCCATATCGTGGGCACACGCACTGACACCAGTAGAGCTGGCTGTTTATGAAGGTGTGAATATCTTGCTGTTTGCTTGAAATCCAGTGCTAGGTATGTGAACATAATGCCAAGTTGAAATCAATGTCCTTGCCCGTGGGCATCCCCAGCGTTGCGCCGCTCCGGACTCCTATTATGCAGACCCAACCTCGTCGATGTCGACGAGTATACCCTACGTAGCCTCGAGGCATCAAGACCTCGTCTTGAGGACACTGCCCCATACGGCTTTGCCAGCGCATCTTCTGCGCAACCCGTCCATCCCGCTGAACAGAATGAGGTGACAGCCCCGGCGGGCAGCTAACCCCCTAAAGGTCCCCCAAAAAGAAAACAGAACAATCGTCAAACCCATATATCAGTACCCGTATCCGCATGACTACATTAACCACGTGAAACCTCCAACCAAACCACGCCCCCCCTCCCCACCCCCACCTAAGCCTTAAGCCTTAAACCTCAAGCATTATCCGCAAACACCTGGTAGGCCATAATCATGATCCACAACAGGAAGATGGCGCCCACCAAGCCCAGCGAGAAGACGGCCTGCCAGCCCTGGCAGATGCTGCGCTGCTGCAGCCAGGCGAGGGTCTCGAGGGTCTGGCCGGTGGGGTTGCGGTCGAAGACGGCGGCGTTGCAGTTGGAGGCGACGCTGCCGGCGGGCCCCCAGAGCTGGACGCTGGTGACGATGAGGCCGACGAGCCACAGGACGAAGAGCATGAAGCCGCCGATCATGACGATGGAGGGGAGCAGGCGGCGCTGGAAGATGAGCCAGAGGAGGATGCCGATGAAGATTATCACGAGGGCGGCCACGGTTATGTAGTAGGGGAAGTACCTGGTGGTGCGTGCGGCGTGTCTGTCAGTCAGGGGGAGGGAGGGGGGAGGGTCGGGACGACTGGGCCAAACAACAGAAAAACCCACCATGGCACGCCCAGGCCGAGCTGGCCCTGGATCTGGACAAAGTTGGCAAAGATGCCCAGGATGGCGGAGGAGGCGACCAGCATGAAGAGCATCCACAGGTTCAGCTGGATGGCGGGCCAGTGGTACTTGTGCAGGCGCTCGACGGTGCGCCGCTCGTAGACGACGGACGAGTCTGTCGCCGAGGACGCCATCGTGGTCGGCTCGTTGGGTTGGCCCCGTCGTCGGACAGCGAGTATTGGTGGTGGTGGTGGTGGTGGTTGGGTGTCGGAGATGCGCCTCTTTACGTGTTTGCTTTCTTTCTACTTCGTGTTGTTGTTGCTGCTGCTGCTGCTGCTGCTGCTGCTGCTATCCTCCTCTTCCTCCTCTATCCTTCGTGTCTTGTCTGGTATGTTGTGTCTGCGCAGTGGTATATACGTCTTCCCGTAAGCGAGCGTGTGATCGGTCGACGGCCGTCAGCGTGCGAGGCTACGGTCGAAAGGCGCACTCGTTGTGTTCAACGGGTTTCTAGCAGGCCGCAGTCGCCCTTGTTCTAGTGGTGATATATCCCGGGCAGGGGGCCACGTCCAAGCCAAGAGCAAACCGTCGTCGTCGTCGTCGTCACGAAATCGAGGCGGTAGAATTGGGCCGCGATGGACGGCGGCGGGCAGGACCCGATTGGCAGCGGCGGGCGCGGGCGCGGAGCTGCAGCTTGACTGACTGTCGGGATCGGATCCCAGTGGTTGGAGGCGAGGCGAGGCGAGGCGAGGCGAGAGATGGGCGTGTCTGCTGGTCTCGTTCGTTTGGTTTGCATGCTGGGAGGGGGGAATTCGACGTGATCGATTGATGGTCACCGCATTGCGACGTGGGTGAAGTGAGGCTGTTGTTGGGGCAGCACTGGGGTTTTGTTGTCATGGCGCCGCTACGGTTATTAAACGGCGGCGATGAGGATTGGAGGGAGCACTTGAGGGATTCGCGAGCGGCAGGCTACCAGCAAGGATTCGCGCCTAGCTGGCTGGCTGCTGTCCCGGATCCTCGGTGCTGGGGTGGCAGGCGTGCAGGCGGGGTGGCTGGGAGCCAATTTTAGTGCTTTGGCCCGCGCCCATCTTCTGCCAACACGTCTCTCTCTCTCTCCTCTCTCTCGCACCCCTGCACTGCACACTACTGTGTATTCAGGCAAGTCCCCAGTGCCTCGGCAGGTTGGAGATTCAACCTCGCAAGCTTTGGTACCTGCTTTGACAGCGTGACGGGTGGATACCATTACAACGACGACAGCCCTACGCAGCATCTGCTGAAAGGCAATTGAAATACGGGTCTAGTTCTAGTCCCGAATAGATAATACAATCGAGAGCAGAGACCATTGGCCTCTTGGAGTATCAATGGGTTAGGGTTGATGGTAGATAGAGTGGGTGCTCGGATACTTAAGTAAGCAACCATGTGGGCTTGGACGTCCTGAATGGCCCAACCAGCCGAATCGAGGGGTGTCCAAACGGCTGAATAACCGTGCAATTGCGGGAACCGAAACCCGTTGTAGGGCTGGCTGGATGACGGTCCCTCCACTGTCATTTGGAATCCGCATCTACCAGTTCATACATACTTACCTAGGTAAGCACTCGAGTACTGTTCACAACTCTGCCTGTACTGACTGGGCAAGGTGGACAAGGATTCGAACTATTATCGTACCTGATATTCGCACTGCACATTCGAGTGCCGTGCGGAGTATACCGAGTACAATAGAAACACATGCTTGACCGTTGAGCAGCTCATGCGCTAGAAAAGGTGCTTATTCCTGACCAGATCCTACCATCCAGCCTCGCCTATCTCAGCTCATGTCAAAGCACACCGCCTTACGTGTGGTACCGAGACATCTGTCTACTACAGTACTAGTATGTTGTGTCTTTCTGGCAGAGGGCAGAACAGAAGAATGGCATTCCCATCAAAGACTTGGACTGCTCAAGGGATCTGGCAGCCAAGACTGGGGTCGGAACATTACTAGTATGACCGGCAGGGTGTCCACCATAGTCTGACAGCAGCAGCAGTCCGAACCGATCTGCAGGTGGTCGGGCAGCCTGAGTCCCTGAGTCCCTGAGTCCCTGAGTCCCGGAGTCAGGAGCTACTCGGGCGGCGTGTGCCTGACTCTCACAAACAACCCCGACCCCGACCCCTTTCTCCCGGGTCCTCTCTTCCATGACCTTCTTCGGTGTTTCTATGCCAGTGTATACTGTCGTATTCCTCGCCAACCCCGAAAATCCCCACCACCACTAGTACCATTTTTATATACATAGACAGACAGCACTGGGACATAGTTGGACACGCACTCTCTCTCTCCCCAATCGGCCAAGAACCCGGTCAGCCAAACATCCCTGGGCCCGACTGGCGGACCGTGATCCCCGAGCCAGTGTCACGAGCATTGTCGGCGCCCAACTTGGAACCACCCACGGATAGATAGATACTTAAGCACACCCAGACCGGACCACCACCATGGAGCTGGGCGACCTCCCCCCGCCGGACCCGTCCACCCTGCACCTCCCGCGCGTGCTGATGCTCCACGGCGGCGGCACCAACTCGCGCATCTTCCACATGCAGTGCCGCAGCCTCGACTACCACCTGCGGCCCCACTTCCGCACCGTCTTTGTCGAGGCGCCGCTCCCCTCCACCGCCGGGCCCGACGTCCTCACCGTCTACGCCGAGTGCGGGCCCTTCAAGCGCTGGGTCCTGACCACCGAGCCCAACGCCGTCGAGCGCCAGCCCGCCGAGACCTGGGCCCTCGACGAGCGCGCCATCGCCGACGCCATGGACGCCGACGACCGCCGCGGCGCCACCGGGCCCTGGGCCGCCGTCCTGGGCTTCAGCCAGGGCGCCAAGATGGCCGCCAGCCTGCTGCTGCGCCAGCAGCTCGACCCCCGCGGCCACGCCCTCGGCCGCGTCGGCGGGGCCGCCCGCACCGCCTCCGGGGCCCCCGGCGCCGACTTCCGCTTCGGCGTGCTCATGGCCGGCAGGGGCCCGCTCCTCCAGCCCGAGCCCGACGTCGCCGACTGGCTCGGCGCCGACGAGAGCTTCGACTATGCGAGCAATGCCGCCGCCGGTCGCGTCCTGCGCCTGCCCACCATCCACGTCCATGGCATGCAGGACCCCGGGCTGGGTTTCCACCAGAGGCTGTTGTCCGAGTGGTGCGAGCCCGGCACCACGCAGCTGATCCAGTGGGAGGGGAACCACAGGCTGCCGTTCAAGACGCCTGATGTCTCGAAGGTGGTCAACGCCATGTTGGACCTTGCGCGGAGGGAGGGTGTCTTGTGATGAATTTCAGCACTGATGAGCTGTCATGTGGAGTTCAATGTTGGGTCTGGGCTCTACAGAGGTACTTCCATTTAGTTGCATGTCGTCAGATTATATACACATAGAGTTGTCCAGCTGGAGTCATAGATTACGATATATAGATACATTACATTTTACCTCTGCCTTTGTGCTTCGCAACCAAAATGACAGTCCCATGACAGGGACTTCAAGTTGTAACTATGACCGATTGCCTTTTTTAATGTCCAGAAACAAATTGCCCTTGAAGCCCGATGTGTAAGTCCTTGAACCTGAACGGCCTGCTCCTCATTTTCCACATTGGTCAACGCCTATCCTACTTGTTCTGGCGTCTACTGGGTCCATAAATGATCACGTACACCTACTCCGACCGTGTTATGCCTCACCAACACGGGCACGGCCATCACCACCACCACCTGAGCCCACCTCTCCATAATTGATGTCGGAAAAGTCCACACGAATGGACCTCTGCTGCACTATGCCCGTCATACTCGGGCCCTCGCTCACCCGGGGCGCGTCCACCCCGACGACAATATTGCTCCTCTGCATGTAGCCACCGCCGATGGTGCGCAGGAGGATACCGTTCTCGCCGATCGCGTCGAACTCGTCCTTGTTGCTGCTCTGGGCCGTGCTCTTTGACCAGGACAAGGATGAAATTTTGGCTTTCATCCTGGAGAAGAAGCGGTGCATCAGGGGAAGGTTGGCGTTGATGATGGCCAGCTCGGGCTCTAGCACACTCCACATCAGGCCCATCGGCAGTGTCCAGGTGGCGTCGTCGAAGGAGATGATCATCAGGGACCGCAGTCGAACAATGGAAATGGCGCTGATGCTGCCATCCACGGTAAAGTCAGTACGCGCTCTGCGCATGACGAGGTGAGCTGACTGCAGGCATTGAACTTACAGCACACCCATGCCAAAAACCAGCAGCAGCCCAATCCTCTGCCCCACGGGCATCTGCAGCTTCAGGATGCAAGGCACGGGGACAATCAGGACCATGAAGTCCGTGACCATGTTTGTGACGCCGGCAATGACAAATACGGCGTTGCGATTCCCACAGACCCCATCGACACTCGCGTCCCAGTTGTAGGCAAGAGGCCGGCAGAGGAGGAAGGTCTCCAGGACCACCGAGGCCATCCACGCGACCACGGCCGCCGCGGTGACCCACACAGCCCAGGTAAACCACTTGCTCGGGGCGAATATCCTGCTGTAGAAGCGCAGGACAGCAAGCTTGACGAGCATGAGCGTGAGGCCGTACAGGGCCTCGAATGGGAGGATGAGCTTCAGCGTCAGGACGAGATCCCGCATGTCCACCTCGGCGACATGCCGTCCTGTTCCGCCGCGTATGACACAGGCCCATTGTAGTCCTAGGGATACATATGTGAGGATCAGAGCTGTTATCATGAAAAATTCTTCCTCTCGCAAGGCTTGTTGTCGGCCGTGGACGGTATATAGGCGGACCATGCAGCTAAGAAGTGCTACCGCTCCAAAGACTGTTGTGACTAGTAAAGGGTTGAGCGTCTCTGGTGTGTTTGCTGGGTAAATCGTCATGGTTTCGTGATCCGCTCGGTGATCAATTGTGGAGTGATAGATGACGAGCACGATCACGCTGTACTTTTCAATGATGAGCGCCGGTCCATATTGGTCGAGAGGTCTAGAAAATTCAGTGAATTTGGCTTTATGTCGAAGCATCACGCCTATTACTAGTATGTCAAAGGCGCAGCTCTTCGTGCAGGATTTGCGAAATATGTCATATCCATGGGCTTCAGAGACATGGCGCGTTGATCCAAGGCGCTAATAGGCCATCACGCAGCAGTCGCTACGCTTCCTCTCTTTTTGGGTATGCATAAGCCCTTTACACTGTGGTTGTATGTTATATAAAATTGCATTAACGGTACGTGGAATACTCTAGGGTCGTCTATGGGCACCCTATCCAACCCTTTGGAGCTGATTACGAGTAGCACTTGACCACTTCGTCATGAGCAGAGGCGGAGTGGATTGTATCACAAGAGCAACACATTCTCATGAAACAGAGTCTCCACCAAGAGACTTTGCGAGTGGTTGAGCTAGGCCCTCCAAGCGGCACCCATCCTCCAAACACGGACAGCCGGGCTACGATACTCCAAATGTTGTCACACTTGTTCTGGGCTGCTGCTCGGCTTGGCCACTCGCGTCAGTGGGATCGATGTAGGTATCATATGATTCCAGGGACTCGATCAATGTGTCTGTTCCACGTGGAAAGTGAAGTCAGCTGGTACCATAGATGTCTGTGCGTGATGGCTGCTCTAGCGATCGTGGCGTAGCGCAGTCGGGCCGTCCCATTTGAAGCCTGCAGGCATAAGTCTGGCTGTATCTAGAGGGTACTCAGCCTTAATTACAGGTGAGTTTTGGGTATTGTAGGTCGGAGTACCAGCGTTCATGTTGCCTGTCACGAGGTTGTTAATAGAAGTGTCTACTGTGTAGCGGAAGGCGTGCCGCCGTTTCTGTGCCAAAGCCCCATCCTCCCTCATGGCTAGGTACGCATACGCTTCAGTCTCGCGCCACAGCACCACCACAATAGACAGTGGCCGCTATGAACTCACTTCGATACCGTGGATCACCAGCAAACAAGTTCTCCGAAACGGCATTAGAAGTCATCGTGGCTGGTAATAATGTGTTTAATGAGCTTCAGTCCCCCTTGGAAATCTTGAATTGGCAGAAAGTCCGGCAGAAGAGTCATTACACGGTGGCGGGATGAGATAGCGTTTAACTCAAGTGCTATCTGAATGAGTAAATACGCCATTCGTACAAAACACAATTTGTATCAAACAGCCTACTTCTAGTCCAGACCCGTCTCCCTGTTCCTCCAAGGTGTCAAATCAAAGCCATAGTCCCTGTGACACTCTTCAGCATGGCTTCACCTCCTACGTGGACTCGGAAGCCCTTGAGGCGCTGAAGTTCGACTTCATCGTCATTGGCGGCGGCGCTGCAAGAGTAGTCGTTGACGCTCGGCTGACTGAGAAGCCTGACCTAGTAGTATTTGTCCTCCAGGCTGGCGCGGATCGGAGACAGGATCCAAAGATCGCTGCCTGAGCACCTATTTCGATCCCGATTTCGATTGGTGTTTCTCCACTGAGCCTCAGGTAAGCCGGGATGTCTTATCTGCAGTTCATCGCACATGGCAGCTTTGTTGATAGTTAGACAAATTTCATTAGCTGGGGCTAAATCATCAATGACTTGGTTAGCCACAGGGAAAGCCACTCGGAATCTCGTCAGCGTAAGGGTGCTGCTGAGTAACATCAAGCTCTGGCTCATACGAGAGCCCCCGCTGGGGATAGGTATCCATTGCGCCGTACTTTCGCAACCTTGGAAGTTTCACAGATACACGGCACCCACGTCCCAAACTCAAGAGAATCTCACGCTCGACTACGTGGTGAAAGATGTCCAAGGCACCGATGGTCCTCTGCAGGTTCGTCACGGGGGCGGGATTGGAAACCCCCCCCCCCCCGCTTCAATACTGACTGGCCCCGAGCATGGTCGAATCTCGAGCCAGCCAGAATCGGAGCACAGAAGTCTTCCAGAGGCACGGTATCGACCGCTTCGTCGACATGCAAGATGTGGAGAATGGGAGAGAAAATACACGACCATCGCCTCATCCCTTTCTCGTGGGAAGTCGCAGACCGAGCCACACCGGGCGACCAGATGCGCAGCCCAAAGGTTGCGAGCAAGGCGCTGCGGCGACTATAACACTGCCAAGGTCGGACCTCTCATCACCCACGCCCTCGCAACGGCCTTCCTACTGCAACAGAACCAGTATCTCAGCCCAGCCTCAGGAGACGACTTCCTGACAGCGCACTTGGAGAACCATCCCGCCCCTGCCGTGCTGAACCATCATTTGAGCCAGGGCTCGGAGCATATCCGACCGTCCAGCCCGGAGGCGGCGCCAGTTCTCGATCCCGCCGACCATGTCACACTCGCTGGACCTAGAGTTGCACTCCCGGCACGCCTTTCAAGTTGTGCTTGAGACGCTGCACAATACCAGCCCCTGCAACAGTTGTTCAAGGAATGTGGGCGGCGCATTCATAACGGAAGGCAAAGAGCGCAGCGCTAGACGAGGCCAAGGAGGCGGTCCGAAAAAAGGTTTACTCCGCACTACCATATTTGAGGCACCGCGGCCGTGCTCCCCAGGGAGGCGTAGTGTCTTCTAAGCTGAGGGACTATGGCGTGGAGGGCTTGCGAGTGGTGGACATGAGCGTGTTCCCGGTGATATCCAGGGGGGGCATACGCGCAGTTTGATATGTACCTGGGTATGCTGTTGCTGGGAGGTCGGTGGAGATGTAGGGATGGCAACAGGGGAAGTCGAAGTACGGATTTGGTAGCCTACACGAACATATGTCAATTCTAGGCTGAGAGCCGCACGTCTGTCAACTCTTCCTGTACTTTCATAACCGGCGAATCGTTACTGGTGCTTCATTGGAGCTAGTAGCTGTTGTCTTACAAATCATGCCGACCCGGAAAGGCGTATGTGGCCAAGAGTGTGTAAGTGTGAACGGCCATCCATTTCCCCTCACTCGGCTGAGAACAAATCAGATCCTCGGCACGTTTCTTGATATCAAGGGGACACTGATATCGACACGGCGGAAAGCAGTCTATGATTCTTTGGCAGCTCTAAAAGTTTCAGAACATCATAATGGCTGGTCTTCCACCGCTTCCCCTGCCCGAGGGCATCAACCAGCGCTATGTCGACCTAACCGACGTCGCGACCTGCGGCCTCAAGATCTTCATCCTCGAAGCTGGAGACCCCACTCACCCTCTTATTCTTCTTTTCCACGGCTATCCAGAATTGGCATTTACGTGGCGGAAGATCATTCTCCCTCTCGCCTCCAAGGGATATCACGTTGTCGCCCCAGACTCCCGCGGGTATGGGCGAACCACAGGGTGGGACACGAGCAGCTACGCGCACACCAACCTGGCGCAATTCACTCAAACCCAGCTGCTACTGGATAACATCGCCCTCATGAGGGGAGTGGGCCACGAGACAGCTGCTTGTGTGATTGGCCATGATTTTGGTGCAAACGCAGCAAGTGCATGCGCGCTCATGCGGCCGGACTTGTTCAACGCGGCCGTGTTCATGGGCCACGTCCCAACAGGACCACAAGCCCTGCCTCCCTTGAATCAGATTCCGAAGTCTGGGGGTCAGAAAGAAAATCCGACCAAAAAATCGTATCCTAGCGATCCAGACGTGCACACAAGCCTTGCTCAGCGAGACCCCCCAGTGAAACATTATCAGTGGTATAGCAGCACCCCTTCCGCCGCGCGGGAGTGGGAAAACCCGCCACAGGGGCTCCGGGGATTTCTTCGCGGTTATGTGCACCTTAAAAGCCACGTTTGGAAAGGAAACGAGGACATAGGTCGACTTACTGGGTGGACAGCGGAGCAGCTAACGCGCATGCCGCCGTACTACATCATGCCACTCAACTCAACAATGCCAAGCATGGTTGAGGAGAACATGCGTTCAGAAGAGGAAGACTTGACCAAGACTTTTATGAGCGATGAAGACCTGAATGTCTACGTCTCAGAGTTCCAGCGGACGGGGTTCCAGGGGATGCTGAACTGGTATCGCAGCGCGACGACCCCACAGAGCCTGGACACAGTCATGGCCCTCTTTGCGGGGCGCAAGTTCGAGGTCCCCACGACTTACATCAGCGGTGCTTCGGATTGGGGAAACTATCAGCGGCCTGGGGCGCTTGAGGGCCTTGAAACGGGAAAGACGGCGAGCGACTATCGGGGTACGAGGATTTTCGACGGTGCCGGCCATTGGCCCCAGACTGAAATCCCAGATATTGTTTGCGAAGAGGTTGTGAAGTTTCTGGCAGAAATCGAGAAATGAAGCCCAGCCGAAGCTTAGATACTTAAGTAAGTAGGTAATATGCTTCCCCCGAGACTTCCCAAGGCTACGTGGTGAAACTACAGGCGCAAGACTATATGATTCTGTGATGGCGGTCGTCTGCCCATCTTATCGATTTTCCTTCTGTGTCTAAAGTTCATCTTCTGTTACCCTCCAAATCCCCAGTCCTCTCCTCTCATTTGAGTTGGCCGAGAAAACTTTGGTATCCTAAGCAACGCGGCATACTTCGACGGTCTCCGAACCCGCATTGTCCGGCTGAGGTCGAATTATCGACTTTGGTCATCCTGGTGGTCTGATCCTCAGTCTGAGCCTCAGTCATCTCTAACACAATCTTCGCAGAGCGAGGCCTCACGGCAGCTTCGGCACTCGAATCTGGTGCCTTATAGGCCGCTTCTCTAGGTACAGTAGCAGCATAGCCTAGGCCTCGTATGGAAATAGAAACAGAGATGAAGATCGAGTCTTTGTGTTGCTGACTCTCTCTTAGCCCTGAGCCAGCTGCCTTTTTTGACGGAACTCTTGCGCTTTGCTTGGTGAGTTTCTAGCCTGGGCGGCCAGGACATTCATGCACGTCGCGGGTGATTCCGTCGTTCAGAATTCGTGAAGACAATGGGAAACCTGATCCGGAATCCATACACATGACATCTTTAAATTGGCAACAAAGAGAGATTTCGATCGAGTTTACGCACGATAAACTGAAGCAAACTACTAGTATACTAGTATGCATGATTTGTGCATTGCATGTGTGTAGCTCACGCAGCAGCTGAGACAACTGAAGCCCATCTCGCGGATGACATATGCTTGCCCAGCAATGTTTGGAATACAGGCTCCGAGTCTCCAAGCGCAATTCTTCCTCAGCGCAAGAAATCGACTCTGCATGAGATCTTGATCCTATCATCCAACATCTCGAGATTGCGCCGTCTGTTAAATCCTTGCGGTGATTGCTTGTGACGAGCCCTTTCAAACGGTTTCCGCCTCTTAATGCAAGCATTCTGCAATTTGGACGGAGCCGCCCCAGTGTACTCAACAACATTGAAGCTACCAATGCTATGTGTACCAAACTTGCCCAGTCGTATTCAATAGCTCCCCCCCTCCCCATCCGACTTCACAAGCTTGAAACGACCTTCTGAAAAGAGACTGGCTTGTGTTGCCAATTGGGAGGGACATGGAGGTTCATCTTCAAACACATGCACAAGCCATGGGCCTCGCCTGAGCCGTATGTTGTGAGATTTTAGCGTTTCTACGCCCGTAGATATCCCCAATCGCCGGTCCAATATCGTGCGGCCGTTTGTAATGGTGGCCTGGGGCTCCGAGACGACTCCGTTGACACCCGGACGTGTTATGGCCAGGCACTACCACACTACCGAGTCCCCTTCCGTCTCCTAAACAAAAAGTGGGTAATCAATCTCCCCGGCCCACATAACATACATGGACAACAAAACCCTGTCCCAATAACTCGACCGCTCGTCGGCGATGAATTCACGTATGCCGAGGCCAAGAGGGTTGTCGATCCATGGCCATTCCTGTGGTGGGTTAAAGATGTCGAAGTCGTTATTGTCAAACACCTGAAACTGCATGAGCAAGTTAAAACAAAGCCTCTGTGTTGGTTGGCGCAGCACTCCAAGATCGGCACCAGATCCGATCAGTGTAAAAACGCATTGTATGCCATTGGCGGTATTGATACTCAATTCTGACATCCCACGCATAGCTCTGTCGAGAGGCCTCCACGCACGAATAGACTGATCTACAGGTGTGCCGCGCAGTAGGAGGAGCTGTACGACGATAGGATTGTTATAGAAAGCAGCGAGTGTCAGGGGAGTGTGAGCCCAGACACCAGGACCGGGGTTCTGAATGTCGTTTCGATCCCGGAAAAAATACAAAATGTCCTCTTGGGTATTCTGGTTCTCAGGGGCGGGGTCATTGGGTCCATAAACCGCAAGATATGCATCAATTACTCGATTGATACGCGTGCGGTTGGCCGTCCGGAACCGAGAGTCGTATGTAGCTCGATTACCGACCCATTCCAATAGGGACATCGTCCGGGGGGCGACATCGTCATCGTTGCCATCGTCATCGGGTCCGTTGGCATCGGAATTGGAGCCGTTGTCTCCGGAGCCGTCGTCTCCAGAACCAGGGCCTCCAGAGGCAGGTGGCGTTCCTGGAGCGCCATCCCCATCGTCTTGACCATCACCGGGGGGCTGGGGTGGCGGAGAGGCTACAGGTCGTGGAGGAGGATAATCTAAAGCATATTGACCTCGGGCCTCGATTATCAGGGCATTGATGCCGCCAGGCGGTTGGCCATTTAGGTACTCATCCGGAGCCGTGTCTATCAGGTTCCATAGTGCAGCAGGGTGAAGGTTCTGGATTACCGGAATTTGAAGTTCTACTGGCAGGGCCAACCGTCTTCTACGACGGGGTGGCGGTTGTGGGTCTCCGCCGTCGTCACTTGGGCTCGGGTCTCTGGGCCGTTTGGCGTCCGACCTTGGGGCCGGCCCCCTACCACTACCTCCCCGTCCCTGGTCATCACCATCCTGGTCATCACCTTCGTCATCACCACCGTCGTCCCCGTCGTCGTTCCCACCGTCATCACCACCGTCATCACCACCGTCATCACCACCGTCGTTCCCGTCGTCGTTCCCGTCGCCGTTCCCGTCGTCGTTCCCGCCGTCGTTCCCGTCGTCATCTCCGTCGCTATCGTCTCCGCCGCTATCATCTCCGCCGCTATCATCTCCGTCGCTATCATCTCCGTCGCTATCATCTCCGTCACTGCTCGGCCTGTCGTCGGAGTAGAGCCGAAATCCAGCATTAATCAGTCGCATGTAAAGGTCGTATTTAAGACCGTCTGTATCCAGGCCCTCGTCATCCAGCTGCTGTCTAAGTCCACGTACGGTAGCACGTCGATAATAAGGCAAATCCGCAGCTGGGACAAGATGTTCATTTTTGGACACAGCCATATCGCTTCTCATTCAAAATGTCTTGACAGAAGACAGCCGTCCGAGAAGGTCTTGCAACGCAGGTTGGCACGTCAAGGGAATTGTCAATTGTGTGGATTCAAAGTGATGCATTGGTGTATGTACTGATAAGTACAGCCTGAGCAGAGTCTTCATCCTGCCGCCTTGTCTTTGTTTGGCTTCTTCTTAGAGACGGGTAATGACGGCTGGTGAGTGGGACAGCTCACAAACACTTATGAGGATTCTTTAAAAGCCTGCTTTATTTGAGATGGCAGCAATAACCTCAATATGGCTTTAGATTTGGGCATTGCCCGCATTCGGTCTGGTATGAATTGCCTATTGTCCAACCCAGCTTCCATGGCAACCTTGGAACCTTGAAGGTTGGGGTCTAGCCCTTGCAGCTAGTAAATCCACTGCCTAAAGCAATGAAGGAGACCAATCCAACTTCATCTATCATCAATCTTATCGATGTGGCGTGCAAGCTTGTCTGCGAGGCCCATGGCGTGTACTACGTATCCCGGGATGGGGCAGCAAGTACTAATGGTCACACCGGCGGCGTACCTAGTCAGCAACCAGGCTGCAATGTATTACGGCAGATCTGCGAGCTCACCAATCAAATGGTACTGACCCATACATTGCTACACTGTTTAAAAGAGCCATGATATTTCAGGCCAAACTTTCCAATTGCTGGACAAGATTCTGCCGAAGGCCCCAGTCAAGTGGGATGGCAAACTTGAAGCTTTGTAGCAGCATGCCGGATCTTGAGGAAGCAGACGGAGGCAGCGTCTTCGGAGGAAAACTCTGACAAACATCGTCAGCAGATACCCAAACGCCTTATTTGGCTGCTTTCAAGTGTGTCCAAGTGCGGAGAGTGTGATTAGGTGTGGGTATGATTAGCTGACAAGTGGAATACCTATAGCAAGCACTTGAGCAGCAGTGTGGCATGGGATGCCACCGTGCTACCATTTTCAAGAGTTATAATGCACAACAAATGGGGGATATCCAAGCCCATATAGCAACCTCAATGTTTGAAATATCTAGTGCAAGCTGTGCCTTCGAAGAATAAAGTTCCGTGCCGACTCTTCTATTGCTCCATATTCCGTAGAGAAGACGAGGTGACCACTCCAGAAGGCGACAGTCTCAAATGAATCTTCGACGCCATCTCATAACAGACAAGTCTTGCATCGTAAATCGGAATACAGGTAAATATCCACTCTGAAGACGATGCTTTCGAAGAGACAGAGGAGACTTTCATGAGTCAATAATCGCGGATGTTGATTGGTTTCCTCGGACAGGAAGCACGGAAATTATTTGTGCAGGGAAAAGTAGGCTGCGGAAAGTATACTTTACGAAGCTTCTTTCCAACCATCAACTTCCGAAAATTGCCTAGTATTATGGGCGCGCAGACAAAGAGGCTTCTCACGGTCCGGTACTCTGTTTTGGCACTCTGATGACTCCCCGTCCCCCTAAACAGTCAGTAGAAGGCTTCCTGCACTCAATTGTTTTCCAAGCACTCAGCCGACCCCCGGATCTAATTGATGCCATCTTACCTCAATGGTCGGAAGACGGCCTTGATGCTGTCGAATTTCGAATACCGAAACTCGAAGATGGCTCTAGTAGACTGTTAAACATGAACGCTGAGAATGGCTATTGCTTCCTTTGCTTCCTTTGCTTCTTCGGCGGCCTCGATGAAAGTTTTTGGGATATTCTGGATTATTAAGATCGCGCCAAGCAGCTGATTCTTTTGGCCTCGTTGCCCAAAGTCAAGATCTTGTGTTGGGCGAGACCGTACACAGTCTTCATCGAAACCATCCGCGACCCAGGGAATGTCATTAAATTCCACAAGCTTACCCGCAGCGATTGCCGAGATCAATTTCAACGAATCGATTGCAAAGTTGAAGTTACAAGATGGCCATAAGAACTGTCTTCCGATCGTCGGAGACATTGCAGAGAATGCTCAGGGCATATTTCTCAGGGCAGTCATAGTGGTCGGAACACTGATTCATCGGGTTCTTGACCAGGACGAAGCGATAAGAGACATTGGCAGAGGCTTCGGGAATGTTTTCAACGCGACAGATATGACTTGTTTGGACTTATTCTACCAAGGGCCACGGTGGAACGCTCTACTATGTCCGTACGCGATACAACACGATGCTTGGCCTGGCTGCTGATAATCCTTTTGGTCTCCCTCTTGAAGCACTAATTCTTCCCTGGCTTGGGGAATTCGAATGGCTTCGAACTCCGACCGACGCAGATCCTGGGCCGGATGTATGCGAAGAGCATTACAGCTGCGATGTAAATGCTCCGAGAATGCAGCGTGTCGCAAGCTTGCTTCATCAGCTGACGCAGGGTCTACTGGAAGTTGTCAACATACACTATCTCGTTCCTTACTTTTGTTATAGTGTTCATTTCTGTCACCGCTCCATCTGGGACTGTCTCGTAGAACACTGGAAAACGCGTACTAAGACAACCTCTTTCACGAACTCGGCAGCAGTGATGGCGGCGTACTGTCGACAGCGAAGCTTGAAAGCAACACGCGGGACAGGTCAACGTCCATGATGTTAATAGCTGCTCGCGGACATGCAGATGAAAGCGTCAGGAACAAACTAAGGTTTACTATTTGAGGACACTGGGCACGTTTGTTTGGCTGAGATCATGCACTCGTACCAACAATCTATCTCAAAAGTCATGTTTGCAGGCTTTCTGGAAAGCACTGATTCAATCAGAAGATACTTCCAGGTCATTTGATCCTCCCAAGGAAACCGGTGCACCAGCCTGTGACTGCGGACTCTCTGGTGGCTGGAGGCTGGAAGGTGTTGATAAGGGCTTCATAGTGTACATGAGCTTCTGGGGATACGGGTGAGGCAGTCTCTCAGCTAAAGTTTTGGCGACGGCCAGTAACTTTGTGGTTAGTCACACACAGAGATCATTGAGGGGCATCACTGGTCAAGGTGGCGATAAATCAGGCTAATGAGGCTGGCGGTAAGTTGAATTTGACCTCAAAGCCTAGGCTGACTCACCGACGGTGCATTTTGTTCTCCAAGTATCTTCATGTGCTACTTCGTGACCATCTTATGCTGATTCCTGGATCGTTGGCTCGCACTCGGCCGATCAAGTCGTGACCACTGGGTACTGGTCTTTACCGAACGTGGAATTCAAAGACACCAATCCTGTGACACTTCCGTCGTCGAGGCGATTCCACGTCTCAATCGAGCTTCCAAGCGAGTCAAGGCTCAGCAGAATCTGGCGAGAGCCCCTCTTCCAGTCGCCGTATCCTCCATAACCCGTGCGCCGGCTGAAGCAAAGGTTCAATCCATTACCAGTCAAACCCGTCACACTCAGCTGATTGTCCCATTTGAAACACCAATCGTCGCCATGCTGGTGGCCACTGAAGACCGCTGTCAGATTCCTGGTGTCCATTAGAGCCTTCATGAATGGCTCGTCTTGCCTGCCGTTGCCTTTGCCCTGCCCAGGAAAGGCACCATCTTCGTTGATGCCAGGTGCAAAACTTGAATTGACTGCCGATGGCTGGAATGCCCCGGAAGCACTGACTGGGATGTGGACAAAGGCGATGGACGGCAAATATGCCCCGTAAGTGCTGGCAAGTTGGTCCCTGGCCTCTTCAAACCAAGACACCACAGTCTCGTCCACCCAATCGTCCAGGGAAGTGACGGAACCATCATGGGCTTGCCGTTTCCTATTTAACAAGCGTCTTAGCATTCAAAATCTTGTTACAAGAGCAAAGACTTCAGATAGGCATACCCGCCTCGGCTATCAAAGAACCAAAGAATCATCGCCGGGACTGTGGAGATGTTGTTTGGGTACACGGGCACATAGTAATTGGAGACACCGGAACCACTCTTGTTGACGTCCGATTCCGTGAGGGAATTGGGGTACATCTTCTCTCGCAAGAAGATATCCTCTCTGGCGAGATGGAGGTCGGTGTCATGATCTGGTCGCACAGAGCTGTCAGCGAGCTTGAAGCCGACAATGAGACCCACGAATCACTCACTGCCGTAAGTAGATGCCCAAGGCAAACCAACTTGGACAAGGGGACCCGCGATCTTGTCCATGTAGGCCGTGGCATTTGCTTTGACGACATTCTCGCCCGTGATCAGGTCCCCGTTCAGGACCACAAGTTGTGGTGATTCGACCTTGAGGACGTATTGCATCAGCCCCAGGGTCTTATCATCATGAGATGGACCCCATGTTGTGTTCTCCCCTTCACCGAAATGCAGGTCCTCGAAAACCGTGATATGGAAGGTCCGGCTGCTTGTGAAGTGAAGCGCTGGCCAAGCGTTTGACAGCATGACACAACAGAGTGAGACCAGTAAAAGAGTCAAATCCATGTTTGTGGTGGGGCGTCTGTATAGTTGATTCTCTGAGTGGAGTACGAGGATCGTGGGTGCAGAAGCTGGCTAACAGCGAAGCAAGTAATGTGCAAGTGAGAACCAATGCAGCGTAGAGGGAGTAATGGACAGCTGATAAATCAATATGGCAAGGAGGATGCTATTACCAACCATGCTCGTGCTCAAAGGAGTGGATGTCAAACGGCAGAGTTGACAGCACTGAGTGTGCCGTTGAGACAGACCTCTGCAATGCCTCGCAAACGCGACCCGGCCATAAGCGCCGCACCGTCGCAATCGTTTACTGATTACCTGGGCACATATGTGTTTGAGTCATCGGTGATACTCTTGGTGGACCACCTCATCCATATTGACCCGTAGAAACATAGGACCAAATCTTCTCATCAACTCAGTGACTTGTTCGACCAGAAATGCGAAACTTCACACGCTGTTCTGTTCAATTGCGAGGTTTTGTTTTATTTTGGTAGTCATCGACTGTACTTCGCACGACGAAACTTAGTCATCTAGACTCTGTGAGCAAGGCCTGGAATAACCGTTTGTATACGAGACACGCCCGGGCGACTGTAGCAACCGTGAGTTGAGAGAGTCACAAGGTCTGTTCTCAACACTGCGATATAAACTCAGGTCTTGGTCTGAAGCAGGATTCTGCTTCGAGGTTCGTACAAAATCCTTTTTCATCATCTAGTTCCTTTTTTCCCGCCTCGCCAGTAGGCTGTGATACCGCGGGCCAGATCTCACGCCCATCGCCCTCTTCTTCCTTCCTCCGATGCCCTGTCACATCTCTACGAAGCGTCATTTGGAAGTGCAGTGGACCCTAATTTAATGTCAGTCCAGTGGTGGCACCACAGGCGGGGAAGTCTGCTCACTTTCTCCTTTTCAGGGTGGTATTCTCCATTGACATAAACACCGGCGTTAATGTTTCTCTGCGAGCCATCGCAGAGGTCTTTGTCTTCGGCGAGGACTTGGTGGTAGAAGGCATTGATCTTTGCGAACTCTTCATCTGTGGCATTCTTATGTCGATAGACCTCATTCTCGATCTTGCTTGTTGTTGATGTCACAGGGGTCATGCGCTGGATGTAAAACATGTTTTCGCTGAATTTAAAAATCAGTATGTTCTCGAGTGGCATTAGGAGGAAGGAAGAGGCTACTAACGTGATTGTCACAGATGTGCTTGGGTAGAAATACGTGATTGATCTGCGGAACTGCTTGGCTTCTGGGTCCTTGTTGATGATCTCATGCTCGAGGATGTTGTCGCCGTTCGGCTCAACGCGGTATCTCGACACGTCGGAAACCCCGGCAATCAATGGATGGCTAGTGGGGCAGTGATAACACTCGTTGTAGTTCTCAACGAGCCCCTTCCAGTTGGCGTCGACATCCATATCCCATTCGTGGTCGTAGCTAAATTCCTCTGCGAAGTCGAACCTGTTCATCCTTTCGCTTTGGTCCACGTTTTGGAACTGCCCTTCCCATGTAACGCTCGGCTCTTCTCCATGACTGGTGGCCTCTAGATTGACCCATACGAAACCCTTCCTGTCAACATGGACATGAATAGGCAGCAGGCCCTGTTGGCTGTTGTCGAACCATTCGACGGTATCGAAACGGGGAGCCTTCGCCAGATTGCCGTTCAGGCCATAGGACCAACCGTGATATTTGCAGTTCAAAATGCTGGCCGTACAGCATTTCTCTTGTTCAACGGGATACGCGCGGAAGCCCTTGATGGTGCCACTTGGGTCACGAATGAGGAAAAAGGAGAAATTGGCCTGTGTGAAGGAGGCATATTGGCCAGACTCGATGAATCGGAGTGAATGTGTGACTAGGATCCATTTTTGTGAAAATATGGCGCGCCGCTCAAGCTGGTACATCGCCGGGGAGCGATACCATGATGCTGGCAGCCCTCTTGTAGGCTTGGGCTTGGTTTGCTCGCTGTGCTGAGAGGAGCCGTGTAAGAATGAAGGGATAGATTTCTCTTAACTATAGACCTATTTAGGAGGGAGAGGACAGTCCCTTTTATAGACAAAGGTAAGTCTTTTAAACACCTATTAGAATACTATAGAAATTAAGAGAAATAAGTATTCTTTATATAAGTTAGTATTTTATATTTAAAGGATTAAAATAGTAATTATATTAAATTATAAATAAATATAAAACTATTAATAAATAGAGTATTTTTATAATTCTTTAAAAGTTAGATATATAATATAAATTATTTAAATAATTTTTTATAAAAATATAAGTATTATTTAATTTGATTTTAAAAATTTATTATTAAAAAACCTTTATAAAGGAATAAAAATTTAATAAATAATTATAATTATAAATATTTTAATTAAATAAAATCTTTATAAAAAAGTTTAGTTTATAAATAAAATATAAACTATATATATATTAATAATTTTTAATTTAATTTATTAAATAAAATAAAAACTAAAAGTTTAAAAGTTTAATTATATTAATAATTAAATTAAAAACTTTTAATATATAATTATAGTTATTTTATTAAAAATTTTATAATTATATTTATATATTATTATATTTATTTATATATAAATATATTTTTATATAATTTAATTATTATATTTAAATTATTATATTATATATATTATAAATTTATAAAATATATATAAATTTATAAACTTATAAGTATAGATTAAATATAATAGTTATAATAATATATAGTATATTATATATTATAAGTTAAGTAAGTTATTTTAAACTTTTATTTTAAGTTATTTTAAACTTATAGGTTAAAAATACTTTTAAGTTTATTTAATATATTTTTAATATATTTTTAATAGTTTATAAAATATAAAAGAATTTCTATTTTTAATAAGAATTTTTAATAATTAAAACCTTTTAATATATAGGGTTAATTTTAGTTTTAAAGGAGAAAATAATCTATTTATAAAGTAAAAATTAAGTATTTTTATTTAAAGAGTTTATTATTTTTAAAAAATACTTCTTTTATTAGATATATTATAATAGATATTTATAATTTATTTATTATTTTAAAATATTTCTTTTATTTTAAAACTCTTTTATATATATATAGAATATTTTTATATTAATTTCTTATATAAATTATACCTTTTTAACTAACTTAAATTCTTATTTAATTATAGGCTTTATTAATTAATTTATAAAATTATTTTTATATTTATTTTAGTAATTTTAATTAGATTTTTAATTATATATTTATTAAAGTAATATATAATATTTATATATTTAGTTTATTTATAAAATATTTAATTTTAGTTAATTTTAAAATAGTATTATTATTTTTATATATTTTACTTTTAAAATATTATACTCTAATTTTAAAAATTATTAAAATAAATTATTAAATTATATAAATAAATTCCTTTTAATAGCTTTTAAAGCTATATATTTAACTTTATAAATATTTAATATAAGTATTTTTATTATTAAAAAATTAACTAATAAAGTTAAATATATTTTTATTTTTAATAGATAAAAGAATATATAGTTTCAAATAGATTTTCTATTATTTATATTATTACTTTAATTTAAGTTATAATAACTTATTAAATATAAAGTATTTATTTTTAAATATTAAATTTTTATATATATTAGGAAATTTTAATAAATATTTTTATAATTTATTTAATTTTTAAAGTATTTTATATTAAAGTTAAATATATATTTAACTAATTTAAATATTAAAAGTATATATTTAATTTAGTTTTAAATTAATATATAAAAAAGTTTATTTATTATTAAAAGTTTTATTTCTTTTTAAAGGTTTAATTTATATTTTTTTAAGGTTTTTAAAAGTATAAAATATTAATTTTAATTTTATTTTAATATTATTAATATAATTATTTTTAAATATATTAAATTTTATAAATATTTTAAAAGTATATTAATTTTAATTTATAATAATAATTTTATTATTTTTATTAATTTTAATATTATTTTTAAAAATTATTTAATTCCTTTTAAAAATTTAAATTTATATTTTAAATATTAAGAAATTAAATTATTTATAATATTTAAATTAATATTTAAAGTTATTATATTATTTATATAATATATAAATATTATTTATAAATTTATATTTATAAATATACCTTTATTATAAGAATATATTTTAAATTTAATTTTATTAAAATATTAATTAAATATTTATATTATAATAAAAGTATTTATTTAAAGTTATATATAGCTTTTAATAATAAAGTAACCTTATTTTATATTTATTTTATTATATATAAAATTAAAAATTTAATATATATTTTATAATTTATATTAAAATATAAACAAATATTTTTATATTATAATTTAATATATATTAGTTTTATTAGTTACTATAATTAATAATATATTATAAGTTTTTACTTATAAATAATTAAAAGTTTTTAAAATCTATTTTAAATTATTATTTATAATTATAAATAATTTATTTAGCTTTATATTTAATAATTTTTTATTAATTATTTAATTAAATTTTATTATATTAAAATTATTTATATTTTTTTAATACCTATTTACTAAATAATATAGTTTTATTTTTAAATAATATAATTATTTTATAACAATTTTATTTTTTAAACTATTTTTTATTTATTATAAATTTAAATTATAAATCTTTTTAAAAATTTAATATTTCTTTTATATTAAAAGATTTAATTATAATATTAATTATTATAATAATAAAAAATTATTAAAATTATTCATAATAATATTTATATAAATATTTTTAATAAAATATAATTCTTTATATTTTTATTATTATTTTATCTTTTATAAGTATTTCTTCCCTTATAAAAGTTTTTTTAAATTTTACTTTTTTATAAATATTTTTCCTTTATAAAATTTTTAATATTATTTTTATTTTTAAATTTATTAAATTTATTAAAGGATTTTCTTTTAAAATCTATATATTTTATATTAATATAAATTTATTAATTTTTATATTTTAAACTTTATATATATATATTTTAAGAATATAATTTATTAAAAACCTTTTTATTTTTAATTTTTAACTTATTTTTATATTTATTATTATTATAATAAATTATTAAACCTTAAGTTTTATATTATTAATATTAAATATTTTATTATTTTTATTTTATAAAAATTTAAAAATTTAAAAAATATATAGAGTTATATTATATAAATATATAATAATTTTAAAAATATCTCTTTATAATATTTATAATAAATTAAAACTATTATTAAGTTTTAAACTTTATTTATTATAATAAAATTTAATTTTTATAACTTTATTAAATTTTTTATATATATAAAAATATTAAAGTAATATATATTATTTTTATTTAAAAGGATTTAAATCTTTTATTAGTAAATTTAATATTATTATTAAAGAAGAATTCTTTAATAGATTTATTACTATTATTTTCTTTTTATTTTTAAAGTTTTAAAAACTTTTAAAACCTTATTTTTCCTTTTAATAAATATTTATATAAATATTTAGTCTTTTATTAAAAATAAAATATAATATTTATATTTATTATATATAAGTATAAATAATTTATTTATATTATTATATATTTTTAAAAATATTATATTTTTATTATTTAAACTTTTTTATTATATTTAATTATATATTTAACTTATAAATAAATATTATATTTAAAAATTTATAAAGTTTTAATAAAATTTTTAATATTTATTTTATTATTTTAAATATTTATATAAATAGAATAAGATTTATATAACTTAAATAATAATATTAATAATATAAATTATTTAAAAATTATTTTATTTTTATATAATTAAAGTATTTATTTATATATTATTAAAATTATTATTAAATATTTTAACTTTAATATAATATAAATTATTTTTCTTATATCCTTTATTTATAAATCTATTAAACTTAATAAAATAAAGTTTAATTATATTTCCTTTTAATATAATTAATATAATATAATTTATAATATTATAATTAAATATATTTAAATTTAATAAAAATATATAATATATATTTAATACTTTAACCTTATAATTGTTATTTAAAAATAATATATTACTTTTCTAATATATTTAATATTTATTATATTTATTTTACTTTATTTAACTTTTTATTTATAAATTTTAATATTTAAATAATTTCTTATTATATAAATTAATTATATTTATTTTATTATTAAATATAAATTCTATAAATATAGTTTTTATATAGTCTTTATATTTTATATTAATTATTATATTTATTATAAATATATAAAAGTATAAATAGTATTTACTTTTATTTAAAATTTAATAAATTAATATTATTAAAGTTATTAATTATTTTATTTATATCTATTTTATTTATAAATAATTTATATAATATATAAATAATAGTAATTATTTTAGAATTTTCTTTTAATAAATCTTTTTTATTTTTTATTTTTAATTTATTAAAAGGATTAATAACTTTTTAATTTAAGAACTATAAAGAGTAATTTATTAATCTTTTATTTTACTTTAATTTATTAAAATTTAATTTATATATATAAATATTTTCTCTCTTTTTTTTACTTTTAAACTTTTAATACCTTATTAAAGTTAAAGAAATAGTAATTTTTAATATACCCCTTTAAGTTATAATAAAAGTATTTTATAATTTTTATTATTATTATTATTATTATTATTTATAAATAATATTTTTATAAAAGAGTTTTTTTAATTTATTTATTAAATTAATAAATAAAATATTAATTATATAACTTTTAAAATCTTTCTTTAAACTTTATATAATATTTTATATAAATCTTTTATAATGATTATTAAATAAATTTAATATTTAAATAATAATTACTTATTTAAAAGTTAATATTATTTATTTTTAAATCTTCAATTAATTATTTAACTTTATTTAAATATTTTTTATAATATTAAATTCCTTTAAAAGATATTTTAAAACTTTATAATAATATTTTTATATTTTATATATATAAAAGGTTTCTTTTATATATTAAGTAAATTAAAATATTAACTTTATAATTTTATTAATTAAAAGATTTTATAAATTATTATTATTTTAATTAAACCTTCTTTTATAAAAAACCTATAACTTTTATACTTTAATATAAATAATTTTTATATTAAATAACTAAAAATACTATATTTATTATATAAAGCTATAAAATTTATAAAGAATTCTTTAAATTAAAAAAACTTCTTTTATTAAAAACTTATATTATAAAAATAAGTTAAAAACTTTATATAATAATACTTTTTAAGTATATTTTTATTATATTTAATATATTTTTAGTTTTTTATAATTTTCTTTATAAAAGTTTTATCTATTTTTAAAATTAAAAATATTTTTTATAATTTTAATTATATTAAATATAATATAATAAATTAAAAGTTATATTTTATAATAAAGTTATAAATTTTAAAAATATTTTATAAAATTATAATAATAATAATCTTTTATAATAATATTAAAAATATTTTTAAATATTTTCTTATAAATTAAAATATTAAATATAATATATATTAACTTTATTTAAATATTAAAGATTAATTAAAATAATTAATTTTAAATAAATTATAAAATCTAAATCTTAAAATATTATTAATAAATATTTTAAGAGATTAAAAGTCTTATTAATTAATTAAAATAGTAATATAAATATTAATAAAAATTAAAAGAAATTTAAAGTTTTAAATAATATTTTTATAAAAATCTAATTAAAAATTTATAAAGTAAAAATTTAAAAAATAAAGTTAAAAGGAGGATTTTTAATAAATATTTAAAAGTTTTAATAAAAAATTAATTTAAAAGCTTTTAAAAAATTAAGAAATTATATAATAATTTATTAAAATTATAAATTTAAATAATTAAAAATAATATAATTAAAATTTATTTATTAAAATAAATTAAATAATATACTTTATAATAAAATAGATTTTATAATAATAAAGTAATTAAAAATATTTAAAATTAATAATATTAAAAATAAATATAAATAGTTTAAAATATTTATTAACTTTAATTTAAAAAGTAAAATTTAATTAATTTAATTAAAAGATAATTAAAAACCTAATTTAATTAAATATAAACTTAATAAATTTAATATAATAAGTTAACTTTTAAAATAAATAAATTAAGTTTACTATAATTTAATTAATTAAGTATTAAGAGATATAATTTATAAAAATAAAGGAATAAATTTTTTTTAATTATAAATCTATTTAAAAAGAAAAGAATAATTCCTTTTATAAATAAAGATAAATCCTTTAAACACCTATTAAAATATTATAGAAATTAAAAGAAATAAATATTCCTTATATAAGTTAATACCTTATATTTAGAGGATTAAAATAGTAGTTATATTAGACTATAGACAGATATAAAGCCGTCGATAAATAGGGTATTTTTACAAGCTAAATAAGAGCCGCCACATAGTGTTGACGCCAGGGAGTGGATGATTGGACAATCTCGTTGAAAACTACCCAGCGCGAGCTTTTGCGAGATCCGACTCGCCTTGCCTGCTGCATTCATGTAGGTAGCATTGACGCCCTCGCCATAGCTGGACGCGCTGCAGCCAGCTTGATTGCCAAGCGATTTGATACCTGGTCCTGGTCCGCCGCTGGTGCCGGTACTGAAGATAGAGGTGGGAGAAGAGTGGGGAAAATGTTGGCGTCCCTGGGGTGGAGGTTCCAGATAACGCCCTTAGCAGAGCTCCTAGTCCATACCTGGGTACGCATCCACGCATCCCACCAACTCTAAAGGATCGCGCGTTGGCCGGACCCCTCCGTATCGATGGCGGGCGAGCCTCGGAGTCTGGGAGACGACGCCAGGGACACGGGGAGCGGCACCGAGTGTCTGGGAGGTCTTGGCTTAGATGACATCCGACCCACTCGCTTTCCCCATCTTACGCAGGTTGTAACGTTCTCCAGATCGCAGCTCGCCGAGTTGCACTGGTGACCTTGGGATCTAGAGCTTACCTTGCGCACACCCAGCTACTTTTGTGGCGCATCAAGCTTCCATAAACCAACACCTTTCAGTAACCAAACATCAATTGATCCATCCCAAGGCAAATTTCGTCGCGATTTGATTCTTCTTTTACATGTGACAGCACTCCCGATACAGCTTTGGACGACACGACCGGAAAAGATGTCCAACGAAATCCCCCTCATTGATTTCTCTGGTACGCAGACCCCAATGTACAATTACAGCATACAAGAATCCAATGACTGAGAGAGTATTGCTTTGTGCTTTAGATTTCTACTCGCCTGACCCAGCAGTCAAGGCCGGCGTGGTTGACCAGATCCGCCAGAGTTGCTTGTACAATGGTTTTTTCCAGATTAAGAACCATTCTGTCCCACTGGAGCAACAGAGCGCTGCCATGAAAAGTGCCAAGAGGTTCTTCTCCCTAGATCTGGAGGAGAAGCAAAAAGTCTCCAAGAATAACAATACTTGGAACCGCGGGTACGAGATGCTCCGATCACAGATCTTGGAGGAAGGCACCCAGCCCGAGCTGAAGGAAGGCTTTTACATTGGCGATGACATCTCTGCCGATCACCCCTACTTCTTGGAGAAGAAACTCAACAGCGGGCCAAACCAGTGGCCGGAGCCTCTGGGGCACACATTCCAGGAAACGACCATGACCTACTACAAGTCAACCGTTGGCTTGGCCGCTGATCTTCTGAAGGCCCTGGCGCTGTCCCTAGGCCTTGAAGAGGACTACTTCTCTGAGTTCATGAACGGTGCTGTAGCGACGATGCGGCTGCTCCACTATCCGAGTCAACCAGCCGACGCGGACGAGAAGTTGTCGCGAGGAATCGGTGCTCACACTGACTTCGGGGCGATCACTCTACTCTTGCAGGACGAGGTCGATGGTCTGCAGGTCTGGGATAAGCGTTCGGAAACATGGATCGATGTGAGTTTAATTGTTTGCCAGCAACTAAGAGACATCATCTGACATTTGATCTAGGTCGAGCCCACCAAAGGTGCTTTGGTCATAAACCTGGGCAATCTCATGTCTCGGTGGACAAATGAGAAGTACAAGAGCAACGTCCACCGAGTCATCAACAAGTCAGGAAAAGAGCGTTACTCTATCCCCTTGTTTGTGTCGGGTAACCCCGACTACCTCGTCGAGTGCATCCCGACATGTAAACTTGCGGATGAACCGGCGAAATTCCCCCCAGTTACGGTTCAGGAGGCCGTATCCGCAGCCTACGCTGAGTCTTATGGGAGAGCACAGCTTTTCAAGCAGGGCTTGGAGAAAGTGGTTGCGAGCACTACGGCAGCGGCATCGTCTCCCGCGGCTGGCACGCCAATTGCTGCTGCTTAAGGGCCAAATTCAATATGCCCATGTAATTTTGGGAGATCCCCTCTAACGAGCGATCATGTACCGTATAAAAGAGTTGCATCAAAATGAAATGGTCTAAACGTCGAATGTCTGGTGATCATCAATCTACGAAAACTTTGCATCCGAACTTGACGGCTTTGACTGTGTTCCGGGAATGTCTCCATGCACATTGGTGCTCAACCGGGAAGAATATTGTAAACCATGTACACATGGTTGAAGAGCATGTGACTGGTCAACAAATTGTCGGAAAACTCGATGACGGCCCCTCATTCAGCACCACGTGCACCTGGGCAGTTTGCATTGCCTGATACCGACCCTAGCAACGCCCATTGGCCCCACGACCTATCTATCAGGCAAGCTCTCCCACTTTTGATTTTGGTCTTTTGCACCTTCATGATGCCGCTTGTGACGGTATTCGTATCAAAAGCGACGCACCTTTCCTACTTTGGTCTCACCAGCAGCCAATCATCATCATGGCTGTGATAGCTCAAATGAAAACAGATGCACTGTGGATCTGGCGTAGGAGTACAAAGCTGTGAGAGAAACCAACAACAAATTGAACAACTCTCAACTGGACCGGTTTATACAATCTCTTCCCATAAGTCTTGGAGAACGCGAATTCCTTTGGGCTACCACAGAATGGCTGATTCAAGTAACTTCGAGAAGCCGGGTATCGCACTAGCTGGGGACGATCGCTCAACAACGGAAGGCCAAGTCCATGGGTGCGATGAGGTTCACGCGAGCCTGAAAAGCGAGCGGAAATATGGTAAGACCTGATGACTTCCGAAATAAGACCAAAAAATGCTCATGGGTGCTCCAGTGCGAAAGCTAGACCTGTGGCTTTTACCTTTCCTCAGCATGATGTACTTCTTCAACTCCATCGATCGAGTGAGTCAAATACAAGCATACCTAGGTAACTAGATGATGATGAGTTCCATCATTGCTAACAATAAGTCATCTTTCAGAGTAATCTGGGTAATGCCGAGACAGATGGAATGGGAAAGGACCTGCACTTTGTCGGGCAGGAGTACTCGTTGCTCGTCCTTCTCTTTTACATACCGAATGGTCTCTGCGACCTCCCCCTCAACATGTTGACCGCGCGATTTTCGGGAAAGATCATGCTTCCACTCCTCATGACCGGCTGGGGGGCAATGTCAATGCTTCAAGCCGCCTGCACCAGCTTTGCCGGCATATTGGTTGTCCGGTTGATTCTAGCGTAAGCATTCCCCCAGATGGCTGCATTATTCACATTCATTTTGTATGCTAATTCACTGTCATCGAATTCAGTGCCCTTGAAGCCGGGTTCTTCGCCGGCGCCGTGTTCTATCTCACGCTCTTCTACACCCGAGGCGAACTCGGCTTCCGTATTGCCCTGTTCTTCGGCAGTGCGCTGCTGGCGGGGGCTTTCTCCGGGCTGTTAGCATTTGGGGTATTTCAAATCAAGGAGTCACATGTCAAAGGCTGTAAGCATCACTTTTCACCTATCATGGATCCCCGCCTTTTGTATTTTGGAGCGTCCTATAATACAACACCTCAGGACCCGTAGCAGGACTAATGTTACTATCAGGGATGTGGTTGTTTCTAATTGAAGGTGGGATGACTGTCATCATGGGAATTGTTGCTTTCTTCTGGCTGCCAGCATCACCCTCAACTGCGTGGTTTTTCACCGAGGAGGAGAAGACGATGGCGGAGATGCGGCAGCTGAGAGACGGCTCTCGGCAGGTTGGCGAAGAGTTTACGCTCAAAGATTGCTTTAGCAGCTGGAAGAACCGCATGTTCGCAGTGTGGTGCATCATCAGCTTCACCTATCCGGTTGCGTTCGCGACAACAGCGAACTTCCTTCCCCTGATCCTCAGACGGCTGGGTTATAGCACGGTGATCACAAATCTCCTCACCGTTCCGCCAAATGTGGTTGGGTTTTTGGCTCTCCTGGCCGTGACACGCAGCTCCGATAGGAACCGCGAGCGTTCGTTCCATATCGTCGGCGCATTGCTGCTTAGCCTGGCGGGACTCATCATTTTGGCGGCGGTCCCCTCAGACACTGACGCGGCACACATCGGCGTGGCATACTTCGCCTGCTTCCTGCTATGCAGTGGCGCATACATCCCGAGTTGTCTTGTCCACAGTTGGCACAACAACAATAACCTCAGCGAGACGTCGAGGGCAGCGACGACAGGCTTGTTGGTCGGCCTTGGAAATTTGGGCGGTATCCTGTCCGGGGCAACATTCCGAACTAATTACGCCCCTCGTTACATCCCCACTCTGGGTGCAACAGCGGCTTGTAATGTGGTCTGCATTTGCTTTACCCTTGGATTAGGCCTTTGGATGCGCAGGGAGAATGCAAGAAAAGACCGGGAGTGTGGGGCTGTGTTGAAGGCTGGTGACACTGACACGAGGGATATCGTATTGGGAACTAGAGACACAAGGTGGAGGTACTTTGTATGAATTCACAGCCATGCTGATCCTTTTCACTGTGGTGGAGAGATCAATACCAAGGTAATTACCTCCTTGTACCGACATATTGCAAGGAATTCATAATGAAATGGTAGATAATAGAGTCGATTGATACGTGTCATAAACATCAAACAGGCGGCTCCTCAATATGGGTCTTGCTTCCAAGGCTTTCATCAAAACACTATCTTGTCTAGAGTTACGACTTTTTGTTCTTGGCCTCATGATACTTTCGCATTACCTCTTGTGCATCAGCAGGCATCAGAGCACCTGGTGCTGGTGTGTTCTTGCTCTTGAAGTGGTCGCACATCTTTATCATGCAGTCAATATCTCAGGTCTTTGCACAAGTGGGCAAGATCACATACCTCGGCCATGGTCACCCATCTTACACCCTCGTGTTTGTTGATATGCTCAATTATGCGCTCGTGCATGAGCAAGACGTGTGGACGGCCAGACACATCAGGGTGGATGGTCATGGGGAAGATGAATTCGTCTGAAGTCAGCTAATGTTAGTAGATGCTCCAATGAAGGGAAACGTGAAATGACGTGCCGTATTCTCGGTAGAAGTAGTCGAAGTGATCCTTCCAAATATCTTCAACGTCTCTGCCCAATATCATCAGCATTGTCCTTTTTAGAAACATATTGCCCGTTGACAAATTACCTAGGGTTTACCCATCCGTGAGAGTTCGCATTTCCTTTGATGAACATCATTGGAGGCAGATCATCGATATACCAAGAACCGGGGATTTCAACAAGCCCCGTCTCTTGCCCCTTCACCAGTGGCTTCATCCATTCCTCGGCCTTCTTCGAGTAATCAATTTTGGTCCAAGAATCCCCTGTGCGGAGCCAATACGCTTGACAGTCATGGTGCGACATGGAGTGGTCATACTCAATGCCATAGCTGAGCATGAGCTCGGTACCCTCCTTGCTGGTTTCCCACCAGGGAGCAACGGAGCCACGAGGCGGCTTGCCGCAGAAGTCTGTCAGCATCTTCCAGGTCTTATCCAACACGTCTCTCTGCTGCTCGAGGGTCATATCGACGGGGTTCTCATGACTATAGCCGTGAAGACCAATCTCATGACCCGCGTCGCGGACCATGGCACACTCCTCTGGAAATGTCTCCAATGAGTGGCCGGGGATGAACCAGGAGGCTTTGATATTGTACTTCTCGAACAACTTCAGAAGTCTTCGAGTCCCAATTGTCCCGGCCCAAAGCCCTGGTCATCGTCAGACCTCGTAGTAGCTACCAAGGTATGAAAAGATGCTGCCATAGCTAGACTTACCCCGGCTGATGTCGCTGGTGCTGTCCTCACCTCCATAGGACCCAAGCCACCCGGCCACTGCGTCGATATCTACGCCATAACTGTTCTAATATCAGCATCTTCAGTCGGCTGCAGGGCCTATGGATCTTGGAAATACTCACCAAACCAATACTTCTTTCTTGCCCATTGTGGTTCTTGGATGAGATACTGTCTTAGCTACAGGCACACGCAGGCCTGGATGATGCACACGATGCTGCTGACTCTTTTTTGTTGATGTACTCAGCCAGCGTTGGTCGGGTGGCCGGTACGAGGAGGGGGATCAGCTAGGCACAGGGATGCTTGTAGTGGGGTTCGTTTCCGAAAGCGACTGGACGGACTGGCTCTCACTAATGACGCGCTACCACAGTCCGGAGCACAGGACGATGCGGAGTACATGATATGCTGCCGCCCGGCGCTTGTACGACAAGCACCCGGCAATAGGAAGAGGCGGCGGCCTTGGAGATAGCGACGGCCTGCCAAGCCCGCGCACTTGAGTCTCACCAGAGCTTCCCCTCCTTTTCCCACTCTTGACATCGCGGACCCAATACTCCAGCCCCACTATTGACCGTAGACCGCTTGCTACAGACCAGCGTTGGCATCGGAGTCAGTCTTCCGCACACCCCTTCCGTATGTGGAAGAAGTCTCCTGGCGAACATGCGTTTATCGCAGACTCGACTGCGAGCTTATATGCGAATGGTGCGGATACTCCATGGATGTACTGCTATTACAAATTGGGAACAGTCCACGCTCCAATGATAGGACTCTGTGACCTCGCCACGTTGAAACACCAAACGGACCACATTCTCTAGGAGATTACTCTGGGCAAGCATCACTCAGCCATGTCTAAGGTACGGGCATGAACAAAAATTAAAAACGCGTGTTGGAGTATAATCATGTGCTAATTTTGAATATTTATTCTTCATAGTTTTCGCTGAAAGGAAGAGTTGCTCTGGTAACTGGTGGAGCCAGAGGATGTGGCCTTGCCTTTGCTCAAGGCCTGGCCGAGGCAGGCGCAGACGTGGCCGTCTTCGACGTGATACCGCCTTCACCAGCTCTAGCACAGCTCACATCGGACTACGGCATTCAAACAAAGGCTTACACGATTGACGTGACGTCGATCTCTAGCCTCAAGGCTGGTTTTGAAGCCTTTAAGACAGACTTCGGTGGAAGGCTTGACATCCTTGTTGCCTGCGCAGGGGTGAACAAGAATGTCGAATTCATGGAGACCACCGAGGAAGACTTCGACAGGTTATTTGGGGTCAACTGCAAGGGTGTCTACTTTACTGCACAGCTTGCGGCGAAACAGATGATCGAGAATCAGACCAAGTGTGGTAGCATCATCCTCGTCGCCAGCATGGCGTCATACATTGCGATCCGTTCTCAGCGCTCGAGTGCCTACTGCGGGACCAAGGGTGCGGTGAAGGCCATGGTGGCACCGATGGCTGCTGAGATGAACAAGTACGGGATCCGGGTGAATTCAGTGAGCCCAGGTTTTGTTAGAACTGAGATGACATCCCCATTCCCGCACTTATTGGAGAGTTGGAAAGATGAGATCATGCTTGGTCGTGTTGCAGAGCCCGATGATATCAAAGGAGCATGTGTGTTTTTGGCAAGCGACGCCAGTAAATACTGCACTGGTACCGACATCGTGGTAGACGGGGGAGTGACTAAGTGGTGAATATTCAGGACTAGTCCTGCAGGATCTGGTCCAGATTGATCTTGAGCGCTTACTACTCTATGAAGGCGCCATATGAGTCTTAGATGTATGGTGATTAGATAGGAAACCACTTATACAGGATCTGCAGTCCAGGTGAAATGAAGCTGAATCCAAAAAATTGCATTGCTTCAGACAAGCTCCCGCTTTGTGCTCCATGAGTTGAGCTAATCGGACATTGTCAGGCTGGCGCCCGGGAACAGATGCGATGTGGTAGAAACCACAGTCATACCGCTTGCCATCAGTTATTCATTAAATTCAAATTCTGGGCGAAACTCTATTCTCCATTGTCCTTTATCTATGTCTATGATTGACCGCCAGTGGTCAAGAGATCCTGCACTATTTTCCCAATCCCGAGAACCTTCTCTTCCTCCAATTTACGCCCCACGATTTGCAGTCCGATCGGCAATTTGAGCTTTGCCATCTCTTCCTTGTTGTCTTTCCACAAATCCAAACTCCACTGGTCCACCTCTCCTCGTGGCTCGAAATCCCATGACGCCACAAGGTCATCTTCACACACCTTTCCACCAGGTATGACCAGCGCGGTGTAATCGAGAACATTCCATATTTTTGTGTATCCGACCCACCGGCAACCTTTGTGCGGCACGGCAGTGTGAGGCATTGGAGGTGTGAGAAGCGCATCGACAATCTTCCTGTCGCTTGTTCGAATGGAATCCCACTTCTCCAAATATGCCTGCTGCAGTGCCCATTTTCGCCGGTTCAGCTGCCAGTATTCAAATACTGATATCGGCTTGCCTCGATTTATGAGCTTCTCCACGTGTGGAATGAAAGGCTCGCCACCGGCTGTCACTGCGACGCGTATATCTTCGCCGCCATCGGCTGTGTAGAATTCGTCCAGGACCTGGATACATTCGGGGTGGAGGTCCGCGTTCCATTCGAGAATTGTGTGACCAGCAGATCGAAGAGCTGTCACCGCTTCGTCAAGCACGCGTGAAATAGGCGGATGTGGCCGAGCAACGCCGTCGTCTCTCAGCACACCGATAACAAGGGGTCTCGAGGTAACGTCCTGATATACATCTTCGCGCCAGGGAACCGGAACACATCTAGCGTCAAGTTCCCAAGGCTTCGATTCAATCAGTGACTTCATCACCAGGTGAACCGTGTCAAGCCTACGAGCCATAGGTCCAACGGAAGAGGGCACATGTTCTTGGCCTTCTGTCGAAACAGGCACGCCATGGTAAGGAAGCCTGGAACTCTGCAGTAAACCTATCAGCATTGCCATATGAGGTAGGGTATGTGGGCACAATGAGCGCGGCGGGGTGGGGGGTTTAAAAACTCACGCTAGGCTTGAAGCCACAGATGCCCATCATGTGCGACGGAATTCGGATACTCCCCCCAATATCAGTTCCCATGCCGAGCATACTTGCGCCGCCTGCAATCAGGACAGCTTCACCTCCAGTAGAGCCACCAGGTGTGTATTCTTGACTGTAAGGGTTCGTGGTCAAGCCCCAGAGCGGATTCTCAGTCTCACACCACATGATGCTCTGAGGGAGATTCGTCTTCCCCAAGATTACAGCCCCTAGCGATTTGAGCATCTTGACCGCCGCTGCATCCTGTTCTGCTGGGTTGAACGCTCTTCCTACATATCCAAGTGTTGTGTCATAGCCTTTCAAATTGAATTGATCTTTCAAAGTCACCACCATACCGTGAAGTGGTCCCATTTGCTCATTGTGTTGTGAAAGATATTTGTCAAGATTCCGGGCAGCATCCAAGGCATCTTTGAAGCACACTTCTGTTAAGCTGTGATGATTTGTTAGCTATTTAAGAATTAGGGCTATGTCGTATTGCACTTGCCAGTTTGTCTGTTGGATTATTGGAAAGGCTGAGTTAGCGAGAACACCGTAGCACGTAGATATCGCAAAGTGTAGTACTTGTCTGCCACTGTATGAAGGCGCCGTGTGTGGCTTTGCACCTGTGCGGAATAGAAGCGAAGCCAGTGGTGCTGTTCTGGCAAAGCTACTGCAACAAGAGAAGACTCTTCTTACCGATTTGTGTATTGTGCATGCCCTGTGTTGAGCTCCAGCTTTCAGTCCCACATGCGCTTTGGCAAATTTCAAGCTCTGAGTGATTGCACTCACTTTTCAATATGGCGCAGGGTAAGAGCCTCGCAGGAAATCTCTGACCTTGCAACTTGTTGGAGGATCTCTTCATCACGAGCAAACGTCGACGAATATTCGCTGGGATCTATCTTCTGGGATCCAGCATGCCCATTCAAGACGGCAAATTCTGTGATTGCCTCCTCCCGGGCACGTCGCTTGCCAGCAACAACTTCCTGCCAAGTCACATCCATCAATTGCTAATACCAGGTCTCTCCTATGGACAGAAATGAATCCGTTTCGCAGACTCTCCGTGTCTGATCAAATGACTGTTCACGCCTGACCTTGCAATGCCCGTCCTGCGCATTCCGGCCCGGTCGCGGAAGGCGAGAACTATCGTCATATCGGGGTATCCACCGAAAAGCCGACTGGGCAGGAAGTCAATGCGATTGAAACCCCTGTCTATTGCATAATCACAAGAGATCAGAGCTAGTGGTCCTCTGATTGGGTCCCGACTCACTCGTATTGTAATCTCGGCGCGAATATGCCTATCAGTGCCAACACGGCACTGATTGCGACGTGGCTACATAGCATCAAAGTCTAAATCTAATGGGAATTAGGCATACGGAGAACTGCAGGGATACACGCGTTAGCCAAGAGTGGGGATGCAGGATGTTGTGCCTGTACTCCAACCCACTTCCCGCCGGCATGTACCGATTGCCAGACGACGGGTGAAGCTCTCGCTCGGCGCATTGCCATTCCCTAGGGGTGGGAAAGTCGTAGTCAGCAGACTGACGACACGCCATGAGCTGATGGGCTGATGAGCTGATGGGACGCTAGTATGGGCACACTACGTCTCAATTGGCCGAGCCGCACCACTCCATCACTCTCATATGAATGTTGAGCTTTCAGTTGCGTCGTTGCCTGTGTAATTGGGCCTGGCGAGAACTTGAAGGTTCTGGTTTCACAGCTGACGACTCAACATGACGCTCACCAAGACAAACGGAGCAACTGCTAAGGAAGCCATGACTGGTGCACCCGGTACATGCAATGTATGTGTGGTTGGGGCCGGACCTGCTGGCATCATGTTGGCGTAAGAGTGCTACTCCATCTCTTCACCTGGACTTTTGAGTACTGACTTGAGACCCGCAGTGCCCTCTTGGCGAGGTTTGGCATCAAGGTTGAAATTCTTGATGACAGACCGGACCAGACGACAGTGGGCAGAGCCGATGGAATTCAACCCAAGACGATTGAGACCTTCCAGATGCTCCGTCTTGGGGGTGATCTTCTGGACACTGGCGTTAAAGTGTTCGATATCTGCATGTGGCGGTCCCAGGTCAACGGCACTGAGGTCCCGGCCTTGGCCCGGGTAGGGCGCGAGGTGCACTACCCATCAGATGCAGTCGATGTGCTCCATCCTTTCATACTGTTGTGTCATCAAGGCATGGTAGAGGGCATGTTCGTCGACGATTTGAGGCAAAGTGGGTTTGAGGTCCGGCGTGGATGCGAATTCAAGACATTCGGCTACGGCAAAGGAGATGGGGGTTCTCCAATTCAAGTCACATACACGCACGACAATTCCGAACAGACTCTCCAGTCTGACTACCTCGTTGGCTGCGACGGGGCACGCTCGCGGGTTCGCCAAGGGATACCCGGGACATATGCGGAAGGCAACCCTCACGATTCCTACTGGGGCGTGCTGGATGGCAGGCTCGAGACTGACTTCCCCGATATATGGAGCAAAACCGTCGTCTACTCGGAAGAGCACGGATCAGTCTTGATCATCCCGCGGGAACGGAACCTCACGCGGTTCTACATTGAGGTGAAGAATCAGCAGAACTCAGTGGACGAGCAGTTCGTTATGGACCAAGCAAGGAAAATCATGTCACCATACAGCCTTGAGTGGCTCTCAGTGGAATGGTTCGGGAACTATCGCGTCACTCAACGAGTGGCAGCCCGCTTCTCCGATTCCACTGGCCAGCCCCCACGAGTCTTCATCGCCGGTGATGCCAGCCATACTCACAGCCCCAAGGCTGCGCAAGGGATGAACACTAGCATGCACGACTCATGGAACCTTGGCTGGAAGCTGAACCTCTCCGTGCGTGGGCTGGCTAAGAAGGACATATTGCTTGGAACTTACGAGGAGGAGCGAAAGAAGATCGCTCACGACCTGATCAATTTTGACTACGAGCATGCCAACAGCGTCGCTGGTGGGGACGCCAAAGCCTTAGCCGAGAACTTTCGCACAAACATAGGGTTCATCTCCGGCGCTGGAGTGGAATATGCATCCAACAGTCTCAACCATGTTGATGGGCCTGCAAAGCAGCTTCAGAATGGGCACGTGTTCAAGGGTGCCGCTCGTCCCGGGCGAAACCTGCCGCCAGCCAAAGTCACTCGTTACATCGACGACAACCCTGTCGATATCCAGCTGGACATACCTATTCTCGGCCAGTTTCGCGTTTTCGTGATTGTACCGGATGTTTTGGGATCAGCAAACTTCCTCGCCAAGTTCAGTGAATCGGTCTTGTCAGAGGCGTCGCTCATGTCGCAACTGTCTACGGCAGCCAGCAAGTCCTACCAGGATTCACCTAGACCAACTAAGCCAAGGGACACATACTACCGTCCCGAAAGATATGTACCGCTCAGTCAACTGTTCACATATGCCCTCATAAGTAAGTTTGCCCAGACTGGATTTTTCCTGTGCTATTTGCTGACTGTCAAATAGCGAGAACAGAAAAGGGGGAGTTTGAATTGGCATCCCTGCCGCGTCTGCTGAGCAAAAGCAAGTGGACCGTATACCTTGATAATGTCTCACATCTTGATACACAAAGTCAGACATGCACGGAGAAATGGATCGGCGAACTCGGGTCAGAGCAGGTGGCTATCGTCAATGTGCGACCTGACGGCTACGTTGGCTCTGTCACCAAGTACAGTACAGCAGGAGACGATGCAGGTTTGGTGGCTGCTCGCTCTCTGGACAACTACTACGGTGGCTTTCTGCAAGTGTAGCGGTTTCATTCCAGAGTCTTATACGTAAAAATGAATACTACCGTAATCGTCCTATATCACGCCCATACGCGTGCAGTATTGTAGCCGTATGCGTCCGTCATAGTTTTGTGCAAAACACGTGCGCGCGTGAATGGCAGTAAATCACATATCCCTGCATTATGGCAGTGTCCCCATCTCTTTTCCTGCGTCAGGGCCATGTGTGCCAATCTCCATGCAATGCGTCTCTACGAGCGGGCTAGCGGGCTAGGCGGCCTGTCTCAGCAAGTGATGCTACAGTACAACCTGCATAAAACAGGGTTCCTCGGTGGATAAGAGAGAGAGGCGGGTCGTACTGCTTGTTATCGTAAATGGGGAAACTTTGCTTTGGCAGGGGAGTCCTTACGGGGGTGGGATTCTTGGTACCGGACTCCATGCTTCTACCCCAGAGCTGACTGCGGAAAACAACCTTAACAAGTAAGGTAACTTGGTCGATACATTACAGAGAGCTGATTGGGCAGCCCCATGGACCACCAAGTGCCGATTATCTGGGCACTGATACGCTGGTGCCTTGCTGTAGCACCTGTGCGTCAGCAGTCCGAGCTGCGGCCGCTTGATAGCGATTGGTACTGGAAGATACCTAGGTACGGCTTGGGTAGGTCCGGACTGCCGTAAAGGAGACATGCTTTTCCAGGGTGTTTAATTTATTAATAACTTCAGCCGTTCACGAGGACTTCGTGTTTCAACGAAATACTTTCCATGTCAAACGACTATAAGCCTCATCTTGCCAATCTCATCATGTCGGCCCAGAAGAGTGAGGATTCGAAGGGCAAGGAGGTTCTCACCCGAGAGCCGTCAGTAGGTAATGGCGGGCTCGAAGTCGTCGACGACCAACAGGTGTCCGATTTCTACGGTAGCTCCGTCAGCGACAGCTACCGGTTGAAGTCAGAGTTGGTGGCAAAGCATTTGGCTGAGATAGGGATGGGAAAGTAAGTCTACTTGCCTCGCACAGTCTTCTAGTCGTGTTTAATTCGTGTGTGCTATTCAGGTTCCAATGGTACCTCTTCGTGGTGGGGGGCATGGGTTGGGTAGTGGACAATTTCTTTAGTCAAGGAATAACCGCTATCAGACCGCCGGTAGCAAACGAGTTCACCGATATTACACATCTAAGCTTCAGCTCCGTCGCCTACTATGTTGGGCTGATCATTGGAGCGTCCTTCTGGGGCATCACGGCAGACCTCATCGGACGCAAGCCTGCTTTTAATGCCACAATTCTGATCGGTGGTATCTTCGCCTGCGCGTCAGCTGGGTCACAGAACTTCGTAACGTTCTGCTCGCTTTGGGCTGTTATTGGCACAGCTGCAGGCGGTAACGTCCCTGTTGACAGCATTATTTTCCTGGAATTCATACCCCAAGAACGCCAGTGGTTGTTGGCAAGCCTGTCCGCATGGTGGAATTTGGGACAAGTCATTGTCTCGTTGGTGGCGTGGGTGTTTCTGGCAAACTATGCTTGTGAGAGTTCCGAAGCTCCCTGCGCTGCGAGTTCAAACATGGGTTGGTAAGTGAATGCCATCATGACATGCATCTCACGCGATAGTTATGACTAACCCAAATTCCTCCAGGCGGTATGTTATGATCACGCTAGGTTCCCTCGCCATCGCCTTCGCCCTCATCCGAATTCTCGTGTTCAAGATGCCCGAGTCACCACGATACCTATTGTCAAGGGGGCGTGACGCCGAGGCAGTCGATGCTGTCAATTATGTGGCTCGATACAACGGAAAGCCCGAAACCTTGACCCTGGATATGCTCAAGGCGATCGATGCAGCTCAGTCTGGGCTGATCATCCAAGAGGAACAGAGTGAAAGCACTTCGCCTGCAGTTGCCGAGAAGAAGGCGCCACTGTCCTACAAGCAGATCATCGCCGAGAATTTCAAGGACTACAGCAGTCATAGCTACCGCAAGCTCTTTGCAAGCCGCAAGATGGCTCGACACAGTTCGGTGATTTTTCTCATCTGGTTGACCATCGGCGTGGCATACCCGCTCTATTTCGCTTTCATCACATCCTACCTCCAAACGAAAACGACCTACTCCACGAACAACTCACGTCAGTATCGCTTTTCACCTTTTACGGATCCCCGTCTTTCATGTTTTGGAATGTTCTAGAATACACCACTTTAGGACCTGTAGCAGGACTAACTTCACCACTAGTCAACCACACTTACATGGTCTATTGCATCGTCTCAGTAGTTGGCGTGGTCGGCCCAATTGCAGCTGGTTTCTGCGTTGAAACGCGCTTGGGGCGGCGCTGGATGATGGCCCTGTCCGCGATGCTAACTGGTGTTTTTCTGTTCGCATACACAAGCGTTGGTACAGAGGCAGCAGACATCGGCTTTCAATGTGCGACCGCCATTCTTGGCAACTTTGGTAAGCCCACGCTCCGCATTCTAACACCCCTGGCCATAGTCGCCCATCAAGACTGACTGTTCTGTCGACAGAATATGCAATCATGTTCGCATTTACGCCAGAGTCATTCCCTGCCCCAGTCAGGGGAACTGGAACTGGGATTGCGGCGGCATTGCTACGTACTGGTGGATTGGCAGCATCTTTCATCTCCACTTACTCGGGCTACTCGGTGGTACCTATTTATGCGAGTGCCGCTCTTTGGATTGTAGCGGGCGTTTTCTGCTTGGGCTTGCCGTTCGAGACTCACGGCCATGCGTCTATCTGATATTTTTGTTCTCGTGTAAGGAAATATAGGGTAGTCACTTTACACAGGTGATACACGTTGATGATGGATGTATCGGAAAATATGGTTTATCAATGAAGACAAGTGCACATGTGGACATTCACGAGCCAGTATTTTCATCACTGACGTAGGGCAATTTTAACATTTACAGCGTCGAAGAAAATGATTGCACACAAAACTACATGAATATTTGTTCACAATTGCTCAACTACAGCGGAAACCACCTCAATGCTGTTGATAGTTGACAAATATCCTGGAATCCACGGACATGGCTGGAGTACCACCGGATGGTGTCAAGACTTATTGCCCAGCATTGATCAGCGGTCCGGATCACATTGCCGCAGTGACAACAGACCTTTCCAAGGTCATTGTGGAGCATTTCATACACCCACCCTCGAATCGGAAAAACTAGAGTCTGGCAACTTATCACCGTCGAGGTGAGCGGACTTACCCCGGTCCACTCCTACCCGGGGGGCAGGCCTTCCCTGCCCCCCTACGCCCTTGGCGTAGGGGGTGCCAAAAACCCACAACGGCCAAAACCTCGCAACACTTACACCTATCTATTTTTACTACTTTCCCCTATAAAACCCTACTTTTTAATTAAATATATTTCCTTTATTAAATTTTATATAAGGAAGAAATAAATACCTTTAAAATCCTTATTTTATAAGGATTAATAATAAAATATTTTTAAATTTATAGGGTTAGGGTTTAAGATTTTAGTTTTTTTAGTTAAGGGTTTTTTTAAATTAATATATTTATTTAAATAAATTATATTATTAAAAAATAAAAATATTAGATTATTCTTAGAATTATTATATTTATATAAATAATATTTATAAAATTCTATTTTTAAATTTAAGGTTATTATATTCTATTTCTTTATAAGATTTTTAATATTATAAATTCTTTTAAAACTTTAATTCTTAATCTTTTATAAATAGATTTTAATTTTAAAAATATTCTTTTATATAAAAGAAAATTCTACTAAAATTCTATAGGTATTATATTTTTATTATATAATTTATATAAAAAGATATATTAATTTTAAAAAACCCTTAACTAAAAAAACTAAAATCTTAAACCCTAACCCTAGAAATTTAAAAATATTTTATTATTAATCTTTATAAAATAAGGATTTTAAAGGTATTTATCTTTTATCTATATAAAATTTAATAAAGGAAATATATTTAATTAAAAAGTAGGATTTTATAGGGGAAAGTAGTAAAAATAGGTGGGTGTGAGTGTTGCGAGGTTTTGGCCGTTGCGGGGTTTTGTCACCCACTCCGCCAGGAGTGGGTAAGTGGAAGCCGAAGCCCACGGGTAGTAACACAAGCCACCCCTGCTATTCACCCCCATTTTCGACCCGATGCCTGCAGGGGGACAATGCTCCACTCCCATTGCCCGTGACACGGACGGCTCAACACAGCGGTAGTATCAACGTTGCTTTTTAGGGAACCTGGGCACACAATTACTCTATAATGGGCACCTCCAGAGACTTATTCCGAGTGTCTAACATATCTCAATTTTTATGTCCAAAAGACGGCCACTGCTCGGTCAAGTGAACCTAGTTTTGTCTCCATCATCTTCACTAAAATTCTTAGAACAACGGCATCTCCTGTCACTACCGTGTCTAAACAGAATGGGATCTGCTTCAACTCAAACTCCTTTCCCTCCTCTTGGGGACACATCGCTTTTCAAGCCTCTGAGCCTCGGGAAATGGGACTTGCAGCATCGTATCGTCCAGGTGAGTGCATGCCAGGACAATGGCGGCAGACTTTTCTTCTCATGCATCACTCTAGGCACCCCTCACGCGTATGAGGAATGAATTCTCTTCGCGAGGAGTCTACATTCCGGGTCCAAGGGTTGTCAAGTATTATTCAGACCGTGCGACCCTCGGTGGTCTTCAAGTCACCGAGGCAACAGACATCTGCCTGGACGCCAGCGCATACCCAGGATGTCCTGGAGTCTTCACGAAAGACCAGCTGCAGGCGTGGCGCAAAGTCACCGATTCCGTGCACGCCAAGGGTGGCTTCATTATAAGCCAGCTATGGCATACCGGCCGTGCCTCGTCGACCGGCATGCGAGGGGGCAACCAATGTGTGTCGTCGAGTGACATCCCCATGTCAGGTTCCTACTTGGACGGGACTTCCTGCGCTGAGGGTCCTCCACGACCTCTGACAGTGGATGAAATCCACGACTTGACTTCTGAGTGGGCGGCTGCCGCCAAGAGGGCTGTAAATGAGGCTGGGTTCGACGGAGTTGAAATCCACGGCGCGAATGGCTACTTGCTGGACCAGTTCCTTCACGACAACGTAAACAAGAGAACAGACGAATACGGAGGTTCCATTGAGAACCGTTGCAGGTTTGTGCTGGAAGTCATCACGGCAGTCTGTGAGGCCGTCGGGGCGGAACGCGTCGGAATCCGCCTCTCGCCTTATAATTACTTCCAAGACACCCGGGACAGCGATCCCAACAAGCATTGGGCCGTTCTGTGTGAGAAGATCGCTGGCCTTCCTGATGGCCAACGCCCTGCCTATGTTCACATGTCAGTTGTTCAAAATGCAATTCCCTGTTTTCTCATGGTACGATATCGCTAATCATGGAGGGACGAACAGGATCGAGCCTCGTTTCGATGAAGTTCTGGACGAGCAGCAAAAGATGGAATCGCTTGCTGCGTATACTTCCAGCTCCACGTCGGACGCAGCCCCCACCAAAAAGAACTCCTTGACGCCATTCCGGACCATTTTGAAGGCTGCTGGGATCGGTTTCCTCGCCGCCGGAAGTTTCAACCGCGATAATGCCGCCCCCAAGGTGGAGGGCGACGGCGCAGATCTGATTGTGTTTGGTCGACACTTCATCGCCAACCCTGATTTGGTTGAGCGCTTGCGAAGTGGACTTCCACTCAACCCGTATGACAGGGCCACATTCTACGGAGCCGACCCACCTGAGAAGGGTTACACGGACTATCCATTCTACGCAGATCTAAAGAACTAGAACTTGTCCACAGGTGCGGGCAAATAGAACGGCGAGAGCAGGAAACATACAAGTATAGAGACAGAAAATGATTGATCAGTTTACAATGCCATCAATGAACCCCGATCAACCCCCAAGGAGCACTATAAGTTCAAAGATCTACCTCTCCTGCAATCATCCGTCTCACACCTCCATTTCATGCTGCTCCAACAGTATAATTCATACAACCCGTATAGTATCAGAGGCTTTTGGATGTGATACATTGAACGGTTTTCGAATGGAAATCTTAGAGACATGGCCGATCAGTCGAATAAGGTCCTGCTGGTGAATCATCTTACCGTCTTTTTGACAATGGGTTGTCATCAATGTCTTTGATCTTTCTACCTGCACATTCCCCAATCATTTAACGTTCTATCTAGACAGACGGTCGAGGTCACATGAACAGCCAGACAGGTCGCGCATTGAATCTTAAAACTCCATTTTTACTGGTTAATTCTGAGACTATAAGCTTGAGGACAAAAACCCTTGAATGGAAATTAAAGACGAGCTGCTTCCATACTCACGACGTCAGATACTTCGCCCCGCGACCACTTCGAAGCCACGTCCCTCCACATATCATAAGTCAAAAGCCACCGAGCGACCCCGTGGTACCGCCATGGGAAAGGGTCATCCCCAGTTTCTTGCTTTGTAGGAAGAACTGCGTTCTCCTCACCTAGCCACTGCTTCTCCATGTCCCCAAAAAGCTTGAACTTGGCGTCACGGTCCTGTTGCTCCTCACCGTCTTCCAGATGATACATCCACTGGTTATAGGTGCCCCTTCTGACCACTTCCTCTGTCCTTTCTCGCCTGCACGCCTCATAGACGCCCAGCGCCTTCCTTTTTTCAGCTGACGACTTGCCCTTGAGACGGCCGAGGCAAAGTCCCAGCACGCCAGCATCCTCAAGAGCCATTCCGGCTCCACTAGCCAGGTATGGAAGCGTCGCGTGGACTGCATCACCAAGCATCGTGAATGTGCCAGATGGGTGCGACCATGTTGGCTCTAGCCCAGGGCGGATCATCAACCGCCATTTGAGCACCGAGTTGCACATTGAAAGCAACTTGGGAATGCGAGGATCCCAGTCTGCAAAATGGGCTCGCATCTCCTCGATATTTCCTTCGAGTGTGTTCGCACCAGCTGGCATGTCGTCTGGGACTAACAAGACCATGTTGAAGAGGAGGTTGGGGTCCTGGCTGTAGTCCTGACCTGACGCGGCCTTTCCCCTGAGGACGTAGTTGACTGCGTGCTTCCCCGGGCCAACCCAATAGTTGACCTGCGGCTCGTCCACAAATTCACGGAGGTCTGGGTCTTTCCGCATCTCCTGTGTGTTCAGCATCAAGCGATATGCTAGATCACCAGTTGGGATTGGTGGATCTTCTCTTCCCAAGAATGCCTCCCGCAAACTCGAGTTAATGCCGTCAGCACCAACGACAAGATCAGCCTCAAATTTCCTGCCATCTGCACAAATGATTGTCGATGTTGATTTATGGGCGTCGACGGTGAACCCAGCTGCTCTGGCGTTCGTGACGAGCTTTGCCCCAAGCCCAACTGCCCTCTCGAGAAGACACTTGTGCAGGTTCATCCGGTAGAAATCCCAAAACGGAGCCCCAGTGGCCGAGGCATAGGCGACGTAGTCCATCTCAGACAAATGGTTGCCTCTCCACCCAATGAAGTTACACTGTGTTGGCTTTGTAGCATATGGTTCGAGTGCGTCCTTCAGCCCCCACGAAAATAGGACGCGAGCTGAGTTGGGAAGGACTTGGATACCCGCACCGACTTCACCGATCTCAGACGCTGCTTCGAGAACTGTCACATCATGTCCTGCTAACAAGGTAGCGATGGCTGCTCCCAAGCCCCCCAGGCCGCCACCAACGATGATTACCTGAAGATTGGTTCAGTCTCGGGTGTTTCAAATGAATATTTGGGGGACTCACATGCAGCTTCGAATCTTCATCTCGGTGCTTCTTGCCTTGAACCGGAATGTTGTCCCAAATCGCCATCGTGAATGAAGTGGAGTTGGAGGGGTTTTCGTGTCGTCCAAGCCGAACACAAGCAAATCTATTACCAATGAGAAACTCGTTTCGAACTCTTCACTTGTGTTTGTACGAGGTCAAATTCATTCGTCAACCAAGTCCCCATGCCGGGGCCTAGCAACGATGTACAGGACCTGAAGCTCCTCATCGGTCTTCGGGCCAGCGTGTGCCAACTAATGCTTCAATGCACCGAGTCCGATATTGGCGTAGATTGGAACTAGCCGAAGCGTGCTTGATTGTCCTGAATCTCGGACCACGCCGCACGCACGGTGGCACAACTCAGGTGGGGGAAGTGCATATCGAGATGCATTGCCGCAGGCCCTTGGGCCGGAGTGCCGCAGCTGGCTGCTTCACGTAACACAGGCATTATCTATTAGTGCCCAGGCAAGCCAGGCACCTTTGCCTATCTAGTCGGGCGTCGTCAACGTGATCGCCGCTGACATACATGCGTTGCTCTGCAGAAGTGGGGTAAGAAACCTTACTACTAGAAGCCAATGCATATCCAGGACCTCGGGAGCGGAGTGCTCGGGTGGGGGGCTGATAAGGGTGGCACACGCGGCCGAACACTACTGTAACTAACATGAGTCCAATGGCCTTGGCGCCAGCAATAAGATCAAGCTCCCTCCCCCATCTTTGGCCATGATGGCGAGGAGGGTCTCCCCTCTCTATCCCGGACTCCCCAGGAACTCACGCCGCCCACTTTCGGGATACAAGCGAGTTACAGGACCGGAATGGAGGGGCTAGACGGGCATGCCGCATCGGGCTCGAGTTCAGGGGCCACCGGGGGTAGGACCACCTCGGCCAAGAAGCAAAGCCCCAAGAGATTCGAGTGTACACACGAGGGTTGCAACAAACGCTTCACGCGCCTGGAACACATGCAGAGACACGCCCTTAATCATTCTGGGGCCGGGGATTTCACCTGCGCTCGGTGTAGTGCTCACTTCAGGCGGCCCGATCTTTTAGGTGTGTGTCCAAACAACCCTGTAATATTTCGAAGCTTCACTTAAAAATTCGATTGCTTACTAGGTACAATGCAGACAGACACATGAATCGTCACCGCCAGAGAGACGAGGAAGCCGGAGGACCTGGCTTCGGAACCCTCGACACACGCAAGCGTTCCTGGAAAGCTGCAGACGGATCGGTCGTATCAAAACGACCCCGGCCTACCGAGCCTGACGGCCCAGGTCCGTGGGTCGGTTCTGAGTTCGACAACTCCATACAAGTTGTGTCACCACCTGTGTCCGATGAGGGTCGATACAACCCAAGCAATCACCCCTACAATATTGTTCCCGAAGCAGACGACAACTTCGACGGCTGCATCGACGCCCTTGATGGTTCCACGGTTGTGCCACCAACATCTGCGTCTGCCGTCTTCCCACAGGCCGGGTTTGGCTGGGGCGATGAGCCGGGCATCTCCAACCCAAGAACGGACACGACACTGGGCAATGGGCAACTGGAGTACCACCCCATCTTCCAACCTGATACCGCCAGTTCATTTAACATGCCATATACGACTGCCCTGGATTATAATTGGCTGTTCAACATAGAAGCAGCTACCGCGTCGGGCTTCGGTATGACGAGTGCAAGAGACGGCATTTCAGAGCCAGCGCTGTTTCATAGTCCAGAGGCTGAAGAATCACACAACACAGGCATGGCGCCACCTCAACAAGCTCAGAATCCCACGCCGGAGTCTTTCAACAGTGCTTCGTTGCAGCACTGGCGTGAGGAAAAGCCCGATGACCATGCCAAGGATCAAGGAGATTCTTCCATGGAAATGCAAGAGTCGCCCATCTCCAGAAATATGCGCTATCCGCCATCACAAACACGGACAACAAAACAACCTAATGATATCGAGGGACATGGACCACAAGATGGTACAGACAGACATCTCAGACAGCAGCAAATGATCGACAGAAGAAACCCGAACAGGCAAGCAATGGAGTCACCCTCTCTTCAACGGCATAAGCAGAACAACAAGACTGCACGCGAACGACCCCTGGCCATGCTGCAACGGTCAGCCCCAACACCGAGGATGGATGAAGAAGTCCTGAACAAGCTGATTGAAGTCATCGAGGCTGCGGAACCAAAAATACCGGACGCCACTCCCGGGACCTCAGTGCGGGATCATCCTCTGCTTTCCCTCTCTTCCGTGCAAACCTGGCTGGATTCATTCTTCACACAATTCAACACCACATACCCCTTGATTCACATGCCAACTTTCAATGCTAGGACCACTGAACCGCTACTAATACTTGCAATTTTATTGCTTGGAGCGACCTATCATGACAAGGCTACTCACCAGCTGGCTGTTTGCATCCATGATGTTATCCGGCCGAGCATCTTCGCCCACGCAGACTTCTCTGCCCGGCCAAAGCTATGGGCTCTTCAGACCATATTATTAGTAGAATGCTTTGGAAAGTCAAGGGCCGGGCAGAAGCAGCACGACATGAGCCATCTATTCCATGGCCTCTTGATCAATCTCGTCCGCAGGTCAGATTGCCAAAGTGTCACGAAGACTCCTGCGCCGCAGGACGGTGTCTCCCTGGCCGAGGCTTGGGAGCTGTGGGCAATCGCGGAACAAAAGAAGAGGCTCGCACTGCTCTGCTTCATGTGGGACACACAACACGCGGTGCTGTTCTGTCAGAGCCTCTGCATGTCTGCGTTCGAGTTGCGGTGCTCACTGCCTTGCGCCCAGGCCATCTGGGAGGCTCCAGAAGCGGAATTATGGGCAAGATCTTTGCCAGCACGCCAGCCATCTTCATCGCCGTCCGACCCCCTTGCTCAACCCATGTTCCTCCCAGCACTGAAGTCTTATCTGACGGGCCAACCTGCCGGCGCAGGCACACAGAGCCTCGATGCTTTCGGGCAGGTCCTGGTGCTCCACGGGCTCATGTCCATCGCGTGGGACATGCAGAGGCGAGACCAAACCTCGCTCGGCGTCGTGTCCAGTACTGGTCCGGCCTCATGGAAAGACCTGCTGAGCAAAGCATACGACCGCTGGAAGGCAGACTTCGACTCGTACTGCCACGAGGCATCGCTAGCTCCAGCCAAGCCAAATGATGCCCCAGCTTCAGAATGGCTAGCCTTCGCGGCGGCGTATAGGGCAGTCTACCACGCGGCGCAGGCGCTGCTCCACATGGATTTCCTGGACATACAGATATACGCAGGCGCGCGGAACATCCTCGGCCGGCCCGTGCAGCAGCAGGACTATGTCCGCTCGTCGCGGGTGGTCAAGCGCTGGGCGTCGGGTTCCAGGGAGCGTGCTGCCACTGCCGCCTGGCACGGGGCCGGGATGCTTCGGGACCTCATGACTGGCGACGGCAGCTCTGACTTCGGGGGGTCAAGCAAGCCTGTGGTGGAGTCTTGTCACTTGACAAGCCTCTTCCACGTCCCATGGTGTCTATATCTGGCTACCTTGAGCTGCTGGGCGTTCCACCATGCGAAGTCGACTCGGAGGGGTCGCCTGGAGGATGACAATCACTTCGACGATGATGGTGATGTCAGTGATGGGAGCGACGAGATCGTGTGGGACTCTAACAAGGAGATGCATGACCTGATTGTAACTATGACGGGTTCAGTTAGGGATGTCATGGCTTCTCAGGGACGGAAACGGACGAATGGCCTGGTATGGGTTGTTGCTGACTCATTATCAAAGGTTCGATGGGGCATCGTACATGCCGGGATGGTTGTGCTGCGGGGCCTGGTCCCGATGCGACTGATCAATCAGTATGAAGTCATGTAGTAACGTGTAACGATCTTTGGGAGGATTGCCACCGGTGGACATCCCGAGTATATATCTGCACCTTTTCTGTATTCTGCGAAATGCTCGCCCTGCATTCATCCTCAACGCATGCAGCAAGGAACAGGTCATTTTTCACGTGACTGACCTGCAGGGTGTTATCGCATTTGCGGATCCCAGCCTCATCTTACGGGAGACTTTGTCTCGTCATCTCAAACGACACCAGTTTCTATCAGAGTTCGCCCTTAATATGTCAGCCATCAATAGGGAAAACGCTCGGGACGTATTGTCTAACATTCTGTCGAACCTCTCCACCCCATCCTGGTGGTGGTCTGGAAGCCATTATCAAGGGTACCCTAGGTATCAAGGACTTTTCGATATTGATGATACCCGGCCATCTCATAGACCAGGTCGCGACATTGCTGCCGTCAGGGACTTGCTGTTCGCTTCTATGCGTGATGAGGTGTTCGAGATATTTGGAGAGCCGAATATGATGCCGAGAAAGGAAACGTAAGGACCAAAGACCCCGTTGCCGTGCCTTTCGCCTCTATCAGTCAGAGTGTTTGTGTATTGTTGTTTCCTGACCGGATATGAGGGCGCCTAGCCTTTGGAAAAAGGCAGGAGACATTTCCAAAGCCCAGAGAGGCATTTATCTCCATATCATTGAGGGTACCGACAACAGACTGCGATTTTTCGTCGGGCAATCCGACAACATGTCTTTCCACATTCGCCGGCAGCTACGGAACTCCCGCTACCGCCGGGAAAACTCATCTCTCCACGGCTACGCCATGCAAAAGAGCCGCTGGGACTACTTCGTCATCCTCGCGGTCCTCCCGCCGGGCCCAACAGCAGCGGAATTCACAGATCAGGAGCAGGCACTCCTTGCCAACATTCTCTGTATGTGGTGCGCGCTACTCTCCTGCACGCTTCAGCCCAGCACGATGGAGGGTTGGCAAGCAGGACAGGCCAACAGGATGCCATGGACTGGTTTGAACCTCGCCTGTCCGCTTGATCACGGCGCAGAGGGCCAGTACGTCAATTGGCGGCATGCCCTCAGCGAGAGCGAGGATTCACTCAAGAGATCCTACGTAACCGAGGTGCTGGATAAGAGGCGTGAGTTGACGCCTTTCCGCGGTCTCGTGCTCGGTTTGGGAATAGGTGTCTTCGTTGCTGTCTGGATAGCGTCGCTACGATCACCCCACGGCCGTCGCGGGAAATAAAGAGCGTGATAGAGCCGAACAGCTGGACAAGGTGATATCTGGATAGTCGACTCACATTTTGAGCAGAGTTTGAACTTGCACATGTGATTCATAGCTCTCTCTTCATATAAAAAGTGCGCAGGTGTCCGTCACCTAAGCGCTGAGTCGCAATTTTGTGCCCTGGTATTATACGCAGCCACTCATTCGGGTTACCACCTAATACTGATGTATCGGAGAAGGCCTTAATTGCAAGGTTTCGAAAGAAAGGATTGAAGAAGCTGAATGCGGTCAATGCATTGTTTCCATTGACTCGGGTGGTTGAGTGGAATGAGGCACGCCAGCCACACCCGACAGGTTGTCTTTGTTCAACATTGCCGGAACGGAATACCGTATATGAGCCTGTAACTTCACAAACTTTGTCAAATTTGGTTTTATCAACTATCACCGAATGTTCACTTACCAATTGGTCACCACAAAATGGCTTCCATCTTCCATTACATCTTGAACACACTGGACGATTTTGTATTGTTTGCAGCCACGGATCCATTATCAACAATAACAGTTATATTCTTGGGCCTTACCTTGGCATTCTCACATGCTTGGGCCAGTTGGGTTGTAGAACTACAGCAGTATGCGCTACCGAACCTGCGGAATCAGGTCCAATCGTCCAAATCTGACGGCCTGCACAATGCTGCATTCAATCCCGTTGTTGTTACTCCATCAACAGTCACACCCACACCTCATGCAAGACCCAGTGCCGCAATCCAAGGATCTCATATCGGACTCGGAATTACTAGTGGCGCCAAATGGCCGGGACAAAGCCGTGTTGGACTATCTCCGCTTCTACCGTCCCCGCTTCGTAAATGTGAATCCGCCGGTTCACAGAGTGAGGCAGACACAGTCGCAGTACCCGCAGAGGAGACCTTTGGTATACGAAATAGTACGGGTGGGAGCGGAGAAGTCGTGCATGTGGTGAGCCCGCCGGTGCGGAAACGCACTCATGTCTGCTTTTATCCTTCCAGCAACCCAAGTCAGAGAGGTGAGTCAACCTGACCAAACTTGTATCTTTTAAAGTGGCACGACCGTAGATATCACTGTATTGACTTCAAGACAATATCAGGCGTGGTGAATTTGATCCCAGATGGGTTTGGCAAGCGGCAAGCTGTATATGAAGTCTTGCCGGCTCGTCAGCATGGTAGGTGGACTTTCCCAAAATTTCCCTCGTCGACTTGGAAGCATACACTGATACTAGCCATTATCCTTTATCACAGACCTATACATGAAAGGCCTCACGAGACCAAAGAGTCTCTCAAGCTTTGGCTCGCCGTTCGAGGGAAGTCAAAGCGAATTTGATGTTCAATCTATGAATCACCAGGCCAGGGTGGAGTGGCTTCGTGTCAAGGCCCAGCATTCCCAGGTTATGGCGGACACTAGACGCCTGAAGGCGGCGCTTACAGTCGATAAGCAGCGCATAGATGCAAGTTACAGAGCAGGACTGTGACGACTAGAATCAGGGCGAAAGAGATCAGTCGAGATACGGGGACCATCAATTGGAATCTGTAGAATCGCCGTCTATGAGTGGAGAACACCAAAACCGGCCTATAATATGTACACGGCACAAACAGTTCCGTGGGCCATGGTCATTCGATTAGAGTTACTTCTGTCGGTATTGAAAAGTGGTGGTCTGACACAGTGAGACGTTTCTTGAACTGAACACCCTGGCAGTGGTGATCGCAAAGTCCTGCGGCCCTCTCTTAGACACCTGGGCACATGTTGCGCGAAAGTCACTCACCCGAAGCTGTCTTTCGATCAGCTTTCTGACATCAAGTTAATGGCTGAACAATTCACGTAAGAACAGACGCCTTGCCAAACAAGAAAGCTTGAATGTGTTGTGTCTGGGACAGGCAAAGCTGATTAAAGCCCCTTGCCTGTCTACTTAGGTACGTATGCAATCACGGAATGAAGTGGTCGCATGGCTTTTGAGAGCATATTTGTATTATATGGAAATGAGTAGAGATATCTTTGCTTATGCTAAATACTTAAGAGCCCAGACTGCGACTCTCTTACAGGTCACTTGGCAGCTTGGAAGCCTTGCCCGCGGGATCATGTCGGCCAGCGACGCCCTGACCATCGTTCTCATGCTTTGGGTCCAGAGGCTTGTCGAAGCCCAGACGGTGGGCAGTGGTGTAAGTAGCAATGCCGCCATTGGGGTCGGCCTCTGTCACAAGCTCCTTCCTGCGAGTATCGACAAGCAAGCGGATGAGATCAGGTCGCATGTAGTGTCCGCCGAAGTCAGCGATAACTTTGGTAAGGTGCGACTCGTTCAGGTCGATGTCCACAAATAGGAGACCGTCAAAGTCCTTCTCGGGCTTGACGACCAGGCTACCATCAGGGCGGTAGATACGGGCATGTCCGTTGTAGGGAGTGGGGTCGGTCTCGGGCTCGACACCCTCGGGTGTGGTCTTCTTCAGACCCTCGACGCTGAGGCGCTGAAATGGGGCGAGGGTCCAGGTGCCGGTCTCGTAAGCATACGCTGGGGTGACGAAGTCCGAGGCGCAGTCGGCATAGTTGGTCGCCGGGTCTGGGGAGACCTGGCGCTCGATACCTGGGTAGACCGGCCAGGCGGCGACGTGGACCTGCTCTCCCTCCGCGACGTTCAGCGACTTGAGGAAGGGATTCATGTTCTCCCAGCAGTTCAGGTGGCCGAGCCTGCCGAGCTCCGTTGAGGTGACAGACTTGAAGGTGTCGCCGGCGCCATCACCGTAGACGAGCTTCTCAACGTGGGTGGGCTTGATCTTGCGGCGGTGGTTGATGATGTTGCCCTCCGGGTCGATGAGGCTCTGGGAGATATAGCACGTGGCGTGGTCGATCTCGGAGAAGCCAAGCGAGACGTAGATCTGGTTATCGCGGGCCGCTCGGCGGATGCGACGCATCTCCTCCGAGTCGACGGGGAGGGAGTTCTCCCTGTACTTCTTCAGCATGGGGAGTGATTGGAGGTAGTTGACCTTCCACATCCAGTAAGGATAACCCGGGATCCCTGCCAATGAATTAGTAACTGATGTGTAAACACCCCGGCGCACGCAGTTCTGAAAGAGAACTTGGCGGAGCAATGTCCACACTAGGACTCACAAACTTCAGGGAATGCGATCAGCTTGCAGCCGGCTTGTCCAGCTTCGTTGATGAATTTGATCGTCTTCTGGACGCAAGCCTCGAGGTCGAACCACTGGGATGTGTTAAAATGAGGGGTTTGGGAAGGGTCGTATATCAACGGTGGAATTCAAGAGACTCACTCCTGGCTCTGAGGTAACAGCTGCCGCCTTGTATTTGGTGATAGGCATCTTCAGTCAGAGGTGTCTTTCTAATTGGAAGAAATGGGTTGTTCTACGCGCTAGAATGTCTCTATGAGGCTTGTGTAGATGGATGATGCTTCAGATGAGATTGGTCTTCTCCTTGAGCAAGACGTGTTTTTATGTATGCTCATCCGGCGTTTCGCAGATATCGTGGGGGTTCGCAAACACCATGTCTCACGAGTTGAACTCCGCGTCCTTTGGGTCACCACCTCGGCAGCAAACATCGGGCTCTGGTACTGGAATCCCGAACAACATTCTGCACCATGAACGCAGGAGGCTGGTAGAAGTGTCCCCTCTATGCAGTCGAAACCTCTTCCGGACTGAGTCCTCCGCTATCAGGCCACCCTGCATGGGTTGTCTGCTCATTTACAGAAAATCAATGGAGATGTGCCTCTGGACCACAGCGATTTCCCACGCCTGCAGCTGTGCGCCACACACCTGCTTTGTACTCGTTGTTGGGGTGGACTTGAAGTGACGGGCCGACTTAGTTTGGTTCCACCAAATACTGGTATGAGCGACCCTTCATTCATCTTCAGCATGCATGTGACGTTTCTCAGCAGATCTGCTTCGGTGTTGGTCACTTGTGCCACAACATTTCTTTGTCCGGGCGGTCCATGGCATCTGGTCATGTAAGACACGCCACAACGGGATTGAAAATTGATTCCACAATTATTCCGGTTTACGGGCCCGGCCGAGGGAACAATCATGCCATGAGAATCTTCTCGGACCGGTGCTGACTCGGCAAGTTCGGCCCCCCGTCCGGTCTTTGTGTTGTTCAAAGCCCGGCCGCACAAGCCCGACCAAATGCCGCCCTGTGCCCACATATTTACGTGTCGCAAACATACCTGGGATGGCAGCCAGAAAAGTTCGCCCTTGCCTCAAATGACAAGTGCCCAGCAATAGGCATTGCTTTTCTGTGGAATCAGCCAACCGGCGCTAGGAATTACCCGCTGAGGCTGTCGCGGTGCCGAATGGGGTGCATGCAGATGTGCTCGCGCTCTGGAATGCACGTAAGACGATGGAGGTCAATCGACTGGGTGGCGAGCAAATCTGGTCTCCACCGTAGCAACTCTGTGTGGACTGATTATCGCGGAAGCCTGGTACCCCATGCTGACACCATCCAGCCAAGTCCTTTATCCACTGGTTCGTTGCCCCTCATCTGCAGAAGTGAGAGGCTCGATATGATCAAAATCGGACCGGGCACGCGCCGAGAAGGGCTGTCCTCTTCACTGTACACCTACCTACTTACCTACTTAAGCAAGTAGGTACCCGGGAAACTCGGGATTCACCAGCCGTGGAAAGTCCCGCGAAGAACGGCCACTTCGACCGGACACCTGGGCAGGTATGATCTACGCAGATCCAGATTGTCCACGGGTTGGCCTTCGCTAGGCGTACAACTATACCATGAGAGCGCAACTCTCGGTCATTTCCGAATGCGTTCAAGATGAGATTGGACAGTACATATGTACGCTCTTAATAAGTCGGCAGCCTTCCAGTGAGAAATCAGTGTATGTGCTGTGGGAAACCCCGCAAAGCGTGCTCTTGATAAGCATCCAGTTCATGCTGCAAATGTTCTGCTTCCGAATAAGACTACACGGTCGAACACTGTATATATCTTGTACGTCAAGACAATAACGGCGAGAAGAAACGAGTCGACGCCATGACTGCAAATTCTAGAACTGCTTAACAAGCCAGGCCTTTCACCTACCTTAGTATCTATCCCGGAATGGTGGCACACCCCACACATTTCTCACGATCCCATCATCTTCGAGGCTGCTCTGTTCATGACTTGTCGATGCCCAGAACCAAACCCGCCGGCGCATTTTGCTTTTGACTTCTCAGCCCGATCCCTGGCGTGTGCTGCGCGGATCATTCTTCTGGCGTTCAACCGGCATCGCCCTCTTGACATTCTTGCCCCTGTTGCCAGTATTACTCCTGCTGTCAACGATCTTTCTGTTTCCGACATGGTTTCCATCTTCAGCATTCTTGTCAATTACTGCCTTTCCCCTGAATCCAGTGACCTTCTCACCGTCATCCTTCTTCTTGCTTTTGACGGTCTGATTGTTTCCCGTAATATTTTGAGGTTCAACATCATTCTTGTGAGGAATGACTCTGGGTGGTCTGATGCCTGGTCCGATGCCCACAGGAGGAGGAACTGTATAAGAGGCTTTTTCAGTCAAAGGGAATGCCGTTGCCCGTCCCGGTCCCATGGCCTTTTCATATTCAAGGTATCTGGTCCATTCTGGACTCGGCTTGATTGTCCCTCTAGCCGACTCATCGGCCCTGTCCAGTTCAAAAACATAGGCGAAACACCCGCCCTCGTCGAGCATGAACTTATCCATGACCTTTATCTTATCCCTCCCCTGGCCGACTTCTAGGCTCTTGAGGGTGTGTTGGTTGAGCAGGGAATGCGTCACCCGAGCCACGCAGTCGCTTTCGTCGAATTTGGGAAGGTCCTCGAAAAATTTCTCCACTCGGCGTTTCAGGCGTGGATTCTCGCCAGTAGCTTTGTCTTCGACCTCCATCCAGTCAAGGACTTTTCCTGATCCGGCTGGCGGTGGTATCTTCTGGCCAGCAAGAAACTCGTTGATCAGGATGTCGGCGCAATTCCCCGTCTCCTGCTCTCGGAGGCATGGCACCACCCAGCATTTCTGGATGTCGATTCCAAGGTCGTCTCCCTTCAGTCCCAATTTGAACGTATCTCGAGTCCGCCTTGAAGGGCCGATCAAGACCACATTTGGCATTGGATACCCGTGGCTCTTGAGCTTTTTGAACAGCTCCTTAACTCCTTCCGCGTCCTTGCTCCCCTTTCCAGTCAGGGGTGGGTCAATTATGCAGTACTCTTTGCCACCGTATTCAAAAGTAGGTCGTTTTCTGTACTCGGACGGCTAGAAGGGTCAGGTTACTGTCTGGGAGCGGGTGTGGGTTAGAGCTTCTCTTACCTCGGCCCATTTGTCCGGCATCAGATTCTTCCATCTATTATGGTCTGCCTCTCCGTGACGTATGTCGTAGAAGAGCACGCGGCGTTTCTTGGAGGGTTTCTTGTTGAAATTCTGAATTTCTTCATAGATGCGACTACCCCAGAAAGGATATCCATTAGTTTGAGCTTTGGTGACCCCTTCTGGTCGTGTCAACCAGGCTTTGTTCAATCCAAGACTGTTTCGATCCACCAACGTCATTTCGCCTTTCTTTCCATCTGCCTTCACAGTGAAATGGTTGTAGGGTGGTCCATCTTGTTCTGGTTTGAATTTGAAAGCAACAACGTGCTCGTCAGACTTATGAGTGGTGGCCGCCGCCATGGTGAAAGCTTTAATAGAACAGTAAATGGTTGAAATGATGCATGTACTGAGGGATATGGAGAGAGGGAGAGGGAGAAATATGTCCTGAAGTCGAGATCTAGTAATGCAGACGTCTATCAATCTGTCCCTAGGTGATTCGCCCTCTGGGGCATTCTCAGCTATTTCAATGAAGCACTGACGTCCGTTGTCTGTGCAGTTCGGTGATGAGAAGGTCTTCTGCATGACAAAGAAAGTCACTGATTGCAACATATAAAAATAGTCACTGGCCGTGGTTTGATCTGGTCTTTGTGGGCTGGCCACTCCAGGGCTGGCCTCCTCGGTCGACTGGCCACCCCCAGGTCGGCCGCGGCAGCCAACGAGCCGTGCAGGGGCGGCTGTGGGAAGCCAACACTTGTTTCAGAACACCTGATTGGATTCTGTTCTTGCGCCATTGTTCCATGCGTTGGTCGCACAAATGGCTACATTGCAGTGTAGAGGCCACCTAATGATTGAAATTGTGCTGTTGGTGACCAAACTTGAACCGGCCGGTGCCCGGTGGGCCGGCCGTGAAGGCGGCTGGCATGCGTGCTCCGGCCCACCCGCTCCCCCAATCTGCCCCGCCAGCCAACATTTGAACTGTCTGTGGCTTCAATCTACATGCCTCCAGTGCTGGCACTTCTGGTAGCTTCCAGAGAGTCGTACATTATGTGCAGTAGAAGTTTGATCCACATATTTTTCTGCCCACATCTACCCCGTCATCCTCGCTGTATTTGGCATGGAGACTCGATCTCCTCAAATCAGTGCCAGTGTATGAAGCAGACACTCTATCAAATGAAACAAATTGTAGCTGCAACGGTATAGGATGCAGACCTCATGTTCGATCAGTGCAGTGAAAATGCATCTGGCAATTTACCGTCCTGAAGTCGTCGGCTGGCACCCGAGACTGATAACCCTGACCGACTGAGAAAGCTCCGCTTCCTTGCTGACCCATTGATCCTCGATCTTTTACTCCTGTATCAAAGGATTATATATTCAGTTAGAACTGATCCATTATTTAAAGGATGCAATTGGGAAAAAAGCGCGTCCTCAGGTGATGACTAAGTATTCTATTGGCAGCCTAACGTTCAGCAATATTTGAGGGCTCTTGCCCTGCACTAGAGAATCACTGGCAATTCAGTACTATGAAAACCAGGTCAGAATTGTTGATGATTGACGACCTTACGACCCTCTTGCTGCTCAAGCATCGCAATTGTCGGCCCTCACATGTTAAAGATGCTTTTTAATTAATACTAGTTATAAAGGGATTGTATGCCCTGAGGATGTACACGGATTAGGAACAAAACCACTTGATATGCTATCATCTTGTGAAGTTAAGCTCGATGTTCTCATCTATGGTCTCCAAGTTAGCGGGAGCACTTGAGATCTTGTGTACTCAAGCATGTATGGGCGCCAAGTCGATCGCTTTTGCTTCAAACTTCTCATAAACTCCAACAGAATCATCTCGACCACGAACGGATGGAAGAGCCGTCATACCACATGCATCATATAATTGACCTCATATTTGAATCGGGTAAAGTCGAACCTGAACAAGACGATGAAGAGAAAACTTCATTATAATTGCTGGCTGGACGAGAAAATTGGACACAAGTCAAAATAACCTTATCTGGACGAGGAATGAGTAGCTGCCGACATTCAGGTTCATACGAAATGGCTAGTGCAAAATCAGGATTGCGATTGTGGTAATCAAAGCCAGACCAACCGATTTCGTCTTCGATGCAGCATTTGCATACCTGCGGCTTGAGCCTGCCATCTTGCAGCACCCAGATCAAACAAAGACTGAATTCCGCATCCGGATTCTAGTGTGCACAAAATGTAGATACCCACTGGCACACTTTAGGCTCCGGGAACATTGATCTGTGTTAAGCCAGATAAGACGAAGTTCAGGCTCTCAAAGTAATCAGCATATTTGCAGCATAATACGTTGAAGCCGTCGTCATTTCTGTGAAGAGTTCGCTCCCCCTTGCCTAGGTGAATCAGCCTCATACAATCTGTTGAACCTCTTTTATAGACGACGGCACGTATGACATCAAACCAGACAGGAACGGTAGATCGAAGCATGGCTACTGCACATAGTCAAACGGTTTCCGAACGCGACCGCTTGATAGTTCGGCCCAAAACACTCGCTGAGGCCGAGGCAACTATGGAAATCAACTGGGAGCACACGGTGGCAAACCTTCGAACAGTAGTGAGCATACACAAATGTCCGCTCGGATTCCGATCCCGTCTAGGATATCATGCGACTTTCTATCTCAGGAAAGCCGGTGGAGAAGAAAAGAATGTTGGATATATAATTGCCTGGCGCATCTCCAAACCTACAGGGATCAATCCAAACATCGACCCAAAATACTACCTCGACGACTGGTACCGCAGAAGCAGCAGAAGCTACAATAGGGACTCATGGCCGCTTGCCGCCTGTGTCTGGGCCTTTTATGGGCCAGGATCATTTGATGGAGCCAATTATGATCAAGTCGTAGACGAGGAAAAGAAGGATGAGCTAGGGGACTATGGGAACGAACTTATATCTATTCAGACTATTTACATCAGATTTCGCGAAGATCCAGAGGATATCGATAGCGCTGTGGGTAAAAACACTTCGAGTTCCAGAGCCCTAGTACTGAAATTCATCACTACAGTATGGTGGTCAACAACTCGCTCCTTTATTTTTGGAGCTTTATTACAGAATCCTGGGCGGAAAAATATTGCCGGCCTGGTTCTCGCTGAGCGGAGCCGTAACATATTTGTTAATACCCTCCTTGCACAGAGAGCCCCCGGTAAACGAAGTATGGCTCCGCCTGCAGCGAGATAAGGGATGGAGTGATGAGGAGTTACCTGAGAGGGTGAGAGCGATATTGGATGAGGCCTTTAAACAGGAGAGATTTGGTTTCAGGACTTACGTCGACAGTGCGACAGTATTCCAGAACACTATTGTATCAGTGTTGGGCCGCGTTGTCCAACCCGAAGATTCAATCTCAGAACCTGGTGATCGTCTGATTCTACCAGCACTGGCAGTTGCGTAATTGTCTGGACAACCCACAACATCGCCTCACCTTTTCACATGGACTGTATGGATTTCAAATGAGGCATACCTAGGTACACTCCAAAATGTCTCGTGGGCACGGCCAGTGTAGGACAACCAACACTGGCATGCGATCACTAAAGCCGAACTACTGGCGAAGCACATAATTAATGTGTCGGATCTTTGATTCATATAATATTGCCTAGGTATCCAAGACCAAATGAGTCCTTTTAGTGTCATCACGAACTTTGCCATCTGGTCCCTTATTAATCTTGCCAACCGGCTCTTCCGCCCGGTAAAACCTCGGCACGTGTCTCCTAAGCGTTGGAGCGCTTCCAAGTTAGTCCGCCAGTTCTCGCCGTCTTACGGAGTACATTCCTTCGACCTAGCCTTTGCACCTGTAGACTCGCAGACCTGACCCTGGATACAATCTATCAGTATGGCGACACACGGTCTGATCGAAGTCGACTCCGTCGAAATCAAAGTCATCGTCGACAATGAGGTCGATCCGATCTCTCCAGCTAACAACCCCGCGGTGCAGTATCCCGGGTACATGCAGGGCGTTCCTCTGGACAGCCTCCCGCCGGAGGATCACAGGAGCGGGGCAGTGGCCGAGCTCAAGATGGGCAACATCTGCTGCGGCGCCCATGGGTTGTCACTCATGATCACCGCCAAGAAAGGCGACATGAGTCACACGATGCTGTTCGACACGGGCCCAGAGGAGTCGACCTGGGAACGCAACGCCACCCGCATCCGTGCCAACATTGCTGCGATAGAGCACATCCACCTTTCTCACTGGCACCGCGACCACTCGGGCGGGATGCTCGAGGCCATACGCATGATCAACGCGTCCAAGATAGAGCGGGGGGTCAGTACCAGGCCGCCCAAGGTTGTCGTCGATTTGCATCCGGACAGGCCGGACTATCGGGGGATGATGACGCCAGCAGGCACTATTGTCAGCCTTGAAGCGGATCCCGAATTTGACGAGATTGAGGAGGCTGGAGGGGCGCTGTCTAAGCAGAGCGAGGTACATCCGGTGCTTGATGGGTTCTTCCTCGTGTCAGGCTCTATTCCCCGTTTGACACCGTACGAGGTCGGCATTCGAGGCGGTATGCGCTTCAACGAAACAGACGGCCAGTGGACTTCAGATGAGACCATCGCGGACGAGCGAATGGTCATGTGTAATCTCAAGGGCAAGGGCCTTGTCGTGTTCTCGGGATGCAGCCACGCTGGTGTCATCAATGTCTCCAAGCATGCCGTCGAGCTTGGTCAGGGCATCCCGTTGTACGGTGTGGTTGGAGGTTTCCATTTGTCCGATAACCACCCCGAAAAGTTGGCGAACTCTCTTGCGGACCTCAAGAGCTTAGGTCCCAAGGTGCTCATGCCTGGGCACTGCACTGGATGGAAGTTCAAGTTCCTGATTGAACAGAGCATGCCTGGTGTCTTGGCTCCGTCATTCTGCGGTTCTACCTATACTTTGTCGCCGACAGATGCTTAGAAGAAACCTTCTGCCTCCTTGTATTTCAGACATCTTAGCTATCTGCAAACTTTGAAGCCTGTGGGAGTGCGCCAAGTTCAAGTTGTAGTCAACCTATTAGACATGCATTCAGTACATGGTCAGGAGTGTTGACTTCGTCAGAATTTGTGACTGTTCTAAGATATTTACTAGCCTAGACCAAGGACAGTTAGATTTTATATGTACAGCAACTGAGATTATTTCAGTGGTCTATGAGGCACCAACTATCCGAGGCTGGCTCGAACGGGCCCTTCTTAGGCTGTGGAAGTCAGACTGAATCCCCCCAACGTCCCGCTCCACCCGCTTCCCTCTCCACCTATCTTGTTCAAAGGCGCCTCGAAGGCGATCTCCGCCCAGTGGAAGCTCAATCCATTATAGCCAATTTTGGTCAGGAACTCCTCCTCTGGTCCAGAGTTCAGAGACGCGTAGGTTCTGTTCCCCCTGGCGATGATGCTCAAGTCGACAGTTTCGTTCATAGGCAGCGACGTGTTGAGGCGGAAATAATTACCACCAGCGAAGAACGTGATGTTTGGTGTGAGAAGAAGTGTGGAGTCACCACCGGTAAGCAGCGTTGCGTTGTCGGGCAGATCAAGAGATGCTATGGTCAGGTCGGAAAGAGTGAGCGTGTAGTTTCGGCCCTTGGAGGATAATGGTGTCACGACCGAGCAAGACGGCGACAATGCAAGCAGGCCTCCGCTAGATGCACAGTTCGTCTCGACAGAGAATCCATTTAGAGACGTGTCTGCAAATGACGTGTTGCTTGCGAAAGTATAATTGAATACAACCTCGCCCTCAGAAGGAATGGTCCGGTCGAGGTTTTGTCCCGGTATGGCAGAATGAAGTGTCTCAAAAACGGAACCAAAGTCTGCCTCTGAGAGGTTGCCTCCCCATTGCTTGTCGGCCAGAGCGGGGATACCATCACGCCAGGCGTAATAAGCTTCAGAGTAAACCGATGTGTTCGCGCCGTAGTCGTTCCACATGGGCACAATGGAACCCAAGACAAGGGGATCAGACTCGGGAGGGTTGTTGGTTGCATTGCTTTGATCGAATACATACGGACGCCAATAGCTTCTGTCCGGTGGTGTTCCATAAAATGTCTTGGTCAGATTGATGTGATTCAGGTATCCTCCAGCGGGGGCCCACTTGTTCACAATGTAGTCTAGTGGTGAAGTTAGTGCTGCTAGGGGTCCCAAAGTGTTGTATTCTAGAACATTCCAAAACATGAAAGACGGGGATCCGTAAACGGTGAAAAGTGATACTGACAGTCGTCATTAGAGTTGACCACGCTGTAGTTGTTCAAGATGTAGTCGTAGTACGGATTGTCCTCGAAGTACTCCCAATGTTGCACCGAGACATTTTGGTAAATGTTGTTGTAGGTTCCGTTGTAGACAGGTGGAAACGTACCCCACACACGGATTAACTTGCCAGACTCGACGCCTATGTAGCTAGCCATGGCGTTGACAAAATCGTTATAATCCGTTGAAGGCCCAGTGTACTCATCTGCACCAATGGAGACGACCTTCGTGTGAAACCAGGGCAGGAACTCGCCCCAGATCGTCTTCATGGTCGGAATTGTCTTCGGGTGGCTGATATTAAGCAGGCTCAAGTCTCCGTTGTACCCCAGCTCCGGCTTCCATTGCACGATCACCAGTGCATGGCCCGGGGCCTCGATTTCGGGGATGATGGTAACTCCACGGGCAGCACACGTCGACTGGATTTCATCAAAGTCCTCACGCGTGTAAGACTCGTTCTTGTACTTGTTTAGACCGGAAACCGCTTCGGCATCAGACCACAGTCTGAACCGGGCGTACAGCTCAAGGGACCGCTCTTCAGAGTAGATGGCAACGTTGTTGTACAGATTGTCGCTCAGATGAAGATGGAATGTGTTTTGTTTAAAGAACGACATGTATGAGCATAACTCCATGATGAACTCCTTGGGATAGAAGTGGCGGGCAGCGTCGAGCATCATGCCTCTCGTTGCCCAGCCGGGCGTGTCCGTGCCTGAGCCCAGGGGTATAGATCCGTTGTTCAGGATGGCTTGTTGAAGGACTGTCCGTGTGCCCCACCAGACACCAAGCGGGCTCGCACCCGTGATAGTAATCGCATCTGAGGCGACAGAGAGCGAGTATCCCTCTGAAGACGGCTCGCCTGACGCGTTGAGATAGAGGCTTGGATCGCCAACGGTTAGAAAAATGCTGCCGGTCGTACTGTCCGTACCGTTGATGACTTCCGCGTCAATGTTGTATATGGAGCTCAAGTCCGCGGCAAATGTCTGGGCAAACTCGAATAGGGTCGGCGGAATCAGGGTAGACATTGTATCATCCACGGAAGATGCATATTGAGCATCTACGACGATGCTCTGGATGTTGGACAAGTCATAAGTGCCATTGGACAGGCCGTATGGAAGCGTTGGTATCCCAAGAAGATCACCGGCAACGAGCGCTGCACGAGCCTGTTAGCAGGGGAAAGTCTCGTGACGGAGTGCTCGACTGACATGTTGACCAGAGGGCCACCAGGCCTGCCTTCAGAGTCGGAATCTTCATTGCCACGCTTGTCTTGTCCGTGAGTCACAAGAGAGCCTTTGCGAAGACGCGGGGGTGAAGTCCATCGTGTCAATATCATGATCGTTAGACGTGCCTCTTATTTATCCGGCCGTGACACTCCCCACGACAGCCGTCGGATATCAACGCAAACATCGTCATCAGGCACATCATGAACCGACTCCGCACTTATTAACGGTTCTTGGGGTAACGTTACCGGTGATCTCGAACGGAGTCGCCCAGAACAGAACCATGTGGGGACATCTCCCCTGGCTAGACTTTCGTTCGCGACATCCTGGCAAGCATAACCTTGGAAGACTCACTGTTATCATGCAGGACAAGGCCGATACGAATGCGTAAGGTTGTACTCAAGAGCTCGATGTAACCTAGGTAGCATTTGGCTATGGTGCCATGCCTATCTCAACGTCCAATGGCGCGAATCTTGCTGCCAGGGCGCGGCCCGTTAGCCGGGGTCTACCGGTACTGCCCAGATGCGGACGGATTGCCGGCGATTAATCTCCGCACTCTTGTCAATGGACATGAAGCCCTAACCCTTTCGACGACGAAGCCATGTCTGATGGATTCAGGCTTGGTATTAGACTGCCGTCTTGATTGTGCCTGGACCAGGTGGTTATGAGTGCCGAAATGCTGACGACAGGAGTCAACCCCGACTTTCATACGGCTCTTGGTTTGGCGAATCGTTTCCAAGGTTGTTTTTGGCATAGAACGACCTACGTTCTATTGACACTGGGTTTTTCTTTAAGCAAAACATGTCCGTAACATGGTACTTTACATTCGGTGCCGTCGAATTTGCCTTAAAATGACTCAGTGACGGTCATTCGGTGTTTGTATTACATCACATCAGATATAATTTATTCTTTGGTGTCCCGGGTGAAAGACTCTCACCAGGGCTAATTCTAAGCACGGCAAGCTCCTTCTTGACATATTGAGATCTGATGGCTGACATGCACATCAACCATTCGTTCAGCAAGTGGTTTCGTTTTTAATCCCCTACAACATCAGTACCTGCCTTGGTTATCTGGTCTGATTGACAAGAATCGTGCCATCGAGCTCCCAGGAATCTTACCCTAGGGTAGCTCCGCTTTTGACGTGAGCGAGTAATTGCCACAGGCTGACACGTACAAGATGTCATCAAGGAACACCCCTTCGAACATTTCCGGCAGCTTTACAGCTGACGGCCGGCGGTTTTTCGATGAGGTCCTTGACCTGGTGACAAACTCCGGGTAAGTTGGACGCCAGCGCATTGTCTCACTGCCTTGGTCGATCGTTATTTGCATGTTCTTGAGATTCGCACAAGGACAAGGCTGATTGAACAATGCAGTTCGCTTGGTGGGGCTGTGAACATCAGGATTCCCGGTAGCAAGAACTACCTCCTCATAGATAGTCATATTTCCATCAAAAAGTCAAATTTCTATGGCAAGGCTCTGGCTGAGACATAGAAGACGAGCGGAGAGAAAGCAAAACAGTTGTATTTGCCCTCGGCATCGGTTACCACATTAGCACATGTCCTAAGATGGATCTACAACAATACCGTTCTCTCCACCTCTACTAGAGCGACCCCGGTGAATTATCCAGAGCGCAGGATGGCGTTGGCACACTTGGTCAATGTCTGGCTCTTTGCCATCAGTATCAACCTGCCGACTATACAAAACCGTGCCGTTTGTATGCCCGCCTGCAAGCCGCCCAGCTTCATCGACGCGGGAGATTGCACTCAAGGGGAAATCGGTAGTATATACGTGGCCATTAACTTGATCTGGCCAGGCAAGAAACAGGCCTAGAATGACACAGAACAGCCAGCACAAGGCCCACAGACCGCTCTGAGCGCTTGAGCGTTGATGATGGTTTGTGAACCTCGTAAGTAACGCCATGTGATTCTAGCTCTCTTTTTTGTTCCTGTTTTTATTCAACTGCCCTCTCAATGGAGTTGTTGTGTTTGGAGAAAGGCTCGCCGGGTTCGTCACGAGGCAGGGGTTGCGTCCTTGATCCAACCCTGAGCCACAGCATTAGCAACATTCGGCGTGATTATTTGGACTGTTGCGTATCTGATTCTGTGGCATTCAGTACCAAAAAACAGCGGATGCCGACCACAAATGTTCCGGTGGGCTCTCTCGTAGCTTCTACAGAGACTGCGCTCTGCTCGCCATGGGCAAGAACCTTTCCGAGGATTCCGATGGCCAGAGTTATACAAACAACGCCCAGGCGCACATTCAGACCGTGAGAGATGTCTCACAGCACAGATTGGGAAGATTATGGGAGATGTAGCCGGACAAGTACTATGTCGAGGACGATCCGCAAAAGAATTCATGAAGAAAGCCGCAGCTCTAGGTTGGGTGTAGACGGACGACAAGTAGGGGAGCTGGATTGGGGGTGGCCTTCGTTAAAGAGAGGTCTAGTCTTCGTGCCCTCGAACTTAGAATGCCCTTTCTTCTCCGGACTCTGTCAGAGTCGACTTGGTCCGGCCTCTGACCGACAAGGCAATGCCAGTGTTGGTTCCGGAGAATCAAATCTAAGGCCTTTGACCACAGGATAGCCCTCTCTAAATAAGTCTCTATACCAACAACGGAAAGAATCAACAGCCGGCATGCTCTTTGCCCTGCCCGTGTCAGGAGCCTGTCTGCATCTGGTCTTTAGTAGAGTATCACAGTCCACTGGAACATAGTAATATGATACGTTTCAGGCTGTGCCTTCTCCCTTTCTAGAAGTCTGGCCACATTGAGAATAACCCTATTCCGAGGTTTTCTTCCCATTTCCAAGTTAGTCATGACCGCAGCACCTGGGTCTGGATCCAGATTGTGTTCTTTGGGCAATGCAACCGCGAGCTGAGACAAGACTGCCAATCCCGTAAATTCAGAGGCCTTGCCTAAATGGGAAATCGATGCAAGCCTCTGCTCTGCGGCGCGCTTGTCCCATGGTCCGGGGAGCCGCAATACCGATGCTGTCCAAACGCCAGGGGGCAAGGGTTGTGGCATGCGGCGCTGGTTTCACATTTCGGGCCCAGCCGACACACCCATCGCCTTCCAGAGGGCAAGCGAATCATAGAGCCGCTGACAAGTCTGGGAAGTGGTGTCAAATCAGCGTAGATCGCGTTTGCGGGAGATGCGCCTAGGAAAACATGGCCGCACGGCATTTGTTGTGATCGCACGCAACGTTTTGCATCCACAGTTCGTTTGCACCGCCGTGGGCGATCAGTTTGATGATCTTGAGGTTGAGGACAAACATCATGCAAATCCTGCGCTCGTGCTTCCCAACTCTCCCCGCCTCATGCTCGTTTGCGATAGACGTATTTTGTGAGCGAGACTTTGTAATCCCACGAGTCTAATAGACTATCACAAAAGTCAAGTCGGGGTCCGTGGGGAACATGCAGGTCTTCAGCCATTCTCTGGTAAGGCACAATTCGAAAGCAACTTTGACAGCCCCTTCAAACAGTGCATAGCAGCTAGAAACCTGGCCTCGGACAATCACGTTGTCATCTTTGGCGAGTTTCTGCCACCGGAATGCTTGGCCGTGAATTGCGATGCAACCAATTGAATTGTAGGGCTTGACATGCGGCTGTGGATATGAATTTAAGGTTTAGAACTCATGCCTGAAACATCACTGAATCCCTATACCCGGGGTTTTGGGTGAGCCGATTCTCCCCACATCTGTTCATGCAACCGAATATTGGTTGCTGTACAAAACGCATGCCTTTACTGGCAGCGACCACTTGACGCTGTACGCAACTCCAAATGAGGAGCGGGGGCTGCAAGAGTTTGAGGAGGCAGTGCAAGGAAGCGATTGCAACATCTTGGCTGGGCTGCTGTAGTACCAAGCACGGCGATTAGGTTTGATCGACCAGTTGACGTTACCGGAAGGAAAAACATATACTGGGGACATGACGTATGAAAGTTGCGGGTATACCCTAACCTAGGTTGTCGCAGTGGCCGCAATAGGAGTGTTTTTTTCCCTCGGACATGAAAACATGGAATGAGACGACATGTCGAAAGATGGAGTGATTCCGCGCCCAGATGCCAGACGTGACGAGGCTTCTAGGACGAAGCAACCTGCTCCGACGACTCCCAGCCGGGCCTGTTGCGGCAGATGGGATGTGAGCCCCTAAACCCTAATCTAATATGTACATACTTGCACGTGCATTCGACAGCATGGCCACCTGGGCACTCTGGTCGTCCCAAAAGGAGCCGGGAGCGTGAGAATTGGACTGCCCAGGTGATTGGCCTGGGCGGTCTATTCTTGCTGTGCCTGCTGTGCATAGTCTGCCTCACCAACTGTATCCAGGAGCCCAGGCGGTTTGGGAAGCCTATTGGAGCAGATGGACTGAGCTTCTGGGACCTATCAGGGTTCAAAGGACTGCCTGTGGGTGTGATGGCTGGGGGACTCGTGCAGGCGGACCACTAACAGCTTGCCGTACAACTCCTCGCATGGCTTGAAGAAGGGGGCATGCGCAATGGACAATGCCTTGTGCTCAGTGTTTCTCATGAGTTTCCAGATGCGGCTTAGTTGAGAAAACACATGAAGCACTGATTTGAGACGACTTTCTCCTCTGCGGCATGTCGGTCTCGGTCGACAGCCCGCCCTCGTTCGAGCCTGTCATCTGTCAACGCAAGTCTGGGACGACCGATTGAGGTAATTACAAATGCGATGAACAGCCGACTGGCTGACTTGGCAGTCGATGCGTGGGCGCGGATGGATGGCTGGATCCAACAAGTGAAGCGGATGGCACTGGCTAGTGAGGTTGACAGGTGATATAGAGACAACATAGGCAAGTTGCAAAAGGGGATGGCGGACCAATCGCAAGTTGATGGCGGGCCAAGAGCCTGGATCTCCAGCGATCCCCCAGCGATCGCCCTGGGCTCCGCCGCGGTGCGTGGAGGGGCGAGGGAAGCCGCCTTGACCCCTACCGAGACCCGGTCATGTTTCGACCGATCTTCCAACACAGCAGTTCGACAGACAAGCTTGATTCATAGTTTGAAAACTTCCCTCGCGCTTCCACATCTGGGAACATCAAGCGGCAGGGGTCGCTTGCAGTGCCTCGAAACCTAGTCGCTTGTCCCATACATGGCGTGGCTGTGTTTATTCCCATTGGGGTGAGGCTGGGAGTAATCCCGCTTCCAAGATGCCAAACGAAGGCCCGTTCGTTGAGACTCAAAACGTCCAAAGAAAAGGGCCTTTTGAGATGGAACTATTTATGTCGACGAGGCCCCTTCGAGCTTCTTCTCTTTCCTCTTCGTACTCGGTGCATCACTCCTTCGAAAGCAGATATTAACCCATTCCTTACCCTTTCACTTCCGAGGCACTGGATGCCGGTCACGCCAAGGCGACTTTCACACCAAGACTAATAACAAGCAACATGAAGTTCACACTCCTGACGACGCTCCTCGCGGGCTCGGCCATTGCGGCGCCCTCCCTGAGCAAGAGAGACCTGGCGACGGTCCAGCAGGCCATCGGCACAGTCCAGACAGCCCTCGACGGGCTCGGAACCGCCGTCAACGCAGTCAGCGCCACGGACCCGAACAGTCTGCAGGGAGTCCTCACCGCCAGCACCGACGCACAAAACTCCATCAAGGCCGCCACCACACAGATCCAGGGCACCGACGCGCTCTCCCTGACGGACGCCCTGTCCCTGCAGCAGACCGCCACCGGCCTCACCACCTCAGCCAACACGACCGTGCAGACCCTCATCGCCAAGAAGCCCGTCTTTGACCAGCTTGGCGTCTCCTCCATCGTCGCCACCCAGCTGACCGACCAGAAGACCGCGGCCTCTGCCCTCGGTGACGCAGTTGTGCAGAAGATCCCCGCCATTGGCCAGGGTATCGCACAGCAGTCTCTCGGCCAGATCAACACTGCTCTCGACTCTGCGATCCAGACCTATTCAGCTGGTGGAGCTGCGGCAGGTGGCGCAGCTTCGGGCGCAGGAAACGCCACCGGCGCCGCAGGTGGCGCCACGAAGGCAGGCAACGGAACGTCGACCACCGAGCCCAAGGCCGGTGGCGCCGCACCCAAGGCCGGTGCCGGTGCCGGGACCTCTACTGGCGCCGCACCCAAGGCATCTGCGAAGCCTGCTGCCGCCGCCCCAGCGGCCCCGGCTGCCCCAGCTGCCGGCGGAGCCGGAGGCCTAGGTGCTCTGCTTGGTGGACTCACGGGAGGGTAAGCACAAACCTTCACCCTTCACCTTTCACGGCCGTCTTCTTTCTTCTGTGTCGGGTTTTCAAAAACTCTACCCTCGAGTGCAGTGGACTAACGACATGTGAACAGCGCTGGAGGAGCTGGTGGTGCCGGAGGCCTTGGTGCTCTTCTCGGAGGACTTACAGGAGGGTGAGTTCCCTTGTTGTCCCTTTCGCGGACTCTATTTTCATAGCAGGCCACTGACATGTAACAACAGTGCTGGTGCGGCCGGTGGAGCGGCAGGCGGTGCTGCAGGCGGTGCGGGCGGCTTGGTAAGTTTTTTTCTGAATGCATGATATATGACTGCATGCTGACTCTCCAAAGGGTGCCCTTCTTGGTGGATTGGCCTAAGCAGTTCGCTCTCAACATGGGTCGACCAGGGTATAAGCTCTCTGGACCTTTGGTTTCATTTAGTGGCAGACCGACCGCCCGCCCGAGTGCGTTCTGGGCCCGCTGCTTGATGTAGCGGAACCGGGTGCTATCTCGCGACGACTTACGAATTCCCTTGAATCCTTTACATAGTGTCTAGTACACTTAAAACTGTCAATGCATGTAGATTACCTCCCGGATGTGTGTGGGCTGCTGGGCGATACTTCAGGATCGGAGCGTCCATGATACTGTAGATAACAGCAAATCAAGCGTGTGTTCTTCATCCACAACCTCGGAACTGGGGACGATTCTGAACCAAATACGTGACCGTAATAGAGGCCTCCATCCTGACGTCGGGCATGGGTCATTTGCAGACTGTTGGACCCCCTACAGCGCAAGAAAGATTATGCCAGTTAGAACAACTATGCCACTCTCCAAAAGCCCAGTGCTGCTCGCGTGTTCACTCCATGTCGACATCTATCTCTGCTACCCTAGGGTACCTCCGACAAGACAACCCCTCTATAATAGGATAACCTCTCATAAGTACCAAGCATTAATTAAGACGACCTCTCTTGCCCCTCTTGGGGAATTGTCCGCCAGGTTGCCCTCATGCACATGTGTTGAATCGTACATGACCAATTGTATGTCACCTGGTACAACTCTACTAGCTGCACTGGCGTGTTGTTGGGAGTACAAGCTCGTCCACAGTAGTATAAAGAAGAGGGCGTATGCCACCCGATCAAAGCCCCTCGACCTTTAAGTTCTTTCGCCGCGTTCATGCTGACTCCTTGATGATTCAGGCTGAAGGCACATTGCGCCTCCCAACCGTGTGTCAGAGCAGACATTGGGCCTTCGCGACTCCGTACAGCGTTCTGCCATTTTTGCCAGCCAGGCCCAGCCGAGCTTCAACTTGGCTCAGACATGCCCCTTCCTGGACGAGTTGGACATTGTCTACAGAACGGAATCACGGCTCTTATGGTATTCATTTCCTTTTATTCTGTAGGACAGGACAATGATTTCATCGCGTTGCCGAACATCGACGGGACGACCGATGTCCGTGTGAACTATGCGATGTCATGGATCTGAGAGTCGTTGGTGGAACGATATGCATTCTAGAAACTGAGGCGCTTAGTGAACTAATTCAGCCACGAGACAGTCAAGCAGTCGCTTCGACGACGGCCAGTGGTCAGTTTCCAGTATCATTCATCACAATCATCATCCCGCCTGGCCCGCTTCATGATGTGCCTCCTCAAGCCACGAGTGAAACCCTCCTTCCACGTTCTCTCGTCGAATATCGCCACTCTGCGCCCATTTTGTATATCAAAGTGAAGGAATCCTGGCATTTCTTCAATTTCATAGTGTCTGGGCGCTCTTGCCCATAAGATAGGAAACGCAGGGTGGTCGGGCGGGCCTTCTGTCTGGGAATCTGCCTGTTCCGGTGACGAGGCTGGGTTCGAAAGTGAGTCGGGATTGGATTCGAGGCCGGCGTCAGGTTCGGGGTCAGGATCTCCGTTGCTGCCTTCGTTCGGGTCTGTGGCGGTCGATATTTCCACCTGGTGAAGGCCAGAAGTCAGGTCAGACGGCCTGGAGATTGGAAAGGTATGGTTCAATGTTTCAACTCACGTCACCACCAAAGATAAAGCCCGTCCTCCATTGACGAGTGATCCCGAGATTCGATTCTGAGGGCTGACGCTCCAAGGCCTGATGGATCAATATCATGATAGGGAACAGTAGACGGAGGCTGACTTGACTTACATCATCAAAGCAGCTCTCCACGCTGGAGACGACTGAGCCGACAACATCCGGGTCGTTGTCACCGTCAGCGCACGCTTCTCTGGCAGCGTCTTGTTCCTCGATGGTGCCAAGGACGAGATTCTGGACCTGAAGATCATCCGAGTACATCGAGTCTAAGTCGTCGTCTCGCTGGCTTGCCATCTTGATTGACAGACATACGTCCAAAAGGGGATGCGTGGGATCCAGCTTGTCGAGGAGCGATAGTAGGTAAGAGTAAGATATGCTGGCCGATGCAGTGATGGGAAGAAGTCTAGGTGCGTGGCTGAATGCTGTTTGTGGCCACGTTGGGAGGTAGTTGTATGAGGGATGACGGGATGGAACACCTGGGCATGGTTCGCAGCGGAGGTTCAAACGGTACCGGGGTAGTCTCGGTGAATACCGTCAGCGGTCTTGCTGCCTTGAGTCTCTCTGCCACCCTCGGTACCTAGGTATTCACTGAGGGCAGCGACGACTCTGTGTCGGAGAGTAACTCAGGCCATGCGGTCTGAACACCTTCCCAGTGAAGGATACACGCGTTTGTGGAACCCAAACGCAGTACTCCTCCTCTCATTTGGAGCCGGGTTCACTTGCCTACAATCCTTGGGTAGTCATCCTCGCAGCATCTCACCTGCTAGTTATCAAAGCAGTTTCTCAACGAGCCCCTCGCATGTATGCTGGAATCAGACTGCCATCAACCTCTTCTCTTATGATGGGCTCTCAAGGTAAGACCAGACACCATTTTGAGGAAATTCGACTCGTGTCGTAGTCTCTCAACAAATCTGATTTTACCGGACGATCCCAACAGCCTATCGCATCTTGGAATGTCCTCTCATGGAAAAGTCTGAAAGATATCCTCTCACCAAATCAGCCTCCGGTCGAATGATATGTGTTTCATTGGGTGGACGGCGCGGTGTTTTGCTTTCATGGTGCAACTCGATGCAGAGTAATCGCACAAGAGAGGAGCGAGATGCCTTGTGAACCAGAGCGCCGTACTGCGCAGGGTAATGGTGGAAGTTGCGATTACAATTCCGTTGTCGCCGTCAGCATCATGGCACCTTGATCCTGCCCATTCATTGATCGATTCTCAGCGTTCAGGCCGTTTTGTGCCGTAGGTTTGCTTCTGCGGACTGTAATCAACCAGCCCGAGTGATGCATCTCTACGGAGGTCGCAAATTGGGAGGGAGCGGGTGGAGATCATGGACATGCGAAGTCCCGTCTTTGGTCGCACATGAACTTCATATTTGGCCTGTAGCCAGTCACACCAGATATGCAGAATATGGCGGTATCAGTTGATTAAAATTTAAAAATATTAAATTTATACATGGTCTGTAATATAACGCTGTTACAAATTCTCACACTTTGTTCGCTAGCCATTATATGCCATTGCGACCCGCCTCGGCGTCTCGGTGGTTCTTCGCGTTGCCCAAGTCAAAAAAGCCAGGGTCTTTTCCACCGTGGAATCTCACCCACATACGGCCTGCCTCGTCCTGGATTTTCCCAAGCTCAGGGGCAGCACGGCCGTTATTCCTCACAAACGTTGTGGCCCTGTCTAGCCCTTGACCGTCCCTCGCCTGCTGCATCGGTCCACCTGCCCCGTGGAGCCCAAAGAACATGAGCGGAAGCACCGAGCCTTTCCACACGGGCTGGTCCGGGTCGGTATAATTCTTGACGATGATCCACAGCAGGAGCACCGCACAGATGAGCACCAGGATAATGGGCAATGACACCCACCGCTGGTCAAAGTAAGTGCAGGTGCTGCTCTCGTAGACCAGGCCCAGCGTGTAGGACGCTTTGGGCCTATCCCCAAGCATGACATCCGGCCCACTGCCCGTCATACGCAGCTTGTTTGTGATTGTAGTGGCAAAATCATCGATAGCACCCTCGAGGGACTCGAATGTGGCGTTCATCTCGTTCCACAGCGGCGCCAGCCACCACGAGTCGCCGCAGCTGATGTGGCCTGACTGCATGTTGTCGTAAGTGCAATCCGCCGTGAAGATGGTTCGCATCTGGCTTCTCAGCGCCGAGGCGTAGATGCCGTCCATCTTGTATAGGCAGGCGTTGGGCACGCTGGTGTTACTGGCCGTGTTGTCCAACTGGTTGGTGAGTGTGATGTTTGCCCAGGTTCGGCCTGGGACGTGGGGCGCGGCTGACATATTGTTTGGCAAATACCAAGTGCTCGCATTCATTATGTGCGATGCCAGTGTTGTGTTCCCAGATGTGTCGTTGAAATAGTCACCGTCGTCGAGGATGCAAGGGGAGCGTATTGCCGTGTAGTTCGACGCAAAGCTGTATTCACTCGTCTCCTGTTCGTTGGGTAGCGCTGGTTGAGTGTGGACAATCTCCTCGATGAATTTTCCGGCCGAGTAAGTGCCCCTGTATTCCTTCATACACGGATAAAGCGCACAGGAAGCGGCTATGTAATCCCCTAGGCCTTCATAGATTTTGTCGTTGTTGTGCGTGATTCCGTGCGGGCAGTCGAAGAAGCTGGAGTCTTTTCTTGGGGTGCAGGGCGAGCTTGTGGCCACGAGCATGCTGAAGTTACTGATTGCCACGCTGGCCGCCAAGGCGAAATCTTCACTAAAGGACTCGGATGCCCAAGTGAGGTTACTGTAGCCCACCCACATATACTGCCCTCCCATTCCGCCTGTCTTGTAGTTTATGAAGGCTTCGTAGTCCGGTAAAGTCAGGTTGTCTCCCTTGTCAGGTCCACTGACGTACTGTGTGGTATCGATGCATGCACTGCAAAGCCCTATACTTGCATGGGTCGTACCCGTACCGTGGTCCGGCCAGGTGCAATTCGAGCTGGCACAAGTGACCTCCACTTCGTTGTCCTTGCCGTCTGGGTTTGTCAGTCCCGACATCATAGCACCCTTCATATCAGTCTCGACTTGGAAGATTCCCGCCCCGACCCGATAGTAGGATGACCTTCCGGGTACATAGTTTGCGACAGGGATTTCAGCCCTCGCATTCGGCGCCAATGTTGGGCACGTAGAGGTCTTGAGTGCTTGTTGGGTAAACGGGCCAACTGCTAAACTTGCAATAGTAACCAGTGCGGCACCAATCCCCAGAAGTCCAGCGGAGGTAAACCCAAAGTTCCATATCACCACTGCCAGCAGCCGGAGACTTCCGAGCACGGATCGTGAGGCAGAGTCAAAATCCTGCAAGTGGTGAAGGGGCCGTGTCCGTTCCGTGAACCATGTCCACTTGATCTGACCAACAATCTCAGCAACGGCTGCTAGCATGGCCGCTCGCAGAAAGGTGGACAGCAAGTTGATTGCAGCGCTAAGGTTGATGTCGAATGGCCATTCCGGCATGGTTTTCTTGTCATAGTATGCCAGGAGGATGATGATCGCGGCCATGAGAAGGACCGCGACGATGATGGTGACAATCTCAAGAAACCAGTGTTTGAGGACCTCGGATAGATGGCTTGGTGATCTTGCGGCCTTCCCCCGGTTTGGAAGCTGAGGCCAGTTGGGCTGACCCGGGTCGGTGGTCCCTCTGGCTTCAACAGTAGGTGATGGTTTCATTGGCCATGCCTCGGCTTCCTTGTCTGTTGCCGACATGATGGGCGAGGGCATCACAGGGCTTATTTGGTCGCGAGAATTGTCGATTTCTAGTGATTTTCGCGCAGTAGCGACGTTGGAAAATTCCCCAGGGCGTGGCTGTGGTGAGTCGCCACTCCGTGGCTGGTGCTGCTGGAGCTCAATGTCCAGCGGTGCGGCCATGTCTCAATGTAGACAAGCGACGTCTGATAAGAGACGACGAAGTCGACCAGCATGAGGTACGAGCTCCGAAGGATAAGAAAGGCTAGTTCTCCCTGGCTCAACCATGCGAACAAGATATCACGGTGGAAAATCACCACGAGCCAAGTCATCAAGGGAGGGAGCCCCAGAATTCGAGCCACTTGTAGATCTTCCTTTCTGAAATAGCCTCAAACCGCGCGCAGTCCTTGAGGCCAATCACGATTTCGAGAATGTTGGGTCGTTCGCCCGATTTGGACTGACAAGACTCCACCTCAGCCCTATATGACTCGGGGCATAATATCAAGCATCTTCGAATACGAGCTGCTTAAAAATAAGGCCAGCGGTGATCCAAATCCTAGATGAGGCCTCTGTTATAAACAGTAGCTGCCTCGACCGTTCACCCTGCTGGCGATCGTCGAGGCTCTTCCGTTGTTCCACGGGAAGCAGTATGCGGTGTGATGCTTTTGATGTTCATCAGCCCCACCCTTCAGCTTTGGTTATCCACCGGGATCGCCTCCAACGCATCGAAAACGGACAGGTCGGACTGAACGACGACCAACGAGTCGCGTTACCCCTGGGGCAGAATGGAGTGCTGCCTTTCGCCCCAAGGACACGTCAGAGGGGGTAAAATTCCCAGCAGCTTCACAGCTCCAACTCCATTGCTTGCCAACGGGTTCCGATGACATCTGCAATTTCCGTCTTGGGCTGTAGGTACGGATGCACTTGTTTCCTAACCATCGTCCTCTGCTCGAAAGCATAAGCCATGCCGATCAACTTCTCTTCGGTGAAACTCTCTCCCAGGAAACTAATGCCAAAGGGTATATTCGGCCCAAAACCCACCAAATTCCCGAAGCGGTTCTTGACGATCGGCATGTCGTCCGGATATCGGCCCATCGGAACTGTCACAGCCGGGGTACCTAAAATTGCTGGCGGGTATGCCGCGAAATATGTGGGCAACACAATGGCATCAAGGGAGTAATTCTTCATCGCGCCCAAGATGCCCATGGTCCCCGCCAACCGCAGAGCGTGCGTGCGATTCATCCAGACGTCATAGTCAGTATTATTCTTGCTTTTCTCAAGGGTGCGGTCAAAAATTGCGGTGTCACGAGCCGGATAGTCTTCGTACGGGTAACGGTGCGTGAACCTTGAGATGTCGCGCAGTGAGGAAATATTGTGCGGGTTCGCCTCGAGGTGGGAGAGATACCGGGGCATTACGGTGAAGAAATCAGCAAACAAAACCGATGTCGCGTAGTCGCCCTCCATGAAAGGTTTCCAACCGGGGAGGAAGATGTCGTCCACGACTGTTGCCCCAGCGGAGCGGATGATATCGAGCGACCCGTTGAAGGCAGTCATCAAGGGTTCGGTGGCTTCGTCAGGTACTCCCATCTCATCCATGTCGATAACGCTGCGGGTCACCCCAATACGCTTCCCATTCAGCGCGGAAGTCTGGCATGCCGAGACATAGTCTGGAAAATAGCCGGAATCGAATGGAATCGCCGCGGTGTAGTTGTCAAATTCGTCTCTGCCCACAATAGCCTGGAGTAGAAAGGCTGCATCCTCCACGGTCCGCGCAAGTGGTCCCACGGTGTCTTGATGCTCGGAAATTGGTATTACAAGATGTCGCGAGGTGAGTCCCACAGTAGGCTTGACTGGAACCGCTGTCAGAAATCATCTACCCCAGTGTGGGCTCAAACGACCGGGGAATGAAATGAAGGCGGGGTCTTGATCTCTCGCGCTTCATAAAACTTGATCCAACCTTGGAAGCCCGCTGTGTCACTTACTTCCAACGACATTATTGTAGCAGGCTGGGCACTGTATCGAACCTGAGGTCTCGGTTCCTAGAGCGGCCCACGCCAAACCAAGCGACGCTGCCACGCCACTACCTGCCGAGGATCCGCACGGGTCTTGGGCTGGGTGATATGCACCTTGTGTCTGCCCGCCATGCGCCGACCAACCATTGCTGCTATTCTCACTTCTTGCATCAGACCACTGGCTGAGGTTGGACTTTCCTAGGATGACCGCCCCGGCTTTGCGTAATTTTGCAGCAACACTGCTATCGTAGGGCACAGTTGCACCGAGCAGGGCGTAGGAGCCGGCTGTGTTGTTCATTTTGTCCGAGGTAGCAATATTGTTTTTGATGAGGACGGGTATGCCGTGCAATGGTCCGAAGACTTGGCCATCACGCCGGGCTGCATCCAGGGATGCAGCGATTGCGAGAGCATCTGGATTGATCTCTGTAACAGCGTGAAGGACGCCATTTGTCTCCTGGATGCGGGCGACGTAGGTTTGAACAAGATCCACGCTTGTAAATGCGCCATTCTCGAGCCCAGTGGACAGATCTGCCAATGTTGCGTCGATCAGCGATGGGAATAAAGGCGCAGCACTCTGGTGAGGGGCGTTTGGAGGATGCTGCAATTCCGCAACGGCTCGCGATGCGAGGAGAGAGAGAACCGCATTAAGCAGATATAAACCGCTATTCATGATTGCCAACACCTTATTTGCTAGGGTTGCAAGGAAATTGAGGGCAACTTTAACATGACAGACAACTTCAAAATGAGTTGTTGCTCGATACGGACGCAATCGTAGGCGGAGAATTGGGCTTCTTGTTGAGCCGATTCTCATGCTGACCCCTTTCACACGCGCTAGACTGATGTGTACTAGACCATGCGTCTGAATCCCTTCCCCGTCCGCCCATGATTGGAGTGAGAATCTAACTAGTGTCTTGGTGTTGGATGCCTACCAAGACGGGAAGCGAGCAGGCGGCTAAATACAGTTATGCGACGTGAGAATCCAGCTGCAGGTCGAGGCAGGTACAGTACTTCCGGACGCAAAGTGAGCACCGGCATGCGATTCATGGTACCTAGGGTAGGTAAGTACTTTAGTAGTTTGTTGAGATAATCTTGAGAGAATCAGCTTCCTCCTAGCTACTGTTTTTCCTCTCTTCTCTGCGAGTAACCCTATGATAATCTCGAACATCTGGTGTTCGTCTGTTCTCAGACAGCCTCTCAGACGCCAACTATTACTTCAGCACGCCAATTACGTTGTCAACCCTGGAAGGTTGGTGCCCCCTCAAGCGCTGGATCTTTGCATGTGAGCGGTCCCCGCCGTATACTACCTAGGTAAAGAGCCGCAGACGACTTCGGCTACAGACAGGTTAAGGACACATGCAATACCACAGAAGTCGAGAATCACTAATAATAATAGTCATATAAATAGTGAGCGCTAATTTCCCACATGTTCTAGACCAGGTGACAAACGTATCGTGTTATGACGATACAGATCTCTGAAATGTAGAATGGTCCTCGGCTATGCAGCTGGTGTCACGACCTCAATTGGCTGCCGCAGCTCCCTTGCCCTGGGCAGCAGCTTGGCCCTGGCCTCCCTTCTTCGCAGCCGCAGCAGCGCCTGCTTGGGCAGCTTGGCCTTGCCCACCTTGCTTCGCAGCAGCAGCAGCGTTGCCAGCCTGAGCCGCCTGGCCTTTACCAGCCTGCTTCTTAGCCGCAGCTGCGGCTCCTCCTTGGGCGGCCTGGCCTTTCCCATTCTGCTTAGCAGCAGCGTTGCCACCCTGCGCGGCATTTCCCTGGCCGTTTTGTTTGGCAGCCTTACCGCCACCTTGCCCGGTGACACCAGCCACGTCAATGCCTGCGGCGTTCAGGGTGTCGATATCGTCTTGGTTGCCAGTGGCCACGATGGCCTTAACAGCCTTCTCAAAGTCCGCCCCGGAGTCGGCGGCACCAGCTAATTTCATGATCAGGAAAGCTTCTCAAAAGGTGTCAAGTAGGTTGTTGTGACGTACCATCGCCGTTCTCGGTCAGCAGCACGGCAGCGTCGACCTTGGCAGCAGCAGTAATACCCTAAAGCAAGTATCAGTCTCGTCCTTAGGTATAGTCTTATAAAAGGCATGGAGAACTCACATCCGCTCCGTTGTTGGCCTTCGCATTCACACCATCGGCGGCAGCAGCATCGCCGGCCGCAGCTGCTGCATTTGCATTGTTGCCCTGTCCCTTGGCCTGTCCCTTGGCCTGTCCCTTGGCCTGTCCTTGATTTTGACCCTTTCCTTGCGGCAGGGCGACAGCGAAGGTCGCGAGAACAGTGACGAGGGCCAATGAGAGCTTCATATCTGCGGTAATTAAGTCGACGAGAGACGTGTAAAACGAGAGACGCTTATAATCGAAGGTGTCACCGGGACAAATGAGCGCAGCTGCATGACATCATGTCAGTCAATGAAAAAGAGAAAATCCGATACTGTGCACTATACTGACCTCGTAAGGAATGGAATGTGTAATGAAGACTGGCGGTTGTCGTGGAATCAGTGTCCACGGGCTCTAGACCGAATCCGAGTCGTCTTATATCTCGTCCCAGGCCTCCACGTCAGGTGAGACTTTAGCTCAGGCTATGCCCGATTCGCTTTCCTCCGAACACACACGAGACGACAACTCGAAGGCAAGGTTTGTCCTATTTGCTCTCAAGGGGTTCGGCATCGTGATGAAACCGTCCTGCGCCTGGACGATCGACAGGGGTCGAACTGCCAAGACGCCACGGGGTGGCTGCACTTAGCACCTTTGAAGCAAGGCTTAATTCTCTTGGGTGGTAGGCTCGGCCAAACAAGGTTAAGCCGAAATCACTTGGGAACAAAGCTTGGTTTGACAGATGACACAGGCACCCGGGCGCGGAATCAGGCATTATGCGAGACGATGGCCGCCCGGCCGTTGTGTCTGGACTGGTCAGGTCAGGCGCCCCGGGTGACGCTACAGGAATTGCCGGTTTGAGTTTTCGGGTCCCTCAGGTATCGAAGGCTTCTGCAGCCTGAACTCTAAGCCAGACCGCTTGCTGACTCGGCTACACTTGTGCGAGGCAAATTGAAGGTGTGCCCATATTTCAGTAAGAATCTCTGTCTGTTCGACGGGCTGGTCAAGATAGAACCACCTAGTTATGGCCGTCTCCATCTCTCGTCTTAGGCGTTCCCCCCGGCATCTTGTCTCAATACCTACCTAGGTACTTAAGTACGGAGGTATAGGGAAATAGTCCTTTACTAAGCCCTATAGAGACCCCTTACCACAACATTTTATTATTAGAGTAATAGCTAATAAACTAATAATTCTTTAAAGTATACCTATGATAACCACTATACCTTTACCTACCCCTATTAGATTATATTTATATATATAAGGTGTTTAAATTCTATATTAAACTCTTTATTACCCTTTTATTTAATATTTTAATATATTTAGTTATAGTTATTATATATATTATATATTTTAATTAATATATAAAACTCTTTTTAAAATGATTTATTTCTCCTTTTATAATATTTATTATTATTTTTATAAGTAATTATTTACTTAATATATTATAAAATTCTCTTAATAAAGGTTTATAATTTTAATTACTTAAATTAAGCCTATTCCTTCTACTATATTTACTTAATTTTAAAACTTAATTTAAATATTTCTTTATAAATTATTTTTTTAATTTAGGTTAGATTAATTTAATTATATTAAGGTTTAGAAAGTTTTATACTATAATAGGTATTTAATATTAATAAGTTTAAAAATTAATTATTAAATAAAGTAAGTATATATAGAGCTTTATCTTTTAAATAATTATATAAAAATTAATTTATTTAGTAAATAAAATAAATTTATTAATTAAAATATATTTTTAATATTAATATTAATTAATCCTTTTATAACTAATTTTCTTATAAGTTTATTATTTTTTAAATTATATTTACTTATATAAGTAAACTATATATAAATTTTTTATATTATAGTAAATTATATATCCTCCTTAACTTATTACTTTATATAAAGTAAAAGCTCATTCTAAGTATTAAGCTATTTAAGTTTTTCTTTAACCTCTTTTTTTTAAGAGAGTTTTTATTTACTAAATATAATAAAACCCTTCTTATTATATAAAAATAAGCTTAAAATATAAATTTTAAATACTTTTTAATATTTATAAATAGCTAACTTATTAACTAATTAATTAAAAGTTTTTAAACTTAATATTTATTATAAAAATATAAAAGATAATTAAAGTTTTATTATTTTAAATTATATATTTTAATTCTTTAAAGTTTATAATTAATAGGTAAAGTACTATTTAAGTTAAATTTTTTTATAAAATTTAAAAGGTTAGGCTTTTTATTAATTTTATTTTATTTAAACTAACTTTATGAAAAATCTTTTAAATAATTTTAATAGAGATTTAATTATTAAAGTACTTAATTATCTACTTAAAAATAGTTTATTACCTTAATAATTCTTTTATAATTATAAAGACCTTTTTACCTTCTTTTACTATTTAGAAAAATGACTAACATATTTATTATCTTTTATATAAATATTAAAAATAAAGATTAATTAAGTATAAGGATTAAAGTTATAATTAAATACTTTTTTATTAAACCTTTTAAATATTAAATATTATATCTATATAATTAAAAACTTATTAATATTTAAATTTAATAATTAAAAGGTTTAAAATCTATAATTAAGTTATAATTTAATAGTTAGGTACTATTATAAAGGAAATATTATATAAATTATTATAGTTAAAAAGAAGGAAAGAAGGAGGAGGGTAAGAGGAATTTATCTTTTAAATAGTCTGCTTCCCTATCTTAAGCCTATATAAGTGGTTTCATTTTTTAATCCCTATATATATAAAATATACATAGCACCTTTATATAGTAATAAACATTTAAAACCTAATATTTAAAGAAATATAGTACTAATAATAATAGAAAAAGAATATAATATATCTATAAATATATAGTTAAACCTTATACTATATAAATAAAGCTAAAAAATATCACTCCTAATAACACTATATTAAAATTATTAATATAAATAACCTAAAAGTTAATCTATTATAATATTAAAGTTAAAACTAATAAAGTAGTTATATAATAAAATTAAAATAGTTTTAAAATAACCCCTATAAAAAGAAAAATCCTATAATATAAGATTTAATAAACTAACTCTTCCCTATTAATATACTTAATAACCACTTAAATCTACTCTTATTAAGTAAGTTAGACTATAATCTCTATCCTAAATATATAACTAATAGAATAATAATACTATAATAATAAACCTATTTAAAAAAACCTTCTTATATAAATTCTATAAAAAAATTAAAACTCTTTTAAAAAGTTAAGTAAAGTTTATTTACTATATATTAAATAAATACTATATAAAGAAAGTAGAAATCTAAATACTTAAAAACTAAATCTTCCTCCTTTAAATATACTATTTTATTATTAAAGATTTATCTACTTCTATATAATATATAAGGAATATAGTAGAAAAAAGAGCCCTATAAAGGAAGCTAGTAACTCTATATATAGATAAGTTTAAAAGTATATACTAAGTAATTATTAACTTTATACTTAAGGTATAAACTAATAGCTAGTCTAAAAGCCAAGAAGACAATAAATAAACAAATAGTTAAACAAAAAATATAATGTGGCCAAAGCCAAGCCCATACAAAGTGTGACAGTTCAGGAGACCTAATCCCTGGACCTGCAGGGGCCCCTGCAGGGCTTGGCGAAGGACTATTTCCCTACACCTCCGTACCTAGGTAGGTATGCAGGTGGCTAGTAGCGTCGCCCGCATCCGGGGTAATACTGGTTTCACATCAGTTATAATCCTACCCGAGTCTTCTTCCAATGGTTCCTACCCATAACCTTGCACCGACTTTATGCTTAATTGCAAAGCTCGCTTTCCCTTCCAATGGTGGGAACAGGGCATGGGACGTGCGACTTTGACGACCGGGAAGGATTTGAAAGCCCTGCAGAGAATCATTCATGGGCGTGACATGCTGCGATACAACTGTGCTGCAATTCGCAATATATTGCCCATGTGTTCCCGGTTCCTTGGCCATGGTTGATATTGAACGGTTGACCAGTGCGCAAGCGTTTTGTCCTCACCTGGAACAGAGATATCTGTGATCGGCGGGAGATCAAGTTTTCTATAGCTCCTAACAAACACAGTGTGGAAAAGGGACCAACAGGAGCCTATGAATCATATAAGTAGATGTTATGGACAGAAACTCGACGTATCCCGGAAAACTGCGGACCAGCTGTGTGGCCGTTGGCAACCCGCCTCCCTGTCCGTATACCCACGAGACAGACCCAGCAGCCAAGATTACTTCTCTGAGTGTTCAGCGTAACGGAAAGGTGATTCAAGAGCTTGAGCGATGCAGGCGAACATACTAAACGCGAATTGTGAACAGTCATCCTATCGCTGGAGTTGACTCGCGACTTCAGGAGGTGGCAAATGCGTCTGCGCTGCTCGAGCCGATGCCCGGATATTGCTTCCGGGACCTTCTGCGCCTGGGGACGGTCGGTAGACTATGCAAAGACAGTTGAGATATGATATACGGCATTATGGGCCATCTACCAGAGCCCGCGCTTCGCATCCAAAATCAAGGTCCACTATGGCAGCAACAACACAACGAGTGAGGTCCACGAGAAAGCCGCCATCACCCACGCTTCGATCGGTCTCAAATTCCTACCTCCTCATCGGACCTAAGATTTGCTGAGTACAACCGTCCCCCAGCTGCTGGTCGCATGGTTATGGCGCTGGTCGAGCTAGGTGTTCGTGAGTACATGCTTCCCGAGGTTACCCTCCAATGTCCACCCCGTTGTGGCACGACCGACTCGACAAAGTGCAAGCCGCTGTTGACGATAGAAAGCCCGTCACCATTGGCGAAAATGATATCATCATTGTCCATGATTCTGCAGAGAGGTTTCCCATCAGGCCTCAACCACTCAGGGAGAATGAAGAAGTGACGCTTTGCAAGCGGCGAGGTTTTGAAGGTGTCCAGATCCACGCTGCAAACCCAATGGCTCGAATCCAGGAAAATTAGGCGAGATGCACTCAGACCAAGAATGTGTCTAAATTTAGGCCCGAAACCGTTGTCATGATTCAGAAGTATTTCGGCCTCTGGCAGTCCATCCTCAGACAGAAGACAAGAAATAGGCCAGCATCGAACGGTCGTACCTTCCAGGTCACCTCGGACTTTGGCCATTTGTAAAAGCCATTTGCGATTCCATCGATATGTTTCTGTCCAAGTTGAGGATATTTCCGTCCCGGGAAAACCGAGTTGGAGGCTCTGTAATTTTGAATGCTGGACGGTGTCATCCCATCGACACAGGTGTACGAGGCCGTCTCGTATGATCATGAACTGGTCACTGGCGAGTGGATTTGACTGGATCGCACGGCTACCTTTATCAGGCCACTCGAATTTTGAGAGAATCTTCCCATCTGAGACGTCCCGGATCTCATCGGTTGAGCCGCCGCTGACCACGAGCCATTGGGCGGTGGGTGATAAGACGATCTTATGGATGGCGCGCCCGATCCGTATGTCTAAATGGGATGCTGCCCTTGACCATCGCGGACGTTTTTGTGCGACTTTCGTGACAATGATGCGTCCAGAGTCATCCGCGGATGCCACAGTACCACTGTGTGGATCAATGGCAATAGAAACCACAGAGACAGTTCTTGAGTGGTTGTAGAGCACCTCGAGCTCAGACCCGTCTTCACAAGAGATCATGACCACGTCGCCGTTGTCCTTGCCACAGACGATGATATTTTCCTCGCTGTTTGACTCGAGAGCTGTCACTAAAGGACTGCCAGCTTTCTGCATCATTCCAACGGTCGAAGTTCTTGCCGGCAAAGGTGCCAATGTGCTAAGGTCGCTAGCGCTCATCCATTCTGAGTCACGGCGAACAAGGGCTGCTGGCTCCCACACACGACACCTGCTAGGACAAATATTGACGAATCTTAGACCGTCGCTGCTGAAAGCCATACCTCGAATGTCAGGTTCTCCTGTTGTGATGCGGTGTATCAGCTCCAGATGATTCCCTTCCAAACCAGCAAATTCGTAGATCTCAATCACTCCATTGTTGCTACCGGACAATAGGCTTCGGCCGTCAGAAGAGCATGCTAGTGAATGAGCGTAGACGTGTTCCAAAAGGAAGGTAGAGGCGAAGTTGTGGAGATTGTAGACAACAAGATTACCATCCGTATAGGCCACAACCAGGGCGGCTAAATCTGCTCTGGGATTGAAAACCAATGAGTTGACGCCGTTATTCCATCCAACCTGGCATTGGCCAAGCAACGCGCCATTTTGAGCGTCGAGCAACATGACTGGATGGCTTCGGTAGCAAAGGGCAAGCATGCCGAGCTCTGAAACGGATAGTGCGGCTTTCATAGGTGGTTGACTTGGGAGAAATGAAGGAGAAGGATTAGCCCCAGTCAGCGATATGGTATCCATCTTTTTGGACTTGACGCCGAGTGTGATTATCTGACTGGACTTTGTGGCAAGTCGAGCTTCAAAATCCGATGTCAGCTGCATTGCCAGGGCTTGCACGTTGTGGACCCTGTGAAGTTCAGCACCCGTTTTCGGGTCCCAGATTATGATTTGGTCCTTTCCGGAAGAGCCCAAGTAGATGTCCTCGGGCCCGAACTCGATGCAGGTAACTCGACCGGGGTGTTGCATAGTCCTGCTGCTCTGCAGAGATGATATGTCATAAACACAAATAATCCCGTTTGATCTCCCCACGGCAAAGTACTTTTCGCCATGTCCAACAGCAGTTGTCAAGCTTTCGTCGTAGTCGATGCGCATTAAGCAATCATTCCATTCCAATTGCCGTTTGCCTTTGAGAGCAATAGTTGAGACAGCATTGGTAAAATGTCGACTAATCGCGGAATTGATTGGACTGAGCCCTGGTACGATGAGATGAATAGACGAAGGGCAGCTGAGTAGATGATTGTGAAATTTTGCACAGATTCGAATCAGATCTGTGCTCCAGGCTTCGACAAGCTGAAAGGTTTCTTCTGTCGGGGGGACATGTTTGCTCACTTTCCCGAGATAGCCCCGCAAATTCACAGCAGTTCGTGTGACTGGGCTTAAGTCTCCTTGCCGCGCATGATACTCTAACCACGGAAGCACAGTAGAGCTGAAGAATGTTCTTAGCTCGGAGAGGATTTCCATGTCTCCTGAAATTGCCTTCAAAGCATGCTCGGAGAAATGGGATGCGGCATATGACAGCAAATCGGACTGGAGAACCTGGTCGGACTTTTTAATCTGTGGCATCGCCATAATGGTCGCCCGTGGGTATCTGAAGTGATCACATAGGTAATTAAGGCATAGGCGTGACAATTGACCGTGGCCAGACTGTCCGGAGATTGCAAGCTCGGAGTTCAGGTCCTCGCTCAGGAGGAACGCCCTGGCAGTCTCGTGAACCAATTGGACGCGTGAGTTGGAGTCGATGATGACAAGCTGTCCACAAGTTGCAATGATAGTCCTTTCTATAGGTTGCGTTGTGTCGTGAAGGTCTAACTTGATCCCGTGCTGGAGTTCCTTCACTGTCAACGGCCTCGTAGCAAGTGATACCCATGTCAGAATTGATTTCGCGAAGCGTGTCCGCCGTCGGTCGCTCTGAATATTTCGTACGATGCGGTCGTAAACAGAAAATAGATCATCTGGGATGTCGTTGAGAATGTTATCCACCTCTTCTTCCGTAAAAGCCATCTCTAGATCCTGAACAACTAGTCTTGTCCACAAGAACGAGCCGTTTGCCTTCGATAGAATTCTCCCCATGAGTTTCGCTGCATTCTGGTAAGCGACTTCGTCAAGCATGGTGTTGACGTACAGCCGCAAGTCTTCGGAAGTATCCCTTGCGGTCATTTCATGGACGTAGGCTCGTGGGCCCAATGAAATGATGCCTCTTTCTATCTCAGGCAAGCTCCGACTCGTGACAAATATACGAAGTCCGTCGGGTAATTGCGACGCGAGCTTGAAGATGTTCATAAATTTGACGCACTCATCGAGACCATCAATCACCCAACAGTGTTCTGTGACAGAGCTCAATTGGAATATTCCGGACAAGAAGAGCTTCCGCCAAATTGCTCTTTCGTCGTGTGATTCCCAACTGACGCCATCTGTCTCGAGTTGCAGAATTCGACGCTTGACCTGTGCGTCCTTAGCAGCCATTTGAAAGGCTAGGGTAAGGAGCATAGACGCGATGGTCCTCGTTCCAGCTTTGCCGTGTTTAAAGATGTAATAACTGCACTGGATATTCTGAGTCGTAAGGTGTTCCAAGATGTGGGAAAAGAGCACAGATTTGCCGGCTCCCGGAGCCCCGGTCAGCCAGAAGATGGACGGTGATTTGCTCTTGCGGTCTTCCCATGAACAAAATTGAGCCGTTTCCGTCAACCAAGAGCATGAACCCGTAGTTTTGAATTCTTCCAGAGTAGCGAGGTCGTCTTCGAGGGAGTCCATGTCAACTGGCATCAGATAGCTCTGCAAGCCTCTGCGATTGACGGCTCGGTATTGATCATCACTCTGTTGAGGCTGTATCAATGCTACCTTTATCATGTCAATTGCGCTGGACAGGCTGTTGCGTAGCTTTCGATAGTTCGGGTCTTGCTGGTTCCGGAATTTGCAGACGTTTCGGTGATCTGCATCCATGAAGGACACTTCTTCGTTCCCGAAGCCCAGCGTAGCGGACACTTTATCAACAACTAGCCTGTTCAGACGGGGCATAGGTGTAGTCTCGAAAAATGACCACAAGTTCAGGTCATACGCGTACGCACGGAACTCATCGTTCATCGCTGTCAATATCGCTGAGTCTGGCGCTAGGTCATCCACATATGGCTTCGAGCCCCAGGTCACTTGGAGGATGTTTCCGAGAGTCGCCGCCAGGTTTGATCCGCGGTGAGGAGTGCCGAGAAAGAACATGGAATGAAATCGAGATGCGAAATCTTGATGAATATGACTCTGTCGTGCCAGAACATATGCCTTTTTGACAATGCAGCCACCCATGCTGTGCCCTACAAGGATAATTGACGTCTCCGAGCGTCTTATCGGTGGATAATTCTTCACCGCGGCAAGCAGAGATTGGGCAAAATCGTGGATGTTGAGAATACTCTTGGTCCGTTTGCCCCAGTTAGAGTCGTATCCATACGAGTGTATTCGGGTCTGCTGGAAGTCTGCATCCTGTGAGAGCCAGGACTGAGGCCAGAATGATCCATCTTCTGACGGTGATAAGGACCACGACTTGCGAGAGCCGCCGCCTAGACCGTGGACGAACACAATATCGACCAGACACGACTGTCCCATCTCGGGCTGAAAGAGAGTATGGAGCCCCAAAGGTCCATGAGGGTCAACCACCGGTTGTTCGGTCCCCGGAGATGTAGCGGGGCGACGAAATAGGGCGCGGATACTGTAGCCGGTCGTACGACGAGTACTGCGCTCGGTCTCTTTTTCTGTCGGAGTATTCGCGCTGTGGCCTTCGGGGGAGACATCCTGATACTGAGCACGTCGAAAGAATATAGTTAGCTCTTGTATTATTGTTTGTAGGATGATTGCCGGGCACGCAGACTCCTTACCCTGGAATCATCAGCGCCTGGCTGGAGCGTGGCCGTGAAATGACTTTCGTCTTCATTATTCAGACTATATTGATGATCCATAAGGTCAAACACGAAATCAGGATAAAGACGGCGATCGTCCGTCAGACGGTCTACACGTGTAGCTCCACAGGTATGAAAGCAGGAATACAGAGGCTAGAGAATGAAGGATCAAGGGGAAGGTTGTCTTGTCAGGCGGGGACTCCTCAATCCCTGCTGATGGAGGCCAGGCTTTTGGTCCTAGACAGGCAGCGCTCGCCATAAATTTGGGGTGGGGCTCGGTGCCAAGGTTACCTGCATGGAGTGGCAGGGCGGTACGTTGTGCTTCCAGATGCTGCTATATCGAAAGAAGCTCGGGGAAATGCCCACTCGGGGCGGAGCGCGCTATTTGCTTCTATGTATGTGTGGTGTGCTGCCACAAATCACCTCTGATACTTACGCAGTACTTACCAGCTTAATAGCACTTGAGGTAGGTACCTAGGTACGTACCAAAGTATTTGCCCCGCACACCCATCTTTTAGGTACTCTCACACAGACCTTCAAAGTTCAAAGTTACTACGGTGCTAGGTATCTTTCTTGGAAGCGAGACGCCACATGTGCGCGTTCGTTCCTCACCGCGAGGCGATCATAGCCGGGCTAAAAAGTGTTGGCTAGACCCCGATTCATTCACAGCCAGTCGTTCAAGCGCCCGACCACTGAGGGCGACCAGAGGGTTGCCTACCAGATACCCATGCACCAACAGATGATTTAGTTCAGGGGAACCAACTGCATAACCCCGCACAGAGATAGGGTGGTCATCCGAGGCTCGCATGGTTACCCGGCTGCAACCGGGCTATTTTAAGAAGGCCGGGAGGGCCATCGGGGCCCCGGGGAAGGGCAGCAGTGCTACGTTCCGGTGGATAAATGATGCACAGGTGGCCATGAGCTGAGTTTGAGTGATTGCGAGAGTTCCATTGCTTCTCGGCTGGGCGTCACGATGGATTCACACATACCTCAATTGCTGGAAGGTGAGCACGAAAGTGGTTCAATGTTTCGCTTCTATTCCGAATACGTCCGAGGACACACATGGCGCACGAAAGTACCGAGCATGACAAATGGCAGCGGTCTACAGGTCTGCAAACACGAGGACGGCAGAATGCTGACATATTTGTAGTCATTCCAGACGCCCGCGAAATCAGTGCCATCAGCTTACACACGCAGTCGCCGTGGGCGAAGGCCTTCCGAGTCAAAGCAGTGCACTTTGACGGAACTGACGGGCTTTATTTCATGAAGGTTTCCGAGGGAGACCATGGTCATGAAGCACTTAAGGGCGAGTTCGAGGCGACGAAACAAATATTTACAATCGCCCCCGATTTCTGCCCGAACCCCATCGCGAAAGGCACATTCAAAACTGACCCTGGTTCCCATTTTTACATCTGCAAATTCTATGACCTATCTGACGGGGTTCCTGAGCCAAATTCCTTCTGTGAGAAACTGGCGAGATTGCACTCGGCCCACAGCTCGCCTCAGGGAAAATTTGGCTTTCATGTGACAACGTACAATGGCAATTTGCCCCAGGATAATACTTGGCACGACAGCTGGGAAGAATGCTTTACCAACGGATTGAAACATGTCTTCAAGGTCTACAAGGAGAGAGCTGGGCCAAAACCAGAGCTTGAAGCAATGCTTCCGGATTTCTTCCAAAAGGTCATACCACGGCTTCTGAGACCACTGGAATCCGAGGGTAGGAAAGTGCAGCCATCTTTGGTTCACGGGGATCTGTGGTGCGGCAACGCTGCGATTATTGATGAGAACACCGATGAAGGCATTGCGTTTGACCCAGCCAGCTTTTGGGCTCACAATGAGTGTGAGTTTTTCTTCTTGATTTGCTTGGTTTCCAGGCCTAAGTCTAAGATTGTACCAGATGAGTTGGGAAACTGGCGCCCCGAACGGAATATGTTCTCACAGCGCTACTTTGAAGCGTACCATACCCACATCCCAAAAAGCGCGCCTGAAGAGGATTACGATGACAGGAATGCGCTGTACAGTTTGTATGATCCCACATGGTTGCTTCTGAGGGAAGTTCGCATGACAAAAGAGCTGACTCAATGGTGGGAGTAACTAGGCGCTTCAACGCGAATGGTGCCACAATCTTCCCTGACAGAACCGAATGCTTCCAAATGTGAGTACGCCCATCTTTGGGAAATCACACAGTGCTGATGCGCATCTAGGGTCCTGGACGACATGCGGAGATTGATTGACAAGTACCCACACGGACTCGAGACGGAACAGTAGTGCGGCAGACAGTGACTTCCAGGGCCGGTGATAGCGGCATATCCAGAGGACATGATCAACAGCTGTTGTTCAATGTCTGATCATAGCCATTTTTTAAGTTCTGTACCTTAAAAGAGATGCCAAAATCTCCATGAGAGTCTTTTTTTTTTTTTTTTCTTATCTCCCTTTTTCCAACTGTGTGTTTTTTTGGCTCCTGTAGACTCCAGACAGGTGTAGAACCCCTTTAGGAATACCTGAATTGGAAATTGATTTTGCCATTTTGTTGGCCGAGATTCGACGACCTTTGGTTAAGGTACTAAAGTGTTCACTTCACAGCCGCCGTCTCTCTTCATTGGCCACCGATGGGACAACCAAGAAATTCTTATGGAGGGTGTTCATATACCTAGACACAAAATATGTTAAAAGATAGGGACTCCACTGTGACGTATTGTTATCTTTGAACTGGTTTCGGAACGGTGGGTGCATCTATGCGTTTGTCACGTGCCTGATCCATCATGTTCTCTCAAGCTGTTACCCCGCTTTCCCCGACCACTTGATTTGAATCCAATGTCCTTCGCTGGAAAAGTGTGGAAAAGTGTTCTTGAATCACAGCCCTTGCGAACCTACACACCCAAGCACGAGCCTGCCACAGCTGGGAAAACGAGGACGAGCTTCAAGCCCTAACCAAGATGGTCCTTGCGACATGCTTTCCACTAAACACAGGGCAATCAATCCCTTCTGTGGGACTGGGAACCTTCCAGGCGAACGTGGGCAATGACCGCGTGACCGAAGCTGTGCGCAATGCCTTAGACGTTGGATATCGCCATTTTGACACGGCCTATCAATATGGAACTGAGAAGCATATTGGACTGGCAATCAGAGAAAGTGGATATTCAAGGGAAGAAATCTTTATCACCTCGAAATTGTACGCAGAACCCTCCAATGCGCTCGTTTGGAAAGCACTGAAAATAATTTGGACAGATGGAATACATGGCACGAACCAAAAGATGTGGAAGAAGCCTTGGATCGAAGCTTACGAGACCTGGGAACAGATTACGGTAAGCAGAGAGTCACAGCATTCACGGAATAAAAACTAACCTCACTTCACAGTTGATTTATACTTGATGCATTGTGAGTCGTGGTGCTGGGTGGGACAACCACATGCTATGAAATACGTCGCTGATACAATACACCAGTTCCTCACGCGTATCAGATTGACCGTGAGCACAACGCCTTGCGTAAGGCAGACGGCAGCGGTAGGCCGGAAATAAATTTCGAGCTATCACGAAACTATCAAGCTACCTGGGCCGCGATGGAAGGCCTCGTCCGCAGCGGTAAGGCCCGGGCGATTGGACTCGCCAATTTCAGCATCACCAAGATGAAACGCATCCTGTCGACATGCCAAATAATCCCTGCAGTAAATCAAGTCGAGCTGCATCCGCTTCTTCCGCAGTACGATCTTGTTGAATTTTGCCGGCGGCATGGCATTCTCGTTGTGGCGCATCAGCCTCTTGGCGGGGAGCCAGTCAACAACGGTCGCGAAGGCCATGATAAAGCAGCTTCGCCTCTGAACAATGCAACAATCACTGAAGCTGCTAAACAGTGCGGGATTACTCCAGCTCAAGTCTGTCTATCCTGGGCTGTACAGCGTGGTGTTCCGGTTGTGCCCAAAACAGTGACCCAGGCGCGCATGGTTGAGAACAGCACTCTGACCACACTCCCTGAGGATGTGTTCCAGAAGGTGAGCAAGGTGCATCTGGAAACTGGGGCTATTCGCTTTTTAAACATCACAGAGAAGATCGGATTTGACATATTCGATGAGACGGAAGACCAGCCACTGTAAATGTTCGTCTTGAAAGTTGTTCACCAAATTGTGAGTTGATTTGCTAGCCAAAGAGGAATCCATTCAATGTTGTTCTCTTCATATAAGACGTGGTTTAGGGAGTGCTTAGAAATGTAGAAGAGGAAATGAGTAAAGAAAAGAAACAAAGGAGCCAGCCGACCCAAGATAACGAATAGCTGTGACGAATCCCGAGGTCCAGGAAGCCCTTACAATAACATTTAACTCGTGAATGCCCTCATAATACCCAGGCCCTTGGGGCTGGAACGCCTTCGGCCTTCGTCCACGGTGTCCCAGTCACCGTCCGACTGCCTAATAGACATTCCCGTCTGTATCATCCTCACAGTCCTTTCAGCTGAATCCTTCAGCAATTTCTCAGTCTCCTCGATCGCCTGCTCCAACGACAACGGTCCGTTCAGGATGCTCGTGAACGCCTCAATTCCTTCCTCATACACTGTGTCAGCCCCATCGCCGATGGTCCCAGCGAGCGCGATGACTTGGGCACCGTAGTCGCGGGCCCGCCGCGCAACTTCAACAGTCATTTTGCCCTTGGCGGACTGCGAGTCCAGGCTGCCTTCTGCGGTGAAGACAAAGTCCCAGCGCTGTTCGAGGATGTCGTCGATGTGGAAGTACGCATTGATAGCCTCGGATCGGGCGCGGAGCTCAGCTCCTAGCAGCATCAGACCCGCTCCAAGCCCGCCAGATGCACCACTTCCGGGGAGATAAGAAATATTGGTGGCAAGGATGGGCTCGAGGGCAGCTGCTAGGTTGTCCAGGGCGTCTGAGAGAATCTCTACCTGGGCTGAGGTTGCGCCCTTCTGAGGCCCATAGACCCGTGCAACGCCGTTGGGGCCGCAGAGGATATTCTTGATATTGCAGACGGCCTCGATCTTGACCCGGTCAGGTGCGCCTGGAAGAAGCCGAGGGTGCAACTTTTCGAGGGAGATCCGAGCTAATTTGGACAAGGCCGCACCACCACTAGCAGCAGGAAGCTCATTCCCATGTTCATCGAGGAGCTTGGCTCCCAGAGCCTGAAGCATCCCTGCGCCACCATCCGAGGTGCCCGAGTCACCGCAACCAATGATGATGCGTGACACGCCCTTATCAAGGGCAGCCTTCATTAGTTCTCCCACACCATATGTCGTGGTTCGCGTGGGGTCCCGGTGCGTTTTAGGGACAAGCCGGAGGCCAGCAGCAGCAGCCATGTCCAAAACGGCGACGTCCTTGGTCTCCCCTGTGAGACCAAAGTGGCTCTCCACAGGCTCTCCGATTGGGCCTGTGACGGTAGACTCAATGATATCGCCACCTTGGGCGGCAACAAGGGCCTTGCAGAAGCCCTCGCCGCCGTCGTGCAGGGGAAGCTTGATCACGGTAGCAGTGTCTTCGGTGATAACCCGGCGGATGCCAGCCTCGATAGCCGCGGCCACATCCTCTGGCCCAAGGGCTTCTTTGAAGCCAGATGGTGCAATAAGGATACGAAGATCCAGGGGTCAAGGACTGCGGCTTCGCACTGGTGACCGGCTGCCGCGAATGCTGCTTCCTGGGGAGAGGCGGTTGGGCGGCGGAGACAGGCTTGAGGGAGGGGAGGTCCGAGGAGGAGGGCGGCGAAGATCGCTCGGCTTGTCAGCTCTGTTTCCGATGAAGGCGGTGGCCATTTTGAAAAGAGACGGCGAGATAAAAAGATAAGTTCAGGCGGCCAGCAAAGATTGAAAAGCCTTTAATGTGTTGCAGCCGTGGGATGCGTTGTACTTTTTTGTGTGCCTTCTATGTCTTGATCTGGATATCACGACCAGGGACTTTTTGCGACGTTCTCATCACGAGATTATGTACTCGCGTGCCTTGCTTCCTGTTTGGGGTCAATCAACATCGAATGCCACCATGAAAACGCCATGTCAATGTGCTACAGCCCTATCTCGCAGCCCTGCTACACAGAATGCGCTGGCAGATGAGCTTGTCGGTGTAAGCTCAGCCTTGACAATCCAAAATTAGTAACGACAAAAGCAATGGAACATTATTCACTGCCACATTTTCACCAAGACTTACAGAGGCTCCGGCTGTTGGTCGCGTGACTTTTGAGATCCATCCCCAAGCGAAACAAGTCCGTGATCGAATCAAGACGATAGCACAAATTCCTGTGGCGAGCCCAGCCCGCCAACACGGCGACACTGCCGCCATTCACACCAGCGCGTGTTATTCCTCATGTGGCTTCCTGGGCTAGCGCATTTCCACGGCAGTTCATCGCCTTCTGTTGCAGGCTGAAAGATGGTGACACTGGGGTGGGCCCGCGCCTCACGGCTAATCTGCACGTCAAGCAGTCCGTCGTCTGTGTGGCCGGGGCCTGCCTCCCGCAGAGCATGGATGTTAATTTGACGTCAATGCCAAGAGCTGTTAGCTTCAGTTGATCATCCGGTTTCGTGGGCACTAGACGAGTCGCCAGCTTGCAGCATAGCCACTCACGGGTGAGCTTGTCTCTGCTAAGTTTGGAACCACCAGACAGAAGCGCGGTGGGGGTCGAAATTATAGGGCGAGATAACACCCGCCAACGCTCTCGGCGGCTCTTGGGCCGCTCCTTGGATAACTTTATCAGCTTCCAAGGTCCGTGAAGACATTCCACAGCCTCGGGTTCGGTGGCTTGTGTGCATCTCCTTGCAGATAGTCGCAGCTCGGGTGCAACTCTCGGTGTGTGAGAGTTGTCCGCGGGCGGGAAGACTCCTCACTGGCTGGCCTCACTTATACCCTCCGGCCTTGCAAGGCATGGTGTCTTGGCCTGCTCAAGTGCTGTAGAGTGTCACTTGGCCGATATGCAGCCCCCCTGGGCAACTCACGGCCACTCATCGCCAGCTGTTCGTATACCGAAAATATGTCCCTCCACGGGGCTTGGTAGGAGCGATCTGTGGCGGACCCTCTCAGCCACCCCGTGGCTATCCCTCCTAGCAATGAGAGCTGCTTGGGATCATCACCCGATAGCTTGAACTGTTTTCCCACCAACATGATGGAACAGCATCGGCACTCGGATAAAACCCATTGCGACCCCACGGCCTGCCCTTCGGCCCAAATCAGACCCAGTCTGGCAGGTCGCGTGCCACCCGTGCATTAAACACAAGTCATAATGCCTCTTCAGAAGCATCGTTACGAGAGGACTGGGCCGGTCGAGGGTGGCCTCCATCGGCTGAGTCGGTTGCAGACATTTTCATTTGAAACCCGCACAAATAGCACCCCTATAATCGGCCTGGACAGTATCCTACGTTTAAACCATCCAAACCATTCGACGGAGTCACTTGACTCTCTGTTGGAACGACCTTTCGAGGAGGACGCTGCGGAAGAGGGAGCAGCCGAAGACAGCAACGACGGCAACTTGAAGCAGAACCCAAACCTGGTGAGTAGCTATCTCAGCGAGATGTGCCGATGGGCCCACACCGTCTGCTGGGCAGCATTGCGACAAGCCGCTAACAAAGCCCCCTCCTCAGGTTACCTGGGACGGCCCCTACGACATCGAGAACCCTCTGAACTGGTCTGCCAGTCGGAAGTGGACGGCGACCATTCTGGTCTCCTGCTTCACCTTTATCTCTCCCTTCTCGTCGACCATGGTCACACCGGCCCTCGAAGATATAGGAGATCAATATGACATACCCGAGGGCTTTGCCAGAGCATTAGTCCTCTCAATATTTCTGCTTGGATTTGCGCAAGGACCGTTCGTTCTTGCCCCCTTGTCGGAGTTGTTTGGCCGCGTCAGGGTCCTCCAGTGGGCCAACCTGATTTATTTGGTTTTTAATACTGTGTGTCCCTTTGCAAAGACCAAGGAACAGCTCTATCTCTTCCGGTTCTTGAGTGGTATCGGTGGGAGTGCACCCCAAGCTGTAAGTCATGTACCAAGACCTTCAGACAAGACTCTTCCTGACAACCCCCATCGCCACAGCTATGCAATGGAGTATTGGCCGACTGCTGGCGCAAAGAGGAACGAGGCAAGGGTCAGGCCATCTACGGCATGCTCACCTTTATCAGCCCGACCGTGGCACCGATCATGGGCGCCTATGTCGTCGCCAACGACAAGATCTACTGGGGCTGGATCTTCTGGATAACATCCATCTTTGATCTCCTGGTTCAGGTAGCGGCATTCTTCTTCCTCCGAGAGACATATGCTCCGAAGATCCTGGGGGACAAGGCCAAGAGGCTCCGCAAAGTTACAGGAAATGCCGAGCTCAGGACGGAGTACGACAACCCCGACCGGAGCTATGCCAGTATTGTCAGGAGGCGGCTCGTGTTGCCTTTCATTATGCTGTTTGCACATCCTGCCATCCAGTTTCCTAGCCTTTATAGGGCCTTCCTATACGGTATCATGTACCTGGTGTACGTGGCCCTTTATCGAAACCAACTATTAATGCTTTGACCAAAAGTACTAACAGTACCTGCAGTCTCTCGACGTACGAACAAGTATGGGACGGCATTTACGACTTTGATAAGGGCCCAGCGAGTCTGAATTACTTGTCACTAGGTGCCGGATTCATCGTGGGACTACAAATAAGCCATCCAGTGATGGATAAGGTGTGTGGCCGCGCCATTAGATCCGTAAAGGGCAGGCGCTAATATTCAGAAACCAGTTATACGCATATTACCAACGTCGCTACAATACCACAGACGGCCTACCAGAATGGCGCATCCCGCCGATGGTCATAGGCGGCGTACTGGCACCCGCGGGCCTCTTCTTATACGGGTGGTCCGCCCAGAACAAACTCCACTGGGCAGTTCCGAACACGGGCTGTTTTCTGCTCGCCGTGGGCCTCATCATTGCTTTCCAATCTGCTCAGGCATACGTCACCGACGCCTACGATCACCGGTATGCTGCATCAGCAGCCGCGGTGGGGGCCTTCATGCGCACGATGGCAGGGTTTGGGTTCCCACTCTTCGCGCCGCGGATGTACGAGGTCATGGGGCTGGGCTGGGGCAATACGTTCCTGGGACTCATGACCATTCTGATCGGGATCGGCTCGCCTGCAGTCCTATGGTTCTACGGCGAGAAGCTGAGGAAATGGAGCACCAAGGGCCTGTGAAGGGGATTAGATTTGCTATAGATAGATGCGCACGTGCAGAGGAAATAACACATCATTTAACATTGTTCTAGACATTCGTGCAGCAGAATTTTGGCTTTTCCGCCATCAGATCCTATCTACCAATACCTACGTATTTTACTCTCAACTTTCATCCCGGATCCTTCGTCAAGAACAAGTTCTGGAGAGCTTCAGCCACTAGCTTCAGGACGACCTCTTCTTCACAAGACCATGCAAACATCGTCACCTGCGCATTTCAAATCATATTTTTCCTATTTTGATGTCCCATGGCGAGGCTGTGCCCAGCAAAACAGTATTGAATCGCCTCGCTCACGGTTTCGTGCCCAACCAGGCAGCCTGATCTTCTGCACGACACAGACTGCTGAAAGGCTAACGCTCAGGATCCGCATGGTACCTTGGCTGTCTGTCCTGTAACATCAATCCCCCAATCGGCTTGGACAAATGCCAGCCTTGGCCCGAGCGAAATGCTTCTTTCAGGTGGGTAGGGGTTATATGCCAAGTCCAGTCTTCTGCTGTATCCAATAACCAGAGCCACCCGCCTTGGATATCCTCGGGGTCACGGTCTTTTATCTCGGCCGTGCATTGTTTCTTACTTCAGCCGGACTCATGCATATCTGAACAATAATATGGAGAGGGGAACCGATGTCCAAGGAATGTCGGCACAAGGTCTCTTGCTTCTGTGCCTGCCGAGGACTGGCAGACTTATTCTTGACATTGTACAGGAACCTTGATTGTCCCCCGCGTTTATCATTTGTTTCCCCGTTGATTGGCGATCTCTAGTCAACCGGAACACTGCCACAATCTTGAAAGCTACGCCCTCTCAAAGGCAGCCACGTCGCCGCCACTGACTCGCCATAAGATGCTGAGCAGATGGCACGTTCAGATTGGCAAAAGACATTCACTTCTTTCAACTATTTTTAGACCTTTTATGCTGTCTATTCTTTATTCACTAGTTCCGATGAGTTCGTGGAGACGGGTGCAGGATCCCAGAATGCCCCAGTGATGCGGGGGGAAATCCAAATATTGAACGAAGGGAGGCAGTGATACTTCCGTTTCACGAACCTCTATAGAAGAGGCTATTCGCCCAGCTCCGAGGCCTGACAAAGTACAACAACCAGAGTAAAGACATTCAAAGGTACAGGCAGCGGATTGTCCAGTTCTCCACCAGTCTTCATCATTCAACCATGATGGTGGCCATTGTCTTGTTTCGAGCCCATCTGAAATGTGTATACTTTTATTCAACTTTGTACCGAGGACGGCTTATAAACGTCCAAGAAGAATGCAAATAAGTTTGAGCTACCATTCAAATTAGCTGGAGCCCACACACACAAGCTGATATCCTGATGTTCTCGCGGTGCTAATTCGGCGAGGACTGCGAGTATGAGTGCTCGGACGGTTTCCAGATTCCCCCTCAAGTCCTTTTCGATCACGCCTTCCATGTATTCATGAAATTTCTAAACGAACCACGCACGGCCTCGCGCGTTCCCAGAGCAAGTTGCGCCGACAACTCGAATTTCCGAGCAGAGCCTCAAATTGAAGTCTTGCCCTGCCCTGGCTAGCATAGAGGCGGAGTTGGTCGTTGGTTCGTGCGTTGGTGCCGTTGGTGCCGTTGGTGACTTGGTGCAACGGTTCGTGCCTTAGGGGTGGGGGGATTAGAGTCACATTGGCAACCGTGCAATCTCAGAGGTGGAGCATAATCGATAGGATGCACATATGGAGTGCTGCGCACACACCTTTGGTAGACATGTGCCCAGGTAGGAAAACTTTTGTCCCCTGACTGTAGTGTAGTACACCTAGGTGCTCTGGATCGGCCCCGTTTTGGACAGCTGTGGTGGAAAAATACAGCTGACACTCTCAAGGGGCCTTGTCAAAATCCTATACCGGTGGCGGCAAGGGGCAGCAGCTCAAAGCGATGTTGGCAATGTGACGATGCAGTGGTATGTGGGTGGGGCCCGCTTCCAACACCAACATTTGAACGCCCCTCAAATGCAGTCAGAACCGCCCGAGGACCCGGCATACCCTCTCCTTTGAACACCCATGACTTCCGCCTGACTTCGTTGTCTTTCTTCTCACTTAGCTCGGTGAACGAGCAGCAGAACCTCACCCTTCACATTCGACCTGGTCGGACACAATGACGAAGCCAATCCGTGTTTGGCTGACCGGTGGGTTTTTGCGTCCCTTGGAGGAAGACTCTGACCACATTTCGATACTAACCCTTACATCAAAAGCCCCTGGCCCCAATCCTTGGAAGGTAATCCCGAGGTCATGTCTTGTTCGTCGCTTCTTTCGTATTGCTCAAGCGAATTAACGCAGGACGCAGGTCATTGTCGTTCTTGAGGAGCTTGGTGTTCCATACGAGATCGAATGCATCAGTTTCGAGAACGTCAAGAAAGAACCTTTCATCAACGTGAACCCGAACGGCCGAGCTCCTGGTAAGTTAATTGTCCTACTTGTTCCATTTCGTTTCCCATGCTGACTTCCGAGCCAGCGATCGAGGATCCCAACACCGGGATCACACTATGGGAGTCTGGCGCCATTCTCGACTATCTAAGCAGGCAGTATGATACAGATAATCGTATCAGTTACGAGGGGTTCAAGGAGCAGACTCTGTGTGGACAGTGGCTTGCATTCCAGATCAGCGGCCAAGGGCCCTACTTTGGACAATGCACATGGTACGTTGCAGACGTCCCTCAAGATAGCTCCAAGCCGACTCTAATCATCGCTCTAAAGGTTCAAATATCTGCACCCGGAAAAGGTTCCGTCTGCTGTCGAGCGTTACGCTAACGAAATCAAACGGGTGCTGGGCGTCCTGGACGGGACCCTCGCTGCTAAGCCCAAAGATCAGCAATGGCTGGTCGGGGACCGCATGACTTTTGCAGACCTTGCCTTTGTCCCCTGGAATGATAGACTGGATGCAACGCTTGGAGTTCCTTATGACAAGAAGTTTGAGGGATTCCCACATGTGCAGGCATGGCACGAGAGTATGGTCAAGCGCCCGTCCTGGATCAAAGCCATGGACATCCGCGCTCGTCTCCTGGAAGAGCAAGGTTTCGGTCGGGATGGCATGCCCAAGGGTACCAAGAACGTCCAGTAATATGAGGCCAGCATTGCAGCTGCCGATCAAGCTCCTGCAAGCAACCCTTGATGCCCTCACGTTTGGGCTAGATCTCGCACGATGCAGTGCGGACGGTCCAGATAGCCTCGTACTTGGTTAAAACCTACAGCACTCATAAATATTTTCTGCTCCCTAAGGTCCATAAATTCGGTTCCGCATAATCAGGGTCTCGATATCTATTCCATACCCTCATGAAGTTGGCCTGAGCTCTGTGAATTAACGAATAGATCTGTGTGTGTTTTGAGCGTTTACCACCTGCACTGTATGAAGGCGCCATGTATGTCCCCGGACGTATGCGGAATAGAAGCGAAACCACTTAGGTCCTTTGTGGCAAACTGGTCGGTCAAAGAAGCGTGTGTTGCAGATGCTCTATCCAGTGACCGGTGTGCAGATGCTTCTTGAAAATCGAGCCTGATATTGATACATGGCATGTTTGTACTTCGCGAAAGGTTCGGCGACCACTGTGCCATGAAACAGTAGGTGACTAATCGGGTACATGGTAGTACATCACTGAGCATTCAGTGCTGCTGTCTCGTCATACAGGTTACCAACTCTAGCAAATTCGAGGAACAGTGCAACGGATACCACCTACGTGCGTCACTTGATACTCAGATATCCGTTCATGCTACAGATGTTGTCGCGAATGGTTCACTGTAACACATGTACCTGTGCAAAGTGGCGCCGGGATCTTGAGGTCAGTGAACCGATTTGCATCTGGACAGTTGGATACAAAAGTGAGCAAACAAACCATGCACTTTCGTTTCCCTCCCGTTGAACCTGTACACAATTAGTTGTTGCTCGACCGTTCAGGAAAAGGGACTGTACCACCCGTGCACCAGGCCTCTCAAAGTGGCTAGTTACCGGGGCTAAATGTAACCAGCCACACACGATGCAAACACCACGGCTGATGTGTCCCCCAGCACATGTACATAAATGGTCGTTGGGGAGATTCACGGTAGATCTGAACCGGTCGCTGCAGTGACACACTATACAAGGATGCAAAATAAATGCAATGGAATTCCACCTTGTAAACACCCAAAGGTTGCTCCACTGATCAACACGCATTTTCTCCCTGCCTTGCCATAACGAATATTCTCAATGAGGTTTGCAAAGTTCCTGCTGCCTTTGGCGCTGGTCGCTCAAACCAGCTGCGCCAGCCGCCACTGTTTCGTTGGCGAAAAGGACTGCTCCCCCATCATATAGCTATCGAATCAGGGGCCGGGGAATGGGTCGGAGGCTTCACTGGCCTTCTATTCGTATCGAAGACTTTGTTCCTGGAATCCCTCCTTTCCGACAGCCGCCCAGCCGCAATGATTGGTTATGTAAGCCTTTTGCGTCTTTTGCCCAGCTTGATGTTTTGACTGACTGACACGTTTCTCTTCTACGATTGGGCCAGACTCTGATTAAGGACATGGAAATTGGAACAGATATCCTGCTCGCGCTCAGTCTGCGCACACACCGCGGGGAGCAGGTACCTTTTGACTTGAGTCACATCGAAGGGACGCTCATGCGAAACTTCGATACGTGGGGCGTGCAGACGGCCAGCTTCCTCGTAACACTACAGCAACGTGCAGCACTTTTCCGCGAATCTAATACAAAGGTGGGGCCTGATCTTGCAACTAAGCTGAAGGACTTCAAAGAGCATGTCGACGTAGGTCACCCTCCGTTTTGCCGTAGCCGGAGATCATCGGCAGGCCTTGTTGTCTCGCCACTAAATGGGCTGACGTCTGTTGTAGATGTTCTGCGATGCATTCGTCACTATCATTCCTAGCCTCGCCCCGAATGTTACAAGAGTGACAAGAGATCTCGCTCGTTCTTTCGCAGTTACAATCAATAGCTTTAACGAATAGTAAACGGCATGTCGAGTCTCGTGGACGATGGTTGCGATCGAGATACCTTGGATTGATCATTCAAATTGAACCCCTAACAGCTCTATGGGACATGCAATGTGTTCATGAGCCATGTGCATGTATGAATGTGTACTGTAACAATGTACACAGAGTGACTGGTCGAATGTGGGCCCAGGCGGTCGGAACACTTCGGTAGTCGGGAGAATGGCTGTGTGCCTGCTGCCTTAATCATTGCCCCAGTTTTGGCACTTCTCGTCCGTTATGTTTTTCCACGCGCCGGGCCGGATTGGAATCGGACTCAACGATCAGGAACTCCGGCTATACCGTGCTCAGTAAAGAGTTGACCGAGTCCCGGGTGTGCTTGTCCGTCTATCCTCTGGATGCAGGTGGTTTGCACAGGACGGACGGGAGCCTGTTCACCGCCTCCACTTCCTGCGGGATGAGTTGGGCCCTGTCTGGGTGTCGCGGAGCTTCATATCGACTGTGGAGGCCTTTCGGGATGCCTTCAACCACGGAGGTCACCCGTGTCTCGGTGGTTTCGATGAATATGCCACCGATGGGATTTGATCCCTCGGTCAGGGGTCCATTGAGACCTTGGCGTCACCGGTCGAGGCCTTATTGGCGTGCGGCGTAGCCTTCTTGGCCTCTTTTCGAACCATCAGCCGCACAAAACTCGGGCAGCGTCCGTTGTAGAACATAGGATAGGATCATTGGTGACTAGCTGTTGGTAGTTAGCCAGGTGCCATTTGTCAGTGGGAAGCGTTCCATACTGCAGCTGTTGGCAATGTGACTGGTTAGTAAACACAACCGCCAAGCAACCGTTGGTTGGGCGCAAAAACGAAGCATACATGATAATTGGGTTCGGTTAAATCTGAAGCTAAGGTGCAAGCGGTCTGTCCGAAGGGCATCAAGTGCCTATATAGAAGCCTTCTACTACTGACTAAGCGGATAATTGCATACTCACGTCCGCCATCTAAAAAAAAAAAAAAAGCCACATATTCCACGATACCGCCATCATCATGTCAACCAACAACACCAGCCCCGCAAGCTGCCCAAAGAGCGCCACACCCGAGCCTGACGGCCTCGGCCTCGACAGGAAGTCGATTTTCGCCGTCGTCCCGCGCGAGAATTACACTGGTGACAGCCCGGACGACTGGATGGTCAGCTGCTGCGAGCCCAGCCCGGTGCAGCTTGTTGGCAACGAGGAGTTCGGTACCTGCTGGCAGTGGTGCGACCTACCGTCCAGCTATACCAACCTCACATCCGACACGTCAATTCTGTCGGCTGACTTTATGCGCTGTATGACGTCTACCGCCAGGGCGACCAACTCCTCTTACCCGCCCACTGCCCTGCTGCTGTCTGCTGCGCCCAGGGCTGGTGTGGCGGGCGATGGGGTGCTCGGACTGGCTTTGGTTTTGGCGGTTGCCGTGTGGGGGCTGTTCTTGTGAGGTGACTTGGAAGGTTGGGCCTGGTCTTGGGTACTGCGAAGTTTGGAATGTTGGCAATGATGGTCTCACGCTGCTAGAGATGCATATCAAGGAAGGCTCGGCATATCATGTGGCCTTCGGCATCCTATTCGACGGACATGCTCACAGGCTCGTGGATCAAGCTGTGGCAGAACAACGTCCTCAAGAGCGAGAAGAAAAATTACCTTTTCAGACAACCATTTTGTGTCTTGCATCAACTTGTTCGACCAATATTCTAGGAAATCAGCAAATGAATCATTTGGATAAGACTAATTGCTCATAATACAACTCCCATACATAGACTGTTAATGCGAGTGTGCACACTGGTGCTGAGTGGGGCACAGTGTTCACTTTGTGGCCCATGTGCGTTGGGGGCTCAAATACCAGATCTCGCTGCAGGCCCTTTTACCGCACAGCTAATAAGCTAAGTATGGATGCTGGATAAGACTGACGCGAACGATCCTGGTCCAGGCAGATAACGGGGCTGCCATGTTCGGTTTGGAGTAAACGAAATGCGGCTCTTCCCTCCAGGGACATGCTAAAGACTAATGAAATAGCCCGAGACTAATATATATATATATATTTAAAAAGCCGATTTTTTTAACAGAATTTTCTTAGTATAATTTATTTATATAGTCACTATATCTTAAGATTTAATCTTACTATATAACTTTTTTATAATATTAATATTATTATTAAAATAATACCTTTTAACTTTATTTATAAGTTATAAAGTTAAGATTATAAGTATTTATTATATTATAACTATTATTATTAATATTATATTCCTTCTAAGTACTAGGTCTTAAGTGCTTATTATTATATAAAAGCGCTATATATATCCTTGGACATATGTAGAATAGAAGCGAAACTACATTCCTTAGTGATAGGGTATAGGTATGAATATAACATGATAACAAATGTTCGTAAGAGCCGCCAATGCAAGCAAGAGATATGGTAGCCTCCCTAGAGAGAGGCGTAGCCCGTGCCTACACCTGGGAGGTCAGCGTGAGCTGACGAAGGGCTCCTCAGGGGGCCCATAGTCAATCTTGCGCTGCTGGATCCACTTCATCAAGGCACGAGATCCTTTACCCCGGCTGCTGCCCCGGCTCTTGACGAACTCCAGGCCATTCCTAATCTCCTCAACACTGATGTCTCTGGTATGGATCATCGTGCCGTTACGGGTGGGGTAGAATTGTCCCGGTATCCTCTCTTCGCAGCCATACACCGGGTTCACGGGCTGGAGGTTCAGGAGGTGCTCGGAGCCGCTCCACAGGTTCTCGAGATGCAGGCTGGCGAGGTCAGGCATCGATTTGAGGTGCTTCAGGACCGGGTCCCAGGTGCCTCCGTTTATGTGGACCTCCCTAAGGTCGATGTGCGTCAGGCGAGGATGGTTGCGCAGGAAGAGCAGCAGATCATTCGGCTTGGTCCAGATACCTCGTAGGGTGATGCGGCGCAAGCAGGGAAGGATCACATTCAGAGAAATGTGGGCGAACATGGCGCTATATGCCCACGGGGCACCTTCCATGGTGTTATACAAGTAGAGGTCAAGGGCCTCGAGGTTCGGGGTCCGCTGGAGGAACCAGCCGACGCCCGGGAAGTTATCCTCGGACCTGCCTCGTGCCTCGCTCGTGGCTATGCGAACGGGTGCGAGGTGCTTCATGGAGCCGTCCTTGTGGAAGATGATATCACTTGTCACTGGGATTACAGTGGCGGTCGACAGGCCGAGGTTGAGGGACTTGATACTGGCGCCTGCACGAGATTCAAAGTCGACGTTTGAGAGGTCCGTGATCAGATTGTTGAGGACACGGGACTGCATCATCTGGTCAGCATTCCGGACTCGGAAGTGCACTACTTATGACTGACCTGGATTTTTCCAAAACAGTCGGTGAAGACGGAGAGTGTTTTGGCCTCAACCTGGCTCATGCTCATGGCAGTGGTCACAATCTTGAGCAGGCGGTTACAGTCTGCCCAGAGGCAATTCCAATTCACGCCGCGGGCACTGCCCGACTGATCGGCCCTGTCAAGGTCGGTGCGGATGACGCGAGCAGTCAGCTTGAGCAGATCGAGTGAGCCGAGGTTCTCGAGGATGTGCGACAGGGCGTCTACGATCTCGTCGCTGAACTGGCCCTGCTGCTCATGGCGGATGCTCATGATCTTGTACAGCTGGCCTATCTTGTCCAGAAGCTCCTTGTTGCGGGCACTGGGGATTTCGGGGAGCATTGGGCTCCATGAGCCGCGCAGGGGGTCCCGCAGGCGGCGGATCTTGAGCAGCAGGCTGCTGGGGTTGTGGAAGACGGCGACGACGGTGAGTCGCTTGACGGCCGGCCCGAGGGCGGGGTGGGTGGTGATGTCCCGCAGCCGCTGGAGGCTCGTGGGGGTGAGGTCCGTCTCCTGTTCCTCATAGAAGGACAGAAATGCCGGGCCGAGGCATTTCTTTGCGTGCAGCTGGGAAGCAAGGCGGAGGCTCTTGAGGGAGGCGAGGCCCAGGTGAGAAATGACCTGGTTGTAGAGCTCGTTCGGCAGTGCATGCAGCCGATCGCGTGCTTCAGTCATGTTTATAGTAACTACTTGGGAAATTGTTGTGAAAAAGTAGCAGTGCAAATTGGATGTGCCGAGGAATGGCACAGTACGCTTGGTGTGGTGGGCGTCTAGGCCGCCTGGTTCAGTATCCGCACCGACCTTTGGTGACGGGCAGTGTGGGGTTGACGCCTGCCGAGGTGACTTGGGAGAATCCGGAGGCGTATATCGGTGGGACTTGACTTCTCAGGCCAGCTGGGACAAGATGTGTTGAAGATATACGTACGTCTGGTCTGGGGTGATGGATGTAAAGGCGATGATGGTTGGTGAGATGGAAAGACGTCGGATCGACGGATTGTCTGGCACGTGTACCGAGTACTAGGGCGGTTGTACAGACTTGCTGCGACTGGTCCCTTGTTCCGTGTTAGGCTATTTCACTTGCTCACGGCCACACGACTAACACCTCACATTCCCAACGTCGAGCCACTTCCGCACTCGTACACGGCCAAGGCCACAATGGTAGATATCTTGTAACCAAGTGCAATGGGCGTCAGATTGTGGTCACAAGATAAGTTGTTTATCTACAAGTACGAGTCCAAGAGACTTCCGAGGTTACACAGTGACATGACCTTTCCATCAAAGCAGCATGTCGGTCCCATCCTGCAATCGAATGAGGGGCTGAGGGGCTGCTGCTCTCTTGGCCCAAGCTCCCTGGGATTGTCCTGGGGCTGGGACGGCCTGCAGGGGAGCTCCGGCCCCACCTGAGGCTCCCATGCCCAACATTGAAGCTCCCAAGCTCCCCCTGGCTGAGTTACCCGCAGCTTCGACCTCCAGCCAGACTTGACTCGACCAAATTGACACAAGACAGTCTCTTTGGCAGCGACACCAGATTATTCGACCCGGAGTCCCCTGATGCTTTGATCAAACTCCACTCGACCAAGATCCCACCTTGAAACCGCTCCACCATTCCTAGTCGGGACCTCCGCCCGAGCTGGACCGAACGAACGCCGATTTGATCGAAGCGCATGTGTGGCAACATAACGAGCATATCACACTCGACACGTCGAACAGTGTTTAGAATTCGACTGCTGGGAAGACATCCAACCTGTCGAGACTAATATCGCAGGCTGTGCAGACCAGCCCGAGCCTTGGAAGATAGGACATTGCATCCATAGTCGCCGTCGCGACACCACTGCCTCGCTTGTGCAAAATCACTGGAGGGGAGGGAGGATACGGCCAGTGTAGTCTGTGGCTGCTGTCATGGGCAGAGGCAATCTCTCTTCGCCTCTCGCTCATGGTGGGTGCCAACCATATTACAATTATTCTATGCCGGTAATGTACCCTCTGGAATGACCGCCTTTCACTCTTCTCGGGCTTCATGCCCGCTGTGAAGTCCTCATTTTCCGCACCACCATCATGTGTCTAGTTTCGGCCACCTCCTCAGACAGTCACCACCAATTTCTTTGCCGAGACGCCTTTCCTGCCCACCTCGAATGCCTCTTGCACCTTATCCAACCCGTGTCCAACAACGAGTGGCTCCGGGGCCGGCACGAAGCTCCCCTGCGCGAGCGCCGCTGGTAGGAAGCTCCCGTACACCGCCTCGGCGACAGGGCCGTCGTACAGGTCCGATCCCCAGACGAATTCGACCTTGACACCCTTGAGGTTCTTCCTCACCAGCGTCGAGAACCACGCATAGCCCGCCTTTGCCAGCCAGGCCACCAGGTTCAGCACCCCCGGCCCCGGCGGGGGAGGCCCGTTGAGGCTCATCTGGGCGACATACGCCTTGTCTGCTGTGCCCTTGCAGCACGCCGCGACAATGTCAATACACGGCTCGATCGACCCCGCCCCGATCGCAACGGCCCCGGCACATCCCGACCCGACCTGCTGCGCCGCCCTGATGACGTCTCGGGCGCAGTCCGCGTCTCGGTAGTCGAAGACGCTCGACGCCCCGAGCGAGCTGACGTAGTCGAAGTTGTGCCTCCCCGCCGTGGCAACGACCTTGTACCCGGCCCCGACCGCCAGCTGCACGCAGTTCATCCCGACGGCGGTGCTGGCGCCCCAGACGACGAGCACCCTGCCGGGCTTGGCCCCTCCCCTCGCGGCGGCGGCGGCGGCGGCGTGGTTGTCCACGGACGGCAGCTCCAGGCCCAGGTGCTTGTCACAAAACAGCCCCGTCGCGGCGGTGCTCAGGCACACCGGCAGCACACAGGCCCGCTCGAACGCGACCGAGTCCGGTATCTTCGCCACCAGCCCCGCCCGCAGCACGACGTACTCCTGGAACGCGCCCTCGCTGGACCCGCTGCTGATCTTGTCCAGCCCCAGGCAGTGGCCCAGCACCCGGTCGCCGACGCTGAAGGGGATGTTGTCGCCGGGCCCCACCTCGACCACCTCCCCCGCGACGTCCTCGCCCATGATGTGGGGGAGCTTGGCCCAGGGGAACATCATCCCGCCGATGTCCTGCTTGGCCCAGTCGCAGAAGTTGACGCCCACCGCGCGGGTGCGGATCACGATCTGGTCTCGCCCGGGCGGGGTGTATGGTGCCGGGGACACGGCGAGGGGGTTCTTTGCCTTGGTTAGCCAGGCGGCTGTGTTTGATGGCGCCATAGTCGAGATCCTTTTTTAAGTAAGTGCTTCTTATGTCGGCTGTGATCAAGGTGTGCTAAATTTGAGGATATTGTATGGCTAGTCGTAAGAGCGTTTCTGGGGGTTTTCGAGTGGTATGGTATGGTGAGGTAGGTAAAAGCCGTGAGCGCATGTGCCCCAGATGAGGGCTCATGGGCGTCGGATTTCCAGCCCTTTTATACGCTGCTGTCTGCTTGAGACCATTTCGAGATCGATGATGATGCTGATGGTGAGAACCATGGTCCACTCGGCGAGATCGGCCTGGCGTACGAATCGGGGCGATGAATTGTCCCATCTGTCCCACCTCTCCGTCCATGAAGTCCCTCTGGGCGCGCACCGTAAGCCCAGCTTGCCGTATACAAACCTCGGAATACGATTGGGGGTTAGCGCCGTCTGGCTGGCGGCCCCGTAATGTGGGCGGGCCATCAGCCGCCGGCCGAGTCTCGACCGCCACTGAGGTTCCAGGTCCCACGGAACTTGTATCTAAATTTCCCGCGGCATGGCATGGCATAGCGTAGTGGGGATGGTTCTTCTCGGACAGCTGCCCGTGGAAGATCCGAATGCGATGGACGTGCTGAAACCTTGAAACTCATGACCTCATTCACGTGGACATCGGTTCTGGATTCATCTCTATGTCAATAGACGGGGCCGGGGTCCTCGGCGGTGCGAGCCGTCGTTTTTGGCAAACCTTGCAGTGTATATTGAGATCTCGAGCCGGCGACTGTCGTGCACTGATATTTTCTATCAAACTTGTATGCATGGTATGAGCTGCAAGTGGCATTAGATATTTATCTAGCCTGGTCACTGGATTCGGTATGGGAATGCTTGCCTAGCTCATGTGTTGGTTGAAATTCACGGCCTAACGTCTCACAACGTGGCTGTGATGACCTTCCGTGGACTGCCCACCGCGCTATTTCACGTATTGTGGTATTTTTTCGTGACAGGACTAATACACATGGAATGGGTGCCGGAATCAAAATAAAGCACAAAATGATTTCCAAGCCCTCTCTCGCTTTACGGGGAGTTTGGCAAAGCAGCAATGCCCAGGAATTGAGGCCATCCACACTTGGAGGCACTTACAACATGTAGCTCAATGGATGCCCTGTAGAAGAGGAGAGCTTCCGATGACTGCGTACAAAACAAGTCAAGTCGGTCCCTCGGTCGCAACATGAAAAATGCAGCCAATTGACACATATCAGGCCAATGGCAGATAAGCAAGGGGTTCTTCTCTGCTAATTTTGACATGATCTTGCACCTCCCCCTTCAAGCCCGGCGAGGCGGCAGAGGATCGTCTCGCAGGATCGCCTTGCATCGGCATGAGTCATTCTGAGTGACTGGCCCGGGAGACAGGTATTGCACTAGCAGAGCCTGTCGCATTACTCGCACATCACTGTTACCAATATACTCCACCCATGGGGCCTAGACCTCCATACTCTCAAGACGACTCAGGTGTCAGCCACAACACCCAGGCACCTTACATTCGTTGCCTGAGTCACCTAATGGATTTACATGGGTGCGCGTGGCAATAGCTCGAAGATGCTTTCGGAGATGGATCCCATGTGTGATGTTTGAGATTGACGATGAATATATATAGAGCATGGACATGGCGATGCTCAGGAGACCGTTATGGAAGAGGTGTATCAACCAGTCTGGACCGACGGAGCTGCATTTAGCTGAACATATTCCAGACTTGAATAGTATTTGACATCACATGGACACTTCAGCGACGTCTTCTGGCACAACTCAAGCCAGCACCATGACAGGGAACACAAGACTGACGGGTGCTTCTGCACCAGCAGAGACACCGCTGATAGGGAAAGGCAAGGCTGCAGTACCACAGAAGCCACTGTCCGATAGGTACCAACTCCATTCTCCATCCTGGAATTTCTGCCAGAGCAGGCAGTGCTAACACACATTGACAGGACAAACGGCCCAGAGAGGCCAGCAGAAGAGGACCAGGAAGACCCAGAGGCCGGAGCCGAGCAGGAGGCAGACAGCGACTCGTTCACACCCACGCAGTGCCTCTTCTGCAACACCACCTCCCCAGACTTCGGCTCCAACCTGACCCACATGGGCAAGAGCCACTCCCTCCTCATCCCCACGTCGATAGACAACGGGTCCCTCGCCCTGGCCGTCGACCCCGTGACCCTGGTGCGCTACATGCACCTCGTGATATCCACCTACCACGAGTGCCTCCTCTGCCACACGCAGCGGCAGGGCGCCCACGCGGTGCGGCAGCACATGACGGGCAAGGGCCACTGCCGCATCGACCTCGAGGACAGCGGGAGCGAGTTCCGGGACTTTTACGAGAGCGCCGGGGCCGCGGGGGCCGGGGGCGACGGCGACAGCGACAGCGACAGCGGTTCCTCAGCCGGCGAGGACGCCTCCGAGGCCGAGGGATCACCACGGGCAGGGGCCGAGCCCCCCCTGCGGCTGCGCGAGGGCACCCTCCTCCTCGCCTCGGGGAAGCTCCTCTCGAACCGCTCGGCGCCGGGCCCGAGGCACCACAGGCCGCTGTCCGAGACGCAGAAGCCGACGCGGCGCGGCGCGCTCCCCGCGGCGGCATCGCACCCGAGCGAGGACAGCCCAGGACCGCCGCCGCCGCCCCCAGCAGGCCCGTCCCCGGCGGACACGACAGCCGACACCGGGCGAGCCCTGACGCGGCTGGAGCGCCGCGCCGAGGCAAGCGGCAGGTCGTCGCTCGCGGTCGCGATGGCCCAGATGTCGGTCGGCGACCGCGCGGCGCTGGCGCACCTGCCCGCGGCGGAGCAGAGGGCCGTGGTGCTGCGGCAGTTCAAGCAGCAGGACAGGGCGCGGCACGAGGCGCGCGTATACTGGAGTAAGGTCGAGCTTCGGGGCAACAGGACCATCAAGAAGTGATGCTTGTTGCCCCCTTTTCCTTCTTTTTTCGGGTGACAAGGTGTGCGCTGACATTTTTGTTGTGGAACAGGTAGGATGGAGCGCAAGAACAACAGCGTGATGATGAAGCACTTTGTTAATGATGTGCCTGGGCCGAAGCTGGGTTGATCTGAGATGGTGGTCATCGATGCTCGTCGGGCGATGGCTGGTTTCGCATGCAGGGAGGCGCTTGGAATCAGGAGTCGGGGCACATCATCGTGTGCCACCTTACGAGCTGGATGTAGCAGTTTCGAGGATGGTGGCAACAACCCGAGGAACGAGGTACTGGCCTACTCCTGTGAGTCAGGCGATCGACTGGTGACACATTTGGTCGCAGTTGTGGACATGAACATGTTCCGAAGTTCTTTGCTCATCAGAGATAAGGCTGACGGGGCTGAGACCAAGAACCAGGCATGCAATGCAGTGGACTCCCAGGATTTACTCAAAGGCCGGGAATAGCTGAGCTGGTTCGGCGGGCATTCTAATGTGGATTAAAAGAAGATCTTGGAATGAGACAGAAGGGTGGAATATGTACTCATGCTAATCCTATCCGGGAGTCGTCGATGGGTGAAACCAGAGACCAGCCCACTGTATTCCGTCACATGTACTTCTCCTGCTCGAAGTAGCTCTCACAGTTATCGCCAAGGCCAAACACGTGGCACTGGCAAGCCTCGAGGCTTGGACAACTAGAGCCAGAGTGTTAGTTAACAACAGGCAACCACAATCTCGCATACTACAGTCGACAGCAACAGACAGCCCAAAGAGGACAGACTTACTGCACGGCCTCGACACCAAACCACACATGCCAAAGATGCTCCATCAGCCGCCCAGAATTCATGCTCGGCAGCGGCGCCTCGATAAGCCACTCCCGCAGCTTGAGCCACCACTCCCTCTCCCTGCGCAGCACCCGGTCCCGGCTGACGGCAAACTGCGCACAGCACGGCGCCGCCAGCTGCCTGGGGACGGCCCCCTCGAGCTCGGGGAACCGCGCGGGCTCGAGGAAGTTCTCCAGCAGCGTGACGAGGTGGTCCCGCCTGGACATGAGCGGCAGGGCGGCCATGCTCGGGGCGGGCTCGCCGCCCTCGAGGGGCACGACGTTCTCGCAGCCGGGCAGGCAGCGGGCGGAGGCGTAGCCGGCCCTGAGGACGTACCCTGGGCGCAGGCGGGCGACCTCCTCGGCGCTGGTGAGCTTCTGGTGCCAGGCGCGCGGGTGGCCGTGGTGGAAGAAGATGAGGTCCGGGAGGGAGTGGTAGTTGTCGATGATGTAGGTCAGGTAGACCATTGCCTCGTTCCCCTTCCTCGAGGGCACGCTGAGGGCCGGGGTTATGGGGTCGTCGACGCGGTAGTGGTATACGGTCCAGTTTAGTGCTGGGGGGATCTCGGAGAGCCAGGCTGTGTCGTCGTTTTTGGTTGAGGCGACCACGAGGGCCTTGGATATTACGCCGGGCTGGTGCTCGGGGCTACCATGGCTGGGTGCTGTCACTGGTGGAGGAGGCGAGGTCGGGCGCCCGCCGAAGAGCAGTTTTGCTGTGAATGTGAGTAGGACTGCGAAGGCAAAGGGGTATAAGAGCAGAGATACGGCGGCACGAAGCTGCCGTCTTTGGTACAGGCCCATGTTTGGACGTGTGCTGTGAGGATGGAGAAGAAGCACGATATCTCAAGCTGGCAAGATGGGTCACTCGACTCATCTCCTCAGCATCAGCCATGATGACGATAGCACAGGATTTAATAAAAATGCCAAGCTGAAACAATGGAGGGCAAGAAGAATCTAGAAGCTGATGAGGCTAAACTTTGGGCGCGGGCGTTGAGACGAGATGTGTATCAGATTGTGTGCGTCGGCGACGTCAAAGCTGACCCGTACTCCACATGACAGACATTGTCGACACAGACAAACCCCCTTTGCATCACTGGATGCCGTGGACTGCGCAAATGAGGTAGATGAAGCCATCGAGGTGGGTAAAGTCTCGAGTTGGAACCCGTCAGTCGTGACATCTTGGCGACGTAGTTAAGCTCGGATAGTCGAACTCTGAAGTTGCGTGAGGGCGTCAAGATGTGATTGATTACGAGTCCGTGGCGCAGATGACGGTGAGTAGATGGCTGCCAGTCATTGATCACATCAAGACAGTAATAACAAGTAATTGACCCGCCCCGGTTGGTGTCGTCGCAACGGGGCCGTTGCATCGGGGCCGTCGCCGTTGTCGAAATGACTGACCGTCTCGGCACTGTGCAACGGCTTGTCGAGGGAGGTGGCAGGGTGGCAGGGGGGTTGGTCGGGGCCGGTACAGCCCGACTGCGACGCCGACCGTCCCGAATTACCCCGCGGCGCGAGCCCATCTCGGGCATGCTACAGGGAAGGGGCGAGCTCCCAGGCCCTGTCGAGCCCTGCTCAGGGCCCGAATTCTGGGGTCGGGCGGGTAGCTCCACCACCTGGGCGAGGCGCAGGCCGTCCATCATCCGAGGTCTACCACATTGGAGTCCTGGGTACCTGGCAGGCCTGGGTGGTGCCGCATACATCTGTACTGTGTGAGGTGAGTGTCGACGCAACCATCACGCGACAACTGCGAGCTTTGGTTTTTGGGAAAACACCACCAGTCCTGTCCTGCCTCTTCTAGCTCTCACTCTTTCTCTGTATCTCTCGCTCTTGCTTCTTGTCTGCTCCCCCGCCCCCACGTCTCCGCCCGTGAATAGCTTCAACTTTATTGCTCTCCTCGCAGGGCAGCCAGCAGCAAGAAGCAGCAACACCAGCAGCCAGACCAGCAGCCACGATGGGAATCATCAAAAAGACCTTCTACACGACCGTCCTCACGGGCACTGCCTTTGTCGGTTACGTCGCCGGCTCCACCTCCATCATCCGCCCGCTGCCCCGCGACGACCCCATCTGGAAGAGCAACCCATACAACCGCTACAACGTGCAGAACAACCCCTCGACCCAGGATGTCTGCATCAAGCGCATACCAATCTCCAAGATCCGCCCCGAGCTCCTGCAGCAGGATGGCGCACTGGCGCTTGAGTTCTGCCGTGGTGTCTGGGCCGGCTGGGGTGAGCTCCCCTTCGCTTCTTCCCCTCCATTTCTTTACGAGACAGGTGCAATGAGAGAACAGTCAAACACGTGCTGACCATGCCTCGCACCACCAAACAGGCTACAGGTCCCAGCGCCGCATCCTCGCCAACAAGTACCAGGCCGACACCCCCGACCACCTCTGGTCCCCCCGCGACCTGGCCACGTCCAACTACGAGCCCGGCACGCGCATAACAGACCACTTCGAGGTGGTCGAGAGGACGCCCTCGGCCATCACGGTCCGCTGCGGCGACAGCCCCGTGCGCAGCCCCGGCCCCCGCGAGAGCGACGGCATCTTCGTCATGTACGCCGAGGTCGACAAGGAGCGGGGCGAGGTCGAGCTGGGCCTCAAGAGCTGCTTCTTCGACTCCAAGAACAAGCACGACGGCATCCTGGGGCCCATGCCCAAGTACATGGAGGCCGCCCACCAGTGGTACTCGAGGCTGTGGATGGTCAGCGCCAGCCGCTGGGTGACCAAGGGCTTCTTCTGATGGTCGGGTCTGGAGCACTGCGCTTTTCCTTCAGGCGCATATCGGTCTGCTTGGTGGTGATGGGTCGGGGTCGGTTATGGAGGATCTGAAAAATGGTCGCGTACGGGACAAACAATTGGCTATTCATGGCAACAGCGTTGGGCATGGTTCGGGGCTGCCAGCCGCATGTTTAATGGAGCGACATTCATATCGTGCTGGAAGAAGCGATGGTGCTGTTGTCCAAAAATTTGTACAATACGTTCAAGGTCGACGCAGCCAAATTACAAATTAAAAAAATGTTTCGGAGCGGCCAGCCACGACGGCGAGTCAGCCAGTGATGCTGTCAGCAACGCAGCAAGCCGTCATCATCCAACGCCAATTCGACCGATTGCAAGAGTCAGCGACGTCTCACGGTTCACCACCCACGCAGATATGAGACATGCAATCATGCTGCTTGACCATGCATACGAAGTCACATCCTGAGCGTGTCCCATCGGCTACCCGGGAGGGCCGGGAGGGGGCGTCGTCGTCAGCCGCGTAAACAACGGAGGCCAGAAACAAGACCTCCGGTCCGAGCATGTCCTCCGCACGGCAGCATCTGCCGGACCGATACAACAACAGGAAGCGATCATCCCTGGCAGCGAGCACGGATGCGAAAAGGCTCGAAGGCTGGAAGCCCAATTGGCAATGGCCAACCATTCTGCCTGTAGGCTTGCATTAGACCGTTTGTGGCATGTCCAACCGGGTTTGGCTTTCCCGTCTCTCACACAAACAGCCTGGCAGCCAAAGAGAAGCATCGATATCGGCGGGGGGCGTGTGCTCGGGCGGATCTCCGATAAGCATTCCCGCCCTGGCGGACCCTCCAACCCTCCAACCCTCCCGATTTTGGCTGTGACTTTCTCCCTTTAACATCCAAATGCGGTAAGCGGATTTCTGCAGGCGCAGCGGTCATGACAGACAGTACCCAGGTAGTGAAAGCTACATGTTTCGCATCTCCCAACTATATCTTGCCGGCCCGTCACCACATTATCTTCAGGCCTCGAACTCTTAATTAGCCATTTGCCGTCCTCTCTCGCATGGGATTTTGTTGTCCCTTGGGTCGACCCGGAAGAGACGAATATAATAAACGCACTTCAAGCCATCATCTCACACTGCCACAGCCACTGACTAACTCACCCACTGCCTTCTTGCTCCTCCCGTTTAGCCTGATACCTGGGTACCCAGGTAGACACCCTTTACCCTTGAATCCTGCCACATCACCTCACCTCACCTCACCTCCCCTCTCCTGTCCTACTGTCAACATGACGGCCAACGACACCACCACTGCCACGGCGTCGGAGCCGGCAACCCTCAACCAGACAAAGACTGCCACCACTTCCAACGGCACCTCCCGCAAGTCAGCACCCTCGCACCCTCTTGGCCCCCTGACCGCAAGTGAGATATCCAAGTCGTCAGACCTGATCAGGGCACAATGGCCCGAGGGCACAAGGTTCCAATTCAAGGTCGTCACCCTCCTGGAGCCACCAAAGGCCGACCTCGCTCCATACCTGCAGGCCGAGAGGGCTGGCCGGCCAGTCAAGCCCATTGACAGGAAGAGCCAGGTCGTGTACTACCTGAGGAACACCGTAAGCAAACCCGCAATCGGCGCACCTGCCCCTCGATGCTTCCGGCCAAAAAGCTAATTCGCCACCAGGACAAACTCCACGAGGCTGTTGTCAACCTCAGCACATCCAAGGTGGAGAGCAACGTCCGGCTCGGCCCCTTCATCCATGCTCCCGGCGATGGAGAAGAGCTCATCGAGATCGAGAAGGCGATGCTGGCAGACCCCGGCGTCCAGGCCGAGATCGAGAAGCTGAAGCTCCCCGAGGGCAGCGTGGTCGTGTCTGACCCCTGGATCTACGGCTCTGATGGCGTCCACGACGGCCTCTTCTCCGACCACAAGCGGGTCAAGCAGTGCTTCCTGTACATGCGCGACCCACAAAACTCACAGGAAGAGGATGGATGTCACTACGCATTCCCGCTCCCCATCTCGCCAGTCGTGGACACGGTCGATTACAAGGTCATCCGGATTGATATCATGCCTACGGGCAAGGACTCAACCGTGAAGCCGCTCGAGGCATGGAAGGGCCCCGTGCCACCCAACGAGTACATCCCCGAGGCACAGCCCAACGGGCTTCGAAAGGACCTCAAGCCGCTGCGGGTAGTCCAGCCCGAGGGGGCAAGTTTCACAGTCGAGGAGTACAGCGAGGACGGCCTGGGCAAGGTGCTCAAGTGGCAGAAGTGGGAGTTCAAGGTCGGCTTCAACCAGCGCGAGGGAATGGTCCTGTACGACGTCCACTACGACGGGAAACCCCTGTTCTACCGACTCTCCCTCTCAGACATGGCCATCCCCTACGCAGACCCCCGCCACCCCTTCCACAAGAAGCAGGCCTTCGACCTAGGCGACGTCGGCGCCGGCATCATGGCCAACAACCTCAGCCTGGGGTGCGACTGCCTGGGCTCCATCTACTACATCTCGGGCGTGCTGGCCGACACCGAGGGCAGGCCCCAGGACTACCCCAACGTGGTCTGCATCCACGAGCAGGACGCGGGCCTCCTGTGGAAGCACACCAACTACCGCACCGGCCGCGCCGTCGCCGTGCGCAACCGCGAGCTGGTCCTGCAGTCCATCCTGACCGTCAGCAACTACGAGTACATCCTCGCCTGGAACTTCAGCCTCGCCGGCGACATCACCTACGAGGTGCGCGCGACGGGCATCCTCTCCACACAGCCCCTCGACCTCGGCCTGACCAGGGAGCCGCACCCCTACGGCACGGTCGTGCACCCGGGCGTCCTGGCCGCCTACCACCAGCACTTCTTCTCCCTGCGCGTGGACCCCATGATCGCGGGGCCCGACAACCAGCAGGTCGTCTACGAGGAGGCGCACGCGATCCCGCGCGACCCCAGGGAGAACCCGCACGGCGTCGGCTACACGGTGACGCGCACGCCCGTCACGGCCTCGGGCGGCTACGACCTCGACACGGCGCGCAACCGCACCTTCAAGCTCGTCAACACGGGCGTGAGCAACGCCGTCAACGGCGCCAGCGTCGCCTACAAGATCCACGTCCCGCCCATGCAGCCCATCCTCGCCGACGCCGAGAGCTACCACAGCCGCCGCGCCGAGTTCGCCGACCACAGCATCTACGTCACGCGCTACGCCGAGGGCGAGCTCTTCGCCGGCGGGTACTACACGAACCAGTCGCGCGGCGGCGCCGGCGTGCGCGCCTGGGCCGGGCGGCGCGATGACCTCACCCCGAGCTCCGGCGCCAGCCCCGTCGTCTGGGTCCAGTTCGGCATCAACCACATCCCCCGCGTCGAGGACTTCCCCGTCATGCCGATGGAGATGATCAAGGTCACCATGCGGCCCGTCAATTTCTTCGACCGCAACCCGGCGCTGGACGTGCCCCCTAGCCGGCAGGAGGTCAACTGCAGCGTGGGCCTGAACGGGGTCGTCGATGGGGTTGCTGAGCTGAAGGTCGGCGAGGAGGGGAAGCCTTGCTGCTCATAGGATTGTCACGGTTGAGGAAGGTGTGGCTTCACCGCCATTGTTATTTGCTTGGGATTGTGTGTGTCGGGGCTGCTTTGGCCTGTCCCTGTTGGAGTCTAAGGTGTTGTTCACTGGCAGTGGCTATGATATAAATCTGGTAATGTCCACGGATGCCATGAAATGTTGCATGAATATATCATATTTGTAATGTCGTTGTGCTACTAGACCATGTCTGGCTTCGTAAACATTACGTGTCTTCGCCTCTCCAGGAGTTATAGCGCTTGCTTTCATCCGTGGACGATTGAAATTCTTCTTGGGCTGTGATCCCGACTGAACAGGACCATTGAATGTGACAAAGGCCACGTGATCTATTGCATAGTTAGGATCTCATTTGTCAAAGGTTGAAACCTGGGAAACGATTCGAAAACTCGTGTAAATCGATTTCTACATACGTGCCCAGATATCTTCCTCGGTTCCGGCCGTGAAAGCCTGTTTGATCCGAGATCTATCCCCCATGGCCGCCCATGGTCCAATATCCTCAATTGTGTGGTTTCGCTTCTATTCCGTATACATCCAAGGATATACATGGCGCCTTCATACAGTGGTAAGCACTCAAGACCCAGCACTTGGAAAGAATACATTGTCGATAACGATTTATAATATCCTTAATTATAACCTTGTTTAAACTTAATATAAAACAAATGACTAGTATTAAGAAAGGTTGCCTAAAAAACCTACAAGTGCAGAGTGTACATAGGAGCTAATAAGTAGTTTTATTTTTAATCCCTATATATATAAAATATATATAGCACCTTTATATAATAGTAAATACTTAAAATTTAATATTTAAAGAAATATAATATTAATAATAATAAAAAAAGAATATAATATATAGATATATAATTAAACCTTATATTATATAAATAAAGTTAAAAGGTATTAAGATGTTATTTAGGCTTTATGGTATAAGGGCTTAAAGTTTGTATTAAATAGAGTGGATTTAAAGAGTAGGGTTGTCTAAGGAAAAAAGGAAAAAAGGAAGGTTGCCCTTTAGGCTTTGGGGTGAGAGGTAATGGTGTGGTAGCCTTATTGATAAGGGGACCTGTAGGGACCCCTGTAGGGCCCACCTGCTATCCTTAACCCCTAGCTTTAACTAGTATTACTCTTAATAATATTATATTAAAATTATTAATATAAATAATTTAAGAGTTAATAGTTAATAAAATAGTTATATAATAAAATTAAATTAGTTTTTTAAAATAACTTTTATAAAAAAAAGAATTTTATAATATAAGACTTAATAAGTTAGTTCTTTCCTATTAATATACTTATTATATAATTATTTAAATTTACTTTTATTAAATAAATTAAATAATAATCCTTATTTTAAATATATAATTAATAAAATAATAATATTATAATAATAAACTTATTTAAATAAATTAAAACTTTTTAAAAGTTAAATAAAGTTTATTTATTATATATTAAATAAATATTATATAAAAAGTAGAAATTTAAATACTTAAAATTAAATTTTTTCTTTAAATATATTACTTTATTATTAAGGATTTATTTATTTTTATATAATATATAAGGAATATAATAAAAAAGAGAGCTTTATAAAGAAAGTTAATAATTTTATATATAAATAAATTTAAAAATATATATTAAATAATTGTTAACTTTATATTTAAAATATAGACTAATAGCTAGTTTAAAAGCTAAAAAAAATAATAAATAAATAAATAGTTAAATAAAAAATATAATGTAGTCGAAGCTAGGAGCCGATAAATAAATGCCTATTAATAATGCAGCTCCCACTCCCGGCCTTAACCCCCATGTGCCCCTTTCCCCCGTCAGACTATGCCGATGTATGCAACCCATTTTCGAGTATTACACACTTTCCCTTTCCCTATCACTTCATCATGTCCTCTCTGCTAACCGACACGACGCCAGCGATGTCCTGGCCATGACGAGCGGCTGATAAGTGTCCTTTAGACACGCCCACTGTCTGGATAGCTGGTACACGCCCCTGTTAGCTTCCTCGATGTATCACATTGTCCTCCATTTGACCGAATAATCGGGCCCTTGGTTCTATTTATACTATGAGTAAGTCAACATCAAACAGCCTATAGCCAAAGGCGATTTGTAAGATTTTGATTGGCCTTGAATCGTGAGCGACTCACCTCCCGAGGTCGGTTATGCAGATTCCGTTCATTCATTTTCGGAAATTCGATGTTGTCTGACATTCAAGATACCTACTTAAGTAGGTAATCACATGGGACCTTAGATTCACTGATCAGCCACACGCACTACAATAGACGCGGCTTCAAAAACTGGAACGAGGACTTTAACCCGCATTCCATTGTGAGGTTTCCACAAATTCAGGTGATGATATTGAATAATCTTCAAGCCCATTCCTCCAGCCGTGCGGGTTTGCCTCGAAATTCGAGCTACAGGGGGCATTAGTTACACTTGGTCGTCATCATGGATAAAATGCCATGCCATCCGAATGTGATGGAAGCACCATTCGCTCGTTCTTCCATGCGTAAGTTACTCGTGTGTAGTCAATTCCGGAGGAGCTCATGGCAACAGTATAATTAAATTTCTATTGAGGCCGCTGTGCACGTGGCCGATTATAATTTGCTGGGCTGTCTGTGGCGCAGGAAATCTGACATGCATGACGGTGTAACACAACTTTGCACATGTGTGCAGTCCAGCCGCCTTATCAACTAGGCACCAGTTTTCCCCCTCTTCCCATCAAATGAATCTGTCGTTTCTATTCCTCCAGTGACCCCACTGCCAACTGACTCAATCTTTCGTCTCAACTGTACATCTCCAAGTGTGGCCATATCCGCCAGTGGACCGAGCCCAGTCCGCGCACTTCCAACGAAACACCAACACAATGTCCGGGCTCGAACCCCTTGTGGCCCTGGGCCTCGCCTGCAACATCCTCCAGCTGATCGAGGTCGGCTGCAACACCATCAAGCTCACGAAGGCTATCTACCAGAGCAGCTCGCCGGCCATCGACAAGACACTTCAGGACAATGCTGCGGTTCTCAGCACCATCAGCGGTGAAGTCAAAGCGGCCCCGCGGCCGACAAATCTGTCCAAACTCGACCAGCGGCTTGTCGACACAGCCGACAAGTGCTTCGCTGCCGCACGCGATCTTGAAGAAGAAGTAGTCTTCCTGCTTAGCAACGCGAAGAAGAACCAGCTTGCGGCGACCCTGAAGATTGTCGCCAAGACAACGTAGCGCAAGCGACGCCTGGACAGGCTGAGGGAAAGCCTGGAGAACGCCGAGAAGCTGATGATGAAGACACTGCTTGCTCATCTATGGTAAGGCAAATCCTCTCTCTAGAAGTGATGAGTTTTATCCAACCTGAATTGATCGTCCAGGTCTCGAACCCGTACTGCCGAGCTTGATCTGAGCAGTGTTAAAGACGACCTTCGCACGTTCATTCAACAGTACGAATGTGGGAGCAGAGATATCAAGCAGCTCATCTCCAGAGAAAGCGTCGTCACTAGGGAGCACATATCTGCCTCGTCCCACAAGACCCTTGCGGCCATTGATGGGGTCCAAAATCAAATGACCAAGTTGGCTTTCGACGCGGACATGCAAGTGGACCAGGCGCAACGTGAACGTTTACTTCGGAGCCTGAAGTTCCCCGCTTTCAACGAGCGCAGAAATCAATTATCCCAAGCGTTTGAAAGTACGTTCGAGTGGATTTTCATGGGAGACGATGGCCCACAGCAGGTTGACCTGGATGAATCTGAGCTTGAGGATTCAGACTGGGATGACTCCGACCTTGAGGATCTTGATCTAGCAGACCCATCTGAGGCCCGCTGGGATCTTTTCTCAAATTGGCTCAGCTCCACGGCTGATACCTACTGGATAAGCGGGAAGCCTGGCTCCGGCAAGACGACACTGGTCAAATTCGTGTTGGACCATCCAAGGACAATCGCCTGTCTCAACATCTGGTCTCCTCGAGCTTTGATAATATCTCACTACTTCTGGCGCCCAGGCAACGCGATGCAACAGAATATCAAGGGGTTACTTTGCTCTCTTCTATACCAACTTTTGGACAGAAACCTAGCGGCTGCCAAACATGTCCTCCAGGGCATTCAGACCCAAGGCTTGGGCAGGAAAGACACAGATACGGACTGGTCCGTCCGTGAACTTCGCTCAATCTTCTTCCAAGTCTTACTTTCGTACGAGTCTCCGATTTGCATTTTCATCGACGGCTTGGATGAAGTTCATCCAAGTGATGGGCCTGACGAATTGCTCAACCTCATATTGCAGTTTCCTCTCGGTGGAAACGTAAAGCTTTGCTTGTCCAGCCGACCTGAGCCCATATTAGAACAGCGCTTGTCAGCCTATCCGCATCTCAGAGTACAGAACTTGACCAGGTCTGATCTAGAGCGATATGCTCGACACCATGTGAAACTCGCCCCGTCGGTCTTTTATGAAGCTCTACGCGAATGGCCCGTGGACAAAAGGGATCCGATCGAGTTGCTCGTGGACAAGGCTGAGGGTGTCTTCCTCTGGCTTGTACTTGCCACCAAGAGTATCAACAAGGGTTCCACATATGGAGACACGGCGGAGATAATCCGACAGAGAATTGACTCCTTGCCAGGAGATCTGACGAACTTGTATCACGATATGTGGCATAGAGTTTGCGAAGACAGCCCGAAAGCACACCGCCAGACTGCTGCGCATTATTTCCGTCTTATGCTACTTACTCAAGATGTCTCCGCCAGACAACTCCGGTTTAATTCATCCATACTCCACCTCACGCTCGCTTCAACTCCACTTGCAGACCGGTTGCTGGAAGCCATCGACGCCCCCTCTACCATTGTCACAGAAGAAAGACTGCTGAAGGCCTGCAGAGCAGTCGAGAAGAAATTGAATGCATACTGCTTTGGGCTCATTGAAACAAAAGCCTCATCTGAGGACGATGGCGTCATAGGTTGGTATGGCTCCCGTTATAACACGCTCTGGTCTCGCTATGGCCGAAGACGACTACACTTCATTCACCGGACCGCTCAAGACTTTCTTTTGGATACAGTGGACGGTGCTCAGATTTTGAATCACGATTGCACGTCGGAAGCCTCGCTTTTCTTCGCTTGGGCCAGAGCTCATCTTGCAATTAGTCAACTCTTTACTGCGCGTGGCTCGCACCTGGTGCCGACAAGCCACATGCGTCACTACATAGCCCTTTTCGACTGCTTACCGATTGAAGTCACTTGCACTGGTAATCCAGACCGGTCGAAGACCATTTTCTATCTTGAAAAGTTGTGCAACTCGGGTCAGATGCTCCGCGGTTATGGCGATAAGATACGCTTGTGTAGGGGCATGGATTTCCTCATGGCTTCCGCAAGGATTCAGGACGAGTACACCCTGCCAAGGCCGAGACTCTCAACCTTTTCCAAAGCAACAATTTCTGAGATTCTTTTAAACGTCGTGGAAGACTATCCTGAACTTTATTATGGTTTACCCTGGCCCCGCAAGCACTCCAGTGAACCATTAATCATGATGCTACTCTCTGAAGGGGCGGATCCGAACTGGCGTGGCCATACATTTTTCGCAACGGAGAACAATGCCTTCCAATATCCCGATGTTCGAACACCATTTACGGAGTACCTGAACGCCATGATGCGGGGGATGAGACAGCCCCGGAGCAAGGAGTGGATCGCCCTTTTGTTTAAAAACCTGCACGGTTTTCTGTCTCATTCAGCAAATCTCGACGATACAATCTATCGAGCCTTGGTTTACGAAGTGTCGACCAGTGGCTTCCACAAAGCCTACTGGTCCCGATCCGTGACGCAGGGACTCAATACTAGGCCCTGGCTATCTCGAGGCGGAATGCATCACCACGAGCTAGTAGTTGCATTTCCAGCATATGTTGTCGTGAAGGCCCTGGTCGAAGAGCTAGATGCGGAGCTTGAGCACTCATGGGGCCGAGAAGACTCGGTTTATGATGAAATGGTCTCGCTCCTGGCAAGAAACCGTGAGTATTTGGACAGTAGGTCTCAGTGGGAGGATGGCCACGTCATTGGCATGTTTACCGTAAACTACGGAGACTTTGAAAAGCCTAACCAGGATGGTTCTATTCCAGAGCCAGTTTGGTACGTGCCAACGGAAGGTCACCCAGTCGAGGCTGCGAAAAAACTGATGAGAGAACTTCAAAAATGCTTGTTACACCGGACGTTTCCGAACTCATCAGGCAGAACCATTTTCTATCTTGCACAGCAACTATGCTGGTGTCCACGCACAAAAGCTCGTCTTGAGATCGCCGAGTCGCTCACTGAGCTTGGAATCATTACTTCAGTTGATTATGAGAGCGGGAATATTCAGCACTGGGTCGACAAGTTCCAGGCAGGGATGTTCACAGATGGGAAGAGTTTCGACTAAACTGAGGCTTCGCAGGACCTGAGCACAATCCCAGCAAGATAGATATAATTTGTGCCTCATTTCTCGCAATTTACCACACGAGCGTCACGAGGCTGAGGCCACGTCACCTACCATATTTTCCCCACTATTACTATCGACACTGTATGATTTTCCAATTTCTGGGTCTCGGGCGTTTAGCACTGTACGAAGGCGCCATGTATACGGAATAGAAGCGAACCCCGGTAACGAGATGAAGCCGGGTGCGTCAGACCATTTTCAAACTGGCACCAGGTGCTGTGTGAAGCGACCCCCGATAGCTCGCTCTATTGGACAGGTCATGAGATCAGGCAATTAATTCAAAGCAGACCTTAGATGCCCTCAAACCCAGCAGATCGACCGAACACACTCACATGCGCACACAAGAGCAACAGACTGTCACCATATCAACGGATAAACTCCATCATGACCAAGAAAGTATCTCAATTCACCACCCATGTCTCTCTAAAGCGCAAGCTATCAACAATTAAACGCCCCGATGGAAAAAAAAAGGCAAAGGCACCATTCCCAAAACCAAACCTGAACGCCGCGACCGTTCAGACCGAACACGCCCCATCGGCACCTGGGCAACTGGAGGCTACTCTTCTTTCCTAGACCCGTGCGACAAGCGCGAACAGGCTAACCCGGTAGCCAAGATCCGATAAACCCTTTCGAAGTGATCCAACGAGAAGCTGCCAAACCTGACGGCAATAATGACACATACAGAGAGGCCCGGGCCCCTAATTTTGAAGTCTTGTAATCTTTCAGTGGAAGAAGTGCAGATGCGGCCACTACTTAGACGCTGATAGAAGATGATTTGACCGCTGGGAGGTTCATGAATGCAGCCATGTTTGCTGCTGTGGATGAAGATGGGAAAGGTCAGGATCGGCGGTTCTTGACCGTGCGTTCGGTCGTCTGTCGCTTGGTCGCCTGTGCTCATCCCTGCTGAATTCCACGTTGACGGCCCGTTTAGCCTTCCACCCTAGAGCTCTAATCCCGCATTCCGGTTCTGTTGGCGAGGATATCTTCAATTCGTTTCCGCGCTCATTTGGCAGACGCATAACCACCACTCAAAATGCGTTCCTCCGACCCCCACATGGTATTCAGCGAACCACCAAAGCTCCAAGCCCTCATGCTCCTCGAGCCCAACCTCGTGGAGGGAGTCAACAAGAATTTCGGCCGGCCGTCACAGCGCCGAGGCTTCAAGCCCCTCTAGCTCGGAAAAGCCCGCGCGGCGGTCGAGAAGCGTCGCAGGAGGTCAGGCAGTTCGCCCCGGTTCAGGGTGGCGAGGGCCTCGCGGACCTCCTCGAGCGTAATCTTCTCGCGCTTCGTCTCCTGGATCCAGTAGCGGAAGGGGCCGAGGTTGGCCTGAAGGGCGGTGCCGAGCTCCATGCAGCGCTCCATCCGGTTGTGCTCGTTGTGCATGCGCGTATAGTGCGTAACTATCTTACTGACATCTCGCAGGGGCCAGGACGAGGGCTCGGAGGGCTGCTTGGGCGGCGGTGCTTGTAGGTACTTCTGGGACGTGCACAGCGTGCACATCCAGTGGCCAAGCCGCTGGTAGGCGCTGCCCCCTGGGCCGGTCTCGTCGGCGGTGCCTCCGGGGGTAGTGCGGGCGGCTCCCGCGCTGGAATTGGGCTGTGATTGTGCGCTGGCGCCCCTGGCAGAGATGGATGGGACGGTCGGGGTGGACGGGGCCGGGGCAGCCAGGACAGAGGTGTTGGCGTGACCGGCGGCAGAGCCATTCTCCACGGCGGTATCCTCGTTAGTGGTATCGCCGCTATGAACCACGTTGCCGGGATCGACTGCCATCCTAGTGTCCTCGTCGGCGGGGCTGCCAAGAGGTGAGCCGACCTCAACCCGAGGGCGCTTTGCCAGCGGGGCCGAGTCGCTCTTGTCGCCACTAGCTATAGACGAGGGGGTCAGGGTCAGCTCGAATCGGTGGCCATTTGCGCAGGTGACATGGAAGGTAGCATCTATCGAGAAAACAAGAAAAGCGCAACAATCAAAACACGAGATACAGGGGGCCTCGGTGTCAGACTTACGCGTCGCCACGGTGATCTCGTTGGGCAGGATGCGCTTAGCCCCGGCGCTCGCCAGAGCAGCAGCCTTCTGAGCGCTGATCGGGGGGCCCTGGGAGCCGGGGGTGGAAGAGGAACCACCCAGAGAGTCGCGCGCGCGGTTCTTAGATCCGAGGGGGCGGCCTGGGCCACGGCGCTCCTGGGGAGGCTCGGCACTCATGAAGAAGGCCTGCTGGGCAGGGTTGGGGGCATACATTGGCTGGTTGTACGCGGCTGGAGCAGGGCCGAAGCGGTAGTTGTGCATCTCGGCCTCTCGCATGTGGATGCGGTGGTTGATCTGGCGCAGCTGGTGGCCGAGGTCCAGCAGGCGCAGCTGGTAGGTGCGTGACTCGGCGGGCGTGATGTCAGCAAGCTCAACCTGGTGGCGAGTCCACTCAACATCGTAGCGCAGGCCGTCGCGATCCTCCTTGAGCTGGCGCAGCATGAGCTCGTTGATGTCGACGGGCGAGGCCTCGAAGTCAAAGCTGCCGCGACGTGGCAGGCGGGACCCAGCAGTGCCATTAGCCAGCCCGTTTGCAGCGGCGCCCGCACTGAGGCTGCCGTTGCGGCCGTCGTCGCCGCCCATGTCGGCATCGCCCTCTGCATCGGCATGTGGCGCGCTGGCCATCCTGCGACCGAACTTGGATGAGGTCTGAAAGGGCGCAGTGTCAGTCAACATTTCAAGAGTGGGTCTGATGAGCAGAGGCGACTCGGGAGATGAATTGTGGGCGTGGCGTGACGCAAAGACTGCATGCACGCTTGTCACTTACCTCGCCATGGAACGAGTCGGCAAAGTCGTGGTCGGTCAGGAGTTTCGTCAGAGACCCAGCCCGTTGCTGGACCTGGGCATCGTCGCCAGCTGCAACGGCCGGGACGGACGATGAAGCTGTCCTTCGAGGCATACTGGGCAATCGGCGATGCTCAGTGGCGGTGGCGGTGGTGGTGGTGAAGATGAAAATAAGAAAACCAGTTTGTCCCACCAGTCAAGGAGGGACAAGAACAACACCGTCGGGTCCCGTGCAGCTCACAGAAGAGGCAGTTGTTGATGGTTGTTGATGGCCGAGCGCAGTTGAGGGCTGAGGTAAAAAGGGGGAAGGAAGGGGGCGAAAGGTCGATTGACGCGGTTGCTGTTTTGGATTCCAATTCTGGCCCTTCGTATCAATTGTCCACCTGGTGATGCTCAAAAGTCGACAGGCAGGAATCAAAGTAAAGAGAAAGTGACTGGATGCAAATGTGTATGCAAGAAGGACAAGTGAGGATGCACATGTGACATGGGATGGGTGGGTTGTGAAATCAAATGGAAGTGGAAATGGAAATGGCAAACACCCAGTCTCAATCAGGGGCGGGCAGGTACGTGGATGGCGGCAGGGGTCACGGTGTAAGGTGAATGGATGGTTGTTGTTGTTGTGTTGTTTGATGGCGGCGGGCAGGTGAGGTGAGCTTGCAAGTTTGGGGAAAGAAGAAAAGAAAAGAAAAAAAAAAGTTTTTTCTTTCTCTATTTTTCTTGGTTGCCGGCGGGAGTTGCTTTCTGGTGCCCCCCCTGTCAAAACTGCTCCAGCCGGGGTCGTGCTTTCTTTCTTCCTTATTTCAAGTTTGGCTAAAGTGGCCCAGAACAGGAAAGACCAGGTGCGCAGACACATTCACTGGCTGGGCTGGGCTCCTTGCCTGCTGGTATGCTTTTTTCGCTGGCGTCGGACTAGCCCCACTTTTCAAGTTCCTCAACGTGCAAAGTTTCTCCCTGTGCCTACCGGTACTGTACTAGATCAATTCAACCTGCCAGTATCTCGCCCCGTGTGAGAAACAACTTGAACCGTCGAGGGGACCGCCAACACGGCTGCACCGATGTGGACTAGGGCGAGATGGTTCCCGCCGTGCTGCCAGACAGAGCTCCGATTGTTTTCTTTTGTTTTGTTTACTTTCTCGGTGGCAGCTCCTCTGTCGAGATGACTTCACCGGTGCTGCCCCTCCAGATCAAGCTTGACGGCAGTTGACCGACAGATTATGTTTCTGGTCCATCAGCAGACGGGATCGGGTGCCATCAATGTGACTTTAAATCGTCCAAATTGTCAACAGACGGGTAAATAAAAACCCAATCGTGAGCTGCGGCGGTTGTCGTCGAAAGGTGGCTGCTGTGGGCTGATGACTGCAGCTACCGCCTGGATCAAGCGATGTTGCGTCGACTCGGGCGATGCGGCAAACACGGAGCGTGTCGGGGAAAAAGAAAATTGGGGGAGGTTCGGGGCTTGGCCACGGGCCCAGATTTTTTTTTAACCTGTGTGAGACATCAACTTTAAAATCGCGCTGCTGCTTTGGTAATATTATTTCATCTTAGCCGATAATTTCTTGGTCCCCCCTCAAAATTCTCTTTTAAAGCTTAGTCAAGCGGAGATTTCCACCGGCCTATTACCTACCTGGATTATAAATGAGCAAACACAATCAAACACAGTCAACCATCCTATTGCCGAGTCCTCTTGGAATCCTCACTTCGAAAATCCATCTCCTTAGGCAGCTTTAAACTTCAAATCCCGCCACAACCCGGCAAATCTAGCACAATTAATGCATTCTCGGGACCAATCAATACCATGATGGCAGCAACATATCGTGTTTCCTCGAGGCTCCAGAATTATAGATCTACCATTTCATTAGCACTTCCTGCTGATTACAATTGCAGTCACTGACAGGATCAAAGAATTGATATAATACCTAGGTAAACACACGCAATTGACAACATCACGAGCAGGTCTTGAATATTCTTCGAAAGCACCGTGGGAGGCCACAGTTAGCTTTCACTTGCTGCTAATCCTTCTACAGAGGTCTGCATTGAACTTGCAACGTAGTTGAGCAGACCAGAAGTATTACCTGTGGCCAAACCTGGCCAGCATTGAAACACGCCAATCACTGCCTCTTCGTATCCTGCCTGAACGACGAGCTTGAATACTAATGCATTGCCAGGAATCTCTATCAGCGTGGGAAGAAAGCATCATGAGGCTCAGTCAAGTGGTTTCGTTTTTAATTCCCATACATGTAAAATGTAAGAGCTATATAACCCCTTCATACAATAGTAAACACTCAAGACCCAGCGTTTAAGAAAAATATAGTACCAGTACCAGTAGAAAGAGAATACAGTACATTTAGGGGTACATGGCTCAGCCTCGTGCCGTATAGACAAGGCTGGAAGGCATCGCTCCCGACGGCGCCGCTCACTAGAAAGCCGGCAAAGCAGTCATACGGCGAGACTAAAATAGTCTCTCCAAATGGCCCCTATAAGAAGAAGAATCCCACAACGTTTGAACCAGCCAAGAAAGCCGGTTCTTCCCCATCAGAGGCTTAGTCAATATCCTTCTGGAGATTGACTTGAAAGATATAAAATGCGCATCATACTTTCTGTGTTTCCCTCAAGTGCTAATCACATCTTCGAGGGAAGAGACACTTGGATGCTTTGTGTTTTCTCTATTGTACAGAGTGAAGTATTTTCGCTCTTGATACGTAAACATACTAGTAATGGAAGGCGTATGTATTTTTTTCATCGAGTAACATGACTATCTCAAATTCTCGCGCTCCCCACAATTACAATGCACATTCGCTGCATGGGGAGTCACATTTCTCCATTTCTCTGGTAATTCTTCTCTGCAGCTCTGGAGAGCGGCCAGAAGTCGGTGCTACCGTTGGCGCGGAGACCATACGGCACCACGTTGTTGACGGCTCATCCATTCATCCGACTCGGAGTCTTGCTATTCCGTGCACAGTGCGAAAGGGCAGGACAGACAAAGTGCGCTGCTATTCGTCTAGTACACACCTCGGGCTCTCACAAACTGAGGTCGTCTTTTCCTACTTGCACGTCAACACCCTCATGAAGGGGAGCTACTAGGCGGTCAGATGATTACATGCCCTAGAAGTACTAATTACAAGCATAGTTGATCTGGAACCCCTCTTGTTCGGATTTTATTTCCATGCATACTCTGAAAAGAGACCTAGTCTCGCCGTATGACTCCCTCGCGGCGTTAACGCCGTCGTTAAGACGGTACCCCTTAGCCTTGTCTATACGTTGTAAGGCTAAGGCTATAAGCACCTATCGTATTATAACTATTGTTATCGATATCGTATTCTTTCTAAGCGCTGGGTCTTAAGTGCTTACCATTGTATGAAGGCGCTATGTATGTCCTCGGACGTATCCAGAATATAAGCGAAACTAGATACTCTGAAAACATGAATTACGTTGTTATATTTCGATTGAATTCACAACCATTTAGAACTGCGAGTCCTAGTCAAGAGTGTTTTCCTTCTCCCCTCTCACTTTCTGAATATGGTTGTATCATATAACATGACTTCAATGTTCAAGGCACGACAGCGGTAGGGTGAGGTCTAAAAAGATTACTATGCACATTGAGCTACATGCTATTCCGGAGGATTTTACAGTGTATGTATGTATGACCATGGACCAATGGCTCCGTTACTAGGTTCAGCACATTTAGCACTAAATCAATACTATTGGAAATAGTGAGCTCACTAGCTGAGGGATAGGCTTCAGCATATAGCCGTGTGCTGCGGAGTTATGATCCAGGCCGACCATGGATCAAAGAGGAGATGTTAGCGGCATTTGAGGCTGTAGTCATATCAATGGTAAGATCATAGTCATGTTTAAATGTGATTCTGTCATCATCTAGACAAACGATTGCACCGGACACAAATATTTATAATAGCGTCCCACCTGACACTGACTGATGCGAGGCAACTTCTGGAAGGCTCGCGAACATCGAAGATGAGCAGAGAATATTACTACTAGACTCTCTACCATGAGTAGTGGTATTTTACTGAAGGTAAAGAAGGCCTATACCGGTCCTGTAGGAAGCCCCGTCCTCACAACGGGACGTTCAGAAAAATGTGTGCAACACTTTTCCTTTACTGAAGGCACGTAAAATAATGTGCCTCCCTGTGCCGTACCTAATGTGTCCGCTCTACTACCGAGATGAATATGCTCCGCTCATTGGACCAAGCACTAAATCCGGTCTGTTGACCTGATGACAAGGCATGTATATAGATGTTGCCGATATTTGCTTCGAATCAACTGATTCTACTTGTATCGCGCTTTTGAATCATCATTGGCATAGTATCGATACTGAGCCGCATCCAAAGCCGTCGACGTCTCAGCCTACAGAGAGCGCGTATGCTGATTCTACCTTGCCATTGCCACAATCCAGGATCCAGTCTGGTAACCCTGGCATTGGCGGTGACTCATCGGTCGGCCTTGCTGCGGGTGGCCTGGTAGGGGGCTCAGCCTTGCCCTTTCCTGCCATGGTTTTCTTGATGCCCGGAGTCTTGCGGCTAAGGCAGTTCCTTGTGTGGAATACTCATACTCTCGTGTTCAGACATACTTATTTTTGCGGCCTGAAGATATGGAGGTCTTGCTTTGCACATCCAAGGCGCCACATTGCCGAAGTTGTGGAATCAAATGAGTCTGGTGCATGCTGACCAGGCCCTTCAACCTACCGGGGCTCTGCTGCATGTTGAAGACCTCGAAAGGTATTATGATGCCGGTCTCTCCCATCTCGGGCCGCGCATGTTCTGATCTGGTGACCACAGGTGGAGAGTCTGGCTAAGCCACCCGTGCTCGAACATGTAGGTCTGTTTAGGAATATTTGTAGTCCGATCCGGCTTGCGGACCGTAAGGACTATCTTGGAGATCACACCGTGGAACTGGCTCGCCGATCAGCCCGGTCACTGTGTTCTATACATTCTATACATCCGTTGTCCATCTGATCAACCCGTATTGAGAATGTGGCAAAGCAAAAATCGCGTTACCACTCGGATGACTGGTGACTATATGCCACCTACCGGGAATTTCGGATATCATGGAGGTCCCAGTGGCCTCTATGGAAGGACCACTGTTTGCAGGATGACATGCAGAGATTTGAGTTCTCGGGCCCGAGAGCAGCCGAGTGATCCGGCCATCACGCTCCGTGAACTCCACCTATGTTGATATCTGTGACTATTGTCGCCTTGGATTTGCAGTACAACCACTGGCGTCGGGAAATTAAGCACCGACTGAGATATCTCATAATCACTCGACCGCTATTCGGCAGACTACTGGCAAGTGACGATCCAGCTTGGAGGCGTCCGCCAGTTTCGAAGTAGACACTGCATATGTTGATCAAGTTCAGTAAGAGATGAGGCATTGTGGAACTTGTCCGACAAAGTGTGCGGCGAAGGTTCGTAACTTCAATCGGTCCGAACTCGACACAGCCATGCTGTCGACAAGTGGTCTCTGGCGCAGGTTGACCCAGACACGCGGGTCCGCCCGTGGGAAGTGGGACCCACACGAGGAAACGACGGCGGGATTAAACGTTTGACCAGCCAGTCAGGAGGCGCGTGTTGCCGGGAGAAGGACCGGACGATCTGCGCGGGACCCCGTGGGCAACGACGAAGCTTGAGACAGGCCGTGTGCGTGGTGTCCGGGAAGCCGGGCGGGCACGGGATCACGATGATGATGGATCTCGGTGGCACCTCGGTGCGGCACAGGCCAGCAAGAGAAGGTCGTGCTGGCGATCACTACCAAGGTTCCTACGTGTCCGGTTCGAACAGTGCCTCACCCAAACGGGCCGAATTGGGTCTTGCTCTGGACGGGTGGGTTCCTGGGGAAGAAGGAAGGGAACGACGCTGCGTGATGTGCAGAGCCGGAGACGTGTCTGCGATGTTATTGGGTCATTGTCGAAACTGGGCCCGTCCGGCCTTGACTGCTGACAGCAATTGAATGACACGTTTGCGCACCCAAAGCCACTTACGATGCTATGGCAGGGCGGATGACGTTGACTATGCACTTTGGGGCTATGACGTCGTTGTTTTGATACTCGCGCCTGTGCCCGGTACATCCGGCTAACGAGTGACTGGGGTAGCTCTTCGGCACGAGCAACTTCTGCCAAGGAGGGTGATCATCGAACTAGCCGCACAGAGCCGCAAAGCAGAGACGGCTGGTTGTTGACGCTGCCCGGCAAGCGTGCCAATCAGCTCGCCCCCCCTGCATGGTCAGAGGGTCAGACATGACAAAAGAGCTGCGCTCGAGGGAACGGCTCTTCCGATATGTCGATGTCATGTTCGTCTGGGCGTGCGTACCAGAGGTGTGCCAGGTTTGCGTGTTCAGCACATGTGCACACAACCAGTCTTTTTCTCCCAAACCCCGTGGGCACCACTACTTCGGTGGAGGTTTTCCCCATATTTCCACACATGCAACCCCGTGGAGGAAATGCCCATCAATTATGGGGACGGTCTAAACCTTGGGTACTCGACTGTGCACTAACACTGCGCGAGCCTGGCCCTAATTCGGCCCTTTCAGAACTATACTCCTGTAGACGGTGGTATAATATTCACTTGTCCTCCCCACGACGTGCTTGACATTTCATCATCCCAGCTCGTCTCAACCATTCAACGCTGTCTACACCCATCGGCTCTGCTTTCCTCTTCTTTTTCTCCTACGATCGTCACACCAAACCCGCCAACTGAAGCCCGGCTCGCAAGATGTTGAGTCTAAATGGGCAGGTCACATTCGACCATGTAAACCCCAACTCCGAAACGAGCACTGATGCTCGACGAGACCTTGCCCATCTCGACTACTCCCCACTGAAGCGAGTAACAGCCCGCAGCTTCTGTATGGGCCTCCTCGTTTCTATGGGCGGTCTGATCTTTGGGTATGGGAGCCTATTCCGCCCTCCCGAGCTTAAAACTGCTTGTTTCACCCGCACAGGCGCTGACAGTAAAACACAGCTACGACACGGGACAAATCTCGGGCTTTCTGGAAATGCCCGACTTCCTACAGCGCTTTGGCGAGCAACAGCCAGATGGCACGTACGAGTTCAGCACCGTCCGCTCCGGTTTGATAGTCGGCCTGCTGTCCATCGGCACCTTGGTCGGTGCCCTTGTCGCCGCCCCTATCGCAGACAAATTTGGCCGCAGGCCGTCCATCTCTTTCTGGAGCGGCATCGTGGCTGTGGGGTTCGTCATCCAGGCCGCAGCGAGCAGCTCGTGGGAGCAGTTCATGGTGGGCCGGCTCGTCGCTGGCTTCGGGGTCGGCGCGCTTAGTCTCCTCGTGCCAATGTTCCAGGCCGAGACCGCTCCCCCATGGATCCGTGGTGCCCTTGTGTGCACGTACCAGCTGTTCATCACGCTGGGTATCTTCCTGGCCGCATGTTTCAACTATGGCACCTACACCCACCAGAAGGACAACTCCGGGTCGTGGCGCATCGTCGTTGGCCTGGGTTGGATCTGGACTCTGATCCTCGCCCTGGGTATATGGGGCTTCAAGGAGACACCCCGATATGTCTACCGCCTGGGGCGCACTGCTGAGGCCAAGGAGACCTTGCAGCGTGTCTACGGCGCCCCGGATAACCACTATGCTATCTTTGTGCAGATGGAGGAACTCGAGCACAAGTTCCGTGCCGAGATGGCCCAGAAGGGAACGGGCCCTATTGCTGGCATGATCGATATGTTCAAGGCCCCCAGAATGGCCTACCGGATTGCCCTCGGAATCATGTTGCAGATGTTCCAGCAGCTGACTGGTGCCAACTACTTCTTCTACTACGGAACGGTATGTGCATCCCAGCCCAGGCATGGCGGTGTTTGTCGATTAGATATCAATCAGGGCTAACTTCCGCGGCAGACGATCTTCAACTCGGTACAGATCTCGTCTTTTGTGACGCAGCTTATCCTCAACGGCATCAACTTCGGAGTGACCTTCATCGGCCTGTATCTCGTCGAGCACTACGGCCGACGCAAGTGTCTGGTAGCAGGCTCCATATGGATGTTCGTGTTCTTTATGGTGTTTGCATCTGTCGGCCATTTCGTCCTCGATGTCAACGAGCCGTCCAACACACCCGAGGCCGGTATTGCCCTCATCGTTATGGCATGTCTGTTCATCCTGGGATACGCGACAACATGGGGACCCATGGTATGGACACTGATCGCAGAGATCTACCCGTCCAAGTACCGCGCCAAGGGAATGGCCCTGGCGACGGCCAGCAACTGGACCTGGAACTTCCTCATCGCCTTTTTCACACCTTTCATCACCAAGGAGATCGACTTTGCCCTGGGCTACGTGTTTGCGGGCTGTAATTTAGTTGCTGGCATTTTGGTGTATTTCTTTGTGATCGAGGGCCAGGGCCGCACCCTCGAGGAGATCGATACCATGTACCTGGAGCGGGTGAACCCGATCAAGTCGGCCAAGTGGATCCCGCCATCGGCCGAAGAGATGGCCCGGATCAGACGGGAGGCCGGCCTGGACGAAACGCCGAGCGACGTCGAGAAGGAGACGGCGAGCAGCGACGGTGGCGTTTCACCGACGGAACCAAAGGTCAGGGGAGAGCACGCCGAGAACGTGTAGAGCAGTCCGTCTCATTATTGTATCAAGGAGCAACTTTGCAGCAACTTTGCAGCACAGACGGCGAGTGGAGGCTAGCTCAGGGATTCTCCGGGACCTGGATGGCCCCTGTCGGCGGCTCGACGGGCTGTTGCGCAAAGTAAAAGTTTAATTGAGTTGTACATTGTATATTGCTGCACAGGAACCAAGATTTGATTTGGATCCCACTGGCAGGTCCCACTTAATAAGTACACGGCATCCGTGCTTGATGTGCCCTCCAACATGCACCTCTCAAAACAAGCACGCCATGGGTTCAACAATGATCCTCCTCGCCTTCCAAGGCTGTCACCCACCCACACAGTGATGGTGTGAATAACCAACGTTGATAACGGAAACACTCGCTGCCGTCCAACAGGAGCTCGCGCCCACGTGGGCATCACGTGTATCTGTTGAACGTCGAAACATGAGTTGTGACACTGACACCCCCTCGTCCCCATGCCCACTCAGGTGGGCTGGCGGCAGTGCCTGAACACATGTGCAGATGTGGGGAATATGACCGGCGATGATTGTGCCTTGGCAATAATAAGTGACTGATGAATGCACTTCCCCCTCTGTGACCATCGGCTGCAGACCAATGGGCTGATCGCCGTGATTACTTCCCGGCCAGCCACCAAAGCCCGTGGGTGAGGAGGCGCGGCTGACCTCGGCTGGCGAGTCAGGATCCCAGGAACCGCCCTCAAACTGCTCAGGGCAATCCGGGCAGTGGCAGATTACGCGAGCGCCCACGACTCTGTGCAGCCCGGGTTACGACTTCAGGACCCGATAAAGTGGGCGATAAGGTAGCCAAAATACCATCACAGTGGGCAGCAGCCGGACATTCCTCACCACTTCGAGACTCGGCCCCTCCACCCGCCAAGTGGGCTTGGTCGAAGGGGGTGTGGGCGGTGGGAGCTGAGCACGGGCTATCAGTTCACTTCGGGCTTGGATTGTGCATGTCAACACAATAGTGTGTCTCCCTCCCAGGTGCCCAGCCTGCCAGCCTGCCCACTGCTGCAAATCCCCAGGTGCCTGGCATGGTTCGTGAACGCGGCCCATGCGGTCCTGCTGCATATGCAGGCCCACAAGCAAGCCCACACCCCAAGACCGGATGGACAGTCACTCACCGGATGTTGCCAGTTTGAGTTCGAACCGTGCGTACGTGCACCCACCTCGACAGCCGCGGCAGCTAGATATAAGCCTGCCCGGGCTGTCTGGGCAACCCATTAGGGGCCTCCCATCCCCGGTCTTGTTCGTGTTGGCCGTCCTTTGTTACTATGTTATCACGACCTTGGTGATACGCCTGTTCAAGCGATTTCCTGCTTTGGCTGGATGTTATCGATCGTGTTGCCAACATGTTTGTTCACGAATCCCTAGGTCACGATGCCTTGGGGGCCGCCAGCACCACCGACCACAGCAGCCGGGCATCGTCCGTGATGGCTGTAAACATCCTGTTCATATGCGTTGTCGCCATAGTCGTGTCACTGAGGGCCTTCACAAAACACTCAATGACGAGGAAGCTATACCTTGAAGACTGTGAGTGGGTCAAGACTCGATATATGACCGTCCTTATACTGACGACCCCTCCCACAATAGACCTCATGATAGCTTCCTCCCTGTGGTTCTTCTCGTTCTGCGCCGTGAACCTGGCGGCGGTGCCCGTCGGCTTTGGACAGCATGTATGGGACCTGCCCGGTGCCACGAGAGATGATCAGTTCGCCGTGGCAACCCGGGTCCAGAAACTAAACTACCTCGCCCTCATCCTGCTCTCGCCCGCCATCGTCCTGGCCAAGGTCTCCATCATCGCCATTCTCCTGCGCATCTTCCCCCAGCCGATGAAGTGCCTCCGCCTCTTCCTGTTCGCCACCGCCGGGCTCATCATCCTGTGCTGCACATGCCAGGCCTTCCTCGTCATCTTCCAGTGCTCGCCGGTCCAGTTCAGCTGGATGCTTGGTGGTCCAAACGAGGGGACATGCTATGGACTTGAGCCCATCGTGCTCACGTTGGGTATTGTGAACGTCGTTACGGACTTTGTCATTTGTTTTACTCCGATTCCGTCTTTCCTGAGATTGAAAATGCCGGCGGCACAGAAAGCATGTCTTTGTGCGCTGTTCCTCACTGGCTTGATGTATGTCACAACTTCTCCTGAGAAAGCTAAGCGAAAGTTATCAACTGACATTCTTCTCTCAGAGCCTGCGCCTTCAGTATCGTGCGGGTTCTCTCTTTGCGAGGACTGGCAAACAATATTGATGTGACTTGTGAGTCTTGGTGGCCCCCTTCCTCTGGGTGCATATTACTAACATGACGGTACTCCTAGTTGCCTCCGTTACTTACTACAACTGGTCTGTTGTTGAGACCGGATTCATCATTATTACTGGCTCTGTTCCATCGCTGAGGCCATTACTGGCAACTATTCTGCCAGAATTCTTCAAGTCGACCAACTTCCCTTCTTTATTCTCATCACAGCGGAGGAGCACATGGAAGGCTGTTAACTCATCCTCGTCGACGAGGGGGATGATTACGGTCACCAAAGATTTCGAGGTTACGGAGCTCAGGAAGGAAATTTCAGCTGCTTGAAGGAGATTGATTGTTGTCAAATATACCCTAATTTCTACCGGAATAGTATTCTGAAAGGCCTGGCCGAATTTGCATTTTAGAAATATGAGCTCGCTTCGGGTGTCTGATTCATCTAGTACTTTCCGCTGAGCTCCTATAAGATTGCCCCTATGTGCGAATCTCCTGCAGATAAAATAATCAGTCAACCATAACTTTAAGGCGTAAACGCTCTTTTCATATTATGGAGACTACCCTCAAGAGCCAGCCTGGGAACCTTTTATAGTGGAACCACATTGGTTTACTGTATTATATAACAGCTTCATCAAACACTTGAGGACAATCAAATATAGTATGCTCTTCCAAGGACACGCTCGTGGAGAACAGCCTTCCACAGAATATCATCTTATAAAATCCCCTACTACAGAACAACCCTCTAGGTGTTGACCTCGTTGGGAAGATCTCTGACTGGAAAGTCGACCTAGTAACCTCCCGAGGTCCATGTGACAAACCGGAGGCATGTGCAGGGGAACCACAAAGACCTCGTATCTGATCCAATTATGCCCAGTATACGCCGTTGTGCATTATGTGTCCGGATAACGCACACAAGAGCTCCAAACACGTGAAGGTAAATCCTCGAAATTGCATCCTGAGCACTGCGTCATGTCCCGACGTCATTTTTGGTCGCTTCCGAGTTGTGGGGTCTGTAACTATTCTTCGCCTGCTGACCAATGCATGTGAGTTACCACGGGCTGAAATAAGCGCCGAGACATTTGTACCCTTGCAATACCGTAAACGGCAATATTGTATCACCCAGCTGGGCCTTTTCCCAAGCCTCGAAAGTGGACGCCGGAGGCAGTCTATTACTCCATAGTACCAGCTTACATACTTAAGTAGGTATCCATCCTCCGTGTCCTAGTTATACCTATCGTGCCGATCCGGCACCATAAAACCGCCGGAAACGCGACTAGTGTCCGAATGGTGGCGCTCGGTACTTGTTTCGCAATGAAATTAGGCGCCGGCGCAGGCAGCGAGAGAATGTGGAAAAGAACTAATTGACTCAGATTCCTCTCACTTTGAGTGAGTACGCGGGTGCCGAGAAAGCCGCCAAGGGAGTGCAGGTACTGACTCTCACCGTCCTCGGCATGGGAGGGGCGCTATCTCGATAAATGGGTCTGAGTAGCACGCGCTGTGGGTGTGATTGATGGGGAAGATGGGAACCGTCATGACACGGCTGCAGATCGCTAGGATGCAGGCGATCACGCTGGTCCAGGGGAATTAAGCTTAGGCGGCATAAGGGGTTCTGTGTCCATGTGGTTACATAGCTGCTCTGAAACCTCTAGCGGGCTATTTCCAAGGTTCCGATGACCCTCTCGGACAGTTCAACGTTGTCAAGTCATAAGTAGTCTCCGAGCTGCAACTCTTCCTCAGAAACCTCAGACTCTTGTTCCTCAGGCTATTCCTGCCCTCCTACAACATGAAGGCTTTCTGCTCGGGTCTCTTCTTACTGAACAGCATAAAGTTCACCCAGTGTTCATCGCAAGAAGTCCTCCTTAGACTCCTCAGGACCGCCGTAAACGTCGTCGTCGAGTTTCGTCTCCATAATAGATAAGAACATGGAACTTCCCACCTTGTTCTTGTCGATTGCTGGCAAGTCGCGTTGAACGCCTCTGGCTCTACTGGGCCTTGAAGTGGATGGCGCGGTGGGTGTTTCAGCCGCTGAGTAGCTCGGCGATGACTTCGTAGCAGTGCTTAATGCCAGTTATGTCGGTCTCTCTTATTTTCTACTGGGAAGCAAGCGTCGCCACCCCAGAAATTCCTACCTTGTCAGGTTCCTCAATTATCCGTTGGGCGTGATCAGGATACTTGCCTAGGAGTGTCTGGCTGGTAGCCGCGCATCGGACCTTGTGGGGTTTGCAAAGACCGTGACTGCATGGCCGAACGTCGACACGGGAAAATCCGCTGTTGAAACAGGGGCCACAGGTTGGAAAGTTCCGGAGTGACGGTCATTGTGGATAACGTCACAGTGGTAGAAGTACCAACCAGGTGGCAGACCAAGATCTCGGTAGAATGCTGATTTGTGGCAATGAAAGAGAGAATTGCCAGTCGGATACTCACCTTGGAAAGCAGGCACCCAAGTACCTAACCTAGGCAGGTAGGTAGGTAGGTATCCATGTGAAGATCGTTGATCCGGACGTGAGAAGAGTCGGTCTTGGCAAATCATTTCACGAATGTTCGGCCGTCGCTTGGTGCTCAGGCGGCCACAGCATCTAAACCCCCTGGAGCCGAGAACGAGAACCCGGGAGACCACCTCCTTGAGGACCACCCCACAGAAGGAAGTGGGCAGTCTTCTAAGACATAGTTTCCTAAGAAGTGGCTTCTTGAAGCAAGTCTGCTAATATGGGACATCTTCTCTGGAAATTGTGTCCTGGGCAACAATTTCCTAGAGCACGACGTCCTATAAAACATCTAGGGAGCTTCCTGAAGAATAACTTTGGACCTCTCATGGGGTGTCCTCATAGGAAACAGCCTCCTAGAGAGGCCACTTTTGGAGACAGCCGATTTGTAAGGGAAACTTTATTAGACAAATAGTTTGCAGTCTAACTTCCTAGAATTACAATAAACGGGAGTATATCGGCAGGACTCTGATATGATATTAGAGTTGCAACCTGTGAAGGCGATGCCGTGGCTATGCAAGGGGTACATTATGAGAGGTTCTTGTATAATGATACTGGCAGAAGTCGCAACCGGGACCATATGCCCAGCTCGTCATGACATCAGGCTTTTATACCTGTGGCGAGGTCGTTATGGATAGGATGAGATGTCTCCAAATCCCGAGTGAGGTGAGGCTGGGTATGGTGGCGTTTAATATTGGAAAGAGCTGACCAGTGAGAGTGTAGATGAAAAAATGCTGATGTTGTCCACATGAGATCGGCCCAACACCGGAACCCCTCTAGTCTTTAACGCATTTGTGGGAACCTTGGAAAGCTCGTCCACGGGATATTACCCACGTGCACCAGTGCCGTGCTTAAGGTAGTGGTGTGTTATTAATTAATACTTCCCAGGCTCCGATGTTTGATTTGGGTCCACCATCTATTTCCCTGGAAGTTCTCGCACAGCTATTGCCGGGTTGGAACATGTCCTGCATGATTAATAGGTCCCCATGCAGAGGTCGTACACACAGTTTCCGCGAGAGCACCAGAGAGGCATCAACGCTTGGCCCAGCCCCCAAGTCAATGGCTCATGATCACCGTCTTACAAACAGGATCGATTGGCCAATGACATTGGCAAGATTCTTGATCAAACCCTGGTATCGTAGACTCGGTGCAGATGTGGCCTCTCAAATCTGCCTCCCCAACTGGATCACAGGTTAGTTATTGCTTAGTGTATGGACAGAACTTGAACATTGTTCCGCCACAACATGAGAGAGATGCCTTGGCCTCGTTCTCCCTCAGTAAGCAATCTAGACCACTTCAACATGCCACCATCTTCATGTCCCTAACCAGGTGGGCGGGAGATCATTTTACTGCGGCTGGACTTACTTCGTGCATTAGCATTGCCTGCAGTTTGACCCAGCCAAGGGCACGCGAAGCGTCTGTCGGCCGAATGCATGGAGCCGAATTCCTTGGCCGCAGACACATCCAATCTTGATGGGTTGCTGCTGGAGGTGGCCCCACCCATAAGTGTGCATCTGTTTCTGCACCTGCTTCACCATGCAGCCAAACTCTCGCCACATGCATCTGGCACTTCCCAAACACCGCCCCGAAACACAACCCAACCGGGTTTCCAGACAGCCCACACTGCATCGCCCGCAGCGTCGTAATGGTACCTATCGAAGACCACCGGGTCATTCCGCCGAGATTGCCTGATATGGCTCTCCTTCAGGGCGGTCATCTCCCATTTTGTCATTGTTGATTTTGTTGACACGGTCTACCTCATGAACCACACCAGACACGCAGGACATCGACAGAGGACGGCAACGGCAACCTACATGAAGGCCCAATTCCGCAGTCGCCACCGAGTGCGTTCGTTCGTTTGCCGCAATATAGTACAAGGTCGAACCCTCTCAGTCACGTCAGCTCCTGGCCCAGCCCAACGGGATCAGGTTCTGAACAGCTGCTGGTACCCGATCGCTTGCTCATTCGGGACTCTTGCCGAACATGTTCCCACGTCTTATGTACATTCTCCCGGGGCTCGACCTTCTTGGGTTCTTCAGGTTTTGAACCTCATCTCGACTGGCCGTGGGCAGACCGCCGCGCCTGGAGATGATGTTCTCACTCGTATCAAAGCGCGTTGGCCATGCATGCCATGTGCGGCAATGCATCCACAGTGCAAACCTGCAGGGAAACGACGTAGTGTGCCTGGGCACACGGCTCAAGGGCCCGGGCCCGGATCCCCAGCGAACACAAGGACACCCAATCGGGATGGGATGGGTTTTGTGCCGGATCTCGCATCATGTAGTTTGTAGAGGCCGATTATGCAGTCATTGACACCACCACCTGTCCGTGTACACCATGCACTGGCTGTTGTGTACCCAACCTGTTCTCCGACCAGGGGGTGTACAACATACAGCGTTGCTCAGGACTTGATGCGACCTATAGGGTATGTTCAATGGGTATGCGCCGCGCCTAGGGCTGTACTGTCCACAGGAGATATCCACTTACAGTTGAATATTATCCTTCCCAAAAGTAAATAAATAGCAGGCATCCCGCCCATCCCTCTGCGAACGAGTGACCGTTCAAGTCCCCCGTGCTTGATGCAGATAGGTCGGGCGATGTACTCCAGTGTATTGTGCGAATAATTCAGCCCAGTCCTCTTCCAGCAGAAGTATTGGCGGGAAGACATCCATAATGCAATAAGACTGATATGTGAGACTGCCATCTGATAAGTGACATGACTCCTTGCTCTCCCGTGGAACAACGCCCTTGTAGGAAAGATGGGCAGACAGTCCATCTTACCCCAGATTCTGGTCAAGTCAGAGGTGACAAAAAAGGTAGAGTCGGGTTACAGTTTGGGAAGTATAGGATTACATGAAAATGAAATGCTCCGGGGGTATGTGACCGGGTCTCGACCCGGTCACTAAGGGCGATCATCGTGGAGTGATCAGCAGAAGGGGTCTCGAGGCTGTCCAGTCGAGCCTCTTCCAGCCAGCTCGAAGGCACATTTCTTAGGGGGAAGCAAGCCGCATATAACCTCCTAATCTCTGGGGCCAGCTCTTTTGGTCTCCAAGCACCTCGAACTCGTTGGGCCATCTCGGTGACGTTTGTCGAGCTCAAAACAAACACCTGGCCCTGGAAACAGTCACCACTTTTCGGTCCGATCTCTAAACTTGCTCAGTCTCTCCATTCACTGAGAGGCACCCGACTTCCACACCTGGGCACTTCTTCAACCGACCTTGGAAGGCTTGTTCAGTTCTGCCCCCAACTCAGGCAGACTCAACCCAACCAATACCGTAGTGCGACCTGCAGCCTGAGACGAAGCCCCTCCGAAGCCTCGAGCTCTGCCCAACAGTTCGGCGGCGTCAATCGGCAGCTTGCGTTGAACCCGCATACGGAACCAGATCTCCAAACCACATCTCCAGACCGCTTCTCCTCGACAGCCAATTGCCTTACACGCCTGAACCTACCAGCAGGAAACCGTCAGGCTCTCTCGACCTCTCGGTGACGCAGCCCTGACAACAGCGATCATCCCACCTCTGCGATATCGTCCAGCCTACCCACGCCCAGCTACGACGGCCAGGTGGGGCAAAGTACCGACCGACTTCGAGCTCGTTAGGCAGAGACGCCTCAGCTCGCGACAAGACATCTGGACCCAGATCGCACAGCATCGGCGGTGAGAGAGGCCTACACTTTCACTCGCGCAACGTCGCCCTTTGGCAATCTCGGGGACGGCGAGGAGCTGGGAGGCGCACACAGTGCTCTCGACGCCACGAAAAACAAGGCTCTCAGGCATCACTACAAGGCGTGAAGGAGGGAGGACCCGAGGTAGCAACATCTGAACATGTTTATCAGAGGCGATGTTCCCGCTGGGGAGAATGTTTCACACCAAGGGCAAGGTGTCTGGGGTGCATCGCAAACTCCAGCCTTTGCGTTTGACCTCGCAAACCCGAACCTGCTTCTAAAGCAGAATCTGCACAACCTCTACCTCGCATCGGGAAAACAAGCTGCGTTTCGTAGCGGACCACAGAACATGGCCACCAGCGGCGGCGGCAACAACAACCAGGCCCATGGTAATTTGAACATGAAGGAAAAGAGAACCGAGTCTCAGAAGTACCATCTTCAAGCCAACGACTTTGACCAGTCCATGGTGTGGTCTCAGAACGTGAGACCTCCTCTGCCCTGGCCCTTCTTTGATCCTTTGTCTCATCCATGAATGTCTCGGCAACAGAGTGGACACTGACAATTATTCTTATTCACAGATGGAAGACCCCAACGATGCCTTTCGCGGGCCCACTGGCAGTGCCCATGGCCAACCTGCTCCTGGCAACGGCTTCAGCCTGGGCCTGGCAGGTCAGAACTCAAACAATGTCTCGCCTTCGTCATCGGGTAACAACAACCATCGCCATATCCGTGGCAATGCCCGTGCCCGCCGCCCTAATAATGTGAGCCCCAGCACTGGCGGTTTGAAGACAGAGCCCAACACCGCCAACATCACCAACACCAAAGACATCGCATGGAATGTGCCCTCAAGCGCAATCAATCCAAATGTCAACGTCAACGCCCTCAATCAGACGTTTGCCCCGCCACCCATCACCGTCCGAGCCTTACAGCAATGGCCTGGGCATGCACCAGTCCCAAACAATGAGTACATGCAGCACGGGTATAGCCTCCATGATGGCCTGCCTGTCTTCCAAAACAACCAAGGCTTCCCCCAGTCCTTCGATCTTGGCCCTGCCATCGGCGGCGTGCCCAACCTCGACAGCTCCTCGTCGTCCAGCTGTCGCGTCAACGGCAGCTCGCCCAACACCGTGTTTGGCAGCTTCTCGTCCTCAATCGGCCCTGCCGACATGGACATGGACATGGACATGAGAGAGGAGTACTTCCACAGCCCCTCCGTCTTCCCGTCTGAGGTGCCGCTGTGCCACAGCACGGGGTCCATACCACAGGCATACCTCTCCGGCTCGCCCGCGCACGACTTCCCCGCCAATACACGTGGTGTCTTCCCTGAGGCCGAGACAGTCTCGCCCGACATGCTGCACTTCAACCCGTCGGCGCCCGTCTTCCCTAGCTCTTCCTCGTCCGAGTCACTGTCCCACCCCTTCCGCATTGACAGCGACTCTGAGGTCCCGTCGTCTGTTGGCACCGTGCCTCAAAAGGACATCTTGCCGTCTTCTGTGTGGCAGGCAAGGCGTGAGGCAAACAACAAGGTGAACACAGCCGACCGCAAGCAACTGCCTGACAAGGCGCCCCGCCCGAAGCACGGTGCTTCTTCTACGGGCAACAGCAGCGGATCCAAGCGTCGACATGGAGGCGACGCCACTGGTGACAAGTCATCGGCGCCCAGCTCCAAGAAGACGAAGTCAAAGGCCAAAGCAACGTCGCAGTCCTCACACTCGTCTCATCACTCCGACCGCACGCAGCAGGTAGGTGGATGCGATGACAGCGGTAGCGGCAGTAGCAACAGCAGCAGCAGCGGAGCCGGCCACAAGACGCTGTCGTCTTCTTCTTCCAAGGCCATCGCCAGTACGACTGGTGCTAGCCCCAGCGCTGCCGCCATGGTGTCGTCTGCCACCATGAACCCCCGATCCGAGAAGGATGAGTACCTGGTGCGATCCAAGCGGGCCGGCATGACATACAAGGAGATCCGCAAGCAGGGCGGCTTCACCGAGGCAGAGTCCACGCTGCGGGGACGCTTCCGCACCCTGACCAAGCCCAAGGAGGCGAGGGTCCGCAAGCCTGAGTTCCAGGAGATCGATGTGAGTTGTTTCAATGTTGTTTCCTATTCCTGCTTCCACAACCACACATGCATGCATTCACGGACTGACACCTTGGACCCATCATCACAGGATAAGCTCCTGAAGCGCGCCGTGATCAAGCTCACCAAGGACGTCGACGAGATCACCCGCGATAACGTGCCGTGGAAGCTCGTGTCCGAGTACATGGCCAGCCACGGCGGCTCGTACCACTTTGGCTACACCACCGTGCGCAAGAGGTGGGAGTACCTGATGGCCACCAGCGAGGAGGAGGTCAAGCAGGACAGGCTGGCTCACAAGTTCCAGCAGTAGAACCACCAACCACACGGACTGGCTGACGAGCGTGCTTGGGCTTTTGGGTCACTCTGGGCAGTGGTGTATAAGTTCATTGTATCTTTGGCGCCACGGAGGTGTTTAATTGGCCCTATCTGCAGGCACCTCTTGGCTACTTTGGTCCAAAGCACACTTCTTGGTCTTGGCAACCACGGGAATCACCCTAATTAATTTAGACTGATTCAATAATAATGAATAAAGTTGCCTCTGACACCTCCGCCCTCCGTTGCTGGGCCATCCAATGTCTACCACAGATCCTCTTGTCACCTGGGCGGGTAGTGAAAAGCCCGGTCATGAGCAGAGATTGAGGCAATCCCTAAGACCTGGTTGACTGTGTGTTTAACCAAGTATCCATAGTCTCCCTCTCGATATTTTTGAATATATTTTTGGATGTGTCTCGTCACCTCTCGTACTTCGGCGGGGGGTGATCTGGAACAACCACAGTCATCAGCTTTCGATGCAGTCAAAATAAAGCAGCCCTCACAAGGGGGGGGGGGCTTGCCATAGTCATGGTCTGCAACACACCTTCAGAGGATGGGAGAGATACCATCGTGCATGTGGCTATATGACGGCGGTGCATCTCTTCTCCTTTGTGAATCATTCGTGACAACCGGCACCGGACGGGCCACTATTGTTTCAGTGGACCATGTGCCCAGGGCGTGGGAGCCAGGCGGGCCGTTGAGTGACCAGCCGCCGTAGACGGGGCCCAAGGGCATGGGGGACCGACGCCGACGCCGATGCGAGCGTGGGGGCGGCCGGGCGGTGGCGTGTCGCACTCCCATGTATACCAGTAAGAAGAAGAGGCATGTGACAATGAATATGCCCATTATGACCACCGCCTTGGCCCATTCTTGGTGGGATTTGCCAGACATGATGATGTTCCGGGCTGTGATGGCGACGTGGTTGGTGGCAAGGGTGTTGTTATAGGTGTGAATTATGGAGGTTGTGTTCTCCACCGGAATGCGTAACATTGGAGCCATGATTCTGTATGATCAGGTTGTTCGGTTCTAGCTTGTTGTTGTGGGTTTTGATGATGTTGTGCGGATGCGGTTTTCTGGAAGTCGACGGGCGCGAGAGCGGACATTGGGGAGCTGCTTTCTGGACCCCTCAAGATGAAGGGTTGATTTCCGCCAATTTACGCTCTCGTTCAAGACTGGCCAAAATTTGAGAATTCAGAAGACCGCTTGACCGCCAGGAATTCAGTGGCCGGCTGTCCGCCGGAGAACCAAGCTCCTCGTTTGCGTCGGGCGGATCATGACCGGAGCCAGCCTTGTGCCCACTAGTGGGAGCTAGCAAAGAGACCGGGTATTCTTTTTTTCTTAACTGTAGGCTTTCCGTCTTGTAGACTTCTAGCTACCCAAGTCCGCTTTATTTGGCGAATTTCGGTAGGAATCGTCGCGGCCTTATTCTCAGGTCAACCTGTAGACCATTTCTTCTTACGGCCATGGCTCGAAAAGGCCCAACCATCTGCCACGAGACGAGACTAGATTGACCCAAAAGACATGGAAATCCAGCAGAACCGACACAAGCTTCCCTGAAATACATGTCGAGATGCCAGCAGGGTCGACTGCGTGGACACACGCAGCGAGCGTTGGCTCACGTGTGCAGCTTCAGGACGAAAGACATCACAAACAACAGCGAGGACCCGTCATTGTTTACAATGCAAAACTCTGGATCCGGAGTCATCCATCTTCATCACACACCCGTGCAATCCGTGAAGCCATAAATTCGAATGTTCTCATGATACACAGTGCTGTACGGGTCTATTCTTAGGCAATCCCACAGAATCGGCCGCGAAACTGATTTGGAACTGACGGGACGGGCATAGAACATTGTTGACATTTTCCATTAATTTTGTATCTCGTTGGAGGCTTCTGTCGTCAATGTTTACCGGTGATGCCCCCATTTCCTCGCAACACTGCGAGTCCGGGCTCTACTAAGTATGTATATGGGCGAGCCTTGTATCTACTTAGAACACACGAGGGCCAACGCGTGTTCGCGGCCCCGTCTTTCTTCACCCAGCCTACTCCTCCGCCTACTCCTCCTCCATCTCATCCTCCATTTCATCCACACTCTCGACATAGCGGAGGTGTGAAGGCCTGATGATCTCTGGCACACGCTTACTCGGAGGTGCCGCGGACGTGTCATCGAAGTAATCGGCCCACGCTTTCTTGTAATATCCACCTTCGTAAAACTTGTAGATGAGGCAAGTTCCCAGGCAAATGTCAGACGGCACGGCGTATAGCATGTCGTCTCTCTCCTCGTCTTCGCGGGCGGGACCATCCGCCCGATCATTGTCCTCGTCGTGGTCGTGGTCGTGGTCGTCTTGGTCGTCGTCCTCGTCGTCGCCGTCGTTCTCGTCGCTCAGCTCCTCTCCGTCGGAAGGCTCAGGCTCCTAGCCGTCGTCCTCCTCCTCCGAGAGGGCGAGGTGCAGGGGCACGTCGAGGTCGTCGTCGTCGTTCTCGCGGGGCATGAACTCGGGCGCCATGTCGGCCGGCAGGACGTGGAAGCAGTCGCAGTAGAGGACGTACTCCCTGCCGCGCTCGTCCGAGAGGATCTCCATCCTCGGGCCCTCGGGGCCGACGTCGCAGTACGAATGGACCCACGCTATCTCCTCGGGTCCTGTGCGGGGTGGCTGCAGCTGCAGGTAGGAGCCGTAAGAGATCTCCGGCTCCGCGGGCTCGCCGGCATGCTCAGGTCTATTCTCAGTTGTGAGGGCCTCGACGGGCTCGGGGACTATGTATCCGGTCGCCTCGGCAGCAGGCTTGTCCGCTGTGTGGGAAGCTTCCATCTCTGTGTGGGAAGCTTCCATCTCTGTGTGGGAAGCTTCCATCTCTGTGGTGGCCGCTCCCATGTCTGGCTCCTTGGGCTGGTATGTGGCCGCCTGCGTTGCAGGTGCCTCGGGGCATGCAGTGACAGTGACTGTGTCTCCATTTGCCTCAAGTGCGGGCTCATCAGATGCCTGCGTGTCCTCCTCTGTGGTGGCCGTGTCGATGCCTCCCTCTGTACCAGGTGTAGGGGTAGTAAAGTAAATCTTGTGGCAATTGTCGGGATGGCCGACGTCGATGAGGTCGCTGTAGTGCTCGTACTGCTGCAGGAGCTCAAGCTCAATAGTGTCCTCGTTCTGCTCCAGGTCCGCAGCAGACTCAAGCTTCTCAGAACAGAGGCTGCAGTTGTCATCATCATCGACAGCTGCGTGAGAAGTGCTGATGCTGGTGGCCCACGAGGAGCGACGGCTGGAGTTCAGGTTTCCAGACAGGCTTCCGACACCCTCGCCAATGCTTGCGCCTGAGTGCGGGGATGTGCGCCCGCTGTCGGCTTGGTTGTAGGTGTCCTCACTGGGACGGTCGGGGTATTCAGCCTCGATGCTTATAGACTCGTTGGTCAGGATTTCGTCGAGTGAAATCTGGTCGTTGTAGATGAGGGTGCTCAGCTTGAGGTGGCAGGCAGGTGGCGCCACCGAGGCAGTGAGGTCGTTGCTCTTTGCCAAGGTCGCGGGCTCAGCTTGCTCCAGGAGTAGATGCACTGGGAAAAGAGCGCTGAATGGGGTCACCTCCACAGTGTCTCTGATGTGAGCAGGGGATGTAGTGCACGAAGGCACCTGTGCGACAAGGCCACCGCTGTGGTGGGGGTCGAGGCACGATGTGGTGCCGTGGGATAGGGCTGGGATTTGGGACGACTCAATTGAAGTCGAATTGTCTTGGCTCTGAGGATTGGCCAAGCCAACGTCAGAAAGGGCCTTGTTGACAAGGCTATGGAAAGAGTCCATCGCGCCATCTTTGTGGATGCATGCGTCGAGAAGCTCCCATAGAAGGGGCTTGGACGGGGCAGAAGATGTCACCGACGGGGATGAGGTGGTAAGGGAGGAGGATTGCTCAGCAGGTGCAACTTTCTTGGTGGTTGGCTTCATGGCGGACCACGAGAAACAGTCGAAGGTCCTCTCAAGGCGGAGGCCCAGCATGGTCGCACCGCCGATGGCGGGCAGACCAGCAAGATTGATCATGGTGGGGTGAGTGGTCGTTGCCCACAGCAACACTGAGCAGCACGGTGAGCTTGAAGGATCAATTGATGTTGTGAAATGAAGGAGTCGAAGCTTGAGACTGGTGCTGCGCTGCCCCAACGTGAGAGAGCTGGTGGCTCCTGTACGATTGATGTGTGTGGGAGAGAGGAAGGTTTGGGTGTGGAAGAGGGAGAGGTTTGGGTTGTGGAAGAGGGAGAGGTTTGGGTGTGCAAGAGAGAAGAAGGTCGGTCGAGTTTGGAAGACAGAAGAGAGAGGTTGTTGATCTGTGGCAGTTGGAAGGTTGGGTTTAAATGCGTGCAGCTTAGTGCCAGTGAATCAATCCACTTGGTGCGATGTCTGCAGGAGACAGGGTGATTCTCAAAACTCACCTTGAACTCTGTTAAATGGGTGAATGGTCAATGTTGGCACGTCGTTGTGGGTTGGCCCAGGTAAACAAATCCCAGTTACTGTTGCCAGGGCATTCAAATGTTCCAAGGTTGGAAGTCGATGTCGTTGTGGCATGTGTTTGTTGCTGCACCAGGGACAACCCAATGTGAGCGGCCCTTCACAGAACCAGCAATTTGAAATTCGATGCACTCAAGGAACGCCCTGAGTTCAAGCTGTTTGGATTGATCTACTCGAAGGTTGTTTGCTGTCTAATTGTCCCGATTCCTACGTAGTAGTAGGCTCAATGTTCCTCCCTTCCTGCCCACCCAGCACCTCAGCATAGCGTTGAGTGACAGCTCTCAGAAGTGACGTCTGCCCTTCTTCCAAGCCGCCCAGGTACCAATGGGTGGCCCAAACGGTATCCAAACGCGTTTCAACAGTCAGCTTGGTCGAGTGAGGCAGGACCACATGATCAACAGACATCTACAAGACACATGACGGCCCAGTCTCTTTTTGCACTGGGACTTCCGGACAACCTCTATATATCACCCTGGATTGTCAATTCCTCTTCCTGAGACGGCATATGGGGCCTTCGTAGAATCATGGTCGGACAGTACATGTGTGCCAGTGGTAATGCCAGGTTCAATTCCAACATTGAAGGTTGTTGGCACGTCCAGGTCGCAATGTCTCTGGTGCATCTACAAGTAGCAAAGCCTCACTCTGCAGAATGATCTTCCTCTGCAAAAAGAACTTTGTGTGAAATATCTGGACCAAAACGGACTTGTGAACAAGACCTTAAAGATGATTCTTTTGACCAGATCATCCACCATTGCCTGGATACTCCGCAACGTTTCCAACAGGTCGTCCAACATGTCCTGCCGTTCGAAACAGCATATACTCGTCTATGATGCAGTTAACTGTAGCATTTGGAATGGAACTGCATGATCATGCTCCAGAACAAGTCGCAGAGCTGCTCCACATTATTATACTGCAGTTTCTCGATAGAGCTAACGTCGAGGAAGCTGAGATTCGGGATCATAACATTGAACCCAGCTCCACTAACAACTTGCTGGTCAGACATGGCATGAGACCCTGAGAGCTTTTTACACTATCATTCGAAGATACGTGTAGTCCTCAGGCATGATATAAACTAATTGCGTCCGCACTCGTTTGTGCAACCCTCACTCCTGGGGCACGTTTCTTGCACCAACGGCAAATCAGTGTGCTGGACATTCGGACTTGATGTTAGAAAGGGTCTATCAGAGACCAGCCAACGTCAAAGTAAGGCCCTTATCGACAACACAGTCCAGTTTTTCACCTAGCACATCTGTTATACTCCCAGACTCCATCGCTAAGCGAGACATGCGTATGGCTACATTACAATACAGTTGCAACTCGTCCGGTCCGATGGTTTAATGACCATTCCACCTATTGGCCAGGACCAGTACTTAGTAGACTCAGGGATCGATATCATCCCTAGTTGTGAGAGATCAGATTTCTGTTGATTTCAACGGCCCAATCTACACCATCGTGCACGGCTTGAAGCATATATAAGGCGTTCTGAGTACACCAGCCGCTGCAGATAGGAACAAGAAAATTCTCCCAAGTGGCAGCGTGCATGGTCCCGCACTGATGTGATGTTGATCGAAATTGACGAGCGGTTTCCCAAGTAGAAATAAGATTTTGCAGTAGAATCGTCAGGCGTCGTTCTTTCCTCATGGCATTCTTTGAGAGCTCAAGCATTTTTCATTTCCGCATGAGGGTAGCATGCCTCTCGTGTTTCATGATTTGCGTACTTAAGCAGCACGAATGGTCAGGACCTTGGAAGGAACTGGCTGGGCCAGGGGCTGCCCTGGCCCTGGTCACACCTACGCCTCGTGATATACCGCAGGTTTTGTGTAATATCACGAACAATTAATTGTCATTGCAGAACTGTCATTGTTTGCACTCGGCCCGAAGATACCTGGACACCTCACCATCAACTAAATACCCCCACATCCACATGCTTGTTCTACAGTCAGCCAGCAAGGGACGCAAATGTAACGCGTTTCTGTGGCTGAGCCTCATCTCTCCGTGTCCAACATAGTCGGTCAACGTGGCCCAATATCGCCCTGGTCCAGTGATTGTTGCTGCGTAGGCCCCTATCTGTATGAAGGCGTCATGTATGTCTTCGGCGCCCGCGGGTACGGAATGGAAGCGAAACCAGCTACATTACCTAGGAATATGAATTGCTGGCCCGGGTCGGCACGGATTCCGGTCACAGGGTCCAGTATAGCGCCACGGCGCCCGCCCCATGCTCCGGAGGGAGGTCCTATTGCAGCTCGACCCGCGAGTAGGGTGCTATTCCGCAAGGATCACAGCTAATATGGGGCTCGGCTGTGAGGTGTGACAACGACAACTTACAAGACTGCCAGGCAGCTCGGAGGAGCAGGCAACATGGCGGCAAATCCGTTTTAGCCCCTCTGGTTTTGAACTTTGATTCGTCGCGTTTGGTGGGGTTGTGCTGTGCTGTGGTCGGACGCCGGCAGTTTCCCTGATCTTGGGCGCCAAAACAACAACGTTGTATTGAGGCTCCCGCGAGGTGATCAAGCATTATGCTGCGCCGCGTGCGCGGGGCGCGGGCCCTGGGGCCCTGCCAAGGGGCAAATAATCTGAAACAGCCGTCCCAGCAACGAATGATCTGCAGCCACAATGCTACAAATACCATGGACACCAGCCATAACATAATGGCTTTTTGTTTTAGAGACTTCCTGCAACTGCGATGGCCCCCTCCTGATGATCTACGCCTTTCCGGACAGCTGCCATCTGCCAGTGTCAAGACCTTGGCAGGTGTCGCAGACAGAGATCCTGCATGAACAAGACTCCATGTTCGGAGATCTGTTCTCGATCTGAGCCGGATGGCTCATCTGTCTGGTTAGACAGCTCGGATCCGGCACATCCAGCCCCACAGACCACTGGCATTGACTGCAGGCCTCGAAGAGTAAGTATATCATAATGTGACCCGCGCTTTGCTATCAAGAGACGGTGCCCATGGGTGATTTTCTCCTGCCTGAAGGCTGTCAAAACGACGAATGAGATCTTGAAAATATTATCAATCAGTGCTGGTTGGGCCATCAACCGATCCACAATTCACCATGTACTGGGTACACATGCTCACCTACCTCGGGGCAGTCTATGCAGCCTCGTCATCCGAAAGTCGAAAGCGGGACTTGGCGTCCATCCAGTCCTCCCTAGACGCCCTCAATGTCGGCCTTCAGAGGATCGACACGGCCATCCTGGGTCTCGCAACGGGCACCGGTGCCTCACTGCTGGAGCTTGGCCAGCAGGCCGTCCCCCTCCTCCAGAATGCCAGCGCCCAGATCCGGCAGTCGGAGCCGCTGAGCCTCGAGGACTCCCTCAACCTCGCCACGACGACGCAGGCGCTGCGCCAGAACACCAACCTCACCATCAACGACCTGATCGCCCAGAAGCCCTTGATCGACGCGGCCAACTCGACGGCCCTCGTGGCCGCAGCCCTGCAGCAGCAGCGCGACGCGAGCAGTGACGTGGCCATCGCCCTCACCAACAAGATCGCGCCCAACACGCCCGACGTCGTCCCCGCCCTCAACGAGCTGTCCGGTATCTTTGACCGAGCTATAGCCGTCTTCAGCGGTACGGACCCGGGCGCCGCCGGGCAACTACCGCCCGCTCCTACCTTGACGGCGTCGCCGACAGCGGACCTCTCGCCCGTCACGCTCCCTGCGCCGACACCTCCGACGGCCGGTGCAATGTCGGCGCCAGTGTCCGGGATGGGGACTATCAACCCTGATGGGTCCTGCAATTGCGCGGTCGAATGCCCTGCCGGCTCGCTGGGTGGCGCAATGGCCATGAGATTTATCTAGGAACCATGGAAGGAGCTTATTACTGTTGATTGTATGGAGTAAGGGGTCGGTGTGGGCGTTCTGGTTGCCAGAAACGCTGCCTCTGGATGCAAGGGAAAGTAGGCGCAAAGGTCCTGGCTTTTGAAGGTCGTTTTATTAATAAGGATGAGGAGCAACTTTGAAATCATCGAAGGAACTAATGTTTTACACCACCACAAGACTGAACTTGTTGCAATTTCAGCCAAGTAGAAAGTCTTTAGTCTTTGTTTCAAATAACTCTGTGTGAAAGCTCTCCTGATATCATACAGTCAGCCAACGTCTTGAATTTCCAACTATTCCCCTATCGATGGGGCGGCGGTCGGGTCCCCACTCGATATCCGTCGCCACTTGGGGCATCATCAAAGTTTCGGCAGTCATCCGTTGTTCAGACTGTTATGTCAGCAGGAAACAATATGAGTGGCTACGCTTCTGTGTGCCAGTATCCGTATGTACGCAGGGAAAGCAGAGACAACGGAGCATTAGAATATGCTACTATAGCATCAAGCCTGGCGTCATCCCGTGATAAGTGGCCTGAAACAAGACGACAATGTCCATGCGATTGGCTCGCAAGGTTGCCGTCTCCTCCAAACTCGGATCATCCTTGAACTCTGATGTGGCACCAGCCTCGGTTCACATGCGGAAGCTTTTGGTATACTTTATCCGGCTGCACATAACCTGTCGTCCTCGTGCATGGCTTCTGCACACCAGTTTCGTATTCACCATCGTGGACAGAATCGTAGACTCGTACAGGTGTGACGAATCATGGCTGCCCCGAGAGATTCCCCCAGCAAGGCGGCGATACCGGTAGAACTCCTGAAAGTCGAGGCCGCATTTTTAAAGCGTGCGATTACATCCTCATCCGACAAGCGATCTAAGGGACAAGGCGCCCCCAGCTACAAGCGCGATGTGATGTATGCAGCAAGTAAGCATCATCTGGGTGTTCACTATTCATTCGGCGGCCGATGCTCGTGCTGCTTGATTTCGTACCATATCACGAATAAAGAGATTAGCAGCTGCGGCGGGCGTTGACCAAGCCCGCTTGTTGTGGAATTGGGAACTGACGAGCAATGTAGTGAGAGAGCTCTTGGGCGGGTTGAGCACACAGCAGATACAAACTCTGGTCCCAACGACGGATAAAGTGTACGCAACAGTGGCGAAATGGAAGAACGAAAAAGTCAAGAACGTCAGCTTAGGATCCGGCGCCCAGGGACACTGGATTGGCCCCGAACAAGCCAACCATGTCATGTTGTATTTCCATGGTACGGTCCTCTCACTCGATCGGATGCGGTGGAAGTGCTGACTTTGGACCTCAGGTGGTGGTTTCTACGGCCCGGCAACCATAGGTCACCTGAGATATCAATTCACATTGCAGCGGGAGATGGCAAAACGCGGCCAGGACTTCTCGATATTCTCCCTGACCTATACGCTCTCGCCCGGCGCGACACATCCGACGCAGCTCAAACAGGCAGCCCTGGCGCTGAACTACCTCCTCGTCGACGAGCACCGCGATCCGTCAACCATATTGCTCGGCGGAGACTCAGCCGGCGGGAACCTGGCCGCAGCGCTGTTGGAGCATATCGCTCGACCGCACCCCCAGGTTCCACCAGTCACGCTCTCGCGACCCTTGCATGCCGCCCTCTTGATATCGCCCTGGATCTCGTTTCAACTCAACGATCCATCAGTTGCAAGCAACGCCGAGTCTGACTACCTCACCCCAAGGGCACTGACACGGGCATCCAACGCGTACATACCACCCGGGGGCGAGCATGACCATTACTCGCAGCCCGCGACTGCACCTGTTGAGTGGTGGTCTGACATCGCCCGCAGCGTGGTGGATAAGATGATGATTTGGGGAGGTGGAGGTGAAGTTCTGATTGATGTGATACGGAGTTTCGCCGCTACGGTTAAGAATGGTTTCTCCGAGGCTGATGCGGAAAGGGTCAGCCGGGACGAGCAGAAAGGTACTGACAGGTTTACCTTTGTCGTTACACCTAAGCATGCGCATGAGGAAATGATCATCGATGAGGTGTTCTTCAGAATCAAGAAAGGGGAAGGGGCGGAGGTAATTGAAAGGTGGCTGTCTGGTGTGCTAAAGCTGCTATAAAAGAGGTGATATTTGCCTCGGGAGCAATGCAACAGAGCGACGCTGGTCTCATAATGTTCGCTCGCATGTATGCCTAGGTGCCCTGCTCTGAATCTGCTCAGCCAAAACTTGCCTCGTGGCATGCAGAAAAAGCAGTTGCGTTTGCGTCCAGGTAACTTGCTGAAGTTACCACTTTCATCCACTGTATATCTAGCCCGCCCCAAATTGGCCACCCACCTTGTATTACAGCGCAGTTGAAAATTGGATTGTATGGATTTAGCATTTTCGCACAACCTGGTTGAAAAGCGTGAGAGCCCTCAATTATTATCCTGGTTTCGCTTCAATTTCGCATACGTCCGGGTATGTACATGTTGCCTTCATACGGTGATAAACACTCAAGACCCAGCTTTTTTTTTACAAAAAAAAAGAAGAAAAAAAAAAGAAACCATATGGCATCTAGGGTATGCCGAGTTTGCAAGGTAGGTTTGACTGTTGCTCAAAAAAGAGCCGGGGAATGGGCGCTCACAACCCATACCCTGTTCCTATATTTATTTGTATCTATGAAGCTCTTCACTGCGATATCACAGTAGAGTCACCTTGCTGAATTCAATATTGTCATTGCTCTTGTTTTCAACCGATTCCATTCTAGACAATATGGCTGACGGCGGGTCCTTTACGCCTTAATCACTGCCCAACACATGTGCAGTCACCGAGACAGCATTTCTGGAACACAGGGCTCGAGTTTATCAGTCGCCGCGCCATTTGAGGTTTCTGAACGGAGTGATTCTATTCTTGAAACCGATAACAGACCACGCGAAGTTGCCTGGGAACATGATAAACCAGCGGAGACTATGATCTCCACGTCACCCAGAGACAGTGCAATCAAGAATCCCGTTGGTGGTCACCAGATTTCACTGGACAAATTGAGCAACACTGAAAGCTCGGATCAGGCGAAGGGTTTCAGTGCAGTTCACGCAGTCGCTCTCACAGAGACAAACGGAAGGTTCAGGCTCTTTCCCCGCAAGGTCGTGATCTCAAAGGGAGGAGTCTCATATGGCTCAACCGAACCTCGATACCTATTCCACTATGCCTGATATCGTTTGGTCTTTTGGGTTCTGTCATAACATACGTCCAATCGACTTATGCTGCTGAAAGCACTCCAGCCGCAGACTTCCACTCAGTGACTTGCTCGAGACCGACGTTAGCAAGACCCTCACGGTGCTTCGGACTTCACAAGGGATATTACCAGCCTTGACAAGCCTGACTCTCGAGCTTATCTTCTTCCTACTCCAATGGAGCCAAATGAATCCACCCAACGGGCTTTCAAATCTTCGTATTCTAGCTTTGTCTCCCACAGCTGGCGGCCTGGGAACTTTGCGGCTCCAATCTTCGGCTCCTAGTCTGACTACTAAGCTCTGGGCACTTCTGAGATAGACATCCAGAGCTAACCCAACGCATTCTTCTCGTAGCTGACTTTCTCTTTGCAGGGTGGCACTGACTGCAGCGGGGTAGTTTTCAGGATTGGCGCTGTTTTGTATGACCCGAGCCCCAGAAACCTTCCTCCGGCGCAGCTATCATGGAAACAGAATGCAGTTCTAACGGAGCTTCATAGTCAATACGTCAAAGGTGACTGTCTATAATACGGCCTATTCGTACAACGTCACAGCTGGTGTTGGCACATTCAATGGATCCTTCATGTAGCCATCCAAGGACTTCCTTCATACCTTGTCACCTGGATACCAGTACGAAACTCTACCTTACTCCTATCTCGCCGGTGAGTATGCTCTCGTGATAAACCCCTGAGTATCAGTGGTTGCGCATACTCCCAGGTGCTCCGTCAATCTTTGCGCATCGTAAGGTTCTTTGCCGGGTTGATGATTGCTAGAGTTCAAGTGCTTGCCAGCGATATTGGGCTAGGTATTGAATCATATGCATCATTACCGTCTGGGTTTCATGTAATACCAGGTACTGAAGGTGTTATTCAATAAGCAGGCTATTGGATTTGCGATCCGTGCAACTCTCTCCTTCACAAGGTCCTGGTCGCAATCGGCTTCCAATCCTCAATGCCCTTCTCGGTTGACACCAGCCACACTATTCCACCTTCCCAACCCCCCATGCTGTGAGAGGGATCCCCGAGCGCAACACCAGCCTGCTTGACGGCGTCTTCGATTCCCTTCAGCTTTGCCTCATCGATGGGCATGTCACCACTGACGCTCTTGGTCAACCCAGACCTTTCCGGAGCCGGGCCAGGATTAGAAATAACTTACTACATCAGACTGACATGCGGCCCAAAAGCCTCCTTCCACTCCGCAAGCCACGTCTGCGTCTTTGACCCAACCTCATCCTCGCCTTCAACACCTCGCGCCCTGGAAATAGCCGCCACGTCCCGCGCGCCATCGAACTCGCACTTGATGTAGCACCTTCGGAAGAAGACATCCTGCGACTTGACACTCTCAAACCGCACAGCCACCTTTGCCGCTGCCGGAAACGGGATGCTGTCCAGCCATTTCTGGGGCTCGTCGCCGTAGATGCTTGGGTCGATGCCGGACGTGAGCGTCAGGTGGGGGGCGAAGCTTGGTGGGCGCGGGGACGCGTCTGGGAATTGGGCTGGGAGGGTGACCTCGATGAGCCTGGTGATGACTGCGTGAAGGGGGTGAGTAGGTGGTGGGGTCAGCCAGAGGGAGGATCCCGGCATTTTGAGATGCTGTTTGGCGGCGAGGCCGGTGAGTTCGAGGGGGCTGCGAAGGGAGACTGACGACAGCAACAACTGTGGCCCGAGATGGAGGTTGATATGTGCCCAGGTGAGAGGGGTTAGGGTTTACTCAGTCGTCAACTGGTATATGAAGATGATGTCTCTGTCGCCAAACCACAACCAAACACCTGACCATGGATGTCACTGGTCACCATGTTCTAAGATGTGAAATTGCCAGACATCAGATAAAATGTAAAGAAGTTCAGCAATAGCATGAAAACAAACATAACATGGAGGAGTTCAAATGGGTAGAATTTGGTATCACTCGAATAGAAGACATTATCAGCGCTCATCACTCATTAGTCCACGCATCACAGCGGCGACAGCACTCAAGCCATCGTCCGCCTCCGGTCCGCTCTCCCCTTCCTCCCCTTTCTCCGCCACCACACCTTTATCTTCTTACGCAGGGTCGTGTTGAACCCGTACGTGAGCGCGTTGGCCAGCCCGACAAACTGACTGCTCGACTGCAGCGCCGCCAGCACCCTGCTCTGGGAGGTGTTCCCCGTGGCCTCCAGGAACCGGTTGACCAGGCCCGGGATCCACAGGAGCACGTACATGATCGGGTACGCGTTGAGCAGCAGCATGCGCTTGATCTCCCGCTCCATCTGCCGCGTCCGCCGCCGCTGCGGGAACTCGCTCTCCGTCGTCGCCGTCGCGTCGAACTTGCTCTTGTTCAGGGCTGTCGGGGGTGCCTTGCGGTTGGACGTCGTCTTCATCGTCGGCGGCTGCTGCTGCTGGCCTTGTGTCTCCTCCTCGATGATGCGGTTGTGGATGTGGTTGTAGTCCTCTGGTTCCGAGTCCGATACCGAGCATATTGAGCTGGCCCGGCTCCTCGCCCTCTTTCGGCCGCCCGGCGTGAGCTCGTCGTCGTTTATGTCCTCCTCGTTTTCCCGCACGTAGGCCGCCTCGGGGGCCGACATCTCCCACTGGTCGTCCAGGACCCTCGATATCCTCGACTTGCTGACCGTAGACAGCTCCGTGTCCTGGCGTTCCGCGTCCCCTTCCTCGCGGTTTCTGCCCATCCTGTTGAAGCCCCTACGCTTCCTCCGCGAGCGGTCTGTCGCGCCGCTCAGATCGGTGATGGTGGTGCTGACCATGGATCGGAAGTGCCGGTTCATGTACCACCAGACAAATATGTAGATGCCCGCCGTGAAGAAGATGATGGCGATGCGCCACCCGTGCGTCAGGGCATACCGCAGGCCCGTCTGGGACCTCATGATCCAGCACCAGTTGCCGCTCACGGGGCCCATCTTGCCCATGGCCGTCGCTATCGTCGCCGTGATGAGCGGCACCACCCACACCGAGACACAGATGCCGATCTTGCGCCATCGCGAAGCGTCGGGCATGTATGTCGTCCGCGTGATGGTCAGGAGGGTGACGAGGGCGATGACCAGGATGGAGAAGTCCGAGGCTTGCACCGACATCTGGCCGATGAAGCCGTTCACGGTACATGCCGTGCCGGGGTATAGTGCATGGTCGCGTAGATATATTATACCTGAAATTGTGTTGTTCAGTGTATTTACAAATTCTGTACCTTCGTATTAGCGACTGTCATCCAAGATGTTCACACTGAAGCACCGAAGTAGGTGGCATGCAGCAGTTTTGGGTGGCCTGTGTCCATGGGGTGAGTCAAGGGTACCACGTACCAGCCAGAGCCAGATTGAAAACCAGAGCATGGCGAAAAGAACGTTGCTCGCGGCGATAGTATGCGTACGATATCAAAACGCAAGTCGTCGCTATGAATGATATCAGGCTGCCCGAGAAGGTGATCGAGGAGACGAGCCGATCGAAATCTTGTCTTGGATCCATCGTAATGGGTACGGGTACCAGCAGACTCGAGTGGTGTCGATGTGTTAGAAAAGAGAGCGATAGCGGTGGTCACGCCAGATGAGTCGCCCGACCCTGCCGGACTGGACAACAGCCAAAGAAAGTGAGTGGCCCTCCACCAAGGTGGACCGCGGGGGTTGTCGTCCACCGGTCGTAAGTCAGGGGTCACGATGTCATGAAATTCGTGCCATCAATTATCATGTCGTGGGTGGGAAATGGTTCGCCGGGTCGACCCTCGGGAAGTGGATGGGTGGTGATGAATTCGACTCGCGAATAGTTTAATTCGGGAAAGCGAAAAGAAAGGTCGCTGGTACTGCAAGCGAGCACAGCAGCAGAGAGGGAACGAGGAGACGGCCTTCTTGCTCGATTAACCGACAAACCCGTGGAGCCAAGCAGGGCGCAGCGGAGCCCATGCCCTGGACATTGAAGTGGACCATGCCGCCATTATCAAAAGGGCTCCCGAAGAATTATTATACAGAGGCTTCCCGACCGCACGTAGATATCACAACTGACTCGTGGTCTGCTCGCACGACGTTGATTTCAGGGGTTGACGCGGGCTCCCACGTCGATCCCTGACCCGCAAATGACCCGGCCAGGTCCAGTATCCTGGATTGGCGAGGGCCAAGCCATGGGAGTGCTATTTCTGGTCTGCTTTGAAAAATTGACGTTCATGCGGATCGGGTGAAGCGCGCGGGCGGCTGCTTGCTTTTCGCCTGTGGAGGGGGAAAAAAGAGAAGGTCTGAGCACTCTGGGGCCAGGGCAGGGCAGGATGGAGTCGGGCCAAGCACAAAGCCCTACGGCTTGCAGTCCATCATCCCATACCCCAACGTGCGCTTCAACCAATCCTTTGCGAAGCTTATCTGGGTGTCATAGTATCCAGGTTTTGCCGTTGTCGCGCATAGCCGCAAGCTGAAGGGGGCCTTACTGCGGAATGCTATCGACCTACCCTACCTTGGCCTAGTTTGACGAGCTTGCCGAGTTTCGCAACAAGACTGACATGATCTGGGGGAAGTTCCACTCAACGGGTCCACAATCTCGCTCTCCTCGTTTCAGAACTCACGGGGCGACGAGGCGAGGGGATGACAAGCTTCCTAGGTGTCAACCCGTCCTCTCCGAGTCACTAAACTCTCCGAATCACAGAAGAGGAGCCTCGTGAGACGAGTAGACGAGAGACTCTCGGCTGATGTAGCCGATGTAAAAGTTGGAGCGGGAGCGCGAGGAGGTAGTTGCGCTACTAGACATATCCACTCGCGACGCATGCCTGTCCGTCCCGAGGTCATGTTGGAGCAACGGCTCCTGGGTCAGATGAACTTGCCGGCCCTCAGCCATTCGGCTGTTCGACCATGATTCGTCCGTATCGTTTCAATCATTGATGCTTTTCCGTGGCAGTGACAACCTGACACCGGCAGCTCGTTTTTTGCAACCTGTGAAGGGTATCGTCAATGCCGTGGCAGACTGGCAACCGGACGCCTGGAGGTCGGCATACAATAGTCCGCACCTGCGCGAGTCGTTGATTAACATCGGACTCTCGGACTCAAAACATGCCCCTGCAGCCCATGTGAGGTCACCTGTGTGGGTGGACTGAGGCTGACCACGTGAGGTCGGGGGCGACTGTAATTTAGAAACTACATTTCGTATTCCCACGGAATTGGTCTTACCTCGTTATGCTGTTCCACTTCAGCTGTAAACTTAAACCTTAAAAGACATGGTAAACGAAAGTTCGTCAAGCTTAGTAAGGGACTGGAGATTCAAAATAGATTTATGGGGCGTCGCCAGTTCCACGATCACGGTAAAGGTAACTTGGAGCAATATACATCCGTGGTGAGTTTTGCCCGGTGGACACACTAAATCAAAAGTGGTTTTCATATCTGCGTAGAATCCGGAGTCAACTGTGGCAGCACACTAGTAGCTGTAGGGTGAAACAAGCTGAGCCACCAAGCAAACGAAACGCCGTTGCAGCACTCACATAGCAATTATCTCCCCAAATTACCCAAAGGTCTCTAGTTCATAGCAGTGCCAAGATTGCTGTGATGGTCGGTAAGGCATAGGCCTCAGCTAGACCTAAAGGTTACCTAGGTAGTATTAGTGGCGCACGCACGCCGTCAAAGAAGCAATTCTGCGCGACACTCAGCCACTCTCCAGCGATGGTCGTGGCTGCTAGCAGTCATTTTCGTGAGAAGCGAGGTTCGCGCCCTCCGGATGGTTCCCGCCAACAATCTCCATTTTTTGAGAATCTTGGCTGACGAGACACATGCCCCGTAACAAGCGAAATCGCGCTCTGCGCGCGCGCTGGCCATCTCGCGTCGCCGATCCGTCATGATGCTCATAGTCCCCACTGTCTCAGCAGTGTTGAGCCGTGGCTCAAGCGTTAGCACCATCTCTCGAGGCGCGCAGGTGGCAGTCGGTGACGTGTGGGGACCTTCACGTGAAGGGCCATAGGCTACTCCCCCAGAATTGCTGCGATCACCGTGAATCTTCCGGCAAGTTGAGAAAGCTGGGAGAGTGGTCATTTTCGTCGTTCATGACTTGTAACAACGCCACCCCGTGATTTCGTCCAGACGCATGTGGAGTCGAGAATCCGGTTGTGGGCTCATTCCAATTTACCCCTGCTCCACGGATGCTCAACGACTGTGACGCTGGCCTTGAATGCAGGATCAGCCACCTCGTCCAGCAATGGCCTGAAGCAAGCGATAGACCTCGGAGGGATCGAGTGAGCGTGACTTTGTATTGCCCGTTGCACGAGGCTGTGCTCGAAGTCCAAGCTGGTCAGGTGTGGCAACTCAGCCAGCGAAACCGGAACTGCCAATTAGATACTTAAGTACAGCCGTGAAGCGAACAGGCCGTCTAGGATCTGTCTCCCCTCTCGTCACATGATATTCGTGTTTCGATAACTTGAGATTCCTATTTTGCGAGGATACTGGCCCCGTAGGTCGCAATGAAGTTTCCGTCACTACCTAGGTAAGGATGCAACGGCCATGCAAGGTCGATCGTTTTCACCACCCGGCCTTCGGAACTCATCAATTTATAGGCGTAGTAGATCATATGAGACATGTTGCAAATGGGGTTTTCGATTTGTTCATCTCAGGCCGGTAGCACTTGAGGATACGAGAGCATCGATCAATTCGTTGAGAGAGCGTAGAGGCGGGAACGAACCGCTTACTCTGCCGCAGGTCGTACTTCCAGCCCTCAGTAGGCACGAGCACGACTGCACTGTCTCTACTTAAGTAGAGGCAGGTGGGCTTCTCTGCATTCACAGACCGCCTCTTCCAGTAAGACCATCGCTTGGCTTGAGTGACTGAATGCCCGACAAGATCTACCCGGCTCCTGTCATCAGCCGAAACGCCTTCTTCATGTCGGGCACAAGCAAGAAAGTAGAGGTCTAATGCGGCACGAAGATAAGGCCACGAACCCAGGCAGAATTTCCGGGGATTGTTATACTGCTGGCATTCAAGTTGTGTTCTTTTTTGAAACGCTGGATTTTAAGCGTTTACCACTGTATGAAGGCGCCGCATCCATGGATATGTTTTATATGTATCCAAGTAAGGGGCTTATAAACGAAAACACTTTATATGTATGTGGATTAGAGACGAAACCAACAGATTGAATACAGACACAAGCCTTTTGCGCAGGTGCTGCTATGTGGCCATGCATGCAAGTGGTATCTTTCTTCCACCTTCGTGCTACTAGGAATAGGTTACCTTGCTATGCACGTGAGGAACCCTCAAGTGCTCCTACTAGTATGGGATAACCACCTAGGTACCTGCCTGTAATTGCTCTTATAGAACAGGGCACCATAGAAGGTCTTGAAATGAAATCTGCTATGATTCATTATCATTTTAGGTCTCTTTGGTTCTATCATCACTCTGCCCAAAAGCAACAACTCGACCGGGGGAGTGTCAATATCCAACTGCCCAGGGGTTAAGTTCTTTCTCAGCAAGAGGCTTTAGTAATGGCAAGCATGTTAGGAGATGGATGGTAACATGGGAATCAGTCTACAAATCTGGGCTTAGCACGAAATCTCCTGTCTGACCTGCCTTCTTGTCCGGTATGATCTGAGCTTGTTGCTTCAAACTCGACATGTCCCTTCTCATGCAGTCTTGGCCCATGGCGTTGGCAGGATGTCATGGAGACCCAAGCGGAAGATGCCGACCGGTAGGCTGCATATAAAATTTTAGCGTGGGCATGTGGCAGCACTGGCATGCCTGACTGGTCGGGCCGGGCCACAAAGTCAGGTTTTCAATGGACGGTCGTGGATAGCGTCCTAACAACCTAACAGGGCAACAACATGGACCTGGGAGCACTAGCTTATGGCCGGGCCGGGTTGCCTTTCACATGTTGTCAGGTGTGCCTGTCGCTTATTACTGGTATGAAATGTGAGGACAAGCAGACAAGGCTCGTTCTAGACCGTTGGGAACAAAGAACATACCTGGTGGGGGCGTGGGGCAGCGCTGGCTCTTATCGATAGCCGCTGGACAAGGATCTCACGGGCCAAAGTACCTGGGTACTCAGATACTCTTGCCTGACTGATTCTTGGATATTTCCATGTTTTGGACAGTTCTAGTTACTTAGTTCTACACATGCAGTTGCTTAGTCCTAGTCAGCTTTTGCCTAGGTATCAAATCAGAATTATTTAGATATTATTTGACTGCCAGCCACCCAAGGTCTGTGGGAAATGGCACAGTCCTTGTCTGTCGAGGGAAAAAAAAGTACTTGGTACGTGCCCCCCAGCCCAATCGCCCATGCACTCCTGACAGCAAAATTACGTAGCTCTGTACTGGCACGGAAGGAAAGCTCCAGCATCTCTGACTTTCTCTTGGCCGCCTCGAGGATTCCTGCCAACTTCTAATTCTAGAACCATCATCGTCACACCCTCCACATAGCAGCCACTTCAACCTTTGTTTTCCTGCTCCCATTCTTTCTCTTCCCAGCCATTTTCAAGCCAGCCCTCTCAGCATACCATAATAGGCATCTAGACCTGTTGTCGCCCAGCGCAGTCGACAATCACCCTGGTGTCACCCGAGACCCAACATACCCCGCCATCGACTGACTCTCATCTCCTCTGTTCCGCAAAACCAAAAAGCCTTCTGCGCCTCGGCCTGACTCCTCATAGGCGAGGGACTTCCCGGTCAGGATTACCACCGGACACACACACAAACACACAAACAGCTGCATAGCTGTGCCTCTCGCCCATCACCCACCCACAGCTTCCTTGGAAGTACTGTCAACATGCCCAACGAGGAATCTCTTGCCAACGGCACCAGCCGCCTCCGCATCGTGTCGAATCGTCTGCCCTTGACAATCAAGCGCAGCGATGATGGCCAGTACAACTTCTCCATGTCCTCTGGTGGCCTTGTCACCGGCCTCAGCGGTCTGTCCAAGACCATGCAATACGAGTGGTACGGATGGCCAGGCCTCGAAGTACCAGAGAACGAGATCCCACACGTGCAGGACATGCTGAAGAAGGACTGCAATGCGCACCCCGTCTTCATCGATGATGATCTGGCCGACAAGCACTACAATGGATTCTCCAGTGCGTTCACTCTACCTCCCACTCCCCATCCCCCAGCATCCAAGCCATCCTGCTGACAGCCCTGTTTCACAGACGAGATCCTCTGGCCCCTGTTCCACTACCACCCCGGTGAGATCACCTTTGACGAGTCTGCCTGGGCCGCCTACCACGAAGTCAACCAGCTGTTTGCCAAGACGGTTGTGGCCGACGTCCAGGACAATGACATGATCTGGGTCCACGACTACCACCTCATGCTCCTGCCACAGATGCTGCGCGAGCTGATTGGCGACACAAAGAAGAATGTCAAGATCGGCTTCTTCCTCCACACACCATTTCCCTCTTCCGAGGTCTACCGTATCATTCCCGTCCGCGAGGCCCTGCTGTACGGCATCCTCCACTGTGACCTGATCGGCTTCCACACCTACGATTATGCCCGCCACTTCTTGTCCTCCTGCAGCCGGATATTGTCCGCCACCACGACACCAAATGGCGTCGACTTCAACGGCAAGTTCGTCACGGTCGGCGCGTTCCCCATCGGTATCGACCCGGAGAAATTTGTCGAGGGCCTCAAGAAACAGAAGGTCCAGGAGCGTATCGCTGCATTGAGGCGCAAGTTCGAGGGCGTCAAGCTCATTGTCGGTGTTGACAGGCTCGACTATATCAAGGGTGTGCCGCAGAAGCTCCACGCACTCGAGGTCTTCTTGACAGAGCACCCCGAATGGATCGGCAAGATCGTCCTGGTGCAGGTTGCCGTGCCCTCTCGGCAGGACGTCGAGGAGTACCAGAACCTGCGCGCCGTGGTCAACGAGCTCGTCGGCCGCATCAACGGCCGTTTCGGCACCATCGAGTTCATGCCCATCCACTTCCTCCACCAGAGCGTCAGCTTCGAGGAGCTCACAGCCCTCTACGCCGTCTCGGATGCCTGTTTCGTCACCTCGACGCGTGACGGCATGAACCTCGTCTCGTACGAGTACATCGCCACCCAGCGTGAGCGCCACGGCGTCATGATCCTGTCCGAGTTTACGGGCGCCGCACAGTCGCTGTCCGGCTCGCTCATCGTCAACCCCTGGAACACCGAGGACATGGCCAACGCCATCCACGACGCCGTGACCATGTCCGCCGAGCAGCGCGAGGCCAACTACAAGAAGCTCGAGAAGTATGTCTTCAAGTACACCTCCGCCTGGTGGGGCAAGCAGTTCGTCACCGAGATGAAGCGCCTCGACGCCACCGTCGGCAAGGGCCAGGGCGGCATCCCCGTCGGCAACGGTCCGCCCAAGATCCCCCTCAAGGAGAAGGTCGCCGAGAAGGTGAAGGACGCGGTCGAGACTGTCACCGGCGGGAACGCTGATGGTAACGAGACCGAGAAGGCGTCGTAAGAGGCCCGCCAGTATCCAATCAAGGTCAGGGCAGGCAGCCGACCGATTAAAAGACTTTGTAGATGAGGCCGGAGACGACGATGGCTGCCCCTTGGCTGGGGGAAATGTCCCGGTGCAAACGAAAACACCATGAAACTCCCCACCCCCTTTTTAGAAGCAGTTTGAGTAGCTGGCTAGATGGATGACAACTGCCCTCTCCCCTACATTGACCACAGAGTTTCCGGTCATTAGTACTTGCAGCATTTTGGAGTTGGAGTTCTCGGAACAGGCACAATACAGGCGTTTTCCTTGCGGTTCCGTTTCCCTGCTCGTTGCGCATTACGCATTGTCTATCTGCGTGTGATTTGGACCATGTCCACATGTCATTCAGTTATGAACACTCACCGCACACACCAGGGCGCCCCTGTGACAGTTGGGTGGGATCTGGATGTTTCGACATTCCAGCTAGCTATCTGGGGTATCTATCTACCTATCCTAGGTAACCCTGCCTACCTACCTCCCTCCCTACTCGCAACGCCGACCGTACATCATGACTGAGAATCAAAGGTCAAGCAAGTCACGCGTCAGGTCAACGCAGACGAAGTCAAGCCAGAACGCAAAGGCAAAGGCACACAAAGAGAGCGAGCAGGATTAGGTCTGAATCCACTTCATTCATATGCGCACTCGCATGGGGGGAGGTATCTAAGCAGACGTTCAAAAAGTGGCATGTGTAAAAAGTAGAAAACAACACAAAAAAAGAGAGAGAGAAAGGACATGTGGACGAGTAGTAAAATGTCCTGGCAAAATCCGAAGCGAATATCGATCGGAGAAGAAAGCAAGCAATGGAAAGAAAACCAGTCTCCGGTCCAAAAGCTGGGACCAAGCAATCCATATTCATGTAAAACGCCTCAAGCTGTGGGGGGGAAAATCACCAAGAGAGACAGCCACTCCACCTCTGCATCACGTCATATCCCTGTCCTCACAAAAGTTTCCTGATCTCCGCGATCCATCCATCCATCGCCTTTCCCCATCACCCACATAAGGGGGGTATAATCATCCAGCCGTAAGCTCCTACCGCGACATGCCATTTCCCCAACAGGTCAATCTCTCTAGTAGGGAGAGTTGACAATGTCCTCCTTCTTAAGTCGGTCCACGGGGCCACCGCGCCTGGGCGTGGAGTATGCAGCAGCACTGCGCCTGACACTCGGGCCGGCGATGCTCTCGCGCGTGGGCCGCTTGAGCTTCTCCTTCTGGAGCATGTTGACCTCGTTGGGCAGCGCGTAGATGACGTTGCGGTCGCTCCCGAACCTGAAGTCGTCCGCCTTGACCGTGTCGGCGTACCGCTTGATCATGTACGGCGCCTTCTGGCCCCGCAGGGTCCTCTTGAGGTTCCACTCGATCACGTAGGGGCCCGTGGCCGAGATGATCGAGGTCTCCTCCGAGTTCTGGCCGGCGTTGAACTTGGCCGGCGTGAAGGATACCCCCTTGCCAGTCTCGTAGGCGAACTGGGCGACGTGCTCGGGTGTCAGGGCCAGCCGGCGCGGCTGCGGCTTCGCGTCGGCTGCGAAGGACTTCTCGAAGCCGAGCTTGCCCTCGTTCTTGCCCGACTTCTGCTGCGCGTCGATCAGGAGCAGGTACGTGCGGCATGTTGCCAGCACCCAACGACCATCGGCGGAGACATCGAGGCCGATGATGGGCTCGCCAAGGGCGGGAATGTGCGTCTTGGCATTGATGCCCAGTCGGTCAAACAGACGGATGTCACCCTTGTTCGAAGCTACGGCGATGTGGCCCTTCTCCGTCGTTGCGACCGACGAGAAGTCGTTCTTGGACACGTACTGCTTCAGTTGGGAGTCAACGAGCTTGTTGCCTGACAATCTGGGGTCGACACGGTACAGAGCGTTGCGGCTGATTCCAAGGAATGTTGGCTCAGACGTCATCTGTGCGAACTTGTTCTCCGGGGCAAATGTGATGGCGGGTATATCGTCGTGGATCTTCCACTCGTCGACAACCTTTCCGTACTCGAGGTCCATGCGGTACAGCTTGTTGGGGTCGCTGTCATTTTGCAAGATCATGTTGTTGTCCTCATTGTGCAGCATCACTTTCTTGGGCGTGAACAGCTTGCCACCCGGAGTCTCGACCTTGGAGATGGTGGTGCTGAACTCGAGCTTGTTGTTGGGTGTATGCCTGAAGACACCGATCTTGGAGCCGCGAACAACAAATGACCGGTCATGCTTGTATCCAACAGCGATGGCCTTGTTGGTCTCCTTGTCGTTTGGCTTCACTGCGACATCGTCCTCGTCTTCATCGCTGTCGTAGTGCTCGCTGCGAGGGCTGTCATCCTCCTCCTCCTCCTCTTCTTCCTCCTCGGTATGCTCCTCCTCCTCAGGCTCGGCATCCGCGGCTTCGGCGTCCTCCATTGCAAGATCGGCAAAGGCATCGGTGACGTAATCGCGCTCTGTCTCCTTGACCTTGGTCCACTTTATCTCGTTCAGCTGCTCCCAGAGTGCCCGGAGTAAGCCTTCCTGGAAACGCTCGAGTTGTGCTTGGTCCTTGAACCGTAATAGCCAAGAGTAGGCAGAGCCATCATTGGAGAACTGGTTGAAGATGAAGGACAAGAACTCGAAATTGAACACGGGGTTGATGTCGGCAATGACTGGGATACCGAGCCAGCTGCGATCCTTGCCCTCAACGTTGAGCCAGTATTTCCAGTTTCCAATCTCAGTCACCGTGGCAGTGACAGAGGCATCCTGCAGGACGAAGGCACCGGATGGGAAGTCGAAGAAATGGAGCTCGGCGGTCTCGGCAACCAGCAGCTCAGTCGGCTCGGGGGCGGTATCGAATTTCGGAGGGGAGGTGCTTCTTGTCTGAGCAGGCGCCTCATTGACCTCCTCCTCTTCAGACGGTTGCTTGCCCCTCTTGACGCCGATATTAGTAGTAGCTGGGCGTTTGTTCAGAGACATTTGTTCGACCGAGTCAATGGACCGTGCGAGCGTGGGACTGTGGAGAGGGCTTGCTTGGGGTATAGGCTGCTCGTCGAATTCGAACTGCTGCAGGTCTTGGTCGGAAGCGGTCGTGAAGGGCTTGCGGTACTTGCGTTCGTACTGACACTGCTTTGCCACAAGCTCGAACTGGTCGATCTGCTGGCCAGCGGCGGCTGGGTCACACACAAACTCGAAGACGTCGCCGGCGTCACCGCTCAGGTCTTTCCAGCACAGCACCTTCTCGCGCGAGGTTTCTCGGTTCTTGACGCGGAAGTGGATGGCCTCGTCAAGGAGGAATGTTTTTTCGTCGCGGTCTGATGCAAGGGCGTCGATCTCGGCGTCCTCGCCCTCTTCCTCGGCCAGGAGGTCCTCCTCGCCTTCCTCGAACACTCGTTGGACGACTAGCTGATACTGGAAATCCTGGCCGGTTCTGCGGATGCGGGCAGAGGCATCCTTGAAGATGAGTTCGGAGTAGCCCTTGGGCGAGAGGGGTCGGACGAGGTAGAGTTGGCCCTGGGGGAGCTCGATCATAGACTCCTGGCCACCGGCGCCGAAGATGAGTTTGCTGACTGAAAGGCAGGTTAGCTGGAAGAGCTTGGGGAAATGCAAAATGCACCAGTGTGGTGCTGGATGAAAAGGAAGGTCGAGATTTGGGCCTCGTGCCCGGTTGGTGACCAGCGGCGGTGATGTGACGGAGGGGCTGCTGCTGGTGTTTATGCAGATTGGCGGGGCAACAGGTGCCAGCACAGCAATGGAATTACTTACCATTACGCAGGACAAACATCTTGACAAGTCAGCAACAGCCAAGATGGATGTGGAAGAAGGCACCTGTCTGTTCTCTTCTGATTCAGGCCGTCGAGGCAACAAGAGGCGGAAAAGGTGCTGTCCGGTGCGAGGGGTTGAGGATGAATCTCGCAAGCCTTGTCGCTGCACTTGGCAGATTAGGCTGCTGATAGAAGATCAGCCTGGATCTCTGAAAGCAGGAACAGGGTAGTGTTAGGTGGGAGCCCCAGTGCTGGTTGCTGCGTCATCCTAAGCGAGTTGAAGGGAGGTGGTCCAGGCCGCTTGGAGGCCTGAGCTCGCCACATGACGCACGGACATCATCGCGCTAGACCCTCAGAGGCAAGGTTTGTCAGGCTAAGGCGTGGCCGATCTAGCATGCTACCTGCAGATGCATCTGTCACTTGCCGTACCGTTGATGTACTTCAAGTTCATCTGAAGCAATTGGTGTAATTGCATGCCCGGGTAGGTTAGGGTGTACGGAGTACACTTCACGTCGAGGCCCCAGTATCCTTCGCAAAACACAACCCCCTTCTTCGTCAATCTTCAAGTCAACTTGCCTCGGGATCTCACCAAGGATAACCCGCACTGAGATGACCCTCCTGAGGATAACCTCCCCCAACACAACCTCTCTTGGGACGACCTGTCCTAGGAGAGCCTCCTACATGATAACCTATAAAACAACCTCTTGTACACCAGTCTTGTGCAGGAGACCTCGCATAGAACAACAGCCTGTGGGCTGAGATGACACCTCGAGGGAGATGACAATAATCTGTAGAAACGTCGATGGAAAGTGCCAATTTATTGCGCCTACCCATGCTAATGAAAGATCCATTGACTTATGACAGCAATGCTCCGCTCCTTACGGGCATCAGACAATTCTGCCGAATCCCCAATGCCGCTTTGACCGAAGAACCACTCCCCCTACTGCCTCGAAAAGTAGACATATTGCAGCAACGATCACCAATAAGCGCTTGAAGAACACCACCTAGAGTTCCTCAGCAGCTGAATGTGCCTCGTCAGTTGCCCCTTCCTTGGTCTTCTCGACAACAGTCTCGTCGGCCTCCATGCTCTCCGTCTCCTTTGCTTCAGTAATCGCATGTCCGGTGCTCAGGCCCAGCGCATCGTCGACAATTAGCCTGGCAACGTTCTTGCCCATCAGAGCGTTCGTCTCCATCGTCGAGATGAACCCCTCCATGCCTGACGTGTAGTAGACGCCGTTACCGACGACCGGGTCCTGGAACGTGACCCGCGGCAGGGCCTTAGGGTAGGAGTGGAAGACGTGCTTGTGGAGCCACGATACGGGCTCCACGACAACCGTGTCATCATCGCTAGCAGGCGTGGCGGCAGGCGCTGCGCCGGTGAGAGTCTTGGGGACCTCGACGCCTAGGACGGAAGAGAGGAACTCGGAAGTGACCTCCATGGGTGAGAAGATCTTGTACAGGTACTCCGTCTTGCCCGTCGATGGGTTCGTGATGGAGCGGAGCGTGCTGATGGAGAAGACTCCCGCCTTTCCTGCGCCCTCGAGGCCGGAGCTGCCATCGGAAGACTTGGAGAAGGCGGTGAGGACGGTCGTGGGAACCTCGGTCCCGGGCTGGAGGCCAAGGTATTCCCCGCTGAGCCTGAACGGAGAGGCAAACAGTGTGACGTACAGCTTCACGTACGGGACCTCGTCAATGGCAGTCTGGATGACGCTGTCCGAGGCCTTGATGTCGCTAAACTGGTAAGGCGTGGCGAGGACAATGTTGTCGAACGCAATACCCGCTGAGCCCCCGTTGACCAGGTACTTGGGTTTCGCCGCGTCGGGTTTCGTGCCGACAGAAATGGAAGAGACCGATGTGTTGAGGTTGACATGAGCTCCCGACTTGGCAACCATGCGGTCAAAGATCTTCCAGTTGCCACCAACCACAGCCTTGGCTCCCTCGGGCGCCATAGATACCATGGTGTCGAGGCCGTGGATGGAGTCCAGGTTGGATGCGTAGTTGACTCTCGTGGCCGCTTCGACGATGTCATGTGAGAAGGCCGCGGAGACGCCGTTGTCGGCCAGGAATTGCTCGCCCGTGACACCAGTGATCTTGGTGAGATCCAACTCGAAGGCCCGCGTGCTCAGTGATCTGAAGGGGAAGTACGGTTCCTCGTACAGCTTGAGAAACGTACCCACGGTCGACTGCATCAGCTTCTGCGCCTTGTAGGGCGACATTCCGTACTTCCAGAACAGCTTCGCCAGGTCGTACCACCACGAGTTACTGGCGGCGGACTCGTACACAAACTTGTCGCCATCCCAGATGACAGTGAGCCGGTCAGCGTCGCTATTAGGCTCCCGGAGCTCCAGGTCGAATTCCTGGGTGGCGTTCCACAGAATCTTGTTCACCTCGACAAAGATACTGGCGCCAACCTCGACAGGTTCGGATGGGATGCCATAAGCGTCAACCGTCAGAGTTCGGCCACCAATGTGGTCCGTCTTCTCAAAGATGGTGATGTTGAGTTCGACGCCAGCATCCAGTGCGTATTGCGACAAGTGGTAGGCGGCAGAAGAGCCGGCAGCACCCGCACCTGTAGGTCGGGTTAGTATTGCGAGCAAAAATAACAGACACAATGACCCGACGGCTGTCCCATAGGAGGTCGGGTAGGTCGGCTCATAGGAGGATATCCCACATGGGCCATGGATAATGAGATAACTGACCTATGATGGCAACCTGTCTCACACTGCTCGCGGAATCGTCAATTAAGACAGACTGCGACACATCCACATTCTCAACCCCTTGCGAGGCAAGCAGGCCAGGGACGGCCGCTTTCAAGCTGTCGAGCCACTTCATTGTCGACCAGGCAGGTGGGCAAGGAGGCAAGGAGGCAAGGAGGTAAGGAGGTAAGGAGGTAAGGAGGTTAGGAGGCTAGGAGGTCAGGAGGCTAGGAGGTCAGGAGGCTAGGACAGGGGACCGGGAGGTTGGGAGGCTAGGAGGTAAGGAGGTAAGGAGGGAAGGAGGGAAGTAGGGAAAGAGGCAAGTAGGCAAGTAGGTAAGATGGGTATTCCGTAGGATCGGTAAGGCTGGTGCAGATGAGATTAGACGGGTTGTTAACAGCTAAGCACCTAGGTAATGAACGGCTCAGCGGGGACCAAAGTTAACAAGAGAATCAATGTAATGCAATGCTATAGATGTCACAAATAAGGCGTAAAGCATACATGTATAATGCAATAGATTCGGGTATGGCGTCCCCTCACCAGCTCAGGTTCAAGAGGAGAGAAGACTGCTCATCGCCGAGATCCCTCGAAGAAGCTCACTTGTCCTCGCTTCCGAGGGCCCTGTGGTCGGGTACCTGACATGTGCCGTGAATCCTGTGCGACGCCAAGTACCGTGCATCCTAGGAGCTTGACACCGCCCACTGGTCCAAGCTCTCCCCCCCAACCCCTGTCTGGTCCCTGCTGCACCTTCCAGGACTGCCAGACGGCCCCACGTTGCTTCCCCTTGCCGGGCAGCGTGGTCTCCTAGCGGCAAGGCCAAAAATTCTAGAAGGTGAACGCGGAGAGCAGACAGCAGCAGCTTGCAGCTTCATCACACCGCGGCGGCCTGACGAAGACGATTGCATCCCGTCGAGCTTCCCTTCCACCCCTTCCCACCCGGACGCCCCACGAACAGCCCAGCCCCGAATTCTCGATTGCACTCCGTCAAGATGTCGGCGGCACAGCTCCTCAACCCAAAGGCCGAGTCAAGAGTACGGAGGTCCCTGCTTTCGAACCCCTCCACGACCACTGCTAACTGGCATCTGTCTCTCTACAGCGGCGGGGCGAGGCTCTCAAGGTCAACATCAGTGCCGGTGAGGGTCTGCAAGATGTCCTCAAGTCCAACCTGGGCCCTCTGGGCACGATAAAGATGTACATTCTCTCCTTTTCCTTTTCTGCGCCTCTCTCTTCACTCGCCCTCCTCCCCCTTTTGCGCAATCCCGACTGACCACACCAACGCGTCGACCCCAGGCTCGTCGATGGCGCCGGCCAGATCAAGCTCACCAAAGACGGCAACGTCCTCCTCCGCGAGATGCAGATCCAGAACCCCACCGCCGTCATGATTGCCCGCGCTGCCACCGCCCAAGACGACATCTGCGGCGACGGTACCACCTCGGTCGTCCTACTCGTCGGCGAGCTGCTCAAGCAGGCCGACCGTTACATCAGCGAGGGCCTGCACCCCCGTATCATCACCGATGGCTTCGAGATAGCCAAGACCGAGGCGCTCAAGTTCCTCGACTCTTTCAAGCTCTCCAAGGAGGTCGACCGCGAGCTGCTCCTCAGCGTGGCGCGGACGTCCCTGGCAACCAAGCTCAACGCCACGCTGGCAAACAAGCTTACGCCTGATATCGTGGACGCTGTCCTGGCCATCTACCAGTCCGGCGCCAAGCCTGACCTGCACATGGTCGAGATCATGAAGATGCAGCACCGCACAGCGAGCGACACCCAGCTCATCAAGGGACTGGCCCTCGATCACGGTGCACGACACCCAGACATGCCCAAGAGGGTGGAGAACGCCTTCATCCTGACCCTCAACGTCAGCTTGGAATACGAAAAGACCGAGATCAACTCGAGCTTCTTCTACTCGAGCGCCGACCAGCGGGACAAGCTCGTCGAGTCTGAGCGCCGGTTCGTGGACGCCAAGCTGAAGAAGATTGTGGAGCTGAAGAAGGAGGTGTGCGGCAACGACCCCAACAAGAACTTCGTCATCATCAACCAGAAGGGCATCGACCCTCTCTCGCTGGACGTCCTGGCAAAGAACGGCATCCTGGCACTGCGCCGTGCCAAGAGGAGGAACATGGAGAGATTACAGCTCATCTGCGGCGGTGTATCACAGAACGCTGTTGATGACCTGTCGCCCGACGTGCTGGGCTGGGCCGGCCTGGTCTACGAGCAGACTCTGGGCGAGGAGAAGTACACTTTCGTTGAGGAGGTCAAAGACCCCAAGTCAGTCACGCTACTGATCAAGGGTCCCAACGCGCACACCATCACACAGGTCACTGATGCGGTCCGTGATGGTCTGAGGAGCGTGTACAACATGATCGTCGACAAGAGTGTTGTGCCTGGCGGTGGTGCATTCCAGGTCGCGTGCGCGGCCCACCTGAAGAGCGATGTGTTTGCAAAGACGGTTAAGGGCAAGGCCAAGTGGGGTGTCGAGGCCTTCGCGGATGCCCTCCTCATCATCCCCAAGACGCTGGCGGCCAACGCTGGTCTCGATGTTCAGGATGCTTGTAAGTGCAGCCCATAACCCCACGCAGCTCGGCATTCTAACTAACCATCACAATAGTGGCCGCCCTGCAGGACGAGCACCGCGATGGCGCCGTTGTCGGTCTGGATCTCTCCACTGGCGAGCCCATGGACCCAAGCCTGGAGGGTATCTTCGATTCGTTCCGTGTGCTGAGGAATTGTGTCGCATCCAGCGCTGGTATCGCCTCTAACCTGCTGCTCTGCGACGAGCTGCTGAAGGCCAGGCAGATGGGACGCCAGGGCGGACCCGGGCCTGGCATGGATGGAGCTCAGGACCACATGTAATGGAAAGGAATAGATGTACGTCAGTGAGATGATACCAGTAGAGGCAAGGCGTTTGTACTGTCCATATGAAAAGAAATGCAATGGTATAGAGACGCATTGATACCTTCTTGAGCTCTTTTCTTCCTGTAACATTGATCCAGAAGACACATTAAAATGCCATCTATGCCCCTGTGCCCTTTAAAAGCTCCATGGAGCAGGCACGCCGAAGTGATTCTCGCATGGTCTCGATACAGTCGCTCCCACATGCTTATCGGTACTGATAAGAGGGACCCACTTTAAAGTTGCTGTGAGCCGCAAGCTGCTGGAGAAATTTCCAACCCCGCCATCATGCTCTGTCCAAACGATCCTCTCTGTACATACACGCAAGATGGCACCATACGACAGTGACGACTCGCTCGACGAAGACCAGGACTTCACGGAGACCAACGTCCTACTGGGGTATGCCTCTACAGACGCAGATGAAGACACAATCAGCCGCCTAGGAGGCAGACCAGTAAGTCAACATCCTTTGACTTGAGGACACAACCGCAGAACTGTGCCCTGACTTCTCCTCCCAGGAATGGATCGACCCCTCGAAACCGCCGTCCGCGTCCCTGGCCCGCTGTAAGGTCTGCAATGACCTCATGGTGGTCCTCCTCCAACTCAATGCCGAGCTGAACGAGCGGTTCCCCGGCCACGAGAGGCGGCTGTACGTGTTCTCGTGCCGGCGCAAGTCGTGTCGGCGGAGGGAGGGCAGCATACGTGCCGTGAGGGGCGTGCGTATCTCGCCCGACGCGGCTGCCAAGGCCAAGGAGCGCAAGGAGAAGGAGCAGCGAGACAAGGAGGAGAGGGAGAGGGCGGAGGCGGAGAGGAAGGAGAAGGAGAAGGGGCTGGGCGAGGCGCTGTTCGGCGTCCAGGGGAAGGGCGCTTTCGGGGCGAGTGGAGCTGTGAACCCGTTCTCTTCGGGTGGTGGTTCCGCAGGCGCGAACCCTTTCGCGAAGCCCGGCGCCAACCCCTTCAGCAAAGCGAGCAGCGAGACGACACAAGCACAAAGCACAACGGAGCCCGAGACACAGCCCGAGACCACATCTTCGAAATACTCGACAAAGGACCTGCCAAAGACCTTCGCCGAGACCCTCTCCCTCAACAACCCCCAAGAAGCCTCGAAAAGCGGGCCACCACCCCCGCCAGAGCCCTGGCCGCCAGAGGCCGAGCAGCCCAAGCCGTTCCCGCTAAGCTACCTCGCCGACGCCGACTACGAGACGCTGGACCCGATCCCAGCACCGAAGGACGTGCCCACCAACATGGAGATCGACGACGGTGCCGGGTCCAGCGGTGGCGGCGGCGGCGGCAAGGAGGACAAGGAGGTCTTCGAGAGCACCATCGACGGCACGTTCCAGAAGTTCGCGGACCGGCTCGCGCAGAACCCGGACCAGTGCATCCGGTACGAGTTTGGCGGGCAGCCGCTGCTGTACAGCAAGACGGACGCCGTGGGCCGCCGGCTGCACCACGACGGCGGCGGCAGCGGCAGGATCCCGCCGTGCGAGAACTGCCGCGGCGAGAGGGCGTTCGAGGTCCAGCTCGTCCCCGGGGCGATCGCGGAGCTGGAGGCTGAGGAGGACGGCCTCGAGGGTATGGACTGGGGCACCGTCATCGTGGGGACGTGTGCTACGGACTGTGTGCCGGCTGGTACTGTGGATGGCGAGGCTGGGTATCTGGAGGAGTGGGCTGGTGTGCAGTGGGAGGAGCTCACGCAGAGAAGATAGAAGGTGGTGATAGATGTTGCTGTCCTGCAGCTCAACCAAGCCTGATTTTCAGGGGAGAGACATCTAGATCTCCTGTCTGCATGGCCTAAGAGTATAGCGCATTCATTGATGGTTCACGAGGCACACACTAAAAGAAATTTACGTATTTGTGTTGTTTGCTCGACATGATATGGCTTGCCGACTTTGAATGATAGAGAGGATTTTTCAAGTCTGATGATTGTAAACGCTGGGTCTCTGTGCGTTTACCACTGTATGAAGGCGCTGTGGATGGCTTCAGACGTTTACATCAAGAACCAATCTGTCTAATGCTTCATTCCCAACACGCAGACGCATTTCCCTGCCTAATATACTTTTGGATCGAGTCCCAATTTCCCATAATGTTGCTACGTACCTGCTTCAGAAGTCAATCAATCAACCGGTGATTCGCTGTCGCTACTTTCCAGAGTTGAGAGAGATATTCCACCCTTAGACCATGGCCCAAATTCAGACCTGCGCACATCCCACTTTGCGTTCTCAGCCTTCAGAAATTCAACTACTTCATCCCAGCCTCTTTTAGCAGCGACCTCTTGTGGCGTAGATGTTGGAATTTTTTGCACTTGTACTTCCCCGTCCTCAGCTGCGTCCAAGTCTGCGCCATTGATCGACATGGACATAGATTGGGAGGGGGATTCCCGAACAGTACACATGAACGATGCGAGAGGGAACCAACTCCCGTGTCGAGCGAGAATCTTGACACAGTCCGCCCATCCGTTGGCAGCAGCCAGGTGTATTGGCTGGATCAGTTCCCCTTTTTGTGTGCCCCAGAGGAGATGTTTGATTTCACGGCCTTGATCATGGTGAGACATTACCTCAAGACATCCAGAGTGCCCAAAGAGTGACGCATAATGGACGGGTGTCAGCGCAGCGAACGGCGTTGCGCAGCGAAGGCTAGCCCCAAGATCCAGAAGCGCCCTCATACATCCCACATATCCCTCTCGGCATGCCACGTGAAGCGGTGTCAGCCCATTGTCGTCCGGATAATCAACCGGGGGTGCCCACGCCAAGGACTTGAGGGCCGTGGCTACGACAGAAATAATCCTGTCGTCGCCGCCACATGCCGCGTGCCATAATGTTGACCGGTTCGTTGAATCGATCTGGCACGCCACATCGGGGGCATGCTCACAGATATAACAGACAACTTCAAGGTTGGCCATCGCGGCGGCCCTGTGGAGCACCGTCTCCCCGTTGCCATTCTGCAGCCGGAAGAGATAACTCCACTCGTGCTTGATGTCGAAGTCCTCCCACGGTTCTGGGCCTTCTGAGATCTGGAACATGGTCCTTATGACGCGGTCGAATTCTTCTCTAGTGCTGTAGGTTGCGGCCAAGTGGATGGCCGTGTCTCCGGTTCCTCTCACTGATCCTAGTGGTGCTCTGAGACTTGACATCACGTTTGGGGTGAATTCGATGTCTCTTGTTGGATTTGAGAGGAATTCGCGAAAATCCAGTGCGTTGCGCAGTATCGATGCGATATGCGTTCCTGTAATGGGAACGGGGTCGCCTTGAAGGCATTGGTCAATCAGCCCCGAGACAGCCCGAGAATCGCTCTGGAAAGCCGCAAAGTGAAGAAGTCGGTCCTGCGATATTCCAAAATGGACCTGCTTGAGTATACCATCCGGATCCTTTGCTTGCTCCGCACTCATGCCATCCCCGTCCGTGACTGTGGTCGCGATTTGGTCAAGCATGGAGCTCAGTGTGTCCTCATCGGGCCTGTCACATTGGACCTCCTGACGAATGAGATTGCAGCATCCACTTTTCTCTGGCATTCGATCAAAGCCTCCAGCTCCTGGCGAACTCTTCTCCGTCGATGTATCGGACGCGCGCTTTGAAGCGTTGGCTTCCAGAAAAGTCCTATCACGCGAGCGTACCCTGACCTTTTTGGCCAACGAGATTAATCGACCCGGCTGCAAAGTCTCTGAGACGCAAACTGGCTGGAATAAAGATTTCAGCTGAGTTCCAGCGCAGATATAGGCCGACGGTGCGTCGTTGGTAAATGATTGGGAGACTGTGTTCTTGAGTTCTACCCTGTGAACCAGGTCAAGAACGTATGAGACGCCGCCGAGCATTTGCATTTCCCGAAAATGAAAATGAGCAATCATTCTATCCCGGTATTCGTCTACAAGGTCAGCTTTTCCACCTCGAGGTGCCAGAACCCAGGTTCTGTTTATGTGGTCGTAAGCCTCGCGTACTGTCCTGCCCTCTAGGGGCCTGATAATACCAACAGCCTTGAACTGACCATCAACCAGTAAGTTTGGTTGAAGGGCAACAGCCACGTCAAAGAGCCAACCAGAGATCCCTTTGCCAGGTGGATAGGAGAATCTGAAAATTCCTTGAATACCCCGCTGTTGAGAAAGTCTGGATCGAAGGATTCCGGACTTCGGGTCCCATAGAGCTCGAGGGTAGACTTCTGACATGGTGAAGCTTTCTGAAGCACCTTTGAGTAGTGCCTTTGGGATAATGAAGCTAGGGAGAATGCGGGATTGCTCTTGCTTCACAAATATTGTTTTTACCTCGCCTCCTCCCCGGTCATCCATACCCACAAACGTTAGGGCGTCATATGCGCGCACCCTTGCGTACTGGTCCCCCCAGACTCGCCGAAGCAATATCGCTGGGCTGCAGTCTTGAAGGTGCTCTCGGCCGTATCCGTCCCACATGTCTATATCGACGGAGCAGTCAAGAATTGCCAAGAACTCTTCTGCAGAGTCCTCTTTCGCACTGCTGGAGTGTTTCTGGGCCGAGGGTCGAAGATAAAGCTGGACCATGAGTCCTCGATTTGTCGTACTCCATGGGATGCTACTTTCTGGCTGGGTCCGACCAGATATAGGATTCATGCTCGGCACATGTTCAAAGTACGTGGGAGAATCGGCTAGCAGACCCGATGGTCGCCCAGGGTCTATTCCCCCAGTCATGGCACACCAGGCGAATATAGTCTGGTCATCAGTGACTCGAATGATCTCGTTCTGAAGCCGAATGAAAGAACGAATGCCGCCTTCTCCGTACAAGAGTGGCATATTCACGTCGAACAGCCCCATAAGACAGTAGGCCATGTCCTCCTGGCGCTTCGTTTCTCTCCTCGAAGCCCATCTCATTCGGTTGGCCACGCTCACTTCGTGCATGGCTATATCGCCGGAGAGAACACCGATGTCGATACCAGTTGCTTTGACCAAATGTCGCATAATGTGTTCGTCACCCTTTTTGCCCATGAATGACCAGTCCCTTAAGTAGAAAGATACCTCCCGAGGAGCTATGAGCTCTTGCAGAGTCCAGCCTCGAGTAATCCAGCGACTGTGCTGGATATTCTTTCTGTATCGTGTTTTGATACTCCCTCGTGATTCCGGTGTTGCGTCTGCCAAGTAGACATAGCAGATCTCTGAGTTCTGATACCATCTGTACATGGAGTTGATGGCTTCCGAAAGCTCTGTGCTGCTGGTTTTGTCAATGCAGCAGGTGTCAATCCAAATCCAGTCGTACCCATCGGATGCAGCCAGTTTCGCTGCGTCAAGGACCTTTTGAAGCCCTTGGCGTGCCTTCAGAAGGTTGTTTCGGCTCAAGAAGGATAGCAACTTGACCCTGATGCCCTGCATTTCCTGTAACGTGACCTCGTCTTTATCCCAAGTATGGGACAGAATTGCATATGGTGGCACTCCATCTTCGTTGATTAACACCACCTCAAGAGTGTTTGTGGACAGCAGCCTCATGTTCTTGCGGGCGGTGATTCGGTGTTAGAGAAGCCTGGCCGCTTAACTTTGACTGTTAATGGGATTTCAGAGTAAGATGGAAAATTCAAGGCAGCAGAGCATGCGGGGCTCGGACTCAACATACAACCTCAGCTGGGGGCCAGGTCTCACGTGTGGTCACATGCATCGAATCCTTTATTGCCCAGGCCTTTCGATGCTCAGGCGCCACAAGGCACCGCCCGTTTTTAATTTATGACCCATCATAATCTTCAATGCAATATTACATGTACTGTTTGGGGAAATGCGTAACAATCAAAAGCATGAATCAAATGCAAAAAGAACTTCTCTCCGCTATTTCTATATTCCTTCCGGGTGCTGTCGTAGTTTACAACCTCTTTAGGTACAAGTCACTTAGTCCGGAAAATGTAGAATTGCACCATCAGTGAAGTCCATGGCTCCTGAACATTGGGCGTTGGAAAAGACACCCTGCTGAATAAGGCACACTTGTAAAGGGGGAGAGAGTACTCGAATATAATGCATTAGATTCCATAGCATATCAAAGGCATGGCTGTCAGCCAAACCCGACATCTCGATGGCCCGCTCCCCTTAGACTGCCTTCTTGGACTGCTCAGTCTTTTTCGCTTCCTCCAGAAACCATTTGCTACATTCCTCAAGCCCTTCATAGACCCCCACCTTCGGCTTGTAACCGAGCAGTTGCTTAGCCTTGTCGCATTTAAGTGTGCGCGTGATGGTGCTTAAGTGAACGGCTTCCCTGGTGATCGCGGCCTGCTTTTTGCCAAAGGAAAAGATCCAAGTTGACCACTCACTCACTGTAGCCGCCAGCATAGCAACCCAATAAGGGACAACTTTGATATCCTCCTTTTTCACAGGTATACCCACGGACGCGGCAATAGCTCGGTTAAAATCCCAAAAGAGAACTGGCTCGTCGTTGGTAATGATAAAGGCCTGGCCATCAACCTGCTTATCCACAGGCAGAGCAGCCTTGCCATAGGCATCAATCAGGGCGTGGGCGGCGAGTAGATGCGCATCCACCAAGTTGGAGATATATGTAACATCATAGTAGTTCTTTCCCGGCCCAATCTGCACATTTGCTTTCCCAGCTCGGGCTTTAGCAATGACCTTTCCTAAGAAGCCAAAATCACGGGCTCCAAAGGCAGTAGCAGGGCGAATAGATACTGTCAACATAGACGAGTCTCCACCTTGACGGTTGGCCGCAAGGATCTCATCTTCAGCCTCGACTTTGGTCAGAGTGTACACTCGCTTCTGGGCTGGGTATCGAAGAACTGGTAGCGACTCATCGGCATCAACCAATTCGCTGACATTGTCGTGGATAGCCGAGGATGTTGAGGTGTAGATAAAGGCCTTCACAGATTTGATCTTCTGAGCCGCAGATAAGAGATTTCTTGAACCGTTGACATTCACATTGCGGAAGCGAGCTGGGTTCAGAACTAGAGGGTCCGGTGATGCAACGTGGAAGACAGTCTGAGGCTTGATATTAACAAAGGCAGACTCTACGTCTGCAGAAGAGGTGATATCGCAAGTATGGTAATAAACCCCCGGGACCTGATTCCTTTCAGTGTTGATATCAATGACATGAATTTGGTAATTAGGGTTCTCGGCGAGCAGGCCTTCAGCCAAATGAGAGCCGATGAATCCACATCCACCGGTGATGATGATAGGACTGAGGTCCGAAGAGGTAGACTGGCTCGACATGGTGACAATTTTGGAAAGACTCTTTGCTCAGCTGCCGCGAAAAGTGTGCTCAAGGTTCGATTACCAACAACTTGAAGGTCCTGCAAGAACTAAATAGTAAAAAAACCCCAAGCGGGTGGGGACCTCGGGAATGTTGGTTCGACGCGGCGCTTAAGAAGATCAGAAAATGCGCACATCTGCACGGCCGGCCCACTTTCGTTGGCACGTCGACATATTGTCTGATTCGTACTCGGACAACTTCAGGGGTGCATAAGTCGCGGATCATACCCACTTATCATGAGTGCTATAAGAAAAACATTCTAGTACTGAGGGTGAGTTGATAGCATCAGAGTTGTGCCGGGTTTACAGGTGCAGTGTGAACTATAACTTGAAGTAGCCACCCGGAGCGTGATCCCGGTTGGACGACAAATGGGCCAGATCGATGTCAAAAAAAAAAAAAAATGCAGCTTAAGGCGAGCAGGGAGCGGTTCAAGCCGAACAATTACACCACAATGCAATTGTTGGCGGACCTTGTGACGGGGCGGCGCAGTAGAACGGGGTACTACAAGTATAGGAGGCTACTAGGAACTGAATCCTTCAACTTGAAGGATTGAACTCAAATTGATGCTTTGGAGACGCACATAATGCGGGCGCTCCACTTCGATTGGCTCAGTCAATTGACAATGTGACAATCCGGCCCATAAGCCCAGAGCACACACCGCGTGAACCGTTCAAAGTGGAGCTAGATCCACGGGTGCACCAGGACTAACAACCAACATGCTAGGGATGGCGAAAGTGAAATTTCCATTTCGAAATATTTCACTTTCCAGCCAGATTTCAAATCGTCAGGTCGAGTGGGTCTGAAACGTGAAATTGAGACTTCTTTTTGGGTGGGTCTCCCACCTAATTCGAAGTACCTAAATAGCTACTATCAGCTTAGATACTTCACCAGCCGTCGGTCCCAAGGTCCCTAAAATGTGGCGTTCTATGCCCGATCGGTCCTAGCAGTCAACTTGAAACCCTAACCCTAAGAGACTTGGCAGAAACATCTGACCGCCTACCGTTTTAGGTATAGTGCAGTGTGCATGGACCATAAGGTGGTCCGTGCTTTGAATTTCAGTTTCCTTCACAAGGGGCTCTGAAATTCGTGTTTTCTTTCACCAGGTCCGGTGGGTCCTGAATTTCGCCATCCCTACAACATGCATACTTATTAAGTATGGAAACCAACCCTTCGCAGGTGGGTACAACCAGCAGTTGGCGGAATACGCAGGCGAGTCATCACAGCACTTGAGATTCGGTAAGAGTTGTCTTGTCGACAAACGACACCCACAGTGGGCTCTCCTCCCCTGACTGCTTCTCGGACAAGGAATCTTGTAAGTTATCAACGGGGCTTACAACAACTCCATTTCAGATGCAGCTTTGCTGATAGACCCACAAGAGATGCATGAGATGCTGCACTGCGGCTCTTTCTGGAGGCTCAACTGAGCCATCTGTTTCCACCAGGATGCAAAAGATAAGGGATGGATCACGGAAGTGGATTTACCCTGTTACACTATTATTCAGTCGACCAAAAGACCTCGGATACCATTTTCCCTGCCTTGCACCAACATCACTCCGTCCAATGTCCACCCCAGGCCGAGCTGAAAGGTGGAAGATTCTTGGACTCATCGTGAATCTCGATGAGGCAGCTCTTGCGGTATCCAACCTCTCGGTGCTTACTTCCACAGGAAAACAAACGAGTCTTCGGTCAAAATGTCCGCAAGCTCTTCTCTCTCTAGCTATCCGTTGGACAAGATCTTAGTCCATTAGCCTCCGGATGGCTAGACATTCAAGATGGACAATGGACAATGTTCTTTTTTCGAATTTCCTACACCTGGACTCACCGTCTCCTGCTCACATGTGCACCTTCGTGCTGGCTCTGATCGGACTCATTTTTGGCATTGTTGACTCAACAGTGCGAACATTGCTTTCGTTCCAGCTGCTGCGAAAGGGTCGAGCGACCTTAGCAGACATTCTGTATGATCCTTTAGTACGCTAGACATCGCTCACAGCTGTGCTCCACGCTGCATGGAAGCAGGACTTTGCGCTCTCGTGGGGAATAGTCCCAAGGCATTCTGGCGCCCATTCTGACTATCATTGCCAGTGGACTGTAACTAGTTAGATGGTGATTCTAGTTCCCTGGACTTATCATGCTGAACTCCAGCTGCAAGACCGGTTCCTCTCTGAGAATCGCACTTTGAACAGCCTCAACACCGTCCCGAGCGATAGTGGCGAAGCATGGACGAACTTTGCCATAACTCAGATTTCCAACCTATCTTACCCTCAATGGACACAAGGGGAATATGCCCTGGCCTAATTCGGTGTCGGAAATCTCCACAGTCTCGACGGCAACACCACCTCACCCGCCGCCACGGCTCGCGTCCCAGCTGCCCACGTCAACCTCAACTGTCAACTGTAGCCTGATCGGTCATTATCCGGGCGATCCCTCCAGGATCATGCTCCCAGTTGACCCAGGGCAACTTGGCTGCGACACCCCGACTGTGTTGAACTAGACAGACGGGACAACGAGGTCACCTCGACCTCCATAGCTACCTAGGTATGTTGCCAAGAATGAAGACGGCACCGCGAGCACGAATCACGGTTTCTACCTGACCCTGCTCGATAGCGTTTGGAACGGGCAAGCTTCGCAGCGCAGAAACATCACCATGCTCTCGACCAGCTCCACCCGCGTCTGTGGCGACGGGCGGCAGCACTACTTCATCGGCCCGGGGACGACACGCCTGGCCGTGCTACACTGTGCGCCCTATGTGGAAGTGCCGTGGGTGACTGCAATGTTTATGCTGCCACACTTCTCACTAGTCACCCGGGGTTGGAAAGGTTAGCTAGCAGCACAGGATTATTGCTAGCAGCCAGCATTCCCTAGTCACCATTCGGTCGTCGATTTCTGAGTATCCACCACTCTTCATCATCTCGCCGGTGACCACTACGTATAATCAAACCGCGTATTTCACCTAGGGGATTCTGGCGGCACGTAAGGGGGAGAGTATCCAACAGGATCAGGCGAAGTAAAGCTCGGATCACATGTATTGGAAAGCGCATGGTGGTCATCTGGGACATTAGACGTGGATTATTAATGCCTATTAAAGACGGAGAAGCTATAAAATCAGGCTGGCATGCTTCAGCGCTGGATTATGCCTGCCTCCCCAAGTAGCTAATCCGATCTTCATTGGAAGCTCTGCTTGAGTATATTGGGTTTCCGGTCTTTCAGATCCAGTATCATCTGCCCAAAGAGGCCGTTTGCCCACGAAAACCTAACGGGCGGAGAACAAACTGTCAGCAGTGCAATCTCGATGGCATGAAGGAATAATCTGAGGGCAGAATGGGTTAGCATTCACTTACCACTGCCTCGTCCAGTCACTTTGGTTGAACGAGTTGATACTCTCGTGAATTAGACCAAGCCCATCGGTGCTCGAGACGATCTCTTTCAAAGCCTTGGTGATCTCGGCGTCGTCGTCCGTGGTCAAGATCCGGACGATGCTCGCCATAGGCCATGCCATGCCCGGCCCCTGGTGAGGGCCCCCGACAGCATTGATGACCGGCCCGCGCATAAAGTACGGGTTCCCGTTGACACCGGCATTAGGATCCTCATTCAGGATAATCGCCCTTGTGTTCTGGTACACCTCGTCGCTGGCGTCGATGAAGCCGAGGAAGGGCGCGGATAGGATCGAGGGGATGTTGGCATCGTCCATGACCACCGCGGACCCGAATCCGTCGACCTCATACGCGTAGACCTGGGAGCCGGTGTTGGGGTCTGTGATGATGCCGTGGGCCTGGATGGCGGCCCTGATGGAATCAGCCATGCCGCTCATCTGGGCCGCCAGCTCGGCCTGTCCGTCGAGCGCAGCCATGATCTCAGCCGTGCTGCTAAGGTACCGACTGAACATCATGTTGGCCGGGATGAAAAGTTGGAAGATGGTGCTGTCGTCGCTCGGCCTGAAGGCGCTCCTGACCAGGCCCGTGCCGTTCCCCACGGGCGAGCCGATGCCGTCGTTAGCGAGCGTCTCGGTGGCGCGCGTGGTCAGCCGGGTGAAGGTGTACGGGCTGGTCAGGACCTGGCCCTCGGGTCCGTACGTTGGGGTGAGCATCTCGGTGGCGGTGTTCAGTACCGCCTTGACCGCGTCGACCCACTGAAACTTGCCGAAGAAGTCGAGGTCGCCCGTGGCGTTGTAGTAGTTGGCCGATACCTCCAGGAAGGAGGCGAGAGAGTCGAGCTCGTACTTGCACTCGAATACGCTCGAGTTGCTGTACGGGGGCGTGACGGTGTCTTCCGAGGCGGCGCCGTTGACCGAGCCCTCAACCCCCGACTCGACTGGGGGCTGGAAGGAGTTGCAGTATGGGCTGGTCAGGAGATATCTCGCGTGCAGGTTGATGACGCCCCTATACAGACTGGCGATGCTGTCTGCGCTCTGATCGGCCTTGAGCACGGGGAGGTAGCTCTGCATCTGGTTCGCAGAGTCACGCAGCCACATGGCATTGATGTCACCGGTGATGAGGAAGGTGAGCTCCTCCTCGCTGTTGTTGGCCGCGTACCCCTTCCACCTGATGGCCGTGTCGAGCGTGTTGGGGTAGCTGTTCTGGAATAGCCTGTATAGGTCCGGGTCGGCGATCACGCCGGCCATGGACGTGATCACATCCTCGACATCGGAGGAGTTGAAGGTCCGGCAGGACGGGGACGGGCGCATATACGACAGCTGGTACGTGCCGTTAGAGAAGGGCTCGTGGCGCTGGGTAGAGTAGTCCAGGTAGTCTGGGCACTCCTGCGCCTGTGCCAGGCCCACGAGGAGGGCGGCCTGGATGAGAGGGGTCTGGACCATCATGACGACAAAGAGACCACCAAGGTGAAGACCAGGCGGAACTGAGGAGGTTGAAGATCAACGACCTGCTATTCTCAGAAGTACGAGGTGCGGCGCCAACGATCAGCAGCAACAGGTGCTTCCTCTGTCGTCGGACCCGACGGGTCGTCCCATGATTTTGTATCTCAAAGGCGTCCAGGCCCGAGAAACCATAATTGCATTAGCTCATACCGCATGCTACGTGCAGGGAGGGAACGCTGCGGGCTGCCGGTAGCTGCAAGGATGGGGAAAACGTTGATCATCAGGTCCGAGATGAGATGAGCAGCAACCATGCGTGCATGTTCATTGCGGGGGCGATACTACGTTCCACAGAGGCCACTAGCAGCGGGCCCCACGCTTCTCCAACGATCATCTGAACTCGCTTGATTTTTTACGGCTCCGCATCACTCCCCTTTAGTGTCTGTTCACGATGTTATGGACTCCTCCACGTGATACTTAGCAGGAATCATACAACAATGTACACACATCTTCTCTAATCTTCTCCAGAGTCACTGTCTCGCCCCCCCTCGCCCAGTAGGCGATCAGGAGGACCAAAACAGACACGTCTTCGGCAAAGTTGGTACGAGTCGCTCATGATTAACGTTTGTTTCCCCTGGGCAAGGTCAGAGTACCCCGGCATAAACTCGGACGACAGTTCCACTGCGGAGAACCCCGGCCGGCCATCCGTATTGGGATAGGGTGAGGAGAAGCTTCCCCACATTGCACATGTACAAGGTACGTACCTAGGTATGCTTTTCGAAGTCAGCCACAGCTGTGGCTGCAAGCTGACTGTCATCCTACAACTCCATAGAGTCCGCTGCCTTGAGAATCTGAAATGGCATGTCTGAAAGATTTTCTTCGGACTCCTAAGACCAACTCTTGACAGGCTTGGTCATTGGCTTGCCAGTGACCCAGTAACGTACCCGGCCCACATTCCGACCGACGGTATTTGACGAAATCGCACAAGCCGCGCCGATGGAGCTTCTGGAAAGGGCCGCTTAACGACCGTGTGGCCGACGACGCGATGTGAGTAGACTGTGGTCCCAAATTAATTCTTGCTATCCTCTGGTCTGACGACGCGTGCCAATGTACAGTCATTTCGGCACATGAGGCAATGTTGAATCTAGTAAGCCTGACAGGCCCTGTGAATGAATCGAGATCATCTCAGCGTCAATGGACACTCGTTCTGTCTGCTGATCCGAGGGCTCCCGAGGTCAGGGAGTCTCTCTGATATCTACCGAATCATCCACTGTGAAGACGTGATAGACACCATTTCAAAGGGGCAACCGGCTCCGATGAGCTCTGAAATACAGACTGACCCATGCATGGTGGTTCATTCCACGTTGATCCAATGAAAATTTATTTACCTGCTCGTTCGAAATTTATATGCTATTACCGCCGCCATTACATCCCAGCAATCACTTTCCCTTCGGGAGTCCGGTCAGTTGTCACCCAAGTAAGGAAATAGCCAACCCAAACAAGAGTCCGCCGGTTGTTACCCTCAACGCAGCTCCAGAAGAAGAATTAACGGAGCTGCTAGGAGTACTTGTCGCTTCCGCAGAACTTTCTTCCGTAGTAGTCGAGCTCCCAGTCGCCAGCGCACCCGCCGAAGTCATGGAAGCAAACCAGGACGGCTCAGTTTCCGCAGCTGTGACGACCGCCGTCGTCGTCGTGGAGACCGAGCTGTCACCTGACGAGCGGCCGGCACTATTCGTCTCAGCAGCGGCGCCGGACGTCGTCGCCGGCGCCAGCGGGTCGGCCGAGAGGAAGCTCGGCGTCGGCGTCGCGGTTCCCGAGTATAGCGGGCACCCGGGGACGCCCGTCTTGGGCGCCGCGCGGCCGCCGCCGCAGTCCGGCACCGTACAGATCTCGAGCGTATCCGGGTCGTAGTACACGAGCGACTCGTAGATGTTGCCGTACTCGTGTGCCGTGGGGTTGATGGTCACCGTGCTGGTGAAGGTCGTGCAGCCTGAGAGGTCTGTCCTTGCGAGGGCTGCCAGGGGTGAGAGTGCCAGGAGGGAGAGGGTTGTGAGTGTAGCGGAGGACGGCATCTTGGATGACAATTTCTGCGACTAAGTGATTTGCCTGCGAATGTTCCTGTTTCCTCAGACTTTGAAGCGAGTGTAGTGAAGCTGGCGCTCGTAGGGTAGTCTGTCTAAAAGGAGTTCTGGTGCTTGGAAATGTGTAAGAAACAAGAAGAGTAGAGTATCAACCGATGTCGAGAAATTGGGGCCGTTGTTCAACGCGGCTCGTCAAATACTTTTTTCATCTTAATGTTGACCTGCTGCCAAGAACCCGTGTCGCCAACACGGGTTCTGGAACGATCCTCCCGCCCCTTATTTAGACACGCGTGGCGCAACGCTTTGCTGTTTCTGGCGCTGACAACTTAATGTAAGCTTCTTACGAGCGAATGGTAGACACATGGGGAGGCTTAGCCGCTGACTTCAATTTCAATACAACCTTGGTCTTATTTCTTACACAAGCCTAATAGAAGTTCAACTCTTAGAGGGTATGACCGCCTACGGCTTCAAAAGAGCACCTATACGGATTAAGAACGAAGTCACCACCTTAAAGGGTATGATTAAGAACCCTCATACCCAAGAGGGCTGATGAGCCGTACAGGGCTCGACAGTTGATCGGCTTCACGAGAAAATGCACTAACCGGGACCTAGATACCATTGTGGACTGTAGTGAAGCCCAGCTCTTGCCATACTGGCATACACAAGTCCTGAAGTCTCAATAGACTCACTCGTGTTGATACTAACCCTCAGAAATAGACAAATAGTTGAACCAATTCAATTCTACATTTCAGCCAAGGAATTGCCGCTGAAGAATGACCATAAGCAAGTATAGCAAGACAAAAGGCCTGAAGCGTCGGCAACAGGACTATGAATCCGAATACAGGACCGACGGAACAGAAACGGACAGCCTGACCAATGGCTGGGCCCTTTTCGTGATCACAAGAAGTCATGAAAGGCTCGAGGAGCGGGCAGCACGTAACCAGACATCCGCAACCACACACTCGGTCGAGGGATATGCAGGCCTCTCGGGCTTGGCGACTGATTCTCGACATCTGCCATGGACCTAATTCTGGAAGCCCTTCGATGCTTGCACCCTGCCAAACTTGGTCATCGAGTGACACGATGGAATACAGGAACAGATAAATCGGAGATGGCTCGGGGAGGCAGGCATCAGGGCTTACAAGGATGGGGTTGACTTGGCATAGCAGCTTCGCTCCTCCATCCCCCGGGTGTCAACCCTGTTGAGGGGTTCGCGAGCGTCACGGGATTTTAGGACGCCTGTGGCCGTTTCTTCTTGGCCGAGGACTATTTGCCGAATGACAACGTTGTACGGCTGCCGCATGAAGGTATTTCAGCTATTGACTCAGTAGTTTGGCTGCAGCCAAGCCGGCGGTGACGGTTGCTACTACAGCAGTCGGGCCAGTCAGAAATGCAGAACTCATGGCTGTGCGTTGATCTCCACGGTGTTTTTTTTTTTTGGGGGGGGGGGTTGGTTTGATGCTTATACTCGCTTGCCACGAAGGACGGGCCCATTCAGGACGAAGGGGTCCGCGACATGACCCAAGCGTTCGTTTCACTTTCAGCCGAGTGCTTAGTCGGAGTCTGCCACGAGGCTTAGCAGGCTTAGCAGGCTTGGTGCGAGGACTAAATGCGGGCCGGCCGAGGTGATTGGGCGGTATCACGACGTTGCAACATATCCACGTATTGGGATATCACCCTCCCTTCCCCGGATCTGCGATCCTCACTGTACACTGTCCATATGCCCTTCAAAAACCCATTTTCTGCGCGGCTAAAGCCTGTAGGCGACATATGGATTTCAGCTCGCCAGGGGGTCGGGCACGACTCTGCACGCTTGCTCTGCTCCTACCACACATCCTGTTTTTTGGGCCCACGATGCTCGCATCGCTCGGTTTCTTAATGTATTGGCTGAGTCCATCGTGCAAGTGTAGGTACTGTCTAGTGAAGTTCTGTGGCTTGTTGGACTCAGGCACGGAGGAGAGGATGACGACGTGCAGCTGCGATGCAGTTCTAGATGACCCAGCCACGAAGTAATTCTTGAGGGCGATATTCTCCTAGCAAAGGAAAGTTCGCAGGTGATCTGGTTGCTTACCGAGTGCCGTATCAATATAAATATCCCCAAGAATGACCTGCCTGTCTAGCCGGCTCATTCCTTACCCAACCAGCAAAGCCATCACCTCAAGAAGAAACCAGATCTAAAGAACAAAACTTCACCCCTTCAGTAATCATCAATACTCCCTTCCTCAGCAACCATGAGGCCCCCCGTCTCCGCCATCCTCGCCCTCGCCCTCCTCCTCGCCCAAGTCGGCGCCAGGCACGGCGCCGACGACGCCAGCCCTGCCAATGGCGTCGCCGTCCAGGCTCCTCCGGCTCCGAGCTCGGGTGACGACCATGGAGGCCGGCGGTTCTGCTCCCGTGGTCCGAAGCACGGTGCTGATGATCCGCCGGGTGACGATCACAGGGGCCGGCGATGTGGTGACGATGACGACAAATACGATGATAATCCTCACAGCAGCAAGCTCCGCGCTCGTGGACCAAGACACGGTGCCGACGATCCACCTGGCGACGATAATCGTCACGGCAGCAAGTTGCGCCCTCGCAGCCCGAGGCACGGTGATGACGACCCACCCGGAGACGACCATGGAGGCCGCAGGTTGAGGTTTCACCCCCGTGGCCCGAGGCATGGATCTGATGATGGGCCCGGTGACGACCACGGAGGGAGACATAGTGGCGGCGACGACGACCGCTATGATGATCATTCCCATGGTGGGAGGTCGGGCTGATGAATTACCCTGGTAGAAGCAGTGTCTCATGTTTGTGTGTATCGACCGCCTGGTTATCTTTGCCCACACAAGAGATTGTAGTCTGTGGGCACTGAAGACCTTTTGATACTTGGCCGGGGGACTTTTATGTATGGGTGCCTGTCCTTACCAAACAGTCTCGTAATGAAGTAGCTTTGAGTTCCACTCTCGTGTTTGGGAGATTTTGACAACCCCTGGGAAAACTTTATGCGATTGCATGGAATTGAGCGGAAAGTGTTGCAAGGACGGCACAGTGCCCAGTCGCTGGCCGATCAAACATCCCAGGCTGTTGAGATGCAGACATGGATGGCAGAAACATCCCCTGTCCAGCAACAACTCGATAAATCTCCTCCCCTCCTCCCAATACCCAACACTCACGCAACGACCCCAACACGCAGGTCAACTACGTTGTGAAAGTACACCGGATAGAGCGGAGAGGCGACAATGTCTCCGTCTCGACTCGATAGGCTAAGGTTCTTATGGTTTGTTTCGTTGGATGCATTTCAACATCGAGCTCGTGGAACACGTGTCCGCAGCAACACCCAGACCATACGGTTACAGTTGATCGAGTGGGCTTGACCCTAGCTGTATTGTATATGTGGCCCATGAGATGAGCTAGATCGGCAAGTGAATCCGATCACCTGCTTTCTAGGGTTGGTATTCTTAACCTCAACAAATGTTTAAAAAGGATGATCTTTTAGTATAACAAACTCTTATAAGGTTGATAAAGGGTTTAAAGTTATAAACTTATTATTATATAAGGGAAAAAATACTAGAAGTTATAAGCTATTACTAAAGTGGTGGTATTTATATAGTGTGGGTCGTGGTGCCTAGTAGGTACCGTGACACGGTGTGTCATTGAGATTTTCAGCTACATGCAGTCTGGGCCGATGCAGGAGTCCCTAGGTACTTTTTTATCTAAACTTAGAAGGCTCCGAGTATGCGCATGTGTGGTAGAGTTACGATGGAGGCATTACACAGGTGCCAATAGAAGCATATGATCATTTAGCTGGAATCAGTGGGAAAGCCAAAGCGTTCACCTGCTTTGATTTGACTTCGTGGCTTAAACACCGCGGTACATAATAGGACATTAATCCTTTAGATCTAAGTGCCTGATTTCCACGACTCCAATCTCGGAATATCATGCCTTGTCGGGATCACTAAGCTAGTTCCCTGCATCAAGTCTGCAAGACAGTCAATGCTGTGACAACCCCAAACGCGGATCAGAGATAACTCACATATTTCTCGCCTTAATCTTCGCACCACGGTTGGCATTAGTATTATAAGCCGGCTCGGTCACGATATAGTTCTCGATGACAGCGGTGCCGTTACGTAGAGCCGCAACCTGCTCTTCTGTACATGTGCTCGGGTCAAGCATATAGCAGAAGTCCTCGTACTGGGGAGGGACTTCACTCTTAATAGCAAAGGTGTCTGCGGGACCCACAGTACCATACGTAGAGTTCAGTGCAGTGTCGATTTCGCCAGTCGAAACGTCGCGGTTGAAGAGAACCCGGTTGAATATACGGTAGGCCGACTCCGGCTGGTATGACGGTGTGGCATGGCCAGCTTGGTACACCCTGATGAACGACAGGTTGCCATATTGCCGAACCTGTCCGCCCTCGTAGGTGCTGTTAGTCACGAGCGGCTGGTAACCCGCCGCAGCGAAGTTTTCCTGGTCATCCCAAGGGATGGCTAGAGATACTTGCTCGCCGCCGATCCAGTTGCACGCAAAATCTCGATCACCGTATATCAGCGAGACCTTGATGTCGTTGTGCAGGAGGTAGGCAATGTCCTCGATCCAACCCGGACGAGGGTAGTCCCCGATTCCACGGAACGCCGAAGACGAGGCGGACGAGCTTCCAGTGAAATTCAGGGGAACGCCGAGAGCAGACTGAACCCACGGCTGGTTGAGATACCCTGGAGTGAACGGCGGAGGGAACAGCGTTGGGTCGACCTGAGTCACGTCGTAGTAATCACGGCCGGCTATCTCCAGGTACGGGTCTCGGACGTTGTTGGTGCAGTATGTTTCTGCATCCTCGCAAATATCATTGACGGTGGCGTTTGTACCGATGTTTTCGGGGTCGTATATGGCAGCGACCTCGCGACAGGCGTCGATCCGGTCACGGCAGCCGCCCTCGCGATAGAATGCGTCTACCATGCCTTCATATACGGTTTCGTTGACTGTCTCTATTCCGTATGTGTTGTTGAAAGCCATCTCAGGATATGAGGGCCATTGGACCCGGCGGTCAATGCAGCCGTTGACAATGAGCAGCGAGTCAAGATTCAAGATGTACTTCTCTCCGTCCGTCCCGTCCCACGTGCCATTCTCGATCTTCTCGTTTTGCTCCTGGAAATAGGCTGCGAATGCCGGCCCATAGCGGCCGCCATAGGACTGGGTAGCAATACTGATGCGGCCATCGTTGGGGTGATAACCGGGGAATTCCTGGAAAAACACCTGGGAGAAATGCCAGAGGGCGATGGCGGCGTTGCGGCTGCCCCAGCTGGTCGAATTGCGATCACCACTTGCCAGAGTCCCCGTCTGGAAGGTAGTATTCTGCTGTGGAATCGGGTCGGAAGCGTTCAGTGTCTGTGTACCGCCAAACAAGTCTCTGGTGACGTTTCGCAGGGAGTCGTATGAAAATCCGACTTGGACAGGTTGATCGATATAGATCATGTTGACTATCATTGATTGTGAGTCAAGATCCGTAGGACTTGTAGAACTGATCGAGTGAGGAGTTACCATTATCATTCCATGACCACTCCCTGAGGGTGGTCGAGTTGGAATCCCTGTTGATATAGCAAGGACCATTTTCGTTGAAGAGACCTGGCATGGAGGAGCTTCCGGGGCCACCGTTCATCCATATTGATAGTGGCGCATTCTCTGGGTCGTTCTTGGCTTCAAAAAACCAAAAGAATGTGTTGATAGCATAGTCTTGCTCCTGGCCTACTCCCTCAAGCGTTCCCGGAGGGAGATGGATATAGCCAGCGTACGACTTTACGCCTTCAGTTGTCTCACAGAGGCCGGGCTTGGCTTGTTAGCTTCACTCGTCTTGAGTTTCCATAAATACTGCGAGTCGTATTGGTAACACACCTCTTTGTAGCTGATCTTGATGTTCTCGTCGAACTTCGAATCCAGTACTGTCACTCCCTCAGGTGTCGGTGGGAATTGAGCGAGTGATGGCTTAATTAGGGCTGTTGCAGTGGCGAGCACCCAGAAAGACGGAGAGCGCAACATTTTGTCCCGAAGCTCACATGCAGAGACCACAATACGAAGGTAGTGAAGTGTTCGTGCGAGGGGAACGAAAGAAGCCTCTCCTGCCATCTCGAGGAGACTTACAACAACGACATTCCCACCCTCTATCTTCAAAACGATAGTCCCCGCTCAAAAACGGTTTGACCTTCCTTCTTCGGCGCTTGGTATACATCATCCACTGGCTGTTCCACTGCCGAATTCACCCCACGCACGCGCTGCAGATGAGTTGCAATGCCAAGTTGTTGGCATCCTGCTTACCCAAAGGCCGAGTCCGGATGCACGCTAGTGCCGAAGTGTCGGAATCGGGAGCCGGAGTAGGCCAAGAAGTCCAAGAGTCGGCAGCAGAGCCGAACCGGCCCTCCTGCTATACTAGCTACGCTATAACAAACGAGCGTGGCAGGATAAATACCTAGTGGCTGTCAGAGAATTGTCGAACCGGGAATAGAATTTCCTGATCCAACTCATGCCACAACACAGTCCTTGTGCAAGATTGTGAGATCAGACAATCCATTGGTCATGGGCCGAGCAGTCGCTCGTGATGGAACAGCACCCTATCAACATTGTTAGGGGCAAGGTCTAATGATAGGTGGAAGGCTGGTAGGGCACGACAAGAGACTCCTGGAATCATTTGCACCAAGGAGTCTTCTAGGCGGACGACATTAGGCCGTGTCTTGTACACTAATAAGGAAGTGCACACGGAGACTGCATACTCCCATCGAATCAATCTACTAGTGGTATCCGCCAACTGCAACAATGCTATTGTTTTTATGACAAGATCTAAGTGCATTCAATGTATATATGTGAATGCGAAGAGCGTATCCTAGGATATGTGATGTGGAAGTGATGTGAGAAGCCAATATTCCCTCCTCTCGGGAATTAGGCTGTAATTACCTACCTAGGTATAGGACCCAGCTCACATGACCCTTCAGCTTTCTTATGAATGGGCTCCAGTCCTCAAAGCAGTGGAAAAACTACTTTAATAACCTTGCTGGGACTCCGAGTCGTCTCAGACTGGAGAATGCTGTGCAATCTACCAGTTGACCGGCTCCGTCATCTCAACTTCATTAATGGAAAGGTAACACACCCGTAGACCTACGCTGCTTAACTAGGTACTAGTGTCATCCTCGTTATTATCACCACAATTGTACCGTTGGTTCCAGTCAACTTAGTTATGGTGTGTCTCGCGTGTCATCCTTGGGTTCGGAGACATTTTCGTGGCACTGGGTTCAGCCCACCCCGACACATTTCACAAAGCTGGCATATCGAGCAAATCGAAAGCAATATACGAGCGCCTTCTGTACAATGTTCCAAGTAGGCGCTATCTTGGCAAGGTCGACTACCTTTGGCACACGAGGCTTCGAGAGTAGCTGGTTGTAGCGGACCCCCTCAGTTTTGCAAGCCGGCCTATCACTCAGACAATTTGCCTTTTGTTCGGCGACTCCAGAGTTGCCGGGAAGCCAATTGCTACCAACAGGGCCGATGATGCATCGGTGATCTTCTCCGGCTTTTACTCAGGACGAACTGCGGTGGTAGAGGGTAAAGAGCCGCACTCGAACACATCACTCGTCGAGCTCGAGATCTCAGGGATCGTAAGACGCTGCAAATAGAAAAAGGTACAGCACACCGTGGAAGTCCCTTTTCCAGACATCTGGCACAGCACTATCCACGTTAGCGTCTTCCTTCTGTGAGACGGCATCGTTGTCGTTTCATAATTCCTCATCCTCGTCCTCAACTCCATCGGCATCGCCGACACTTTTGACCAGACTCTTATCATCAATTGAATGGCTGGCTGTAGAAGTTCAACGGTAGCGTGGCGCTCATCGAATTTGTGCTCGTCGACCGACTGGCCCGAGGTCGCCCGGACACTGTTTTCCTGGGAATAGCGTCGATAAGCTCATCGCATTGAGTTCGAAAAATGGATCCAGGAATGCCGGAAACATGGTGGTGGTGTCCTGATTCGTCTATCCATTTGACTATGACCTTGCTTGGTTCGCTGCTTCTTGGCTACGTGACAGAGATCCTCCCGTACCGTACCTGTCTAGCACTCGATCCACTCCTCGGGCGTTGTGCTAGAGCCCCAAGTATGCTTCGCTCAACCTTGCCGCCTTGTGTAGCTTACTGGCCGTGGGAAATTTCTCTGCTGGGATAGTACGTCATCTTCCGGGCCTTGCTGGTTGGTTTTTCAGCTATAGCGTGGGTATTGCTCCGGGAGATAGGACATCTGGAGGGCACGGCCTTGATGTGATCATCGTAATTGTTGCCCCAATAAAACGCTGGGTCCTGGAGAGTTTACCACCACCGTGTGAAACGACCGTATGCCTTGGAGATGTATACGGATTAAGAACGAAGCCACTGAGACGCGAAGGAATGGTCCCTGAACGAGGATATGCCGGGTAGAAAGAAATCCTCATTGCCCGCATTTGGAAAAGACATTGGAGAATTGCTGAGAGCTTGAAAATTCCCTCAACATTCTGGAAAGATGGTCAGCTGCAGGGCATGTGCACACCTGGGCAGCACGCGGGCATAAGCCGGTCCCCGAAGGTCGCAATATTAATAAGCCTCTAAACCAAGATAAGCACATCAACTTGATGAAGGAGCACGAGTGGCCCGGCTGGTTCGGCAATGCTGCGGTACCCAATAAGTCACTGGTCGTTACCTTCTTCATCGGGCCTAGTAAATGACTGCATTTCCAAAGTAGTATGCATCAATGATGCTGTCATGGAACTGAGGCACATCACAGGAGATCCCAGCAAGAGCGATTGCAACGTATGGTCGCCAAGATATAAACATAATACTTGCTGTTGTGTCTTGCTTCCCCGTGAGACTTGCCAAGGCCTACCCCGAGGAAGGTTCTCTTGGCTCCGGAAGAAAATGTACTTGACCGCACCCTTGTTTCCGGCGCTGCTGCTCGCCGGCGCCGCTGCCATTTCAGGTGCCTTGGCGTTCGAGAACCCACACCGCCATGCTGCCACGCTCAGGAGCCGAGCTCCGAAGCCCGTTGCCAAGCCGGCGGCTCCCATGAGACGTGCTCTGAGCGAGTCCTCGTCGTTTCTCAATGCCAACAGTGAAAGTGAGTTTTGGAACGAGCGACTCGAAATAGGAAGAATCGAGATTAACGCCAATTTCTAGAGTTCGTGGTGAACGGCACAGGTGTACCAGAGGTGAACTTTGACCTCGGCGAATCCTATGCAGGTCGCCTCCCCATCACAGACCCTGCTGCCAATGCCAATGCCTCCGCCAACGAGCTCTTCTTCTGGTTCTTCCCCTCGGCCAACCCGCTCGCCAGCAATGAAATCGTCATTTGGCTCAATGGAGGTCCAGGTTGCAGTTCAATGGACGGGCTCTTTCAAGAGAACGGCCCTTTCCAGTGGCAGAGCGGAACTTATGCCCCTCAACCCAACCCGTTCTCATGGACCAACCTGACCAACATGGTTTGGATTGACCAGCCCATCGGAACGGGACTATCGCTGGCAGCACCCGGCGCGCCTGCGCAGATCAGGGATGAGACGGATGTCGCAAGGACATTTGCTGGGTTTTGGAAAAATTTCATCGAGACGTTTGAAATGCAGGGTTTTGATGTCTACTTCACCGGTGAGCATTTGATCCATCCCTGAGGGCCAATGCCTCGACACCTAACTCCCCACAACAGGCGAATCATACGCAGGCCAATATATCCCCTACATATCCAGTTACTTCCTTGACCAAAATGACACAACATACTACAACGTCAAAGGCATCCAGATCAACGACCCATCCATCGGCTCCGGAGCGGTGCTAGAAAGTGCGCCGGCAGTTCAGTATTTAAACTACTACAACAACATTCTCAACCTCAACGACTCCTTCGTAACCGCCATCAACGAACGCGCCGATGCATGCGGCTACACGGCCTTTATGGAGCTGGCTCTTACCTTCCCACCGGCTGGGAAATTCCCCGCGCCATTGTCGCTTGGTAAAGGGAACTTGAGCCGGGCCGAGTGTGATGTTCTTGATGACATTTATGAGGCTGCACTCTATGTCAATCCGTGCTTCAATTTCTATCACATTACTGGTGAGGTCCCCAAGGAATCATATGCCTCATATTTCACTCTCTGACCATCTCGGACTGATGTATGACACACCTTCAGATTACTGCCCTTTCCTCTGGGACGAGCTCGGCTTTCCCAGCTTGGGTTACGGCCCTAATAACTACTTCAACCGGGTGGGTATTTTCTTCAAGCTGTTTGATTCACATACTCTCTCTCATGCGCGGAAGAGGTGTTGAGACTTGCTGGACTTATTTGAACGAGGCTGATCATTCCTCAGACCGACGTCCAAAAGGCGCTCAATGTCGAACCCCACGTCGACTACGCCATCTGCGGCAACCCAACGCTCGGCCTGGAACACTCCCTCCCCTCATCCTTTACCGTCCTCGCCGGCGTAGTCGAGCGCACAAACAACGTCCTCGTCGGAAACGGCAACCTGGACTTCCTCATCCTCACCAACGGAACCCTCGCGACACTCAACAACATGACCTGGAACGGCGCACAAGGCTTCCAATCAGACCCGTTTGCGGAGAAGTTCTTCGTGCCCTATAACCCTACAATCGGATATGCGTTGGAGGAGACGTTGTATCAGAGTAACATCCCGTCCGTGAGCGTTGGTCTCGTGGCTGGTGGTGGGTATTTTGGTACTACGCATACCGAGCGTGGTCTGACATTTTCGACGGTCGAGTTGGCGTGAGTATTTCCCATTCATTGCATACGTGAATATTTGCTGACGACACCATTAGTGGTCACGAGGTTCCTCAGTACGTTCCTGGTGCGGGCTACAGGCACCTTGAATTCCTCTTGGGCCGCATCTCCAGCCTGAGCGAGATATCAGATTTCACCACTCAGAATGGAAACTACACTGGCACCACGCCGCTGTAAATGTAGGATAGTATAGAGACGCGAAATAGCTGAGCGCAAATCTCCTGCTTTGATGCTCTATGACTTATGCTCATTTGGGCTGTCGAGCTTTGATAAATCACAATCGTATAACCATGCCCAGATGCTTGGAAAATTTAACAATGGTTGTGTATTGCCAGTGAAACACCAAGTACGTGTATCTTATTTTCAAGAACCACTCACTTAACTCTTAGTTATTCCAGCTTGAAAGTTGGGCAGAGAAATAGTAGTGAGTCTGAGGTTAAGTGTGGGGAAATCGGGTGCCCAGATGTGCAGGATGGTACCCAGTAACGGATTGTGCCGGGAGTTTTCTGGTACCGAAAGTTGTACAAATGTCCTACCGAGGACTTCAAAGCCATCTCATTGGCTTGAGAATTTGTTCAACGACAAGGAGAATTCTGAACACACCATGGAAGCATGATACGGGGAGTCGACCTTGTTGGAGCCAAAATAAGCAACTCTACGTTGGCGCCCCGACAAATTTCCGTAAACATCACGGCTGATGTCTCGCCGTCCTGGCAGTCTTGGCCCCTGGGCACCGACCAAAACAGACAGCCTCGTCGCTCCCACGGATCGAGACTCCGAGATAATGAGACTAGGCGCGGTCAGCTGTCACCCAAGCAGATGGCGGGATGTCTCTGAGGTTCAGTATAAAATCGCAACGCGATTCCCGTCCCGATGAAGACTTATTAGACAAGTTGGCTTTCTTTCAAAACCCAGGCGAGAAAACACCAACTCAATCTCTACTCAGACTTCTATACCTTCCCTGTACCATACTATCAACCACAATGAAGGTCCTCATCCCCATGCTCGCCGCCTCCGTGGCAAGCGCCCACACAATCTTCTCCTCCCTCGAAGTGGGCGGCGTGAACCAGGGCCTAGGCCAGGGCGTCCGCGTGCCCTCGTACAACGGCCCAATCGAGGACGTGACGTCCAACTCGATAGCCTGCAACGGGCCCCCCAACCCGACAACCCCGACCTCCAAGGTGATCACCGTCCAGGCCGGGTCCACCGTCACGGCGGTCTGGCGCTACATGCTCAGCACGACGGGCTCGGGCCCCGCGGACGTCATGGACAGCTCGCACAAGGGCCCCACGCTCGCGTACCTCAAGAAGGTGTCGGACGCGACCGCCGACACGGGCGTGGGCGGCGGCTGGTTCAAGATCCAGCAGGACGGCCTGGGCGGCGACGGCGTCTGGGGCACCGAGAAGGTCATCAACGGCCAGGGCAAGCACCAGATCAAGATCCCCGAGTGTATCGCGCCGGGCCAGTACCTGCTCCGCGCCGAGATGATCGCCCTGCACGGCGCTGGCGGCTACCCCGGTGCCCAGTTCTACACCGAATGTGCCCAGATCAACGTTGTGGGTGGGACCGGCTCCAAGACACCGGCGGACACCGTCAGCTTCCCTGGTGCTTACAAGGGAAGCGACCCCGGTGTCACTGTCAACATTGTAAGTGACCCCAGAGCTGTTCTTGTGTGAGAGAGATTGTTAACGAAGCCATAGTACTACCCCCCTCTCACCTCCTACACCATCCCCGGTCCTTCTGTCTTCACTTGCTAGAAGCATCACCAGCGGGAGCTGACGAGAATGGCCATTGTTGGAGGAAGCACATCGAGCAATCGTTATAGATCTCTTTCGCCAACACATGTGTCTAGGATTTGGCTGGGTGGCATAAGACACCTAGCACTGAGCCGGAAATTCCTTGTATCTATTCCTTTTCACCCGTACATAGTCAACACAGCTGCTAGAAGCCACGAAACCGAAGTCTGCGTGACGCCCGGCAGATTTGAATGTGAATTGAGTGAAAGCTGTAGTATTGATCTACTTGGGTGTTGTATTCCGCTTACCCGGCCGTGCAAGTGCGTACCCCAAAGTAGTATGCGCTGGACATGCAGCTTGCCGAGAGGTACCTAGGTAGTCACTTGGCCTGCCGGCCTGGTCAGCTATCAATATTTTCGTGGAAGAGCCATGCACACGAAGCCAGAAGTCCGCTCCGATGTCAATAGCCGGACTTTCCATTTCTTGCCGGAGCGTCTTCCGTCCAGACGCATGCAGAATCTAGATCGTGATGGGAGCAGGCGATGGGCGGTCGAGATTTCACCAGCGGCGTTCGGTTACTGGCCTTGGGGGGGGGGGGGATGATAATGGTAAATTTGGTGCGCTTGTTGAAGTCCGTCATAGGTTGTACATCCAACGGGTATGAGTACCGACGAGGTGGTCACATGTTCCTGGCCAGTCTAGGCACCCCCATGTGACAAAATTCGGATGAGCGTCGCGAGGCTGCGAGAGACGGATGGAGGCAATTATAGACTTTTTGTATTCCTCAGCTCGGCGAACGCCCGGCTACCAAGTCGTCAATCAGGCCATATTCGGGCCCGAATATCCCACCGTCCCTAACGCCAATGTGCTAAATGCAAGCATGCCACGATCCGACAGCGCCCCCCGCCTCTTTCTCGCCCATCGGAGCTCGGGCTCGGGCTCTTCCCCCGCGGTCGTCCACTCGTCGTTCGAACGTCTAGGCGACCTCCTCCCACGACCTCCGGATGATGCGCGCGAACATGTCGACGTTGACGTCCTCCCTGATCTCGGCCTTCTTGGCCTCGTTGTCGGCGTTCTTGGGGATGAGCACGTTGTCGCCCTCGACCTTCCAGCCGCACGTGTCGATGACGTACTTCTGTACGGCGTCCTTGCCCTCCAGGCCGAGCCAGCCCTCCAGAATGTCGATCTGCACTTCCCTAAAGGCCTCGCTGACGATCTGGGCGATGTGGAGGCGGATGGTGTCCTCGAAACCGTCGATGTCGGTGGTCAGGTCGGCGTACAGGTCGTCCGAGTCGAGGGTGGACCAGAAGCGACCAAATGATGCGCCCTGGAGGTGTGCGTTGAGGGCCCGCAGCTTGGTGACGGCCTCGGACAGCTCGGTGCCGGGGGCGAGGGATGAGGGGGCGAGGAGGTGGAGGGCGAGGTTGAACTGTGGTGATGGGAAGGCGGTCATGGCCTTGACGAGGATGTTTGTGATGACCTCATCCTTAATGCGGTCAGGGTTGAGTTGGTAGCTGGTGAGAGGGCACCTTGTGGTTAGCCAACAGTATATCCTGAGTGATATGTGCGTGTATGTCTGAGAGGTAGTCTCAAGTGCGCAAGGTGTAGAGTTGTCAGATATTATTGAAGTTGACTTCATGCGCCGTGGTCGCGTGGACCACAGGACAGTCAGGTAATAGGAAACGTGATTAAATTTGAATCGTCATAATACACAGGCAGCACTGATGTGATGATGATGGAAGGGCGATGGCTGGTGGACGTACAGCTTCAGCAGTACCCTGTTCGAGTTGCCGTCGCAAAACCGCTGCTCGCATTGTTGCTGCAGGTAGTTCTCGAGGGGGCCGACGGCCTCGGGGTTGTACCGCTCCAGACCATTGATGATCTGGTTGATGTCCTGCGGCCTCTCCTGGGGATCCTCGGTGTTGCTCATGGTGGGCAACGGTGTGTGCAAGGTGGCTGGCTGAGATGAGGGTGAGGTATGCGTAGCCCGGGTGAGGTTCGAAAGTCCAGATGTCGTTCAATGTTGTCTGCCTCCTCTCCTTGGGCTGCCCCACCATCAAAGATTGAACGAACCTCTGCGCCTGAGGGTCTGACTCTCTTCTGGTGTGATGCGCTAGTGCCTGACTAGGACTAGCGCCCGGTCGCCGGAAGAAGTCAGCAACCGCTCGGGCCAATTAGCGCGTCAAGACCGACGAGACGCGACCAGAGCCAGTGACATCACCAGTTCCCGAAGTACGTACCTAGGTATCTACACACCTCAGACCGGCCGTAGTTGTAGCACTTCTGTCTCGTAAATGTCCAGTTGCTAAATCAGGGTCACACTCATGGCCCAGCCGGAAAAGAAACTCTTAGCATCGTCCCCCGCCGACTATTCACCGGCTTGCCGTCCTTGGGAAGGCATCTTCTAGAAGGCCAAATACTCCCAGAGCGCTGAACCAATCTTGCTTTATACTTTGCCTGTGGGCCAAGAACATCGGAGCCTTGTCTGGTCGTTCTCATACGATGACGGCCCTAGGAGTAATGCGATAGTCCTCCAGCCTGGTCGATTCGAGGCCGCACCAGTTGACCTTTGCAACCTGCACTGCATGTACCCTGGAACCCGCGATGGCCAGCCCAGCAAAGAAACGCAGGCTGAATACCGACAGCAAACAGCCCGCCAAGGGACTGGAATACTTCTTTGCAAAGCAGAAACAGAATGCCCCAGATCCCGTTCCCGAGAAGCCGGACGAGCCGGTCGCGCCAAATAATGAGCAGGAGCTGACGGACGAAGAGCTCGCCAGGAAGCTTCAGGCCGAGTGGGATGAGGAGGCTGCTCAAGCCGGGCGATCGAATGGGGACCAGGCAACACCAAAGCAAGAGATCGCCGGCGGTGTTGAGCAACAGAAGCCTGAACCCCCTGGAGTAGACACACCCGAGGCCCCTGGGACGCCTAAAACTGCCCCTCCCTCGGCTTTCCAGCAGATGGGAAAGAACACCTTGTCGCTGCAGTCCATGGCAGATGCCGAGGAATCAGTCTCAGCGACGATACCGCTGGACGAGAGTCCACTAACGTTCGAGCCAGCCAAGTATATACCTGACCTGCAAAAAGCGTGGGCCGCGGAAGGTGGGAACGCTTCATATGCCCTACTCACAAGGTGTTTTGTGCTGGTTGGCGGGACGACAAAGCGCATAAAGACGGTCGACACGCTGGTCAACTGTGTCCGGCTTCTCGTCGAGGCAGATCCCGCCAGCCTCTTGCCTGCGGTCTGGCTCGCCACAAACTCAATATCGCCGCCGTACATCTCTCTCGAGCTCGGCCTGGGCGGGTCAGCCATTTCAAAGGCCTTGAAACAGGTCTGTGGCTTGGATGGGAGGGCCCTGAAGACCATTTACGACAAATATGGTGACCCCGGGGACGTGGCATTTGAGGCCAAGAAGAAGCAGAGCTTCACCTTGCGCAAGCCGAAGCCACTGACGATCAAGGGCGTGTATGATTCGTTGGTCAAGATCGCCAATAGCTCCGGCCAGGGCAGCGTTGAGCAGAAGCAGAGGATTGTGGACCGCCTGCTGCAAGACGCGAGAGGTGGCGAGGAGAGCCGGTACATCGTGCGGACGCTGTGTCAACACCTTCGCATCGGTGCGGTCAAGACGACGATGCTGATTGCACTGTCTCGAGCTCTCCTGCTTTCACGGCCGCCGGGTGCTGACTTTCCCATCAGGACCCAGAAAGAGTTAGCGGCAATGAGGAAGGAGGAGCTGACAGAGACGTACGCAAGGGCTGAAGAGATCGTGAAGGCATGCTTCGCCCGTCGGCCCAATTACAATGATCTCGTTCCGGTCATGCTTGAGATTGGTGTGTGCGAGGAGCTGCTCATCCGGTGCGGCCTGACGCTGCACATCCCATTACGACCCATGCTGGGCAGTATCACGAGAGATCTGGCCGAGATGCTGACCAAGCTCGATGGTCGGGAGTTTGCCTGCGAATTCAAGTACGACGGCCAACGAGCCCAGATCCACTGCGATGAGAAGGGCAAGGTTACGATATTCTCGCGCCATCTGGAACTCATGACCGACAAGTATCCCGACCTTGTTGCTCTCATACCAAAGGTCCGCGGCGAAGGTGTAGAGAGTTTCATCATGGAGGGCGAAGTCGTTGCCATCGACCGCCAGAATGGAGACCTCAAGACGTTTCAGACACTATCGAACCGAGCCAGGAAAGACGTGCAGATTGGCAGCGTCACCATCGACGTCTGCATGTATGCTTTCGACCTGATGTATCTCAATGGACAGCCCCTACTCGATCGCCCATTCCGTGAGCGACGAGAACTACTGCGGTCGCTTTTCACGGAAGTCCCGAATCATTTCACGTGGGTCAAAAGCCTCGACGCGACATCCCAGGACGCGGAGGTGGTGTCGGACTTCTTCAAGCAGGCCACAGACATCAAGTGCGAGGGCATCATGGTCAAGATCCTCGACAACCTGCCCGACCTCGCCTACGATGCCGAGGACGCAGGCGAGGCCGGCGCGGAGACCGCCAAGCCGAAACCGCCGCCAACCCCAACCAAGGGCAAGAAGGCGGCAAAGGGCAAGGCAAAGGGTAAATCGGAAGAGCAGGAAGAAGGCACAGAGGGGAGGAAGAAATCCCGGCGCAAGCCCCTCCTCGCGACCTACGAGCCCGACAAGCGCCTCGACTCGTGGCTCAAGGTCAAGAAGGACTACGGCACCACCTTTGACACGCTGGACCTGGTGCCCGTGGCGGGGTGGCACGGGCAGGGCCGCAAGCACAAGTGGTGGTCGCCGATCCTGCTGGCGTGCCGCAACGAGGAGACGGGCAGCCTGGAGGTGGTGACCAAGTGCATCAGCGGGTTCACGGACGCCTTCTACAAGGCCAACAGGGAGTTCTACGACGACGGCGGCGGCGGCGAGGGCGGCTCCGGCGAGCCGAGGAACACGCACGCCCGCCAGCCGGGCTTCGTCGAGTACTCGGGCCCGCGGCCGGACGTGTGGTTCGAGCCGCAGGAGGTGTGGGAGATGGCGTTTGCGGACATCACGCTGAGCCCGGTCTACACGGCGGCGATCGGGCTCGTCAGCGAGGACCGGGGCCTGAGCATGCGGTTCCCGCGGTTCCTGAGGAAGAGGGAGGACAAGGGGATCGAGGAGGCGAGCACGAACGAGTTCCTGGCCAGCCTGTACCGGAAGCAGGGCGAGAAGGCTGTCGCTGCTGCGCCAACTCGGGAACACGCGGGCGGGGACGACGACCCTGATCGGGATGTTGAAGTAGAAGAGGAGTGAATTAATTCAACGCGTAATGCGAGGATATGTGGTGGTGCATTTTGGCGTGTGGTATGTAAGTATGCTATGCTACATGCAGGCTGGATCGCCAACCCAGGGGAAGGAAGCATCAGGTGCCATCTGCAGCCCCGTGACTTGTTCTGTCCCGCCTTTACTCCTTCCAAGCCTTGTACACGATCCGCGCCCCGTACGTCTCCCCCTTCTTGAGCAGCATCTGGTCCTTCCACTCGGGGACGTTGAGCGCGTTGACGTAGCGGCTGGGCTCGACGCAGAAGCCGGCCCGCGGGGCCCTGGCGGGGGTGCCGCCCACGGCGGGGACGTCGATGTACTTGCCGGTGTAGAACTGGAAGGCGGGCTCGGTGCTGTAGACCTCGAGGTGGATGCCGGTGGCCGGGTGGTGGGCGGCGACGAGGCGCGTGAGGGGCCGGCCGCGGGTGTCGAGCGGGACGGACGAGGCGGCGGGGTCGTCGAGCACGAAGCAGTCGTCGACGTCTGGCTCGGATGCGCCCAGGGTGAAGGGCTTCTTGCCCTCGAACTCGGGGAAGGGGGCGGGGGTGGTCGTCGTGGGGATGCCGCCGTCGTCGAGGGGGAGGTACTGGTTTGTTACCAGCTCGACCTGGGTTCCCTCGATGGAGGGGCCGCCGGTGAGGTTGAAGTAGCTGTTCGGGAGGGGTTCACACCAGTCAGTTCAGTTCGCTTGGAGCTGGAGCTGGAGCTGGAGGGTGTTATGTGTTGTGTTGTTGGCAGCAACTTTACTCACGAGTGGTTCGTCATGTTGATGACCGTCTCGTCCGCGCCGTCGACAAGAGTGGCCTCATACTCGATGCCCAGCACGGTGGCGCCCTTGTCGTCCTTGCCGGCCGTGTAAACAACAGACGCATCGACAGCGCCAGGAAAGCCCTCGTCGCCGTCAGGCGAGTGCAGGGTGAACTTCACGCTCTCGCCGCCCTCCTTGAACTTCCCAAAGCCCGGGGCGGCCTCCTCCCTGACGCCCACGGGCTCGGGGCCGTTCCAGAGCTTCTTGCCCCAGCCCTTCTCGCCGCCGTGCAGGTTGTTGGGCCCGTTGTTGGCCTGCAGCTTGTATGACTTCCCCCCGTTGAGCGAGTTGATGGTTGCGCCCGAGACACGGTTGGCTATGCGGCCGATGGTGGCGCCAAAGTGGGAGCTGTTGTGGGACTCGTAGTCGGACTGCGACGTGAAGCCCTGCACGATGTTGATGCCGCCGACGTGCAGGGACTGGATGATGGCGCCGAGGGGCAGGAAGGAGATGTCGTCGTTGGCCATGGCTGCAAGGTGGTGGTCGGGGGTAGTCTGCTCGTTGCGTGGGTCGACTGGTGTCTGAAGGTCTCGGATGACGAGCACGAGGGGCACAGCTGAGAGAGCTAGAGCTGAGGTGGTGTTGTCGTATTATTATTTATGCACAAGTGCAAGTGCGACGGGGCAGCTCGTCAGCTCGTACGGCGCGGTTCATCGTGATTGGAGCGCAAGGGCCCGTTGTGGAATATCATCCGCTCGCCATGGAGGCGCCATAATTCAGGCTATTATGTTGGTGGTTGGCTCGATTGAGTGATTTCATGCTGTTCCCGGCTTGGTCCCGCGCAAGCTTGCAAGCTCCATCTTCTCGGCCGGTGACGACTGGCGAGCCTCAGTAGCACGACGTGGTGGGGCTGGTGGGGTGACGGGGGTGACGGGGGCGCGGGGTAAATCGAGCCGTGCTGCCGTCGCCTGTCGCCTGTCACTTCCATTTCTGCCAGCCTTTTTTTCCGACTGCACACTCAATTTCAAATCACTTCTCATCTCCTGCAATTGACCAAATTCCATATGCCAGATCTCAAGCCATACGTCATCGGCTGTACTACAGCACCCTTTTTTACAACTAACGAGAGTCCTATCCAACTCCCTCAGAGCACCTGAGTGGACCCCCGATTCCTCTCCCGTAGAGAGGCCCACCTTTCACCTCTAAGAAAGTCCCACGACGCGTGATGGAGGGGACCATGGGGACCTCGGGAGCTTTGATTTTACGTACCGTGACACCTTGAAGGCTTGTATCTCTTCCTTCCCTTCCGCCAGTGAGTCACCAGGCAAATTCCAGTAAAATGCACCCATCAGACCAATTGTCATAGGCAGAAGTCAGGCGATGCTGGGAGTGATACCTCAGCCCCGGTGCACCAAAGGCTTCCGTGCCGCCTCTTCTCTCTGGGACGCGGTCGTGTCTGCTTGAGCTCGTGAGCTGTTTGAACCAGATGGGAATTTCTGGCTTGGTGTCGCCGTGCCGGCCCAAATACGAGAACTGGATAAACACCCGGTGTCCCCTGCCATCGCACCGCATGGGCTGGCCGAGGTGCACTTTGCTCCAGAGCGGTTCCGGCCATCGAAGGGGTCATGAATCCAACTGAGAGCTTATCAGATGTCAGCAAGCCCTGCCAATTGTTTCCAAACCCACCGGACTTCTACCTCGGCGTCAGATGGTGGAAGCATAGCTGGGGCAGGATGCATGCGAGATTTCCAGTAATCCAGCAGGTCACCGTCATATTTTTCGTGCTATTCGTAAGTTGCAAGGAGTCGGGTGAGTTGTTTATCTGTAGTACCACTGGAAAGGGTTTTGAACGTCCGTCTCAACTTCCTTGCGGAATCTAGCGCGGCTTGGAATGGGAGCGAGGCACTTGACAGCCAAAGAATCCAGACCAAGATCCCAGTCTCTCGCCCAGTCGGAGTGTGAAGGACTGCACGTCACTTTGAACACCGAGATGAACCCACACCTGGTCCGATGCTGGGGAATTGGACTCTCTATGAATGGCCGGGATGATCCACGAAGGGAACTGGAAGTGAGGTGGCCCTGTTCCAACACTGAATGTTACCTGGAACAGGCTGAGACCCTAGGGTAGTATTGTAAAGTAAACACGAGTATAGGTATAAAGATGTTAAAGACTTTCTATGTGAGCTATGGGGTGGAGAGTCTGACGGCTGAGTACTAGAGAGGAAGAGTACAGTCTGTCCGAAGCCTCGGTATATCTGAACTTCTCAAGCTTGCAGTGCGCCCAGGTGGCAGTGCTGCAGTCTCACCAATCTCCATATTCCATCAGCCCTGGCTGGTGCGGTAGATCATAGCCAAGTCGGAATGCCGATTGGAGTCGACCACCTGGGCATGGTCAAGTCGGCTAGTGTCTACGTGAGCGGCTGACTGGGTACGACATTATGAAACAAATCAATATGGCAATGCTCCAGGACTGGTGGGAAATAGCCAGATCCCTCAACGCGTTTTAATTCTACCTGCATACCCAGTAACGAATACCAACGTAGATTACAACATGCAGTTATACAGTATGCTCTAGGCTGAAGATGCTCCGCCCTGGGTGTTGCGGACTTCGTGGATGTCATCCCTGCGCCCATGAATACTCTGGAGCTGTCCGAGGTGGGTCAGGGCTGGTCGCGGAACTGACCTCGAAAGTCCTACAAAGGCTTCAAACTACAACTGAGAACCAGCTTCGCCTCTTCTCCAGCAAGTTGAAGTCTACGCACATCACCACTAGGTTTGAAGGCCGTCTTTTGCCATTGCCAATAAAATTTCTTTGCTGCTAATGGGTAACAGCTCACATATGTTCAATACGAAGTTACGCAAAACAACTGCACGATTATCTCTGACGTTCAAACATGGATGCATATGTGTTCTAAGTCCCGAGGTCATGGGTCCGGCCCAGACAGTGAGGGTCACCTGTCCATGTGATCTCGAGTTCCAAGGTTGCTGACACAAGCATGCGTATTCTGTCAAGAAAGTATTGCGATTTACATTGCATATGCAGTAAGCATAAACGTGTGGGTGGGTGAAAGTGACCCACAAGGAGACTACCAAGTCCCAGGTAAATTGACTCCATCTGCGTGTGGACCGCCGAAGAAGCCCACGTGTTCCAGGGACCACTTCCTTACCTGGGTATTCGACCTGTCCTTACCTAGGTACCCTTAGTCAAGCGGCAAGCAATGGGGCCAAACCCCGGTCCTGCGACACAGGCAGATGGGTTGAGCTCGGCATTGTATCATCTCCTGACGGCCCTGATTCTGCCCAGGAGGGCGACGAGTCGGGGAAATACGCCTGCTCAAACCACGGGCCGATGTGGAGCTGCCGCAACAAAGACCAAGGATCCTTGTAATACCAACAATATAAGGGGAGTCTTGAATATAATTGTTCTTATAAGATCCATTCGACTCCGGCAAAAGCGTTAGGTATCTACCACTACCACTTCGTTCTTGACCGTCTCATCCAGTCGTCACTTCACTCCCATCAAACGATCCCACCCGCAGCCATCCCAAAAATGCAGTTCCCAACTCTTGCCCTTCTCGCCAGCATCATGGCCGCCGCCGCCTCCGCCCAGGAGTGCAGCCACGAGGTCGCCAACTACGTCTCCGTGTGCACCCAGGGCGACAACCTGTTCTGTTCCGGCAACACCAACGTCTGCGCCAGCGGCAAGACGGACAGCTTTGACGAGGCTGCGACCAAGGCGAATGAGGAGGCCTGCGTGGGCCTCAGCGCTGGTGAGGGCTGCACACAGACCGTCGCCTGTTGTTAAGCGATGGACATCTTGTGCGTAATGGACTGCATTGCTTGTTGATACTGCTGGAAAATTGGAATCCTAACGACGTCAAGGAGAGCTACACTTTTTGGTCTTTGGAATACACTTGGGCACTTGCCATTTAAGACCGAACGCTGTTTCCGGATGGAAAGCTGTGCTGGCAAAGGACTCTGTTTGTATATAGTACTATAAAGTACCAGAGAATGCCAAATGCTCACATGCATCTCCTGCCCAGCCTTATTGTGACCTCAAACCGTATCTCAACATGTGCCACCTTGTCCAATCATAAGGATATCAACTAGTCAAATGCACATTCCGATACGCTTAAAATATTGGTATACGTCAATTTTCTTGGTGACCTTGGGACCTTTTTTTTCGACGCGCTCCTGCTGCAGATGAAGGTTGTTTTATGTGGCCGGAGTACAAGTGTGTGGAAGCCGTTGAAAAATATTACAATAAACTTTGCACATGGCATTGGAGAAAGTATTTCATCGGTCGATTGTTATATTCAGAAGCTACCTCGATAGATAATGAATCTGGTCCTGAGGGAGATACTCGATGATACTTTGCCTAGTTCATGGTAGATGCATGCTCTTTTTGCCTCTGCCAGTTTGCCTTGGTTGGGGTGGCTTTATGCCCACGCCTTTCCAAGATTGTGTCGTGGCTTTGACCGTGAATCTTCCGGAATATACCTCGTTGTTATAACACAGATGAGCTAGACACACACATACATTGAAGTCCATGGACATGTTCAACATGACCGACTCTGTCCATCACTTTGCCTCCCAAGGAAATAACGGACATAGAAATGAAATGCTTAGAAATATCTGCATGTAGTAATGAGTCTTCCTTGTTGCCCGTGAAGAAGTCTTCCTTGATGGGGTTCCAATACTTTGTCTGATGTGCAGGAAGATTCGTAGGACATATTGCTAGGGGTGCCTGTGGATTGAAGATAAGACATGTGCCAGACGGAGATGATTACTCAGAGAGTGTGTCTGGTGAGAGACAGAGTGAATGACCAGGGAGACTGTGCTCTAGCTCTCTTTGCCCCACTGCCACCCCCGGGGGTATACGAACATGAGGTTAATGAGCTTTCCACGATCCTTAGGTCGATATCTCGCACCTTGCACCTCACATAGCCTTTTTTTACCTTGTTCACCAGGTCACAATGGCTGGATCACGTGCTCCACGCCTGAGGAGGCAGAGGTACCAGCAGGGGCAGCAGGCCCACAAGGACCAGCTCAAGGAGAGCACCACCTACTCGGACCTGCTGGCAACAACAATTCCTGCCAACAGCTCCCAGAGCGCAGCCAAGGTCGCCCGAACCCTTGGAATCGTTCAGGACGGTAAGAAGAATCGTTCCCCATTGTCGAGAATCGTCGCTCACCCACCCTCATAAACAGTCTCGTACCCTGCGTCCAGCCCAGCGTTGCCACAGCAAAGTGAAGGCGACAACGCCGCCCAACGCGTGTCGAAACTTGAGGGCAAGCATCTGGTCACACCTATATCTTGCAGCCTTAAAAATTGACGTCTGACCTTACCTCAGACACAGCACTGTACCACGAGGCCATCAAGCCAAACACGACCCAACCAGCAACCAAGATGGCGGAACTGAGCAAGGAGGTCGAGGCCGACAGCCAGGGTACGCTTCGAATTACACCGTCGCTCATAGTTCCTGACTGACCAGCAGCCTGCAGGTACTCAGCAGCCCGAGGCCAACGACGACAAGGCGATCGCCGACAAGATGGTCGACGACCACAACGACACCGATGACGAGACCGATGATGACAATACCAGTGACAACAAGATGCCTGGTAAGCCCTCTCATCGCATCGCATCTCTCAGCCACTTCCCACAGAATCACTAACAGCAAGCGCTCAGTCGTCACCTCCGTCCCAGCCAGCCAGAACCGCAATTGCGGCGTAACCATCTGGAACTTGCCAAAGAACACCACCGAGCCCATGATAATCGAGGCCATCACAGCCCACAGCCCCATCGGCAAGGTCTACGCCTGCGATGTCTACGTCATCCCAGGCCCCAACAACGTCCCGCCCGCCATGGCCGTCGCCAGCGTGCGCTTCATGGGCGCCGAGTCGGCCACGCGCCTCGTCCTGATCGGCAACGACCCCGACCCCGAGAAGGGCATCTTCGTCAAGGGCCAGCGGGCCAAGATCAGGCTCGCCTGCCACCACCAGCCCGCGTACCTCTCCGAGCCGGCCAGCCGCGTCGTCATCTTCCGCGGGCCGAGGGCCATCGTCAACCCCGTGGCGCTCCGCAAGCTCTGGGGCACCATGGAGCAGACCGAGAAGCTGATCATCGGGAAGGTGGAGAAGGGCATCTGTGAGATTGAGTGGCGGTTCTGCGCTTATGCCTACAACGCAGAGCCCGCCTTTCATATTTTCCAAGACCTCTACGGGGAGCGTGAGGACTGTTCGGTGCGGTATGGGGTTGATCCATGTGCCTAGGTGGAGGCGTCAGCATAGAGCAAAAGAGTCAATTTTCACTTATTGAGATGAATTTGAGATGAAGAGATTCAAACACCAGAGCCCGGGTAGTGAATAAATCCTCATGAAAGCGCCAACAACCAACTGATGCTACTTGTGGCCACCAACATGTACCTGGGTCGAATCGGGCTTCTATCCTGTAAGTGAGCAGCTTGCTGGAATGGTTGGATCACTGCTCTAGTGAGGTCGTTCTTGTCGACGTCGGCAGCGGCCTGGGCCACAGCCTCCAGGAGCTCAAGGCAAAGCACCCCTCCCTCCCGGGCACGTTTATGCTCCAGGACCGGGTCGAGGTGATCAACACAGTGACCAGCGATTAATACGACTTCAAGGCCACAGCTCATTACGTTTTCACCGCGCAGCCGGTGACGGGCGCTTGCGCGTACTACCTGCACTCGCTATTCCACGACTGGGGCGATGACGACTACGTCAAGATCCTCGAGCAGCTGGAGCTAAGCATTATCCAGGCTGTTTTAACCTACTGTGTGCGGCACGCTGAGGCTGAGGCCACGTGCCTATAGAGGTATTGCATTCTTTTTGAACTGTTATTGGTATTGGATTTCTTTTCTTTTTTTGTAAACGCTGGGTCTTGAGTGTTTACTATTGTATGAGGGTGCCACCTGTAATTTATATGTATGGGGATTAGAAATGAAATACTTGGAGTAGTATTTCTGCTAGTGATGTTGCCTGGATCTAGTATGCCAGTTCATTCCTCTAGTTATGACACCCTGCCAGGTAGAGACCATTGATGCCACCGTAGCAAAGTCATCCATCAACGATGTGCCTTCTAATTAGGAGCTAACTTTACATCTGCATCGACGTCTAAGTTGATGGTTCCAGTGTCAGGATTGTACACAATTTCGAACTTGTCGCCCCTACGTGCTGTGACAACATAGCCCATATCGGAGAGGCGGTGGATAGCCTTGTGGCCGTTCCCCTTTCGAAGTCTGCAAGAGAGATTCAATCAGCACATTGTAATGCAAATAGGGTGTTCTTCCTGATTGCAAGAAGGTAAATTGAGCAGTGAATCAAGTGGCGGACATTACTTACTGCTCCTTAACAGCCTCTCCAGCCTTGGTAAACAGTCTGCCATCCCCCTTCCCCAGCTTGGACAAAATCAGATACACAATCCCCGGAAGTTCGCTCTCGTCCTTGATAAAGTCAGTACCATCCAGCTGCAACACCAATTCTTCACAGGCATCACGCACTGCACGCAGCATACCCCAGGCCGACCGCTGGCCGACCGCTGCAGTGTCAGGTATGGGAATACCTGTGTTAGCGTCTCTGTGTGTAGAGCAATGACCAATGACTCGATGAGTTTTTCGGGTGTCATTTGGGGTCCGTTTGCCTTGGACGCGCGGTTTTGCTTGCTGTGCCGCCCTTGATTTTGAAAGTATATGCTCCGTGAGATGATGCCCTCGACATCCTGGGTCGTCCAGTCAAACTGGCCCTTCTTCTCGACGTACCGGTCGACGAGCATGTCCATGACTGGCGTAAGGTCCGTCTTGATGAGTCGGACCCCCTTCTTTGACTTCACATGTCGAGAAGTGTGCTTCCGGCTCTTGCAAGTGCTCAAAGCAGCCACCGACATGCCCGTCTGGAGAAGTAGATTCTTCATATACTCTTTGTGCTGTCTGGGACGGGCACCGACGAAGAAGCTTTCTTCTCCCACGAGTCTGCACAATAGCTCCATGTCTTGCCAGCATCCCGACGGTGCCTCTTGCGTGGACAGGAGATTTTCCTGCCTTAGGGCATTGTATAGTTGCATCGGGTTCAGAAGCCCCGCATTCAGGTTGGCCAAGTTCAAGCCCGTCTTGTATATCTGTTGCTTCATCCGAAATAGGAAGAGACCAGAGACGACGGGGGAATATTTCAAAATTGCCAAGTTAGACCGCGGGCAAGGAGGTAGGCCTTCTCTCGCGCTCAACTCGACTTTGAAACGGTGTATCGGATCGCTTTGAACGAACTGCAACACGGAATATTAGCGCTCAAATCTTTTAAATGACTGTACTACAATATTCTTGTTCGTCACGCACCTTGATCTCCGCGCGGTACGCCATGAGTGACTCGTGCTGGAGATAGCCGAAACCCTTGGTGTAGCCCTCTCTGATAAAGTCGAGGTGAAGTTGGAGGTCGTTGTCCATCTAGTCCAGTTGGCACATCCAGTCCTTGTGCGCTGAGAAGACCGTGTCACGTAAGTGGTCGTGGATGTCAAGGAACACCTGAGCCGCGAAGACCAGACTCATACTAGTAGAGACCTCACCGCTTCGTTGGCGCTCTCGCATGCCGCGAACGAACTCGTCGTCCACAAGCAAGTCCGGAAATTTGGCGAACATGATTCTCAACTCGCAAGACATCTCCCACATCACCATACAGTCGTTCCTGAACTTCTCATAATTGGAAATGCTTGCCCACTCCGCCGACTGGTCATATGTGTCGAACTGACGGTCTCTGAGCACAACGATTTCGTCAGGCTTAATTCGCTTGTGGTTCTCGAGGATGAAGATAGAGACCATGCATGTCTGGTCAGCCAAGGCGTAGGTTTCACAGATGAGATCAGTTTTGTCGCGGCTCAGGCAGGGTCCCTGCATACGCTCAGTTAACATTCATGCCCACCTGAGCAGGGGAAGTGAGATACTCTTGGTCACAACGGTAGACTTACACTGAACCCTAAATCCAGACACTTGTCAAGATCAAATTGCTTTGCGATCTCGATCAGCCCTCCATGCGGCTTGAAAATCGGCGACATCTCCTCTATCAGATTGCGAGCAAGGTCGCAGGCGGTGTTGGTCGCGATTGCGGCAGTTGCCAAGTCGACCCTGTGTACTGTATTCTCAGCGAGCTTGCTGTAGTCCTCCTTGTACTTGATCAAGATCGATGCAATCCGTATCCGGATTTGATTGAGATCTTTGAGAAGAAGATCGTAAGCGAACATGATCTCTGCCAGCTCTTGCTGCGGCTCAGCCTTGTAAGTGGCTTTGTCATTCTCGGCTGGCGTGGGTCGTTCGATATCCGGGGCGTTTAGGAATGCCTCAGAAGGGTCCTCAACACTCAGACCTGCGAATTTCCCTCCTACCTCTCCCACGGGGTCTGTCGAAGAGGAAAAAATTGGTGGATTCGGAGTAGAAGGCCGAACGCGGGGCTTCAGCACCTCGTGGACCTCTTCAAGAATACCCACAAAGTACGCGTGGCTCGAATCGTTGGAGGCATCAGTGTGGTCGCGGATCTTAGCCAACTTCTTGCTGAATCCGGATCGCATGGCGATGACTCGATTCAAAGTGTTGGTAAAGGACCGCGGTACCGAGATGGCTGGCTTCTTACACCCTGCTATGAATTTGGCCAATGGGACGAAGTCATTGATTGTTATTACATATTCTGGACCGGAAGACTCAGCGGAAGAGACATGAGCCTGTTGAAAGGCAGCTTTCGCATCTTTTCTCGCCTTTCCCTTGAGTCGTTTGGAAGTTTGAGAGCCAGCGGTGGTGGTGGTGATGGTGTAGGACGGGGTAGCCTTGGGGGCGCCGTAGCCTCGAGACTTGGCTGTGGAAGCCAGCCAGGCAGCTAATGCGTTTGTGTCTTCCTTGTATTGATGATAAACGCTCACGAGCGACGGAGGGAGCATCTTTGCAATAGGTGGGCAGCGGTGAGCCCCAGAGTAGATGACCGGTCGGGTTCAGTGTGGACGATTGTTGTGATGAGGGTGGTCGGGTGAACGATGCCGTGGCAGGATCTCGTGTTGGGAAAGGCGATGGGTTCCAAAGGCCTTCCAGCTCGGGCCTCCAGGTGTTTAGCAGGGTCAGACGCGCAGATACACAAAGTGCCAGTGAAGGTAGCAAGGACTGAATCAACACTGGGATAACGTAGGGTGTCGGGTGTTGGGTGTTGCAAGTAAATCGATCGACAACAGATCCCAAGTTCAAACGCTGCAACTGTACCAAATAAACAAGATGTCTTGTTCATAATGTAACTGCTCGGAAATACCACGACTTATTCACTTCATCTAAATCTATATGGTGCACATTATCGGGCAGGCTTATGCCATACTGCGCAAATTGGACGACCTGAAGTGCTGATGGATAGGGGACGTCCAACATCTCTTCAAGTAGACCACGTCTCTCCGCCTGGCATACTTGGAAATCTTCTACCAAGACTTAGAAGTGTATTGGAAGCCCTTAACAGCCAAGGAGTGCGCAGAAGCTTCATATTGGCTACCTAGGCTCATAGGTAGATATAATAACAATAACGGTGACAGAGTTCTTTTCCTTCTTGGTCCTCTCTATACTATCACCTCCTGGTTTACACGCACGCTACTCTTCTTCAAAGAGTACATGGCCTGCAGTTGAATGTATCTCATGAGCATGTTTAGGAATGGTCTCTCGTTTATGTGGTTTCGCTTCTATTCCGTATACGTCCGAGGACATACATGGCGCCTTCATACGGTGGTAAGCACTCAGTCTCTCGTTTATAGCTGTGGATCTGATCAAATCATGTAGTCTGACTGGGCAGGAGGCGTGTTCCGGGTCACGCTGTAAGTTGCAGTTATCTATTTAAGTAGGTAAGTACAGATAGCCACCCTACAGAATGATATGGAGCAACACCACGCAAGGTGACTCTGATCAGACAAACATGTGGTGAATAGATTGCTTGGACGTTCAAACCGCTTGCATAGCAAATTGTTCCATGGGAATCATCAGGCCTTGGGTAAGAGACGACTTTTGATGGGCTCTTTGGGCTCATTCATGACCAGGATGCATCCTTCAACTTGCCAAATTTAGTAGAACATCGAAAAATCGTATCCTTCTCAGCATGAAAAGTGGCAAAGCTTCTTCACTGAGACCGTAGATGTCAGCAACAGCGCCAAGTACCTAGGTATGTGTGTGGCTGTGGCCCCACTACCCAGGACTGGATTAACCGTATCAATCACTTCTTCCGTGCTGACACCGGATAAGGGAAGGAGTCTACCGGTTATTGCAATCAAGAATATGTTCAATGCAACCACGGAATGCGAGCTGGCGCTAGAGAGTAGTGTGTGGAGAGCAATTGTGCCATCACCATCGAACCATGCTGTCTACCCTCCCATGTTCATCTGCATCTGCCACCCCGCATGGATGCCACAGTCTTCTCTACTGAACAAATCGGCGTTATATTTTTGCACTCAGAGGTATGTGCGATATACTGTGAGAATATAATGATAGCCTTTTGACTTACGGCCTCAATCTCACCATGCATTTGCCATCTCAACTTGTCCTCTTGTCCTTGGCAGGGCTCACCACAGCCCAGCATCATCTCTTTTCCTCTGCGTTTGGGTACCCTGGCCGTAATGCGAGCTTCGACTATGTCGTCATCGGGGGAGGCACATCAGGGCTGACGCTCGCATCTCGCCTTGCCGCAACCTCGGCCTCAGTGGCTGTGATCGAGGCCGGCGGTTTCTACGAGGTTGAGAACGGCAACAACAGTGTTGTTCCACTTTACTCCCTGACCGGCATTGCCTTCATCGACCCATCGCCAGACTTCACCCCGCAGCCGATCATGGACTGGTCTCTCGTCTCGGAACCGATCCCCGGCGCAGACGGTCGCCAGATTCATTATGCCCAGGCCAAAACGCTCGGGGGCTCCTCGTCTATCAACACCATGTCCTATATACGCCCCACAAAGGGCTCCTACGAGCTCTGGGCCGACACCGTCGGAGACGATTCGTTCCGATGGGATAACATGTTGCAATACTTCAAGCGCTCCGTTGAGTTGACGCCACCGAACGAGGGAAAGCGCAACAACACGAACGCCACGGTGGTCTTCGATCCAAACGACTATGACGAGGAGGGCGGCCCGCTGCAGGTATCTTGGAATAACTGGGTTGACCCGACGACCACTTGGCTCGCCCGTGTCATCCTAAGTCTTGGCCTGACCATCAGTCCCAAAGGTTTCAGCAGTGGCGAGCTCGTTGGTCATGGCGCATGGGTGCCGTCCACCATCGAGCCGGAAAAGTCACAGCGGTCAACAAGTGAGAGCAGCTTTTTGAGACAAGCCATCAGAGACACAGGGATTATGGTCTACACGCATACTCTAGCGACCAAGATCTTGTTCAACGGCACACAGGCGGTGGGCGTAAGCGTCAACACGCAAGGTGTAGAGTACACGCTCTCGGCTAATAAGGAAGTCGTGCTCACAGCCGGCACGTTCCACACGCCACAGCTGCTACAAATCTCTGGGATCGGTGCCCGCGAGCAGCTGGAAGCCCTAAACATCCCAGTCGTCGCCGACATCCCAGGCGTGGGACAAAACCTCCAGGATCCAATCCTGATGTCCGTCCAATATCCGATCAGCACGCCCTCGGCCCAGTCACTGACCCTCGATCCGACGCTCAACCCCGGCTTCGTTAACGAGTATGTCAAATCCGGGACCGGTCCATACAGCTCAGCAGCAGGCTTCCTAGCCCACGAGCGCCTCCCCAACTCAACCCTAGCCACCCTCAGCGAGGCAACCCGCGAGAAGCTCGCCTCTGTGCCGAGCGACTGGCCTCAGCTCTCTTTCGTCGCTGGGGCATGGTCAGAGGGCCCAGGTCAGACGCGCGGCAGCCTCGCGGCGTACCTCCCGCACGTTTTCTCCCGCGGAAACGTCACCATCGCTTCAGCCTCCGTCAACGACCCACCGCGCATCAACCTCAACTGGCTCTCCGATCCGGCCGACATGGAGCTAGCCGTCGCGGGCGTCAAGCGCCTGCGCGACGCGTGGGGCTCGCCCTTCGCCAACACCCCGGGCTTCAAGACCGGGCCAGAGGCGGCGCCCGGCGGGGACGTACAGACCGATGAGGAGATCCGGGTGTGGGTTCGGGCCAATGCGGGACAGATCTGGCACCCTGTTTCGACTGCGGCTATGGGCAGGGAGGAGGATGTCGCGTCAGGGAGGGCTGTGGTTGACAGCCACGGGCGTGTGTTTGGTGTTCAGGGGCTCAGGGTTGCTGACGCAAGTTGCTTTCCCTTTGCTTTGCCTGGGCATCCTCAAGCGGCCGTGTATGCCCTGGCGGAGAAGATTGCGGATGATATTATTACGGGGCGTTGAAACTATGTTCTTTGCGTCACAAGCTTTCCCAGGCCTGTTCTATCAGTAGTATGTGGTTTCACTTCTATTCCGTATATATTTAAGGACATATATAGCACCTTTATATAGTAATAAGCACTCAAGACCCAGCGCTTAAAAAGAACATAATACTAATAATAATAGTTATAATATAATAGGTACTTATAACCTTAACCTTACGACGTATAGACAAGGCTAAGGGGCATTATCTTAATAACGGCGTTAATTATAGATAGAAGTAGCCTACGGTCTAGTTTGCTATAGCGCGCTATAAAGGAGTTATATAGCGAAACTAGGTTTGAAAATAGTTACTATATAAATAAATTACACTAAGAGAAGCCTAGCTAAAAATCATTCCTCTAAATATATATATATATATATATATATATATATACCTTATAATAAAACCCTTATTAGGTAAGCCTATAAAGTCTAATACTATAGCCTCTATTTAAGTATATAATTAACTTTAAAAAAACTTAAAATAAAGAAACAATTTATAATATACTACCTTTAAGACTTTTATAATAAAGTATTAAAACTTCTAAAAAGAGTTCTAAAAGTAATTTATAAAAAGATAAAGGAAGGGTATAATAAGCTTATCCTTCTTTAAGTCTATACTCTTATTATTAATAATTATTAACTCTTTAATAGTATAAAAAAGTATAATAGAAATAAAGGAAAGAGTGGATTTAAAGTTCCTCTTTAAGAGAACTATAAGGATATATATAAAGCTATTAAAGACTTTATATATAAGCTCTGGACTGGGGAAGAAATGAGTGGCGGAATTAAAAGATAGTTATATAGTGTAAAGGAAAAATACAGTGTGGCCGAAGCCTATCAGTAGTATCTTTGCACCTATGGCAGAACAATCTCGAGCTACACTCGGTTTGGAGGGTTCCAAGATTGCTCTCGGAAACTGCGCAAGAGGTTGCGATAAAGACTGACCTCCGACGTTCCGTTGGAAGGTTGCACATGTGTGTGTGTGTGGTTTCGCTTCTATTCCGTATACGTCCGAGGACATACATGGCGCCTTCATACGGTGGTAAGCACTCTAGACCCAGCGCTTAGAAAGAATACGATGTCGATAACAGTAGTTACAATACGATAGGTGCATGTGTGACCCCACCTCATGCAGGTGAGATCCCCTCAACTGCTTACAGTCACGTCAGACTTCCCGGGGTCTCCCTCAGCCGGTCCACTTCACCGGGCCGTGCTGCCTCCTATTAACGTCGCCTTGACAATACTGCATTTTGGAGTGGAACCATCATGACAAGCTGGCATGACAGAGACTGCAGGCGACCAGATGTCTTGCTCATGGACAATGTGCCCACATGCCTCAGCTGTGGCGCACTCTTTCTCCAAACTGATGAGACTCAGGGAGAACTGAGCAAGCAGACTGTGGTGGCTGGAAAGGGCTCCCGCCGACTCAACCTCGATTGGCCGTCTTCGATCACCTTCTATCATCCAGATGATATCGCAGATCCAGATCTCAGAGCAACTTTGCTAGCTCTGAACCGACACGTTGAAACCGATGACACAGACACAGCTCTCACTTCGACGGAAGAGCACGCTCGGGTAGCAACACCGATGGTGCATAGCGCAAAACTTGGCGATTCACAGGGCATAAAAGAGTTTCCTGCAGAGATCCTGGCTACCGAAGACAATGACTTTCAACCATCCGCTACTAGTAAGAACTCGAAAAGAGGCCAGAACTTCGAGAATGGCGAGCTGTGCAACGCGAGTCGAAACGCTGTTTACCAGGCATTAATGGGCAGTGATGAAATCCGCCTCCTACATCTGGATCCTCAGGAAAATGCATCCGAGCCGCTTCATGGACACTTGAGGCCCGCGAGGCTGTCAATACGTCCGGACTACATCGCATTGTCTTATACTTGGGCAGATACTAAGGGAGACCGGACCCTGCGCGACAGAATCTTCCTCGGAAATGCCTGGACACCTTTCGCGATCACGAGGAACTGCGCAGCGGCGCTACGTCGGCTGCGGCTGAGAGGCGGAATATGCGCTGTGTGGGTGGACGCCATCTGCATCGACCAGAACAATATTGGTGAAAGGTCTCATCAAGTTTCTATGATGCGAGACATATATTCAAAGGCCGAGTCAGTGACAATATTCCTGGGAGGAGGGACCGACGACGGCGTCGACGACACTCCCGCCCGTCGATTATGGCAGAGACTGTCCGAAGATCGGTTCCATGCGGGGAAGGAAGTGACATCTGGCTGGGGTGGTCAGTTTGATACTCAAGAGATTCGTGACCTTTTTAACCAGCCATACTGGTCTCGGATCTGGGTGATCCAGGAGGTCTTGCTGGCGAGACAAGCTGAGCTTGTCTTGGGGCACGCAAGTGTTTCTTTGATTGAGTTCGTGAGCAACTTCTTGGGCCGAGTGTCTAGAGCCGTCGAGGATCTGGTCCCCCCGTGGGTACATTTATCAGGTGCTTCCCTTTTTGGAGACGTGGATTCTTTTCTCGGCCTCTTGCACAAGACTTCAACGTGTAAAGCCTCGGACGACAGGGACATGGTCTTTGCCCTCCTAGGACTCGTGCAAGGAGCGGACCTGGAGGGTTTGGTTGCTGACTACTCCAAGACAAACGCAGAGATCTATATTGGTCTCACCGCGTACTTCTTGATACGCCACGGGCATGTGGGATTGATTGAAGCTGCTGCGTTCGCAGCTGGGCGTAAAGCTCAGAACAAGCCCCTTGAGAACCCTGGTGATTCTGAAGGAGATGGAGACTTGCCATCCTGGGTCTCATTTGAAACCTTCCGATGTTCACCTGAAAACTGGTCCAAGAACGCCGAGATCTTCCGGTTTAACAAGGTAGGCCACCAATCCATGCGAGACTGGCTGGGCAGGTTGCTGCCTGTGCACGGCGCTTCAGACTGGTATGTCAAGACCAGATTATGGCCGATAAGTTGTCATTCACCAGCGACACAGCTTTCATCACCTACTACTTACCAAGTATTCGGCAATCATGGGACGCTGCTTATTCGAGCTTTCCCAGTTATGCACATTTCAACTAAGGCTTCCGCGATTCTGCAAGGTGCTTTCACTTTTAATACCAGCAAGTTGTCGAAATTATTCATCTCTGGACTGATGGCTATCGGAGCAACGGTGAGATGGGGGATATCCGCCTACTCCAACGTTCCTTCCACCGGAAATGACGACTGGATCATCGAGGCTCCTGGATGCGACACCTTTCTACATCTCCAGGCGTCAGGGAAAGTACCTGGTACATACAAGATTGCTTCACTTTCTTCAGTAGCGTTGAGTGGTTTTCTTCCTTCACCATATGCTGTAATGGCTGAGGGAATGGAAGCAATCGAGCCGGTCGAACTGACTGCTACGACCACCGCGCATTATGGGCCGATATACACCATTCGCATATCTCGTTCCGAAGATCCAGCAATGGACTACAGACTGTGGATGCCACTGATTTCCTGCGGCCCACAACATCTGCTCTTCCTCAGTCACTGGGAGTCGAATACTCGATTGGACGAGCTGTTATCCCCACACCAGCCAGGACCTGGAAGTTCACTGGCCGAATTGTCACAAAGTCTGGAGCAATACGGTCGATGGCTGGAACTCAATTACCCACCCAGCTTTCAATACATTGGGCCTCTTCATGATTTTGACTCCGAGGTTAGGACAGTATCGCTGTACTTAGAAAGATGGGACGATTGCCACCTCTGGTCCAGGATATATGAAATTGTGGTTGAAATTCCTTGGCGAGAGAAACTCAAGGAGCTATCAGATATAAAGGCAGATGCTTGGCACTATCTGATGATGAGAGCTGAGTACAGTACTGCCGGTCACGAACAGTCAAGTCCTATTCTTTGGGAGCGAAGACTCCTGGAGCTCTTCGAAGACCTTACCAACCGGCTCCCAGACATCCCTCTACGACAGTCTGAGGGAGAGCCGTCTCTAGGAAGTTTTATGTCGATGGATACGTGCTTGTCGTTGTGCAAGAGCATCAGGAATGTACCAGAATACTGGACGTCGGACGAAATCCGAGCCAACGAAACCGAAATTCTGAAGGACTGGATAGGAGTGGAATCGTGTTGGGTCTTCTTGAACAGGTCAGAAGCCGATTGCCGCGCTCTGCGGGCCAAGTTTGTCCAATTGCGTGCTCTCAAGAGGCTTTTTAGGAGGGAGCAACGAGATTTCCTGATATGTTAGTCGCGTGATTCTTGTTTATAAAATTCCTATAGCTCAACATTCCCCGACGGTCTCTAGGGCATCATGATCTTGGGATACACACCCGTACTGTCAGGTTTCCGTATGCTCTGGGATTGCTTCTGCTATTCACCGGAAGTAATGATAACCTTTGGAAGTCTTGACAGGCAATATCCAACGTTAGCTTTCTAGCCCAACAGATGGCTCATGGGGACTCCTCGTTGGGCAGTTGATATCACAGTGTCAGTAACCCTCTAATCGCAGACCTCTGGATATACGCGAGCTCTTGGATTACCTAAACGCTACTGCTCGCCTGAACCCTGTACTTTGTACTTTCAGGAAGCAGAAGAACCAGCTGAACAGTGTTCTTACCTCTAAAAAGACCCAGAAATTTCTATCTTAAGCAATGTAGGCCCAGCGGAGGTTTCGAGATATAGCAAGAGCCCACTTGCAAAGTGTTGGCAATCGCGCAGTTTTGTTTACGTTCTTTTGGGTACGTAGGCGCTTAATTACAAAATAAGCCTACCGAATCCTCTTCGTGGCTCGATCTTGTTTCGCAATCATCCCATGGAATGATGCGGCCGTTGCCTTCGCGCGTCTTACGCCGTGATAGTCCTGCTAACTTGCATACATCCTCCTTCGCTCAGTTTGACATTCGTCTTGGATCAATCATATTTCTGTGTTGACTAGAATCATTCTTATGAGTCGAGATGGCAAACTGGCACGAAGGAAACTGTCGAAGGCCTGATGTGATTGTCATCGACACGATGATCGCTTCCAAGAGCTGCGGCTCCTTCTACACTCATGAGCACAACGATGTTATGGCAAACAACGGCGAGCTTCAGAAAGAAGTGTCAGAATTTGAAGAGATTTCGGCTGTCTTAAACTTGAAATGGCCATCTACAGTTCATTTCGCAAGTCCTGATGAAGTCGAATATGCCAAAATCAGGGATTTATTAGAGCGTCTCGGGGGCATGCTTTACGAGTAGTGCGAGAAAAAGAAGAATTTCAAATCACTGGATGCCATCCGCGTCTGTTCCGGATCCTCAGCCACCCTAGAACTACTATTTGAGGTATTCGGGACGAAGAAAGATGAGATTGGGAAGGGTCTCAGTCAGCTTGAGTCTTATTTGGAGTTCATGCAAGACTCGCTGCCCGGGTACCGCGTGATCTGGGTTAGATTTTCCCAGCGCCAGGTCTTGCAGCGATTGTGTGAGAGAAGTGATCTTTGTGATTTCCTGATATATTGAGCGATCTGGCCCTGTGATTCAAGTCCCGGAAGGTATCAGTTAAATTCAGCCATCTGTGAGGTACCCAGGTATCGTGGTGGCAGGATATGTTGACGTTAACTTGGCAATATATTAACTGCAATATCGGAGTGTAAACACAACAGTGCATGCCAGCGCTGGTATGACGCAGATAGCCTGTTTTCTAGCATGTTGTGGGCATTACAAGCGTTATCAAACCCGATGCGCGTTATCTCGAGAGTTTTGCACAGCACGTCAACTCACTGCAGAATGGCGCCAAGTTGAATGCGCTTGCATGTCTTCCTGCCGCCCCACTGGTCGGTCCACCGGGCGGAAGTACAGTCTAAGGATCAGTGCCGTGATTCCTGGAGCAGTGCGATATTTGTATTTGGCGCAGAACACAGGCGTCAAAGTTCCCTTGCCAACACCTAGAAGCGGCATATGTTGTGTCTTCTCTAATTGCTTTTAGATTCAAAATTCGATTCGTGGGAAAACCGACAGAGTCATCAGCCATAATGGCCACTACACCACTGCAAGTCGCTATTATCGGTGCCGGCATCGCCGGTCTGACTGCCGCTCTCTCCCTCCGACAAGCACTACCGGATAAACCTATACATATCACAATCTACGAAAAGGCTGTCGAGCTACGAGAAATAGGCGCAAGTATCGGCCTCAACCCTAGCGGCCTTCGTGTCCTGGACAAGCTCGGTGTGAACGCAGCGCTTGATGGGTCTATATCGTACCGGCAACGAGGCGAATGGCCCATGATCTATCGACACTGGCTGACTAACGAAGAGCTTGGACATGATGAATACAGAGACAAGGTTGAAGAGAGGCATCGAATGGGCCGATTTCACAGGGCACACCTGCAGGCAGCCCTGGTGCAGGCCGTGCGAGAGATTGGTGCTGTCGAGATTCATCTAGGGGCGAGGATCGCAGGCGTCGAGGTCGACAGGGAAGGTGCTCCTGCGATAATCAGCTTCGAAAATGGGGACCGAATTAAGGCCGACCTTATCCTGGGCGCAGATGGCATACACTCAAAAGTGAGACAAGCATTTGCAGCTCACCACGAGTTGAAGTGGACTGGTCAAGTTGCTTTCCGCTCAGCATTTGACGTCTCTCTGGTTGAAAATATCGATGAGCTGCCGGATGATGCCATATTCTGGGTCGGGCATGAACGCACGATTTTTGCTTCGAGATTAGGTAGGACACCCGTGCCTCCAGTTGCTGCCGGAGCCGGACACCTCGCGATTCTGACATGACTGACCTCGGGAACCACCTCAGGCAAGAACCAATACACTGTAGTTGGAAGCTATATTGCAGACCCAGACGACCCAACCAGCCCATTCTATAACGCCAGATGGAGTGGGCCAGGTGATGTCGAGTTCCTGAGGAGCCTGTACAAGGTGAGAGCAATTCTTCCGGCTGGTTCGTAGTTCTATCCTATTGACACTGCGACTAGGGCTGGCATCCTGTAGTTGAATCAATAGTCAACGCCGTGCCTTACACGAAGACATACCCCAATCACTCCGGCACAGTCCTGCCCTCTCTAGTTTTCGACGGCAGAATTGCCTTGCTAGGAGACGCGGCCCACACCCACGGAGGAGCTTTTGCTGCTGGAGGATCACTGGCCATCAACGACGCATATGCCTTGGCACTATCACTTGCGCACGTGTGGCCAAAGGAAGGTACGCCCACCCGTGCGCAGCTTCGGAGGGCTCTGACATTCTACGATGAGACTCGAAGGCCGCTGGTGACTCGTGTTTTGGACCTGGTCCATGGGGCCGCACAGAAAAAGAGATGGACTGGGGCCAATGCGAAGAACGGCGAGGAGGAGACGGATCAGGAACTCAGGGGCCGTATTGCCAACAGGCCAGATATGACCTGGTTGACAGAACATGATGTAGAAGCGGAGTTTCGAGAATTAATCTCACATGAGAGGAATGGTACAGTAACTGCAGCACCAGGCCCATTCAACAAAAAGCACGCTGATGAATAAATTCATACAGTCCGTGGATATTACCCACGCCAGGATAGAAATTAAAGATTATATTGATGACTACCTACGAACACTAAGACGTGTGCTTAGAGCCACTATAGATAAGCGAATGCCGCCTGGCCTACATCCGTTGAAGAATCCTTCCTCTTTTACCCTGTTGGTCGGTCTGTAGTTGCGGTTGTCGTAAGAGTGACCATGCAAGTGACATCTCGAGTGGTGGTTGGGTAGGAACCCATGGAATTGCACACAACGCTGTCACCCCGATGTACGAAACCAGATCGACATGCCTCTACAAGCGCTATCGCAGGACCATCCGTACATTGGAAGACACTCCTCAATGCAACGTCTAGCAACATGGGGCTACTTACGTCTAGCCCATTCTTTATCGCATATTCCAGAGCACTGATTAGTAATAAGTCATAGTCGCTGTTGATGTCGTGGAGTTCCTGGCCCCCGTATTGCTGTTTGCTTTTACAGGCTTTTGGCTTGCTCGATTGGGTCACTGTGACGCTCGTGATATCAGTGGTAGTCAACACCAAAGTCTTCGTGAGGTGATACCTCTATGTCAGTGTGGACGATGGTCTGGGTGAGGGGCGGGAAGTCATGGGTTGTTTCAAAGGCCTTACCGTCTATACTTGTTGTAATGGTGGCAGTGGAGGTTAGCACTGTGCCATTAGTCGGGGTACTAGGTGGTATGCTTCTATGGGAGAAGTAGAGCCCGGCAAATACCGCGGTTAGGATGGTAGTGACCAAAAGCAGGGCTCCAAGGAAATAATTCGACCATTTGTACTTTCTAATCTTCCTCTTCGTTTCGTTGTCCTCGATTTGCTCCATTATCTCGGTGTGCTCGTTCTGCTGAGGCTGATTGAAATCCTTCATAGGTATGTTCTCAAAGCGTTGCCTGTCCGGTAGACTGTAAACTGAGCTCATTGTCCCGACTGTCTCGATAGAATTTGGGTGATGAATGACAAGATGGAAAACCTTTGGAATAGCCAAAAAGCTGAGACGTTTAAATAGTTTTGAAGAAGACGAGGCAGAAGCGACCTGGGCACTTTTCTGTGACTGGAATGACCAACTATCGATGGCTTCAAATGATTCACATGGCATCCAATGTCATAGGCCGCTGCTGTTCTAGTGCTCATTTGGCCGTTCGCCGTCGCCCCTGGCGCATGCGCCACTAGGTGAAGCCATTCTTGTTGTTGATGGGCCATGGAGATGACTCGAATGTGCATGAGAAGTCAACAGTTACCTCCTTAAATTCTCAACCCTTCAAGTGTTGCCAGGCCTCAAAATCAACCTCTTCGACTGCATTTTTGGATCAAGAATGAGATTTTGCGCGCGACAGTATCCACTGCGGGTTTTGATCGCCACCCGCTGTTGCAAGCCTGGGAGCTCATGCATCATGGCCCCAAGAGGCCGCAAAACGTTTATCGAGCACGCGATTCAGTCGTGGTTGGGATATTCATTATGGCTTCGGCCACATTATATTTTTTATTCAACTATTTATCTATTTATCGTCTTCTCAGCTTTTAAACTAACTATTAGTTTATACCTTAAGTATAAAGTTAATAATTACTTAATATATACCCTTAAACTTATCTATATATAAAGTTATTAACTTCCTTTATAGAGCTCCCTCTTCTACTATATTCCTTATATATTATATAAAAGTAAATAAATCCTTAATAATAAAGTAATATATTTAAAAAAAAGATTTAATTTTTAAATACCTAGACTTTTACTTTCCTTATATAGTATTTATTTAATATATAATAAATAAACTTTATTTAACTTTTTAAAAGTTTTAATCTTTTATAAAATTTATATAAAAGGCTTTTTAAATAGATTTATTATTATAATATTATTATTTTATTAGTAGCTATATATTTAAAATAGGGACTATAGTATATTTAATTTATTTAATAAGGGTAAATTTAGGTAGCTATTAAGTATATTAATAGAGAAAAGTTAGTTTATTAAGTTTTATATTATTAAATTCTTCTTTTTATAGAGGCTATTTTAAAATTATTTTAATCTTATTATATAACTACTTTATTAACTTTAACTTTAATATTATAGTAGATTAACCCTTAAGCTATTTATATTAATAATATAATACTATTAAGAGCGATATCTTTTAGCCTTATTTATATAATATAAGGCTTAATTATATACCTATATACTATATTCTCTTTCCACTATTATTAATACTATATTTCTTTAAATACTAGGTCTTAAGCGTTTACTATTATATAAAGGCGCTATATATATTTTATATATATAGGGATTAAAAACGAAACCACCACCTGGGATATTCATTGCGTTCATTCTGTCGAAGCCCACCGATGCATTGTTTTCATCCACACTGGCTCACCCCACTTGCGCGATGCAGCGGAGGGTAGACTCATCAGTGATGAATCTATTCCACCGCCGGAATTTATCCAACTGCCCGGTCTCTGGCCAAATTCCGGGTATACCGGGGCCGACCACCGACTCCAACCGTCAGTAGCGTCATGTCATGTTGGCTGATGATGTTCCCTTGCAACGGTAGATCATCACGCTAACAACCCACACCAACTCAAGTGCCGGGATTCGTAGCATTTAATAGGACTCTACGTGAGTAATGGCTCCATAAAAGAGGTGCCCGCATGATCCGGACTGCCACTTTTTAAACATATTGTCAACGAGCCGCCAGCAGTCATTGGCCAGTGTCGTCGTATTCTAAAGTTTACAAATAGTGTAGAACATGGAAGTAAGCTTTCAAACGCGGTGATAAATTTGGAAGCTCTGTTGATAAGTGTGATTGTCAACTCCAAACTCGGTCTGCTTGGGAGCCAAGGCGGCATTCCGGAAAGCTTGAAACGTGGACCCTCTTTTTCTTCCGACCGTATCCTCAGCCTGCTGGAGACTGGGCAGTCTGCAGCTCTGCGGCCCTTGCGATGCTTTTTAAGAAGACTCCCTCAACGCCGCAGTCGGTCGATGCACCGCCATAAACAGTATGCTATATAATGTTCGAACGACCGCATTGATGTTCATTTCCTAAATGATTGGATGAACATGAGTGGACAGCTAGGTTGGAGAAGACATCGGTAGGGTCCGAGGCGGGCCGAATGGTGCACAGAATGCAACTCAAGATACGGTGCTCAACAGCTCGTGGAGCAGCGATCGACAGAATGTTACCTTAAACCTTCGTCCGCATGATGCAGGAGTTGGCAGGCGTTGCGGTTTAGGGAAGCTCGTCTAGACACGACGTCTCCTGCCCACTACCGTGGCTGGTCAAGCTCCAAGTGGGCACCATGGGGTCACGTTTGTCCTCCAATGGCCCGCGCAGCCTGCCCCTTTCGTCTTGACGATCCCTGCCTCCGCAGGTTCATATTAATGAAACTTTGTTTCCAGTACCGAGCGGACTTATGGGCCACGCCCAAAGTCACTGATAAATACAATGAGCCGGCTCATCGAATTGACAAAATTGACGTCCGCTAGTTCATCGCATCTCTCGGAACATTTTGAGATCTTGAGCAGCAACAGTGGCCCGTGATTTGCTTTCGTCTCACCGGATTCTGTGACTTGCCACAGTACCTTTTTCACACAGGCATCAACCATGCTCTCTAACCTCTTTGTCGCCTTGCTGGCTGGTGTGGCCGCGGCCTCACCTTCAACGCCACTCTACGAACGTGAGCTGAAGAAGCGGGCAACAACCCTCATCCCGGACACCTGCTTCAGCTCCACGTCGGAGTTCGAGTCTTACTTCAACTACAACTACCCATGGGGTGACACGCACAACGGGGCGGCGCTCATGTCCAAGGCTCAAGTCAGCATCATCCACAACGCCTACCTTGAGCTCAAGTCAGACTACACGGGCCCCCAGTCGGGCAACAGCAACCTCAAGTACAACAGTGGCACCGTCTATGCGAAGCAGAAGTTCACCGTGCAGAAGGGAGGCGGTCTCGACTTCAAGGCCAACTTTGTCGCGCCCGTTGCCAAGGGCACCTGGCCCGCGTTCTGGCTCAACGGGGCCAACAGCTGGCCCCCGGAGATCGACCTGGCGGAGTGGAAGGGCACGGGCAAGATCAGCTTCAACACCTTGTAGGTCCAGGACTCCTTATCTCTCCCCTCAAATGTGCTACTTGCTAATACGGGCGTGAATAGCAACACCAGCTCGCAGGTTAAGGCCACCGACGTGACATACCCGTCGCCGACGACGGCCTGGAGGACGATTCTCGCGGAGCTGCGGGCCGAGTCCGACGGGACGACGGTCAAGATCAACTTCTACATGGATGGCAAGCTTATCACAACCCAGTACGGGGCCAAGATGGTCGGCGCGCCATTCAACCTGATCATCGACTACCAGATGGAGGGCAGCAGTGGTTCTCCTGGACCCCAGGACACCACTTACTTTTTGACGCAGTACCTGAGTGTCACGAGTTATAATCCATGAGATCTATCGACGGGATAAGTGATGAGTGAATACTGGCGCCTCTTTCAATGTACATATAACTACACGAATGCTGGATGGTACATATGAAACACGAATATGAATTTTCTGGAGCTGTTTGACTCTTTGTTCGCCGACCGATACTGTAGTTCATCAGGCAGCCCTTGGGTCTTGAGCGTTTACTACTACCTAGGTATATAAAGGCACCACATACGCTTTATATGTCTGAGAATTAAGAACGAAACCACTAGGCAGCCCCTCCAACGCCGATTCACCCAACTCGATGTCTTCCCGCTCCCGTGCCAACCTTGGAAGCTGGTCACACCGGCGCCGCCTTCGGTGACTACCTAGGTACCTAGGTACCCTAGGGTAGCTCACCAACGACGCCAAGGAATAGACCTTGTTGATCTTCCCTCCGTCTCATGGGTCGCTGTTCATTCATAGTTGTATGATTCACACTGCGGAGCCTGTCATTTGCACGAATGACGACCTGTCTCTACCTCGGTAGCAACCTTTTGTCGTCAGGTAACTACCATCCCTAACTCCACTGGTGTCTCCCCACCAAGTCAACATACTACGCTGCTTTTGCGCGCCTGGTGCAGTTGGCTAGTCCTAATAAGGCGTCAAGACTTCCGAGTTGGCCTGAAAGGGTTCGTATCGAGATCTCCTCGGATGTACTGCTCTGAAACCCTGATACGATTCGCACGTTCCTCAGGCGAGTACAATGACGAAAATCTTCCTGTTTGCTGAGCCAGTCCGAATTCCAACCCAGAGGGCTGAATCAAGCGGGTATTGCGTTGCTTTGACCTGAGGAGATCCAGGATAGCATCCCAGGTGGCTATTTCGTTGTGACATCTTCTCAAAGTGATGTCAGTCTCATGGGGCTGGAGCCACCGCAGCATGGGCTCGAGGCCTTCGGCGCGCACTTCGAGTGAGTCAAGCGTGATCTGGGTGAGACTGGGTAAGCGGCACCGGAGCCAATCGAGATCGGTAGGGCCCCACAGCTCCAGGACCCGGAGTGATGGTGGGAGGCAGCGGTAAAGCAGTGTGCTCAGTTCTCGGTGAGTTCCCCCTTCCGATGCCAGTAGAGGGTTAGTTGACTCCATGTTGAGGTATTTGAACCTTCGCAGGTTCCGCATAGCTGTGCAGGCCCCGCGAACCGGTCCCAGTTCACTCTCCATTTTCCCAAGGACCTTGCGGTCACTGCTGTTTACCGAGGAAATTCGGAGCTTGAGGCTGACGATATTGATGCGCTCATCTGCAAATGCTGCTAATATATGGAGTATCAACGGAGCAAGGCCCTGGTGAAACTCTGGTTCGTTGCCATCGTCATAGGCAGATACACACCATGGGCGAGGCGAAAGTGGAGCTCTTAGAAGGAGGTCCAGATGGTTTTCCACTTCGGCCCGCTCTACTGATTGGCGGAACCGGAACTGCTGCGGTAAGTCGTTCATGTCCGTAAACTCAACCCTTATCGCCTTATTGTTGCTCATCTTCAACGCATTGGAAACGCCTTGAAGGAAATCTTGAGGATCCTTGAGAAAACGTTGCTGTGCTTGGAATCGCTTCCTGTATTCTCGGCGCGACTGCTCGATCGCTGCCTTTACCTCGTCCGGCGTCTGAGGGCAATCCCGCCACCCAGAACACAATGATGCGGGCGTCTCGCCTTCCGGACCCAAACAAATAGCAATTCTCCCAACGTCGAGCTTTTTTTTCTCATAGGTCATCTCTTCCACGCACAAGTGCCATTGGTAAGCTGGTAGTCGAATGCGTATCATGCCCACCCCTTTTCGAATCCCGGGGTGTGCCATGATCGTTTGAAAGCGTGTAAGAGATTCCAAGCTAAGATCAAGTCCGACGTACTCGATGAGGAGCTCTGAACCGATTCTACTGAGGGATCGGCTTGTGAGTCGGACGTTCTGAATATCTCGCGTGCTCTGGTCGTACTCGAACCAACTATCGTCTTGATAACCCCACTTGCGAAGATGAAAGTCGGGAATTGGCGTGTCGTGCACCATTCTTAGTATGTGAAGAATGATCTCCTCGGGGAGTTCTTCCAAATTTGGTTGGGGTTTCGCCATTTTCCTGCTTCGGAGATATCTATTGTAGTGAAGGTAAGTGGTTTCGCTTCTATTCCGTAAACACGAGTTATCAGAGCAAGGAACCCTATTGTTGTTGGAAGTGTAGCCGAGAAGAGACCGTTAATCGTGATGGAAGATTATGTGCAGACTTTTGGAGGACCGGATTGGCGAAGCACGAAAAGCTGATGGCCCCAGTGTGCGAAGTTGTGATGTTCTTAAGGTGGCGAGGATGTCAAGATTGCGTGCTGATGGTGTTCAAGAAATGGAGAAGAAGTTGGTTCAGGATTGTACATTTAGAAAAGATGGAATGGAAATAGCGCAGCTTTTATATCAACTTTTCTCCGTTACCTCTCCCTCAGTAGGGTGGCTAGGGCCACGGTGTGCGCACTTGCGAAAAACCATAATCACTTAGCCAAAGAATGCGTGAGTACACTTGTAAACTTCTGTACAAGTTCAATTACTAGACCAAAATTAGGGTGGCTTGGTGCTATCATTCTCCTACTCCTTTAGACTGAGTCCATGTTCGTGTGTGATCGAGGAAGTATGCCGGTAGCTACTAGTACCTAGGTATGAATCCAAAGTAATGGCTAAATTACCTAGGTAAGTACTTACCTAGTTTTTTAGGTAGGTAGGGTACTTAAGGAGTCACGTTAGACCTTCCTCGAGTTTCAACCCTGCTCTCGCTTTGCCGGCTTTGACACTGGCACCATGGTAGATTACTTTTGGGATACTTGGGTCGGCGATTCTAATCAGCACCGCCGTTAGGAGCGATGCCTTAGCCTTCCATGGTCATCTACCTAGTTAAGTACCTAGGTAGGTATATAGTCCAAGGCTAAGGCCGCATACCTACAGAAAAATTATGTTCTCTCTATAGTCTTATTAGTATTATGCTTTTCAAAAGTTCTAGGTCTTACATACCTAAGTATTTACATAGTTACTACCACATAAAGACACTATATATATATATATTTAAAAAAGTTATGTATGGATTAGAAACTAAACTACCTAACCTTACTCTTAAAACTCTAAATGTACCTCGCACCCACTGAGGTTCTTATATGGTGGAGTACCATTTACGGGCTGCTAAAGGCATGGCTGGTCGGGGACTGCCAGAAGGCTGCTGAAATAACTGTTGATTTTTTCCATCTGTCATAAATAGACCAGAACCACTGCGGATGTCAAGTTTCCCATGTGGTTCCGTTCTTAACCCGTATCAAGATATCCTGTAGGCGTACGGTCCAGATGTCCCTTCACGCAGTGGTAAATGCCCGAAGACACAGCGTTAAAAAAAAGGAAATGCAAAGTCAAAAGCAATGTAAAAAGACTCTGCCTGGGCAGGTGGCTTCAGCCTCGTGCCGTACTGCCGACAAGGCGGGAAGCACGGGAGGGAGGGGTATCTGAATAGGATTTTATCCCATGGGAGAGTGCCGGCATACTCTATAGATTGTCCTATGAGAAATCTGGAGGTTCTCCCATGGGAGGTAATCCCATGCGAGGTAATCCCATGGGAGGCTCGGGGAGAGATACCATAGCCGTGTACTAGTAGCAGACACCCGAGCAGAGCTCGTCCTTTCCCAATCCATAACAGTTGACTGGCTGGTCGATGCCTGAGCAGTGGTGGTATTTGAGCGTTCCCGCTCGCTGTAACTATGGAGGAGGCCCCGTGCATAGGGTGGCTTCGCACTTACATGGAATATTAGTTAGCATCGAAAGACCTGGGCAGTGCAAACCAGAGATACAAAAGCCCGTCTTGAAAGACAAGCCCCTACGAGCCGAGACTCCCATCTATCAGCATATTGTGTACCCCACACCTTATCCGTTGCAGTCAACACGTTCAGGATGTGCCTAGGCCAGCTCACAACCCGATGTGCATCACCTAGGATTCATACACTACTAGAAAGCAATCACACGAGACGTAACAGGGAGCACGAGTGTTTCTCCAAAACGTTATCCAATATTCATGGACGGGCCGGACCAAGAAGAAAGTCCCCTCCAAGTCTGCACTCACACTGGAGCAGACACACAGCCCTGCGCCCAAAGCCTGACATATATATACGGACTATTTGTACGACGGACGGACCACACACACAGACTACCCCAAAACCCACGAAAACGAAACGAAGTGAAAAGCAGGTGTTCTTTCTTTCCTTCTCTTACCTTCACCACCTTCCTCGCAGCCACACGTGTAGCCGAGAGCACACAGCACACACACGTACAGACACGCGCGCGCGTATAAACAAAACAAAACATACAAGGAGGGTAGAAAATAGGCGATGAAGCCTGCTCCATGTTTATATATCAAAAAAGAGAAGCACGACAAAGAAAAAACACCAACGCCATGCAATGCATGCAGATTAAAACGCAATACTGATCGAAAGAAAAGTCGGTTCCGTGGGTTCATCCTGAGGGTTTTTGTTTTGTCCTGCCGTCGTTGTCGACCTCGGCGGCCCAAACAGCCGTCCCGTCCCTTTCTCCTACGGTCCCCACACAGACCCTCCCAAGGCTCTCATCCCCCGGAACGCGCACCCGAAAGCTTCATGGTTCCACTGACCGGTGCAACCACGGAACAACGGCGCGGGCGCCTGGTCTGGAACCTGAGTCTGGGTCTAGTCTCTTAGCCCTCGGTCAGGACCTCAAAGATGCCCAGGCTCGGCACCTCCTTCTCCCGGCCGCCGAGGATGAGCGTCCTGCTGGGCGGGGCGGACGGCTCCTTGAGCATGGCCTCCATGGACAGCTCGGCGGCAGGTTTCCGGGGTGCCTGCCTGGTGGAGAAGCCCGCGGGGGGCGGAGGCGACGAGGGGCCGTCGAACAGGTACTGCGAGAGGCGCTCGGCGAGGGCGTCGGGGGTGGGGATGTTGGCGGGGGTGAGGAACTGCGGCCTGCTGATGCGGCGGAAGGCGCGGGGCTTGAAGAAGGCGTCGGCGCCGGCGTTACCTGTTGACGTCCGCGGCCTGGGGAGGTCGTGCACAGAGAGGTCTGTGGTGGCTGTTGCGAGGCTCGGGAGGGGCATGGTGCTGATGCGGCTGAAGTCGGCGCGCTGCGGTGCCGGTGCGGGTGCGGGTGCGTCTTGCTGTGTGGACGAGGAGAGCGGGCTGACTGGGCGGGGGGCTTCCCTGGTGGCGGGCTGCTTCGGTGTCTCGGGCGCGGCGCCGTCCAGGCCGAAGCTGAAGCCGCCGAACTCTTGGAGTGAGGGCCGGGACTCGCGCTCCGGGCTGCTGTCGTCATCATCGTCGAGGTGGCGCGGCGGGCTGTCGGGCCTCTTCCCCAGGGGTATGGAGTGGATGATGTCGTCAGGCTGTTGGCGTGCGGACTTCTCCATGGGCAGTATCGGGGTTGTGACGGTGCGCCTGGGGCTGAGGGGGCTCTCGTGGCTGCCGGGCGGGCTGAGGGGCGGGCTCGAGGGCGGGCTGGCGGTAAGGGGTGGGCTGATGGGCTCGGTCTGGTGCCTGGACAGGTTGCCATAGGGCGTGGACACGACGCGCATGCTCTGGCGCCATTGCGAGCCGCTCACGGGCCTGGGCTTCTGGCGTGGCCAGTCGACGGGCTCGTGGGGGGAGTTGAGGAAGGACGGGGTGGCTCGCAGGACCTTCTGCTGTGCGCGGGCCCTCCGCTGCTCCTCGAAGTACTCGACGCCCTTGGACACGGGCACGTTGGTGTCGGCGGTGCTGTTGAGCTCGTCCAGCAGGTTGTGCAGCTGGTCCTCGTCGAGGCCCTCGACCAGGTCGAAGATGTGCTCGACCGACGAGCGCGATCTGACGCGTGTTTGGGTCTGCGGAGGCATCGTGATGTGATGTCGGCGTGGCTCAAGCCTCTGCACGGGCTGGGCTGTCTTTTTTTTTTTTTTTTTTTTTGGCTGCAAGCTGTGTTTTTGTTGGGGGATGATACCTCGTCTTGTCGTTCTCGTTTCGACCAAAAATTCCAGAGTGGAACAAACGGAGACGATTCAGGGGTGGACGCAAGGAAAGCAGCGTAGGATCTGGTGTGCGGTTAAAAAAAAAAAGGGCGTCAAGGAGAGGTCAGAATGGAAAGAAGAGAGGGGGAAAAAAGGAGTGTGTGATTTGTTACTGCTATTGTTTATGCAGAAAATGGGAATGCCTCATGGCATCGGATGCGAACACCAGATCAGGGTTGTTGGTGTGTGGCCAAATTCAATTGAATTGACGACATGAGTCGACGACGGTTGTGGTTTGTGTGGATTGTGGATGGTGGTTTTGGTTGATGCACACGACGGGAACGGACGGGTGAGACAAGCTGGCAGACTGCAGGTTGCAGATTGCATGTGCAGGGTGCAGGAACGGACGCGGGAGGCGTGGGAAGGAGCTGGACCCCAGGCAGGCTCAACCGACCAGACGAATTCAGACAGCCAGAAGTGAGAATTCAGGGGTGGGCGTGGGCCCCCAGCTAATGCAATCAAATTCCCAAATCCATCAATGATCTCTCCCAAATCCATCTCTCGCATTCGGGCACACGACCAACCTACCTGGGTAGGGCCTTTGATGCTTCAGACGGTTCTGGCTGGCCCTCCCAGACCTTTCTTCGTCCCTTCGCAGCCCTCTATCGCCCTGCATCGCCGATGACACTGGCCTCCTCGTCTGGTCAGACATGCAGACATGCAGACAGATAGACAGACAGCCAGACAGCCTGACAGCCTGACCCGACCACCTATCTATCAGTCTGTCCGTCCTGCTTTGCTCGCACGGTTTCAGGTTAATCAAAGGCCGGGCCAGGGTCGGGCTCAGCCCAATTTCGGCCCACCGTCCATTTATCCTGTCCCGGAATGGGAGACCCCTGACGATCTGGCTGGTCTGCCAGTGACGGCTCGAGTTGAGACAAGTGATCTGCGCCCAGCTGCAGCATTCGTCAGTTTAAACTCGCAGCAGAAATGTCGACCGGCACTGACACTGCCTTTTGATGCTGATGCACTGGGCATGCGTCAAGGCTGGTTGTATGTCTGTACTGTATGTCGTTATATATATACATGAATACTCACTCTCTCGAGGCCAGACTGACTGACTGTCTGCCCGAGGCCCCACTCGAGCTGCATTACAAACGAGACCATGCCCTGTCTGGTCCCCTTCTGAATCTCGCTTGCACAAGCCACCGCTTCTGCTTCATCTCAGCGCTGCACGTCGCCGCCCTGCAAAGGATAATCATACCAGGAGCTGGCAGACTACCGAGTTCTGCTAACACAGCGGCAGGCCATCACAGCATATATGCCTTGATCACGTCGGATCGGGCCTGTCATGTTATTTCAGGACCTTCAGGGGTCGACCCGGCTGGCCCCCAAGCCAAGGCCTGCCACCGCACACCCGTGCAGTAGCCACCCGCCAGCATTCATCCCGGACCAGCTCGATCCAATGCCCCGGATCCGCCTGTCGTCTCACCTTGCATCCGTACGGAGTACCGAGTACCTGCATCTGACGTGCAGGGCCGGCCACCACCAACTGTCAAGCCACATACATACCAAACGGTGGGCAGCCATCCGGAGCAACGAATGCATGCTTCTTCTGATCGGCACCCGTCGGGCCACAACCGGCCCACATGGCTCCTGATTGCTTGTGCAGAAACCCCAGAGTCGGAGCATTGTCTCTGCTGATCAGAGATCGGGTCTCGATCCGGTTGCCTCAGAATAGCTCGGGGTCGTGCCTACTCTGACCCCATCCTTTGGTTCCGTACGTGCAGCTGCGGCCAGTGTCTGTCTGCTTTGCTTGCTCGATGCTCCAATGCCCTCGGCGCGACGGACGGCCTCTTCACCAGTCCGTGACTGCAAGCTAACTCGATGTGACGTGCTCTAGCTGACGGGGCGGTGATCTCCGTACAATATGCCGCTCCACCTAGCCACGCCTACACAGCCCTGGAGGTAAGCCCGGCTATTCCTCGCTTTCTCTGGCTTATTACCGTGGCCGAGAACCACACACCACATGCACTTTTTTCGCGACAGTGCAAGATGAGGCCCTTCATGCAAGATGTGCCATAATTGGCTTCCAAGTTCAAAAAAAAAAGAAGAAAGATTGAACAAAGATGCATCCACCCATTGATCCATCCCTCATCATACCAGTCACATTTTCGGATTCGATTGCCATTCCGCAATCGAGATCACCTAGATCCCAAGCCTAGGGCTTATTCATTAGCGATGCTACAGCCCCAGAGCTTCTTTTTAGCGCATGGCCCAGTCCCGTCGCGAGCAGCACGGCCTAGTGTTGCATCTCCTATTCCGATGATCAGACTAGACTACCAGCGAGCGAGTCCGTGCTAGGCTGCCATCAATGGATCCATTCAGATGCATGGCCAGGCGGCACTGCACGTACCCGAGTCGCTTGTGTGTTTTAGTGCGCTTCTTTGCATGCCATCTGGTTGTCCGAGGAGCACGTGCGGCTTGTTGTAGCCCGGCCCTTGATGTTGTATCTTGGAACGACTGTCCTTTGACAAGACGTGCATGAGTAATTCAAAGTTGCTCTCTGGTTAGCTTTGTCGTGGTTGTCCACCCGTCTTCGTCCTATCGTTGACTTGTCCTCTTACGGGCCGCCTCCGAGCTTCTACTTAACTTTCAAATGTTGACAATAATGTTGTATTGTATTCTATCTGTACTGTTATTGGCAGTGAATTTCTTAAACGCTGGGGTTTGAGTGTCTACCGCTGTATGAAGGCGCCACATACGTTTTATATGTATGGGGAATAGAAACGAAACCACCTAACAATAACATCTGCATGCTCGCGTCTGCCCCCCCCCCCCTAGCCTAGACGTGCGAACAACGGAGAACGATGGATGAATTCTTCAAAAAGCAGTTTCGGGGGTTTGACAGCCAGCTCCTGTCACTAGGGTTCAGGAGAAACAACGGCATCTGGACAACCTTGGAAGCTTGAGGCCGGTCTAGACGCAAGTGGTGTAAGACATGACATGTGACATGGTAAGTATGCTCATTGTATTTGGACTCTGCAACGACCGCGTGGTGGTCACTCGGAACCGCATGACAATCAAGTGGCTGGTACCTCACTGTCCCAGTTGAGGTGCAAACATGCACTTTGCACGCGGGCCTGCAACTCCGGTGGTATATATGTACAGTATCACCTATTGGGAGGCTTCCAGCGACCCAACAAGGTGCGTCTTGTGCCCCGAGGGCTGCCGCCACTGCCATGCCGCCCTCACAGCCTATATACATTGACAAAAGACGCCGGCCGGCCCGACCAGATAGCCCAGGCACCGCCCAGTGCCAACGCTCACAACCCACGCCTGCGCCATCGGCGAGAAGCAGGCCGATGTAGGGGTATCATCAAGAAGAATCACCGTCCATGTTCCCGTCCCCGTCCATACGATGTCCGTTCTACGCATCTCCAACATCGGGCACGGCAGACTCCTGGCGGGGCCTGCCTTTGTGAATATTCAAATGCCTGCTGTGATACCTTGGTCGCTCGCGCGCTTCCCCTGGCTCGGGCCTAAGCCTAAGATTGTCAAAGTCGAGGCCGCGGAGGATCTCCGCCAGCCGGCTCCCCGGGCCGCGTAACCCCCGGAGCTTCGAGGGTCTTGACGCCTGGCGGCGAACCAGGGGTTTCTCCGCCTCGGGGCCGTCAGCTGCCGCCTCGGGGGCAGGCTCGGGCGTGGTGGGGAGTTCTTCCGCCCGGGGTGTTGGGCTGCGCGGCGGCGGCTGCTCCTGAGCCTTCCTGGTCCTCCTGAACGGCCGGCGTTGCCGTGTTGGGGTTGCCTCGGTCTCGGAGCTGGGGGTCATGTTATAGCTGCCAGTGTAGGCAGCGTACCGGGTCCGCCTGATCTGGAACCCGGGGGTCTTTTGCTGAGAGGAAGAAGCGCTGGGGGTAGACACTGCGTCCACCGGCGGGGGTTCGACACCGCTGCCTGCGGCCGCTGTTCCGGGAGCGGTGTCAGGGGACATGATGCTCCTCATTCGGTAATCCCGTGCCCATGGCGGAGTTTCGGTGGAAGGAGACTTGGAGATGACCCGTGGCGGATGTTCCGTGGACGGAGAGTCGGAGGCCGGAGGAGGGCGAGGAGTTCGGAGGAGCCGCCGTCTTCGAAGCGTTCTGAAAAGGGGGCTAGGCTTCTGGGCGTCAAGCGCTTGTGTGTGTTGGTCCGGATTGATCATCATCTCCCACGACGGCTCCCACTGCGGGTAAAAGCGGCCCACTGCGCTGACGCGGATTGGACCACGCAAGATTCTTTTCTGGAGACGGCTCTGAACACTGCCACGGCCGTACTTTTCTTTGACTCGACGTCCGGCACGGCGTAGGTACATGTCGTAGTCCAACTGCGCCAGCAATTCTGGTTTACCCAAACTAGAAGACTGGGCCGGGATGGACGGCATACTTTCTTCAACGCTCCGCAAGTTCGCCCGCAACAGGTTCCTGGCGTCAATCAAACGCATCTCTGAAGTTGACGATGGTACTGGTGTGCCGCGTAGGTCAATGACTGGGCTGCCATGCATTTCGGGACGGCCATAGGACCACCAGTCATACTCGCTGGTGATCTCGTCGTCTTTCGTGCCGATGTGGATTCCCTTGTAGTACAGACCCTGCTTCCACAATTCCTCGTTGCTGATCCACAATGAGAGCACTGCTCGGTTCATGTCATCAGAACCACGCCGAGTTCTGTGCCATCGACCGCTTCGTCAAATCAGCATCGTTGTCTTCATGTGGTAAATAGGCCATGGTAAGAGCTTCTTGTATGAGAGGGGCACAAATACTCACACGCAAAAGACGATGTCAATCGACGGCATGTCGCTGAAAGGGTCCTGGCCGTAGCGCGCCTGGAGTCATGGACATCAGAATTCCGCAAAACAGGGCTGGGCTTTCGGGCCGTACCTTTTTTCCCTTACCCCATTCAGTTACGAAAGACCGGATTTTCTGAACCTCGGGCAAAAAGCGCGGATCAGTGGCAATGTCGGCCGGTGCATTTATAGGCCAGTAGATGCCGAAGGTCCTGCCATCATCGTCCTTGGTGATATCTCATGTGACATGTCAGTGTTTTTTTTTTTTTAAAAAAAAAAAGGAAACGTTCACAAGCGATACGCTCAAGCCATCAAATTCCGATGCATCGATTGGAGATGAGATCGAGAAGGGGAATCCTGGTACGCACAGTGGCCCGCTTGTAGCTCCAACTTGGTCCCAACAGGAGCTCTAGCTGGGCTAGGGTGGCTTTTTTGACGCATAATTTGCCTGAAGAATACACTATGATCAAACTCCTGAAGCATTTCTGTACCTTTTTGTAAGCATATTTCATATCTGACATAGTCTCAGGGCTCAACAGATGCAGTCAGCCATAGGGCATGCAAGACTCACTTATGGCCAAGCCTGGCGCATCACGGGTGACGCTCGAATGCAATGGTATAACACTGGTCCCGCGAAATCGCCCGCTGCCAGTGGGGACCTTGAATTTAGACTGGATGAAATCTATGCTCTCGTGGAACTTGTTGTTGAGTGCCAACTTGTCGTTGAAAAGATGTCGATGTATTGGATGAACCACGCTTTCTTCACGATCCAGGGCCGGGAACAGAAGGGGGCATTTAGTAAGGGGGTGCGGCGCATGACATATTCGGCACGAGGTTGTCACCAAACCCTTCAATTTGTTTTCCAAGCCGGACCTCGAGCGGTCCTCAACCAAGAAAGGTGTTTGTCTTTCGAGGCGGACCCTCGTCTCCGTTCTGAGTGCTTCGGCCGCTTCTTCTTTGTCTGCGGCAAGCTGGGCCTTGTGCTCGGCGTCCAGAGCAGCAATATCAGCCTCTGTCCTGGCTGCATCTGCTAACTGGATGGCCAAAGCCTGATGGGATGATGCGAAAGCAGCTGACGCTGCCTCAGTAGACTTCTCGGCCCAGCGTGCAAGATCCTCGGCCTTCTTAGCTGCCTCCACAGCGGCCTGCACCGCTTGCAAGTGCTCAACATCAGCAGCCTCGACTGGACCCCAGGTCTCGAAGAACCGTTCGATCATTCGACGACGGGCATTGTGGGGTTGAGATTTTTTATTTGGCCTTTTTCGAGGAGCCCTGACAGCTGAATCTTGAGAAGGGTTTGCCTGAGCAGCAATACTCTGTCTCGCGCGCAACCTTCTTCTTTGAAAGGAGGTCACTGCTCCATCAGGTGCTAAAGACAGCGCGGCCGCATCACTGTCCTTGGCGGTGGCCTGATGGGAATAAAGCCTCGGGATGGTGGGTCCTGATGATTTCTGGCATTCCACAGGACTGTGGGGAAGATGTCGAGCCGGTGCCCGACATAGTTCTCGTGGCCATACCGCCTGGGTGGTTAAGCGACGGCTCGGTCGAGCAGGTGCGGATGCCCGTGAGGCCAGGCCTATTCTGGTGATGAGGTTGTCACATGTTGCACGGCGCCAAGAACGCAAAAATGACAATGTCATTTCAGTCGCCGAGGGAACAACATGCAGGGGCTGTGGTGTCGACCAGATGAGCCGGGCGGACGAGATGGCGTGGGGGTGCGGGTGCACGACATGGAGGTCAGAGCATTGAAGGCCTCGCCCAAGTGCTGGTTGAAATTTGACGTTGGATGAAGCCCAAGTGCCTTAGGTAAGCAGGCATGGCAGGCATGGCAGGTACGGAGTACGGAGTACGATGTCCCTGTGTCCGCCTCCAGTGTCAATGATGACGATGACGATCTAGGTAAGTACCTACCTAGGTATATTTTCAACATGACGCCGCCGCAAAGGACCATTTCTGTGGTTTATCAAAGTTGAAGACGGGCGACAACGACAACACAACATTGGAGGGAGAGGAAGGGCGTAACAGCTTACCGCACCCTAACCCTGCCAGTGGGTCTCATCCATTGCCTTGACCCGACCCGGGGCACATGGGCTGATGGGGCACATGGGGCTGCCAGGCTGACTCTGCCCCCTGAGCCTAGACCCAGACTAAGACACAGTCTAACCGCATGGGGCTGTCCTTACTCACGATCCAGGCACGCCGGCTTCATGACAGCAAAAAATTCGAGGTTTTTGACACACGGCCTTGGCTACTTGGGATCTATGTCCGGCTGATTTTCCCGCCCTGGCCCAACCCGCAGCATGGCGACGCTTCAGACAGCGGCCCAACGGCTCGGGCCTCCACGGTGACCACCACACCCAAGTTCAGGTCTACATCTTCGTCTCTGAGGCCCTTATCTCTGTCACCGCCCTCGTCCACTCCTCTGCAGCCGATCGATTCCCTTGTCCCTCGCCGCCGGGACCAGCCCAAAGATGAGGGCCTCCGGCACCCTGCTGCCTCCCACCAGCAGCCTGCCCGGCCTCCGCTGCTCCTCCCCAGGCCACTTGGACCTGGCCAAGATCGACCGCGCCCTGCATGACCTGCGCGACATCTTCTGCCCCCTGCCCCGGGCCGCCGCCTTCAGGAAGCCGTCCCTCTCGTCCAGCCACGCCGAATACCTGTCCGTTCCCGACAGTCTTTCCTCCGGCGCGCCCAGCGGTGTATCCACTCCCCAGCCCGCCGATTCAGGCTACGCATCGGGCGACGAGCACGACACCGACTCGCGCGACGGCGTCACGGACCAGGACCACGTTGCCCAACTCCGCCACGACCCCTACGAGCGCCAGTTTGCCGTCCGCTGGCTGACCAGCCTGATCGCCCGCGCCGACGACCTGCTCTCCTACGCCGACGAGGACGCACAGCAGCGCATCGTCGATGATGCTTCGTATATACTGGCCTCGTTCAGCAGCGCGACCAACGCCGACGAGGACGAGGACTCGGGCGAGATCGAGAGGGACTTTTGTTTCGCGCGGGACGGGCACGAGGGCGACAAGATCGAGGTCCGGCTGATCGACGGTACGCCGGCGACGGGGACGGACCACACCGATGTGGGCCTGCAGAGCTGGGGCGCCTCGATCGTGGTCTCGGACATGATGTGCGCCTCCCCAGGGAGGTTCGGCCTGACGGTCGAGAAGCTGGGCACGGCCCCGCGCATCGTGGAGCTGGGCGCGGGCACGGGGCTTGTCGGCATCACCATGGCCAAGCTGCTGCCCCGACTCGGCATGTCGGGCGCAGCGGTAGTCGCGACAGACTACCACCCCGCCGTGCTGGAGAATTTGCGTAGTAACATCCGCGCAAACCTGACCGACAGCGACGACGTCCCCGTTGAGGCCTGCCTCCTCGACTGGTCCGACCCCTGCCTCGACCCTCCTCTTCACATCGCTGCAGATATGCTCATCGCCACGGACGTTGTCTATGCCCCCGAGCACGCGGCCTGGCTGCGCGACTGCGCCGCCAAGATGCTCTCGCGGGACGGTGTCTTCTGGCTCGTGGCATCCGTCAGGCCCAACGGCCGGTTCGAGGGCGTCACCGACACGGTCGAGGCATCGTTTGCAGACGTCAGGGATTGTCCCAAGTCAGAAGATGGCAGAATGGCGCTGCGGATATTGGCCAAGGAGAAGCTCGAGAAGAGGAAGGGCGTCGGGCGGGGCGACGAGGTTGGGTACAAGATGTTCCGGATTGGCTGGGAGCAGTTGGGATAGAGAAGAGGGCCTTCACGACGAAACGATAGACATGTGTAATCTGGAAGCGATAGAGGTAGACATTGTGGATACCCTAGACATTTAGACCGGCCTCATAGAGACAAGAATGGCATTTTGGAAGAGAGAAGATGGAAGCTTAGACTAGACTAGACTCGATAGAAATCAAAGTTGGAATGTGGTCGCGTGTGCTTGGCTGGCGGTGGTCTGATTCTCCTCACCTGCCTCTCCAAACTCAAATGATCCCTTCGGCAAACCCCTGCATGCATGTGCGTCCAGTACTGCGGAGTACCAGTCGACCAAGCAGCGCCGAGCCGAGAATCCAACCCGGGGCATAAGATAATGTTTTATTGATTGCACGTCATTGCTTGAACATGCACGTCATATTTCCTACGTGCATATTAGAGTACTTTTTCTGATGTGCAACACACGTGTGAGTGAAACCATGGGAGTTGTTGAGTTTGTTGTCAGGTTGGCGAAGTACTCGCGTACCTTGTGTGCACCTGCTAACCCTTTACGGAAATAACTACAACACCACGTTGCAAATCACGTTTTAACGTGGACAACGACACCTTCTGATTTGTGTGAGTCCAATCTTGAATGTGACAGAAAACTTGCATCCGTCATCGCTGAGTCAACAATACACACGTATAAGAATAAATCCAAACGCTGAAATCGCTCCGATAAAGACCCAACGCTTGTATAAATAACGCAACTACACCCGTCCATCTCCAGGCAATTTTGATGCCACTGAGAAGCTGTGTTCGTTCTGCGAGGACAGGTAGGCATCGGCTTAAGATGCCCTCCTCTGCCCAGCTATCGACCATACCAAAACCGCCTCGGCGGGCTGCTTGTAGGGTCAACCACGTACGCACAAGGTCATGCTAGATCAGCCGAATACCCCATCATTTGCCGGCTTGAACTCGACGTGAGGTCGAGCCTTGGCATACTCAGGTATGTCAACCGCGTTCTGGGCATCCAGGCCTTCCAGAATCGGCGCCGACATCCCAAGCTGCACGATGAGCCAAGACACGATCAGTTACTGCAATGTCCACCTAGATTCCAAGGGGATCTCAGGGATGGATCAACTTACCGCGAACATCCTCAACTTGACTGCATGCAGCATGGTTGCCACACCAGAGGTAGCCTTGAACCGCACGACAGACCACCCAAGGGGTGGCAGGTCATGCACAACAGCCAGGCCAGGGTTCTCAAGGTTCAGGGACCCAAAGCCAGCCCGGACCGCCTCGCTGACGGTGTCGTAGGGGAACGCACCATCTGCGGCCGACCCGAGGACCCAGTGCGGCTCGCCGTGCTTGTAGAGCGGGATCGACTCATTGAGGGTGTTCTTGATGATCAAGTCGACGACCGCACCCGCAGGGACACCGCCGATGATGGGCTTCTCGACCTCCTGCGCCGCGGCGGACCCGGAGCCCTGCGCAAAGTTGAACAGGACGGGCGTCATGGACGCGCGGAATAGCTGCCACGGCTTCTCGTTGAGGAAGTACTCGGGCGCGTGCGCCTCCGTCTCGGACTTTTGCACCCCGGCCGTGAGGCGGTAGGTCAGGTCCGCGGCGGCGCGGTCCTTCTTCTTCCCCCACGACCTGCTCGCCGCGGGCACTGGCACCGGGACCGCAGGATAAGGGGGTAGGAAGTTGGCCTCGACCTCCTTGCAGTGCGGGCGCACGCTCGAGTCCTTCAGCAGGCACACTTCTTCCTCGGACGGCTTTGCCGTTGGGAGTGGCATAGGCTGGCCATAGATTGGCTGGCGCTTCCCCTGGAAACATGAAACGCAAGACAAAGTTCAGCTGCTGATTCGTGTGACGCAACGTTTCGTGGGGTGCAGGAGTCTGTGTGTGGGGGGTTACTGACTGGGTAGCGAAGAACCGCATAACCTTGAAGATTTTGTAAAACACTAGTGGACGATATCCTGACTGCATATTCCGTGGCCGTGGCGTCGGTTCTGACGAGCACGGTGATTCTGCCCGCGCTGGGTATGTATGCAACCTAATTGGGGAACCATTCCGTGTCAGTCAGCTCGCCTTCGACTCGCCTGATTAAGGTTTTGAGATGTGCGGTGTGGGATGATAGGGGCTCACATGAGTAGTGTAAGGCTCCACAAAGCCTCCGTCGTTCGCCACCACGATCATCTCGTGACCGTCAATACCAACCTTGACGGAGTGCTCGAATCCCGAGTTGAGCAGGTTGAGCATCAGATACTGTTGACCGTCTGTCTCGATAACCTGCGTAAATAGAATTCAGATTAGCTCACGCATAGACGTCAAGGCTAGATGGCAGATATAGTTCACCTCATAGTCCGCTTCACTTGGCGAGCACTTCTCATCCGGCAGGCCCTGAGGCTGAATGCAGCCCTTCTCGTCCAGGTCCAAACCGTTCAGCTTCTCGAAGCCAGGCTGGCGACAGTGCACTCGCCCCTTGCCTGCCACACGACTCGGGCTATCAGCGATTCGGGCGTTCGCCTCCTATGACTCGGGAGGACCATCGGCCTTACCGTTGACGATTATAGAGTCATAGCAGTAGAACTCTGAGCCCTCTGCTCTCATGCGCAGAAACTTCCAGCCGCTATCACGATGCTGGTGATTTTTGATGACAAGGTGGCGAATATTTCGCTCAGCCTCGTGGATCTGGCGAAGCTCGAGAGGGTCTGAGGTGATGAGATGGTAGGGGCGCTTTCGTGATGGGCTCGGTGCCACATAGGCGAGGCCGTATAAACCCTAGATACACATGAGGTCAGACAAGATGTGTTCATGGTGGATAGAATTAAACTGAAAGGCTTACATCGACCGACCCGGCAGTGGTGTGCTCAGCATACCAATTTAGTCCCCATTTGCCAGTTGTGTCATGGACCGTGGAGTAGTTGCCCCTAGGTAGGGTTGGGTACTGTTTGGGACTGTGTCAGCATCGATCATCGGAAATAAGGCAAGGGACGGGCCGTACCTGATCCAGTCCAGCAGTTCCATCATTCCAGGGTCCATATCTACAGGTGATATTTAGTATCATGAAACGTGTGGCATGTTTAGAAGTAGTGCCTCTTACTTTGCGGATCGCGGGTACGTCATGCCAGACCTGGAGTGCGGCTATTGTGAGCTGGCATGGTAACAAATGAGAAGCTTGACGACGTTGGAGCCGTACCAATGGATGGATGATTGAGCATAAAGATCATTCTGGACGTGTAGTTCCACAATGTCGCCCTCTTCCGCATACAATGTTGGACATGGTGTCTGGCCGTTGCACACGAGCATAGTACGCCATCGGCCTCCGTCTGAAGGAGTATCAGTATCAGCTATGTCAATTTAGAGATTGAATTACTCGAACCTTGGTTCATCCAGCGTTGTCCAATCTGCAAGTTGTACGAGCGTACAAATTGTGCCCCTGGACCAGGTTTGTCATGTTCGATGAGTGGAGAGGTCAGTCGCGAGGGCACGCCATGGTACCAGAGCTCGAACACTGATAGAGCGGCCACAACAAAAAACAAGTGCAATTTGTTCAGTGGAGTAAAGCGTCGCGGAGCAGCTGACGCAGCAGGTGCCTGTGAATTCGACTCGGGCTTCATCACGTCTTTCGATGCCGCTTTTCTGACCCGTCAAGAAGGATGAGACAATTCAGATTGGCCGGGACGCAGAGGCTTCCAAGCATTCAAATGTTGGGGCAGAAGCCACGCCTGCTTTTGTAACGGACATCTCGGGACAGGGAGTCAGTCACAACCAGACAGACCATGAAATCCCGGATCCCGTACCCTAGGTCGGTGAGGGACCCGTCGGGTCTGGGGCGACTAGGAGTATGGATACACGGAGGTGGATCTTATCCAGTCTCGACTCGTCCGCCGACGTTTGGCGCTATACCCAGGTACATTGCCACTTTGGGCTCTTTACTGTCCAGGCTGCCAGGTTTCCTGAACTGCCGATCTGCGGCACCCAACTTCAAGACCATGCCTATCTACATGGCTGCGCATGCTACCTCAGCCAAGGTCTTAAACGCTAGGTCTTTGAGACTTCACGATTATGTGAAGGGACCGTGCGCCTTCGGATGTGTATAGATTAGGACGAAACTAGTCAACACCCGTGGACCTGGGCAACCAGCTGGGCACCTAACGGGTGGCAATATAAAAATTCAAAATCGTGACGCTGTAGCCGCGAAACCGGGGGTTCTTAGAATGCATTGCTATCAATGGGCCACTTGAAACCAGGTACATCAGGGCCTAGAGCGTCGGCGGCATTCTCTCAGCTGAGCCTTACGTGCCGGGATGAGCGGTCAAATTAAGGTTCGGCTATGTACTTAAGCACATAGACCTCGGGAGCGAGGGTGGATCCGTGGGGGGGTATTTACAAGTCATGAATCCGTCCATGACCGAAGAACCTTAATGTCTGATCACTAGCATAGAGAGCGACCATTCTGCTTACCTCGAACACCCAAACGTCTCAAGCACTCTGGCATATTGGCCATGGCTAGACTCACAGGTGTGCTAGTTTTTCTGCTTCCAGCTTTCTTCTCGACAGTATCATGTCAGGTCAAGAGGTCCTACAACTTTACCATCACAAACAAATGGTTTGCTGGGGACGGCCATGGCAGACCTGTATTTGCCATCAATGGCCAAACCCCGGGCCCAGTGATTGAAGCAGACGAAGGGGACGAGATCGAGGTCTTTGTTGACAATCAGCTCACCTTCGAGACAACTATGCACTGGTAAAACCAAACTTTTGTAATAACCCATCTGGAAACCTCACTGACATAAATATCATATGCACAGGCATGGAGTCTACCAAATCGACAGGCCCTGGAATGACGGTGTTCCTGGTGTGACACAGTACTCGATCCAGCCCAGAGACAATTATACCTACCAGTTTACAGTCCAGCAGCAGTATGGAACGTACTTCTACCACGGCCACTTCGGCCCGGCATTCGCTGACGGGATGCGCGGTCCCATCTGGATCCGCCCAGCGGCGTGGCGGCCACGTCCTTACGGGCTGATCTCATCCTCAAAGCACGACATCGATGGTATGAGAGAGGCGGAAAAGAACCCCCACCACGTGGTGATTAGCGACTGGAACGCCGAGGGCATGGACATCTTGCTCGTTATGTATCGAGACACTGGCATTGTGCCCTGGTGCAGCAACTCCATCATATTCAACGACAAGAGTAGGACCTACTGCCACCCTCCTGAGCTCATCGAGGCGGTCGGTGGTCCCGGCAGAAACTCCCTTGGCTGTAAGATGCAGCCCAGACAGGATCTGTATAGCAATGAGCAGATCTGTGAGGAGACCTTCACTCCACTAGAGGTCTTCCAAGCAGCAGACGGCCAGGAATGGATATGGATCAACTTCATCCACTCCGGTGCCCACCATGAGTTGCAAATCAGCGTTGATGAGCACGAGTTCTACGTCGTAGCCGCCGACGGGGAATTCGTGCACCCGCAAAAGGTCCACGCGGCGAACTGCAATCTTGGAGAGCGCATCAGGTAAGCGTCCCTCCACGAAGCCATGGTGGTCAGGTTTGACTAACATGGCTCCCAGTATTCTGGTTCGTTTGAATAAGAAGCCCGGCGACTATGCCGTGCGGCTTACTTCACTTCGCCCCGAGCAAGTCATCCAAGGTATCGGCATCCTGCGATACGCCAAGAGTCAGTCGACTTCAGATGCGTCTCCCTCCGGAATCGACGCTGTTCCAAACACTAAGCCGTGGGTTCATCTCAACGGCACTCTGGTCGATGATTCCCTCGTCGCTATGGACGAGACTAAGCTTACACCTTACCCTGCACGACCCCCTCCGGCAACATCAGACAGTACCCTCAAGTTCTTCGTGAACATGACTGGCACCGGCTCCTGGGCACTCAACATCGGACCCCACCAGGCCTTCCGTCAACAGCTGCCTCCCCTGCTGTGGGACGATGACTCCCGTGGAGAGACAACATACAGTGAGGGCTCGCTGCGTAACGGTTCCGTCGTCGACATCATTTTTGAAAATGGTGCCAACGTCACCACACAGCACCCATTTCACAAGCACAATAATAAAGCCTACATCATCGGCACCGGCACAGGCGGGTTCCCCTGGGCAAGCGTTGACGAGGCTATCCGCTTTGGCGGGCAGGCCGAGAATTTTAACCTTGTTGATCCGCCCCTGCGCGATGGCTGCCGGTTGGGCAACCAGACGGGTGACTGGACGGTCATCCGGTACGATATCGCCTTTCCTGCAGCCTCGATGCTCCATTGCCATATGATCCATCACTTTGGGGTAAGTGGCTGGCGATCAGCAGACACTCTGCATATTCGCTCGTATCTCCTTTGCAGCCTGAGCCTTGTATATCGCATAGTACTAACTTGTTTGAACCAGGCTGGGCAGCAGGTCGTACTCTTGGAAGGCGTCGAATCCATGGCTAAAATTCCTGCCGGGGTTAAAGACAGGGTCCATGCGGAGTTCATGCCCCCTTTGAGCTACGGGCCCTTGGACTGATCAAGAAGCATTTTCTCCCACGAGGTGCCAGGTATTACAAGCGCCAATGTTGTAGCATTCGCCCGTCTAGTCACTTTTGACCGATGCAATGTGACTTCACAGGCGGTCATAGCAAACTTTAAATATTAGCTAGGTTTCAGAGGTGTATAAAACAGCCTCCCGAAGAGTGATTGCGCGGACTGAGAGATCGATTGGGGCAGATCGCTTCAGGAATCGTGCGATAGCATTCAATGTTCTAGACCACGACCTAACAACTGCCGAGCGCCGTTCCAAAATTGACCTCGGATTGGAGCCTTACGGCGAAGTGTTGGACACATGGGCAGGGTCTTGCCTGCAATAAGGTTGGAAAGGTCCTTCTACCCTGTTGGTGATGGGGACCCTGCTTTATCTCACGCTCTGTCAGAGAACAAGAAAAACGGCCATATCAGCTGCAAATCACTGGAGACATAAGTTACTTCCAGTAGACCTACAGTAATAAAATCATGATTTAGTTATTAGAAGGAGAGTACTATTATACGCATTATAGAAAATACAAAGATAGTACACGCTATTAATATGCGGAATACTAAATTTAGTTTTAACGCAGTTCAGCCCCTTAGCATCTTTTTCCTTTCTTTCATCTTTCAAATCCTGTGTTCAAGGCTTTATCGTTTCGTTTTTCTAATTGCCTCCCGAAGCTGCGACATGCTTATATTCCGTAGACGTCCGGGGACATACATGGCGCCTTCATACGGTGGTTGTCATAGGGTGGATACGATTCCTGAAAGTTGGCATGGTCGTCCTTTAGGAGCGCCCAATAAATCAGCATTGATGCCGGCCGTGCCAGAACGTTTTTGCCCTTGCGTACCTCTGAAGCCCTATTGGACCTTTGACTCATCACCTCCTCCATTTCTGGAAACTTTATCCTTAACTTGGCACCCATCCTTTTCTCCACGCGTCTCACAAATTGCCCAATGACGTTCCTCGGATTGTTGTTCTGGAGAACCACCTGGAGAAGCTCTTGCTGAAATTCCGGATCAAAAGTATTGGCCTGGGCGAGTGCGGTACGAGGCTCAGCCACGTGCCCACGTACTGTATTCTCTTTCCACTGTTATTGGCACTGTATTTCTTCAGACGCTGGGTCTTGAGCGTTTACCACTGTATGAAGGCGCCACGTACATTTTACATGTATGGGGATTAAAAACGAAACCACCTGGCCTGGGCGAAGTCATGAAAAATTGGAGTTTCGGTGCCGGCTCGGACCGTAACGTTGCCAGGTCGGCAGTCGCCCATGACCACACCTCGCACATTGATTTCCGTGGCTGCATCAACGACGCGTTGCAAGACATTCTCCCATTTGTCTGTGGCTAAGGGACTCGAATCGGAAACTAGTCTGTCGAGGGTGAACCCCCCTATTCGCTCCATAAGGATACCATTGATGCAGTAGAACTCCGAGGTGTCTGTTTTCGTCCCGGCAGCCTTGGTCTCGTTGATCCCCGGAGAAAGGCGGACATGAGCAAGCAGCCTCGGAATGTACTGCCCCTGGAGATTGGCCAGCCTATCATATGCCCTTATCTCATTATCGAAGTGTCTAAGGGCATCATACTGCAGTGCACCTTCGAACCTGGCAATTCGGTCTGATTCGCTGTCCTCCTCGATCCAGTACTCTGCCGGACAGCGTGGCAGCGTCTCATCTTGTTCCTGATCGGCCTCGATCTCCTCGAACAACGCCTGAGCCTTACCAAGGCGAACGTAATTACTCCAAGCATCCTCCTTTGCAGAAGTATGCTCGAGGTAACATTCGTCTGGCGGGGGTATTTTACGCAATGAATCCCCAAACCTGCGGTCAAAGACTTTGAGAACGCCCAGTTTTAAGGCTCTCGATTTTGCCTTGTAGACGATTTCCATGACCGGGGACATCGTTTTCGAATATTGCTTGACCACTGTTGCTTCCATTTGGCCACAGTCGATGTCACTGCTGAATGTCTTTGTCACCTCAAATTTGACCGGCTTTCCTTCCTCATATGGGCAAGGTGTTGGTACAGGCAAAGAAGGCTGCGACTGAGCATTCTTTGTGCCTGATAAGATTGACATGGATGACCTCAAGTGCTCGCAGCCATGGTTCAGGGTGGAGCGATGCTTGGTGTTTGTCGAGACCAGTGTGAGCAGAGAACACGAAAAGCAGGGATCAAGTGATTGTAAGCTGGTCAACCTAGGCACCAATGACGGCATCAGAATACTGATTGAGCCCCCTCTATGTTGGCTGGTTGTTCAGCGGCCAGGCCTTGGCGCAGCTGATGATCTGGGCTTGCACAAAGCCTTCCGTAGATGAGAGGAATGAATGAGATGGTTGCACCTAGGGCCCCGACAGGGGCTTTCCACCTGTTTTTTGCTTTAATTCAATGGTTTTCCGATCAAGAATAGCCTTGACAGCCCTAATCACTAATCCCTAATCCCTGACCCCCTGGACCAACCGCATTTGCGGCGTAGAATTCTCCAATGCAACATGCCCCCCCTTGGCTCGCCTGACGTCTCCACTCTCGTGCATTTCAGCCTTTCTCCCACGCGTACGGTTAATGACTTGCTCACGTCGGGCATCATGGGATCGGCAACGGGCTCGAGTCCTGAAATGCAATGCAGCTGAGGTTACGGGCCGCGCCCTCTCGCCGGTTCTACTGCCAACCGAGGACCTTCGCCTCTTACCGGTACAAGCCCCTTCCGGATGCGTCGCAAGGTCCAGCATCTGAGAGCTTCATCCGCCTCCTAGAAGTTGAAAATGTGGATCGTAAATCTGGGGAGTCGGGGGCAACAGGAAGCTCCCTTCGTTGTTCACTGAGGACATTCCGCCTCTCCCAGGCACCGGGCTTCCAAGCGCTTTCCTATACCTGGGGCAATCCCCTGACACGCTTCTCGAAAGCCTGCAAACAAGATTCAAAAGCGTCTCCGCGTCTACAGCAGCATGGGTCTCAGTCCGGAAGCACCAGTCCATACCCGCATGTCGTGGTCGACTCCCATTCTCTGGCAGTCACGCCAAACCTTCTCTCGGCACTGGAAATGCTTGCATCTAGGCCCTATTCTGTTTCAGCTAGCAGGTCAGCCAGGTATCCAATATCACAGGCTCGGACTCCTCCTCTTTGGAGGGGCCTCTCCCCGAGGTCGAGGTTCTTCTGGATCGACGCAATATGCGTCGATCAATCCAATACCCTGGAGCGAAACGCACAGGTCGCCATTTTTGCAGATCTGTTCCGCGCAGCGCAGAGCGTAACCGTCTGGCTAGGCCCAGAGGACCAATTCACAGACGATGCGCTTGCGGCAGTCGAGGCCATCTCGCCATTGATGGCCCTCTCTGCGGCCGACACAACCAGGGAGTCCCGGCGGGCTTGGGATGATATCAGCTACACCGACTTCTTCGACGAGGGCTGGTATTCCAGAGTCGCTCAGGTCGTCGGGCTACAGGGCAATGTCACTCACCGCCAGTGGCTGGGTCTCCTCGCACTGCTCAGCCGGCCCTGGTTCCAGAGGGCCTGGGTCGTACAGGAACTCGCGCTCGCGAGACAGGCTATGGTCGTCTGTGGGGAACGCATGGTTCATTGGAGCCGGCTCGCCTCAACGCTCAGCTTCATACGCGCAAAGAGGTGGTACCACCACCTATCCACTGAGAAGATGCGTCATATTGCGAGCCTTCGGGATCGCCCTGGCGTGTATTCAGAGTTCTTGGCCTCGCGGACAGACTTTCCTACTGGTGCGTTCTCGCTGATGCATACGAGAAAGATTCTGAGGTATAATGCTCTGAAACAATTTCCCGATCCTGAAGATGAGGCCGGCGATCTCGAGCAGAGTGGCAGTACCTTTGTAGAACCCTTGTCACTCAAGTCATTGAAGCACAGTGACTCACTTGCTCCGTCTCGTAAACCATCGAAGGGCTCCGTATCGCTCGACCGGCTTATGTCAGTACATCGCGACAAGCTCGCTACCGACCCTCGAGATAAGGTTTATGCTTTTATTGGCCTCGCAGACACAAAGACGGAGGTATGCGGATCGCCAGCGAGCTCTATTCGCCCGGATTATGAGCTTCCGGTCCAGGACGTCTACACGCGCGTCATGGCGCAGCTCCTGCTCGCTAACCGCGACCTACATTTGCTCTCTCACGTCCAGGACCCAAGCCTTACAAAGCTTGAGGGCCTGCCGAGCTGGGTACCTGATTTCAGTGTGATGCTGGCCCCCTACCCGCTGAGGTTCCGAGGGGCCGTCTCCTGGTCGGCATGTGGGGACACCCGGTGGCAGCCGCCGCCGAGTGACGAGGACATGAAACGAGGGATACTGCATGTTCAAGGATCAAATATCGGGGTCGTCGAGGAGACTGCCCTGTTAAAAGACGAGGTGGAATGCTCCGCGGAGTATTGGTCCAGCATTGTGAATCTGGCACTGAGCCTAGACGAGCAATATCCCGATCTTCCCAACTGGACCACCGACTGGAGAAAGCCTAAGCCGGCGCCTCACTCTCGCCTCGAGGCCTTGTGGCGGACTTTGATGACTGACGTTTACTCACGGCAACACCCGGCTCCAGACTACTGCGGGAGCTTATTCGTGGAGTACATACTGAATCTACAAATCAGACACACCCTTGCGCCGTGGTCCGACGTCGACTTCATGCCTCACCAGAGCCACACACACGCCCACGACATCCAGCCCCGCTGGCACGACCTGCTGAAGCATGAGCCGGAAGGTCTCTCTGCGTACAAGAAGCGTATGGTGACCATGATGGAAGACATCTTTCAGGGTACGTACTCGCCGATTAACCTGACAGAGCTCCAACACGACCTCGATATCGCCAGCGGCAGCTCAAGGAGGCTTTTCAGAACCGGTAACGGGCTCCTTGGTACGGGGATGAAGTCGGTCGCGAGGGGAGACGAGGTGTGGGTGTTGGCTGGCTCCCAGGTCCCCATGATTTTGAGGAAGAGGTCTACCTCTACGTGTGACGATAAGTACAGCTTGGTGGGCGAGACATATGTTCATGGGATTATGCACTGGGGGAGCAACGCGCATAGCTCACCAGAGTTTGAAAAGATTACTTTGCACTGATTTAAGTAGAGTCATTGTCCTTCAGTTGTGTCATATTGTACTGATCTGCGGACCAAAGGACATGACATCAGTAGTGCTAATGTGGAAATGACATTCAACTACATTGAAATTGGGTCTTTCCATATTCAATTAGAAACCGTCCTCATGCCCTAATGTTGCCACCATAGTTGCTATTCAGAAACTCAGACAAATCAGGGCGAATCTCGTTCGTGCATAGCAAGAACGGGGCAGGGAAAGCACGGTCAACAGAGAACAGAGCTATTTTGAAGGTGCCTGGCACCTTAGCCTTGGAAGCACCTAGATAAGTCTAGGTTTACTGGGCATATAGATGTTGCAAGCCATGACTGAACACATGGGGAGCTCAAGACTGTCCATAAGCCTTGAAAATGCGCACATCTGAGTGCTAGCCCATTGAGTGGTGGTTTCGTTTTTAATCCCCATACATGTAAAATGTACGTGGCGCCTTCATACAGTGATAAACGCTCAGAACAGTAATAGTTTGTGCGCCACGGTTATTGGTGACTCGCCCTATGGGAGTGAGCCACTGGCAATGCTTTCGTTCAGCCTTTGGTTGGCTGGTGAGATAGGAGCCTCTTTGAGTCACAATACCTCCATGCCATTTGGAACGTGTTCTTGCCGTTCAAGTTCTGAATTAATCTTATTCATAGTAGGAATGCTGCGAGCAATTAAAACGTGTGAACAGCAGTAATGCCAAATTGCCAGTTTCAAGAGCCGTTGTTCTACAAGGTTATACATTTGAAACGTATGAACACAAAATACTACAGAAATTTCATATGGACTTCAAGGACGTATCGGGATTATTTTCCATGACATCCCAATTCTGGATTAAATTGGCTAGTGCGAAGCCGAGAAGCGAAGACAAATGGCCACTGAATAGCCCGCATCATGTCCGATCAGTATCCGAACCAACGATCAAGAAGCCCCAGTGAAGACCGTTACCGGAGCAGTACACGAGGAATACAAAGTATGAGACTCCATTGTCCGCTTCCCACGTTTGGAAGATTCGTTGCAGACAAAAGATTACCACGAAGTTCCAATCTGGTGGCAGTGTTTTCCGGCAATGAGCCCCACCCCCAGCTCGCCTATCAACCAAGCGCCAGGGCTTCCAGTTCAACGATTTGGAATGATCAATCTCGCGGAAGACTCGGAAGCCTCAGAGAGCCGATTCTCCCCATTCCCATCAACACGACTTCAGCAAGCCCTGGTTCTAGAGCCGCGCGAATGCCTACTCATCAACCAGGCATGGGAACGGCACAAGCTTCTTCTTTCAACCATGTACGCCAATTAGATTCTACTTTGTCTAGAGGTGGACAGTCGACACACAGTTTTGGTATTACTGCACCAAGCGAGGGCGCGGGCTTGGAGAGTGTATCTCAGCCGTAAGGCACCGGCACCGAATTCCAGTCAATCGTCGGACATCAGAGTGGCTATAGTGACCCCTGTCTTCCTCAGTCTACTGGAGAGCGAGTTATCAAACCTGCCAGCAGGCCTCAATTTAATCCAGTTCCAGCAACAAGTGTGGTAGGGACGAGGACATGGCCTCGGCTGCGGTCTAAGCCGCAAGACGACGAGATTCACAAAATCAGAGACAATGGGCATAATTGGGCTGAAGTTCCGGCAGTAGTTGGAAGCACTCCGAAGCAGGTCCACAACCGCCACGCCATCCTTGATCAATCGGTAAATGATCATCTCTCTCGGAACTCTTACTTGGGCTGTCTTCAGTACCTACTGAGCGTAGAAAACAGTAGTCGAAAAGTCGCGAGGCCCACATGAAGAAGCTGTGAAAATAGGTTTTGTCCTGATGGTCATCTGAGTCTCAGCCTTGCCCGTTGCGGTCGGGACGGACAGGCGGCTCACGGCGAACGTTCTGGAAAATTAGAGAGCACCCGCAAGCCATCTCGAGAGTAGATCCAAGATGACTGCCCTAGCATAGACTCAACCCCCATGCTGTCTGGGTACCTACACGAGCACGAGTCTTTTTTGTGCACGTAGAAAATATCACGCTTGACAGCTGGAAATATGCTGACATGGTTTGAACATCAGTAATACGTCGATCGATTCACCGGCAACGGGTTATCCTACCAGACGATTGGCATTCCGGGCTGCAATGTGATGATTTTGGGTTCGTGCAAGTCATAGGGAACGACAGCTCTGAATGGAACCGCCGCTACTATCGGATTTGGTCGATATGGGCATGGAGATCCCTGTTTCCACGGGGAGATCAGTCATGCTTTCGCGTAACCGGCTTGGAGGTATCTGAAGTGCAGCTTGACAAAGGGGGTTAGGGGGTCTCCTCAACTTTCAAGTGATTGTTCCCCGACGCTTTGGGAGACGCTGCACGACGAGCGGTAGGGGTAGACCCTGTACAATCCTTCAATATCTGTGCGACATGGGCTGTGTCCTGCAGGGGGCTTGCGTCCCTGAGGAACCTTGGGAACCCAATCTCCACCATCTCAGTTCTGGCCTGCTGTCAAACAACGACGCTTCGTTCCGCCTGCTCCAGCCCGCGTCTTGGCCCGCTGTGGGGTTTGGTAAAGAGAGGGCTTAACCTGGGCCCCTGAACGCCGACTCGCACTCCGAGTCCGGGCGGCGCTGTTGCTCAATTTATGTGGAGGGCGAGTCGCGGCTCGGCGAAGACCTCTGTTTCTCTTCATGCTGTGCGCAAAGCTGCTTGCACCGTATTTGGTTAAGGTTTAGTTTAATTAAATTGCCTCGTGGTCGCCCGGGCGGTGCCATAGAGCTTCATTTCCCTTCTCAGCCGCACCCTACAGCCGCCACGGGTTGCAGTTATGACTTGTATCACCAATAACAACCTCAAGCTGACCAGTTCGTCAGCTCCAGCTGCTTTCTTCCCTTTGTCCATGCGAAACATTTCAACTACGTCTTCTACTTTCATCCTACAGGACTATCGCCCAGTCCTCTAAGTCCGATGAGATTCCAGGGTTTGTCCACTAGCACTGTCAGGCACCGGACCTAGCCGGCATGTCTTCAAATGTTAGGTACCTAGGGTAGGGACTTGGGTACATGAAAACTTCCTTGCTTAGCACTCACCCTGGTCACTTCGCTCGACTTATGATTAATGAACTTACTTGCTGTGCTCTAAAATAGACTTTGACTTCATTCCCTGCCTAGGAAATTTACTTAAGTAGACGACATTGGCGTTCAGGCTGTTCCGGCACCCACGATATATGTAGAGGGTATACTCGCCGAGAGCACGTGCGCATTCAGGGGACTGTCATCCCTCACTCTTTTGGTTTGTTTTGTAGCCTTCCACTCTCTTTCTGCTACTGCCTTTCATTTTACAATCATTGATGCAGCGCACGCCTTTCATTCCTTGATATACCGGCGAGATAACATGCGGTTGCAAGCATTTCTGGGGGCCATATGCCTGCGCGCAGTTGCAGCCTACTGGATGGAGGATGTCCAACACCAAGGGATTTCCTCCTTTAACTCGGATCCATCGGGCTACCAGGTCTTCAGGAATGTCAAAGACTTCGGAGCCAAGGGCGACGGTGTCACGGATGACACGGCGGCCATCAACGAGGCCTTAACGAGCGGGGACCGCTGCGGTTTTGACGGGACGTGCTGGGGTGGTTCTACCACGACTCCGGCCACCGTATACTTCCCAAATGGGTGAGTACCAGGGCTCTGTGTGGTGCAAGATCGAATGAGGCATGCTGATCACCTGATAGCACCTACCTCATCTCCTCCTCCATTCTGGATTACTACTATACCCAGCTCATCGGCGACCCCACTGCAATGCCTGTCATTAAGGGCTCCGCCAACTTCACTACGTCTCACGGTATGTCGCTAATCGAGGCGAACCGGTATGGCGCGAACGGCCTTTCCTACAAGGCGATCAACGTGTTCTTCCACCAGATTCGCAACTTGGTCCTGGACACCACCGGCATGTCACCTAATACTTCGGCCATCGCCATCCATTGGCCATCCTCTCAGGCAACCACGATTCAGAATGTCGTTTTCCGCCTTTCCGAAGCCCCAGGGAACAAGCATACTGGAATATTCATGGAGGAAGGCAGTGGTGGCTTTCTTGGGGACCTGGTCTTCTACGGTGGCCAGTATGGTGCCCAGCTCGGGAACCAACAATACACGACACAGAACCTCACCTTCTACAACGCGCAAACCGCCATACTCCAATTCTGGAACTGGTTTTGGGTGTATAAAGGTATCACCGTTGTCAACTGCGAGGTCGGTATCGACATATCGGCCTCTAGTGTTGGCTCTGCAGTGATACTAGACAGCTCCTTCCACAACACCTCTGTTGCTTTGGCCACGAATAGAAGCACCACTGAGCCAGGGGAGATGCCCGGCCAAGGTTCCCTGGTACTCGAAAACGTTGAGTTCAGTGGTGTCGATACTATGGTGGTAGGCCTCAGCAACGCCTTGGAGCTGGAACTCTCAAGCGAAAGCACCACCACCATCAGTGGCAAAGTTTTGGTGAGCACCGCCCTGCCGGAAATAAAAGAAGTATACTGTCTAATTAGGGGAAACAGGGAAATGTATACACGCCGAGCGGGCCGAACTTTGTCTACGATGGACCTAATGACTGGTTCGACCGTCCAACTGCTCTGGAGGGCGAGGGCAAGTACTACAGGCATTCGAAGCCCCGCTACGACGACACGCATTCCACGCAGTTCCTTTCGGCCCGCAGCTTCGGTGCAAAGGGCGATGGTGTTACGGATGACACCGCTGCTCTCAACCTTCTCTTCGACTCCGCGTCCCAGTCCTTCAGCACCGGCGCAGTTGCATTTGTCGACGCGGGTTACTATAAAGTGACGGATACGATACGTATTCCACCGAATGTGCGAATCGTTGGCGAAGCCCTATCATCTGTCATTATGGCCTCTGGAGAAAAGTTCTCCGACATGAGCAACCCCGTCCCGGTGGTTCAGGTTGGATTGCCTGGCGAATCAGGCTATATTGAGTGGAGTGACATGTTTGTTTCCACACAGGGCGGCACTGCTGGTGCAATCCTCGTCGAATATAACCTTGCAGGCTGTTCAGAATGCGAAAATCCTTCAGGGATGTGGGATGTACACCTTCGTGTCGGTGGCCACGCTGGCTCGCAGCTCCAAAAGAACGACTGCCCAGCTATCAAGAACGGGACCAAGATCCTTGATAGTTGCATCGCGGCGTATATGGGTATGCATATCACCAAACCCGCATCTGATCTGTATATGGAGAATACCTGGATGTGGGTTGCAGAGTATGTCGTTCCACTATCCAACATGTGATATCAAACTTTCTTACTAACGTGACCTCCATCAGCCATGATATCGAGGATCAAAATGCTACTCAAGTCTCGGTCTACGGCGGCCGCGGTCTTCTTATAGAGTCTGAAGCCGGACGGATCTGGAATGTCGCCTCAGGTGTCGAACACTGGGTTCTTTACCAATACCAGCTCAAAAATACGCAGGATATCTGGATGGGTCAGCTTCAGTCGGAAACACCCTACTACCAGCCGAACCCCCCCGCACCCTATCCATTCACCGAAGTGAACGAGGAATTAAGCGACCCCGACTTTGCGACAGACTGCGCGGCTCTTGCTAGCAGCGGTGGCTTTATTTCCGGTTCCAACATCACCGCACCCTGCGAGATGGCGTGGGGGTTGCGAATCATCGACAGTAGCAATGTAGTGGTGTATGGAGCTGGTCACTATAGCTTCTTCAACAGCTACGACACAACGTGTAGCGACGGGCCCTTTGGGTCGACAAAGAAGTGCCAGTCTCGGATGGTCTGGATTGAGGATACCACAGGATCCTCGGAGAACATCGCCATTTACAACTTACTGACCATTGGTGCTTTGAGCATGCTGACGCACAATGGCTCAGATGTTGCATTGTGGAAGGACAATTGGAACGTGTTTGGAGAGTCATTGGCTCTGTTCAAGGCCTCATAAGTGGATCCCAGCTTCTGAGCACCCAGGTCCGCTCAGGACTTTAATTTATATGCACCCATCCTTTCTGTATACTCGTGATAATGTGCAGCTCTCGAGAAATTCCTCTCGAGCCATAATACGAATCCCTAGAGGAAGTATTTGATTGAGAATCATGGCACGAGCTCGTCGTCCCTTAGGTGGCGCGTCGAAAATTTCATCGTGTCGTCGTGACATGCCTCTGCTCCAAACCTCCCTCGAGTTTTTTCAATAATAGGCGCCGAGAAGCTCGCAGGCGTGACGGTGACATGGTAGTCCGTGGGTTCTGGGTACCATCCCTGCAGTGCCTCAAACAAGTCAGCGCTTCCAGTCTGATCACAATGCGAGGATTTTAGGTGATCTAATCCATCACAGACATGTCCCATGTTCGTAGGTTGTTAAGCCAAATGCTTTTGTAACGTGCACACTTGTCCTAATGTAAGCACTAAAATAACGCGTACTTGGCATAGGCAGCCGCAAATACTTCTTGGAAGTCACTTCCTCAACCACTGTTTCGTTATTGTTACACAATTGCAAAAAGTCTTGCCAGCCATGGCGTCGCGCAATACCTTCCAAGGTACGCCGCCGTTCCCAGACGACATACCCACGGCGTCAATGAGTACCATCTCCCTGGCAACCCTGCGTTCGGGAGGTGAAGAAGCCGCGAAAAGCCTCCTTGCAGCTTGTCGAGAGCTGGGTTTCTTCCAGCTGGATCTGGACGGGGACGTTCTAGGGTTGGAAATGATGAAAGATATTGACCAGCTCTTCGTGGTTGGAAAAGTGATCATGAATCTTCCTTCGGCGGTGAAAACACAGTACCTTCACGACGCCCCAAGAAGTTTTCTCGGGTACTTGTCGTTTCTGCTCCCCTTTGCTTCATTGATATGCCTCGACTCGTTTTTCTGACGCTTGAAAGGTTCAAACCACGCGGCGGTGCCAAAACTGAGACGGATGAGCCAGACCGCTTTGAATGGCTCAACCTTGGGCAGGACAGCTTGATGGGAGCCTCTGCCCAGCAGCCTGTCCCACCGCTGGTACAGTCTCACCTAGCGCTCTTTACCTCATTCCTCAAGCACGGTCAAAGCATCGTCGCCACGATCAGCTCCACGATCGCGACACAGCTCGGCCTGCCGCCCGACACTTTTGCATCCTTGCAGGACCCTTCCAAGCCCTCTGGCACCGTGATACGCCTCATCAAAGCATTTGCTAGCCCGGACCCGACGGATCTCCGAACCAGCATGATACATCACACGGACTTCGGGACGATTACCCTTCTTGCAAACGTGCTCGGTGGCCTGCAGATTCTGGCTCCGGGAAAGTCACCGGGCGATGATTCGGGCTGGCTGTGGGTGCGGCCGCGCCCGGGCTTTCTGGTAGTGAATCTAGGTGATGCCATGGTCCAGTGGACGGGTGGGCTGCTGCGGAGCAACGTTCACCGCATCAGATATGCACCTGGTGCGCAGCGTTTCCATGACCGGTTCAGTCTAGCCCTCCTGGTGAGGCCAGAGAGAAATGCGAGCATGAGGAGACTGATAGGCGAGGAGCAGGAGGACGAGGAGGAAAAGGCATTAACGGCTTGGGAGTGGGAAGTCAAGAAAACCATGTCTTACACGAGGGGTGAGGCTGTCGCAGAGAGTAAGGGAGGGAAGCAGTGGGTTCAGAAAGCATGAATTACGAGTCCAAAATGTGTTGGTTGCTGCTGCCTCGATATCCATTTCCGATTCCCGGTAGCAGGTATTCTGCCATAAATGAAGAAGGCAGGGGCTCCTGAAGTCATAGACGTACGTTTGCAACATTATCCTGCCGCCTCTATACAGACTGAAAGCTCGAGACCGCTTAGAAATCACCCATAAATAGTACCTCGATGACGGACAAGAAGACAGCTGGGGGCGGCGGAGGCGGCGGTGAGGAGAAGGAGAGCTGCTGTGATAGCCACCCTCCAGATAGGGGTCTCTGCCTCTTCTCCAAGTCACTCTATAGCATTGTGACAGGCGATCGACAAGAGGATCTCGATCAAAATACTCATCACTGATTCGCTGGTATCATCCATTGCTTAAAAGAGACCCGAAAGATGAAAGCCATTGGAGTGTCTTACCATGCTCGCCGGTCCACAGCAGGCCGAAGAACATGACAGCTGTCGTCACCGGTACCGCAGTGGCCCATTACGCCCACTGGCTCTGGCTCGTATCTCGGACGCCCTTGGTATTTATGCCGAGGATACTTTCCAATGAGCTGAGCGGGAGAAATATGACCGTCCATATGGTGAAGGCATAGACTGTGCGTTTCTGAAGGTCCCGGGTTTTCTCGACGTTGATCGGGTTCTGAAGGTCGTAGATGGTTCTGTTCGAGATGCCGTTATCTCTTCTGGCTCGTACAAAATATTGTCCCGACTGCCACCTAGGGTTGAGTGGGCTTTGCTTGAACCAACTGAGATCCAGGTGCGTGCGAGTTCAAGGTTGTTTCAGTGGTTCTGCTCTGGACTTGACACCTGGCTAGGGTGCTTTCGTGGAGCTTTCGGCTTCTGAGTGTGGATACCATCGATGACCTAGGAAATTTTCCAGGACGTCGGGGTAGTGACTTATGATCTGGTCGATTTACATACTTAGGGTAGTCCGTTTGCCTTCCAGATAAGGAGACCATATGAGCCAAAGGGATGGATGGAGTGATTCGCCTTATTACGCAATATCCATGTCGATAGCAAAGCACGAGCTGACGCCTTGAGCACCATGACAGGTTCTGGGCCGGTCTTTCACATGCACCTGTCGTTTATGGATGAAGATGACAACCCTGTTGGCCAAAACTCGCGGAAGTGAAAAATAAACACCTTATCAAGTCTACGTTTTAGTTCGATGCTTGCGTCGATCCCGGAAGCTTGCAGCTTTCAGTCCATATTTGGCGTTCCTCCAGAGTGAAGCCCCACAAAACACAGCCCCGACACGAGACTGTCAATCGCGACTTGACTTGGATGATGGAGTTTTGTATGGTCATTTTGGGTCATCGCATCTCTGAATTGGTCGCAGAGCGCATCTTCGGTCATCCTCCCGTAGGGGAGTAGCAGAGCTGAAAGCGGGATTCACAGTCTGTCTCAATGCTCGTAAATGTTGGGCTGAGGGCCAAGTAAACATGGCCTCATTTGTCAAGAAGATACCAAAGCTGTGCCACACGGAAGCGCTGTGTACTACCTTTCCTGGTAATCTGGCACACTGCCTGTTGCATGTCGCGCTCACGGGCAGCCTGATGAAGTGTCCGTGTGGATAACTCGGATAAGCACTCAGCCGAGGGCAGGCCAGAGTCACTGGAAACTCTTGAGGCTTATTAAGTAAGGCATACAGACACATTGCGGCTGTCCGGGACACACCGTTGCGGTGGCTGCCGCCATCTGATATTCTCTGAAAAGAAGCACTGGGTTGGGGGGAGGGGCTGCGTGGCTGAGTGACGTTCTAATGGCGGGCTCCGATTAGGTGGTGGTACCTATTGCCCTGTACTAGCCGAAAATGGCCGCTGTTGCCCTGCGAAAATATGCTCTCTTTGGGGAATTTCATGCGCCACCAATGAAGTGGAAGCATTGTGTCTCGGCCCATCCAAAACCCGAATACGGATCAAGGCAGACTGGCTTCATTTCACCCAGCGCTTCGAGACGGTACTTCATCCTCTAATCATCTGTGGAGTGATCGTCACCACGATTTGTTAATGGCGCAGGGACAACCCCGAGGCCGTTGAATTTCGCCCACACCGAGCCTACTGCTCCGTACGGAGTACCGCTTACGTAGGTAGCAATGCCAATTCATCATGCGAATCGACCATGCCCACGTATTCGGCTGCAAGTGCAGAATCCCTTGGTCGTGGCGAATTCCGGACTTGTTTCGCAGGGCACGAGCTCCTGATATAGGTAGCAAGTGTCGGGGGGCAGTTTTCCTTACTGTTTTGCAGCCGGAAGCTGGGTTGAAACAATCAACCCGTGGACGGTGCTTGGGCCACGAGTCGAACAAATGTACATATAGAGATGTGCGATTCTTCCCCCACTCAAAGTGATGCTATGTCATTCAATTTCGCCCTTTCTTACCTAGTTTTTGATCCATGTGTCTTCCCGCCTAGTCTCTATATACTTTCTTCGTTGTGGTCATCATGATCCTCAACAACACTTGGCCCCAGTACTTGGCGGTCCGCCTACTGATCTTGTTTATGAGAGACTTGGGCCTGTTATGCATTGGCTACTTCTTCACGGTGTTTGCCCTCGGTGGCGTAGTAGCAATTGCACATCCAGTCTCTATCATAATCGAATCACTCGGTGCCATTGAGATTCTCTTTTATCTCTTTTTCTTCCTTCCGTATCGCTTCATCATTCAGACTTTCAGACCATACAAACCGCCACCATTGACAAGAGCTGAACGGGCTGAGCTTTTCTACAAGGCCGCAGGCTTGATACCGGACGTTGAAAGTTTCGTCAGGAAATGGACAAACAACGCACACCTCGCGGATATCCGCATAGACAATGTCAAGGAGTGGCTGCTATGGGCGCTCTTCGAGATTGAGGACATGAGGAGCATCGACATTGACACACACAAGGAACTAGACAGTTATATCGAATACGTCCAGCAGGTGATTGGTCTGGAATTGAAACCCGGAAGAGGCGCTGCGGAACCACTTCGCTTGAGTTTCGATCCTATCTACGTGGAGCACCGAAGCCTGGTCTACTATCTTGTAAGTTGGCATCTAATGATGGTGTAATTTCTTAGAGTTATTTCAACTTGAGCCGTATTCTGTGCTACTCCCTGATGGCTTGCTAAAGTTGACACCACAATAGTTCATCGGAGGACTTGATATGATGATGAGCTTGTGGCTTCTCGCGACGGGCTACAAATTCTACAGACGAGCTCGCTCAACATTTTTTACTCTCTTTCCTGTTCGACCGCTTACCTTATTGTCACCCAATGTTTCAGACGCCCCTGAAATGTCCTACTGGTATAGGCCCCACCGCTCCAAGACTCACCGGCCCGTCATAATCGTGCACGGTCTTGGTATCGGACTGCCCCCGTACCAGTTCTGGATGGCTACAATTCCAAAAGATGTCGGCATAATTGCTGTCGAAATGCTTCCAATCTCGACACGAATTACGTCTCAGGTATTGCCTTCGACTCAAGAGCTCTGCGACAGCATCGCTGCCATCGCGGCACAGGCAAGACGGGAAGACCGCGCGTCATGGAACGACTTTGTACTGGTCACAAGTTCATACGGAACTTTGCTGGTCAAGAAACTGATAAATCATCCAGATTTCGGTCCTCGAATTTCTGGCAATATTCTTTGTGACCCTGTCGCCCTTTTACTACACTTGCCTGATGTTGCGTACAATTTCACACGACGCACTCCAACTAAGGCGCGGCGAGGGCGACCGGGTCGGGCTAATGAATTTGAAATTACGTGGGCCAGCGCGACAGAGGCCGGAACCGCCTACTCGCTTGCCCGACGCTTTTGCTGGAGAGAATCTGCCTTGTGTCGGGAGGACATAATGCCAAGCGCCCAGGACGCTGAGAGAGGAACTTCGCGTTATGGCGATCAGGAAGATCAAAGCCCGTCGTCGACATCCATGCGAACAACTGTGATTCAAGGCGGCGAGGACTGCATTGCGCCGGCCAAGAACGTGGCCGCGTATGTCTTCGACGGGGGCGTGACTTATAACCACATCGATATTCGGGCTTGGAAGGAATATGAATGGAAGGGTACCGAAGAGCTTGAGCTGGTATTCTTGGACGGAAAGGATCATGGTCAGGCTATGATGGTCCCCAGGCCCTCGAAGAAAATTAGGCAGGTCGTGGAAGGATACTGTACGAGGGCGTTAGATCCCACGGTAAGACCTGTCTCAATGACAAGCATGTATGGAAAGGGATATTTGGAGAAGTGATGCCGGTAAGAGTCAATACGGACGCTTTTTTGTTTTCTACTCTAGCGGACTCGAATGCTGCAATCAATGATGTTTTCCTCAACCAACACCAACATTTTCTGAGCGCAGAGCGTGATTACGAGTCTCTTCGGTCAAAGTACTGGAGGCGCCAGTATCGATCCCGAGAACTTTGCGTTCCCCAATGGCCCGATCGTGGGCAGCTTCACGCCTACGTCAAGTGGCTCCGCAGAAATCATCCGCACAGGTGACAAGGGACTGCAAGGATACCGACGCGGCTTCCCCGCTCGCCTTCGTGCGCCCAAACCCATTCCAGTAACTCGTCGAATAAATCAAGACCCGCGCAACGTCGGTTGCCGCCGTACCCGATGAGAACATCGCCTTTCAGGAGGCAGGTGGACCAGCTCAACGTGAACTGTCGGGCCGCCTTCAGATCTGTGGTCTGACTCACTGGGTCGGGGGAGCGGGGTTTGGCAAACCTGATGCCTTCGTTGAGCATCGTTGTGTACAGAATCGGGCGATCCGAGATCTTGACGGCTTGCGGGGCTTGAGCGGCCTGCTGCTAGCCAGTCGGGCGTGAGGAAAGATCTTTTGCCCACGTAGTGCTACGAGTATCGCGACAACTTCACCAACATAGCCCGTCGTCCCTGGGTGGGCGCCTGGCACTCTGCCGATCTACCGGCCATCTTTATTAGCACGTCGGGTGACTACACCTCACCGGCCATGCCCTTCGGGACCGAGGTCAACATCGATATACAGGACTTCCTTACGGAGCTGACTCGACATACGCGTCAAAGACTGGAGAAGGCTGATAGGGGACAGGCCAATGATGGCAAGCTAATTGCATGCCAATGCTTCTAATGCGGACGCGACCGGCGGCGGTGCAAGTGGCGATAATGAGGGTGTTGCGGCCTGCAAGGGCGTTTCTACCGGTCCACAGGACAATCATTAAAGAATGAGAGGACACGGGCGCTTTGTTTTCAGATTCACTCGGACTGACCTTTGGCGCGTTGTGATCCATTCTTCCCCGACTTCCATACAGATGATTGATCAGCAGCAAAACCAGTTATATGTGGTTTCGCTTCTATTCTGTATACGTCCGAGGAAATATATGGCGCCTTCATACAGTAGTACACGCTCAAGAGCCAGCCTTGTTTTTTTTTGTTTTTTTTTTAAAAAAAAAAGAAAAACCCCGGCATTGTATACCTACATATCCAACGCTGGGTATTGTCGTGTTTAATAATCTATGAAGGGGCTGCCAATGGCTTTTGAAGAACACTTCTATGTATTAAAGAGGGAAACCACCCCACATGATAGAAACGCATCAGCTCGGTGTGCAAAAAATGTGATGAAAATTCGCCTAGCCTCAAATCCCTTCGTCACGCCTCAATCATTCGTGCAGGTGAAACTCGCAGCATCATTGACGTCTCCTGAGCCGATATATGTTAGAGCCTGAGGATATGGGCAGAGATTCCTGGTGATGGCAACGTTATCCACTGTTATTTCGGCCGATAGCATCTCGGGGATCTCGCCCCTCTCCACCCATCGTACCAGAGCAGAAAGGGGATCCGTCGGAACCGGGCCATACCCCCCGGAGCAATGTCCAGCGCCTGGTGCAAGAAATACCCGATAGAAGTCGTCAACCACTTCCGAGCTTCCGAGATCCTGCTGCACTCTATCCCAGTATAAGGTTGTACCGTTGTGGGCGATGTAAGGATCGGCCATGCCATGCCAGGTGAGCAATTTCCCCCCTGATTCATGGAAAGAAGCGAGCTGCGGCTCCTCTGTGCCGAGCATGGGGGTGTAAACCTCGACAGATGTAGCAAAGCTTTCATCGAATTGAGCAAAGGTTAAGTTGGCCAGGTCGGGCGGATTGAAGCTTGTGTTCCGGAAAACGAAGTATTCAATCCATGCTTCGGCAGAATAGAATGGGACCGGAGCAATTTTGCCATCAATGGCCGTGGTATTGGCCAGGCCGGAGAATGGTGCTCCAGGGGGCACACCAAACCAGAGGAATTGGCCATCTATTGTCCGCGCGCCATCAATGATTCTGGATACCACATCGGCATGCTCTGACGAAATCTCAAAATTTCCGCCCGTGTCCGAACAGTTGACAATCTCGCCGATGAGCTGGCTGGTGTTGTAATTGCACCTCTCAGGCCGGGAGATGAGGCCGTCAGTGACGCCATCCAAAGGATCACATTCGTCGATAATGTGCTTTAAATAGGCATTGAAAACACACTGAGGAGGCGCGGCGATATTACCCATGACGACCGAAGGCCAAAAGTCTGCTGGGCTAACTTGGGGTGTGTTCAAAGCTGGCGACGCTGCAAGGATTCCGTCAAAATCTCCGGGGAAGTTTTGTGCTGCGAAATATCCCATCCTACCGCCAGTCGAGCAGCCAGAGTAATAGGAGTACTCAGCGGCTTCACCATAGAATGCCTCGACCGCCGCTTTACCAAAAAGTGTCGTCTCGTGAAGAGATCGGTAAGCGAAATTCTCGATGAGAGCCCAATTTAGACTCCCATCAGCGCTGAGCGCCCACGACCCTTGTTGAGGATCAGCAGTATTCAGTTTTGTGAGGCCGGCATCCGTGAAAGCAGTTGCGTATCCAGAGGTGATGTAAGTGGCCATGGTTGACTCGCGACCGGCTACCAGGCCTCCACCTCCAGTCACCAGAAACCTCCCATTCCAGCTGGTAAGGGGTAGCCATATTCCAGCGATGACAGAGTCATTCGTTCCCGGGTCATTTAGTATGGCAGTAAAGTTGCAGAAACTCAAGTTCGGAGTCAAGGAGTTGTTATATACCGAATGAGTTTCTGAAGATAGAATGGTAAAGCCCTCGAACGCCGGTAGGGTCAGGTTCCCACATCTTTGTTGAAAATCCTGACAATGCGGGGCGGCTAGGACTTGAAAGCCCAAAGCAGCCCAAGCCACATACGGCGTGAAGCTGAAGCGGTGAGGCATTGGGAGCGGGTTCGAAAGTATTCCAGTACCTCAAAAAGAAAAGCTGTTCGTGGCTAAATTAAGCCAGAGAAGACTGTCGGATGGGTAGGATAATTTGTGAAAAGCTCGACGTCGGAAAAGGCACCATGATATTGAATCACAGGTACTCCGTAACTAGGCCGGTGATAGATCCACCAAACGATGTCACCTTAAGAAGAGTGGAGGAACGAGAAGCCGGCCGGCACAAGTACAACCGAGCTGTGAGTGCCTACTGAATGGTACCCAAAGGAAGCTGCATAGGGCGGTGTCCGCAAATTTATATGGAGTCTCAAAATACAATCAACGAGATAACATCGCAATCTAGCTGGCCCGGGTGTTCCGATGACGGATTACGTATTGTCTAGAGGAATCCGCAGTGGATTGGCAATAAATTCTTCTCCATACGAAGACATTTTATTTAGAGCAGGCTTTCACTGCACACCCTTGGAGACCCAAGGTTACACAGAGTAGCTTGCGTGTGGCCCTCGATAACACCTCACCCTTCACAGATGTGTGTCTTCGTCGATATGTGAGAGATGGGAAGGGCCGTTGGGTAATATTTCAGTCATTTCCGACTTCGGGAGCCGTTTATTGTTGAATAGAAGCTAAACCAGTTATTGTCGCATATTGATTCCCATGATCTGAATTCATTTGACAAAACGAGAGAGCAAGAAATCCGCGGGTGAAATTCAGACCATAACTTCCTCCTTTAATACACTCAATCGATATCAACACATCTGGGCTGAAGCAGCAGGACTGGGGACTAATGTTCAAGGATACGTCGAACGTTTGTCCAATATTTGATGACAGAAATATGCTGGCTGATACACTACCCATTGTCTGCCCCGACGACAGTAGTTGTCAACTGTGCCGTGGTTATGGATTCGAATCTCCTGGAGCACTACTGTCGTGAAGCCGACCGATAGGGCAACACCATAATTATGACGCGCTGCTCGAGGAACATCACCACCAGAGGCCCGCAGGCGTGCTCCATCATGCGATATCTGATACGGTGAGTGTTCTCGCGGCCCCCAAGGCAGCCGTTTTAGAGAAATACGATTCCTTGATGATTAGAGGGGCAAGTTCAAATGTTTCTGTAGAAGAGTGCTCGCTGAGTGGTAGAGCCCCAACAGCAAGGCACCGTGAGGTGCCAGCGAGAGGAAATGCTCTCGAGTCTGCACTTACCAACACATAATTCTTGCGACCCTCGAGTCGGCCTTAGACTGCGGCCCGCGTGGCTCAACATGAATATAGATACCACAGTCGCCACGTGCACCGTCAAGAGCATCCTTCAAATGTTGTGACTAAATGGCTTTGTTCTTAATCCGCATACATTTTGAAGGCGTATAGTCCCTTCACACAGCAGTAAACGCTCAAGAACCCAGCACACACTCTGTAACAATACAAACTTTCGCGTTATCGTGGCTTTTTACATATACTAGTAGTTGTGTGCAATTACAGAGGTCCCTTTCGCACATTGATTGTTAAGTCTCATGGATATGTGAGTGGCTGCCGTGTTCACGCTACCTTCTCGACAATTGGAATCATGGATATAGTCTAATTTGCAGTTCTGACGGTTGGCTAAATAAGATCCACGGGAATGTACTTGGACCAATCACCCTTGACCTTCAAGTACGCCAGCGGCTCCATGTGCTCGACGCTACCGCCATAAGGACGGCTCACTGAATAACCAAGGAACTTTTGTACTGGTGTAGGGTAGTTCTCAGCAATCTCCCAGGGAACTGCCAAATACTGGTTCTCTTCCTGACGGCGGTATCCCGGGGTTGAGAATGCACTGAAGAGGATGCTGGGCTCATTGGTGGTGTTACTCAATTGTCCGTAATATACTGATCCCAGGCTGGTGAGGCTGTTAGTTAAAAGTAGACAGTATTGTCGTTGCACGGGATCTGCGCATCACTCACCAAAGCAATGCGTCGCCCTTGCGAAGCTCGACCAGGTATTCATCCTTTTCGGAGGGGTCACGCTCATCCTTCCAGTTGTTGGAGCCGATGACGACTCGAATCGCTCCGTTCTCCTTGGTCACATCGGTTGCAGCGTAGAGGATGCCGAAATCAGCCTCACGCTTTGCTGGGTGGCTGATGTGGTGGCACTCATCCTGCCGTCGCAGACCCCAAGGGGCCGAGCCGGGCTCGGCGGTGATAGCACACGTATGGGACACCTGTGGGTTTGAGGTGGAAACTGTTCTCTCCTGCTCGTAGTAGATGATACTCGTGGATGTCAGGATTCGTTTGACGAGGTCGATGTAGAGAGGGTTCATGAGAAGCTCTGTGGCGAAAGTTTGACTTTTCGCTGCAAGACCAAAGGTCCTTCCGCCGTTCAAGGTGCCTGTTTCCTCTAGGATTGTGTCGATGCTCTCGCGGGTGGCGGCTCCTTCAATCACGACCGCACCATCGGCAGTGATGTATTGAAGGACATCATGAGGGTCGGCTGTGGCCGGGAAATGCTTAATTGTTGGCGCCATTCTTAGAAGACGAAGTGACCGCTAACAAATGGAATGTTTAGATATGCAGGCTGTGATTAAATTAATGGTAGTTGTCTTGTTGATTGAAGGAAAAGTTGCTGGACGGGAACAGGCAGTATCATTCAAAGTTTATATTCGCCTGAATAGATTTCTCAGTCATGCAGACTGTCCTGTCATTATCGCTCCCGGGATGTTGGAACTGAGCTCCATAGACGCGGCACAAGTGACCAAAACAGCCCGGCAGCTAGTACAACCTTGGAAACGATTCAATCGGCACTGGCAAAACGGCACGTGCTGCACCACTCGGCTGTAGATTGATATCCTGGAAAGATGAAGCTTGTCGAGGCTCGCGGTAGTGGTGGCGTAGATTGTCGATAGCACCTGGGCATTACCTAAAAGGGCAAAAGTTGCCGAGGGAGCGCCCCACCTTGTCCTCGGGTGGGGCCTCTCGCGGCACTCATGCCCTGCATGAGAAGCAAGTGCCTGATAGTATTGTCGCGTTGGCCACTGTCGTGTGTTTCCCTTGAAAGCCATGAGATATCTCAAGTGCTGATAAATAGCAAGCCTTCATTTACACCTGCCAAAGACGAAGTTCACCATCCACCATCTACAGACAATACCTTATGTACAGAGTACTGGCTCTCTAGACTCAGAAGTTTTTTTTTTTTTTAAAAAAAAAAACACCTCAATTTATTATTTCCAACACAGAGCAAGACTTGCTCAACACAGCAATCATGCCCAACCCCCCGCACCAGGCAAAGAACCCCGAGGTGGTCGAGATTGACGCGTCGAGGCCTGCTGAGGAGATCGCCAACATCATTAGACGTGATGGTGGTGTTATCGTGAAGAACTTCGTTAGCCATGAGATAATCGACCAGATCCAACGGGAGGCCGACCCCTACTACAGCAAGCTCGGCAAGTACGAGGGCAAGCTTTTCGACGCCAAAGATCCTCCCCTGAGGTATGTATATCTTTTTCTTTTTTTTTGGGGGGGCGGGGGGCGGGGGATGTGCTGCTACACTTATTCGTCTGCCGTCACCTGGTACCGTGCTGATCTGTTGCAATACACAGTGGCTTCGCTGGCAAGTCGCGCACATTCGCGCATGCATGCATCAACCACCCGACGTACAGAGAGGTGTCAAAGCTTCTCCTGAAAGAAGAACAGTGAGTACCCATTGCTTCGACCTCCACCGCGCCGCGAAACATTAGCTGATATGGCTTCCAGCACCGTATTCCGTGACGGCAAACGATACAAGACAGTTTCAAACCCAGTCCTAGCTGTATCAGAGGCATTCAACAGAGGATCGCCTTCGACAGCGCAGCAGCTGCACCGTGATGACATGGCTCAGCACTTTGAGCATCTCGAAGGCAGTGGCGAGAGCTCTCTGCTTGGTCTCCTCGTTGCCGGAGTGGTGAGTTACAACATCCCAACCAATCAAAACCTCACAGATTTATTAGTGCTGACTGTCGCCTTTTTCCGGTTGATTAGGACACCAACTTTGAGAACGGCGCGACACAGGTCATTGTTGGCTCCCACAAGTGGCCAGAGGCAGCGATCTGCGGGCCTTCAGACCGCTCGCTGTGCTCGACGTGCGAGATGAGCAAGGGAGATGCCGTCTTCATCATCGGCAGCATCTGGCACGGCGCCGGCGAGAACAAGACGAACCCGCCCGAGCGCCGCATCATCTACTCGTGCCACATGACCCGTGGCGCCATGCGCGCCGACGAGAACCAGTACCTCGCGGTGGAGCAGGATGTCATCCGGACTTACGAGCCGGAGGTTCAGGCCCTGATGGGATACTCTGTCAGCGAGCCCTTCTGCGGACATGTGGACCTCAAGGATCCCATCACGCTGATGGGCAGTGAGGAGGACCCGTTCAAGTATGGAGGCTTTGCGGGCAAGGAGGTCACAGCTACTGCATAAGAGCCTGTAGATAAATATCAATAGATTGTGTCTCTTTGAACTCCGTGTCAAGGATCAGCAAACAGCAGCTCTGCGCGGATGTCCGCTACGCTGCCGTGGTGTCTCTGACCCAATCCCCTGTAGGACAATCTCCCATCCATGGATATAATATTCCTACATGGGGTCGTCTTCTAACGTTTGACAAGACACCCTCCTCTGGGGTTTTACTCATAGGATGAGATTCTATTATGGAGCTCCTTTTAGGTAACCACCGGCATGTTGGTAAGAAGTTATTACGCCACATGGACTCTTCTGATACACATCGTCATTCCTAAGGTGTTGCGGTGGTGGGGCAAAAGTATACATAGGTATGCCATATAATATCCATAGAGTGCAACTACCGACAGATCGCTCATTCGCAACGTCTAGAATACGGCTTACACTATGTTGTCGCCGGTAACTATAACTCGCAAAAGAAAGAGGGCCCTACCGAAGAATAAAACGTTTTAGAGAAAAATCAGTAGCAGTAAGAGAGTTGCATAGTCATGGTGTAGAGTTGCAAGGCCAGCATGGTGGCGGGACTGGTCTTCTGTGACTTCTTGTCTTTGCTCTTATTTTAAGTCACTCAACACTCCAATATTCCAAATGAGCATTGCTAATCTTGCGTATTAAGTAAAGGAACAGTTTTTCTTTATTTACAGGAGGATGTTCAGCTCCATGCCCATATCCTGGACAATATCTCTCCATTTTACTCTCCCGCCCTGGTTCTCGTCCAACTGCCCCCAAATATTCTTCAAGACCAGAGCCAACGAAAGTGGAGTCTGAAAAGCGAGCGATTGATGCATGCTTGTAAACGCGGTTTGGAAACATTCCCGAGCCTCTGTGGTCTGCGCATGCACAGCGGTCATGAAGATTGGGAACAGTGCTGCCTGGAGCCATGACAACCTCGAAAGGGGTTCCAACGAAGCTCGTACACACGCCTGGATACGGTCATCCCCCGAGTCAAGTGAGTAAATGTCGTGGTATACATAGCAGAGCATACCCTGCCTCCACACGTCGTTGAAGTGCTTGACGGAATCGGCATGTTCACGAGACACATCGGACACATCCGGCGTCCACGTCTCAATTTTTTGAACTAACTCCGCTACTTGTGGCATGGTCCTTAAGAGGTCGTCCAGCCTGTCTGGCGCGGCTCGGAGCTCATCGACAGTGCTGCAAAGATCGATTGCCTCGCGGAAAATCTGGTGCATTCGGAAGTCTGGCAGGTTGTTCCACCAACGCGATTGATGCGCCGCCATTTCGCCGTCCTCGAAGGGCTTCATGGGCTCTGGAGCCTCGTCTATGTACGACAGGAGCTTGTCAGCATAATGGGACTCCAAATGGTGACGATGGCTTTGACAGGGTAACTGGGGGCTTGCCTTTGTCGATGCACTTCAGCTCGAGCAAGGAGGCCGACGGCTGCAAGCCTCTTAGAAGAGCGCGACCAATCATGACGTCCCAATTGTACTGCAGCAACACGCATTGCAACCCGGTGCGCATTGCCCCTTTTGCTTTGGAAAGGCCCCTGGTGAGCAAGCGGCGACAGCCGATCAGCTTCGAGCTCCAACCATCCATACCAGTCCCTATAACCTGAATTGTATTGGTTAGTCGTGGGATCTGTAACCTAGCATATCAAACCAGCAATGTGCTTACATCAAACACTATGGAAAGCAGGACCGTCACCCCTAATACCCAGGACTCGGCCTGGTTTTGTAGAGCGTCCCGGAAGGACTGACGCATTGCCGAGCGGTATGGTTGGATGGCAAACTTTGGCAATTGGCCAAGCTGTACAAGGTGCTGAGCTGAGGCGAAGAGTATCATTTTGTGCATGGCATCCGATTGAGCTGCCATGGATCCGTAGACGACGTGATACGGATTCTCCACAGTGTTGGCAGGGTACAATCGCAGTGAAAGATTGGTCATGTCTGTTTGGGAACAATTAGTCGTTGTCCGGGTGGACTAGGTGCGGCGATGCACTTACAATGACCAAAGAGGTACTGGTCGTATGGATCGTTTGGCCTTGGGCTCAGTACAGGCTCGCTATAATTCATGAACGCTTCCTCGATATCTTTCATTGTTTGCTGCTCGTCCGTTGCCGGCTCGTCATCGTACGCAGCTGCAGTAAGAGCTGCGCTGCTTGAGGCGACGGCAAATGGTTCCGGAGTGGTGTCTATCTCAAAGGATGGCATAGCAAAGTAGGCGTCGAATTGAGCCCAAGGAGAGCGAGCCAATGCCTGAGAAGCTGGTACCGTATCCCCTTGTCCTGAGCTGGAGTTTCCGGGCCATGTCTCGCCAACCCGATCACCCACAGAGAAATCGACGTCGACATCGTCTCCCGCAAGCTCACGGCCAGGACTGAATATTCGCATGAGCTCATGTGTCGTCGACGCTGTTGAAGGCCTCGACGACCTCGGGCTTGTTGTTTCATCATTGCCCCTACTGAGTTGTTGTTGTTCAGGGATGGCATCAGGGCTGGCCAGGTGCGTGTTGCTGGGAGCCGGACGACTGCTTGGCTGTGAGGGTTGCTCGTGGAGGAACTGAACCGGCGAGGACCCAGAAGGCTCCCCCGACCCCACCCGGAATGCTTGCTCAGCACGGGGAAGGACTTCCTTGATCTGATTTGCTCTACGCGGCATCGTCTCCTTCGCCCTCTGCCTCTGCCTCGACCTGATCCCCGAGGGATTCTTGCCGGGGGAGCCGCTTACCATTTTCGACACCATCTGACCATCATGGCCGCTGTGGGCTGTAAACTCTGTGAGTTTGATGCCATAGCCGCCGCACTCCACACCCCGCAGTCGGCAGTTCCAACAAGCAGGCTTGGTTTCGTCACATTTCTGGTGACGCTTGCGGCACGTACAGCAGCCTGGGCAACGTCCATCGGTCAGTCTATAGCGTGGCCGAGAACCGGCAGTTTTAGGAGAGGAAAGACGAACCGCTTCTGGACCTTTTTCCGAGCATCATAGTGATTTTGATTACACGCGAGCCATGGGTACTTCTCAGCAACTTTTGGGTCCCTAGCAGTCGACGGCAACGTCCTCAAGCTCACACTCCGCCATTGTGGATTTCAGACTGGATGTACGCGGCAGATAAGGCGTCGCAGATAGGCTATGATGACCGAAAAGGGTAAAACTTATCGGGGCTCTGTGATTCGCTTCCACCTGGCTCCCGGCCGTCCCATCCGGCGAATGAGAGCAAGGCGATTTGAGGTGGCGGCTAAACTCACTCCCAGCCAAGAGGCCGCCAGAGAACGCATTTACAGTTCGTTATCTTCCCAAAGATCGCTTCCAGCCACTTCCACTGCTCAAGTGATCGACCAGCACAGAGCTCGTTAAGATTCTTCACATACCAGCATGACCAATCATATCCCGTCTTATTTCCTTTGCGATAAGCAAAGATGAATGGAGGAGGTCGAAGAAAACCTTTGGTTTCGGCGTGGGGACCCCAGCACCTGGGCAGCCTCAGCTCTATGCGCGTGGGCTTGCCGGCACCTCCGCGTTATCGCCACGACGAGCAGGAGTTTCGCTAATTATTGGGCTGGAGGGTGTGCTTCTGCTAGAACGGCGGCAGCACGGGCAGAAGCCACTAGGTTACTCTAATGTCAATATTATCTCTCCGTATCGTAGCTCCAACTTGCTTATCTCGATCGAAGCGAGTCGCTTCACACAAGTCATGGGTGAACACTGTCATCCATGGATGTCTTCTATCTATGCGACGGGAATGTCTGAGTACTAATAGACCATGCATCGCGGGCTCGGGAACTGTGAATTGCCAAAGACCTAGACCTCGCAGGGAAAACAGGATATTTCCAATTCCTTCTGACCCGTGGACATCAAGATGACTGCCCTTCAAGCCGAAACCGCCCTGGAAAATACGTTTGGGCTGTGGAGTGCAGTCAGCCTCGGCTGGCTCACCCTGAACGTTTTTGGGGGTCTATCCTTCATTCTTTTCGTCGGTCTCTCCGCAGGAGGCCTTCCGGTGCTTCTCTATGGCTTGTAGGTTCTCTTTGACGAGCGATCCAATGTGCTGGAATAGTGGATGAATACTGACCGAGCTGTCACTTAGCATCGGATCGAGCGCCGCTGTTCTGTGTATCGTATTGACCTTGGCTCAATGCGCCTCGAGATTCTCCACGGCCGGTCTGTCCAACCCCTCGAATGTGACACCTCGAATGAACATGAGCTGAACAAATGCAGGTGGCGCGTATCATTACTCGTGCTTCTTGGTTCCTCAGCAATACAGACGCCAAATTGCCTACCCTCTCGGCTGGCTCAATTACTTCGGCTGGATCTTCACACATGCTGCTTGTTGCGCGATTGTTTCAACGCTGATCATGTCGTTGATAAACCTTTGCAACCCCGAATTCTCCGTGAATACCAGATGGCAACTGTTCCTGCTCTACATGGCTGTCGCTGTCACCTGCTGGGCTGTCAATCTCCGCGGCCTCAAGAGTATCCCCACACTGGAACTCTTCGGATGTAAGCCTGCCCCATGCCGCCCACAACAAAGTCGATGCCTTGAAATCTTTGGACTATGAGGAGACTAACATGCGTTGTCTAGGCTATGCTACTGCACTGGGATTTGTAGCTTACACCATAGCCTTGCTCGTCAAGGCCCCAAAGGCCAGCGCCCGGTCTGTGTTTGTTGATTTGAACAACGAAACTGGGTAGGCAAAATTCAACTCGCATCCAGTGGTGGGACAGGGCTGACTCACATGAATAGGTATGACTCCACCGGTCTTGCAGTAGTCCTGGGTCTGTTCAACAGCTTTGCCACCCTGATGGGCTTGGATGGGCCGACCCACTTGGCAGAAGAGATACCCCAGCCCCGGCGCCATCTCCCTCGTATCCTGCTGATTGTGATTATTTCGCAATTCTTTGTGGGTGTTGTATGGATTCTTGTGCTGGGTTTCTCCATCACAGATCTCAACGCTGTGAGGAACAGCGCTACTGGGTATGTTTTTTATCTGAAACTGTCCTGTCCCAACGAGCGATAGCGCAAACTGACGAGGCCGCAACAGGGTTCCTGTCCTTGAGCTGATAAGGCTTGGGACTGGCAGCGATGCTGCCGCTATTGTCTTATGTGTCGTTCTCATTGTCAATAACGGGACCTCGGCCCTGGGAAGTGCCGTGGCTATGAGCAGGCAGGGTTATGCATTTGCTCGAGATGGCGGGCTATTCTGGAACTCAAAGTATGCCGCACAAGGAAATCCACACCTAATCCAGCGCCGGTATTCTCCTTCTGATACTGATGCTTCTGTTCCAGGCTTATTGAGATGTCCACCGGCACACACCTGCCCTTCTGGTCGATCAACGTGCCTTCAGCCATCGTGGCTTTAGTTGGTCTGATGTCAGTGCTCACACTACCTCTATTGCTTTCTCCATACTAAGACATTACAGTTACCTGTTCTCCAATGCCGCATTCAACGCGATAATTGGCGCTCAAGGCGTGTGCATGATCATCAGCTTCGGTATGGATACCCACATTGACCATTTGCATCTACATATCGGAACACAGAACACAAAGCCTAATATGAGAAATCCACAGGAGCGCCTGCCCTCGTGCTTTTAGTCACCCGCGGGGAGCTTCTTCCGAAGAGCGATCGATGGAACTTTGGTATTTTTTCGATACCGATCTACTTGATCTCCATCGGGTATTCTCTCCTGGTGACCATTGTTTGCTTCGTAAGTGGAACAATTGTTTAGTCCAGAGTCCAAAAGCTGATAGTTTGGCCCAGATTCCTCAATCGTCCCCAGTAACAAGTCTCACCATGAATTATACGATCTTGGTCATGAGTGTTTTTTGCATAGCAATGGGTCTCGCGTGGACGTTCGAGGGGAAGAAGCTCTTCTCCCCACCGGTCAACGACGAAGAGATTACTGCTGTTTCAGGAGGTGTGATACAAGGTGTTTCCGACGACGCAGAAACCCAAGCCGCCGGCAGCCTGGACTCGAAGACAAGGTATAACAGTGACGTCACCTCGATCAAATCACCTGTTGATGGTGCCTAGTCTTCAGTTTGCTGGTGCTTCTAGTGGAAGGAATGATATGAGAGAATGGCTCCTGTGTCTACCTACTTAAGTAGGTAAATTTGATATTTTAGGCGAGACCTATCGCCATCACCAATTAAATTACGAGTTCAACGATATATCTAAGCTATCACATGTCACACCATAGAAGAGCATTTTCCGTAGACCGCGAATGATCACGAACATTGCAAAGAGTGATCGGGACAGGTCAAATCGAGAGAACTGGGGGCCCTTGATTTTTCTTGGCCCACATGACATTTCTTTGATTTCACCGGATCATAAGACTGCCCGGTGTGCTATCATCTCAACATCGCCCGGGTCATGCTTTTCACGATAGTAAATCTCTAGTCCCGTGAAACGGTCCCTTCGGCGCCTTCTGAAGAACCTTGGAACCCTTTAATTTTTGTATCTAACATAACAAGCAGCTGTAAGGGAAAACAGTTTGCGGATTGAAGAGATTCCTTGTATTGACTTTGATTCGGTGGTCGCAAGGAAGGCGTGCATGGGACCGTGGTGTTTTCAACGAGCACACGAGCATCCGGTCCTTGCCGATGGGATAGCTGAGCCTACCATACGAAATGACTTGATTAGCAATCCTATTAGATAATTCGCCACTCGTTTTCCATGCAGCAATTCATGTGAACAGTCGGATGAAATGAAGCCCACCCTGTCCCTCGGAAGAGCAGACGCAAGGCCCACTAGTCCGTTCTAGGTGTTGATAGCCTATGTTTTCCTTTCCTGGCGGGTGTACTGAACACCAAGGTGTAGATCAGGATGACTCATATCTATCATTGATATGATTTATCGAGAGGATGACTTCCTGCAGTCGCGTGATGTGTGGATGGCCGAGAGAGGTTTAGGATAACTTTGACCTAATGCTCCTGGCGCTTGATACCCTATATCCAAACCACATGTTGCTGCAAGCACAGGGGAATCGGTGAAATCAATTCCAAGTTTGACTTTTTCGGGAGGTGATTCATGCAAATAACCCACGTCCAAGGTTCCAGCTCTACTCCAAAATCTTCCACTGCATCTCCGCCCGGCTTTTCATCTCAGACCTTGACACTACCTCGGGCCCTATGGCGCCCACACACACACTCAGTGCGCATCTGTCCACCGCCATGTACACATCCTACAAGGCTCTCCGATGTCGCTCAACTCAGCCTTGCTCTTCACCTGCAAAAAGCTCGCATCAAACAACCGGTTTTGATCATAACTATGGGGCTCTTTTGCATGACAAAAATGAAAATTCTTTGTCTACAAGCATGAAAACTTCGGATTTGACAGACAAGAACACCCGACCAACTCGCAAAGGGTGAACACGAGATCTGAACTATGACGACATGAAAACGTGGAGATACACAATTAAGCCTTTTGTTTTTTGACATTGAAGCCCTGGATGATGGCTCCGAGGACAGGTGTGGAAGAGGCTGCAAATTCGATCTGACCCTCGAATCAGCAGGGTCATGTAGGGAGATGTGGGAGTGTACAAAGGAAGCATATAAAGTAGGCGAGCCAGAAATACAAACATAATTAATAGACGATGTGAAGGATTTTCAATCCGGCGAAGCACCTGCTGGGGAGGGTCTCCATATCCGTGTCAGGGGTGGTCCAGATGTCCGGCATGTTTTCGTTTAGTCTCTGGGAGACGGTCGAGCTCAACAACAACATGGAGGTCAGTTCACAGTTTTACAAAGCTTGAAGGTTTCATAGCTTGAAAATATTCCGGTGGACGTCATTCCCATAATGAAGGCATGACGATTCTTCCAAAAAAAATATATAGGCTTCCTTGATTGTGGTTCTGGGGCTCGTCCCTAGCCGCGCGAGTCTTTTTTTCTTAGACCCCTGGGCACGCCTACAATACAGCACGAGTGTACATGTGCATGTACCTCTGAATTCAGGTATCGTGAAACTTCCGCCATCATGATCCAGTATTTGGACTTCTCTCAGGGCTCAGGCTGTCCCACAACATCGATACCACGTTCCACTGAGGACCCAGATGACTTCCAGCCTTCTTGATTGTCTCTAGGCATCCGGACAAAAGCAAGATCCAGTACCAGACCAATGACTGCCAGACCAGCTCCAAACCACAGGGCCGCACGGAAGCTCATGGTCTCTCCAGCACTCTTGGCCACCTGTGCCTCAATAGTACCAGCAAATCCCAGCCCGAGACTGTTCCCGTAGAGGTTGAGCGTGCCGACAAGGCTACCTGCCACCCCCTGCTCCCGCTTACCCACACTGTTGCTGGCGATGATCTGCGCGGCAACGTAGACGAAGTCGGCGCAGAAACTCCCGAGAAACGTGGCGGGGAAAACCTGCGCCCAGTACGTCTGTTGCTCTGGCATGCAGGACAGGAGGACCAGGGCTATGATGGAGGTCAGGCATCCGCAGGCCAGGATGTATTGAGCCTCCCATCGCGGGATCAACCAGGCGGCAATACCGACGGACATGGAGGCTCCGATGGCGTAGGGAGCCCAGCCGTAGGCGACCTGTAGCACCGTCCAACCCCGGATGATCTGCTGCCAGGCGATCATGTACCAGAGGCATATACCGACGGACATGTAGATGAACAATACTGCGACTATGAGGGCATTGAAGCTTGGTGCCTTGAAGAGAGAAAGTGGCATGATAGGGTCCTGAGCGTACCGACGCTCCCAGACCACGAACACGGCCATGAAGACGAGCGATACCACCAGAAGGGCAATCACGTAGGGGGTCCCCCACCCCAGTGAGGGTGCTTGACTACGGAAGGAGTGTCAGCTTTTCCCCAAAACAAATACATAGGTCCGGCGGAGCCGACTTACTTCCATGCCAAGTTGAACAGTATCAGGCCACCGAGACCCAAAACCACACCGACGTAGTCGATAGAGCCCCCTTTATCAACGGGTTCTTCGCGGGGCATCACAACAGCCAGTGCACCAAAAACAAGTGTCCCGAAGCATGTGCTGTCTTGCTTTTAGCTTTGGTTCAAAGAGTGTTCTTTCCAGACATTGTGACTGACAGGAAGATGAAGTGCCATTTCCACTCCGAATACTGTAGAAACGCGCCGACGATCATCGCCCCTATCCAAGCCCCTATCGGCGGCGAGGCTGCGAATATGGCGAGTGTAATGTTCCGTGCGTTTCCGGGGGGGACCATGATGGTCAGTGTTGCCACGGCGTTGGGCATCAAAATACCCCCGCCGATGCCAGTGAGAGCTCGTACAGCAACGAAGGAGTCGTATGTCGGGCAGAATGCATTGCCCAGGGAGGTGAGGACGATTATGGCACCGCCGAGCAGCATCAATCTTTGGTGTCCGTATATCGCGCCGAGTCGACCGCTGATTAGGACGAAGGCACTCTGTGTAAGCCTGCATACTCGCCGACGGACAGTTAGCTTGTGTGACCAAGATCAAGGAGGAAGATTGGAGAGCCGTCAGTGATACACGGCGGACAGGGCAAAACTGACGAGTATGATGATCCCATCCAGTTCGCCTGGCCAGGTCCGACCGGTCGCCCAAGCTGTCTGCTGAACTCGAAGCCGCCTGCCATAGTCGAGAACATGGAGATGAACTATTCCGTTGGATGTTTCGTCAGCCACACTGATCAACTGAAATTCAGGAACGAAGCAAAACGACCTTCGGGGAGTGTTGTTCGGGCTACACACCTGGGTCAGATTGCAGAGAAGAATCAAGAAAGTGATGGTGTATCTCTTTTTGCTGCTCAGCGTCACGTCCACCTGCGCAGGCTCCAGAATATCGATGGGTAGGGGTTGGGCCTCGAGGGTGACCACACGGTTGAGCACCGGCTCACCGGGGGTGGCCATGTCCCTGACCCGAGTTGTGGTCATGTCTAACGACTCTGGTTTCCCCATGTTTCTCACTGGCGCTGTGGAAAAGGAATTGCCCAAGGAGTTGTAATGCCTCTAAGAAGAGACGACATAAACTACACAATCTCGTAGCTCAGCCGTCAGATATCGATTCACACTACCCAGGTATATGGGAGGGCCCGAACGGTAGTTTGGATAGTTAGTAAGTGTGGCATCTCAATGTGGGTCTACCAATCTAGATCAGGACAAAGTTGCCGCGGCTATGCTCAAACACAGCCAATGCCCGTATGCCACAGATCTCGGTTTCCGAACTTTTGAGCATGCACTTGAATCGTCCAACCGCGTCTGTTGCCCCCCGCCAACATGTAGTTCAAGTTGCCGTGGGCATCTTGGCATCCCGGTTTCCGGCCCTTGGAAGGTTCACATGCTATCTTGGACTTCCCCCGCCTGACTGCAAAAGCTAGCACAGCCAGCCCGTCAACACATTATCATTGCTCTGAATTGTCGGGCTGGTAGGTTATTGGTGGCTTTGCAAATTCCACTCGGTTTCGGCTATTCAGTGTCTGCCAAAATCAGCGGCCACACGCTCGCCAATATTTGCGCTATTACTGACCTGCACATTTGAAGGCATTTCTCTCGGACTGACTTACCGGTCGGGTGATAACGATAGGAGCTTGAACTTTCTTGGTATTTTGTCACAGTTGTATTCTTGTTTGCGTAATTAGCCAGCCATGGCCTAGATATGGACGACCGCCGTATCATCATGCAGGAAAAAGACACCTTCCGTCTTCCACTGGAATGGTGGCGCAAAAGGCACAGAAGAGGTCCACACGCCATGCCGTGCAGACCCTTGAAATGCATTCCCTTTGCTTTTGTATATGCCGGTTGAACGAGTTCCGAGTGCGCTGCCGGCTGACGGCCCACCATTAGAAATCCTCCAGAGCCCCACTGTTCTCAAGTCTGGGCGGACTGCAAATAATACAAGTATAGACCGACAGGATGCGTGATTGTGCTGGCGGGTGATTCTGGGACTATTTGTTCAGCCTCGGGAGCGATGCTACTGGAAGCAGGGGTTTTCTATCCGTAGTCTGGGGAACTATCGTGCACAGTACAAGCGATCGAGTTGCCCAGGGTCGAATCGAATCGCCCACTTAGGCAGGATCGGCAATATCATGATGGGCGCCTGCACCCAATTGTATGGCTCGGTGGACTTCTAAGACGGGCCAATGTTGAATGAGGGGGCGCACAGCTGCAGATTGAGACTGCGTCTAACGCTTGTAGAGAGGCAGGCCGCAGCGCAGACATCAACAGAGTCAAATTTTCGTATTTCGCGCTCAATAATCCGGCCAGAACGTCCTGGATGCCCCGACGGATGACAAAACACAGACTTCAATGCAGCCACCCACATTCCGTTGGGGCCGGAGTAATTTTTCGCTCATAAAGGGAGACGCCAGGCCGCTCGCATTGCCAGCTGAGGTCGTCGCCAAAGGGGTCGGCTGCCAGTCCTCTGTGGCAAGAAAGTCCCTATGCTATTTCAGAATATGGATCGATGTTTTGTTCCACGACCACGTCGAGCCGGGGCACAAAGGAAGAATAACAAGTGCCGCGTCGGGGCCGGACCGCACCGTGAACGAGATGGGCCCTACGGAGTACAAGACAGGTTTTAGCGAGAGTCCACCAGGGAGATTTGGCCCGGGCCTATGACGAAGGGAAGAAGAAAGAGTCCAGACAGCGGGTACAACATGGATCCAGGTCAGCAAGTAATATATTGTGCTGGTGGAGCAGGGCAGAGAACGGCATGAAATAAGATGACCAAATAATCCAGGCGGTCAGTTCAAGCTGGAGAGGAAAAATTCGTGCTGCTGAGCTCAACATGACGTCTGGATGGATCCTTCACTGCCTTTGTCACCTAACCGTGTTAGTGCCGGCAGATCGGCTCCAGCCAGCCAGTGGCCCACGGACGGGTTGTTTTGTTGGTGGCTTCGGATGATTTCCAGGGGTTGGCGAAGCTTAACTGGACCTTCGATGGCAGGTGGGCCCCCGCACCCGCAGGCCGACAGGTACAAGATCCCTGCCGACAGTGCCGACTGGGCGCTGTTCCTGGGAATACCACATCCCATGTCGTCATCCCAATCTCTTTCACCGGCAGAAGCGTGGTAGTTTAGTCTGTGGTAAGCAGACGTTGAGCGGTGGGCCCTCCAATGGGTCGCCAGAACAGCTCCTTGCTCCTTTGACATCAGACTGGATCAGACTGGTACCAAAGGGCTGTGTCTGTGCCTTCTGCAATGTGCTTTGGCCTTGGTCCTGGTCCTGGGATCACCTGCCTGGAGAACAAAGCTTGAACCCGCGGCCCTACAAAATGATTGTCCTCCGGTCCGTTTCCCAGGAGGATGCTACTTTTCTCTGGTCAGCTCCAACTCGATTCGGTTCGGCCCAGCTCAGCACCAGCTCAGCTCAGCCAAGGTCGCCTCGCCTCCCCTCCCCCTCGTAACGCCCATTCCCGACCTCTGATCCAGAACTTCCCACGATGCATATGACATCCAACCTCCTGGGCGGGGCAGCCCTGGCGCTGCCGCTCGCCCAGGCAGCCGTGCCGCTGTTCAGCGACTACCACTTCAACCCCCTCGAGCACCTGGGCGGCGTGGCCCCCTACTTCGAGCCCCTGGACCCGGCGATCGACCCCTCGGCGCCCCAGGGCTGCACCCCAGTCCGCGCGGCCTACCTCGTGCGCCACGCTGCCATCTACGCCAACGACTTTGACTACGAGGAGTTCATGGAGCCCTTCATCTCCAAGTTCCAGAACATGACCTCGATCGACTGGTCCAAGATCCCCGACCTCAGCTTCCTGAGCAGGTGGGTCCCGCCCATCAGCGAGGCCGAGAGCGAGATGCTCACCCGCGTCGGCAAGCTCGAGGCCACCGAGCTGGGGGCCAGCATGAGCTTCCGCTACCCGGGCCTCAAGCTGCCCAAGAAGATCTGGGCCAGCTCGGCCGAGCGGACCTACGAGTCCGCCAAGGCGCTGATCCGCGGCTTCGAGCCCGCCGGCCAGGACGATACCATTAGCCTTGTCTCCGTGTACGAGAGCAAGGAGGGCGGCGCCGACAACCTCACCCCGTACAAGGCCTGCCCCAAGTACAGCTCCAGCGCCGGCAGCGAGCAGCAGAGCGTGTACCTGAAGAAGTTCACCAAGCCCATCATGGCACGGCTCAACGCCGCCGCCCCCGAGTTCAACTTCACCTCCGAAGACGTGTACGGGATGATGCAGCTGTGTGGGTACGAATCTGTCATCCGCGGCAGCTCGCCCTTCTGCGACCTCGACCTCTTCAGCCCAGACGACTGGCTGGGATGGGAGTACACCGCAGACGTGCAGTACCACTACAACACTGGATACGGCAGTGAGGTGAGCGGTGCCATCGGCCTCCCCTGGGTCAACGCCACGGCCGGCCTGCTCATGGCCGAGCTGGGCAGCGAGGACGTCCAGGACCTGTACGTAAGCTTCACCCACCGTGAGCTGCCGCCGACCGTGCTGGTAGCCATGGGCCTGTTCAACAACTCGGTGTTTGGCGGCTCCGAGGCCACCATCAATGACACCATGCCCTCGGACAGGATCAACCACCGCCGCGCCTGGAAAAGCAGCCACGTCATCCCCTTCATGACCAACGTCGCCATGGAAAGGCTCAACTGCACCGGTAGCTATGGCTACGACGACGGCGACTACTACCGCGTGCTGGTCAACAACGCACCTCAGCCGCTGCCCGACTGTGGTGACGGGCCTGGTACCACCTGCTCCGGGTCGACCTTCGAGACGTGGCTGCAGGACCGGGCTGACATGTTCAGCGGGTTCTCCGAGAAGTGCGATACCGCGTCCGACTATGACAACTCGACAGACTCTGTAACCTTTTATTCGGACAAGTCCGAGAACGGAACATTCGTGGGAAAGAGGAATCTGTATGACCGGGAGTAAATGTTATACCCACAGAGGTCACCAATGTACATATTTTTACTCCAATAATAATGATAAAGCTTAATGAGATATCGTGTACGTCACACACGCCCTGTAATTTGAGTGCATAAACGTCGAATACACCACGTCTCTAATGTCTGTTGAGTGTAAGGCCTTACTCGCAGTGGCGAGCGAACCCTTAGGCGCGGAAAGCCAGCTTGTATGAGGAGGCAAAAAGAACCCGTGGTGGCGCAACTCCCACCACCTCGGATGGTGATGGCAATGTATTGAAAGAGGGGACTTCCTGCTTTATTGGGGGCAATGTCGTGCTTGCTCAGTGGGAACGTCCTGGGCACATGCCATGCCCGGCTTCGGGTTAAATGGGAGACCCTCTTACCCGAGACTCCAGGATGCTTCGAGTCGATCATCGAGCTGTTCGAAGTCAAAGGGAGAGGCGCTCCGGTTGGCACAGGATATGAAGCAGCGCTCTTTGATGCCGTTTTGGTTGGGCGGAGCGCGTGCAGTGAATGGAGAGACCAGCTGATAGCTGTTACTGGGAATCGTCAGACTGGTCCAAATATCCCAATGATATGCACGTCGCAAGCATTTCAACGCAGTGCGAGTAGCCTCCTTTGTGGACGAGTTCAGTTGTCCCAAGCGCAAACGATGACATATCAGAACAAGCATCAATGATACTGACCCAAGCCGTGCAGCTACGCCAGAGCACCGCCACTCGAGGAGAACTTGCCCTGTCACCTAGGAGGTATGGCATCCGACTGAAGAGCCCACGATTATCACCGATACAGCTGCAGTAGTGGCGGTGCCATGCTCCATAGAGGACTGGTCGCTCGAGAGAGAGAGTCAAAGATGCACATAATTTTCGGGGAGCCGTGGTGCACACACGCTGAGAAAGGGCAAGTGCTTTGTCGGCCTGTGCTGATCAAGCACGAGCATACACAAATATATCGCCAGAGCCCACAATCTTATGGCGGTCGAAACAAGGTCGGCACGCACCTCGAGATCAATGGCGTGGTCAAGTCGTACAAGGTGCCGGGCACGCGTACGGGGCCCAAAAGGTGGACTCGGAAGGCATCTCCCATCGGCACGTGAGAGATTCAACTGACAACCGCGCCAAAAAAAAAAAAAAAAAAAAAAGAAGAGGAAAACTGCAGCCAAGCTCGTCCCAACGCGCATCTAAAGAGTGGGTGTCGGGTCAAGATCGTCGCCTGGTGGGTCAAGTTGTGGTCGATTTCTGGCAGCTGAAATCTCGACCTTGACTGCCTACATTGGTATGTTTCAGATCGCACGTTCGGTGGTCGTCACATATGGGTACAACATGTGGACCCAGGCACCGATGATCTCATGCGTTCCGCCGCGTGGTCTGTGGTGTCCTGGGGGCACTGGCCCCGCGATAGTGCCGAGGAATGACGGCCATTGTCGGGCGGTGTTGCAGGCTGCAAGTTCATGTGAGGCTGGCCATGTGGGCACCCGGTGAGATTCCTTGCCCGGGCGCGCCCGTCGCGACCTGCGTTCGTGGGATATCGTGGGGGTGTTGTGGGGACGCCAGTCCATCCTGGGTGCGAGTGGTCCTAGCCTTGGCCAGCAGGTTTTGATATTGATCGTGTGTCGTATAGGATGATAACATACCGAGAGGGTGGGATAGCAGCAGCAACGACGAGACTCATCCAATATCGAGAGCCTCGTGGCCTGATGCAAAGCAGAGCTGTGCTCATGCGCTGGTGTTGTGTGTTGGACCCTCAACCCTGGTGTAAATTCAGGGTTGGGGTATAGAGTACAGGAGGGCAAAGAAGGACGCAAAGTCGGCGCCAGTCCTGGCGTCTTGGAACTGGGGAAAAAGCGGGCCTGCTTGGCTGCTTGGCTGGGGTTGTGCACATGACGTCAATCCTTGTTTGCGCTTGGAGTTGCGATTTTGGTCAAAACGGGGGATGAGGCAGGGAGAAGGAGGGAATATGTGTTAATTCAGTGGCAGGCAGTGGAGGAGATGAACGCACCATACTCCGTTTCACCGAGGCCTGGCTGAGAGAGCAAATGGAAGCGACACGACATGACATGGTTGCGTGCATTCAGCCTCGAGCCGCCTGCCTGTCTGTCTGCCTGTTCGTCTGTCACTTGGATCGTCAACAGCTGGATTAGCCTTTCCTGTGGGATTGTAGATCGCCACGTTGTTACCACGTTGACCTGCTGGCCAAGACCATCCCCGAGGTTCCCAAGGTCTGTTGTCCCATACCTTTGCTTGGCCTTGATTGGCCATGTCTCGCTGGGAACTGGCTGCTCTCACAACCTTGGAACGGTAAAACAGCAGCCGCATTCGATGTTGCAGTAGCATTGCTGTTATGGGCACTGGCAGTTCTGGCTGGGAGCACTTGAGAGCTGGTTGGAAATGACGGTGGCGGGCACAACACGCCCAATTGTTTACCGACGGGGCAAAACATGGAAACCCAGGGCTGGAGACCCACTCGTGGTCGGACGACATCTGGACCTGCAGGGCTTGGGGCTGCTGGACATGACGTCGGTCAATGCCTCAATGCCATGCCCATCTGAACCCATTTCCTTTGCCATGGGCAGGCAGGGGGGCAGGCAGGGCGGGCAGGCAGCAGGTGGGCGCGTGAACAGTCTCCACGTCTGGGCATCGGTAGTAATAGCGACTCTAGCCAATATCAAATGCGGTGCTGTAGTGTAGTATTCGGTGCCAGGTGCTTGCACAAAATCCAAGACCGCCAGTTGCAGTGGCCTGAGTCTATTTCCCCATTGCCCCGGTGCCCCAGTTCCCCCAACCCCAGACGGACCCCAGACCCCAGACCCCAGACCCCCCGCCAAGGAGCTGGGCCCCCTCTCGTCGCCCTTTCCCCAGGACCTGCTCTGGCTGACGGCTTGCCGTTTCTGGCAACCCGTCCATGCCTCCCGCCGGCCTCCGTCCACTCACGTCCCTTCCAAGGTTTGTCGCGCAGGTACCGAGTAACTTGTGCCTTCCCGACGTACCTCTCGGTCCTCGCCCGGCGATTTGGATTTTTCTTGGGCCCGTCTGTGCAGCTTTGCAGCCATCCCGTCCAAGCGGCAACCAGCGTGGTTGGCCCCTGACACGCTTGTTATAAATCCTCCAGACTTGTCTCCCTCGTGCCGCCTCGTGTCTTGTCTCGAAACTCTCCCAGCATTCCGGCTCGGCTGCATAATTTAGTTAGGCTCGACAGGCATTTGCCCTTCTTATAATCCATTACTTGGTTCTTCCCTCTTATGGAAACCCGAGGCTGATCTCATATCCTCGACGACGAGCCCTAGCTTGGCCCATGGGTTGCTGACACCACCATTCCCTGTCGCCTTCCCCGAGATTTGGCTCTTACCCCAGAAAAATACATGTTCTCAGCGCCCCGCGTCGGCAGACACCCACGTACCGATCACTAGGGCGGACGTGCTCACCCTGCCCATCATATAATACCGTCCAACCTCGCCTCCTTCTTACCAGTCTTCAGGAACCGCAACAACCATCCATCTCTGACTGACTCCTTCAATCGCCAATATTCTTCATCATGAAGAAATTCTTCGGCCTCAGGGGCCAGGCCCTCAACTATGCCGTGGGCGTCATAGCAGGCTGTGATTTCCTGCTTTTCGGTTATGGTACGTCCCTTTTGAATCCCTCGTGTGATCAATTGGGAATCTCTGCTGACATCCATCTCTCTCTCTGTCTCCAGACCAAGGTGTCATGGGTGGCATCTTGACTTTGCCTGTCTTCCTTGAACAGTTCCCGCAAATCGACCCCTCGGCCGGCCCAGACTCGGCTACGCGCTCCACTCACCAAGGCATTGCGGTTGCGTCCTACAACCTGGGCTGTTTTATCGGCGCTGTCATCACCATCTGGATTGGAAACCCCCTAGGTCGCAAGAGGATGATCATGCTCGGAACCGCAATCATGCTCGTCGGTGCCATCCTCCAGGCTTCAGCATTCTCCCTTGAGCACTTCATCATCGGCAGAATCATCACCGGCATAGGCAACGGAGGCAACACTTCCACCGTCCCTACCTGGCAGTCAGAGACATCCCACGCTCACAAGCGTGGCAAGCTCGTCATGGTCGAGGGTGCTTTGATCACCGGAGGTGTCATGCTGTCGTACTGGGTCGACTTGGGCCTCTCCTTCGCCCCCGGCTCCGTGGCCTGGAGATTCCCCCTGGCCTTCCAGATTGTGTTCTGTATCTTCATCCTCGCCTTCATTTGGGCCCTTCCCGAATCGCCCCGCTGGCTTATCCTCAAGGGGCGCGAAGACGAAGCCCGCGAGGTCCTGGCTGCATTGAGCGACTTGGACGTCAATGACAAGCTCATCCACAGCGAGTTCAACGAGATCAAGGACACCGTCCTCGAGATGTCCAAGGGTTCCTTCGCCGATCTTTTCACAATGGGCGAGGACCGCAACCTGCACCGCACCCTCCTCGCCTACGTCAACCAAATGTTCCAGCAGATCTCTGGGATCAACCTCATCACATATTACGCGGCCGTCATCTACAGCAACCTCGGCATGTCCGACTTCATGGCCCGTCTCCTGGCTGCGCTCAACGGCACCGAGTATTTCCTGGCCTCGTGGCCCGCCGTCTTCCTCGTGGAGCGCGTCGGCCGCAGGAAGCTCATGCTCTTCGGTGCCGCGGGTCAGGCTGCCACGATGGCGATCCTGGCAGGCGTCAACTCCGAGTTCGAGCGCACCACGAACAAGACCGCCGGCATTGTCGGCATCGTATTCCTCTTCGTCTTCAACACCTTCTTCGCCGTGGGCTGGCTCGGCATGACCTGGCTCTACCCAGCAGAGATCGTACCGCTGCGCATCCGCGCGCCAGCCAACGCGCTGTCGACGTCCGCGAACTGGATCTTCAACTTCATGGTCGTCATGATTACGCCAGTCGCCTTCGAGACCATCGGCTATCAGACCTACATCATCTTTGCCGTCATCAACGCCTTCATGGTGCCCTCGGTCTACTTCTTCTACCCCGAGACCGCGTACCGCAGTCTCGAGGAGATGGATAGCATCTTCCATCATGTCACTGGCTGGAAGGGCGTCTTCACTGTCGTGCACCAGGCCAAGGTCGAGCCCAGGCGCTACGGCAAGAACGGCGAGCTGCTGGTCGATTACTCTGACACCGAGGAGGGGCGCGCCCACGGCCATGGCCAAAAGCGGAACAGCGATGATAAGGGTGTTTTAAGCCATGATGACAATGGGTCGTCTGCTCATGGCGGGACCGGGGTGCTGGTACAGCACGATGAGGAGAAGAAGGCCTAGGCTCTCTAGGTCGTGTCTGGCTTGGACATGTGACATGCATGCTTCGAGCGGCTCGAAGGACCTTTTATGGTCCAGCAATAGATACCCTGATCTTAATGTAGTGGATACAGATCGAAGTGACAAGTGGTGATGACTTGAGACGAAGAATACAATACAAAATTCGCTCCAACTTTCTCGCCGCTGCACGTGCTTGAGCCGCTCGCCGAACGGACTTAGAGAGCCTTGTTGACAATGTCTCAACGTGGTAATACATCGGATCTCTTCCTCTCGTGAATGTGATGTACCTTTCAGCCCCATGCCCTGGTTACCCTTCCTTTCGCGCCCGTTGGCAATACCTCCCTCCTGCCGAGCCCCTGTCCCCCCCCTGATGGGGTCTCCGGATTCCCCCAAGCAGTAAGGCTTCCTCTGGGGTCGCTTGACGGCGAATTTGGTATTAGCATACCAAGACCCACAATGGGAACATGGCGCTGGCGGCAGCTTGATTAGGCGTTAGAAACAAAACCATGCTAGCATTTAGATCACCATCTCTCGTGTGCGAATTCCCATGCGACTAAAGTGAGGTGAGACCGACCATCTTGCGTCCCATGACTACTTTTATGGGTTCGTTGCTAGACCGTCATCAGGGGCAACGCCGCCAGAACGGAAAGTGGGCAGGCAGCACAAGGTTTCGCCTTGAAACAGCTGTCCGCGTCGCCGGCTATGCTTTCCCTCCCCACCAGTTGATAGGTCCTTCACGAGAGAGGCAGGAATGCCATCGGAGTCACTGACGTGACCCACTTGGTACATGAGGGAGCATAGGCTATTGCTTGCCGAACCCGTTGAAGGCGGTGGGTCGCAATCCTCTTGACAATCGACTCACCCTACATACCTATGTAGTCTAGAGTACCTAGGTGGCCAGCAGGGGAGCCGGGCACTAACACGGTTCGAAGGCCGAACGAGACCTTGGAAGACCAGTTGACACAAATCAACTGCCCACATCAGCACAATGCCCCCGTACATGCCAAATCAGTCTCTCACTTGCTCGAGTGCACCCACGCCCTTAAAGAGACCGACCACGCGTTGACAGGCAACATGCCTTCTTTTCCGACGAATGCGCATGACCGACAAGGTGGGACACCGCCTGCGTAAAGCTGGAGCCCATCATGCCTGATCTGGCAACCTTGAATCGGGGCGCTGCAAGGGGATCCGGGGATCCGGAAGCACTATCAGCCAATCCATGCCCCGGCCAAGGATTAGATGATTCCACTTGTGGTCATGAGTGGACAGGGGCAGGGTGCCTCATGAAGAAGGATCCGTATCTTCTGTATGAAAAGGAGATGTCGAGAGGGCTGTGGATGACCGTTATTTCTAGCCTGGAGACTTTGACGAGATTGAGCATTGTAAGAGATATTACGATGATATGGAAGATGAGGGTAAGATGGAGATTGTCCACTCACTGTTATTTGTTTATGCAAGAAATGCTGGGCAAGGTCAACCTTGTGGAGTATGTCCGGGATAGTGGGAGGAAGCACCTGAGGGCCAGGCGGATCTGGATGTGACATTGTACGAATGTCAATCCCACATACGGGCCTTGACCCCCATAGGATGAACTTTAGTTTCATTTGATGTAACGCTCTTGGGTACCGTCCTTATTCAACAAGGGAAACTTTAGGCTCCGTTCGCCACGTCTTGACAAACACACTCGATGATCAGTGGGAACTTGTCACGATACAGTGTAGCCAGTGCGCAAGGTAATAGCAGCTGTCTTCACCTGTAGCTTGATCATCTCATCCCTTTCAGCGGTCATTGAAAGCGTGGCACTCCTCTCATCGACGTGTCGACCCTTTCCCCATCCGCCGTCTCTCGAAATGCACCTTTGGTCCACCTTAAGGCACGGCTTGGCTAATAAAGCTCTGGGGGCTTCGCGCTGGTCCAACTTCCGATCTGTTTAATCTAGAGATTCCGACTCTGGTATCTCTTTTATGTAGAATCTGACGCTTTCAAAGGCACCTACCTAGGTACTCAGCACAGATCACATCACCATCAATGTCCTTGACACTTGCAGTGATGGAATTCCAGATCATCTCTTACAACGGAAGGATATTCACACAATTCTCAGTATCGCCGCTGTAATTGGTTAAATTGGTACCAGACGCATCTCAACTGCTGTCAGCATTGAATTCTTCAGTCAAGGGCGTGTTTTGGCCTCCCATGTCCGCAAGCCTATAGGTAAGGTTGGTGGGTTGCCACTCACACCCAAGGCGGTCGAGAGTGGTACCCTAGGGTATGATGAAGTAAAAGCACAGGGTCACTGGGATTGTCATGTTGATCCGGACAAGCCGTACTAATAGGCGTCTAGCAAATTCACGGTGCCGCCGGTACCTGCAATCCCCGGGCGGCTGAATGGGGGCTCTGCAGATGTGGCGGTAACAATTCCACGCTTCCTCGTAGTTATCAAGCGCAAGTACTGTTGTTCGTACCACAGAGTTGTTACACTGTGATCAAATCCTTAGACGGCATCGTGGGCTGTCAGATATGTGGTTTCGCTTCTATTCCGTATACGTCCGAGGACATACATGGCGCCTTCATACGGTGGTAAGCACTCAAGACCCAGCGCTTGAAAAAAACACGGTGTCGATAAGGATAGTTATAATACGATAGCATTATTTGTAAGAGAGGTAAAATTGTTGTACTGCACAGGTGTTGTACAGGACTCGGCCCTCGCGAGAGCCACAAACACCCCATGGGATGGCGACCGCCGAGATAGCCTTCATGATCAATGAGTGAATGGGGACAGAAAAGTATCTCAGCAACTCGCGAGGACTTGAAACCGAAAAGAGAACGACCGAGTCAACGAGTGAAAGCCTCTACCTACTTACTTCTCCTGACCATGCACAGCAGTCGCGGCAGCGATATGCCTTATAATTTTCACAAAAGCCATCGACCTCACGATGCAGCACCACCCCCTGTTCTTGTTTACTAGTAGGTGTCTCCATCGGTGGTCAATGAGAGGACCGCATGAAACATTCTGTCACGGATTTATATAGCAGTTGCGCGACGTAGGTTTGTCAGCTTCGGTCACTGCAGCTTGCGGCAGGTTGGGAGAGTATTCACCCCGGGGCAAAGAGAAACGAAAATGGAATACAGATATGACAGAACAATACGTGTATTAAAATACGTACAATTTCTTCGCTCCCCACAGCCACCTATAAATACGTACTCTGGCCCGTATGGCATGAAATAAGGGCGCTCAGGTCTGAATGTGTGACACACGTTAAGGGGAGGAATACCACACAGCCACAACCCACCTGCCTTAGTACGTCGCCAACCGTCCGGATAAGCCCTCCCGCCATGAAAATAATATGCATTGGATAGTCAACAAGTGGGAAGTCATCGGCCCGAACCAAGTCTGATGCAGCTGCCCAGGTGCCATGATATTATATCCTACGGTGAAATTTTCAAGACGGCACAGGCCTGCGAGCACACTTGGAAGTATGCTAGTACTATTGGCAATCCTGACGTCCCTTTCTCAAAGGGTTGTCCTACCGGCTATCACTCGACGGGCCACCATGCGTCATAATAAACAAACCTATGTATACGCGCAACAGCGCGACACCGGGAAGCCGAAATTGTCCATTCATTGAACGGTGGAAGGCACGGCCGGAGAGCCTGGATCCATGATAGGTCATTTAAAATGTTTCAATGGATCATGTCAGCAGCGTTTCAATTGATTATTATTAGACATTCTCAGTTAACGGCGGCCCGCTCCGCTCACTTTATCGGTCGTTTCCAGATAACCACTTGCCAGCCGGACTGACAAGTCTTGGCGGGGGCAACGCCACAAGCGAGTGAGATATGCCATTCTCTGGACAGACATAATTATGAAGTCATTTCTTCAGCAGATCTTTGGCGTTGGGTAAAAGTCGGCCGCAACCATTCATGAAATTCCGCGGAGCTCCTTCACGTCCTACACAGGCTTTGGATAGGGGAGGGGCATACAACTTTTATCTACAACGGACAAGTGGTTGGCAAAGTAAATTAAGTAAACACTAAGGTCCCTGATCTGTCACGGTAATACTACTGTAGGCCCTCCTGTCGACCCCTGGCTTCGCAAGGAAGGAGCTGCTATAATTTTCACCTACCGTTTGGTGGCAGCCGGGGTCTCAACCAACCCCTGTCCCACCGTATACACCTTTGGTGCGTCGTCGTTCATGCCACTCAGAATGCTTCCCTCGAAAACATGCGCCACAACAGTCTCGCGTGTCTGTGAGGAGAAGTGAAGCCACCAGGAGGGCAGGTGACCTCAAGACCGTCGACGGACTTCCCGGCAGCGATTTGGAGCTCGTAGTCATAGAGTACTTTTATGATATCCCGAGGCCGCACGAGACCTGCGTTGTGTCAGTGTTTAGTATTCCGTGGGTCTTGAGCGTTTACCACGGTATGAAGGCGCAACATACGTTTTATTCATGGAGATTAGAAATGAAACCACTTCGAGTCTTTGAGATTAGTTTCGGCTTTCACAGTTCCCTGGAAGCGTTTTTTCCTAGCTCGCGGCACGGTTTGCGTGAGATCGTTACTGAATTGCAGGCACAATTTTGTAACCCACCAGGGGTGATTTGGATAAAGATTTACGAAGAAGCCTTGAAGCCAATGGGTTGCTCTAGAATCACCGCATTGAATGTCAGACGGCCTCGTATGGATGGCACGATGAGGCCCGGGGATGGGCGGATACCCGGGATTCGGGCGGGTATCCGGGTAATCGATCACGTTTCCAAAATTTGCCCGTGACGCCGCGGCAGCACTCAATCAACTGTCTCGACGGCGTCGCTCATGTGAGTGAAGTTTCGAACAGAACGCCATTTCGCCTTCGATGAGAATAGTCTGAACCACCAGATCGCGATCTTGGCCCTCGGCCCCTTCCCCCCTTGATCGGATTCCCGGCACTCGCAAAGGGCGAAATGCAGCTGTGAATATAAAGTTCTCCCTAGACGGCTGTAAAACAGATGTGTTCTGGACCTTTGCCACGACATGATTGTATCATCATCTCACATAAGTCCAAGAATTTTATCGACTTGGCATCATCTGAGAACTGAGAGCTGATCAAGCACGATGAAAGCTATACAGATTCTGGGGGATGTCTCATTTCCGAGAGTCGTGATCAACAACTCCTTGCCGAAGCCGACTCCTCGCAATGATGAATTGCTCATCAAAGTCCATGCCGCCGGTATCACTGGCGACGAAGTTTTATGGCCCGAGCTTTACAGCACCGAGAGTCGGATTCCAGGACACGAGATATCGGGCACGATATCGGCCACAGGTCCTGACTACCACGGACCATTGCAAGCCGGACAAGAAGTTATTGGGTTCATCGCCGCAGAACGTGGCGAAGGTCAGGCGGAGTACACCATTTGCCTCGCTGACGAGGTCGCCCCCAAATCGTCGTCATTGTCTCATGAAGAGGCTGCCGCACTTCCAATTCCGTTCTTGACGGCATGGGAGGCTCTTGTCGATCATGGGGCTTTGAAGCCTGGGATGCGCGTGCTCATAACTGGGGCATCGGGTGCAGTTGGTTCCGTAGCAGTTCAACTGGCCACCCACCTGTCTGGCTGTCACATCACAGCCCTGGCCTCGTGTCGACACCATGGCACACTCCGAAGGCTTGGGGCCCAGGAGGTTCTCGACTACAATAGTATTGGTTGGGAGCATCACGTACATGACATAGACATTGTCTTCGATACGGTGGGAGGGCAGGTCATGACTAAAACCTGGGGAGCTGTCAGGAATGACGGGTTAATCGTCACTGTCGCGGATCCTCCGCCCCCGTGGGCGTTCGGACGAGGTGTGGCGGCTGAGTCCTTGAATTTCCCTGCCGTGCGCTACAAGTACTTCGTTGTCTCTCCGAGTTCTGAGAGGCTTGCTAAGTTGTCAGGGATGATTAGCGAATGTGTCATTACCGCTCTGGCGGTAAGGTCATTCCCAGCGGGTGAGGCGGAGCAGGCGTGGGCCCAGGCACGACAGAGAAATCATGGGTCGAAGGTGGTGGTCACCTTCGGCTAAGCGCGTCATTAGATCAAACATTGCTTATTGCCGAGGTTCTCAGATATCACATCTATACTGAGTCATAGAGATGATCTGGCCGTCATTTGACCCTTCACGCGAGTCTCAGGTGCCTGATTGGGATGGTCTGGATGAGAGCCGTGAGGCTCCATGAATACTGATTAAAGTCTCAAGCTCTTTTTCTAAGTATGTTCACACACTTAGTACTATGCCCAGAACTTTGGCAAACTACCAAGACAAATGCGATTTTGGTATTTGGTAAAGATGCCCCGAGCAATCAAGGAAGCATTGGAGGCAAAGAAGCAATTTACTCCTAGCCCGGAGTTTCCCGTCTCTCAACGAATGCGATTCTCTGATCCTACACTATATCCTCGTGACAGCGAGACTCTCATCACTTGATCCGTAGTCGTGGGGCGTTGATGGCTGCGCTTGTGGAGCTACAATGTCCCCAAATGGTAAAATATTAACCTGGGCGATGCGAGTGGCCGAGACATGCATCTCAACTATGCAGGTCCACACCACCCTGCGCTTTTGGCAGGAGGCTGAAACTAGTGTGCATCGAATTGTTCATCGACTTGCTCTGACAAATCTGACAGAACACCGCGCGTCGCTATTGCACTCAGAAAAGAGCGTCGATTGAGCAGGCAGGGTCGATCAGGCGCCAGTGGCCGGAAAGATAGGATCGGTCCGAGCTGGGCAGACGTACGAAGGGTCTCACAGAGCCTTATACTGTAACATACATATGTATCTAGCTATGACCAAAATCGACCTTCCTCGTCCTCGTGGAGACACAGTTTTCGACTCTCGCATACGAACATAGGATCTCATCACCAGCGAATTTACGACCTATATTTTCGATCATGAGAAGTTTTTGGCACTATTCTCTACCACTGAGCATATGGCTCCTCTCGGCCACAGAAGCTCTTGCTGTGGCACAGAACGCCTCAACACCCGATGCGGCGGCACAGAACACCACAGCCGAAGCTGTCGTTGGCTGGGACGCCGGCCCGAATCGACGCGGCACTCTCCGTCTACTTTGGAGCTGTGTTGCCACGATGTTCACCTGTACATGGACCGTCCTGCACATGAACGTGCCCGGCTACGAAGACACCGTCGCGCGGAGAATGGCACGGAAGGTCAAATGGCTCGCCATCAACATCCTGTTTCCGGAGTTCATCTTCTCCAAGTCAGTCTGCGATCTTCGGCTGGCTCTGGACGAACTCCGCAGGTTCGACGTAGGCTGTCGCATACATGGCCCCATTGAATGGAGGCGTGGTCACTGCAAGGGAAGCTGGGAAATCAAGTATCCACCGTTCGCCAGCCTCCTATTTCGCTTCTTGCTACTTGAGTGGCCGCCCGCACACAGTGACGAGCTTGCAAACCCGAGTCCATTCTCGAGAATCAGACAACCCTCTTGCGCCGATCAACACATAGAGCTCGACTCAAAGCATCCAAACTTGGACGGAAATGGCAAGGACACAGTACCTGACGAAGATAATGCCGAACCTGTCTCAAGCGCCGAAGGTTTGGTCGTGGACAAAGCAGGACACTCAGAGCTGCTCAACCCATACTGGACCGTGGTGCATTCTTATTACGCTCAAATGGGGGGAATACTGTGCCTGCATAAACAGGCCGGGCGCAAAGGCCTGATGGGAGCCTTTCCCTTTGCCTCCCCGGCCTTGCTCTGGGCCTTCGACTGGGCCAATGATGAACACCCTCTGAAGGAGTTCACATTGAGACAAGCAGACATCCAGGACAGGAGCAAAGCAGACTGGCTCGCAAAGGGTATCTCCATGCTGCAGATCACATGGCTCATCATCAACGTCACTGTTCGCGCCAGCACCGGCCTGCCTGTCACACAGCTGGAGATTTCGGCATTCGCGTTCTCTGTCATGGCAATCGGGATTTACATGGCAAACTGGTGGAAGCCAAAGGATGTCTTGCGCCCATCCGTCCAGTCAGCGTCGTTCAAATCATACAAGATGAATTATGAAGGGACTGTTCCTTTTGTCCAATCGTTTACCGAAGGTCTGCACTGGCTTCGATCAACTCGGCGCCACAACTCAGCACCTAGAACCTTTTCGGAGTGGAACTTCGCAGGGGCATCCCGGGTTGAGAACGACCTGGTTTGGATGGACGGTGAGCCGCCTTACTTTTTCATCATGGTGGGCATATCATCCCTGGCATTCAACGGTATGCACTGTGTCGCCTGGAATTTCGACTTCCCCACCCGGGTTGAGCTAGTATGCTGGAGGGTCGCAAGTCTTATTGGAGCAATCCTGCCAATAACCGTGCTTGGTATCCAGTACGTCCTCGACTACATCTCCACCAAATACGGAAAGAGGCGGTTGAACAATATCTCGGTTGCCGAGCGTTGTGAGGATATTGCCAGAATTTTGGCCAACACCAGCAGCATCGCCTATATGTTCGCCCGCCTGATAGTCATTGTGCTCATGTTCACCTGCCTGCGATCCGTACCAACTGGCGTCTACAAAATCACCCCGTGGACTCGGTTTTTACCAAAGATATCATGATGATTAAGAGTTCCTCTATAATTCCGTGGTCCTATACGTTTATCAAGTTCCAACCGCCAAGCAAAGGGCCATCGGGTTCTAGAGGAACTCTTGGTGCTTATCTTTATGGGGTGGGGGATTGGAGAGTTTGTGTGGTGCAGGGCTGGGTTTAAAGTTGGTCTTCTGATCAATTTCATGGCTGCTCTGAAAATTATTTGTATCATAAGCATATTGGTTTCTTTCGGTGGTATTTTCCTGTGAAAGGGGATCTTCTGCGGTTTACTCCTCGGCCAGATTGTTAGCGTTTCTAGATACTTGAATATTCACATTCATTCATTACCAAAGTTCTGCCCGACTAACTACAGTCCATCGCCCATCCAGTGCTCAAGTTCCGGGCCAAGCACACCCAAGTTATACCAGCCACAGACGTCTTCCATCGATCCCAAAGACCCTAGAACACCATCTTCCATACACGGCTCGCCGGATTCGGATCCCAGACTACCATGGCTACCACCACCCGAAAGACTTGGCACATTGCTTGATGTCTCCGTGCTGCTACTCCCGATAGTATGGAGCCCCCTCAGCCCCAGAACATGGCGAGCAACTGTCTGTATTTCCTTTACATTGATCGCAGTTCTCGGCCACAGTTCGCCCAGGTCTCTCAGGCAACCGATAGTCATCCGGATCTGATCCCTAGCTACCGCAAGCTCCTTGCCACTGAGCTGGAACGCGCACGCTGAGAGCAAGGCCAGCGTCCCTTCGCTGACCATGCATGTAACAAACGGAGTATGGCTGAATGGTCGGAACGGCAACGCTAGTAGGCGTATCTGCGCCTCTATGGATCGTAGAACACGCACCGTGTGCACGTTGATGAGGTCCGGTGTCGGATTGTCATTTGGCGGCTCTCGGGCGCAGCTTGAGACTGCCTCCACTGGGTTGAACTTGAGGTCGGACAATGGTCTATGCAGACCGATGGTCGCTCTGAAAGCACTGTAAGTATAGCACCTCGGCAACTGTCGTGGAAGAGGTCATGAGCTATCTTACACGTGGATAAGCAAGTGTGCTTGAAACATAAGCTCATCGATATTTCCGGTCTTCGTCATAATCTCCTTGCGTTCTTTTGGTAGTAAGAGAGACCATCCATCAATGATGGAGTCAGCGGACTGTATCATGCCCGTCGAGTCCTCCTTGGCTGCGACTTTAGGCGAAATAGATATTGCTAAAGCCGCACATTTCACGGCTCCGATCAGGTATGCGAAGGATGAGAATGACACATCGTCGGTAGAAAATTCTCGGCTGTCAAATTCCTCCAGAGTGTTTGGAATCGGAATTTGCTTTGAGGAAATCAGCTTTGTGACGGGAAAAGGCATCAACTGGTTGGCAGGACTGACTTCTGACTCGTACTCTCTCTCTTCACATGGGAGATCTACCGTGGCGTCGATCTCAAAAACAGAGAAATTCATCGTTCCCAAGGTGCCCGCGTAGTACGCGTCCACAATGTACAACATCCACCACGTCCTTCTCCAGCACTCCATCAACACAGGATCCCCAGCACCGTGATCGCTCGCAAATTCTTGTCGGAACATCTTCAGATCAACGGCGAGCTTCACCGCGCTTTTCATCTCGCTGTTTGCTTCGGACTTGAAGTTGTGCCAGAACAACACGATGGAGTATAAGAGACGGCATTGAACCACTGTGGGACTTGATGATGGTGCTCCAGCAATGCACATCTCCGCGTGGTCTCGTAATTGTGTTGACAGCTCTTGCGCAGCGTACAAATGTCCAACTAACCGCATCAAAGCAATGACAGGTGCGAGAACAAGCCCGTTGTTCGCATCTCTGTGTAACCGAATGAGGGCTTTCTGAGGTAGAAGGAACGGGTGGTATGTGTGGAAGTGTTTGTAGTATGAGGTTATCAGAGGATCTCCTTCAATGTTCTCGGTGTGCATGTGAAAAGCTGATGCTGATGCTGAAGCTGGCGTTCCATTACCGATGCTGTCTTCTTCCAGTGAATTTAAGTCGCTGGGCAGGTCATACAGCTCCAACGGCTGAGAGGGCAGTTCTTGGTCTTGCTGGACGACAGATATTGTCCGCGCCGTCCGGGCTTTCGTAGTATCCGAGACACCCACGCTGCCTGCCAAAGCCAGACGTTTACGTCTCTCTGCCAGAGCCGCACGATCCAGTCCACCGCGACGTGACGGGGCATATTGACACTCCCTGGAGACCTCAAGACACCGGTTACATTGAGGCCGGGTGGCGTCGCATTTCAGATGACGCGAGCGGCATGGGAGGCAAGCCAGGGAGGAGCGCGTTGCCCTGCGGGCTTGCGATGTTGCTGTGTTGGTGTCATCCATGTGCGATGTGTCAAAGATTGAATCCGATCCGGGAATAGGCTTCTCGGTGGAGGCTCATCCTTAGATTTGTGATGGGTGGAGGGAGAGCCGGAGAACGCCGGATAGGCTATTCGGGTATCCGGTGCGGCCGTCGTGGGTATCTGCCGTGCTACAGTCATAGCCCACGCCCGCATGAGGAGCTAATAGTGATCACACGTAATTTCGCGCAGTGTCTCTAACACTCTGGCCGATTACCCAGTGCGCCATTAAGGGCGTCGAAGGCTGTGGGTGGCATAACACGTTCGCCCCCTGCTGACTGCCCCGAGACCATGATGTATGAAAGCAATAAGTGGATAAATAGTTGGCCGGGCCCAGCATAAGTTATCTATGATCTAAATCAAAAGCAACATAAGTAAATGTATAAATATTATCGATACTACAAAATAGTGCACCCCATCGAGCTGCATTTATCCCGTCCTCTGCTACACCGCAAACATCGACAATAATAATGTCAAAACAAATTGTGATCATTGGTGCTGGTTTCGCTGGTCTATGGAGCGCTCTTTCAGCAAAGCGCCTACTCAAGCACAGAAATGAAGAGGACAAGATCAAGGTCCTAGTCATTGCCCCCGAGCCATATTTAGTCCTCCGTCCGAGACTATACGAAGCCAACGCAGCTGGCATGAGGCATCAACTTGGTGACCTCTTCGACTCGCTTGGTATCAACTTCTTCCAAGGAAAGGTCGAGATCATTGACACCAAGGCGCGCATCGTTCATGTTCAGCCATCGTCAAGCTCGAAACCAGTAACGCCCATCGGCTACGATCGCCTGATCCTAGCAGCTGGTAGTTCAATCAATCGGCCCAAGACTGTTGCTGGGCTGCGTGAGTTCGCATTTGACGTCGATTCTCTCGACTCAGCAACTCAGCTCGAGGAACATCTCAACGGTCTTGCATCGCTCTCAGAAAGTCCCGCTCGCAACACAGTGGTGGTGTGTGGGGGTGGCTTTACCGGCATCGAGCTTGCGGCCGAGTTGCCCAACCGTCTCCTTGGCCACATCGCCAACTCTCGAGTCATCCTCGTCGAGAGCGCAGATGAGATTGGACCCGAACTTGGCCCTGGGCCTCGGCCTGCCATTACCCAAGCAATGAATGAACTTGGAATACAAGTCAAGACGGGTGCGGCGGTATCTTCCGTGAGCGCCAAAGGCGTAACGCTTACATCCGGCGAGCACATCGAGTCCATGACCGCAATCTGGACAGCAGGGGTGGTGGCAACGCCTCTGGCACAGCAGATCAATGGGCCGAAGGACTCATTCGGACGGCTCCATGTCGACCAATACCTTCGCACCCCGTCAACTGAGCATGTCTTCGCTACCGGCGACGCGGCCCGCGCTCTCGCAGACAGCGAAGGCCACTATGCCCTGATGTCATGCCAGCACGCGCTCCAGCTTGGCCGCGTTTCGGGCCATAACGCTGCCGCAGACCTCTTAGGTGAGCCGATGTTGGAGTACTCGCAGGAAACATATGCCTGCTGTCTTGACCTTGGCCTGTCGGGTGCTGTGATCGGGAGGGGATGGGGGAGAGAGGTGGGCGTGACAGGTCAGCGCGCTAAGAGGGTTAAAGAGCATATCAACAGGAATTTGATATATCCTCCCAGTGACGCATCACAAGCCCTGGACTTGGCAGATCCTGTTGGGCCTGATGCTGATGAGCTACCACTGTTGGAGCACATACTTGAGGTCGTCGGATAGTTGGACTGGAGGCGTGTGAGGCTCAGCGCTTTTCAGATGGAGTCGGTCGCCCTATCAAAGTTCTGTTCAGGCTCTTTGGAGCTTCCGACCCGAGGAAGGTTTCCGGGTAATACCCTAAGTAGGTAGGGGACTTTTTGTCGGCATCGAGGTATACTTCAGAGGTCGGGGCGTGAACTACTGTTGGATGTTGGTAATTGGAATCTCCTCTTTCACAGACCCTCTCTATTGATTTCAAATAAACCTTTCGTCTTCTCTCGAGACACGCAACCAAACCAACCACAACGATTCGCGTGTCCATGACATAGCTTATTTCCAGTTTTCCGATTGCACCGAGCCTACGTCAAGGCCTCAGCCCGCCGCTTTAAGACAGATCTTGCGACTCGGAACGCAGTCATGATTCAATGGTCAGAACCTTTCAGCTGACAGTGGGTTCAGTGATCAGACCCTTACGGGGCATCAAGGAAGAATGGCCACGTGAGGAGAGTGGCATTAGGAGGCTGGGTCCACCATACATACAGTTTGGTCTCTCACAAAACAGGCAACTCATTCGCGAAGAGTTTCATGTTGAGAATCCGATAATCAGTGATTGGCCAATTGCGGATGTTTTCAGCTGCGTCTGTCCAGTCCGTTGCTGCTAAGCCAAGGCCGTGACGCGGCTCCCCTTACGTACGGCTCTCGGCAGAGGCAGTGCTAACATGTGTGATGGCTGCGATCGACAACACCGCCAGGAGCTTGACATAAAGTTTCAAATGTACACGATTCTGTGCTACAGCACTACAAAAGAGGCGTGATGGGGCTCGGAAACTATTATTTGTTATCAAAAAGGTCTTATTGACTCGTCTTTGCTGAGGGGGCTTGTTTGAACTGGACTGCGATTCATCAAGTTTATCAATTTGGCTCTCTCATATCCTCTCGTTCAAATAATTTCAAGATGAGTGACACGAACTTCAACAGGCCGGTGGCAGTAATAACTGGAGCGGCGGGCAGCCTCGGCCGAGCTATCGCCCAAGAATTCGCCCTCGAGGGCCGCTCCCTGATCCTATGCGACCTCAACTCCGTCGACGCGGCCATGCACTCGGTACGGAACCTCCTATCCGCTCGCTCCATCACGGCGGTGACAGGGGACATCACGCGGGCCGATTTCCCCTCCCAGATCAAGGCCGCCCTCGGCGGGCGCAAGATCTCATGCCTCGTGCACGCCGCCGGCGTCTCGCCAGCCGTCAAGGACGGCAAGCGCATCTTCGACGTCAACTTCACCGCGACCCGGCGGCTCGTGGACGCGCTCGTGCCCGAGATGCAGCAGCCCGGCGGCGTCGTGATACTCGTCGCCTCGGTGGGCGGCAAGCTGGTGCAGAACTCGGCCGTGGACCTCGCCGTCAGGAGACACCTCAAGGGGGCCCGGTCGCCGACGCTGTGGGCGCTCAAGCGTTTCCCCTACACGGCGTACTCGGTCTCTAAGCGCTGTATGCAGGTCTACGCCAGGAAAATGGCGCGACCTCTGGCGCAGCCCTCGGCGACTGGGCCAGGTGGCATTCGCATCGTCACTGTGTCACCCGGTGTGATTGACACAGACATGACCATGCACTATGCTTCCCGCCCGAATCTATCGACCTTCGTCAGCTCCGGCCCGATGGAGCGGATGGGAAGGCCGGAGGAGGTTGTGCCAGTGATCAAGTTTTTGGCCTCGGATGGCGCGAGTTATATCACCGGCGTGGACATCTTGGTAGACGGTGGGATTATTGCATCTAAGAGACGGGCTTTGAAGAACACAGCCAAGGTTGTAATGAAGGAGAGGCGTGAGAAGAAGAAAGCATTGAAAAAGTTCAAGAAACAGGAGAAACTGAGGAGCTTGGAAAATAATAATCCCAAGGGGAAGGCAAAGGAGCCTCCGGTTTACAAGGAGATCGAGGAGTGATGAAAGGTGCACTATACTTGCATATCACGTTAATAATAAGAGTGAATCAATTTGAAATATTAGGAAAATGGTCAGAACTAAATTTCCACCTCTACACCAGCCGGTCTCCAACATTGGCGGTTTATACTACAACCACTTATGTGAAAGCAGTCATGGGTGGAGCACAAGATGAATCGTTCAAAATGATCTGGGCGCAGTGTTTCAATGACTGAGTTAGCAATTTTCTGGCTCGTGTTGTACTGCCAACAAATCTGTATTTTTGAAGGGACCCCAACTCAAGCTCCCTAACCGATCACGGTCCGTTCGTTCAATCCTCCCAATCCTCCCTGATCATCTCCGCCCCCTTCTCGGCAACCATGTACACAGCCGCAAGGATATTAACGTCAGGGAGAATGGGCATGACACTGCAGTCGATAACCCTCAGCGAGTCCACGCCATAAACTCTCAGGCGCGGGTCAACAACGCCGCCGTCCTCGAGCGGCAGCATCTGCACGGTGCCGGACGCGTGCCAGTTCGGGAACGTGTTGGCCTTGACGTATTCGAAGATGGCGTCCTCGTCGTCGTCGGAAACGTTCTCGACGCCTGGGCTCACCTCCCCATTGTTGGGCCCGATGGTGTACTGCGACAGCTCCGGGTGGGCCAGGATGCGGCGTAGGTCCCGGAATGACTCGATGGCGACCGCGCGGTCTGTTCCGGTGTCGTCGGTGTAGTACTTGAGAGTGAAATCAGCTTTAGAGTTCGAGAGCTAAAATTGCAAGTTGCACGTTCACACGGTGATTCACAATACTTACGTTTGGGTTGATCACTGGTGGGTCGGACATGGAGCTGGACCTCAGGCTGACATTCCCTCGGGACAGCTGCACCATTGAACTCGCGGTGAGGGAAATATAGGATTCACCATCTTGGGGCGCATAGAACGGCGTCGGGATCCAAGGATACCACACGCTCTCGTAGAGGTACTCGATATGGTTCTGGTTGGCGAGGTTGCGGGTGATGATCTCCGTCAGATTAAGCGCCTCGATCTCGGCCTCGGAGAATTTCTTGAAGCCATTGGTGATACCTGAAGGGGCTGTGTATGGTCCAGAAAGGTTGGAGTAGAATTGAGTCTGGGCGGTCTGCAGATTCTCCACGCTTGCAGACATCTCGGTCGTGGAAGACTCGGGCCGAGCAGTGGCCATGATACTGAATACGCTGTGATCATTGAGGCTATATCTTTATTAGAGTGAACACCTGGGAAGGATGTCAGAAGACTCACTTGCGTCCCACGTTCTCGTTGACGACCAAAGGTGTGATGCCAAAAGCCTCCAATTCTGACTGAGGACCGATACCCTATAACCAGCCGTGTCTTAGTTCACACCCTGGTGGCAGTGTTTTGTCGTGATCTGCACTTACCGACAGCATCAACATTTGAGGGGAGTGGAAAGCACCCATACTCAGGATAACTTCTTTCGAAGCGCTGACCTGGTGGATCAACCCGGTATTCTGGTCCACGAAGACTACACCAGTCGCGGTCGGTGTGTCACCTTCCGTATCCAAGACCAGTTCTGATACAGGTGCATTGAAGAGGACATCCAAGTTGGAGCGGTTCTCGGCTTGCCTGTAGAAGCTGTCGAAGCTGCCGCTGCGGCGCAGTGTGCTGTCCAGCGTACCCAAGCCCTGCTTGACACCCGTGGCATTGCCAGCATTGAGCTCGTTCACGACCGGAACGTTGACCCCTTCCAGTGCACGCATGAAGCCAACATTTGAGTCAGGAACATATCCTTGGTAGCTTAGCTGGAGAGGCCCGTCACCATAGGCACTGGCGTCATAGGTTTGGAATGTCTGGTCAAACCCGTTGATCTGGGCATATTCGGCATTCTCCGGCTCGTTGAGGTGAGTGCTCTGGATATATCTGTTAGTATTCATTTCTTTTGTATAATTTCGGGAATAATTTAGAGAATAGTTGTAATGCATATCCACTTTCATGCTTGAGAGAGATAGTCTTGAACAACAAGTGATGGATGGGAAGAGGTTTCCATATGTGTTCCCGGATGCAATTTTTACACGCAAGCAAGCAATTGACGTGTCATGACGGATGGATGCTTACCTTGATGAAGAGCGGATACACATCGTCCCATCCCCACCCCGGGTTACCTAGAGCAACCCAGTCATCGTACACGCTGGCACTTCCACGAGCGTAGTACAGGCCATTGGTGGAGCTAGATCCGCCCCCGGCCTTACCACCTATTATTGTCTTTAGCCTCTTGAACCATCACCCTTTTATACCATGCTAGGTGTTACTCACGTAGATACTGCAGCTGTCGGCCTTCCAGGCCGGTCTGGGGGACAGTGACAAAGTTCCAGTCGATTGTGCTCCCTTCTCGCACGATTAGCCACGGTCAGCTCGGCTCCCAAGGAGGTCTTGAACTTGCCTTTTAGAAATTGGTTGCCTCCGGGCGTCGCATATGCAGCCACAATGGTCGGTTCTTGACCGGCTTCCAGAACCAGGACTCTTTGGTTCCCGGACTCGGTCAGTCGATTGGCCAGGACAAGCCCAGCCGTTCCACCTGTTGGAGTTACCGGATCAGTATGAAGCCCTAAATTGTAAGATGACTGCGGTATGGCACCAACCTCCACAGATGACGAAGTCATATTCATCCTCGATTGCCTGTCTTGTAATGAGTGGGATAGGCTTTGCTACGACCTGTTCGAAGGACAGGAGCAAAGCCGGGAGGAGCGCCAGACTTCTGAGGAGAGCCATCCTGAGCCGCGGACAAGTGACAAAGAGTCTAATTTTGTCTCAGTAGCACCATGCAGCGATCCTTTCTACTGGTTACTTGGATCGGACGACAGAAGACGACACGAGTATAGCAGGATGAGACGAGAGATTAATTCATCTGCTCGAAGACTTGCCGAGCATGATCAAGACTTATATGAGAATCTTGACAGGACCGCCTGCTCGGGCCATTGGCTCCCCCGCCGGGAAGCAAAAGGCTCATAGAGACACCATAATATTATGCCAAGGTCCATCGGCGGATTGGCTGGGCAGTATTGGCAAGGCTCAGCATACAAGCCACAGTCCAGTCCGGAGAGAAGCCTGGGAGACAGCCAGGTTGGCAACTCTTGTCCTGGCACCCTGTGACTTGGATATACCCAGGTATTGTGCCCGAGGCATACTAGCCAGCTCTCCAAGACGTCAGCACGCATGCCGCAGGATTTTTTTCGGCGCCGGATTCGTAAAAGCATACAAGTCGCTTATTCGGCAACGTGCGGGATGGTAAGACGCAGCCCGCTTTCTCGTGTTCCCCAGGTGCTTCTCCGGCTTACATGGCTTCGATATCCTGGGGGGCTTTGGTCTCGGGTGCACCGGCGAGAGGGCTGAAAGTTGATCGACAGCAGACAAGCCTCAAGGCACACGTACCCGCACACACACACACACACAGAGAGAGAGAGAGAGAGCTTGCTGGGCTTTCTCAGCTCTTTGTCTAAGGTCTCTCAGCCCCCAAGCGCGAGCCTCTTGGCCTACCGCGTAATGTCCCACCCCGCAGTCAGATAGAATCCTGGGGAATGGGGGCCGCCCCGGATCTGCGTGCCTTAGTAGCGCCCGCCTCTTTCATCAGCCAAGGCAATTCTAGCTCGACTAGCACAGTCTGACCTGCGATGAGGAAGGGCCGTAGTTTACAGCCCCTCACCTGCGTGCCTTGTCCTGCGCCTTGAGCACTTGTTAGTTGGGATTCAAGGTTTGGTTCGCGGCTATACCCTTGGCATAACGTTTGCTTAACCTGCGCACGGGTGAAAAGCTCCATCTCTCCGGATGGATCGGATTTTTCATTGATCGAGCAGCTTGACTCGAGCAACCAGAATTTGGCCGAAGTCGACGGTGTACCAAGATATTGTAATGCACCGATGGACGTTCGCAAAAGCACAGCCAGATCCAGAATGAATGCCACAATTCACGTTCCTGCAGGCTGTGGTTGAAATTTATTGAACTGAAGGATTCTGCCACTCATGTCTGGGTCTAGCATTTCCCGTGGGTACATATGTAGTACCCTATTGGCGATATAACTCCTTGACAACAAAACTCCAGAGCCTGACCGTTGCGCCACAGATGTAAATATACTTCAGGAAATGGCGATGAGCGCTGCGTCTACTGGGGACGTGAGCCCCGGCCGGGATTCTTCCTCGGCGTGGCCATCAGGTCCTGGCCCATCCGCACAACCCTCTCGAGTTCGCTCCTCATAGCATCAATAGCCGCCTTCGCCCTGGCCTTCTCCGAGTCGAGGCGGTCGCCCAGCGCGCCGTTCTCAACACGCAGGCTCTGTACCGTCTCATTGGCCTCGCGCAGCGCCTCGTTGACGCGGTCGACCTCAGCCCTCAGCTCCGACACCCGCGCGTCCCGCATGACCAGGTCGACGCCGTGCCTCTGCGACATGGAGAAGACCTCCTCCTTGTGCCGGGCCCGCAGCTGCTCGAGCTGGTCCTTGAGCTCCGAGGTCTGCTCGAGCGCCAGGCCCAGCTTCTCCTCCAGCATGGACATGTCAAAGTCCCTCTCCTCGTTCTGGTCCCGCGCCTCCCGCAGGTCCCTGTTGGCCGTGTCCAGGTCGCCCTCGACGCGCTGCACCAGCGCCTCCAGCTCCGACACGTCGCGCGTGTACGACCTGACCGCGCCCTTGAGCCGCTGCACGCCGACCTCGAGCTCCCGGATCCGCGCGTCCTTGCCGGCGACCTGCCCCGCCAGCGCGTCGCGCTCCGCCCGGGCGGCGTCCACGGCCTCGGCGCGGGCGCCCAGCTGCTTCCGCAGCGACTGCTCCAGCGCGTGGTACTCGTCGACGGCGTCCTCGCACTCGAGGGTGCGCCTCGCCAGCTCCCGCAGCCGCACGAGCAGCAGGTCCAGCACCGCGGCGCCGGCCGCCGTCAGGGGCAGGGCGATCTCGCCGGGCGTCAGGTACTCGAGCTCCAGGCGCGCGGTGCGGAACGCCGCCGACAGCGAGAGCACGACCTCGGAGGCGTCGCCGCCGGGGAAGCCGAGCCCGCCCAGCGACGCCTCCAGCCCCTCGAGCGCGGCGGTGCGGTCCGACAGGGCCTGCAGCAGGTTGTTGAGCTGGGCCTCGACGCGCACCGCCGGCGAGCGCGAGTCCAGGATCAGGGCGGCGGCCGAGCCGTCCTCGGGCGCGAAGGGGGCCAGCTTCTCGGACAGGCGCGACGTCATGGCCTCGTACGTCTCGAGCGTGCCCGTGAGCTTGGCCATCTCGAGCTGCAGCGACGCGAGCTCGTCCTCCAGCTCCTCCCTCTCGGCGGCGGTGAAGGACGTCTGCACCGCGGCCTGTGACGTCGGCGTGACGGGCTGAGGCCGCTTGCTCGGCGTCACCGGCCTCAGGTTTGGGCTCGTCGACGGCGGCGTGGGGAAAGAGTTCCTCACGTTGGATGACGACCGGCGGGACGGCGTGCTGCAGGCAAGCTCTGCTATTGTCCTGTCACCAAACTCCTCGTCGCCGTCGTCGTCATCGTCGTCGACGTCGACGTCAAGCTCCATGTCCGAGTAGTCGCCAGGGAAGGGGTCCTGGACTCTTCTGGCCCAGTCCGCACGGGTGGTGCTGTAGTCGATTGTGTCCTCGGTCTCATTTGACGAGTCAGGGCTCTTGAGGACCCTCCTCAGCTGGGATACTTGTCTCTTGAGCTCGTCGATGCTCTCCTGGGTCTCGTCGTCGCCCTCGTGGCCGACAGCTGTGGCACCGGACAGACGACGGATCTCGGCGTCCTTGGCAGCGACCTCAGACCTCAGGGCAGCAATCTCGTCGCTGGTCTGCTGAGCCTTGCGTCTCTTCTCTGCGGTGATGATGTTGATCTCCTCGCTGAGACCATTCCGCCTGATGCGCCTCTTGACACGGCCGTCCAGCACCTGGCGCAGCGGCAGGAAGGTAACCTCGCCGCTGTGGCGTGTGTCGATTGTAGAGTCGAATGCATCGGGATGGTCTTGGGTGACTGGCTCGGGGCCGGAGTGGCGACGCCTCTTGGTCCCAGAGCCCAGGCCTGGCTCGAGGGTTGTCCGACGGATGTGCGGTGTCAGGCCGGTCGAGGCGGAGACATGGTCCGAGGAGAGGCCAGGGTCTGAGAAGCGCACTCTCTTCTTGGCCCCACGGCTCGGAGTAGCAAAGGTCGGGGACTTTGGCCGTTGTGGTTCCTGAGGATGGCTGTTCAGGTTGTGAGAGACTGCACTGCTTCGACGCGTCCGCCGCAGTGCAATGGGGAGGTCTTCGGTCATGGCAGACACGATGACTGTGCTGAGCTCAGTCGCGATGCCCAGGGCCACAGATCAGAAGTGGGGTGTGCTTCACGATAGCAGTGCAGCGATTCGGGGCTCGGCTGGGGGTGGTCGAGATGTGGAGTGATATGATCCTGGGCAGCAATCCTGGGATGCAGCATTCAATGTTCAAATACTGTGGTACCTGGGACTACCAGGGTGTGCTGATTCGGGATCTGGATCGTGACCATTCACCCAGGCGCCCAAGTGTGCGAGCCAAACGCGTGTTGGCGTGTCGAACAGGACCCCATTTGTTGTGATCAAAATATTTACTTGCTGCCGCTTCTGGCCTAGCGCGGCCCCATCGGGACCCACCGAGCTGGGATCATTGGCCATCTGCCCCGCTACCCAACGACCTCGGAGCTTTGACTCCAGCTGTCAGCACCAACGACGTGCAGCATCCTCGAGTCGATAGAAACATGTGCGACACCCATCATGATGCCTCTTGCTTCCCGATGTCTGCCAAGTCTGCCGCTGACCATCAGCACTAAAACTTCCAGATCCTTTACTTGTGGATCACTTCATGATCGTCTACAGTTTTGGAGGTTTTGTTTGGCTCAAGTCGCAATGGGTGTCCGCGACCAAGAGTGGACATCATCCTGTGGCGTTTTCCGTATCTGGAACCCCTCATCAACGAAGCCGAATCTGACAGCTGGTGTTCCTGGCTCTGAGTAGATAAAGGAGAGCTTAGGAGTCGACCTCTACGCATGACCTCTGTCTAAGAGTGAAGACTCTGTCGAGTTACCGCGACCTTGATTGATTTGCTTTCCCTCTTGAATCTTGTACCTTTACTGCTCAGTGAACATGGCGTCGACAAAGAACATGCCCAGGATGGTCGAGCTGGCCGCTCAGATCAGCACCGCCGTATCTGAAATGCAAGAACGCCTGACAGCTCAGGGCGCGCCATCACCGTCTTGGGCCGAAGACAGTCCCGAGAGCCTTCCCCTTGACTTGTTCGATCTCCGCGACGCTGTCATTGACGCAAGTGCTGAACTCCAAGAGCTGCTGATGGAGCCCATGATGCTCATCTTCAAATTCGCCTCCGTGAGACTTCTCTAGCACCCAAGCTGGGCCTTCTTCCATGGCCTAATGATTCCAGATCTCCAATCTCGCCAGCATTGACGCCATCAGCCGATACCACATCCCGGACATGATACCTCCCGGTGGCCAGATTTCTTTTGAGGACATTGCCGCCAAAACTGGCCTCCCGAAACGAGAGGTCAAACGCCTAGTCACAAACGCCATTTCCATGAGGATCATGACGAGTCCGGAGCCCGAAATGGTGGCGCATACGAGGATCTCAAAGTTCTTGACGATCCCGTACGTCAATGCCTGGGTCAACTTTGAAAGCAAGGATACCTGGCCAGCTACTACTAGGGTAACCCACCGATATCACACTGCATGAGGCAAAAGACAGTGGGAATAAGCTGACGAATGAACGCCTCAGATTGTGGACGCGATGGAGAAATGGCCGTCCTCCGAAGATGTCAGCGAGACTGTGAGTGTGTCCCACGTCCTAGAGCTGAGCATAATATCTGCTGTCCACCGGACCTTCCGCGCCTGGATGATCAAATAGTAGCGTTTGCTGACCCCCACAGGGCTTCGCTCTTGCCAACGGGAAGTCAGTTTTTGAGGTCCTTGCCACGGATCCCCCGCGGGCGATGCGCTTTGCCGGGGCAATGCAGGCTTTAGAACATGTCCCAGGCTACGCGCTGAGCGATGTTGTCAAGGCATACGACTGGAACTCCCTTGGGCACGCCTCTATTGTCCAAGTTGGTGGACAAAGAGGTCAAACCGCCATAAAATTGGCCGAGAACTTCGAAAATGTTAAATTTCTCGTCCAGGACTCGGAGATGATCATCCAAGGCGCGGAATCCGATGTCCCACCCAAACTGAAGGGGCGTGTTGAGTTCCAGGAACATGGGCTCTTTGAACCTCAGACGGTAAAGGCAGATGTGTATTTCTTACGCATGGTTCTCCGCAGTTGGAGTGACCAAAACGCTGTCAACGCGTTGAAGGCGCAGGTTCCCGTCCTCCGACCGGGTGTCAAGATTCTCATCCAGGAGGCTGTTATGCCAGAGCCGGGGACCATCCCATTGTGGAATGAGCGAGTCTGGAGGTATGTGACCCACTGCTGATACGAGCTTCAATAACTTCGGGAAATGAGTGCCTGCTGATGGAGCTTGATAGATCTGTGGACATGAGTCTGAAGAACTTCTTCAACGGCCACGAAAGATACCTGGACGAATGGAAGACTCTACTCGCAGCAGCAGATGAAAGATTCGTCCTTCATCGGGCACACATGCCCGGGCATACTGTGTTGGGGATGTTAGAGGTTCACTGGGATGTGTCTCGGGCCGTGGGAGCCTAAAGTGCAGTTGATCAGAATTCATATCATGACTTGAATCCACTTCTTTTAGGTGCCTTGGTTATTATTTTGGCAGGGTTGCTGCGCAAATGGTATAGCTTCCTGTGGAGGTTTTTCACGTTGCAATGCACGGTGCAAGATTGGTTGCGATCAATTCATGTTCTCGGCCCAGCTCCTGCCTGATTGGTGAGCCGAACCGTGCTTTCCTATAGTCTCCACAATGGCGAAGACCTTGACTAATCAGATAACGGCGAAGTTAAGGTTTAAGACATCCTGTGACACTGGATGTCTTGCAGGCACTTCAAAAATTTTGAGAGGTCAATGTGCAACGCCCTTTTTCTCACTACCTAGGTAGTGATATAAGCTTGGAAACAATCACAACCAGCACATACGACCATAGGTACTAGAAAATTCGGGATCCCGTCCGCTCTCCCATAGACAAGCTGGTAACCGCTGGATTAGTAGTTGGGTCGGTGACGACCAGCGAATACCCGGTGTTGTATGTTTTTTTTTGCCTCTTCTTGCACGCTGATGATACGTTTCGGAGAAACTAAGTAAGCTGGGCCGGAATCATGCAAGCTCCTCGGTGAGAAAACTGCTGCCAAGTGATACTCGTATCAAAAATAGCCCCATTCAGAGAATCTAGAACAGAGGTTACCCCAGGAAGTATGAGTGGTTCTTGGTTTGTGACAGATTCATGACTGGTTTCGCCTCTATTCCGTATATGTCCGAGGACATACATCGCGCCTTCAGACACCGGCGGTGGTCAATGCTCAAGACCCAGCAGTTTCAAAGTGAAAACACAATTGTAGACATTAAACTCGTACTCAGGAGGCCTCTCACAACCCATAACCTTGAAATAGTTCCAAGTTTGTCTCAAAGCTGGGTGAGATCTATGCTGCGCAGAAGTTTCCGCAACCCTTTTCCTGTTCACCATTACGGTTATACCGATAGAGCAGATGGCCAGGCGATACACGATTTGATGGTGTCGATTACCCTCACTCCTTTCCAGCGCAAGGTCACGTTTGCTGATGCGTTGCCCTCCAATGTCAATGAGCCCTAGTAAAGTGTCGCTCATTTTGCAACCTATAAGCCTTTGTAATGCTGTACGCGGACATCAACAGTCTGATCCGCAACCTCGGAGTTCGATCTTGTGTCATGTGGTTTTTTGAGAGGTGCATCAAAGTCGTCAATCTCATCCGAGAACGGAATTCCTGCTTGGGCGCCCACACTCTGGATTGTGATGGCAGCCGCTTTATTTGCTCTAATCACGGCGCTCTCGATGTTCCAACTTCCTTCTGATTTCTGACGAATATACTCCGAGGAATATGCCCCTGTGAATGTGTCTCTATTCCAATTGATTAGTACGCTCAACGTCAAAATGTCCATACTAATTAGAAGGCAGACTGACCCTGCACCCGTAGTGTCGATGACCGGAACGTCGAATGCGTGGCAGTGTCCGCTTCCAGTTGCATTGGCGAAGAACGCGCCTTTGGCGCCCAGGGTGATCACGACATTCTGAACACCACGTTCGAGGAATTCTTTGGCGATAGTTGGCCATGTCTTCTCGTTCACCTCATCTCTGTCTCGGCCGGACATGATAGCAGCCTCTGATTCGTTGACCAGGAGGTGTGTGAGGTGCCGATAAACCTGCTTTGCAATGGGGACGGCGGGGGCGGCGTTGAGACAAAAGTCGATCTTGGCCCGACCAGCAGTTTCGATCATCGTCTCGACCACTTCTTTGTCAATCTCCATCTGCGCAACGACAAGGTCAGGAGCGGTGCCATTCCCAAGGTCTTCGGGCTTTGCGAAATGGTCCTTCTTCCAAACCGCCGTCGCGCCAAGCGTGAACAGGCATCGGTTCTCGCGTGTTGAGTCCTCCACCATGACGAAGCAAATGCTCGACCGCGTGTCCGGTACTGTCAATATGCCAGAGCTGTCGATGCGGTTCGTGTTCAACTCGTCAATGAACATGCGCCCATACCGATCGTCGCCCACTGCACCAATCATCTTCACCTTGATATCATCTTCATCTTTAGTGCCGTCGTCTGTCAGTAAGGCGGCACTGTCTTCCCGATCGAGAAGATTCGCCTCGACCTTCTTGGCCGTCTGGCTCCTGCTCGCAGGCTTCCTGTGACAGCTTCGATACGTTGCAATCACAGAATTCGCGCCCTTGCCACCCAAGGCTTCTAAATACTCATTTGCCAGGACACTTTCACCACGGTCTGGGATCCGGCTCGCAATCATGATCAGATCCGCATCTAGGCCTCCGATGACGGAAATGGTTTGGGGTGCCATGTTTTGAGAAGCGTGTTACTGTCAACGTGGTGACCCCCGGGGACATGTCCTTTGCTAAAAGCTAGTGAAACCAGAACCGTGGTCAAGTCGAATATGTAGTGTGAGAGTCCTGGATGAGTTTTCTTTCAATTCACAGGCGATGCCACAACCAACATCTGTGTGACAGTCGGGCCGTACGAGTGACCGATCAGAACCAGAAAGCGGCCAAGCCCAGCAACTTTTAGTCTTGGCCCTGCCGCCACCTCCAATATCACGCACTTTCTGTGACGATCATAAGGATTGGCAGCAATATACGGGCCAGGGGTAGCAGGCTGCCACCATACATACACCTCCCCCGGGGTAACAAACGTTAAATTTTCAAGTACTGACCCACTTAGGCCCACAGAACTTGGGTACTTAACTTAATCAAGAAAACACACTGGAGACCAAGGTAGCAGAAGCTATTCCCAAAAAGTTAACCGATCTGCTTATGTCTCTTTGCCATAGAAATTGCTAGAAAGGCAACTTACCATTTATGGCGGGGCGAGTGGGCCACTACTTGGAAATTTAACGTTTGTTACCCCGGGGGAGGTGTAATTCAATGGCAGGAAAGGCCGTGGCACCACTCAGCAGATGAAGATGCTGTGCCCCAGCCGGTCTGAACTTTGATGGCAGAACCTGCCATTTCTAATGCACAGTATTTTGCACTGTGAAGGGGCGTATGCTTGCGAATTTTAAGACCGGGAAAAGATTGTATCTAAAAATAGGTCCCCGGATGCCATGGTCGAGCGACCAACGCCCCACGCGTTAATGGACTCTTTTCTAAGGTGATGTCGACATTTCCCTATATGCATACTTTAGTTCCAAACCCAGCAAGCCTATTTTCGATTCCTTGTGTTTCATCTCAAATGTGGTCCCTGATTGTAGGCCAACATGGTCCTACAAGTGGTCTCTGCTATGTCCATTCGCAACATGGCAGTGGATTTGCATCGAGCATGCCACTACTGTCCACTACCAGGAACCGGATGCTCTTTGTCACCCCAGTGCCTGCGCATATGCTGCTTGCTGTCAAGCTGATGTTCCGTGTTAAGCTTCCTGTTCATGTCTACGTGCTTCATGAACACGACAACCAGAACAAGCGTAATAACTGACAATGCCAGACAAACATCGAAAACAATTTGAATGCCAAACTTGTATGCATCGAAGATGATGTCGCGCATGGGTCCAGGCGGCAAGCCGTGCAAAGTTAGTATGTATGCTTCGGCATGGGTGGCAATATCTGTGGGGAGCCCTTCCCAACGGAGCTTGAGTTTCATCATATTTTGGAATGTGGTGGCCCCGATTGCAACGCCGCGAGACATTCCAACCTGGCGTGAGAAGATGTAAATGGCAGCAGCCTTGCCTTCGTCGCCGGTATTGCAGATGGCCTGAGATGCGAAGTTCTGTGCGCTAAGAACAGCGCCCTGGCCGAGTCCAGCAATAACATAAGTGAGGACCCAGACGACCGCGCTGTCGTTTGTCCGCCAAATCATGACCATCGCAGCCGAGACGGAGCCAACGAACCATCCAATCCATATTGGCCAACGGTAGTTATTGAAGCGTGTGACGAGCCTGCCGGTAATCATGCCGGAAACGGTAGTTGTGAAGAGCAGGGGAAGCAAGGCCACGCCGGTTTGCAAGGCATTATATTTTTTGACGGCCATAAAGTAGAAAGGGCAACTACAACAGGTCAGGGAGTGTAATTCCGAAAATAGAGACTTCAGGCTTACTAGTACAGAGAACTATACAGCTTGAGGACAGTTAATGCATGTTCGGTACAGAAAGCGGATGGTAGTGGATAAGGCAAGCTTTAGTGGCAGGCAAGTAAACCCGGATGGCTTGCCTTAGGACTTGAGTCCGTGCCAAAAATGAAGGTCTGCAGAGAAGGGATCTTAACTCACCACAATTCCTTGAGACACGGCAGCTAGGTATGTGACGATAGATCCCATGTCTCTGAACAAAGATTTTTCGAGGAAGGGATATTTGGCAAGATAGCCCTCGTATGCTATAGTGAAGGCAAGCCCAACGACGCCTACGATGAGCGGCGTCAAAGTAGCGGCACTGTTCCAGGCATACTAGTGATTTTATAATCAGTCTGAGCCACCATGGACCAAGGAGGAGATGAGATCCATGCCTGTGTACCACCCCATGAAATGGCAATCAAGGTGGCCGTTCCAGATATGGCGAAAAGAGCCCCCCCTATCCAATCAATCCTGCTCAGCTTCTCTTGCGCAGTTCTCTTCTTCGGTCTTAGGGTGAGGAGGTATGGAACAGCCATTAAACCAAAGGCGCAGATCGGGAACATTAGATAGAAGATCCAGCGCCATGTTGTCCTCTCGGCAATCGCGCCGCCGATGACTGGACCTAGACAAAGACCTAGGGCCCAAAACCCAAGACTGGTCAAACCCGTCAGTTTAAAACCTTGAAGAGGTAGCAAACAGGCATATTACTGACACGATGGCATTCCACGTTGGCCGCCATCTCAGTGGAATGATGTCGGTCTGAACCACTAGGCCGAGGGAATGAATTCCCCCGCCCCCGACACCCTGAATACAGCGACCAGCAAGTAAAGTAGATATATCACCAGCAACGCAACAGACGATAGTACCGACGGCGAAAACAGCGATGGCGAATGTGAGGCAGATAGGACGACCGATGACTTCGCTGACGGAACAAATAATTGGCATGGTGATAGCGTTGACGAGGAGATATGATGTGCCAATCCAGAAAGCTTCAGTAGTTGAACCGCCAATGTCATTTACAATCGCCTAAAATTGACCGTCAGAGGCTCGTCCTGGGCTAAGAAGCAACGTATTGGAGAATACCTACCGCTAAAGCCGTGACGACAACGCTTGCATCGAGCGCGACAATAAGGTTGAGAACACCGACGGTGTAAATTATGGCCTTCTGATGCCTGGACGGCTTCCAATCCAAGATCCCAGTAATCTGGGATTCATCGGCCATATCGCCTGATGCGGTCTGGGGAGGATTTTGTGTCCCGTCACCTGTGGTTGGAGGCTGTGCCATCATAGCTGCAAACGATAGATAGCGAAGCCGAAAAGGAGGTTCAGCAGGATGGGGCTCACGTGTAGTAGTTGTTGAAGGCGCCGAGGAATTCTCTCGAAAACGACAAAGTGAGTTCCTAGAGGAACTCTCAACAACCAAGAAGTACGAAGTAGTTTGAAAGATTGCCTGAAGCGCTACCAAAATTCTTTGTTCGGTTGCGTTGCGTCTCCTCACTTCGGGACATCAAGTCACCATGGCAGAAGGGTTAGACTTGGAGCTGGAAATCTTTTGATTTAGAATGAAGGGTGCAAGATTTCTGTAGAACATAAAGGGCTGTGAAGCTGAAGGCGCCCGGCATGTCAGATAGGCAGTGTGACGGTGCGCAGCGAAGTCCAGTGTAAGTGATTGCAATGAAGCACAGCGTGTGTTCCCCTCATGAGCCTCATCTAGCTCCTGTTATTACCATGAGCTGGCTGCTTCGGAATGGGGCCGAACGCCAGCAATGTCCATATGTCAATTGCCATGCATGAGGTTGTGACAACCTCATTGTTGGGGGACAGGAGCGAATCGGATGCGATTGACATCAAAGCCTCGAAATTTCACATGTGCGCAGCCACACCTTGATCAAAAGAAGATGCAGTCATTGGACAGTTCACAAATTGAGGTAGGCGATGCGGCGGGGAATGCAAAAGTGCGTTTAGCGGTTGGCAGCTCAAATGCCGTCGGTAGCTGTGATCCAGACCAGGAATAGTGACCGGTTCAAACTCTGCGTCCCTGCAGCTACACCTTTCAATACATTTTCCAGGTACTTCGTCATGCGCGTAACTCTGTTTGGCAAGGATCCACGGTCTGTGTAACAGGTACTTTTGTCGATTGCTGTGATCGAGTTCTAGACCACCCTCTCTATGCTCGTCATCTCCAAGGAGGTTGTCATGAAATGACACCCTCACAGCCTCGCGTTGCGGATTATGTCCGGGATCAACACTCCATCACTTGGGGGGAGGGTTGCATAGAGATGCTTAGCAGCAGCTTCGCAGAGTATCATTTGAGCTCGTGTAGAATTACAACCGCGAATAAGGTTCGAGTATGTTGTGTCACCAATAAAAGCAGCTACATAGTATACTAGTATATGGTAATATGTGCTAGGGCCTGGGATTCAAATCCAGTTCTTATCTCCATGATGCGAGACAAACGCGCCACCAAATCCGGTGTCGATACTGGCTTTTTCCCATGTTGCCCTGACCTGTTTCACAGATTGCTCTGGCGTGATTGGGCCCTTGAAGTCCGGGGAATAGGCGGCGACCTTGCCCATGAATCCCATCAAGCCTTGCTGCTGTTCCGGGGTAACTGTAAATATTCATTAATTCCATGGCCAGGTCATTCTGAGTCTGGTAACTCGACGAGCTCCTGACCATGAGCATCAAAGCTCCAATAACGATCATAAGGGTACGTACTGTTGTCATATTGGGCCACCTCAACCACTCCCGGGCTGATGCTGATGAAAAGGACACCGTCCTTCTTGTATTGCACGTTGAACTTGGACGCAATCATGTTCAGAGCGGCCTTGGATGCAGCATACAGACCACTTATGTCAACCTCGAAAGAATTGGTCATGCCAACGTCGGCTAGACCTGTTGTAAGCGCGATGACCTTCTTGGCCTTGCCCTTGAGGACAAGAGGAAGGAAGAGGTTGAAGAGATGGATGTTGCCGACGACGTTGGTCTGTGTCAAGTCTGCTACAACCTTCTCCAGCTCCTCGGGATTGTCGGCCCTGGTGAACACATGGCGTTAGCTATGAGCACCGTGAATATCAGTATTAGCCAAGCGGCATGCGAAGGTAGACTTGCAATGAGCCGATTGGTCCAAAGCCATCAAAGGAGGCCACATAGCCTCCGCTGGCAACCAAGTAGTCGATGCCTCGGTCGCTAACAATCTTGACAGTAAGTATCAGCAGCGGCCTCTTTCAGGCTGGCATACTTGGTGAGGTCTCCATGCAGGATATGGATATTGGGACGGTCGCCCAGCTCTGCGGCCGCCTTCTTCTCGGTCCCAGCCTTGTCGCGAACCAGGCCCACCACTAGGTTCATTGGGTCCTCCGAGAGCTGCTTGAGGAACTCAAACTAGGCTGTATTAGGCGAAGGCAATCGTGCAAGAGGGGGCATAAATCAGACTCACCCCGATTCCCCTGGACACCCCGGTAATAACATACACAGACATATTGGGTGTTTTGATTGGGCTGAGATAGTATGGAGGTGAAGTTTGTTTTAGGGCAAGTCTGGATGAGACTGATTGTTGAAATACTAAGTGTAAGGTGATACAGTATCTGGAATGTGATAGAACTGTTTGATTATCAATCAATACTCTCGACCTTGGATAGTTGCCCGAGATCATGTTGGGTGAGACTGGTCCATACTTGGTTTTTATCACCTCCACAGTTGCCTCCACTCCTGCCGGACGAAAGACGGGCATATGACCTGCGCCAACTTGAAGGATCTGACCTACTTCATAATCGTGGTTTCTGACAGCTGATTGAACGGACGTGAGTCCGTATCTTTGTCCCACCATGATACAATTGCCTCGGATCCTATCGGAACAGCGGCATGCATTTCTTGTGTCAGAAATCTGACAGACTTCCGCTTACTGTGTGGTTTCGCTTCTATTCCCTATACGTCCGAGGACATACATGGCGCCTTCATATGGTGGTAAATACTTAATACCTAGCGCTTAAAACCATGCTGTGTCAATAACACTGGTAAAAATACGATAGGTCGGAAGAGGAACATTACAGCTATTCAAAAGAGCCCTCTCAGACCAGAGACTGCATGCAGCCAAGATCGACGCTCTTTGGACACCTGAAATGAAAGCGGCTGGAACTTTAGACAGCTTTGAGGCGGTAAAGAAGTTGATGGTAGCTCCGATGTAACTTCCTGACAAACCATTCAGCAAGACGCGACAAGTTCCGATCCTACTTCTTGATCCGTTCGAAATATATTTTACGCCTCCGAGGCAACAAAATGAGCTTACTTTGCTACTATCATTGCATATCACTTGTCTCTGGGAGGTGTTTCAGACTATGAAAGTCTTGATGAGTGTATAGGTCTGGACTTCCACAGGACGTATGTTTACTTACACATAGCCACCCTGCATAAAATGCTCAAACAACAACTACTTGACTACTTTATAGAGACACTCAAGAATGTCAAATTTCTCTTCTTGTGGCACTGGCCTTGGAAGGCGAGCAACTCAGCACTCTTACTGGGCAACGATAACCGGCTAATCCATTGGCCGGGCTCATTCACCAGGAACGCGGTTTCTTTGATGCCAGATTTCCCCTCAAGTGCTCCGTGAGACAGGACCAAGACTGTTCTAAGGACCACCGGGTGCCTTGATTCCTACTAGGCTCCGCAGGCGTCTGACTATAGGAATGGTACCCGCACAGCTCCTGAAACCACTATCCACTGATATCCTCGACTTAATAGCCTCCTTGCTGATGGGGAGAGTGGTTCCTAGGTCTGAGCCAGATAGATACTTCGTATGCTCTCTGGGACACTGCCGGCTATGTGTTTGTCTCCGAGTTCATGCAGAAGAATGGCCGCAGGCCATTAACCAGGAGCAAAAGGTGATTACCGGGGTTAATTAGCACCAGGGTTGTGGCCAGACTCTGCCAGCCTTAGTCAACCACAGCTGACCCATCTTGCTGCCTTTCAACACCAACCTTTCTTTCTTCACCCACCACCCTTGGGAAGTCTTGACTTGCTCACCACTTCTCCCAGCCAGGTCACCAAACTCGACAGTCCACCATGAATGCCGAAATCAACTATGCTGGCTTTCATGGCCGGCTTACTCGAGTGCAACAACTGCTCCACGATCGCGGTCTTCAGGTAAGCTCTTGGTATCGTCTTGCAGCAGCAGCAGGTCTCCTACTGACTGGGCAAACCCCACCGCAGGTTTTCAATATCATGCCCATGGCATTTCACCCAAACAATGAACCCTCGACACTGAACAACTTCTTGTTCAAGGCGGAGTTGGCCAAGCCGGCCATGGCATCAAACTTCCCTGGCACGCAGCCTGGCACCTGCAAAGCCCCAGCAGAGGGCGTTTCTGTGCTCGTTGTCAAACTGAACAACCCGGCAGCCGAGGACTTTATTAACCACTCCAACCGAGTGGCGAACGACGTGGCGGCGCAGAAGCTAGTACGCGAGTACCTCGCAGATTCCAACCATCGTACTATGAAGCAGGTGGTCCCGAGCGTATACGCCTGGGCGCCCGCCAGAACTACCAACCCCGCCGATGCGGCTGGATTTGGTTGGATCATATCGGAGTTCCGCAGCGGCGTGAATCTGGCGTCTGTTTTCGGCAAATTCCCGTTCGATGAAAAGAAGCATGCATTGAAGCAGCTGAAGGATATCCTCCGGGCAGTCCGTTCCGCAAAGCTCCCCGAGGGCGTGACCAAATTCGGTGGCGGCCTCACCTTTGATTCCGAGGGACAGGTCGTGGACGGAGAATCGCCGACCGAGGAAATCATGGAGCCGGCTAGCTCATACCTGGAGTGGTTAGTTGGCCACACTCGTGCCGAGCTCGATGCAGCCTCCGAGTGCCGAATCATCCAGCGTTGGCAAGGCAGCGGTGTCATCGCCAGGATCGAGAAATTCCTCAACGGAGGCGGCCCTGAAAAGCTCCTTGCTGACCTCGACATTGGCCGGAAGGGCCAGGCGCTGATCCACGCCGGCCTAAGTTCGTATCCCCCCATCCCCAGCACTTGCTTTTTTTTCCCTTTCCCTTTTATGGATTCTCATAGCGGGCAGTAGTGAGCTAACCTCTCGCAGACACCGGAAACTTGCTGTGGGACCTGGACAAGAGAGAAATCACAGCGGTCCTGGACTTCGAGTTTGCCGTCGTCAACCACCCTTTTGAAGAGTTCGACAGCTTGTCTTTTACCGACCTCGGCGGTTCTCTCGAATTTGACACCGCCGGCCCAATCCGGGAGGCCGTCGCCTCGGGCGACTTCACGAAGACACCGGACGCGGACGATATACCACCTGAGAAATGGATGCTTGCCAAGGAATGGAACGCGGTGCTGGATGACCTTGCTCCAAGCAAAATCAAAGGCTTGGGCGGGATTCTTGACCTCCTGCAGCTGCAGTTTCTCCTGTTTCAGTTCAGGGACAGCATGGAGGTCATCAGCATTCGGTTCGGCCTCGCAAACCTCACGGAGGAGCTGCTACCTCCCGCGCATGCAGCACTGGTGGAGTGGCTGGAGAAGCATGGTTTCTAGTGGTGCATTCAAAGAAAGCATTGAGATATCGTCGGTCGCATGGAGGGAGTCTGGTCCATGGTTCCTTTCTGGGGAAGAGCGCTCTCACAACTGAATGATCCTGGCTAGGTAGCTTGGTAGCTACACCGGTAGGACAGAAAGCATCAGGAAAACAATGAGAGATCAAATAAAATGAGTGTTTATCGCCGTGAGAAGTGATCGTATCCGCCTTGCGGATGTATACGAAGCAACGTTGGATCTTGAGCGCTTACCACCGTATGAAGGCGCCATGTATGTCCTCGGACATATACGAAATAGAAGCGAAACCACATACGAAGCAACAACAAACCCACCCACTCAAGTGCTGCTGGCTCCGGGATCACACAGGTCTGGCAGAAGATTAGAGCTATCACACAGTGGTCAAGCCACCCGGTCTACCGTTTCCCTGAATGTAGAAAAGATGCCTTAAGCGTCGGGGCACGCAAATGTGTCACCAGTCGTCGCAGCTTGTACCTAGCTACGTACACCATAGGATTCGTGGTGAACGAAGTAGTGTCCAATGCACACGGAACTTCCCAAAAACATTAGTTCCCGTTACCGCTCCGAGAAAGATAAATATCGACAAGCTTTGGAAACCATGACTTTGGATTTCACTTCCCTATGAGACGTATGTCGAGGGGCGTCAAGCCCTATGAGTGCTTGTCTGACAAGGAGGCCTCGTCGCGTGAGTTCGTGGACTACAGCACAGACTGTCCTCGTTTCTCTTGCTCCAGTGAAACGATTCAGTCCACACGAGGCGCCACAGATGTTTTGTGGCGCCGTAGGGTCTTCAAACAGGAGCGACGGGCCACGGCGTCGCTGCTCTGGCCACACTCACCCGAGTCCCGCCGGCGGCCCGCCGGCCGCTTGGTGACGGTGCCCCGACCGGGTTCTACCCTCGAGCCCCAGGCTGCATGCCTTTTCCACGCTTCTTCGCTTGTTCTGTTTCGGTCATGAAGCGAGCTGACACGACCTGATGAACGCTCCTTTCCCCTTTTTACACCTCCTCGTTGCCGTTCTCGTTCTTTTCAACCTTGTTCCAAACATCACCTTCGGAAAGTCCAATTCGTGGGAAGGACCTCGTTCGCATGTGGTCTCTGTGCTTACCCTATTTCCTGTGGTCTGGCCTATGAATTCTTCAAGGATTCGGCGTTTGTCTCGGATGCCAATGTTCAAGGCTTGAACTGGTGAACATTGAAGCTACTCATACAATATTTGCTGTCTTCTTGGCTTCATTGCGAAGAAATCTCGATAGCTTTGTAACCCACTCATGCGTTACGTTCATCCATCAAGTCACGCCTTCTGTAAACACTCAGTGCCCGCAGTGCATAGAGTACAATCGATCTTGGAGCCTTCATTATAATCCCACGTGGTGTCTCCTTGATGGTGATAGAATACTCGAGCTTTGCGATTGCAGCCTTTTTTGCCGGTGGCACACTACTTTAAAAAGTTGATCGTGAGCCGGTTCCTCGCATTGCCGAACAAGCCTGGCCGTGGGACCTGCCCACGTTGAGAAGATCTGCAAGAAGTGACCTTCAGATGATTGGATACACCTCGGAGGTGGGGCGGGCACACACCAAACAAGAGGCAGAACCGTCTCAACGAAGCTATGAATCCTTTCAGACGAGCTTTTCCGTTCTGATGAGATCAATACCTATGTCTTGGCCTCGCAACGTGGCTTCACATGTCATGGTAATCTTGGCAGTCAACACTTGAATCTCAATCATGACTGATACGACAAGGTACGGCCACCTCGTGATGATCAAGTTGCTGATTCACGTTACAATATCGGGACGTATCTCCCTGTCACGCTGCTCCACGGAGTTCTCCTTGATCCGGACTCGTCGAACCCGGCCCCGCGCCGGGAATTGGCGAAAGGATACAGACTGCGCCATGGTACTAGCACACCTTGTTGTGTTCTCGGACTAATTTCTTACAAATGGTACATCCAACCGGCCTGGCGTGGTGGTACCGCCTTGACAGGTCAGGCACTGCTACAAGCACGTAGCTCCTCAGGTACCCAAGCAGGGCCCTGACGTGAAGATGTCAAATCATACGAGTTCCCGCAGCCCGGACTCAAGACCAAACATGCTATCTACAGGCAAGGTCAACGGACAGCGAAACCGTACCAGCTCTATGGACGACACTGCTCGTTATGCTAGACCCGTGGGGCCGGAAGCCGGGTAGGCTGGGTCCGTCCGGCCCGTGTACTGCGCCTCAAGATATCTACCCAGTGTACCCACTCAATTCACTGCCGCCTGACTGGTTGCTTTCTTCTCCGAATCACGAAGGTATATCTGCCGTATCTTGTAACACCCAGACGAGCCGCCAACATAAAATGACACATCCACACAATACTCTTCTTGTTGCACGATATCAAATACTACTCGTGCCTGACTCCACTAATCGACCATACCGTGGCGTAGAATGACGGGCGATCATTCTAAGTGATCTGCAGCTTTATACGCTCGTCTTACCAGGATTTTTTCGGTCATTTTCCCAGTACTCAGGACGATCTCCCATATTGTCTCAATTTTCCCGGGATCGATCACGGGCTGATCTCAGATGAACATGTTACAAGATCCTCCCATTCACATCCGTACCCCAGGGTAAGTCTGAACATTTGAAGACGGGCATATTATGTAGTCTTTACCCGTGTACACCGTCATGGTGCAGGTCTTACTAGTAGGTCATGTTCATGTTTGCTCTGTGTTCTATGGGCCCCCCTTTTGAGACACAATCTTGCCGGCGAGGTGCGCTATAGGCGGGCAGCCCATGACCATTTCTCTCTCTCAACTAGCCAGCCTTTTCCCTGACTTTTATTGGCATCGTGAAACATCCCGGCTAGCGTCGCCTTGACTCTGCGGGGCCCTGGGGTGTTGGTCAAGGATGCTTTCATGGCTCGGAACATCCCGCACTGTAGCCCAAGGGTCCCTGTCTCGTTATGAATTGGAGGTCTGTGGGGGCTTGCCACTGCCCCTATGCTGTGGGCGAGGCTGCCGCGCGAGTGGCGCGCCTGAACATGGCGGTTCATGCAGCACTACAATAAGTCGTGATAACTGACTGGCGAACCAGATAAAGCGTCCGATTCCCTAATTGCTGCCGGGATAGTTCTTCCCCACATCCATTTTGTTTTTGGGTACTGCTTGCAGGAACGAATCAGTATGATTTTGAGTCGGCGCTTAGGCCCCTTGGCTGAATCAGGGGGGCTCGGTCGTTTGAGTGGGAAGCTTGTTTTGTCTGGTCCGATCTCCCAGGTGCCGTCCGTGTCTCGCTGGGGGCTTGAAGGTGTCACTTGCGCATTCTCATCTCAGGCTCCCAGGCCAGTTCGACTACTGGTGATCGGTCCAATCAAGTGAGATGGCTGTTGGCAGAATATCGGACAAGACAAAAGTCATGGCATCTGAAGAGTCTCATCTTTTATGGATAGAGAATTTCCCGAAGACCTAACTCAACTGTCACTAGGCCGACGACAGGACGGGACCGTGTGCTGTCAACCCAAGTTCAATATCGCGGTGGGGCCTCGATGCTGCACTGCAGTCTGCAGCACATGGCTTGACACTTCTGGCTGGGCGGTTCGAAGGGCGAGCAGGCTGAGGCACACATGGCGCTGACAGAAACCGCCAGGAATGTCCAAACACAGTGCCTGGCCTCCACTTTCGGTTCTGGCATGGTTTCGCCTAGACTTGGCTGTGCGGGTTGTGGTGGTCTGCTGTCAGCCCAACTCCCGCGGGGAATTCTGGGCCAAGAGCTGTTTTGCAGGGGCTGTCCGTGGAAGATATGAAGCACAAGTTGCCCTGGTTGTTGCACCAGCTCCCCGAGGGTCATCGATCTCCCTGGTAGGAGACGACAAAACCGATTTGTGTAATTATTTCGGCAGCTTAATATCCGAGACCAAGCACTTTTGGAAAGACTACTTCCAGCTGCTACATGAAACAGCGTTTCTTCATTTTCATATTTGACTAATACCAACGGATATCATCATCGTCATTCTTACCAGCGAAATCTCTCACCGAACCAACAGTAACAACATTGCTGCATATTCTCACATGGCTGTGCCGTCGTCCCATAGCCGCGAAACCCAACGGTGAACTGTCCAGCTTCTGCGAGGATGGCTGTGGAGTCATTACGGCGAGGCCGTGGCTTTCATAAGAGGCGTCACAGGCTCAATGCTGCCCGGGCTGAATTAGCAGAGGCGGCGAAGGCGGTCGTGACGGAGACTGTGGAGCCTCCACTGGTGCGTCGGCAGGGAAAGGGCAAAGGCGGGGATGGTAAAGGAGGTAAGTGATCGAAATTTGAGTTTCCATCCAGTTGAGAGCAGGAGGAATAACATTGGTGGAAGATGGCAGAGGCAAAGGCAAAGACGGCAAGGGGAAGGGTGCTGAGCCGTCTGCTGCCCCGGCTGCCTCCGCTCCCCCATTAGTAGCTGCGCCTTTACCTACTGCGACTCCTCCGTCGAACTCAGTCGTGCTTAATCCGGGCGTACCCGCGCAAGAGACGGTTGTGCCACCGCTAAACCCTCCATCAACAGTTGGGCCGCCTGCTCCACCACCGCCGCCGGGTGCGCCGCCCGCAGCGCCGTCGTCGAACAGTGTCACGACTTCGACGGCGGTGACCTCGGTGCAGACAACGCAGACCAGCATACAGACCCAGACAACCGTCGTCACATCCGCACAGACATCAATTGAAGTATCTACTCAAGTGACGACCATCGTGAGTACACAGATAGACACCTCGACGTCCCTGGTCGGTAGTTTGCAAACGTCCCTAACATCCTTCACGATCGCATCTCCTCTCCCGACCTTGCAGACGAGTCTTGCCTCGGACGCCTCCTCAACGAGCACCCCATTCGTCGCCTCTACCCCGTATCAAGCTGCACCATCCAGCACCACTACCGCACCTGCCTCGTCCCGAGCGCCGGCCATCGCCCCCGGAACCATAGCGGGCATCGTGGGTACGCAGCTCCAGCCTGCCTTTCTGGTGTTCGTGATATGGAGATCAGGCTGACAGTCACACAGTTGGGGTCCTTTCTTTATTCTTTCTAGTCCTGGGAGCAATATGCCTCTTCTCCCGGCGCACACGGCGTCGCCTACTGGCCCCGGTGACGAGGCGCTTTACCAACAACACTCTGGTCAACAGCGACTCCCGGGGCATGGGCTCGACAGGACGGCAGTCTGGGAGAGGTGGCGACATGCACAAGTCCCTCGTGTCCGAGGCCGAGTCGATGGCCTACACTACTATCGACCAGCGCGACGTAAAGCCGCCGCCTATGGCCATGGTAGGGCCACCCATGGGCTTGTCGCAGCACCCGGTCTTCATGCCGCCACATAATGACCCCTCGAGGCCGAACTCGTGGCGGACATGGCGGCCCAGTGCCACGTTTGCTCAGGGGCTCGACCCGCTCCCGGATGACTTGCAGCTCCCGCCGCCGCCACCGCCGCACGCACTCACGGCGAGGTACTCGGGGCTCCCGCGAGGCTCCGGAGTAAGCACGGGCGGGGACAGTAGCACGCCCGAGTACGGCGCATGGCCCCCGACGCCGTCGAACGCAAACCTCACCGCCCTGGCACCAGGCCCGGGGTACCGGCAACAGCAGCAGAACACCAATCTCCCACCGGGCTACGTGGTGACCGCAAGTCCAGGCCGTGTACAGGACCGGGACTATGAGAGGGGACAGCAGATAGGCGAAGGGCATGGGTCGTACTTGTCGTACTCGGAGACGCCGCTGGCAACGCCAAGAACGCCGAAGGTCGTGGAAGGTGAGCAACTGGTCCCGCTGGCCACCAGTCAAGAGGTCTCACCGGTTGACAATTGTGATAACGACAGTGGGGAGGCCGGAGACGCCGGAAGGAGCAGAGATAGAAACGACGATGTCCAGGCCAGCGAGCACCGAGGAAGCGATAACGACTACAGAAGAGGAGGAGGAGGAGTCAGCGGACTCGGCGAGCATGACGAGAGCGGCGGCATTCAAGAAGCGCGGCTGGGCCGGGAGGCTGGAGCGGGTGGCGGCCATGGCGGCGGCCCGCAAGGGGTCGAGGAGGAGCCACCGCGCGAGCAAGGCCAGCAGGCGGAGCAGGACCAGCAAGACGAGCGCCCGAGCGAGCGTGGCGAGCAGGCTTTCGAGGAAGTCGAGGCAGTCGCGGCGGTCCAAGGACAGCCAGGGCGAAGAAGCAGCAGCACCGGAGGGTGGAGCCAGTGGTGGTCTTTCCGCCTAGCTCCGCCATCCCGGGGTGACAGGGAGGCGTCGAGGTCATCATCGTCGTCGGCAGGGTTCTCGTGGTCCGAGGCGGCGAGTGAGCCGTACACGGCACCTCCTAGGGATGGCTTCGGGCTGTCCATCATCGGCGCCAGGCATGGCTCCAGCAGGTCGAGGGCTGCAGAGGAGGGCGCACAGGGGCCTTGTACCGCGCCCTTCTGACGGAGATGGATGGCTGAACTGTACTGCTGTGTACTACATACAACACTCGCAAGATACCCCCCTGGTATGAGCCATAGGCAAGGCAGAGTCCGGGAGCTGGTACCCCGTGGCTTAATTACTTGGCCATCTACTTAGTGCTAAATCTTAATCCGCGGCCTGAAGGCCCGAGATTAATTACCTTGATCATGGGACTTGGCCATTCGCACGTGAAGATGTTGAATAGGGGTACTTTTGATTTCTTTTAGGGCGTGTATTATGTGCTTCAGGAAGTACCAGAGTCGCAAGTCCCGTCTCAGGTTGTCGTACTGACTGACACAGGTCCCTTCACTCAAATCCAAGCGTCCGATTTGCCCTCCGTACAACCTCCTTTTCCCCTTTGCTGCCACTCACAGGCTCTGGAATAGGCTCGAGCCCGACTGATGCTAGGCCATCGGCGTTGGCAATCGACCTCAAAAAGTCCTCGGTTGGTCTGTCAATATGTTCCGATTCTCCCTTACCGCCCGGGAAATCAGGCCCAGGAGTTCCCCGACGCCAGGCGTCCCGTGCCTTGCTGACATACTTGGCGTTGATCTCAGTAGTTGGGCAGATGGGGATGTATAGTACGCTTGAGTCACTCTTGCCCTTGTGCTCAAAATCCACGGCGTGGATGGCTGCGAGTGGTCAGGAAACGATCGACCTCAGACAGGGTGGTCACAAAAGTTGGCCACGGATGCCAACGCACAGAAGTACATGTATTTATGAAGTGTTGGGAAAAGAGTGTGGTTGTACTCGGGTATCAGAGGTGCTTGGGCAGGGAAAAGAGTGCACTTACTATCGCAGTGCCATACAACAAAGTCACCAGGTTTCACCCGCGGAGCATGTACCATCGTTCGGTCCAGCTCTAGGTGCGGATGCATGGCCAGCTTGGGAAACTCCATGCCATACCCAGGGGTGCCACCGGGTATGTCGCTCGTCATCTGGTCACCAGCCGTGAACTCCCAGTTATCAGGCGCGAGGAATTCGAGCCGCTCGGCACTGCCACCCTTGGCGACGTCGAGGTCGACCGTCTTCCTAGCTCTGAAGAAGGGTCTGAGAAGAGTGTACGCCGTCGCGAGCTTCAGAAGCGGGTTAAAGAGCACGGTGCCCTCCTGTGGCCCGACGCTGCTCATGCTCAGCCAGCCCTGGTACATCCTGAAGACACTGCACGCCCCGAGGCCGTTGTACAAGTCGTTGACGGCATTGACCCTTGTGCTCCCGTCCCATGGGTCGTACCGTGTCTCCCAGTCACCCTCGAACACGGCGTCGTATACCCCACCTCTGCCGTAGCCCTCGTGCATCCACCGTTCCACGCTGCCGCCGTCCATGTGCGGCCCGAGGGCGAAGGCCGCGTCTCCTGGCTGGCGGATGCGGAGCCGGTCGGCGTAGGACAGGGGTTGGGAGATGGAAATGAGCGAGCTGGGGTCGGAAAGCGACCACGTCGACTGCATCAGTGCTTTTTGAACCTTGATGAAGTTGGGATTTATGCGGGCATGGAGCTGTGGCGCTGACCAGTACAGCTCCCAGACTTGCGGGTCGTTTTGTGGGAAGCCTGACAATTTGTAAGTGAGAATGCTGCACCTGCGTAGATAAAAGTTTCATCTTGATAGACGCATATCCTTTTTGTAATTATCACCCCTTTTTGTGTGGTACCTAGGTATGAAGACTGACCTTTTGTCTGTGGATTCTTGCGGATGTATTCCTCGAGATGGAATTTGTACTGGCGTGCTTCTTCTTCTGGAATAACCCCTCTGATGACAGCGGCGCCGCGCTTCTTGATTGCATCTTTTATCTTGGAAAGGTCCTCGTCGAGATTATCAAAGCGAACTTCTGGGATCACTTTTGAGCCTAGTTCCGCAATTACATCGTTCTCGATCTCCAGTCGGTGAAGCAGTCTGTGCCAGCTCGCTATAATCTTCTCTTCCCGCCCCTCAACCAGTGATAACTTGAGCTGGCGAAAATGATCTGGAAGCGGCTCGTTCTTGACGCCAGCCAAAGAAGCAAATGAGTCTGATATGTCGCCCTCCCTTTTGTCTTGACTCGCCGTCGCTGTGGCCGCCATGTTGACGCCGCGTCTCTCAGCAGCACCCGCTGCCAGCGGACGGCCGGCTCGCCTGACTACTGACCGAAGCATGTCTTGGATTTGTAGGAGCGATTGTTCATTGAGAAAATGTTGGGTTTCTTCAGAGACTTTGAGCTGCCAGGGACTTTCAAGTTATCCGGTGCTTCCAGTCAGGCCGCGGAGTTGGCGGGATTATGAAGCTGCGGCACTTCATGAATTCTGATCGGTGCTGCCTCTTTGAGATATACCGGTGGGAACTGGATTGGGACCATTCGATCCACTAGTCCATAGTTTCAAATTCGACAGTGATTGCTTGAGTCGTCGTCTTAGACGGCAGTTCTTTTTTTAGAGCCGCGGTGACGCAGATCCAGACAGTCGGTGCTTATCTGGCAGAGCACTGGCACTCCTGCTGCTCGTTTGACAAGCACGGTCTCGCTTATTATTATGGTGTGTACAACCACAGTCAAATTGGGGCATTTGTTGAACGTCATTATTGTAGTCCGAGCGTACATATATTCGGTCTGCGGCCTGAGACAAGCCCTTCCCCAGGTCCCGTCCTATCTCACCCGTTCCGCCTATGGCGCGGGGAAGTGGAGGAGTAAGGAGGATCCCGGATGAGTGGAGTCAAACCTTGGGATTGCGTGCGGCTCCGACCAGAAACCTGAAAAGACAGAACTTTTTGAGATGAAAAGGACCCACTCCGGGGCTTCTTGAACAGGATATGCTCCGACCTCAAGCCTTCGTGACACCCTCGCTGCCGCAGGGCTATTCACAGGCCCTGAACGAGCTGACAAGGCGGGCATGACAGCCTTCAGCGGCCGCCAGCCCTTTGCTGTTCAACATCCTCACTCTTGAGGCCAGGCGGAACTAAGCATTGGTTACACCCGGAACCCCCTCTTCAGGAAAAGCCGCCTGCATATCCCTTATCCCGCGGCCGCTCAAGTGCTCGGGCACACTCCGAGCCGACTAACAGCCCCTGCGAGGCCTAGAGGCCAACCTGCCTCTCCGCCAGATTTGTCTACTCCGACCGGATCCTCCCTTCTCAGCCATGGCAGAGCCCCCACAGAAACGACCCGTCAAGTTTGTAGCCTCCGATCAGGATGGCATGCCGGTGAAACGGCGACAGGTACAGCAAGCATGCGAGCCATGTCGCAAGAGAAAGGTGAGAGATGGGTGCACACCCAACACCCTCCTCTGCGTCGCCGCTCGTTGCTGCAACCCTCTCGTTCGGTTCCGACCAACAAGAGCCGGCGTGCACAAGAGCCCATGTGGTTCCACAACATGCCAACCAACTAGTTGTTGACAGTGCTAATTAATACGCGCGTGACATCAGAAACGCTGCTCTCACGTGTCAGACACACTGGCAGGGCCGCGATTCTTCGCAGATGCGTCCCATCAGAAGAGCATATACGCTCACCTGCGGGCTGACCCGCAGCAGCCCGACGGTTCCGGGGGCTCAAACCGCTCAGGGACCCTGCCCAGCTCACCCCAGTCGCCAGCAGAGCCCAACTCGGGGGCATCGTCGGCCCGCGAGGTCGCCTCCCAGCTCATCGAGCTGTCGACCTCGCGGTTTGTCGGTGACCTGAGCCCGGAGAGCATCTTCATCGAGGCTGCGAGCAAGATCGCCAGGGACCCCTCCCGCCGCAACCCGTCTGACATCGGCACTTGGTTGCCAGCCCGGCGCTCAGATGGCGAGAGGGATGCCAGGCGAGAGCAGTCGGCTTCGGCCCAGGGCCATGAACCCACAGGCTCAAATCGTGCTGATGATGGCCCAATAATGTCGCGTGCTCTGTCCGGGAGGATAACCTCCTCAGCCGGCAGTCCGGGACTTCGCACTGATAGCCCGCAGTCTCAGTACGTACCAGGTGAAGGCCTCTGATTGTTACGACTCCAAGGATTCCTTGACGCTGATTTACAATAGCGACGTGGGTGGAAACCCGAGACCATGGAAGAATCCCACATTGTACCCAACGCCACCAGACGAGGATTACGAACAAATTTACACGATCTGGTTGGAGAGAATCCAGCCTATCTGGCCAATAGTCAAAGTAGCCGACGTCCATGCGACACGCAAACCAAAATGCATCAAAGACATCATCTTCAGACAGGTGTGTGACCCCGGCAAGGTTTTTGATATCCCTCAGGGTGTACCAGCGGACCTAGGCGTTGTCTACTTTATAGAGGCCACACTCCGCTGACCACAAAATAAAGGCCATCTCTCTTGCGACAAGTGGGGAACCATCTGCAGCGAAGCATCTTCGCCTTGAACCGGGCGGCCCGATTCTAGCTTTCCCAGATTTCCAACGCACCTTGTCCAAGTCCATACTCTGCTCCCTGGATGAACAAGTCCTGCCCGACAGGACTGACCACATCCGTGCCCTCTTCCTCATGTTCTTTTATCAACCGGCCCACGCATCCGAGCTGGACATGCCCTCGCTGATCTACAGCCAAGCCTTGCACTACGCCCTGGGCATCGGAATCCACCTTGTAGGTTCCGGTGCGCAAGACGAGCGAAGCAAAGAAGCCGAGACTCTGTACTGCGCCCTCTGGACACTTGACAGGATGAACGCGGCTTTTCACGGCCGGCCATGCCTGCTGCACGAGCGAGACACCGACCGGGACTTGGAGGAGTGCATCGCTGCTCAGGAAGAACCGGGTTTTAGGCTATTTCTGAATGTCATCGTGATGCTCGACAAGGTCATCGCCCTATACCGGCCGCGAAGCCGTCACGACGAGACGGTCGTGCTGCCAGTTTTTGAAAGCATGATTATAGATGCTGGAGCAGATAAAGCCGCCCCATTTGTTCACTGTAAGTGTCTCATACATCCCGCGAGGGTTTTCCCTCCTTCTCCAACTACTTGTCATGCACTGAAGGCCTCTCCGAGCTTGGTGTCACCTTGGGCCACGTTCGAACTAACAGGAGACATCCCTGGTACTTAGCCAGCATAGAAATATTCTACCACGCGGTTTCCGTTCTGTCATGCCGGCAACCATCCAGCGCCTTCGAGCCATCAGCCCCAGACCAGGCTCACCTCCCGCACCCCAACATTAATGCCCGGCGCTCATTATCCGCAGACCGCATCGTCGACGCAGTGTCCTTCGCACTCAATTTCCCGACATCGCCAGACCGGATCACGATCGTGCCCTTCGTCCCCTACGCTCTCGCGCTCTCGCTCTCCGTCTCCTACCGCAAGATGCGGTACTCCAAGATCCCGCTCTACCGACTGAGGGGCAAGACCAGGTTCAAGGAGGTGGTGGCCCTCCTGAGGAAGCTCGGCGACACCTTCACGTGTGCACGCGTCAACGCCGGGCTGGGCGAGGCCATCCTGCAGGAGATGGACAAGACAACCAAGGGCCTCGTAAACTCCGGGGCCGTCTCAGCGTCAGGGACAACCGCTTCAGGACCTGGCAGCGGCACGACGCCCACCCCAAGCGACACGAGACCCTCACACCGCAGATCGCTGCCAGCTGAGGTGACGCTCGGGAGCAAGAGGAACGTCTACGTGCGGGAGACCGACAGGCAGCAACAGCCTGGAAGCACCGCCGGTACGCCGAGGTCGATCCAGGCGGGCCAGAGCCCCCTGCAGCAGCTCCCCACCCCGAGCATGCAGCAGGCCCAGGGGATGCCCTCACCCGCACCGCTGAGCGCGGCGTCGAGCCAAGGCACTGCCGTGGTGGCTGCCCAGCAGCCGGTCACGTCCCAGGCCCTGCCTGCGACGGCCCTCGGCGACATGCTGGACGTCGATATCTTCGGACACTTTGATCCGGGCTTTGATCTGAACACTGTCGATGCGGCGCTCTCGGCGAACCTGGACATGGGGTTTCCTCAGATGTGGACTACTCCGTGGCCCAACTGGCCGAGCTGAGAGATGGCACATGCATGAAAGGGGTGGCGCTGCGGGGAAATAAAGCTCAATGTTCAATAGTTTTCTGTGTTGTATTTGTTCTGGGAAGGCTGATGTCTGTGTTAAAAGTCGCATAGCGATCACTGGAGGGATATTTCACAAGATGGAGTGTGCACAGCTCGGCCGGCACAATTCACGCCACATTTGATATCGGGTACAAGGTCTTTGAAATGTACGGGCTTGGTATTACCAGGGCTTCTTACGTGCGATCAGTATTTTCAATCTAGTGCCAAAGAGAAAATACATACCTACCCAGGTACCTAAGGCTGTGACATCAAGGCCTGGCTGCTGACCTCGTCGTATTGCTTCTTGGCCCAGTGTGACAGATGTCCGTTTATGAAGAAATCCCCTTCTCTTCTAACTAGCGGGTGTCCTTCCACGCGAGGAAACCCGGTCGGTCCGGGTGATCTAATGCAATACCTTCTGTTGATCGCGCAAGACCTAGGGAAGCAAAGCGGTTGGCCGTGCTTGTCGGTCCGTCCCGCTGGCCCTGTCTTTGAGCCTAATTATTTAGAGTGCTTGCACCCACCCACCATACGGCGTGATTCGAAAGGATCTGGCACACAACCCCTACAATATCTTCATTGGTATTTCACACACAGCACACATGTTGCAACCACTTTCACGGCATTTTTTTTTGATTGCTCTTCAAGAATGCCCCTCAGTTCCAGCTCCTGTCCGGACTTGGGGCTGACGGTTTGTAATTACACCGTCGGCCGACACCGTCCCTGCGAGAATTTGTCAGCTTCTCTGGGTGTGATTGGTGCCGGGCGGGCTGTGAGACACCAATGCAACGATACTGTCTACTGCATTAGTAAACAAAGTGAGGCGCAGAGCGACGACAGGGGTTTGTGCTGATTGCAACAAGTCCGAATGGCGCCAGTGACGGAGAGATTCTGTCCTGGTAGCTTGTAGACCACCTCAAGTGCTGACTGGGACCTGTGATCCTCGTGCGGCGGACCGTTGAGCTTCTATAAAATGGCTCGAGATTATCGAGTGAAGTTCACCTTGCCCTCCCATCATCCATTCTCTGCAACAACATTTGAAAGCCTGATCTCACATATCTTCATTTTGTTCGAGACACGTACCCCGGTTCAACCCAACTTCTCAGTCACAATGGCCAGTTCATCGTTCTATGACACGCATTTCACCATGCTAGTTACCATGCTCACTAGCCTCGAAGGCATTCTTACCAAAGCTGAGGCTCATGCGAAGGAAAACAATATTGATTTCAATGCCGAATATGCCCCAGCAAGGCTCTTCGAAGACATGTATCCCCTAACCTTCCAAGTGCAGACCGTGTCGAATACCATTAAGGGATTTGTCAAGATTGTGCTTGGGGTCGAGGTCGGGACATGGGACGATAACGAGACCACGTTCGAGCAGCTATTCGCCCGCATCAAGAAGACCCGAGACCTCACCGATGGCCTCAGGCCGGAGGACGTGAATGGCAAGGAGAACCTTCAGGTTGAAGGGTAATTACACAATCTACTCTTAGGGGATATTGGTTTTGGTCTTTTTTTTTTCTCTTTTTTTCTTTTTTGGCTTGAGGTGCAGATCAATACTGAACCCCAAACAGAAAGGCTGGGCCCCTTGCCTACAAGACAACAGGTATAACCTATGCCTCGACTTTTACCATACCGAACACCTTCTTCCACCTACAGACTGCCTACGCTATTTTGCGTATGAAGGGTGTTCCTCTGTCGAAGAGAGACTATCTCGTTCCCTTCATGCTATGCGACCCAGGCAACCCATTTGGACAAAAGTAGATGGAAGGGAAGGTACAATGTGCGGAGGAGGAGCGTCCGTGCCATTGACGTTATAAACTTGTCAAACTTACATGGGATATGGACCAAAATTTACAGGAGCACACGACGCGGGATTCCCACATTTCTTTCGGGGTGCGTCGCGACAGGTCAGTATCGCAAGCATGGGGGTCCACTATTGTGCAGCTCTATTGTCTAGAAACACGGGCTTTCCCCGCTCGCTGTTCATACTTAGGAGACCAGTCTACCCTAGGGTATCTGCTTTATTCGATATGCCATGCTCACATGCAGTTTCGTGGCATTCAGCTTCACACGTAGGCCGGAAATACTCCGCCAGTGACCGTTCAATAGACGTAATAGAATCTTTCGGTTGGATAAGACATAGCACGTGCCGGTCGGGTCTAATCAGCAGATCACAAAGGTTGTTCTTGCTCGCACACAAATTTCAAAATTGCGATGAGCCATTGCAAGTACTTCTTTCACACCGTAGTCTTCAATGGCAGCTTCCAGGGCCTAAAATCGCTCTGGCTGTTGGTCTCTCGAGCCGACGAGCAGTGTGAACGGTCATACATGCACACCAGTGTCGAAAACATATCCAGTACAACATCCGCTCCATTCTATTTCGGAACCGATGCTCCCTCTCCGATTCTATAATAATACTTAAGTATGCACCCTCCCTTTGGACTCAGTGGAACACACAAACACTGCTCGAAAAGTTGACCAGGCCATAGCATGTTCAAAGATGCGAAGAATATTTGCGGTCTCCAAGCCCCAGTGTGGGTCGGCTTCAGAGACTGTACCGGAACGACTCGTTTTGTCTATCAGTAAGGTCCAAAAGCCCTTTATCAACCTTCTGGCGGTAGCGATGCCCCGTAGAGTCTGCTCTCTCGACATAACCATCCTCCTCGACCGGATGCTCAGTCTGTGAAGCATCGCGTCGACGATTCTCGTTGTTGAGGAGCCAACGGATGGTAAATAAGAGGATGAAGTTGCATATATATGAGGCCTAGGATGAGAAGATAGTTAGGTTTACCTCGAGAACATATTGGTAGAAGACAAAATGAGCCTACAAGACATATGCTGTAGGGCACGTAGTTCCTGGGCTTGTATTGAGCTCTCCAGAACAGGGTGCACAGGGTCTGGCCAAGGGAATAGCCAATGAGCAAAATGGCATTGACAGCAAGTTTCTGCGGATTATGATTAGGAAACAAATCAAGCCTGACGATGAGACCAAGGGAATCTGCGCGGGAAGCTGAAGGCTCGAAGCATGGGGGAATCGGACTGACCTTGGTGTGGCCCGAAGATGTGACTGCGACCCAACCGATAATCATTGCCCATGAAGGCGCACCTCCAAAACACATCAGATAATAAGAGCAAAGCAGCCCAACCCCGTTGCCCCATGGTAGACTCATTAGCAGCACAACAGCTACCACCGACGGAACGAAGAATCCGATGGCGATCCAAGATCTGGCATTCTGAACAACATGCAGAGGTCAGAGAAAAATTGTCCTTTGCCCGGGCTCTGCCGGGAGGGGTCCTCATTGGCAGACTCACAGGAAATCGCCCGAGGATAAGTGTCGCCAGCGTGATCGACACTATCTGGGCTGCTCCTGCGGGGATGTTAAGGGCTGTTGTCTGCAAAGTGGTGAATCCAAAAGACCGGATGATCAAGCTGTACTGAGTACCTATTCCGTTCTGAAGATTACTACGGTATATGAATGGTCAACTCTGATGTCGACAGTCGTTTCTGGCTAAGAACCAAAGTCGTGGGTGACGAACGTGTGAAAATCGCAGAAGTCAAGGAGGAAGGACAATCCATCAAGCATTCAACTTACGAGATCGCAGCAAGAAAGAAAAAGAGCCACGTCTTGGGGTCTCTTACTGCCTCGACGAATTGTTCGCGCTTCCAAACCTTCGTCTCGATTCCACTCTGGTTTGACCGGATGCGCTGTATCACCTTGATCTTCTCATCAGTAGTGAGAAATCGCGCTTTCATGGGGCTGTCCGGGAACAGCCACCAGAACAGCACACCAATAATCAGGGATATTCCTGCGCAGATGATCAACAGAAGTTGCCACTGCGCCGGCTTTCTCGTGGAACTGGAGTGTGCAACACCGTATGCTAGAAATCCAGAGATTATTGTTCCAACTCCTTGGCATTGGATGGTCCACCCAATGCGTTGACCGATCTCAGTCCTGTTGTAAAACATAGAGGTGGCTAGCATCACGCCGTTTGTCATGCAACCCTCAGACGCCCCTAGCAAGAATCGCAGAATGACTATTGGAGATATAAAAAAAAAGGATTAGAGTGGTGCTCTTTCCCTTTACAAGACACATAGGTGCCGGGTTTGCACATTGTTACTCACAAAGACCGCCAAAGTTCGTACACACGCACTGGAGCCCGAGAAACAAAGCCCAAAGAATAATATTCGCCGCTAGATATTTGCCGACCGGAAACCGCTGCAGAGCCCATGAATGGGGATACGCCCAGACAAGGTACCCTTTAATTGTCAGAACAGGTCTCACAGAAAGGACACCACCCGGAAAGTCCTACCTATGTAGAATGCAGATCCGAGTGTGTTGAACTCGTCAGCCGTGAGCTTGTTGTCGCTGATAAGTCCCAAGACGGAGGAAGCGCCTATGGTCGATCTGTACGAAAAGACAACTGATAAGAAAAATGCAGCAGGGGGAAGGCCGTTGACTGGTACCGCTCACTTGTCCAGGAACTGCACTGTTAACATATCGAGTCAGAAAAGCCGCTTTTGCTGATTTCCTAGGGATTTATCTGTGTGAAAATTCTCACGAATATACACCGAGAAGAGCAATGGCAGAACAACTCGATCAATCTTGTTCCGGATTCTCTTCGCCTCAGCAGGATCCAGAGGCTCGGTATCACGGCCGGCCACCAGATCCACCGCTTTGTCAACCCCCTTGATCTCGTAAGTAGGTTGCTTCAATGGGGAGAAATACACATGTGCTGTCATCAAACAGGCCCCTCACATTTTCATACTGCTCCACCAGGTAAACAGTTTCTTGGATCGCTGATGACTTCGCCATCATATTGTCGGGTGAAGAGCTGCTTCTGAAATTGCTTTCTGCATTCCAAAATCTTCGATTGTCTGCAAATGCACCACTGAGATTCGAACGTGCAGAAGGCATGCTGGATGCTTTTTATAAAGATGAACATCGGGCGCCTATGTGATTTGTTCTGGCGGAATATGGCCGGCTTGCCCCGGCGACACATGCAGCTTTAGGAATTAAACTCTCGGATTGAGCCTAGGGCGCAATACAGATCTATCGAGATGGGAAGTCATTGGTCCCCAAGACATGATTGCGGGTAGCAATGCAGCCCCTGTGTTGCTCATAGGCTTGGCATTGATGAGATCAACTTGCTGATACTTGATGAGGAGGGGCCTTTACTCAGCAATGGCACCCACCTTTGGAGGAACGTTGCAAATAGTCATATCTCACGCCCGGACAAATGCGCCACCCTTCGACTATTTTCCCTCTTATCATATGCAACTGATCGCCTCGCTCGCCTCAGTTTCTCCGGAGTCTCTTCATCGAATAGCTCGCAATGGATTCTAGTACGCCGTCCGACTTAACGAATGCTACAGCTTCCACGCACCTGCTACCGAGATTCAGCACCTATGCCGTATTTACGGGCTGCTTTGTTATATACTTGCTTGGGCTGGCAATCTACAGGCTGTACTTGACCCCGTCGGCGAAGTTCCCTGGGCCACGGCTAGCAGCACTCTGTTACTGGTACGAGTTTTATTACGATGTCTGGCCTCACGAGGGACAGTACACATGGAAGATTCGTGACCTGCACGAGAAATACGGTATGAAAACAGCATCCTGGCAGCGAGTCTAGAATTCATGGAAAACTTCTTTGTATTTATCGATCTGACAGGAAGCTGAAGGCCCCTTTGTCCGCATCAACCCTTGCGAAGTCCATTGTAACGATCCAGATTTCTTCAATACCTTATATGTGAGCTCGGCGAAGAGGACGACAGACAAGTGGATATGGGCAGTTCGACAGTCGTAAGCACCCCTGAAAAAAAGCCGATTCGACGGAGGACGCTCATAAGACATAGCTGGACGCGCAACTCATCGTTCAAGACCCTGTCGCATGATTTACACAAGCGGCGCAGAAACCAAGTAGCTCCGTTCTTCTCAAAGTCATCGATAAGAAGGCTGGAGCCTCTCATTATCAACAAGGTCAACAAGCTGTGTGAAAGGCTCGAGGCAAAGTCGCAGCTGGACACGGCATCGAACAAAGTGGTCAATCTGACTCACGCCTTCATGGCTCTTACTGGCGATGTCATCAGCACAGTTTGTTTTGGACAGCCTACAGGCTTTCTGGATTTGGAAGACCTGGGCAGGGACTGGTATGAGGGCCGCGTCGTAGGCAGCCGGTCTAACCACCTGCTGCGACAATTCCCATGGCTCTTCCTCTTGCCGCTGGGCTGGATCTCAGGTGGGAAGTCGAGAGTTGCGGCCAGCCTCCAGTATGCCCAACAGAAGCAAAAGGAGCTTCGCGAAAGGGTGACCCAACTAGTCGACGAGCACGACGCCAAGACTGCTGACGAGAAGTTGCCCGCTGAGCCTCAAGACAACAGTCTGCCCGCCACGGTCTTCGTGTCCATGCTCGAGGCCGACGTGCCGCCCTCCGAGAAAAATGCCTCTCGGCTGACGGAGGAGGCCTTCACGCTGACAGGGGCAGGAACAATGACCACTGCGAACGCCCTCAACTCGATAGTCTACTACGTCCTCAGCCGGCCTGACTGCCTCGCCCGTCTCAAGGACGAGTTGCGCGCCGCGTTCCCGGACCCCTCAGCGATCAGCTCGTCTGCGGAGCTCGAGAGGCTGCCGTACCTGACGGCCGTTGTCACGGAGGGCCTCAGGCTCAGCAAGGGACCTCCACACCGGTTCGCCAGGGTCTCACCCTTCGAGGACTACTCGTACAGTCGCCCGGACGGCCACGTCGAGATCATACCACATGGCGTACCTGTTGGGATGTCTTTCATCGATATACTAGAAGACGAGGAGATCTTCCCGGATCCTCACGCTTTCAAACCTGAGCGTTGGTTGCCGGCGGTATTGCCCCGGGACCAGACACGCGATGAAGAAGAGGAGACGGCTGATGATCCGGTGGCACGCCGGCGGAAGTGGGCGGTTTCTACTGTGTTTGGTAAGCGATTCTTGGATACTATCTCAGCCCATCCCAGAGCGAGTGTCTTTTAGCTCTAGCTGGCACTTTCCAGCGTTCGACAAGCTGCAGCTACTGAGACAGCCTACGGTCCCTGTGACTCACATCCCTCCATTTTTATATGGAAATACTTCTCTTGAAGCTCGGAAACTGACACTGAGTTATATAGGTGGGGGGTCGCGGATGTGCATCGGCCTACACCTCGCTTGGTCTGAGATGTACTTGACCGTCGCCACTCTTGTGTCGCGATTCGGTGACCGGATGGAGTTATACGACGTTGAATTCGAGCGGGACATCAAAGTCGCCATAGATGGCTTCGATGCCTTCCCTGGGCGAGGCCATAAGGGACTGCGAGTGACGATGCTGCCGGAATAGACTCGGAGCAGATAGCCGTGCATGATTTGCCAATAATTTTGGAAGCGGAGCCGAGGACTCCCCAGGCAAGATGCCTGCAGAGGTTTGGTCAAACAGACCTCGGGAATGTACTGGAATTTCCGTCTGCCAAACTGTCAGTTAGGAAACTGCCTGAGGTCTGTGCGGTCACCTTGGCTGCCTCATGAGCGACACACGACCAAGTACGATATGTGTCCCCGAGGATGAAGGCATATCGTTTATGGTTTCTCAGTAGGACATGTGTTGAGATATACCGATGCCGCATAGTGGAATGCAACCCCTGCTCGTAAATCTAGTGGAAATTGTTTCATCCTTACTAATGTAGGGTATCTGAGCTGAAGTCATGCTCACTTGTGTGAGGCACTTCTAAAGGTATCTGCTCTAACCTCATAAACGACACTCTGCTTTGCGCCCTCAGATTCCACGAACGGCCTGGATAAAGCATTTGTGTGGCTTTCCACATCGACCAGCCGCCCTGGATGCCGCATACCGGCCTCCAGAACCTCATCTTCCTGATACTCCATCCCGCGCTTGCCAGTCGCAGCCTGTAATTCTATGTCTTCGCAAGTTCCTTGCCTGCCCTTGTACCGCGCCAGCTTGTCGTCACTATCCCTCCAGTTCCGCCCGGGCTCGGATGAGATCTGATATGTGCTGTTGACGCTGAACTCCCTCGTGATGAAGACCTCCTGGATCTTTTGTGTGACGACGGGCCAAAAGACCGGGATTGAGGCGAGGATGACCGATAGTCTGTTCTCCGCCTCTCCGAGCGTGAATATCTTTGGAAACTTGAATGGCAAGTCGTTGCCCATGTCCTGTTCGGTCAGAACCTGGTTGGCAGCGAGGCGCAGACCAGCAATTATGTTAATGCTATTGAAATGCATTAGTTTCATGATCCACAATACGCCAGGGACAACAATATTCTCACATTATTCCCAGGCCAAACAAAGCCAAAAGCCCGAGTTTTGTGTTTCGCACGGTATCCTTCCGGAAGAGGAGAGGGATTGGAAGAACGAATATCGCTATATCGAGCGCCATGTTGAGAAGGTTGGCAAGAAGTACCGTCACATATACTTGTTTGTTGTCCGTGGAACCAAATCTGCATTTCGTATGAGCTATTGTCATCTTGAGTGCTAGGTAGGGGTGATGGGTAGCGGGCCCGAGGTGTGCTTACCCATAGCAAAACGCGTCCAGGTCTCGGTGCCAGAATCCCTCCACGGGGATACACGGAAACCAGGCGAGAAAGGCAAAAGCGAGTCCGTAGGCGCAGGTGATAAACGTGAGCGTGATACAGATTCGCCGTACCTGGCGGTCTACGAATATGCGTAGGTACTGGAGCAGAAGGGAGATCTTGACCAACGCGTTGCTCATGGTGAAAGCGCCATTTGAGAGATAAAAGAGCTGCTTTCCTGCATCAGTAGGCTACTCAAGACACCGGGCTTGGATTTCAAGTGTCTCATTTACCATGAACATAATATTCCGATCGGCCGGCGTAATCTCAAAGATATGGTGGCCCATGCCGTAGTTGGTAGCTTAAAAGAAAGTAAATAAGCTGATGTCCCAGGATAGCCGTCTCCGCGAGTATGGTCGTACCTATGGCCAAGCTTGCTCCACTCATTGTCCCAGTGATCTGTAGTCACTCCCATGTCAGCTCGATGTCCTCCGAGCACCAGCAAGCAGATGCCAAGTGTCAACGGGGCGGGCGGGCTTATATGTACCAAAGCGAGACCAATAAATAGGTCATCCCAGCCTGGGGCTCGCATGATCCACAGTCGAGTGTAAAGCCGAAGAGCCACGGCGGCCCACGTTAGGACCTAGGAGCCATTACTGTCAGTGTGATGCCCAACTAATATCAAAGAGCTGGCGGGGCACATACCATGAAAGGAACCAACGTGCCGATAAAGTCAGCCTTGCGATTCGGCCAAGACAGCCCATTGTCGGAATACGTGCGGTGACTGGCGGCCGGCACCGTAAAAGAGTCATTGCTGTACAAATCTGCCATGTCAAGCGAGTGACTGTGAAAGGAAGATTGATAAACGACAGGCTCAACAGTACATCTTTGAAAATGCGGGGGAAACACTATCAGAGGGCCGTCTGTCCGGTCCGAGGAGGCTTGCCAATATACTTTAAATCGGATGTGTGGACACACCTCACTGACACCGACTGCCCGGAAACTCTCGTCGGGGGGAGGGGGAGGGGGACATTCAAGATAGTTGTCAGAGCATTGCATATGTATTATAATTTCGAGGCCTGCTTCCAGAAGCAGGAGCACACCCCACCCCCGGGCCCCCAATCGTGAAAGACCATTTCATCTCAATAGCACAGAGGTCCAAGAATCCCAGCCCCAGACAGCCCTTGGGCTACACTTTCCGCCGGTATCAGCTCAACGTCGAGGCCAGAAGCGGCAAATGACTCGGCGGGGGCCTTCAAATGTTGTTTTGCACACCAGCCCAAATGCTGATCGCCAAAACGCACTTGCGGAGCTTAAACACCGGCGGGCGAGCCAGGCATGACTCGGCCCCGCTGGCCCTCACTCACGGTCTTAGAGTTGCTTGGGGCCAGACTCAATATAATGTTGCATCCGGCGTGCAGTGTAATGTGGAGTGGCACGCCGCGGGCAATAAATAAGCTTTTCAGCCGGTCAGCCGCGGACTATTCATCCTCAAACAGGCCCACCACGTTGTCCTTGCGGGAGCCAGCCAGCCCGCCACATGGCAAGACAGGGTCAGCCAGCCAGCTTGCCAGCCTCCCAGGACCCCGGGTGGCAGTCGGACGGTTTCAAGTGAGAGGGACGACGTTGGCCCGCCATCGAGCTTGGCGGAGGCTGGAATGTCTGGTTTCAAGTCGTCCGATGTGAGGGAAACCTAAAGATCTTCACGCCTCTGCTGACTACGCCCCTCGCCAAGGAGTGTTGCTCGTGTCGTCGCCTCCACCGCCTTTGTCAGGACAGCTGATGTTGCAGCAGGCGCATGTGAGGATAGGTCACATCCGGCGTTGTGACGTGCATGTCGGCAGACGCACCACCTGCACGGCCCTGCCACGGAGAAAGACGACAGCTCACGGGGCCCATTCCGTGGCTCACGGGGCCCATTCCGTGGTTCACAAGACTGATGAAGTGCCTACCTAGCTAGGAAATAAGTGAGAGAGACACTGCCATGCTCCAAACCGCTGATCCGTGACACCGCTTATTTTTAGGAGGGAGATGATCCTAGGACTTGGCCCAATAACAAATTAGTTGGCGTAGTAATGCACAGCCCAAGCTCCCGACGGCATATGCATTCTGACATCAAGAGCTTTTGCGCATGTCAGGAAAAGACAATTTGCTCACAACCAGGCTCTCGGGAACCGCGAGTCCGGAGCGCGCGGGAGCAGACACACTCTCGCCCTCCAAGGCTCGTGCACTGGAAGCTCAACAAGCGATGCAAGCGTTGTATATATGTAACCCAGGGCGCCTAACAAGAGTTCAGCTGTCGCACAGGGGCGGCTTCCCCAAGAACCAGTATGTCACAGGGTGACACCCGATGCAACGGGCGGGTGCGCAATGTGGGTGAAGCGCCGGCAAGTTGGAGGGAGAATGCTTGTATTGTATCTGCACTGCACAAGACCCCGCCGAGTGTGAGAGGCTGGCGTTCAAGCAACACATCCGCATAGCAAAATATCCCTGTACCTCTCTTGCTTTGGTGAGCTCCGAGTCTGCTGCTCCTCATGACGGGTTCGCGACCTGGAATGGAAATTTCACAAAATAAACGCCGGCGCTATGCAAGAGACCATGCTCATACACGGAGAGAATGTGCCGCGGCTTGATGCGAGCACCATGTCTGTCTCCTCCGATAACTCTGAGCTACTTCTGTCTTCACTTCAACGACGCCACCATGCATCAGCATGCCAATCCCGACCGGGCAGACCTTGTGCTCTCCACCACCGAACAGGAGCTCAAGGCTGGGAAAAGAGGTAAACAAGAGTGTACTGGCTGGAGGGAGCACGGCTTGGCCCATATTCGACATTCGGTAAATAACAGCCAAGACCTCCCAACAAGACACCGAAGATCAGAAACCCTCAAGAATTGCCGATATGGGGAAACGCAAACTTTCAGAGTCATATGAGAGACCACATCCGGGCCCACTCAACACCACATCGGCAGGAGTACCACAAGCAGAACGGAGGACACACAACATGCGCCTTGACGTCAAAACTCGGAATACAAAACGAGCTGGGCAGTGATCGTCAAGGGTATCCTCCACTTCAGGGTTCTACCTCGCATCCTGCGCGAGTGGCACAAGAGCATGTCCGTGTGTGAGCAAGACCTCTGCCCTGCTCATGTGCAGTATTATGTTCTTGAAGGCTGATGCAGGTCCTCTGCCCCTGCTTTTGTGCGGCATTATATTCGCGAGGGCTGACGCAAGTCCTCGATGTGGAAGTCTAACTGATTGGAATGGTAGACGTGGCCACCGGGGTGCTTGGCGTCGGTATACAGACCGTTAATGCTGTGCTGGTGGAAGGTGGAGGATTGAGTGCAATGGAGGATATGGTCGAGCCCAGGTGGGTTCGTCAGTCGGAAGATGCCGTAGCTGAGCGGTGTGTTAGCCGAGATCCGCACAACCGTTGTCATACAATTAAATAGGTAGTATGTCCGGGAGGACATGGGGTGCCGAGGACTTACGAGGGCTCGGATCGTGGGGCACAAACGATTGCGATACTCTCCGGCATCATGACCTGGTAGCCCGACTGCGTATGCAAGTCCCGCGAGCTCATGAAACATGTTTGAGTTGGATGAGTGTGGATCCACCCAAACACCATGAGGTCTTCTTTCATGCAGAACTCGATCACCTCCTCCTCGTTGTCCGTCTCGCAGGTGTCGGTGGTGCACGTTTGTTTCGGTATGATGAGGGTGCTGATGAACAAGGCGTTGTTGACTGATGTCCCGCACAGTATGCCGCACATCTCGAGGCCCTTTCTGGTGTTTGGAGAGGCAATGGTAAGAAATTCATGGCGCAGACGATCCGGCAGGAAAACAGGCCGGATAGGAGTACCATTCTCGAGGTAGGCTGCTGGCCTGAAAGTAAAGCGCTCCTTGCGATCCATCGACTTTGGTGGCAGCTCCGGAGGCTCAGGCTGTGCGGTGGTGGGTGATACGTCGTGCGCTGAGCCGAACGAGTCAACAGGTTCCTTGCTTGGCCGTGGAGGCGCTGAACGTGATTGGTAGTCTTCCTTCGCTGGACGAGGAGGGGGAGGACGAGGACGACTGCCGCGGTATGGGTCGCCGATGGAGGGCTCGTACTGGGGCACCGAGGATCTCGAGATGGACGGGTATTGGTACGATGGCCGCCGGTCATAAGTGCTGTAGCTGTTCGGCCGCGGTGGGTAGCTGCCGTCGGAGCTGGGTGGGCGTGCTGCCTGGTCGGTCTGGTCCAGCCTGCGGCGCGCAGCATCCATGTTGCGCCTGATGACATCGCCATCATCGCGTGCAGCGCCTGGTCCGTCTCGAGGGGCAGTAACGTCCCAGTCGTCCCAGAGCCCAGCGCCCCGTCGTGCCTGCTCTTCCTCCTCGGAGATGCCAGCCTGGCGGGTCGCCTTACGAGCCGCATCCCGGCGCCTGATCTCTCGCTGGGCCAGGTCGACGGCCAGGTCCTGATGCTCCCCTGCGTCCAGTAGCTTTGCTCGGACCTTTGGGTTCCACGACAGTGCCGGGTCCCTCGCGGCCTGTCTCTCGTACGGGGACTTCTCTCCCTCGAGCCTAATCGAACCGTCAGGTTGGCTCGCATGTATCCTGACCCACTCGTCGTGAGCGTCCGTGATCTGGGGCTTCAGCTGTTCCAACGTGTCAAAGACCCTGGGAAGTCCGATAGTGAGGGGTTTCAGGGCGCGTTTGCCGTCGGAGGTCTTGGCTTCTGGATGTTTGGGCAGGTGGTCCATGACAAGGGTTGAGTACCGGAGGAGGAGGAGGTAGGCCTGGCTCATGTTGCCTTCTCGGGCGTACATGTTGCCCTGGGATGGGACAGACTATTAGCAGAGAAGGCGCGACTCGGCAGCGGAGGACGACGTCCATACCTGGCGAAGGAGGGTGTCTGCGGCGCGCAGCCATTGTTTGAGGCCGACTAGACTGTTGAACTCGAACTTTCTGGCCTCGACATCGATCTCCTTGACGCTGAGCGGCCGGTCCGGCAGGGCCCAGGTGGTGTTCATGGTGGGCGACCCGGCTGCCCTGTCGGGTCAAGTCAAACAGTCTGGCAACGAGGAAGGCTGGGTGAGGTGATCACTTCGGGGTTGCGGCGCGTGTCATAATGCGCCAGGAAGCGAGCGGGAAACGAACGGTTGGGATCAGGGCTCGGAGGAGGCGGGCTGGACTCAAGGGACTCGAGGCAAAGCCGAAGTGGTACAATCAGCCCGTCAGTCCGTCAGTCAGTCAGTCAGTCAGTAAGTCCGTCCGTCAGTCCGTCAAGTCCGTCAAGGGCAGCCAGACTCAAACTGCCTGGCTACACACTGGCAGGCTTGAAGCACGCGAAGACCGACGACATCAACAGGAAATGCAGGAGAGAAGAAAGAAGGAAAGAAAGAACAAGGAGGTAAAATTACAAGCGTTATTGCTGCGGCGTATAGACTGAATGATGTTGCTGCTGGTGCGTTTCGACGATGGTTGTCAGTTAATTAATTTCTGGGCCGGCTCGTGTTGCAGATCAGGCGCCTACGCGTGGGTGCGACGCCGATTAGCAGGGCGAGCTTAGCTGTCATGCTGCGTAGGGAGGTACGACATTGTTAGGGGAGCTTGGCCGAGCAGCCCCGCGATCGACCATCGCCCAGGCCTGCCGCCGGGGAATATCTTGGCGGGGTACAACAGCACCCGTCCTGCCGTCCTTGACTACCCGCCTGGCCTGTGCGCTTATCTGGTATCAGATGCTGAGGTAAACATGTGGATACTTCGGTACCTAGGTACCTAGTAAGGGGGGAGGGAAGACAGACAGTTAGGTACGTATTGTTACATACTTAAGTATGCATACTTCAGTATATCAATATATATTTTTGTGTACATATGTTTGTAATTTTGTGGAAGAATCTTGTCAGTTCTCGGGTTGTCTCCTGTAATTGGCAGTACTTCTCGCCGGCGAACTGTACCCTGCACACGAGCAGAATTCATGTATTTCTGATTAGCCAGAGATATTACGGTGTTCAAGATGTCCTGGATGTCGGAATACTAGGAAGAGCTACTCGCTGGAGCAGTCGAGGCCTCATGCAGCTACTACAACAGTAAAATACGGAAGATACGGAGACAAAGAAAGAAAGAAAAGTCAAAAGTGAGATGAGATCATATGATTTGCTCGGGATGCAGGACCAGAGAGTTTTGCAGTGGATCTGAGAATCAAAACAAGAATTTGAATTCTCCAGGTCAGGGCGGACCAGCAAGAGATTGCGAATAATTCTCGCGATATCTCCCCTGCCCGACTCGCAGTGACGAGGCAGACATGCAGACATGCAGACATGCAGGACATGTTGACATGGCCCTACCTACCGCCAAGTGGCCCTGGCAGGCGGCTGGGTGGCCCTGGCTGGCCCTGAAGGAAAATGCTGTCCAGTGGTGCAGCATTCCAGGCCTTCAGGCGGTCCAGGCCCTGCTGAGTGCGCTCATCTCCGGGGGGTCGGGAGAAACCGGAACGCAGTCTCTTACCACAGGCAAGCGCCTGGGCCACATCGTCCTACTTCTGTAACCTCCGAACAGCCAACTCTGACGCTCACTGGGCTGATGTCCCGACTCTCACACGCACTCGGTGATGCGCACGTCTCTGCGGTCCTTGTCTTGGATTTGCCCACTGCTGACTCTCTCTGGCTGTGCTGGCAGGCTGGGTTGGTTGCTCCTGCGCCCAACCCGCGGCGCCCCCACGCAAGGGATCCCATTCATTGCAGGTGCAATCTCAGGCCAGCCCTTGGAATTGTTTCTGCACGCCGCAGTCTTTCGATTCTGCCTGTCATGCCACGCCATCCTGAGGCTCGTCCCGCCTCGGAACATGGCCGCATACTTCCGTGTGTATGCGTGCCTGCGTGCTACAATGCCTTCCCGGCCCTCATTAGACGAGGCTGCAAGGCTGGCACAAGACAGCTGGCAGTACGATATGATATAAAGCATGTCCTCTCCTCAGGATGACTGCCAGTAGTCCCCAAGGCAGCTCATCATAGAAAGTCAATTCCCCATAAACCGTATTCATCCTTGTCATACACATTCGATTCGACCTCTTGAGGTGTAAGACCGATAGGGACAGACAAGCAGAAAGAAACCCCAAGACACCATAAATATGGATACACAAAATTTCAACGCAGTTCTCGATGCCAAGTGCCGAGGTATGGACAACCCCAACCCCCTTCTTACATAAAACACCACCCAAAACTGACAACCGCACAAGAAACCATCGAGACATCATACCCACTCTTTGTCATCCACCACAACCATGTCACCACCATCCCAGACGAGACCATCTTCCACCTCTGCCGCTGCATCTTCGCCTCGGCCCTGCAGAAGCTCCCCGTGCAGAACCAGTCCGCCATAGACTTCCTGTGCCTGCGCAAGATGCTGTCCGCCGTCTTCGACGAGGACCACCGCGCCTTTGTCCTCGACGAGCCCGACCCGCGCCTGCTGGCCACCATGGACGCCGACGCCAAGGCGTGCATCTTTGCGCAGGCCGTCGCGGGCCTGGTGTACCTCCTGCGCAAGGTCGCCACCTGCAGCGTGACCCTCTCCCCCGAGGTCCTCGACGCCAAGCTCGCGCGGTTCGCCGCCGGCGACGAGCGCAGGGTCATGCTCGACGCCATCGAGAAGAGCCCCGTGTGGTCCAACTGCTTCGAGAAGGCCCACATCGGCAACATGATCATGGACGCCGTCAACGGCAAGGCCGTCGCCGGCGCTGACGTCGTCTCCGCCGCGGCGGACGACAACAAGAAGCGCGGCACCGGGGTGGTCTCGGTCGTCGAGCTCGGCAGCCCCAAGCAGCAGGACGTGGCCGAGAAGCAGCTGTGGGACGACGGCCCGCACCTGCAGAGGAACTTTGGTGTCCCGGATGTCTTCCAGATCATGGTCCTCAACTAGACAGGAGGGGGAGGTGGGACGCACAACATGCGTGAGCCCGCACGAGGAGACCGGGATCGGGACGGCGATAGACTGCAACTCGGAATGGGGGGAAAGGAAGGCGCACTAGCATGCATCGGAGTTTGGGGCCTCGAATTTTAGGTGGAGGGATTTGTATTTTCAGAAGGGCATGGCCTCATCTCCCATCCATGAGCACGGCGTTGGGTTTGGGACTGGCATTGTTTGGTATTTGCATTTTAGATCTGGGCACCTAGGACCTTTTGGATGAATAGAATGCCTCACTCTCAACAGCAACAAAAGATCATATCCACTCTCAACTCTTCTTCCGGTCGGGTCACACGCGTGACAATTGTGTGGGTGTCCTCTTCACGTGTAGTTGTACTCCCGTAGGTGAAGCGTCCGCCTTGATACCCTGGGCCCTCGGGCTGTTGCTCGAACCTCAGCCAAAAGCCCCATCACATGCCTACTCGCGCATAGCATTCAGCAGTCCTCACCCTCCAGCTCGGCCGTTCACGCCTTGGCCGCCCCGGCAGCGGCAGCGGCAGGCTGCTTGCCCTGGGCGGCAGACTGGGCGGTGGTCTGGATCCTGATGATGTCGGCCTTGACGCGCTCGAGCTTCTCCTGCAGGTCCTTGATCTTGTCCTCCTGGCGGGTGATGTCCTGGTTGATGAAGTTGAGGCGGCCGTCGACGGTGGTCTCGGCGTCGACCCTGTCCTGCTTGAGCAGGGCCGGGCCGATGAGCTTGTAGATGGCCTCGTCGTCCTTGAGCTTGGCGAACTCGCTCTTGACGCCGTCGTTCTCCTGCTTCTGGGCCTCGAGCTTCTGCCGCGACGACACCACCGTCTGCATTTCTGCCTGGGGTGTCAGCGGCTTGTTGGCCTGGCGGCGGTGGTTGGCGACGGGGAGGTGCACGCTGGAGGAGTGCACACATACCTGACTGTAGCTTTGTGAACTCCTCCGAGAGGGCCTGGAGCTTGGCCTGTGCCTCCGAAGCCATTTTGAGGGGATGTGTTTGTCAAAGGGGCCGTGGGCGGTGAATGAGTGAGGCTCAGGGGTTAAATCCAGGTCAGGGTGAGCGATGAGTTTTGCGGTGGTTGATCTTATCCTCAGGATCTCTTGGCAGTGTCCAAAGTGGTGTTGCTGGTCTGCTGGATTCTCCTGATGCAACTGATGCAAGAAAAACCTGAGTGGGATGATGCTCAATCGGTTTTTTGTCCCTTTGAGTCGCAGGCAAGAGGTCAATATCATTGTGTATCTACTGTAGGTACTCTATAATATTTTCCCGACTAAGATACTCAAGTGCTCCAAACGGGCACTGCCCACAGTAGCTAGACACTCGGGTATTTTCTTTTATAAATGTATATGTATGTTTTTTCTTCAGATATGCAAGTCTTGACTTATTTCCTGCTGCTACCGAGGCTGCTGCAGCACTCTGGATCGGGTCCAGATCTGGTGCTTCACAAAGGCTTTGTTGCCCAAGTGCTGCACGGAGTACACAGTAATAAGTGCCCAGGTGTTATGGATCCCCTGGGGCAGGTAACGTCACTGTGCAAACTCCAGCCTGCCCGCCCAGGCCTCTCTCTGCCTCTCGGCCCTTCAACCCCGCCAATCCAAAAAGAATGGCGTGCCAAGGCCAGCAAGACTCCAGCTCGAAACGTCCACTCGTCTTAGGCCACACTGACTTGACTGCAGGGCATCCAGTCTATTCAGTCTATTCAGTCTACTCACCTGCACCTCCTCAACTGGTCCCCCTCGGCCCTCCCTCACACACGCGCCGAGTGCGATCGCGACTGCGACCCTTAGCTTATTGTGGTGTCGACGTCCTCATCCAGCGGGGCCACTATCAGCTGCTCAACTGCTCCACCTCCGGCCGTCTATCGTCTCAGTCCTCTCTCCCCCTCCTCCTCGAGTCGACTCCCCGCCACCCCGGCCCTCCCTCTTCGAGCAAGCAGTGTGACGACCACCAAACACCAAGAAAAGGACCGCACCACCAGCCAGCCAGTCCATCATGTCCAACACCGACTTCCTCGGTCGCGCAATCGACCAGGTGCGCAAGGCCATCGAGGCTGATAACGCCGCCCAGTACGACAAGGCCTACCAGATGTACTACCAGTCGCTAGAGCTGTTCATGCTCGCCCTCAAGTGGGAGAAGAACCCAAAGTCCAAGGAGATGATCCGCACCAAGACCGCCGAGTACATGGACCGCGCCGAGAAGCTCAAGGCCCACCTGTCCGACGCCGACGCCAAGCGCAAGAAGCCAGGCATGGTCGGCGCCAACGGCTCGTCCACCGCCGGCACTGCTAAGGGCAAGGAAGACGGCGAGGACGGCAACGGCGCCCCCATCGACGAGGACAGCAAGAAGCTGCGCAACGCCCTAGCCGGCGCCATCCTGCAGGACCGCCCCAACGTCAAGTGGGAGGACGTCGCCGGCCTCGAGGGCGCCAAGGAGGCCCTCAAGGAGGCCGTGCTGCTGCCCATAAAGTTCCCCCAGATGTTCCAGGGCAACAGGAAGCCCTGGAAGGGTATCCTGCTCTACGGGCCCCCCGGTACGGGAAAGAGTTACCTGGCCAAGGCGCTGGCCACCGAGGCCAAGAGTACCTTCTTCAGCGTGAGCAGTTCGGATCTGGTGAGCAAGTGGATGGGAGAGTCAGAAAGGTATGTGCTTCCTGCCACTTCCCGTCGGCAAATATAGCAGAGATATGTGCAGAAAGGAGGGGAGGGGGGGGCAGTGTGTTCCAAGCAGGTCAGGAGAACCACCGAGGCCCGCTAACAGCAACCCACGCACAGGCTCGTCAAGCAACTCTTCAACATGGCCCGCGAGAACAAGCCATCCATCATCTTCATCGACGAGGTCGACGCGCTGTGCGGCCCCCGAGGCGAGGGCGAGTCGGAGGCGTCGAGGCGCATAAAGACCGAGATGCTGGTGCAGATGGACGGCGTCGGCAAGGACTCCACCGGCGTGCTGGTGCTCGGCGCGACCAACATCCCCTGGCAGCTGGACGCGGCCATCCGGCGGCGTTTCCAGCGCCGCGTGCACATCTCCCTGCCCGACATCGCCGCCAGGACCACCATGTTCAAGATCGCCGTCGGCGACACCAAGACGAGCCTCAAGTCCGAGGACTACAGGGAGCTGGCCAAGCTGAGCGAGGGCTACTCGGGCAGCGACATCGCCGTCGCCGTGCAGGACGCCCTCATGCAGCCCGTCCGCAAGATCCAGCAGGCGACGCATTTCAAAAAGGTACGTTTTTTGTCTGCTACAACAGATCCAATTCAGCCCACATGGGAGCGGTTGCGGGTTCTTGGTTCGCTAATTCCGCGCTTTTCGCAAATTAAATAGGTGAACGTCGACGGCGAGTCACGAGTGACACCCTGCTCGCCGGGCGAGCCCGACGCGATAGAGATGACGTGGGAGGAGGTCGACACGGACCAGCTGCTCGAGCCCATTGTCGACTTCAAGGACTTTGTCAAGTCCATCAAGTCGTCGCGGCCTACGGTATCACAGGAGGATCTCAAGAGGAACTCAGAGTGGACACACGAGTTCGGCAGCGAGGGCTCATAGTCTTTTTGTGCCGGGCGGGCCAGTGGTGGGCACAGCAACAAGGGCACTCTCCCACACGGAATACTACACCAGCCAGGAGGGCCATCCTTAAGCGAGGCGGGCCTCGAGCCTTGCCAACGTGATCTGGGGTCATTCAGGTCGGTAGAGGAGAGAATTAGGTGCACTCGCGCGTGCGGGAGGGGAAGGGGGCAAGTGAGGCTGCGTGGATGGCGCACGCAGCTATAACTGGCTTGGATGGAGTCCATCTGGATGGGGGGAAGACTCGCACCGGCGAGCGCTGGGTCAGGCGGTGGCGGCGATCTTGTGGTGGTGTGTGACGTGGATATCACGTTAACTCGAGAGGCAAGCAAGCGAGCGAGCGAGCAAGCAAGCAGACGGGCGTCGCGGCGTTAATCTTCTGAGCGAACAAACAAAGCATAGTGGTCGGCTTGGGCAGGCCGGATGGGAGGGTCGATACATTTATGGCAAGGAACTGACAAAATAAAAGAGAGTGGTAGCCTGTGTAAAAAAATCCATGATAATCATCAAGTGTGGGCGTCGGGTGCGGTGACCACCGCAACAGTCGGGACTGCTGCCAGATATTGGACTTCTTTTTCACTGGATCTTGCATTCTGCAACTGCCACAACTGAACGGGTATGAGGTTTGATTGATTGATCGATCATGTGATTGATTGTACAACAGGATATGTCAACCCAGCCAGCCAGTCAGTCAGTGGGCCTGAAATAGGCCATGATCGAGGAAAGAGGACCGAACCAAAATGAGATGCAAGCACGAAAAAAAAAAAATTGGTTCCCTAACTCCGATGCCGATTTTCTCCCGCACGCCCTCGCAACTCCGAGATGAACCCACGAACAAGATCAATAGGAATGGAAATCACCGCACGAAGCCCACCAGATATCTCAAGATCCCACATCCCCACTGTGTCTGGCCTGCTTCTTGGGAGAAACATGGGCCTTGGCCCTGTCCTCGCACTTCTTCTGGCCCTTCAGGAGCCGCTCCTGGGCATCCAGGATCTTGTTGTGCGTGGAAGGCGGGGTGAGGGCTGGCATGTAATCAGCCTTGCTTTTCTTTGCCCTCTTGTCCCGCCGCTCCGGCTGCTGCGCCCTCTGCTCAGCTGCTTTCACGGCGCGACCAGGACCAGATTCAGGCAGGCTCTTGGGGGACTCCAAGACTCCGACCTGTCTCTTTTGCCCGCGGGACTTGGGGGTTGAGGGTTCAGGTAGGCTTTTCGGGATGTAAAGAGGCTTATTATCAAGAGGCGAAGCACTCTAGGCCTCGACCTTCTTGTCCTTCTTCTTCTTCTTTTCCTTCTTGTCGCCATCTGCTTCGCTCTTCCGCTTCTTCTTGTCCTTCTTGTCAGACTTTTCCGTGGGCTCGTCGATGTCCATGGCCTCGCTCTTGCGCTTCTTCTCCTTCTTGTCCTTCTTTGACTTCTTGCCCTCCTCGGCCTCCTGTGTGGGGTGGGCATCGATCATCTCAGTGTCAATAGCAAGGTCGTCGTTGCCGTCACCAAGGATGGCCTTCATCGCGTTGCTCATTGCCTCCTCGTTCTTGATTGGCTTCTTGCCGGTGGCGTAGAACTCCAACCGGTCCTCAAGCTGTTGCCTCAGGACCTCGCCGAAACGCGCTGACGGGTGCTCTGAGAAGTTGTCGATACGCGATGCCATGCTGCACTTGTTGGCGAGATATCTGCTGATGCGACCCTTCACCTTGGGACCGGCGCGTCCGATGAAAGACGACTGGTAGATCAGACCGTACTTGGGTGTAGCACCCTTGGTCTTAAGGGCGCGAAAGAGAGCCTTCTCGGCACCGAGAATCTGGAGGGTCGAGGCAGGGTATTTGGCAAGGTTGGTGAGCGAGCCGGCGTGCGAGATCAGGCGGGCTGCGACGGGGGTTCCGAGGATGCACTGCAGGTTGGGGGCGACCTGGCCCATCTTGGCGTCCAGGGAGTTGGAAAGCGATTTCCTGTAGTCGGCCATCTTGGCCACGGAGGTTGCGAAGGACTTGACCATGATCATGTCGGACTCGGTGATGTCGAGACCCATGGAGATCTTGGCAGCGTTGATAATGTCCTGAGCCTTCTCGCCATCGTCGTCAATGACGGCGGCGATCTCGTGCAGCTTGTCATCGCTCAGGGTCTTCTTGTCGCCAATGGCGAGGACCAGCTTGGCGTAAGTGCCGTTGTCGGAGACGATGCGGACCAGCTCGGGGAAGTGCCAGCCGTACCACTCACGGACACGCATGGAGCCCTGGTTGATGCCCTTGTCGAGCGCATCCAGAGTCGCGATGGCCTGGATGATGTGGTTATCGTTCTTGTGGACGCTGAACTTGACCTTTGCGCGCGAGTAGGCGTGACCCATACCGAGCTGGGCACGGCCCAGGTCACCCTCCTGCAGGCCCTTGAGCAGCTTCTCGGCGTGGACCCTGATACCACGGAGGAGGTCGGCGACAACCTCCGAGGTCTCGCTCGTCTCGCACTCGACGCCGCTGAAGGTGGAGCTGATCTCGCCAGCAAGCTTCCTGTCTTGGACACCGAGGACGATCTTGGACTTCTTTCCACTGGTCTGGGGGAGGTTCAATTCGAGGATGGACTTGAGGTAGTCGGGCATGATACCCTCGGAGATGAGGTTGACATTTTCAAGCGTCTCGGCGGCATTTCTTCAGAATCGTGTCAGCGACCAGGGCCTACGGCAAAGTCCATGGGCCATGGGCCATGGGCCGCGAGTCGCCGTGGGGAGCAGCCTACCGGTATGGGGTGAAGTTGACGAGCTTCACGTGTTTGCTGAAGGTGGCCAGGTTCTGGAGCGAGTTCTGCACCTCTTTGAGCTGCAGACCAACGCTGTCGGCCTGGTTGACGACCTCGAAGACGGCATAACCAGCCGCCGACTCGTACAGCAAGTAATTGATGTTGGCCATCTTGATGGGAGGAGCTGGCAAGACGGCTGAGGCAGTAGTGCTGCTGCTTCTGCTGCTGCTTACAGAGTGTGGGTTGTCGTTGCTTCAAAACAGCCGGCAGCTCGAAGGGTTTTTTTTTCCTCGACGGTCTGAAATTTCTCTCCCGCTGCAATTGGAGCTGCACCAAACCGGCCGGCTCAAGGTGGGACATCCTAGTCCGCGCCAGTCCACCTCCACCTCACTAGCGTTGCGCTCCCCACCCTGGTCTGAGGAAGGAACAGTCTTCACAGCTGGACGACAGCTGGCGACCAGCTTGGGCAGCCACGAGGTACAAAGGTACAACTGGACGGGTGGCACGGCTTGGAGCAAGTCGAGGAGAGTGTCGTCATCTCCCGAACGGCCGCCCATTCCAGGCTGGGGCTCCATCGTAACCAGCAGCTAAGCCACTCTATCACCACTCACACCATGTCTTCTGCCTCTCCTCCCCGACGTCCTTTGTACGTTTTCGACATCCGAGCATCACTGGCGTAGAACAAGCACAGGCTCTTTCTTGATTCGTGTTCTCTGTGGTGCATCGCATCAGCTTTGGCTTTTTACCCCAAATCATGTTCGACAAACTCAAGGAGAAGGTGAAGCATGGTATGTTCATAGCGGGTCTTGTCCAGTCTGTCTGATATATTGTCACATCATTTGCTGCGGCGGAAGCTGCCATCCAACGGTCCTGTCCTCCCTGGTCATACCAATCGAATCACTTTCCCCCTGGCACAAGAGCTGTCATCGCCCCCGATCTCCCTGTCAAGCCGGCTAGCCGCCGCCCCTCCGTATTATTATTAGCTACGCCACAGTACCTGCATACATCCGCACCCGCTCATACGTACCCCACGAGGCTGTGACACTCCTCAGTTCCCTCTTCGCCATGCCAGATAGAGGCCGCCTGTTATCCATAATATCCGTATTCCTTGTCTTTATAAGCGTCGTCCTCTTCATCCAGGCCCAGCAGATTCCTCTTCTCCAACATAACATTCAGGAATTTGACAACTCTTACTACCAAGGCCTCAACTCCCAACACATGCCATCCCCAAACAACACCATGGGCGGCGGACCAGTAACAAAAGGCTACCGAAGCGTCGCATACTTCGTCAACTGGGCCATATATGGCCGGAAACACTTTCCCTGGGAGCTGCCAGTCGAGCATCTTACCCATGTCCTTTACTCTTTTGCAAATGTCCGCCCCGAGTCGGGAGAGGTGTAAGTTCCCGGTCGCCATAGTATTAGTCCTCAACCTTGTGATAAATAAGTACGAAGACTGATGCTCTCAACAGGTACCTGACCGACAGCTGGGCGGACCAAGAGATTCACTGGGATGGTGACAAGTGGGAAGACGGGCACAAGCTGTACGGCTGCCTGAAGCAACTCAACCTCCTCAAGCGCCGCAACCGCAACCTAAAGATCCTCCTTTCCATCGGCGGTTGGACCTATTCCTCCAACTTCAGACAGCCCGCATCAACGCCCCAGGGCCGAGCCAACTTTGCCAGATCAGCCGTCAATATTCTGAAGAATTACGGCTTTGACGGATTGGACATCGACTGGGAGTACCCGCAGAACTCGACCGAGGCCGCCGACTGGGTGGCCCTCCTCAAGGCCTGCAGGGAGGAGATGGACGCCTACGCCCGCACACTGCCCCCCGAGCCAGGCCACGGCGGCCCCCACCACTTTGAGCTCACGGTAGCCTGCCCCGCCGGCGCGCAGAACTACGAGAAGCTGGACCTGCGCGGGATGGACCGCTACCTCGACTTCTGGAACCTCATGGCCTACGACTACGCCGGCTCCTGGGACCAGGTGGCGGGCCACCAGGCGAACCTGTACCCGAACCGGAACCACCCCAACACGACGCCCTTCAGCACGGCCGGCGCCCTCGAGCACTACACCCGGCACGTGCACCCGTCCAAGATCGTCGTGGGCATGCCGCTGTACGGGCGCGCGTTCGAGAACACGGACGGCGTGGGGAGGCCCTACAGCGGCATCGGCGAGGGCAGCTGGGAGCGGGGCGTGTACGACTACAAGGCGCTGCCCCTCCCCGGCGCCCGCGAGTTCTACGACCACGACAGCGGCGCCAGCTACAGCTACGACCCCGCCCGGAGGATGATGGTCAGCTACGACACGCTGCCCATGGCCAGGGACAAGGCCGGGTACATCAAGAACCACGGCCTCGGCGGCGGCATGTGGTGGGAGTCGTCGTCGGACCGCAAGGGCAACCAGAGCCTGATCGAGAATGTCGTTGACGTCTTTGGCGGGCCCGGCGCGCTGAGGAGGGATATCAACCAGCTTGAGTGCCCCGAGAGCGAGTGGGAGAACCTGAGGAATGGGTTCAAGGATTGAGAGCCGGCCGGCCGGCCGGCCCTTCACAGCGTTTTCAGAATGTGTTTAGATGAGCATTACCTCGTGCATGCATGCATATAGCCAGAATTGTCTACAATCCAGCCAGCCTTTCTCGAATTGTGCACGCACCATCCTGTTGTCCCGAGCCGCGACAGGCCTTTTCGGGGCGGCATCCAGACGTCTGAATGCCATGCACACTGTGTGTTACCGGGGGTTGGATGCTCAATGGACATACGATGCTGAAGTTAATGGCGACCACACTGTGAATAGGTTGAGTGGGGTTGGACCAGGCTCAAAATCGGCGATGGTCCTTCTGTGGCTCTGGCGTGTTGCAAGACCCCGAAGGAGCAGGAGGCCGGTGAGGTGGTACCAATTAGTAAAGAGTTGTGGTTGCCAGCGATCCAAGTTCAGGAGCCTGTTGGCAGCTGGCTACGGAATTGTTGAAGCACAAGAACATCACGTGTCAAGACAGGGCAAGAATTTTATGTTGTGATCGTGACCTTCATTTCGGTATATTTCCCATCCACCAGCCAAGAGTAGGTCTGCATGCCTTCGTGTGCCAGAGGCGGCAGTTGACAAGTACTAGATGAATCTGTGACCACACCCATGATGCCCCGTACCAGCATCAGAAGCCCATGGATGCGCAAAAGTGCAAGCTTTTCCCCGTCCCTGAAACTATTGACCCCGTTGCTCCGTTTTGTCCGTCCATGAAACCGAAGGAAACCGTTTATGAGGACTTCTCGAAGACGTAGGTGAGGTGGCAGCGACCGCAGTATTGACGGTCCTTGTGGGCGGCCATGAAGACACCGGCACCGCACTGTGAGAGGGAGAGAGCAGTTAGCATCCATTGTCATGCTTCGGCGTGTGGAATCTCGATCCAACTTACAGACTCAGCGGGGCACTCGCGGCGGAGACGCTCGATCTTGCCGTCGCTGTCGACCTTGTAGTACTTGAGGACGGCCAGCTTGGTCTTCTTGCGCTTGTGCTTGATCTTCTTGGGGGTGGTGTAGACCTTCTTCTTCCTCTTCTTGCCACCACCACGCAGGCGCAGCACCAGGTGGAGGGTGGACTCCTTCTGGATGTTGTAGTCGGAGAGGGTGCGGCCGTCCTCGAGCTGCTTGCCGGCGAAGATCAGACGCTGCTGGTCTGGGGGGATGCCCTCCTTGTCCTGGATCTTGGACTTGACATTGTCGATGGTGTCGGAAGACTCCACCTCAAGGGTGATAGTCTTGCCCGTGAGGGTCTTCACGAAGATCTGCATGATGGGCTGTCCTGCTGGCAGGAAGGAGGAAGGGTTAGAAAAAATCACGGCTGAGGCAGGCTGGATTTAAAAAGTGCAGGCTTGGGTGTGGGAATTTGTGATGTGGGGCGCGCGATAAGGGGACCCCCAGTGGGAAGAGAGAGAGAAAGAGAGCGATAGAGACGTCAAGCAGGCAGACTGCTGTAGGCCCCAGGCGCTTGCTCTCTCTGATCCCAACTGGAGTGGAAGTGCAGGAGAAAAAAAAAACTGTTGTGGTGGCGATCACCTCTCGCAAGCGACGAGATGAGGGCCGGGTATCATGGGAAGAAGCAAACAAGACGGGGGAATCGAATGGTGCAGTGGCATGGTGGATCATGAAGGGGACAAGAAAGCCGCGATGCCGTCGAGCAACAACATCATCGTGTTCGAGACGTACCTAGGGTATTATCCCGTCATAAGCCAGTCCCGTGAAGATGTTCGTTGATGGAGAAGGGGAGGGGAAGAAATTCGAAAAACCGCCAGCCATCTGAGGATGAGATTTTTGGGGTGGTTTGGGGCGGTCCCAGGCCCTGGTTTCTGCGCTCTGGCCGGTGAGGCCCGCCTCAGGCCAATGAGCTGCAAGAGGGTGGGTCCCACGTGACGACCTAGGGCACCCGCGACAAAATCGGGGAGCTAACAGCAGCATGCGACGAGACTCGGCGGGGTCTGTTAAGGCGAATGATTTCACAGTTGTGGACCTCCGTTTTTACCCTGGGACTACCGCCCGCCGCAGCAAAGCAAACCTGCATTAAATTTCCAGCAGTCGTATTTCGATTCCTCTCTCTCCCTCCTCCAACGACCAACACTTAACGATCTTCGTCAGCCAAAGTCGTCAAGATGCCTAAGAAGGTACGATTCGCTCCCACAGACAGTCAGCCTCTTCAGTCTTCAATTCGAGCCGTCACGATGGTCTCCATGGCTCAATGCCACAGATGGGATCGTGCTTGCTTGGTTGCTACCAATGCATCACATCCTCTCTGTTGCGCTTTCTGCCTGGCCCACCGACCTCAGTCTCGATTGAACACGCACCCCACCTGATCAATAGACGCTGACCTGCCACTCCTCGAACAGAGAAAGAACAACGGCCGCAACAAGAAGGGCCGCGGCCACGTCAAACCCATCCGTTGCTCCAACTGCTCGCGATGCACGCCCAAGGACAAGGCCATCAAGAGATTCACCATCCGCAACATGGTTGAGTCTGCTGCTATTCGTACGTCAAGACGGCAGGGCCGGTTCTTGCCAATGCTGCTACGCCGGCTCAGCGTCCTCTCCCCGACCGTGCCACTCTTTGCTAACGAGCGTCCTCAACAGGTGACATCTCTGACGCCTCGGTCTTCGCCGAGTACACCGTCCCCAAGATGTACCTCAAGCTGCAGTACTGCGTCTCTTGTGCCATTCACGGCAAGATCGTTCGGTACGTTTGTCCTAGATGGAGGACAACTGTGTCTGGCGTGGTGCGGTGGCCGCCCTCTGGGCAAGCCCTGCACCTGCCAGACACAGGCGGCTGAGAAGAACCTTGGCGGCATACGAACTCCATCTCCATCTCCCCCTTCCGACCGAAGAACACATATGCTGACAGGAACACCACAGTGTCCGTTCGCGTGAGGGTCGCCGCAACCGTGCTCCTCCCCCACGTGTCCGATACAACAAGGACGGCAAGAAGATCACTCCCACCCAGGGTGCTAAGACCTCCTAAGCGGGCCTGAGCAGATCACTGGAGGCTGGTTGTTGATTTCTCTCCCCGGGTCCAACAAAAATGATTATTTGAGGGTCAAGGGACAAGGGTTCTGGCATGGACAGGCAGTCGCACGACTTGCATGAAATGAATGCCACGGTACGGTTGAACGGCGTCTGGGGCCGCTCTCCTCTATAGGCAGCGAGCGGCGTTAGGTTCAGGTTCCCGTAGCTTCCGTCAAAATCAAAGACACGTCGCCCGTGTGGGCAAAAAGAAGAACCACTTCCTTCTGCTGTTGCATGTGTTCTCCGTGAAGACGTGATGGTCCGCATCACCGAATCTCATCGTATCCTCTCCAGCTCAAACAGCAGCCTCCTGGTCTTTGGGTCGTCCCAGGTCCTCTTGCCGTCATTGACACTTAGCCCTTCGTCTAGCTCAGCCTTGACGTCCCACCGTGTCCCGGTCCCCGCCTCCACCTCCTTCACGAGCCTCTCGAAGCTCTCCACGTTGTGCTTGTGCGTCCCCTTGTTCGCGCCGCCGACAGTGAGCGTCTGCGTGGCAACGCCGTCCAGGTTCCCCGTCGCCTGCCCTATGATGAGCACGCCAGGCTCGTCGCGCAGCAGGGCGATGGCGTTTTCGAACGCGGTCAGCTGCTGCTCCCACGTGAACAGGTGCAGGATCATGCCCAGCTGCACGACGCTCAGCTTCCCGCGGAACTGAGCCAGCGAGGCCGAGGCCGTGGGGCCTTCCTTTCCCTCCTCCCCAGCCGCCCGGGCAAGCGGCTCGAGGATGTCAGCCTGCACCATCGCCACGTCCGCGGGCGAGTCACGGAACAGCTCGTACCCCAGCCGGATGAAGGTGGGCGAGAGCTCCGCGCCCGCCACGGAGCCCGGCGGCGCCCCGTCGTGGATCAGCTTGCGCACGTCCTGGCCCAGGCAGGCGCCGACGTCCAGGAACGCAGGGGTTGAGGGCGGCGCCGGCGACGACTTCAGCGTCACCAGCAGCCGCGCGTACAAGTCGCCGCGCGGCCGGGCCGAGAGGTTCAGCTCCAGGAAGCGGAACTGGCCCAGGCACGGGTAGTGGTGGACTTCCCAGGCCTTGTTGCGCTGTGTTGTTCGCGATGACGGTCGTCAGTGGACAGTCATGAGCCGCGGAATTCAGGGACTCACGATCTGCATGACGTGCTCGTCGACGTCGGCTGCGGGGACGCCGCTGTATCTCACCAGGAGGTCGCGGAACGCATCTGGGACCACCACGGTCTCGTCGAACCAGAGCTTGCTCCGCTCGGCGGTGGCTGCCGGAGGTTGCCATGCTTTGGGCCCGGCATCATCATCCGCGGGCGGCCTCGATGCCATTATTTCAGACCGGTCTTGATGTATCAAGGCGGATGTTTAAATTTCGAATGTTTGCCGCAACTTCAGGAGGTCCTATTTGGATAGGACATGACAGCTGTGACAGGATAATCATGATGTACGAAGTCCCCGTTGACTTTAGCGTATGCATGACGACCACATCAGGGTGCCGGGATCCTGCCCGATGTTACAATAGGGTCACGGCATTCTCGAATGGGTTGAGCTACTATTTGCAAGTAAATAGGCGCCATACTGCCAGTGCCGTTCGATTTCTATATGGTCTGTGGCCATATTAGGGCAAACATACCGTACCGGGAAAATAGGGGCTTTGGCAATAGTTCCTTACTAGAATTAACGGTTATATCTATAGTAATAATTCCTTTTTTAGTAATAGATAATCTTTAACTTCTAATTAATTAACTAAATAGATTTCTTCCTACTTTAAGATTAAGACTATTTAAGAAGGAATTACTTTATAAGTCTTCCTTATATATAGATAAGCTTAATATAAGAAGAAAGCTAGTTTTAAGTTTATCCCTCTATGTACTTTTTGATTCCCTACTTCTTCTCCTTCTTTATAGGTAACGATATAAAGATTCTATAGTATGCCTTCCTCCTACTCTCTTTCCTTACCTCCCTCCTTACCTCCCTCCTTACCTCCCTCCTTACCTACCTCCTTACCTCCCTCCTTACCTCCCTCCTTACCTCCCTCCTTACCTCCCTCCTTACCTCCTTCCTTACCTCCTTGCTTACTACTAGAGAGTTAATCAGAAGCTAGTATTCAGAGGAGGAACCGTTGCCTCTCGGGGAACCGTCAATTCTGGGGCTTTGATTGGGCCCCCTAGGCAACCGTTGCCAAAGCCCATAGAACAACGGTACGGTAGGAGGCTCCCGAAGTCAAAGGAAATCACAAGGTTAATAGAAGCTCGTCCAATGCTAATGTGAAATTCAGTAATGTAAGTATCACGCATAATAATGATAGGTACCTGGGGACAAGAGTGGCAGCAAAGAATTAATGAATCTTCATGACTTTCGGAAACGCCATGAGGTACAATTGGGCACTGGGACCATTTTCCAGGTGATATTTCCACATTAGGCGAGTTCTCCCATGACTGCTGCCTTCGTCGCCTTGACTACCAAGCCAGGAGTCCTGCCCTGTGCCGGCTTCGTTAGTCAGGTTGACTGGTAACGTAGTGTGAAGCTGTGGTGGCGATGTCTGAGCTAAATCAGCTACGGAAAGGTTCAATGTTGTTGATGAGAAGTTCTAGACAGTATTACCTACAGTTGAGTTTACCCTCGCGAACTAGGCTGAAGTATTCCAAAATGTAGTCCATCTCGCACTGTTTGATTCTAGACTGGAAGTTGAACAGGCGCTTCGCCGCTGCTCTGGTTCCAGTCTCAGCACTTTGCACCACAGATTTCTAGATGAATACGGCCTTCAGACTCACTCGCTAATCTCCTGATACACACATTCCCGGGTCGATCCACTGGTAACAGTTGCGGCTAGGTCCTCTCCAGAGAAGAGACTGGGGCCAGTCACGGCCATCATCTGACGAAAGTGGCGGTCGTCAAAACCATGCTCGCCTCGTCCGGTCAGGACGTGAGCGGCAAGAGAAGCAACACTCTGCAAGCCTTGTGAGCACATGTGATGTGTCGGTTTATAGTAGAGAATCAAGTGCTTACAGGAAGCGCAACGGGGGCAAACTTATTATGCCTCAGGCCAAGAGGCAGAGTCAAAAAGCCATCGTTGCGAGCATGAATTATGCATTGCAGTAGGTGGTCGATACAAAGGGCAGCCCTGTAGAATTTGAGCTTACAGTCAACAGTGTTGGTTTCGGAAATGGCGCCATCACCCACCGAATCACACAAGGTGAGTGATTAAGACCGAACTGGCCAATCTCTGACAAGACAGCAGTCTCCATCTCTAGGAACTCTCGCATACGCGGCTGCTTCTCCTTGGTGGCGTATTCGGCGCCAACAGAGCTGATCAGCAGGAGATTCCGCACGCCGGCCGTCTTGGCGGCTGTGACAAGCTCCAGTGTGAGGTCGAGCTTGTCCTCGTGAACTGGAGGCACCACGCAGATCGTGTCGCAACCCATCACAGTCAGGTCGTTCACAAGGCGCCTCCCATCACCGGGAACGTGTTGGTAAACTCTGACTCCGTCATGCTGGAGCTGCTGGGCCTCGGCGGATGAGGTCCGCAGGGCTAGGCCACTGAGGAGGAGAAATTTCTGGCTTCAAGTGCGGGTAAGTGTCAGCGATGGGCGTACCATTGGAATCTGGAGCAATTTACCGGAACTTTTCTTGACTGTGGAGGTGCTGCGCGATGCAAAAGCCGGCCAGGTCGTCCACTGCGGTGATGCAGATGCTACGCATGTCATCCATGATGAAAATGACTTCCTAGGTAAATTCGAAGAAAGACCACGTTTGCTTGTTTGCCTGTTGGAAGAAAAGTGAGGATCGTGATGACTGGAAATTACGTGGAGCTGCGCAGAGCTTTACGATGTAAGACTTCTGGATACAGTGTTCTGAAACCAAACCTGAAATTGAATCTGAACCTCTGGATATGTTTTGATCTCGGTAATTGAAAGACGAAGATGGGGGCCTTGAACTTCAAATGTTGACAGAAGTAAATTAGGAGGAGCGAGGGAGACGGAAGGGCAGCACTTCTTCTCCCAAACAGAGGATCAGGTACATATTGTCTTCAAGATCGCTGTTTCCTCCACAAGTGCGTTTTCCTCCCACGGGTCAGTTCCTTCTACAACTTAAATTCCGCATAGAAGGTACCTAGGTAAGTACCTAGGTAGTTGTTCACTTCAGAAAGAGGAAACTACCTAAGTACCTAGGTATCCACATGTACGCTTTTAAGACGCACTCGCAAATGGGGGATATTGGGATTGGGTCGGTAGTCACCATGATCGTCTCTTGATCACCTCAGCAGGAACGGTCATTTTTTAGTGCAGCAAAGTACGTGTAGACGAGAGTAGGGCTTTACAGGTCTTTATATATATCCCATCAAACAACCTCCCGTCAGACAACCTCCTATCAGACAACCTCTTAAAGGACAACCTCATAAAGGACAACCTCCTATCAAACAACCTCCTATCAGACAACCTCCCATTACCACAACACCACTCACTCTCACCCAATACCTCCCATACTCCTACCTCCTAATAAGTTAATTAAAAGGGAGAGTAAATTAGAGAAGAGGGAGGGCAACCATAAGAGCACCCACATTAGCAAAGGGGGCAGGAGGTAGGCATAAACCTAAAGCAATAAGATAACAACCACACCTAGTAAGTCGATATTAAATTACAACTAGGAAGCAGTATAAGCTATCCTACTCTACTAACGTCGGAAGGTAGCCTAATAAATGTATAGTTTTGGCGACTTTGAATCAAGTACATCAATCAGCTTCTCAAAACGACATTACAAGTGCGAACAGAATTGGGCAGTCCAATTATCAAGGAATTGTCCAATCCCAAATCATCCTAATGATCACCTGCAGCCATTCAAACGGAGGTTGGATGTGGTATCTTTGAACAGCGCAAAAACCACTCTCCTTCCTAAAGTTCCGCACCATTTCCACCGCAGCACGGTCATGCTCGGGCAGGACCTGATATTACAACTACTTAAGTACCTTGCGGCTCCTCACGGGTGGTTGGCACTTGTTCTAGATCTCAGTCCGCTCAGATCCGAAGGCCACAGGAGAACTTGGAAGGACCGGGCGAAATGAACTTGGTTCAAAGTCCATGGGCCTGGAGTTCCTTGATGTAATTTTACACGATCGCAAAGAAGCTACCTTATAAAGATCAATTGATGTACTGCAACCACTTGACAGGACCACCGATTCTGTTGTTCCGATGATGCAAGTTTGAGGGACGCTCAACTGATCCTGGAACTGGTCACACAACATTATCAATCATATCAAGTAGACAGTGAGTGTACCGGTCTCAGTATGATCAATACTGCCGGGGAGACTGACAAAAGAAATAGATGTAGAGTAGAGATTTAGTTCTATCAAGCCCCTCACTCCCATTTGATGCTTAATAGATTTGGATGCCCTTGCGTGCCCTTGCGTTCCCTATGCGCATAGGAAGAACCGCCTTATAATAAACCTTCATGTCAATCCCGCTGAATATGACCATGATCGGTGATGAATATAATCTCAACATCGTTTTCTCCTAAATTCTCATCTTTGCGTCGTTATTATTCCAAGCCTTTATCTGAGCAGTGCATAAAACTCATAACAATTAGAAACATAATTAGAACCCAGCCACTAAGCGTCTATGTGGTACGAGCAGATGACGATCACTTATGCCCTTCCACGCCGCATGTTTGGTATAATGCAAACTTAACGAGACAGCGGGTGCGGAAGAGCTACTGGATCTAGGCCAGTCACCTGCCGAGACCTGTATGAAAGCTGCCCCGTGAAATCCCCAGGGTGCCTGACGGCGATCTTCGTTATCACTGATGGCTGCCGAGGTGCTCACGTGGCAGGCGTGCATACAAATAGACACATGCAGGAGACAGAAACAAAGATATCCCTCGCTACCGTATTTACCGCCCTTCCAAAAAAGCAAAACGACAAAACCTTCACAAGCCGACAAAACCTTGCCGTTCTCGCGGCGGGTGTGTGGCGGCCGGACGATTGCCTCCGAAGCCTCGGCGCAGCCGGACGTATGCTTTAGGACGGCACGTCCGGCCTGCATATTGTCGAGCCGGGGGAGCCTGAGATTCAACTACTACAGTCCTGAACACTTTTTGAGTCCGAAAATTTTGATACTTCTGGGGGTTTTCCTTTTTGCTTCTTCTTCCTCTGAACCCGTTGCGGCAGTCCGTGTTTCCCGTCGTGCATATGTGAGAAATGGGGTTCCAAGATTGCGATGAATCAGCGTCCCGAGGTCCCTTCTCAACTGCCGGGACGGCGGCTGTCATCGATTATTATGCGTGGGGCCCGACCTCGTCTGGTCTACACCCGTCCTGCCAAACGCCCCGCGTCATCATGCACAGGCAGTCTCAACTCCTTCCCTCCCGCGTTTGCGATAGTCCGGTCTCCAGCCGGGTGCAAAAGAACGGATAGCCCTAAATGTGGCTCATGCTCTTTTTCTCTCTGTCTCTCGACTGTCGTGTTTAATTACTGCATCCAGCAGCTGGTCCGATCTCTCCAAACACCGATTGCTGAGGGACTATTGAAATTATGCCGCGATTGGCCGCCACTTTTCAACAATGCCATCTTCCGATCGATGGAAAAGAGGGAGATTCACATGTAGCAACGGTGCTGGGCCCCCCTGAGGCGTGCATTTTGTCGCTGAGGCGTTTTCTCGCCGGAATACTACTGTAGAGATGCCCTCCCGTGGTTTCTGCCTCGTCCAGTCAGCCAGTGACGCACGACGATGTCGATATCCCCAGTCGGCCTTGCCAATAAACCGTTGAAGAAATCACCCAGGTGGCTATGTGTTCCTCCCTAGAGTTGCAGGCGGGAAGGGGAGCGATCGTCCCAGTGCCGTCTTAAGAACTACCGGCGGCATGGCGTGACGAGATCGGCGCCGGGCAGCTGGGTATTTGCAGACCCGCTCCCCCCAACCAAGGCGTGTTTCAATATCCCGTGCAGGATATCGAAACAGAAATCTGCACCCTCCACTTCCCGCCTTTCCCTCTTGGGAAGGTCTTTGGTCCGCGGTTTCTGAGCTCCTAGTGTACCATACTTCCACTCAGAGCGGTGCGAGAGTTCATCTCGGAGTTTTCGGGGTCTCGAATCTCGCTCAGGAACCCAGCCACCCCTAGTTCGCAGAGCCGTCCGGACTTTCCGAGCAGGCACGCGACAGCCTGGGCATGGCTTGTAGCTGAGGGGACAGACGCACTGTGCTGAGGCAATTGGAATCGTTAGAGATGGCCACACGTGCTTAGTCGAGGAGTGCGGTGCGCTCGGGAGACTGACTCATTGGCTCACAAGTCACATGCGGTCCTCCGAGGCAGAGAGGAATTCCAGCATGAGGCAGTGGCCAAGGCTATCTGTAGACCTACTAGTACGTCACTGAAAGCAAGTCTATATTTGTAAAAGGCTTGAATGTTCCGGCTGGCTGGCGAATAACATCGTATGCTTGAATGGTGAGCTCAGCTGTTGAGAGGAGCCACGGAAATGTGTGCTATTCCTTGTCTTTGTTATCATGGTGTTCCTAGGAAACTGTAAGAAAGGGATGGCAAGATTCAAGCCACGAATCGGAGGCCTCATAGCGATTGATGAATTACTCAACATTTATTTTTTAAATAGTATGGTTCATACCCTAGACACAGAGCAGCAAGTCTGCTCAAGTGAAATGAGTGGTGACGCGGCAAGTTGGAACTCAACCATCCAAAGGCTCAGAACAATGAATCAGTCGATGCATGAGTATTCCACAAGACTTACCACACCACATTAGAGACATCTAGACCTGGCGGTACAAGAAAATTCGACGCTTAGCGAAGTGCTAATGTGTCGATCATGGTTCTGTGCTATTTCCGTATTTTGTGTCAACACTTTTTACCCTTGCACTCCACATGCATAGGTAGCGAGATTGTGATCTGCGCACTTCAAGGCTTGCATTTCCTTTCAATTATGCCGCAACATTGCGACGGGGAGTTAAGAACTAACTAACTCTTGTTCAGCCCTGGAAATGGACTTTGCCGTGTCATCGCAATTTTTGGGACAGGCGTGTGGAACTCTGTTGCACAACCCCTACAAACCCCAGATGGGAATTTTGGCGATGCTTCATTCACAAGACGGGTTGGACCAACCTCCGCCGGCGACGGTGCATCCCGGGCCAGTTGCTGGGGCTGCTAAACGCAAAGTGCATCGAGCAGGAGAAAGACACAACATCAGGCTTAAGATGAAAGCTGCCCAAATCTATCTACTACAGCGGCCTGGTGGATGAGCGGGTTATCCTCGGCACCTCTCTGGAATACAACCTGCTGAGACACGGGGTGGACCATATAGAGCGGCGCTGTATCCCGTGTCCGAAAGTGTCCCGTTTTGTTTCCGAGTGCGCCGAACACATTGGTGTATCTGAGATTGCTCCGCCATCCTCGATGCACATCTATGTGACGGGGCTGGGATCAGTAGCACATCGCATCTCCCGAACAGACGGTTGGCTGTGCGTGCCTTGCGTGCGTGCATTGCGTGCGTGCGATGGCCAACAGTATGTTCGGACGCACCCACGCCTCACACCTCAGCCGACTCCTGCTGTGTGTGTGTGTGTGTGTGTGCTGTACGTAGTATTGCAAGGGCCTCAGTTCAGGCAGGACAGACCGGTGTGACCCTCGGCCGACAAATCGCAACAACTCGATACCTCGTACGTAGCAGCGGGAGTCATTACCATGTGTGTGTGGTATGCCCGTGTCAGTCCCATGTGGAAGGGGCCGCACGTGAGCGCATGACGAGGCCATCCCAATGCAAGACCAAGACGCCCTTACTCAGCCCGCACGGCTTCATCTAGAAGAAGTATTCAGCATGCGACGGAGAATAAAATCCTTGGCACCCGTTGAGCCAGCCCAACTACTTTGAATCCCCCCTGTGCCACCGGTGGTACACCCAAGGTCGGCGAGGGACCGAGAGAAGGTTCCCGCCAGGCGGCCAGTCAGCAACAGCAAAACCCAGGCTGGCGTGAATAGAGTTCGCAGCTGGGACGCGAGGGTCTCGGTTCTGCTGCACATGCATATGCACAGGCAGGGGTTCCGGGCCCAGCTGGAGCCGTCAGAAGCGACAGTTAAAATCCTGGGCGAGTTATGGTGTCACACTAAAAAGGGTTGGGACGAAAGAGTGCTTCGATGAGGGGGGAGGGCACAGATCGAAGCGGTCAAAAAGACTCAAACCACAAGTCATGAGGTGCCCACAGGCCTCCCTCGTGAGCGTGCATATGCACGTGCTTGTGTCTGCCAGCTGTCAGACTCACATACACACGTACTGCCACGAGGGGACTCGGACTCCGTTCCCTCGTCTGGCTGTAATTCTACGCATGTCGTATATGAGGACGGACGGAAGCTAGCGACGGCAGCCCCGCAGAGAGAATAGAATATGCTCCTGGTAATATATCGAACTGCCGGCTATGCAGAGACATGACATATAAGCCTGCTGTATAGAGATCAAACGCAACAGCAGCACGCCGACAGCCGTTGACGCTTGAGAACCAAGGGCAGGCATAATAACAAGTCCCCGAATAGCGTAACTCAGTCTAGACCTTACCCGTCAAGCCTTACCTGTCGGGTAATTTTGCCAGGGCGGCAACGCAGACTCCCTGTCTTAGGCATGGGAGCATGCGGCATAATAGTCGTCCTAGTGAGGATCACCTTGTCGCAAGTGGCACTACCACATGCTCGAGATCCCAGACAGGCGGGAAGAACCCCCTAGTGCGGTAATAAGGTTCAACGAACGAGACCAGTGTGCGTGAACCTGTCCCTTGACAATGCCATGCTACGCTTAGGTGTGTCGTCTGGCCTAGTGCCCGCCGAGATAGCGGATTGAGGCGTGTAGCAAGTTAAGCGCATGCCGCGCCGGTCGGGCGGGCGTGCGTTCATGGCGGGGAGGTTTGTCGGGTAGCGCAGTAAGGCGCGTTTGATCTCCACCTGGGCAGACAAACAATACCACAGCAATGGCACTGCCTCATCTCCCGAGAGCACTGGCCGACGGGTATAATGGGGGGCCCCTAGGAGGTTCACGAGTGGGGCTGGCTGCTCATGTTGGATGGCCATTCGCTGGACGTAACAAGTGGCGTCGACCAAGAGTCCGAGGGTCGTCGTTCGCCGGTCCGCCCCCTGCAAGACCATGCTGAAGATCAGCGCAAAAGGGCTGCGAACAGATACAGATCGCGATGGTAAGGCTCGCGCTTATGCAAAGGCTCTGCGGCATCAGGGCGTGCGCTGATGATGCGAAGGGGGCGAACAAGCGACCGCTGATAGTTTCCGAGGGGCCCGGGAAGACGAGTCCAGGTTCAGGCGAGCATCAGAACCGTTTCCACTGTGAATTGTGTGTGAGCGTGTGTGAGCGTGTGTGAGCATGTGTGGGAGTGGGGGGATTCTGGGTTTTTTGTTCTTGTGGTACCATCTCGATTGGCCTCATGCAGACCAGCTGGGCATTTCTGGTAGAGATTTCGCTACCGGAAAGCTAGAATGTTTTGCACGCTGCCAGACTGCCCCGGGGCCAGATCAGCCCTTGTGCCGGGCGGGCGACTGCAGATCATAATATGACGCGGCCCAAGTCTCGAGGCTCAACCTTGAGCCCTTCAATAAGATTGATTTTGCAAGCTGGGCACAATAGTCCAAGCTCCAGGAGCATGGGATATTGCCAAATTCCCATCCGGCGAGTTCTGTAATTGCATTTCTGACTTTAGAATTCCAATTCCACACATGCGCAGGAGGGCGAGAGGATGGTGTGAGGGAACATTCGAAGCCTGAGCCTATTGCGTGGTGGTCGGGTGGTCCTGTCCGCAGGCCCAATGGCAGTCCTTGGATGCCGACCTCTGCTGCCGGGTCTGCTGGTGTCGAGTGTGTCACCGTGTGTGTCTGTGCCTGGGCACTGCATAGACGCCGAGGCAGCGAGGATCAAGCGGGCTGGCGGGCTGGCGGCTCAGCGACCGGGGAAGTGGTAACAGCCTGCCAGACAGCGTCAGCGTGTTCCCAAGCACCAGGTTCACGAGGTCGCCATGTGTCGTGCAACGGCTGCACCCTGAAGGGACGCAAGGGGACGCAAGGGGACGCAAGGGGACACGGCAGGGCAGCATGGGCGCCGAGGTCGGGTGCGAACAGACTGGTCCAAACAATCGGTCCCAGCGAGCAGGTCGAGACGACGAGTAGGAACTGTCGTCGTTGTGGTCCCAACGGTGCCGGCGTCCTTGGCTGTGACGGATAAGTTGCCAGGCCACCTTGGCCATCCTTAAAATGGCCGGTCGACGGTGACATCGTCGACAGGAAGGGCAGACGGGCCTGAAGGGGTAGACCGTAGGACAGAAGGGGCAGGAGGGAAAAGTTGGTCATTACATCAAGGACACTCACTAGGCAGGGGAGATGCAAGGGCAGAGCAGGGGAGGAGCAGGGGAGGAGCAAGGGAGGAGCTGGGGAGGCAGGGGCGGCTGACAGGGGAGGGATTGGGCAGCCCCACGTTTGATAGCGGTTTGAGAGGTTCGAATAAGCTTTGGCAGGGATCCACGCTCTTCTGCTGCCAACCTTGTTTTGCGGGTCGGGGCTCGATGGAGCCGCAACCACCTGAAATTTTCCTCTCATTTTTTCATTTCTGAGGCGGGGCTCAGTCAGCGCCTGACCTGACGTGATTTGACAGCCAGGACAGCACGGACACACCCGCTTCGTCCAAACCTCGTCCCCTAGACCTCGTCCCCTCCACAAGGCCCGCCAGTCATGAGCTCGTCTGATGGCAAGTCTGGTACGCCCAGGCGGGGGGCGTTTGCGAGGCAGAGCTGGGCTGGGCTGGCTGGGTGACAGGCTGACAGGCTGACTGGCTGAGCAGCACAGAGCCCAGCTACCACAGCTGAACACGCCCGTGCCCTCGATGCCCGCGATTCCCCTCGAGTTCGACACGGGCATCCCTGGCCCACGAGGCGACGGCCTTAGCCAGCCTCTCGGGTACATCGCTCGCTCACTCGTTCGCTCCTTCGCTCCTTTGCCTCGCCAGCCCGCCAGCCCGCCAGCCCGCCAGCCCGCCAGGCCCTTCACCGCAGAACGAAGCCCACATGTGCAGCCCAGCCCAGCCCAGCCCAGCCCAGCATGTGCCGAGGAAAGGGGGGAGATTGAAATGTCGCCCACCTGCCCGGCCAAGCCTTCCAGCCCCCACGCCGACCGTCAGCTACCCACAGCTCGGGCGCTCGAGGGCCCCAGCGCCCCACGACGGCGGTGGCAGGTGGGCCGGCAGGTGGGCCGGCAGCCTCGTGTGCCACCACATGCCACATGGGTGGTGGAGCCCTCAGTTCCCGATCAGGGTCACCGCGCCTCTCGATGCCCGTCGTGACGAGTCGATCAGAGCGCGCATAGGGCACTCGCCCCGCCTCGCCAGGAGTCATGCAACTGGTCGTGGCCGCGCCAGAGTGTCGATGGTGGGACTGCAGGAGTAGCACACTAATGAGGGGCAAGGAAACGAACTGCCGCTGCTGCGCGATGCTGCTATAGCCCATAGTGCAATGTCGAAACAATTAGTGGGCCTGGGGAAGAGTCCCACAGCCAAGGCTAAGGGCCAAGGCAGAGAGCCACCTCGGGGCTGCTCGGGCGACCGCAGTGGACGACTTGTCCGGACTGCTCGCGGACCACACCGAGCCATCGTGACAACGTCGCTTGTTGCGTTGCCTTCACAACCCAGGCAAAGATCTCGTCACACAGTCCTGTGTAGGCACAACGTCTCGGCCCGCGGCTTTGGTCGTCACAGATCTCACATGAGCCGGGCGGCTAGTTCTCGGGAAATAATAAGCATACATTGATTTGGAAGTCCCATGCTAGCTTCACGCGCGGAACAGCCACACGGCTTGAACTCTAGCACGGCAGAGGGCGGAAAAGGTTCATGGTGGTGACAAGGGATCTCCACGGCCAGCCAGCGCTCACCTTGGGCTCGACTTCATCGCCGTATGGGACTCTGTGATGAAACCACAAACAACAGACTTTACACAGTACCTATGCGAGCCCGCCCTCGGCTCCTCGCGATAGGCCGGTGAGGGCCCTGGCCACCGAGGAGAGCGAGGTTGCACCTGTTTCAGGACCCCTGGTGCCAAAGGTCAATAAGGTTCACCCCTGGAGCCGCGCCTAAGCCGACATGTCCGTCCGTTGTCGAATGAACGGTCTTGGCTCATAAGAAACGAAATCGAAACTTTACTACCCATCGCCTATTCCTCCTTGAGCGGCCAGTGCCAGGCATACTCTGATGGGTTGCCGTAAGCGACTTCGTCGGACGTCAAAGTCTGAGGGTATACATCCCTCCATCTCCATAGTGCTGCTGCTAATGCTGCTTAACATCCTGCCTCTGTCCGTCCCACTTGGGCACTCAATACAACCATACCGAGATACTGGCAGAAAACGTTCACTAGCTTTCGGGTCGAGGCTGCCGACTCGACAAGGTTCAGCGGCCACACTCAGCCAGCCTGCAAGTCATCATCTTGCTTAAAATGAAGTAAAAGCCCAACTTCTCTTCTCCGGCCAATCCTGTCCTGTCCACCAACAACACACCGAATGACCACAGGCGCGTGATCCCCATACAAATCACCCGGTGGTTCTCACCACCCCCTCACTCGACTGTCCCCATACCAGCACGCCTCATTGAAGGCGAGGAAACGAACAGCCCAGCATGGCCAAGGGACTCGAGATGACCAACACGGAGCGGGCTCTGTTCGACTGGGAGTCGACCGTCGACAGCATCAACAAGGAATCCATCGCAGGCCCTTCGCAGGCGGAGACGTCTTCTTCCACTCGCTCAAAGCGTCAGTCCATGGACATCGCCGGCAGTGTCTACCTGATCGCTTCCGACGGCCGCCTGCTCAGTCTGCCCATCCCGAGCCAGTCTCCCTCCGACCCTCTCAACTTTGAGAAGAGGCGACGGCTGTTTATCTTTCTGGCCTTGATGATCCACTCCTCCGTCTGCATGTTCTCTATTCAGTCCCCTGGGAATTTATACGCCGCCTTCCTCAACAACTTCACCAAGGAGGTATGGGATTTCCGGGAACCAAAAATCAGGCTCTCCACGATGGCAGCTAATGAGATTCTAGGATATGGCTCCGTTCTCAGTCGAGACCCTCTCCGGTAGCCCTACACTGATGATGGGACTGAGCTTCTTCTTCTGGATCCCATGCTCGGTGGCTTTCGGCAGGCGACCGCTCATCATCCTGTCCACTATTCTCATGTCCATCGGGACCTTGTGGGCTGGCTTTACCAACAACTACCACCAGCTGCTCGGGGGCATATGCCTCACGGGCCTGGCCGGCGGTGCCACCCTCAGCGTCGTATGTCATCTTAAACATTGAAGAACGATGCAATAACACCAACTAACCCGGTCTCACAGTCAATACTTCAAATCATCGACCTGACATTCATCCATGAACGTCCATTCGCCATCGCCACCTTCTGGTGCGTAGGCGGCGGCCTGCCACTGGTCCTCCTCGCCAACATGCCCCTGATGGTCGACGTCAAGACGGACTTCCACAGCGTGTACAGGGGCCTCGCCATACCCAGCATAATCATGCTCTTTGTCATCTTCTTCTTCGTCCCGGAGACATACTTCCTCCGCCCGCCCGTCGCCTTCGACGGCCGCGTCCTGGTCCAGAGCGGCACGGAAAAGGTCAGGATGTACGAGGAGTGGTGGGACGTCCCCGGCGGCGACAACCGCTCCATCCAGGCCATGGAGAGCGGCCTCCCGAGCCTGGACGACCTTCCTGTGCACACCTGGCGCGTGACCCCGCTGCGCATCTGGAAGCGGTCCATCTGCGAGCCCCGCGCCGCCGCCGCCAGCTTCGTCCAGATCTTCCTCTGCGTCGCCAACCCCCTCGTCTTCTGGGTCACCCTGCTCAACGCCATCAACTTTGCGGGCATGATGTCCATCGGCATGGGGTTCCCCGTCCGCATGGCCGAGGCCCCCTACTTCCTCCCGCCCCAGGCCGTCTCCCGCGTCAACTTCACCGCCGCCGCCGGCAGCTTCCTCGCCCTCCCGGCGTCGTGCTACCTGCTCAACAACGTCATGAAGCGCCTGACCCTGCGGAACAAGGGCATCCGCCACGCCGAGTTCTACCTGCCCGCCTTCGTCCTCCCCATCGTCAGCGGCGCCCTCAGCGTCTTCATCTACGGCTTCGCGGCCGCCGACAATTGGCACCCGGCCTGGTACCACGTCGCCTACGGCCTCAACGCCTTCAGCTATGCCTCCGCCAGCGTCGTCAACACCATCTGGGTCGTCGAGTCCCTGCCGCAGTGGGCCGCCGCCGGCATCGCCGTCGTCGGCGGCATCAGCTACGTCGCCAGCTACGGCATCACCGCCGTGCTCCCCATGTGGAACGCCGCCGCCGGCTACGTCGCCGTCAACTCTGCCATCGGCATCGCCATCATCAGCGTCGGCCTCTTCGCGATCCCGATTGCCTTTTGGGGCAAGAGCGTGCGCCAGTTCATCAACGGGCGGTTCTCTGCCTACGAGGGCGGCGCCGTGAGGCCGCAGTGAGTGTGTACATGAGACTCAAAGAAGGAAGTCCACACAAAGATATCTACAGCGGCTCCAGGGGAGGCAGGCGCGCAGATAAGGAGGATAGAGATCGATTCATTTCTCCTCTTCTGTCAAGGTTATACAGAACAAACTGGGAACAGGGGACAGGACTGGGCCGGGAGGTTTCAAACAATTTGTCAAATGGGAATTTCTTTTTTTATCAGCGATGGAAAAACCTGGCCAGGTGTATCCTGTGGTGTTGGGGCTGGGAGGGTGGAATTGGTTTCCTATGTAATAACCTACCTACCTACCTACTTTACTTACCTTACTACTACTACAACAACAATAAGCTTCACAGCAGGATCTGTATTGCTGTGCATGATACTTAATTGTTAACTACTATTCTCTCACTAAAGACCCGGAGTGATGCGTGCTGCCCCTGTCTTGTGATACACCATTGTGCTTGGTCTGATAGCAAGTAAGCCCAGAGCACAGTGGCACCTGGGCCTCCGCATGGCTGACTGGCCGTCTTCCAATCGAATACACAGTCTCCTACGCGTCTCAAGGCCCCCAGGCACCTGTGGCAGCGGGCTTTGATCGCACGGGCATGTAGCCCCGGCCTGCCCTTCTAGTATCATGACGGAACGAGCCGGAGGGCGCCTAGACGCTGATCCCAAACGTCCCTCACAAGTGTCTTCGAATTACTGCCGAGAGCCGCGGAGAGTTTTCTACGGTCTCAAAGTAGAGTGAGGCTAGTGGCCATATTCAATCTGACTGGCGTTTGTGGTTTTGGGAAGTGGGAATTCGCGCACGTGCTGCTGTGGGTATCGATGGGGTACAATGGGGCCAGCCCATGCATGAGGCCCATGTTGTGGAGAAGTGGGCTGCCAAGTCTCCCAACGTCATGTCATGGCCAGCGGCCACGGGCAGCATAGCGTCTGGGATGATCACACGCGCATCAATAAATCCACCACCGCAGCTTTCCCGGTTTGAAAAGTTTTCGGGCAGTTTCGCTATGATTGTTGAAGGTTTGTGGTAGCATGGGGATGCTTGGAAACGAACTAGCATAAAAGGAAGGCCCTCTAGCACCAGGTCCAAGGTTTGTCGGGAATAACACTTCTAGTCATTGTGACACATATGTTTGTGATTGCTTTGAAGAGTCAAGGGTTGGTTCAACAGGCCCTCGAATTTGCCGTCTTAAGACTCCGAGATACTGTAGAAAGGAGGAACTTTCCTATTATCTCTAGTCGATCCCTTACTCCGTTGGAGACCCCGAGCATGTTTCTCTGAGCATGGCCGTCAACTTCTTTCTATCTAGATTTGCTGGTAGCATCAATCATTGTTGATCTATGCGAAATATTCGAAAAAGAGAAAGAAATCATGTTGAAGCGCCTTTCTGGTAGGTTGTTTCTGTGTCGAGATGCATCGGCGTGCTGATGCAGACGTGTCGGTGTGGAGCGACACGTCTTGCGGACAACATCGAAGCTGGCCATTTTTGAATAATTAGAAAATACAAAAACTGTGAAACTCCTGGGATTCGAACCCATGAACCCTCCGAGTTGGGAGAGTGTGATGGCTACGACTGGTGAAATGTGAGGGAGTGACAAGGAGGGCTGGGGAACCTCTGACAGCCTCGCAATGTGTGCGATGCTTGTGAGCGAAGGAAATGGGTACTGGGATTGCGGCCTGTTCTCGTCTTGGGAGGATACTAGGGCTTCTGTTGCTGCTTACCAGTCAGTCGCCTCTGCTGTATCTCAGTGCAGGCTGCCAGCCTCAGTCGACGTTTGCGTGCCATATGGCGGTGGCACCGGGGGGGGGGGGGGCAAGGGGGAGCTGTGCTATGCCCAGCTCGACTGGGGTTTATAGGTTGGCAGGTTCAATTGATTGTATCGAAGCTCAACATGGAGGGATGGCGCAGTTGGAATGGCGATAGATTTCAAATCTAGGAAATTCCTTCTAGACCGGCCGCTCTGGTGTCACTTACTTGCTACAAGTAACTGGATCATCGTTGGGTAAAGGCTCTTTTTTTTCTCTTTTTTCTATATGTTTACTTCTCCTATGGTCTTCTTCCATTTGTCAATGTCACACTGCTATGGAAGAGAAGATTGGCCACTTCGAGGTTGAAGGCCGAGTATTATTTTTTCTCCCCCCCCCCTCTTGGAAACTGTCGACTTGTGTCTTGGAGGTTGGATCAAAGGAGTATAGTGGGTTCGATCACTGCTTACACCAAATGTCAGGACCATCAATTGAGACACTGTTGATCCGCGTAGGAGCCGTTTTACTGAAGCGTTTGCAAGCCAGGTGTTTTCAAGCCACCCTGGCAGTCAGATTCGTACACATCCCGAAAAGGTGCCTCTGAATGAACCATGTCACTGACCTTGGACTTCACTATTCCCATTCCAAAGCATTGACCAGAGCTGCAGCCCCACCCAGACCTCCTTCGACAACACTCCCAGTTCTCGCGTTCCCTTGCCATTGCAACACCACACAACTTCTTGCAAAGCACCACACCATGGCTGTTCTCGTGGACGCATCCACGATGGACTCCGTCGACAGTGCCCTGCGTCTGTCAGGCCTCATTTTCCCCTCCGACAGGCCCGTTCTTGGAAAGAACAATGCTGACTTGATGCTCGCTCTCGGAGCCATCAACCCCCAACGTCATCGCGCAAACGAACAGATCGCTGTCGTCCGCCGCCTCTGCGTCCTGTTTGAGGCCGCTATCAGAACATACAGCGACAGCCTAGCCATCGACTTGAACAGCGACAGACTAGTCGTCGACTTGAACAGCGACGGCTTCTACAACGACATACTCAGAAGCATCTACGACGAACATCACGAGATGTGCAAGTACCTCACAACCAGCTCCCTTCGCCTCGCCCTCGAGATCTATGTCAAGGCGTTCGCGCGCAGTGGCTGGAAGCGCATCAGGAAGAACACCGACACAATCATGCCCTACAATGATGAGTATAGCGAGGACTGTCTCGAGATCCTGGAGCCCATCCAGCCAGTCGCCGATCGCGTCAAGCTGGAGAGGCTTGTCAAGGAGTGGATGATAATTCGCGGAAATGCGCGACGCGCCGGTATCACGGACAACAATCACGTCTTCCACCTCTTCAAGGACGTCGAGTTCCCCCGACAGAGCCCCGACGAGACCCTCAACGCATACATGCTGCGCCTACAGCTCACGTTCCGGCTGCTCAATCAGGCGAGACACTCAGAGACCGACATGATTTCCTATGTTGCCGAGCAGAGGGGCGAGCGGATGGACAGGGTGTTCGAGCAGAACGAGCGGCTCGAGAAGATCTCGGATCAGAGGCTCCAGCGGATCGACGAGCAGTCCCGCGAGATCGAGGAGTACAAGGGACGTCTCAGAAACATGCGAAAGGACGTCGACGAGCGGGCCGACTTGCGTGATGACTGCGACAAGTTGGTCGGCGTGCTCAACGAGCTCAACGACAAGCTCACCGAGGCCACCGAGATGCAGGCCAGGATCATGGAGTTTGAGATCGACGCGGCCTACGGACAGGACGACACCAATGATAAGCTGCACGAGGTTGTGAGGGGACAGAAGGAAATTCGCGACACGCAAAACGAGGTTGGCCAGGAGGTGCGCAGGAACACCCTGACGCAGGGCTCTGTCGCCGACGGCCAAGACGGCGTGACTCGTAGGCAGACTGAGCTCATGGCCATGCAGACTGCGGTCATGGAGAGTGTGCGTGAGATGCTGAATAAATACCAGTAGGACCAGGTCCTCGGTCAACGTTCAGCGGGATGGAGCAGCTGCAGAGCACCTATTGGATGGGTTCTTGTGAGCACTTGAGACGACCTTCAATGAGATATGATATTATGTCATAACCTCCCCTGTGATATTTTCCTACGTGAAGACCTGCCACGTGATAGCTAGCCCCTTATGGGCTTTACCCCATCTTCGTATGGGATAACTTGTATGAGATCATTTCCTATGTGGCAGCCTCTTAGAAGACAATATTTTATAGGGGCCATCGTACAGAATACCCTCCTGGGAGGGATACCCTCTCTAGCCGATTACTAGGCATCCTGAAGTCCTCCGACGGGAGATCGTCTTCCTATTATACAACCTCCCACAGAGAAGGGCATACTCCTACAAGATGACCCCTCTTGGCGAAAGCTATGTGGCGATCTCCCATACGAAACGGCCGATGAGACAGCTTCCAATAGGACGATCTCTCATGAGGCACCCTCTTACGGGCTCAGGTAATCGTTGGTAGCAACATCTCCGCGGGCGAGCCTCCTGCAGGACCTCATCCAATAGGAAGATTCTTGCGGAATTATCTCATCGGGAATTGTATGGTTTGAAGGCGACTATTCTTGGCATTTCGAAGCCTTCGAGCATGTCAACGGATTAAGGATTAACGCACAGTGCACATGAATTCTCTGGGTGAACAGAGACTCGAGGCCTCTCCATGTAGTTGATTTCTATCTCATCTATGTCGTCGTCCACCAACACCACTCCCCAATCATGACGCGAAAGCAAGCATGGAGCAATCAACCCAAAAGGGCCCCGAAGCAAGCTGTCTAAAATACTCCCGCCACCACACCCATGACCCCAGTATAAAGAGCAACGCTCACAAACAAATCCCGGCTATACCCCCCAGCGGCGCCGCTGCCGGGCCCAACCACGCTCCCGGACTGCACGACCGACCCGGCGACGGACATGCCCACGAGGAACACGACGATCAGGCGGCCCAGCAGCCCGGGGATGGACGGGAACGCGAGGATGGGCAGCAGGACCGCCACGGCCAGGGCGACGGCCACGTGGAGGACCACCGGCGAGGCATGGGCGGCTGGCCCCTCCTCCTCCTCCTCCGCTCCTCGTCCCTTTGCACTACTGCTGCCCATCATGGTGTTGGGCTTCTCAATCTTGATTTTCGGCAGCGCTGACGCGGGGCCGGGGCTGGGAGCAGGGTAAGCCTTGCCCACCGCCGCCCCAGCCACTACAGGCGGCGTGCCTGACCTCGGCGTCAACACCCGCGGCGTGAGGGCCTCGGAGCTCGACCGCGGCCGCGTCACCCCCCGCGGCGTGGAAAACCCCGCCGACCCCGGGCCCAGCCCTAGGCCCAGGCCTACGAGGCCCGGGCTCGTGCTGTGGCTGACGCTGCTGCTCCCGCGCAGGTGCCCGCGGTTCGTGCGCCACGAGTTGCCGTGCATGGTCCCCGGGATGGGGATGGGGGAGACTGGTGGTTCTTCGGGCAGTGCGGGTGCCGCTCCGCTGGCGGTGGAGGTGGTGGGCGGCGCCGGTGCGGGCGCCGGTGTTGGTACAGAAGTGGGCGCAGACGTGGGCGCAGACGTGGGGGCGGGCGTGGGCTCGCTGGCCGCGGATGATGCTGCGTCGAGGGTGCTCTTGAGGGCCTGGTAGTAATGCTGGTCGCGGGCGGCGGCGGCGGCCACTGCTGCTATTGTGCCGCTCGACAGGGGGCTCGGGGCGCGGCTCGGGGCTGGTGATGAAGAGGTTGTTGGCGGGGCGAGGGTAACGAGGTCGTCGGTGGAGTCGAGGAATCGGGCCTCGATCTCGGTAACTGGCTGGTGGGTGGCGAGGTAGCGGCGGTATTCGTTCACGTCGGAGGGGGACGGTGATGGGATGTCCCGCGTGGATGTGAAGGATGTCATGGCGTGGTCTACAGACTGGTGGTCAGCATTGTTACTCGTGGCAACGCCAGGCCCCTTGACCAGGGACAGATATACTCACTGTATTGGGCCAGCTTGAGCCCGATCTTGGCCAAGATATCGGCCTTGTGCGACTGGAGCTCCCCCCCAGCCAGGGCCTCAGCCCGCCTGCTCGCGGGTAATATACGGTTTTGTAGCCGTCTTGTCTGGGTGTCGGCTGTGTCCAACCTGTGCAGCTGCTCCTCCAGCTCGGCCAGCTCGTCCTGCAGGTGAAGCAGCAGCCGGTGGTTCATGGCCTTGAACCTCCGGTAGATGGGCTGGATTGTGGGCTCCGGCTCCAGCAGGCTGCTCCGGCAGACCATGTTGCTGGCGCTGCTGTGGCGCCTGGGGATGTGATCGCGCGGGGTGGCGGTTGACGAGGAGCTGGCAGAGGACCCGGGGTGGCTCCGGGGCATTGGGTCTGTCGCCGACGACGCCGAGATGCGTGACGCGAGCAGCTCGTAGCCTGATAGCGGCAGCTTCTCGGCCCGAGGGAGATGCTTTGGGTGGCCCTGGTTGGGCACCCGCGGCGTCAGGACGCTGACTGGAATATGTGGTAGGTTGGCCGTCCCCCGTGGCATTTCGGGCGTGCCGTAGCGGTCGACGTCGAAGAGGCTGCTGCGGCGCTTGGTGTGAATTGCCTGCAGACTGGATGCGATAGAGTTGAGGACTGAGGCCGCCGGAGTCTCGCCGGCGTCCACACTCCTCTCCGGGCTGGAGCTTCGCTCCGTGTCTGTTGTCCTCTCGGATGATAGATCGCTATATGGACTGTCTGAGGTGGAGGACGAGGAGGAGCTCCGGGCGCTGGGTGAAGCCTTTCCGTCGTTGTTGGCGCTGCTCCATGATGCAGCCTCCGCCATATTCTGCTCGATGCCATCGACTGTGGTGGCTGGCAGATCCTCGTCCAGCTTGTCAAGGAAGTCCGGAATGGAGGATTTCCCCGCCTCGACGGCAGCGTCATCGTCAACTGCTGCCAACTGTGGCTCTGGCACCATCCCCGCCCTTGAAGGTGTCCTCTTGGGCGTAGGCTCGTCAGTATGTGAGCTTTCCCGGGCACTCAGTCTGGCTGCGGGCAGCGGCAGCCCCGAATTCCCGGACTGGGGCGACAGACGCGCCCGTTTCTGCTCCCTCGTTGGCCTGCGTGATACCGGTAGGGAGCTTCGAGGGTCGATATCCGAGGCACTGGAGCCAGCGCGGTCCTCCTCGAAGCCGTGCCAGATAAAGTCGGCCGAGGCGCGTCGGGGTATGTTGTCAGGCCTCGCTACCGGTATCCCGCTGCTCCTCCGCCTGTCTCTGCTCCTCGGGCGTGGCTTTAGCAGGGGATGCAGCTGCGGTGAGCCGGACTGGTGTCTCCTTATGAGAAGGTCGTCGTTGATCGAGGGCAGCCAGCTGTTCTCGCGGCCGGCCGTGCCCTCGGAACCGTGGTGATCCTCTGGCCTGTTGTTGTAATCTTGATGCTCGCCATTGGGCCCTTGGTCTGCGTCGCGGGCCTCGGGAACAGTCTCGACAGTGGGCATGGCACGGGCAGGTGACATGATATCGGACATTCGGGCGCCAAAACTATCAAAGTAGCTGCCGAGGGAGAGTTGTCAATTGTTTTGAGTGGGACGGCTAGGTCTTGGGAACATACGATAAATTGTAATATCTGCCGGCCAACGCACACATAAAACTGGGATGAGTCTGTCAAATAATCCGCCCAGCCCGTTGTCTTGGCAAGTTTAAAGTATGGTGTGGCGGAGGGTCGTGGACGGGGTCCTGATGTCACGCTTCTAAAGTTGGGCGGAAGGCCCGAAAAGCAATCGGCGGAACAGACGTTGTGTCCGTGTGCCTCTCTCTCTCTCTGTGTGTGTGTGGTTTGAGCATGGCCTGCATGCATGTCTTGCAGAGAAAGAGACAAACCCGCAGCCCGCCACTGCCTGAGACTCGAAACCCGCGAGGGCGGAAAGCCAGCGATAGCGCTGAAGATCATCTGGGTGCGCCTTGACAGTGGTCTGATTTTTTGTTCATTGGTGTTTGAGAAGTTACCGCGAGTGAGGCCAAGAAACAGACCAGCAGGGACAGCACGTTGGCTCAGCCCGGGGTTTTGCCAAACTGGGTGAGTTGTCAGAGCCGATAAAACATCGACTAGTCTAACTGGTCAAGGGATGCTCATATATCCCCGGCGCAATTGGTTGTGCATTGCTTGCAGCAGGTAACGTTACCCAGTCCCGTCGGCCCGGTCCAAGGTGGCATTATAGTATTCTAATCCATGCGGCACAAAAGGACCGCAGACCCCAGCAGACAGTGCCTCCGAAGAGCACTCGCCCCCATCGTGTATGTGCGTGTGTTAGAGACTGGCAGACTGGCAGACTGCCTGCATGTGTGGGCGAGCAGCAAAGTGTTTCAGGACGGTAGGGCAGTTTGGGCCAAGCACTACGGCAGCAGAATGCCTAGCCCCTGGATGCCTGAGCCTCCTGAAATCCGGGGGCAGCCAGTGGGACGCGAGGTCAGCGTCAGGGGACCCCCTTGAAACCAGGGTGCACCCCAACCCCGGAACGTCCGAGGCCCTTCCTGCCTGGGCTGCGGCTCCACGGCTCCACGGCTGAGAGCGGCTCCACGACACGCACATGGGTTGAAGACAGTCTGATGTGCAGGTGAACCTCTCAGCCCTCTCTGTTGTTCGTCCAGCACGCGCCCGTGAATTTGGGTGGGCTCTGGCGCTCAAGCGGCTTGGCACCAACGTCGGTGTTTAACAAGCAGCATGGCCCGCGCTCTCGTGAGATCGTGAGAATCTTCATGTTCAAAAATAGTCCTCGGCACCGCGTGCCGGGTCAACAGGCTCCGGATCAGCAAAAGATCAACAGTCGCCTTATAGCCGGCAGGGCTGCTGTTCTGAGGCGGAGGCCTGCATGGACACAATGCATCGTCAAACTATATCTACCGAATAAGCGAAGATGCTTAATCGACATTGCTGCAATTCGCACTCTCGGTGCATAATTATCGTGCCGGCAGCGAGCCAATGACGTCTGTGTCGGACTCAATCCGAGAGATCGTTCCTAGCGAGGCCCGTCTACCGCATCAACAGCCGAGCGGACAGCGCCATCGGACGAGTCTGGGCGCCGTGAGGTCGTTCGGACGCGTGTCTCATCGCAGCACCGTGGCCGCGGCTCCGGACCAGAACAGACGCACAAATCCTTGTCGTTACGAAAAGCACTGATGATAATAGGACCCTGATCGCCTCTTGGTGATCGCGTCCTCTTGATGATCGCGTCGACTTTCCTCTGATACTCTGATGCCGAGATCACCACCAAGCGGGATGCGTACGGTCTTTTGCCTGTTGCGAGACCGTATCATGAGTCGCACAGTACCGAGTCCGAATGTTCAGCCCGTTTCGGGGGCCGCCCTTCGGGTTCGATCTGCTTCCGGGATCCTCGACTGGCACTCGTCTTCCCATTGTATGTCTGCGAGCTGCTCGCACTTTTCTCTGCCGCACAGCCACTTGAGCTCAACCGAACTCCCCTCGACTCGCTTACAAACGCCCACGCCACGATGCACAGCCTCTAGACAGGGCCGGTAAGAGGAAGACACGCGCTTCACGGCCCCGCATGACGGACATGATGTTTTGACTCGATATTCTGCACCTATCGATGCCGTTGATGCTTCGTCAGCGAGATCATCCAACCTGATTGGTGACGGGGATCTCTTACACATTTGATTTATAGGTATACGTTGACGCAGTCTTCAAAAAGGAAACACATAAGCCGACACGTGTGAGCACAGAGATTCCTTCTCGCCCATTTTTTTATTCCAAGGAGGGGACGTCAAATCGTCGAGTCCCAGCACTTGAGGCGTTGGAACAAAGGCCGTACTTGTGACGCATGTTGGCAAGTCGTGGTAGATAGGGTCCAACAGTCACACCGCACAAAGAGTCACAGCACAAAGCCACCCGCCTCAATCGCAGCTGGCACAGCCACTGGAATGAAGCGAGACCTAATCCAGAGCGGATGAAGGTCCTTTCGTGGGCCGAGGCGAGTCCGGAATGCAATTACTCGTCGACTGTGCCGCAGTCAAGTTGGTCAGTCTCCAAGTGACGCCAGGACTGGGCAAGAAACAGTGCGATATGTCACGTGGGACTCCGACGGCGACTGTGTTGATTCAGAGATATCATTGACCATCGGTTGGGACGGCCTTCCCCCGGCCAGGTGCAGACTCGAACCTCGCCCTCCACCGGTCCTCCTGCTTGAATATGGAGACGCACTCGAGGGCGGAGGGTGTGCCATAATCTGGGTCAGCGCCACCGTCGAGAAGAGCCTGGTGGGACGTACTTTAGTAATGCTCTCCAAGGGACCACTCTGACGGAAACAAAGACAGCTCGAGGAAGCATTCTTGCTGTCAACCCACCTCAATGACGTCATCCTCCTTCTTGAAAACGGCGCCGGCCAAAGGGCTCTGGCGGCGGTCATTCAGCCGATTGGGGTCAGCTCCGTGCTGCAGCAGAAACCTGACGAGGTCGGCATGGCCATGATATGCGGCCAGCATGAGCTGCCGTAACCCTGTCAGCCTCCCAAGGTATCTTTCCTGTTGGAACACACGGGCAGCCCGGCTGCAATGGGAAAGAGGAATGAGCCTGTCACTTACCAATGTGTCGCCCTTGTCGTTGGTCAGGTTCGGCGGCAGCCCGGCCGTGACGGCTTGCGTGAGAAGCTCCTTGTCGCCGTGCCTGGCTGCGTTGTACATGCGTGTTGCAAGCTCGATGGCCTCTGGTGGCAGTGATGGGGCTAGAGATGGGCTGGGCCCTGGCTTTTCGTGGTTGTCGCTCATTTTGTGATGATTTTTCTGTTCCCAAACAGGGCGACGTGCTTGGTGAGGAGTGATGAGAAATGGGCGGGGCTGCGTGTAGATGTCGTTGACAGCGACATTGCATGTGTGCTCCACAGCTCATGCTCCACAGCTCAAAGCCATCAATTGACAAGTACCAAGGTATCACTTGGGTGGCGGCAGCTGGCGAGAGCCGTCTGCCAGGTGCCGTCCACTATGGACCAAGGGAGGCAGACTACCATCCTCAGGCACATGAGTGCACCCATCTCCATTGCCGTAAAAGGGGATTTGCCATGGCTTTGTCCTAGCTTGATGGGATTTGGACGGATTCTATTTTGATTCATGGCACTTTGACAGCCGGCCAAAGGTCCATGCAGGAGCATGGTTTGCAGGGATTGGCAATGACACCCTGGATGTGCCCTCTCTGCCTCTCTACCGCCCACGATACAATTCCGGCATGGCCAGCTCGCAACAAATACAGTATCACCGCAGCCTTCTATTCCTCTTTGAGTCCACCGTCGAGAACGCAGTGTCACGCGTCCACCAGGACGCTTCCAGCCCAACTGTCACCTTCCAATGCGAGTGTCGTTCGACGGGGGCTTTTGACTGGGCGGTGAATGCAAGACAGAACATCGAAATGCGGCAACGGGGAAATGTAACACTGGAGAATCAAACTCAAGAAGAAGCGGAAGTAATTTGACTCGGACGCACTGTTGGGCAGCAGCCGCGTGCCGCCCACCGGCCTGCCAGTTGAGATTCGCTGGCCTTTTTCAGGATCATCCTTCGAGTTGCAGGTTCAGCACACCGAGTCAAGTTGAGAACTGCCGAGGGCTGCGTCGTCCGCTTCGGTTGATGCCCGGACGTTACCTCAGGCTTGGATCACACCTCGCAGCAAAGCGGCGTAACGCAATCACAATTCGGCGCCAAGTAACCCCAATAACCTTGTTCTCACTTCATACTTCTGAAAGTTGCATCCGGTATATTGAAAAAGCAACGCCCTCCAGTCGTCGCCTTTGGGCTTCAATAAGAGCCGTCAATTGTTACGTGCCGAGGATCAACAACGTGGGGATACCAAACCTTCTCCGCCTAAGCGAGGGATATCGATTCAAGGTTCAAATGTTAAATAAAACCTGCCAGAGGGAACTTCGAAATCACAACGACGATAGAGATCTCCGCCATTTCAATCACAGCATTTTTCAGGTCTCAGCCTCTCAAAAACAGTCACACAAACAACATGGAGTCAATCAAGGAGAAGCAGACCGTGGCCGAACACGATATCACAATTCAGATATGCCCAGATCCAACGCATTCTCCCATCACCGAGCAGTCTGCTGAAGAGACAGTCGTGAACGTCGACTACTCAGGAGCGTTCGCGAAGATAGACCCTGCAGAGATCAAGCTGGTCCGGAAGCTCGACATGATCATCATGGTCAGTAGGATCCACCTCACTAGGAGATGTAATCCCCAGAACACGGGGTGATAACACCAAGCAGCCCGTCGTCTGGCTCCTGGTCTTCCTGAACTTTTTCACCCGCCAGTCCATCAGCGTCGCGAGGCTCGACGGCTTCGAGCGCGAGCTGGGGATCACAGGCACCGACTTCTCCCTCGCCGTCTCCCTCCACTACGTAGGCTACCTGCTCGTCCAGGTCCCCAGCAACATGCTCCTCACCAAGATCCCGCCGCCCGTATACCTCTCCGTCACGATGGGCATCATGTCCATCGGCACGGCCCTCACCGCCGTGCTGCATAACCGCCAGAACCTGATGATCCAGCGCTTCTTCCTGGGCCTGATCGCAGCCCCCATCTATCCGGGCTGTGTGTACGTCGTATCGCTCTTCTACAAGCGCAAGGAGCTCGCCGCGAGGGTCACGATTGTCTACACGGCTAGTATCTTCGCCACGGGCATGAACGGGCTCATGGCCGCACCCATTTTCCGCTCCATGCGGGGCGTCCTTGGGCTGTCGGGTTGGTGAGCAGCTTCTAGATACAATGCTTTCCCCTTCAAGAAGCAGGCATGCCCTACTTCCAGCCTACATAATAAAGACTTCACCGGCTACACATCTTACGACAGGCTATGATAACTCTGTAGCCTACTCCCCGCCGTATTCGCATCAAGCCACTTCTTTGGTTCTTTTACTGCTAACTTCTAACTTCGAAACAAAGGAGATGGAACTACATAATTTTCGGCGTCATCTCGGTTATCGTTTCGGCCGTCTCGTTCTTCATCTTACCTGATGAGCCGCTCAAGACCAAGTGGCTCAGCCCGGCGGAGCGCCGCCTTGCCCACGATAGGATCGCCGCGGACACCGTCGAGCTCCAGGAGAAGGGCAGTATGCTTCAGGGGCTGAAAGATGCCCTGAAAGACCGGAGGGTCTGGATGTTCGTCGTCATACAGCATGTCAACGCTTTTGCGGGAAGCATTCGCGTCTTCTTGCCCACGCTGCTCGCGACTCTAGGTGAGCAACTCATGACAACCGGTTTCTTTTCATGAGTACTCGAACAATGCGGATGAACTAGCATTGACTAACAAATCTCTTCTCCCAACCCCAGGCTTCGGCCAATTCCAAACCCTCGTGATGACATCCCCGCCATATCTGGTCGCCTGTGTCTCGGCCGTGGGCGTCTCCATCTCGTCCGGCCACTTCAACGAGCGCACGTGGCACCTCACCTCGCTCAAGACGCTCGCTGCCGTCGGCTTCTCCCTCGCGGCGGCGACTCTGAATCCGCCGGTGCGCTACTTTGCCGCCTTTGTGTTCATCATTGGCACCTGGGGCGGCACATCGATCACGCAGTCGTGGATCGCCAGCACGTGTGCGCAATCCAAGGAGAAGAGGGCTGTGGCCATTGCGCTGGGGAATTTGTCTGCTTCGTCAACGTTGATCTGGACCCCAGTATGTGATTTACTCGTTCTTTTAAGCCCCATACTTGATTCCATCTGCCCACCCAAAACTCCCCGTGACATTGATGAAGCCCGGCTGACCAGTATTCCCACCTGTAATAGTATCTGTGGCCTGACTCGTCCGCCCCGCGATACGCACTCCCGTTGATCACGTGTGCGTCTGGGGCAGTGGTATCTATCATTCTTTTCTGGTTTATGAGGTGGGACCTCAGGCGGCAGAACAAGAGGATTCGCGAGACCGATGCTACAAGTCGGCTGTTCTATGCATATTGATCCTGAGCGCCTCAGCCCGGACTCATGTACCAGTGCTTGAGTACTCTGCCTGACGGGCCCAATTAGGGCTGCCGTTGAATTCACTTGTACAGTAACACTATCAGATATTGTCAGATACCTAGCATTGTGGCCTGTCATTTGGGGCACTTACTATCGTTCCACGATGGTTGCGAAAGTGAAACACACGAACAATTTATCTGGTTTCACTTCTGTTCCGTATACGTCCGAGGATATACATGGTTCAACTACAAGCTATTGAAAGAGACAGCTGCGTTCTGTGGTCTTGGAAAGACATATCCCATTGTTGCAAGAACACAACCTAGTTCTCTGGATCACCGGGAAGCTTTATTAGCCAAGCGAGGGCTAATGAGGAGCTGTGGTGTATTAAACACTCAGCAAATTGGGATTCAGCGCCGCATCACTTCCGCCTGCACGTTATTTACAATGATTCGTATAGAAGAAACTACACAATTGAGCATACTTGAACCAAATACAACGCTATATCGGGACCAGGTGGCCCGAACCAGTCACATCCATGCCTCATGCACAAGTTAAAGTATGGGAAGTGCTGTTCAAGAAGGCACCCGAGTTTCTCATACAACGCTGGATTCCATCAGTAGGCTCAGAACTGAGAGTTATTGATGGTATTACATGTGAAAAATAAGAAGCCATTCCGGCCGTGTATACGTAGAAAGAAGCTGCTGTATCCTCGCCATTTCTATCCTTTGTGTCCCATGAGGAACGAGGAATTAGTTGAGAGCCAAGCCATACAAGATTAGCATTCAACCCCGAAGCGTTGGGGGAAATGGCTGAGGTGTTCTAGCATTAGAAAGCAGCGTCCCTCATGATGCTTCCATATCTTCTCACATCACATGCCAGGAGATTCTTGCACACGGACTTTCTCACAACTTGAGAAATCCGAGAACCGAGCTCAGGACGCCGCCGACGTCAAAACCGCCAGAGACGGTCTTGCCGACCAGGTTTCCTCCGAGTTTTGTAACAACGCCGACAACGCTAGTGAGCGAGCTCACGATGCCGGGAGCAGAAAGTTGGTCCACAAGCGTCGTCAAGTTGCCAAGTCCTCCCTTCAGGACGCTCTGGATGACCGACGAAGACGCACCAGCGTATTTGCCACCGGTGAGGCTGCCTATCACAGATCCGACCTCGCCGAGAATGTCGCCAACAATGGGGATGGAGCCAGAAGCCGTGGCAGTTTCTTTTCCAGCGGCCTCAACGAGACCCTCGACGAGACCGACAATGTTCGTGAGGCTACCGATAGCACCGGTTGCCTGGTCGTTGCCTGCGAAGGTGGTGTTGAGATTCGCAAGACCGGTGGTGATCTCAGCGGCGATATTGAGGGTGCCACCGTTGCCGGCGTTGGTCAGGATGTTGGTGGCGACAGAGTCGACCTCTCCAAGGACGCTATTGACCGAGGAGGAGTCCAACTCAATGCCAAGGTCGGAGAGGAAGGAGCCGACGACAGGGAGGTCCAAGAGTCCGCCGAGCAAGCCGGTCCTGCTTCCACGGTTAGTCCTGTATGAGAAACTCCAGGAGTCCGGTGAGACGTACAAGCTGGACAATTGCCGCTCGTGGACAGGGGCATCTGCCTTGGCTAATGGTGTGGCCAGAACAGGGACAAAAAAGGCGGCAAGCGTAGCGGAAGCGAAGGTCGTGAAACGCATCTTGATCACTATTGTTCAATGTTGCTGTAAAGTAATAAAAACAGAGTTGGTTTCGACTGAATTAATGTCAACTGATGCGTTTATGGAACGACAACTGCAAATGCAGAGATGGTGAGCAAGGGAACGCAAACTTGGTGTAGTGAGAGCTCTGGTCACGCAAAAACCTCCTGGCACCCCATTGCTATATACTTCAACACCCACCACCAACAGATTATGATATCCATGCTCAATAGGTTCCATGAAGATCACCTCCTTTCACCATCCCTTCATTGTTTCAGCCAGGGTATTGGAGAGTTACCCTAAGCCTTCAGCTTGCGCTTCCTCAAAATGATATTATCTTCCAAGGTTCTCATTTTGCAACGGAAGGTTTTCTAGAACGACGATCTACCTACGTGCTCCGCATTTTTCTGTCAGCTGGGGCGAAGATCTGGATCGGCACTTCACTAATGTGGCTACTTCCAAGGTGTAAAATTACTAAGGCTTGCCGTCAGCTTCGCACGGGACAGGGGATCATCCCTCATAAGAAAATACTCAAATGCTCCGCATGTCACCAATCAAGCACCGGCTGAAATGCAACATCCAAAGCCCTGAAGTTCTTTGAAGAACCTTTTGAGGCCAATCAATGACCTAACCAGTGATAATTGAAGTTGCGACTTTCAGTTGACCGCAAATCGGAAGAGGGGAGGACAAATATCCATCCTATTCCACTGAAGATTATCCGAATATCGTCATATCGTCTCGGCATAGCCCCTATCTATTTTCACCCACTCCAGGCAGATCCACCATCTCATTGGCCTCTGACTCTTGGGCAGACTCCATTTTGCTCGTTTCTCTTCTACTATCATTGTTCAACAATGTTCACGCGTCTTGCACTAGGGTAATAATATATTTCTATTCCCTTTTATTTCATGTGTTTCTTATCTTAGCCGTACCTTTCGTTACCAACTGGTACCGCTCACAGGGGTTCCAATCCCTCGCCGCGCTCCTTCGTTCCCAGGTAGCCAAACAAGAAAAAATGACAAGAATCTCCATGCCCTCACCTGCGCGTAAAACGTCTACTGATACGAGTTAGAAATGATATATGTAGGAAGGGACACTTCTGTGAATGCTAAAATGATTGATGGGCACATCTCCCTGCACACAATATTTGAGACATGTAGTCGTTCAAATGTTCCTTCATTATTTGCATTCTAATGACACAGGCAGCTGTGAGGGGTGCATCTGCTGTGTCGGCCAGTCCGTAACTACCTAGGTACCTTGATACCCCAAGTACAGACCTCCGTTCAGTTGGAGGGTGAAGACCATTACATGAGGGCCATTCCCGTACCGGATTGCGGGTCTATTTCGAGTCCTACTGTGTAAGTCAAAGTCGTTTCGCTAGGACCATGCGAAAGGCACGACACAACAAGGCCACGGGCAGCTTCTGGCTTTAACTCTTCCATCTTTCGTAGTTACTTGAGAACTCGTCAAATTGAGTTCGGATCTCCCCCCCCCCCCCAAAAGAAATCGACCTCCGCAAGCGGCGACACAATCGCGCCCACAAATTGAAAAAGCCTACCAGTGTCAACTGCCCAGGTGGATTGGCTCAAAGTGTTTGATGCTCGCAACACTACGTTGAAGCCCACAATGCTTCCTAAAGCCTTACGATTGCATTCCCGGCCGAGAATCAGGTCTCTAAATCAAGCAAGTTGATATTGATTGACGGAGGGAATGCTACGTGACTAACAAGAATAGAGTTAGATAGATTCGGACGAATCGAAGCACCCTGGCCTAGACTTTGGCTTGTCTCGACCAGCTGCCCAACCGTCTCTGGAGTTACAGGCCGCCGCTAACTGGCTGGGCAGAGCATGAGTTGGTGCAGTCTGAGCGTTTGAAACATGAAGCCGAACCTTTATCAGTTGCAACCCATGACACAGATACAGATACTGTTGCCAACTGGTGCCGGGCCCGCGGACTGCACGTATCCGGTTGCAGTATCCCTGCAGGAAGGTGCTCCACACTACACCCTACCGGCACCCAACTTCACCGTGGCAGCCGGGACCGACGGGCGTTTGCTGGTTCACCGCAAGTGCTCATCAGTCCCCGAGGCTCCTCTCCCTTGGTCTACATACATCCACAAGAACTCGACCGCACAGAATCAACACCCAGCCCTGAACCTTAGCTGCACACCAGACGCCCATCATGGCATACGACTGTAACAAGTGCTACCGGTGGTTCAACACGTCTCACGCGCAATGGCAGCACAAGGCCGACAAGGACCACTTCGACTGGGAGTGCACCGTCTGCACCATGACATGGGAGACGGAGTCGCAGCGCAAGCAGCACGAGATCGAGTACCACCACTACTGCGCCGACTGCGACCGCACCTTCATGAACTACAACAACATCCAGCAGCACCTCCGGTCGTCGGCCCACGTCAGCCCCTCCGCCATCACCTGCCCCTTCTGCAAGAAGGGCTTCACCACCGCCACGGGCCTCGTCCACCACATCGAGAGCAGCGCCTGCCCCAGCGCCAGGAACCTCGACCGCGACGCCGTCTACCGCGCCGTCCGCCAGAAGGACCCCTCGGGCGTCATCTCCAAGAAGCTCATCGGCTGGACCGGCTCCAGCTCCTTCGAGGCCACCACCCGCACCTGGAACCCCTACCTGGACGCCTACGAGTGCTATCTCTGCAACCGCACCTTCGAGCGGCTGTCCAGCCTGAACCAGCATCTCCAGTCCCCTGCGCGTGCGTTTTTTTTTTCCGGATCGTTGCCAGTTTGTTCTTTGTTGTTTGATGGTGCTGACATATTGATATTCTGCGCAGACCAGCAGAAGCTGTATCACTGCCCGAAATGCCGAAAGGATTTTGTCTCCCTCGCTGCCATCATCAACCACTTTGAGAGTGAGAGCTGTGGCTACACTCGCTTCAGCACCGTGCAGACGGGCATCCGTGGCCTGACGGATGGTAGCCGTCTGCTTTCCTTCCGCTGATTCAAGGTTGGTGTTGGCAGTGCGTTTGAGGACTGACCTTGTGTTGCTGACTTTTTTCCCGTCGTAGTTTGCTGGAAATACACCCAAACACAGCGGACAGCAATATTCATCTAACATCCTTGCCACAGCCCTGTAATGTGGTGCTGGGCTCATAGAAGAGCATGGCTGTCAATCATTGCCACCGGGTCGGCCTTGGTGTGATTATGAAGCTGATCTCGGGAGACGTGATGTCTGGCACGGCTAATCCGACTTGGTGATAATGTCGGCATCTTTATTTCTGAGGCCTTGTGAACCTGTATTACCTGTAGTCAAGATCTCTCTAAGACTGGCGGGCGGAATCAGGCAATGGTAGCCTAGAATGAGTAGCACATCAACTCGGGCCCCTCCGTAAGGTGATATTGATTCTCGCTGAGCGACCACACTGGACCGCCATTGATGACAGCTCACCACCAAGTTCTGCCCCAGCGTGTCAAACATGTGTGACGAAGAAGCTGTCTCTCAAACCAGGAAAAGCCAGCAAGCAACGATGGCAGCGCGAAATATTGGTTTCAAGCTGAAGGCTACCTTGGGTGTTGCTAGCGGTGACTTCCTGAAGTCCTCTTATTAGCCTGACCGCCGATATGCCACGGTCTTACCTAGGTCCTCCTAAGCAGTGCCTCTGAGTGCTACAATCACTTTAAATCCTCGCCGTTAAGAACTTGGCGTCGCTCAGGATCAATTTGATGTCATCGTAGGGTAGGCCTCATGTCCCATTGGTATTTAGGAGCGGTGGTGTCAGCTAGGGCATTTCTTGGAGGCGACAATCAAGGCTTAGCTGCTAGCCGTATCTTGTAGTCAGGTGGGTTGAAGATCAACTACTGCTGGGGGAAACAAGGTTTAAGGTTAAATAAATCTCGCGCAGGGGCTGTGTCGACAGACGCCATGCCAGCCCAAACCACTGCACAATAGAGGACCCTACGTCCCCGGCAAGCTCCACCGATCTTGACCGTTGCGAGTGGCGCGGCCCATAGGCCGATTTAGTGGATCATGAAGGTACTCGGAAGGCAAGTACCAAGGATATGTGGCCACCGTGCCTTTGGACCATATGGATAGTGCCCCTTAATACGAAATCCTCGTGTTGTAATGCTGCTAAGGCGAACGCCAACCGCTGTAAGTGGAGACTGCATGAACATAAATAGCATCCGTGGAGGGACAACCCTCGTCTGGCCGGGGTGACACCTGCTACTTCGGCTTACCCGCCCCGAAATGAGCCCGCCCCCAACGTCGGGACGCCAACACAGGATGAACGCATGTCTCCTATAAACATGGCCGGCCAGCCACGGAGTGGTAGAGGATGTCATCTTTTTCCGGGATGCAGCCCTTCTTTCCCGGATAGCTTCCACTCGCTCATGAAGAATGTCGGCCGCACTGCTCTCGCTGGCTTGCCTGCCAGGCGCGCTCTCAGCGGTGCTTGACCTTCCTATATGGTTGAAGAACGGTTACGTGAGTCATAGGAGATGAACGCACATACATGAATATACACTGACGTGCAGCCCAGTCAGTGGTTGATGTGGAGGTTGGGACGCCTCCTGTCGCGCACACCCTTCTGTTCGACACCGGAAGCGCGACGACTTGGATGATCGCCGCGAAGTGCGATGGGACAGCCCTCTGCGCGAACAACAGCGGATTCAACCGCACGGGATACAACGAGACCAGTTCGTCGACAGCCAAGGCCACCGGCGCGTATGGCTCGATTGATTATCTGGGAGGCATGACGGCGGGTGTCGGAATGGAGGATGTCTTCGCGTTCCCGTCCGCCCCTGACACGGCCTGGAACCAGACCTTCCTGGAGGCGTACCAGTCCTCGTGGTTCAACATCCCCGCCGACGGATTCCTGGGTCTGGCCTTCAACACAATCTCGGATGCGAACACGACAACGTTGGTGGAGACGCTCCTGTCGTCAGGCCAGCTGGACGAGCCCAAGTTTGGGCTCTACTATGGAACCGAGCTGGAGAACACCGGCGACAGCGCTGGAGAGGGAAGGCTGACGCTGGGAGGCTCGCATGAGGAGACGTACGTCGACGGCGACCTGGTCTGGACCGACCTGTCCCCAGCCGACGAGCGTGCCCAGCTGTGGCGGGTCGACATGGTGTCCGCGGTGGGCACGACCTCCAACAAGACAGAGTCCGCCGTCGCCCTCTCGGGGGCGTGGGGCGTGTTCGACACAGGAGGAGGACGCATCTCGGTGCCGGAGAGGCTGATCGACGACATCTACGCGAGCATCGGGATGAACTGGACGGCGATCATCGGCGGGGAGCACCTCCCGCTCTGCACCGAGTTCACGGACGCGTGGTCGATCGAGTTCAACATCGGCGACAGCAGCAACCCGAGCACGCTGGTCATCACGGGCGACATGCTCAGGAAGCCCGGGTTCGCGACGGGCGAGGACAAGTACTGCTGGCCGCCGTTCGACCCCGGCGAGTCTGACGGTCTGTTCCTGTTCGGGTCGGACTTCATGCAGATGCGCTACACCGTCTTCGACTTTGGGGGGTTCGAGCCGTCGACGTACAAGACGAGGATCGGGTTCGGGGCGTTGAAGGACGAGTACCGACCCGAGCACATCTGAGTATCCCTTGGTCACTGATCTCCGATAATAGTCACTTCTTTAGTTGAAGGTAAAAAATCTGAATTGTCAGGAACATCGCTTGCAGTATCTGAATTTTGGGTGTTTGTGCTGTGTCTTGTCTTCCCAGTGTGATTTTCTTGGCGCGTGTGTACAAGACGCTGCGCTTGCTTGGGTGAGTCAAACGCCACCCAAAGTGGCAGTCGCACTTGGGCAGCTGGGGCAGCTTTGGACCATCAACCAACCCTCAGCAGCCCACGCTGACGTCGAGTCCATTTTCGAAACAAAACAAACACAAAGAGCAGCTCAAGTCGGCCGTGGCTCGTTCGTCCTTCCCCCGTTTGCCTCTGTCCCAAACCCCACCAGTCTCTCTTGCACTCGTCATGCTGCATCCAACACCATGGACCCTGATTTCCATCGTCTTCGCCCTCGAGGCTATCAGAATCCACAGTTCCAGCCTGCGATGACGTCGCACTCCCAGCCCTCTCACCGGTCAACCTACTATGCTTTCAGCTCGCCGGGGCCCATCACTTCAGCAGGTCCGATACCAATCACACACGATGCAAACGAGTTCTACCAACAGGTGCCACACCACGACAGGCTTCAGTTTGCTGGGAATGGAAATACGCTTCACTACGCTACTGCTTCCCAGAACCTCCACTACCAGCTTCAAATGGGGTAAGGCCCGCCTTTCACCTGCTTTTTATTTCATCCACTTACCCCAGGGCACTCTACTAAAGATGCTTCAGTGATGCTGAATACGAGCCGGCCCCGCGCCACTCGTGGCAGGTGCCGCCCTCACACCACCAGGGAAGAGACGACCAGGAAGGCGAGCGAAAGCACACCCCCGATCAAGAGCCCCGAGGCAGGAAGCGCCACCAAAGATCGCACAGCACACGATTACGCAGCAAAGAACGACCAGACAGCGAGCCCCACCGCTCACTTGCGCCATTGAAACCAAAGCGAGGTTTTTTTCGAGCCGCCTCGCGACTGCGCAAAACTCGACCGCCATCTGACGGGTTTCTACGGACAGCAGAGAGGCCGCCTGCAGACTTCTTGGCCCCATCGCATGAGCCCGGTCATGCCCCGAAGATCGACTTGGAAAAGTATCGATACGATGGCCACGATAGATACGGCACGGCGCCCCCGCGGGAAAGACAAGCACACTCGCCGGTCCCGACACTAGCCACTCCTCCGGGCCGTCGCTCAACCTCTAGAGGTGACAGGCGGAACGCAAGCTATCACAAGACGCGTGTATCGTATTCCACGCGTGCAGAAGTGCCCCATCGCGCCCACCGGGCACAATCGCGGAATCCTAGTGCCCAGCTATCTAGCCTTACCCGGACAAGCCCTACACGCAACACAGCAGGTGACCGCCCGTATTCAAGGTCAGGCCTGACGGATTTCGACGAGGATGTAGAGATACCGAGGATGAATGGGTTGCTTGACATCTGGGACTCGACGGATAATCCAAACTGGGAGGAAGAGACCTTTGCGCTCTGCGACTTGGAACACTGCCGTCGCTGTGGGAAATACTTCGTGCTGATGAGGACGATTGGACACAGATGTCGCAGATGAGGTTAGATCCGTGAATCGTCACAAGAAGATTCCGGTCTGAGTCCGCTGCCTTCCCACTGAGCACGTGGCATCGCCGGTGGCAGCGGTTCGGTTGGGCTTACAAGGCACAAATACTGATCGTGGGTCCAAAACTTGATTCTCGTTCACGCCGTCGGTGCAAGTTACCGGCCAGGCTGGTTTCCTTCAATAACGCTAGACATGAGCTAAAGGCACAGGAGGCTAGATGCTCGTGCGAGAAGGGCGCGGCTGCGATGTGCGACGACCAATTTTCTGGAGAAGGCTACATACATATAGCACAAGTCTGCCCCTTTGGCAGCCCCCACAATCAAGTCGTGGTTACTGCATGATTTCCTGCGACCTGCAGAAAATCTGCTTGTCCCGTTCCTCCCCACTGCTACTGCTTTAACTTTTACTATTAGAACGGACTGAGTTGCGACAGCGCGGATTTGCTCCCGTGATTTCCACGCCCTACAAAAGTGCCGTTGAACAAAGGCAGCGCCTCGCCAATTCTTTCTGCCAAACCCTCCGGCAGGTTGTTATCAATGATATTGTGTCAGCTCGGCCCCTTTTCGATATACCCTGTATTCTTTGCAACCTCAATCTTGGAAACGTTCATTTCATCCTTCCTCGCCCGACCGCTCGGCCAACCGACGTCCAGCAAATTGCCGACCTACAGCCGCAGCTAGGAATTTGATCGGCAACCATGGAAATGGAGAGTCGAACCCCATTTCAGTCCTCCGGTCTCGTGTGGTACCGATTCCAGCAGAAACAATCAAGACTCGCTATGTTGCCGACAGAACTCTTGGAGATGGTCGTTGGTTTTCTTGTGGCCGAACCCAATGGAGCCTCAGCTGCGAGCGACGAGAGACTGAAGAGTCAACGGGACTTGTTCGCACTCTCGTTGGTTTGCAGAGAGTTTACCCAAATCGCAAGTTCCGAGCTGTACAAGGTCGCACAGGTCGTACACATTGCGACAGACGCAGGCTTAGAGTCCTTCCTCCGAACCGTGGCTCGTCGAAGGGACGTGGCGCAAATTACCCAAACACTGTCTCTAAAATTCAAACTCTGCGGCGACAATCTTTCGGGGCCAAAGAATCACGACCTCTGTTCCATGATATACGAGATTCTCTACTTGACAAAGGGAGTGAAGCTGCTGGAACTCGATCTCAAGGAATGCACCTGTTGTGTCAGGAACAGCAGCCCACAACATCTTAGCAGTAAGCCAGAGCCCTTGAAATGCGTTTTAGTCATTTATTCAAACTTATTCTTCATTCCTTCTTTCCTGAATACTCTTTCATTTGAGTGTGGGACTGGCCATGCCCGGCACAAAGGTCTACAGGCCATCCACTGACACCCTCACAGCCGGCTACGACAGCCTTGCCGAATCACTGGCCAACCGCCTACGTGATGAGACGAACTTGAGTCTCGGAGATCGAACATTCCTACCAGGTCTCCGTGATCTTCGCTATGATAGGAATGGGCCGTGCATTGCCAGTGCGTATCCTGTGTACTTGGTGTTCGCTCTACTCCGTCAATTGAACGAAGGTCGAGATGCCTTGAGTATACAGGAGGTTATTGATGATATTCTCCTCTAAAATCGGAACCATCACTTCTCGTATCACAGGATTGGTGCGGAGCAGCCTGGACCTCGTACTACCCAAGGGGGACGTCACTGCGCAGGCATTGTGGATTTGGAAGGTACTCATGGCTCTGGAAAACCCGAGGGACAACTGAACAAGGTCAACACGCTCTGCGGCAATCCAAACCGCGGCACCACGTCGGTCGAATAAAGGGGGCCTGATGGCGTACCCAATACGGCCTCCTTCCTTGCCCACGCTTTCGCCCTTCCTCCTCCACACACAGCCTCTTCGTCTTCTCTTCGCCCACTTCGCCACTACGATAGTTGAGCCTGCTATCGATGGCCTGTCCAACCGTTTCTACCCCTCGATTTCGTCCTAAAATGCTGTCGGCTCCAACACAATCGCTCACCAATTTCGACTTTCCTGAATGGTCTGGATATCGGCAAAACTTCATCCGGATCAATTTGGGTCTTCTGCCTTCGGAATATCTTGCTTCCACAAATATCAGCCTCGCCGCCTTTAACTAGTGGCGTGGAATTGTTTTTCATCTTTCTTTTTCTATTATCTTCGAACTGCGAGTTGCTGTCACATTATTGGCTTGAAATGATGGAAGACATCAAGGCATCATCATTTATGCCGCTAATAAACCTCCCCGATGCGCGACGATGTATCCGCGCTGCATCTACCGCGGCCAAGAAGCTAGGCGGGCTTCTTAGCAACACCTGCCGGAAACGGGAAATCTAATGTCGATCACCTGCTGTGGCACGAACTGGGCATTGCGCGATCATTCAAATACTATGGTGATATCTGGGCCAGACAGCCCTGGAGGGATTGCAAATTTTAAAATGGTCAAGCTGCCGCCGGTTCTGCCGGGCTGATATCCCCGCAAGATCGAAATTCACCCGCCGGACAAGATGAAGATCAGCTCCGAAATCATCCGCTTCACCACCGCAGCGACGGGCCTGCTCGCCATGACGGCCCACGCGCAGAACTCAACAACAGTCGGGCCCGAGACCGGCTCTCTCGTCGTCGTCGGCGGCGGCTCCCTCAGTGACAACATTTACCAGCGCGTCATCGACCTAGCAGGCGGCAGTGGGCCGGCATCCTCCATCGTGGTGGTCCCCACGGCGGACGGCGCAGAATCATACGACCAGGACGCGGCGGGCGCGGCCTCGTTCCGGCGGCTCGGCGCCGGGACCGTGACGGTGCTGCACACCTACGACCCCGCCGTCGCGGACACGGAGGAATTCGTGGCGCCCCTCCTCGACGCGACGGGCGTGTGGTTCGGCGGCGGGCGGCAGTGGCGCCTCGTCGACGCGTACGCGGGGACCAGGGCCGAGGCGGCGTTCCGCGGCGTCCTGGGCCGCGGCGGGGTCATCGGCGGGTCCAGCGCCGGCGCGAGCATCCAGGGGAGCTTCCTCGCGCGGGGCGACACGGCCAACAACCAGGTCATGGCCGGGGACCACCAGGTCGGCTTCGGCTACCTCAGGGACACGGCCGTCGACCAGCACGTGCTGGTGCGGAACCGCGTGTTCGACATGTTTGACATCCTGCGGGCCCGGCCTGAGCTGCTCGGGTTCGGCATCGACGAGAACACGGCGCTGGTTGTCTCTGGGGATGACGCGGAGGTCATTGGGGCGAGCTATGTTGCTGTCTACGATGGGGGGTTCTGGTCCAGGGAGGGCAGTGACCTTAAGAATCTGCCTGACTCTAGTTCTATCTTTTACTACCTGCGCAATGGTGATCGTTATGATCTTGGAGCACGAAAGGTGGTCGAGTAGGATGATTTCGTTACTCGAGGTACAGACACATTCTCGGCGCCAGCTAGTTCTAGAAAAAATTTACACGTACTCTCACTAGTATTTCTGCTTGCATTCGAGTCCTCATCTCATCCATACATGATAATTATGCTGCCTCGGGGGAGTCTTTTGCTGGAAGCATGGCGCCATCACCTAGTGGGTGGCGAGAGGAGCATTGCAGTTGCGGGACAAGAAAAGCCAAGATTTCACGAGAACCGATGCGGCAGGTACATGTGTGCGCTGACGGCTACAAGAGGTTCCCCTCATGTTATCAATCATGAACGTTTGGACACGGCTAATTGGAAAATTGCAGGGAAGATGGCGGGACGCTCTCTTAAGAAGTTGGGTGAACCAGTTATGATTGACTCAGGTCGGCCTGCAACCCGGACTTAAACCGTCGTTGCTGTGTTGTTGGTGCTCACGGTGAACCCTTCTCGTAGCACGGGCTCAACACACCCAAGACCCCCTATCACGATGCATTTATCAAGGATTTTGTGGACATTCTCGAGCTTCGGCTTCATCACACTGGGCCTGGCACAGGCCGGCGAGGGACAATATGATGGTCATCAGGTGCTCCGTGTTAGGACCGAGGGTCGGCCTAGTGAGTTTCTGAAGAGGCTCGCCAGTATTTCGTTGGAGCCGTGGAATGAGGAGACGGTGGGCAGCCACTTCGATGTCGTTGTCCCACCCGAGAAGCTCGCCGCGTTCGAATCCCTCCAGCTGAGGAGTACCGTCCTGCATGCCGATCTTGGGAGGTCTATCCTCGCGGAGTCGGCTCCGCAAAGCACTTGGAAGCGCCAGGCCGACGATCTTGCATGGTTCGACACGTACCACGCATATGAGGACCACATACGGTACTTTGAAGACCTCCAGGCGCTTTTCCCGGATAACTCTGAGCTGATATCCTCCGGCACTTCTTACGAGGGCCGGGATCTCTTTGGTATCCACCTATGGGGTGACGCAGGCCCGGGAAAGCGTGCAGTGCTGTACCACGGGACTGTGCACGCTCGTGAATGGATCACAACTATGGTGGGAGTCTCTCATTTATTCCCTGGAAATACTTGGCTGACAGGACATGGTCTATCTAGACCGTTGAATACCTCACGCTACAGCTCATCAACGGCTACAAAGCGGGTGATAGTGAGACCAGAGCTGTTCTGGACAACTTTGACTTCTATATCATCCCCATAGTGAATCCTGACGGTAAGCAGAATGAAATTTGAACCCGATTCAATATCCAGCTCACACCCAGAAGGCTTCGTATACAGCCAAACAACCAACCGCCTGTGGCGCAAGAACCGCCAGCCCGGCCCCGCAAACTCAACCTGCGTCGGCCGCGACATCAACAGGAACTGGGAGTTCGCCTGGAACCCGACCAGCGGCGGCGCGTCCCCAGACCCGTGCGGGCAGACCTACAGCGGCGAGGCACCGTCCGACTCGCCCGAGAACAAGGGCCTCGACGCCCTGGTCCGCGAGCTCCGCGACACGGCGGGGATACGGCTGTACATCGACTGGCACAGCTACGGGCAGTACTTCCTGTTCCCGTTCGGGTACAACGAGACGCTGTACGCGCCCCAGCTGGGCAAGTGGAGCCGGACGGGGTCGCTGATGAGCGAGGCGATCCGCGACCACGCCGGCTCCGGCTCCGACGCGGCGCCGCCGCGCCGCACCACGTTCACGTTTGGGCCCGGCGGCGCGATCCTGTACCGGTCGGTGGGGAACTCGCGCGACCATGTGTATGCCGTGGGCGGGGCGGAGTTCTCGTGGACGATCGAGCTGCCTGACACCGGGGAGTTTGGGTTCGTGCTGCCGCCCGAGCTGATCAGGCCTACCGTCGAGGAGCAGTGGGCCGGGCAGCTGGTCTTGTATAGTCTCCTTGACGAGGTGTTCTTTGATGATGAGGGCCCTGCGTGAAGTCTGTCGTCGGGACGGTCGCAATGAGATCCACGACTCGACAACCCTGTATCACACCGGGGAAATTGAAGCAGACTGATCGGTCACTTCTTCTGCCTTGAGGCACGTGCAGCAGGAACCACTGGCTGATAATATCTAAAATGATGTTGAGGTAGTCGGTCTAACCCCTATCGATCAAGACTTGGAAAATACTAGTATGCAGTCATCCTCACTGAGTGGCCTTGGACTCGCACATGTATGACGTGAAGTTCATAGTGAGCTAGCTTTAGACAACACTTCGGGTGTACACCTAAATTACTAGTAGAGCGTCCTGCTAAGCCCTCCGAGAGCCATGTCTTGACGGATGCATTGTCTAGTGTCACTTCGAGGTTGTAATGGCCCCACTCACTTATGCAACACTACATATGTATGGTACAGCTGATTTTGAATTAACCGGGTGCTCAGGGTCATTTACAGAAGCTCTCGGTCGTTGCACTTGGCTCAACAGAACACATGCTTATCCCAGGCAGTGTCGATATCCATGTAAGTGGTGTATTATGTATTGACTCAATTAGGTGCTCAACTATCTCCGCACCGCGGTATCATACTAAGCTGTTCAGACTTTCCAATGACATTACGTGCTCGCCTTTGCACAAAGAGAAACAAACCCCTCCGAACCCATCTCACCACGATCTCCAACCTCGTGCAAGCGCCTCCTTATAAGGTTCGCTTAACTGTTCATCCTTGAGCAGAACCATGTCATACATCTTGCCTTGCACCGTCCCGGAGCCGTCGTACTCCTCCGGGTCCGGGCACACAGGGAGCCTGAGGGTCGCGGTCTGCGCGACGATCTCGAGCGTCTCGTCCAGCTGCTGGTCGCCACCCAGCTCGATTTCCTCCGGGGTGCTGGCGGGCCGGAACTGCACGAAGATCAGGTCGTCGCCCTCGGGCCACTCGGGCTCGTCACAGATGAAGAGCACGTCGTGGTGGCACACCGTCGGCGGGCGCAGGTAGGACGGCACCAGCCCCGGGAGGCGCTGCCTCGCGGTGGTGCCTGCGGGCTCGCTGCCGGCACTGCTGCCCCTCCAGCCTATGGGGTTCCGGAGGGCCTCGGCCTGGTCGGTGTAGAGGCCCCTGGAGGCCTTCTCGGCGTCGTAGTGCTTCTTGCAGTGCTCCACGGTGGCCCAGGGCGCGAAGTAGACGTCCAGGCGGTAGGCGGTGGTCTCGGGGGCGTAGCTGGACTCGCTCAGGGCGCGGAGGAGGTCGGCGGCGTCGAACAGGTCCGGCGAGGCGATGTCGGCGCACGTGACGTAGATTGCGAAGCTGAACAGGGGCGGCAGGGGCTGGTCTGAGGGCGCCCAGAAGACCATGACGGAGACATTGTTGGCGTGGTCGCGGAAGGGAACCGAGTGGATCTTTATGCACCGACTCATCTTTGGCGGCCGGGTGCCATTGGGAGCACGTCAGTGATGCATGTGTGCGAGGAGGACCGCCGGGTGAGGCCAGGCCGGACCTGTCATTGTCTGTTCCTTAAGTAGATAGCTGGAGCTGATGTGCTTAGGCCGTGCAGCTAGAGATGCACGTGACTTCCAAGGCTCTATCACCTCCCTAGGTACCGCCGTCGTTGGTGGTACCGCAGGATCGACATGCAAGAGGGCCTGTTTGTTACCAATGGGGCGATACGCCGTTGGGAATGACCCGTCCGAGTGGGCTCGGAAAGGACAAAGGCTTGCTTCTTCTCGGACTTCGAACCGCAATATTCACGGGCGGCGGGCCGCATCTCCTCCACTTTTGCGCCCCGTTCCCCAAAGTTTTTGGAAGACCCTTATTATAACCTTGGAAGAGGATGGGTGCACAAAAGCAGCAGAGGCATTGCGTCAAGTTGGCGTCGACGGGAGCTACCGCTTGACGTGTGCCACAATCTCCACACCTCGTCATACTGTCCCATATCGCTACCCACTCGGGTCTGGCGTTGCTGACTTGAACCACATTTGTCCTGTCTGTACAAATACACTTGAGTAACCGGGGGAGAACTTGCCCGTCTCACCTCATCAATCCTCGCTCGATTCCCCTTTGACATCTTGAATCGATTATCGGACCCTCGCGGGTATATTAGCCGAACAAGTGACTGGTTGATCCAGTACAAGTACCGCACTCATGCGATAGCACCCCAAGACGTCACGGACTGTTCACCGGGAGAACCCCGGTGTAACAACGTGTGCATGCTTCCAAGGTTTCCCGCCCTTGACTACCCCTGCTCCGACCACACGTCGCCAACTGTCAAATGGCGAAGACGTGTCCCAAAAGAACGATAGAACAGCTTCGCAGTCTCAAACTAGGAGTCCTGGCGTCGTTGCACAAGTCCCCTCCGTCAGAAATCGCGTATACTCTTATCGCATTCGGCCATATTCGCCGTGCGGTGCACCATGGGGGAGGGGGGACCTCGGGAGCCAAGATCTGCTACCTGGGTGGGTACCTAAGTAGGGCTGAACACTGGCGGCTGGCTGCTTGAAATTATGTGGCACAAGTACGGCTATCTGGACACTCTCTGGCTGCAATACAAACAGGCAAGTGTACCCTAGGTAGTCTAGAGCTGCGCTTCTTTGCGTATCTTCTTTGCCATCTGGATGCCTTCTGGTATGAACCGCGCCCAATATTCGGCTTCGTATCCTGTTTGCCAGCCCTCACCAGGTTTCGGACCATCAACAGATCTTGAAGTCCTGTTGATAGCTGAGGACTCTTCCAGCATCGCAGAAAGTGACGCTTCTTGCCATCTGGCCCGGTCTGCAGACACCTTTAGGATTTGATCCATCCACCTCAACGCCTCTTCATTGAGTACAAGTGGGTTCTGCCCTCCTTCCGTCGGGGCGCTACCTTCTATGATAGTGTCCGGGTTCAGCGCCATAATAGTGTTTAGCAAAGCCCTTCTAGAGCTCAGTTCTGCGACGAATCGCTCCATCCTGATCCCGGCGGCATTGGCTGAGCCGTCGCTTAAAGCGTGCATCTCGGCCCAGTGACCCACTCTAGCATCTGAAGCAAAGACAAAGGAGTTGACCACAATACACACCATGATCCAGAAGGTAATGACAAAAGCGTCCCAACCTTGGAGAGTAGCCGCGCCCACCGCCAAGCCCCACTGCGAAAGAAAGAGAAGCCGTAGAAGGTTCTTGGTGATGGCCTCGGGGGCGAAATTGTATCTTCGCTTCGCGCGCAGAGGCCAGTTCAGGAGTGAGTTGATGACGGTGCTCTCTCCGAAGAAGACCTGCCACTCTGTTTCGTTCATGTGCCGAGCGGCTATGACGAGCCGCTTGAAATTACTACCAACTGGCTTCCCGAGCTTTCGCGGTTCGCAGCTGTGGGCTATGTGGATTGCAATACCAGTCAGGGTGACCACGATGAGGAATGATGAAGAAAGATAGAGGCCCGTGGCGATGCAAAGGGCAAGGAGGGAGATGAGGATCACCCAGCCAGCTATTGAGGTCGCTACGTAGGTGCCCTGTTGCTTGATTGTGCTTGTCCTCGTCGAGCGGTCGACTCGGACAATCTCTAGCCTCTGCAGCCTGTTGTCGCTGCGTTTCATATTCTCGTGGTGATTGGCGATTGCGACGCTAGGAATTGACCTTAGAAGTAGACGGATAGTCTCGGGACTCATCATCGGGTACGAGTCTCCATAACGTCCATCGAGACAGACCGGCGCTTGGCCACCTTTGGAGTCGTCCAGGTAGCAAGAATCCTCGATTTTCCGCCCGGAGAGTAGAATCCGGCTTCCGGGGGGCGTGATGGGAAAACACCAGGCTGGAATAGCACCAGTGAGTTCGAATATATGAAGTAGGCGGGGAGTATCGATGAAGTCAATTAATGCTGAGAGCGGTAAGATGCTGGCGAGCTGCTCAGCCCATGTAGGTAGCACGGGCAAAGAGAGAGTCATTTTGATGGATAGTTGACCGGCCAGAAAAGTTGATGTCTGGAAACATTTCGCTCAGCTTACCCCGGCAAGTGACCCAAGACCTGCTTAAATGCGAGTAAACGCAGTCAGCCCGGCAGAGTGCCTAAATTGTTACGGGAACCTAGGCAGTGTGGCTTTAGCTCGCAATCAAGGTAAGCGCTTGGCCGAAATCAATTGATGGCATGGGCTATGTGTGGCCTGCCCAAGTGGCCTGCAGAAGGGGTTTCAGCTGCTGGTGGGAGGAATGGGACTTGCAAAACCAGGCTGCCAACACATGAAACCATGGAGCTGCCTGCTCAGGTGATACGCACACATGCTGCCTTCTTCAAGATAACAGATGCTCCAGAGTTGGAAAGGTAACAAATCTCCACGTATATACAGCCAACAGTGCACAAACTTTTCAGTTCATATGAATCGCATGCATCATTCTATATCTTGTGATTTCTTTCTCGGGATTGAATACAAGCTGCCATGGATCACATTCTCCGTTCAAAACACAGCAACCCCCCGCTAGAGTTTCCATATTACGATCCAGCAGCTTGGGAGCACGACGTGAAGCATTTGGACGTCTGGCGCCGTTATGGTTCTCCCTTATACGGTTGCCAGTGGTCAATGCTACTTCTTACAGAGACAAATACAGACCTTGATGAGTTCCTCAAAGGCGGGCCATTCAATGAATTTGCCGCATTCCTTCAGTCATGGCTGTACTTTGGTGTGCTGGCGGTTTGCCTGGGGCGGAATGATCTGTCGGGATTCATCAAGGTCAACTCTGCAGGGGAGAAAGTGTTAAACACAACCCTGCTCATTCCATTTGTACAAGAATGGTATGACGGGAAGTTCCAGCGCCACATGGAGATCCCCGATTCGCGCGCTGGTTTCGCCCTGGAGTTTCGTGAGCTCACCGGTGTTCTCGACTCGGTGGCCAAGCACACCGACAGACTCACCAGGTTCGGCAAGAAGGACGCAGGACCCCTGGGAGCTGCTTTGTTCCGCATCTGCGTCTCGATCAACCTGGTGCAGTCCGTCTTGCGCTCGGCAGTGTTTGAGCTGGGGAGGTTGGTGGTCGGCACTTTCAACTATACCCCCATGCCAGATCCTCTGGGAACTGGTTACTTTTCGGTTTACCCAGCCGGCAGCGAGCTGCGGGGGCATCTTGTCCGGCGCGGTTGGTGTCCCAACAAGATACGAAATATGTCGCAGAGTCTGGGTCTCGAGGGGTTGATGATGGCCAGTATGATACAGAAGGATGCAAGTGTTTCCGCAGCACACGCGCGGTGCCTTGATAGTGTATGTGTGGCAAACCAGATACAGGCGGGTACCTTCGTGCCCAAGCACGCCGATGAATACCACAACCAAGGTATCTGTGGTGGGATCGGGCTTCCCAGGGGCACCGCCGAGAAGATTCTCCTGGGGACCAATTCATTCCCAGTTGTCCGTTTCTGGCTCGGCTCAAATCGGGAGGGACCACGGCACAGACGCATGGAGGCTGTGCCTTTTCAAGATGGGCTCAAGTACATTGCCATCTCGCATGTCTGGAGCGACGGACTGGGAGACGAAACCGGGAACACGATTTTAGCTTGCCAGTACGACCGACTTGAGGCCCTCCTAGCAGAAGTCAGGAGCATGGAAACCATCCGGGAGAGTGGCAACGAAAAGCCAGATGATGCGTGGTCGCCACATTTCTGGCTTGACACGATATGCGTACCACACGAAAGGGCCGCCCGTCGCCTCGCATGCGCCCGGATGGCCTCGTCATACGAGTGCGCAGATACTGTCCTGGTGCTTGATGCCGAACTGCAAGCCTGGTCTTACAACTCCGAGTCGGCAACAGATGAAGAGGCCCTATTTCGGATTGTTTCATCGGGGTGGACGACGCGAGTCTGGACTCTGTCGGAGGGCATCCTGGCAAAACGACTCGTTTTCAAGCTTGCTGACACCATGTTCGATTATGCCGCGTGCGGGGATAGGCTCCGGCTCAAGAAGATGAAGGGGCTAGGTCGCTTTGATACGATACCGGCGCTGCTGTATAATGACCTTAGGCAGATGCGCAGTATTGACAGGATGGATGCGGCTCAGAAGCTGATCACCGCCATGTCCTACACCCAGTCACGTCGCACAAGCCATGCTGGGGATGAGATCATATCTATCGCCGTGCTGATGGGCATGAACCACATCGAAGAGCTATGCGATCAACCGACTTGGGCCGGGAAGATGATGCTATTTCTCGAGATGATGCCGGAGCTGCCGTTGCGTCTCCTCTTCTCCTCCGGCCCCAGGATCACAGAGACAGGCTTCCGCTGGGCTCCGGCCGCCTTAAATAGCGACTTGGGCATATGGCCCTTCAACAGCTTGGAAGACATCGCTCACCTTGATCACAAGAGTGGCGGCCTAGTCCTGTCCCACCAAGGCATACTTCTACACGGCGACTGGGCTAGTATCGTCCCCAACCATCACAAGTTGGAACCGTTCGAGGCATTGTACCGGCAGCTCCCACTCGACCGTGACCTTGATTATGACCTTACCATAATCCGCGGGGAAGAAGACTGGTGTCTGATAGAGTCACATGACGAATGGCATTTACCCTTGGAAGGGGAGAGGCGACAGTATTGCTCCGAGGATGCGTACTACAGGAAGAACGACGAGGCACTAACGACCACCGCCTTGGCCATCATAATAGATGCCCCGAATTTTGGTGTAGATAATGATGGTATTGAATTGATGGAGTGCATGGGTGCCCTGGTTTCGAATGTCACCCTCGAGGACAGCGGGACCATCTCATGCCGATATCAAGCCATGGTGAAGGTCACGAAATGTTGGCGGAAGTCTGGCCCGATGAGTGCCGAGTATGAAGTCCTCCACTACTCGGCATACGGTGGTGAAGGGCTCGACATAACTGGAGTCGACCAGGCCATGTTTGGGACGTACAGGGTCACAAACAATGACCAAGTATGGCGGATAATGTAGAGGGGCATCATCTATTTTCGGAACCACCTGGGCAGCTACAGTTTGAACAGAATTTAAGCATATTGAATTGGCTTCCTATCGCTGACGCTGGTCTGCTCAAGCCTGGCTCCCAAGGTTTACAGGGTTCTCACACAACACAACATCAGTCAGTCACCTTGGAGTGCCCATTGCACAGGCACTAATCATTGCGAATCGTTTGTCTTCGCAACAACAAGGCTGTGGCTCAGGGGCTTCGTGGGGATCCAAAGGGACAGCGTGCACTTGCACTCCATTTTCGACTTTGATACCTGACATAGGCCATCTTCGTCCTGGTCACACAAAGTTATCGGACTGTTTGCAACTCGGACCAAGTCAGAGCGCTGCCGAGTTGGTGCCGAAGAAGAACCTTGGAACCCTACCAGAGTCTTGTGGCATTACTCCGTACCTCGGACTGGGGTCAAATCCGGCCGATACTTTAGGCCAAGAAGAGGCACCGAGCTGCTATCCAGGTAGCAATCGGGATCCCCGAAGTCGGGCCATCTCACGGCGGACCAGCACCTGGGCTGCAAGTCTGGTTACGGGCGGGCCGCGGGCAACGGTCGGGACAAGCCGAGGCTGGAATATGCGAGTGATTGGCCAAGGCCCCAGTTGCCCCTTCGCGGTTTGGAAATGGGACGCGATGTAGCGCTGCCTGGGCAGCGAAGAGATGGTGAGATGAGCTGAAACAGAAGCGCGTCAAGGCTGGGACTTTTAGTGTAAATGACGGTTGAGGAAGCATGCCCAGTCGCCCAGGTGGAGACGTTATCGTCCGATCAGGACGGGTAAGAGATTGAACAGCGGGTAACGAATCCGGGGGATGCAATGCAACCTCGAGTCGACAGACTTTGACTTTGGTTTTATTAAAGCTTGCAGTGATGGGATACTACTTAGATACGTACTAGTAGATATCGGGTTTTTGTGCAATGCAGTCCAAAGCTGTGTTTGGGAATTGTACAGGCTGCAACTGATCGATAGACTGGGGATAGTGCCAATTCGAGATCCAATTCTCCGAGGCCGGTCAGCGAGGTCGTGATTGTCTGGTTCGCTAAGGTTGACAGCAGGCGTTGGTTGGGAACATGGCCAGGATAGCCGTCGGGAGTGGTGGCTCCATCCGAGCACGAGCGATCTGCTAGCCCGGTTCCCCTGGCCCGGATTTATATGAATGAATGAACCTCACTCAATTCAAGGCCTGCTGGAGAAGAGGCGGATGCAGTGTTGCGGGCGGCACCTCCCTGCCTCCCTCGTGCCCCACCCCCGCCTTGTCTGCTTGTGGCCCTTACCCCACCTGCCGAGCCAAGCAACCAGCCAGCCCTTCCTTCCCCTTTCCAATCCGGACGAGATTTTCAACAAGGTTTATTATGGACTGATGAGGACAAGTACCCGGGTACCCAGGTACTTTGAAACGGTCAGGCCCTCTTTTGCCGTGGCCCATCCGTCCCATCCTTCTTTCCCCGGTTGGATCGCAGTTGGACGCAGCTACATTGCCGAGCAGTCAGGCAGTGTTAATGCCCCGGTTTTCTCTGTGTTGCGAATGCGATTTGGACAATCTATACCTGCCTGCTTACGTGCGCAGCCGCAAGGCCCACCCACCTTCTCCACCCACCCGTCCTTCGTTGGAAACCAGATCTCAGGCCGACCTCCCAAGCCGAGCGACCGACCGACTCTCGAGTCTCGACCCAGTCGCCGTTGCCGTCGCCGTCGCCCGTGGCTCTTGTCACACACCACTCCAAAAATAACAAGCCACCCTCCACCCTCCGGCAAAGCTTCCGATTAAGCTCGGTCCGACTGCGTGCGGCCTGAGGCTTGACTCGATTTTGATTCGATTCGACTCGACTCCACTCGTCAGTTGTCGTTGTCAAGGCCCAAGGCCCAAGGCCCAAGCCTCGACCTGGCATGGCCCAGCTCAATTGACGACTGCCCTGCTCTGCTGATAGACCCGGCAGACAGGATTAGACGCGTCCGTCACTCGTCTGCCACACGTGCAAGGGCCGAGGGACAGACAGTCTGCCCCGTCTCTCCCGGGGTTTTGTGCCCTCGAGGCTCGACTCGAGTTCGCCTCCACAGCCTGCACAGCCTCGTGGTCCAGTCGCTGCTCTCTGCTCACCCGTCAGTCAGACAGCCACACACAGGGTATAGACTCCATGACCAGCCAGGACAGAGTGTCCAAGCAACAAGCCAGGCGAACCTGCTTGTTGCCTGCCTCCGCCTGTCCTGCCTGCCCTGCCCTGGCCAGACCTCGTGTACATCCCTGAAACTTTTCTCGATTCGTCTTCCCCCCATCACTTATCCATTGCCTCTGCCTCACCTCGGCCCTCACTTCTTCGCCCCGGACTCTCGTTATCGGACGCACCAGATCCACTCCCGCGTCCAATGGATCGCCCCAAGGCCTCAGCCGACTCCGTCACTGTCAAGCCGGAGCAGCACTCGCCTCCCATAAATTCCACCACCGCCACCGCCAACGCCAACACCACCGCCAACGGTAACACCTCCGCCCAGACCCCGGACCTCTCCCTCGTCACGGCCCTCTCGCCGAGCCTCCACTCTCAGAATGGCCAGTCCAACGGGCCCCAGAGTGGCTCTCCGCTCAACGAGCAGCGCGCTTCCAAGATAGCCGCCTGCCTGTCCTGTCGCAGGAGCAAGGTCCGCTGCGAGAAAGGCGTCGACCCGGCCCGCTGCCGGCGCTGCGCACAGACCGGCTCCGAATGTGTCCGCCCGACCTTCAACGTCGGGAGGAGGAAAGGCGTCAAGAAGTAAGCCATGCCAGGGCACACACCCTCTGATCAATTTACACACCAGCCTGGATGATACTGACAAGTACCTCAGCAAGCGCAAGGGCCTGGAGAAGGCCCTCTACCAGGTCGAGGAGGCCATCCGGAGGGCCGGGCCCGGCGTGCAAGGCGCCGACGCCGGCAAGGCCATCAGCGAGCTAAAGTCCATGATAGCCGCTGGCCAGGGTGCTCACCTGAACGGTCCTCCCGACAACAACAAGCGCCCCCGCCTCAGCACCGCAGCCTCTAGTGAGCTTCAGGACTCATCGTCCGAGGACGAGGAAAGCCCCAGGCCGCGCAAGGCCTCTCACCGCCGCCGTACCTCTACCTTTTCTCATTCTCACTCTCGTTCTCATCACCCCGTGAAGCCCGAGGAGCGTCTTGCCGTCGACGATGCCGAGAATCCCCTGCAGCTGTTGGCCAGGGCCTCCAACCTGCACCTCTCTCCAGTGTCCAGTCACAGCCAGTCGCCCGGGACGGCGGCCTCCCAGGCCCCGGCAAGCGTCGTTGTCGAGGAGAATGACCCCGAGATGAGATACGTCGAGAGCTTCTTCGGGACAGTCCACTTCAATGTCGACCGGGGGGAAGGCTATGACCCAATCGAATTGGGTCTGGTGACGGAAGATGAGGCCGAGAGGCTCTTTGAGTTGTAAGACATGACTTCCCTGCATGGATGCGTAGGAGTAACCCCTGCTGACATTTGTCGCTTCAGCTTTCACAGGAACCTTTCACATACACGCTGGGGCTTAGACCCTGTCATCTACACCGTGCCTTGGGTGCGGACTCGTTCCTCGTTCCTTTTTACATCAATCATGGCCGCCGCATCATTGTTTATTGAATCCGCTGGCGCCCTATCCAAGCGGCTGTCTAATCACTGCAGGTGGCTCACCAACAAGGTCATCGAAAAACGGCACAGGTCAACAGAGATTGTTCTTGCTTTCATGATCAACGTCCCTTGGATGGGCCCAGGCGTACACAGCACCGATGATGAGACATGCTGGTACGTTTCCTTGGCAACGACTATCGCCATCGATCTGCAGATGGCCAAGGTGTCAATGCCGATGGAGGCGTTCAAGAACGGGAGTTCTGGAGACCTGGCGCGGCAGGACTGTATGGACCCGGAACTAGCCCTGAGGTTAGGCGGGTTCAAGAGCGTCGACCCAAACTCGGAACTTGGGCGGAGGCTTGTACGACGGAGAGAACGGTGCTGGATTGCACTCTTTGTTCTCGAACGAGGGATGTGTCTGGCAAGGGGCCGATCCTCCACGCTCCCGATGACACCGCTGATCAGGAAGTGCGATCGATGGCACATATCGGACATAGCAGACCCCATGGACGGGCACTTGGTATCCATGGCCGTCTTACGGAGGGACCTAGATGATGTATTCGCCGCGATCAGATCTTTATGCGATAGCGCCAAAAGTGGACTGACGGACGGATCCGCCATCGCCCAATCGTGAGTGTCCATATTGTGTGTTCTGAAGCCTTCAACTGACTCTCTTGAAGGATACAGAGCACCGTCGACAAATTCTTTGAGCAGTGGCACCTGGAGTGGGGCATGACCCTGGGAGGCACAGGACCCCGTGAGTCCATCTCATCACACTGTGACTTGATCCTTTGCTGACTTGTCAGAACACCGGCTGCCTCCTTACGTGGAGGTGCTCGTAACGCACACCCGTCTTTCCATTTATAGTAGTGTCATTAACCACCCCACCGCGCCACTCGAGGTGCGCCACTTCTTCAGGACGGCCGGCCTCTCGGCAGCATTGAACGTGATGCGTGCTGCGGTGCAGGGTGAGGTTCAGCTATTCTCGATGCCCAACAACACAGCCATAATGGTCTCGTTCGCGGCTTGTTTCGCCCTGAAGCTGAGCACTCAGATGTCGGGGGGGAACAGCAACAGCGTCCTGGCGCCAAGCGTGAGGACGCTGATCGAGGAGACGGCCGACGTGATGGAGAAGATTGGGAACATCACAAAGCACAGGCAGGGGATGGGCCGGCTCTATGGGAGGTACCTGAGGCTCCTGGTCAAGAAAGAGGCCAGCGCTGCAGAGACTGCGGGTCCGTCGCGTCACGGACACGGTACACCACGGCCCGCCGCAGCCTATCCCGAATCTGCTCGCCACGCAGCAGGCAGCGTGGGCTATCCGCATCAGTCCAACGCGCGGACGGGGTCGGCACCCAACCTGACCCAGGGCGGATTCGCCATCCCACAGCCGCCTTCGGCAGGGCTGACCTCGGCTTATGACACGCCGGGCTGGTCGGCGCACCCGTCAGACCTGTTCCAGTTCTCGGCCATGAGCGACGACCAGATCGTGGAGGCGCTCAACAGGACAGGGGGCGAGTTCGACCCGGGCGGGTTCGCCAGCGGCATGGGCGGGGTCGGCGCAAACGGCACGGGGTCCGGGTTCAGCTGGGAGGATGCGACCAACTTCGACTACATGTTGAACTGGAACAACCTTCCAGACTATGGGCTATAGAGTGGGACTGTATAAAATTGTGGTTAGTTGGTTGGTGCCTGAGATGCGCGCCTTGGATTCAATTTTTTGGATCATTTACATGTTCTCCAGCTATAGGCATCCAGATGAGACTTGCATGCATACAGCACGGTGGTGTATTATATTCTCACATAATGCATTTGATCTTGGACCGACCAGACCAAGCCAATGGATTCCAACAAGTGGGCGAAGGTTTCCTCCCACTACACTGCGCGCCACCTTGCAAACAGACAGACAGGGTCTATATGAACCAGAACGCCACACGGGGAATATGTGCAGACGGGCGTGGGAGTCGCACATGTGCACCCAAAACAAAACAACTCGCTGATGAGAAGAACCGGCCCAGCTCAGACCTTGATCTCGACGGGCGGGGCCCCGACGGCCCTCCAGTTGACCAGGTCCTGCAGCTTCTCCATGAAGACGAAGGTCAGGATGGTGTGTGGGCTGTTGCGGAGGAGGGACGCACGTGGTTAGTCAGTCTCTGTCGTTACTATGACGCCCCCCCCCCCCAAGAACCAAGTGGGGACAACACATCAAATCAAGAGGAAGGAAGCGGTCGTTGGAAGGTTCTGATACTAGTGAATAGTTACTCACGTCAGGCGCAACCAGGCGGGCGTCCAGCCTTTCATCAGGAAGAGGGGGCCCTCGGTGCGCAGGCCTTGGGTTGTTATCTGGAGGAGGGTCTTTTTTTGTCTTGTCAGCCTTGCCGTGCTTGGTCTTTTTGTGTTGTTTATTATGGACGCAAGGGGGGAGCTGGGGAAGGATATGGAAATGGCAAGGAGGGGGAGAAGGGACTGGGGAACGGGGGACAGCTCACCGAGGAGCCGGCGCCGGACCTGCTCGCCGCCTGGACGCGGCTCTTGAGCACGTCGGCGGGGGCGCAGATGGTGGTCGCCACGGTGCCGGCGACGAGGCTGGACAGCATGTGCGTCTTGACGTCGTCTTGCAGCGAGGTGCCTGCGAGGAGGGCGCGCTTGGCGGCCGTGTACCTGGGGAGGGGAGGTGCGTCAGCCCGGACATCAATGACTCGTCTGTCTCCAGCCTCAACCTTCCTTTCCCCGGCACCATGGCCTTCTTGTCTTTTTCCGCTCCGGAACAACGATCGCAGATAGCCACCCACCGGGGGAGAGAGAGAGGGACAGGGAGAGGAGAAGCACGGCACGGCGCGGCGCGGCACGGCACGGCACGACCTACGGCGCAATCTGCCCGACATTCATCAGCACGCTCCGCACGACCGTCGGGCCCAGGCCCCTCGCGAAGGTGGCGGGCCCCTCGTCGCGCGCGATCCGCCACAGGCCCCTCGCGGCGTCCGGGTAGTAGTTTGGTGGGCGCCGCTCGCCGGGGGGCCTCGCGCCGTCGGCGCACATGCGCACCAGGATGACCTCGGCCGGGTTCCCGATGACCCCGGCCGCGGCGCCGGCCAGGGCCGCGGCGCCGATGGTTGCGGAGGAGAGCTGGCCGCTGGGGGATGCGGATGTTGACCTCAGGTGCTGGGTCAGGATGGCGTAGAGGCCGAAGCGGGCGGTGCTGTAGGTTGATTGGCGGAGGATGGAGGCTGAGAGGCCTGTCCAGAGGGAGGGGATGCCTTGGTGGGGGTGTTAGTTTGTGATTTGTTGGAGCTGGGGGTGAGGGTGAGGGTGAGGGTGAAGGTGAGGATGAGGAGGGCTTGTTACCGTCTCTTGCTGCAAAGGTGGATAGGGTCTTGAGCATGGGGGCTCGCGTGTGCATTACTTGCATGCGGCTTTGGTGTTCCTCTATTAGTTGTTGTAGGCCAGGACAGGTGGGAGTGGCGTGTTGTGCTTGTGCTTACTATTTTGTCTGGTCTAGTGGGTGTGCTGGGTGGGGGGGAGAGGGCATCGTCAGCTCTGAGCCATCGTGTTGATTGTTCTAAACTCACTGAAGCATACTGCCATTGACGCAGCGGCGCCGCTGATGATGCGGATCAGATTAGATTAAATCCCCAGCCCCAAACTCGGTTCATTGTTTCATCACGTCGACTCACCCTAGCCACCAGGGCTGCTTCTGCTTTTCTCTCTGGGATTTATTACTCATGGTGGTGGCTCGTGGCTCGTCTCTTGGCTCACGGTGGCTTCAGTTGAGGGTATCACATGTAAATCGTATCAGGTCAGGTCAGATCAGGTCAGGGCCCTGGACCTGAGAGAGACATCTTCACCATGTAATATCACCGTCGTCTAATAATAATGATAAGGGCCCTGCCACCGTCGTTCAGTCGGCTCTTACAAGTAGCCCACACAACGGCAGGTCCGACTCGCCCGAGGCCCGGCCCGACACGCCAATCTCGGCCGTGTTGCACTCACTCGAACCCAGATCCGCGGCTTTTCCGACCCGGTGGTTTTTCTGCCCGCCGCACGTTGTTCAGGTGTGCATGCAAGTCTCAAGTCTCGCGGCGCACAACAGCAACAAGCACCAGCGCCCCACAGAAGCTGTTCAGCCCCTCCCCACTCCCCCCCACCGCTGTCGCTGCCGGTTCGGCCCAACGGCGAAGAGTGAGACGATGATGCAACCAACCAAACAACGGGCGCCAGAAGAAACACGACCTGTTGCCATGCTGCCGTGCCGTTCCTCGGCACCCCTTCTTGGCCATTGCTCCGTTGACTTGATTTTCTGTTCTTGTCCCGCATCCTACGCTCACACTTTTATTTACTGTTGTTATTTTAGTTGTTATTATATCTAATCCAAGTAGGCTATTTGGCCGTGGACACAAACAAGCCGGGACTTGCAGTTGGAGAATCTGTCTGCCGAGACTCGGACGGCTTCAACACCACAACACACACCACCGAGTCTTGTCACACCACAACCACACACACACACACCATGTCGAAGCTCTCCCCAGCCCTCAAGGAGCTGGTCAATGCCCCCTTCTCCCGCCCAGGGCCCGCAAAGGCCCCGGTCGGCATCGCCAAGATCTACGAGCGCATCGCCAGCGAGGCCCACTCCAAGAACCTGGGCCCACGGCCATGGATCGTCCTCTCCGTATGTCCTGGTCTTCCCTTCCTCTTCTCCTTCTGAACAAGGAAGGTGCTGAACCACGACGACACCACAGGCAGCAGCAACATTCACCCTCAACTCCCCAGACTCCCTCGCAGCCCTGCAAGCAACCGCCTCGGACCCCTCCGCAAAGGCCTACAAGCCCCTGTCCCCAGTCCCATCGGCCGAGCTGATCCGCGAGGTCGGCCTCAAGTGCATCTCCTTCAACGGCATCCCCCGCTCCATAAACAGCCTGGGCGCCTTCCGCGCCTCTCTGCCCAGGGGCGTCCAGACCAAGCTCGAGACCCGCGCCTCGAGGGCCATCACGCCCGAGAACCTGGCGCTGCGCCACAGGACGGGCCTGGCGCTGTGGAAGAGCGTCTACGACCCGTTCGACGAGAAGCTGACGGCCCGCCTGGCCGACAGCCACCCGGACCTGCCCGTGCACATCCACGGGAGCCACTACGGGCCCCTGCTGGCGGACCCGACCGCCGCCGACGGGACGCCCGAGGACCGCGGCGGGCTGGCGGGCGTGGGGCGGGTGCTGACCAGCCTCGTGGCCATCGCGTGCCTGCGCGCGCAGACGGGCGTGGGCCCGCAGGTGCTGTCGCATGTCTTTGGGCTGCGCAAGGCGGTGGACCAGGGGCTGCATGTCGCCGAGGCCGAGGGCGAGGCGGAGCGGGAGGGCTTCGAGTGGCTTGCGGGCGACGAGGGCGGGGAGTGGGTGCTGCGGAGCGTGGATGGGATCGCCGAGGCGATTGGGAGTAACTTTGCTGCTAAGCTGTAGGTGTTGGACTGGTCTGGGGGGGAGACTCGGACTGCTTGTACATAGATAGACAGACAGACAGACAGACAGGCAGACAGACAGAATGTATGCATCTGTGGGTTGTCCGTATAAATCACTCGTCAGGGCAAGTCGTCCTCATTCACTCTATATATATATATATATACACACTCGACTGCCCAACAATACCAACACCAACTCCAGGCGGAAATGACCAAAACGACCAAGATGCGTTATCTACAGAGGACATGTAACAAGTTGCAGCAAAACCCCCCCTACTCCATAACCTGCAGGTCACCAGCCACCTCAAACCTGGCGTCCGTCTTGGCCCGGACCTCCTCGACGTCAACGCCCGGCGCGACCTCGGTGAGGGTCAGCGTGCCGGCCTCGCGGTCGACCTGGAAGACGCACAGGTCGGTGATGATGGTGCTGACGACGCCGGCGCCGGTGAGCGGCAGCGTGCACAGCTGGACGACCTTGGGCGAGCCGTCCTTGGCGACGTGCTCGGTGGTGACGACGATCTTGGTCTTGTCCGGGTTGGAGACGAGGTCCATGGCCCCGCCCATGCCCTTGAACACCTTGCCCGGGATCATGAAGTTGGCCAGGTCGCCCGACGCCGACACCTGCAGCGCGCCCAGGATCGACACGTCCACGTGCCCGCCGCGGATCATGGCGAAGGACTCGGACGAGTCGAAGGTCGCCGCGCCCGGGAGGAGGGTTACCGTCTCTTTTCCTGCGTTGATGATGTCCCTGGGGGGGGGGGGGGGTTAGCCTGTGTCAGGAGGGAAGAGGAGGCACGAAAGAGAAAGAGAGAACCTACGGGTCGACCTCGTCCTTGGTTGGGTACGGGCCCATGCCCAGGATGCCGTTCTCGCTCTGCAGCCACACCTTGCGGCCCTCGGGCACGAAGCTGGGCGCCAGCGTGGGCAGGCCCACGCCCAGGTTGACGTAGAACCCGTCCCTGAGCTCCTTGGCCGCGCGCCTCGCGATGCGGTTGCGCTTCTCCTGCGCGGGGCTCGCCGCAGCCGCCCCTCCTCCGCCGCCACCGCCCCCCTCAGGCTCCCGCAGCTTGAGGATGTCGATCTGCTTCTCCGCCGTGGCCGGGACGATGCGGTCGACGTAGATGCCCGGCAGGTCGACCTCGTTGGCGTCGAGCTCGCCCGTCTCGACAATGTTCTCGGCCTCGACGATGGTCAGGCGCGCCGCCTTGGCCATGATGGGCCCGAAGGCCTTGGTCGTGTACCGGAACACGCAGTTGCCGGCCCTGTCGGCCTTCCACGCCCGCAGGATCGCCACGTCCCCCGGGAGCGCCGTCTCCATCAGGTACGTCTTGCCGTCGAAGATGCGCGTCTCGCGCGGGCGCCCGCCCTCGAGCACCTTGCCCGAGGGGGACAGGCGCACGGGGATCTTGCCGTCCTGGAGGAGCGAGTGGGCGCCGGTGGCGGTGAAGAAGGCCGGGATGCCGGCGCCGGCGCTGCGGATCCTCTCGGCCAGCGTGCCCTGGGGGCACAGCTCGATGGCGATGTCGCCGGCCAGGTACTTCTTCTCCAGCACCTTGTTGCTGCCCAGGTAGCTGAGCACCAGCCGGTCGACCTGGCCCGCCCTGGTCAGCACCGACAGCCCGCCCTTGCCCTCGACGCCGGCGTTGTTGGACACGGCCGTCAGCGAGTGCAGCCCGTCCCTGCCGCGCCGGTGCAGCGCCGTGATGATGGTCTCGGCCACGCCGCAGAGGCCAAAGCCCGACGACAGGATCGTCGACCCGGACCTGACGTCCGCCACCGCGGCGTCGGCGTCCTCGAACAGCTTGGACCCGCCGCGGGTCGGCGCCGGCGCCTTCGAGGACGACAAGAGGCGCCGTGGGGATGTCGCCCCCGTGGCAGAGGCGAGGGCGGCGGCCCCGTTGGTTCTCCTCAGGCAGTTGTAGCGGCCCAGGCACAGTGGCGCTGCCGCTGCTGCTGCTTGTCTTGCTGCTGGTGATGGTTGCGCGGAGGCGAGGAGGGAGGGCACTGAGCGCCTCAGCTGGCGTGTTGTCGCGGCCATGTTTGACGATGTGTGCGACGGCGACGGCGACGGCGACGGCGACGGCGACGGCGACGGCGTATATGGTCAAGTCAAGTTGTCACAAACCCAATGCAATGGACATGCGTCACGAGAAGAAGGGAATAATAAATCCAGAGCTGGGGTCTGGCCACGGACAAGGTAGGGGTCGGGCGGCATTCGGCTTCTCCATATTCATGTCGCCGGAATAGCCCGTTGGAACCAATGTGTTAATGGTTCATCCTCCAGGGCCGAGCCTCGGCGCTACCCTGACGTCAACCGTTCGGCGGTCAGAACAACCACCGCTCGGGTCAGGGTCAGTCTCAGGGTCGCCATATATCGGACGAGTCCACCTGTTTGTGTACTGTGGCACTCCGTAGTCGCAAGCACCTCGTCTGAAGCGAACACGACTAATAAGGAGGATGAACGAGTCGACTTGGGACGGCATTGTTCATGTTGGCTGGCTGTGGCATGAATGCAAGGTGTCGAGTCTACTTAAGTATCTATACATACTTAAGTATGTATTCAATGTTCCTTCCCGACACAATGTCTCTCTCTCATTAAGAGCTTAAGTCTATTTCCCCCGCCCTCTTCCACGCGCCTCTCACCGTGTAGTGGTTCATAGCAAGCGAGTCAAGCCACACCCACACCGTCTGTCGTGTGTATTCATGTACCCAATCCCCAGTCTCCTGGTCTCACAGCAGTCCCGACACCCTGGCCCTGGATCCAGGCCCAGTCTCCCAAAAACGGCCTAGGCCCGGAAAACCTGAGAGGCCCCCTCACGCCCTCGCAAGGAGCACTGCTGACGACCGCCGGAAAAGCAGCCTGTGGGTGGATAGCAGAGACAAATAGCTGCGGGGGCCGGCACTGGTGGATTGCGGGGAAGTGGGTTCTCGTCGCTGGCCCTGGTGGGCTTTCTGGGGTTCTCCTGGAGAAAAGCTTGACAATGACAAGCTTCGTTGGGGACCTGGGGAACAGACGCTGCCCCACGCCCAGAGATACGGACGGGCTGACGGGCTCACGGGCAGGACGGGCAGACGGGGTGGCCAACCCCCTTCGCTCCCATTCACTCGGCTCCCCAACATGGATGGTATTCTAATGGTATTCTAGTGGCCCAGGGTGCCAGATGTCTCGCGTCACTGTGACCTTGCTCCCGTCATGTCTGTCTTGTGCCCGGTCTAATCTCTGTGGTTACACGTACACGTGTAGACGGGCAGACTATCGGTTCTATTCATCTTTTGTTTCTGTTATCTCCGGCCCACTGTATAATAACTTTCGGCCCCCGATTCATTTCTCCGCTGTCAACTTTATTCTTCTCATCGCCATACGTGCCACGCTTCTCACAAGCTCTGCAGTTGCCTTCTAGACCCCCAAGATGAAGCCGTCTTCCCTGGCAGACGCCGACTTCGACAACGACGTGGACAAGCCGTCCGCGGCCGTCATCGAGGACTCCCACCTGCACCACGAGCACAGCGCCCGCCTGACCAGGTCCATCCTCTTCAAGACTGACACGCGTGTCCTTCCCATCCTCGCCCTGCTCTTCTTGTGTTCTTTCCTCGACAGGACAAATGTCGGCAACGCAAAGATCATCGGCCTCGCCGAGGACCTCGACATCTCCAGCCTGCAGTACAACCAGGGCCTGGCCGTGTTCTATGCAACGTATATTGCGAGGTGAGTACAGTACATGATTGGCACGACCTGTCGCGCAGCATCCGAACGCCGTGCGACCTTGGCATGCGACCCTATGGTACAGAGTTCACCAAGGGGTTCAACCACCATAGACATTTCCTCCCCATAGGGCTGGCCTAGGTGTCACCTACCAGCTCGTCCCCCCCAGCACCATGTTCCCGACGAAAGGACTCGGAGCTGACCACAGCGCCACACCACAGCGAACTCCCCTCAAACCTGATCCTCAAGCGCCTCACGCCCCGGGTATGGCTCGCCGCCCTGGCCTGCGCCTGGGGCACCGTGACCATGTGCCTGGGCTTCGTGCGCAGCTACGGCTCCTTCGTCGCCGTCCGCGCCATCCTGGGCGCCACCGAGGGCGGCCTGCTCCCCGGCATGGTCCTGTACCTCTCGGGCCTGTACACGCGGGGGGAGATGGCGCTCCGCATCGGCATCTTCTACACCGCCGCGTCGCTGTCGGGCGCCTTTGGGGGCCTGCTCGCCCGCGGCCTGTCTGCCATTGGGCCTCGTGGGGGCCTTGAGGGCTGGAGATGGATTTTCATAAGTATGGCCCCAAGGACCCGGTGAAAAGAGTCATTTCTAACCATCTCACAGTCGAGGGGTTGCTCACGGTCGTGTGTGGTGCCATCTCGTACTTCTTCCTTGCTAGTAACCTGCACACTGCGTCTTTCCTTACCCCTGAGGAGCGCGAGTTTGCTGCGAAGCGGCTTTCTGGGGAGGTGCCTAGTGCGGAGAGGTTCAGGTGAGTACGGTGTCTGTCTCGCGTGTCTTCTTCACTGGATAATCACGTCCTTGATAACGTTCTTGATTGCGTGGTATTGTATGCTGACCTATATCTGGCAGCCCTTCCGTAGAGAGGGAAGAGAAGTTCAGATGGTCCGAGGTCAAACGAGGCGTCCTGAACGTCCAGGTCTGGCTCACCGCCACGGCCTACTTCGCCATCCTGTCCGGCCTCTACTCCTTCGGCCTGTTCCTCCCAACCATCATCAACGACATGCACATCACATCCGACGCGAACCAGACCCAGCTCTGGTCCGTCATCCCCTACGCGGTCGCCACCCCCGTGACAGGTGAGTCTCACTCCGTCCCCCCCCCCCGGGGGGGGGGGGCGTTTTCAAATTATAGACACACCAGATTGACGCTAATGTGCGCCCCTACCAACAAAAGTCTTCGTCGCCTTGCTGTCCGATCGTTTGAAACTCCGGGGCACGATCATGTTGTTCACCCTCCCCGTCGCCATCGCCGGCTACGCCGTGATCGCCAACGTCACGTCCGCCCCCGCCCGCTTCGCAATGACCTGCCTCATGGCCATCGGGATGTATGCGAGCGTCCCCTGCGTGCTGGTCTGGAACTCCAACAACTCAGCCGGCCACTACAAGCGCGCCACGACGTCGGCCCTGCAGCTCGCCATCGCCAACGCTGGGGGGTTTGTTGCCAGTGAGTCGAGCCGCCCACCCCCCTCCCCCCGGGTTTCCTTCTCTTCACCTTCTGTCTCTGGATTATGGCGTTTGCGTGTGTATTTTCACAATCATTTCATCGGCCCTGGGTTGCTAACCACATCTTCTCTCAAACCAGCGTTCATCTACCCCAAGGAGGAAGGCCCGCTGTACCACAAGGGCCACACGGTGATTCTGGGCCTGTTGTGCTACGCCTGGGTCGCCGTCCTGGCGAATGTGCTCTACTGCAGGAAGGTCAACAGGGACAAGCAGGCTGGCAAGTACGCCCAGTTCGAGGGCTGCGGCGACGACAGAGACCCGCGCTTTATCATGATACTGTAAGGGCGTGCGTGTGAATATGATCTTGGGCTTTAAGCATTTTGAATTGAAGGTTTCCGCCTGAAGATACTTTTTAAGTACTACTGCGCGAATCAAAGAAGCATACGCACAAGCGTTCAATACTCGATTTCTCCTTGTCGTAGCGCGTTTGAAATGGTAGAGCTCACTTGTTGCGCCTTTTCTCGCCTGAGTTACCATCCTGCAGCGGTTTGCTGAGTAAGATTACCATTTTCGACTGCTTCTTATTTCCATGTGTTCCTCGTTCAGAGTCATTCTCTAGTGCTCTGGATCATAGCGAGGGTGAGGATGAATGCAATCAGAATTGAACCAAAATGCAGATAGCAGAATGGCACCATAAAAGGAATTCGACAGGAGGCCAAGACCTATTATAATTAAGTAGCCAAGTAGTCTCACCTACCGTATTTTAACCACTGTTATCGATATCGTATGTTCCAAGTTTTGTTAAGCGCTGAGTCTTGAGCGTTTACCACCGTATGAAGGCGCCATGTATGTCCTCGGACGTATACAGAATAGAAGCGAAACCAGCAAGTAGTTTCTAGTGGCTTTATAATAGTTCTCAGATGATATCATTGCATTAGAGCAAATAGCTACCTAGGTAGGCAGTGATCCCGCAGTGACTTGTGTTGCCAGCGATCAGGGTACTCAAGTACCTACCAAGCTACCGGGAATCCTTTAATTGAATCATACGTCTGTTAGTTGGCTACTGGACAACTGTATCTAACCAGGCTTTGTGTCTTGTCACGCAAAAGCCCGAGCCGCCATCTGATAGTTGCGCTGGAGATTTAAAAATGCCAACTTGGGGCACTCGGCATACCATTACCTACTTAAGTAGGTAGCTATGTCCAAGTCGTGATTACAAGACATGCCCCTCCATGACTGCCCACCTCCCGCCCTGATTCCTCCGCGGATTCCATAACTTCCAAAACTTGGTCATGATTCCTGCACGCGCATGGTCACTTCTATACATGTGTCAACGCTGAGTGGGTGTGCGGGAGGTTGCAGCCCGCGATGCAGGGAGATCTCGCGCGGCTGCAACGTCGAAGCGGGGAACTGCGACTACCTAGGGGTAGCCAAGGAGGAATCAGGATGCTCGAGGCTGTCCGCGGACACTTTTGCATGTGCTCCGAGTGATTGGGTAATCGATCTTTTTATCAGTCCTGTCGGAATATGCATAAGCTGGACCCTGTCGATCCGGATTGTACCTTGCTAGGATGGGCCATTTGCACATAGCTGAGCCCGTCCCCTCACCAGTCTTATCGCCAACTGAGTCGTGAACTCTATGTAGGAGACTTGACCTTACATCCACGCACGTGGTATGGTTCTTTTCCCGAAAGATTAACTTTATTTACCCCTCTCAAGTCCCGAGCGTCCCACCCCATGGGCCTGGTGTTCTAAGGTTCTAAAGTTTCCCCGGGTCGCTCCGCAAAGGCTCCAGCAACAGCATGCTGTCGTCGCCGTGGTCTGTTGTCAACCTCGTTTCATCGGGTGTCACCTGGTGGCCAGGCTGACAGCTCAAAGTAACACTCAAGTTTACGAAGGGCTAAAGAAGATGAAAGTTACCTGTCCACCGGCTCCGTGAAACCCGCCGAAGCCTCCAGCTTGGTCCAGGCGGAACATGACTTACACGGGTGGCATCCAAGACCAGCCCCGCCTTCCGGAGGCACTTCCATAATGGGATAAACACCTAGGCAGGTGGCATCGTCGACCTCACCCCGAAGCCAATGCTTTGGTCACGGGCTGGCACGAAGTGTAACATGCTTCGACGACTTGGCCGTGCGTTGCTCATGAACATGCAGAATTGCTGTGCGGCTTGATGGCATTTTGGAATCCGCGGGCGCCGCCTCGGGGACGGGGAAGAAGTCGAACATCTATAAATTCGAGGGGATATCTAGATGTTTCTGGAGACCAGAAGACAAAGAGCGAAAGAATCAGCCTCTCATCAGCCCACAAGCACAACCCAAGAATTACTCAACAATACCACCGCAATCAACATGCAGTTCTCCAAGATCGCCATGGCCAGCCTCCTGGGCCTCGCCCTCGGCAGCCCAGTCGACAAGCGAACGCCAGCACAGGTGGAAGCGGACATCGCCGACATCAGCTCGGACCTGACCTCCTTCAACACGGCCATCAACGCCTTCACTGGCTCCCTGATCCAGGCCCTCTCCCTGCTGACCAGCTACAACAACCTCGCCTCCGCCATCACCACGGCCACCTCCCAGGTCACCTCCACCGGGGCCCTGGCTGCCGCCGACTCGGCTACCATCTACGCCGACGTTCAGAGCCTGACTGCTCAGATCACCGACACGCTCGGTGATGCTACTGCCAAGGTAGGCCCTAGACACCGGATTTTGGGGATAAGAGTTGTTAGTGCGCATTATGATCTTGCATGCTGACCATGTGCCCCTCGTAGCAATCGGTTGTCGCTTCTTCTGGCTACACGAGCTCCGTCTGCGACGCCCTGTCAACGCTCTCTGTACGTCCTGACCTCTTGAAAATTTCTAATAGTGACCTACTGTAGCCAGGGACAGATACTAATATAGTCACTAGGCTGACTCCGATGCGTTCTTCACCGCCCTCGAAGGCACCAGTAAGTCAATGGAGACCTCCCCAGTTGCCGTAAACATCATTGCTGATACTTTGTAGTCAACTCCGCCTACACCAGCCAGGTCGATGCTCTTCAGGCTACCGTGGCTTCGGGGTTCGCTAGCACGATCTCAACCTACGGATGTTAAGATGATGAACGCCAACAGTCTGTTCGGTCTCTGTGAGAATTGGTTCTTATGTTGCTGATGCTCAACGGGAATTGAGTGGTCTCGGAATTTAGGGAGCTTGGCCTCGGGAAAGGCCAGATGGCAACCGGTTTTGAGTCAAATGACTATCACTGGATATTCTGTTCGTGTACTTATTCTTTCATTCTAATTTCTTCACAGAATTTCAGAACGAGCTTTCTAGTCCGTATTAGCTCTTATACCCGCCTGTGTTGTATGTGAACTTTGAACCAACTACCTAGGTAGTGCACTCGTATTGACACAAGAACTTAAGTGTCAACTTGAAACCCGATCAACTGGTAACCGCAGGAAAGACAGCCATGGGATTTGGTTAAAAGTTCTCTATTGCACAACCATATTGGGTCAGACACTCTCAGTAGAAAAGAGACTACCAAGATGATTTAGACAAGATTGAAGTCGCCCCAACAGCAATTTTACTTCTCCCATTTTTGCATTTGTTGGGGTGATCGGCCCGCCATTTGGGTTTGTTACTCGCCAACGCGTCAGTTGGGGGCCCATGAATGAGCAGATCAGTCAAATCGTCCTACGGCTACCCAGGGACATCTTTTCCAAGTTTGGCCACATATAAAAGCCAGGAATATGCCGTGCCTGGTACTATTCGATGTTCTTCACACCCATTCTTCCTCAAGAAACATGTGGAAAGCAGATTCTAGCTGATGAGCAATTGGGTTTGGGTGCGACCCGCAACGAACAATATTTGCATCTTTTACGAAACAGTCAGGACGCAGTAGTTTGGGTGTCGTCTCCCTTGTTTCTGAATAGCATTCATCAGTGCTCATCAATCATGACAGAGCTAAGTAGACAGGACACAGGACACACTCACCTCGAAGCCTGCGCTCCAGCGACCCCACCCCCGATCGCAGCAGCGACCACAACCACAACAAAGAACAGGACAATGATGAAGGTCGGCCTCGAGCACCCGCATATCCTCTTAGTCTTCTCGTCCGCCTGCTCAGCAAGCTCGGGGTCCGGCTCGATGAGGCTCGAGTCTCGTTCCGGCCGCGGCTTTCGGTACCAGGCCGAGTGAGGCGTGGGCGAGTTCTCCCCATCGACGTCCCGGACGTGGTCGTCGTCGTCCTCCTCGGTCAGAGCAACGGAATGGGGTTCTTGATTCTGGGCCGGGATGTCTGCCATCCTGTGAGGGCCATCTGGCTTGCGGTACCATCTGGATGATGATGATTGTGGCTGTTCGTCGACATCTCCGACCAGGGCCGTGTTGTCCATGTTGTCTGGAGTTGATATTTCTGGGATCTGAGATCTGAGCAGCAGGCCTCGTCGGGTTCAATCTCGAAAGAATAGGCGATTTAGAGCGGCCTAGACTGGTCCAGTCAGAATAAGCTTCCTGAGTTCGGCTCCCCGCTGCAGACAGCGTGATGTAATCACCACGCCTCATGTTTGAGCCTCGTGGTGGGCAGTCTGTACATACGGAGCACCACATGCATAAGCAGGTAGGTTTCGACAAATCCAACTGGTGGGCCGGTGGCTCGAACAGCGCATGAGACAGGTCGAGCTCGAAACAGAGCTAGCATGTAGGCTTTGCCAGCTGTCCAACTACTACCACTACGTGCGAAGGGGGAGGGAGGGTCAGTTTCCGGCGCGGTGGACAACTCCCACGGACTTCATCATCCTGCATGTCCATTCTCTCACACACTGCGCACACACGCACACCCTCTCTCTGGCTGCCTGTCCACCGGACACAAGCCTCACCCATCCCCAACCCCCATGCGGGGCGCCGGGAGGCACGGCACGGGACAGGGCTTATCACAACTTGGCGCAGCTTGAAACAGACAACGGGGCGCGCAGCTGATGTTTAGCGAGGGCAAGCAGACTAAGAACAGACCAGAAGAAAGAAAAAAGGTGTGTAACATGCGGCACAGCATTTCGTGCGCGGGAAAGGATCAGCACCCTGCTGCCTGCCACCTGCCTCGCTGCGCCGGGCGCATGTTGGGTGCGAGCATGGTGCGGTGGTACACACAGCTTACATATCCGTACACTCTTGCAGGATGTGCTGCTTCTGCGCGGTAATATTTGTGGGGCGTTTCCGTTGTAAGACAAGCCGGGAGCGTGCCATTTGGCACCGCCCGGTGAAAAGTGCAACTTTTTTTTTTTCTTTCTCTTCGCTTGCGTTACGGGTCGCACATGACCCGTGGCGCTCAGCCACGGCAGGAATGGGCGCTGCGCAACGTCGGCATTTGTGTGGTTGGGGGGCCGCAGGCAGAGACCTGCATGAGCTTTTTGCTCGGCGGCAAAGACTCTCTCGTGACGGGATGGTTAATCTGTGCGAGGGGTGCATGCAAGCGTCTGGAAGGTGTTGTGATCGTTGGGAGCTTGAGAATATTTGGAGTAGAGGTGTCTGCAGGTGATTATAATTATCATGGAGAGCTATGTTGCCATATTGAGCTGTCTGATGTCCTCGTCCTCAGGTGTATGAAAACCAGATGCGCCTAACTGAAGCAGCCTTCTTCCGAGTAAATGCTAAAGCCATGGATATATGCCGTTACACATCCCCCTTGGTATCATTAGGCGTGAAAGAATATCCAGCTGCACCACATCCATCGTACATGCATGAAAAAAAAAAGTCTCAGATCTTTGTCAGTTTGAACCCGACCTGCACCCATCTCGCGGCGACGTAGACAAAGGCCGAGCAGGCCATGGCAAGACCACAGAACAGCTGCAGACCGAGGTAGTCACCGTTCTGGCGGGACAAAATCGCGCCAGCCAGGGGTGAGCCGGTCAGGGAGCCGAAGCTCATCGCGACGAAGGCAATGCCGTTGCGGTTGCCGATCTGGCGGATGTCTGAGATCTGCGCGATGAGCGATGGGCTGATGGAGATGACGCCACCGGAGGCGAAACCAAACAGGACCGCGAACACAATCAGCGCAGCCGATGAGTTGTTGGAAGGGATCCAGACGGCGAGTGTGATAACTGCTGATAGCGCGGAGATGCATATGACCGTGTTAAAGCGGCCCACCTTGTCCGCTATGAAGCCCGGGGCGATTCGTCCGATGATACTGTCGTGGCACATTAGCATCAGTCACTTCTGATTTGAGAGCAGCATGTTATCATCTCTTACCTGAGAGCGTTGATAATAGGTAGGAGGTATTCCACGAGAGTCGGATCCATGCCGGACTGCTGTGCCTGTAGGATAATGTAGTTGAAGGGGATGAACATGCCCCAGAAGAAGAGAAAGTTTGCCGCGAGCGTCAGCGCGAACGCTGGCTCTTTAAAGCCTGCCAGATAGTCTGCTATGACGAGCGGCTTCGGCGAGGGAGGCAGCCTGGACTTGATGGTCACGCAGCTTATGGCCAACAAGCCCAGGTAGACAAACGCGACAGCTCGCATCGTCCAGGGGAAGCCGATCTTGGGGATGAGCTGCTGGATCATGATGGGCATGACCACGCCGCCGACGGAGCTGCCACTGACCATAATCCCGAGCGCGGCGGCCCTCTTCTTGAAGAACCACGAGAAGACACTCGTCATGCAGGCGTTGAACGCTGCGGAGGCGGCGATGGCGGAACATACGCCCTGGGCGAGGAAAAATTGCCAGTACTCGGTGCAGAGACTCGTCATCATCAGGCCGAAGATGTAGACAACCGTGCCGATAATGAGCATCCAGCGGGGGCCGTAAACGTCGAAGACCCGCCCGAACACGATGCCGAAGAAGATGAGCCCCCAGACTTCCATCGATGTGATCCACGACACTGTGCTCGCCGAGTAGTTGGAGAGGGGTCCGCGCAGGTAGTACTCCTGGAACACGCCGATGCAGTTGACGAAACCAAAGGTGCAAAAGAGGCCGCACCAGCCGCCCAACACGACCAGCCAGGCCTGGAGTCCGCCATCAGGGAAGTCGCTCGGGTGGAAGCCTGAGCCCGGCGGTGGGCCCCCGGCATTCTTCTCCTCGACCGCTCGTTGCTCCCTCTCGTCTGCTTCGATATCTGCCTCGGCGACGTTCCTCGGTTCGCCACTAATGTTTGCATTGGTCTGGCTGTTCTTCGATTGGATGCGATCCAGGGAAGGCCTTCGTGATTGGTAGGGGTCCGTATCGACCTGTTTCTGTTTGTGGTCCTCCAAGTCCCTCGACGAGTCCGAGTGCGCGCTGACGGTGTCAGACATGATGGCGATGACTTTGACTTTGACTGACTCTTTGGTGGTATTTGCGACTTATACGTGGGAGGCTCGGCTTTGGGCGTCAAGATTTTGGGCGACCCAGAGTTGGACTAATTAGCTTGTTTTCGCTCACAGCTTAAGCCTCAGGGACAAGCGTTGGCAGCCTTATTTTGAATGCCCGGCAAGACTTGGGTAAGGGGTTCATTGGTTATTATGACTGAACGAAAACGGAGCTGATCTTGTCTTCAGTATCAGTCCATTAAATCTTGAATGTCAGACAGTTGACAATAAACAGCGGGAAAATAAAGACTTTTTAATTAATGAATTGAAAAAAATGATTCATAATGTGATGGGAGGCGCATGGAAATTGCTCCGTCTCATACCCAACCGTACGGACCTATCCCCAGCTCGGTCGGAGCTACGAGCCGATTTTCTTGAGGGACCGACCGAGAGAAGCAACAGAAGGCCACGGCGCCCTGGGCTGACCACCTCCAGGGTTCTAGGAACCAGCCCTCAGGACCGAAGTGTTGGTCCGAACCCGATCTGGAGAATGCAGCGTGCCGAATTTTTAAGAACTGTAAGCATGGCGTCGTTCCTAGTGTCGCTGCCTTACTTCCAACCCCGGAGATAAAGGACGTAGGGCCGTGGACGAGACCGACGGGGTGTTGGGCTACATGCTTTCAACGTTTCCTGCCGGCAGGGTCCTTGAGGGATCCAGGCGGTAATAAGTACAAGTTGTTTGTCCCACATTTTGGCCGTATAAAATATATTCAATAGCACGGTCAGTAATGTTTGGGCGACATTGCAGTCGGTGATGATGCCCGCCCAGGCGTGTCGTTTGACGGGTGGTGGAGGTAATAAGCGCGAGTGGCTGTCCTGAACTAGTTGCACCATCCCGTAGCCGCACCGAGGGAGCGAGTCTTAGCACCGGTAAGAAAGGTCGGGCCAAAAACGCGCCGTCTTGATCGGGAGTTCTGTGGGAGCGAAAGGCGAGGCCACGCGACGCGCCCTCCAACAAAGGCCCCTGTCGTCGGCCTCCAATGACTTGGCAGTCCCGAGTCGGGACGAACCAAGGCGTCGGACTCGGAAGGCCCATCTCGGAGATTCGAGCGCATGCCAAGCCAAGTTATCTCGTAGATCAGATAACGCCGCCGCCACTGGGAATTCCAGCCTTATTTGACTTGATCCGAGCCTGTGGTACACCGACAATTGGATGAACGAACCGGGAGGTGTGAATCGTCAGCCCCCCTTGACGTGGCATAAATCTCACTCAGCGAGATGATTCACGCCCCGGCTTCGTCGATCTATACCACGAAACGACCATGAAATTGGCGCAAACAACACCTCTAGACTCTAGAGGCATTCATCGAGTATCGTCAATTTGATCCCGTCACGCAAGTGGCCAACAAAGACTCGTTTTCCTGCCCAGACCACCCGCGTGAGCGACTGCGTGGTCACATTCGCATGCGATGGTTTATTGGTAGATGTTGTATTGTTACAAATGAATTATAGCGAGTAGGGGGGCCCTCTCTCGGGCTGCGATCGGCCACGCCTTAGCTCGTCGCTCATGAATTGACGAAGTCCTTCAGTTCCTTGCTCTCCTCAAAGTGAACCTTGCCGTCTTTGCCGACCGTAGCCACGTGCATCTTCAACGGCTTGTCGCTGGATTGGGCAGCTGTGTCAGGGCTTGGCAGCGTCTTCTGGGGTTTAGCAGCCGCCTCCACGGCTTTGGGGGCCACGCCGGCCTCGACGTCTGCGATCTCGTTGACTTGCTCCCTCGTCAGAACATCGCTGACTCTGACGCCGCGGCTGGACATCAGTATTGTGGTCGGCCCCTTAAACTGAAGGAAGAGCCGGTCCCCGAAGATGGACCTCCTAGCTGTTGTCCGCAGGCTGTACAGCACCCGGGCTACGAACTTGTAGAAACCTGTCTCTTTCGTATCCTTCCAGAATTTGGCCCAGCCCTTTGGCACCAGACTCTCGGGCAGTGATGGGATCGATAACGTCCAGGATGAGCTCTTGAACCGGAAGGGCAGCGGGGCGTTCCTGCCGACGCTATACGCAACGACATGGCTGGGATGAACGACCAGCTCCTCGCCCTGGTCCAGCGTGACTTGGTATATCTGCCCCGGGGCAGCCAATGCCACCAGGCCCCTGCCTGTAATGTGATGGTTTCCCCAGTGTGCTGGTGCCAGACCGCGCTGGACTCGAGGTGTGATGCTCAAGGTGTGGCCGGTCCAGGCGAGGAGGGCATTCCGTTGGGCAACCTGCCAGTCGGTGGTGCCATCCAGGTGCAGGATGGAGAATGTCGTGTTGGGCGACTTGGTAGCTATTAGAGCTGTGACGGGCGAGGTGGCAGTTATGCGCTGGTAGAGGAAGGGCATTGCGAGGAGGGCATGGCGAAAGGGTGAGAGGAGTCGGAGGGTGGATTGTGTCTGTCGAATGGCTGTCAGTCAAATGAATGACACAGAGGACTGACGAAAGATCTCACGTTCTCCGCCTTGCCTGCTACTGTCACGAGGGTGCCTCTTCTTGTGTAGAGCTTCTGGGAGGCTGACAGAGTGACCGAGAGGAGGGAGTAAGGAGAGCCGAGCACTTCGAACCGAGCATCTAGTTGCAGCGCATGTCAGCATGCTGGCCGGTTGGTTTCCACACACGAGTATAATAAGTAGAAGTACCTGCTGGGTCTCTCGCCTCGACAGCTGCGCCGAATGCATCGCCGCCGGTGCGAGGGGACTCTGTTGCTGGCGATGCGCTCAGTTGGATCGCGCGACACTGCAGGCAGATCCAGGAGGGCCGTACCCTGCCCAGAGGCCGCACTGCCCTCACCAGGGGCAATTGACCTCGCATCGTACGGGTGTGGGCTGCTCGGTGGCAGCAGTTACTAGCGAAGGAGCGTCTGGCGTGGGAATGCGTGCGAGCCCGCTCTTCGGCTGCATCGTCAAAATTCGGACCTGCCCAGTTCCCTGGGATATGACGGCAGAGCTCCAAGGCGGCGCACGGGCCAGGCGAGCACACCAAAACTGGAGCTGTGAGACGGATGGCCCACCCCACTTTGACTTTGAAAGGGCGACAGGGGTAAGCTAGGCAGGCTGCCGTTGCTGCGACAACCAAAACCTTCGACAATATTGTACAAGACAGGACAGGGGTCGGCCTGTGCTGTTCCAACCTGCAGCTGCTCATCAGCCTCCGGGACCTACCTGCGCGCAGCACGGAGAAGGGGAAAGGGGCCATTCAATTGTACGCGTATTTGTCAATTGGGCTTATTTCTTCTATCAATTGGTCTTCCTCTTTCATTCTGCGGTTTTGCACTGGTTCCAAAGATGTCTGTCCGGGTCGTCGCAAGGATACGGCCGTTGCTGGAGGGCGAGGCCGACAAGGACGTGATTGTCCGCGCCGACTGCAAAGATGGCAGCACCAAGCCAACCGTCGTCAAGATACCGAATCCCAAGAACGAGTCTGAGGATTTCAATTTCTCCTTCGGTGGTGTTTACGACCAGTCAGCCACGCAGGAGGCTTTGTTTACTGCCGAAGGCAGGTCGCCTTTTGTTCCCAGCGTATCGCCGTCGCAGCCACTGACAGACCTTCTATCATGACAGTCTCTCCCCACATGAAAGCCCTCTTCCAAGGCCTCGATGTCACCATATTCGCGTACGGGGTCACTGGCACCGGCAAAACACACACCATGCGAGGCGGGCTGAAGCTGGCAGACAGGGGACTCATTCCTCGGCTCCTGAGCAACGTCTTCCGCCGGGGAAAGAAGACCGCCAAGGACTCGGATGGTGCGACAACAGTCGAAGTCACACTTTCGTACTATGAGATCTATAATGACAAAGTGTTCGACCTCCTTCAACCTCCCGAAAGGCGCACGCCCTCAGGACTGCCCCTGCGCGAGGCCAATGGCAAGACGATCGTGGTTGGTCTGTCCGAGCAGCCATGCGAAGACCTCAACAACTTTGAGAAGCTGTACATCGAGGCCAACAACAACCGTATCACGGCTGCCACCAAGCTCAATGCCCACAGCAGCCGGAGTCACGCCATCCTGCGCGTCAAGGTTACCCAGACGACGGGCGAACAAGTGCTGGAGAGCACAGTGTCTATGATAGATCTGGCAGGATCAGAGGACAACCGTCGCACCGAGAACAACCGCGAACGTCTGGTCGAGTCTGCCGCCATCAACAAGTCCCTCTTTGTCCTTTCGCAATGCGTCGACGCCATCTCTCGTGGTGACAAGCGCATTCCCTATCGTGAATCCAAGATGACCAGGATCCTATCTCTCGGCCAGAACAACGGGATCACTGTCATGATTCTCAACCTTGCCCCCATCCGGAGTTATCACCTGGACACACTGAGCAGCTTGAATGTCAGCTCGCGTGCCAAGAGGATCGAGGTCCGGGAGATCGAGAACGAGATTGTTTTCAAGCAGGCACCGCGGTCTATGACACTTAGCGGTACCGGGATCCAGAGACAGCCTCTGAGGCCGCTGACAAATGCGCACAACGTCCACGCGGGGGTGGTCGCGAAGGAGAAAGCAGACAAGGAGAAGAACAGGGACAAGCCCACAAAGTTGTTCAGTGTCTTCGTAGACACCAAAACCACGGCTTCTCGTCCCGCCGCGGCGGCCATGTCTTCAGCACCACGCAATGTACTTTCCAGCAAGCGCAAGTCTGACGCTGTCGATGGGCAAAACCGGCCGTCGAAGATGATCCGACCGCCGGCGGCGGCGCGGCCTCAAGCGGTGTCGGCCTCGCAATCCGTGACTATGTCAGCCGCCCAGATTGAGGAGATGGTTGAGCGAAAGGTGCAGGAGATTCTAGCTTCCAAAATCGCAGCACAGTCTCGGGAGGGGGAGAATGCGCCTCTTCCGATCCAACCAGCTTCAGCTGATATCAGTGAAGCCGTGCAACGAAGACTCGACGCGCTCGAGCGACGCATCGAGGACACACATGGTGAAGCAGGTGGTGGCAAGTCCGAGGGCATGCGACTGCTGCTCCAAGCCAGGAAGCTAAAAGAACAGGGCGACGATGAGGGCACTCTGACATGCTACGAGTCTGCGCTACGGTATTTCCCAACGCAACCGAAGCTGCTGGGAAAGATCGAGAAGCTGAAGGCGAAGATTGCCGCCAAGAACGCTAACACCGAGGGAGGCGAACAGACCCAGGAGCAGGAGAAGCCCAGGAGCAGGAAGAGAGCTGCAAAGCCCCAACCGGATGACGAAAACGAAACCCACGACCCTCCTTATGTCGATGGCGACGCAGGCGCAGACGCCGACGAGAGCTACGTCGACAGCGCACCTACCCGCTCCCAACCGAAAGCCAGGTCCAAGACCCCATCCCACGAGGGTGCCAACAACAACCCCCTCGCCAACCTTCCCGCCGATGACCCCCGCACGCACCAGCTGCTCGAGATTGTGAACTCGCGGGACGTGAGCCTGATCAAGGGGCTCCGCGGCTTCGGCGCGAAGAAGGCCCAGAGCCTGGTGGCGCGCATGAACGGTATCGACTACAACGGGACGCGCCCCGACCAGTTCCGGGTCGACTCGCTGGCGCAGCTGAGTGGGGTGTTTGGCATGGGCGAGAAGGTTGTGGAGAAGGCGTGGGAGGGTCTTGCCGGTGTCAGCGAGGGTGTTTGCTAATTCGGCTTGTCTTTTGGTGTCGGCGTTGTTTTTCTGTATTGGCAGGCGGTCGCTTGGCGCTACTTTTGCCGGGTCTTGCCCTTATTGCATGGCGTGGAGTTATGGAAGGTTTAATTATGAGTGAGCATTGCTGCTTAGTCCAAGTACTGTCGAAACGCTACGAAGTTGAGACACTCCCTTCGAAACCCGGTCACATGGCATCGTGTTCTGTTCTGTCAGCCATCACTTGACTCGCTAGGCTGCCTGTGTGCGTGTTCAACAGGCGCTGCATTAGGGGAGCCGGGCACGCTGCCAGTCCGTGAGGCTACCGGCCCCGGGGTCAAGATAGCGCTCAGACTTCCCGTCACAAGGCTAATCAGTCTGGCCAGCGCGACTTTGGCCACGTTCTTGAAGCGCAAGGCAAGGAGCTCCTAGCACAAGAAATGACATGTGCAGACATGGAACATGGCAGGGGCAAGGATGGAGAGCGATGTAGTTTTTCACATGTCGCGTCCCCGCGCTTCATGGCTCGAGTATGTGTTGAGCTTGTCCATGTATTGACCTGGCTTGCTGTCTTTAGACGCCTGTCCAAGAAAAGAGCATCAAAGAACGCTCTCCTTTCCCTGTGTGTGCGTTCCTGACTCTAGTTGGACGCGACTCGAAACGTCATTGAGTACCTAGCATGGACTATCTCAGTGACAAACTAAAGGTACTCGAAGGTTATCTCCACGGCTATGTGGTTACGCGAGGGCTATCAGCAACGGACTGGATATAGCCTCAACTTTTAGCCAAGCTAAACTCACAAACTAACACTTAAGACCTGCTAGCTGTCAGTAAACATCCGACCGGCGTGGGAGCTCTTGAGCCGAGGTTGGTTCCCAGATGTTAGGCGAGATTCCATCAAAAGCCGGGCATCCCCACGTCTCATCTCAGTCATCAATACGTCAAAAGCAACCCTCGGTTTCCGGGAACAGTATACACCACTGCCGGCTCCTGTCGAGGCACAGAACGGAGCCAATCGAACTCGAAACGTCCAGCGTCCGAAAGCACCTACACGAGAAGACGCAATGGCGTCCAAAATATCAACCCTCTTCAAAACCAACAGCCACGCGACAGCCAGCTCAAGCAATGACACCGTCTCCGTCGCAGCCGGCGAACAGGCCCCGGCCGAGAACAACACCGGCCTGAGGGAGCAGATCTCAACGCGCCAGTTCATCTTCATGGCCCTGGGCGGCTCCATCGGCGCGGGCCTGTTCATAGCCTCGTCAAAGGCGCTGCAGCAGGGCGGGCCGGGGGGCCTCTTCTTCGCCTTCGCGGTCGTCGGGGCCGCGGTGTGGCTGACCATGTGCGCGCTGGGCGAGCTCTCGGCCAGCTTCCCCGTGCAGGGCTCCTTCTACGACTTCTCGGTGCGCTTCATCTCGCCCAGCTGGGGGTTCGCCATGGGGTGGAACTACAACGTCAACTTTATGCTCATCGTCCCCTTTGAGGTCACCGTCATCATCCTGATCGAGCGGTTCTGGGGCGATGCCGTGCCCCGGGTCGCGCTGGTGCCTGTTTTTATCCTGGGGCTGTTTGCTGTGCATGTCTTTGGGGCCAAGGCGTATGCTGAGGTTGAGCGTGCGCTTGGGATCGCGAAGATTGTTGTGTTGATGATCTTCACCGTTACGGGTTGTGTCATTGCTGGTGGGGGAACTCGCGAAGCCGATGGGCGTGGGTTTGAGAACTGGCAGAAGTAAGTCATACCCTCTTGACCCCTGGCCACTTGTAGCTGTGTACGCAATATGCCTTTTAAATGATAGGTCAGCTGACGGTATCGCAGTGGACAAGCCTTTCTTAACGGCGGAGCTGGCTTTATATCAGTCTTCGTTGCTGCAGGAATGGCCTACGGCGGAACAGAGATGCTGGGCTTGACTGCAGCGGAGTGCAAGCAACCCCGAAGAGTCATGCCCTTGGCGTCGATACTTGTTGTCGGCCGCCTGGTGATATGCTACCTCCTTCCGCTCTTCGTCGTCGGGCTCGTGCTGAAGCCCTCAACCTTGAGCGAGCCGCAGTTCGCCAAGCTGCACGCCGTTTCGCCCTTCGTGGCTTCCGTCCAGCAGGCGGGCATCCGGGTTCTCCCTCACGTCATAAACGGCTTCCTGATCGCTGCGGTGTTCAGCATGGGAAGCTCGGCCTTCTTCGCTTCCTCGAGGAGCCTGACGGCGATCTGCAAACAGGGAATGGGGCCGCGGATCTTCGCGGAGACGACCAAGGGCGGGCTGCCGCGCAACTCGATTCTTGCTGTTTTGGTGGTGGCACAGCTCGCTTGGGTCACCGCCGCTCCCAGCGGATCTTACATCTTCGACTGGCTCCTCGCATTGGCCTCGACTAGCAACTTCTTCACAGTGAGTGAATCCCAAACCCCAGCAGGACCCGCGAAACAGGTGGGGAACTGGTGTCGACTGACGTTCTATAGTGGTTGAGCATTTGCATTTGCCATATTCGACTCCACCGCGCAATGAAACGCCAAGGCCGGAGCACCAGCGAGCTCGAGTGGAAATCCCCTGCCGGGATTTGGGGCAGCTACTTGGCTGTTTTTATCATAGTGTGCTGCATGGTCTCGCTGGTTGTCAGTGCCGCTCTCCCGCCTGTGATTCCGACCTCAAGGCCCCATGTCGAAGCTGCGATGCAGAACACCATGGGTTTCATTGTCATTTTCATGTGCTGGGTTGGTCATTTGCTCATTGCTGCCCGGCGAACCAATGCGTCCTGGAGGGAGAGACTCCTGATCCCCCTCGACCAACTCGCATTGCCGGAGCTGGATGTGCCGGAACCACAACAAGCACCTGCGGTTGAGAAACGTGGAGGTGAGGCTTCGTAGCTGTTTTGGATAGTCGCCATTCATCTGCTATTAACATTCGTACATGATACCCTGGTTACAAATGAAGTGTAATTTATACGATGTTGATGTTACAATTGGGAGTGGTGGCAACCTCTGAGGTATTCAATACCATCCAAAGTGTCTTGTTCCACCAAGGAAAATGGACCTCGTAAGAATTGATATATATGTAACCTGTTGAGAACTTCTCTTACCTGAGCATGGGTCACAAGACTACAATCTGCGCTGCGTCCTTGTGATAGCCCACGTTTAGCCCCAGTCCTACTTCGTGGCGGCTCGTTCACGCATGTGTAATTGTACCTAAGTACCATTTCCGCCACAAAGCATAAAGCACGAGTTTGCCTACCGATAACATGACTATCAATTATTGGAACTTATACATGCACCCTTGAGCGTCTACCACCGTATTAAGGCGCCGTGTATGTCCCCGGACGTATGCCAGCTAGGTACCCTGGGTACCTAGGTAGGTAGGTCTACCGACCTGTAGACCTACAAATCAGGATTTTAAGTTTGTTTTTTTGGATAACTAGAAACAAACAAATTATGATACAAGTTCTTGAATTTTCTTATTCCTTTTTCATTAGTTATCGTCATAGTATTAGCTACATTTGTTGCCTACCCAGGTATTGTAGTACCTCACACTGAATGAAATAAAAGCTTCCTAGCATGTCTACCGGTAAACTGCTCCCCGTCCATATCTTCTTGGATGCCTTTCAGGACGCGACGTTGCTCGCGTCGCCAGGACAATGCCTGATTCCATATTTCAGTGAAGTTATCGAACTCTAGAAGGCGTTTAAAGAATTGTCAGCATGATGGGAAGGCTTATTTGATCAATGGATGGCTGCTTTAAGTCCGAAGAAGTTGTACTTTAAGACGGGTTGCGCTTGTCTTGTTCTTTTCTCCCGCGTTTGCCCAGGTGGGTGTGAGATCAAAGTCCAGGGAGGCGGGCACGTGAAACAAGAGCTTGCCACATGCACCGGGCGAGAGAAGGGAAAGAAAACAGAAGAAACTACACAGAGTGCACTATGGGCCGACTGACCTCGTCTACTCTCAAATTCGATCTCAATTCCATCCAAAGTCACATACGAGTCCTGTTCTAGAGGCGTAGTTGTTGCGGCCCCAACGACGAAGCCGGCGGCGTGCGAGGTGCGGTTAGCGAAGTAGCCTTTTATTCCGGCACGAGAGCGGAACAAATGCCTTCCGGTGTATTTCCGCGCCATTATGCACACAGATACAGGGCCAGTAGCCTTCAATTCAATGTCATCCGTGACTAGAATTCCACGACCTCGTCAGCCCAGCCCTGGAATCTCAGGCCGGAAGAAGGATACAAAGTGTGAGACATTGCTCTGGGGAACTCACTGAACAGACTCATGTATTGCTCTAGGCGCCCGAAGAAGATCAGCAGCCTGTCATAGCGCGGCCTGGTCTTCCCTTTGGACGGACCGGAAAGTACGGTGTCGTTTGAGATATACGAGGCATTGTCGGATAGCATGTCGTGAGATCCTCTCCTCTCATGCCAGATCTGGACGCGACATCCTGGTATGTTGTTTTCGGTGCACTTGCCGTTCTGCTTGCTCGTCATCTTAGCTCCCCGCACCGACGAGATGTCCAGAGCGATGTCTTCCCCAAGCATCTGGGACTGGAATTCGGCGAGGTCTTGCTCTCAGTCAGTCAGATACCACTGGTAAGATTTGAGAAAGTGGTCCTACCTTCTTGGCATCTAAAGCGGCACATCCAAAAGATCTTTCGAGCTTCAGGTGGCAATAGATCTTTAACGTCGTGAACAGAGAGCTTCTGTAGGTATACCATATTTGGCCACCCGATGTCGTAAACATAGGCTAGAACCAGCTCACCAGTTCGATACAACACTGGAGACCGCGCAGTCAGATAATCAGCATATGCCATAGATGACCCTGGAAATGAAGGAAAGCAACAATGTCTGCACTCGCCTTCAAAATTATACTCAACCTCCCTAGTGCCGCCAGTGATGAGAGAGAATCGAAGATCTTTGGTCAGAGGGCTTTCGTAAATCTTGAGTAGCGCTTCCTTCAGGCCGACAGCCTTGAATTCGGAGTAATTTCTGCTGTAAGAGACAGCTCTAATCAATTGATTTTGTCAGAATGACACCACTCATGTCCACAGATTCATGGGGGCTCCTGACTTGCCGTTCAAAAAGCAGCCTCTCGCCGGAGACTCCGTAGCCTGACATACTAGGTGATGGACTACCGTCTTTGTTCCCAATAGGCATCAGTCCGTCGCCAATGTGGGGTGGACTGTCAACGCCATCAAACCCATTCCGAGAGTTCCCTTTGAATCCTGCGTGATAGACTGCGAACTTGTCCTGTTGTTGGAATGGCGAAACCAGAATAGGAGGGTTCTCGGTGGCGTTCTCGAGGGGAGATGAGTACTGAGTTGAAGTAGAGGGATTCCTGTCGCGGGATTCAGACTGCCTTTCCAGCTCTTTGCACGTGGTCGTCTCGGGGACGGGCGAAGAGACGATGGGGCCGAACGACGCGTAGGTTGAGAAGGACGCGAATGGGGAGCGACCTTGTGACTGAGGGTCAGGGGACGGTAACGTGGTGTTGGTTGACTTGACTTCCGACGAATCTGGAACGAGATGGGGTGTAGTATGACTTTCACGCGAAAAGAACCTGTCACCAATTGTTGGGGCTCTCAAGTCGCTTGCCGCTGCACTTGTATCCGATGAGCCGTTTGGTCTGCATCCTAGACATGAAATACCCTGACCCTCTTTCTCGCGACGATCGGAGTCCGTGAAGTGGCTATCGGTCTCCTTGTACTCCTGCGATGCCTCTCTTGGGTTTGAGCCTGGGCTAGTCTCGCCAGGCAGCCTCTGGAAAGCGTACCTGCTCCCATCCAGCGCGACAAAAACATGGCGGTCGCTAAAACCGATTCCGAGTGCGGACATATCCAGAGAAGAAGTTCCCATCTTCCCTTTCACAAGATGTAGACACGCAGGGCCGTGGAGTATGGAGTTCCTTCGGTTCCAGGGGAGACTGTCAACCAATGCTAGTTGTGGCGTCTCTCTGCTGATCGAAACAGATGGGTGATTGCATGTAACGCTGCAAAATGAGAGTAAACTGAACAGGGGATCCGAGGATAAGGCAAGAGACTAAAGTCTGGCGATGAGAATAACGTGAACCAAGTGGTCAGTCCGGTGACAGACTGGGATTTAAGAAGTATCTTAAGTCACATGCGCAACTTGGTATGCCAAACACTTTGGCCAGTCGCAGTGGCAAGTGGCAAATTCTCGGTTGATATTGCCAGACCCTGGCATGCAGGCTTCAGTGACCGGATAATAAGTTGAAAAAAGTCGAGCCACTCCAAGCGGACCGTTGCATGACGTAGAGGGCTGTTTGGTGTGGAAAAGAAACCAGTTGACGGTATACAATCCCTTCGGAGGGGAAGACGGAATAAATGTATCACCTTATTGATAGCCAGCTATGTAGGCAGCAGCCTCGTCAGGCAAGCAAAAACAGCCCATGTACCACATGGTACTTTGTATTCGAACTGTCCGTTAAACCACCCTTTCCAACGGATTTTACACAATAGGATGAGGCGTGTGTTAGGCTCATGTACCTACTCAGGCACCAACCCCCCCTACCTCTAGAAATCCTTCGGCTCACGTTACCATTGGCCATCAGGATGTGATGTGTGGGCTTTTGGCGTCAAGCTGCAGAAGCTGAAGCAGGGTGGTTGTCTGGAAATGGACAGCCATCTTTCCAGCGTCTGGTTCTCAATGTTGTTCTCTACCTAGGTAAGCCTGTGCGACTCAAAGCAGACCGGCCTTCTATACATCTCAAAATAGACCCGAGAACCTGGAGCTACTCGAGGTGCACTTCTTTCAGCTAGCTGCTATGGCTCTATTGATGTCAGATAAGTTTGTCATCCATGGCTCGGGGATATTTCTGATCCGATTAGCAGTCATCATGGCCTTTGCCGTTGGTCACTGCCATGTGTGGTGTGTTACTCACATGAAAAATGGACATGGGTCGAGCCACGCGACTACGAACGTACCGGTATATGTACCCAGGTAGTATGGATGTGTTCGCTTCGAACCGCGTCTGACCACCCCTGGCCCCTGGCCAGCACATGGTGCTGTCACGCACGAATGGCTCAAGACGATAGGTGTAAAGCATAAGTACTTAAGTATGTATCGATTAATGTGATGGTGACGGAGACTGCTGTTGCAGCCTGCAGTAAATGTCAAAAAGCTTGCGAAAGAAAAAGACAAATAGAAAATAGAGCTGATCCCCCAACAATTCTCTCAACTCTGAATGCTTTGGTCAGTCCTAAAACAGAGTACTACAAATACGGCTGTGATCGATTGTATTAGTGCGTATCCGCCGTTAGCGCCTAAACACTAGGTACTTCGGTACACAAGATGCAGATGTTCCCCTGATGCTGGTGCAAGACGCATGGCTTGTGCCACGAGCGGCTCCCTTATCAACACATGCCGCGCAAGCTTCTGAATTTACTTTAAGATCCACACCGGTCCAGTGGTGTAACACGACACTGCAGTGTACTGATTCGCCTCGTACTTATTCGTATCTGTACATAAATCTGGCTCCCGACCCATCACAACGGGAGCGGACAGGGTATGAGGAGGCGGTTCCTATTCAGACAGAAGGTGCGAGTGAGGTACCTGACTCGAAGTCACTGAAGTGAGACGTCTCGAAGGGAATTGCACGTGACCCAACCCAACCCCCCCGGTCATCTGAAGTCTCACATTCCAATCACTACTACCTGCTGCACAGCAACAAACCCGCAGGCAGCCCCTAAACGAACACAAATAGCAGTCTAGGCCCGCCTTATGCATCACCACTCGAAGAGTAGGACTTGGAGGCCTCCCTGACCGACGATGACAGCCGTGTCCCCAACAAGAGATAGTGCGGCTCTGCTGGAGGAGCAAGGGCTTCTGGACTCTGATCGACGCTCGTTCGAGGCTCTCAATGAAACCCCTGCCACCCCTCCGGACGAGGATACTCGGACCCTCCAGCCGCCGCCAAGGACTCTGGGATTCCAGAATGGTGTCGCTATCGTTATCGGCATGCAGATAGGCTCGGGCATCTTCTCGTCGCCCGCGAGCGTCATTGGCCATGTTCACAGCTCCAGCCTCGCTGTCACGGCATGGTTCGTCGCCGGTCTGTTGGCATGGGCAGGTGCTGCCTCTGTCGTCCAGCTAGGCACGCTTGTCCCAGTCAATGGTGGCTTCCAGGAGTACTTATCTTTTCTGTACGACGACTCGTACGGCTGTCTATTTGCCTGGTGCTGGATCATAATCTCTCGCCCCTGTGGACTGGCGATGGTGTCGCTGATTTTCTCCGAGTACCTCTACGAGGCCATTGCAAGTGGTCAGGTGCAGGACTCACATATGAAGGCCATGGCGGTCATGTCGATCATCTCCATCACAGTCCTCAACTGTCTGGGTACCCCCGTGGGTAAACGCATGGGAAGCATTTTCCTCACCCTGAAAGTTATTGGCCTTCTCTCAATCCCGCTGGCAGCGCTCATCTATCGGGTGTCTAGTGTTGTTCCTGGGGGTGACTCTTCATACAACCGCTCCGAAGATTCAAATGGCCCAGCAACTCAGTCTACGTCTGATGCTGCGCCAGACCCTTGGGCTACCCTCGGCGGTCTCACTGATTCTGTTCTCGCGGCTGTGTTTGCTTATGGGGGTTGGGAAAGTGTAAGTTAACATGAAATATGTAGAAGATTTCCCTCTTACACAGAACCCTGCTCATCACTTCTATAGATCAGCTTTGTTGTGGGGGAAATTCAAAATGTCGAGGTCACCCTGCCTAAAATTCTTCACACATCCATGGCCGCCGTCATCGTCCTGTTCGTGTCTGCAAATCTTGCACTATACGCGATCGTACCAATTGAGGATATGGAAACATCCAATACCATTGCCCTGGTCAGTTTAATGAGCATTACTCTCCGCAACTGAAGTATTAAATCATGTCTTTTGACAATAACTTCTTTTCCTATTAGGCATTCGGGTATCGTATTGCTGGGACCGCTGGCAAGATTTTCTACGCTTGGATCGTCTGTCTCTCATGCCTCGGAACATTGCATGCCATTGTCTTCTCTGCTGGTCGTCTCACTCAAGCTGCCGGCAGCCATTCATATGTCCCGCAGTTCCTTGGCCGCAGTGCAACGCCACCACTGCAGAGATTGAGGGGATTGTGTGGCGAGCGTGGCAGACACAGGTCCTCGGTCGATCTAGATGTGACACGTCAGAACATACCGGCGTGAGTACCTCCTCGATTTGCGATGATCACTGAATAACAATTGTGTAGAAATGCAATGCTCCTGAACGCTGCGTTAGCGTGTATCTTCGTCTTAACAGGTACCTTCAGACAACTGCTGACCTTCAAAGGTGGGTAAGCCCACGAAACGGGACGAAATGCTTGATAGTTGACCTCTTGTAAAAATTTAGGAATGATGGAGTATACCATTTATTTGATAACTCTATTTGGTCTTGTTCTCAGAACTGTCTCAAGCGGGTGGTCAACATCGGCTCTTGCTCCCATGTCATTCTGCGCGATTGCTGTGATTGTTATCATACGCGCCGCTCTATCACACCTCCTAGCGGCAGCTGGGATATTTCTTTACTTCATGGCTGTGTTATTCACATACAGAGCCGCCAGGCGAGGTGGTTTCACCAGCATTGCGTCGCGGCTGACTTCGTTTCGCTCCAATGTGTCCCGGGGGTCAAGCGGGCCTTTGAGCAATGAGACCTGATAGTTGTCATCGCTAATGAATGAGAAGTCTTATCAGATTATTCGGTAGCAACTGTCTAATGGAAACCTTAACTAGCTACCCTTTGTATCGGTGTCTGTACGACTCGGCTGGGCGCTGTTGTTGGGCTTGCGCCACCTGATCTCCGATATCCCGTCAAACACTGGCAGGATAAGCGTCTCGACTCTCTGGTCCTGGCTCATAGTCCTGTTGAAAATTTTCATGAGCTCGCCTGATTCTTCCCAGTGTTTGAGCTGCTCGCTATCAATGTCTTGAAGGTTTGAGTTGTCTACGACAAACCCTCGCGCGAAAACTAGAGGCTCTTAGGAACCGAACAAGACCGAGAGTTTCTGAGTTCAAACCTTACCATTATCAACCAGGATCACTCCATTAGGTGCAAGAATCTTTCGCTCGAGGAGAACCTGAACCGTCGGTAGATACGCGCCGAAGGCCATGTCAACGAAGACCAGGTCGAATTCGCCGCTCAACGACTGCAAGCTGACGTCCGAACTGTTACTGGGAGGCAATCATATACAAACAAGGGAATATGCTCACATATCTGGAGACGTGCCTTCCAGGACCGTGATTCGTCCGTCATATCCAAACCGTGCGAACGCATCTCTGGCAACGGACGCCATGCGGCTATCGGCCTCCACTGTGATGATCTGGAAGGAAATGATTGCACAGCAAATTAACCCCGGTGCCCAAGATCTTGATATAAAAATTGGTGCGATTTGTGAAAATTTGCCATTTGAGGCTTGACGGAAGTGGCTTACCTCTGCACACGTCTCTACGGTGCCCTCGAACCACGCTATGGCACTGAAGCCGGTGTAACAGCCGATGTCGAGGACTTCGCATCTGTCAGTCTTCTTTGCCGAAAATGATAGGGCCAAGACTCAGTGTTCACTCGATCTTGTACACGGGGTAAGATAAAATTACTGTCAGGGATATGCTTACCTCGCTTGACCTTCCTATCACTGGCGACTTGCTTCAACCACAAACCCTTCGCAAAAACCATTGTCAGTCTACTTCAGACCACAGTCGACGGAGGACTCACCTGCAGAATTGAGCACATTTTGTCGGCATCGGGGAAGTTGGCATTCGACCAATGCCAATGTTCAAGCATGTTCGGCGGCAGGTCGACGGAATATTGCTCGGCGAAGCTACTCAGCTTCCGAGCTACAGTCTTCTTTTGCACACATATAACGTTTCAGTTTCACATGACTCAGCCGGAGAAATAATGCCTGGGCTCACTTACAGGCAGGGTTAGAAAGCTGTTCTTCATATTTACAAAAAAAGGCGGGTGCTTGAGAAGAGCTCAATTGTTGATGAGCCCATCTGACTTTCTCTGTGACCAATCCAGTTGAGGATTTCATTCGTTCAAATGCTCGAACAGGTCTCAGCACGAACTTGAAGTCACTACTCCCCGGTATCAATGACAAGAAAAAGTGAGGCTTGCCCTTTTCCTACCTAGCTATTTAAATCCTTCAGGGCTCGGGTGTGGGGGAGGTCTTCGTGCACTCGCGGTAAATGTAAAGGCTCTTCCACACCGAGGTCGTCCAGCTCCATGCGGGGGCCCGTCACGGCATGAAAAGTCCCAAAATGTAAACTGTACTTCCATATTCATTCAGGGACATAGGGTAGGTGAGACAGCACATCAATAGCTCTCTGTGGTGTAACACGCACATGGCAGCAAAAGCGGTTGGATGTGGTGCACACTGCTACCGCATACAGAATGTCTGCATACCGGTATGTGGCAAGGACCGGGATTGGCAGGTCCAAACTCCATCCATGGTAAAGATGCACTTGTTCGGCTCACGGTGATGCAAACTGTCGATCCCACAAGTCGACATGTCCATAAACCCAAAACAAGGCTGCGCGGGGCTTCTTGTCACACACGTCCGATCCCCGCTGCGCTGTTTTCAAGGTGCTCGAGTGACCCCCAAAGCTCCTTTCAGAATGTTTCCGGTGTCATTTCCTCTTTCCATATCTCCACAGTTGCAGAAGAGCAGGCATAATGGAGCCCTCTCAGGTTTATAGACGCGACATTCTCGAGATCGAGGCTGTCATGCCCGAGTTCGAGGCCGGCCATAATGAGCGCAGAGAGGACGACGAGAAACCGTCTACCCACTCAAAGTATTTTGTTTTCCCAGAAGGTTGGTTCCAACTGGTTCTCTTAGTCGAGCCCGTCCAGATTTTCCATGCCTTACGCCTGTTCTTGTTCCGGCGGATTCTTGAATTTGCTGTGATTCTACGTAGTACACGCCACAAGACCTTTCAGAATCACGCTGACCTGGATTTCAAAATACGCAGATAGAAAGCTAGGCTACTTTTCCACCGCGCTATTAATCGTGAACCGCATGGTCGGGACCGGCATCTTTTCGACGCCATCCACTATCATGCAAGCCACCAACAGCGTCGGGGCAGCTCTTTTATTTTGGCTGCTTGGTGGAATAATGTGTTTCTGGTGAGTCGAGAACCGAGCTCAAAAATCCTTGATCGGTATCGATCTCTAACCTTCAGACCAGCGGGTAAGTCAGGACCAGGATGCTTTCCGACTTGACCGGCCTGCCATATATCTGATAGAAAGTAGGTTGATGGCCTATATTGAACTCGGTACAACACTTCCACGTTCAGGGGGCGAGAAGAATTACGTGAGTCTGGAATTCTCAACTTGTCGCCTATCTGAGACATGCCTGACAACTATTTCTTCACAAGCTTGAACGTATCTATCGTCGTCCAAGGTACTGGACAACATGCATATTTGCCGGTGAGACGCAGTCCTGACGCGCTGTACACATACGAGAAGAATTCTGACGCAAAATTAGTTGAGTTCATCTGTTTCGCCCAGTCTGCTGCCAACAGTATCAACTTCAGCTCTTACCTCCTCTACGCCATCAACGGCCTATCCACACGCAGATCCAGCAGCTGTGGTCGCTCGCCAAACGGTGAGCTCCTCGCCGCAGCCCCGCTAGCACAAGAATGGATGAACAAGGGGATCAGCATCGGGACCATTACCATCGTGTGCCTGGTCCACTCATTCCTACCACGCATAGGGATCTGGGTCAGCAACGGTCTCGGCGTCTTCAAAATCATCATGCTCCTCGTCATTGTTTTCACTGGATTCGCTGCTTTATCCGGCCGTATGGCTGCCACGCCGCCAGACAATTTCTCTTCTTTCAACGGGGCTGGCGACGCTTGCCCTCTTGCGCCTCCGGATAATGCTTCCCAGGCGGCCAATTTCGCTATAGCGCTGATGCAGGTTCTGTATTCATATTCGGGTTGGGAGAGTGCCAACTATGTAATTCCCACATCTCTTCCGATATCTTGGTCCAAATCAGGCGATGCTAAGTGTTCGTGGCGACAATTCAGGTGCTGAGCGAAGTTCGTCGACCCGAGAAGACACTCAAGTGGGCCGCACCAATTGCTTCCCTCACGGTCACCTGCCTCTATATCCTTGCTAATATTGCATATGTATGTACCCTCATTCAGTGATCGTGTGATCATCGGCGACTGAACAGATTGCAGTGCGCCGGCTCGTCTAAGGAAGAGATTGCAGGGTCTGGTGTGACAGTTGCTGCGGGCTTTTTCACAAATGTGAGTCAGGCCCGGTTCCCCAGAGTCTTTTACCTTTCACGAGTTCACTTTTTGGATTGAGACTTGTTTTTTCATCAATCTCCCGATCTTCTAATGACGAAGCTCTTCTACTTTAGGTTTTTGGCCCCGGTCCGTTCGTGTCGAGGTTCCTGCCCCTGGTTATATGCTTGTCCATTCTGGGCAATATCTTCTCGCAAACGTATTGCAACTCACGAGGTACAATCACTTCAGTCACAGCCTTTTCTGTTCGTCGATTGACCGATGTCACTTTGTTGTATAGTGAAGCAAGAGCTGGCCAAGGAAGGAGCTTTGCCGTTCTGGCGTTTCTTTGCAAGTGACTGGCCTATCAACACGCCAACAGGTTCGTGAGAATCAGACCTTTGCCACCGCATTTCCAGATACATGCGAGTCCTCTCATACTTATTGACCTTCTAGGCGGAATCTTCTTGCATTGGCTCTTCTCGGTTGTTTTGATCGTCGGACCTCGAACGAGCGATGCTTACCCATTTATCACAAACCTTGGGACGTACACACAGAGCATCGTGAAAAGTGAGTATCTGCATGGACAACCAACCTTGATATTGTATTCATTGGACTCTTCACCTTGGGAAATTCGTGATCCTCTGACATGCGCAACAGCACTGATCGGCTCCGGGCTAGTTTATCTGGCCCTTAGCCCTCGGAGTGGGTGGAGAGCAGAGCGGACTAGTTTCCATACCTCGCCTCTCCTGACCATCCTTTGGGTATTTTCGTTGCTTTTCGTTTTAATCGCGCCGTTCATACCTAACAATCGTGTCACCCCAACCATTCCCTGGTTCGTAGTCCCCACCGTGGGCTGCTCCGTGGTTGCAATCGGCACACTGTATTGGTTCTATTGGTTCAAACTTTGGCCAATGCTTGGATGGGCTGTCGAGACCGAGAAGGAGGTGCTTCCAGATGGCAGTGAGAGGGTGAAATATTCTGTAGGTTTTATTTCTTTACCCTTTCATCCTGTCCCCCCCCCCTCCGGCCTGTACCCCAACTCTTGAGCAATTCAAGTTGTCTACCAAATCCCATACATTACATTGCCACAGTCACAGCTATAGACTGACCTGGAATCAATTCTAGCATGTGAAATATGGAAAGAATCAATAGGATGTTATTTGGCCAAGACTAAGCGTTTAAAGAAGACAATACCAATGACAGTGTAAAGAGAATTAAATACGTGGGCACGGGCCCCAGTCTAGTCTACAGTTGCCGCACAGACAAGGCTAGGAAGCATCTCAGTGGTTCATAGTATTAGAATTATTTTATTTCACACTATTTTCTTTGTATCAAGTCGATCCAAGGCACACAAATGAGTCGTCTAGTCCCCCAATCCATGGTCCTCCTCCATCCCCCTCACACCTCATGGCCACCTAATTATGTACCTAGGTACCTAGGTAGGCAGATGCAGGCCGAGGCTTGAGTCACACCTGGGCACCTCGCCGGCTGTCGACCGAGAATGGATTTACGTAAAGCAAGACTGTAGCACTACCATAGAACGAGTTCTTGTGCAAGGACAATGAAAGTCTCGCAGGACACCTTTGCTGGGAGTCTTGGAAGTCGGACAGATTTCAAAGGGATTGCCGGATCCGTCACTTCTGAATACCTAGGTATGAATGAAATGGCCAAGACTTCACGTGAGATGGCAGATCCCGGTCCCAAATTAAATGGAAGAACGGCAGATCACACGTGGTGTTAGCTTTGTCCCACACTGGCAGCGAGTTTTCTCCCCATCTATTGATTGAATGTGACCTAGGTACGAGATCGGACATATCAAACAAAACATTCAAGACATGTAGACTTCAGCAAGCAGGAAGCTTCGTTGTTCATCGCCATCCCTTCGGTTTTAGAATACTGTTACAAAATGGTACCGTATAATAATCCCGAGACTAAAGACAAATAGGAGTCCTTCTACCATCTGGGCAGTCGAGAGAATTGACACCCTGAGAGTCGTATTCGATGGCGAGGCGCTTCAGGATGACAGGATTGTGGACGATGGCTGGCTTCATTCTTGTCGGAGCGCTCCAAATTGGAACCACCAATAACTTCAACCCGCATGGTGTGGGAAGGATGCTCCAAAATGTCTAAGTAGTGTGATTCGTATCGACGAGCGAATTATTTGCGCGAACAATTCTAGAAGAAGTTTGGGATCCCGTCCCGGGGCCATCCCTCTGGCCATTCGAGCTGAAAGTGTCCAAGTACCGCCACTTCATCGGCGATCTGGACATGTGAGATAGCATTGAACGGAAGAGAGTGTTACCAGATTACCCTTTTGAACGAGTTACGCTGGCGGCGGGGAAAATAGTGCTTCATCGCCCCAGGTTCCTCCCAAAGCGTCCGGTATGCCTTTGTTACAGGTTACTGGCTGGAAGCTAGGCACTACAGTGAAACCTCCCACGCACAGGGTATTCTCTTAATCTTTGTCAAGGGACATGACCCTGTAAAATATAATACACGTCCCCATACACTATGCAGCCATGCTAAATTGTAACTGGGAAAACTAAATAGGTACCCAAGGAGGTATGCTACCTAGGTACTCTAGCTCAATCTGTAGAAATCTTGGAAAGATTGTCCGAAAAGCAACCAACGGTCGAACTCTTTCCTCCACTTGTTGGCATTTGATCCTAGACGCAGACATTGTCTAGTTCCCTCTGATTACCTGCCTAGGTACCTAATAAACCTGGGCGCTTTATTCCAATTGTCATGCTCCCTGTCAACCATAGATGTTTATATTCACAAAGGACCTCGGGAACCAAGTAAGCACCCAAAAGTCTTTCAAGTTTCAAAAATAGAACAAATGTAAGATGTTACTCCCGAGACCTCTTTGTGTTTGAACCAGGCCACAGCTCCACTTCGATTCCCCGGGTCAATATAAGTCTCCAGAATGGCTGGGCGGAAACAAGTGGAGTGCAATTTGTGCAATACATGTTTTGATTTCAGCTTCAATACCTTAAAATCAGTTTTCCACACATACTTCCTCTCAGGCGCTCTAAAACTTCGAGTAAATCGTCAACAACATGGCTGGCCATTGGGTTTGGAGCTGTGCGGAGACACAAAAACTTGCGCTGGGTATGGTCATCGCCCTGGACTACTTCAACCTACCACGTGATCAGGACCCCAGGGCTCCGAGGGCAGATGGGAAAAAAGTTGCCATGAGAGCCACTGACTGGGGAGTAGAATGGGTACGTAACCTGTGTGGTTCTTTCAATGTCCCTTTCCTCATTTTTCAGAGAATTGCCAGCTAACCTCGGAACTGAAAATCAAATAGACCAAATTCCTCAACAGGAAGAACGTGAGGCGTTGGAACAACCCTATTGGTCACGCTCCAATACCCAACGATCCGAAAAAGATCAATAAAACACACATAAGAAACGCCCACGTCGTGGACATGGACCAGGTCTACCGCAGGATCTGGCACCTCACCAGACCTCGACGACGCCGCACACACAACGCTATCCCCGGCGCACTTATAGCCGGCCCCGGCTTTCTCAACTGGGTGATGTCGGTCCGGACAGCCCAGGGCGCCGGGGGCGGGGCGCTGACTGTCGCGGAGACCACAGAGATTATGAACTCGCCCTTGGTGGCGAACTACGTGTATCCCGCCGGTATCGGTGCTTTGGCCGCCGACGCACAACTACTGCGGGCTAGACTCCTTCTTCATAGGCTGCCCGAGTTTCTCTGTCAGCTGGGAAGTGCCACGACCCAGTATTCATTTCTTTGATGCTTGAGCATTTCATGTCACAGTACAGAAAATTTCATCCCTTCACAGTTCACAGGCACAAACTGTATATAATTTGTTTCTTTTTGTACGAATTACTACACAATTGACACGGAATTACCCTAGTGTACCCGTGTAGCTTCGCTACTGTGCCTCGTCGTGTAATGCCTGTGGCGCGGTCCGCGCTGTGGCTTTCCTGACGGACCATGTTAGCTGCGCCGCACTGGGAGCCTCACAGTATTGGTCTTTCCTAACCACTAGACAGTAACCCTTTATTTATACATACTACTATAGTATATAGGTTATAATTAAGGTTACTATAATTTCCTAGGGGAGAAAAGAAGATTATTATATATAATTACTTCTAATTATAGGAATAATGTCTATGGTAGCTGTGATTGTAATGTGATCTAGTATACAGCCCTTACACGGTTGATAGAATAGAAGAATAAAGGCTACTAGTCTTGTTTTAATCTTTTTCTAAACACTAGGCCTTTGAGTTTCACCAGTGTATGAAGGTACCGTATATGTCGATATCTAGTACGAACGTTCGTAGGGAGTAATCGTGTGTATTGGGTGGTGTTGTTCTGGTTAAGTTTGAGCCCACTCTCGCTGCCGCGAGAGTGCCTGCTATGTACCATCTAAAACACACCTGCCTTACGACAGTATACACTCTAAATATTTGAGGATTACAAATGAAGCCACTTGTTTTAATTTATCCTTCTATAATACTGCTTGTTCCTAACCAATCCCCTTAACTATTCTGGAATGACCATATTTTGTTTCCATAATGCCATTTGTGCGTTTGATACATGACAGCTGGCAGGGATTTCCAGACAATCAGAGGTGATTTGATGCCAGGCAAAACGGTTGACCACGGCCGGTCGTGGCAGTTGGTTGAGGCCGGGCGGCCGGGGCAGGTAGGTGCTGGCGTCGTGTTCGGAACTGGTTTTGCGTCTTTAGATGGTACGCAGCTAAATGCACTCTGAAGCATGTGTTTCGTGGGTAGTGGTCTGAAAAATCCGTACAAGTGGTGCGAAGGAGGCTCCTCTAAGAGAGGGGATAAATGGAAGGAGAGCGCTCAATACAGCCACCTCATACCACCGAGCTGGGAGAGATTAGCACAGAGCTTTGTTGGAAGGAGGTAGACACCTTACACAGGCAAAAGCATGCTGCATTTGGGCCCAGTCCTGACTACTAGAAATCTTTATAAATTCCTTTCCATCCATACATCTCGCAACACCATCAACCGCCCATAGACAATACGGATCCTCTGGGTAGCCATACTCTTGTGCAAAGTAAAGGCATGCCAGAATATTCTCGCGGCGAGGTCCCTCGGGCTCGTGTTTGAGAAAGTTTTCGAGGCTCTTAATCAGCTTTATCCAGCACTTCTCTACTTCCTTGTGCATACCCTTAGTACTTGGTGGTGGGAGGCCTTGTATCTGTATGCTCGAAGCTTGGACAGCTTCGACAGGTTCTCCTGCTGTGCTGCGAGGTTTGGATGGCATGATGAGCATGTAGTTGGGGCTGACTGTGAAAGCCCAAAAGAATACTTGTATTCTCTCGAATTCGCTGATGTTATATGGATGAAAATATATAGTACTTGGCACCGTATGAAGGCGCCATGTATGTCCTCAGACGTATACGGAATAGAAGCGAAACCACATATAGTACTTGGGTTGAAGGTGGACCGGAAAATTCTAGAGGCCTCCTTCCATGTGGAGGTGAGATGGAGATAGGTGCCAAGGAACGTGCAGCCACCTGCAGTCAACCGGGGTCGGCCCACCTGCCAGCTTCACGTCGGCCCACCTAGCTCCGAGGCCGATGCCGAAAGAGCGGAGGCTGTTCGACTATATAATAAGGTATGCGGCTGGTGCAGGGGACGGTCCTGATGGAGGGCCCCCTTCTGTAACATGATCCCAATGGCTCCGACGGCGGCCAGGGAGATGGCGGCTGAGACCGGGAGGTAGAAAGAGCAGACTCGCCGTCAGCTTCCGAGGCGGGACATGATGGCTCTGAACAGCCGTCTGATGCGCCTGGGGAGCCAGAGGATTCAACAGACTCAGGCGGAACGAACGACAACCACAATGATGATGGTGGCTCCTCCTGCCCTCAATTAACGCTCTTGGTGCTGTGCGTCGACCAATGGGGAGTTTTGAGCAGCTTGCAACGCGTGAGTTGAGCAAGCTGCACAAGCAAAATGTAGCAAAGCCGCGGTACCGGTTGTGCCTACAAGACCCCGCCATGAGTACATATGTATGCTGGAATATTGATACAGGGAATTCGCGTCTTGTCCACGGCGAGACCTTCATAGCACAGCCATGTTCCTGAGTAGCAAGGAGACCGAAGCACACATAGTCTATACAAGCATGTTAAAGACAAAGGCGTGTTCAACCACGTGGATTGGTGACAGACAAGTGGTGGCGAGGGCATAGCCGAGGCATCAGGCAGGTGGAGTCAGTCAGCTTGCTCACATATACAGGGACCAAGCGATGCCTTATCCTGCCTGCATGGGCAAAAGGTTGCAGTGGCACACTCGTGCCTGAAATGAGATTTCGCGTATGTGGTTGTGCATATATTTACACATACGACGGAAAGGGGAGCAATCGAGATCGACCTCATCGTGAAGTGATTTCAGGACTTTGTCTTCAAGGAATAACTCCTCACTCGTTCCCGACAGGTTCGTTCCTCTTTTTCTTCAACCTGAGCATCTGTAGTACCTCATTCCAGAACCCTTCAGGCTTCGTCTTGAGCGAGTCCTCATACGCATCAATGACAGGCTTGTCCCACACTAGGTCCGCCTCCTCGGGCTTCACAATCTTGGTCCTCTTGACGACCTTCCACGCCGTATACGTCAGCACCGCGACGAACACCATGAGGTAGTAGCTGAAGAAGGTGCCGACGTCCCAGTAGCCTGGCAGGAAGGTCTCGTATCCGTAGCATGAGACTGTGAAGATCTCGCCGACGAGACCGATCCACGCGCTGTACGGCTGGAACCATCCCGTGTAGGGAAGCGTGCTGCGGTCAACGCCCTGGGTCTTTAGTGCGCGGTAGAAGTACAGGTATGTCACGCACATGACAATGTAGTCGATGATCTGGGCTGCCTGCGTTAGGTTCGCCAGCCACTGGACGGCCTGCGCGGTGCCGTTCGAGATGGCCAGGAAGGAGAGGAACGGGAAGACCATGGTCACGGCGAAACACCAGACCGGGATGCCGGAGCGCGTGCACTTGGAGAGGAAGTGCGGCGCTTGTCCTTCTAGTGCCATTCCGTAGAGGGACCGCATGGCACAGTAGACGTAGGCGTTTCCGGCCGAGAAGATGCTGGTGACCAGGAGAGCGTTCACAATATCCGGCAGGACGGAGACCTGCATGTTACGCATTGCGATCACGTAAGGACTGGCGGCCGCGGTTCCCTCGCCGTCGCCCGAGTTCAGGAGTGGGTCGTTGTAGGGCAGGATGATGCCAACAGCGAGAGCCCCGCCGATGAAAAAGATGCCGAACCGCCAGTAGACCGTCTTAAAGGCCTGCTTTAGGTAAGTCCGGGGTCGCTGGGCCTCGCCTGCGACCATGGCGAGGTACTCGGGGCCGACGATGGTGAAGGCCGCAGACCACAGAGCACCGAGGAACCCCTGAAATCGTCCCAAGGAGCCCTCATGAATATGCTCTGCGAAGGAGCCTGGGTTTGCCCAGTACCGAAAGCCGAAAGCATCGTGCTGTGGGTTTCCTCCGCACATGGTGACAAAGGTGAAGCAAAAGACGATGATGATGAGGAGGAATTTGCCACTTGACAACCAAAATTCGGCCTCGCCATAGAACTTGACAGCAAAGATGTTGATGGCTGCGTAAAGGACGATGCAGGCGGCGCAGACGGCTGCGACGGGAATGTCGTCGCGCCAAAAGGTCAAGACGAGATTGATGGCCGAGATCTCGAATGGAATCATGGTGGCCTCGTAGAGGAAGAAATTCCAGCCCGTCATGAACCCAAATGCCTCGTCAACCCATTTACCAGCAAAGCGAATGAAAGAGCCTGGATGTGACTGTCAGTGACTCGGCTGCTGACTGCGGTTGCTGTGTGCAAGCAGGAGAGGGAGGCGGTGATTACTACGTACCTGAAACGGGCATGTAGACGGCCATCTCGGCCATACAATTGTTGACCAAGCCGAGCAGGGCCGAGTACAGGGCAAAAGCAATGAGCAGTGAGCCTGGGCCGCCGTCCATCAAGCCATTGCCGATCGAAACAAACAGGGCCGTTCCGATGGAGCCTCCAATGGCAATCATCTGGATCTGGCGATTGCCAAGGTGCCGTTGGAGGGCATCGGTGTTGCCCCGAGCCTCGACGACGCCCACGTCCTCGTCATAGGGGACGGCGCTGTTCTTTTCGTCGCCGTGAGCCGGCGGGAACTCCTTGTCTGACGCCATCACCCACCGTTGGCGGTGTGGTTTCTCAGGAGACCAGTTGATGGTCAAGAGGCAGGACAGGACAAGACTGTATGTTGGCCAAGCTGCAGCTGCAGTAGTGCAATATGCAACGAGCAACGTGCTGGGGATTTTTCACAGCCAAGACAGCGCAGAGACGAGACACCGGGACGAGACCGGGACGAGATCGAATTCAGATCTGGGCTGGCGGGATGCAAGGAAGGGAGGGGCGAGGAAGACCAAGAGGCTCGAAAGGGGTTCGGCTCGCAGCTCGCTCAAGACATGCAGGACATGGCGTCGAGGTGAGGGCTGGAGAGAGCCGATGTCTCGTCCATTCAATGTCTTGGGAGACCCTGAAAAACCCAGCTGCAGGGAGTGGCGCCGACGGTGTGGATCCGCGCTGCCATTGTTGTTTCGACACTGGTCAGAATCCGATCAGCAAGAAAATGGCTCCTTTAGCTCGACAGCCAGGAAGCTTGAAAGCCTGCTTGGAGAAATTACAAACGGACCGAAGACTCGACGAACGGTTTGACGCCAGGCCTCCGCAGACGACGTTATAGGTGGGGGTCCCCCTGCTTCACTACTCATTAGCTGCAGGACCAGGGCGGGGTCGTCAATTGGGCGACCAGGTACCATGTACCCTCCATCGAGCAAAGATAAGCTCCTGGGAAAGCATAGATAAGCAATCGGTACCTAGGTACATGCCTAGGCACTGTACTTATGTAGCCGAGGTGGGCAGCAGCCTGCATACCGCGTCCTTCAAACACATGACGACCAGTCGCTCTCTTTGTTGGTCCCGACAGTTTGTTTCGATTCGTGAGGGGTCATTTTCAGTTATCATTTCAGCGTGCAGTGGCTTTATTATGATCATCTCAGTCAGTAATCGACTGCCTCAATGCCACTTCAGCACATAATACTGATACAAGCAGCAGCAGCAGCAGATCGTACCTACGTACTGTAGTAGTGAAATGGAATGACGTGCATGTTCTTGCAGAGCTCGAGAGAACTTACTATCTGCCTGCTTGCCCAGGTGACGTTCCAATGGCCCTCGGCTTTTCGGCGATGGGGCGCCCGGACCCCTCAAGCCGTTCTTAGATATGCCCGATGCATGGTACACATCGTAAAGTACGGAGTGACATTTGAAGCACTTGAGCCTCAGCTTGCTTGACAACCATAGGATAATGTTCTACGAACCAGGTAAAACAGATCACGGATTGGACCACGACCCCTTCAAGGTGCGACTCCAGCTTTGTGCGCCGTGAGCATCGACGAGGTGTGTCTACTAATCAAGCCCAAGGCGTGTGTCGTGCCCAGGCCTATAGGATGGATCAGCACCGTCTCGACCTCGGGCGTGCACAACCTGGCCCCTTACTCACAGTTCAACAACCTGACCTATGACCCACCATATGTCATGTTCTCCGCCAACCGGACGCCCTCCAACAGGCGCAAGGACACGGTTGTGAACGCCGAGGCCACAGGAAGGTTCGCATGGAGCCTAGCAACGTGGGACCTGCGGGAGGCAGTCAACGCCACCGCGGAACAGGTCCCGCCCGACGTGGACGAGTTCGACCGGGCCGGCCTGGAAAAGGAGTTCACGACGGCCCTGCAGGACCCACAACTGCCAATGGTGAAGGCCAGCCCCGTCAAGTTCGAGTGCGTCTACCACACCACCCTGAAGCTGCCGGGGAACCCGCCCATGGGCAGCGCCGACGTCGTGATCGGGCGCGTGATCGCCGTGCACATCGCAGACGACGTCTTAACCAACGGCATCCTTGACGTGCGGAAGACTCAGCCGATCGCCCGGTGTGGATACTATCAGTATGCGGTCATAAGAGACACGTTTGAAATGGTGATCCCCAGTACGGGAGGGTGGAGTGAGGACCTCCTCGGTGGACTCGAAGGCTCCGCAAAGAAAAACAGGCGGATCGCCGATCGCATGCGAGAGATGCAGAGAGGGGAGACAGACACATCTAGACCGTAGATCAAAACACATGACCGCAGGCATGAACGTCATGCAGACAAAATCAGAGTCTTTCACCCTTTGTTCAAAATGCTGTTGGATTACTCACAGAAGACGTTGGAGAGGGGAAAACATGGGTACCCTCGTGCAATGAGGCAACTTTGGCTAGAAAAAGTAAAGCCGCGTCAACGTCCCACGACATGTACTTCTGTTATACTAGTAGATGTATGCCATGCTCCCAACATCTAAAAACGACAGAGCTGACTGGATACGTGGCATCGGACACGGCTCGGAACTGGTGTAGCATGCCCTGTCATATGGAGGCCTATTCACCCCGGGCTGCATATCCAGTCTATTTTTGCCAGGAGGCTGTGAATGAGCAACTTGGGTACTATCACCCGGCAGGAGACTAGCTTTCGATCGAAGTCACTGTTGCTCAATGACTTCAAAAATGTTGGAAGCCAGCTGGCTTCCGACTGGGCCCTGATCTCGTGAATCACAGCTCCTCACAGCTCTATATAAGGGAGGTTCTGTTCTCAAAGCTGCACTTGACCTCATCTTTTTCCAACCGTCGAAAAAAAGCAAAACACCCTTACTAACTCCAACAATCTTGGAACCAACAAACTTTTTGGGAAAAGCAAAATCCACGACTATTAAGTCGCCTAAATTTACGCACAGAATCTTCAGCAGTACAAAAGCCTACAGATCATGCCCTCGCAGATTTCTCAGAATCTCTCAGTCAACATGAACACTGGGGTGACAGGACCCGAAGCCGGTAGCGGCTCTGACAAGGCCGCTGTTCAGTTGGCCGATGCCAAGGACATATCGCCTTACAATGCCGAGATTGACGCCGCTCTGAAGATATTCCAGGAGTGGAAGCTCCCTGGTCCCCCAGCAGCCAGTGCCAAAACATTCCCTCTTCCCACCCTGGGACCTGTCCTCCGGGATGCTGCCAAGGACCTCCACGACGGCCCGGGGTTCGTCCTCCTCCGTGGGTTTCCCGCGGAGAAGTACTCGAACGAGGACATCATGACCATCTTCCTGGGAATCGGCAGCCACATTGGCTCCCAGCGTGGTACGTACAGACTCCTCTGTCACGGGAAGTTGGCACGCGAATCTGGAGGCTGATCAATATTATAGGTTCTCAGAACAAAGCTCGTAACGTAATCTCGCACATCACGGATGCCAAGGAGTGGCAGAATGTAAGGATGAAAACGAGCAAGCCATCAGAATCCCCAAATGCATGCTAATCACCTTACACTTAGGTGCCCGCAGAGAAGCGCCACGGAATCCACACGAACTCTGCTCTGCCTTTCGTAAGCATCATTCTTCCCCCTTTAGGACCCACCGACCATATCTTCTTTTAAGTGTTGAAGAAAGCACCATTGTGTGAATCAAAACAACTTACCAACGCGTATCAGCACAACGACATGGGATGCGAGATCCTCACTCTTCTCTACCGCCAGGTCGCTGCCTCCGGAGGTGCCACTTCGCTGGCCTCGGCCGCTGCCATCTACAACGATCTCCTGAAGCAGCCTGAGGTCCTCGAGACCCTGAAGAAAGCCGACTGGAGCGTCCAGCTCAGCTCAAAGCCTCCGCGTTTCCAGCCGATGCCTCTTCTCGCTGAACACAACGGGCATATAATCAGTAAGCTATTTCACAAGCACGACATCAAGGGAACACAGCGCTGATTGACGTATTCGCAGTCTCTGCGGACCCGGGCCGCCTGGGCCTTCACCCCAAGACTGGCGAGAAGCCCTCGGATACGGACAACAGGCTCACCGAGGCACAGACGCACGCCCTCGAGGTCCTGAACAGCCTCGCCGAGAAGCACGCCTTGTCCGTCCCGGCACAGGCCGGCGACATCCTGCTCATCAACAATCTGGCCTTCCTCCACAAGCGGGATTCCTACGTCGACGACGACGAGGCTGTCGCCAACGGCAAAGACGAGGGTACCACCAACGGCAAAACCGAGGTCACCGCCAACGGCGACGCGGCCACCAAGCGCCGCTGGCTCATGCGCCTGTGGCTGCGCAACAAAGACCTGAGCTGGGGCGTCCCGGAGTCGATGAAGACCCCGTGGGAGGCGGCCTATGGAACGGAGTTTGGCCGCTTCATCGAGGAGAAGTATGACCCCACCCCGCAGCCGGATTACAAGGTGCCCAGGTATACATCTGGGACTGCCGCCTGGCTCATGGAGGACGACGAGGAGGCCTAGGCTGATGGCGCCTGAACTGCAATGCGACGCTTCAGAGCGTCGGAGGCAATTTTTGACATGATGTGTCCGGATCTTTGTGGGGCATCCGGGCACCTTCAATCGTTTTGTGAGCGCGTGAGATCATTGAAATCGTTGTGTTTTGCTGGCTTTTAATAACCAGATTGACCAAGAACAACAGAATTGGAACTACGTGAAGCATACAGAAGGCCTGCAGAGTTGCTGGCTGTGAGGAAGTTATCCAATTAGGTATTCCTTTCTTTAACCAAGACTATCACTACTGCCATTTATGTGCCTTATTTGCAATTTCTATGCCATTGTGCAGTGATTTCAACAATGAAAACTCCGACGCTACCAGACCTGAAGCTACTACCACATACCTGGAAATGAGATGTTTGGACTTGATGTGAAATTGAAGAGAAAGAAATGACCAAGAAGCCGCAATTGCGTGGGCTGACCCTGAAAAGTTAGCACATTCAAAGTTTCTGGAAATCTTGATACATTTGCAGAAAGAAGACCGCAGCGGTAGGCCCAAAGTTCTAGCAAGTCAAGTGCCTCTGGAAAGACACAAAACGGTGTTCAACACAGACCACGCGGCTTTGTAACAGTAAGATACAAGATGGCCGACCTATTCGCCAAACGGCGTGAACTTCTCCAGGAATGCCTCGGCCTGCGCCATCTCCCCCTCCAAAACCATCTTGTGCTTTGCACTTCTGACGCGGATTATACATTCAAACGGCTGAGGTCGGATATTGAAGCCCTCCGTGTACTTGAACGTATCGTACGTGCGGCCCGGAATCGGCTTGATATCATACGCCCACAGGAGCTTGGCCAGTGCGATATATAGCGAATTCACAGCCAGATTTGCCCCCGGGCAGATTCGTCGTCCCCAGCCAAACGATGAGTGCCCGCTCTTGGAGGGGTGGGCTTTCCCGCCAAGCTCGAGGTCGTGCTTCTCGCTGGCGGGAGTGATGGTTGCGGGAGTCTGCTTGACTCTGGCAGCGATGTTGCTGTCTAGGAAACGCAGTGGGTTGAAGTGATGGGGGTTCGGGTAGTACTCCTCGTTCAGGTTGATCGCCCACGAGTTACCCAGGACCGTCGTCCCGGCTGGTATGTAGTAGCCGTCATAGTGGTCATCCTCCGTTGAAGCATGGGGCGTGCCGCCCAGGACCGCAACCGGTCTCCATCGTAGGACCTCCTTGACCAACGCTCTGATATAGGGCAGATTTGCCTCGTCGTCGAACGTCGGGGTGCGATCGGGCCCGATGACAGTGTCGAGCTCGGCTTGTGCCGCTCCAAGGGTTTCCGGATGCGTGATGAGGGCCAGAAAGGCCGTGCACATCGTGGACGCTGTCGTGTCTGACCCAGCGCCGAACAGCGAAGCCGGGACGAAGGAGAAGTCGCGATCGGACAGCGGGATGTTCTCAGCCTCCCGCATCTCCAGCAGTATCTTGCATAGCGAATCTGGCAGCTTCTCCTTTGATGATTCCTTTTCGGCCCTGGCAATATCCCCTCTCACGACATCAACCAGTTCCATGTTCGCTTTCGCCTCCCTCCGCCCCTGCTTCTTGATTTCCCTCTTCCAGGGCGCCAGGAAGTCAGGCACATACTTCAACGCCGGGATACTCTCGACCAGGTACTTTCCAGGCACGTTCAGCGAAGCAGAGTAATGCATGAACTCGAACCGCTGGCCAATGACCTTGGCATTCAGCGAGTCGATGCGATGCCCGTACGACACGCAGAACACCACGCTCGACGTGAAAGTCTCAATGAGCTTGACGTAGTCGCTGGGCCGGCTCAGGAGCCCGTTCGCAAGCCGCACCGCCTCGGCCTCCTGCACCGGCTTATACAGGCGCAAAGCCTTGGGCGTGAGCGCGAGGTGCAGCAGCCTCCGGCGGACGCTCCACTCCTTGCCGTACGGCTTCACGAGGATGCTGGCGCCGTCCCAGAGCAGCTCGCCCATGGCCACCATGCGGGGCCGGCTCGAGTACTTGCTGCTTCTCGTCTCGAGCAGCTCGGTGGCGATGGCCGGGTCTGATACGATGACGGTGGGGCTGCGGCCGATCCAGATCGTGTAGATGGGCCCGTATTTCTTGGACCACTCCTGGAACTGCACCCATGGTTTTGACTTGGGCAGCTGCAGCTTGTTGCCGATGAAGGGCAGGGGGGTCGGGCCCGGCGGCATGCGAAACCACGTCCAGGCGTCATAGAGGAGGGTCGCCGCTGGCAAGGCGACCAGGAGTGATAGCCAGACGTAGAGCGGCCATGTCGACGGGTGCACAGAGATATCTGCCATGGTGACTGGGTCGATCCTCCAAGCCCGTGACTGAATCAGGGGATGTGATGGTGGTGATGCAACTGGCAGTCAGAGCGTGATGACACAGGAGCACGGCGTCCACAACCGAGCGAAACACACCGTATTTCAAGTCTGATGAGAGGCTTGATGTCTGCGTGTGCGGAGGATCGACGACCCGCTAAACCGGTGCAAAGACCTGACGAACTAATGGAACACTCGCTAGGAGTAGCTTCGTTCACCTGACCTAGTGGCACTCGGCATTTTGGCGCAGGCGTGTTCCATCGATTTAGTCCGGGGAAAAGCTTTCCCCGCAAAACCTCCACAGAGCGTGTCCCACTACCCCGGATCCACAGCCACGATACCCAAGCGGTAAAACCCCGGTTTGCCTCCGACCTCAGAACACCCTGGGCGCCAAACTTGAGCACTGATGACACCTGGACGCCGATGAAGTGGGTCAAGCCACTTTGCTATTTGCAACGAGGAGCACAGGTATCTCTATGTGCATTCTCTGTGCCAGCGGAAATCACAAATGCCATCAATGATGCAATAAACTGGACAAGGAAACGAGGACGATGTTTCAATGATATAAATTGCGTGTCACGCAACAATGAGTTCAACTGATATTCCTACATGATATCCTCCTAACAATCTTCCAAAAATCAGACCAGGTATTTTGTATAAACCAAAACAAAATTTGACAACTCCCATAGTTTTACACACGATCCAACTCTCCAACTGGGGAGGGAGTCTTGGAACCGGCACAAAAGAAAAAAATGGTATCAAAGGAATGTACAGTCTCTCACTCAGCAAGAGACCCGAACCCGTAGGCACAGCCTCCCTTCATCAAAAACCATGTAAATGTAGACACTCTGTCCACCCCACCTAAAATGCCCGACCAAGTGCCGGCTCTTGCAGCATTGTCCCGTCAGGCCCCGTGACAATCTCAAACTCCTGCTCCTTGCCCGTGACGCCCGCAAGGCTGAACGTGGGCCCCATGCTCACCTTCATGATGGTAGCAGAGGCAGGCGGCTGTGGTGGCGAGGACCTGGCTGACGACCCCCCGGCCGAGCTGGCGCTGTCAGATGTGTTCTGGCGGCGCGGGGCGCGCGGCGGAGCCACCGTGACCGTCTTGACCTGCCCGGTCTTGACGCGCCGCAGGGCCGCGGGAACAGAGGGCAGGGACTTGTCCTTCTTTGTGTTTGTGGCGCCGCTGGAGGACGACGGAGCGGCAGCAGCAGTAGCTGCTGCGGCCCGGGCCTGCATCTGTATCTCCACCTGGGCGTTCGCGTCGGCATGGGCCTGGGCCTGGGCCTGGGCCTGCACCTGGAGCTGGTATGCCTGTGCCTTGGACTCGGCGGCGAACATCCGCTCGAAGGCGGCGGCTGCTATCTCCTCGTCGTCGGCGTCGTTGGGGAACAGCCGGAGTACTGGGGCTTTGTTGGTGGTTGCATGTGGGTGGGGCGTCTTTGGTCGAGCAGGGCTCTCAACCAGGCCTTGCCCCTTCGCAATCGAGACGGCATTGGGAGTTGCGGCTCCCTTGTTGGGTGGGAACGGGATCAGTCGCTGCTTGAACGGCTCCATGGTCTGATCAATCTGGCTCATGCCGAGGCTATCCTTCTGAAGGACGGGGGGGCTGATGGTAGGCCGCCACACCGAGGGTGACTCGGATCTGTCGCTTCCGGACCCTCCCGTGGGACGACGGCGCATCCTCCGGCCGCGCTCTGGTGTCTCGGGGGCAGCGGCAGAGCGAGATCCATTGCGGTCGATACCGATGCTCCTGAGGGCTACATTCGCCAGAGTATCCGCCATTCTATCCTGGGGCGGAGAGCGGGACGCGCTCGGCTGCCTCTGAGGCCTTCGGTCTGTCTTGACCACGGCCCTGCTTGCGTACGACGAAGTAGATGTGAGAGACGTATTTGAGGCCTGGCGGGATGGCTGGCTCGGGCGGCTTGTTCCGTTGCTGGACGCCGAGGAAGCAGAGCCCGAGCGGAGGCGCTCAGCAGTGGGTGGTCTTCCCTCCATGGCGGCAGCATTCGCTGCTCTAGCCTTCTCCCGGATCGAATCCAACTCTCGGCGGCTACCCTCTCCTGGCGGAGTGGTCCGCAGAGCTCCGTCCATATGGATCTGAGGAGGCGAACGGCTTGAGTCCCGGCTGGAAGGTGGCGTCAGGGTGGCAGGCTGGGGCGCAGGAAACGGCCTAGGAAGGTTCTGCTCCCGTGTTGGGGGCACATAGGTGGTCGCTGGGAGCGTGTAGTCGCCGCCTGCCGACTCGCCCCTGGACTTGGTGACGGTGGACTCGGTAGCTGCCCGCTGGACCCTCATGCGAGTTGTCTTGAGCGGTGGCGGGATAGCATCAGATGGCGCATCATCCTGAGCTGTCTGGCGGTGTCTTGGGAGACGCGAATACTTCCCGGTGACAGCGTCATAGTGAGGTGCAGGGAGGACGGAACGCCGCGAATGAGCAATCTCCAACAGAGGCTGGTCATAGACCACGGGTATGTCTGCGCACATGGGGCACGGCAGCGAGACCCAGAACTTGCCGGACTGGTCTGCTGTCGAGGCTTCCTCCTGTTCATCAGGGGAGCACCAGTTCTTTAGATTGGCTTTGGCCCCGCATTTCTCACGACGGATGAGATAGTGCCTCTCTGGCTCATCGCACCGGTCGTAGCCGAGGTAGGTGAACTTGCACATTCCTCGTTGTCGTCGGCAGAAAGAGACTCTGGGTAGGATGACTCTCCAAGAGAGCAGAGTTTGGTAGAGCAGGGGGTGCTAGGGGACGACTGGAGTTGGGAATCAAACTCGGTTGGGACTGCTGGAGGGCTGAGTGGACCTTCTCTCCGCAGCGAACTCTTGACACGGGGCATTGGGAGAAGGGTGGGTGAAGGAAAGAATGTTTCGGTGGTTGGAGTGGTCTAGTGCTGTTGTCCTAGAGATGTTTCTCCTGCTCGACTATTATATCTCGAGAAACACTTGCCTCTCGATCACCCATGCAGATCAAACCCTGCGGCCCGAGTGGATAGCGTGGTTAGCGAGTGGGCTTGGCCGACCAGGCGAGCAGCACAGGTGTCACCGATGCGGTCGCTCGTGGGCGTGAAGCGGAGAATCAAACCACGCGCGGGCATAAGCTGCGGCCTTGGGCGAGTGTTTCGCCCATGTGTCCACCTGGGCAGTCGAAACAACGAGAGACGAGAGACCTGTGCCACCTGCGGCTTCGACAGACAGGCCAGATCGGAATAGCAGAGTGGATATATGAGACTAGGAGATGTACTCGGCCCTGGAGCTCAAACAGCAGGTGCCGGAACAAGCGGCCGGTTTTCTCGAGCAGGGCGGAAAGCATTGGACACCAGGCACCGAAAGGTAAGAGGTCTGTAGCCGGGAACCACGGAGCCGGGCTGTTCATAAGGTCGAACTCAGTCACTGTCGGTTTGAGGCTCTGTGGCGGAGACCACAATTCCAGTGAGCAGCTTGTTTCAAAGCAAGTGGGTAGGGCTGTTATGAAGCCTGCGAAGATGACGATGCGGTCTGGACGGGGCCAAGGATGTGTCAGCCCCTGCACTAACAGGAGCTGCATGAGATGTTGCGGCTCGGCTGTTAGTGGCCGGGTCGGAGGTGACCACGCCGTCCCAAGACCCGACCCGGCCTCCTTCACGGGCTCGAAACTCCACTGCCAATGGATTGTCCCGAATTTGGCCTGTTATATTTAGAATCCGGCATTGCCATGACGACCATGAATCTCAGAAAGCAAATTCTGCTTTTTATCATCAGTATTGCCCCGGAGATCTTGGTTTGATCGCGCGAAGATGGATGATCCGCCAATGTACGAAAGGGGGCTTACGAGCCTCATTCAATTTGCCCAGCATACTCTTTTTGCGAAATAATCTTCTCCAAGACTTTTAGGCCCCAGAGTTTGGCTCTTGGCGCGACTCTGCTGAGAATGACGATGGAGCACACCACCACGGTCGCGTGGTACCCGGACGCGACTGCGGACTCCCTGCCTCCGATGATGCTTGAGACTGATCCGCGACTTTCGAGTGAGCATCTTGACGACGGTTCAGCTTCCATCGTCGCAAATGGAAGCCAGTGTCCCATTTACAAGTACAGCGAGACCTTGGCGTACAAGCCCATCTGCAGGAAGCGAGAGACGAAGCTCATGGTTGTGGCTGACGAACTCACGCTTCCGGTCGTCAGCAAGGTCGGGGTGGTTGACGACATGAGCGCGCAATGGTATCAAAAGGGCGCACTGATGGAACTGGGATACCCTATTGACATAACCAAAATCCTCCCAGCTGAGCGCATCTCGATTGCCAAGCACATGATGATCTTGGTGACGGCTTTGCATCGCAAGGGGATCTTGCACGGCGATATCAGGCCGGAGAGGTTCGTCAAACAGCCTGGGAGTGACGTCCTGAAGATCGTGGACTTCTCTTCGGCTCGAATGATAGACGACAGCGATCTGAACACCTGGCCCGGGGAGACGCCATCAGTTGAATACACTTCGCCGAACCGACCTTCCGAAGGCGAGGTGTCAACCCCATTTGACGACTACTACGCCTTGGCCGTCTCGATATGGTCTGTCTTTTCTGGGCAGCGCCCCATGGTTGGTCTTTTCAACTCCAACGAGGGACATACTCCTGACATCGGCAAAATCACCGACGATGAGTTGTTCTGCAGTGTTGTCGACGTGCTGGAAGAGGGAGGCCTTCAGCTGGATACTCCGGTGACCCTGGCTCGGCGCAACTCCATGAGCATCGACCCCAGTAACCGCGCAGTTTCGTTTCCTTTGAGCTTGTTCGGCGCTGATCCTGACGATCTGGACAACCACAACGGTGTCAAGTCGAAGCCCCGGTTTTGTCCCCACTGCTTCGAGATAGCAATGGCGAACGCTGACAAGATAGCCGGAAAGCCCCCTAAGCCTGCGCCCGACTACCCAGAATTCTGTCACCTGCGGAAGCCCACCCACGACGTCGGTGCTGCAAGTGATTATGCCTTGCAGTGGCTCGAAGGCCAAGAGATCGAAGAAGGTGTGGATCATCCTCCATACCTCGAGGACATGCCACGGCCAGAGTCGGGCGAGGCTCAAGTCAGGACCAGATCGCCCCCACGAAACACGAACTTGAGGGTGGACACCAGCACCGATCAAGAGGTCGAGAAGCCGCTATGGTCAGCCGTGAGCGCCGCAACGGTCACGGCTACCAACCAAGCCTCAAGGCGTGAGCGATCCGATACCGTGCGTGGCCCCTTCCCCGTTGCGCCGTCGGCCTCAGACGAGGGGTATGAATCCCTGGGATGGACAAGCAGTGGGGGGAAAGAGCTCCAACCTCAGCAGCGGTCGCGAGGCCTGAGCTTCCAGAGGACAATGAGCGCCTGGTCCGAGTCGTCTGTCGGGTCAACAGCCGATGATGATGGCGAATCAGGGGGCAATGGAGCCACCGAGGACTCGGGATCGAACTGCTCATCGCCTCCACTGACACCGATGCCACTCAACTTCAAGCGACTGCAGGTCACGTCAAGCTTTGAGAGTGTGAGTCTATCTGAGGCGGAGGATGGTCGAATGTCAGCGGGCCAGTGACCTGGGCCACGATATGTGTGCGGCCGCGTGGCGCAGAGAATGGCCGGGAGGGCAGCCAAAACCGAGAGTAATGTGGAGGGCCTTCTGGAGTTGGCAATGGAAAAGGGGACAAGACTGCTTGCTACTTAGAACCCGGAGTTTGCTCGAATTTCACGCATTCAGTGCCAAGACCGCAACGAGTCCAGATGTACTTTGTATCGTTGCTACATGAGACGTCCAAACTGTGTCGGTCCCACGAGTAGGTCTGCCTGAGGAAGAAATGAAGAAGCATGGCTGTCCCTCAGCCGCAGGGGCTCAGTCCTATCGATAGGGCTCTTGCAGGGGCATCCCTCAGGCCCTGGGGGCGGCCACCTCGCCAACCGAGGTAGACTCGGACGTGCTAGCATGCTCTGATTACTATTCACGGTGACGAATGCCAGCCGAGCGCACTGTAGAATCTCAACTGCATCCCTACCTAGGTACCTTTATAATTATATCATAAGAAAATCATCCCAGCTCAGCAAAAGCAGTGCCCGTATATCCATCCCTTCTCGGCATTTCATACCATCGCGCACTCCGTTCCTTATCCAACATGTCTCTTAATTCCCAGAACAAGCCTGTCATCGCTGTGGTGGGTGCCGGCCCCGGCATTGGTGAAGCCGTCGCCCGACGGTTTGCCGCCGAGGGCTTCATACTTGCTCTCCTGGCCCGCACCGAGGACAAGTTGCAAACCATGGCTCAAGGCATCGATGCCGAGTGCGGCAAGAAAACAGCCCACTACTACATCGCCGACTTGCGTATTGAAGACTCAGTCAACTCCAGTTTCAAGAGAATCCGCTCCGAACTGGGCCCCGTCCGGGTATTAGTATACAACGCCGGCGCCCGCCGGGTCAACGGTCGTTTACTCATCGACACTACCACGGAGGAGTTCGAAAATTTCACAAAAATCAACCTCTTCGGGGCATTCTGGTCGTCCAAGTGTGTACTTCCGGACATGCTGGCTGCCGGAAAGGGCACCATCCTGTTCACCAGTGCAACGGCGGCGTTGAGGGGGATGCCGGGCCTTGCCAGCTTCTCACCTGGGAAGTTCGGGTTGCGATCCTTGTGCCAAGTCATCGCACGCGAGTACCAATCCAGGGGCATTCACGCCGTAAATATTATTGTGGACGGGCCAGTGGATGGAAAGCTGATTGGAGGCGTAGTGAGGCGAAAATGGGAACGGGAGGGCGCCCGCGACAGATTAGATGACTCTGATGCCTACTTGGTCCAGCCAGCAGATCTAGCGCACACATACTGGTTCCTACACACCCAACCGAGGAGTGCATGGACGCAGGAATTGGATACTAGGGCGATGAAAGAATCGATATTCACTAGGTTGTGAACTGATCACCTAGGTATCTAGCTGGATAGGGTCACAGCAAGAATCAAGGTCTCATACTACAATTATGTGCAATGAAATCTAGTCTATTTTCGCTTCTCTGCAGGACGTTCTTCTGAAGTAAGGGAAACAGTAGAATTATGAGTGTCGAGACCCTGCTAAATTTGGAAGTGTGGCCCTCGCTGAGAATCTTAAAAGTCTCATGCCCTCGGTTGTTGCTTGCTCGAATGTGGCTTTCAACCTGATCGATTTTGGTGCAAAATGCTGCAAATACATATGTAGCTAGACGCTAAAATTCGACGAACATTGTGTGCAACAAATACAAACAGTAGATCTGGTACATCTCGGCCCATGAGGTGAGATCACAGTCGTGCTGTGGGTGCTTTCTCGTTGTCTCTCCTGGCCTCTTCGACAAGCACTCTCCTGAGCAGCTTTCCAGCATTGCTCTTCGGGATTGTCTGTGCAAATCGTACTCCACCCCGGAGCCGCTTGTACGGTGCAACTCGCTCATGTATCCAATCTTTCAAACCTTTCTCCATCTTCTCATCTCCTTTATAGCCATCAGCCAGAACAACGACTGCTCGTGGGAGCTCAGTCGCCCGTTGCTCACTGTACACTCCTATAACAGCAACATCACTGACCGCTGGGTGCGCAAGCAGTAGCCCCTCGAGCTCTGCCGGAGCAACCTGGAAGCCATTGTACTTGATCAACTCCTTCAGGCGGTCGGTGATGTAGATGTTGTTCTTTTCGTCGACGTAGCCAATGTCGCCCGTGCGGTACCAGCCTTCATCATCGATGCTTTCGGCTGTGGCTTTGGGATTGTTGTAGTATCCTTTAGTGACGTTTGGCCCCTTGATCCAGATCTCGCCTTCTCTACCTTGACCGACTTCCTTCTCATCTGACATTATCTTCATTGAAATGGATGGGACGAGACGGCCACTGGAGCCAATGGGCTTGTTCCAATCCTCCCAGCGCTGAGCGGATACAAGCGGTGAAGCTTCGGTGAGTCCGTAATTCTGCTTAAGAGGCACTTTTAGGCGCTCGTAGATTGCTTCAATGAGATCGTTCCCAGCTGGCGCTGCAGCTGATAGAAGCATCCGCAAGGAACTCAGGTCGTATTTGCCAACCACAGGGCTCTTGGCTAGTGCCACGGCGACTGGCGGAACAATTGCGGCATAAGTGATCTTCTCTTTCTGTATAGCGCCACAGAAGGCTTCGAGATCAAACTCTGTCATGATATAGATGGTGATCCCCTGATAAAGTGGGGAAAGAACCAAAGAAGCGATTCCTGTTCACGTTATTAGCTTCAGCCGCGCACAGGGAATGCTTCAAGTCTTGTACGTCCCATAAATATGATACATTGGCAGAAAACCAAGTACGCGATCAGTTTTCCAGTTGAAAACGCCAGCGTCTACGGTGCTGAACTGGATTATGTTCGCAACGATGTTCTCGTGAGTCAACATGACCGCTTTTGGGGGTCCCGTCGTCCCAGAAGAGAAGACCAGGAAACATAAGTCGCTTGGCTTGTTTCGGACCCTGTTGATACTTGAAGGGCCTTGAAAACTCGAGAAATGCTGGAATCGGCGTTCCGGATCGTGATCGCCTACGAGGAGGATTTTGCCCAGGGGCAAGCCAACAGCTGACGCGGCTTTGCAGGCGACCTTAAGGCAAGACAAGTCGGTGATGAGAGCTTTCGCTTGAGATGTTCTCAATAGCGACACTAGTTCTCCAGCCTTATGTTGATGGTTGACTGGGCAGACAACTCCACCTGCAAACCAGGCGCCAAACGTGACCGGGGCGACATCGGCGGTGTTCGGTGTCATCAAGGCTAGTTTGTCCCCCCTCTGCCAATCCCACTGTTGAAGAAGTCCTCTTCCGAACGCCTCGGCCGCTTGTTGTATGGCACGAAATGTGAGCCTCCTTTGCGTCGTGAGTTCCACGTAGAGGACTGCATTGTTGTGGGTCAACCGATAAAACAGAGACACACCTGTCCTAACGATCTACTGAAAAATCAACTTACCATGTTCCTCAGGAAACTCGCGATCCGTTCGTTGAAACACCAGGGTCCACAAATCCACAGGAGGGACAGCAACTGGTGGATAGGTCGATTCGATCGGCATGATTTCAAATGTTGAGCTCGGGGTACCGAGTTTGGCACGGTGGGCATGGAGGTGATACGGGTACTTCTAAGGCGTAACTAAGTAGGAGACTAGAGAGTAGCAGCACTTCCAGGAGTTAGTATTTAAAGAGGGAAAGGTTAAAGAGAGATAGTCGTGCTTTTGCTTGTCCCGATCATCGATGACCTAAGGATCATTTTGCGATTCAAGACTCTATTGAGCTATGCCTCGGCAATGGATTCGTTCATATTTGTTGATTAGTCGTAGGCGGGGGCAAGCTCCTTGGACCAAAACTCTGTCAGGGTACAAGGCGGCCGCTCGTTTTCTTGAAATCTCACGTCATCCATCCAGTAATTACTTGTTCTCATTGATGGTCCACTGATAAGTTCAATTTGCTACATGTCGCCGTCGTTCAGAGTACCCTAGGGTACATAGGTATCTAGTCACTTTCTGTGCTCCGTGACGAACATAGGCTTGTCTCACTATCATGTTTTGAGCAGACAGTACTACTACCTAGGTACCCACCCTCGATTTAGAATACCGCTCTTAAATTTGGGCACTATGGGACGACCTTGGGGGGCAAAAACACCATTTATGTTGATTCTGGTATGCCTGCCAGTGCTCTATCGGCTCTGTCCGAATCCCCTCTTGCCAAGGGCCTCACTGTAGTGTCACCTCACTCATGGTTCGGATTCACCAATGCTGTTCGTTTTCGGTCGCCCCTTAAAGTCTATGGAGTAGATTCAGAGATATTATTATTGTTCCTCGGTGCTCGTGACAGGGCTGGCAGCCCTTAGGCTCCACCTCTGAAAGCGAAGGAAGCATTTGGAAACCAAGACACGAACCAGACTGGAGAAATGCTCGGCTTGAAAGTCGTGACCCCAAAGGTTTTTCCGTCTCATCTCCTTTTGTACTTAGGTATTTAGAACTTCATGATAGCCTTCCATAGCCTGGTAATCACGCAACTACACTATTACTTGACTGCAACCTAAAGTGACTCCCACACTTCCACCTGAGAGGACCCTAAGGCTGTTTCAGGGATTCTTGCACAGCGCTGAAAGCGGTCGTCAAACAAGCAGGGTTTGGACAGAAGCTTCGGTCACCTAGAAGACAGGGTCGTCCGACGACTTGGGGGCTCAAGCACAGGGGTCCCAGAGCTGAAGCATGCAAGGGGTTGGCGGCCAGGGGCCCCATGCGCAGCGCTGGGTCACCCTGGACTGTCATGCTCGAACATAGGCTCTCTTTTCACGAACCGGAGGGACTCGCCCCAAGACTTGGTGGCGTGCAGAATCAGGAAATTGGTGGAGGTATTAAGTTAATTTGGTATCAACATCTCATCGTTGGCTCCGCAACATTGGATGCCAGCTTTGATTCTAGAAAATGAAAACCCCTGCTCCTCAAGGGCCCTGCTCGCTTCACCAATATGACCGGGAACTCCGCTGTCACCATAACGTTTCGAAACTGGAGTAGCCTAGCACTTGGCGACTACATCCTGTCCAGCAGCTGTCGCATCTGCCAGAGCCGTTTTAGCATCACCAACCGCTGCGTCAGACCTGATTCGAGGGATGTCAGTCACAGGATCTTAACAATTTTCTTTTGACCCAGAATGTTGGTCACTTACTCGTCAGCATCAGCCAAAGCACTGGCCATCGCCGTCAACCCAGCCTCGACCTCATCACGGCTGTCTGCCGGTGGCGCGCCGCCGCTCAGAAGCGACGAGGCAATTTGTGAGATTCCGCCATTGGCTTGGTCCAGACCCGCTTGTGCTGCCGCCTGCACATCTGCATCTTCAATTTCTGAGATGGCATCTCCAGTGTCGCCCAGTGCACCGAGGATTTGAAAACGTGCGATGTTGCATCCAATGCCGCCGAGTTGACGCTCGACTACTGAGGCCGATGCGGTGACGGCGAAAAGAGTCGCAATGATGACACGGAGGGCGTACATTTTGGTTTTGGAAGGGTGCTGCAAGGCGAATCTTGATTTTTGAGTAGAAATGGATAGAGAACTCTGTTCTCGCGTTGAGATTATAAGTCGTTAAAAGGTTAATGTTAAGACGAAACAAGACTCCAGGTCTGAAGAATGGATGTTGAGAACAGATGACAGAGGTAAATGCTGAAAGCTTGATGGGCTGGACGAACTAGAATTTTCCAGACGACACACGCGAGACAGGTGCCATCTTTATGTCAAAACCAGACCAACTCCAGACGGCACTGGATGACAGTTTCCAACGGCTCGCAGGGTAGGTAGCATTGGGATCTCGGTGGCTCAGCAGGTATCATGAGCCCCCAGGTATGAAACGCAACAGAACACCCCGGCATCTTTCGAGGCCTAGCGCCGATCACGAACCTCAACAACCTGCCGCCGGTTTGGCTCCACGCAGATCACACGCGCGCCCAAGCCACCACATACACCGAATTGTCTCCCCTCGTTTCCATTCTTTTCAAGGGAAAGGAGTGCGATTGGGCCATCACCCTCTCTCTGGAGATCCGGAGCTTTTCGAATCCTCGCCTGATCTGCATGCTCGGCGCTGTCTCGCGGTGTTTACCCCCAACCAAGCTTGATCGCCAGCCGGGCTGCCCGTGGACGATGACTCGTTTTATCGGTAGCGACCGTTGCCTGTGCCTTGGCCAGTCGCAGCGCGGGGGTTTCTGCACATCAAGTGAGACAAGGAGACGCCCGATTGGCTCCCCAAGGTGGGTGCAAAAGAAACGTGAGCGACGGCATGCTTCTCAATGTGGAAGACAACGCGATCCGCCCTTAGGTTGGACTTTTAAGATCCGCACATGCCCACAAATGATTCTCGATATCAGTTTGAGTCAATCGAGAGGGGCTTGATGTTACCGATGGGCTTCAATGACAAGTGAGACTGCTTCAAATGTTACGAGAGAAAATGGTGGCAGTGTTGTATTTGTATTTTGACAATTCTCGAATCAGTCACGCAGGCGTCAAAGACAACGCACTACCGATACCTACGTAGGATAACAAGAAGCTATTATGGCTTTTCCTCCCTTGCGATCCAGATTCCGCTGAAGGTTAGGGGGCTTGCGACTAGTATGACTTTACTACTTGGGAAAGTTGAAGTGACTTCTTATCATTCTTGTAGTGTCTCACTCCCGGAGACCCATCCAATAGGGCGTCAGGACTACCTTGGCGTCTTCAGCATTATTATAAACTCAGTCCCATTTCTACTTATCCATTGGGTGAGGCTACAAGAGGTCAATTTTGCTGCCAGACTGTACATCTGGAAGAAGTCATCAGCGAAAATTCGAGATCTCCCAGTATCTCAAAATGGGAAATGAGAAGACGGTGAAAGCCATCCCGACCCAAACCCCAACGTCAGCCAAGTTTGCCAGTTTGGCCAGCGGCCCCACGTACCAAGTCTGGTACATTCCCAGGACAGCACCTAGCCACCCCAGAAGAAAAGCAGTGGCTGAAGCGATACCAAGGGGCATACAGCTCCTTTCCAGGTTGGACCAGTCGTATCGAAAATGACGCCGGAAAATGTACCGTTCCATGAGCACGATCAGAACCATGAATTCGACCCAGTAGCCCATCAATGCCAGGAAGTTAGACAGTATTGTGTACAGACTGTTTCTTCCGGCCAGGCCTAGTACCAGTTGTATGATTATGAAGAAACATCCCCAAACCCACCGAGGAATCGCCTGAAAAGCTCGGCCGAGGACTTGGGCACACATTGTAGCGGCTTGAAATTCTTGAGTCAGCTTCGCTGGCGAGAAGGACGACGGCTTTCTTACAATATGTGCCAGGAACGCTGTTGCTGATGAGACCCAGCGCCACCATCACAGCGCAGAACTTCCCGAATCCGCGCAGCGGCTGGAAAGCCACCTCTACCAACGCTCCAGTAGAGGTATCAAAAGCTGTAGCCCATATGGTATTATTTATAAGGCCGCTTCCTAGCCCGATGCTGTTCGAAAGTTAGCGGTACGCATGTCATCAGACCACTGACGAGTCAGTTCAGGGTCCTTGCTGGTTATTACGCCGTACCCCATCATGTACACGAGGCTGAATGACAGCCATAGACCAAGCATGGTTAGTGAGGCGATCTTGAGCGGTGATGTGGTCTCGGGATAGTAGACGAAGAAATCTGACGCGGCTGCCGACCATGAATTCGGCACATAGAGACACATTGACAAGAAGGAAAGCCGGTTCGCCGCCACAGTAGCCGGGCTTCCGATCGAGACCGTCGAGACATCGAAGTCTGGTCCAGCGCAGCCTATGAGCACAAACAGTACAAGTAGTTGAGGGATCCAGGCAAACCTCTCATACTGCTGAAATGGCTTCATGCCGAAAACCACGATGGCCCAGCAGACCAGATTGATGATGACGATGCCGACCGCAATGGACACTGTGCCGCCGCTGACTGCCGAAAGAATTTGACCACCAAGAATTCCGTCTGTCCAATCTGTCAGTCACTGCAGTATCCAGAGCATTTGCTCGCTCGCAATCACACCCAGGGAAACCCTAATTCCTGGGCCACATGCACAAATACCTACCAATACAGCAATAGCCTATCATGAGAACAATGTTCAACACAGTTGGGAGCTTGGCGGGCCACCATCCGAAGAAATACCTCAAAACAACCACTGAGGCAAGATTTTGTTAGTGTCTAATACCAGAGAAGATTATTTTCTAAGATTAATCAAAGGCTCGGCATTCATACTCGTTCGATGACCTGTCTTCGGCCCCCAAATAGCCATGAATGCTGTGGACAGGCTGCCTAGGAACGCTCCAAAGACAGCGCACATGGCGCTGTCCAGGAATCCAAGCTGGAACAACAGCGGGCCGTATAGGCCGACGATGAGATTGTTGCATGATATATTCGCGCTGAACCAAAGCAAGGCGATCTGCACATTGCCCGCGGTTGACGAGGGTTGGCGCTCATGGGGCGGGACGCGGGCAATTCCGCGGGCTTCGAAGGCGGACAGAGCTTCAAGACGCTGGTTGAGAACTTGGAGCTTTGAGATGACCGCGATTGGGAACGCCTTTGCTGCCGGCTGTTCGGGCTCTACTAGCGGTGGCTTTGTGGATTGGCTGGGAAATTCGGCCAGCGCCATATGTGGCGGGGTGGTCGCGACATCGACATTTTCATTTTGCTTCTCCATCTCTGATTCCGGTAATCAGAAATATCGCTATGCAAAATACAAGAGGAGTTTTTGACAAAAAGCATCTTGTGGGTTTACAGTGAAGTCAAGGGGATCTGAGTCGCGAATGTTTATGCATGTAAGCCGATGGGTGTTACCCTGTTTGGAGCTAAATTCGTGCTTACTAGGCGAGACAGGACAAATTGAACACGACCCCGCGTCTGGTGGCATTAATGGCGGAGCCTATGAGTGCGACCAAAAGATAAGTTCGGAGATAGGAGAGTGACTCTTCGAGCCGCCCTCGGCAGATCTTCCCAGCTCACATTCGCTAGGGTACACGATTCACGCAACGCCGACGATGCCACCTACAAATATCACAGCAGAGGAATTCTGTAATGACCCTTTCGATTTTCTCGTAGTTGGTGGCGGAACCGCTGGGTTGGCAGTTGCGGCTCGTCTCTCCGAGCAGTCGTCTCTGAGAGTCGGGGTGCTGGAAGCTGGGCCGGAGGTTGAAGGCAACGAGCGTGTGGACGTGCCGGGTTGGTTTGGAACCACTCTGGGAACAGACTTAGATTGGCAGTTCGAAACAACAGCTCAGGCCGGCCTAGGGGGACGAACTCTTAAGTGGAGTAGAGGGAAAGGAGTCGGAGGCACGAGTCTTCTGAACTTCATGACCTGGAACCGTGCGAGTCGCCAAGACTACGATGCTTGGGAGAATCTGGGCTGCAAGGGATGGGGATGGGACAGTCTTTTGTAAGTTACTCCTTGCTCTGCTCTCGCCCAAAAGAAACTCCAGACGACCCAGGTGGCTTACTGAAGCTTTCAATTATATCAGGTCGTTCTTCAAGAAGTCGGAGACTTTCCATGCCCCCAGTCGGGAAACAAGCTTGGTCAACAAGGCCTATTATGATCCCAAGGGGTTCGGTACGCAAGGTCCTATTGACGTCTCCTATGCAACAGAATACTCAGCTTCACATCAGTACTGGCATGACACACTTCAGCAGCTAGGTGTGCACACCAACAAGTCGCATATGATGGGGTCAAATGTGGGCGCCTGGACAAATTTAGGCTCAATCACTCCCAGGACCTGCACTCGATCATCTTCGGCAACGGCTTACTATCGACCTCGCAGAGACAGAGGGAATCTCGTCGTCCTAAGCGAAGCTCTGGTCAATAAAGTCATCCTAGAGGAAGATAATAGTTCCTGGACCGCCAGGGGTGTCGAATTTGTTCACAACGGACAAACATTGTCTGCCTTCGCGTCCAAGGAAGTGATTATCTGCGCAGGCACCGTTCAATCGCCTCAAATACTGGAGTTGAGTGGAATCGGTAATCCAGACGTCCTCAGGAATGCTGGAGTCGAGACCTTTGTTCCGAGTCCATTTGTCGGAGAGAACCTTCAAGACCATATCATGGCTGCCTCAATATACGAGGTCGACTCCAGCTTGCCGAACCCCGATGACCTGAAGATAGATACCAATGCTGCTGCCGCCGCCTGTGAGCAATACAAGTCGAATGGTACTGGGCCACTGACAATCCTGTCAAACTCAATCTGCTACCTGGGTCTATCACAAATCATGTCGGAAAAGGAGTTTTCACAGTTAGCGGACAAGGCCAAGAGCAGTCGAGACGACTTTCCCGAGCGCAATCACATCCGGAGAACAAGATTTGATGCGTCTTCGCCAAGGCTGGGACAAATCGAGTATATTTTCGATCTGGGAAACTGGAATCCGTACTTTCACCCAGACCATGCGTCCACGGGCAAGAAGTACGGCACGATGCTGCAAATTTTGCAGTACCCGTTCTCAAGAGGCAGCGTACACATACGGTCCGCGAAAGCCAACGAAAAGCCGACCATCGATCCACAATATTATCAGGGTGATAGTGGGAGCATAGATCTGGACATCATGGTAGAATGCGCCAAGTTCGCCGAAAAAGTCACGAACACGCCTCCACTTTCAAACATAGTCCACAACCGCGTTGTGCCACCACAGTCCGCACGAACGGATGGCGAATTGATGGACTGGCTCGTGAGAGAGACCATTACTGATTGGTACGTATCCATCGAGCTTCCCACCTTGATGTCCCTTGATCACTGAGCTGACAGATTGAATGGCAGGCACCCCATCGGTACTTGCGGCATGGGCGGGGATCGTGGTATTGCTGGGGGTGTGGTTGATGAGCGGCTGCGGGTGTACGGTGTCAAGGCGCTTCGGGTGGTGGATGCCAGCATAATGCCCATGCAGATCAGCGCTCATCTCCAGGCTACAGTGTATGCCATTGCGGAGAAAGGTGCACACATGATCTTGGAAGATTGGCAAGAGTGATGTTTCAGTCTTTCCTCTTGTCAAATACTAGGACAATTCCTTGAAGACATACCAAAGTACCGTATTGGCCGCATAGCTCCACAAAAACCTGCGACTGGAGGATTAAGTTTTTATCAACGGTCTGTATGGGTCTCCGGTCCACCTGGGCAACAGCATTAGCATGATACTAGTCTATATGCCTGACCCATTCCCAACAACTCGCAGCTATCAGCAACGCCAAGAGCCTCAAGCCACATGGATTGAACTTCAACGAAGAGAGGGCTGCGCAACCCACGCAGTCTTGATCACGACTATCGAAACTCATATTAATTTCTTTTTCTTGAGGAGATCAGCTGAGCGAGCCCCTGCGGTCTCCGAATGGTCCTCTCCGTCTCCGCGTCCCTTCCCTACGGGCCACTATCGAGCTCTAGACCCCATTTTGTCCAGGATATGTCGTCGACTACGGCACCGAGCTGCCGGAAGCCGCTAGGCTTGGAGTCAGTTAATTGGCGTAGACGCAGCTGCGTAGTATCGCGTTTGAGACGAGCCGCTAGAGGAAGGGATTCATGACGTTCCGAGAGGTATTTTTGGGCTGCTGCAAATTAAGCCTGCATTTAAGCTTAATAGTGTAGATCAATTCAGCCGCGAACGACCTGGGGTCGGAGGGGGCTAGATCAGGCCGCCAAGGACCCAGCTGCAGCTACGATAGCCTCATTGCAACAGCAATATACGACTCTTGCGCCGGACGGAGGGTCGAAAGTTAATGCAACTGGATGGTGTGCTCGCGAGGAGGGGAAGTGAAGAGATAGTAACGCCACGGCCAATTCGTACGTCGAGGACGGCCTTCCGTGAATCAAGATGCAGGATAGTGCCTAGACGCTTGTGTCGCTGGCGGTGAACCTGCTCAGAGCTGCATGATGATCCTCAAGGTTGTATTGGGTTTGACAGCCATGTGTGTTATGCGGTGGAAGACCATCTGTATAAATTATCTGCTTCCCCAGCCCCAATCCGGACCATCCGATATGTCATGTAGCATAGCCTTGACTCTTGCCTGTCAAGAAGACCTGAAGTTCTTGAAGAATTTTCTGACTTGGGTAGAATGCAAATGAAATCTCTCGCATTCCTTGGCTCCCTTGCCATGTGAGTGAACGCTTCCGTCATGAGCATATCCATCATATCCCGGTAGACAAATACTGACAAGTAACATTTGAAGCAGTGGCGCTTTTGCGCTCAATGTCAACAGGGAAGCGATACCTGGGGATGCACCCACTTCAGCAACGACATGCTCCGATATCACTAAGACTGTGACCTCCATTGCAACGATCTCGTAGGTGACGCTTCTCGTTCAATGACAATGGACATTCCCAACTGACATTTGACCAAGGTACGGCACAACCAAGACGACCACCATCACAGTGATTAAGACGGAGACAGAGGAGGTGACAAAGACCGTCACTGGTCCCGGTGCAACAGTCACAAAGACTGAGAGCTACACCGTGACCTCAGTCAAGCCCGGTCCTACCCAGACCGTCACGGCCACAGTGACAGGAAAGGGCCCTGAAACGACCATCACCAAGACAGAGAGCTACACTGTCACCACTACCAAGCCCGGCCAGACTTGCCCCACCTCAAAGCCCAGCTGTCCTACCTTGACCAGCACTGCAACGTACTGCAAGAGCTGCTTGGTCCCGGACTGCACGACCACATCGTATCTCACCAAATCGGCTGGATGCGATGTGCTAGCCACTGCGACCGTCAGCTTCCCCTGTGAGAACCCGGATTCCTGCAACAAGATTGGCTGCAAGACTGTCTACTCGATTCAGACTCAAGCGGCCTAGAATGTTGGTGTTTTCGGCTGTTTGCGGATAGGGAGAGCTGAGCACTAAACGACCAGCATCTATGGGAGGACCATATGCGCATTAAAGCTCATAGGCATTAATCAAGACATACATGCTAGCGAAAACATCGCGAGGCCTTACGTCGACTCATCTTGATGATGAATCATGTGACTGGGATGGCTCCGCCTGACATCGTGAGACTCTGGTGCCGAGTTCCTTTCTGTGGTATAGCTGGCTGGTTTCTTTCCTATTCTGGATACGTCCGAAACCACACACGGCGTCTTCATACATTGGTCAACGCTCAAAGACCCAACGTCTATTTCTGCATAAAGAATTTTGTGTTTGCGTGCTAGAATGGTACCAATGAAAGATCTGTGATCCCCAAATCGACAATTTTGAGGATGAATGGGAAGCAAACCAGTGAGGATGCTGAACGTATACATTAAGAAGGATGCAGGAGAGCCCCGTAGTCTGACAACACAGTCCTAGGCCAACTCCGAGCCACTACCTAAGTTTATGCGCCAGGAAGCCCGAGGATCCTGAACACCATCATGAAATCTACACCATGGAGGATTTGACAGTCTGCTCAAAAGCCATAGTGCGCACGATGCCACTTTCCTCCGGCAAGCGCGGCGGTGACGAAACCCATGTCTTCCCATTCTGGTCAGCTGAAGCCCCGCTATGAATCCCATAGGTTTCATTAAGCTCATAGTACTGGTGATTTGGTGGAGGCTGCGCGTCGCTGTCATCTTCACGTGCCATCTTGTTAGCCTTGAAGTCCGAAGACATGTTGCTCTCTGTGTTCCTGGTCCTGCTGGAGATACTCGATAGGCTCGAGAGCAACGATTTGATGACCGACATCTCGAGCAGGTGCGTTCGTGCGAAGCTGGAAAAGGCAGGCGCGGAGCTGACAATGATGGCAGAATTGAGCTCCAAAGAGCTATATATTGTGTGCGTCAGTAGAGTGGTACACAGGACAGTGTGGTTATCAGGCGACACCAGTGCAGCGACTAATATTGTTCGCCAGCCGGCACGTCTTTGACCTATAGACTCACCTGCACAAAGAAAGTAGGGCTGAAATCCAGGTTTGGTCGTTGGAGTGGGCGACTTCAACTCTTTGCACCAGTGAAGCAATGCTCGCTGCAATTCCTCTGCAAATTTGAAATGTTAGAAAGCCAAAATGTAAAGACAACATTTGAATGTCAGATGGGAATGAGAACATGTCAACCCACATGAGTGCCACTGAAAAGACTGCTATAACAGAGATACGTTTTTGAAGGGGCAACTGGAGCCTCATAACGGTGGGGAGCGGCAATATAAAAATATAGAGGTCCAATGCCACGATGAGCGCAGACTGTGCTTGCCACCACGGTAACGCGATGAGTGTACGGCCGTCAAGGGTGTCTAGCCAAGTCTCGCCCACATGAGGAGTCTCATAGTAAGTCGCAACGGCGACACCGGACCAATAGATCAAGAAGTTCATCGTGTGGCCAACCCAGATGGCGATTCGCATCGACCGATGTATCGTGAAAATTTGCGAAAATAACAAGAAGATGGAAGCTTTAGCGAAGAACGCCCCAAGCTGGAAGAGGATGGCGGGGAAATAGACCCCCTGTTTCTTTTGGTTAGCTGTGTTCATTCGCGGTAAAATCCGCGCCATGGCAATCATCCCCGGCTCGATCAAGAGACCGAAACTGAGAAGATGCAAGCTTTTAAGAGGAGCACTTACTTGTGCGAAGGAGGCATCGAAATAACACGCTGGTGTGTCCCAGATATGGCGTAAGGTTCTGAGATCTAGGCAAATCAGATGCTCCGTCAGCTACTCCAGGAACAGTTTATTCCGTCTCGGATTCTCTGCTTTCTTGTGCAGAGCCTTTCTTTAACAGTGAAGTCAAATAGTAAGAACTTACGAGATGCCTCAACTCCCAAGACGCCTATTGACATAATAAGAGCGACCAACGCGAAGTCTGTATATACCCCGTGGGCGCGCGTGTTAGTTGCTACAGTGGGATCTAAGGATAGATATCTGTGACAATCTGGCCAAAAAAAGAATTTGGACTAACTAACAATCTGCCAAGGTCAACTTTCGAAAGTTGGTGTGGAGCCTTGCAAGAGTAACGATAATTGCGATGAAGACGGTGATACCAGTCAGGCTCATGGTGACGGGAACCAGCGTGGTCGGATTATCAAAATTGCTCGTGGTCCCTTCTGGGGGCGGCCCAGCCGGCACTTGACAGAGATCGACGGACATGACGAACGGCAGCGGCGTTTAGATGATTCGCAAAGCAAGATAGTACCTAAGTAGAACTAAGAATGCCACATCAGTCTTACTAATAAGTGCAATGAGGGAGAACAAAATGAAATGCGACAAGTGAGAGCTGGGTCAACTTCAAATCACTTATGGCATTCGGCAGAAGAGAGCACGGGGAGGAACCCAACTGGTACAGACTGTACCTATGTATGTTCCCTTGTACGGTATGAGCCGTGAATCAGCATCATCAATCGACCATCTCGCCCCCAAGCCCCTCCTCTTGCCATCCTTCTGTTACGCAAAAAGATAAGGAAAGGGTGGAGACCGGGGGATAGATCTAGACAGCATTTTTTCCCAAACCCCCCACAATCGAGCTGCAGGCCAGATGGTTGGGTTGTGTTGAGTCCTACCGCATGTCACCTTTTCGGGTCCTGCATGAGGCACACCTTTGTGTGAATTATCTGAGGCAGTGTGAGAAACTGTATGGGGTGGGGCCTCTTGGGGTGGGCGGAGGATTTGAGATCGGCATCTGCTCCAACCAACCTGTAAGTTGTTGTTATAATTAGTTCCAAGCATACCCTACCTAGCGATGCGTTGGCTTTTTGTTCTGAGACCTGGCGGTTCCCACCCCCCCTAGACAAGCCACTGGGGAAGAGGCTTTTGAGCAGGCCGTGGACTGGTTCTTGGCAGATGGACCATCAATTGATACTTGGTACCTAGGTAATGAGGCGAAGATCTCCATCTGGAAGTGTGTGACTCCGGGTTCCATATGGATCCATCAACAGCTTGGAGCCTCACCGGTCGTGTTGTGTAATCAATATGATCAACTCAGGTTGCACGTGAGGCAGCAGCCGTGGGATCGTGGGATGAGACATGCGTCGATGCAGCCAAGATACTGCCTAAGACGGTATACACGCCGGCAATTATGGGTGGGCGCGGGCCGATCTCACCTGCATCTACGCTCGATTGTTTGGTGGGGGCTAATAAGTGGGTGAGGAAACACAGATGCACCAACAGGCTGCTCAGCCTTTCAGCTTGGGAAGGAAAACGGCAACGATCTACCTCGGTGCCATGACAGCCCACTGACAGTGCCGCCGATGCAGTTGTTGGTTCAAAGATTTACTGGGCCGACCCGCTTTTGTCGCTGGGGCATTCCGAACTTGAACCGCTGCGTGCATTAGCTTCCACTGTTGGCGCCATGAGCCCACGGCCTGGTTACGCAGGTTACGTCCCATTTATAACTGTTCTCAAGAGCCATTCTCGCGAAGTCTGTGCAGCCAGAGGAACCATCATCTTCTCTTCTCGCTCCAATTTCTGCAGTTAAACAAACCCGCACAAGGCTCCTTACTTGCCCAAGCTTTTATTATTTGAAGCAGCAAACATGTCTGAGTACACGTCCACCATTGAGGGCTTCCAGCGGGCTATGAAGTGGAGCCTTACTGGGCCACCTGCCGAGGCAAAGGCATACGCTGAGGCCCTGTCCACGCCCACTTTCTACCACCTCATGAACGGGCAGCGTCTGTCTTATGACGTGTATCTTAAGGGTATTGAGGAGTGGCGAGGAAAGATCAGCGAATATGAGCCTCTTGTGTATGTTGACCACTACATGATACTAAATATCATGTCTAAGCTGATATGCTAACACGTCTATTACAACTGCCAGCACTGAGTTTCTCCGCGACGGCGATATGCTCGCGGCGCGCATGACTGGAACGATCAAGGTTGATGGGACCGCTACTGACTTTGAGAGCTTCATGTTTGCCAAACTGGACAGCACCGGCAGGATGGAGTGGCTGAAGGAGAGGTCTGTCTGGGGCCCTGCAGGCGGAGCACCCGATCAAGGACTTGAGCTGGGCGAGGGGGCTAAAGTATGAAGCTGGTTTTAAACTCACAACACATTCTTGTATGCCGTCTAGTCTTTAGACAGGCGGTCAGATAGTTCTGCAATGTCAATGGATATCCGGACCAGAATACTACTGCATGGTTGGTATTATCCGAAGACGGGACAGACATTGCCACATGAGCCTAGCATCGATTGCTGGCGATTATGAAGCTCCAGAAAAGATCCCGGGATGTTTTTAATGCAGTTAGACGCGCGAATATTGATGAGACTACCTACCTAGGTACCTAGGTATTGAAAGCTATGCCGACCAAATGCGTAAGACCCCAACCACGGGTGCATCGTTGCCCAGGTGCTCTGCTTCGTTGCTCTCCAAATTCAGGAGCAAACAGCGAGCCTTGCTAATCCCTTTCGGGCTGGTACCTTTAAATATCTTTTTTTTTCTCTCGAAAATCAGAGCTCTTAACATTGTGATGGGACAGTATTTTAGGAGCTCACACTGGCCACCACCTGTCCAGGCATGTGGAAGGATTCAGATGAATTCAGCAAGTTGGGTGGGGGCTTAGCAGTGGGGGCTCATGGCCGGAAAATACGCCTCAACTAGTACGGAAGAATCGGTGACTTGCATGCTTGAATATGTGATCGGCAGTGTAAGGCTGTGGCACTGCCCGGGCGTCAAAGGAGCCACCTGCCCACCTAGGTAACCAACATTTGAATCCTGCCAGACGGTCAGTCGCCACACATACATCACTTTCTAGTGCCGAGGAACCAGCCCGCACCAGGTTGGGCTTGACCTGAAAAGGTCAAACGTCCGAGGACTGTATGGATTGCGAAGTTTGTAACAGCACGGTGCAAGTAGCACTTGAGTGCGTATGGACGGGTGGATACCAGCCAACAAATCAAGGCTCCACTGGTTGCCTGCTTCACAACGAGTCCACTCGATAACGCTAGCTCCCTTTCTAAAACGAGTATTCAAAGCTGAGAAGGATCGGAAAATCCAAGATATCCATCGGGGGTTGGCCGTTGGTCACAGTGTATGGCGTTTCTACAGAGCATGCTGAGTGAACCCAAAATGGAAACATACGCGTCGGGCGCCATGTCGAGCTGCTTATATCCAGGCCCACAGTCCAGTCCTCAACAAAGACTTTCCGAAATCCTGATCATTTCCGAATTGTTTTTTTGAAAACAATTGAATCACTTAGCATCGCAATGGAACTCGGACTGAGAAACACAATGCTGAATACGACTTTGTCCGCTCTCAGGGTGTCGTCGCTGACGAAGGAGTCGACTAAGGACTTGACGTTCTCGACAACTATTGTTCTTGTGTTTTGCCTCTTCTTTCTTGGCGAAGCCATCAGCATCACAAAATATTCCGTAAGTCACACAGAAAACTGTCCTTGCCTTGCCCAACTCCCTAACCTCAGCCAGAAACAGAATGTTATCACAAGTGCACTCCAGCATGTTGCGAAACGCCTCCGAGCCTGGACATACCTTTTTAGAGGACCCGATATCATCCAACAAGGATTTCAAAAGGTCAGACCCATTCATGTCTTTGAATCTTAATGGCTCCAACTCACCTTCAGGTAAATAGTCAAACGGCGGTTCTTTCGAGGTTCTCGCTCCTGATGCACGAATGGTCTTCGTGTCTTCTAAGGAACAAATCAAGGAGCTGGATAATGCTCCTGACTCCATACTGTCCCTAAATGGTGCTGCCAAACATGTTCGTCTTACTCTTATTCATGTCCTTCTCATGATAGGCTTCTGATATTTGACCATAGATGCTTCAACCGCTTTATACGATGAACGGTTTCAACTGGTTTGACCGGCGCGGGGTCGAAGGCGTTGGCTTCGTGCGAACTCTGCGAACTCTGCTGACGAACAATCTTCCTCAACTACTTCCCGATCTTGGCGTACTCACTCGTACGAGATGGGCGCAAGTCCTATCAGATCAGCAACTAGTGAACGGTTGGTCTCCACTTTGAACAAATATGTACTGAGGTACTCAAATAACATTGGATATGCGACAAGTACGTTTGTTGACTGTATATATGCAGATGACGGCACAGTGGTAGCTTCTCTATACCCAGTGATGATGAACCTGGTAGTGCTCTTGAACGCAAGATCTCTTTTTGGAGAAGACCTGAGTAAGTACATTAAATCCTTCTGAATGACTCTTTGCGCCTTATCTGGCTAACACTCCTTGTTCCGCAGTCAAAGATGAGAAGTTCATGAAATCAGCTCTTGGATACGTGGAAGAAACACTTATTAATGCCGAAATCGTCAAATTGCTGCCAAAGTTTCTTGCGCCATATGTTGGGGGTGCTCTGAGCCGCTGTCTGAGCTCTCACAAGACTTTCTTCACGAGCTTGATTCCTGCAACGGAGCAAAGAATCAGAGAAAGTGAATTGAAGAAACTTGGACATACCTTTCCGAAACGAGTAAGTCATAGATCTGCCAATGATTCTCATCTCATTAGGCGGCAATACTCACTTAAACGAAACTACCAAGTTGATCTAAGCTGACATTTGTCTGTCCACATCAGGCCGACTGCATCCAGTGGATAATTGAGACCGCACCAAAGCAGCACCCCTGGTCAGCAAATCGTGTCATCTACGAACTTATGGCTATTTGGTTTGGAAGTGTTCACATCCTCTCAACGGCAAGTGGATCTCAACGCTTTTGTCACCGGCACCTCTGCTTAAACCTCGATCGGCTAACAAATTCTCGCTGGCACATTTCAGACCATCGTCTACGTCATTCACGACCTTTGTCTCCACCCTAAATACATAGAACCGCTTCGAAATGAGCTCAGAGAATCTTATGCAGAGTTCGAACGAACCGGTCTTGGCCTACCGCTGCTGGACAGTTTCATCAAGGAGTCAGCTCGAATCACTCCGGTGGAGTCCAGTAAGTCATCCTTGGAGCGCTTTTCATTCTGAAGGAGCCATGAATGCTGACCACGAGACAGTGAGCGTTCGCCGATGTGCCCTGCAGCCCTTCGCGCTTGGCGATGGCACACATCTGGCCGTTGGAGACTGGGCATGTGCGCCTTCAGGGGCCATCAACACCAGCTCCGAGTTCTACCCATCCCCGAATTCCTTCTCAGGATTTCGATTCGTTGATCCAGCGCTACTCTCCACAATCGGCGATAATCGAGGGCTGGCAAGGTCGGCTTCAGACCCGGGAGCCCACCAGCCCAAGTCTTCGAAGCTCACAGATGTCGACCACACGTGGCTGATGTGGGGAACAGGGCGTATGGCATGGTGAGTCGTCGCTAATCGCTTATTTTCATCCGACCCTTTTTTGTCCCAATTTCACATTCCCGTTGTTTCTGGTAAATGAAGAGAGAAGTCCCAGCTAATACAACCTGAATCTGTAGCCCAGGGAGATATTATGCCACAGCCTTCATGAAGGTCGTTGTGGCGCAACTCCTGCTCAACTATGACTTCACCCTAGTCCAGCCCGAAGCGCCCAGGTGGATTTCATGGCGAGTGGCACGGATTCCGAGGCCTTGGACGAAACTGAACTTCACGCCTCGGAGGGAACAAAGCTAGAAATGAACATTGTTGCGGGTAGGCGGAAGACAAGCTGCAGATGTGCAGCCGTAGACGTAATCAGAATTCTTTTGGGCTCCATAATTTGGATCATGTGCCAGGACGCTAAATAGATACTTTCGAACTTGGAAACCCTCTTGTCAACAAGTCCACGAAAACCGAGCCAACAAGTCCACGAAAACCGAGCCAGCCATAGTGACGGGGCTGACTTATTACACTGAAGACCAACTTGATTTACAATCGAGTGCTCATAAGAGAGTACGCCAGGTCCTGGCCGGGAATGGGCATGCCATCCTAGTATGTTGTGATTAGCGCACGGTGAATTTCGTCTTATTACCTAGGTAGATTGTGTATTGCCTGTGTCCGGACCCAAGCCACCGGGAACAACGTCCTTCCCATTCCATCCTAGCCTGCAACGCTGCGTGCTGCAGGTAAGCTCTGCGTGGGATCGCACTAACGCGATAGGAACCATCTTTAGACTGGCCGGGCATCCGTGTTGGCTGATTATGTTGGTCATCCCAAGCCACACGGAAGGATTGCTGCGCGTTTCGGTTTGCGGCAGCCTGGGTGGGGTGGCTTTCCTGGCTGCGCCGCAACCTTGGAACCCACCTAATGTGCACTGCAACATTCATAGTTGACTCTCTTTCCCCCAGACTACTGACTGTTCATGCAAGCGCTGGTCTCTAAAATTCTTAGTTTTGGAACCTCACATGTGCTCGCGAGAAGTACATACTGACGAAGGAAAACCATCCAACCATGCCTATCACCCGCCAGGAAACGGGTCTCAGCCTGTCCCGCGCGGGAGCAAACCCCGGGTCGCCCACTGTATGGAAGGGCAGCTGCCATTGTGGGAGGAACAGATTCGAAGTCAAACTACCAAAGATCGAGAATGCGATAAGTTGCAATTGTCGTCTTTGCCGCAAGTCTGGTTACCTGTGGGGGTTTCCAGAGGCTGGAGACATCAAATATACCAAAGGCGACGAGGACACTCTAGCTGGGTTTGAGACCGAGGCGCTGAGCCATGAGGTTTGTAGACTGCCACATCACACCTAAATCTCACAGGATATGGAGTCTAACATTTCACCTTAGTTCTGCAATTACTGTGGCACAGGCCTGTACGGAACACACAAAGCCGGGCCACTGGAGGGCCAGCCCGGCATCAATGTGAGACCACCTCGGCCTTTCTCACTATGAGTACGGTATCCAGTTACCACTGATCTTGAGCTGACCAGATCCTCCAGCTTCGAACCATTCTTGACGTGAACCCTTTTGACTTGATGACTCAGGGAGCACAGTACGTCCCGTCTCAAAACGTGCCCCGGCGTGCCCGTCCTCATTTACTAATAGCGTGCTTTACATAGGACCGCCTCAGCCGTAGCTGAAGACCCAGTCGTACTCCCAGAAGCTCTGGAAAAGAGTCTACGTTCAGAAGAGCTGGAAGGTGACGGTGTCAAAATTTACACCGGCACGTGCGCATGCGGCAACGTGGCATTCTCAGTCAGAACACCACCACTGGTCGCGGTTGAAGTCAAGGAGGACAACTGCAGTATATGCCGAAGAAGAGCAGCCATTACCATCTATCCAGATCGAGATCAGGTGACGCTCGTCGGCAAGGAAAACACGACCACGTACGCCTTTGGGCGGAAATTCAACGAGGCACCGTTCTGCAAGACGTGTGGTGTTGCGTGTTATGGCGTGCCTATTGGGCCGCCACAGGAGGTTGTTGACAAGCTGCCCGAGGCGAAGAAGCAGTTTGTGGAAAAGCAAAGGCGGATCCAGCCTCTGTATGTGAGAGCTATGGATGGGGTGGAATGGGATGATATCCACGTTGAACAAAGCGATGAGGGAACTGAGGGCTATGTGCTATCTGATGAATAAGCGCTTCATTGGCGTGGACTTCTTGAAGCTTGGAGCTTTTGACTAACAACTACCTGCATTTTATATCCTCATGCATGAAATATACCATGAACCAGCTCTATCACTCATGATGTGTTCTCGACTCGAAACTCAGCTCATTCATCAGTTTCTCATCATTGTACAGCCGAACCAGATTGTCCGCCAGGATCCCTTTGATTCGCGCGAGTTGGTGCGTTGACAGCCAACTGATATGGGGCGTGATCATACAATTCTTGGCCTTCCACAGCGGATGCTCAGCAGGCAGCGGCTCAGGGTCAGTGACATCCAACGCAGCACCCCTGATCGAGCCCACCTCGAGAGCCTGGATCAGCGCGTCTTGGTCCAAGATTGCCCCGCGCGCGACGTTCACCACGAAGGTCCTTCTTTTGCTCAGGATCTGAAATTGTTCTGCGCCGATGAGCTTCGCGCTGAGCTTGGTCAGTGGCAGGGATATGAGGAGGAGATCAAAGCCTTGGGAGAGGAAGTCGTTCACTGCCTCCTTGCTCTTCCCATGGAACCACTTCGACGGAACCTCGCCTTTCTCGTCACCCAAACCGGGAATGTTGAAGCCACGGTGTCTGCGAGACTCGGCGGTCGGCCGCTCATTGGCTGTGAATGCGTAAACTTCCATGCCCAGAGCTCGACACAGACTGCCGACTTGACGGCCTATAGCACCGTAACCCAGAATGCCTCTTCGGAAAACTTTAGTCGCTGTTCTGTAGCTTTTGAACAAAGGCTTAGGTCATTGTGTACTTACACACGAAGGCCCACTGAGTCTTCGATTTGTCTGGCAAGGCTGGGCTGCCAGCTGCATTCTTTTTGAAATTGTTCGTACTCGGAGAAGAAATGCTGGGACTTGATCCAAGCCCCGATAACCCATTCTGCAATCTGTGGGCTACAATCCCGGCCAGTACGTCAGCAGCTTGAAATTCCGCCCGATATCATCCTGCCAGCTTCTCAAGGAATTCGACTCACGCGGCAGATCCAGTAGTTATTGCAAATTTGACGCCACTATCCAAGAACTTGGGATGTTTTGCCCAGAGATCTGATCCAGCACTGCTCAACTGAACAAATCGGACCTTTGGAATCCATTCTACCGGGACAGGTTCGTAAGTGAACAAGATCGTTACATCCTCGAAGATGCTGCGATCCACGTCCTCAAGCTTCTTGATCGAGCCGTCGGAGTTGCGGATGTTCTCCCATCGGACCTGCAATTGTCCCGGGATTCTCTGGAATAGGTCTCTTTCCCATTGCTCATCGCGGCCGGAAGCTGATATCACGAGCAGGACGTCATTGGAAGCCATGGTTCTGCGTTATTGACGTCGCTTAATCTGTGCCACCGAAGTTCCAGTGCTGCTGGCTGCGTTCGCGGGAGAAGGCTGTCCTCTGGCTTCTTTCGGGTCGGTGTGACTTAAAGTACAGGCCCAGCAAGGTGTTCATGCAGTATGGCTTTGCAACTGGGAGGCCACTCTTCTTAACGGTGAATGAGTGGATGCGCAGCTGAGCAGGGCGGATTATTGGGGCTGTTGGGCAGAAAGCCACGGGGTGTTGGTTGACTCCCCTCGGCACAGGCCTTAGTCAGGATTGCCGACTCGCTACAGGACGCCAATCCCACAATCGAGCGGGCCGTAGCGGTGCAACATCGGAGCCGGGAGATAAGAAGGTCAGGAGCCCCGGCCGGCCCGGCTCAGTACTTGTGTCCCCCCCCCCCCGACCTCCACTAGGTCAGTTGGGCCGTTTCTCAAGGGAAATATCATGAGATACGAGTTCAAATGGATAATTGATTTGTAGCAAAACCTTCTAGAATTTTCGAGATTTACTATCCCACATCCGCGGACCAGCCTGAGGTTGTCACTCTGAAGCTCTGATTGCTCAACCGGCCTGTCGATAAGGTCGTGCATCGCGTCATCATCCCTGGGCATTTTGTTGAAACAATTCCACCATCCCATACAAACAACATGATATTGACTACAGTACACCGAACAGCTTGGGAGTGCATACCCGTGGGGGAAATCACACTTTTTGCACTGATCCATGGAACAAAAGGGGGTAGCTGGGGCAGCAAATTAATCCAGCCTGGTGGGCTGGTGACCGCTTTATTCACTACCTAGGTATATCCTTCGAAAAGATGGACCCGGTCGTCTAATACACTATGGGTTCTGAGCGAGAGACTGATTTGAAATAAAGACAAGAAGCGAAAACGCCTTCACTTCGGTCAGGCCTACGGGCACACAGACCGTGCCCAACAATATCCAGCCGGCCTCGAGTTGCTGTGCCCAAAGTGAAAGAAAAAGGCCGGAAATCAACGCTTAGCCATCATGCCACCCATAGGAAGAGCAGGCAGCCCTGTGATAGAACAATGATCAGCATATGAACGCGGACAAATGGGATCCCCGTAGCGGGTCGGGGCAGACTTACATCCATCAACTGGCTCCTTGGCCTGTTGCTGCTTGGTGCAGGCATTGTACTTATCAGCAGGCTGGGCAGTGATGCCAGCCGCAGGGCAGTCCCGGTTGAGGTTGCAGCCACTGTCCATGGCCTTCTGGAGTGTGTTGCCCTCCCACCCGAAGACGTAGTCACCGTGGGCAGCAGCGCCACTAAAGAGGAGTCCATTAGCGATCAATCTTGGAATCCATATCACGGCCCACTTGTAACTTCAATTATTGTGTGGCACCCAACACATAGACAAAACAAATGTACCACTCACCCGATGCCCATACTGTACACAAACGGGTTGGAGCCGTCCGTGGGCCAGATGCTACGGTCCTTCTGGAACATAGTGACGTTCCACATGAGTTCGTACATGATCTGCGGAAGCTTGACTGGGTGTGTGGACGGGCAAGATCCGCCGCCGCTTGCTCCGGAGCCGCTGTAGGCCACGTGGTCCTGGTGATTCGGGCTGTCGAGGTTTTTACCGTCCCAGCATCTAAGAAGGCAATTCATCAGCTCATCAAGGATCTAACAGTTGGGAGTATGACGCTATAAAGTTTTCGAAGAATGCCGTGAAGAGGTTTTGTGGACCTACGCTGGGAAGATGATGGTTTGTCGGATCATCTGACAGTTCGATCCACTGGGGACCTCGACGGTATCAGAGCCAGTGCATGGCGCGCCGCCGACAAATTGGTCCTCGTTCGGCGAGGTCCAGCACCGATGGCAGATGTTGCCTTTGCTAACTGAGTTCACGTTCGTGTTGGCCGCGTTGCCAGCGAGCATACGGAAACCCTGTGGTTCTAGCTCAGTCACGCATTCCTTTGACTAGTAGTTGCTTGGGCCGAGCACATACCTTCTTGAAAGCTGTTGTCTTTCCACTGGGGATATAGTAAACATCCAGACCACCGTTGTTGATGAGCTTGCCCTGCGGTCCGCCGTTGCCAGTCTGAGGCACGCGGTGGTAGCTTCCGTTCTTTGCCTTGAAGAACAGGACGGATGTCCAGTAGTTGCTCTTGTCCTGGACGAAGCTGCAGCTAGTGCAGGTCGACAGCGTGGCCGGGTCGTTGTTGGGATCCATGGTAACGTTAAACCCATTGCCACCGACGATCTGGTGAAGGTGAGGGGTGAAGACCATCCCTGGGTTGACCAGCGGGTCGGTACGCTCAACCACGAGCTGTGAGCAGGCGAACCGCAACATGTTCTGCGCCACGGCCGACTGGCCGGCCAGCAGCGCGGTGACTGCAAGGCTGAAAGTCTTCATGGTCGATGATGTTTGTGTCGATTTAGCTGTGAGAAAGAATATCGATTTTCTCTCAAGAGCTGCGGGAGGTGGGACGAACAGAACGAATACCGGATGCGAACGATCGGCTATGAGGACGTGGGAGTCTTTGTTGGTCGAGTCTGCTGTCCGCAGTAGCAGTTATAGCATCTCGAGCAATATTACTTTCGTAAAATGCAAGGACCAGGCTCATAGTTCCGGCAGTTCGTAGCCATGATCGACACTCAACGGTGAGTCCTTCTCCGTTAATATAATATATTCAGCCTCTTGACTATCCTGACTGGTACTCCTTTTACGAGACATAACTCGTTGGTTGTACCTTGGCAGCCGAACCAAGCTCAATGGCACCTGTCAAAAGGGCCCATTGTGGAAAGTGGACGTGACATCTCCAATATGGACGGCCGGTTAAAAGCAACGACAGGCTCAAAAGCCAACCCAAGTGGCCTTCGGGCGCCAATCGGTGTCAACATCTGATGTCCGGGATGCAGGCTTCTCCACGAACGTTACTTCGATGTGTCTGAGAAATGATAAACACGAAAAGGCCAATCCGGCGAAAATAGATTGGAAGGTCTTGGGATCCGGATGAAAGGAATCTTAGTTCTGATTGTGAACAGTGCTCACGTTACCGCCTGGACCACACGAACCTGTTTTCACGACGGAAGTAAGCCTTGAATGATGCAGAAATTTGAGTCTTCAGTATATAGGTGCTGAAGGGTTCCGTCAAATTCGTTGTTGGGGTGCTTCGGCTTCTGTCAAATGGTGGCTGCGACCCGGTTGACAATGCGATCGCGCATGGTCTACCGTTGAAAGAAAAGTCGGTACGTGTAAAACCCATACGCCGGGAGCAGAGATTGATTACGGGGAGAGGGTTACCATCTCTGGGGAGTAGGAATATTGTGGTCGGAGTCCGTGGATACGGCTTGGGCCGTGATTCTCCGGTCAGCTGGTTGCACCTGCACGCCACCTAGGTACGCATATTTTGAGTTGCAACGCTGGTAACGTATATCAGGATGACTGGGTTGTGCGGAGCCCAACCCATGGGGTATTCACCAACCTGGGAAGAATGAGAATGGCTCGATCCAAATTGAGGCAGGCAAGTTCAACAATACTAATAGTGTAGTTGCGCAACCATGCGCGGCATGAGAACCCATATCTTAAAATTTGAGCATGGCTTCTGGATTCCACGGTGAAATTTCAGCAGGATCTCACGAGATTCTGAAACAGTTTCCTGGCCCTGACTTATATTGGAGTGGTTCATGGCCTCGATCGCGTGTCGTGGAACGTACCCCAGGCTTCGGATTTTGGAGATTGAAAATAATGACCATATTCTGGGCGTAAAGGGTTCTCGTTTTGCCAAACTTGATCAGCCTTTCCTTCCATTGTTCAATATTCAGAACATCGAACACACAAAATCATTTGTCAACATCATCACTCCAAATGGTAATGGGACCGGTAGTCTGAAGCTCATTTCAAGCTGGCCCCCCGAGGAGATCACCGAAGCCCTGGAAATCATCGGCAAGTCTACCAAAGTTCAATAGGAAGAAGGGACATGCCTACTTATGGTACCTGAAGCTTGCGCATGATGCAGTCGCGAGGATATCTTCGGTCAACGTAGCAGATATTGGCAAGCTTGGGACCGAGGAGTAGATGAAGAATGTCGGCTCAAAACCAGCAGACGAAAGGAAGTATTGGATACATCGGATTCCATCATCATTGGCCTGGCTAACCTGTCACAGGTTCGCCGTGCGAACGAACCACCCCCGACGCCAAGGTGTCGAGCATTACGGGCAGGACGGATCGTCAGACAGGATCGCCTTTCCGGTGAACGGTGAGCTTCACAAGACCAGAGGCCAAGGTAGCTACTTCTAATGCAGGCTTTTGTCCGTCTGACAGCATGTTCCCACCGTCCAGGAGCGCCTGCCAACTACAAGATCGATCGGGAGATAAGCGCTGCGCCGGGTCTGCGTCGCACGGGCAACCTTTGTGGCTTCCATAGCAGTAGATACACATTTATCCTGAATTGAAAATGCACCGTCACCTTCACTGCATGGTCATCCTGCTACCACATTGGTCTTTGCGTACAAATGTCCCCGGACAGCGTCATGCTGGGAAACCATGCACGCAACACTCCAACCTTGGAAACCAGGCTCTGTGAGCCTCCTGCGGAAGACCATGTCCCGGAGATATGTCGCCTGGTAGGTGAATTAAATTCTATTTTTAACTAAGAGACGGTACAGTCTCGAGCACCGGTGGTGGCCAAGCTGCAGTACACCGCGAATAGCGAGACAATACAGCAGCCGCTCGCGAGTGCCGAGGTGACGTGCATGTTGGCCGTGTGCAAGTACCTAGCGAGTGCGCCGCAGGCTCATGCATCCATTGTTTACGCGAGATTATATGCTAGATGTTATGTCTTTTCTGGAAAATCGATGGAAGATTCGAAACGGCCCCGGGGTCCATGTGCCGTTGCCGGCCTCTCAGCCAACGGCATCCCGGGAAGCGGATATGTATCTATTAGAAATTACTGTGAGCCAGTTACATTGAGCACTTGGGGTCGTCGGAAGGCGTCAAAGGTTTGGGGAGAAGACAGAGATTTGCATCCATCATCTGAGACATGCAGTGAGGGCAAATTGGTCCAGATACCCGCCGCTTTCCAAGGTTTCTTCAGCCATACTCAATGCTTTAGGCCTTTTTTCCTTGCTCCTCAAGCACTTCAACGTTCTCGCCCGAAGCTTTCCTTGCATTCGAGAACAATTTGAATACAATCACGCGCTGTTTCAATCTATCTCCGCACATTCTGACACGATGATTGAGGTGCTCTCGAGGCAAGTTCCTAGCAGTCAGCAAGGTACCTAGGGCTGGGGGAAAATTACCCAAGGATGTTGCCTCACAACTTGGAGCATACTTGCTTCAAGAGTGACTGCTTGTTGGCAGGCGCTGGGAGACCGACTTGCATGCGGGTACTTAAGTACCCCTTCCACGAACTTCTATTTCGATGCGATGTCTGAGCGAGCTACATGCATGCTTGTCTACGTACATGATAATACAAGGAACGAAGCCTGGGTTCTTGCGTACTGTGGGCACACAAATCCGGTCATACTATTATTTCCCAGGCAGCACCGAAGGCTTCTCCGACGCGTCCAGCGTCACGTAGTCAACAAGCCTGTTGGTCATCCTCTCACACCACGGATCCACATGCGCCGTCCAGAGGTTCGCGATAAAGTACAGCATGGGCAGCCAGATGAACTGCCACAGGATGAGGGCCAGGTCCCCGGGGAACTTGAGCCGCGTGATCTCCATCTCGCCCTTGTCGTTCTCGTGGTCCGGCGGCGCCTGCACGCCGTAGAGCATCCACACCAGCGTGGTCTTCATGAGCGGGCCGTGCAGCAGGTACACGGCGAAGCTCATCCTGCCGAGGAACAGCAGGTACCTCCCGCTGAGGAGCCTCTGCAGCGGCGGGCTGAGCAGGACGCCCAGGCTGATGAGCTCGAGGCCGATGCCGCTCGCGAAGCGGGGGAAGTCGGGGTTCTCGGGCAGGATGGGCCGCATGAAGTCGAGGAGGATGCGCGACCACGTCATCCACTCGGCGTGGCCCTCGGGGAAGGAGGCGAACGTGAGGCCGGCGAAGACGAGGGCGGCCGAGAGGATCTTGCTGAGGCGGGCGCGGTCGGATATGAACTGCGTTGTTGATGGGTGGTTTTGCAGGTCGGCGATGAAGGCGCCCCAGAAGAACTGCATGCCGAAGGCGGCTGGGGGCGGCGAGGCCATGTCAGTTCCAGCCCACACATGAGGACGAACGAACGAACGAACGTCTAGGGATCATCAAGAACTCACAGTCGCTAGCACAGTAGAAGTAGACCCAGAACCCAAAGCTCGCCATGATCCGATACCGCGGCTTCACGTACGCCGTGGCCACCATGAACGAGTAAACCCACATGCTCCCCTTGAGCAACGGCAACAGCGTCCACTGGCTGTTGTCATAATCGTTCCCCGACCTCGTCCACGTCGTCACGATGCAGTAGACCAGGTTCGCCAGGGCCTCGCCCAGGTACGCGATCCTGTTGGGGCTCTGGACGTCGATCCACCAGCTGTCCTGGTGCTTGGCGACGGCGTACAGCCCGAACTCGGCCATGAGCCACGACACGGCGGTGGCGGCGGCGGCGGGCAGCACGAGGCGGGGGATGCGCCGCAGGGCCGACTTGCTGATGGACACGAAGGCGGCCTCCTGGTTGCCCTGGCGGCACAGCCGGATGGGCTTGAGCGCGCACACGTAGCCCGTCACGAAGGCGAAGATGGTCACGCCGATGCGGCCCTGGATCAGGATGCGCAGGTAGGGGAGCTGCATGAGCCGCGGCGGCGCGCCCTCTGCTGACGTCGCGCCGAAGAGCTCGCCGTCCCAGGCGCGGGCGAGGTGGGTCATCACCACGAGGGCGGAGGCGATGCCGCGGAGGCCCTGTGAGGTGTGGTGATTTAACGAGGTTCCGTTCTGGAGTGAGACATGGCCGACTGCATGGATTTCAAAGCTGATGCCTGGCCATGGCCATGGTCACACACAATCTCCAAGCGTTTGCTATCTCTCGACTGTGCTGTGTGATGACTTCATCTTCTTGCACGCCTTGGGAGCGGTGGACCCTAGGCTTGGAACAACACGAAGGAAGCCCTTGAGGGTATTTCACTCCCATCTTGAAAGAAAACACAGTGAAAATAGGGTGGCGGTATACTCACATCGACCCATTTGACGTTGCCCTCCTTTCCAATTGCCATCGTCTACCACCAGGTCGCATGGGTTAGGAAGCGCGTAATCAAAGTCTGGGATCCGCTGCGTGTCCGCTAGCCGAGGATAAGGGAGGACAGCAGTTGGTTTGCCAGCGAAGAGAATGGCAAGGATGTGATCCAGATCTGATGTTGGCGCGCGTTATCGTGGGGCTCTCTTCGATACCCAGACAACTTGGACCATCAGAGCTGTGAAGCTTATCAGGAAGGACAGGCAGAAGTGTAGAACCTCAAACAGCCGTCTTCGAAGTGTCACCGCAACAATCAGTCGGGACCTGTGGGTCGAGGGCAATGAGGAAAGGAATGACGGCTCTGTGTCATGGGGGCTGTGCCACAGAGCGGCAGGGGACGCGACGAGGGAGCCCTAGCTTGGCAGCAGAAAAGAAATATGATCACTTTTACAGACAGGCAGTAATAATAAGGGAAAGAGGATGGTGGCCCCCGAGCTCATGTCGGGGGCTTTTCCAGGGTAAGCAAAACGGGAATCGAATGAGCAGTTGGTGCTGCACGCTGCAAGGGGTCATCCGTTATCATGTGGTTTTGGCCGTCCAGTCCTGCGCCAGGGACCCATCCATCCTCTCTCGCCCTCGAAGATGTCCTGGGAGATGGATGCTCCCCGGCTAGCTCTGGACATTGTCACTCATTCACGCTGGAGTAGCCATGTTCCTTCCAGCCCGATTGTAGCTCCCGTCTTACCCGGCTGGGCTCTCGTTCTTCAAGAATAGCTCGCGGCCCGTGGTGGCTCGGCCGCAGGCTGGGCGGGTCAACGGCTTCATGACATCCACACGCGCGCTTATTAAGGAATGCACTTCTGCCATATCCCATGATAGACCTTAACTTACCCTGGCGTGTCGCCTTCAACATAATATCCCAGGATAGAGAATTCTGCACTCCCCTATAAGACTGAGAACTTGTATTGCCTTATTTAGTGTAGTTAGTCCCACCTACACTACTACCACTAAGGCTTAAAATTGTAAGGTATATTATGAGACTTTTCTTACTTGGTAATCGCTATTGTTTGTAGGTAAAGCGCGTATAAGTATAGTAAACTAAAAATATATGTATATAAAATATGGTGGTGTTATGGTATACTAGCCCCTCTCCTAGCCCTCTTTACTAGTATCTATATAACAACTATATAAAGTATTAATAGTAGGTAAGTTATATATATTCTAATAGTAATAATTAAGCTTTTTTTATTAATATTATTTTTATATTATAAAAATTATTATAAAGTAGGTTATTAGTATATAAAGCTTATAGGTTTAGTTGTAAAGTAATATATATAAAGCTTTTATACTTTATAATTATTTTAATAGGTAGATATTATAATTAGCTATATTTATTTTATTAAATAATTATAAATTAATAAATATTTTATATATATATAGTTTAGTAAAATTTTAACTTTATTAAAAATATAATATTATAATACTATTTATTAATATTATTTATTTTTTTACCTTTTAAGTATAAGTATATATTTATTATTATATTATAAATATAATTAATAACTTATAGGTTTTTATTTAAGTTAAAAATAGCTTTTTTATATCCTTTCTTACTATTAATATTAAAACTATTACCTTCCCTTTATATAAATTACTTTATTTATTATATATAAAAAACTATTATATAAATTTTTATAGTTATTTTTAAAATAAATATTAATTTTATAAATATTATTAATATAAAATTAAGGGTTATAATTATTGCTAAGTTTGCCTAAAAAGCTATATAAGTAGTTTACTTTAAGTTAATAGTAACCTTTTTAGGCACTTTATACTTAATAAATTGCAAAGTTATATAACTAGTAAAATTATTACCTTCCTATCTCTATTATATTACTTATAAACCTATATTAACTATCTTTATAGTTTAATTTATTAGTTATTTATTACTTTATAATAAACTTTAAATAAAATATGTAATTCTAAGGCTAGTAATTAAGTAATAATATTTCTTATTAAAATAATAATATAATTGCTCTATTTATATAAATAGTTAGTATTTATATAGCCCTTATATTATATAGGTAATATTTAGGTAAATATAATAATTAAGTTAGTTATTATTTAAATTTATATTAAGTTAATAAATTTAAAATTATAGCTCTACTTAATAATATTTATATAAATTATATATATAATAGTAACTTATATATGTATAATATATTATAATTTACTTAAAATACTATATAGCCGCCTTTAATCTTTAAACTATAATAGAACTCTTCTACTTTTAATTTTAAGTCTAATATTTTTAATATTTTTATAATAAATAAAGATAAGACTAAAAATATTAATAATAAGGGCTTTTTATTAAAAATAGTAATTTTAATATATATATAAATAATAATAAGGGTTATTAAAGCTTATATATAATTATATTAGTAGGGGTAACCTTTAAGTTAGGTAATTCTAAGTTAATTAAGTATATTTTATTAATATAGTACTTTAGTATAAATATAAATGAATATTATAAAGCTCTTATAGTAGAGAAGAGGGCTAAATATAGGTGCCTAGTTTATAAATAATCCTTACTATCTATAATACTATATTATTTATATTAATTTTAAAGTCTATATAAGTTAAAGAACCCTTTATTTAAAGAATTATTGCTAATTTTAAAAGGTTAAAGTATTTATAATTATATAAAATTATATATTATTAGAAAAAATTAAGACTAAAATAAAAGTTTATAAATACATTTTAGTATTTATAGGGTTTATATTATTTTAAGCTAATAAAGCTAAGTTAATATTTTTATAATATATACTACTTTAATATTATTAGGGGTTTATACTTTTATAATAATATTTAATAAAATAGTATTATATGTAAATATAAAAATATAATATTTTATAGCTTATAGTAATTATAAATATTATAATATATTATTAAAAATTAAAAAATGGTAAAAGTAATAAATAAAAGAGATATAATATTTATAATAGTATAATAGGGGTAATAGTTTAAAATAAAGTATAATAATTTAGTAATTTTATATATATATATACTTTCTTTTATAAACTTTTATAAAATTTAAAAAAGGGTTTTATTTTACTTTATTATTTTATAGTAAATAGTAATTATTATAATATTTTATTTATAGAGTATATAAAAATTAAAGCTATTAAATATAATAATAGTAATTATATTTATTATATAAATATAGTTTAAATTTTAATACTTAGTAATTTATTAATAAAATAGTATAAATTAATATATAAAATATTATTCTTATTTATTTTTATATATTTATTTTATTAAATAGATATTAAGTAAAATATAAATTAATAATCTACCTTATATTATATTAATAAATATAATATATTAAAAACTATTATAGCTATTAATTAATATATATTATATATATTTTTATTTAGCTTTTACTATTATATTAGTAGTATTAATAAACTAATAATTTAATATATTTAATAATTATTATATTAAAGGTTTTATTAGTCTTTTATAAATAATTTATATTTTAAATAAAATAAAAGGAATTGTACTACTCTTTTAATAATTACTAACTTTATTAAAATAATTATATATAATTTATAAAAGACCTTAAGGACTATATTATTAATTAAATATATAAATCTAGATTTAAAATTAAAAAGGTTAGATATAAAAATAAAAATAGATTAAAAAGTAATCTTTATATTATATTTATAGTATAAAAAAATAAAAATAATAATAATGCGTTAATATATAAACTTATAGTTGTAAATAACTTATAACTATAAGTGAGGGTAGTAATAGGTTATAATAACTTAAAGTAGTTAATAATATTTATTATAGCTATACTTTAAATAAAAAATTATAATAAACCTTTTATATAATTATTAATTATTCTATATACTTAATATTATTAAATAAATTTTATACTTTACTTTAATATAAAAGTTTATATGTTATAATATTATTATAATAATTTAAGGTAAGATTTAAAGGTTATATATTATAAATAATATTATATATATTCTTAAAATATTTAAAAATATATATTATAATAATTATATTATAATTTAGTTATTTTTATTAAGCTATAAAAATAATAAAAAATAAAAATAATTATTAAAATTAACTATAAAATACTTAATAATATTAACTTACTATTAATATATATATTTTAAATATATAATTAATATTTTAAGTAATAAAGGTTAACTTAAAATATTATTTTTAATAATACCTATAAGGTTAACTATTTTAATATACTTTTTATTAAATTAATAATATTATATTAATAAATATAAATTTTAATATAATATTTTATTTAGTTAATAGTAAATAAAAACTTTTAATAGGTTTTAATAAACTTTTATAATTATAAAAGTATAGGATATTAGCTTACTATATATTATATTAAGTAACTTTAATAAGGTATTTAAAATATATTTTTAATAATATATATAAAAGGAATATAGTAATAATATAATAGCTTTATTATTAGTATATTATAAAAATATTATTTATAATATTAAAAGAAGTAGTTTAAATCTTTTAATAAGATATAACTTAATAAAAATAATAATAAAAAGGTAATAGTATTTTAAATATAGTTAATCTATTATTAAGAATAGTTATTTCTTTTAATTAAGAATATATTATACTTAATAAAGTTAATTAAACTATTATTATAAAAATTACTAAGTAGGTAGTATAGTATTATATCTTTTAATACTAATAATAAGGCTATTTATTTTATAAATATAAAGGATAGCCTTAAGCTTTTAACCTTTATAAGAATTAATCTACCTTTTAAATATATATAAATAAATAATATAAATAAAATCCTCTATACCTAATAAAACTTTTATTATATAAAGTTAAAAGAAATTTAAAATTAATTTAATATATAATATATTATAAATTTAAAAGTAAAATACTATCCTAAAATATTTTTATATTATATATTTCCTATATATATATAAGTTTTATAAATAGGTAATAAATAAGTTGTATAATTAGGGTTTTATATAACTTTTAAGGTAAAGAGTATATATATAGCCCTTAAAAAGTACTTTTAAAACTATTTTATTAATCTTATTAGGTTTTATAATATAATATATAAAATATTTAAATAATAATAAAATATATATATTTTAAAAGTTATATATAATAAAACTAAATTTTATAGTAAATTTATTAAAATATTATTTTTAATTATATTTAATATTTAGTTTTATATTAAATATTAAAATTCTTAATATATAATATAAACTTATAATTAAAATAAAAGTAATAAAGTTAAAATAATTATTTATATTAAAAGGTTTTTAAATAATATAGTCTATTATATTATTATATAATATTAGAAATGCTTAAAAATAAAAATATAAGTTATTTTTATCCTATTTAATTTATAAAATAAATATATAATTTATTATATTAAATCTATTAATTAAGGCTATTTTATTATAATATATATTTACTAATTTATACCTCTTATAATAATAATATCTTTACCTTAATTATTTCTATATATATTAATTAATTTAACTTAATAATCTATTATTATAATAAAATATAAAAGCTATTATATACTTAATTTATACATAATACTAAATAGAAAAGTATATAAATATAATATATAGTAGCTAAAACCTAATTTTAAACTTTATAGGTATAAATAATAACTTTTAATAAGTTTATAAATATAAAATATAATTTATTATATAATAAATTAATTAAAAATATAAAATTAATAAATTTATTAAATAAATATTAAATTTTAAGTAATAACTTTAATAATTTATAAAAATATAGATAAAATAATTAAAAGTATAAGTAAAAATATAGATAAAATATATATAATAAATATTTAAAGTTATAATTAGGTAGTTATAATTACCTTTATTATAATTATCTATATATAGCTATTATAATATTATTTATTAAATTAATATATACCCTATTATAATATTTATAATAATATTATTACTTTTAAATTAAACTATACTATAATTATAATTACAACTTTAACCTTAATATATATAGCTGCCTCCTATTTATTTATTATAACTCTATAACCTAGCTTATATTTTTCTATAAATATTACTACTTTTAATTATAATAACTAATTATAAAATAATTTATAATTTTACTCTTTTATTAATATTAAATATAATATATAATATAAGGTAAAATAAAGGTATAATTTACTATAAAATATTATTAGTTAGTAATTATATATAATTATTATAAAAATACTAAAATAAATATATTATTTATTATATTTATTTTAATTTTTTATAATAAAAATAATAAAATTATAATTAATATATTTTAATAAATTAATATTATATATAATTTATAATTTATAATATATTTTATATAATAATAATAATAATATTAATATTAATAATAATATTAATATTAATAATAATTTATATTTAAATTAATATTTTTAATATTATTAATAATAAGTTAAAATAATATAATTAATAATATACTTTACTTTATTTATTTTTATTTTAAATATTTATTTAAACTCTTTATAAATAAAGTAATTTTTAAAAGTTAAAACTATTAAAAGTATTAAAAATAAAAAAGAAAAGTTTTAAATTTAATTTCTAACTTAAGTAAATATTTTTAATAAAATATTTTTATATTATAAAAACTTTTAAAGATTTTTACTTATATTTAAATTATTAATAATAATTAATATTATTAACTTATATTTTATTTAATATTTATTTAATAAAATAAATATATAAAAATAAATAAAGGTAGTATTTAAAAATATTAATATATATTATACTTATTATATAGTATTAATTAATATAAAACTATTATTATTTATTATTATTTTAATTATTATTTATTTTATAATTTAAATTATTAAAATAAATAAAATAAATATTTTATAAATATTAACCTATATTATATTTAATAAATACTTTTATTATATTATAAATTATTTTATTACTTTATATATACTTTATTATTATAAGCCTATATTCTCTACTTATTATTTATTAAAAAATCCTTATAAATTAACTATTAAACTTTAACTTTTATAATTCCTTCTATATAAAAAATATTAAATAAAAAGTTAAAAGTTAACTTTATTAATAAATATACCTATAATCTTTAAATTACTTAATAGAGATTATAAATACTTAAAATTAATATCTATTATTATATTTTTATATTAACTATACTATTTAGTATTATTAGATTATATAATTTTTAAATTATTAGATACTAGGTAATCTAAACCTATTAATAGGTATAATAGTTAGGTGTAAGAGAAGTTTTGCAAAGTACTCTTTAAGCCACATTGCCTTAACGATAGCAATATTAGTGGGGCAAGTTCTGTTTTAGGTAATACAAGTCCTTAGTCTTATAGGGGAGTATAGAATTCTCCATCCCGATAATATCCAATGCCGATGATGACTAGCGAGCAGCAAGGCGTCGTAATGCCCTTCCCTGCCTGACCCTCGCAAGAACCGACCACGTCGTGTTCGTGGTTGCAACCATGTCGTGCCGAAGTCCCGGGTACGACCAAGATCTCGCTTCCCATCTGGGAATGGTTACGGCGATCATGCGGCTGGCCGCTGGCTTGGCCTGGCCTGACTGGTCCAGGCTCATCAGCGCAGCAAAATAAAACCAGCCAGCCCGACCCGCCCTAGATAGCTAGACCGTACCGACTGAACGGTGTTTGCGCGGCACTGCTAACCGCTTTCCTCGGTGCCCTAGCTTTTGGGGACTCCATGCTAAGGAAATAAACAACAAGGGGACAGAGCGCAACGGCTCATTGCTGGGTGATACGGTGGTGGGGGCACCAACGAGATTTGGCTTGGCATCGCGAATCCTACGGCCGGCTGTGCTCACAAGCTGGTCAGAGTTTTGGTGATGGCAACGGGGTCAAGCAACGCAAGACTGTTCCGCGATGTCACGGGCTTCATAGGGCAGCTCTTCTGAGATGCTTGACAAAGGGGAGCGTTTCACGTGGGAATAAACATTCCAAAAGGAGGAAGGGAAAGATGTGCCGACGCCCCCACCACCCAGCCCCGGCACTCTCTTCCATCTCACCTTGAAAAATCGCGGCGAGACAGGAGAGAGTCAGTGAGGCCGGGAGAGCAAATGGTCAAATTCGCGGAATTGCCACCAGCCCACCCCACCTGCCGTCTGGTAAGGGCGTCGATACCTCGATGCCGGGAAGGGGGACGCCACGACCCGGCCTTTTGAGGTATTGGTTTGATATACCGCTCGGAATACAGAGCTGGATCAAGGAAGGGTCTCGCCTTGTGCTCCACCTTGCCGTGCGGAAAAGTGACAAAAAGGGAATGAGAAGGTGGTGAGACATGGGGAAGCTTTCACTGAGACACATGGGGGAACAAGGGGCAGCGCCCTTGGATCCAACAGTCTTTTTCATTTCTTGTGCCCTTCAACGGCAGGCACGGGTATCGTATCTGTACAAGTGGAACAAGATGGCCTCGGTGCTGAAGCCCTTGCGTATTTCGCTCCTGTCTTAGCTCAGCAAGAACTCAAACGTGTCATCCTCTGGCGCCTCGCCGTCCTCGTCGTCCTCGTCAATATCCACCAAATTCTCCGCAAAAAGGCTCAAGTTACTGCTGGCTTCAGCTTCCACTGTGCTGGACTTTCGTTGATTCTTGGTGGTTGCGTCGGCATTTGCCCGCTTCTGCGCGCCAAAAGCTGCAGCTCGTCTCAGGTCCATTGGATCCCACTTTCGACGGTCCATGGGGCTTTGGTAGTTAGCGAGTTTTGATGTTGGATCAATCACATCGTCGAGCTCTCTCCTATTTCGCACGTGTACCACAGGATTCCTGACGCGCGAAAATTCGGGCGAGTCGGTGTACCGCTCGAAAAACACCTGCTTTTCGGTGACAGCAGGGTATCTTTGCCCGGGCGATCGAGGGTCAGGGTCATCTGCAGCATCGGCCTTTGGTAATTTAGACTGCCTGTCCTGCATTTCAGTTTCAGTCCTGACCCTCTTAGGCGGGCTGTCTTGTCTCCCCTTTGATGCTCCCTGCTGCTGCTGCCGCTGTTGCTCCTGCTGCTGTGTTGTGTTGTTGGCGCTGGCCTCTGTGTGTGCCGTCTCATAGAGCCTCTAACCCTCCTCGAAGAACACCCGCTTTGTCCCGCGTAGCCTCTCATCTTCCATCTGTTCTAATTGCTGGTCCAACTCCATGAGGTCCATGACCTCTTGCTCGATGTCTCGCTCCTCCGCGTCCAACTCGTATCCCGCGTCGGCAGCTGCATCCAGCTCATCCATGAATTCTAGGCCCATGTTGCCTCGTGACGGGGTTTCTGTGGGCTCCAGCTGATAATCGATCGGTTCTGGCTCGAAGTTGTCTTGAGATCGGTTGAAGCTAGGGGCAGACCGGCCGGCTGAGGGTGGTCGAGCACCAGGGCCGCTGCGCATGGTGAGGTCGAATCTTGGAAGATGTTTCGGAGTTCGGCCAGGATTTGGATGTACAATGATGGCGGTCGGCGATTCCGCTGCTACATTTGCAGGGAGGAGGCGCTTCAGGTTCTTGGCTGGGAACCGGAGGGGTGCTGTGTCGACATCTTGGAAATCGTGAACCACGACAAGTCTGCTCTCGCCGCGCACAACTACCTCGACGGGGAGGCCTGTGCTCTCCTCGGCGGGGGGTTCTGAATCGTCGAGGTTGTAGGAAGGCTGGCGCCTCTGGGGTTTTGGAGTCGCAGCGACACCACAGCACCGCTCACCTAGCAACCCAGCATTGAGCTCCAGCAGGCGGACCATGCGCGAGGGCTGCGCTCCGCTGAAAAGATTGACGCCGCCACCTGCACTTCGTCGGACTTGGGCATCCCAGAATTTGGCGACGACGGGGATGACACAAACGATATTATCAGTTCCACCCATCCACAAGACGGCGCTCTCCTCCGTGTGTACCGATCCCCTAGAGCTTGGCAGCTGCACGACTTCGACTCCGCCTTTGACGGCAGCCAGTCTCTCCGGTCCACCATTCATCATCGACACGAGGGAGTCACGGCGTCCAACCGAGTTGAAATCGTTAGCCCCAAATGAAGATTTTTGCGAACCGGGGTTACGCAAGGGGCTTGTACCCTCGAGGTGTCCTGAAGCACAGAAAGCGGTGAGAGCGGCTCCTCGAATGCCCGTGTTTTGTTTTGAGAACATTGACCCTCCTGCGTCATTACCAAGAGGCCCAGCGCCCTCCACATCCCATATTCCCCACTGCCCGTCCGCCAGGAGGACCAAGATTGCCCTGCCGTGTGATATCCATTGGGCGCCGACGATGGGTTTTCTCGAGCACGGCGAAGTGGTTGCACGGGCAAAAGGCGGGTATAGAGACAGCAGCCACGACCCGTGAGATGGCCAAGGGCCTTCGGAAATGTCATCCTGGGGGATTGAAGGGATGGAATAGTCATAGACGCGGACCGCGTGTGGAGATGCGACAGTAAGTAGTTGGCTCGAGTGAAGGGGATTGAATGCGACGTGTGACAAGGGGCTCGGTAGGTATTCGGTCTGAAACGGTTCGATGGGAGGGCCGTCCGAGGTAGAGTTGATAGGGACATCCCAAAGCCGTAACGTGCCGGAGGCGTCCTTGCCGTGGACAGCAATGATGGCACGCGCGGCGGAGCCACCCAGACGAGCAGGAGATTTGCTCCGATCAGAACTGCTCGCGCGACGAGGTAGCAATGTCATGGCGATCCCGTCAGGACTCCTGTTCTGGCCGCCCAGCTGGATAAGGGTCTCGCCCCATTTGCCCTGTCCCACGACGCCGGCCAGTAGGTTGGATCGTAGGTCCTCTCTTGATATGGCCTCGTGCGAGGGCGGCGTCAAGGGCAAAGTGACCATAGAGACTGAGCCCCTCGCAGACGTCACCGCAAATGCCATCGTCTCGGAGAGGATGTCAGTTTCGCCTGGCTGCTCTCCCGGGTAGCGAGGCGCAATTGGTGGAACAGCAATATGCAGGATGTCTGTGCCAAATGCGAGATCCAGGGACTGGATGACCTCTGGGTAACCAGTGGCGTCTTCGACACTCTCCTCCTCGAACTCCGGCTTGTCAACGAAGGCAGCTGGTGCAGAAGTGTCGTCGTCGTCGTCTGAATCGATGATCATGACGCCATCGTCAGCAGAAGCACCAGCGCCGTTTGTTTTGCTGCCGCCGGCCGGTTTCGCAGATTGGGGTTTGGCGGGCTTCAGTCGGCGACCGCCGCGCCAGACTACTGTAACTCCATTCTCGTGGCCGTAGAGGAGGACGGTGGATCCTTGGGGTGAGGGGACGGGGTATGTCTTGACATCGTGAACTCGTCGATTAAGGGAGTATCTGAACGCGGGCGGTCAGCTAGGCGCACTGCTTGCTAGGGGGTAGCGCTGTCTCCCTACGTGTATTGTGTGTTCTGGGCGGTTTGCCGCACCCGTGGCTTGAGCTGGGTCATGATGCGAAGTGTTGGTTGTTGTTGTTATGGCTGGCAGGGCGGGCAAGCGAAGCGACGGCGAGGGAATTGAGGGAAGAAGGGAAGGGTTGCTGAAGGGGAGGCGCCCACAGAAACAAGTCTCTGGGGGGGTCTTCCACAAGTCCGAGGATGGGTCAAAGGTTCATGTCGAGGTTAAAACTGGACAATAACAAAGACCAAGACAGCCCCTCGAAGTGGTTGCTGCAGGCATGGACCAGGCTGGTGTGCTTGGCTGGTTGGCTGGCTGGCTGGCTGAAGTGGAAAACTTTGGAAGCGCGCCAGCTCCAAGCTCGACGCGACCGTAGCTTCAACAAAAGGCCCGTGCTCCCTTGCTCCTTGCTACCCTGCCCAGGTGTCCATCTGGATTACATAAGGGCAGCCGGCTCATGTCACTGTGCCAGGCCAGCAAAGCGCCATTCATCTGCACCCCTCCAGATGCATGCAAGATGAAATGGGGCGTTCTCTCATTCTCACAACGGCATGGTCGGCATCAACATTTGATCATCAGCACGGTAACAATTTCGCATTCAGAACCTGATGAGTCTAGCTAATAAACCAAAGAGAAACCCGGCCCCAGACCGCCTCTGCTCAACTCGTCTCGCACTACATCCCACCATTGGTTGGTGGAGGGAACACTACGCCTGTGAAATTGAAATTGGGATTGTCTCGGCCTCCGCCCGCAGCCCAGATCGCAGCATGCGACGCATACGTGTCCCAGTTCGAGCTCGTGTTGATGCCCACCTCATGCCACGCGAACAGCCCCTTTGACACGTCGTTTCCCAGCACAGCATAGTTCAGCATCGGGTCGTATGCCGACGAGGATGCATACCCAGTGAACATGTCGCCCAGGTTCGTCGTCGCGCGGATCTTGTTCTGGTTGTACGGCGGCAGCGCCTCGATCATGTCCCTCAGGTCCTGGTCAAAAAAGAACTGCGAGAGGTGTGCCACCTTGCCGCCCGAGTACGTCCCGTTGGGCAGCACCTGCGAGCCGACGTGCGCGATGATGTGGTGGTGCGTGGCGCGGTTTTCGTAGTGGCCCGGGAAGGTCGTGTCGAACCGGACGACGCCGTCCGCATCTGTCTTTTGCACCCCCCGGAGCCAGGTGGTCTTGAGACCACCCTGCCCGCGGGCGCTGACACCGCTATACTTGCCCGTCGTGTTGCAGGACCAGATGTCGATGAGCAGGTCTGCCGGCTCGCACGTGTTGATGTCGATGAATTGCATCTCGAGGTGCATCGGCACTCCGGCGACGCCTTCGGTGACATTTTGTCGGACTATCGCATGAGAGGTCAGTTTTCGGTTGATGTATACAAGCCCCGTGCAGCAGCAGGTTCGAACACAATTTCCCAGTGAGCTGCAGCCTCGCGATTGGACAAAAGACATCAATCCACACCGCGCCTGCCCGTTCTCGGTGAAGAAAAAACAAAGCCCACGACTTGAAACAGCTTACTGATTTCCTGTGACACAAAGTACGGCCCATTCGCGTTGTCAGGAGTCAGGATGCAAGACGCGTTGGCGCCGAAGATGTCCTCGGCCGGTGTTGAAGGGTTATAGGAGACGAGACCCGTCTTGTTGTGGTCCACTGCAGCCCACTTGCGAAAGTCTGCAGCACTGCGGCGATGCAAGAAAGGGGCTGCGACAGGTTCTGTCAGCCTCAAGTGCTCCTGGAGAGACCACGGCGAGGGTTCTGGCTACTTGCCATCAGCCAGCCCTATTTCCTGGCGGAGCCTCTCAAAGGTGGCGGCTCGCCGAGCAACGGCCGCTGCCCTGCGTGCCTTCACCTTGGGCTGGTCCGCGCATGCTTGCAGGGCTCGTGAGTTGACCTCGGCGACGATGTGGTGCCTCGCGACCGCCTCTATTTCCGCCCTCTTGTCGTACAGCTCTTCGGGATGTGCTGAGACTAGCTGTCCCAAACTGGCAGCAAAGGCCACAAGAATAGTTGGTGGAAATATCATGGTGTCGGTTGCAGTCCTCAGCAAGTAGGTATTGTATCAGCTGTATGCGTTCAGAGAGCATGGAGCATCAGCAACCCCTGGGAGACTTGGTCTGTCTATTCAGACAGCTGCTGATTTATATCAGTCATACCATTGTGATGGTTTGTCAATCTCAACATCGTCTATTTTGGTCATATCCGGGTGAATTTGTTGCCGGGGTTGTTCCGCTGTACACGCGTGCCAACCCCCCCATAAGTGTAGATCCGTGGTTGTTATATTATGCAACAGTGGCCGAGAGTGCCAGATGGAGAAGCGGAGTTGTCAACGGAGAGATGACTTGTCTAATATATTTCTTCCTAAAATGGCAGACCAACTTCTTGGCAGGCCCGCGTAGAACCAGAAAACAAAACTCCGACTTTGCTCGCGCCAACCTGGACCTCATATCGCTATCCCCTCACGCGACGCCCAACTTGGTCTAATTGCTACACAAGCATACGGGAACCACGACTCAATGTTTTAAGTGGATGAACTCCCAACCCAGCACTTTCGGGCCTCATTTGCGTGCATCTCGCGTTAGATGGCCTCAGCTCCGTGATCAAGGCTTATGCTTCATTGGGAACACCACGGCAGATCATACGCAAGGAGCGGGGTGGGCTTAGTGTTGTCTTTTAATTAACTGTGGAGGCTGTCAGTCATCGGTCAGCAGACACTTTCTTCTTTGGGGAGCTGTGTCATTGGGCCTTCGCAGTTGGTTGGCGATAGCGACCGAATTCGATTCCAGAAGCGGCTTCACTGAACGTCATTATCCCTAGGTCGGTAGTTTCCCAAGACGGATTTTGTGTGTGCGCGTCAAGATCCTATCTCACGACGGCGTGGAAATGTTCTGGGGTGTAATTACTAGGCGAGCACTTGAGCACTGGACGGAGTCAATCCTTGAGCTTGTATCGTCAAGAAACTTTAGAGCAACCTTTGCCGGTAGTGCCTTTTGAAGCAGTGCATGTAACTTGTAACGATAATTACAACTGTGGTGTTTTCTTTGTTCTGTTTAAAAGCGACAAGCGATTCCTCAGGCGGATTCCTAAAGCACACCAATCACCAACCATCTAGGTATCTATACTATCTCATAATTGACTCCCTCATGTGACAAGTTTCTATACCAAATCACAAGCCAGGCCAACCAAACGCCGTCGCAGAAAATGGAAACATTAGAAACAATACGGAACCTGTAACAACCTTGGAAGCATCCTGTCTCACAAGCACTTGAGGACAAAGGAAAAGGAGTCTCATCTAGTACGGCTCCGTAGCTCTACCATAGCTGGCACGTGCATTGTACTTGGGCCCAGCCATCGCGACCTCGGCATCCGAGGCATCAGCACTCGGGCTCTGCTTCTCAGTGGCGTACCTTTTCCCGCCCAGCATGACAGCAGGGTCAATGGGCACAAAGACAGCCACGGCGATGATCATCATGGCAGCATCCAGGGCGATGAAGTACACCTCGTGGGTGATGAGGTGGCCCCTCCAGCCCTGTGCGAGCTCGATGGTCCGGTAGATGCTGCGGATGTAGATGACGACGAAGCTGAGGAAGATGGCGCCGAGGACGAGCTTGAGGTTGCGCGTGACGGCGTCGCGGAGGCCGAACCTGGCGCTCGAGATGCGCCGGGCGAAGTCGCCCAGGAGCACGCCAAAGAGGGTCATGGTGGCGAGCTGGAACACGATGCCGCCCTCCATGATGTGCGTGCCGCGGTCCTGCTGCTCGTGGGTGTCGGCCATCGAGGCCATCGCGCCGCCGACGGCCTGGATGACCAGGGACACGATGTCGCAGGTGCAGAAGATGATGGTGTACCATTTAGCGGAGAGGAAGGAGGAGGAGCGGCCCAGGTTGTGGATGAGCTGGCCGAGGAGCACGTAGAGGGCGGCGCTGAAGAAGACGGGGGCGATGATCAGGGTGACGATCTGCGAGAGGAAGGCATCTCTGTTGTATGGACACTTGGCGGCCCAGGTCCGGGAGGCCCATCCTATCAGCTCGGCTGTACAGAGACAATGTGAGCAAATACTAGTAGATGATACAAGAAATTCAAAAGCAAGAATACTGACTTAGGGCTCCCAGAGCAAATAGAATAGATGTTGACTTTCGCAGCTGGAGCGATCGGAAGGTATGGTAGAGAAATGGGACGGCAAATAGGACGCTGAGGACGATGCCTCCGGCGAAAGATGGGATGTAGCCATAGCTAGGCTCGAGAAGATCTGTGTAGGCATAGCAGCCTGATTGGATCTCTTTCATGCGCTCGTCAATCTCGGGCTGTGTCATGTTCGCAAAGAGCGGCTGTGAGGACGACATTTTGGCAGTGTCTGTTGTGCTTGAACAATATGTCGGAGGCAAGATCGTAAATTAATTATCGCTTAATGCCTAGGTAAATGGCAAGATAGCGAAGAGAAATATAATACTTGCGGTCTGTTTGTGTGGGTGAACTCAGGCGCTAATGAAGAGGTGATACGAACGCATCGTCAATTTTGTAGCACGAAGGATGGCTGCAATCTTATATCTCTACTTAGGTACGTTTCTAAACTCTCCAGCTGAACTCGGCCGTATGTTGCTGACGAGTAGGAATAGATCAGCCGGGAGGCTTAGCACTCGAGGGCTTGCAAGCCACGGGCTGTTTTTGTTCCTCCTGCAACGGGACAGGGAACAAATGAGCCTCAGCCAGGATGTAATCCTGACATTTGGGAGGATCTGATCCATCTTAGCTTAGCTAAGATGTTTGCGCTCTATTCCATTGGCTCGTCTCAATGAATCAGTGACTTGTCCCAAGGAGGAATTTTAGGCTCAGATCTGGGAGGGTCAAAGTCTGCGACGCTATGTGCACTACGGTTGGTTTGAGCAGGGCCCGTACTAGAGAAGTGGGTCCAGAGCGAGATTCTTTCTTTGCTGGCGCGAAGGATTGAGAGAGTCGACTGGTCGCGTCTGAGGCTCAGGGCTGATTACGCACTGTGGCTTGGTCCAGTCTGACCCCCTACCATACGACTGGGGCTAATTAGTCTGAGCGCCGTCAACAAAAGAAAGATGGACCTCATGCCTTTTGTTGTGCCACGTGTTGAAGAATCGAATATGAGCTCCCTGGAACTCGGGTGCGAGGACAAGGCTGTGGGCTCTGTTGTGCCGACGGAGACGGACTTGCATATCTCAAGCCCGGTCTGACCCCCCCCTTCTTCACTCACCGACAGCCCACATCCATGGATACACCAAACCAGTGAGCAAAGCCATAAGCGACAGAAGTACTATGCCCCCAAAGCTGACAACTAGTTGAATTTATAGCCATACCGGAGGTAAGAGAAACCGCACATACACACAAAGTTGTTACCGAACAACTCTGTTCTCCTGTTCAGGTCTCCTCGCTCGTAAAGGTAGAAAATAACACATATGATATCTCAGAACCAGCACATGTAAGCAGTCATCTAGGATCATTCTTCCTTGCTTATCTATCCCTGGAGCCAAGTCCTCCGTCATTTTTTTTCGGGTAGCCCGTCCTCGATTTTTCACAATGGTTCGACTTTTGAGCCGCGCTCGACATATACAATCCTCAGCGCACGGGTCTTTCCATCGTATCTTGTGTTTCAATTCCCAAAGGGGCGATAGGCGCATAATACCCGAACTTCTCAAACGGGTCATATTTAGCCTTGAGCCTCCTAAGCCTCCACAGCCGCCAGTCCTCGTACCCATATAGCGCCTCGAGGCTCTCGTCACCGTGCGCGTAGTTTACGTACGCATGCAGGGGCTGCCCGCTGCCATCCCTCAACGCAGTCCTCATCCGCGTCCCAAAGTCAGCCGCCATGTCATCCAGGGTGTCGTTTCCTGGTGCATAGTACATGGTTGGGCTGGCCAGGATCTGGTTGAATCGGTCCGGGTACGCCGTCTCGTCGGCGGGGACGGCCTCGACCCCCCTGGTCGAGTAGGCCTCGAGGAGGACGAAGGAGTTGCGCAGCTCAGGCGGGAGGTTTTTGTAGATGTCTAGCGTTGCCCGCAGGCCGGGTATGCTCCATCTCCTCAGGGACACGCCGAAGAGCATCGCGCTGCTTGAGCCTTTGGCACAAGCTACCGTGCCGTACGCTGCACCTGCCACCGCGTTCATGCCTGTTATGTCCGTGGTGCCGGCTTTGATGCTCACAGGGATCAGAGAGCGGGCGTGGTCCGTATATATCGGCGGCACTGTCCCACGGCCCTGCCAGATTAGCCAGAAGACGATAACTGGCTTTGTTTCGACACGGGTCAGTATGAGCTGCCGGTGATACCCAGTCCACGGCCCGATACAGACAGAATAAGCTTGCTCACATTCTCAGAGTCAACATCAGGGCGAAACTCGAAGTGCCCATAATGCGATAGCTCAACCGGCCGCGGCGAGCTTGCATCACCCTCCAGCAGCCCGTTGGCCCATCCGAACAACGCCTCCAGCTTGTCCTGCCTGAAGACGTACTCCTCGTAAGCCCACAGGCGGCCCTGTCCCGGCTCGACGTCAAAGATGCGGTACTCGACCGAGGTCACGATCCCGAAGTTGTGACCAGCGCCCCGGATCGCCCAGAACAGGTCGCTGTTCACGGTGGGTGAAGCAGTCACAGCGGTCCCGTCGGCGAGCACGAGCCGCGCCGAAAGAATGCTGTCTGTCAGCAAGCCGTGCTGGCCCTGAAGCCAACCGTGACCCCCGCCGAGCATGGGGGATATGATACCTGCGCAGTCGCAGGCAGTGGCGACTACGAGAACAAATTCATCAATCAGTTCGGGGTACGTGTGGGTGTGTCAGAGAAAAAGACACAGCAGCGTTCTCTCATACCGGCCTGCTTTCCCTTTGCCCATAATGCGGCAATCACCTCGCCCGACTGGGTCCCTCCGCCGATTGTCGCAGTCCTGCCGTCGTCAGAGATGCGGACATACGCCATGCCGCGCATCGAGATGCCAATTCCATTCTCGACATTGCCGAGGTCCCATGTCTCGCCATGGCCGCCCGTGATGGCAAGAAAGGGTTTGTTGAAGGCGTCGGCATACCGAATCTTGTTTGCCACGCAGATGTTAGTTCATTCGTCTCAAAAAGCACACGATGGATACATGTAGAGGCATTTCCAAATACCGTATTCCGAACATCCTCTTCTGTTACCACCCTGACCAAAGCATCCAGCTGGGGCTTCTTCGCTGCCAGAGTGAGGGTACCGTTGGTAAAGCCCTCGGACCCCGGGAAATATATCGCAGCATCTCCCGACAACACAGAGCTCAGGGAGCTGAGAGCAGGATCAACTGGGCGGTGGGTATCTTCCACTGCGCATACTGGAGCCAAGCACAAGACCTGAGCCAGCGTGCACAACACAGTGCTTGTGGCTCTCATATTGGAGTGTTGTACGGCGATCTAACATCAGTGGTAGGTGACAGAAGCTGCTGTCACGCCTACAGGGCGTCGAGATCTCATCGCACTCGAGAAAGTAGCGACACCACACCTGGGCATCCATCCTATTGGGCCTCGTCAATTGCTGATATCCCCCTCCCGGACTCCTGGAGTAAGCTGACCTGCAGTGTAGCTCCGGGGAGTCCTCGCCCGCAGGTGGGAATGGCTGGGATGGCGGCGCCATCGACGCGTAGATAGATAGCATGTCTGTTGATATGCAGCATGCAGCGGCATGGTCCAGTGCTGTGCTACCGTGAACCTTTTATCAGTCAGTCACCCAGTAGGAGCACTCTCTCCTGGAACCCCGATACTGCACCGCTACCCTACCCATTGGCCTAGAGCTGGGCTGCAGCTTAGCGCCCTGTTGTGCACCCTGCGTAGGCGAGCTTGCATGTGAAGGGGGTGATGGCGGGGTAGAACCCTGGAAGCCCTTCATTTCTTGTCTGGTTGAGAAGTCAGAACAAAGGCGCGGCACCCTCGTAGCTATCAATACTGTAACATTGAAGCGAACCGGAACAGGTGACTCAAGGTCAGGGGCCACAGTCGGCAGCATTGTAAGGCAAACACCAGATCATTAAACTTTTCTTTCATTCCGTTGGCAAACCTTTCACCGAGCAATGCAATGCTGTAAAAACCACTAAAAGTACAGCTGATCAAGTTGGCGCCCCTGGGCCTCTTGTGGTGCGTAGGCGATGCTCAACCTGTCATCGTATCGTCGTAAAACCCGCCTTGGTCTACTGACCCTTCCCATTAACTCCGAGTCCTTGATGCAACTATAGCTCGTTGGCCTTCTTCTTGGCCTCGCCCTTCATCTCAGCAGCCTTGCCCTTAGCTTGGCCGGCGACCTGGCTCGCCTCGCCCTTGAGCTCCTGTGCCTTGCCAGCGGCCTCTCCCTTCAGCTCGGCGGCCTTGCCCTTGACATCGCCTCCGGTGACGTTGGCGGTGACATCCTTGACCTTGTCCTTGGCGGCGACTGTTCACTTCTGTTAGTTCCCATGCTTCTTCCTCTTGCGTTTGGTTCCGACCAGCGGACTGGTGACATGTCTTGCTCACCTCCAATGTCAATGCCGTCAACGAGCTTGTCAGACACCACGCGGTCAACCTTCTTCAGGCCATCCTTGGTAGCATCAACGGGGTTCTTTCGCAGCTGGACTGTGGTGGAGAAAGCTGCTCGGGGGGCGGTAGATGTGATGTGGGAAGAGCGGGCCGCAGTGCGTGAGATGTTTGCCATACGGCGGATGGTCATCTCGGTGAGGAAAGACATTTTGGCTCTGGGTGTTTGTTTTGTTGGGGGAGGTGTGTTGAGTGAAGCCTGTGATGTTGCTCGAAGGACGTTGCTGAAGTCGAGGTCGACAATTGCCAAGGTATTGGATCGGAAATTAGGAAGTTGAATTGAGAGATCTGCTTGGTTAGAAAGTTCGATTCGAGGAATGAATTAGGAACAGGAGGTGTTTGAAGTTAAGAAAGAAAGGGACGGCAGACAGATGTGGTATCACAAGGGAGTGATCAAGAATGATGTCATGGTCACGATGACGCTTGAGGCTAGAACATCTGCACTACACCACCCACACACGCCAACATGACGTCTATAAATGGTTGGACCTCGATCCGCACCGCAAAATCAGACGAAAAAGGTAGAAGATCTTCAAGACCTTCTGCACCAGATCAGCTGCATTGGTAATTCCATCAAGGTCTGGAGTCTCCTCTTCTGTTTGCTTTGATGTTCTAGGCCGTTGCTCCGGCCGGTGCCGTCACGGGTAGAAGCGTCGACTCTCCCAATGACACGGCCACGGGTCGGCCCAACACGACTAAAACATCCATGGAAAATGAATGCAAGCATATGTCCCTTTTACCAGCTTCTTTCTACAATCCCCTTCTCAAGGAGAGCCAAGAATGCAACTGCACATGCAGAAAGTGGCAAGGCAACCCTGCTGCTATAGGACTCGAGCTCATGGACGATGTCGAGCCGCCTGGTCCCTTCTGTCAGAGCCTACAATGCTAACGGATCCCAGAGAGCAGCAGACTACGACATCTCAGTATAGCCCCAACCCAGAGGAAGAGTCTTTACAAATGGTATCCAGTCTCCGCAAATTTCTGGGTTTGAGACTATTAAGTAGGACTTGACATACGCCTCTTTCGGAAGTACGGCTGACATCTGGAGCCTAGGCCAAGGCTAGATAGAGTACGGGAAACGGCAAAAGCCGTCTCAGCCAGGATGGCGCGGCATCGACGGTATTTTAGAGGCCAGAAACTCTTTGAAACCACGAGATGCAAGGAAACTTGAACAGCAACAGCCCAGGCCGCAGAAACTCGCACCGAGCACGCTTCTCACTGACACAGGGTTACCCTCAGGCAGATGACTGGTGGTACACGTCTATTATATGTCCGTCGGAAGCAATGGATTCCCTGCTGTCTCACACCTGGTGGCTACTTCACAGTCGCGTATGTCCATGCCGTGTCGGCTCTCGGTATCAAACGGAAGCCCTGCATTCAAGTCTGTCCACTCCAGCTGGATGGAGCCTGGGGAACAACAAAATCGAGCGTGAATCCAGTTGTGCTCCTCGATAGGGATATCGTGTCTACCAGGAGGCCCACGCGAGACAGACATGGCCCCGTCGGATTGAAATGGTTCGCTAAGCTCAGGCCGCCGGAACAGGGTTCTTGACAACTCCGTTGGACTGATTCTAGGTTCCGGAATACCCTGAAAGTCTGGTTAAACATGCGAGAATGCGGGTTCCAGTGGCCTAAGAGGCCCCTAGACCCGTCTCAATTTAACTGATCACAGGTAGCGATCTGCTTGTGCGAAATCTGATACCGAGTGGCGATCGCAATGCGACAATTTCGGTTGTGGACGACGTGATCCTCATTCGTCCCTAATAAGCAGAGAGACTGCTCACGTGGACCAAGAACTCCCAGCCGGCTGCCTCTTTGAAAATAAGGAGGTGTGGAATTTTTGAGGTCTTTTTCATAATCAAACTTATGGCAAGGCTCTAGCCCAAAGATTGAGCCTTGCGAAAAGAATACAAGATACAACATTTTCCATCTGAGACAAGTTGAAACACCGAATGTCCTTTTATCATTCGATTTCCTCGCTACAATAATTGTAAAAAGAAAACGAGTGCCAGTTTGGTTTCACAAGACAGTATCCAGGCACAGTCATTTCATTATTCATGTATGCAAGCTCTGACAGACCAAGCCTTTGTAGGCAATTGAAGCTTGACAAGGCCTCCCTCTAAGCACTTGTGTAGTTCTAATGTAAATTGAGACGAAGTAGGCGAATCTGGGTTGATGCTGATGTATTTTGGTCCGAACCAATCTGGGTTAATTTACTCAGCAGGCATGGAGTTATAGTTAGGTACCCATCGTCCAAACTCTCTCTACCTATAGCTCCTGAAGTGCCAATTAGACACATGTAACAAATTAATCTGAAGAGTTGAGGCTACTCAATTGGAAACTGGAATCTTAAGGGTGGGAAAGAGCTGCCGCTCAAGAACACCCGCCTACTCAGGGTCGAGTGCTTGAGCTTCTCAAGACTACCCAAACAGTGCACTTAACGTTGACACCAGTAGTTGACACAACGCTTAGAAAGAAACAGCTAGGACGGTCGTGCATGGAAGTTCCAACCCGATTTTGATGTACGCCTGTTGTTCTAGTCATAAGTCTGGGCTGACGATATTGGAATCATACAGCGCATGGACTAGCATGAGCCTCAATATCACAAGATTCACAACATCCAGTAACTGGCCATGACACCAAGTCAGATTCTCGCCCATCTATCGAGGGAGAATATCACCTCCCCTTAAATACAGGCTTCCTCTTCTCCGCAAACGCCTTAAGCGCTTCATTGCGGTCCTCCGTCCCGACGACCCGCTCATACATGGCATTCTCCACCTCCTCATGCGGCCTCTGAACAGCCTGCAGCGCCGCCCTGGTCGCGACGGGCCCGCCCTCGCAGATCTCCATGGCGAGCCGCACAGCCTCGCTCAGGACATCGCGCCGCGCCGCGGACAGCACCTGGTCCGCGGCGGCCTTGTCACCCCCCTGCTGCTCGCCCTCGGGGGCCACCACCTCGACCAGCCTGTCCGCGATGCCGAGGAAGTACGCCTCGGGCGCGGAGACGCGCCGCCCCGTCAGGATGAGGTCGCGCGCGCGGCCGATGCCGATCAGCGCCGGGAGCCGGTGCGTCCCGCCCGCGCCGGGGATGATGCCCAGCCTCGTCTCAGGCAGGCCGATCACGGCGTTGGAGGAGAGCACGCGGAAGTGCGTCGACAGGGCGAGCTCCAGGCCGCCGCCGAGGGCGAGGGAGCTGATGGCCGAGATGGTCGGGATGGGCAGGGCGGAGATGTTGGTGAAGGTCGAGCGGAGGAGGGCGAGGAAGGCGGCCGTCCTGGGAAAAAGAGGCAATGTCAGCTGAGGGTGGCTACAATGATGCCGGCCCCGGGGCGATGGGGCTGGCGGGGCATACTTCTGGTCTCGAAATATGCCTTGCGCCGCGGCCGGCCCAATGGGTTTCAGACATCATGCCTGGCTTCTGGGTGGTGATGGGTGGAACACGTACTCCTCAGGCGTGAAGCCCCTCCTCTCCTTGAGGTCGGCACCAGCACAGAACGAGCTGTCCACGGCGCTGGCCAGGACCAGAGCCCTCGTGGGGCCGTTGCCGTCCTGGGCGCCCTCCACGCCGCCGAAGCGCCGGTTCCAGCTCTTGGGCGCCAGCTCGTCGCCGGTGGACGCGTCATACTGCGAGTGCACGTCGTCGACCTCGCCGCGCAGGGCCTGGAGCAGCGCCCTGGAGATGGCGTTGCGTGCCGCGGGCCGGTTCAGCTCCAGGACCCGGATGTGGCCCGTGTTGGGCGCGGGCACGTTGGTGACGCGGATCAGGGGCGCCTCGTTTGCGGTGGAGTAGCAGCACCTGGAGGCGAGGGCCTGGAACGGCCTTTTGGCGAGGGCGAGGCGAGGGCGGGGAGGCATGGCGGCGTGGTTTTATTGTTTCTCGTCGGAGGGAGGGGAGAATTACCACTGGTTCGTGAGCCGCTAGGGGGGGACCAAGAGAGGAGCAATTGGGACTCTGGAGTCCAGTCCCCACGCTCTCGACATGTTGGAGCTCACGGGCGAGGCGCTCGACGGTTCACGGTTCACGCTTTGCGATGACGTCTGGCTGGATGCGGCTACAGGCGGGTCATGACAGCTGCATACCCCGAACCCTGGATCAGCCGTCATTTTGTCTTGGCTTTGGAAGAGATGGGGACCCCCCCCCTCAAACCCGGCCTGACCCTGAGAGATTCCAGAACATACGAGCTGACAACTGCTTGTCCCCGATGCCTCAGATAAGCTTAGAGCCTTGGACAAACCCGTCCTCGTCCTCGACTCATGATACTGCAGTGGCAGCGGAATCTCTCTCCGCCTCGAGAAGTCAACCCCGGCGGCCTCCAGGCTCCCAGGCCAAAAACCGACTGGGCCCGCTTGGCCTGTGTCCACTCTGCCACTCGGCAGCTGACTGCTCGGTGCAGGCGGTGGTGGATCGGGGATGGCCTGGGCTGCCTGTATGGTTCCAGTGGCCCCCACTGCAGGGTTTCATGTTGACTTTCAGTCACCAACCACGACGATTTGCCGAGCACGATCGTCATGGAACGTAAAAACGCCGACCGTTTGTTTTTTTCTGGGGCCCAGCGAAACGTGAACCAGACCATACCCTCTTCGACACCGCGACGAAGCGGACAATGATGACACAGCCAGGGACGAGGTGGCATCAGTCTTTTGAATTCTCCGAGAAACCCTAAAAAAGAAAAAGAGAGACAGCACAACGCAGGGGATCCCGCGCCGAGTCGCCCGTCCAACACGAGGCCAAATCTCCGTCTCCCCCGCGATTGCCAAGGCCGGGTCACCGTCCTGGCAGCCTGTGGACCCACGATCTCGCGGCAAGTGGAGGCGCCTTTCGCTTGGGCGGCAGGCTGGTCGGAGCACCGAAGGAAGCGGGACGCGTGTGACGATCTGGGCCTCTTCTGCACGCTCGCTTCTGCAATTGCCAAGTCACTTGATCGATGGGCTGTGGTGGCATGATGCTCTCAGCTCTCTGCACAGCCAAACTGCCAGACCGCTCCGCAAGCAAAGGTTGCTCCGTTCAGACAGTAGATCGGTGCACCATTGTAAACAGGGTGCCCGGTGGCAACTGAGGCGTACAACAGGATTGCAGATTTTGCCCGCACAATCCAGCCACAGCCACCTCCAGAAACAACACAAAATGCTCTGTGGCATGCTCAGGAGAAGCTCGGTACCCAGTTCATTGTTCCTGCTGGGCCTTGTTTCCTTTGATGTCGTTCTAAAATTTGGTCAGGATATAAAAAGCAATGCCAACCGTGCACAGTTGCACAGTTGGATCGGTCGGCCACTGGGCGCCGCGTGGGCTGAGGCCGAATTGGGCAGGGGAAATGGCCGTTTTCCAGGGCCCAGGCACTGTGCCGTACCCGTGAACACGTACGGCTTACGGCACTGTACTGACCGCGTAGTAGGGCTGCGAGAATATCCATCCTCCCGGCCGCCCGGTAGCCGAACACGGGGACAGGTACCCACAACAAACACAGACTATTGACGGGAGAAGAAAAAGTGTGCCATTCACTGATTCACGAGCAGCACGAGGGCCTTGCCAGGCAGGCCAGGGTTGCTTACTTGCCCGAACCAGCCGTCGGCAAGAAGCGCACGATTAAGCTCACCGGATCGAGGAACCACAGAGTCGTCATCGTGTTGAGCGGTGTCGGGCTCGATTGTTCATCAAACCTTGTTGACGAAACTGCACTTTTTGCTCAAGCTGTCGCGGAGAAAAAAAAGAAGGTTGGGTCTAGTCCTGGCCCCCGCGAGGCCGCGGGCCACTGGCCACGCTCCAGGTCGCAGATGCAGTGACCCAGACTGCCAGACCTTGCGGGCGGCCAAGGGACCTTTCCATTCCTTTCCAGGGCCCCAGGCCCAGGCAGTAAATTCACTGGCCGGGCTCAAGCAGGGCCGCCCTTTGTTGACAGGTGGACGGACAGAGGGCCGGCCGCGGCCGTGATCCGCGATCCCCCCATCCGTATGGCTACTCCAGCTTAGCATTTCGGGGATTTTGAGGGAGCACCGCGAATCCCTTTTTCCTCTTTCGGCCTCTTGCGGCCACAACACGGTCCTGTGTAGACGGAGTATGTTGGGGAGATGGTACGGAGTACTGCAGGCTTGGTCTCAAAAAAAGGGGGTGTCCTAATTGAGCGAGGCACTGTATCAGACACCCTGTAATTGTTCCGTTCAGTGCTCGGTCGGGGTTAAGAAATGACGTGGCTCGCAAGTGTGTGGCTGTGTCCAATTGTGGTTCTGAAGCGACATTGCACTGATTTATGCCTTTACGCCATCAAACCCTTGTCCGCTATGTCTGGCAGAGGCTGCAGAGCTGGGGAACATGAGCCTCATCAAAGGGCCCAGACCGCAGGATTGTTTGCCCAGCCCAATCGATCTCGCAGTCTCGATTATCCGTGTGATCGGTACGAGACATCGTGTTGGCAAAAGGAAGGATGTTGGGAGTGATATTCTTGCATGTCGTATTGCCGAGCCAAGTCTGCCAGTCATGACCCGGCCGCCAAACACGCAAGCACACCTGTCTGACCTACGCCATCTGTACAGTCAGCCCGGCATGAGCTGCCCAACTACTGCAAGTGTCTTTGGCGGCACGTCGCCTGTGTGCCTCGTATCGGCGCGGGCGTGAATTATTTCGCACAGCTCGCCCATCCATTCCCCCTTCCCCGGGTCGGTCCCCTAGCCTGTTGAGGCCCGGGACCAGGGCAGGGGGGGGGGTCATTAGGGCTGCCCGTTGAATCCTGGGAAGCTCAAACGAGGCTGCGACCACGGCATGCGACGTGCGTGCGTGCATTACCGTTTGGGTGCCTCTTGACCGAGGGCGATGACGACGGCGACGGCGATGTTCCCGTTCCTGCGATTGCGCAATGCGGCCCGCTGCCATTTTTGGTCACGAGAGCGTCGGAGCAGGCTGGCAGGCTGGCACGGCGCTCGACGTGGTCATGAGCTGATCACTCGTCGATCATATAGGGGAAACGAAACACATGGCCGGCCGTGACAGTTTGAACGACGGCAGCACTCGAGCCATTCCCGATCCATCGCGTGGTGAAACGAGAGGACAGGCGGGCAGACGGAGAAGTCCACCAGGGAGAAGCCACCGCGAGAGATAGGGTTCCCTGCGGTGATACAATTAGCATCTAGATGGCTGGACGGACGGGCGGCCGCCCTGTGCCTGTCGTGGCCAGCCACTCGGGACTCGTACTGTTGTATGTACTACCACAGCAACAGCATGCAGCAGCAGCAGCACGTTGTCCAACAATCGACAATGAGTAAGCTGCCAGTGAGCAGCGACATCGAGCTTGTCACTTACAATTAACTCTGTCCGAGGGTGACAGGTCCGTCTCACGGATACTTATCACGAAACACGTCGTCACACACTTGGGAGATTGAAAAACGGGAACGCTAATCAACTAGCTCGACGTTGTCTCTGCCGGACTGTCAGACCGTCTACTGCCAGAGGGCCCTCCACCGTCGGGACCCGGCGCCAGGGACGAGACGGACTGACGGAGCAAGACCCGGCCTCGCTTGGCCACTTTGCTAGCCGCCTCTCGGAATGCAGCATGGCCATCAAAGTCCACGGCGAGGCGGGGAATATCGCACGGTTAGTAAGTATGTTCTGTTGTACTGTGTAGTAGGCAATAGACAAAAACTCTATGCATTGCACAACGCGTCGGGTCACTCCAATCTAGCGAGAGGGGCAGAGGGGGATCGTGGCACCAGTATTGGGAGCAATTCCTGCATGTGGCCAGCCAGGTCAGGGTTTGATGAAGCCAAATCTTGGGGGGCAGGTACCGGCATATGGGCGCATGAGTACAAGCCTGCCATGATGTGCCATCCCATGGCTGTGCGGCCTGGGCTGCCTGGGTGGGCACTGGCTGGTTGGTGCTCTCCGTAGCCGCGCGATAGGCCCGCCAGCCAGCGGCGGCACGGCGGACTAACGGGGTCCTATCGACAAGCCTAGACTTGCCGACTTGCTGGGCCAAAGCCTGTTGTTAAGTGGTACCTAGGCAGTCTAGACGGGACGTCAAAAAGGGGGCGATTAAGAGAGCGCTGCTGTCAGTGTCAGTTTTTGGCGGCAGCTTGAGACGGACTCGTCTGGGGATTGATTGTGCAATGTCCTGGAAATGTGCACCAGGACCGACCAGACAGAAACGTTGACGTCCAAACCTACCCGAACCGGGCAAGCTCTGGGCAGGGCAGCGTTTCCAGTGCTGACCAATGGCCACATGCTGCCCCTGGAGCTAAAATTGTGCCTGCCAGTCCCATTGGCCACTGCAGTCGGTTGCAACCCCACCCTTTCTGCGCTCAGAGTTGGGCGGCTGGGCTGCTGGGGTCGCTGTGGCAAGGATAGAATGGGCCGAATGGCCAGACGTCCAGACGTTCAAACGGTGGTCACCCACTCTATCAGGGACGAAAGAGACTGCGGGACTGAGGGACGGTGACCTCAGAGCGTATCTGCCGCACAATGCCCTGTACGGAGTACGTGCACAGTGCTGTCTATGGAGTAGCCCTGCCCCAGCCAGAGGGCGCCAGTGGGCCAGTCAGAGCCCACCGTTTCGGTACGTACCCTCCCGATCAGCCAGGGTGGTCCCATCGTAATCTCCCCTTTGTCCTCCTAGTGGCTCGTTAGCACATCTTGGAACGGCAGGGGGGCCAGTCGGCAGCAGGAAGGGACGGCGTGGCAGGAGACTGGCAAAAGAGGAAATCTGGGCAGGAGAGAGGAGAAGAGGAGACAAGGCGGCAAGTCTCACCATCCTGTCCCTGTCTCTCCTTTCCTCCCTCACACACGCCCACACCCACCCAGAGCCCAAGCCCAACCTTGACCTGGAACCCAGCTCGCTCGTGCTCGTGCTTGTGCCGTGCCCACCGACCGCCATTCCCCTTCCTTTCCCACTCTGTCCCGTCCATTTTCATCGCTCTCTTTTTTCGTCTCTTTTGATCAGGTCTTCCATCTCGTCATTCCCCCAGCCCACTCATTCAGCAGCCACTCACTCGGTCAATCATTCCAGGGCGAAGGAGAAGGAGAAGGAGACATAACCGACACACAACCGCGAAAAACAACGTGATCCTCGAGCCGGCACAACACACACCCGCCAAGTCAAGTCCCGCCAGAGTCACTCGTTTTCGCTCCAGTGCGCCTGCCTGTGTTTTGTTTCCTGGTTTCAGGTCCAGGCCTGTCTTTTCTTCCCCTACTTCTCCCATCTGCCACCCACCTGGTACTGTTCCAATACGGACACCGACCAGCTCAGCCGACCTTACCTCCCTTTCTTGCACTTCCCCCCCTACCTGGGTCCTCGACGTTCTATTTCCTTCCGGATTCCACACTACGCCTTCCTCACTCGCCGACCACCAACGCGGCTCATCCCTCGCTCTCCAACCGCATCTCCCTTTCACCAGGAACTGCGAAGAAAGGGCCTGTTTCCGCCAGGGACCCCATCAATGTCATCTCCGCCCCAAATCCAAAAGGGAGAATTGTAGGATACTAAAATCAGGAAGTGGGATAGCGTGAACGGAAAGGGTTCACAAAGGAAACAAGACTGTTGGATCTCGCCCTCGATTGTGCCAGCCTTTGTCCGAACCACAGTCTATTCTTACTCGCCCGCCACCCAGGGTACCCGACGAAGACCTCGTGGCTCTCTGGTCGAGTCCACAAACAAAGACTCGCCTCTCTGTCAAGCCGACCGTTGTGTCGACCACAGAAGTCGTCCTTGCCGACGACACCCTCGCCATCGGAAGGCCGCAAACCGATTTGCACCAACCCCGTCGAAATCTTTCGCTGTTTTCCGATCCGATTTCAAATTGATTCGTCAGCCAAATCACCCAAAATGAAGACGACAACACTTCTCGCAGCGGCAATCGCTTCTGTACTGCCAGCATATGCAGCCACCACCACAGCAGCCTCGAACCTCGAAGAGCCATCAGCGGCACCAACACTCGGAGCCCAGATCGTCCAGGGATGCTTCTCATCATGGGGAAACCTTCAATTCAACTCGACGCCAGACTTTAACTCGAAGAGTAAGTGTGCTGTCGACCTGTGCTACGCCGGCGGCTTCCAAGTTGCTGCGACGACCGGCGGCAATCAGTGCTATTGTGGTAATGAATACCCACCGAAGGAATCGCTCGTGGATGATTCCAATTGCGACGTGCCCTGCCCCGGCTATGGCGTTCAAGCCTGTGGTGGCATCGATTTTTACACAGTCTACAACACTGGTATCATGCTGGCGGTCAAATTCTCCGCCGAGAACGTAACATCCTCCTCTGCAACCCCAAGCGTGGTCGCATCATCCACGATCGTGTCAGGCGGTCAGACCAGTGTTGTGTACGTGACTTCTTCGCCATCGAGTCAGCCAGAAGAGGACAAGGGCGGCCCACCTATGGGAGGAATCATCGCCGGCGTGGTGGTTGGTGTCGTGGTTGTCGGTGCAGCATTCGGTGGACTTTGGTTCTACATGCGCCAGAAGAGGAACCGAGAGATCGAGGAGGAGCACCGCCGCAACGCAGCTGTCAATGCCTTCATGGGCGGTAAGCCACCCGGCAGCAGTGGCGGTTACTCGATGGAGACGGACACCCGTCTGGACCCCGTCATGGCCCAGCGGAGGATGAGCAGTGGCAGCATCGCCGACAACCAAGATTACTCGCGACGAATCCTTCGTGTATGTGCCCCCCCTTCGTACGCTTCTCTTGAATTCTATGCTAATCATTCCACAGGTGACCAACGCGTGATGACGTTCCCCATTTACGACGAACGATTCCTGCCTGTACTCTACTCTTCTATTGGCATCTTTCGGCGTTTGGTAAATTGTTCTCATGTCACCGGTCAATCATACCACGCGACGAACCTCCGGCGTTTCATATTGGCACAAGGAAAGCAACATATCTGGGGTCACGAACAGGACGTGGGCATATATCTCCCCCAAGGCATCCGTTGCCTCTTCCTCCGCCGTCCCCTCCTTCGCCAATCTTTCGGCACTTCTTTCGGTATGCCTCCGGCACGTCTCCTCCCCTGAGCCCCCCGGCCAGAGACGACGACGATCCTCTTGAGACTACCACTTTTTCGTCACTACGATTAGCTTTGTGATACCACTATTTTGGAGACTGGGTGAAGGCGTGGATATGGAGTATTCAACCACAACCCAAAAGACAAGGCTTGTCCCGAGACAAGGCAACCTTGATGCATCTATATTTATTATTTGTCAGGGCGGCTGATTTTGGGAACAAGGAGAAAAGGACGTTAGAACGGGGACCAATAACCCAGAATGAGCGGGAATAGGCTGGCCGCTCGCTTGTCAGGTTGTCTGGAAGCGGCAAGAAAGCGCACATATGGCCGGGATGGGTGGGGGATGTTGCGTCCGTCTTGGAGTGAGTGCCCGGTGTTCTGAGAGAGAATCTATTCTACAGGCCATCAAAGATGCGAGCATCCCGCCTCCCGAATGTATCAGTTGTCAGCCTGTGCCAAGGAAACACCTTGGAATGTTCGAGACAGGTAATTGATGGATAGACATATCTTTTATTTTCTTTATCAGACAATTCCATCTTCATCCCAGACGGCGGGGAATCAAAGCTATGTGGTGGAATGTGATTCCCAGTCATCTTTTCTGATGTCGGAACCCGAGCGCGCTCGACGCCGCGCCCGGCGCCCACCGTCTGTCTAAATGGCACCGACGGCCTAGCTCACTTACGACACCTGTCTTGTGCCCGCTGTCTCACGTCTATCTCGCAGCTGAACACCGTCACACGACCCGCCGACCAACGCCCCCATCGCACATTATCTCGGACTCGGCAAATGTTTCCACTCGACGAGCAAACGCGATATTGTTGCGGTCGCTGTGAGATTCCGTGGGGGTGGGAGGGAGGTATTGTGGTGTGTTTCACACTGGGTCTTGCAAGATCTCTTGAGTGGAGGACTGGGGAGGGAGGGATCCGCGGCTGGTTGTTCTAGCACACGCTGGGCGAAAGACACTCCTCGAGGCCGGAACCTAAAGAGCAAAAAGAGGCATCGGCCTGGCCGGCTCTTGATAGGACACACACACACACACACACACACACACATACACACACAGATCGGGCTATCGACTGTTGTGTTGCCTCCATCCACTTGGGTTCCCCCTCGCCTTTTCCCGGCCGAATCCTTTTCGATCCGACCGCCTGGGGATTGTTGGGCCGCGCAAAAGGGTAGATGTGCGGACGTGGGAATTGATCTGGTGTGTGTGTGTATCGCTGTGACACGGCGAGAGGGAACAGGAGGTACGGATTGATGTACAGTTCGCCCTGTGAGGCTCGTTTGATTCTTGGCCACTTGATGGGTGGTGGCACGGGTCGGACGGTGACGGGTCGGTCCTTGGACAATCATCGTACGCACGTACGTACGTACGGCCAGGCTGGAGGCTGGGATTGATCATCTCTAATGGCGGGGAGGAGGTGGCGCCGCCAGGGGCAGGGACATGTTGCTGGTGCTAGGGGCAGTTGTCTGATCGTGGGGGTCGGCTGGCTTGTCTGGCGGACTGTGCTTGCTACAGTCGGATCAGAGATGGGATGGGGTGATGCTTGCCATGGAACGAGCTGATATATTGAGCCCATATCGCTGCAAGGGAAAGAGGGGAGCCGGCCGTCACCATGCCCATAGCTCTTGGAAAGCATACCTAGGTTGCAGCACACAATCTACTACCTATTCAACTGTGAAGCCATTGTGGAAAGCCGGCTTCTAGAGCCCCTGGGATGATCGATCTGCTGCAAAACCTCCGTTGGCCCAGCCTGCCCAGGTGCTATGGGGGGTTCTCCACCTGCCTGCCTATCAACTTGTTGGCATTGATTCGATGCGTGGGAGAGGCCGCTGATTGTTGTCCTGGTGGTTGAGCTAGCTGGACCGAGGCAATAAGTAAATGCATCGCACGAGGTTGGAGGATCCCTGGGGCCGTCGGTGTCCACACAGCATCCAACACACCAGCGCAATCTTAGAAGTCTCTAAGGCGGGATATTGGTTGTGAGGCCCCAGACATGACAAAGTAGTTTCGTCTCTCATCCGCATACATGTAAAACAAATATAACTCCTTCATACAGTAGTAAACTATTAATGCTCAGCCTTTAAAAGATACAATACCAGGAAAAGTGCAAAGAGAGTGGTTCCGTTTCTCATCCCTGAGAATATATATAAAACGTACGTGGCGCCTTCATACAGTGGTAAACGCTCAAGATCCAGCGCTCAAAAAGCACAATGCCAATAACAGTGCAGAGAGAATATAATGCGTCTGTGGGCACGCTACGTAGGTACGGTGCTAAATACGTTACTTGATGGGTATCTTATGTGTCTGTGTCGCTAGGCTGTTGTATGTGGTGAACCTTTAGAGCTTGAGCTGTAAGTGATAGCGTTCCCACTAATAGCAGTATGACTGACGGTATGATCCGAACATGTTCAGTCTGAGAGTCCGAGAATTAGTTTGCACAACTTGTGCAGACAGGAAAATCAAGATCAAGTGCGGACGAAAGCAAAAGCATCATGTCATCACGATGCCATGAATATGTCTGTCACAAGACTGCACATGTGCCCCAGGGTGGCCGAGCAAGACACATTTACATGCATACGGAATACAAATACAAGTGGGCTGACCATCTATCTCAGCGTGATGAACTCACTGTTCATCAAAATATGGTTCCGTAATCGGCTTCCTCAAAATGAGCATACCTAGGTATCCATCAAACATTTCACCTCCTCCAATGCCTCCGCGCACCCGGACAATGGCACACTGGTGAACTACTCCGCCATATACGATGATATGCTTGGGATATGGTCAATCAGTGTCTCATCCGCCATCAGCTTGGAGCGGGCTTCCACACCCATGGCACCTTCAAGGCTCATTGTAGGTTAAAATAAGCATGCAAGATTAGTTGCATCCAGATATTCACCACCGGGATAGAAACCCATGTACCATGATCTCTTAAATCGAAGTTCTCACCACCCCTTGCCCTTTGCTCATGACTGCTCTGGCCGTGTCAGTCCCTAGACGAGAGGGATTATAAAAGCCCACCTTTCCCCCTCCGTGTTGTTGTAATACTGTGCTCCCTGTGAGTCAAGCCCGATATTGGAATCTCACCAGCAATATTACAAGGTGATTTTGATGAACAATTCGTCATGCCCCGCCTGAGGGCGCACACCTAGGTACTTCGGTTTACACACGTCCTTGCTAATTCTACACGGGAGCCAAGGGTTGCCGATACGATATACGCATCCGATTTACGCCTAATCAAAGTTGTGCTGGCCTTTGGAGAACGGCCTGGTTATGAGTTTGGTCGTTCTCCCTACCTGACTCTGACGCTGTTCTCAGACTGGAAGGCTAGCCGTATTTTAACACAGGACGCCATACCGTGCATTAATAAGTACTAGAAACAATCACCATAAAGGTTAGGGGCTTTAAGGCTATTTCCTTACCTTAAAGCTACCTTTTAATACTAAAACCTATCACTATAATATTTATCTTAATCTAATAATTACAATAATATATATTATTAAGTCTAAATAATCCTCTTTAAATTCTAAGGTTATTCTAAAGGTTAGAAATAGTTATAAAGAAAAAGTAATTATAAAAGTAGAAATAGACTTATTAGAAAGGCTCCTTCCTTCTAAATAACTCTCTTTTTATTCCCTTATAGTTAGTCTCCTACTTAAATATACTAACTAGCTAAAAGAAAATCCCTCCCTTCCCCTTCCTATTAGATTTTTTTTTAAGTTCTTAACTTCTATTAACCTACTTTTAATAACCCTACTTTTAAATCTCTAAATATATTTAATTCTAACTAACTAACTAGTTTAAAGGAGGAAAGTAGAGGACTTAATATTAAAGTTAAAGAAAAGAAGGAAGAAAGGGGGAGGGGAAGGGAAAGGGGAAGTACTCCTCCTCTCTTTATATAGGGGAAGGTACCTCTACAACCCTTTTCCCTTCTACAAGTCCTTCTATAAGTCCATTTCTTCTTTATAAGTTTATTTTTTCCCTATAAGTTTATTATTACTAAAAAGTTACTAAAAAGCTATTTAACTATTTAAAAGTTAATATTCTCTTCTCTTTAAGTATACTTAAAGTCGGTCTTATAAAAAAGGGATTTCCTATTTAGAGGATGGTCACAGTGACCATCTCCAGTACCCACCAACGCACAGTATGGCGGCCACGGAAGTCCAGAACAGACTGACACACATATGATGGACTCAACTTTGAACCGTCGACCCCCCACCCCCACCCTTCGCATCACACAGTCATGCTCAGTTCGTCACTAAGGAAAGAGATCCGGCGCACAGCCTGCCCGGCCTCGTGCGACCTGAGGAGTAACCTCAATGGCCGGATTTAGCGACATCACATACCCGCTCGCCGTGGCGCAAATCTCCCGGTTCTGGTAATGTCGCCTCGAAACCTGGCCTCCGGACCACTGGGAAGTACCTAAGCCGTTTGACCTTGCCACCTGGTGCCGTTGCTGTTCTCTGTGGCTGGCAAGCTAGTACTTGAGGGTGGATGCTGAGCGACCCCATGCATAGGCCGACAAGCGCTGATCACCATGATCCCCTTGATGACATTCTGGAGCAGATAATTGAAGTTGGATGATATTCTCTTTGACTCGCATTTGGCCCAGTCTTGGAATAGGTTTGGTGGCCGAGGTCTCGGGCGTAGCCCGGATCTTGTTGCCTGTTGTGGCCACAGTTATTGTGACAGGTTACACTGCCCTTTGACACCAGTCAGTCTTAGATGGAAAGGGATCTTCCGCTAGACGTATGACAGCAACTGAATCCCTCTGTGTTCGTAGAGAGTGAAGTCATAGCGAGGCTTAGTCTGTGTTCTAGGCGCACTCTTGCGCCCGGTGGGTGCCAGCTGCAGAGAGCCACGGTGACATATCACGGCCCAATTCCGAGACCCACACAATAGCAGGGCGAGATCACTTTGAAAACAAGAGACAGCTCCCCCTCTATGAGCCTAGGCAGGTATCCGGCTGACTTGCAGGTGTTCAATATCATCAAGCTCGCCGAGACCGTGTCCCAGGCCAATTCAAGAGGCGCACGGCGATTGTGCACCCTGATCTGAGTGGCATGGGGACACAAGCCGAGACGGAGGGCTTCGGGTATGGGGAAACCGATTGGGTCGATTTGGACCTGACAGGCAAGCCCGCAGACCGTTAGGTCTCGGGTGGCTGCGTGTACTTCGCCAACGGTTCGCTTGGGGGCGAGCATCTTAATCCATCTACGACTCCACAGCTCCATCACAACTCATGGAAGACAGCCTTATAGATATTGATATTTCGTTTACTCGCATATATATAGTTTCCTTTGGATATGGAAGTCAAGTAAGATAGCATGCGGTATCAAGCCTCTCCATTCCTCCTTCACTCACAGTTGCTTGTCACAATTTGCCTAGCCACCTCATCAAGTGGGAACTATCGGAAAGAATCTAGAACGGAAAGGACATCCAAAGCAGATCCCAAAATGAAGTCCATCTACATGCTCATGCTGGCACTTTCTGCCATATGCAGTGGCATGTTCGCACTCGCTCTGCCAAATCCTGTCCCGCAAGTTCTGCCCTCTGGAGGTAGTTCACCGCAACCGCCGCCACCCGAGAACCCTCTCCTCGATGGTGAGTGAGAAGTATCATACCGACAGTGTGTGCACCACGGTTTCTCAACAGGTAAGTCGTATCGGCCTGGCCGGCCTGGCCCTTTTGCTGCTCCGAACGTACGTAGCTGACTGACTGTTTCACGGTGCTAGATAAAGGGGATTATGCTCTGCGGGGATCTCGTGGTTTCAAATGCTTCTGGAGTAGCCTATACTTGAGGGAATAAAGGATGTTGAAGCACGAAATTGGCCTATAAAATGTGTAATTTGTGCTGATGGGGACAATGCTACCACCTCACAGTTAATTTCTGTATTGACAGACACAAAGACATGGCGGATTGCTTCCACATATTTCCCAAGTAAAGAATTATCTGAAGATGAGACACTGACTGCGCGCTGGAACTATCACCGTGATTACCTCTTCTTTTCTCTTCTTGACGACTCACCCGTTTCTCCGCCCTTCTTCCATGACCCAATCCGCATAGCCAGTGTATCGGTCTCCTGCAGCTGCTTCTGAATGTTCTCCTGTAACTTCTTCTGAATATTCTTCTTTGCCTCTTTCTCGGCGTCTCGATAGGCAAGGTCCTCATTCTTCCGTTCAGCTTGTATGGGTTAGCCTTGCTTCAATGCAATAACTGGGCCGCCAAGGGGTCGACAGTCTTGATCATTACCTTCATTCTTGTGGCGCTTCATTGTGAATAAAACAGATTCCCTCGCTTCATCCACCCATTGTGAAGAGCTCGTGAGGACATCGAACAAGTCGCAGTCTAAGACGATGAACGTGGTCTCTCGCTGCTTTTTGTCGTTCTGCTTGTGCCAGGAGATCGTGACCTCTTTCTCTGGAGTGAATTTGAAATTGTTCAACATCTCGAACTCACGCTCTTCCATCTTGTGCGGTATATCTTTTATCTTCGCAGGGTCCATACCGTGCTTATCAAGGAGTGACCGGCTCACGAAATTTCCATCACTACCTGTGTCGACCTTGTTCCTTACGGGGACCGTCTTGAATCTTGTGTGATCATCCCTACCCTCTAACTCGATCATCAGGAAAATACTCCTAGTGAAGTCTGATGACATTAGGTCTGCCAGCTCGGAAAAGAATTGTGAACCGCGTTTCCTATATCTCCGTCGTTTTGCTGGTGATTTTGTGGCTCCCTTCTGTGTTCCTTCTGGTTGGTTGTGCGGGTGGCCAGCTGTGTCACTTTCGTCTGTGGGTTCTTCGTCATCGTCTTCCGCATCGTCATCCTCACCCTCCGCCATGATTGTTGCCATTGCGATGCTTGAAAGCTTGAATGAGAAAAGGCGAAATGGTCGTCTGGGGAATTCTGTGATCTTACCTAATTTGCACGAACTGTCTATTCATCTTCAAGCTGGTAATGAAATGAAGTCAGTGGCCAAAATTTCCATCTAAATCACAGCCGCGTACAGTGCTCAGGGCAAGTGGTCCACTCACTCTGAAGATAGATCCCTGAGAAGCAAGACGGAATCCCGAAAGCCGTTGTAACTTGTGAACAACTCGTGCTCTTTGATTGTGTACAAAAAAAGCCGCCAAAACTTGGGTTTCGACAGCAGGCTGTCGAGTATTTCCAGGAGGTCGCGATACTTGTGTAAGCACATCTCAAGGCAGGATTCTATTGACTCTGAAGCAGTGGCGTCACCCTTGATCATCTCAAAACAGTCCTCTAAAACATGCTGCAAGACACAGAACTCGCGCTGCAGTCGCTCAACCGTCTGTGTGCTCCTAGCAAAGTTCTGGATCACGAGCAACGCAGTTGCCGAATTGGTGAGGAGACTCCCCACGACAAGGGAAATACTGGCAACTTCCATGACGTGGGTTGAGAGATGAGCGTGTACACATGCAATGCTCGCTAAGCGTGCAAGATGAAATGCAGTGGAGGGTGAGATGGTGAAGACTGAATTCAATCTGCAAGACACTCTTTATTATTTTTGAAATTTCAAGTGTGCTCTTTTCAGCTGAAACTTTTCATCTCTTCAGCTGCATGGTCCTATGGCAAGGATCTGCCTCTTCCCGTGAGTAGCTGATAGCGCGAATAGGCCGGTCCTTGGACTATTTGTGGACTAAGATCTAGATGGCCTATTCAGCTCCGGAACAACCTAGGTATAGTCGGAGCTGATGTCGAGCCAGACCGGCCGGTCTACACACCTATGAAGCCACACCGGTATTTCCATTCCACGAACACCAATGGTAGATAGAAGCTAGCCGCCTTATTGCCTGTCTTGTGACCTGTCCGCGAATTCAGCTGCATCATGCAGTACCTGTTGTCAATCACGCAAGGTCTATCTGAACGGAGACCAATAAACCATGTCTCCCCTCCACACTCTGGGACAGTTGACTTTCAAAAAGAAAGACTGTACTAGAGCCCCCAAAGGAACAGCTCGGGAAACGACATCGCTACCTACCTAGGCACGGTACAAGCCCAGATTTGGGCAGGTTCTGCAATCCAGTTCCAAGCGCAGAAGAGAAACAACTTGGAATGTAACGGAAATATAAATCACAGAACGAAATGGAACATACCCGAGACCTTGAATTGGCAGCAACGGCTGCGGCACATGTTGATGGGAGACATTCCTCCGATCAGAGTCTATCTACGGAAGATGAGTACAGACCGCGACATTATCACCGACTTGCCAGAATCATGAGCAGGGACAAGAACCTGGCAATCTTCAGAAGGTTCGACGAGATCAATATACTGCAGCTGATGGCCCTTCAGGCTGAGATCGTCGAGCTACAAGGACGTCTCGAAGCATGTTGTCAAAGCGACGACGCTGCTGGTCGCATGTACTCTAGAAGCTTTACTGCACTTCGGAACTCACAGCAGAGAAGTGACAGGGAAAGCAGCAGCGACGTCCACTCACAAGAGACCGTCACCGATGGATCTTCTGACCCATCTCCTCGTCTGCAGAAGTTTCTGCTTGAAGAACTTGGGGATAGGACGGGGAAATATAGTATGTAAGGACTCGATATGGAGGTGTGGTTTGAGACGCCACCTTGTGCTGACATCTCTTCTAGACAGTCTACTACTCCAAGGCAAGGTCCCATACCACAGGGCACACCTGGTCATGCAAAATGGTCAATATTTCAAGTATTCCAGTGAATGGCTAACGATCCTTAATTGACAACAGTTACGGAGGTATCAAAATTGAAACCTCCCCCGAAATCCCAGCTCCGCTCGCTCCAGGATTGGCTCAAGGAAGACAAAGGCGGAAAGAGCTTCCATAAAGATGCAGGCTTTGAGTTCTTCACATGGACGGACGAGGACACCGAAGCATACGTTTCGCTCAAGTCGTCCCAGGAAGAGACATACATAATCAGTAGATTCATGACCCGTGTTGTCGCACGGATCTTCCACCGCCTCGCTGGTGAAAAGATGAAAGTCGGCACTGTCATCGACGAGGAAGCCGCCCTGGTTTCCTACTCAGACTCGAAGCTCAATCAGGCGAGCAACGTCCTGGCATTGGTTGTGTCCTCGGTTCTTCCGGTCATGACGATATTCGTCCTCAACATTGTGCCTTCAACAAACCAGAGGATTGGCCTGACAATGTTGTTCACAGCTGTGTTCGCTGTGCTTCTAGCAATATTTAGCAACGCCAAGGGCGCGGAAATATTTGGTGCAACTGCAACGTGAGCCAGACTCTGACTGACTGATGAACTATATTGACAAAAATCCCAGATTCGCTGCAATCGAGGTGGTGTTTATAGGGAGTGCCATAGGAAATTCAGGGACGTAGGGTAGAAGGTCCGCCTTTGCAACCCGTACGCCGGCATAGTACAAGTTGTTCACAGACTACATACTCAACATTGTTCTTTGAGCATGAATTCCTTCTTCATGGACGATACTAGTAGAGGGGCGAAAAGGTTATTCATCTACAAATGATTGATTATTGGGAAAATATCGTTACTTTCGCCTGTCAACACCAGTTGTTTAAGGGATCCTCAAAGTCTTAGCCTCAATGTGACCAGTTTACATTATCAATGCCACTTTCCTTGAGTGCGAACTGAGAGTTGAGGTGCGCCAGGATCAGGTGACATTTCGTCCGAAATCATCAGGCCACCCACCTGCGCTCCTTGGGACGCAGAGAGCCCGTAGCCCCCGGCTGGCGACCCTGCCTGCCACGTACTCAGCCTGCTGGAACGTTTCGTTTCCTAAAGGCAGCAATTTCAGGCCGCGGCCTTTTGCGATTGGTGCCAGATCACTGAGACAGCAACGCTACTCATGTTTCGAGCCGCCTGTCCTGAGGCAGACAATTGAAAACAAACACAAGCAATTTTGAGAAATGCGGTCGTGATTCTAGGTAATTAGGCCGGCCAGCGGGCATTGCCCGCCGCCGGGTTTCAAATCTTGGTCTGCTTCATGGCTGAGACGCAAAGCCACAATGTCTCGGAGCTGCCAAAACAAACTCGAAGCGTTAATATGCCTGAAAGACTGTCGACAACCTTATCAATCTTTCCTCAACTCGGAGTCAATAGCGACAATTTCGGCCCTAAGCAACTCACGGTGATATCTGCCCCTGTGGAGAGATGATGTGCATTGAGAAGCTTGGACATGGCAGGTCAACGTTCGCGACGTTGTTTTGCACCCCTCGGGCCTCCCGGCGCCGGGGACTCCTTCTGTTAGACCCTGGGCACCTGGGCATTCTTCTCCGCACCCTGGCATGAGCCACTGCTTGACTTGACATGACCCTCATTTCCCAAATGATTACCCTCGGACGGCCTAGCCGAATAGGTTTTGGTATGAGTTTATCTTGACGACAGTGGCAGGTGACCACCTGTCAAACCGAGGTGTATATTAATGCAATCCAGTGTGACTGGAAATTACCCTTGTGGTATGCTTGACCACGACGCCGAAGTTGTTGTGGACATGAACAACAACTGACAACTGCCATCGCTTCATCAAGCCACAATGGGTCTCTGGGTGTGCCAGTGTATTACTGAACCTACATATGTACCTACCCTGGGTAGCTTACCGTTTGATTAAGCTTGGGGCTGTGACGGGTGCTGCAGGATGGCCCCATTTGATTGCCAGGCGCATCTGAGCCAATGAGAGTTCTAGGCCGATAAACAACCAGGGAAACATCCTTGGTTGGAAAAGTCATAGCCATTGCCTGTCGCTACCTTAACCTCCACCTCATGACGTCGAATGGTAAGCAACCCTCGTCGCCACCGCCGCCTATTATATCAGTGTCCGTGTCCTTAGAGCAGTGCTTCGGCAGAGGGCCATGACGACATGCCACGGTCTCTGTCCCTTGGAATGAGATTCGATTTTGCATCCAAGTGCAGCACGCCCGCCTGGCCCGGGAGTTGTATTAGTCATGGAGATTGGCTTTCTCAGCGGTCGTATGGTATGGAGTTGTTCATCCGGTTCAGTTTGGAGAGTGGCAACGTGGGTTGCCTATGCACAGAATTGCGTGTTTATAGATCGTTAAAGACAATGGACTTTGATGTGGTTCCTGTATTGTATTACCCTGCACTGGGATCTGGGACTTTCGCGACTGGCATAGCATATCGCTGAAACTCTTCGAACTGTGCGTGATCTCTTTGTCCCAATCTACCTAGGTGGATTTCAAAAATATCTAGCAGCCTACGTGATTGAGATTTACTGGCCACTATGTGACTGCCTATGTGCAATCTATAGCCATGGGTGCTTTGCATACTGACAACAATGGGGCCAGCGGATTGTTGAATACGTCAATAATGCACGCATTGGCAAAGATACCGGCGGCGATACACTGCCAGTCAAAATACTTCAACTGCCACAGTGCATAGTGAGTAAGACCTCCGATACTCAGAACAGCGCCGACTGAATCGTAGCTGAGCATACTCATACTAACAAGTGTGTGAACGCACGCTCTAAATTTATATTTGGTGCGCTGCCAACCTTGTTTAATCGCTTGTTCTAAGAGATAGGGCCGACTGAAAGTCAACTGAAGTTTTGACTGCGGTTGGCCATATTTCTAACAACTTGTGGCTTCGGCCACATTGTATTTTTATTTAATTATGTATTTGTTTATTCGTTATCTTCTTAGCTTTTAAACTAACTATTAGCTCATACCTTAAATATAAAGTTAATAATTACTTAATATATACCCTTAAACTTATCTATATATAATAAAGTTACTAGCTTTCTTTATAGAGCTCTTTTTTTTATTATATTCTTTATATATTATATAAAAGTAAATAAATTCTTAATAATAAAATAGTATATTTAAAGAAGGAAAATTTAGTTTTTAAATATTTAAACTTCTACTTTCCTTATATAGTATTTATTTAATATATAGTAAATAAACTTTATTTAACTTTTTAAAAGTTTTAATTTTTATAAAATTTATATAAAAGACTTTTTAAATAAATTTATTATTATAATATTATTATTCTATTAATTATATATTTAAAATAAGGATTATAGTATATTTAGCTTACTTAATAAAGGTAAATTTAAGTAGCTATTAAGTATATTAATAAAAAAACTAGCTTATTAAGTCTTATATTATAGAATTCTTTTTTATAAAGGTTATTTTAAAACTATTTTAATCTTATTATATAACTACTTTATTAACTTTAACTCTAATATTATAATAAATTAACTCTTAAATTATTTATATTAATAATTCTAATATAATATTATTAAAAGTAATATCTTCTAGCCTTATTTATATAATATAAGGCTTAGCTATATATCTATATATTATATTTTTTTTTTACTATTATTAGTACTATATTTCTTTAAACACTAAGTCTTGAGTGTTTACTATTATATAAAGGCGCTATGTATATTTTATATATATAGGGATTAAAAATGAAACCACTCTGACAACTTGTCGTCAACAGCGGTTGTGTCTTTCCGATTGGCCGGTGCCAAGCGGACTATTGACAGGCCAACAACGAGTGCGGACGGCCGAGGAAGCCGGGAAATACGAGCGGGAGGCACGCGACTCCAAATCCTCAGCCATCAACGGCGGTGGATGATCCTTTGGGGGGCACGCAGGTTCTCCGCATTCCCACGTGCATGTGAAGGAGGTGAAAAGGTGGGCAGCGGCAGCCGAGGTGACTGGGCTGCCTGGCTTGCCTGGCTGCTGGGTGAGCGTGCAGGCGTGAGGAGCACCAACATTGAAATGAGTTGTTTTTCTGGTCTGCCCTGGAACCTGAGAATGTGACCGTAATACCTGCCCGAGTCACGGTTCGGCCGCCTTCCTGGTCGCTTGAGCTACCGGATTGGTCCCAAGTGCGAATATCATGTCACCCTGAACCGGCAAAGCTAGGCGGATCTTTACCCCATCAAGAGGGGTTCGCCGAGGGGGGGTTGAACATGGCAGCAGGGCTTCAATAGCTAGTGCCAAGGCAAGCAGGGACCAGGGGTAACGGGCCTGGTCGTGGCCTGGGGGACAAGAACGCGGGGGAAGGTGGAGGATGACTATTGTGGGCTGTGTGGGTGGTGGCTGTGAGATCATACCGAGCTCTACACACGATGCCGACGACTAGTCGGCCATGTGAAAGCCTACTGATGCTGCTGCTGTTGGCTCACGATCTCAGGCCTCTCGGCCCAATCCCAGCCACACGAGCTTTGAAGGGCTCCGGCGGTCCAGCCGTTGGTTGTGCGGGGCCGGCAGAAGCCAATTATACTCCTGTTGCATACTGCATGGGGCCATGGGCTCGAGTGCCCATGCACAAGGCGTCCATCCCGCCGTGTAAGGTTACCAGGGCACACCTTGGAAGGTAGGTGATCAGTTCTCGCCCCGACCACTTGCATCAGAGCGCAGATTTCCTCTTCTTCACCGTCGCATCCCCAGAGAAAACCCTTGCTCTTCGGCCGAGTACCAAACTACGCGGGTCTCTCGTTTGTTTTTCCTGATCTTTTGCCCCCAAGCTTTCCGCCATCTCAGCATCTTGGGACGACCTTTTTGACATTCCCAATCGGATGCACAAAGGGATGGGTCTCAGCCCAAGCAGTATTATTCCACTAAATATCTAATCCGCTGTGACTCGACTCACGCTCAACAATGAGGCTGCTTTCGATACACGCGCTCGCGCTTCTCTGCTGCGGATTCGCTGTCGCACAAGACTGCATCAACGTCGCCCTCACCGCGATCCCCTCCTGCGCTCAGAATTGTATTCTCAATGGCGCACCATCGATAGGGTGCCAGGGGACAGACTTCAGCTGCCAATGCGCGCAGTCGGCGGCGCTCTTCGCCGCTGTTGAGGGTTGTGTGTCGTCAGCATGCCCATCCGCCAGTTACCAGGCTGTTATTGATGGATCAGACGAAGGTATGGCTACCTGACCTGTACTTCTACGGTCGTCCCGGGTTGCGATCTTACACCCATTCCTTCCCATAATACCTCAACAGATAGGCTAACACTACTACAGTTTGTGGATGTGCTGCCCCAGCAGGAGGAGCACCAGCCGCAGCAGGGACGGCAAGTGTTTCTGGTATTGGTGGCAGCGCCCCGGCAACAAATACAGCCACTGCCACCTCGGCATCATCACCATCGGCGACTTCAGGCGGCAGCAGCGGCGGAGGATCCGGCACGACAGGAGGAGCAGGAGGAGGCGGCGGCGGCGGCGGCACCCCTTTTACCGGCTATTCGAGCGTCTCACCGATCGCAACCGCCTCGGTCGTCGGCGCTGCGGCGCAAGCAACCCCGGGTGTGAACGTTATCCGATACGTCGTACCCGTGGTCATGATGGGCGCGGCCGTGCTGTGAGGACCAGGCAAAGCGAAAACGACTCTGCTACGCCACGAAGCAGATGGCCGGAGCCGTGGCGACTGCGCCACGCGACTTGTGGACGGGCACACGTATCCCGCCGGGGAAGTAGATACCATTCTAGACACGGTGTGCGATCTTTAGACGGCTCTCGAGTTTTGGCTCTCGAGAGACCCACACACACCTCCCATATATCCGACTAATTGCCAACACATCATCGCCGCACCCTGTCGACACCTGATATCAGGGCCACTCAAACAACGCCAACAATGGCCTACTGAGGCTTTGCCGTCTTTTCTGAGGGTCTGAGCCTTGAAGTCATCTTCAGGAGAAGGAAATGCGGAAAATAGCAGCTGCAAGAGGAGGAATTACTTCGTATCCTGGCTGAGCCGGCCCTAGGGTATGCAACCCACACGGCTGGCTCTTCGGGACCGATGGTGTCGGCGGCAAAGGGTTCGACCGATGGTGTGTGTACGGCAACGCCTTTCCTTGAATGGGGAATTTACATTCAAGACTTGAGATGTATATAAGCTCGGTACTAATTATAATTGCGGACCATTCTGGTCGTCGAGATGATTCTGTCATGGTATGGTCATTTTGAGCCTATCCCAGCGCCGAACGCAGTGACGTCGATGTTTTTTTTTTTTTTCATCTTTATGGATCGGTACAAATCTCTTAGTCGCCTCCTGCTTCAATTACTGAAGAAGATACTAGTCTCGTTGAATTCTTGACCTCCGCCCATCCCGCACGACTACATGGATAATCTAGCGAGGAGCCTGTAACGCTAGCGGGGCTGTCGCCGTAGATGTTAAAACAGATACCAAGCGCTGGGTCTTGAGTGCTTACCACCGTATGAAGGCGCCATGTATGTCGTCGGACGTATACGGAATAGAAGCGAAACCACATTAATAATACTACCTATAAAAGCTCTCAACTATCAAGTGGAAATTGTGTCTCTTAGCAACAGTGGGGGAGAATACATTGTTTCTGGGTGTATTATCTATCACCCTTTAACTGACCAACTTAAGCTGTGGTGCCTTTGAGAAGCACATTGTGTAGATCGCGCACCCGTGGGACTGTCTCATAATCGATTGCGGACAAAGGTTTCATCAGCGCCCCTGCCGTCTGTGTGTACAGAACATCGTCGCTGGGCCGCAAGTGATACACAATCCAGCCTCGGCCTGTCTGCTTTGGAAGCATTTCTACACTTAGGATCGGCGAAGATGGTTTAAGAATTGTTCCATCACTGAATACAGACAAGGCCTCGCCGAAGATCACGGACATCTCGTGGGGATTATCCAAGGACAAGACAATGGTCTTCGTGGCCCAAGTTAGCTACGACAGAATTATGTTTATACCAACGTCAAGAATAATTTAAACTCACCAGTGTTGACCACTCCTGCGGAATGCTACTCCCTGCAGCAACAATGCGTAGCTCATCTTGCCTAGTTACGTGAAACTCGTGCATATCAGACAGATATTTCTCCCATGGCAGTTCTAAGGCATGGCTTAAGTTATGGAGTATAGGCTGCGCCAGAGAATGCAGTTGCCGCATGACTGCGCGTGCGTTCGTGACCATTGGCGTGTCCTGTTGCGAGCCTTGGCCTTTTCTCACACGAATTCCCTATCCAGCAGGCAGTTAGCTATGATGGCGTATCGAAGATATTTTCACTGAACAGGACTAGTTGCTTACCAGCGCATCATTGTCCTGCTGGAGATTGGTGGGAATCTCTAGAGGTGGCAGATCCGTAACAAGAAATCCTTGTTCTTGTTCTGTGCAGACCTTGCGGACCAATGGCAGTCCCTTGAAATTGCGGAGGGCTTCGTATTCAGTTGCTGAGGGCATTTTCGCAATACTGTTAGATGAGGCAATATGAATATGTTACCAGGAAATTGAAAAGCTGACGAGGTATGATCGAGTGGTTTAAGTTTTGAGCCCTAGGCTGCAACTTAATAGTAGGTTCATTCAAGTGCTTTCAACCAACAGCATTCCACTATGGCATCTCGGAGACATTAGTTGAGTAGTGGAGACTGCGAGGCATGATCAAAGTATGGGGGATAAATAAACACTTGGAGAATCCGGGACAAGAACGGCACCGACATTGACTTCTCGGGCCGGAAGTGGGTCAAGCACGACTCGAGGATCCTCACCGTGCTACGCTTCAACCACAATTAGACTCGGAACGGAGCGCAACCTCGGCCAAACTAGCATTCCGAGCAATCGTAGACTGTCCCTCTTAAACGAAGGGATGCTCCGCGATTGGTAATCAACTATGAAGCACTGAATCGAACGTCGTCTTCACTACATTTGTCATGAAGCTCTAGAAGGACAACAGCGAACAGCTAGTTGGACCAACCAAGCCAAGGGTTGAGCCGACAGCCACCGGATTCGGACTTGAATCTTGTCTCCAGAGTCCGTTGGGAGCAATGGGGACAAGCAAACCTAGACTACGGCAGCTCCATGTAGTCGCATAGGCTGACTAAAGAGCGGATAACGTATATCCAGGGAACCATGGCGAGACTGCTTTATAAGGTGAAGTGTCTACATAATACGCGAGATCGATGGCTTGTTCTGTACGGCTAAGCAAACTTCATCGAGACATATCGCAAACTCTCAAGACAATCATGAGCTCTACCAAGTTTCCACACCTGTTCGAGCCTCTAGAGGTCGGTGACCTTAGGCTAAAGAACCGTATTATAATGGCTCCCCTGACTCGCAGCCGAGACATCGTCCCTCGAGAGAACCTACATGTCCCCTACTACGCGGAGCGAGCCGGCGTAGGGCTAATTGTGAGCATCAGAAACCCAGCACTCATCCCACGAGCTCGATACTAACCTAGGTCGTGCGCAGATCTCAGAAGCTGCCCTGGTCTGCCCCCAGGGTCCCGAGTGGACATACATGCCCGGCATCTACACACAGGAGCAGGCCGAAGGCTGGAAGAAGGTGACAGATGCCGTCCACGCACGAGGCGGCCTTATATTCTGCCAGCTGCATCACGTGGGCAGGGTGGCGCACCCAGGCACGCGGGTGCAGCGCGAGCTGGGGCTGCCGGTGCCAGGCCCCTCAGCCATCGCAGCTCGCGGGGGTAAATTCCGTAACGTCCCTGGGGCGCCGGGATATGTCGTCCCCACGCCCATTGAGGATCCTGAGACCATAATATCTCACTATGACAATGCCTCGCGCCTGGCCAAAGAGGCGGGCTTCGATGGGGTGGAACTCCACAACGGAAATGGCTACCTCCCGCATACGTTCCTCGAGGCTCACAGCAACCACCGCACAGACAAATGGGGCGGCTCGGTCGAGAACCGCATGCGTTTCTCGCTGGCCTGTCTGGCCCAGGCCAACAAGCACTTCCCATATAACCGCATCGGAATCAAGCTCTCCCCGTGCGGCGGCGTCAACGACATGGGCGAGCTGGACGCGGACGGAAACCCCTCCGTGGAAGCGGCCAAGGCCACATATGTCCCGTTCTGTGCCAAGCTTGACACCCTCGGCCTCGCGTACGTTGAGTTCATGCGTTATTGGCCTGGGATGGACTTCCCGGTCAACGGCAAGCCTCGTGGGGTGAACTGGGACTGTATCGGCCACCTCCGCCCCGTTCTCAAGAACACCCCCGTGTTTGCCAGCGCGAACTTCACGCCAGAGGAATCCGAAGAGTGGGTTCGAGAAAAGCGAGCGGACGCGATTGTGATTGGCCGACCACTGCTCTACAACCCCGACTACGCCGAGAAGGTCCAGGCAGGACGTACCGACGAGCTATATCAAGAGCAGCCTGGTGATGAGTATTGGTGGTAGTGAGTACAACGGCGGGAACCTAGTGCGTATACGGTACTAACCATGGTCTGTTACAGTAAATGGCGCAACAACGACAAGCGAGATGGGTACTTGAACTGGCCAGGGCGGGCGAAAGATGATGTGGCTAAATCTGGAAGAGACCGTATCGCCTTAATGACGGAGTGATAGAAAGGCAATCTCTTACCTTTTCAGATCGTTCGGAGTGCAGAGTGAAAACTGCCCAAGTGTGTTGGATCCGCTCAACATATTTGTATTCTTGAATGGTGACAGTGATGGTGAGCGAGAACCGTCTTGTTGCTTCCTGTAGCGGCCCGGCATGCTTCCTTCCTGTCCTCGTTGAGATTTGGCAGCAGGACTGATGTTTCAGAGCAGACGTTGAGCTTCACAGTTAGTAAAGAAAGGCAAAGATCTGCTATGATAGTGAGGTTCAAACAAGGACGCCTTGGTGAATATCTACCTGACAAGAATGCGACTGCTCGATCAAAACAGCATGGTTCGTTATTGCTCCCATGTCATACGATATTCTAGGTCCACCTAGAACAAGAGTCTCCATCAGACACATGCATGCTTTCCATCCAATCACGTATTGTACAGCAAAGAAAGGTGCAAATTGAGTGGTTTCGTTTTTAATCCCCATACATGTAAAATGTACGTGGCGCCTTCATACAGTGGTAAACGCTCAAGACCCAGCGTCTGAAGAAATACAGGTGCAAATTGACGAACGAGTGCATGGGTACCCAGCACGCATGCAATCGAATCAGTGTACCCGCAAGGCTCTACAATGTGATACACTCTAATTTAGGGGCCAAGTGTATTCCAGTTTCTATCAGACAACAGGATACGAGATTTGTGTGACAGCTGGGCAAGTCCACCAACCCCATCCTATGCAGCAGAAGTGAGAGACAACCGCTTGATCTACTTAAGCCCTCGCCGAGGGGAAGCCGTGTTTCTAATTTCCGTCCTACCTAAGTATCTAGCACCCAGGCAGTCAGCGGCGCCGTTGGGAGCGATGCCTCCTAGCCTTGTCTGCGAGGCACGTGGCCGAGGTCACGTACCCACGTATTTGATTGTCTCTGTACTGTTATTTGCATTGTGTTTTTCCAGACGCTGAGTCCTAGCGTTTGCTGTATGAAGGCGCCGTGGACGGCTTCGGAAGTATACGGAATAGAAGCGAAACCAATTAAGCCGCCTAATACTTAAGTGCTCACTCTCTTGGGTCCATCGCCAGTACTATGCCAGCCGTCATCTCTGACTTGTGAGTTTAGCAAAGACTGGCTCGCAACATTAGCCCCACCTTTCCTCTCTATTGCATGCAGTACGCAGGCATACCTCGCCTATCGCAAGCTACCTAGGTACGTTCGCAACGAGGATAGTGCTGACTGAGATCATTCAAGCGGTGTTGGCACTGCCAAGCTTAGTCGTGCCGACCACACTCGTCGCACGCCTGACCACTCACTAATCAGCAGAAACAAAGTCGCCTTGTCCTAGGTAGTTGCTCTGCCAGGCACCTGGGCACTAAGAAAACCACACAGCGGGGCAGACATGTGTGCAGCTGGTCCCCCGGGAAAATAAACATTCAGAGTCTGTTCAGAGACCTTTGTTCGTTGTGAGATTGGCAGAAAGCTTGATTTTGCTGCATGGAACTCCTGCTGTCGTTTTGGTAGAATACCGAGTTGAAAAAACGAACAACACTTCAAGTGCGTTCTAGGACAGCTGATAAGTTAAGCGAAGCTGTCTTGAACTGGCATATTTTGAATGCCCCTGCATTCTGCCTGACAACCTGAACTCCAGCACGAGCGGTCATTCGCGTTCCAAGAACACCGAATGCAGGACTCTCGCCCCGTTTTGCCGGATATTCTATTCGCTTTTCTCCTACCCTAGGGTACGGTGAGGGTACACCATGAAGTTTCCTGTCGATCTGCTTACATCGTTTTCAGACCTTGGCCTTTGTTATAATACAAGCTCTCGTGCCCGATCGAAGAAGTCCATCGCATAGACTATATCCTCGTATCATCCCATCACATCCCAATCAAGAATAGTGGCATTTGCAGGCCACAGTACCAACCGACGGCTGTCTGTGTCTGTGGGGTCGGCAGTCTCATTTAGCCCACACGCACTAGCGGAAGCAGACGTTGAAGGAACCGTCTTGACGTCGCATTTAGCCGGAATCTACCATGCAGGACCCAGCACGCACTCCTACTGGCTCACCACTGGCCCGTTTCTGCTTTCGTCGGTTTGATGACCCGAAATGCAGTGCTGATTACGGGGATCTGGCAGCGCCAAGGAGGCCAGCTGCTGCCAAGCCGCCGGTAATCGCACCGTATTTGTTGACGGGGCCGGCCTCTCACTCGCTGGCTCGCATCCCGGGATTGGTGACCCCGCATGGTGGAGGATTATTCCCCGGATTGTTAGTGATTGTGGCCCTTCTTGGCGTGGGTGTCCCCAGAATATCACGCCACGAGGTATGAAAAAGCCACGAGGCCTGAATCAGCCGCGGTGCTTAATTCAAATTTTTGCAAATACAGTTCGTATATCAGGCGGTGTCTTATATCAGAGCGACGCGTCCCTGAAAATGCTACGTCGTGTCCTCCAGGTCAGGTCTGCGTAGTCCCTACATCTGGACTCAGCAGTTGTTCTTGTACGAAGCGGCTTCACGGAAGCCGGCATAGCACACGCTCCTCTGGCAAGACCGTCCCTGACTCCAAAATGGCCATCGGCTCAGCGACGACAGCCGAGAAGGGGAAGTCGGACCCCATCATTACCCGGCTCGCCAACGAGGACAAGAAGCTATGGCTCAAAAAGCCGAACCTGCGGTTCCTCTATTTTATGCTCTTCCCAACATGTATGGGAATTGAGTTGACCTCTGGATTCGACTCTCAAATGATCAATGCTCTCCAGATCGTGCCGTCATGGAAGGAATACTTTGACAATCCGACAGGCTCGCTCAAGGGTATCATTGCGGCTGCGTACTCTCTGGGGGCTATTTTATCCCTTCCGTTCATCCCAATGGTCAACGAGAGATTTGGTAGACGAGGATCAATCTTCGGTGGCTCGCTCGTTATGGTGGTTGGTGCTCTCATCCAGGGTTTCTCACAGCACGTTGGCATGTACATCGTTGCACGAATGATCCTCGGTTTCGGAATTCCAACTTGTATCGTCTCTGGGTCTTCTCTTATCGGAGAGCTGGCATACCCCAAGGAACGTCCGGTGCTCACGTCATTGTTCAATGTTGCCTACTTCGTCGGCCAGATCACCGCAGCAGCCATTTGCTTTGGAACAAACAGCATACCGAGCGATTGGGCGTGGAGAATACCTTCACTACTGCAGATTTGCCCCTCTGTGCTTCAGATTTCCTTCGTATTGTAAGTTCCACCTCGCATGCTGGGAAAGCCCATGAAAGATACAGTGGCTGACTACATCAATGATGTTTGAGCAGCTTCCTCCCCGAATCCCCTCGCTGGCTTATAACAAAGGACCGGGTCGAAGAGGCGCAAGCGATCCTCGTCAAGTACCACGCAGAAGGCGACGCGGAGTCGGAATTTGTCAAGGCGGAAATGGCGCAGATCCGCACCACCATCGCACTCGAGGTCGAGGCGTCCAGTAAGTCCTGGGGTGATCTCTTTGCGACCTCGGGAATGCGCCGCCGCCTGCTCATCACTTGCATGCTCGGCCTATTTACCCAGTGGTCCGGCAACACCCTGATCAGCTACTACCTCGGCGACCTGCTCAAAATGATTGGCATGACGAACTCTACAGACGTGCAGAAGATCAACGTCTCGATCGCGTGCTGGAGCATGATCTGCGCAACCATCGTGGCGTTGCTGGTGGTCAAGATCCGCAGACGGGTCATGTACCTGATGTGCACCATCAGCTTGCTGCTTTGCTACATCGCCTGGACCATCTCTATGCAGCAGGCCCAGACTGCGGCGGAAGCCGGGACACCGAATGGCTCGGCGAACATTGCAACACTATTCTTCATTTATGCTTACAGTCCGTGTTACAACATGGGATATAATGCTTTGACATACAGTGAGTCTCTTCTGAGCTAGGCACTCTGAGCGTCACTAACCCATTATTCTAGCGTACATGGTTGAAGTCTGGCCGTACGCAGAACGATCCCGTGGTATTGCTGTCTTCCAGCTCTTCGGCCGCTTGGCCGGCTTCTTCACCACCTTTGTCAATCCCATTGGGTTGCAAGACGTTGGCTGGAAATACCTCATCTCGTACTGCTGCTGGCTTGCGTTCGAAGTCGCGTTTGTCTACTTCATGTTCCCCGAAACATTTGGGCGCACTCTGGAAGAGCTCGCTTTTAGTAAGTCATGCTGGAGCACTAGGATGAGCGTGGGGTATGTTTGGGTGGCAATGCTGACAGATGAACAGTGTTCGAGGACAAGAAACTTGCAGACGAGGCGGTCAAGGCGACTGAGAAGGCTATTGCAAATCATGATGAGGATAAAGGCGACAGGATTGCAGTGACTGAGAAACTGGACACCAAGACTTGATCTGGAATCGGTGTAGCCGTCAGGAGTGGATCGAGCTGAAAGATGACTCCCTGCCACTTGCATTTAGACGACTTACCGATCAATATCAAGTATTCATGTTTCGTATCTTACTGGCGCGGAAACAATTGTTATCGGGACTGGCTCCAATCTACAAACACATTACGAGCATTACTGTGTTGCAAGAGCTTACATTTTAGCTTTAATCCCGTGCACTCGGGCGTATGTCATCCTCTGCCGTGGTACTCTCAATTGCTCACCCTTTTGAAGTAAATAATTTGTGCGATAAAATGCTTCTCAGATCAAATGTATTCTAAATACAAGACGCCAGTCCCAGTGACACTAACGAGCGCACCGAAAAAGATTGGTCAAGACCCGACTTTTGGTGTATCACAATGACTGCGCAAAGGCAGCAATTCATAGTCCTGCTTCCGAAACGAAGCCCTCGATCGTCCCCGATCTTGCTGTTGTTGCATTTTCTAATCCCGCTGAACCAGCCTGTTACTGCTCTCAAAACTACTACCACGCACCTCTGCATGGTATCCAGTCTTCGAGTTCAGAGCATTGCAGTCAGGAGTCTCAGAGCGTACCGTGACTGAATTGTGGACACCGATCCTGCCTAGCTCGGTTGACTCGTTTGCGTTGGACCAGTTTGACTTCTTAGAAATTGGCAATGAGCTGCTTTGACCTGATGAAGCGGTGTTCCTGCTACCGTAAAGACTGTCCACGAGCGTCCTCCATCCCTGGGGCACCAGCCTCATCAGTGGGCGGAGGGCAAGGAGGGAGCTGGCGAAAATAGATAGTCCGTGCTCCACGGTCGACCACAGCATGGCTTTGTACCCTCCCGTAATGTAGCCGATTTGGACCTGAGAATGAGAACCTTCATAAACGATTTTGAGTTTCATAGCAGCAGCGATGGCGGCACTGCAGTAAATAGGCTTATTAGTACGGGCTGCCTTCTCATGCTGATGAAGGCGACCTCGGGAATAGCAAAGAGGGAGACCGCAGTGCCAAGAACTTGAAGTAAAGAAACAACTTACAGTGTTCCGAGGCTGAATAAACCAATAACACTCCATTTCAAACCTTTACTTATCTGAACATTGCGTAGGATGAAGAAAGGTAACACGACGTGGAAGACATCGTAAGCAATCCAGATAGATTCTCGCGAATACGTGATATTGTGACACGTCGTTGTACTGAGAGACCCTTGATATGGGCTCCCAGGCATGCATGCCAGAGAGACAATGAGTGTCGTGAAGAGGGTCCAGATGCAGCATAAGACGATGTCGCCGATAATGATCGCGCGGTAGAGCGTACGCTTGTCTAGGCGATAGAGGACGAGCGCAACGCTGATCTTTACGGTACCGGAGATGATGAAGCAGACGACACACATTGCAAAGTAATACTATGAAGTTAATTCCATGTTAGTATCGTAAATCTGAACGAGGGCCGTACTGCTTGGTACTCACGGTGCTGGCTTTCGTCTCATCGTACCATGATGCTTCCCTCGTGCCATATTTTCCGTAATGTAATGACTGCAATGACAGTCCCACGAATGTTATCATTCCTGCCTAGAGCTCGATCGTAGTTAGTTGCAGCGACAAGAATCAAGAGTGATTTCGGCATGAATAGGAAGGCACCAGTGAAGGCTCACATGGGTGAACAAAAGGACGACATCGTCCCAGCCGAATGCTCCCTTTGTAAGTATGATGCGTGTATACAGGCGCATGCCAACTGTGAGTGTATTTATCGTGAGGAATAACACGAATAATGCAATTAGTTGTTCGTACCAGCCCATGATGAGTGTAGGTTTCCAGACAGTTGATAATGACAGAATACTCTGGGTACACAGAATTGGTACAGCTTGTTTAATGTGGCCTGACTGATATTCAGAATCTTTCGGGGGAGCTGAGAAATCAGCTTATGGAGCGGGCATTGAAGGAAAATAAGCACCTGGAGCTTCACCATCTGACCAACTTAGACAAAATCCTTCCGGCGCCTTATTCTTACTTCTGCCGTCCCGGCAGTGGTCGCAGGTTTCAGCCCACACGTACACTAGCACCGCCCTAATAATCAGACCCCAAGATAGACAGAGGCATCTCAGATTCCAAGAGCAGTTCTTCGTCTATCATATCGACTGTTCTCGATTTGTAACTCTCTCCTTGGTATCAAATGAATATGGAAGCGTTGGGTAAGACAAGTGTTCCGGCTTATCCAGCCAGGGCTCTGGCCATGACAATAAATCATAATAGTGTCAGCATGAATGAGAAAAAGGGAGGAAGCACTTGGAGTACATAGGATCTCTGAGTAGTCTGGTGTGGTGCCGTCAGCTTACTGTGCCTTCCGAGGTTTGTGACCACTCAAAAGCGTCCAAGGAGGCGGAGCAAGCTGGGGGAGCTCCGACAGCACGGTAAATGGACGTAATCCAGGCGTGGTGTTTCACGCCAGTCCAACAAATTATTGAAACATGATCTTTCTGATTGACCTTGGCCAATCCACCAAGTTCCAATCCAATGGCTTTGCCGATCGGCCATATCCAGTGACATGCCGATCGTGCTGCCTCCGCCTGCGTCTGTGTGGTTGTGCGGACGGGAAACAGGCAAGCTGGTGGCATCCGCCGGCTTCTAACTTAAGCCCTGGAGAGCATCTACTTCTGGAACTACCAAGTAGATACCTAAGGCGGCCATTTGTCCATGGTACCGAAGTATGGGGAGGGCCGCCTCCTCCGTCCAGAGAGGCTGCAGACAATTGGACATGGCCCGTGACACCGTCAATACGTATGTTCATGGGCCTTGTGACTCCTATTTGACCACGGTGGCGGGGCACGCGAATGAGGCGCAGCTGTGCCACTACTGTAATGACCTCATGTCGTAGGCGCGGCAAAGGAGAACGTGCTCGAAAGTGCGCCGGCATAGAGCCCAGTCACTACGTGTTTTGAGGGGAAAGGGCTGGATCATGATTTCTTGGTCTGGCCTGATTAGAAAGCCAGCTAGGTAATTGATTGAGCCTCAACATTTTGTCTGGGCAATTCGATCTGTCAGCTCGCAAGCTCCTCGAACTATTGAAGTTGTTTCACTCGTTGTCTTGGTCCCCTGATTGAGCCACCATGCCCGAATTACGTATGCCAGGAATGGGGATCTGGGTTTGGAGCAGCACATCAACCCGAATGACATCAACCAGTGAAAACCGACCCCAAGTTGGCTCGATTCCAACTTGGTGATCGTACAGGCGATCGTGCCTAGACCTTGTTGTTCGGGGATTCCTGCGTGAAGATCAATGGTAGCCTTACTTGCAAAAATCGACATTTTGATGAATTTTCGGCTGTTGTTACATCAGAACCTTGGAATTAATCGACCGTGTTGGACAAGAGTGCAAGCCAGGCGGGGACTTGAGAAACACAATCACTGGCACAAGGATATTGCGATTGTATATGTACGCATATAGTAATTAACATAAACATATCATAGAGTGTATATGCACTTGAGCAGTCCAGCGGTATGTTTAGTCTGCCGGAGCATTCTAATGATGGTTAGTGACAAGCATGACAGAACATGCAGCCGCTCTTTTCTTTGAGCGCAGCGGTCTGTCTGCACAAAGTGCAAAATAGAGTTGTCCTTTAGAGCGTGTCCATGTATGTCCTCGGACGTGTGGGGAATAGAAGCGAAACGAGATAGAAATATGTATTACTATTTTTCTTTACAAAAATATACATATTTACTTAATACTTTAACAGTGACTTAAAGAGAGGAGCGCTCCTATTTGCAGCACCATAGAAGTATCACGCTAACCTTCTTTCAAGGAAAACCTGAAGTGCTCCATTCAGCTCATCCGTGATAGCTTCCATTGGCTTGGCGATGTTGATAATGGCATCGTGGTCCGCTCTGCCGGTTCCGCCTTATCGATTCCGCTCTCGGAGAACCGCGCCGTCGGGCACCTCGGTAGGAAGCCAACCCGAGGGATCAGGGCCGAAAATCGCCAACGGTTCATCTCATATCGACCCGTTGGCCGCCATCAAACCTGCAGAATGGGAAACCAAAACCCAAACTGCTGGACCACTCATATTCGATCGTGCCGCCAAAATGGCGTCCAGCAACGAAGACGCCCCCCAAGCAATCGTACCTACGGACGAGGAGCGACGTGCCGGTGTTTACTCTCCACGGAACCTGCAGCGAGTGCTCTCAGGACTGCATCAAGATGGCCTGGTGGTGTTGAGGAGCGTGATCGACCTCGATCATATCGACTCACTGAACAGCGCCATGTGTAAAGACGCAGAAGAGAAGATGGCGGATCCCAACCAAGTCTTCAACCATGCTGTCAAATGTGAGAGCCTTCTTTCCGCGGCATGCGATCCGAGCGCATGGTATATAGCAGCAGGTTGAGGATCTAATGCACTGGACCATCCAGCGAACTTCTTGCAGAGGCCGCCAGTGGCCAGGCCAGACCTCTTACATGAAGATGTCTACTTCAACTCGTTTCTGCTCCAGGTCGCCAGCGCGTAAGTGCCCATCGCACTCCTCGTTGGGCAACATTGAACCCAGTCTTATCTCATCATCACCAACTGCAAAAAAACTGATACCTCGGCCAGCCGCCCATATGGAACTGGCTCACGGCAAACACAGCCCTGGCCAACACGGCAGGCATGCGCCAGCACGAGCACAAGGACACCCTGTTCGACCACCCGCAGTGCCCGTACTACATCATCGCCAACGTGCCGCTGTGCGACTTCTCGGCGGCCAACGGCGCGACCGAGTTCTGGCTGGGGTCGCACGCCGCCACCACGGTCGCGGACCAGCAGCCCGTGACCGACGCCACGCGGGCGGCCTGGGCGCCCGAGGCGGCGTCGGACCGCATCCCGTGGATCTCCGACGAGGCGAAGGAGGCGCGCCGGGCCGTGCGCGCCCCCGTGCAGCCCGCGGCGAGGCGCGGCGACATCATGATCCGGGACCTGCGGACATGGCACGCCGGGATGCCCAACACCAGCGGCGAGCACCGCATCATGCTCGGGCTGGGGTACCAGGTGAGTTGAGCCCAGGTTTCCCGCGGTTGTTGTATTATTATATTATCGACAGGCATGGTTGGGGGTTTGGCGCCGAGGAGTGGCCAAGTTGACTGATGCCCCGTCATGTGCCCATCCAGAGCCCGGTCCATCCGAACTACACGCAGCGCCTCCATCTTCCCGTCTCGCAGCAGGGCTTCTTCCTCGGCCGTGCGCGTGGCAGGGTCGAGGTCAGGGCCAACTTCTACGATGATGAGGTGCTGGAGAAGAGCAGGCCGGACCTGGTGTTCGACCCTCGGTCTCGGTTCTCGGAGGACGAGTAGGAGCTGTCTGTCCATGACAGTGACGCTGCCGAGGTAATTAATTACTGGACAAACTGTCGGAGCAAGGCGGCGTGCTCCTGGTCTGTCAACGGCTGAGGCCGAGTTCATTTTTGCCCGCATGACCGGTTTTGTGGAGGCCACGACCTATGCTCCCAGATTGTGATGGGCCAGCCACTCCACAGATTAGGTTTTCGATTGATTCATGTCTCGGGGACTTGTCAGGACACAATCTGTAGGCTGTGTCTCGATATTGTACGGAGTATTACTTCATCGGGTCTCAGCATTACGAGAGGGCGAGTATATAGTGTACATACTCAGTGAAGTGCACGGAAGTCGTGGCCTTGGCTTGGTAGTAAGTCAGCAAGTAAGTAAGTAGCCTACATACCCGTTATTGCCGAGGTCGTATCCAGTCGAGCCGAAGAGCCTCACCTGCGCAGGTGGGCACGACTGCAGCACGGCCACGCTTCATGAGACAGGCACAGCCCCACGTGTCCCAGCGCGCTGTTGTACTCCGCAATGTACATGATGTCCATTCCCCACAGCATAAAGATCTATCTGCAATCGTGAACCTTACAGATCCACCCAGAAGCAGGTCTTTAAACTCAGGACTAACGGAGCCGACCAAGTTGCATCTTGATTAACCTGCCCCGACCAAGAAAGCCTACATACGTGCACGAGGGTGAGAAAAAGAAAAAGGGGGGCGGGAGGCCACAGAAGATCGGACGATATATTCTCCGCCGATGGCCTCTCTCTCCAAGGGCTGGCGCGCGCCCTCTGCGCCCCTGACTTAGCGAGTCGTCCCTATAGCCTATAGCCCCAGGTCTGTTCCCCTTTTGGGGGCGAGCTTGGCGGGGGAACCCGTCAACCTGGGTTGGCACTTGGACTTGGCCAGCTTGGGAGGTACGTCGCAGGCTTGGCCCGGTGCTCCCGTTTTTAGGACCCAGGTAAAACGGCCCCAAGGCAACGGCGGCTCACTGTGCTTCGCGGCTGGTGTGGCGCAGGCTTGGCCTGGAGACGCGCCGCTCGGGTGCTTGCAGGCTTCCCGTCAGGGGGGCCCCTTTCAACGCTCTACACTACACAGCACACTACACTCGAAACGGGCTGCGGTTGACTTGAGCCTCATTGGGGGGTATGCATCGAATAACTAGAACACCCCTGACGGATCTTCATATCTGTCAAACACCTGACCCAAGCTGCGGGGCCCCTGGGATAATGTCAGTACACCATTTCACAGATCTGGCTGGGGAAAATAAAGCCCTGTCCGGGCGGTGATCCATGTGGGGAGGAATATCTCAATTTCGAGAGCATCATCTACCAAGAGATAGCAAGACCCAGCGAAGAGCCCATGGCCACGGCTGCCGGCTGCATTAAATTATGGGGACGATTCTGCGTTCAACACGGGTGGTTCTTCCTCACGACGGTACACCACTTGTTGACGTGTTCGTACCCAAACGCCTGGTTCCCGCTGAACGGGCCGATGTGCTTCTCGTCCTGGATGAAGGCACACGAGTTCATGAGATCCTGGGCCCCGTCGGCGATCCGGCCGAAGCTGTCGAGCGTCAAGAAACGATCGCTCTGTTGTGTGAAAAAAAAACCTTAGTTAAGCTCGCAAGATCGGGAATAAGACGGGAGGGGGGGGACGGGGTGGGATGCACTTGGCGCCTTACCATATTGCACCACCAGATAGCCGAGTCCCAGGAGCAGCTCACGCGGCCGCAGGCGTTCTGTGGTGGGGGTGGGGGTTGTGGTCAGCTAGTTATTAACAGGGCACCGTGCGTCTTAGACTTCAAGGGGTGAAGCTTGCAGGGACATACTGCTGGCAGGCTGGCGGGCCCCACAAGCGCGCGCAGGTGCTCGATGCCCGTCATGATGGTGTTGCCCTTTGCGTCGTCGTACAGACGGCAGACAGCGCGACCAACGTCGTACAGGCCATCTTGGTCGTCTTTGGTGCTGTCAGAGACGGCCGGGTGGTCGGGCGGGGACGCCGTAACGCCGTCGTAGATGCTGTCTTGGTTGGCGGCGAAGCGCTTGGGGTCCACGACGGAGAGGTGCCTGGCGACATCCTCGATTGTCCCGAAGACGGTGTCGGTGCGGCCGGGGCTGATTGGGACGGTCCACTTGAGGTCGACGATGGTGGCGTTTGCCAGGGGGTCGAAGGTGTCGTCGTTGACAGGGAGCTTGTGGTGGGCATGTCAGTCTTGACAACCTTGTGTCACTGGAAATGCGAAACTTACAGCAGAGGAGAGCATCATGCCCGCCAGTGCGGAGAGAAGAAGCATGAGACACTTCATGATCACACCCTAATTAGTAGTGGCGCACCGAGGACCTGCAAGTGAGGCGAGGCTGAACCCAAACGACGTTGGGATGCGTGATGGTTGAGGACAGAGATCGCAGGTTGGAAGCCACAAAGTCAGACACCCAAAATCAAAGTTGGATGTTTGCGATGCCCGCTGGTCGAGATGCCACTTGAAGGGCCATGGCATTCACTGCTGCCTTCCCAAAGGGTTCCCGTTGTGCAAACGTCTGGCCTTCATGTCAATTGTCACTTTTCAGCAGAGGGTTTGCCATGTTGACCTGTAGCCGTTCCTGCTGCTCAACCTGGAAACAGATTCCAACGACTTTTACAGCAGTACTGAGCAGCCATTGCTGCAAAAGTTGTTCTCCGGCCTCAAGCCTCAACTGCAAACAAATTGTGCGACTTGAACATAGCAACTAACTCTGTGGCCCACTGTGACAACGGAGAATGCCCTCAACATACCTGCATTTCCAAGTTGCAGCTAACCCCCACACATCCAAGGCATGTTTGTTCGGTAACTTCCAGCTGTCAGACTACCTAGGTAGGGGCTGCTGATCTCGGCCCTTCTTCACTTCAAGTGTGGAGTATCAGACAGTTGACTCTTGAGGAACGGGTTGTCTTGTCTCATGGTAAGACCCTTATTGAGCCATTAGGTAAGGTCAACCCAACCAAGGCATGGTCCACTCTGCAGCCTTACTCACAGACCCTAGCCTTCCAATTGTCTTTCAATAGAGTCCGGTGATGCCCTCAATCTGCGGATATCAGTCTAATTTGCAGGTAGTTGGAACTAAACAAGGCCTTCACAACCAGAAAGGCTGGTCAAGCGATCAACCACAGAAGCATCTTCAAGACACAGCATACACTTCAAGACCCCAATCTGGAAGGTGAAGCGGTTTTTGGAACAATACTACAGCCTAACTTCATTAGTTGGGTACTAGAGTCCTACCTCCAAGCTTTCCCTCGTGTTTGGTTTGGTGTCTGGCTTCCGGTTCATCTCGTCTCAAGAACATTTGCAGCGTTCCTGGCCGAGTTCCCACCTGAACCCGGCATTCCACGGGTCTGTCGTCTCGAACTTGCTCAAAAGACAAGGATTGCTGCAGTTGCACGACAAACAACCTAGGTTCATACCTCTGGAGACCCCACGAACCTGACAGGGACACCAGCTCGAGATGTTTTGGTTCGGCTGTTAGGCGCCACCCAGGCGCCGGCGGAGATTGGCGTTTTTTTTTGGGTTTGGTGAAACGCCCATAGAGTTCGTTCAAATCGAAACCTGGCCTATGCGCCCCGATGTTTCTAGAATAAGTTTAAACATGAGCTGATAATGTCCCTTGTGACGTCGGCCGGGTCGTGTTTGTCAGGGTTCTGTGTTTGTTCAAAACGTTGGCAGGCTTATTATTACGTGCTGCAACCTGACGCCGACAGCCTGGGTGTTGGTCTCCACCGGCGGGATATCGTCGAGCCGGGGCACCGGTGGGCCAAGATAACGAAATCGGGCTCGGGGATGGGGACGGCCCAAGCCCCGGCAGCCCATCGAAAGTTTGTTTTCTGGAGTGCCAAGGTGGTGCGGGTGGGTAATATTGATACCACGGGGGCACGAGGCACGAGGCACGATGACGACCTCGGGACGGACGGCCTTGGTACAGTGCTTGGGTGTGTCGTACTGCGTAAGGACATCTAGAACCAAGGGAAGCATTGCCAGGCTGCCTGCAATAGCAAATAGCAGTGACCCGTACGCTGATATGCGGGTGCGATATAGACTGCCCGTCCCCGGCGCCCAGGATTGTTCAGCAGCGCCCCCTCCCCTCCCTCTATCTCCATCCAGCCTATAACGTCGACTGGTCTGTTCTTTTTGAGAATGTTTTGTGCGGCCCGCCCACGCCACGCCCACCAAAGCGGATGCAGAGACCAAGAGCCCCGATCGGTCACTGCGCCCACGTGGAGGCCGCGTGAGAGGGCGGGTTCAGAGGCAACGTAGCGATGGCACACTCCGTAGCAGTAGGGGCTGCTATGTAAAATCCGACTAAGAGGCCCAGAGTAGCAATGCCTACCGCTTAAGGCAAGGGAGGGCGGCCGAGTCAAGGATCGGGGCCATGCAGCACAGGGGCCTGGATACCCCTAAGACCGGCCTAGCCTGGCTAGCCTGGCCTGCATGTACACAAAAACGCCGGGGCGGAGATCCAAGCAGTTTTTAAATTAATTCGGGACCACCTCGTCGACCTCGTTGCCTTGTCGGGCATGGGCGAGCCGTGAGGGGTTGCATTGAGAGAGGCGTCCCTTGCCTGCTCGATGGTGCCCCTTTCTGCCCTCTACCTGCTGCGCATCGGAGTATTGCGTCCAAGTCTTGGGTCCATGACACCTCTTAGCACCATATAGTAAGTACCATTAGCATAATAACTAGTACGGCGGTACAGTAGTACAGGCGCAACTGTCACCGCCGTCAGCAGCCATTCTCAACATGGGCGCGCGCGTCGGCACGTCGGCAGGGGCTCACATTGGCCTACACCCTTCTATTTCTACCAAACTAGGACGACGCAGGCCTACCTAGTTCTGCCCCAGGGTAGCTTGGCGGCACTTGGAGATGGCTGGCGATCGGGTTGGAAGACGCCCCCTTCGCATTCCATGGCGCTCATCATCACCACCAGAGACCTGGGAGGCTGCTCGCTAGCTGCCGGCGCTCCGGATCCGCGCCAGGGATTTTTTTGCAAGGGCATGTTGACACTGGGACGGATATTGGACAAGGTCCCTCTCTCGGAGACCACTCTGGTCGTCGAGGTCTCCCTTCCCTGAGTCGCGCTACAGTGTACACAGGACAGGGGCCCATCGTCACCGTACGGTAGACCAACAAGCCACGGCCCACGATATTATAATAAAAGAACGCCCGGCCCGGACCACAACCTGCCATTGCCTCCCTCGATCACACCTCACCTCGCCTGTCCGTTACGAACCGCATTGTCCTTCGCTTTCAGAGGTCTTGTCAGCCTTTTTGTCATTCTTTATATACCCAGACCGTTCACAATGTTTGTCTCGGCCCAGCTGAGCGCCGCGCTCCTGATAGCAGTGGCCAACGCTGCCCCTTTCCGTGGGATCCACCTGAGGCAGAATGAGCTCCTCGACAGCTACGACTACGTGGTCGTGGGAGGAGGTGCCAGTGGTCTCACCGTGGCCAACAGGCTTTCTGAGGACAGTGGTAAGTAAAACTCAATTACCGTGAGTCGGGAGCGTTATTAACCGAATATTTAGCCGTGTCTGTTCTGATCATCGAGGCCGGCGAGTTGTTAGTCTTCCCGATATTGCAGGACCCGTTGGATGCTACCGACGCCACCGGACACTAGTACTGACCAGACCCTTTTTTTTCTTTCTTGTAGTGACGCAAATGAGGACATCGTCACCATCCCTGGCCTGGCAGGCGGTGCCATTGGCACCAAGTACGACTGGAACACCACCTATGCGCCAAACCCGGCCCTGGCGAACCGTTCAGTCGCCGTCCCCCAGGGAAAAGTTGTCGGAGGTGGCACCAAGCTGAACCGCATGGTCTTTGACCGTGGATCAAAGTCGGACTATGACCGGTGGGCTGCCTTGGGGAACCCTGGCTGGGATTACGAGGGTCTCTTCCCCTACTTGAAGAAGGTTGGCAGACCCGTTTTCCCGCATGGACCCCGGCAAGGAGACATGGCTGACAGGAACAACAACAGCAAGAGTTCTTCGCGCCGCCCAGTGCCGATATTGTGGCTGAGTGGGGAGTCGAGTTCGAGCCCGAGTCTCACGGCACCTCTGGCAACATCAACGTCACCTACTCACCCTTCTTCTACCCCCTGACCCGTACGTGTGCCCCCCTCCACATCTGGATCTTGTTCTAAATAACCACAGGCAACATCATCGACGCCACCAAGGAGCTGGGCATCCAGATCCCCAAGGACCAGGCTTCGGGCCAGCCCATCGGAGGCTACTTCTGCCCTCACAACATCGACCTCACCAAGGTCACGAGGTCTTCGGCCCGTGAGGCATACTACAACACCGCCGAGACAAGGACAAACCTGCACATCGTCACCTCGCAGCACGTCACCAAGCTCATCACAGGGGCCGCCAACACCACCGGCGGCTATGGGGCACCAACAGGGGTCACCGTCACCGGGGTCGAGTACGCCGCCTCGGCCGACGCCCCCAAGGCCACCGTGAGCGTCAAGAAGGAGGCCATCATGGCCGCCGGCCCCTTCTTCACCCCGCAGATCCTGCAGATCTCCGGAATCGGCGACAGCGCCCACCACCAGGAGATCGGCGTCGACACGGTCATCGACCTGCCCGCCGTGGGCCACAACCTCGAGGACCACGTCCTGCTCGCCACCGTCGCCGTCGTGACCACCGACGAGGTGACCTCGTCCACCCTGACCAGCAACGCCACCTTCGCCGCCGACGCCATGGCCGAGTACCGCGCGCAGGGCACCGGCCCCTACTCGAGCCCCACGGGCGACTTCCTGCTCTTCCTGCCCCTCAACACCTACTCCAACGCCTCGGCCCAGATCGCCGCCGACGCCGCCTCCACCGACGGCACGCAGTTCCTCCCCGCCGGCACCCCCGCCGAGGTCGTCGCCGGCTACAAGAAGCAGCAGGCCATCCTGGCCGAGAAGCTGACGGCCGACGACTCGGCCGTCCTGGAGCTGATCTGGGACTCGGGCGTGCTCGTCATCGGCCTGCAGCACCCCTTCTCCCGCGGCAGCGTCAAGGCCGCCAGCAGCAGCGTCTTCGACGAGCCCGTCAAGAGCGCCGGCCAGCTGAGCCACCCGGCCGACATGAAGCTGCTCGTCGAGGCCGTCAAGTACACCCGCGTCGTCCGCAACACCGCCGCCGTCCAGAAGCTGCAGCCCTTTGAGGTCGTCCCCGGCGCCAACGTGACCAGCGACGCCGACATCGAGAACTTCATCCGCCAGAACGCCGCCACCCTGTTCCACCCCGCCAGCAGCTGCAAGCTCGGCCCCCGCGAGGAGGGCGGCGTCGTCGGCACCGACCTCAAGGTCTACGGCGCTGCCAACCTGCGTATCGTCGATGCCAGTGTGATGCCCCTGCTCCCGGCCTCGCACACCATGACGACCGTCTACGCCGTTGCTGAGAAGGTAAGCCGTTGCTGAAACCCCTGCTCCCCGCCACCGTACATGCTCTTGACATGGTTGCTAACTGCCCCCCTCACAGGCTGCCGATATCATCAAGGGTGCGGGTGCATGACTACATGGCTGCAAGACTGCGCGTAAATGATTTTTTAGCGTTATACAATGATGAATTTCAATGTTTGGCTTTGCACTTGACTCTACTTCTCATGTATATGTGTTACCTGATCTGTACATCTCCGGCGCTCTCCAATCACACAGGGAAAATTGCACCAGTAACCTACTGTGCTTCGAGAAACGCAACTGCTTGCTGTGGCCTTCGTAGATGTCACCAACTAACTGCCTTGACCCTGTGTTGCTCCAAACTCAATGTGCTAATGTTGGCCTTGAGTACATTCTTGAGTGAGTAGTCATGCTGGTGACACAAACACCTGCCGGTATAGGTACCTAGGTAAGGACAAAGCCCCAGCAATGGGTAAGTCTGTGAAGTCCTGTTTAGTCCTGTTTTATCATCCCTCACTGTCAGTTGGGATGGTTCACGACCACTTACCTAATACATGTCAATTGAATTCGCTGTGCCATTCCTTAGTGACTCACTGCCAGTTGTAGCTCTGCAGCTCTGCAGCTCAACAGCTCACCGAAACTTTCACCAGTTGTCCCCGGTTTGGAACCTTCGAGTGAAAGCTCTCACCTTCGCACACCAGAAACGTCTGCCCCGAAGCTCGAGAGATCAAGATTCTCGGAAACCAAGCTTTCTCGGACACCACACTCACTTGGCTCGTCTGCAGGCCTTCAACCTCCATCAAGCAGCATTTGCCAACCTTCTTCTTGTGCCTCCAGGAGCTGTTTTCAACTCTCAACCTTCGATTCCAGCTGTCAACTACCAACAAAGCACAACTGTTGTATCACGAAAACCAAACCTTTCAAAATGGCCTACGTCGGGGACGACCCCTCCAACGATCCATTTGGCGATGCCAGCGAGGTACGGGTTGCACACACTACGGGCTATTTTTGAGCAGGACCCAACTGGTAGCTAACAAGACCGAGCACATACAGTCTGACGGCGTCGAGATCATTGATCTCACCGGTATTGACGAGGTCAAGCTCGAGCACCCCAAGCAGGCGAGCCCGCCCATCAACAAATCCCAGAGAAACTACAAGTTGGGAGCGGACCACCGAGCTGCGAAGCAGGTGGCCGTCAATGGGGGCAACTACCGTGTGGGCGACTTTGTCGAGCTTCGTGAGCTTGTGGGTGCGTACAGAGTAAGTTCTCACCAGACCTACCACGATCCACCCGCAGGCCAACATCTAACCCAACGGCCACAGATCCAATTCATAGAGATCAAGTCCATCAGCGCCCACAACGAGACCGACGACATCACCATCCGCGGCCTCCCCTACGCGCGGGCCCGCCACCTCGGCGGCTGCCTCCCCAAGATGTGCAGCGAGGTGTGCCTGATCGTCGAGGTCGACGCCGACGACGCCCGCCCCGACGAGGAGCAGGCCCTCCTCCAGATCGAGCCCGAGGAGATCCTCCAGAAGCGCATCCTGACCAACACCAACAAGGCCTTCCCGGGCTCCCGCTTCGACAGGCAGGTCTACGTCACGGACGAGCAGAAGGAGCACAAGGCGCCGCTGGCCTGTCGGTGGAAGATGCGCGCCGAGTACAGGAGTGCCGCGCAGCGGCGCGCCGGCCGGCCTCAGGGGCTGGCGCTCGAGCACCTGTCTGAGCGTGACGGCGACCGCATCAAGAAGAGGAACCTCGCAGCCGACGAGGAGCGCGCGCGCGTGTGGCGTGGTGAGGCGATCCTCGGTGGATCGGTTTCCAAGTACGACTCCGTCAAGGACGAGGGTCGCCTGGGGGTCGGTAGCAGTCCCGAGCGAGTGCAGAAATACTCCTTTGCCTCGGTGCTTGCTGGTGCGGGAGGAGCATCTCGTGGAGCCCAGATGGCAGGCTTCGACGTCGTCCTAGCCGCAGAGCCCGATGTCCACGCCATGGGCAGCCACAAGAGCAACTTCCCTGATGTTGTGCTCCACTGCCTGGACACCACAGAGCTTCTTGCGAGCGGCAAGGACCAGCACAATGTCGACGTGCTCCACATATCGCCATCAGCCCTGGAAGAGGCCGGCGATGACGAAAAGGCCGTCACCAAACTCTGCAAAGGGCTGCTCGAGAGGTTCCGACCGCGACTTGTCCTCATGGAGCAGCCCCCTACCATAACAAGCGAGAAAAACACCCCGTTCTTCAACAAGATGATCCTGAGCTTCACCGAGACTGGATACTCAACCCACTGGAAGAGCCTCAACATGGTGGACTACGGCCTTCCCCAGGTGCGCAAGCGAGTCATCCTGGTCGGCGCCGGCCCAGGCGAACAGCTGCCCTCGTGGCCCGCAGCCACCCACAGCGCAGACCCGGACCCGAATGCAGACCAGAAGCCATTCCTCACAGAGGAAGAGGCCATCAGCGGCCTCAACCCCAACCTTCACTCCCTGCACGAACCAGACGAGCTGCCCGTGGTCGACCGGCCGGCGCGGGACGCAGACGAGCCGATCCCATCCGTGATCGGGAGCCACGGCTCAGTGTACCCGCACCCAGACGGCGAGCGAGAGTTCACCCTCCGAGAGCTGGCCTCCCTCCAGGGGTTCCCAACCTACCACGAGTTCGAGGGTGCCTACATTAAGAAGCAGATCGGCACCGCCTTCCCTCCACAGGTTGCGATGGCCTTCTGCCAGCACCTCCGCCAGCACCTGGAGGAGGTGGACGGTGTCGGCGCCCTGGTTGAGCCCTCTGGTACGTCGGCTCAGGCGGAATCTGGCGACGCCGATGGGGCGGGCGGGCCTCGCCTCCCCGAAACACCGAGTGCCAGTCTGACCCCTGAAGAGACTGCTTCTCTACCTCCCTCGCCCCCCTCGACGGTCCCTCAGAACCAGCACCCGCGGGTCGCTGAACCAGAGCCACCCACGGCGCCACTCCCGACGCCGCCGCAGCAGCAGCTCCCCACGCCCTCGACCAGCGGCAGCCGGTTTATCGCGGGTCGCCGCGCCGCAGCCCTGCGCTTGAGGCGAGAGCGGGCCGCCTTCGAGGCGTCGCAGGGTGATGGTGACAACGAGGAGGACGAGGGCGGCCCCGAGACCTTGGGAACACCAAGCAAGCGCCAGCGGACCTCGAACGGGAGCGATGTGTCTCGCACGGAGTCGGTCTCAGACAATGACGACGACCGCCGCGGTAACGATACCGCAATGTACGATGACAGCGACCTGGACGACGAGTTTCCCGTGGTCGACGAGGCCTGGGGCTCCCAGTCGCTTGGTCGCCGAGGCGGCAGCTGTGACGGGGAGGTCTAGGATGATAGGGCCCCGGCCTTTGGGCTCTACTCATGGGAACCTTGGAAGAGCCCTGGATCCTGACGAGATCTTTGAGCACCGAGGTTGGATGTCCACGGGTGCGAAGGGTTTCCGGAAAGTACCTGGAAGTGATTCCAATCAGTATCAGTGTGGACTGGATGGAGCGGAGCTGTGATGTGAAAGCTCTCGGTGAGGAGGAGATTTTAAGATACTGGTCAAGGGCTGGGCTCTGGGACGGTGATTTGCGGTGCGGTACAAGATCATGATGATGTTAATGTCGATGGGCCTGGTGGAATGGGGCAGGCACCGTCAGAAGAGGGCCCAGGAGAAAAGACTGTGGGGCAGGTATTCATCGCAAGAGAAGAATGAAGTAAATACAATCAATTCCAAGGTTATGTGGTCGGTCTCCAGGAGCGTGCATCCAGGGTTAGGGAAGACTTACAGACGTGACAGCCCGAGACCAGGGCAGTCACCACAGCATCAAACAGAAGCCCATCTTATAAGAGTCTAGAAAGACTTGCTTTACCTAGGTACTTAACCTAGGTACTTCTAGTACACACATGCCATGGCCCTCCCCAAGCTCCCAGCCAGGGCGGCCTACATCCACCTCAACAATCCCCTGAAGCGCAACGCCCTCAGCCTCTGGGTGCTGCAAGACCTCCGCGCCCAGCTCCACCGCCACCTGACCTCGCCCCGGACGGGCAAGCTCCTGCTCCTCCCGCCCTTCCACCCAGACAGCATCAGGACCCTCGGGAGGCGCAAGCACAGCGATCGCACCGGCTCACCTACCAGTTGGCTCACAGACAGCGCCGCCTGGCGCCGCGAGCGCGACGGCCTGCCCAACGTGCTCGTCCTGCGCAGCGAAGGGCCCGTCTTCAGCGCGGGCCACGACCTCCGCGAGCTGTCGTCGTCGTCGCCATCGTCGCAGGATGACGACGAAGACGAGCTCAGGAGGAGGACCTTTGCCCTCTGCGCAGAGGTCATGTCGCTGATCCGCCGCTCCCCGGCCCCCGTCGTCTGCCCCGTGCAAGGGCTCGCCACCGCCGCGGGCTTTCAGCTCGCCATGACGGCCGACCTCCCCATCGCGCTGGCGAGCACGCGGTTCCAGCTCCCCGGGATGCGCATCGGCCTGCCGTGCACGAGCCCCGCGACGGCGGTATCGCGGCGGCTGCCCGCGGCGCTCGCGTACCGGCTCTTCGCGACGGGGGAGACCATCTCGGCCGCGGAGCTGGGGCCCGGGGTGCTGGACGTCGTCCCCGTCCCCGAGCACGCCGAGGCCGCCGACACGGCGGCGCTCGCGTTCGAGGCGAGGGTCGACGAGGTCGTGCGGCGGCTGGCGGGCGAGACGGCGGGGCAGCCGCAGGCTTTTGGGAAGTGGGCTTTCTGGACGCAGTTGGACCTCAGCAGTGGTCGGGGGGTGGATGGCTTTGCCGATGGGTTTGATGCTGCTGCGAACTGGGCGGGTGGTGTGATGGCCATGCATGCGCAGAGTGAGGATGCCCAGGAGGGGATCAGTGCTTGGTCGACGAAGAGGGCGCCTCAATGGAAGACATGATCTTGTTTGAACTCAGGGCCAGTCTCGAAATTCAAGTATTCAACGTTGTCACTTTGCGTAATCAGGCTTCTAAAGGTCTATCTGAAAAGACTTCTTTGTCCTGCCCGTGGAGCCATGTATCCAAGGCAGCATGTATCCAAGGCAGCATGTATCCAAGGCAGCATGTATCCAAGGCAGCGCATCTCCATCAACTGTCCTTCAGTATCCTGTTGCCTCATTCACCAACATACCTCGCCCTCCACTGCTCCTCGGAAATTCCTAGGTTCTCAAGGACCTGTCGCAGGAGTTTCCAGTAGACCGGGCGCTCTTCCATCCTGTGAGAACCTGCCAAAGAGGTCACATCCATCTTAGCCTTGTTCGCAACTTCCTTGCTCAATCCACGGTTCTCGTTTCCCTTCTGATACTGGTTCTGGCGCGAGCGGCGCTGGCGCTTTGGTCCCTTGCCCTCGGCTCGACGCTGAACACTACGGTATTCCTCGCAAGTTCTAATGTGCTGAAATGGGTCCTGCTTCTGTCTTCCATGGGACAGGGAACGCGAAGCACTTTCGAGATGAAGTGCGCGGTTGGCTCTGAAGATCTGCTCGAGGTGCCTGTCTCTTATTTGTTAGCTTTGGAATAAGAAGCTCTCACCTGAAAGTCTCAGGTGCAACTGGAAGGAAGGACACGTACTTGCTTGACCTGTTGCCCGTTTGTGCTCCTTCACGCGCGATCCTCAACTCTCGAGCCACCCTTCTAGCATGACTTTGAGTATCGACCGCGGTCTGCTTGCTGAAAGAGTTCATACTGCATGCTGAGGAATCTTCAATGGGGGTCTTGTGTTCTTTTGCATGGATAGCGAGGCCGACACGTTGAGAAGCAAGCTATGAGCTCCACGTCGTGGGAAAGAGCAGCCAGCCCTTGGGCGAAAGAAAGTTGGAGCGAAGTCGAAGAAGGGAGCTAGGCGGGGCTGAGAAAACGTTAGGTGAGTTTCACCATAAAAGAGAATTCACTTGACAGCAAGAATGATGTGCGGTAAAGCCTGAGAGTGAAGAGGCTCGGAATGTCGAGGCGGCTGTTGTTGACGTCGAATTCAGAAGAGTTAAGTGCGACGCGCAGCCTCAGCTCAAGGGCTGCCAAGGTTGCAGGAATTGTGGAAGCTCGAGCCACGCCAACACAAAGTATTGCCGCCTGTCAACGCCTGCCCAGGTGTACATTCTCTAATAAGCCACAAATAATGCTCTTCTCAATACAAATACAAGTTTCCATGCCCCAGCCCAGCCTAGAACTGGTGGATCTGGTCCTTCCGGTAGCCCAGCTTCTCAAGAATCCCACCGCCCTTGCCACCGCCCCAGCCCTTCTTCCCCAGCAGCGCCTCCTCCATCGCGGGCGGGCCACACACCATAACCTTGGTGTTCTCCTCCGACGCCGGCGCGGCGACCTCCCTCAGCAGCGCCTCGGTGACATAGCCCTTCCTGTAGCGCTCGCTCTCCCCCTTGAGGCCGCTGACCGCATACACGGCCCTGAACTGGCCCGGGTGGCTCGCCTCGTACCGCTTGAACTCCTCGTCGAGGAGCACGTCCTGCTCGCTGTTGACGCCGAACACGAGCGTGATCTTGGTCCTGTCCTCCGGGTTGCCGAGGATCCCCTGCACCAGCTGGTAGATCGGGGTGATGCCCGCGCCGCCCGCGATGAGCGTCACCGACCTGTGCTTGTTGGGCGCCCACTTGTACCCCGGGATGCACACCGCGAACATGACGCTGTCGCCCGGGCTGAGCGAGTGCAGGTGCGTCGACTGCTTGCCCTGCGGGTACCGCTTCACCAGGAGGTCCATGTGGCCCTGCGTGTCCGCGGGCGTGATGGGCGTGTACGGCCGCAGGACCGGGAGGTAGCTGCCCTTGGGGACGGCGAACGTGAGCAGCGCGGCTGAGATGGGAGGGTCAGTGCGTGGTCATGCCGCAGGGCTTGCTTTCAGCTTTGGGGGGGGGGGGAGGGGACGCTTGAAACTCACATGTCAGCGGGAGCCCCGTGGTGGCGTTATCCGGCAGTGAGAACCGCAGCCTTTTGGTGTTCTGGTTGACATCCTCGGATTTCTCGAGCGTGAGCCTGGTGAATGACGGGCCTGGCCGTGGGAATATCTTCTTGGGCTCTCCCGAGTCGGCGTCTGCCGTTCTCATCATCAGTCGCGAGAGGACGGCCCCTCCTATGCCAGCCACTGCGATGCCCTTGAACACGGTCGGTCCGTACGCGCTTACAAGTTCTTGTGTCGACATGGTGGCGTTGAGTGCTGGCCGCAGCCGTTGTGTGAATACTCGGAACGAGTTCATGATATGATGGGAGTGCAGTCAAACGGCCGAGAGGCTCTGCTTTATTATCGGTGGTACTGAGGGTGGTTTATGGTGCAGGAGCTAGAGCTTGTGGTGACGTTGTGTTCAGCCGCGGTGCGCTTAACTATGTATGTCTTGGGGATGTCCGAGAAAGTCCGGATCGGTCCGCTGCAGCCCAAGGCAGCTGGGTTTCTTTCATGGGGGCCGGTCAGACGCGGTCAGACCACCGACGGGCCCGACTGTGCGTCGGCCGGAGGAATCTAACTCGGCCTTCCCTCGGGACCGAACGGTGCTTACTCTGATCCACTTGAAATAACGCAAACGGGATTCTCATTCAAAAGATGCTGCCGGTAACGAATTGGCAAGATAATAGTCACTGGAGACAACTCGTCCCACAGCGAGTGGCAGAAGTCAATAGCAACGTGTGTGATTTTCCAGCGAAATGCCATGGAGTGGTATGAACTCTCCAACTTCCGCATCATATGAAGAAATGACTACATCACAAGCCCGTTTGGCCAACCTGTCTCGATGAATTAGGATAAACCGCAGTCCAGAGATATGCTGTTCTCATGTTCTCAACAGGTCCCTCGGGATCGTCTGAAAGGAACACTCCACGACGGCGTATGTTTGCCAATTTTGCACCGTGGGGCGCTCCGCGTCTTTCCGGCACAACAAGTCCATCCCATGTAGGGCGTAATGGGACTCCGGTCCCATTTGCGACGGTATGACTCGATCTGCTTCTCTGTGAGGAGGCAATACTGGCCTGTATCATAAGAAGTCAGGTGAATTTGAGTCAATAATTGGAATATCGTATAGTGGATGTGAGCTCATTGTAGCGTACCTGGGTGGCAAATGCAAATACCTTCCGCGTTTTCGGAAAGCCTGAACCGCTTTTTGCAGTCCTTGCATCTGTGCAGGATCTTGTCACCGGCAACTCGGGCGTGATCATGTCTGAAAACCCCTGTCGTGGGAGTCCGTGGTTGCTCACTGGGAGAAGTTTTCGAAGAAGGCAACGGTGCCGAGCGGTCGACGAAGCCATGCATGAGTGACCCCCGCTCCGGGACGAGACTTTTTATGGCCGTGGGCACAGGTGAAGGGCCGCATGCAGTGCTTGTAAGCCTTCGCTCAAAGCTTAGTGGAGGTTGTGGGAGCCCTTGCTCTGCTGGACCCCTTTGACACTGCCTCGAAGAACGCTGAACGGTGCTGTAGACCTCGCCCATGAAAATATCGCCAGCCTTAGTACTAGACTTTTGTACCTGTTCGGATTGACGAGGAAGATCACAAGCCGGCACTTCGGAGTTGTGATAGTGACCATCTGTCGCAGTCGCATCCTCGCGATGCAACCTATGGTGCTCTATTAGCTGAGCAACGGATGGGAATAGTGAGTTGCATATCCTGCATTTCCAGCCTTTTGGTGAATTCTTTTGATCTTGAGGATGGTCCTGCCTTGGCTTTTTGACGCCATGTACATCGTTGGCTGTCTTCGCAGGCTGAGTCTTTTCCGCTGGAGGATCTTGAGCCTTGCGTTTCTTGGATAATAAGACGGAGCTCGGCTTTCCGGCACCAAACGGGTTGAATGCCTCTCGAATTGGGATGGTAAATGACTGAGCATGGACGCCTCCATCACTATTTCCTGCGCCGGCCTGGGTGGTCTTCACATTGGAGCTTGCCTGTGGTGGTCCAGCGGCCACGGCCAAGGCATTGCCTTGTCGCTCATCAATGGAGCTCTCATCATCTGAACTGTCAGTAATTGAGATGTCAGCCTCCAAATTTCCAATCTTCGAACTTTGATTATTCGCGATTCCGTTGTTCACGGTGTTCTTGTGTGGCCCCGCAGCATACCAGGGCTCATCCTCAGAGGAAATGACAACAGCCAGGTCGTCATCGGAAACATCGTTCTTGAGATTACGACCCAGTAACCTGTCTTGTTCGCTGATCTCCAGATGAGAGGGAGTCACTAGATTTGCGACATTCATCTTCGCTTGTTCCGATGGTCGCCCGACGAGTGTTTGGATGGTTCTATGCTCCGTTCCAGGGGCATGAGTAGGTGCATGCCCCGCCTCCTTGTACTTCTTCCTCTTCTTGTCAAGGTTGCTCTGCTGATGATTTCGATGAACAGAAACGTTCTTTTTGCCAGTTGTCGCAGTCTTGGCTTTTTTCGACGCCTTGGCATGGCGACGAAGAGCGCCCGGGTCATCATCAGAGGTGCCGGAACGAGTGGTCTCATCAGCCCGGCGTCCATCGCTTTCATCTTTCTTCTTGTTGCGTCGCATCGGAGGAGATGGAGCGAGAGATGCATCGCTGTCATTATTGGTCCCCGGGTTCTCGTAGACAATTGTCGGGGCCGGCGTGTACCTCTCGACGGCGTCCCTGATCGCTCGTGCGATAGTCGAGTGTCTGGTGCCGCATTTCAAGATCATGGACTCAAGCGCTTCCTTCGCCTGGTTCCCAGAAGAATGCGCCACGCGCTGGATGAGCGCGAGCTGCTCACCCTTGTCCATATCTGCTGAACTTGTTTCGTGATGACTGTGTGCACTGGCCTAGACGCGCGCGTGGCGGCTCACAGACGGAAGGAAAGCTGCGTTCGCTTCAGTTCATCACAATTTTTGTGGCAGGCTCAGGGCTGTCGACGTAAAATGAAATAGGTCTGATAAGGTCTGATGGGGGTAAGAGATACAGAAGATGTCAGCCAAGGCTGAATGGGGAAAGCTTGTTTGTTGTTGATTCTGGGAGCGGAAGGAGGATGGTGAAAGACAACGAGGCTGGGGCGAGTTAATCGTGTCTGAATGATCGGAGACAGGCGAAACTAGGAGTGGTGTGGAGTTGGAGCTCTGTTGCTGGGACAATTTGGAAACTTTCAGAGTACCTATGTTCCGAGCAGTTAAACAATTGCTCGAATCAGTAGGAGCTGAGCGTGCAGGTGTCGGTGGGGAAACACCCACGCATTGGCCCAGCTAGAGATTGGGATGGGCTTCATCCCAGAGAAGTAGCTGGAGTTGCAAAGAGCTATGGGTTGGACTCCAGAGAAAGTCGAGTCCTAAAACAATCTTCTGGAGTGCAATGCAGTCCTCATAACTGTTCTGTCACAAGCTTAGTGGTATTGGCAAGGGCAGAATTGTCTGGCTCAGGGAGATATCTGTTGCGGCAGACTATCTCTTGGGGACTGGGGAAGCTTCTATTGCAGTAGCTCTACAGTTAGGTAAGCGCTACTTGAGCTTGGATTACAGAGGACATTGCCCTTTTTATGAACACAGCCGAGCGGCAGGTGCGTGCTATTGTAGAGAAACTGTTCCCAGGGAAGCATGGCGCATTTTGCTCTACGTAAAGCCATTCTGTACCGAGCTTGTGCCTGTATCACTCATGAAGCGGCTATTGCCTCGTTGGGAGATACTGAGACACAAAGAGCTCTTGCCAAGGCAGTACGAGCGTGAACACCTTTGTCCAGACAGGCGTGTCCCAACTTCAACAAGTCACGAACTATTTTGGAACTGGAAGTTCATTTAAATGGACTCAACCTTTTTAGGCCTGGAAATAATTATTTTGCCCTTGTCGCTGCCCAAGCAAGCCTAGTGTGTCATGTGGCGCCTCAGGTCGGCTTGTTGGGCCTTTGACGGTCAACGTCAGCAAGGCCGGCCCGGGGATGGAGCTCCGTCTGAGATTGCCGAAGGCTTCGAAACAGCTCTTTGTATCTGGCCAATTCTCACACCGCTTCACCATTCAGGCTAATTGACGGCCCTCGCTCCTCCCGTCTATAGGCCTCACACATCTCTAAGGTTTGGTCGAGTGCAACAAGCAAGCGTCGAACTCATCCTCCCAGGCTGCCAGAAACATGACCTAGCTCGATCGGCCCTGGAAGACCTGGTGATGGGGGTCGCAATAACCTTGGGGGATGTCACATTCATCGTATCGGGCAATGGCCGTCTGAAGACTCGGGGCAAATAAAGACTCGTCACCTCCGCTTGCTTGCTTGCTTGCACGGCACGGCGTCCAAGAACTTCGCACGCGACCATCCTTAACAACGCAAATTTCACTCGCTACACATACGATCTGAAATCCATTAGAAGAACCAAGGAGGTTCAAAATGCCAAGCCGACTAGACTACCTCATACAAAAGCTGGATGACCTCGAAGATGCCATCCGGCGCGAGAAAAGAGAGTACGACAGGGCGAGGGACCGATACGACAGGATGAGGAGCCGAGACATCCTCGAAGACCTCAGGGAACAGTAAGCTCCGCCGAGTCATACCCGTCCATCCCCAGACACACATCGATGATCTGCCCCCATCGCTAATTTGGCATCTCCACCAAGGCTCCTCGGGTATCAGACCGAGCACGACGAGCTCCAGCGAGCGCGCGCGGCTCGAGAGAGAGGTTTGTCGGCACCCCAACTTCGCGGTTCAGTGCCCGTGAGAAAGAGAGCCGTGCGGCTCCTGTTCAGATCCACAGATGCAAATTTCCAGCAACTGACGCCGCAGATATCTCCAGCACGCCAGGCTCAAGCTCCCCCTCAGCAGCGACACAACGGCCAGCCGCAGGGACGCCCAAGCCACCCGCCCAACAACACACAGCAAAGGCAACAACAGCATATGCCGCCGCCACCGCCTCCCCAACAGCACAGAACGGCTTATCCTCACCGCGGGCGGCCGGCTCCCCAGCAGAGCCCCACTGGGGCCTACCCACCACGAAACAATTATTACGGCCCAGGCAGCAGCGAGAACCAGCGGCCCGCGCCGCCTCGGCCGCGCCAGAAAACGGAGATGCTGGACTATGAAATTGAGGAGCCCGATGGAAAGACATACGTTGTCAGGGGTGGGGCTGTATTCCGAGATTTCGATCCTGCGCGGGATGCTGTGCGGAAGCCCCAGTGAGAGGGAGGGAGATTGTTCCTCGGAAACGAATTTAGTACAACTTTAGAAGTCCACAGAAGAAGCTAACCTGGAGCCTACTGCCATGCAAGATCACCGCCCTGCCTTGCGTTCGCCGTCAACTAGAACTTTCGCATACACGGCCACTTTTCCTTGCAAAAACCAAGACAGCAAATTGTTGATGAGCCCTTCATGCTCATATGCTCGCTTTTGGTGACAAAAATCCCTGGTACACATCATTTGACACAAGATGCCATCCAACTGTCAACCCTGACATATCGCTTGGTATCCATTCATTCACATTCTTTCCCCGCCACTCATCCGGCGTAGTGGTTACACGGGCAACAGCCATGGCTCTTGGCCGTTCTTCGGCAACAGTCCCAGACTCGAGCAGCTCCAAAAGGTAGGCCCTGGAAGTGGAGCTTCGGATCATTGGAACGCACGCAGCGACCTGCAGAGATATGGAAAATCGTGATCAGCTGCACATTAATTCCCATGGCGGAGCTCAGCAGATGTTTGGAATGCGGATTCATACCTGTATGACGACGACACTTCAACGCCGTGTTCTCAGCTTCCATGTACAGCACACCGCATTGAATGCACTTGAGCTGCCTTGGCGCGCCGCCATCCGTGACCTGACAAAGCGAAGACGGGGCCTGGAAGACATTGAGAGTGACAGTGACGTTGGAATTGGCAGGGATCTTCAGAGACGACATGTCAAGTCCGGAAAAGGGAGGCTTGTAAACGGTAGACACTGGTGGCGCTCCGTTGGTTCCTTGGTGACGGTTGCTAGACGACAATGATGGGATATGTGCGCAACGTCCGAATTGGGTTGATTGGCTTTGCGCAGCAGGAGGTGCCGGGGTTTGGGAGCATCGGCGGTCGGCGAAGGTGAACTGCTCGTCACACTCTGTCTCTTTTTGGGCGGTTGTGGCCGGCTGGGCAGCTCCAGTGAAGCCTGAGGAAAGCTGCTGTTTTGGGACTTTGGGGGAAGGGGAGACAAGTCCTCCCCAATGCGATTCCGTGGCGGGAGAACCAAATGCTCCCCAGTTCGAGCGCGCGAAGGCCGCAGAGTCTAGGCCGCCCCAAGGTAAGGTTCCCCCATTTGAGACTGAAGAGGAAGAGGAGGAATGTCCCCGCGTTGAAGAGGCTAAGAGGCTAGCATTCGAATCCTTTGTGTTGGCCGAGGAGCTGGAAGACGTCGGGAGACACGGCGACCACGTGCTTGGTGTTGTTTCACCCGTGGCGGCCGTGAGCGTCGGCTGGCCAAACTGGACGGGCGTTTGCTGAGCTGTAGGCCACCCATGAGGAAACTTTGGAGACGCAAGGTCGATGCCTTTGGCCTGCTGTGGTGCGGGGACCTCAGAGGCCTTGGGTTTCTTCACATCGGGCTGGGTGTCAGCGGCGTCAGCATCAACAGTATCTATTTTCCGCTTTCCAGTCGCGAACGGATGGGGCGCGGCTTCTGCCCTAAGCTGCTGAGAGTACGCCTTGCGGACTAAGTCCTGGAAGTGTTTGTTGGCATCTGGCCCGCGGTATCGGGCCAGGAATTTGCCAACATGTCCCCGGTAGTTGTCGTTAAGTTTGAGCCAGACCTCGTTGACCGAGAGCGCCTTGTCAGCTGCTGGGTCCATGGAGGGCAGCGGGCGTATGGCCCGTCGTAGAAGGTCAATTGAGGAAGAACTCGAACGGAAGAGCTGAATTACGGGGCTCAAAGCAGTGGAAGGGGCGCGATGGCGACGCGGCGCACACCGATTGTCTGGGGGAAAGGAATAACACGGCCAGACGAATATGGCAGCTCGATCCAGAGACCTTGAGACCTCGAAGGAGCTCGGTCAGCGGGGAAGAGTCGGACCAAGGAAGAAGAGAAGTTCAGAGGTGGGGCCTCAGGGCTGGAGGGTTTTGTGAGGAAGTGGTTGTGCTGTGGAAGGCTGGCTGCTGGGAAGGCGCAACCAGGAGCTTGAACCACCAGCAGGGTACCTAGGTACCTAGGTACCTAGGTACTTAAGTAGATGGGCAGTCTGATCCGGCTCCAAAGCTCAAAGAAATCCTTAGCTCAGTTGGCAGTAATCCCATACAATTAATTGCGCGGACTCAGAAGTGGCCGGGCCTCACTCATTTTCAGCACCATCAGAATTCCGCTACATCTACACCACTGTATCAAGAGAGCTCATGATTTAATTCACGTTCGAAGCACTGTTCTGAACCATCTTGCAACTTCAATGGTGCCTTGAATTCTGTCTACAACCGTGGAAAAGTACTCCAAGAGGCAAAGGTAGGCGCTTTAAGCCCCAAACATCTCGCGATCACGAATCTTCTGCTTGACGCTCCAGTACTGGTCCCACCACGGCTTCTCGCCTTCCTTCCTGTTGGGCGGCAGCCTGAGGTGGATCTTGTGCTTCTCGCCCTTCTTCTCGGCATCCTGCTTCTTCTGCACATGGTTGCGCACCTCATAGTGGTCGAACATGGACACGGCCTCGATCATGTACGCAGTCGCCACCCGCCGGTCCCTGATCAAAAACAGGTTCTCCGCGTTCTTGAGGTCGGCCGCCGTGCTGAAGTTGTGCGATCCCGTGTACACGCGCGCGGTCGGCTTGTCAAAGTCGATCACGACAAACTTGTGGTGCATCCGCGCCCCGGAACCGCCCGCCGACTCGTTGTCGAAGCTCTCCGGGTACGCGATGGGCGGGTTGCCGTCGCTGGTCTGCAGCTCCAGCTCGTCGACCGACTTGTCCGACAGCCCGTACACCATGATGCCCTTCTGCGCCGTCTTCTTGACGATGGCGTCTCTTATGACGCCAGGGGTCTGGTATAGGAAGGCGAGCGAGTAGAACAGGCTCGACTCGGCCGAGGCGATGTCGTTGGCGATGCCCTCCAGCGTGCCAGCCTTGGAGCTATGTGGTGAGAAGGTCACCTGTGCGTCGATCCCCGGGAGGCCCAGGTGTTGCCACGTCGCTGACTCGGTGTTGTAGAAGCCGTCCGTGTCGTTGGGGTGCTCCCAGTAGTTCTCGAACGCCTTGTTGAAGACCTGAACCGGCCCGGGTCCCTCCATGGCGATCAGGTTGTTGTTCTGGACATAGAGACCGCGCCAGGAAAAGTTGGTAGACCCGCCGATCGCAATCTGCGTCTTCTGTCCGTCCACTATGATGACCTTGTTGTGGTGAAGGCCTCCCATGTGCTGGCGCTGAACGTTGTTCTTGCCCGCAGATCTCATAAGCATCACCGCAGCCTTGGTCTCGGCATCATCATCTTCCTTGTGTGGGTCAGAGTCATCAATAATGATCTTGACCCGCCTGCCGAGCTTCTTCAGGCGGAGCACAATCTCGGGGTTGTTCAAGTCATACGCGAGCACACGCACTTGGGCTGTCTCATCCTCAATGGCGGAATCAAGGGCTCCGAGCATCACCTCGCGAGCTTCAAAGCCCATCCAGGACAGCGCCTTCTCCTGCAACTCTGGGTCCTCCGGTCTGAAATCAAGTCCATCATCGGCCTTGGCTGGCAGGATAGTACCTAGGCCGCCGTCGCTGCCAAATTTCTTGGTGAAGGCCTTCGAAGAGACAAAGCCTCGAGTGAAGGCAATGTTCATCCTGCCAGGGTACGTCCCGGCCATGATCTGGATTTTCACATCCTGCACCTCTCCGTAGATGAGCTCCCGGTCTTCGTCCTTGCCCTTCATGAATACGGGAGTGACGCGGTAGCGGAAGTGCCCGGGCACGTCGACCGTGTACGGGAAGTGTACCCAGCGGAACCTCTGGATCGGCGACCGGCGGCTGGAACGTGCATCAGGGCCGGACTGGGGAGCCTCCCCGGGGAATGTGAGGAAGTTGGGGATCTCCCGCCACTCGGTCGCCTGCGGCTCCCGGTACTCGATCACAAAGCCGACAAAGTCATCCGGGGGCGTGCCGTTCTTCCAGTTCATGGCGAGCATACACATGCCCTCGCCACGGTATACCGTGAATGTGAACGGTGCCTTGGAGTTCTGACCCGAGACGACAAAATCGGGAGGAGTCTCGTTCCGGGCCGGGGCAAGGGTATGCTTGCGGAGGGGTAGCGGCTTGAGGGCGGACGGCTTTGGGGCGGGTTTCTTGTGAAACTCGGGGCTGCCGGCCGAGACCACGGCCGGTCTCTTCCTGGCCTTCCTTGGTGGTGTACTCTTCCCACTTGCAGGCTCGTCGTCTTCCTCCTCGCTCTTGTCTTCCGAGGCCTTGTTGGTCTTCTTTGGTGGTGTGGTCCTCTTCGGCGAAGGGCTCTTGCGACTGAAAGGCACATCATCCTTGCCAATCTTATCTTTAAGAGTCTCATAATCCAAGTACTCATCCTCTTCGTCGTCGTAATCTTCATCATCTGAGGGGGTCCAGGCCTGCTCATCTTCCTTCCTGGTCCGCGGCTTGGGCTTCTTGCGTTCCGTGGTCGTCGAGGCCTTGGAAGGTGTCTTCTTGGCTGACTCTGCGTGCTCCAGCTCCTCGGTCAACAACTGCTCGTTCACCATCTCCTGGACTTCAAGCTCCTCGTCCTCGAGCTCCTCATCCGTTGGCTTCCATGCCTCATCCTCCGGGCGCTTCGGCCGCTTGGTGATCTTCTTCCGCTGCGGGGCAGGGGACTTCCTCTGAGGAGTGGCCCGAGATGTTTTCCCAGGCTCGAGTTTCGAGACATCTACTGGCTTGTCACCCATGAGCTCTTGTTCCAGGTCGTCGTCGACAGCCTCTATATAAGCATCCTCTTCTGTCGGTCTCCAGGCCCCGTCATCATCGCCATTCCGCCTGCCTCTTGCCATGGTGAATTTTCTTCTCAGAATTTCGAATTCTCTCAAAATGAATCTTTCGTTAATGCTAAAGGCGTAAAAATGACGCACTGGAAGGAATGCACATTTATATGAGTCTTAAATGAAAAGTAGCAAAGTGTCAACTGGCCTACAAGGTTTCGAAGGCAAATGCAAGTCTCCGTCACACCAGTTTCAATCAAGGTTTCTGAACCTACTGTTCTCCAGTAAGGGCACCTGACACGTCACCGCCTCCATTTCTGGGGCAGTTCGAAACCAGATCCACTCGTTGCGGCGATACCCACTGTACCCACCAGCCACTTACTCAAAGACGCCGGGGGTATCTGCAGTCTGGTGGGCTCGTGCGTCTGTGGCTGGTGAGCCACATAGTTTGCATCCATCCTTCGATGATGAGAGCCGGTCTGAGGCGGCCAAGTTAGTGATTGAATTCTCCTACGGTAATATCACATGTGCAAATTGAGGTCGCAATGCTGCAGTGTGGGCTGGTCATATTGTGCTGGGCTAGAGAGCCGACAGAGAAGCATCATGGATGTTCTACTATCAAGCGCGGGTTCAATGTTGCGAAACAAAGTGTGCATTGATACCCTATGTACTTTTCTGTTGTTTGTGACATCTTGACTCGTACCCTCCAGAGCTCCGATGTATTCGTCTACTAACCATCCTCGAGAAACTTTCAGTATCGACGGAAATGAGACTTTGAGAGACTCGGCAAATGAGAGGCGTAGCAGAATTAAAGAGGTAGTCTCGAGAACAATGGGTCATTTGGAGAATTGAGAATAAACCGAGTTGTTGTAGTGCAAGGATTTGCCGATGTTCATTGATGCTCTCATCTTGGGATTAAGTGGTGGTGGTTTCGTTTTTAATCCCCATACATATAAAATGTATGTGACGCCTTCATACAGTGGTAAACGCTCAAGACCTGGGATTAGAATAGATTGCAACGTCTCGCTGCAGCCTGCAGTGGGTCAAAGTCGAGGTTTGTACCGACAGGTGTGACAAGGGAGAGCACCAAAAGAGGCATTGAACCCAGGGAAGTAGTCCGCGAGTATGAGTTGTCTCTCATGGTCCAGATGTCTGTTGGAAGGTATCCAGTAGTTCAGACGAGGCTGGCGTTGCAGACAGTAGTTGAATGATGTTTTAGAATGACCCCCCACAAGTGCTCTGCATCGCAGTACAAAAGATTTGAATGCAGCGCTCTGGTATCTCGACAGAATCAAAAAGTAGAAAGCACACTGGCGAGGCTTTTCCAAATGAGCTGCGCCTTGCGTCAACCATCATGATCGTCCGTTAGTACTGACGTCGTGCTGGGAGCATTGGCCGTGGAGTTCGAGTCCTCTTTGACGCCGGCTCAGACGTTCCCTCCGATGCTTGGTCACTGTTGCGGCGCTTGGGTGGTCCACCCGGGGTAGTATATGCGCCCGAGCCAGAACGGGACTGGGCGAGGTCGTCGGTCTTGTTGTTTGGCACCGAGAGGCTTCGCAAGCCCGGCTCCCCACGTGGTCCCTGAGAGCCATGGGGGCCTGGAGGTCCAGGATCTCCCTTTTGACCTCGAGGTCCCTGCTGTCCTTCTGGTCCCGGGGGGCCTCGCGGGCCTGAATTTCCAGGTGGTCCAGTTGGTCCAGTTGGTCCAATTGGTCCTGGAGGTCCAGGAGGTCCTGGCTCACCTGGCTGCCCCAAAGATGGCAGGGACCCATCCGCCTGCCCGTGGAGGTAGCCTCGGGTGAAGCGAACGAGAGTATCAAGCGCCTGCACCAGATCGGTCTGGTTGCGATTGACGAGAGCGTTGCAGATCCTCTGCTTCTCGTCGCGGGTCAACTCCACCCAGAGCTCGCCCACGGGCCGGTCAAGGTTTCCACCGTCGTCGTTGGGCATTTTGAGGGTCGAGTTGTTAGGGAAAATGATGGTCAAAGGGTTGTTGTGGCAAAGAGTAGAGTAGCTTGCGATTTGGCAAACGACGGCCACCTGCTGTGTCGGTGTTCAGGCGGTCAAAGCTGGGGGACCTGTGGTGGCAGTCGCGTGGGATGAAGAAGGGCCAAAAGAGCTGGTTGACTTGTGGTGGGCAGTCTAGAAGTGAACTGAATCAGGATGTCAAGTCTGAAAGGTTATGTGCTGCAAGTGCAAGGCTGGGAGCTGGCGGGCGATAAACACTCGAGCTGATGTTGTTTTCTGGCTGCAAGGCAAACTTAGGGGCTTACTACAGGCATCCAACAGAACGGTGTGCTGCTGAAGCAACGCCTTACGCAAAGAACAAGGCCGTCAAAACTCGTCTGACTTTTCATTTGAAGCAAATTCAAGCATCAAACGCGTACCCCCGGTGCAAACGACGCACTGAAGCAAGCCCTCACATTTTCTTCTCCACCTGCCAACATCGCCGAGAGAATGAATGCTAGTTATGACGAATTCCTTGCACAAAATCACCAGCAGTAGAGTTCCACCATATGACACCAGTCTGTACCTAGGTACAGGATCCAGCTTCCGTAGGGCATTGTTCAATATGCACAACTTTCCAGGCAATCTTCAAACTCACCCACTGTCTTCTTCAGCCATACTCAAGCCGGCCTGTGAAGAGCCGGGTGACAACCCTTCTCGTGCCGTCTGCGACGACAACAGTTCCACGCCCTGCCTGCAACAGGACTTCCATACTCGTGCCACGCCTCATCTAAATTTCTCCCATAGTACACGACTTGTCCTGCAGATGATCAAGCCCTAAGGTCAGCGATGGGGCCATGAGCTTTCTCGAGAGGGCGGCACATACCTGTATGGTAGCTGCAGGGATGTTCGCCGTTCTTCCGAGGCACATTATCTTCGTCAAGGTAACGTTGGTTGCACAGAACGCAGAGATGTCCCTGGGGCTGAGGAGGCACCTGGGGCTGAGGAGGCACCTGGGGCTGAGGAGGCACCTGGGGCTGAGGCACCTCTGGCTGGGTCTGTTGCTGGCCCTTTGGGCTCTGGTTCACGTAGTAGTGGTTGATCGTGACGTGGCCGTCACGCATCAGGCGCCTGGTCTCCTGCTTCTCGAACTCGAGGTCTCCGAGGTCAGCGGCCAGTTTCTCGGCCAATCCAGCCATTTTGTGATCGTGCTGTCCATTTTCGGCGCTGATTTTGCCGTTTGCAACGCTCTTAGGGGTCTGAGTAGACTGCTCTGTCACGTTCTTAGAGGTTTGCGTCGCCTGGTCTGTTACGTTTTCGGAGGTCTGAGTCGACTGGTCTGTCCACCGAGCGCTCTCTTCAGCTTGTTGGGCCTTCTTGCAGGTCAATACATGAAGCCACAGGTATTCCCAGAAACGATGACTTACAGTCGTCTCCGCCTCGGCTGACGCAGCCGACGCAGCCAATGCCGCGAGGAGATGCTCTCTGTTCAGCCGAGCCACGGCGCCGCTGGGAAAATGGCACAGAGCATCGTAGTCACCCCCAGTCCCATCACAGGTCGCGCGCACCGTTTTCGCAATTGTGGCGAGCGCTTGAGAATCGAAGTTTTCTTCGTCGATGATGAAACAGCGGAGAAGACTGCGCGCCTGGTCGGCATCAAGATTGTCGATCAGGTCGAGCGTCTTGTTGATCACTCGATCCTGCGCCTCGTCACGTTCGCCGTTCACGGCCATAATTGAAGGAAAGATGAGCCTGTCCTTGTGATTGCATGTGTAATCGAGAGTGGTGTGGGATTGGGGCATGTGCCAGAGGAGGCAGCTGCAGGGGGTCTGGTGGTCGACTGGGCTTGGGGTGAGCTGGCCGTGGTTTGAGCATGAAATGAGACCTCGCTACCAGGTCCGCCTCCCTGCCTGGGTAGATATGTTGAGCTGGCAGAACTTAAGGCCTCGGAGCCTTCAAACCCCTGGAATGGAGTGAGGTGGCCAAATTGTGTCCGCGTACGGTGACTGGCCATAACTTGAAGGGGACAAGACTCCAAGATTGGGGACCAGACATTCTAGTGCAGCTTCCAAACATTTGCATGGACGGATTCTGGTGATTAAATCGAATCCCAAACTGCTTTCGTGCCCCACATCAGGAACTTGGAAGCCGCATTCCTATTTTCAAATCTTCACTGTGCTTTTCCATTGGTAATTCTGAGCTCCCTAAGCAGGGGGAAGGGCATTCTCTCCTTGACGGCCCAGTTGCATCGCCCTATCCCCTTTCACCCGTTTGCAAAATCCAAGCCTGGAAGAAGATGCGCAGAGGCCGGAGAAAATTCAAATCAAGCAGAAATCCAGTAGAAACTTTTGAAAGTCAACCCCGTGGGATGGTTCCCGAACGCCCTTGTGTCAACCTGAAGGAGCCTTGAGAGCGTGCAAGGCATGGTCACTCTTGTCGAGTGCTTTGAAAGACAAACCAAAAGACCAGATTCAAACGGTCTGGTATGAATCTTGCCCTAGAATACGATGCAATTAAGAAGAACTTTGCCTCTCGTGCTTTCCAAACACGCATCCAGCCGTGTTAAGCCCTGTTTTGCAGCAGCTCCAGGCAGCGTACAGTGGCTGTGTTCCCTTGCCCTTGTTTCCCTTGGGCCACACCCCGATTGGGTACGGTATGAATACTCCTTGAAGTGGTGATGGTGGTCAGCGTTTTTTGAACCGCTCAATTGTATGAAAGGTGGCTAACAGTGTTCGACATACCAGGATGAGATCTGCAAGGCGTCTTGGAACCTTTGTTCTCAGGTCCCTTGTAGGACTTTCCGCACTTCTTGCAAGGGAGTTTCTTTTGGTTGCGTTTCTTCTTTTTCTTGTCTTTCTGAACCGGCTGTTCTTTCTCCTGTTTCACTGGGTCCTGGGCCTTCGGAGCCTCGGGCTCGAGCATCTCGATGTCGGGCTTCTCCAGTCGTTGACGCTTTGGGTTCAGTGTAGGATCGCGACGGCTTTCAGGGGACAGGTCGAACTTCATCAATGAGGCAAGCGCCTCAGAGTACTCCTCGTCTTCGGCCTTATCTAAAGATCGCTTGCGGGGCACCGCGGGCGTCTGGGGCGCGGGGGACGGAGCATGATTGTAAGAGTGGTAATGCAGGGTCATCTGGCCCTGATTGACGATGGTGAGACCCTTGACATCCGGCGTAGCGCCAAAGGAAGGCTTGACATCGGCAGACTCGTTCTTGGCCAGGGCAGGCGCGGTCTTCTTAGGTTTGAACAAGACCACCTGTTTGGACTTGTCGGCCTCGTTCTCGCCGTTGACAGAGTTCTTGCGAAAGGTCGCAGACACATGCTGCAAATTATCGCGAGTGAGCACATGCATTGACTCGAATTCAAGCGGTGGGCCAAGTATCGAGACTTACGCCAGGGTGGCTCGCGTAGGATTTCTCCCAGTGGGAGGCTGCTTCAAAGCCGGTGGCGCAGGTGAGCGTAGCATTCACACCTTCGCGAGGCACCTTCTGTAAGGTGCCGTTGATAAGGCTCGCCACATGGGAACACTGCGCCTCGTTCATCACAGCATCGTCGATGATGATGTGGCGCAAGACCGCGCGAGTTTGGTCCTCTGCCAGCCTGTCGAGCTGGAACAGCGCTTTCTCGACTTCTCTGGACCGCGGCGACGACTCATACATCGTGATCAGTGTTTCGTGCAAAAGACTTGGGTTGGATCTGTGCAGGCTGCTGGCTGAAGAGCAGGTGCGTTGTGTAACTAGGTAGGTTCGAAGATTACGCGGCCGCGGGCGCAAGAAGTGGGTGTGAGCAGCCGTAGCATGCGCAAAACAAAATGGAACTTTGGAAGGCACCTGCGGCGGGAAGGGGAAAGAAAGGAGAGAAGGGCGGCCGTTCAAGCTGTCGCGGGATGAATTGATGAAGACCTTGAGGACGGGGATACTGTGCATGTGAAGCACACCCAGGTTCAAGCTCTGAACCTGAAAAGTAAAGGCTTGAGTCCTGGGTCAAAAAGTGCGCAGGTGACCCTCCTGCGACGCACCACAACGTCTTCGGTGGGAGGAGAAGCGGTGTTTAAAATGCACAGTAATATGGCCTTTGGGCTAGGCACCAAAAGTTCAGGTTGATTGGGAAAAGGCTAACGATCTAAGCCATCAGACGTCTCATATCAGGCAACTACCCTTTCCACGACCCCTCGTTTTCCGCTCTATGGGAATCCATTTCGAAATGTATGTCCAGCGTCTCACATGAGAATGAGCCCTGCACCTTCTCCCCCAGTGAAACCAGCAATTGCGTGAACAGTTCCCTGAGTTCTAGAAAACTCGCAATCTGTCTTCCTCTCAAATCCGTACACATGAACCCGTAGAAACGGCCTGGACTTCCAAAACGGCGTTCGCAGAGTGCAAAAGAGACTCTTTCCACAGCGCCGTGACTTCTTCTGAAGGCACGGTCTCGGACAGCTTGAGGTCATCACCGCTGTCGTCGTTGTGAGTGACTGACAAAACCGCATGTGGACCGTTGCCAGTAGGCCACCGCATTGTTTCCAGACTGAGGATAACGTCAATTCGACCACGAATATCGCCCCGCTCATGGCGGTCGACGCAACCCGTATAGGTCAATCCTATCTCCAAGTTGCGGATACGAGGCATGCACCTGACGATCCGTCCAAATATCGACATGACCTCATTCAGAACCGCCGTCAAGGGGTCTCTCATGTTGATCACTTCGTCGACGTCTTCTCGTCGGTAGAAAACGTTTTCCACAAACCAGTTTTCAATCTTGAAGTCTGTCAAGCTTGGCCACATGAGAGGCAGTGGGGCGTCAGGATCGAATCTCAATGTGGAGAACGGCTCAAACAGTGAGAAGAGTGAACGAATTGTGCAAGGTGGCTCCGTTGACAGAGAGAACCTGCGAAGCTTCTGCGAGTAACGCAACGCTTCCGCGAAAAACTTTGTCTGAAGATCGCGCCAGCCCCAATATTCTCTGATCTCGACCTTCAGGGCTTCCAATTCTGGAGCAGTATTGGGCAGGGCATGAAAGAACGCTAGCCGTGAATGTTAACCCAGGCGCACTCAGATTTATAAATAGATGAAGCTGATAGGTCATTATGGGGACTTACTCTCAAGCTGTATGTCCGACTCGGCTTCCCATTCCGAGTCCCAAGGGCCACCTAGGACAGTGATCGCGGAACGGAGGTTGGGCATGTGTGACAGTAGAGCCAGCATGGAGGTAAGGTCCATAGGCTCCCAGAGCGTAGCGCGAAAATGTTTGATCTGCGGAACTGTAGGCAGAGCGTGGAGTGCTGCACAGACCTGGCGTACCGTGGTCGTGGTATAATACCACCGCGTCGGCTGGATCTCAACGCTAAGGTTTCCAGCACGTACGGATTTTTGGTTCCACTGCTCGACATACTTGAAAAGTCTTTGCGTCGGAAAGACCAATGCGTTGATGCATTCCTGTTTCCATTCCTCGTCTTCGGCTGTTTCTTGAAGCACAACTCTCGGAGGGTCCTGGGCTGGAAGGCAGATGTGCTGGAGATAATTCCGTCTGTTACCCACGACGTAGCATTCAAAGTGCTCCAACTCTCTCAGTATCACATCTTCATCCCGTCCCTTCAAGGTCAGACTCTCAAACGTGGTGGATTCGATTGCGTGCCGCCACTCGGAGTCGATACAAGCGAGCGAAGCCAGGCGGGGACAGAGGAGGCACTTAGATTCCGGCCAGGCGGAGGCTCGAACGGGTTTGAAGGCTGCGATGGTACATTCCCGAATTTTGTCGCGGAGCTCCAAGGGTAGGGAGTTGTAGCCGACGTCCTCGTCAGTCTGGACCTTGACGCCGTATTTCTTGAGAGCATCACGGACGCGCCGGTCTTTCAGAGCTTCTGCGAGGGTGGCGGCACCTTTCTCGGTCTGGGCCAAGTCGCGTAGAGTTTGGGCGTCGATCCCTCCGTGTTGGTCGGTACGGGACGACTGCGCGCGGTCGTCCATGTCGTTATACGAGTTGTCTGACATCTTGGATGCGTCGGCAGCTTGAGATTGAGAGGTTGAGGTTGAGGGAGAAGGTGAGAGAGAAAAGCTGAGAGGTCGAGAGGTGAAGGGTTGAAGGTTGGAAGGGCGACGAAGTACCTACTTAGGTACGTAGGCATCTGGGTAGGCAACAAACGGGGGATCAAGCTTCAAGCGTACCTAGGTACCTAGGTACTTGTGCAGGTGTAGTGGAAGCCCGAACTGCCTGCCACTGTGTGAAGCTTGAGCTGTCCCACTAGACAGCCACCGTATTGATTGAATGTGCAAAGTTTTGGAAGGAGACCAAGGGAGGAAGCATGCGGTGGGGCGGGCACGAGACTTGTGCCAGCTCCAGCCTGCGAAGGTTTGGTCAAGACTGCAGCAAGTAGGGGCGCTCAAACACCCGCCGCCTTGCAAGTGCTCAAGAACTGCCTCTGAATTTATTGGGAGCCAGTCCAATCCATATGAATCCTGCTTTACTCGTCCAATGGTGAGATAGACGTGCAACTCTGGAAGGCTGTAGTGTAGACAAATCAGAACGTTAAGGCTCATGAGCGCCGCACCTGCAACTTTAGAAAGACCTAGATGTAGCTAGAACCTGTGAAACTCGAGCCGCACTGTAGCAAGAAATGCGCAGTTTGATATTGGTTCATCAAACTGTTGCATTAGTGTTTACTTTCTACACAAGCACGAATTTCAAACTTTTCGAAAGGCCAGACCTCGGGAGTTTCCCCAGCTCCATAACACAACCATTTCCCGACCATACATCAAGATGAAGGCAAAGATGGAACATGTAGCTCTCACTCATGGGAAAAGGGGCATTCCCAGCTGTTCGTCCCTCCTGATATAGAACTACCCCCCGCACATGTGATATAGTGCTGTACAACCCGGTGACCTTGAGTCCCACTTCCAGTCCCATCGTAGACCTTTAGAATGCGCTGTTGCCATGCAGCAAGTCCAGACCTCGCCAACCCGTGCATCAGGTACTGCAGCACCTATAAATATTCGTTGTCAGATTAGTCATACAATTGCTGTCACGGCGAGAAAAATGCAGACAAGACCACCTACCTGGGTGGTACGAACAAGGTGGGGAGCCGTCCAGTTGATAACAGTTCTCCTCTTCCGTGACGAGTTGGTCACAAACACAACATCGAAACTCCCTCAAATTCATGTGGTAGCTACTCACGCAGCCTGGTGCTTTTTTAAGGTTAGACGAACAGTCATCCCAGGGTATCTCACGACGGCAGCAAGTCCAGAACAGGCTGTCAGTGCCCTCACTTGTCCATTTGACTCGGCCTGTGGAGGTATTATTGTCTGGGGTTCCAGTGGTTTGGTTCTTTCGTGTGGGTAGAACGTCTTACCTGGGTGATATGAACAAGGGCTCGAGCCGTTGTCGAGATCCCGCACATTTTGCTCATGGGTGAAGTACAGCTTGCAGTGCACGCACTTCATCTTCTCCAACCAGTCACGGTTTGGAGATTCATCTCTTTCTGACACATCCGAACCGTGAACAGTCGCCTCATCGTCTTCGCACCAATATTCTCGAATCTTGTCATATCTTGCGTACAGTTCTGCGAGATTCTTGTGCCCCGCTTCGTTCGTCACGGCCAGTGATTTGACCTTTGGAGACCTCTGCCGAGCTTCACTCGATTCTCTTCCTCTCGGATAAAGTCTCGGGCCGAAGCTGTCTCGTGCGGTGACCGGTTGAGGTCTCGACGAGACCGGAGTCGCAGAGGCTTTGGGCTGGTGAGATTCTTCCCTGCTGGTGATTGGTTTCGATGGAGCTCGTGGCTTCGACCGCAAGATAAATTCAAACAGTCGCAGCCCAAAGGAAGTGGGCTTGGCTCTACCTCGACCCCGACTCATTTCGTCGGACTCTGGGACGGGCAAAATGTCCTTTTCGTCGGCCTGTGTCACCGTCGCCTTCGTCAACTCACCACTGCTAACTCCGTCCTTTGTAGAGTTGTCATTTTCAGGACAGGTTGAGAAGGAGTCAGTAGAGCTTGAGGCTCCTTCGAGAGCATGATACTGTTGTCTGGAGTCTTGGCCTGCAAGTGTAGGGCACTGGCAGCTGGCACTCGAAGTCTGGGAGGTCTGGGACCACTGGCGATTCCGCCCACCCTGTGTCAATTTGAAACCGGTCAGCAGTGCTCACTACAGTTGATGGCATCTCGGGCTTTTGTTTTGAAGAGGCTAAGTGCAACCCAGAACAACCGGTGAATGGCCGCGACTGACCTTGCCAAGCTGCGCCAGCAGCTCACGCATGTGTCGAGTGTCGTCATGGAGGATGATCTGGAATGCCATAGTCGGACAGCTTGCGGGTGTCCTCGGAGCGCTCGTTGGACAAGATGTCGAGGAGCATCTCCACCATGTCCTCTCGTGGCATCGTCTTGAGGAGCCTGGTGGCGCGGTCCAGGTCTCGTCGCTGGCGTTCATGCTCGTCGTCCATGGTCGCTTTGTCGCGTCGAGGGACGCGAGCAACCTGACGTTGGGCCACTGGTTGGGAGCACTTGAAGGTTAACAAACGTGGCAGATTTGGAAGATGTGGATCTGACTTTGGCGTGATTAACAGGGCAGGCTGGCTGTGGTTGGGGCTGGGGCTGGGGCTGCGCAGATGCCTGATCAGGTACCTAATTTTCAACAAGAATGCGGCCAGCAAGACTTTAAATCACCTTTCAACATCGATTAGCGAGCGAAATCCCGCAGAGCTCACTTTCATTTGTGCTGTGTGCCATAAATTCAAGTTTCGCCCGTGCTATTTGAGCTGATAACTTGCCTTGCCGCATGAGGCCCTGCTGGAGTCGAAAGCCTTCCTGGATGCTCTCATGTCTGTGTTGGTCCAGGTACGCTCAGGCTCTGAAGTAGTCCCTTTAGCACCTCAGGTTCCGCCGGTGCATGTCATAAGGCATCCCGGGCCGATGATTTTAATCAAGACAGTACGAGACTCTTCATGCATACTCGCCTGTGCCTGTAGGGGCCGAACTCGCGGGTCGATTGCTGATTTTGTGTTGGGCTTGCTCTGCCCCCCAAAAAATCAGGGCGGATCATGAGCAGTTCATTATTTACATATGTACCTATGCTGCACGTGCTGTGCATCCTGTAGTAGCTTGCGTCGTTCTTGAAGATAGTTAGTTCTACTACTCATCTCCAATTCAACAGACAAGTATCTTGCTCAGTAAGCTCAGTGTATCTCAAGCTGTCTCTCCAGACCATGGCCCGTTTCTTGGAATCTGCAGCCTCTGCCACTACATCCTCCAACTCCGATCCGTTCAGATATTTGCCTCGAAGGTCTGGGTTCGCATCGAAAGCGGCTCTGATCACATCGGCACTTGACTTTGTGATGGTTCGGATGGGACCATTTGGGTGGTACCAGGTCAGAAGTGGCGCAAGCAAGGGTATGATGACAGGAAACAGAATCACGCGTGCAAACCAAGCACCGCGTCGGACAAGATCCGTGCCCATCGAACCTGGCTCAATTCCGACGATAGAGATATTGCTGAGTAGCGGGTCGGAATCGATTCGGCGTTGCTGGCACACCAACAATCAGCATAGATCTCCCTCTTCCAGAAAGCTTGCCAAGTGGCAGATGGTTGCGAGGGTTCTTATTGTGATGCGAAAGGAAGGGCGGAATACAAGAGGGACACTGAAAGTCTAGAAAATACTCACAAGCTCTCCAACCGTCATTACAGCGCACATCTTCGCAACACCGTAGCGCCGAGTTCCAGCCAACCGTGGGAGTTCGTTTGCCTGGTTGCTACTCCAGGTTCCTTTCGCAACATCGTCAATGTTATCTTGTCGGAAAAAGATCTTCCACTTGTCTTCGTTATAGTACCCGTCTATCTTATGCACTGGATGATTGACACTTCCGATCTTGTTAGTTTCCGTTGGATCGGCTCATGGCCAGTAGACATCTGGGCCAGAAGCTCACTCGTAACTGTTACTGCCAACAATGACGATCCGGCCGCTTGCTTTATCCACGCTTTGAAGAAGCTTCAAGGTGAGTAGCCAATGACCTAGATAGTTCGAAGTGAAACTCGTGTCAAACCCTTCTGCAGTCAGGCTCTCCTCTCCCATGTCGTGGAAGCCTGCGGTGAGAATTGAGGCCCGGATAGGGGGGATCTCGCCAGTCGCTATGCGGGAATTGATAGTATCTGACACCTTGCGGACATCGGAAATGAGCGATAACTCCAAGGACAAGATTTCAAAGGAATGCGAAGAGGCTTGCGCAAGGACAGATTTGAGCCTTGTGGCAGATGCGGCATCTCGAACGGCATACAAGCCATGGTATGCACTGAGCTCACTCGAGATGATCTGAGAAACGATGCCCGAGCCTAACCCGCCATTCGCGCCTGTCACGAGAATGCTTCCTTTGCGGTTGGACATTTCGTCAAGCTTGTCCGGGTGGATTGTTCGGTACCAACTGGTGCGTGAAGGGAGTCTTATCATTAATGACTTTCAGGGGTCGACTGGTTGTTGGAACTGGTTGTTGGAACTGGTTGTTGGCCAAGTCTTGCAACACTCAAGTGCTGACCCCGCATTACCACAGCAGCTGGATGAATTGATCGTGGCAGCCAGGGCTGGGCCATGTCCTGCGGCTCCCAGCAATCAAGGTTGGTACGCCCCATCGAGGAATCATGGTGCACTAGCTCCCAAGATTCGGAACCTATTGGTCATCTACTGCATCGATCATATTTTGTTGGTGAGCTAGCCAAGCAGGTTCAGGTCGAAAGTACTATCATGGACTCGCCGAACCAAATTCTGACTTCAAATGTTCAGAACCCTGGACAACAGCAGCTTGAAATATGCTGTTGGTGACTCTTTCTTCCTGCACAGCATATTGCAGCATGCTGGCTAGTATGTGAGCTGTGCAATTGGTCAGCTACCAGCTCTACTGGAATTGCGGCTGCATGATCGAGTGGAGTTGCATCGAATCAGGGCTCGGTATTGTTCATCAGGCAGGTAACATCGCTGGGAGTGAATAGCTTCCATTTTGCAGCTCGAGGGCCTTTGCTTGAGGGCCGTTGCGTGTAGGGATGGATGCGGCCCACTCCTTGGCCATCTGGCCGCCCTTGGCGGCCCACTGCATATTGATGTAGTACGCATCAAGAAGAATGTTGGTTGTGATCGAGGCGACTATTGGTTGGCACAAATACGAACATTGGTTGGCATGAAAATGAATGTTGGTTCGCATCAGTCATGGAATCCTGCCCGGCGGTGTCCTTGAGCGGGAACAAGCCAGCCATGTGCTCAGTCATGCTATCATTCCCCGCTTATCAGGCTTACAAGAAATCTTGATAGGCACATCAGACTCGGCTACTGTCACTATCCATTGGCGCTTCAGATCTATGATTGAGAGAAACCCATCATACTAGCTCGTCAGTAGACTCGGTAATTTTGCGTGCCTCTTGTGATACGCTCAGTGTTCTCATGATGTATTTATAGCCTTTGTATGCTCTAGCATCGCCCTGAGTCCTGTTGCCGTCGTTTTGCGCAGAAGACTTTGAACCAAACAATGTACCAGTGCGCTCTAGTCCATCCTGACCAGGATATGTGGACTCCCGAATGTCTTGAATGGCGGGGCTGAGTTATGCTCAATGCGGCTCTGAGAACTCTCCCTGCTGCTATAGATTGCGTGTATTGAGGATTGAATTGGCTTCCACATGCGTGATTCTATTACATGCTGTCGTAAAAATTTTGAGAATGATGGGGCAGAGCCGACAATTAAGGCGATGCTGTCTTCCGCCACGCTGGTCAAGTATCACAGTTTCAAGATCTAATAAGTTGGACTTTTAAAAACCCAGGAGCGTATCACGTTACACTTACTTGGCCATAGCAGCACTGGGTTGATCCCATGGGCTGTCACTCTTACCACGGAGTGGCTTCACACGATAAACAAGGGCAAAAATGCTGGAGGTGAAACCCCTGCCCAGTCGAAGTCAGCAAGGACTCACCCATTGCAAGATGAAAACTTGAATCAAAGCTGTACCGAAGATCGCCATCAACTGGAGGGGCTTGGAGGGAGCTAAGGGCAGGCCGGCAATGGTATGTAGCGGCGAGACCCGGATATATACCTAGGTACTATTTTACGTCCCGGTGTGGGGACGGCGCTTCCCGAAGAGGACCGGGGGGGTTGGGCCGTTTTACGTCCGGCCCCGGGTCAGGGGCCGCTCTTTTAAGGACAACCTGGCTCAACGACACGCTTCTGGAGAACCCAGACAGTCCAGGGTCATACGAAGTGTGGGTAAGGCGGGCCCGCACGCGGGCTCGCCCAAACTCAACCCGATGTAGAGCGCAACACGAAAGCCGATCCTCATACCGAAAATCTCCACATGTGCAGGTAGAGCAGTAGAATAGCTGCCGTGGAGAACAGAAGAGTCATACCGAGTCATGAGTTGAGTGTAGAGCTTCTTCACGGAAGTCGCATTAAACCAACAAGCTGGTATATCCTGTTGATGGAGGTTATACCTCCCCACTGGAGTAGGAACGAAAGCAACGACCAGCGAGGCGTATCATCAAGCACAGAGGTGAAAACTTTGTTCGACATACAAGACATGATGATTCCAACGTTCCCGCTGTGTATGACGGCAACCAACATTGAAGGTAGTAAAGTCGGAGAACTTGGTGTCAATTGCACCATTCCAGATAGCTAGAAAACTCCATGGATACACAGTCTGACCACTTTAGTCTGGACCTGATTGTAAAGGCTTCTGATACCCCAAAATTTAAGTGGGTGCCAGCATCACAATGGACACGGCCGTCGAATTACCTAGTTTCGAGCGAGACGGGGTTGCTGATATTGGGTACAATAACACTGTTCGGCGGCGATCCGGCAGAGGGGGTGCATGAGTCCACGCCAGATGCCAGGGATCCCATGTTGAAGGTCGGAGGTCACGACCTACGAGTCGGTTAGGTAGAATGTCAACACAACTTAGAAGTAGGCTACAATTGAGTCCGAGTTTGTTCTTGATCGTTAAGATGGGGGTTTGGGAAAATGCCGTGGATTAATCCAGGCTTCTCATTCCGGTTCGATAGACCAAAGAGTGATTGAAGTTTGGCCATGGCCTCAACATGATTTTATTCAGGGCTCTAAAGGATTGGCGCCTTGTGTCGGGGCCATGGGCTGAACACACCCAGGACCACGCAAGTAGTCCGTGCATTCTATTTATAGTATCAGCCCAATAGCTGCCATGTTGTACCTAGGTATTCTCCGCAATGCTAGATCGCATCTTCGCTGCCCCTTCTATACTGCTGAATACCTAGGTAAGTATATTAACAATTCTTACAGATAATTAAGCCTCTTTTACCTTGGGTCGTGATGACCGTTTCGCCATGCATACACACTCGCACCTTGCATTATACATCATCAGATGAGAGAGCTAATTGGCTTTATTGACATCACTGAATAGAGACACAAGGGCCGTCCTGTGGACAATCCACAAGAAGTTCCATTATTTCGACTGCATTATGCCTGGCAAGGCTATTGACATCTAGAAGAGAGAGAGCTAAGTATAAACTATCGGGGGTAGCCCGCCTAGTAGGCATCGGAGTCATCGGCTCCGGCCTGCTTGCAGTAGTAGAGCCACTCGTCACCGCCAATGTGCTCCCCGTTGGAGTTGCAGGTAATTGCGCAGTAGGTGGGGTCCTGACTTTGTCTCCAGCCCTAAAAATCGATTCACACGATTAGCAAACGGCGCGGCCGAGTAAAAGACCGGGAGACGGGGAAAGGGGAGGGGGAAGAGGACTCTGAATTTTACTTACAATGGTGCAGTCAGGGCACTTGTCCCACTGCTCGTTGCCGGTGTTGCGGTTGCGGTAGGCCGCGCAGGCCTTCTTAGTCGCCGCGGCGTTCTGGGAGGGTGCCAGGTTAGTGGGTGTGGACGGCCGTGTGGTTGACGAGGATGGGGATCTTACATCGCCATAGCCACGACCCTTGATACGGCTGGTGGCCAGGTCCAAGACGCCGCTGTCCAAGACGTCCCGCTTCTTTGGGCAGGTGTTGGGGTTGTCGATGGGCTGGAACTTGCTGGTGCACAAGGCGTACTTGTGCAGGTCGGCCATGACGCTAAGAGGCCGGAGACAGGAATTAGCACGAGAACTTCATCCTGGGAGGAGGAGAAGAGTTATTACCCAGCAGTGCTGGCGAGCAGAATGAGGACGAAAGAGAGCTGCATCTTGTTGAGCGAGCGAGGGAGGTTATGCAACGAGTGTATAAGAACTTTTCTAAGAGTGTGGCGCAGTTGATGATGAGGGCAACTTGGCACATGAAGATGAGAACTCCCTGGAGTCTTATATCTTGGCTGGCAGCGCGTCTTGACTTACCCCAGTGTTTACACCGACATGGCGGCCGGTCGGTGAATACCGGTCTTCCTCTTTTGCTTCGAAGGGAGCTGGACGAACATGGCGACCGTCATCCATGGATAGCAAGCAGACTAGTGAAGAGCGATGAAAGGCCTCGGCCTGGCCGAGTCAGAGAAAACCCGTTGAAGACCACTTGAGCTCGATTATGGAAGGTGTTGCGTCGAGTGGGTTTCTCACATCGTCAACTCGTGTAAGCCACGTGAGTGCGAGTACCAACGACAAGATGGCCAATCGCCAGCGCATACAATGACTCAGGTACCAGAATAGTAGACAACAAAATTACCACAATCCACTCGTTACCATTCAACAGACGGCACTATTCCGACCTCAGCCCCAGCGGACTTTTGTAATTAGGCGGGCCGAGGTTTCTGTGTCCCAGGTCCCACGGCGCGAGTCGGGGCATTCAAACGACCAATGTGGCCTTTTTAAAGCCACCCATACCGGGCCGGTGTGGACCAACCGACGGATTTTAAAAACAGGCCGGGATGGCAGTTACAATACAGTAGCATGGGGCCACACGAGTGGAGATCAGATAAGATCTACAAAAGAGTAGGCTACATAAGACGAATCAACCTAACTACCTACTCGTAAAATCCCGTACTCGTAAAATCAACATCATTCGGTGTAACTTTAAGCTCTTGTGCCGGGATGCCTAAGTGACGTCTTATTAACCTCTAGTTCTAGCCTACTTTAGCTCTTTTTTATTGATTTTAAAGAAAGTAATACTTTAGAAAGACGGTTGGATTCCCCTTTAAGGTCAAATGATGGGGTTGTGGGGCTCTATCTAGTGGTTGTTTGCCTAAGGCAGGCCTTGTCCTGGACATCACAGACCTCCTTTCTATTGTTGGACACCTTGCCCAACTGGTTTGACGCCTGTCAGCTGATAAAGCCCCATTCACTGATGTGGAGTCAGATACATACATGTATCCGAACACGATGCCGAGGCCTGAACACGGGACTTCGTGATATTGTTGCCTACCCTGACAGGCCCGCAGTAATTGATCAGTTGGTCGGTTTGTTGGTTGATTGATTGATTCAGTCATTGATCTAGTGCTTGATGGATCAGCCAAACGGGCCGTTTATGAAAGAAAAGAGAAAGGTGTTACCGGTGCAGGAAGACAACACCCCTGACCCTGGGCTAATCCATCCAGCCCTGCCATTGTCACAGACAACACCGTCTACTTTGAGAAATCTGCGTGTTGCAACGTGCTGGTATGCCACGGCTTCGGCCGAGGGCGAGGCCTCAATGCGTGGTGGCACTTGTGCTTGACGACGACGGAAAGGAGGAGTGCAGCAGATGTCTTCTATTCACTAAATAGTCAGTTGATGGATGGACCCGCCACATTCATTTTCAAAGACATAAAAGGCAGGTTCTGTCACACTTCTCGTCCTCGAGTTCTTGTCCTGGCCATCATCCTCACGACTGTCTTCTCCTTCTCCTCCTCCTCCCAACTCAGTTTCGTTGCTCTCATACAGCTTCCAATACTTTCAATATGCATTTCACCGCCGTCCTCGTTGCTGCCATCGCCTGCGTGACTGGGTAAGCCCCCTTTCCCATCGTCACCCCCGCCCAAAGTTCCGAACTTTGACATCTTTCGCTGACAATCTGATGTGTGCAGTGTCACTGCCGACCTCCACGACCACGCGTGGTGTGCGAACCGTGAATTCAAGGGAAACCAAGAGTCAAACCCTGAGGTACGTGTAGCTCTGTCGCTCGCCGTACTCCTTTCTGTTGCTCACACTAGTGGTTCCCAGAACAACGCAGCCACCGATGCTGCCTGCATAAAGTACAGGAACCGCAACACCGGCAAGGAGCAGTGGGATACATGCCCTGACTGCACGTCCGTAAGTCCAGAGTTCCAGCCTCCCCCCCTGCAGGGCTACTCCAAGGGCTGCTGATCTCCAGGGCGTGTTGGCTGACTTTACGACCCAGAGCTCCCGTGGAGACCTTAGGGTCTGCAACTCTCCGGGATGGCACATTGGTGGTGATGAGTGGGAATACTACTGCAAGCAGAGTGGTGCCGACCTCGGCAAGGCCTAGAGAGCTGCTTGAGATGCTGCTTCATCCTATGACAGAGAGACAACGTGTGCACACTTTATTATCCTAATTTCATAAACCTAATATCAACCTCGGAATAATTTCTGAACAACAGCTTCCTTCAACTAGGATGTGACAAACCTACTGGTAGCCATGTGCCAATCCACCTTCTTCCACCATCCAATGCCCTGGCCAAACTATCACCGCCCAGACCGTCTAATTCGACCCAGTCGAGCACCCGGTCATGAAGGTCTTCCACTCTATGAGCTTCCTGAGAGGAACTCCACTGTTAAATGCCTGTATGATAGACCTATTAGCTAAAAGACTATAATTTCTAAATCTTCTAAGATAGTCATAACAACTAATAGTAAAAGAGGCTCAAAATATCTACAAGAAATTATTAATTTAATAATTTAAAAATATAGTTGCTTAAGGAATAGTAGGGAGCAATTAATAAAGTTATGTGGGTGGTTTCACTTCTATTCCGTATACGTCTGAGGAAATACATGGCGCCTTCATACAGTGGTAAGCACTCAGTTGATACCACAGGGAGGTGCCTGTGTGAGATGGTCTGGAGGGTTTGACCCCAGGTGCCGGATCCCTGGGTTACATGGACATCTCGGAAGAAGCCCTGCTCAGCTTGGCTGGTTGCTGGCTCGCAAACACCTTCACGCCATGCAAGGCGGCCGGTGCAGTGGAAGTTTAGAGCCCCGCTGCTTGACTGCCGACAACAACAGCCTCCTGGCTTGGTCTGTTCATTGCGGGCTCCATCCTGGGCAGTGATCCAGGCGACAATACATCTCTCGCCTCTCCTCCCCCAGCGCGTGTAGTCACTTCGCCATGGCCTCGGTTGTAGCTACCCTAGGGTAGCTGTAGGTTGACGGTCGCTGCCGCCCTGCTTCCTGTCCGCCTGGCGGCGGCGCTGTCTCTGCGAGACAACCTCGGAGGTTGCCGCCCGCTACACTGCACGCACTGAGGTCTTTGGTATAGTGTAATGGAGCTCAGGATATCTTGAGTGTAATGGGTGTAGCGGGCTTATCTACAGGCACTACACTACACTGATCACACTGAGTGTTGTATGCGGCAATCCTGCTCTCATTGGAATTGACATCTCGGATTACCAGCAGCAGCAAGATGCATAGGTAGTATTAGACTCTTCGTGAATGATCATCCTAGTTCCGGTCATCCTCGTCCGAATCATCTTCGGCTACATCATTCCTCGCATCCCACATCAAATTCCAACACAGCGTTCGCTCCTCCCAGTAGAGACTCCCTCCATACCTCTTTGAATGTCTCAGAAACCATAGCTTCAGCCAAATTCAACTCAGGGTCAACCCGTTCCTGTGTAATAGACATAACAGCTCGTTGACTGTTGAGAACATCGTCTCTGAACACCCCGAGGCTGACGAAAACTACATTTTCGTCCGCGCTGCCATCTGATTCGTCGCTGCCATCCGATTCGTCGCTACCATCTGATTCGGGATACACGTAGTATCTCATCGTAAAGCTCAGTCTCTGGATCAGGGGCATGTGTCTGACCGCTCGCCCAATAGGTAGCATCAACTCAGTCATGCCTTTGACGACGTCGCCACGGACCCCGGGAATATCCACGGTCACCCCGATGTAGAGTGTCTTCAAGTTCGGCCACGAAAGCGGGGATGCTGCGAGAGGATCGTAATTCCCAGCACAAAACGGAGAGAAGCAGTGCAGAATTGCCTCATCACACATGCCAGTCAACTCCAGCTCGGACAGCTTCTGAGAATACAACATGATGGCCTCTATGTACTCAGCACGATAAGGCCATGGATGGTATATGTCCAAATTGATCCGCAGGCTCTCAAGGCTCGGTGTATTCTGAGATAGCCTATCGAAAAGGACTGTGAGGCCGGTTAATTTCGAGTCATATCAAACAATGGACGACCAGCACTAGTTGTTAACTTACACTGCGCTCTAGTGGTATCTTCAGTTTCACCAATTTCAATCTGCGATGACCAGCAATCAATTTCTGGACTGTCGAGCGTCATGTGCTTCAGCTGAGGCAGATGCGACACCAGGTCGAGGAATCCCTGGGCGTTGATAGCCTCATAAACATCGATAGAGAGGCTTGTGACCCGTGAAATGACGGGTATGCCGGGAATCTGGTCCTCTACACCATTGCGTAGGAGAGACTGATCGGAGGAATCGAGGGTGACCAACTCGAGGTGGAAGTCTTGATCCCGTGCCGCGGTTTCGTGCCACTGATCCATGCAATTGAATAATCGACGGATCACAGTTTCGCTGGGTTCCACAGTTTTCACGTTGTTCGACCTCCTGATGGGCATGCAAGGAATCGAAACGTGTTGGAGATAGTGTCGTCGATTACCCACAACAAGTTGTGCGAATAAATCCAAGTCATCGAACGGTTCGTCCTTGATCCTCTTCAAGTGAAGACTTTTGAAAGTGAAAGGTTCTATTGCAGCTTGCCATTCCGTGTCGATGCAGGCAAAAGGTGATAGCCTGCAGCGGCGAGGGTTTCTGCGCCTGGCAAGTCTGTCATGTTGGAGATCCTCGATAAGGTGTCCTCAGGGCTTCGGCCACATTGTATTTTTTGTTCAACTATTTGTCTATTCATCATCTTCTCAGCTTTTAGACTAGCTATTAGCTTATATTTTAAGTATAAAGTTAATAATTACTTAATATATACCCTTAAACTTATCTATATATAGTAGAGTTACTAGCTTCCCTTATAGAGCTTTCTCTTTTATTATATTCTTTATATATTATATAAAAGTAAATAAATCCTTAATAATAAAGTAATATATTTAAAGAAGGAAAATTTAATTTTTAAATATTTAAACTTTTACTTTCTTTATATAATATTTATTTAATATATAATAAATAAACTTTATTTAACTTTTTAAAAGGTTTTAATTTTTTATAAAATTTATATAAAAGGTTTTTAAATAGATTTATTATTATAATATTATTATTTTATTAGCTATATATTTAAAATAAAGATTATAATATATTTAACTTATTTAATAAGGGTAAATTTAAGTAACTATTAAGTATATTAATAGGAAAATTAGTTTATTAAATCTTATATTATAGGATTCTTTTTTATAAGGGTTATTTTAAAATTATTTTAATTTTATTATATAACTATTTTATTAACTATTAGCCCTTAGGTTATTTATATTAATAATTTTAATATAGTATTATTAGGAGTAATACCTTCTAGCTTTATTTATATAGTATAAAGTTTAGCTATATATCTATATATTATATTCTTTTTCTATTATTATTAGTATTATATTTCTTTAAATGCTAGGTTTTAAGTGTTTACTATTATATAAAGGTGCTATATATATTTTATATATATAGGGATTAAAAATGAAACCACCTAAGGTGTCCTCGGATTTGGTCGCGAAGCTCTAGTGGCAAGGACCTGTAACCGACGATGTCGCTGTCGAGTTGAGCATTAGATGTATCCCTTGTGGTGAATGAGGTGGTGTTGACACTTACGTCATGTCAGGAGGCAGCTGTTCTGGCTCGTTGGTCCAACTCAGCTTGAGGCGCTTGTCCGGTGGGACTTTGGTCGGTTCGGACATGGTGAGGTTGGAAGGGTGATCTGATAGATCTGGGGACTCAACGATGAAGTGTTGAAGGGTTGGCCTGGGAGGTGGAATGGATGGGTGCCCGGGTGGGTTGGCCGGCGAGATGGAGTTGGAGTGCAACTGAAATCAATTGCTGGGCGGGCAAACGGACCAACTCTCGACCTCCAACGGTGGAGTGACCTTGGTTTGTTTCCAGAGGCTGGCTCTCAAACGGTACCTCAAGCTAGGTCTGTTTGCCTGGCAAGCTGAAGACTTTGGTGGCCATTCACCTGCAAATGATTCTTCGGCCGTTGGGGGTACGATTGACAAGTCTCGGGGTAGACCTTGCCACGCTCGAGCGTCTTGGGTGGAGGCAGGAACTACTGGAGCTTTGCTGAGTTGATTCAAGCACCTGCTGCCACCAACCAAGTCACTTGCAAGAGTGACCAAGAGTCGACTTGACTTGCAAGCTTGAAAACATTGAACGGCTTTCGTTCGCAACTGGCGTCAGGGCCACACTGCAGCAACATGAACACTGCATATGTATCTTTATGGGCCATCTTGCATCGTCAAGCCGTTTCATTTTCATTCGTTTATACACTTTACATCATTACGCTCCTACTTAAGGGCTCTCTTGCAATCAGCGGCTGGCTGGTGTCAAAAATCAGACATCCAGATCCAATCCAATCTTCTTCACCAGCTCCTGGGACTTCTGCCTCCGCCTCATCATGTGCCTGTGCTCCTTGAAGCCATACACCAGCGCGTTGACCAGCCCCGTGAGCTGCGTCGTCGCCTGGGCCGCGATGAGCCACTGCTCCTGCCGCCCCGCCAGCTCGGCGAACCGGTTCGCCAGCCCCGGGATCCACACCACGATGTACGCCATGGGGAACAGCGACAGGAGGAGCCAGTGCCGCGTGTCGTGGTCGAGCTGGCTGCTCTGGATCACGCGGATGCGCGGCTTGATGCCGAGCCGCTGCTGCGCGCTGAGCTTGGCCTCCTGTGCCGCCTCGAGCCCCGTCGTCTTGTTGCGGTCCGAGCTCGTCCGCGTCACCGCCTCGCGCACCGTCGTCGGCATCGTGTGCTTGCCGCGGATCAGCTCGTTGTTGCTCATCACCGCGTTGACGTCCGGCGCCGAGTCCGTGTACATGCTGAACGAGTAGCTGCGCCGGAGCCGCGGCTCCTGGTTGCGCTTCAGGAGCCGCCGCCGCACGCTGAAGAACACGGCGATGTAGATGCCGATCACGGCCAGGAAGATGGCGAACCGCCAGCCGTGGCCCAGGACGTAGCGCAGGTAGGGAGGGTCCTGCGCGATCCAGCACCAGTTGCCCGTCACGGGCTCGATCTTGTTGGTCACGAGGGCCAGGGACGCCGTGAAGAAGGGCATCGCCCAGACGAAGAGGCAGATCAGCCGCTGCTCCATCGTGCTGCAGTGCATGATCCAGCGGTTGAAGTTGACGGTTAGCAGCGTCACCACCGCGATGGCGAGCACCGAGAAGTCGGCCGCTTGGACCGATATCTGGCCGATCCAGCCGTTCAAGGAGCAGGGCAGCCCGAGCTTGAGCCATTGCTGTGTCGATACCACTATGCTCCCCGAGATTGTGTTGTTCAAAGAGTTGATGAACTCTGCGGAATGAGGTTAGTATGTCTGCTATGTGACACCTGGTATGCGGCCAATCCAAGTGTTCAAATGTTGCTACCTACCAGCAAGCGTGAGGTTCATCACCAGCGCATATCGAAACGAGTGCTTTTCCTCATGGCTCGTAAATAGCCACATCAGTATCACCGCCCCCGTGGCAACCGCAGACAGCGAGCTGCACAAAAGGGTCGGCACCGCAACCCATGCTTCGTAGGGCATGATGACGACGGGTTGTTCCGCAAAAAGGCAGTCCCAAAATATCGACCAGTTATACTTTGGCGCTTGTGGGTCAGGTGCTGTTTAGATCCGGCCCTTTGGTATTCCCCTTCGTTGTTCTTCGCGCGGACGTCGTCGAGTGTTGAGAGAGTTTATCCTCCTAATGTCCAAGCTCCTTCAGGATATAGAAACGAATTAACCTTGGAGAGCCGGCTCCAAGCAGTCCCTCGGAGTCCGTGGAAAATTTAGTCGCGGGATGTTGACTCTTAGTGTATGTCCAGCATGATTGATTGGGTTGTTAAAAAAAGGAATGCCGGGGATGCTCCTCGGGAGGGTGTGGCAGACCAAGGGTGTGCGAAGCCCCAGACTTTTACGATCCGGCCTCCAGCATTTGTGCGGGCATCGGAGGAAACAGGAGTGGACTTTGAATCAAACAGTCTGCTGGCTCAGCACGGTTGATGGGTCTCGCTGGGTCTGCGGCAATTTCCCGACACCATTGCTCTGGAGAACCATGTACTCCATGCTATCGTGGCGCCTAGGAGAGACTCGGGATGACTGAGCTGGAACGGATGTGGTTGCCGACAGGTGTGGATGACTGCCAGACGAACTTTCCCTCACCGTTCGGCAAGTCCTGGGCGGGCTGAAGGGGCCGGACATCAGTTCCAAAGTTAGAATCGAATTTGCGGCCGTTGGCGCCCAGCAGCAAATCAGGAAGAGCTGCAGGGCGTGACAAGGACGATCATACCGATGGGCTGACTCGTATGCGCGAAGCCTCGCCTCCAGCGGCTGATCAGAGATCGCCATCCCTGCTCGATAGGGCAGGCCCCTTGCTGCTGCTGCAGACGATCTGAATCCCCATCCTGTCCTGTCAGATAAGATTTCCTTTGTTGTTCCGGTGGCTCCAAGGTTGGCCTTCAAGTGTTGTTGCGTCACATGATGGGATCGACTTGCATTGAGCCGCATCATGTAGATAAATGCAAGTCTCGGGAGATCAACAACAGTAGTTCCGGGGAACAAGACACCATTTCTCTGCGCTAACCCGTAATTCCACATGCGAAGAGTAGGCTATTATGAGTGTGGAACCTGCGAAAACAGTTTACATATGAGAATTCCCCCACGTGGGACACCGGTATGATGACGAGGCAGAGCCTGTGCGGCCGAGGTTCCCTCTGCCTGGAGTCGGTGCCACCGTTAGCTGGGCATCTTCTCCACTATTCTCCACGATGCCGGCTGGCGACTCATGTCCACAACGTTCTCGGGGTCTCACCAGCGATGGCCAGTGAAATTTCAAATTTCGAAATTTTTCACTCTGCCAGCCAGCTTTCAATTCACCAGGTTGGGTGGGTCTGAAAGGTTTTGTGGGTACCTTGATTTTGCGGGGTACTTCTAGTTTTATATAACTTCTATATAAAATTATGTATCTTCTAAACTTCCAGAACCCTGGTGGACTTAAGGATCTTTCTAACCCTAACCCTTATCTAAGAGCTCTCCACCCTTATCACAAAAGCCCCTAGCCCTAAGTGGTACCATGCTAGTACCTAATTAGGACTAGCGCGGTTTTCCATTTCTGTCACTGGAAGGCCTGAAATTTCGATTTTCTTGCAGAGAGGTCGGTGGGCCTGAAATTTTGCCATCGCTGGGTCTCACAGGGCTGCTAGGGCCGTCTGACGGGCTGCCATTGAAACCTGTCCGAGACTCGACCTGCCAAGCTGACACTTGAGCATTCTGAGACGTGATGTCAATGCTTCATCAGCATTGCTCGCATTCCGGGGGCGGCAGCGGTGCTGACCGGTATCAAGCAGGGCTGGGCCGCCGGGCTCCCACGGGCGACTTGCTGGCCGCAATTGGAAGAGGAACTCGCGGCGGTGGGCCTCATAATTCCCGCGCTGGTAGCGAAATCCTCCAGCGGGTGAACAACCACCGTCCCGTACTTTGATACCCGCAGCTCGAGGGTGGGCCCCTCATCACACGGATGGGGTATTCTTCTCCGTGGCTGATTCCGCGAAATTCGACTTACCTAGTAGGAGTATAGATATTCGTCACTGCGGTCACCTCCCAACCCCCTTGAATCAAATCGACATGGGGTTGTGCTGAGGATTCTGGTGATAGTCTAGGGGGGTACCAAACCTTCGGCATGTACGGAATCGGCAGTGAAGGGAGGCGAGCTTCGGGATCAGATCGACTTTTCCAACGCTGGGGAGATGTGCCAACGTGTGAGCTGCGACGTGATGATCCTGCCCTGACCCAGATACTATTCGTCGGCGCGGATGACATAGGGGGCCCGCTCAGCCGGGCCAAGCACGAGCAGGGCCGCAAAGGGAGAAAGATCAATTGATACGATGTTTTCAACAGGCCGTCGGAAGCAGACCCAGGCTATGCTGGATCGGATCAAGTTAATCTCGCAGGCAAATTCTGTTGTCGTGCTGAGAGCTACGTCCTCGCGGCCGAACAAGCCGAACGGAGGGCGTTCGCTATCGGCATGACTCCTAGATTCTTTCCGGCAGGATTCTGAGTCCTGAGTGGGCGGCAGAGCTGGTGATAAAGACGGCGATTAGGTTCGACCTTTTTGTCTTTGTCTCCGAGGCTAGATGATCTCCCCCCGGCCCTGACTCGGCGTGCGAAGCATCACTGTTCTGCCAGGGACAACTTCGGAGGCCGAGACACTGGTAATGTACTACCAGCCATGTGGCCGACTCGTGAACACGGTGGCAGTGATACTGCTTTTGCTCTTAACGGCAAGAGATCGCCTGTTGTCATCCCGCGCCCTAAAAGCTAATGCTTTCAAGACGTGATGCCGTGTCATGCTCGCTGTCGAGATAGTATACATCATCATGAATTACTAGTGTCGGTGAAATTTCCAGGCCTTGGTGCTTGATTATGGGCAAGTCGACCAGGGTACCTAGTTACCTACCTCTTGACGACATATAACATGAGCTGCGGGTTGTTCGAAAGCAATGATTTTGGGTGGCACACAGCCGCGAAGCTGGAAGTTTTGTTTGCTGCGGGAGACATGAGGAGGGAAGGCAATATGTGTTGCTTGGATTCTTCCCTTTCTAGGTAAGTTACACCCCCAACATGTCCGCAGCTTACGGAACAATTGAAATCATAATGGTTTAAGCTGTTATGAGGATGTAGGCCATCTGACTGTATGATGAAACAGCACTCTAATTATATGATTCAGGCTCACCCATTTGGTCTGTTAGATCTCTGGCTGATACAGTCTCCTAGTCATTTCAGATTTTATGACTGGTCCACTCCCTTTTCTTTCCTTGCCCTCATTGATACAACAGCTCTCTCCCTCTGTGTACATTGACGCAACCCTTTTCATTTGCACCCGGCCAGAAAGAAGAGGTAATTATGACCCGGAAGTTTATTTCTGATTTCTATCTTATGAGAACGAGATCCATGTTGATTGAGGTACTGAGCCCCCCCCCCAATACATGGGAATAGCGAGTAACAGCGGGGCGGAAACATGTAAGTGCCAAAAGTCTTGAGCGTTTGCCACTGTATGAAGGCGCCGCATACATTTTATATGTCTGGGAATTAAAAACGAAACCACCCGTAAGTACCAAAGATTCAAGGTCTAGTCCAAGCCGGGCATCGAGGGTATTTTAAAATCAACGGAAAGGTTCTCGAAGGGGGCCACGGCATAGACACAAGTAGTCACGTGGGTTCGATTGGGAGCACTTGAGCCCTAGAGTTCTCGGATTACGGTGAGTGGTGTAATGAATTATGCGTGACCAGGTGTCAGTGTTCAAGTTCGAGTCACCCTCTCGTCCTGCACATGAAAGGAAGCATGTCATTCTTTGTGCTAGCCACCAGAAGCTCTCCATTTCACCACAACCGGAAGGGGTTTTGTATGGAGACTGTTAGGGTGTGAGATCTATGTTGAAAAGAAGGAGGAGGACCCCAAGTAAAAAGGGATGAAAAGGTTATCAGAAGAAAACGTCGATACGCTGAGAAGCAAGAAGAAGCAAAAAGACCCTCCCAGGCCATCCTTCAGGGCGCGAACGCCCAGATGGACCCGGAAGTCAGAAAATCCCTACCATGCCCAGCCGACTTGAACGGCCAGGGTAGATCATCGGAATTTTACTGTTCAGCCGGGGGGATTTGAACCCAGGACCACGGGGGCTTTCGTGCCCCCCGCGCTCCCGAATCGGCCATCCCGCCGTTGTTGGTATCTGGTGGAATTAGCTGCTTGATATGCTGGAGTCGGGCTAGATCGGACGGTTGTGAGCGTCTCTCTTGATTGGCTTCCAAGTGTGTTGACTTCGAGCTAACGTTACCTCAACGACGTCTTCCCTGTTTCAGTCCCCGTTTGTTGGCAATGATGTCGAGCTCAGCTGCTAACAACCAAAGCAGGACAATAAATGCAGTGACAGTGCTCAGAATGAGAGCACCCCCTCAAGACATCAATCGCCGATGTTGTCGTTGATACAATCCGAGGTGACACGAAGCTATATCTGTGACAGCCAACATTGAAAAGGCCCGATTCACCATCCCAATAGTGTGTGAAGACTCATAAGTACTGCCGTGCTGAGGAAGTAGGACATGACATACAAACATGATTGGAAGAAGTACGAGCTGGGACACGTCACAATACCTAGGTAGGCTATGTGAATTGACAAGTAGACAGCAAGATACCTCACAACGTCATCGCAAGGCGAGACGACAAACAGTCTGTCACGAGCCAGGCCGGCCGATTGGCATTAATAAAACCCCTGTAAGCCTAAACCCAACAGCTGCAGAGCAGCGCAGTGCAGTGCAGGTTGCTCAACGTCCTTGGCCCGATCACCTGCCAACCGCCGCCGTGGGAAAGCATGCCCGTTGGCCATGCGGAGGGCCAGGGGTTTGCATGTGCACGTCAACCAGGCATCTCTCCGGGCGACTGGGTATCTCCCTTGCCCCTGTGTGTATTTATTTCCCCGTGGCGCCCTCCACCAGGGGTGCGCAACCCCCCAAGTGAGCCGCAAAGTCGTGCCTGGAACCGTGGCATATCTCGGCTATGCTAGGCGAGACAGCCACAGATCTCCCGAGGTCGCCGACCTTGTAAGCAGGCGGCGACGACACGTGCTCTGCCCAGGTTGTTGGGTCGCGGAGTACGGAAATGGCTGAAAAGTGGCGGGGAGGAAACCGAAGTCAGCCCATCCCGTTATTCCACGACGACGAGGGCCGTCTACTCTCGGCAGTGGTGAACGAGCTGGATTCCTACAGACGTCACGCCAGAGGTCAAGAGCTAGGGAAATTCCGTGAAATTAGGCTGCCAAGGGAGGGACCGAATATCCCTGTGTGCAGGACTCGGTACAAGCAAGTGACCACTGTAGACCAAACCCGGCATGGCCTCCGGCGGGATGGAAGAAGGATGCGGGATGAGGAGGCAAGGGGGGCCCAAATCCTGCTGGTTGTCGTCACCAGCGAGAAGTGATGGCCATGCTGAGGAACGGGAAGGAAGATGAAGGGTACGGGTGGGGAGGGCCGGGGCGGGGGTACAACGTGGCTGGCGGAAGAGGATGATGACAGGCAGAAATGTGAAGTGGTTGAGGCGATGTTGTCGGGCTTAGTAAGGAGGCTGAGGATGAAAATGGGGACGGGGACAGGGACGGCAATGTCTTGCCTGTCAACCTGCCAGGCCTGCGGTGATGCACGGGGAGAGGGGGGGCCCACTATGAGGTACCTAGGGTACGTTTAGTCGGTAGGCGGGCAGGCTGGGTTGGGCCGAGCTGGCGGGGATGACACAGCATATGCACCTGGGTGTTCAAAATCCAGCCGGGTCACCCGGGTACTTAGGTACTTACTTAGTAGGTACTTGGGTAGGCATCCCACCTGACTGCCAGACTGACTGCCAGACTGACAGACCGACGGCAGACAGCTCGACTGTTCTTTCCCAATGCCGACAACAAGGTAACCAGGTAGCCAACCACACCCTCAGCAACCAGCCATGGCCGTCCCAGATTCATGCCGTTGGCTAAGCTGGACCCATCGTCATTCACCAACCGCCGGACGGCTCGGTAGAGGAGTTGGGTCCCTTTTGCAGCAGGCCTGCATGGCCTCGCATCGCACAGCATCGCAGTGGCCTCGCACCACATCGGGCGACCTTCCTCAACAAGGGGCCTGGGCCTCTGGCTCCTCGACGGATTAACGGATTGGCGAATTGACGAATTGACGAGCCCACGAGCCCACATGCGCATCCGTCTTGCCCCCATCCTCGGCGCTCCATCACGCCCGCCCCATGATGGGTGTTGACCACTTGATAACTGACCGCTGGCTGCTCTGCATCTCCCGGCGCAGTAATCTGGCCCCTTGTCCACATCCTGGTCGCCATCCTGATCACGCCCCAATTCAAATACGCATACATACGTCGAGGGTCCGCACCGGTGTACCCGAAGAGCCGCATTGTCCGAGTCTTTCTTTTTTTTTCCTCGCCTACCACGGGTTCGGGTCAAAAAGAAGAGCAAAAAGAAGGGGGAGAACGTGGCGCCTCCCAGGTGCTCGCCGTGCTTCTTTTTCCCTCCCAACTTGCCGTCTTTGTGGCGCTCTCGCAGCACACGCTACTGAAAGGTAAATCGTCTTGGAACCTCTGGCCTGCGACTCCTCACTGGTCGGCCAAGCTCCAAGCGGCGCCTTTCCTCACGTGGATTCGCGGATTCGCCCAGGGGACCACTCGACGACGCCACCGACCTGGGCCACCCTGCTGACTGCAGCCTAGGTTGCTTCGCTGCGCTCGTCGGAAGCTGCTCGCTGCTGGCTGCTGCAACTTGCGCTCGGCCAGGCCTGGGCTGATGTGAGACCATCCCCGCGGAAGATCACCCCTCCCGCAGTTTTTTTTTTCATTCCCAGCCAATTTCTGGTCTGCAGATCCAGAACCTGCCGCTGCCGCTGCCCAGGAGGAAAAGAAAGAGAAACCGTTTATTTAGACGCCCCTCGTCCCGTCTCGGGCGTCCAGGCACAATGGACATCCGCGACCTTCTGATCGATCCGCCGCCCGACATGGTAGCAAACCAGGACGGCACAGCAGCCGCACCGGCGCGACCCCCCACCACCCTTGGACGCGAGCCACAGGCGACATCCGGCCAACCAGCAGCCGCAGCCGAGATACACGCTGCCTTGGCCTCCGCGCCCAAGGCCTACGACCACGCACGAGTCCCGTCTCGTGCGCCCGGATACGACAACTCGGCAGCAAAGCCGGACCCATCCAACGACGCGCCCGCTGCCTCAGACCATGAGATCACCTTTCACAACCCCTCTGCCGCGGCCGCCGCGGCGGCTGCAGGCTCCGGGCCCGGCTCATCCTCCGGCGGCGCGGGCGGGAGCAGCACTCACCCAGACTCAGATAACGCCAGTCTGAATGCGCCCTCGAGTTTCTCGGTCGGTCTGAGCATCGACACAGACGACAGCGATGCGGACTCCGCGATGGGCTCGGTGCGGGCGCAGTCGTCGTCCGTGTCGGCGTCGTCGTCCATTTTTGACTTTGTCGAGGAGCACGGGCGCACGTGGCACCGGTACCACGAGGGCAAGTACTTCATGCCCAACGACATCCCCGAGCAGGAGCGCCTGGAGCTGCAGCACTCGATCAGCGTGCGGCTGTTTGGCGGGCTGAGCCTCGCGCCCATCGACCGGCCCAACCGCGTCCTGGACATCGGCACCGGCACCGGGATATGGGCCATCGAGTTCGCCAACGAGCACCCCGAGTCGGACGTCATGGGCACCGACCTGTCGCCCATCCAGCCCGAGTACGTCCCGCCCAACTGCCGGTTTGAGGTCGACGACGCCGAGGACGAGTGGGTCTTCAACCACAAGTTCGACTACATCCACGCGCGCTTCATGTGCGGCAGCTTCAGCAACTTCCCCGACATCTTCCGGTCGTGCCTCGACAACCTCGAGCCGGGCGGGTGGGCAGAGTTCCAGGACTACTACGTCAAGATGCAGTGCGTCGACGACTCCCTGTCGGGGACCTCCCTCGAGCGCTGGAACGACTGCGTCCTCGAGGGCGTGCGCCGCATGGGCAAGAACGGCCTCGCCGCGGCGCGCTTCAAGGCCCAGATGCTCGACGCCGGGTTCACGGACGTCGTCGAGCGCAAGTTCGCGCTGCCCGGGAACCCGTGGGCCAAGGGCGAGGACCAGAAGATGCTGGGCATGATGCAGATGGAGAACATCCTGGACGGCCTGCACGGCTTCTCCATCGGGCTGTTCACCAAGATGCTCGGGATGGCCGCGGAGGAGGTGGAGCTGATGCTCATGGAGGTCAGGAAGGATCTGAGAAACACAAAGATTCATTTCTACTACATTGTGTGAGTACCCGCCCAACCTACTACCTTCTCCCTGCCTCCTTGGCATGCAGCCTGGGGGACCTCTTGCTGACCAGGACCGCCCAACCTGCAGTTACTCTGTATATGGCCGGAAGGCACCATGAAGGTGATGACTCTTTAATGATGATAGATTCGCGCATATGATACCACTACCACCACACAATGCCACCCACATATTGCATGTATATTTCAAAAAATATGAAAACATCTGTCTATACTCTATTGAGTGAAGCGACGCAATTCCTACAATCAGATCCGTTCCCTCATTACGTGGCTCATGTGTTTTCGTCATCCATCATCCTGGAAGTAGCGCTCATCACCAGAAATACAGGCCGGGCATGGTGTCGTTCTCGAACCAGCTCATCGAGCCCACTCCCTCGGGCACGAACATCGCGTCAGTCATGCGCTGCGGGTCGTCGTCAGTTTGAGTCGGCATGACACACAAGACAATACGAGCTAAGCTGACAGCCTCATGCAAGATAAGAAGAAAAGAAAAGGCCAGGGGGGAGGAAACACAAACTTTCCTACTCACCGTGAAGTCCCAATCCTCCGTCAGCCCCGGCGACGGGCCAAACTCGTCCACGATCGGCGCCGCCCCGCCGTGCTGCTTGGTGGCCGCCACCATGGCCTCGAGCAGCAGGACGGCCTTCTCGGCATCCTTCTGGCCCTCCCTGATCAGGAACCGGGCGAGCTCCGCCGAGCCCGCCGAGTCCGCGCCCGCGCCCGCGCCCGCGCCCGCGGCGGGCCCCAGCCGCTGCAGCGCCTCGGTCTGCGCCACCAGCAGCGACGCCATCAGGTAGCCCTTGACGCTCGACTCGCCCGCCTCCAGGCACCGCCAGGACCAGGCCTTGACCTCGCTGGTGACGGCCGCCAGGTCGCGCCGCATGTGCGCGCGGGCGCCGGGCCCCGCCGGCAGGCCCTCGTCGTCCTGCAGCTGCGCGTGCAGCTCCATCGGGATGGTGAAGGACACCTGGACGGCGCAGGTGCGGAAGAAGCCCGAGCCGCTGGTTATCAGGCGCGCGAGGAGCTCCTCGCTGGAGGCTGGGGATGAGCCTGCTGCTGCTGCTGCTGCTGTTGACGGGGTTGAGTATGTGGTCTGGGTTTGGGCTGGGGCTGGGGATGCGGGGCTGGCTATGGACGAGGATGGCCAGACGGCACACCAGATCTTGAGGAGGACGTCGAGGATGACCTGGCGTGAGTATGCGTATGCCGGGAAGTAGATGGATGCGGCGTAGTAGGGCATGTGCAGCGAGGCGAGGTACCGTTCCATGATGAGCTCGGCCGCGTGGGCTGCGAACCTTGCTGCGGGCCTGTTTCGGAGAGGATGGAGGCTTCTGCGGAGGGACTTCAGTGCTTCTCTTACCTCCGTGTCCAGCTGGATGGTTTCCTCGTATGTGCCACCGGCAGGGTTGTGGTCGTTCAGGAATTTTGTGACTTTCAGTCTCACGGGGTATGTCATCCGCAGTGCTCTCGGAATCGACATGATGGTCGGGTCGTTGTGATCCTCTGGTAAATGGCCAGGTCCGGATGTGAGCGCCTCGTCCTCGAAGTTTCCAGGCGCCTCCGCGTCGAAGTCGGCCGTCGACAGCAGCGGCGGTCCACCTTTAGACAAGCTCGCCTGCAGGGTAACCTCCAGGATGGTGTTCCAGAGCCGCCTCCTCATCTCCGCCGCCAGTGGTGTCATCTCCGGAAGATGGCGCGGGTCGCGGTGGAGACCCATCGTGATCGCTCCACGGATCAGCCCGCCCGCCGAGATCCATATGCTGTCGCCGGCGACGTCAACGAGCTCCATGGCGAGCAGGTGGAGGATCCGCGTCTGGACTATGAAGATCCGGAGGCGGCTCTTAAATACCGGCTCGGCGAGGTATGTTTGGGCCTCGTACACCCATCTGGTTGCCTGGGTGCGCAAGGAGAAATTCGGGTCATATGTGACGGCGCCGATGGCGAGGACGAGCTTGAGCTGGACGAGGAAATGATTCTCGGGGTGGGTGTCGGGCTTGGCCCAGATAGCCTCGTAGTCTCTCCTGAAAGAGGGGACGTGAAGGATCCGGTATATTGATTCGATGGTCTCTAGGTACCGGTCGACAAGCGCATCGCAAAGGTGCTTTGGAGGGAGGTCTTCGCTCAGAGGACAGGGCCATGCTGGCGCCCGTTGGCTCTTGATGATCCGTCCAAGAGTCTTGCACTTATCCATAATGTCCAATACCTTGGGCTTTCCCTCGCGAAGCTGCGGTTCCAGTAACGCGACAAATTGCATGGTCTGATGAGGTCAGGTCAGATCTCCAGGTTCATTTTCTTTTCGGGTTGTTTTGGACAGCATGAGAAAAGAAAGGACTCACTATAGGAACCGCACCATTCATCCAATGACTTTGACCAAGCAGTCGCGTCTTGTGGGAGATGCTCCGGGACATCAGTGCAGCCCGGCCGAATAAGGCGCTTCCCGGGTTGCCGCCGTGCACATGAAATGTGCCTGCGAATTTCGATGCGAATGTGGATGACGTTGCATGCGTTTCGACATCGGAGGCAGGAGTCACGACCGCCCCGGCATGCACGGGCCTTGGTGTTGCCTTGCACAGCTGCTGTTCCAGGTGTTTGATCCTGCTTCGCATCAAGTCGATGTTGTCATGAGGGACCTGGGTGGTGTCGGTTCCTGGCGAGGCGTGCTCTCCTCCAATACTCGCGGAAGAAGAGTCTGGACATGTTGGCGCGGCAGAGGGCGGCAAAGGCGCAGAAATATCACTATCTGCCAGTGGTGTTTGGAGAGATTGCGCTGGATTGTGACGATGTCCTCCTGGCTGAATCGAGCGTGTTCGAGGTCGTCCCTGCTGTGGTTCCTCGTCGTAGACACAGGCCTCCTTCCTCCTGGATCGCACGCAGTTGCTGCATGGGCTTTTACGATCGCATCTTGTCTTGCGTCTCCTGCAGACTGAGCAAGACCTGAGAAATTGTTTTGGTCAGTATCATCCACCAGTAATATGGTGTTGTGAGCCACCAGCCATTGACCAATGGGGCTTATATGCGACCTACGTGGTGGGCCGCCTGCGTCGACGCACCGTTTCCATCGTGGTCAGAAGTTAGAAGTTCGGCTCAGGGCGAGTCAAGTGAGACAAGCAAACTAGAATGTCGAGCTTGGCAAGAGGGGTATGATCTCCTGCGAAAGAAAATAAGTTCGAAGTTCGGGGGACACAATGGTTGGGCTGGCTGAAGGATGTCGAGCTTACTGCATGATAGGTGTCTATCGTCTGCCGTTCTCCGACCCCGACCCCGACCCCGACTCGGATCTCCGACCTCTTAGCCCATCCTTCATCCTGAATTTGCACGTATTCTGCTGGTTCAGACGCCAAAGAAATGTCAAGAAACTGATGCCAGCGATCTGGGGAGAAGATACTGCAAACCGGAAATCGTGGGATAAATATCTTGCGTGCTCAGCTTTCTCCTGGCCTCTTTCCGGTTGCGCGAACTTAAACGTAGCCACCCGAGGAGAGGTTGAGGATGAGGAGCAAACACCCAATCTAATTGACGGGTATCCATACCTTTTCAAACAGTAATTCGTGGCTTGTGGGCGCTTCTGATGGCCCAGAGTCAGAGTCCAAAGGTAACAAAGGCATCATGGGTACCTCATGTATACCAAGTGGTTGTGCAGTTACACCTGAACCTCAAGTCCCCTCCTTCTCTCTCTGTTTGAGGATGCCTGGACAACCACGCACAGACCATATACACCTTTTAAAGTACCCAAACAGGCACCCAGCTACCATGAACTGACTGACTGACTTCCTGGCTTCCTTTGTCTGCAACTGCCGCTTGTTTCCACATGACGCGTTTGCCTGTCAAGAACGACGCGACCCATCACCAACTCCTGTACTCTTGTCTCTAACACCACGATCCCTCACATTCGGTCTCCATCCACGCTGGCACCAATGAGACCCGTGTAAACTTCCGCATCCTCCTACACTTGCATGCTCATGTTTCTTCCATGAGCCAACCGCCTGCACGATGAATCCAGCAGCAGCCCCGCCAGCGTTCAGCCTCGGGCTACTTGGCATCTACAAACAGTACAAGGCCGACACCGAGACAATTGCTGACTGGCTCAAGGCAAACGCCGTCAAACATGGATACAAGTTTGACGGCCGGGATGGATGGACTATCCGGACGTCTGACTTTGTCCCCAGTGAGTTCAGTCGTCCATTCTGGTCTTCTTCGGATCCATCTCCCACCCCCGAGTTGGGAATGATCAAACGGTCCCCTACAGATTCTTCCGTCTACCACATCGTCCCAGGAAACCCCCTTCGCTGACTTGATAACACGTAACAGTGGCAAAACAGATCGTTGCCAATGTGAAGAAGACCTCGTTCAATCTACACCCGCCCATCCATCGAGCCTTTCGTCGTGCAATAGTTGCTCGGAAAGAATGTACCAAATGGTACGAGGAGAACACCGAGGGCCAATACAAGAGCAACGAGACACATGCCTGTAACCATCAGCCACATACCAAGCTTCCTCCCATTGTTATAAGACTGACTTCAAGCAGACTTCACTGACATCTTGATGACCGCATGGGATATTCTCCTGGGTGCCTCGGTAACTGAGGGCACTACTTCCGGTTCCAAGTCTGCCGCTGTGCAGCGGAAACAAGACAGCCCTCAAGCACAGGCGGCATCTTCGGTCCCCAACTCTGCAGTCTCATCCAATCGCTTCGCTGCTTTCTATATCGACGCCGGTGGCGATGACGATGACGAGCTAGATGTTGCTGGCGCCGAAGATCCAGTGAGCAGTGGCACTTCTAAGAAGGGGAGGAAGGCCAAGTCATCAGAAAAGGTGCACACGACCACAATCATTCCGGACGAGGGCCAGATAGAAGAAGAGTTCTGGTTCGCAATCCAGTCCTTCCTCCAAGAGCAGCAAAAGGTCCGGGAAGAGGTCAGGCGCTACTGGGCAGCGTACAGACGCGATGAGAGCCACCTCGTCATGGCCACTTTCGGGACGAGAATGGCTATCGATCTCATACGACGATCAGAGACTGAACTGGACATTCAGGTGAAGCGCCCTGCGAGATTCCCCGCCCACAAGTATCCAGTCTCTACCTTCCCTGCATTGCTTGTTGCCGCGAAGCAGCAGTGCGAGGGCTCTTCGTCCCAGATAGGCCAGCCTTTCGACGCTCCGCTTGACAAATTTGTCCTAGTGTCCAGCCGTCAGAATGAGCTGACACTGTACAACACTTATTCAACCCTCAAGTTCTACTCATACCAACAAAGAGGCATTCCAGGATACGGCGTCAGCGGAGGGTTGCCGCTGAACGAAGAGATCAAGCGACTGGATGTCAAATTACACAATATCGCCAACTTGGTGGACTATTGGCCACCGTACGAGGACGACATCACCAGGGGCGTGAAAAAGGCTCTGCTGAGTGGGGAAATTCCAATCTGGACAACGTTTGCCATGAGGTTGTTGCTCGACATGGATGACGTCCTCGCCGACTGGAGAACACTTCCTTGGGTCGATGCGTGTGATCATACCTGCAGACATGCTCGCAAGCCTCCGACGCATTGGCATCACGAATTTGGCCGTCATCACGTTCCTCTCGCCGATGAACCTCTGGATCCTGACTTCTTGAAAGAACATTTTGCCAAGCACAAGCCGTCTACTGCAAACCAGCCCGTCAACATGTTGCAAAAAATCAGGACCTCGGAAGGTCCTAGGAAGAAAGGCATGGGAGGAAAGCGAGCGACAAAGAAGAAACCGGCGAAGGCTGGCAAGGAAGAGGAAGACATCAGCACATGCGAGAGTTACCTCAGATGTGGCTACGACTGGTACGAAAAGGACGTCGCCCGTGCTCTTGACTGGGTGGCACAATTCGAGGACGGCGACCAATGTTTCCGACGTCGTTTCGACCCAATGAGGAGAAACCCTTTGCATTGTGGCCTGATGAAGTACGACCTCTACCGAGCTCGCCATGTGTAAGTTGGTCCCCTTCCAGATTCATCATCAGAGGCTCACCGGCCCATAAATGCTGTTGCTGCACCGTCCCCTGACATTATTCGGAACAGGGGAGCGCTCAGTCAAAATACAAATGACAATCGCGACACTTGGACAATGATGTTTGTCTATGCGGCCGGTCGAGCCGCATTTCCGAACTCGCTATCCTGGCCCGATATGGAGTTCTTGCTCTTCCAGCAAGGCGAACAACACGTCTTTTTTGGTGGACGACCGAAGAATATCGAATGGACGGCTCGCAAATGGCTCTTGGCATTGGGCAGGTCTTCGAATGACTACACCTACAAAGATCTCGCTCATGCAAAGTGTTGCAGCATGCGGGATTACATCAACTTCAAGAAATGGCGACCATTGAAAGACAACAGTGTCCTGGGCAAGTTCATTTCGTCTCGAATGAATTGTTGCGATGTCCATCATGAACTTGCGCAGGATAACTTCATGGACATGATCCGAATGATGCACACCCCCGCAGCGCTTTCGCGCCTCGCAAGCATGCTTGGCATGAGTCAGGGTGAGACAGACGATTTCGTATGGACTTGGACCAGCCGGCTGGCGAGCTGGACACTGACGAGTATCTTGGAGCTCACCCAGATGTACCTGGCCGTGGATCTTGCGGACATTGAGTTCGATTGGGCGGCATTGGATTCAGTCTGCTCCGAGATGTGGAGAGAAGCTTCTCCCCTTCTCCAGGGTAAGGATTCCGGTAGTCATGGTGACGATGACCGCCCTTGTGATCACAAGGCTTGTGAGCTTGGCACTGCGCCGTCGACCTGGACCACGGTAGTCCTTAGTCAAGTCGCCGAAGTTGAAATCAACCTCTCAGCAAAGAAGAAGAGAGACCCTGCTGTCTTTGCGGAGGAGCTGGAAAAGGGCAGCCCCACATTCATGAAGTTGTGGTCACTCATCCAAGCTCATTGCCAGAAGAGAGTCAACGTTGCCCTTGGTAATGGAGTGTTCTCGAGCTTTGCAGCGGAGGCGGGGCTCGTCAAGATGCTGGATACCAGAGAGGACTCTCCGTTCCCGGCTGTCATTGTTGCCCCTCACGTCCAGAAATTCTTCGAGGGATACCCGGAGGACATTGAAAAGCAGAGCGCCGCGATGATTCTTGCCAAGAGAGTCGTCGCTAGCCATAGAAAATTGCGCAAGTCGAAGATTGCCAAACTTGGCGTGTAGGGCCCAAGAAGGTTTCGCGAGTACGCGGGTGGGAAGTCAACAGGGACGAGCGTCGGACAATTTTGTGATCACATGCTTTCTCATTGCCTTCTTGACGCAGTATCTGTCATTGTGTCAGACAATTTTGGGAGCGAAATGAGTTGAGCCATGGCTAGAGAAAAAGTGTATACAGAAAGATGGCCAGAGATTATGGGGTATGGTATGGTATGGTTTCTGTCCTATATACTAGCACAAAACGAAGCTTACCAATGAGTCTGTTTGTGCGTACGTAGCATTCTGTAGTCTACCTGATTTAGAATGGAAAGCCACCTTTCCGGGCAAGTCTACTATCACCAACTGGTCATGCATTCGCCACACCAGACGACTCTGACCAAACAAGCTTGGTAGTGGCCCAGGGGCGGGTCTTGCTAGGAGATACATGGCGTGACTACATGGCGCAATAGAAGCTGTAAGTCAACAACCCACTCCACACACCACCCCCTTCCCACATACAAGCATTTTAAATACCTAAAAATTAACCACCTAACTTTAAACTTAAATTTCTTAATAACTAATAAAACTATTTACTATTTAATTAAGAATCCTTAATATTTAACCTTTAAACTTTAATATATTCTTTTAATAAATCCTTATTTTTAATGTTAATATTATTATTATTAATTTTTAATAAAGCTTTAACTAAACTTTATTTTATAACTACCCTTTACTTTTTAAATATTATAATATTAATAAATATATTATTTAAATTAAATATAATAAGTTTATTTATAAAGCTTTTAATTTTTAAAAATATTAATAAAAATCTTTTCTTAATTTTATAATAATTATATATATATTTAACTTATTTAATCCTTTAACTAACTTTTAAAAATAATTAAATTATAAATAATTTAAAGAAATTACTTAATATATATAATTTAAATTTAATAACTTATAATTATTAAAAGAATTTAAATATTTTAAATTAATTATAATTAATTCCTTATTTAAATTAAATAATAAATACTTTTAAATAAATATAATAATAACTATATTAATTAATAATATTACTAACTTTAAATTTAATTCTTTCCTTTTATTTTATAACTAAATTTCTATTATAAATTATACTTTTTAATTTTAAATAATATAAATACTATTATATAAATTATTTAATATACCTTTAAAAGGTTTTTTAAAAGTTCCTTTATATTATATATTATAATAAATAAACTAAACTATTAATAATATTATTACTTAAAAATTAAAAAATATTAATATTAAAAGTTATAAAATATAAAAATATATATATAAAAGAATTAGCTATATTTAATAATAAAATAAATTTAAAAAACTTATTAATAATATATAAATAGTTATAGGAATAGAGATAATTATAATTAGTAGATAGTTTAGATTATATTATATAATTTTAGTTAGTAGGCTATAGTAAGGAATTATTACTAGCCTTTTAGGTCTAGCTTCTTCCCTTTTATATAATTTAACTTAACTAATTATTCTTTATATATATATATATAATAACTTATATTAATATTAATTAATAGTTATTTTAAGTAATTATAAATAGTAAGGTATAAAGAAATAGTTAATTATTTTAAAGTAGTTAGATTCTTTATAAATTCTTATTATAATATAATTATATTAATACTTTAATAATAATAATATAATTAAATATAATAAAGTTTTTATATTTATTTATTATAAAGCTATTAATTTAATAAAAATAGCTAGATATATATTAATAAAGTTTTTAAACTTTTTTATTACTTTATATATTTTATTATACTTTAAGAAACTATAAATATCTTTAAAGACTTAAAATCTACCTATAGATTTTTTTATTATTAAGCTTTATTTATACTTTTAGTAAGTACCTTATAAAATTAGTTAATATCTTTAAAGATTTAAAATTTATTTATTTAATTCCTTTATTAATAACTTTATTTATATTTAAAGTAATATTTTAAATAAAAGTATAGTTTATATAACCTATAAGTTATTCTTATTAATTAACTAATCTTTTAATAAATAAATATATATTAAATACTATACTTAACCCTATTTAATCCTTCCCTTTTATTTATTTATTTACTAAAACTTATATTATTTTTACCTTTATACTATTAAATAGAATATAGTTATACCCTATTAGTATAATTATAATAATAATTTTTTCCTTTTATATTCTTTTTTACTTTTTTCTCTTTATACCTACTATACCTCTAGTAATACTATTATTACTAGATCCCTTTAATTTAAAGATAAATAAATTAATAATTAAAATACTATTATTATTAATATATAATTAAATTTAATTTTAATATTTATTAAAAAAGATTTTTATTTTAATTATAATTATATTAAAAATATTCTTATTAAATTAATAAAGTAAAAAAGCCTTTAAAGTTAAATTAAATTATTCTTTTAATATTATTTTACTTTATAATTTTTAAATTATAAAGTTTATTAGAGATTTAATATTTATTTAAGATTTATTATTTTTAATTTAACTATTATATTATAATAATCTTTAGAGTAGTATTTAATATATAATTATTTAATTTTAATTAATATTTTAAATATCCCTAATTATTATATATAATTTATTAAATATATATATATTTTATTATATTCTATTTATATTTATATTTTATATTACTATTTATTTTTTACTTTAAACTATATAAAATATTAATATAAACTACTATTAAAATAACACTATTATATAATACTATTAAGAATAAAATATATATTACTTAAATAATAATTAAATTTTATAATTATATTTTATAAAGAATTTTACTTTTATTAAATATAAATATTATATATTTAAATATATAAATCCTTTTATATATAAAGATATATATATATAATAAAGTAATAAAAATACTTTTATAAAGTTTAAAGAAAACTTTAATAGTTAAAATAAAAGTATTTTATAATAATAAATAAAAATATAATTAAAAACTTAAATAAATCTTTTAATTTAAATATATCTTTATTAAAAATTAAATTAAACTATATTATTTATACTTATTTAAAATTTTATAATAAAGGAGTTTTTAAAGAATTTAAGAATTACCTACCTTTCTTTAAAGTAATAAATAAGGTTTTATATAAAAATAAACTCCTTTATAATCTATTAAAAAGGATATAATAAAAATTTTATTATAATATTTAATTAAAATAAATTAAGTATTAAAAGAAAATAATATTAAAATAAAGTTATCTACTCTACCTTCTTTTAATACTACTTTTATTAAACTCTTTTAGTTATTATTTAATATTATAAAATAAGGTATTAAAAGAATTTATAAAATATTAATTTACCTTTTAAAAACTTAACTATTAGGAGAAATACTTTATACTTTCTTTTATAAAATATTAAATAAATAAATTAATAGTTAATTTATTAAAAACTTTTATAAAATATATAAAAATAAAAACTTATATAGTAGAGATTTATATAATATATTTAATAATAAAATAAAGATCTTTTATTATTTATATTAATATAAATATTATATTAATTTAATTTAAGTTAATATTTTTTATATATTAAAGGAAAAATTAAAATATTTTATATATAATATATAAATATTAATAATTCTTTTAAGTTATTTATTTAAAATTAAAATTTAATTTAATAATTAAGTAAATTATTAAGATTATTATATAAATTAAACTATTTTTATATTTATTAAGTTATAATAAAAACTTTAATAAAGATTAATTATAAATTCTATAATTATTAATTAATAAACTTTTATTTATTATTAGATATTTAAATATAAAGTTAAAAGAGATTAATTTATATAAAATAATATATTATAAATAGTTAAAGGTATATTAAAATTTATAATAGTACTTTATAAGCTATTTAAATTAATTAAAGAGTTATATTCTAACTTATATACCTTTATTTAAGTTTATAAATACTAATAATTAATAAAATAATATACCTTTTAAATAAATAAAGTATAAAACTATAACTATAATAATAAAGATTAATTCTTTTTAATTATTATTATTATAAAAGTATACTAATTATAATAATAGTTTAAACTACTTATATAGTAACTTTTATAAAAAATAACTTTTATAAAAACTTTAATAACTATATTAATAACTTTAATAATAAATTCTTTAATTATAATAAATTTAATAATTATAATAATAGCTATAATAATTATTTATTTAAATATAATAATTAATCTAATAATAATAATTTTTATTAAAAGTATTATTTTATTTATAATTAAAAATTATTAATTAATAAAATATACTTTAAAAGAATAAAAATATATATATAATTAATATTTTAATATTTAAAAATAAAAATAAAGGTTTTATAAATATAAACTATATAATATTTATTATTAATATAAAAGTCTTTAAATTAATAAAAGAATAAAAAAATAACTTTTAATTAATTTAAAAATAACTTATAAATATAATATCTTTAAAATAATAACTTTAATTATAAAATATAATATTTTAATAAACTAAATATTTCTATACTTTATTAATTTATTCCTTAATAAAAATTTAATATTAATACTTCCTCTCTATAAGTATTTATATTAAATAATAAATATTTATATAAATACTTTTAAAGTATTATTTTAAATATAAAAACTATAAAATTCTTTATTAATAAATATAATTAATTTTTATATTATAAAGGTTAATTTATTTATAAACTTTAATACTTTATATAAAAGAAGATGATAATTAAGTTTAATAATAAATTTTACTTTATATTAATAGAAATTAAAATTATTAAAATATTAATTAATAAAATAGTATTTTATATTATAAAATATTTATTTTTTATTTTATATATAAAATATAACTATACTATATATTTTCTTTTAAAATATTATAAATAAAATTATTTATACTTTATAAAAATAATTACAATAAATATTTTCTATTATATAAAAATAAAAGTACTTATAATTTTTAATAAAAGTAAATTAAATAAATATTAAATATTTTTATTAAAGTTAAACTTTAATAACTTTATTAATAATTTAAATACTTTTTATTAATTAACTTTTATATTTATTTTTAATATTAAATATTTTATTAAACTTTTACTTTAAAAGCTATCTTTAAATTTTACTATTATTATTAACTTTATAATTTAATATTAAAAGATTTAAATTTAACTTATAAAATAATTATAACTTTAATTATAAAATAATAGTTAATATAATATATCTTTTATATCTTTATTTTATATATTATTAATTTAATAACTTCCTTTTAAATTAAATATTTCCTTATATTTTTATTTATAAAAATATATAA